GATTTGATACTTACAGTCATAGACAGATTGACGAAGTATACTTATTTTATACTATTTATTAAAAAGACTATATCATCAGAGACAGCATATATCCTATTATGACATGTCTTCGCAGACAAAGGATTATTGGACAAAATTATATCAGATAGAGAGACAAGATTTATGTGTAAATTCTGGATGACACTCACTGAAAGAATAGGGATTGAACAAAAAGCCTCGACGGCATATCACCTATAGATAGATGGACAAAGCGAAAGAATGAACCAAATAGTGGAACAGTACCTGAGATACTACATCAACTATAAACAGGATGACTAGGTTTCACTACTACCAATGGCACAGCTCGCCTATAACGGAGCGAAGAACGCCTTGACAGGCATGACACCTTTCTTTGTAAACTACGGAAGAGAAATGGAAACAATAAAAACACTAAAAGAAGGCAAAATACACACCTTAGAAGCAGAGGTTTCAGCAGAACAAATGTGCGAACTCTATAGACACCTATAGTTGGATCTCAAATTCTTGAACTATAGAATGAAACACTACTATGACCAACGGCACGTGGAAGTGCCAGACTTTAAGAAGGGGGAAAAAGTATTTCTACTTCGACAAAACATCAAGATATTGAGACCAAGTGACAAATTGGATCACAAGAAACTGGGACTATTCAAGATTTTGGAAAAAATTGGACAACTTAATTACAAACTCTAACTTCTAGACCACATGCAAATATACCCAACGTTTCACGTCTTATTACTCGAAAAAGCACCCTAAAACGCTAAACCATATGAATTAGAAATATAACCAGAAAATCAAGAAAAAGAATATAAAGTTGAAAAGATTCTAGATAAGAAAGTGATCAGCGGAAGAACTCACTACTTAGTTAAATAGAAAGGATATGACTTTTTGGAAAACACTTATAAGCTAGCACGACATCTTAAGAACTCGCTAGGACTAGTTAAAGACTTTTACTAGAAGGTTTGGAAGTAGGAGAAGATACTTTGAGAAGTTGATCAATAGAAACGCCACTAGAGGACGGAGGACCAACAAGGAGTTCACTAGTAGCATTAAAAGAAGCGGCTTTGTTAGATAACTTGACCTAACGCCAACAGAGCTCAAGATTACAAGCCATCGCAACTAAAAGCTTGTTTTAAGCCTTAGCGAGCTTTTCCTGGGCCTAATGGACCATTTAGATGTTACCAGCGACATCTATGTCGGAATTGCCAAGACGGTAAGGAAGCCAGGCCAATTCTTCAGCCCAAGGAGAGTTATCCACAAGACGGCCAACGCAAGGACAATCCTTACAAACACAAGAGGAACAACGTTTGCTACGGGAATCCATCACAACACAAGGCTGAAGAGACCAAAAACAGTTATCACAATAAGAATGCGATAAGGAACCGGAATAATCGATGGCTACTGCTAGAATCATACGCTCAGTAGCCCGGTTATAGAGAAGATGGGAAGATTTCTTTATGATAGAATGGGGAGCCATGATAAAGGAAGAAAAGAGACTTACCTAATGAGAAGGAGGGAAACACACTCACTACTTATATACTCGTCGAGACGACTTGATGAGAAAGGAGGGGATAATATTATAGACCACCTGTGGCGCAGCCCTAGGATATATACTCATTGGACAACAAGATTCCGGGACGGAATAACTACATATCACGTGACCATAAGGACAGGTCCCAGATGCCAAGACCAGGGACAGGTCCCTATAGGACCGAACATGAAAGGTCCACGAAGGGACTGGGACATCAGGTCCACGATGGGACCTGAGAAGAATCAGGAGGAAGGGACTGGATATACTATATATATAAGGATACTCATTTCCACAGGATTAAGAGTCTTATACTCGCGATCAAACCAGCTACAGTTTTACTATACTGCTCAATGTAAAGCACCATTCCAGTTGTCTTATACTATATTCACTGAATACCTCTTTGTCTATTAACGTAGGTCAACTTTGTCTTCACTACTTATAAGGACCTTTAGCCTTTATCTGACCCAGGCACTGACTAAAACCACACTTAGAACTAAGGGATAGTCTCGCTATAGTATTCTATCTTGCCCTGGTACTAAGCCGTCTCCTATAATGACTTACTTTTAACTTAAGCTTTCCCTAAGACCTTCATACCTTCTGTCTTATGGCAGGTGTGAACCTCTGATCACCTTTAGGTAATCAAGGAGCGCCGTCAGCTTGTGACACTCTCGCATATAGGATCCTACAAAGATAACTTTTTCCATATTAGTGACTCCTGGTTTAGTTGCCAGATAGATATCGCATTCCTCTAGGAAGTGTTCCAGTTTAGCGCGGTCTCCTTTATAAGTATCAGATTTATGGATCTTAATAGTAGTTCTCTTATCTCTAGTTCTGACTCTGAGTATATTGATAGCGTCTTTGTGACTTTTAACTTGTTCTAAAGTCTGTTTAACAATATCTTTGTATTCATCAAGTAATCTTTATTATTCTTTTACTTATTTATTAGTCTTATCTAGCTACTCATCGTTAGGTTACTCTTTGACTCTTTTTTCCAACTCAATGATTTTCTGTCGCATTTGCCCTAACAAGGCGTTGGTGTTGGTGGTTGGTCCACTTGCTGATGACATATTGGCTCGTCTTGCTTTGGTATATTCCTGTAGTTAGTATGCTCTCAGGGGTAGGGTGATACGTACCTAGTTTTGTCCTTCTTGATATATAATCATAAGTCACTTGGGTTAGAGTGTCTATAACAGTATGGTAGCTCTAGTAAGTTGGAATTACTTTTGCCTCTTTATAACCATAAAGTCAGGGCTCTATCAAGTCGAAATTGATTATGCCTCTTTATAACCATGAAGTTGGGGCAATCAATGTCACAAGCTAATGGCGCTCCTTGATTACCTAAAGGTGATTAGAGGTTTATACCTGCCGTAAGACAGAAGGTATGAAGGTCTTAGGGAAAGCTTGGGTTGGAAGTGAGTCATTATAGGAGACGGCTTGGTACCAAGATGAGATAGAATACTATAGTGAGACTATCCCTTAATTCTAAGTGTGGCTTCAGTCAGTGCCTGGGTCAGATAAAGGCTAAAGGTCCTTATAAGTAGTGAAGACAAAGTTGACCTGCGTTAATGGGCAAAGGGGTATTCAGTGAATATAGTATAAGATAACTAGAATGGTACTTTGTATTAAGCAGTATAGTAAAACTGTAGCTGGTTTGATCGCGAGTATAAGACTCTTGATTCTAAGGTAATAAGCGTCTTTATATACAAGTCCTTGTATATTCTATTCTCCTGAGTCGCTTGGTCGCGCCGTCGACTCTGTTAACCTGGTGACTTATACTAGCTCTCCCTGCTCTCTTAGTCACTCTAGTGAGTTGGGCAACTAGGCGAGTGGGACGTGGTTGTTCTGTTCCATCTTGTCCATCCAATGAGCGTATACTCTGGGGCTGCGCCGCAGATGGTCTGTAACATATGAGTACGGGATAGTTACTATAATAATAATAAAGAAGTAATATCAGGATATATTTGCTATAAACAAAAAGGAGAAGCAAAAACGTACAAGATCCAGCCACAGAATTCAACAACTAGAGGGTCTTACAAGAGAAGAAGCTCAAAGCCTTATTACTCCCCCTGATTTACCTACTAAACGTATAATCAACTAGCCTATAGAAATGTCACAAGCTGACGGCGCTCCTTGATTACCTAAAGGTGATCAGAGATTCACACCTGCCGTAAGACAGAAGGTATGAAGGTCTTAAAGAAAGCTTAAGTTAGAAGTAAGTTATTATAGGAGATAGCTTGGTACTAGGGTAAGATAGAATACTATAGTAAGACTATTCTTCAGTTCCAAGTGTGGCTTCAGTTAGTGCCTTGATCAGATAAAGGCTAAAGGTCCTTATAAGTAGTAAAGACAAAGTTGACCTACGTTAATGGGCAAAGGGGTATTCAGTGAATATAGTATAAGATAACTAGAATGGTGCTTTATATTAAGTAGTATGGTAAAACTATAGCTGGTTTGATCGCAAGTATAAGACTCTTGATCCTGAGGTAATAAGTGTCTTTATATATATAGTATATATCTAGTAATAGGTACAATAGTTCTCTACTAAGGGGTTCCTATTACTTCTATTAGTTGTTGTGATAGTATTAATAGGAAGCTGCCAAGCCCGTCCTATCGGTCCTATCACTATTAGTCACGTGACTAGTGCCCTCAAGGTCTGGCCCGTGATCCTCCTGTCCAATGAGTGTATATCCTGGGGCTGCGCCGCAGGTGGTCTGTAACAAGAAACCAAACCACCAGTCTTATAACCACAATTACGAGCTTAACCACGATATAGTAATTATAATATTCTTAGATATAGAAGAACAAGATGTCCTAATCCTAATATTATTTAATTTTTAATTTAATAATTTTTTTTTAGAATTAATAATTATATTAAGAACTTACTAATCTATATATAATAAAAATTGTGGCTCGCTTGCTTGGGTGGCTCGCTCGCCTGTGGATTACGTTAGTTAATCGATATTGATGACTCATAACCAATGAAGTGGCGAAAATCTTGGACGTCATTTCATTTTTAGATACAGACAACTCCAACTCCATCAAAGTAATAGTGATTGAGATGTCACTATTCCCACCAGCCCGCCCTTTGATGGACCTTACATGCAAATTAACTAATGACCCATCAACCCTTTTTGTTCTTGGTTGATATCGACATGCCTCTTCACATTCTCTTTCAAGACACAAGTCATCCCCAAGTCCAACAGAGTAATAGTGGCTTTTAAGCGCACTATTCCCACCCTCCCACCCTCTGAAGGACTTTACATGCGTACTGATCCATCAGCTTTTCTTTCTTTAATTTAACATGCCATCTCCAGGTACAGGACTTGATAAAACATGATTGACAAATATTTCAATTTATTCCAATACCCCATATATCAATACCAGATCAAACACAATTCCATTCCAACCACCCCTCTTTCTCATCCAGTCTCCCTTAATACCCCGGGATCATTCACCCCAGTCGCGCTGCCAGTGCTCGCTTCCATTGTCTGAGTTTTGGGACAATGAATTCTGACTTGGTTTGGCGCTGCGACCAGGAAGGTTTCAACTTTCGGAGTTGTCGTGCAATTTGTTGTCGTGACGATGCTTCGAATGGGTTGTTGTTGAGGAATTCGCGGTCCTCCTCGTTGATGGAGCCGGCCTCGTCGGATAGGTCGAGTTTATGAAACCATGAGGCTTGTTGCAGGTTAATGTCGAAGGGGGTGTGCTATTTTTCGAATGTTATTATTATATTCACCTCTTTGGCAGTGCAGACAGGTGGCTAGTAGGAATACCTACTAGTGCGTTCGGTTGTGATGTCTCCCTTGATTCCTCCTCGTCCTTCCATTCCTCCTCCTTCCATTCCTCCTCGTCCTTTCGTTTCTCCTCCTCCTTGTCCTGGGCGGCTGCCGCAAGTATTTTCCAAAATAGCTCAACCCGTGTTTCCTTTAACGTGAAGTCAGTGTCGCTCGTGTACTCTGACTCCTCCGAGACACTGATATCCACCGAGTTGTCGCTAGCGGAGAAGTCTTCCTCCGCCATCCAATCGATGCTATCACTTTCCACGTGGGATTTCGCAGTCCGAAAGGTGTCTTCCGTCTCACAGGCTTCGCTCCTTTCGTATTCCACGGTCCAGTGTGTCGGGTAGAGGTCCAGGGCCGAGGGTTGTCCGTCCTCCGAGTGGGGATGGTTAGGTATGAGCCGAACCTGGAAGTCACAGTCCGGATGGTGGTATTGGTCCATGGTGGTAGGTCCGGTGAAGTCCTGGAGATCCGGCATGTCGTCCTTGGCAGCATGGTTGGGGTTCGTCGGTACCGTTTCCAGCCATGTTTTGACACCCTTGGCGTTGTTGAAGTTGAGGGTCAGGGTCACTTGTCCAGTGTGATCCATGATGAACGCGCGCGTTTGTGGATCGACCTTGTTCTTTTTTTGTTTGTTTGTTTGTTCTTTTTTTTTGTTGGTTTTTTTTATTCTTCTTTGTAGTGTTTTTTGTTTTTTTTGGTTGTGTCTTCGGCTTGTTTAGGTCAGCCTTGACAATCGGTTTGTTGTTCTTGTTGTTGGGCTGTGACTTGTTTCCGTCAGTCGCGAGCTCCGTGTGTGTGTGTGGTTGGTGAGCCTGGCGGCTGAGACTTCGTGGAGGCAGTCTCAGGTAGGCGGGTTTTGTCGAAATCGATTAACGGTACGTCGAAGAAAGATGCGTAAGTCGAATGCGTAAATCGAGTGCTTAATCAGACGCGTTTGAAGATCAGATTCGAAGCCGATGTTTAAAGTTTGAAGTTGAAGTTGAAGTTGAAGGTTGAGGTTGAGAGATGTTGGAGTTGAGAGAAGAAGAAAAAAGGACGAGAGAGGTTGGGGGGAAGGGAGAAATTTATAGCCCCTCGTCTTGCCTCTATGACTCGAATAATGACTTTTCACTGACGACATTGACTGTATAGGCCAGTTCTACCAGGGTACGGCGTTCCATTAACCATACTATGTGAAGTGACCAAATATGGATATGGATGATGTTATCATACTTCCCAATCGAGCCTGTATAACAGTGGAACTGGGATGAGACCATGACTAAATTTAGCACGCTTGGCGACTACGAGTTTCCTTAGCCCCTATATAAAACTGGAGGCCACTATCAATAATATCAGACGGTAGAACGGAGAACTAGCGGTTAATCGTCTATTCTTCTGCTCTGTCGTGGTCTAGTCACGGTGGAGATAGCACTACCGCTAGACTAGTGGCTGATATGCTGTTGGTCGATATGGAGTACCTGCATCATGCTTCACCTGCGGGGAAGCTGCCTTAAGCTTTGGACTAAGATAGCCAATATCGTTTGATGTAGTAATACGGTCAAGGGCTACACTATCACTTCAGCCCATTTACCTGGCTGCTGACATCTACCATATATCACAACAACGTCATCTTTGCAAAATTTTCTCTCTGGTATTTCTGCGGTTGCCTGGCACCCAAACCGTGGTACTGACCCTTCCTGCACCGTTCAACCGCGCATGACGTCGTAGGAGCCCTCGTCCCGAAATCTTTTTCGCATGTAAACCAGGGTCCTCTCTTCGAACTTCACTGCTTAGTTATCAGCATCCAGTTTGCCTATATTTGGATCACGTGCCATATATCCGCGCACAGACAGTGGACCCGTCAGATGACCCCACTTACCCTAAACAGCGGGTCCCATGATGACATCAGAAAAGCTTGGCCCCAACTCTTATCACCACCGGCAACCTGGACGGGCCTTCTTTTTCTCTCTTCCCTCGCCCGTCAGACAACTCGCCAGCCGCACCGCTTCCTCTGTACTTTAATACTCGCACCAGACCTTCAGACTCGACGTGTTCGCTGCTACGGGCTACAGGTCGACTAGACTTCACCCTCTGTCTGCTCAATTCGCACGCTCACGCCTTGTTTGCCCCTCAATTACTGCTTGTTTTTGACTTCATTCGTGCACGCCATGGCTTTGATGGACAACCTTCTGACCCAGTCGCCTTATATCCCCCCCGGCTCTGGAGCTGCACCCTCAACCCCAGGTCAGGGCCATCCTCTTCCCCATCCGCAACACCAGCAGCAGCATCAGCAGCAGCACCAGCAACAACAACATCAGCAGCAACAGCACCAACATCAGCACCAACATCCCCAGTCTCATTCTCACTCCCAGATGCAGGTCCAGCCACAGATCCAGCCCCAGATCCAGTCCCAGCAGACTATATCCTTACCTCCTGTGCGACATAGCCAAGGCCCGAGCGGTACCTCTACCATATATGATGGCTACGAGTATACGCTCGAGGTCGTGCAGCAACCTGTACGCGCGCGGATGTGTGGTTTTGGTGACAAGGTATATAAGTCCTCCCCCCTGGCTGCTCTATTAATATCGTAGCAATACTAATTACCTCAGGACCGTCGACCAATCACTCCACCACCATGTGTCCGTCTCATCGTTAGGGACGCTGACACGCACCAGGAGGTGGATCCAGCGTATGTCTTCGCCTGGCTACTTTTTTTTCCCCTGCAATAGCTAATAGGTGATGACAGTGTAATTGATACGACGTTCTTCGTTCTCACTGTGGACCTTTGGAATGCTGAAGGCGATCGTGAAGTCAACCTTGTTAGACACTCGGCTACTTCACCTTCCATCTCAACTGCTACATCTTCTTCTTTCCCACCACCAACCCAAAGTGTAGCCCCAGCCGCCCCATCTTACCCGCCTTACCAGGCCCAGGGCATGTACCAGCAGCAACAGCCCCCATACCCTTACTATCCCACCCAACACTACCCCGGTCAGCAGGGAATGCCATACGGCGCCCCTACAGGACCACCGCAGAGCTACTATCCCAACGTGAATCAGGGATACTACCAACAGCAGGCACAGCCTGTCGTGCACCATCTTCCTCCAGCTCCTGTTGGCATGTTCACGCGCAATTTGATCGGAAGTCTGAGCGCGAGTGCTTTCAAGCTTACTGACACTCCTGGAAAGCTTGGCATCTGGTTCATCCTTCAGGACTTGAGCGTTCGTACGGAGGGCATGTTCAGGTATTTACCCTCCTCCCAAACAAATATCATTCCTCCTATATCCGCTGACGCTTCTATATCAGGTTAAAAATGAATTTCGTCAATGTCGGAACCAGCCAGCAATCCATCAGCCAGCAGTCCGCCAACGGCTCAGGATCACCGCCAGTGCTGAACCACGGTTCTGCCCCAGTTCTTGCATCCGTCTACTCAGACGTGCTGCAGGTCTTCTCGGCCAAGAAATTCCCCGGTGTCATCGAGAGCACACCATTAAGCAAGTGTTTTGCGCTCCAGGGTATCAAGATTCCTATTCGCAAAGATGGTATCAAGGGTGGCAGAGGCGGTGGCCCGCCAATGGTTATCAAGGGTGATGATGCCGATGGCGAGGATTACGATGAGTAATCTTTTACCGTTTCCAAGATGGTTGCAATGGGCTTTTTTTTTTTTTTTTTTTTTTTTTTTTCATTCATTCTCTATCAAAAGAGTACTACTACTCGATTCCTTTATCTAACTATCCTTATCTGTCGTTTCTGTGGGTTGTTAGTGGGTTTTCATCTGTCGGTCTGTGTCAACCGGTCATCGGAGTTACAGGTCTAGTTATCTCAGGTACTACAATGGCACATTCTATTCAGATTTGACTGTTAATCATACCTCGACCTTCTACTACACCGCATATCATCATGCCATGAGCAGAAATGCGTCACCATAACCACCTGCTTAATCTGCGGGCCCTGCGGATACGTGAGTCGCTTCATGCATACGGAGTACTCCGTACATAGACATGCATTTGTTACACGCAACGTTCGCGGAGCGGTGAAGGCAGGGGAAAGCCGGGTGGGAGTGAGGGGCAGTGGAGCTTAAAGCGGCTGTGTTTTGAATTATTCCGATCCAGGATCATTAATATAAGTACATGGTTGATATATAAAACATGGTTAATATAGTAGGTATTAAAGAATAGGTAGCTGCTTTCTAAACATCACCGCCATTTGAAGTGGGTATCTCGGCTTGCATGAAAAAAAGGGGTACATGACATAATTGAACATTAGTAAAAATTTGAAGTAAAAATGAATGAATGAGGCGAAAAGAAAAGGGGGGAGTGAGTGTATCAGTTAGCAGAATAGAATCGACCATGAAAGAAACGAAAAAAAGACCGGTTGACCGAAGAAAACATGAAAAAGACTCGCCCGTGAGTCACCGTAGCCGCTGCTCGAAACGCCTGGCCCAAAAATGTATATTCCTACAACCACAAGACGTCTATTAACGCTGTGTGCTCTTTATGAAATCACTTCCACTTGGCTGTCCACGGTTGTCCTGGCTTTGGATCAGCCGGCCCTCCACAAGCCACGGCATTCTCGACGGAGCCTGCGGAAGAAGGAGGATTGTGCTCCGACACGGCGGGTTCATGGGTGATTTCAATCGTGGTTTCTTGATACACCTTGCCGAAACCGCCCTTCTCGAGATCATCGATCATATCATCTGTCGATCGATCGGCTGAGAAGGTGTTGTCATTTGCCGTGAGCCTCGACATCTTCTTCATCTCGTAACCCTTTGATTTCCGACGGTCTGCCGTGACGGATGCCATATGGCTACGGCGGCTGTTTGCATTGGAGTCTCCTTTATCAGATACTCGACTAAGCTCAGAGTCAAGGAGGAGCGCTTTGCGTGTTAGGGTATACATCACGACGTCAACGGTGCCAGAGCTAGCGATGATGGCGGCCGCTGCGCATAAGTAGGTTAGGGAAGGAGGATGGCCTCGAACGCTCGACATGCGGGCGGCGGCGATAGGAAGGGAGAGGAGAAGGTATGCTAATGGATAGAGAACCATGTAGCCCGTGACCCGACGAAGCCTCCTCAGATATTCCCTTTGTCCGCGCGCTAGAACGGCCGATGCTTGCAATTTGCGTCGAAGGTAAAAGAAAAGGATGGCATAGAGCATGAGGGAACCGAACTCGGAAACAAATATCCAGAAGTAATGGGCCCAAAACCTTTCTGCTTCGAATTTTTGATCGATCCAGCACTAGAAAGGGTTGTTAGCACTTCATGACAAGGATGAGAGGGAGAGAGTATGCCTTACCCAAGCGCCAGAGGGGACATATGTATGTTTTCCGTGCCTAATTGTTGGGACCATGACGAGGAGCAGACAGAAACCCCAAAGTCCAATGATACAGCTCACGGTCAACCTGTAGGATAGTTTCCTCCCAATGACGACAGTCGCAAAGGTATGAACTGCAATGGCAAGAACGAATAACCCACTCGACGGGTCTCCTATTTGTAGTAGCCATCCTTGTACAGAACAGAAACGGGAGCTGGCGTGTAGACCGTCGATGGCCATCCAATGAATTGACATGATAAAACCCAACGCGACTTGAAGATCTGCCAACAGAAGATTGTAGATGAGAACCACAAACTGGTTATGTCCCAGATATGTTCCCTCGCGTTTCTGCCAGAAAATAAGCCGGTAGGTGAGAAAACCAAGTAATCCTAGAATTGCAACGGCAGACACCAACGACGCGGCCACCACCATGATGGTTCCATTTCGATAAACAGTAGGCAACGGTGATATATCTAGTGTGGTTTTCGCTCGAGGTTCAAGGCTCGAGGCTTGTCGTGCTGCATCGTATTGAAGGGCGATGACGTGCCGTAAAATAGCTACGCCCAAAGCCATGATGCCGGCCGTACGCTATATCCAGTGGGATGCACGCCGTATATATGATCGATCAAGGGCTTAGCCGTTGGCGAGACTAGCTAGATGGACAGGAAGACAAGGGACCAGATCGTATCAAGGGCTTGTGAGGTATATTAATGAGGGGCTTGGTGGTCCATCGAGCAAGTGTAAGATTGCTTCAATGTTGGGATATGTCACAAGGAAAGACAATATCACTCGATACGAAGGATATCAGGACGAAGAAAAACCTGGGGATCTCCCCCATATATCAAGTGGATATCTGGCGATATAAGTCTCTGCAACAGTGCGTATTTCATGCTTCGGAGATTGGTCCCAGGCACACGATCCCAGACACTCCGGCCGGGGCAATCGATGGATGAACACTCCACTGGTACGTCGTATTGATGCTTAAACGGTTAAACTCAGGGACTATCACGTCTACTCCGATACTAAGGAATTTGCCTCAACAAGGTATGTGACACCGGTCTGTGTGGTGTCATACAAGGGCGCACAATAATGGATGTCGCTCCTGTACGTATAGAGAGACTGAAAGCCATTTTGAGATGGCGGTCTCGATGTGACGGCCATCACAATCTGTCCTGCCAAAAAGAAAAGTGGAAAATACCCCGGTTCTTGGGTTTCCAGAAGCCCCTAAAATCAAACACTAAACTAACGAAATTGTCACATCGGGTTGGTGTCGTTGGCGAATGCTGTGCTTTTCTCAGGGCCGTTAGGGCGTGCTGACATCGTCCCGCGTTACCGCCACATCGATGTGCCTGCGTCTGGCACAGACAAAGACGAAGCGCGACTGGTTCCACGCTACCAGCCATGTTTGTCGCCGAGGAAGATGGCGGTGGACTAGCTGTTGAGCAGCAGATGCCCAGAGCATGAAGCTTCAAGGACGACGAGAAGCAACAAGAATTGCCAGATCACCCTCCATCCATCCATTTGCTTTTTTGGCGGACGGGAGGAACGCATTAAGTCGTCTCCACCAGACGCGGCAGAGGGCGAGGACTCCGTACTATATGTGTCGATCCTACTGGCGAAATACGGGCTTCTGGATATTCGACTGGACCGCCAGCCAACTTTTGCCTGCGCAAGCACCGATGCTAGTGGCGCATTACGCTAACACCGCCCGTACTTAATTGAGCAGGCCAGGTCTGAGATACTTGTCGTTACCCGGAAACGGCTATTGGCGCGGGAGGGCATCCTGTCGTCCAGTAGGAGAGAGGGCGACGTTAGAGTCTGTTGGTGGTGGCATATATTCGCCTGAATGGCAACCATCGCGCCTGAGCCATGGTTAGCAGAGAAGTCAACGGCCTGCGAGTGTGTGTGTCTCTCTACTCATCTCCGAATGATAGTCTTCAACTAGTCTGGTCGTGTGTGTTCGCCTTCCAGACAGTCCTTTCATTTGTTCACTGGAAAATGGATAGTCACCGCAGAGCAGGCCGGATCCTTGCCACCAGTCCCTGACCGTAGCTCAACCCCTGGCGAATCTGCACTATCAGAGCCCAATAGAGCTATTGCAGGCAAGCTTGCAATTCATCCCGTTGGCCGTTAGTTGGCTGTGATGATGGTGATGGACATGGACGGCTGCTCGTCGTTGGAATGTGCTCCATAGAAGCACGAACCTGCGGTCAGGGGCCATATCTCACACCCCCAAAGTCCCAACTCCGCCTCCTCCGCCTCCAGGTCCAGGTCGCCGAGGGCGCAACCTTCGAGTCGGGGAATAAGCACAGTTTCGAATATATTAGATGTATCTACAGTCAGCCAGGCTGTGAAGGTTGTCATGTGTATATTTAGCGCATCGACGCCCGCATAGGGTTATAAAAGCAAGTACTCCATACAAAGTACACTGACCAAGATCAATAAAAAAGCCATAGAAACGGCCTGCGAGAGTATAAGCAGACCCTAAGACGAACTGAAATCTGGTGTGTTTTTAGGTTAACTTTGATCGAAACTAACATTGTGACCGTGCTATTAAGCAAGTGATTAGTTAAAGGGGCGTAACGCTTACATGCAGGAAACTACGGAGTACATGTGTGAACTATGATGTGCCATTGAAAGGACGAGGCAACATCACGGAGAGAAAACAAATCTAACAAAGACAGGAAGTACATTGTATATTTTTCAAAACCAAAAAAAAAAAAAAAAAAAAAAAAAATGAAAAATGAAAAATGAAGATGCAAAACCAAGCCGAAGAGCTGAAGCTAATGCGTAAAATAGGTAATAGTAGACGAACGAGGAAGAAGGTCATATGGCATGTATAGCCTACCAGGAACAAAAAGCAACAGGGCAAAGAACGAAAAACAAAAAGAAACCGATTAACTATGTCAGGGCATGTCACATGAAAACGCGGAAGGGAAGTCGTAAATCAGTGCTCCGTCTCCGTTAGACGAAGGTTGAGTAGTTTTGCGCCATTGATGGAATGCGAGGTGGGTAGTAGGGTAAGTATAGGTAATGGCATAAAGCCGCTCTCAAAAAGTGGGAAGTCCGTGGTAGCGTATGAATATCACTTCCCTTGCCGTATGGGAACCACATATTCATTATATTCCTCGGACTCTTCTTCAACAGGAGCAGGTGTTCTCCGTTCAGTACGGCGTTTTGGCCTTCGTCTCCTGTTAGAGCTAATGTTGCTAGCAGACTCTGAGGGGGCGATGGACGCTCCGTCATCAACATCCTCATCAGTTCCGCTCTCAAATTCGCCCGGCGTGCAACTCATCGGCACCGGGGTGCCCGCTAGTATCTGAATATTCGATCTGCTGCCTCTCCTAGCTTGACTTGCAGCGGTAAGCCCAGCGCCGCGCTCACGTAGTGCCTGGCGTACCATTTCCGCCTTGCCGTGGAGGAGTTCGAAGGCGTCTTCAAGTGCTTCCATGCCAAGGAATATGTCCCTTTCCACTTCCGCCAATGCGGCGATTTCCGTCTCTTCATCGATCGAAATAGGGGCTCCATGGGATCCTGTCGCGGCTGTGATGGGGGCGCCTGCACGGGGCTGACTAATTGAGCGCATAGTTTGACTGCCATTTCTAGGAAGGCTTGTTTGGGGGTCGTACGGAGGCTCTGTTGCGGAGGTTGGGACGGAATTATCTTCTGCTCCACTTCGGAGGAACCCATCGAAGCGGCCAGAGATGAGTATATCCCATTCGTCATCACTAATTGCCGCCAATGTCGCTAGAACGTTATGCATTTCAGGATGGTTTACCATATATAACGCCGTCTCCGGGTCACGAGGTAGGCTCTGCAATCTATACAAGCGGTAGATCGCAGCACCCCCAACAACCAAGCAAGGAGGCCTATCTGGCGGTTTCGGCGTCTCTTTTCTTGGGACTGGTGGGCTCAACGGGAACTCAAGGAGTGCGGCAAAGGAGGCTCGTTGATCTGGGTCCAAATAGGTTAGGATAGCAAATGTCAGAGTTTCATCGTCAACTTCCCCTGGAGGTTCTGCGGGCTGGTCGGGTTGACGAGATAGCCATTTGTCTACGGCTTGTTTTGTTTTGCGTGACTGTCGAATATAGTGGTCTCGATATTCTTCAGGTACATCGATATCAAGCTTCTGCATAGGTATGTGTTCCTGAGAGTTTCCCATGGTAGCATGATCAAGCTCAGGCTGCATACGGAACGGTGGCCAGGTTGGTAAATCGCTTCGGCCCGAAACGAGCTCCAGAACCTCACCCCAGCTGACCCCTGTTTGTTCCTCCAGTTGCTCTTTGCCACAGCACATTGGGCACTCGCAGGCTTCCGATGAGATATCTCGAGCAAATACAGATTCGAGTCTGTCCAATAGTCGCCTTGCAACGGATCTGTATCCTGTAGCCACGGCCAGTGATCCATTCTTTTCTATCACCCGGGCATAATCACTCAGTAGCCTGGAAAATGGTTCAAATAGCTTCATCCCAGTATTGGCGGGTTCGAAGAGGTGTTGCGGCATATTAGCAGATTCTCCCGCTCCAAGGAAATTACGGGGTACATGGTAACCCAGGCCGCCATTCTGCAGCAGGTAATCGACCCTGGGTCTCGAAAGCGGGATATCTGGCGGCGGAGGTGGCGGCGGAGGTGGTGGAGGGGGGGAAGCAGCGGATGGGTCTCTTAATGGATTGAATGCTGATACCTCTGGACACGGTGATGGGGAGGCATTTGAGGGAGGTCTAGATGCACGAGGACGGTTTCGGAGTTTAGGTAGCTGTTCGGTTGTTTTCACTTGTACGGGAGCGATTGAGGTGGCATCTGAGTCTACCGCTACTGTTTCGTTGTCGGATAGAATTTCGATTGGTGATGACGATTTTCGATTTTGGGACGATTTCCCTGATTTTCGGTGCGCTGAAGTGGTAGAGGATCTGTGAGAAAACTGAAGAGCCTCAAATAATTTCAATTTGGTTGGGGTGCTAGATCGGGCCCGCGTACTGGTTTTCAGCGTCTGGTCACTTAGCTTCTTGTACATGACCGTGGAGGACCTGGTCGAATGGCTCCTTGATGATTTATGTTTCTTCGGTTCTCCCGCAGTCTTGCTCGAGGTTTCCCTCTCCTCTGATCGGTGACCATCACTGAGAGGCGTGCTTTTACGCCGGGGTAGCTCTGTATCGTCATTCGTGAGAGGCGGACTTGGTGGTCGGGTACTTTGGCTATGTCTCTTGGTCTGGGTTTTGTCTTCGCTCGTCGAGCTCGGCTTATGGTCGTCTTTTTTCGCTTCTGTGGTTGTTATGTCTGTAGGTTCGGGAGTCAATATGTTAAGCCGTATGCCCAGGTTCTCCCGACTCCCCACGGCCTCCTTGCTATGTGCCTTTGAGAAGCTCGGGTAGGGCACGGACACTTTTGACTCGTTGGTCTCAGACATGAGGATGACAGAAGGGTGTTTTTTTATCCTCAAGCTCGAAGTGGATGAGTTCGGCGAGCGGCCAGCTCCGTCCTTCAACCTATCTTTATCTGACCGGGGCCTAGTTCTCTTGCTTGTACTGTGTGTAGAACCATGGGTGGTCCGGCTGTGGCGTTCTTTTTCTCGAACCCGCGAGGAGGAGTGCGACGGTTTGGGTCCTTCGGTTGCTTCACTGCTCTGGTCGTCTGAAGCCCGTTCTCGCGGTCGATGGTGTTCTCGCGACTTGGAGGGCATAGCGGCTAACGAGAAAGAGGTAACTCTGCCGGCAGCGGCAATATGGTGGTGGTACCAGGGAGAGAAATCTTGCCCAGCAGGCTGGTGAATAATGCGCCACTACTAAACGGTCGAAATGCGTGGATCTTAGTCACAGACGACCGATCGGAAGCGATCCCGCAAGGCATCAGGGGGCTCTATTGAGGTGCTCTTTGGTGATAGCGCAACTCATGGATCGCAACATGAAAAGCAAGGGCTGGCCGGGTCTCGTCGTGCGTGTGGTCGAGATGTGAATGCAGTCTGATGTGTCAGCCAGTTGGGCACCAACAGGCGAATAGCGCAACGTGAGAACAGGCAAGGAACAATGAATCGACTCGACGTCGAAGCTGGGACTCCGCGTGTACAGTCAGTGACCTCTGGGCTCTGGGGCGGTTGAACTTTGTCGTACTTTAAGCATCAGCAAAAAAGATCCTCCGTCGACGGATCGTGGCTTAGTGTAACATCACTAAGGACAGGGAGCGCGCTCCAGCAGATGCCTGTGCTCTCGTAGGCTGCGTCTCAGCGTCTGGTCGCCTGCTCGTCACTTCGTCCGCTTGTTTACCCTCAGGGATCTATATCAAGGGTCAGATGAAGTCAAGAACTTCCCGATCCGTGGTTCCAGCGCAACGTAAGCGCCCTGACCCCGTGACCCGCCTTGCCCTGCTTTTTTTCCTGTCTGCCCAAGTAAAGTCACATGGCCAAGTGCTACCATCAAAGAGGTTGTGTAGTGTAGCGGTCATCACATCGGATTCTGATTAGTAATCTGAAGTTCCGATAACCCTGGTTCGAATCCTGGCACGACCTTCTTTTTTTCTTTTTTACTCTTTTTTTATAACGTCAAATAGAGTGACTATGTTCTTCTAAACGCCGAATAAGCGACTATGTACAGCTTGGGTTAGTCCAGAATGAAGACACTGCTCTGCGGAGACTCCGCGCGCGCCGAGTTGATAGAAACACCCGGGCTAGGGAGGCGTGGCAGGGCGGTTATTCGCGTGGGCTGTGGTTTTGTAGTCCAGGACGCCTCTAGTTCCATCTGTTTTGGCATCTCTCTTGGACCGATCGGCTGTTTGAACCTGGCACTGCGGCTGTATCTCCAGCGATATTTGAACCCCGTCGGCGGAGACACAGATTTATACTCCTTCCGCGAGATGAAGAAGGAGCGGAAAGCGGTTGCTGCAGCTAGACAAACGCCCACCTCGGCGCATATTACCACCCAGTACGTCTCCCAGTTGGTGTCCACGAGTCCCTTGTAGTATACGCCAGCTCCACGGATGATCGTCACGATGCTCATGAGTATTGTGAGGCAGAGTGACAGGGTGAGGCCCAGCTTCTGGGTCCACCTCACCTGCACCGTCCAGATCAAACGGACGGGTATATATAGAACTAAACGCATCGTTAGTCTGCCACTGTGTTGATAGGGGAATATTGAATTTAGGACTGTCTTACTCAGTGCATCCCCCAAAAGATCTAACGCTAGGTGTATGAATAGAAAGGCCGAGATACGTTTTTGTCCGGATGAAGTCAAACATCGAGCTAGCCGGAAGGTCAGTTAGGTCAAAGAGTTTGACTTTGATGATAAAAATTCACTTACTATTTTCGAGGGTATAGTAATACGGACAGGAAATATGGGTAACGATCGACCCGTACCCCAAGATGACGATATTTATCATAGTCGCCACCCACCAGTAAATATTCAACGACCGAATCCCACTAACTAGGTTTTTGAAGAGGGCGAGGAAGCTAAACTTCACTGCCATGATGGCTATCCAAAGCAGGACCGTCGTCACTTGAACCCATTTTTGATAGTCGAACGATATCTGTATTATATCTGGAGGTATTGTGAACTCAGAAGTCTCGTTGAACTGGACTGCTAAGGTGAAGTACATCTTGTCGATTGTGAGCGCATAGCAGATCGCCAGAGCTATAGTTAGGCAACATAGCCCAAAGGCTAGAAACAGGTCGTCCCATGAAACCTTCCTTTGAATCCGAATCCTAATGTATGCTCGGGCGATAGCGGCGATCCAGCAGACAACAAATAAAACGCTGGTAGAAATCTTGATCTAATATGAGCATCTGTATCTAACAGACTTGTTTCTTCTTTGAAAGAATAAAACGGCGGCACTCACTATGAAATCCCGCTTGTGTAGTCGACCTGTGTTACCCGCGTCCATCTTGGCCAGCAAGGGTTGCGTTCTATCAACGATATTGACTCAGACCATGGTCCTTCGCCAGTTTCTCATGAGAAAGAATATCTGGGTATCACTTGGTGCAGCCTCATTCGTTTGTAAAAGAGGGGGGCAGGTGGCTAGTTTATGAGATCACCATGGACTAAATATCGGTTGGGGGCGCACTATATATCCCTATATAGCCCCACTGAGATAATACTACCATGTGGCCATCGACTTTATTGTTGATGCAGGAATATATACCCTGCCCTCTTCCTCCAGTGATCGGGCAGTTCTCAAATGCTTCTCTGGGGATTAATCTAGGAAGTACAGCGGCATGCGGTCCGGGACATGCAAATCATGCAGGGATATGCAGCTCTGATCCTTCGAGCAAGGCATGAGACCGTATCGACTCGATGCAATATGTCAACGAGTGTAAATATACCAGTAAGTAATGTCAGCCTCCAATAGACAGAGTTCAGATTCTACATGATAGAAAGCAACCCGAATGGGCGTAAGATGCACATGTTATCGTACTTTGAACTGCAGGTGTTCAAGACGTCCATGGCTGGGGTCACGGAGCTGAAGGCCGAACAAGCTTCCAGAGCCTCGTTCACTAGGTAGTCACCCATGTCTTTGCGAGCAAGTTTGGGGTGCAAGGCAACTTTATAAACGGAAACTGTTAGTCATTAAGATATCAGCCAGCCTCCGTAGACATGCATAATTTCAATGCAAGATAGATAGTCCGATGGCTCTCCAGGTCCGTGGCACCAGGCCAGGCAGCTCGTGCACTTAGATTACGACAGAAGTTGAGGAACCAACGATGATATAAGTGAGGGCGACATTTTGTATTCCAGCCTGTCTCCGATAGACAGTCACGACGCCCCAGACATTTGTGCAGAGCGGATATTAGCAATATATCAAATCAGACGCAGCCTCCTCAGTGTGGAGTGTAAAAACCAACTTCGTATGTTGCTCGAGGCGCCTATTCAAAATACTGCTTAGTCAGCTAGCCTGATCAGAGCGGATAATTACCTTTTCCGCCATAATTCCCGTGATTGATGAGTCAGCATAGCCGTAAGGGCTGAACTAACCCTGGCATGTTGAACCTGCTTGATATCAACACTCCAACATATATCCCCTTCCTGCGCGCCCAGAGATGCATGCTGCCGCGTCGGAACACATCGAGCGTCGTCATCCACGATCTAAGGCTCAGCTATGCTAGTGGCGGTAAGATGAATTGACACCTTTACCCTACCACGACATCTTCGATGGCTTCGATTCTGTCAAAGGCTCTCATTGAAGAATCGGATATACCCGTGAAGAAATGGATGCTATCACGGGATAGCACGCTATGCGCGGTGATAATTTGATCTACTATCTCCTATCCAGCAAACAATGTCTCCCACTTTTGATCAGGGGATTTGTTTCATTCTTGTTTGCCTATCATCTCAAAAGCAAGTTTTGGAGCAATACAAATGCCCACATCATTTGATATATGAAATACTTAACCTTCACTCAGGTCCAAAGTAACATATACCCCTGACTATACAGAATTTCGATGTTGTATAGTGGCTCACAAATCGCCACTGTAACGACTTGCCGGGCTCTACCTTAACCGTTGATGCCTATGGCCGGACTGAGTTGCATCTCACAGGCGTTGACACTTGAGCAACACCTTCGACCTAATGGGCGAAGGGAAGAGCCGGCGCGTCACAAGCTGTCCAACTCAACGAGTAGATTATCTCGTTTCCCTTGTCCAAACATGGAGTTACAACCGCTTTAGACCACCCAAGAGTCTGCATCGCGGGTGTAAATGACGATCCAACATCGCATCATGATATCCCGGGTGGCAGACCTCCTCACCCATGGCTCTAAATGACCTGGTTTCTGCGTGTAACTTATCATGTCGTTGCTATTGATTTTCAATATTCCTATCTGAAGGGAGGGGCGGTTAAGTCGCGTTTAATTGGGATATAAAGTGCCGATAGAACCGCTTCGCTCTCTTTGTTTTATCCCCTATCCAGAAACCACCTCATATTGTCTAGGTAATACATTCAGACATTTTACTTACTTAGCATTTTCGAAGCCTCTACTCGAATCGCAATCATGCATCTCTTGAACGCCGGGACTGTAGCGGTAGCCTTACTGGTTGCTTCCGCTGCTGCTGTCCCTGTTGACCAGTAAGCTCTATCCGGTTCATGAGGGAAGGATACTTGGCTTAATTAGCCATACTTACTGTGACAGACTTTCTGTTGACAAACGTTCGCCCAAAACGGCGGTTGAAAAAGCCACTTACTGGGACCTGTTGGGCAAAAGAATTATTGCAGAATTAGACCTTATGGTTCCTCGTGGAATGCCATCAGTGGCCGGCCATGGCGGTGACCACGATGATGACCATGACCATGATGATGATGACCATGATGATGACCGTCATCACAAGAAGAGCATCAAGGCTAGAGGCCACGGAGATCATGATGACGATGATGATGGCGATGATGACCACCACCATGATGATGACGATGATGATGACCGTCATCACAAGAAGAGCATCAAGGTTAGGGGCCATGGAGGCCACGATGATGATGATGACGACGATGACGATGATGACCGTAATCACAAGAAGAGCATCAAGGCTAGAGGCCACGGAGATCATGATGATGATGAGGATGATGATGATGATCACCACCATGATGACGATGACCACCATGATGATGACCATGGTGATGACGACGATGATGACCACCACCACAAGAAGAACATCAGGGCCAGAGGGCACGGAGACCACCTTGACGATGATGGAGATGACGATGACGATGACCATCATCACAGGAAGGTTGTTAAAGCTAGGGGCCACGGAGACCACGACCGCGACCATGACCACGATGATGACCACGATGATGACGATGATGACCATCATCATGGGAAATAAAGGAACACATGGCCTGTACCCCTTACCACAGGAGAGTTTCCGCATAGCCAATTCATTTCCAACACCCCCAAGTCTTCATTCCCTTGATGTTAGCAAGGCTACAAATAACAGGGACGAGAGCACCATCAAATGCCATGCTATGCAACCACGACTCAGCATCATGGCACATATGCCGAGCTTTTTCGCTAGGATTGATGACTTTTCGCGTGTATTGGTGGGCAATTTAAACACTGCTCACAATTGTTTTATTTCTGGCAACCGTTAACCGAGGAGTGAAATATCGGATATAAGCAGACCATTACCCATTATCTGGGTCATAGCTGAAACTTCGCTTAAATTAGTCACATCCTTTTATTTTACTATATTACTTTTATCAATCTCACATTATTTATTAAATCCTGTAGGGAATTTAAGTCACCAATAATATATCCATCAAAGTGAACATTGAAATCAGGCCCAAATTTAAGAATCCCAAAAGTCAAGAAACTTTGCAAGATAGTAACAAAGCTCCAACGCTTAGATTTACCTTGAGATTTGTGTTAAATAGTATTGACGAACTTCGCGGCCCCGACCTCAATAGAGAGTGAGGTCTCCCCAATAGCGGTTAGGTCTAAACACCACTTCCCATTGGATTTTTGGAGAACTAAACCACCGTCTTGAACCGCTCGGTAGATTCGCCTAGTGGCTGCAACTTTTTCGCCTGTCTGTGGGTCCCAAATCCAGCCGTCTTTGAGCCACATCCATGTCAAAAAGGCACATAGCTCTTTATCCTTTGGACGGACTGATTTCCATTCCGGTGAAAACCCTTCTGGTGCGTCTGCTCCATTCCAATCCGAAGCCAAGCCGCGTAATTCGTCCCGACAAAAGATCCTCCAGCTGTCTATTGCGTACGGCCCAACACCAGGGAGGTGAGCAATCTCCCAAGCAACACGACTGTCGTCGTCTACCACGACCTCATTACACCCAACGCCTAAACCATCAGATTTATTTGGATAGTGTAGTTTTCGATATCGTTCCCCGCGTTTAGGGGCATTTGCTACCCATGACTTAGCAATCGCAATGCATTTTTTAGCTCGTGAGTTCTGAAACCCCAGGCGGCGGATCAAGGAGACCAGTTCATCAAAGTCCGCTTCGGCCAAAGATTCAATGGTTGGATATTGTTCAAAAACGCTGTATAGCACAGGAATCGCAACTTCTCCCTTGGTTCGGTTCAAGAATATAGTAGCAATGAGAAGACGAAAGGGCTCGTGGGCTAGTTTCTCTTGGATCAACCCAAACGAGACGGCCGAAGTCGGGGGAAAGGGAAGACACGATGTTATATCGGGACGTTTCCGTGTGAAATATGGCGATGTCTTTTGATCCTTTGCCATAGGAATACCTGGTTGAAGTTGTACGAGAGATCACCGACTTTGGTCAAAGCGCACATTTAGTTAGCAAAGTGGTCACGTGGCACATGGGTTAAAGTGACCTCATGTTTTTTATATCGTCCGAACTCCACGATGCACCTCGCAGAACCCTTGATAAGGCACTGGCTAAAATATTTTAAGAGTGAATTATGCTGCTATGGATCCAAAAAGTGGATTCATGCATCCTTAATATTGTCAGAGTCGGTACAGAGTATAAAGCCTCAATGATGCGCGACAGGCTCTTTACCAAGAGAAAAGCAAAGACGACAACCCTGTATACATACCCCTACAATGTAGCAGTTGGACCAGTCAAGTTTTCTGGGCTCTAGGTTCCCCTCTTGGTGGCTGGTGCTCCCTTAAGATCTTATATATTTATATATGATACCCCAACCGAACTGCCCGGTTTGGTTCTTTTGCCTGTTTCCCTGCACTCTGGTTATTACTAGACACTACTAATATTTGCTATGGCGAGTGGAAACATGACTGAACGCTTCCCCCCGGCTGCCGAACCCATGCATGCCAAAACAGCTGAGGAGCAGAGCCCTTTCCTTGCAATGCTGAAGAAGGACAATGATAGCCATCGAGAAGTCACAAAGAAGTATGTAGGCTTTTGGCAAGAGGACGAACGTGATGGGAGGAAACAGAACTACATGTCCGTAGCAAACAGGTACCGAAGCTTATTCTGCCCTTGAATGGACAACTGCAATGATAACCAATGGTATAGCTTCTATGACCTTGCTACCGACATGTACGAACAAGGATGGGCTCAGTCATTTCATTTCAGTCGCTTTGCTATCAATGAACCGCTACTGCAAGCCCTCGCCCGGCACGAACACTACTTGGCATATATGATGAATATAAAGAAAGATATGACAGTTCTAGACATGGGTTGTGGTATAGGTGGACCCGCTAGGGAGATTGCAGCTTTCACTAAGTGCAAGGTTGTTGGTGTGAATAACAATGGCTACCAAATTCAACGAGCCGTTGCTTATACCGAGAAGGCAGGCCTTGATGGGCACGTTTCCTTTGTAAAGAACGATTTCATGGTGAGTTTGGCATCACTATGTGACATGTGCTCGAGAACAACAATTATGCTGCTTTTGCCTGTTTCTAACATACCATCAAAAGGCCATGGAGTTCCCAGATAACTCCTTTGATGCTGTATATGCAATTGAATCCACAGTCCATGCCCCTTCTCTCCAGAAAGTGTATGAGCAGGCATATCGCGTCCTAAAACCGGGAGGGACCTTTGCTGTATATGAATGGGTAATGACAGATACATACGACGAGTACAATCCAGCCCATTCTGCGATCCGACTAGGAATTGAACGAGGTAATGGGATCCCAGCAATGATGACTCGCAAGCATGCTATAGAGGCGATCAAGGCGGCCGGTTTCGTGTTAGAGCACGCTGAGGATCAAGCAGAAATGGGAGACCAGATCCCATGGTACGCGCCGCTCGCAGGTGAATTCCCAACTGGGCGCCTTTTGGATTTCGGTGCCCTCCGAACAACGAAGCTTGGCCGAGTGACTGTGAACATACTGCTCAGTGTCTTGGAAACGTTTAGATTGGCGCCATCAGGAATTGCAGAAATGGCGCGCGAGTTCTCCTATGGTGCAGATAACTTGGTCCGTGGTGGGAAGGAAGGGATATTTACACCCATGTACCTGATGGTTGGCAAAAAACCAGAAATTTGAAATTAAAAGTGTCAACATTAAAATGCCTTTCTCCCACCTAATTGCTCTTTTTATTGACCCTTCAGAGATACATAAGGTGAAGACAGGATAAAGCCTGTAAGCAATTTTCCTGCCATTCATGCGCCTTGATAAGCCATATCTCCATTGTTCTAGCAACATCTTGTGGTTCAAATTTAATACTTGTAAATAACATTGAAAGATATTCATTAGATTATTATATGCATAGATTATCACTTTTTAACTAGAACCATGCTATCCATTTAGACTTGCAGGGTAGCAGTAACTAGGGCAAGATTAAAACAAAAACTTGCCACAACTTCCAATAATAGCTTTCCGTCATGGGCAAGTACAACACTATTAAATATTATCCATGTTCATGTTCAAAAAAAGTCGGAAACCATTCTGACATCTTTAAGCGTTAAACAAGACAACACCCAAGCCCACTGCAGCAGCTAGACCAGCTTTCGCTGGCTCGGTTGCAGCGGCGCCTTTCGTAGGTGAGCTCGTTGCAGACGTTCCGCCACCTCCACCACCGCCCACACCACCTCCACCGCCGCCGCCTCCAGTCTCTGTCACCGTAGCTGTAGCCGTAGGACTAGGAGAGGTACTCGACTCACCGCCCCCATCGACAGTTGTTGCAGGTGGCAGGGGAACCACAGAAGTTGGAGCAGAAATTCCGTCTGTCAATGGGTCTGTGCTAACTGCTGATTCATTTTCAAAAGCTGGCGGTGGTGGATCAGCATCTGGAACTGGCTTGGCAGTGTCGTTGTTCGGGTTAAGAACACTATGATTGAATGTTAACATCATTGTTTCTCGCAAGGGCGAGGGAGACGCCCCAAAGAAAAGGATACATACTCAGATATCACATGCAAAACTCCATTGTTAACTAGAAGATTGGTGGATTCAACTCGAGCGGAGTTTACAAAAGCCCGCCCGTTGACGACAGAGAGGTGCAAATCTTTATCACCATAGGTGGCGTGGCTCTCGTCTTTAAAGTCCGCAGAGTATAGTATCTTACCCTTAACAATATGGTAGTTTGCAATTTTGCCTAGGTCTTCATCGGAAATATTTTCAAAAGCAGATCCAATTCTCCGGAATCCGAGATTTCTTGGAGCGAAAACAGTAATATCCTTCTGATCATTGGCGTTGGAGACAGCATCACCCCCCTGCACGGCACCCAGGAAGCTGGTGAGGTTAGCGGCCTCAAGGGTAGCTGTCGTACTCTGGGGAAGTGTCAAGGGGTGATCGATGACATGAATCACTCCATTATCAGATCTTTGACCCTATAACTAACTGTTAGGGAGGTTCCGAATACAACAAACACTTGTTTGCGAGGTTGACTTACAGGCTTGATGATGGTCGAGTTTTGGTTCAAACCACTGATGGCGTAATCCTTTCCTTCGAACTCAACGAGCTGAACAACTTGACCGGAGCTGACATTGGTGAAGCCACTCTCGTTTAATTCTGTGGCTGGGAACTGCGGTGTAGTGGTGATGTCTTCCGAATTATGCGAACCTTTCACGATCTGATAAGTAAAAATACCGTTCACGAGGTCCGAGTTTCCCGATTGCTCGGAGCTATTTTCTTGCCCTGATCCCACAAATTCACGGAAGGCATTATTATCAAGTCCCAAAATGGTAACATCCTGTAGCGAATCCAGTTTATCCTTGGCCTCGGGTGTCCGGTTAAGATACGCAGACATATCTGACAACTCCGGGATTCCCGAAATATCCTCTGAAAAGCTTTTGGCCCAGGCCATGGTAGCCCAAAAGGCTACAAGAATGTATTTTACTAGCATTTTCAAAGATAATGGGATATTCGAAGAGATACAGCGTCAACCGTATGTGCTGCAAGTTTGAGAAGAGGATTGATCTCTATACGTTTGAATATAGCTGTGGCTCTGGGTGGCTGGCTTCTTATGATATCAGCAGGACGCCTTCTACATCACATAGAGGCGGGAGGTATGACGACATCGCATCAGTCATGTAGGGGAAAAGAAGTTTTGATAACCAGAGGATAGGTGAACTTTGGCGCCTTAGGCGAAACATTCTAGATGATTCAATTTACACAAAACTGACATCTCGCTAGTGGTACAGGCATAACCGTAAGGTTGATCCAAGAGAATGCTTCAGATCATCCAGTGCAATATGCCGGGTAGCGCAGCCCGAAAAGTTTAGTCAGCTTAACAGCTGTACTTTATGGCAACGGCCGCACTAACCATGTGTTGGCTTCCGATATCAACATAAAATCGCCAGAGGACCACTTCGGCGAGAGAGTAGATATGACCTTGTTGACATTGACAAGATAGAAAGACACGTTGGCTTTGGGATAAGAGTCATCTATATCCTATCCACAAATATGCCAGCCATTATACCTCTACATAGTAGGTGGCTTAGGCTTTCCAAAGCTGCTTGGAAATGATTTTTGAATCCATGGGTTGAAATATGATTAAACACGATATCGTGAAGTTCTGAGTGGCCGTTGGTTTATACCAGGTGATATCATGTGATCATTCTCAAAATATAGTTTAATTACGTAATATGTCATATTTCACGTGATTGATTGTATTACAATGGATGACTAATTGGGCAGTTAATGCATAAGTCAGCTGACCTGTATCTTGCCGAGGTCCAACTCCTTTAGTCGCTCCTGGCTTTTACATCCTCTCCTTCAATCTACGTACACACATACGATATGGCATCAAGGATTCGTTTTAGGCATAGACAGATGATCTACGGAGTACAGGAATGTTAAATATTTTTAGGACCCAGCCGTTGCATTGCCGGATAGCCTATTCTAGTTGCATGGTGCCCGTGGAGGTATGGCGTGAGAGGCGACGCTCATTCAATCTCAATATACCACAAGTCGGTCGGATACCACTTGACAATAGAAACCCCCTATACGGCCACAGTTAGGTTGTGGATGGGTCAAAATAAGATACCAAGCTCATCATTTAGTGCATTCAACCACATGCAGAACGCTATGGGTACGCAAAGCAGAAACGAGAAGCAAGATCAAAATAGGACACCTTTTCGTTTTTTCTATCAACAAGCCTGTGATAAGTCTCAACGGTTCATGGTATGACAAATGCCTGGCAGTTTATGTTGCGTTACTGGTGTAGCACTGCTCTAAAGCATGCAAGATCTAGACGATGAAGCCTTGTTAAAGCTTCATCAAAGCACGCGAGCATAACATATCCAAATCCAAACTAGATCACCACCACGCCTCGGCCCGGAACCTTCTTGCTCGTGGAGATATGCAGACCAAAAGCGCGAAGTACTAAGAAAATAAGAAATAAATGGAACATAAATATTCAATCTAGAACGAGTTCAGATCTAAATTTAACTAACTTCTAAATGCTTCTTATCTTAACAAGTTAGCTAGCCTGAACCATCTTGATTGTAAATATCTCTTAGTATGTAGCATAAATTCTTTATCATACCAGCCCTAAGGCCTAAATCATAAACCGAAAGGTAAGAAGGTCATAAAATCCCCAAATCTTAGCGGGGTTACCCAAATCCAAGGCGAATTCTATATCTCAAGGTTTAAACTGCAATTCCTCCCGAGTTAGCCAGTCGTGGCTCTCCAGAGGCTACGAAGGTTCCATTCTTCAGCCTCATAATGGACTCCACCGTACTTCCGGACTTCTCTATGGTGACGTTATGTTTTCGCGATTTCATGAAGTTGACCGTTTCCTGGTCAAACGAAGCTTCCATGAGAACTTCGTTAGGAACAAGCTGGTCGTGTAGTCGTGGAGCTGCTAGAGCCTGTCGAACATTCATCTTCCTGTCCATGACGTTCACAATGCTCTGCAGGGTGCCAGTGATGATCTGGGAACCACCTGCAGCACCACTGATGAAGTAGAGATTTCCTTCCTTGTCGGTGATAATGGTAGGGCAGATGGAGGAGAGTGGTCGCTTGCCGGGGCGGATGAAGTTAGAAGGCGAAGGGATGTAGCCGAATGCGTTACGGCGTCCAGGGATGGAGAAGTCGTCCATCTCGTTGTTCATGATTATACCGGTCTCAGGGACGATAACACGGCTACCGAAGTAGAGGTTGATGGTGGTTGTTAGACTGACAGCCATGCCAGTGTTATCTGCTGTAGAAATGTGGGATGTTCCGGGTCTAGAATGGGCGTGTTAGTTGTCTAGAATGATAGTTGAGAAAATAGGCAAGGTATCATACGTGTTCAAGCTCTCAAGACCCTTGGGGTCATATACTGCTATGCTCTGCGTATAAGCATCGGAGATATTTCGACGATTCTTATCTGCGACCTCCTCGGAGATCATCTTCCTCTGGTACTCAGTCAAGTTCGTAACGAAGAGTGGATCGCCCAGCTCGGTTCTCTGATGCTGGTGTCAGCTACATAAGTCAAACAGATATCTTAGTACGGGTGTATCATACCTGTCCATATCCAAACCGGATGGCCTCGTCCAACCTATGGGTACTAAGCGGGAGAGACCCGCGACTGAAAAAGTTCTTGTATCCATTGACGAGTTTCAGAATACTCAGGAGCACCACTCCGCTGGAGGGAGCAGTAGTGCTGGTGACTTTCATGCCGCGGTATTCGATTTCGGCAGTCGGCCTCCTAGCCACGGTATAGTTCTTAAGATCCGCAAGCGTCATCGTGCCGTTAGCCGCACTCAGTGCATTGATCATGGCTTTCGCCATGGGCCCGGTGTAAAAGGCGTCGGCACCGTATCTCGCGATCTTGTCCAAGGTGTCTCCATATCGTCTGCGAGTAATCAAGTCGCCAACCTGGAGAAGGGTTCCTTGTGGCGCAAAGTCGACAGCCCATGTAGGGTTATCAGAGAGGAAGTCTCCGTTCCTCGTGGCCGTTGCCATGATGCGTGCGAGGTCCTTGGTGACACGGAATCCATCTCGAGCAGTGCGAATGGCGGGTTGCATAACGACGCTCCAGGGCAGTTTGCCATAGTTCTTATGGAGGTACTCTAGTCCACGAACTTCTCCAGGAACACCACTGCATGGGGAATTGGTGTTAACGACCGAACGTCATTTAAATGTTCAAGAATGGTTCGTACCTTGCTAGTCCGCCTCTGGTAGAGCTGTCAGAGCTGTTCTTGAACATGTCCTGGAATGCTGCAGCAGGCGCGGTCTCTCTGAAGTCGATGAACTCGTGGGTTCCATTAGGCGCGCGGATCAGCATGAAGCCTCCACCACCAATGCCACTGTGATACATGGCTGCATAAACGCACGCCTATCAGCCATGGATTTTATATTAATACTCGCGGTTGATTTGGTTACTTACAGGTAACACCGACGCAGAACACAGTAGCAACCATCTATTAGAGAATATCGATTAGCTTCAGGAACAGAAATACTTCCCACAACATAAGAAACGGCCAACTTACGGCGTCTGCAGCATTGCCTCCCAGCTTCAACATATCGGCACCGTACTGACTGCACATGCCATTCTCACTCGCGACAGCTCCCAATCGGCCGTCATGCTTAGCACTTGGCGGGACACTCCGGGAGAACAGCCATGGAGCTGCCTCTGATACCTGTGCAAAGGAAGAGAGCAGGTAGAGTCCCGTACAGAGCAGAGTCATTGCTGCGGGTGCCATCTTGAAGAATTTACTGAAGAGTATTCCCTAGCAAGCAAAAGAGGAAGAACATCACCTGGGCTGCGGGGGAGGGAGGGACATCCCCCGGGATATATATTATATACGTTAAGCGGAAAACCTTGCAGAGCTTCCCGAATTAATAATATTTCCAGTACTATACAATAGCCTTCATCCTACCCCCTGTCCAAATTGATTGGAGCCAGTTGGCCGAATGCAACAGCGGTAAAGCCTGATCAGAATCCATCTCTCTGCTTGCCCTGGGGGTGAAGGTTGACCGGGTGATCACGCAAGAACAAAGCTAGTGTGATCCGAATTCGGTGCTCCACACGAAAAACCGCGGCTCAGCAAGTACTGGAACCGTATATAGCCCTCGGTGCAGCCAATATGCAGGCAGAGGAGGGTGGCACATAACGTTTTCCTTCAATTTGTTACTCCGTACATGCGAAGGATGCAGGCGGGGGTGGTAAGCGTGGATATGGCGTTTGTCTGTCTCCCTGTCCGCCAAAGGGCGTCCCGGCTAAGAGTGCTAGAGAAACTCCACACTCACTGCGCCGAAGTGCCGGGAGCTTCGGCAATGCAGGCTGGAATATTCCTGAAGGCGAGATGGACGTTCCCCATATTGTCAGCAAAGTGGCAGAGGCGGCGGACTAGGCTTCGGTGGGTGCCGCCTGGTCGGCGAGCCGTTGTCGATGTGGAGGCAAGTCATCATCCTCGAGGGTTGTTGACAAGGCGATCCGGAGATGATGCATGCAACTAACTTCCCATCTCGGTCATGCGGGCAGTTCTAGGAGGATAAAATGGTCCACTTGACGTTCGCAGTTCTCGTGGACGATGTTGGCTGATATGGTCTGGACGTATTGTGTAGTCCGAATGATATGAAGTTGTTAGTTGTTGACTGATTCTGATTCTGACTGGCCGTCAAAAAATATTTTTAAACATATTTGGACCGAAGCGTGAGTTGGTTGGTGCAACGCCTTTTTCTGACTTTCTGGGCTTGCACGCGAGATGCGAGGCTTTACCTGGACCATGGATACATATACCAAGAATGCCAGGGCAATGTCAGGGCCATCTAACACAGCATCAGGTTTCTTTTCCTATAGAATACAAGGAGATGGTGACACTCTTTCGATTAATATTTCGTATAGCCATATTCTTCGATTAATCATTTCGTGGAAGAGATGGAAGAGGAGTTGCCACGAACCAGCCTGAGGTCGCCATCATTAGACGAGGAGAGCGTGGCAACCAGCTCTAGACCATTCACCAGCAGAGGCCTGAGCATGTCCGTCCCGATATACAATTTCCATCATACCTATCATAAGCAGGATATATCCCTGACCGTGGCTAAGATGTAGATGTAGATGTAGATGTAGATGTGAAGGAGAAAGGGCTGGAAGGTCAGCCACGTGACCCTTGGCGCGAGTAGAGCTTGAAGCGCGCCAGCAAGACATGAACGAGAGAAGAACAAGGCAAAAGGACGACGAGCTTCAACGCAACCTGGACCTGTACAGCTTCTTCCTGGCCGCCGAAGCTTGCACCACCCACCTAACCGCCAACCTAGATACCTCTCTTGCACATCTGGACCAGCAAGCATGGCAGGCGTCCTCGTCGATATGCCGCTGGGCATTCCCTCAACACTGCCAAAGGCTGCCCTGAACGATGCGATTCCAGACATCGACCCCCTCGAGGGCTCGACGAACGACGATGAGGATGGGTATTCTATCTTGAAAAGATACCAGAGACACCTAGAGTATGTTTGATACCTTATTTGGTCGTCGTGGATGGCGATGCTGACGGGTTGGGCAGGTATATACAGCTACAGGAAGAATACATCAAGGATGAACAGAGGTGAGCAGCGAGATGACCGAGGCGAGTACAGGTGTTCTTGATGCTGATGGTATGGTTAGGAGTCTTAAACGAGAGCTCGTCCGGGCACAGGAGGAGATCAAGCGTATCCAGAGTGTACCCTTGGTAATTGGGCAGTTTATGGAGGCCATCGATCAGAAGTATGCCCCTTTCATGCCTGCATTCCTCACTGCTTGAAAGCCAGTGCTTATTGACCTCTCTCCTGCTTCGCAGTACCGGTATCGTACAGTCTTCGACAGGCTCAAATTATGTCGTTCGTATCCTCTCTACCCTCGATCGAGAGAAGCTGAAGCCTTCCTCCTCCGTTGCTCTCCACCGCCACTCCAACTCCCTCGTCGACATTCTTCCTCCAGAGGCCGACTCATCCATTGCCATGCTCGGAGCGAATGAGAAACCAGACGTCACATATGCCGATGTTGGTGGACTGGACATGCAGAAACAGGAGATCAGAGAGGCCGTCGAGCTTCCGCTCACCCATTTTGATCTTTACAAGCAAATCGGTATTTACACTGTGTCTATATAACCTATTGAGTTCATTCTAATATCATGTTTCCTCTAGGTATCGACCCGCCACGCGGTGTACTGCTATACGGACCCCCAGGTACCGGCAAGACCATGCTGGTCAAGGCCGTCGCCAACAGCACAACCGCCAACTTCATCCGAGTAGTGGGATCCGAGTTCGTGCAGAAATATCTCGGCGAGGGACCCCGAATGGTCCGTGACGTATTCCGAATGGCCCGCGAGAACTCGCCGGCGATTATCTTCATCGACGAGATCGACGCCATCGCCACGAAGCGATTCGACGCCCAGACCGGTGCAGACAGAGAAGTTCAGCGTATCCTCCTCGAGCTGCTCAACCAGATGGACGGATTCGACCAGACCAGCAACGTCAAGGTCATCATGGCCACCAACCGAGCGGACACCCTTGACCCGGCTCTCTTGCGTCCCGGCCGACTTGACCGTAAGATCGAGTTCCCATCGCTGCGAGATCGACGAGAACGACGTCTGATTTTCTCGACTATCGCGGGTAAGATGTCGTTGTCACCGGAGGTTGACCTGGACTCGCTCATCGTCCGTAACGATCCGCTTTCTGGAGCTGTTATCGCGGCCATCATGCAGGAGGCCGGTCTACGTGCCGTGCGCAAGAACAGATACAACATCATCCAGTCCGATCTCGAGGACGCATACTCCAGCCAGGTCAAGGGCGGGCAAGACGCAGACAAGTACGTATCCATTATTCATCTTATTTTCGTCTACCGAGCTAATTCATTGCATAGGTTCGACTTCTACCGCTAAACTTGGGTATGCGACATCTAGACCATAGCCTTGCCGATGCTGTACCATTAGAGAGTTAATCCAAGGAGTTCTCCGTATCCTAGCAACCACAGTAAAGTAATACGTAGCTATCTGGGCCTGTAGAGCATCCGTTCCTGATGCGCGTCCACGTCATAGACGGAGGCTGGCTGCCTGGGGTGCTCACGTGAGCAGCGTCATCGGCCCGCCAGGTCCCCCAGCAAGCGCCAACCTCCAACCTCGTCTTGCTTCTCATCCTTCTTCTCCCTCCCTTCTCCTCCATCTCCCTTCCATCTCACCGTCATCTCGTCCATCTCGTTACCATCGATAGCTCCATCAAGAACAGCCTCATCACCGTCTAGCGCTACTGACCTCTTGAGCCACTATGAAGGGCTCACTCTTGCTCGCAGGTGCTGCCCTGCTGGGCTGTACCTCTGCCAGTAAGGTGCACAGCTTGAAGCTCAAGAAGATACCCCTCAAGGAGCAGCTTGTACGTATATTCATGTTCACAGATAGCTCTGTCTTGCGCCGTGGTATTGACCTGTGTATCTGCAGGAACACGCCGACATCGACGTCCAGGTCAAGGCTCTCGGCCAGAAGTACATGGGAATCCGACCAGGACAGCATGAGCAGCAGATGTTCAAGCAGAACCCCATCCAAGCTGAAGCAGGCCACAACGTCCTCATCGACAACTTCATGAACGCTCAGTGTATGTTCTTTTCCTCGTCTTTGACCAAAACATGTTGCTGACCCCGAACTAGACTTCTCCGAGATATCCATCGGAACTCCCCCACAGACCTTCAAGGTTGTCCTTGACACCGGAAGCTCCAATCTCTGGGTTCCAGGCGCGGACTGCACGTCCATCGCTTGTTTCCTTCACACCAAGTACGATTCCTCTGCTTCGTCCACCTTCACGAAGAACGGCACCAGCTTCGCCATTCGCTATGGCTCCGGCAGTCTAGAGGGCTTCGTCTCTCAGGACAATGTCCAGATCGGTGACTTGAAGATCAAGGACCAGCTCTTTGCCGAGGCTACCAGCGAGCCCGGCCTTGCTTTCGCCTTCGGTCGTTTCGATGGCATTCTTGGTCTCGGTTATAACACCATCGCCGTCAACGGCATCACTCCTCCATTCTACAAGATGGTCGAGCAGAAGCTGGTTGATGAACCCGTCTTCAGCTTCTACCTGGCCGACGAAAACGGCCAGTCCGTCGTCACCTTTGGAGGTGTGGACAAGAGCCACTACACTGGCGAGATGACCACCATCCCACTCCGCCGTAAGGCCTACTGGGAAGTTGAGCTCAACTCCATCGCCCTCGGCAAGGACAAGGCCGAGTTGGATAACACCGGAGTCATCCTCGACACCGGCACTTCCCTCATTGCCCTGCCTTCTGAGCTTGCTGAGATGATGTAAGTTTCTTTCCCTTCGATTTTTCCAAGTTGAACTTCTCTAACTCAAATGATATAGCAACACTCAAATTGGTGCCAAAAAGTCCTGGAACGGTCAATACACCCTCGACTGTTCCAAGAAGGCTTCTCTTCCCGAGGTCACCTTCACTCTCTCTGGCCATGAGTTCACCATCAGCGCCAACGACTACATCTTGGAAATTTCCGGCACCTGTATCAGCAGCTTCATGGGCATGGACTTCCCCGCTCCCGTTGGACCACTTGCCATCCTTGGTGACTCTTTCTTGAGACGCTATTACACCGTCTATGACATGGGCAAGAACACCGTTGGCCTCGCAAAGGCCAAGTAAATGCCAGCCACCCCCCTGATTTCTGGCTTTTTAGAATACGGGGTATGACCTCTCGTGGCTGGCGTCGTACCTAATGCTGTTCAGTGCTATATTATGGATCGATCTGATTTTTTCCCCTCCCTGAAGCATCTCTTCCAGACATCTCTACAGATTCAAGGCGGATGTGGACTTAGCATAATGAATGCCCGGAGGAAGTAGCTAGGTTGAGATATTATGTTCGGTTAACGTTTATCCTTGCCACGGGCATGTTTTTACACCCAGAACCAGCTCTTAGAGCGCCTGCTATTGTTATTACTACTATTATTATTACTGCCTGCTGTCGCCTAGCAATAATCCAGAGCTGTTTTAAACGGGAGTACTATGTAGCCATCCATGTCGTCCTGTCATCCTGCCATCCTGCATCCATGTACTCCGTACAAGGCATAAGTATCTCTGTGACAGGAGACTGTGACGCAAAACCGCATCTTGCGGTTGATCTGATCGCGCCAACCTTAAATAGCGCTGTCTGGCTCGCCATCCCGAACGCCCGCAAACGCAACACTTGCTCCTACACACCCCAAAAAACAACAAGGACTAACTACGAACCCTCAGCTACACGCCAGAAGAAGCAATATCGACTCCACGATCCTCCCGTACCAGGCACCGGCCCTTCGACAGCTCTACTGCGCATGACGTCGCCGTGCTCCTCGCGACTCCATTGCCGACCATACCAATCGATGCAACGGCCCAACAGCACCCCAAGGCTCGCTGCTCCCATTCACTAAACTTATACATCCAAGCTACAGTGACTCGATCCGAGCATCCAGACAATCAGCCGGCGAGGATACATATTCCTTCCATTCACTCTGACGCGGCCGTCGTTCTGGATTATGGCCGCCTAAATACCGCGAAGCCTACCTATTCATCCGTCGAACAACCCACCGAACTGTCGCGACATACGCAATCTAGCGCATTGCTACATCTCCGTCTTTGCTACCGAACTCTTTCTCTACTATATTCCCGATCTACTCCTCCGCAAGCCTAGGCATGCAACTGAAACTATCTACCAGCCTCTACTACCCCATCACCGTCACAGAACTGCTGAAGAAGACTGGCGATGAAGTGAACCAAGGAGATGGATTGTTCGCGTATTTTTATCGCACGACTGTGACGGAGGGTGATGGGCTGGGTAATAAGGTGGACGTGGTGAGGACGTTTCCCACGAGGTTCGAGAGTACGGTGGATGGGACCTTGATGGAATGGAAGGTTCGGAAGGGACAGGTTATTGAGGCGCCGTAAGTTGTTCTCTTTACTCCTTCTTGAGCTTCAAGTTGAGCTCTATGACCGATAGATGACCGTTATCTGGCTGCTGACGACGATCTCGTTGTGTAGGATTACTATTGCTGAGATAGATGAACCCTGTGCTCACGAAGTACAGTTTGGAGGGATGTGTGCCAATTGCGGCAAGGATATGACTCAGTAAGCTATTCCATGCCCTTGATATGGTGATATTGATACGCTCAATGCTTACCGTTCGATTCTACATCATAGTGCAAGCTATAACACCGATGTCCCCGACTCGCAGCGAGCGCCTATTCGCATGGTACACGACAACTCTGCCTTGACTGTCAGCGAGAGCGAAGCTACACGGGTAGAAGAGGACGCCAAACGGAGGCTTCTCTCGTCAAGGCGGCTCTCGCTGGTCGTGGACTTGGATCAGACCATCATCCACGCCACCGTGGACCCGACAGTAGCTGAATGGCAGCAAGATAAGGATAACCCCAACCACGATGCTGTTAAGGATGTGCGGTGTTTCCAGCTAGTCGACGATGGGCCTGGCATGAGAGGCTGCTGGTACTATATCAAACTACGCCCCGGACTAGAGGAGTTTCTGAAAATCATCTCCAGCCTCTACGAGCTTCACATCTACACTATGGGAACGCGAGCGTACGCCCTGAACGTCGCTAACATCGTCGATCCGGACCGGAAGATCTTTGGAGATAGAATCCTCAGTCGTGACGAGAGTGGGAGTCTTACAGCGAAGAACCTCCATCGATTATTCCCCGTCGACACCAAGATGGTTGTCATCATCGATGATAGAGGAGATGTGTGGAAGTGGAGCGAGAACTTGATAAAAGTTACACCTTACGATTTCTTCGTTGGTATTGGTGATATCAACTCGAGCTTCCTGCCGAAGAAACAAGAGCTCAAAGCGAAGCCAAAGCCTGGAGCAAAGGCCAAAAAACTGATACCCGCAGCCGCTGAAGGAACCGCGAAACCAGAAGCCAATGGATCAAAACCCGAAACCGCCGAGTCCGCCGACCCTGATTCAAAAGACTCCGAGGTATCTACTCTCGAGCAGCTAGTAACGATGGGAGGGGACAACCCCGTCTTGCTCCAGGAACAAGCAAACCAGCAGGAAGAGGAGATTGCACACCAGGTGGAGGAACGTCCTTTGCTCCAAAAACAGAAGCTCTTAGATGCCGAGGATGAAGCGGCCGAAACACAACAAAGTACAGAAAATGGCGACTCATCCAGTGACGAGTCTCAAGAGTCAATAAAACATCATCGCCACCATCTACTTGAAGACAACGATGGCGAACTTCCACTCCTCCAAGAACGACTTCGGCTAATACACCAACGTTTCTTCGACGAGTATGACCGAAAACGCACTCAGGCTCTCGGTGGTAGGGTAACGGCTCTGAAGGGCCAGCGTGCGCCCGCCAAAGACAAGGCAATCGACCTACAGATAGTCCCGGACGTCAAGATTCTAATGCCACAGATTAAGCGGGCAGCACTTGACTCTGTCGTCTTGGTATTTTCAGGTGTCTTGCCGCTCGGGACAGACACACAGAACGCTGATATCTCATTATGGGCTAAAAGTTTCGGCGCCACGATCACCTCGAAGATTAACTCGCGCACAACACATCTCGTCGCTGGAAGGAATCGAACTGCCAAAGTGCGGGAAGCGACTCGATATCCAAAACTCAAGATAGTCACTGTCCAATGGCTCGTTGAATGTATGACTCAGTGGAAGCGGCTGGACGAAGAACCGTATCTTGTCCCCGTACACCCAGACGATAGAGGTGAACCCATTGGCTCAGCTGAGGATTCGCCAGACGGGAAGGAAAATGCAGACGACTCCTTTCCCTCGTCCTCAGAAGACGATTCTACTCCGGCGACTGACGAAGAGGGCGATGATTCACGATCAAAGGCAGCTAGAAAGCGAAGAAACTCTGACGAAGAGATCCGTATATCAACCGGCCTCACCGATCATTCACAACTCGGCTACGATGAACAAGAGCAAGCAACCGTGCATGATGAGCTTAAAGAATTTCTCGGCAGTGACAACGAAGACAGCGAAAGTGACAGCGACTTTTCCATGCTATTCCCCGACAAGAAGCGGAAGAGGGAAACGACAGAAGAGCCAGAGGGCGGTAGTGAACAGGGAGCTACCGAAGAAGACACAGGCACCGAAGGTAGCGGCTCGCGTCTATCTCAGAAAATCAAGCGATCTCACGAACGAACCACGGGCCTAAAAGAGGTTTCTACAGCGTCGCCAGCCATTTCTATTACAGAGCCACAACCCGACCTGACCACCGATGTGGAAATGGAGATAGGAAAGGAGGTACTGACAGGAGACAAACCTGAGGTCGAACCGAGATATAAAGATCTAGATCCCGACGTGGACGATCCTGAAGACGACGAGGATGCGCTTGAACGGGAGATGTTGGCTGCATTTGACGATGATCAGGATTGGGATGAGGAGGCTTCCCAGGACGAAGAAGATGCCAACTAGCACAATCTCGCCCATCTACTCTTCCAAGTTCCAACGCCATCTATTCTATATTGGCATACTTGTCCCAAATCCATCTGTCAGCTGATCTTCTAAGCATAGCGAGGCGTTGTAAAATGTTTCTAGCCTGTGAATTTACATTGAGCCTTTCTTTCGCCCTGGCAGTCTAGCCTCTCTACTGGCGTCTACTTTTCCGATCTATACTCCGTCTTCTTTGTCCCTTTGTCTCCGGATGGCTGCATGATAGGATATATACCTCTTCGCCTTCTAGATACAGTTCGAGACCATATTACTCACCATGTACCCTGCGTCCATAGTTGGCGGGATCTTGTACAATACGCGAAAGTCCAACCAGTGCAAATAGTCCTTTACTTAATTCCACCTTTTAAGCCTTCCGTGACGTCACGAACAAGCTAGCTAGATGATTGGAAGCTGTGGCGAGCAGTTTGCTTCCCCTCCTCTAAGACCGTAGAACAGAATATATAGAAAGCATCTATCTCCCAGCAATCACTAGAAGCTATTCCATCGCATAAACTGCACACCAGCTATACAGCATCAAGTCAAATAAGCTGAAATCATGAACAACCAGCCCGGTGGAGGCCAGCCTAGTGGAGAAGGCAAAGATTATCTTGATAAAGGTATGAGAGGCCCTGATTCCGGAAAGCTTGGAAGTGATGATTCCAGGTTCGCGGAAGATTAGCTGACGCCTCGGGCCGGGTGGATGTAGCTCTTGACGCGGCCGAGAAGAAATTCGGCAAGGGGAAGATCGATCCCAACAAGTCGAGGGGGATAAATGAGAAGATTACGGATTTTGCGAGAACGACGTTTGAAAAGATGACTGGGTGAGTGATGCGATGGTGGTGGACATACGGTAGATGGCAGACTAATGGATGTTGCCGTGTAGGAAGAAAGTGCCCAAGAAGTTTTCCAATTAGTGGTGTCTTTCAATATGTATTCGTTGAATTATGATAGCTCGGTGAATTGATGAATCGGTCGTTGGTTAAATCTATCGCATAGTATATACAGTATCCCACAATGAAGCACTCTTAAAGCACTCCCTATAACACCGTCCGTCCCTAAATCGCAAGAAGAAAAAACAACGCCATCGTAAGATTCTAATACCCGTTAACAGTTCACGTCACGCATTACGCTCATAAGATATCCCAGATGCTAGCGCCGGTGAAAATGCAACCCTGTTTAAAGTTGGGTATCTTGTAAAAAATGGAAAGTGATAGAATGGGAAATGAAGACGCAAGGGGGTCCTTATTTCAGGAAGAACCCTCTGCGGACCTGGAAGGAAATGATCAACATCCAGATGTAGAAGACGGTGCTGACGAGTTCGAATGCGAATGCCGTTTTCCAGCAATTACCTAGACATGTCAATGAAGAAACGCGCAACAAGAAGAAGAAGATCGACGTACATATGGTTATCTGTGTCAGCCATGCGAGGGTGTTGATGCTGGGACCCTTGGAGGGCATATTGACGACGTAACTCTGGCAGTTTGAGTTGACGTTTGCAGCCGTGCCGTAGAGCTCGATGGAGGTGCCGATGAGACCCGTCAGCCAGAGCACGAAGAGCACGAAACATCCCAGTATTATGATATCGGGCAGCAGCATGCCTCGCTGTATGAGGAAGAGCATGAAGAAGACGAATAGCAGGCCTAGTCCGGCGGTAGCGACCATGAACGGGAATACCCTATATCATACACTGTTAGAAAGGTCAATTGTATGAAGAATGAAGGATAGCTCACCATGGCGTCGAGACGGATAGCTGTGTCTGGACGAAGAGAAACCAGCTGAATATGCCCAGGCAGGTAGTAGATGAGGCAAGGTTGACGAGCAGCCAGACGTGTAGACGGATCTCTGGCCATCGGAACCGCTGAATGACTGTATATCCTGATGAGGACGTCATGGTATCAATATCAGTCGTGTGTAGTCGTATGTAGTCGTAGAGATGTGCGTATGTGAGCTTGTAGAGCTTTGTTTACTCCGTCGACGGGAGATATAGACCTGCACAGCAGTCTGATCGAGTCGCTCTCGTGTGCGACTTTACACAGTGAAGCGTCCGCTCTCTCCCATGAGACGAGGCTCGGGTAGATGCAGCGCTGTTCCAATCTGCGTTGGCCACGAGTTGTTCTCGTTGTTCTCGTCTTCGTCTTTCGTTGTCTTTCGTTGCTGGGGTGTTTACCGTCTCACTCTCTCTCTCACTCTCTCTCACTCACAGCTGTCGACTTTCACTATCGACTCGACTATCGACTCACTATCGACGGGTCTCTGTAGGCACAATAGGCGGGTAAGCTATAGCTAGAAAATGGATGGGAGCTGTGGCTCGGGCAAGTAAATATTTAAGGTGGGCAAGCGGGTGGCTGGGCGAGTAGCTAAAAAGTGGTGGCAGGATCACCACGTCAACGCGTTTCACCTTACACCACATAGAAGATACAGCAGAAGTTACGGGTTACGATAGAAAGGGTTAAAGGACAGTAAAGGGTAATATGGCTGACTGCTGCTATATATACATCGTCTATTCTAGGTATCATGATTCGTGTCGCTAAAGCCGATGTCTACAAAAGGGTGTCACCGAGGGCACAGCGGACGAGAGAGCAGCCGGCGCGGACGGTCTCGCTGGCGCCCATGGAGGCAAGGCTGGGGTTGACCTCGACCAGGTCCATGGCGATCAGGTTGCCGGTTGCGTGGACACACTCGGCGATGTAGTCGCCCTCGCGCAGGGTGAGGCCGCCGCGGACGGGCGTACCGGTGCTGGGAGCCCACTGGGGGTCGAGGGCGTCGACGTCGAAGGAGAGATGGATGGGCGTGTCGGTGCCGATGTGAGCGAGCGCCATCTCGACGACGCGGCCGATTCCGTATCTACATCATTAGTATAGGAAGAGAAGTGAAGAGAAGTGAAGACATACCGGTCGACGTCGTGCATGCTAAAGGCCTTGATGCCGTTCTCTCGCAGCGTCTTCTTCTCGGCGCGGTCGACGTCTCTCAAACCGATATAGACCAGCTTGCTGGTAGAGATCAGGTTGTCCTCCTTCAGCCAGCCGAAGACGTCCTCCTTCTCCTCCTTCGCCAGCCCCGTCAGGAAGGATAGAGGCATGCCGTGGACGTTGCCGCTATCACTCTCCTCCGGGCGGTTGAGGTCAGCGTGCGCATCGACCCAGATGACGGCCATCTCACGCCCGAGACGCTCGCGTATGGCCTTTGCCGTGCCCGAGACGGTGCCGATGGCGATGGAGTGGTCGCCGCCGAGGGTGAGGACCATCTTGCCCTCCTTTGCGTGCTCGTAGACCTGGCTGCTGATCTTGCGGGTGACGGCGCTGACGGTGCGAGGCTTGATCATGTTGCGGTATCTGGGGTCGTCGGCCTCAGCGGGCTTGACGTCGGCGTAGTCGTGCACTTTGCTGTCGAAGTCGACCTTGTAGCCGAGCTCGTCGCGGACCTGGTCGAGCAGGCCGGCTTCGAGGAGGGCCGTTGGGCCTGCGTCCACGCCGGCTTTGGGCTAACATCGTTAATATATAGAGAGGCCGATATATAGAGGGAGACATACCTGGCCATCGGAGAAGCCCACGGCGACGACACCAAGGTCGGCCGGCCGCGAGAGGAACTTTTGGGTGATGCTGGTGGTGGGGGACGTCATTTTGATACTTGATAATAGTCTAAGATAGAAAATACGAACGAGAGAAGACTACGACTACAGACGCTTTATATAGGGAGAGAAAAGTCATCGAAGGGCGCGCTTGCTGGTTGGTCCCTGTGGGATTCCGGCTCCAAATGCTCTTAGGGGCGACGACTTCCCCTAAGTACAGCTTTTGGAGAGGGCCCGCTCTTCACGGGTATTCGTCGGATATTACAGACATGTATATTGTAGAGATAGATATATTGTTATAGGGATAAGAGAGAGCGGATGGCCTGCTCGGCGCGCTGGGCTTCGACTCTGCCCTTCTCCCCCATGCGCTTGATCTGGCCGACGAAGAAACCGATCTTGCCCTGCTGCCCCTGCTGGATCTGAGCGACCATCTGCGGGTGTTTGGCCATCACCTCCTGCGCCATCGCGACGTACTCTTCCCTCGACAGCGGCCGCAGCGTCAGGCCTTCTTGCTCCACGATCTCCTGCACCGTCCGGCCCTGGTCGTCGCCGTCGAAGATCGTGGCCAGCAGCGACTTGGCCGTGCTGCCGGTGATCTTGCCGGTGGTGAGTAGGTGTACGATCGCTGCCAGGCTCGCGGCCGGCACTCGCTGGGCGTCCCAGGGCGAGTCGGACTTGCTGAAGAGGCCGCCGAGTTCGTGCAGGACCCAGTTGCCTATCGACCTGCCTGGTTCACTTGTGCCGGTACTTGTGTCTTGCATCGATATGAGAGCGTCGACGGCGTCCTGGTAATATTCTAGCCGCGCGCAGTCGTCGAGCTCGACCAGCGGCTTCGAGTCTTCCATCGTCAGCGAATACTCCTGCATCAGTGTCTTCAGCATCTCGTCTGGGGCCGGCGGCATGCTTGCACGCAGCGCCTCGACCAGGTCCCGACCGACTATCACCGGCGCGATATCAGGGTCCGGCATATATCTATAATCAACCGACCCTTCTTTCTCACGCAGTTTCCTGGTCTCCGTGCTCCCTATCGTCCAGCCACGAGTCTCACCCTCGATCTTCCCGCCAGCGTCAAGCACAGCTATCTGCCGGTCCCGTTCGGCGATGATCGCATCCTCGACCGCCTTGAAACTGCTCAGGTTCTTGATCTCTGTCCGCTGGCCCAGGCCGGATATGCCCTCGTACCCGTGTGCACCAGCTACATCACCCGTTCGTCGCACAGATACGTTAACGTCAGCACGTAGACCGCCCATCTCCATGCCGGTGTTGACGGCGCCGCATGACTGCAGGATGGACTGTATCTTCCTCACGCAGGCTGCTGCCGTGGCGGGCGAGTGGATCTCGGGCAGGGTGATGATTTCGATGAGCGGGCGGGATACGCGGTTGAAGTCGAGCAGGACGGCGTGCGAGGGGAGTTCCTGCGACTTGGCCGTGTCCTGTTCCATCTGTATCTGCTTGATGCCGACTCGCACCGACTCGCCGTCTTCGGCCGCTATGCCGTCGTGGGGGTACAGGTAGAGGGCGCCCGATCTCGCGTACGGTTCTAGCAGAGTAAGCATCTCTCTTTATCCGTAGATATAGGTGTAGTTACCATAATACTGCGTGATCTGGTAGCCGGCAGGCTGGTCCTGGTAGAAGTAGTGCTTCCGGTCGAAATGGCTGACGCTCTGTATCTCGCAGCCAAAGGCTATGGCAGCCCTCAGCGCCGGTATCAGCGTCGCAGCTTGGAACCACTATCGTCGTGAGTATGTAAAGATCGTAAGAGGTATATAGATATCGTAAGAGGAATACTGACTGGCTGACTCCCGGGAAACGCGAGGTCGAACAGCGCAACATTCGCATTCGGCGCATCTTCATGGCCAGCAGAGGCTCCTACAGCAGTCAGTCTCTCTTTTCTTTCTTCTCTCTTCTCTCTTCTTTCTTTCTTACTGGAAAACAGCTTCACGTCCGTATCCAACTGAGCATGCACCTCGATGCCCACCGTCAACTCCCATCCCTCGACCTGCGACTTGTCCCTCCCCTTGTCCCTCCCTTTGTCCCTCCGTTTCGCCCTGGCCTCGTCCTTGAGCTGTTTCCGAAGAGGCACGTACTCTGGTCTTATGCTGGATGACTGTGTCTGTGTGCTGAGGAAGCGCAGAGGTGCCGTCCTACTCCATGCCCGTCCAGTCACGGGGGCCGAAACCAGGGGCGCGAGAGCAAGACGAAGACGAAGGCCGCAGAGACGGACCATATGCATGGAGGTCGGGCTGTAATGTTGGGCTGGCACGATAAGTAGAGCCTGAGCTGAGCCTGAGCTGAGCCTGTGCCTGATGCTAGATGCTAGCTCAATTCTTCGACCGTTGCTCGTCTCTATCTCTGCTCTGTTTGTTGATGATGCTAGGAAAGTCAGTCCAGCACTAACGGATTACTTGCTTATCCTTGTAACTCGGTAGTGTATGTTGATGAAAAGCTACTTGGGCGCCTCTTCTGGGGATACGGATGATATCACACTGCCATTCGCGGCCTGCTCATCCTGGTTAAATATACGCATACAGTGTAACATCTTAACCGACAGGCCGTTTCACTTCTTCTTTGTCGATGCTGCGTCTACCGATATGAGATGTCTACCACGATACGGAGTACTGAGATGTCCTTCTAGATGTATATATGTATGTAAGATGTCCGTCAAGATGCAGATACTTGGTAAGATGTATTGATACTGGCGAATCAAAAGACCGCCGCATCTTGAAGGGCACTTCTCTGGCCTTGGATCCTGGGGAAGTCTGTATTATTCCTAGTCTGGGCCTTTGTGACAAGTCATCCACGATATATACTGTACTTTATACTGTTGATATATGTATATGTTGTCCCGCCCCAGGTCATTGGCGCTTCGTGTTCGATATCCTTGTTACCTTTTCTTTTTCTTCTTCGTTAGCATCTTTATAAGTATCGTCCACACACTGATGAGACACATGCCCTTCGACTAATCCTGTCGATCGAGGCCAGGGGTGTTTCATCGTCTTCCCCGGTTGCATAGTCCACTATCGATTTCGTTGTATATATATATCCCCTCAGTAGAAGTCTCGTCGCACAGGTGACAGGCGTATCTTTAGTCTGTCCTTGCTCTATCTTCATCGTATTCCTGGTCGAACAACCCGTGATACGTCCAGCTGGGGCAGCAAGTGACCGCATAGCATATACCATAACGACGAGAGACGAGAAGATGGCGCCGGCAAAGAGCAAGAAGTCGAAGAAGTCTGCTGCTGTTCCTCCTCCTCCTCCTCCGCCGCCGCCGCCGGCCAACTTGATGAACCCCATGACGGCTTCGTCGCTTGACTATGCGCTGCCGCTGGATGTGCCTTACTCCATCCCCGAAGCTGAGCTGCCTCCAGACCACGGATACAGCATCGTCCATGACCCGGTAGACTTGCCCTTCGAGGAGGAGAAAGAGACCTCTCGACGCAGAGCGGCCAGCAGAGCAAGCGAGCCGCCTGTCACCGTCAACACTTCTGCTGCTGCTGCTGCTGCTACGACTGCTGCCCCCATCGCTATTGACCCCCATGCTGCCGTCTTCTCCTATCTAGACCAGCATGAAGAGCAGATGAGGCCGTCACACTCCAGAAAGGCCTCAGAACCGGTCATCTCAAAGGCACATAGACCCAAAGACCATACCCGGAAGGCGAGCTTGTCCCAGCTGCTCAGGACAGTGTCCGGGGGCAATTCGTCTTCCACTCGAGATCTCAGTCCGAGTCGTTCGTCTTCCGTGTCAAAGGAGTCCGAATACCAGCCTGCAACTCCGCCAGATATGCTCTTCGATCCCATCAACATGCACCTCGGAAGCAGCAAGGGGCTCTCCAAGTCGCAGATGGCCGGCTCATACATGACAGACTCAGAAAGCATACTGGAGGGTCCTACTGCTGCTGCTCCCGCGTTCATGAACTTCTCCCACCCAGAGGCCTTTTATATGCCCAAGAACATGCTCTCCTATACCATGGGACCGCCGCCTGTCTCGTCCAAGCAGGCAGACCGAGTACGGCACGACGCCCAAGCTGGTCCCCTCGAAGGCTCACGGCGTCGTTCGCAGACGTCGGAGCCGTTCGAGTGGACGGCACCCGCTGAGACGCCGCAGCATGTATATCGGAAGTTTGAAAAGCTGAACCATCGTGTTCTACGCCATCTTCAGGAAGAGATAGCGCAGCTGGAAGACGATCTTCTCACGCTTGATGACATTGATGCCGCTCGCGCTGGGTCATCGACCACCCGTACATCCCCAAGGCAGAAACAGCTAGCTGCAAAATACCGAGACCAGATACAGGACTATTCTGTACTTCAGAACAAACGGAGCGACCTACTGGATAAAGTAATACTAAAGACGGACCAGTACAGTAAGATAGCCTCCTCTTCTACGTCCCCGCATATACTAACGAATGTAGATCGAGCATTAAGCTCTTTTTCGAAAGTCGTAAAGAACCTACCTGCCGCGTCTGAAGATGACGTCGACGCATACCGTGCCTTTCTAAGGACTCCTGCCGGCGCCTCCTCGAAGAGCGAGCGAAGGCTACTAGATAACAGAACCGATCTAGTCACCATGTCCCCCCGTCCCGCAAGCGCACTACACTCTAACCCCCTCTACTCCACCATGGCAGCGATATTTGCCGCTATCCTCTTTCCCTTACTGGCATTTGGAGCTATCTCTGAATTCTTCGGACGCATCGTCGTCGTCTCCTTTGTTGCGGGTACTTTTGCCTGGTGGGCGTCCAACGGACCCCCTGGACACGACTACCTGGTCGAGCCACAGGATGGCTGGAAATGTGCCGTCATGTAAGTTACAATTCCTTCTGCCTCATTCTTCATGCTTGCTCTTTATACTAATGTGTGAATAGTTACTTTGGTTTCATGACTGTCGCGGCACTCTTGCTCTGATCGTTGTGAGATTCCTTCTTACCTCTTCTTCTGCACTCACAACTGCAACCGTTTACGCCATATACCCTTCAGCATCAGTTTTCGCTTTCGCAGGTCGATTCCCAAGTTGTTATGTTGGAGTAAAAATTACCTTACGCGCTCATGTTACGATTTTGTCCTCATTCTATTTTCCCACATTTAAAAAAAGGGTTTATTTCGGTCTATCTCACGTTTATGATTTTATGATTTAAGGGGGAAAAAACGGATTTCTTCTTCCCATGTGCAATAATTGATAATGAGCTTTAACCGTTGAGGGATCACTTCCTCCCTGGGCTTCCCCCTCCCATCGTTTGAGTGTATGGCTGGCGGTTTCAGCCCCCTGCTTGCATGCAGGCCTTATTTTTTTGTCCCTGCTAGGTTTATTACTTTGTATTACCAATATGTTTTCCACCTGAATGTACCTCTGTAAATATCCGCTCTTCCTATTTGTGTTTCTGTTTACTGTGCAGAAGTTAGGGCATACTAGTGGTTAGGAATACATTACCTTGCATGGATGACATTTATATTTGAAACTGATTTGATGCGTATGCCATGTCATGTACGCCGTAGGGCATGCGCGAAGATGAATGAACGGCTCTACTCTATGCATCCTCACTGCGAAGCGAAGTTGACGTCTACCTGCATGATAGGCAATACTAACGTCAAACACGATATTATTTATTCTCTTCAAAGATGGATAGGATAACAACGTTCAATTCAAGGGCAGATAAAAAAACATTAATAAAGGGAACCAGGTAAAAAACTGCCCTCGGTAATAATTCCACCATAGCCCGTTTAAGTAAGCCCTTATCTTCATCCTCTTTTTGTGTGTAAAAAACCAGTGGACTGGACCAACCATCCTTTTACCCCATGCACCAGTGCAAAACGAATAGTAAAAAACAAAAGGTGTACGGAAGGATACAAAACAATGTGCGGTCTACTCGTGCGCCTGGGAAGCAAGTAGTAGAGGTAATGAGAAACACGGGGGAAAGTGAACAAGTACGTTGTTAATACATGGAGCGAGGATAGGATAATTAAGGGTGTAGATTGTTTCGCATTGCTTTTCGAACGTGGATTTGTAAAGTTCTCGTAGATTGTATGGGGTATGTTTTTGATCCCGAGTCAGAGCGATGATGCTGGATCAGGAAGAAATCCGGAGATAACTACTTATACCCTTAACGATGGAATATAGAATCTATTTCGAGGGCCCTGGACCAGCCATAGGTAGCCCGTTTGGCTGACCATTGTGCATTTCGACGTCCCGAGCTTGACCCTGTCCATTCGGCTGCATTGGCTGGGGCGAAGCAACGGCTTGTCCGCGATTATCCAACAGCTGCAACTTATTCCGATCCATGATTGCGGCCTGTTCAGCGGCTGATCTGGAATATGCCATGCCGGGCGAAGGCTTGGAATATGGGGTAGACACCTGGTTCGCCTGGCCTGGAGGGTAATTCGCGTATGGAAGCGGTTGTGGCGTTTGTTGCTGGAAGTATCGTGGTTGAGCAGGGTTGGCTGAGGGTGACTTTAGGTAGGGAGTTCGTTGTGGCGATTGATTATAATTAGGCGGTCTCTGTGGTGAAGCTGCGTGATTTAAGGGGGGTTGTTGCTGGCCGTGAATAGGTTGGTATGCAGCTTGGGGTGTACGGTGAGGATATGGTTGGGTTGGGGTTTGTGCAGGGGAAGGTCGCCTCTGGGGATAAGGTGGGACTCCGTTGGACGCAGATCTCTGGAACTGTTGCAACATTCCGCTTCTGCTATATGGTGGCGACGCTCCGGCAGGCTGTTGGTATTGCGGTTGCATATAACCTGGCCGTTGGCCTGGCTGGGGATGTTGCGGGAATGGCTGAGGGGAATTAGTGGGTTGGTAGTGAGCTGCTGGTGGTGGTCTTCCCGCGTATCCTTGAGGGGATTGATAGTTCGTTGGAATATGTTTTGCGCGCGTGCTAGGCTGTCGTTGGTAAGGCGTTGTTGCAACTGGGGTTTGGTAAGTTTGCGGTCGAGCTTGAGGAGCGGCTGGTACGGGGCCACGAGAATTTGCCATATTTTGCTGCGCCTGAGCGGCCTGTTTTCGTTGCTTCGTGAAATCATCGTCCTCCATGGTGCCAGGGTAATCGGCGCTATCTAACAGAATCTTCTTGCTCAAGTTCAGCTCGGCAAGCTGCGCTCCTGTCAGTTTTGACACTGCGTATGGAGGTAGGGAAGCCACTAGCGTCGATAGACTCGTCTTTAACGTCTCGTATATGCCATACTCGGCGTCAGATGGTGTGGTCGTAGGCTCACGGTTTGCTGTTGCCCCATTGCTTTGATCGGCAGCTTTATCAGGCGAAGCTTGCGAGAGGTTTCGGAGTTGACGGTAAGAATTTAATGTTTGTAACAGATCCGATATATCGTTAAGTAGTTCCGTCATGTCGCCCTCAGATTTCTTCTTTTCGCTTTCAGGGTCCTCGGATTCCGTCGCCTTGTCAACATACGTATCCGGCTTGAACGATTCAACTGCCTCAGATAGAGTTTCCTCGTCTAACAGCTGGGGGTCCACTGCTTGATTCAAGATTGGATGATCCATTGAGGAAGTCTGTGGCTCATCCTGCTCTGAGCTAAACAGGACATTCACGCGATTGGCCCCCGATTTCTCCCACCATGCTTGATATTTGGCAGCCCGAGGAGCGATTGCGCCAGAGCTGTCAAAGGAGGGCGCAAACGAGGAATAAAGTGCCTGGAACAGGGAATTATCTTCTTTCGAAGACGCTTCCTTCGCACTGTTTTCCTGTTTCGATAATCGTGGGTGGTGGCCCGATGCCGATGGATTTTCATAGCCATAATTCAACCAGGAGCCGGATGGAAGGGATATGGAACTGTAGCCTTTTCTCCCTGGAAGGGAGCTAGATACAGAACTTGCAATGTCGAGGGGGTCTAGCCACTTGACAACAGACGGACTGCTTTCTGCGGGTCGTTTTGGAGGACGCTCCAGAAGAGGGACATTCGACCGCGGCGAAAATACTTCCCCGATAGTCCTCGTTCGGCTTCCTGACTCTTCCAGGTGTAAGGGGTTAAAAGGTACAACCTTGGTGACCACTATACCCTTTGGAAGCGCGGTTTCGTTAATGGATGAGTCGGAGAGCTGCAGGCTCGAAAATATTTGTCTTCCATGTGGAGTATTGTCCACAAGAGCCAGTGCCAATCGGTCATTGCGAGCGCTTGTGTCCAGAGTTTCAGATGCATCTTCAGTCTTGGTTGGCTTGGACGAAATGGCGGATGGTTCCTGGGGAGGGAGTTTAAGAACTAGGCGGTTTAATTCCTTTCTGAAGTTGTTCACACGGCTAGACGGCGAAGCTGGTCCTATGGACTGATGAGTCTTGCTCTCATGCCGTGGGGACTCGGCGATGAATGAGCTGATGGATTGCTCGACGTCGTGTAGGAAGGCTTGGAGTGATTGGTAGTTGGCCTTATCAACTCGAGACTGGATGGTTTGCGGTTCGGCGGCCGGTTTGGATCGCTTCACACGCTTATTATCAGGCTCTCCGGCGGACACATGAGTAAGTGGGCGTCTTAAAATTCCAAGATCGGAGTCATGCCTTAATTAGACGGTTAGAATGCGCCTTGTAGGGTAGAACCAAAAAAGAAAAAGAGTGACGGCCTTACTTCGATAAAACCAAAGATAGGTCTTTGAGGATATCGGTAAATGTATCCTCAGTATCCTCAGGCTTGGAAACCGTCCCATCTCCTTCACCTTCCTCTGCGGAGGCTTCGCGTTTTCGCTTTGCGGGTGTCGGGGTGACTGGCGCCTCAGCAGCTTGGACTGAGTTCCCATTCATATTGACTGCTGTATCACAAGCCTTTCTTTTCATTCCACCCAGATATTTCCACTTTGTAAACTGAAGGCGAGAGAATGGTCAAATCGCGCGCAGTCGTTGGATTTATCCAATTGGGGGCGCTTTCTGCATGAATCAACGGTGCTGAGCGGTAGACAGGTTTTCTCAAAAAGAGTATGCCACAGAGATCCCTAAGCATCACAGGATGGAAGCTTGCTGGAGGAGCGCAGTGATATAGGTCCGCTGGACAGTAAGGGAGCAGTAACTCTCTTGTTCTACGCGCAGTTAGTGATAACTAGTCAGGAGCAGGGAAATGTGAAAGGACGCCTACCCAGCAAACCGCACAGCCCACCACCAAAGACGGAAGCGCGTCTTAAATTGGGTTCACAGTGCTATAGCAACAGCCATGCAGCTCTCTTTTATTCCAGCTCCAGACACTCGGAATCAACGGGCGATGGCGAAACTGCAGCAGCAAAGAGGCTGGTCTTGAACTTCGCGATGGCTCGAAATCCTCTTTGGGTTGGAAGCACGTGACATCACGCTTCTTTTATAGCTGACTAAGCTTCCTCTCTCTCGAATTTCGCGACTTCAAGATTTGAGGATGGACAGTTGAGATAGCTACTTCAATCTACTTCAATTTAACCCCCCATCGCTTCGATTCCGCTGCTACTGCTGCTACTGTCGTGCCTGGTGCTTTCAATTCAATATGTGCCTGCCCTAGATAGGCTGCTAACCCTGTATCTATACGTCGATAAGGGTTATTCGGTAGAGGTTTATGTCACCTCTTCGCCAGCATGCTCGCCCTAGACTCGTGGTATTGCTGATATCCCCGTGTCCTTTTCGAAAAACTGTGCAATTCATCAAGGTAAGACCCTCTTGGTATAGCTCGGCAGATATCTGGAATCAGTTTCTTATAAACTCTTGCTATAGCCAACATGTCTAGCCCAACCTATTTTCACGCGCCGGTTTCATGCAATTCCTCAAGAGGGGAAATCCGAGGGCCCTCCGCGACCTCGCGCGCCGGATGCGCTTCTTCTGGCTCTACAACAGATAACGGCGGGAGCCTATACGTCAATTGCTCAGAAACGTCGTCCTTGGAAGCCGCCTACGGAAGCTACAGAGGAAGCTACAGGGGAAGAGAAAGAGGCTACAACTGCAGCGGTGGAATACAGGTCGAATTTGACTCGCCGGGGCCACCCTAGCTATTCGACTGTCACTGCCAGGTATCTGCATGAACTACACCCACTGCTACAGTCGAATTCTGTGGGAAAGGAAACCCTCGACCGTGCTATCCTCAACGTGTTTGATGACAAAAGCCTGGACTATATATCCAGGAACGGATACTCCGCCGGCGATGTGATGGCGTGGGCGTGGGTGCTGGCCACGCCTGACCCATATACGGCTGCCATACGCTATAAGAAACTGACGGAAGCCCCAGCTCATCCACTACGGATAGCTCCAATACCAAAGTTTGTTCTTATATCTCTCCTTCGGCGGGTCGATACCGATGAGCCTTCGTTCTATATACTCTTGGAGAAAGCTCAAGATTTATTGAGCTCCTTAGTCCACGACAGGCAACGTTCTCTACATACGAACTCTCAGCCCAGCTCCCATCGCATGCCAGGAGCGCCCCGGTATTCGGACGATTACAGTGTTATGGCCATTCTCGTCCGCTTGACCGCTATAGCGCGCAGAGTGGCACCGAAGGCCTTGTTAAGGATAGCCGAGACTTTCACGGACACGTTCGGCAATCTTACGGCGACCAAGGACCTTGACCAGCTTGGCCCGGGCAAAGCACGCCGATTAACTGAGCTATATAACAAAATGATCGCATGTCTAGCGAACAGGTGTAGCATAGAACCTTACAACTCCGCTAAGATACAACAGAAAGCAGTGTTCCATATATTACGACAGATGGAAACGTTCAACCCTCCTTTACCCGTCAACAGATTGAGCTACCAGACAATAACGCGTATCCTAGTCGCTTCTAGGATGACGAAGGCAGAAAGACGGTGGGATAGTTTCAAAGCTGTATCTTGGCCGCCGTGGAAAGAAGATAAACTTGGCATTGATGCAGAGAGGACTGAGGGGAGCAAGAGCAACGCAATGCAATCTATTCTCCAGATGACGCAGGCAGGTTACGGCTCTACAGAATGGGATAGGGCGGCCTCTGTGGTTGCGGGTTGGGATACGGATGGAACACCGACCATTCAGAAGAGGACCCTTCTTCCAAATCCAAGGCAATACCTAGCATCACAGCACCACCGTCCAGGGCCTGAGCCGATGGTATGGGCTGCTCGAATTCGTGCGACTCGAACGCTTCGGGAGGCGTGGGCGTGTTATCTATCCTCCCAGCAACAGGGCGTTCCGCTCAACGAATACATTCTCTGTGAAATGGTCGAGAAGCTTATCTACTATAAGAGGCTGCAGAAACGGTTGGAACTGGGGAGGGAAGAAGGATCGGAAACACCATATTCTACGCCTCTTGCCGGTGGTAAGGAAGTATACCCTGAACCGTCCTCACCTCGCGACGCTATTTATGTTCCCTGTGATCCGCCAACGCTGCCCGAGTTTTTGCAGGAAATATTCTCGAACGGTGCCAGGCTACCCGATAAGGTGCTGGTCTTACTCCTCAACAGTACTACGTCTTTCGAGCAAGGCATCAAGTATATCGAGCATAGCACCCTTACCGAAGACCAGATCTATTCCCTGTTAGCCCCCACCGCTCGAAATGATAGAGCGAGAGTTGACGGGCTTAGTCTGATCGGGGACATGATCTTTTCTGCAGTCATACGGTTCCTGTGCAGGTCCGCTGCCCATAGTTCTGTGGACCGTATACCACGCTGGCGCTTGACCGAATCTCTGGACACGGCGTTCCCTCTCATCTTTGCACAATCCTCCGATTCGATGCCGAATCAAGCCCGCGCTTTGGGTCATGCCATTTTTCTTATGAGAGAACGCAAACCGCAGTATATGCCTGCTTGGCATAACATCCTCAAGGGCGTAGCTCTGGGAAACCGGCCATATCTCAATTTTGACAGCCTTGATCTCCCGCCTGGTGTGGACCGAGTTCTTGCTTGGGAAGAGACGTTGATGATAGTGAAGTTCATGGAGCTGGCTTCTATAAAGTTGGACATACGGTGTATTCACCTTCTTTGCAATGGACTGATGAGCCTGATGCAAGCACTCCGCCTGCATCCGGAAGCTGCTAAAGCTGGATTGGATGTTATGCACCGGTTTGAAGGGGCTAGACAGCAAAACCTATTCGTGAGAGGAAAGTTCCCCCAGGCTATGATTGAGAATGGGCTCAAGGAGATAATCGCCCATGTCAACCGATTCCTACCTATCAGGAAAGTCAACGCTATCGATCCTTCTACTCCGCTAGTCGACGGTCTCTCAGTTCTGACGACGATACCACCCCCAGCCGTCCTCCATTCCCTCATTCGCACATTCGGTCTTGGGGGAGAGCCGCAGTCCATCGTGGCGACTCTGCGTGTACTTCAGCTAGAGGCCGACGAACTCAGACGAGTGACTGAGCTGAGGCACGGGGGTCGGAGGATGCTTCGTCGAGCAATCGTCGCGTCCAGGGCCTTCCTAGAGAATAACTTGGGATGTGTTGGAAGGGACGTAAAAGTGCCACGCATACATCCTGGTTCCCTTGCACAGGGGGCCCGTAAAATCGTGGAAGCAACCCAGATCATGGCTCCCTGGCCGTCTGATGATGAGATGGAAGCATACGTTCAGCGAGACATGCACGAGAACGGAACTATAGAGATCGATGGCGACGACGGAAGAGTGCAGACCCAGACCTCGAGATCTTTGTAACATTTAACCCTCTATGTAACATTATACCTGTTTCAATACTAGACATAACATCGAATTTCCGTACTACACACATATATGTTTCTACTATGTAAGTGGCTATGTTTTGAGTGGACCCGCGGATAGCCAAGGGCGTCATAAAAAGAAAAACACCGGCTATTCTCCCTCTACAACAGATCTCGACACAACGTCCACTGTATATAGGTCGAATTCGACACAGCGTATACCATGGCTGCACGAGTATTCCGCCCGGCGACCCTAACCCTTCGCCAGTTCCCCGTCGTCCAGGTCCGCCGCAACGCTACGCTCGGCACCAGCGCCCACGGAGCCGTGATCAATGTCCAGCAGATTCCCGCACCAGGCGCAGGACACATCCGAGTGCTGCTGCTGAATCGACCGCAGGCTCGCAATGCGATCTCACGGCAATTGCTGAGCAGCTTGGGGAAACACATTGACGAGATCAAGGCGGAGCAAGGGAAAGGTCCAACTCGGGCCCTGGTGCTTGCGAGCAATGTCGATGCCTCGTTCTGCGCGGGAGCAGACTTGAAGGAGCGAGCTACTTTTACGAAACAGGAGTGAGTCGTGATATCCATGGTGCCATTGTTGCAAGCCTTTACTGACTGATGGCCGTTAAGCACGGAAGCATTCCTGGCTGAACTCCGCCAGACATTCGCCAACCTGGCCAGTCTACAGATTCCAACCATCTCAGCCATCTCGTCCATGGCGCTGGGCGGCGGACTGGAACTAGCACTGTGCACGCAACTGCGTGTCTTTGGATCTACGAGCATTGTCGGTCTGCCCGAGACCCGCCTTGCCATCATCCCCGGCGCAGGAGGCACCTACCGACTCCCACGACTCATCGGCAAGAACCGCGCCCTGGACATGATACTGACCGGACGACGGGTCAGCGGTCCGGAAGCCTACTTCCTCGGCCTCTGCAACCGACTAGTCGAGGTGACGCCCGAAGAACAAGGTAAGCCCGGAGAAGCGAGAGAGAAGGTTCTACAGGAAAGCATCAAGCTTGCGCAGGGCATATGCGAAGGAGGGCCCATTGCGTTGGGCCAAGCTCTCAAGGCGGTTGACGGCTTCGAAAGGGGCGCAGAAGCAGAGAACGAGGCGTATCTTGGGGTCGTGGAGACGGAAGATCGGTTCGAGGCTCTAAAGGCGTTTGCGGAAAAGAGGAAACCTTCGTTCAAGGGGAGATGACGACGATGATTAAAGACGGTGATTATAAATCTGTTTTTTTATGAGGATGCCTGGGTGTTTTATCACGAAGATTCCATTTATTCCCATTTGGGCCATGTGATGTGCTAAAAACAACGGCACATGCTGGTGAAGTGAGATGAATGCTGATTACTACCTGTGATTCTCACCGGGTTTTGGATATTTCCAAGGCAGTTGCATTCGGCATTGAGTGAGGAGCGCATGTAAGAGTAGACGTGGCTCGATGAAATAGACAGATCGCATATATAAAAGTAGAACTATACATAAAACATAAACATACAGGCAGACATCTATATTTCCAAGCCAGTCTTAGCGATTTGACTCGTATTTCCCTACCGTCGAGATTATAATTAGGGCGTATGTTTGCTTTATCCTGCCATCCAGCTAGTTAGGCGAACTGTCGCGTGCTTGAAACCTCTTCTCTACACCTCGCATCCCGCATCCTTAGATAGGAGTCCGACTCAGCCTCTCCATCCCGTGTATATGGAAGAATATCTTAAGTTTGCCTTGGATAGGGCGAGGTCGACACTCGGATGACGCACTGCTGAGAGCCGGGCGTCAACTCTGACTCTATCAACTGTTTGCTTGCCACTCGATAGTAGTCTGTGGATGGCTTTATGCCCTGATGCAAACCGTAAGTAGTCGATGTACATGACCGTTCCATATTTGCCGCCTCTGCCATCACGAGCAGGCCAAGTCAGCATGATATGTTCACTCCCTGTTTCACACAAATGCTCGCTGCCGAGGTTTAATGGGTCATAATGACACAGTATAGTGGTGAGTTGCTTATTGAAACGGCATATCTGCATTCTGCGGTGCACTGCATATGTACCATGCACTCCATGTCGGCGTGTAGGATGTATATCGACGTATCCCTTAGGGTCCAAAAGGTTCTCGGGCCCGGGGAAGAAGGGCCGGGTCGATCCAGGATCCAGGATTCTATCAATGTTGTCTCTCTTCTCCCCCTTCCACGTAACGAGATCTATATCCCAGGCGGCTCTCTGACGAAGGGCAGTGCCCTCCATCAACGCTGCATCGTAAAGAAGTCAAAATGGAAAACCGCTGGCCAGCAGCAAGCCTTCCCCTGGTGTTGGTGCCGGGAATAGGGCTGCATCGCCCGTATCCTCCAACCAGTCGCAAGTTGTAACGCCCTCCAAAGGGCCCCAATCCTGCCGGAGACTATTTTTATCAATCCCCAATGGCGTAACGAGGATGTTCTTCTCTGCAGATACCAAGCAGAACAAGGCTGGAGCAACCCCCCACCCCCTGCCCTAGGGCCCATGGGCCGCGAAGGCTTCGCGAACGGAGAGCTTCGAGAGACGAGAGCCTGAGGTATCGTCAGTATCGTCGGGAGAGCGTCGAGGGCGTAGACAAGCAACCGTCGCAGCGCATTGCCCTATCGGTTCGGCTGGCATCGAGATATCAGGACGAACGATGGACGCTGCCGTATCCCGCACCTGACCCTCGCATCTCCACCTGGCTGAGCATCCTGCGCCTGCGCCTGCGAGTGCGAGCTCCGAGAAACCGTCAAAGTACCAGCTGCTCACAAGACTGAGAACCGCATCATCGAAGGTGTGGGTGAGAGTGCTGTGTGTGTGTGTCAGGCAGCTGCAAGGGCGCCGGGGCGACTCAGCGGTAAACTGTGCGCACTGGAACAGCCTGATGCTCAACTTCTTCTTCTTCTTCTCTTTCTCTTATTCTACCTCATCTGGACTCTGAAGCTGCTTGATGGGCCTATATATTCTGGCCCTTGTCGCTTCGTTGTTGTCTGTCTTGCACTAGAAGTCAGTTGGTCGCAGAGATGGGCACCATAGTCACAAAGCGCGGTGTTTTGGTCAAGGAGTTTGGCCTCACAGTGCTATACCAGACAGCTAATCCTGCCGTTGAGTGAGTCTTTCACCCTATCCTCTTCCTTTATGGCTTTGTACTGACTTGTGATAGCATCGTCTTTGTCCACGGCCTGAACGGAACCTCTTATCATACATGGGCCACCAAGAAACCAGAAGTATTCTGGCCCTCCGACCTCCTCCCCAAAGCTCTCCAGGGCCTCGAAGTCCGAATCCTTACCTACGGCTACGATGCGAACGTTACAGCGTTTGCCGGTGGGACGTCAAAGGATAAACTACATAACCATGCCGAACACCTGGTTGCGAAGCTGTGTGTGCTGCGCAGTGTGAGTTTACATAGGAGTCAGCCTACGGTGATGATATATGCTAACATCTGTATAGGAAACCCGCTCGAGCGAGAGACCTATCGTCTTCATCTGCCATTCCCTCGGTGGGTTGGTGGTGAAGAAGGCCCTCTGCTGCTACACCAGAGTCAGTCACCAACACACACAGCATCTCCGATCCGTCTATGTATCAACTTACGGGATCCTATTCCTGGGGACACCGCATAACGGATCCAACATCGCAAAGGTGGCCAGCAGCTTGCAGTCCATCATAAACACCGTCATACCAAAGAGACTCCTCTCCACCTCTCCGCAACTCATACAGGTCCTACAGAGCGACAATGAACATCTACAAGTCATCAACCGCGAGTTCGTCCAGATTATGGACAGATTTCACATCTACTTCTTCCACGAATCGAAACCGATGGATCTAGGCGGGACCCGGGCCTTTATCGTCGAAGAGTCGTCAGCTGCGCCGGTGATGGACGGCGTTGAGCGTATGGGCATCGAAGCTGACCACGGAAGCATGTGTCGCTATCTTGATGAAAATTCTCCTGGTTACGATACAGTGACCGAAGCGGTGCGCCGTTACTGCGCTGATGCCGCGCCTCTTGTTGCAGCTCGATGGCGGCAGGCAAAGCGGGAGTATTACCTTGCAATGCAGGATGGGCTACAGGTCCAACAACTCACCTCTAGAGGAAGCAGCGCTCTTGATCTTCCATCCGATGATCCACTAGGTATGTTCTAGTCTCACTGACTCTTATCTGGCCATGCGACTAACGGTTTGAACATTAGAACATTCTGTATCTACTATTTCAGGGCCACCAGAGTCCACAATATACACCAACCCAGAAGCTCTCGGCAATATTGAGCAACCTACACCCCTACAGATAGGCCATAAGGAAGAAACACTTGTCACCGTTAGCCCTCCTGGCTTCCATCCCAACGCCGTCTTCTTTGGAATGCAAGAGGAAATGGCCCAGCTGGTGAGTGTGCTGGCCGACGAACGGAAACGGGCTCAGGGGCCGGTGGCTGTTTTAATCCATGGCGGCCCAGGTACCGGAAAATCTCATTTGGCCAGACAATACATGTACGACAATGAGGCTTCCTACCCTGGTGGTATTTTCTGGATCGACGGCAAGACGAAGGAGTCTCGTCTCAACGGAATCTGGGAAATCGCTGTAGCCGCGTCCATTCTATCAGAGGGCCAAGAAGATCGAGACCCAAGATGGCTCATGGCCGATAAATATACAGCAAATGTCAAACGGTGGTTAGAGAGCAGAGATAATTGGCTTCTCGTCTTCGACGGCCTTGGCTTTGAGCATGAGGAAGACCTAGACGAGTTTAGAAATTTTCTCCCCTTCAGACCACATACCAGCATCATCTATACATCCATAGATCGCACCCTACGGCAGAAGCAGCGGCTTTACGAACCATATGGCCTGGCCGTTAAACCGCTTGCCGTTGACGAGGCATGCAAGCTTCTATTCAGGGATCTAGGTATCACAAACGCCAACTCTAAGCAGAGGAAGAAAGCCAGAGAACTGGTTATGCATTATGAATGCTTACCGCTCGCCATTCACGCCATGGGCCACCGGCTCAGCGCCAGCGGGAGACCACTCGAAACCTATCACGTCGGCTCTCATTTGACTGATCTTCACTTAGCAGAACCGTACAGGGGTATCATGTCAGACTTGAACGCAAACGAGTACACCGAAGCACTCCAGCTAATCTATATCCTATCCTTCTTCGGACATGACGTGCCCGTTGGAATGATCCATCTCGGCCGCAAGGCTCTTGCAGAATATAACGTCGAGATTCGAACACTAGAGCGATGCGGAAGTTCAGAGAGGCACATCGATAATACATTTGCCATCCTCATTAAATACGGGCTAATAGAACGCTCCTTCGACCCGTATACATGGAACGACGTGACTGCTACTCCTACAAGCGAAATCGACAGGATGGGAATTGAACGCCGTTCCACGGACCCTACACACTCCCAGAGTAGTTCGAGCCAAGATGTGTTCTCAGGTCGACCACGCACCGCCATCGACGTGTTAAAGATCCATTCCGTCGTCCAAGGTTTCTGCAGGGACGAACTTATCGTTGAGGGCGCAAAACACTTCTGGCACTGGCTGGGGATCGCGACAAGCTTGTTCTGTCTCTCCTATAAAAATGCTACTACCCAAATCAACGCCATCAGGGGCGCAGGGCTTGTTAGAGATTACCGCGAATACCAAACCCATGCAAAACGGTTGATGCACCATTACCGGGCCAAGCTAGACAAATCGGAGGTCAACTTGGAGCGTCATCACGAGTATTTGAAAACTATGCTGCTCGACATCGAGGAAGAGATCAGACATCGATCTCCACGGTCATCCCAGGAATCATTCCGTCACCAGAGATCAATTTTTGACCATACAAGCAGCATGTCGTCCTTCTCTGAATCCATGGCTAGTGGATCTACCAAGTCCTGGGAGCAGGATATGGGTAATGAATGCACCGATTCGCCTCTGGAAATAAGCTCCCCTCAGGATTCAATGCGCCCTCACTCTATTTTCTATGGCAACCAAGGTACTGGAGTGGAGAATATTGCTGAGGATGAGGGTGAGGAAAACAAGACAGCAACTGAAATGTCTCCATCTCTATCCACCAACACGGAAGTTCCAACGCCGCCAATAAGGCAAGAAGAGCAGCCTACTCCCCCTACTAAGAAGCGAGGTAGCTTCCTCTCCGCGTTCAAGGAACCCCTTAGGCGGTTTAGAGAGCGCAAGAATCTCGGGGAGTTCAGACCAATAACTCCCACCGTCTCTCTTTCTGGAAGCTCTCGGCGGAATAGCTCCATTCTAGTCCAAGGAAGTACCAGTCAAAGGAAACCCTCTGATGCTGGATCTGTCGGCAAAGTAACAATAGCAACAGTACAACCCACTCGGCCTCCGTCTTCAAAGAGCTCTGGTGTCAACGCAGCTCGGCCTGAGTCCAGTGGAAAGCCCGCCCGCCCTCTCTCTTATGCAGCTGCAGTATCGGGAAAACCACAGTCTGGAACTGGCACCACCACCAGGCCGCGCGAGAACCCTCTCCAGCGGCCAGTACACGACAGTCCCCCGTTGCCTAATGTAGATGAGATCAAGCGCCTTTCGGCTTCAATGATGGAGGGTACCCAGATGAACTTATCGTTGTCAACTCACAGTGACCCTGGCTTACCATATCCGCCACACCGGGCTTCCGCGTCTGATCGAGGCTCACCAACAACACCAGGCTCCCCCTTCCAACATGGGCAGAATCAATTTCAAAGGCCTACGGCAGTGCATCAGCAGCATTTCAGCGATCCCAGCGTTAGCACCCAGTACTCTGGGGCCAACCCACTACCCTTACCGTACGATTCGGATGTTCAAATCACGCAGATGCCGCGGCGAACTCCAGGGTTCAACCGTGAGAACCCAAATTTCCCAGCTCTCCGCCCTGTGGGTTCTCGAAGCAGCCTCCCGCCCGGCTACTCATCTCAACCAATGTCTCGGGATCATTCCCAACTATCGCATCAATCGCTGCAGGCAGATTCTGGCAGATATTCGACCCATTCATCATCAGGTGCCCGAGCCGCCTCATTCTCCCATGCCAACTGGACGGGTGTGCCTACCCTGGACACAAGAGTGAGATTCCCAGCCAATGAATCTGCGATCGACTCAAGTGCAACCACACCTACTTCCATCGACGGCCAGCCGCTATCAAGGACACATTCTGGCCCCGGCCCCGGTTTCATGGTCGACTCAGGTGATGGTATTAGCAAGAGCGTTATCGAATTCAGCACCGTTCGTTATACCCCTCAAATCCGATTCGGAGAACTTGACCCTGTCAGCGTTGATGCTGCGAGACAACGAACCGAGCTAGCACTTAGACAGGAGCAGATGAGACGCCAACCACGCGCAGCGCCATATCCAGACCGCAACCTCATGCCGACAGCTAGTGATCCGCAACAATTGGCAGCTATAGTGCAGCCCAGAATCCCATCTCCGCCGGTGCCACGAGTCGAACAAGTTCGCCGTCAAGAGGGCAATGCCAGACCAAGAGCGAGGAGCGGTAGCACGCCTCAAGAACCCAACTGGAGTGGCTTAGGTATCAATCAGCGATTCCCTTGACTTTCTTGAATACTATACTTTCGCCCCTCTCTGGAGATTGCCCCCATTATATTCCCTATAACGATGTACCCTGATTCGCATATTTCGGGGTTTGCCTTCCAATTGTTTTTGTCCGTTTTGTTTTTTATCTTTTCTCCCTTCTATAAGGGCCACGAACATTGTTTAATATATGGTCCCATTCCTGGGAACAAAAACGAGTAAAATCACTGAAAATAAAGATGTGCTTTAGGAACCACAGATTGGAGAAGGCGTTACGGGACATCGCTGCTTCGTTATTTGCTCCCAGTTTGATCATTATGTTTTTTTTTTGTCATCTTGCTGCATTGCATCATCGCTTGTTTATTGTTTCGATTAAATGTTGCATTTCATCGGCGCAGCGTCCATTTGAAGGATTAACAACGGCCGATAGGCTGTGTATTGAGATTCAAGTATATAACGGTGCATTGGGGTTGTCAAGTGTCGTGGGAGAGGGGTGTTTCTTTCTTTTCTTTTCTTTCTTTCTTCTTTTTCTTTTCGTCCTTTCCTTATTAATTATCCTGTTTTATATAGCTGTGGAGTATTTCAACAATAATTCAATTAGCGTTAATGTGAAGATCTCACTTCATATATGGAGAGCTCCATCAAATGACGTAATAGGCAAGCAATAACAAACATATCTCCGAACCTGGCCAAAGTTGTTTTTCAGCAGGGTTGAGTACTTGACTTCTCGTCTCCAAGCTATAACAACCAATTAGCCGACGGACTCCTTGTGCGGTGATCAATCAGCTATCGGGCTATTACTACGGGCCACCTTGGCCGCGATTCCTTGTCAAGTTGTCCTCCTAGGTCGAATCAACTCCTATATTCTAGAAAACATCCACATTAGAATCAATGTTAAAAAATGAAGATATCCTTCATTTCGTCATCTATTTCTAACCTAGCTTCTTCTCTGCTAGTCTCACCGCGCATCGCTACCTAAAGTCTTTTATTATAGCTTTTATGAACAAACCTCGGTATGATAACGCGAGAAGAGGCTCCACTGCTTAGATACAAGATACCGGGGGTCTTGCAGGTATTCCACTGACAGAATCTGCATCTGCAGTAATAACGCGGCTACCAAAGGAGATAGACATCGTGCCCTGGAGGAAGCGCTAGATGAAGGAAAGGTTACTGCCCGAATTCTTCCCATGCCCTCTGCAACAGTGGTGTTCAAAGTCAGCGTTTCGCAACAATTCGAAAGTGTGGTTCGGTTCCTAAGCAAGAAGCTTCGTAATGAAACCAATTCCGTCTTTACTATGTAATTTTTGCACCATGTTTAGAGGACCATGGAGGTACTTTAACGGACGACCATTTGATTGTTCCTTATTTGACGACCCTGGCATTTGATTGACGGGACTGCGCATAAAATCAGAGCTTGGAACCTGTTAAAACGTAACCTTAGTCATCGGTTGTACATAAGCTGGGGATATGACGTTGATGGACTAGAAGCTTGAAGCAAGGAAGAAACTCAAGGAGGGATGGCGAAGATTGGAGAGTTGGAGGAGGGGGCGGAAGAGTATAAATGGAGCACAACTCTCTTCGCAAATAGATCTATCTTTCGTCTTATCATTACATTTCATAAATATACACTCCAACTTTGTGTTTGAACACCAGGTAGGTAAATTCTCAGACAACCTGTATCCTCTTCAGGGAGCTGAGATGGCCCTGCGTTCGATTGTTGCTAACTTCCTCTCCCCAATAGAAACTGAACAAACACCAATAACACACGAGAAACAACCCAAAGCAACATGTCTTTCATCACAAGAGCTGTTGTCGCCAACTCGAGGGGTATTGCGGCTCCCACACTCCTTACCGGGAGGACACAGTTGAGCCGAGCCTTGTTCTCGACCACGCCACACCACCAAAAGGGTCCTATCGAGGCAACCAAGGACACACTAAAGGCGGCAGATAGGCTTGTGTCTGATGCGGCTGTCAAGGGCATCGAGAAAGGAGGTGCGTTCCGGGAGCTGTTCACGTATCCCGTCTGATGAGCGAGCACTCAAGCTAACCCTTCACAGAAGCTGCAACCAATAAACTAAAGCACACCGTGGGCTCCGCGGCCAAGAAAGCAGAGCGGGAAACCGAAGATGTTGCGAAGAAGACGAGCAGAAAGGCATCAGATGTAGCCGACGAGGCAGCTGAGAAGGCCGAGGAATATTCAGGGAAGGCGTGATTCAACCTTGCTTCCCTATGTCCAAAAAAAAAAAGTTGATTTTTATTGGATAATGTGGTAGCAAATTGTTAGGCAAGCCGTCTGGTAGGGACAAGCTGTATTATGGATCAATATATATCAATCCTATCTTCTGGTTCCCGAGGTTATTCTCTTCCGGATATTGAGGATGCATATTTTTTAAGATTGAGCTTGGGTTCGATCGACTCTTTATAACCCGTCTCAACTGGGTGGTGGAAGGAGAAGCACATATTCTCTTGTACTTAATCCAAATTTTATAACATCCTTATCCATCAGTTCCATGTACCGTCTGGCTGGAGCTGGATCACCGTTGACAGTTGTCCCATTTGCGCTTTCTAAATCAATCAAGTATGGTCTTACTTTGCCGTTTCGGTCTCCAAATTCGTTTCGTTTTTCAACGTATCTGAATTGTACGGCGGCATGCTGCTTGGAACAGCTCGGATGTTCGATAGGTAAATCTGCGACGAGTTTTTCTTTTCCAACTAGCCAGCAACTCCGGTCCCCTAGTTCCACCGTTTCAAGCAAGTTGTCGTCTTTGAAGACATAGAGCCGCCATGCATCTTTGGCAGGCGGTTTTCTAGCCTCCGGAGGTTCATTATATTTCAGAACGATTGCCGTCGTTCCATCGTTAGACCTTACAGTATTCGTATCTGCGGCTAGGCGGCCCGTGCTTCCATAGTTGGCTTTCTCTTTTTCCTTCTCGGGCACTGGAGTTGACTGATCGGAGGCGTCTCTCGGAGTCTTTGAAAATGCGTCCTGTTGCGAAGGAAGTGGTTTGGCTGATCTTCTGGACACCTGAGGGGAAGGGCTGCGACGATGGGATTTTCGAAATGGCGAGGTTGACGGTCCCTTGTCTTCATGCCGTCTATGCGATTTATGGGAGTCCCTCTCTCTCCGGCCACGCTCACGGCTCCTTCGACGCGGTTCTCCGGAGCGATGTCTGTGACTACGTGATGCCTCACTAGAACTCACTGATCGACTTCTATACCGGCGCGATTTCCGTCCACGAGGGCTCCTGGAGCGCTTTCGACCGTCTGGACTTAACGATCTATGTTGTTCCGACCTGGAGCTGCGTGCCTTGGGACGCCCTCGAACCTCGCGGGAATGGGAAGACGTCGACCGAGATCTATGCCGACGGGATCGATGCCCGTCCTCGTGTCTAGGCATTGCGTGTGCCTATAGACCTGATAACGCGCTGGATGGAAGCTGGTGAGTCTCCTCATACTCCTGTTTTTCGGACTCAAAGAAGCAATTGTCGGCGTGAGAGGGAAGCCCGGAGTTACTTCGGGCCGACCTCTAGATCGTAAATACGGACAAACTCGAGGATCGAACACGATATCAAACCATCTTCTTTTCTCTTTTCACTCTGGACGAGGTCTCGGGGGCCATCATCGTCCTTCGGATATGTTCAGCGTGTCCGTACCAATGAGAGACATGTAACCATGCTCAAGAAATCGACGCTTCTCTGCTCATGCGGTGGTCTTCCGCATCCCTGTGCCTCGCCTCGCCTCCCCCTCGCACGCCACCAGCGGCCGACAGCGTTTGGGCAAGCGAAGCGCTTCGCTCATGTGCATAACGCTGACGGTCTGAGGCCGGAGGAGGACTTATCTTGGCCAAGTTCTCCCTCGTTCACTCCCTACGACCTTTTCCGGCTGGAACGGAATGCGCCCTATTCGAAGAAACGGTACTATCAACTCGTCAAGATCTATCACCCAGACGGACACTGCAATGGCCACCCGCACTGCAAGGATTTACCGGAGTCAGTTAGGTTGCAGCGTTATCGACTGCTAGTGGCTGCCCACGAACTACTCTCCAACCCAACGAAGCGAAGCGAATATGACAGATTCGGCCGGGGATGGTTTCAGCGGGCAGAACTCTTTGGAACTCATGGGCCGGCCGCGCGAAGTGCAATGGATGCATACTACTCTAGACGAAGACAAGTGGACCCCACCATCTTTCGAAATGCCAGCTGGGAGGACTGGGAGCAGTACCATGGCCGAAGCGGCGGCAAGCAGCAGACGCAGTCCTCCGGCGCATCTCACGAAACTTTTGCGTCGTTATTTGTCCTCTTAGCCATCTTTGGCGGGGTTGCTCAGGCCGTAAGCATTGGGAAGTATTCTGGCTTCGTCGAGGATCGCGTCAAGCAGGTCAACGCTCAATGCGGACGGTTCCTGGAAGGACGACGGCACCAGACCGTCTCGCAGATGGACTCAGTGGACGAAAGGGTCCAGAGTTTCTTGAGAAGACGAGATCCATCTGGCTATGGGCTGAACGAGGAGGAAGAAGAAACATATCGAAAACTTCTAGGAAGCCCGGATAACGGTGATATTGGTCATCTCGACTCGCGTGAACATGGCGAGAAACGGTAATATTCTGGAAAAAGGGGGAAGCCCGGTTTCCCATTTTCCACACTTGTACAGCACTCTATACATCTCTCCATTATGCATTTGAAGGTTACGTATTTGGGCGACATTGGCGTTATGGCGGTTACATATTTTTGAGGACAACGACATCAACTTCTCTACTATCCTACCCACTCGGAGATGAGACTAGGCTTTGCGAGTTACACCGAATATCAGACAAGCGTTACTCCCAAGCAGTCCAGGTCTGCTCTCGCTTTTTCTTTTACTTTGCTTCTTCTGCGACCCCCCGGCAGATACGAGATGTAGCGCCAAACTGTATTCGCCCAACTGCCCGCGAATTAGTTACATCATTGCATCATAGCAAAGCCCATTCAACAGCCAGGCTTCCACGTTCTCCCAGGCTAAAAGCAAAGGAGCGGTCTCAGCGTAAAAATGTGGCGTAAACGCGGAAGAGAGGGACGCCTTTGGTGGAGAGTGAACCGGAGCTTTGCCCCCTACGGTTTTAACTAAATAATTAATAGCTTTCACCCTTGTAGGACTTCCTGGTAAAATATTTCATGCTTTAATGCAGAGATCATCTTTTCTCTATCCTTTTTCCTTGCCCGCCGGTTGGACTTTTCTTGATCCTCCATCTCTATCTAGTTATCGCGCACACGACCGAAGATATAATCGTCCATCCAACCAACCGCCGTCATGGCGAACTTGAACTTGGAGTTGATCCAGCAGTACCTGGTGCGAATCCCCCTCGTGCTGGGTACCGCCATCCGAAGACTGCTCCAGCTATCGCCCGTCCAGGACAGAGTGAGCATGAGCATGGAGCTGCTGGTCGCCTTTGTGCGCTCGTTCCTCACCTTCGAGGACTCTGTCTCGAAGATGGCTGAAGTCAGGTTGACGGACTCTACAATCAAGGGCTACATGTGGATATCGAACGTCACCATGCCAAAGCCGGCAGAGGACGATGTGCTGGAGGCGCTGGTCAAGGCGATAGGATATCGTAACGAAGGGACCGAGACGTTCGACGTGCCCGATGTGCAAGCTGTGGAAGCAGAGTGGACGGGCTACAGGAAGGGCGCAAAGGAAGATACGCCGATTCCAGACATATCGGAGGAGGCCAAGTTTTCGCGCTTGATGGAGGACGTGGACGAGGATATGACAATTTTCTACGTCCACGGCGGTGCATACCAGTATGTTGTTCCATTCTTCTTCCCATCTACAATCTACAATTGCTTTTTCTTCTCTACAATTGGTATATGGTGTCCTAACGGGCATACAGTATGATGGACCCGGCCACTCATCGCTCTACGACGGCTGCTCTGGCGCAACTCAGCCGTTCTCGCTGTCTATCCCTACGATACAGACTGTGCCCCCAACATCCCTTCCCAGCCGGCCTTCTCGATGCACTGGTTGCATATCTATCGCTTCTGTCTCCAGCTGAGGGTTCCCTCCATGAGCCCGTTCCAGCTAACAAGATAGTCTTCGCTGGGGATTCCGCTGGCGGTGGTTTATGTCTTGGACTAACCCAGGCCCTTCTAACACTTCGAGAAATCATCCCTTCCAAGACAATTCGCTTCCATGGAAAGGATGTCCCTATTGAACTCCCTGCCGGCGTTGCCATGACCAGTCCCTGGTGCGACTTGACTCGTTCACTGCCATCTTCTTTTGAGAATGCAAAGTACGACTATGTCCCACCGCCACCTCAGAAGCCTGGTACGCTCTATACCCCTCTACCATTTCCCGCAGACCACCTGTGGCCTACGTCGCCACCGCGAGTTGACCTGTACGCAAATGCGAACATGTTGGCACATCCTTTCACGTCGCCGGGCGCTGGCCCAACGGGAATATGGAAAGGTGCTCCCCCGATGTTCATCGCAGTTGGTGAAGAGCTCCTACACGATGACGGCGTCTATTTTGCAAGGAAGATACATCGAGACGGTGTGAAAGTCGTCCTCGAACGATACGAGGGACTGCCACATTGCTTCGCTTTGTTAGCGCCTACCTTGCCCCAATCTCAGCGCTGTCTTCGAGGCTGGGCGAATTTCTGTGGCGATGTAGTCCACGATCGTGTGAAGGGATACGGAGAAGCACAGTACCTCAACCATGCGGCAACGAAGGCTGAGATTCGCAGCATCAATGATATCGGAACTCTGACTGACGAGGAAGTCCAGAAACTGATCAAGGATGGTAGGGATTGGCGTGTTGTTGGAGAGCAGGAGCTTCAGAGGGCGTGGAAGGAGAAGGGACTGGATTCCTGAATATATATTGCAATTCATAGCCAAGTCGTGGTTGCACACACCAGCGGTGCTGGCACTGGGTTCTTTAACTTCTTGCGTTGGATATTTGAGCCATGGTGCTATTATTCTGTTTAGCAATTGGTTTTGGTTATTTAATTATAGTCAGCACTTTTTCATCTTCACGCAATGTTGTCACAGTAGAAGTAAACTACTCGTATCTATAAACGAATAATGAATTATATATCGAAAACCCTTTCGAGGTCCGATAATGTCACTATCGGACAGCAAGAGAAAAGCAATATATATATAGTAATCCATATTTTCATATCTTCCAAACTCCAGACATCCCAGAACAAACCAGCCTGGAAATGATACAAAAAATACGCCATATCCATGACAAACGCTAACTTATAAATATTCATCACCCTGCATGCTATCACTTTGGGAGTATAGACCAGCACTTTGCTGATAGACGGTGGACACTGGTGGCTGGTAGTACGGATGCTGATCGTATATCGAAGAAGGGCCATCAACAAAGCCATCCCAAAAGCCAAACAGCTGTGCCATAAAACGAAACAATGCAACAAAAATAGTCCATATGGGTGACAAGACGGTAGAAAGATGAGACCAACGCCATAGCATAGTAGGTATAACAAATGGGTAACGTGGCGCATTAGGATTCAGACAATTGCGCTCGCACTTCACGGCGTATAGGGGGTGACAGTAGTAGTCGCACATGAGGAATTCGGCAATCCACCAGGTAAAAAATATCAAGAGGGCCCAGCCTACTCGTTTCCAAAAACGGCGGCTAGGGAGCGCCAAGTATAGACGGCCATCTCCGTAGAGGCCGCATGCTTCACAAGAGGATGAAGAGTGTTGATGCTTTTGTATCTTCGGTCTTTTGTTCTTTGACCCTTCAGCGTGGGGTCGAGATATCGTCTCTTCTGCCTGGTGCTCGAGACTCGACAAGCCAGCCCTGGCCTCATTGATGTTATGAAGAAGTGATTTTAGCTTTGAATTAACTCGGTCAATAGTCTCCTCGTCTGTATCGACGTGAAGGCTGCTTAGCCCTGGCTCCGACTTGGTCTGTCCTTCCTCAGTTTCTGCACTTGTCGATTTGTCTTCGAGGAGATCTTTAAGGGAATCAAGGGTATTTTCACCAAGGATAAGACTGTAGTCTCCGGATTTCCCTTTTTCTAGAACTGATTCCAAGGCACTCTTGGGAAGTTTCGGTTCTTTCAATTGTACCAATCGAGTGGAAGGTTTTCGTTGAGGCGGACTTTGCCGCTTCGACAAATCACGGGTAACAGGCTCGCTGGCCTTGCCAGCTTTCGATATGGATTCTGTTGGTTTGAGTTTGGCCGCTGGCGACTGTTGTTCCTTTTTGATGGTTTCTATATGAGGAGCCTTTGTCCGCTCCGTAAGAGGTGTGTCAATCCAAGCTCCTGTGACAACTGGTGTTTTGGCTGTGAGGGGGGTCTTCATCGCCGTTCTCTGTTGCTCTGGTGTGTTGACAGGGCTAGAGCTCCTTCTCGTTAATTTCCGAAGCAGTTGCGTAGAGTTCCCCCGACTCGTAGGCCTCGCCTTCTCGCTCGGCCTGTAAGAGAAGGCAGATGAAGCGGTATCTGGCCTGAGATCAGGCCTGGCCGCATCACGCTGAGCAATATTTTCAACGTAATCCTCCTGAGCCGCAGTTTTTGGAAACTGCGTCATCGAGCCAGCATCCTCCTTTCCTGAAGAAACCTTTACCGGAGGACTATCAGAGACCTGTAGTGATCTAGCGGTAAAATCGAAGTCATTGTCCCACTCGTTAACTGGCAGTCGTATCGGGTCCTCGGCCTGATTGTTATTATCGTCATTTGTAGTAGGGACTACTCCGTCTAGCCATTCCCTCGACCGCCTTCCGCGAGTCCCCCAAGTCTTTGGAACATTCAATGCGGGCTCCACGTGGTTATCGGGCTCCTGAACCTCCTGCTCTCTACCTTGCGCTTCCGCTTCATGATGACGCTGGAGATTTTCCATTGATAAAGCGGTCCTCAGATCGGTATCTTTTGCCCTGCTGAATATCGGTCCGTTGCTGCTGTTGGTAACGCGCTTCAACCGGCGCTCATCCAGCGCGTGTTGTGCTAGCTTCATCCTGAGATCGTCGTCACTCACATCGTCTAGAAAATCCAGGTCCATGCCGTAGATATTTTCCGTTTTACGATCAAGTGTCCGACGGTTCCTCGCTCCGGGACTTGGTGATCCTTGGTCTCTCCGGACCTGCTCTTCCTGCACAGCTAACTCCGCGAAATTATCTGCGTCACTAATCATCCTATACGAATCCAACAGCTCTCGTGAGGGTGGATTTTGCTGGGTAAACTTGGGCAACGCGGTGGAGCCCTTTCTCTCTCTTCCTATTGTATATCTTTGTGCTTCATCGTCCTCTTTTCCGCTATTAGCTCTTGGTGTGCTGCGGGGAGGTTCAGTGGCCTCGAATGCGCCTGTCAAGGTTCTAGTCTTACTAAACGTGATTCTGGATTCTCTTCCGTTCCGTATATCTTCAGCAGTTCTTCGCGATGAGGCAGTCGTCTCAAATGGCCGGTTATTTCGATTTCTATACCATGACGGGATAGGTTCATGGCCACCGACGCGATGGCCACGAGTAGTAGACATCGCTATTTGCGCAGCTAGGGAAGGCGGTTCTTAGCAATCGTCCGCATTGTAGCAAGTCCGCCCGTGTCAGTATCCCATTACCGCGCCAACAAGGAATACATAAACAATCCAGAAAATAAAAAAAGAATCCGCGGTCCAAGAAGACGGAATGTTGTAGTTTTGTTGTCCGGCCAAATCGCGTTCTACACGCCAAATCCCGAAAACGGACTAGCGCGCCTTATCCAGCTTTCGAGGTTCAAGTGCAAAAAGATCGAGATACAAACAACTTGTGCAGTTGAATAACCAGCTGCCATTCTTTTACTGTCGACTCGTTGCACTGCTGGTGACGACGGAGTATATCGAAATTGAGGCTTAGGAAAAGCCTAGACGCATAGCTATTCAGCGTGACCGGTCAATAGGTGTTTAAGGAGCACTCAATCTTACCGTCCACGATGGTGAAGAATGCCAAACAGGCACCCAAGGCAAAGGCCTTTGCGACAGCAGAGCCCAAGGCAAAAGAGGCCTCTAAATCGGACTCATTTGACGTCCCAGCAGCATTCACGCAGGCTCCATCCTCTCTGAAAAGCTTCCTCGAACCGCTATCTCCCAAACGCATCTATCTTCTCCATATCGATAACCATCCTCCCAGCTTCAAGCTACAAATATTCCTCGCCCACCTGGCAATAAACATTGTCATAGTCGCATTTATCTTATACAGGATATATACCGGCCTGTACACATATCCGGATATATTCACAGCGTTAGTAGGCGGGGACAGCCCGGCGAAAATAGACACATCAGCATCTAGCTGGGGCTTTTTATCCAGCACCATAGCTTGGAGAACGTTCAACTTTCTCCTAGACTACTTCCTAGCGACGCTCTTCCTGCCCTGGCCGGTACGATATCTCCTTGGTCCCGCCCGGTGCCGACTAGCAGTTGGATTCCAGTCCGCGGAAATAATCGTGCGTTACAGCCGAGAATGGAGCGAATCCCTACAGCCTGGTACATGGATTAGAGATGACGAAGCAGCGATGAAAGAACGCGTGATTCCCGCAATACTTCCACTCCGCCTACAGAATACCGGATATTTACTTATTGACGCTGATTGGGATGTCGATTGGGATGCTATTGTTAAAGCCCATCAACTCGTCAAATCCGAGAAGCTGAAGATCGAAGATTTCCAGACCAGCGTTCTTGTGCATGGCGGCCCATCGAAGGGCTGGCTTATGTGGAGAGTCGATGATGAAGCAACTGTCGCTTCAGGTGAAGGCTTACCGTCTGCTGCGCGTGACAGAATTGTCGCTTTCAAGGATAAGCTTACAGACTTGGGGAAGGAGGACCTATTCTACCGCTGGGTAGAAATTATTCAATACGAGAGTACCCATCCTGGCGGGTTCACTCCGGAGAGACAGAGGAGCGCAATGCTAGAAGTAAGGGAACTGTTTGAAAAAGAAGGTGTGGATTTTGATCAGTTCTGGAAAGACATTGGTGGCATGGAAGGAGTTTCATTGTGAGGCGGTAAAATAAAGGGGTACAAAGGCCCCGAATATATAGACTAATGAGCCATGAAATTCTAGCATTGCGGTTAACATTAATAGAAAGTTGCGACCGCATATAGGTCCTACTCAGTATTTTTATCTCTTCTCCTGAATCTTATGAATAGAAGGTCCTTTCCTCGCTGTAAAAACTGCATCATGATAGAAAGCTTCCCCATACTGTTGCTCTTACCAGCTAGCAACAATACTGACACGGCCTACCAATTAATGCTTTGGAGCATTCTGAACCACTTCCTTGGCCTCTTCGGCCACAATACCCTGGCAAACAAGAGCTGCCACCATATCGATGACCCAGCTCTGGCAATCCCGAAGCTGCGCCTTGCCTGTAGGCGGCTACATAATAAACGTAACAATCAGCCTGTGGGATCAACTGGTTCATTCAGAGAGCCAACTTACACCATTACTAGCTGAGTTCATGCTTGGACCTGGTGCTGCCACGGATAACGCAACTTCTTCGATACGATCTGTTGGCGTTACATCCGGCACTTCGTCTCCTCCAGGACCGTCCACAACAAATTCATCCGCAACCCGACCAATAGGCACTTCTTGGTGGGTGAGTGGTTCCGAATTTAGGCAATAGTTCCGCATAAATTGTAAAGTGAATCCGTTCAAGACGTCTCCTTGAACATGTATCTTTTTGCCAATGCCTGGATCAGCGAGGCTGGGGATGTAGATGGCCCAGTGGGCTTTGAACAGAGATCGGTTGTAAACTATGAGGAGGATATCACGGGCCATATTGAGAAATTCAAGTTTGAAACCTTTGTTAAAAGAGGCAGGCTGAACGTTGAGAGTGATGTGGGAATTTGGCTGCCTATGGCTCTCATATCAGAGGTTGGGAATTAGTGGGATATGCAAGAGTAGTCCTAGTTACTCCATACATACGTTGATGTAATCGATGGGCAGTCATAATGCCAAAACTAGTAGATTATAACACAGCCAAAGCTAGAACAACCAGTACTGGTATATATCTTGTTCATTTAGTGGTATCATATTTATACTCAAGGTGGAAGCTGAAATGGTGATCACGTGTATATAATGCCAAGAGCAAGAAAGTGCCCTGTTGGAAAACGCCCCAAAGCCTGGCGCCTTAACCACTCGGCCATCTGCCAAGACTATGGGTGGTTTTCTGCTCTTGGCAGCGGAAAATCTTAACGCCGGTTAATGCTTAGCGGACTTGAATATCCTACCTCGAAGGATAGAGACATTAAGCATTTAAGATAACATTAACAAGGCCTTATTAAAGCTTGATCCAAGGCTAACCTTATTATTGAAAAAATCAACGTTCGTATCATAAGAGTAGGGTATTTTATATATATATTTCAGAATATGCCAATCCAATAACGCAAATGTGCAAGAAGCCAACATGTAAACCAACAGCTAAATCTCAGCAGTAGTGCAAGGGCAAGAAGGAAAGAAATAACACAAGGCCGCTGGAAAATCAATCATAGCCGAACCAATGACTCCTAGAAAAAATTTAGGCGCCCGCTCAAACATGCTCGATCGGCTATTAAAAACGTTAGAATGGTTAGGGTCATAATTTCAGGTCTGGAGGAGGGGAGGACTCCAAGGATCGGAAATCGCGTGGCGTGGTAATATGTCGAAGGTGCCAAAAGGTGCTGACATGGGAAAGTGGAGATATATAGAAATCGTATAATGGAAAAAGATAGAGAAGAGAGTCAGATTAATCAATGATTCGTAGATCGTGAAATCGTTTTGGTTTTCGCTTGCTTATGCAGCGATGGTAAGACCGTTTCACATGATGTCGTAAATTGTTCATTTTTACTTCCTCTTTCGGATTACCTGCGCAACTTCGCTAATGGCTTCCATAAACATTATGGCATCTATAAGAAATCGTTAGTCAGAAGTATTCAAAAGGTGAAAAGGAATGAAAATGGTCGAGGGATGAAATCTAACCGTCAGAAGAAGTGAATGTGATAATGTGTTCTCCTCGCGATGTTACTGATGGCTTGTACTCGTCTGAGTTGATGAAGACGGTAGGGTGTAGTTCGGTAAGGTAGATTACTTCTTGCTCGACGTGACGCATCCATGAACGAGGTTTCTTCAGGTATTGATGAATGAATGCGGTCCAGACGGGGACGCTAGTGGTGAATTAGTATGCGTAACATATATATGGTGAGTTGGTGGGTATTTACTGTTTCAGTTCACCGTGTAGGACCGTCGAGTGTAGTCGCACTGCTCTGGTCTCACGGTCAACGTATAGATGGAGAGCATGGATATAGTGATTATCTACTGTCTCTCTGTCAAGTTATTAATGTTAGCTCTAGAAAACAGGGGGGATGGACAGGTTGTATTATGACATACCCTGAAAAAACCAGTTCTTCGCCCGCTAGCTCGTAATCTTTGATGCGGGAAACGGGATTCGAAGAGTCCTGTCCGCGTAAAGCAATAAAGGTACAGAAGAAGAATACCATGTCTGTAATGTGTATATATTAGTGATGAGCAACATATTATTACATTGTGAGGGTAGGAAGGGTTATGACATACATTCGAGAGTACTGAATTGTAGATTCGCCCATGCGACACGATCGTCCTTCCCACCGGAAGGGTGGCATAGCATGAGACACGATCCTTCTCGATGGATAAGGAGTGATGTGATGATGGTACTGCTGTACACTGTACGTTTGTCTGACTTGATTTTACACAGGACCCTCACTCGATGGTCCCTATCCCGTAGGAAGAAGGAACACGTAAGTTGCGGTCTGCCAGGAAATTTTCTATATGACCCATTAGTACGCTGACCCCTGAAAATAAGGCTACTTTCAATAACGGAAAAGAGACAGCTTACAATTGAAGTAATTCGATGTAGCCCTTGTCCAGATGCGCTCTTACATCAGGCATATTGTCGCCGTAACACTTTGTCCTAGCCAAGGGCGTATTAGTTAGAAGACCGGTCGAAAGTACATGGCACTCCCGGCATGTCAACTCACATATCTCCAGTAGACTGTAAGGGGGTCGAAGTAATCACGGAGTTATAAACTTTTGACGCCCAATGTCTAATGGTATTGGAAACTAGCGACATAGTATCGCTACTGGTAGAATCAACCGGAGACCTTGGGCTCGTCGGGTTCGACCAATGTATTGAATCCCGATGTTCTTGTTTCCTGCTTGGTCTTGGTCTCTCGAACGAACCACGCCGCTTCATCGAGGACTTCCGCTTTGGTGGTTCGGGAGCTACTGGTGGATCGAGAATGTGTTCCAGTGAAATTTCGGGGGTTAGAATGCGGGGAATATCGAGCGGCGGCATGGTCGGGATATGAGGGGCGGGAGGTGGTGGTGGTGGAGGTGGTGCAGGAGGCACAGCACCCATATGATGGAATGGAGTCTGCGGGAATTGTCCTGGCATTTGATGCTGTTGTTGATGTTGGTGATGCTGGTGATGCTGGTGATGCTGGTGATGCTGGTGATGCTGGTGATGCTGCTGTTGCTGTTGGGCCTGAGCCTGCTGTTGAGCTTGAAGTGCAACGTGTCGATCCTGGGCTACACGCAGCGTAGTGATTGCCGCACGGCAGCTTGCAAGCATAACCTCGTCTGCAACATCACTATACCAACAGTTAGAATGTATGCAGGAAGAATCAAAACAGCCCCTCTACTCAGCTTGAACTCACCCCTGTACGATTGCCGACATCTCCTCCAGCATCTGCTTATAATACCTTAGCCGTAGATGCAATGTATACCCTGCCTGCTGATAGAAAAACAGCCACATCCCGTCCCATGTCCTCTTATGCAATGCGGAAGTAGTATCGGCTATCGGCGTGCCCGCCGCAGTAGCAGCCGCATTATGTATACTAGTAATATGTATAGCTTGGTTCATACGATTTAGCATTTCAAAGATGTCGCGAAGTGACTGACGCAAGCTGGCGCGCACGATGAGCTCGAGATCACTTGTTATGCGGGTGAAATTATGTCGATGGGCGGGGATCTTGTAAATGCCATCTAGACCTCGCAGCATGGCACCGAGGGCGTACAGCTCCGCGACGACGGCAGTGATATCGACCGAGGCGGTGGGTACATGGGCGAGGAAGTTGAAGATTCCCCGTGCGATGTCCTCGCATGTCTGGGCGACGTCGAGGAGGTTTAACATGGTGGGTATCGGTATCGGTGTTGGTGAGGGGGTTACTTAGACATGCTCTATAGACGCGAACGAGCCGAGCCTATATCTCGAGTCCCTGAGCCGTTTCTTTATCGCTTTGGGACAATTTTACTGGAGATCGAGATTGACTGGTTGCGTGAGATGGGGGATCCTTCTGCTGGCACGACCGTGTGTACGTCGTCGAGATACATGCACTGGGGGGGAGGGAGGGAAAAGAGGCCGGGATTCTGAGAATAGTTAATTCGCAAACACGACGATCGCCATGGACAGCCACGGCTTTATATCAAGCTACATCACCACCGTAACCGTCTCATTATCGTCATCGCTCTCGTCATGCTCGCGTCATCAGCATCGTCAACCAGCTGAAACTCCGTCCTTGAGCCGCAGAAAGTCGAGATGAAGTCGCTTAACTGCCCAAAACGGCGATCACCTGCCTGCATGCGTGAGTTGTTCAGCTTAGTCATACTCATCACGTGGTAAACGACGTGGTTAAATCTCCGGCCCGCCCCTTTTTCCCTTCCACACTCTCCCATTCATGCTTCACCGGTTGAAGATGGGAGAGAGGGGAGAGGGTGGGAGAGAAGTCTTGCTTTTACTAGATACGGTCGTTCCTTTACGAAGACGAGAGCCCCTGTATCGAGCGTTTGAATAGTCTTTGCATTCCCCTCTCGACAGCCAGCGACGAAGAAAAAAGATGAATACGATGAAGGAAAAAGAGATAGAAACCCTCGAGAATACGTGATACAATTCATGATGACTTACAGAAGAAACCCCCTCCACCTCTTGACTAAAAGATGAAAGATAAGAGCTAGTGCATCGACGGCGAGGCGATGCCAGACAGACACGGAGAGAGAGAGAGAGAGATATAGAGAGATGAAAGGTTGATAAGTATGGTAGGGCAGAACGGGGAACACTTGTGGATGAAAATACATAATAGTATGGAACCATGAAACCCCCATCGATACCGTCCGTCCCAGAAGAAAAGCCGTTGAAGTGAGAGAAATGAGGAAAAAGAAAACCTTGAGATGGGGAGAGAGAGAGAGAGAGCGATTAAACGGTATAGCGAATACAAAGGACATAACCAGCAAGCACAAGCAGTACAGGAGAACACATGTTAACGCCGTGAAGGTCGAAAGGCAGCAAAAGGTCAATCGCGCCCGTCCAGTCGTCTGTCATCTGCTTTAAGAGGATTCCTCTTCTTCCTGGCGAGACTGCAGTTGTTTATATTGCGTTAGTCTGCTGTTGCAACTGCGCGCCTGCGAGCCGATTGACGCGGTGGGGATGCAGGGACGCTTACGTTGTATGCGGCCTTCTCGTCTTCGTATCTCTGCTTGTCGGTAGCGGCCTTCTCCTCATAGGGAACACGCTGCTTATCATTCAGAGCCTTCCATCGCTCTCCGAGAACCTTGCCAACTTGGCCTGGGCGGAGTTAGCCTTGACGCGAGGAGAACGATATGATGGTGACTTGAAAACATGGACTTACCGAATGTGATGTTGGGGTTCTCTTCACGAACCGACTCACGCTGCTCGTTGGCGAAGAACATGTAGGCGGAGAGACCACGCTTTGGCGCATTGGGGTCTATATCGCGCTGTTAGCTATATCGCGATCCAGCAGTGAGAAAAGGTGGTATGCTTACCCTTCTTCTTCTTCTCGGCACCGCGGCCCTTGGTCTTGCGGGCAGTGGTCTTTTCCTTTGGCATTTTGGCGAGTTTTATTTAATGCGCCTGTGTTCAGTGTTAGTCTAGAGTGGTGGAGAGGGTGTTGCGTCGAAGTGAAGAGGTATCAGGTTGGTGGTGGTGGTGATGGTTAAGGTGAGGGAAAGTGCAGGTAAGAAGAACAAGGGCAAAAGTCGCGTGGAACCACGTCAGAAAAGAAGCCCAGATGAGATAAACCAGAGTATAACGGCAGTGAGGAAGACCATGCGACGCGTTTTACACTGTTAGACGCGCTGTCTGACCATGCAGTGAAGCACAGCAGAGGTGGCAGCAGAAAGAGACAGAGCAAGAACAAAAACACACTCAGAGGGAACAAAAACATCAAAAGCACGATCGATTGAAACAGGTAAACACGAGAGGCAGACGTTGTGCACGCGATTGCGACGCTGTCAAGTAGAAGTTGTGCATAGTGATAGTGATAGATCTATAGATCATGGCAGCGACAACAACGGCCAGCAAAGGAGGAAATGAAAATAATAATAACAAAAAGGACAGGATGAAGGCAGAGAGAGTGAACGTGAGCAGTCGCAAGAGCGCCAGTGAGGTGTCGAGGGTGGCAGTCTTACCTGGTGTGAAGTGTAGTACTTGATGTTTTTTGTATGGGGGGCAACGAGTAGTTAGTATGGGCGAACTTCAGTGTAGGCAGAAGAGGGTGAATTTGTATGGGAGAGGATTTTGGGTGGTGGAGGTTGGAGAGCGAGAGGCAGAAGGGGGAGAGTAGGAAGAAAGGGTGGGAAGGGGGAAAAGTGCGAGGGCGCCCTCTCTCTGGCCTCGCTGCCCTTGCCCTGCCCTGCTTGGGCTACGCAAGCCAGGCGAAAAAAAAAAAAAAAAAGGGCCCTAAAAAAGAGGGGGTATGGTATGGTATGGTAAGATACACGGTCAGTGCCGCCAAGACGCACGTGAAAATACTGTACGGGCCTGTCACTTACGACCCTGTTACGTTACATACCTGCGTACGGAGTATACCTCGATACGTGAATACTCATACATATGCCAGAGATAGATATAGATATAGGATGTATGTGTATGTGTAGGTGCAGGTGATGGAGGATACGATGTGAGGATAGATCGCCGTCTCGTCACGGCCGCGGCCTTCCTGGTTCGAAACACCGGGCAGCCCGATCGCCCGCAGCAGGCCCTCCGATCGCTGGTCTGTAACTCACCGCAGGACCACCGCTGTCTTGCTGCTGCTGCTGCACCACTTTCCGGCACCACACCACCTTGCTAGCCTCGCCCCCCTACAAATCACACTCCTCCCCCGTACGGAGTAAGCAGGTACATACATATACGGGAGTACGTACCCAGTAAAACATCGAACGAGGTATAGATTACTCTGGGCTCCTTATATAATATATCACGTGGACCTGGACCGACTATTCTCCGTCTCTGTGCTTAGTAAGCTGTATTATGTCATGGATGGTTAGGCACGTGACTATCCATCGTGTTCGTTGCTTCCCATCTACTCTCAAATCAACGACATATCCCTATCCTTGATACTCACCCTCACCCTTCGTCTTTCCTTAGGCTTATCCTTACTCTTATCTTTTATCTTGTCCTTCATCTTCCCCTTGGCCCTAGCCTTGCACCTATCCTTAGGCATAGGCTGATACACTATGTACCCCAAGCTACAGTGGTAAGCGCTACTTTTTAGGCTGCACACGAATAGGGGACGTAGACTGCTTTGAAAGCTCATCTGGCATATATTATCTCATATGTTCGGAGGTCAAAGAAAGGAAATACAGATTTGCTTTTATGGCCATGATTCACCCAGTTAGTAGCACACTGCTGGCTGCAGGCACGTTGCCAAGATCATGGCAATGATCGCCATCCGTGTTTGTCAAGGATGGAGCGCTGACTGTACGTCGCAATGGAGACAGCATTTATCGAAGCGCGCTAATGATCGGTACGATTATGGCGTCTCTACGGGACACAGCGGAACGGCAAATCAATGCCTATAAGCCCAAGATACAATAGCAAAGAGCGAAAAATAGGCCTAATATCGATGAATGATGATAATAACTAGGGAAACAGGCCATATCTGGCCTCTATATATGGGGGAAGGCGTAGCGTACGTACGAGCCGTAATCAAACAGATCTGCAGGGGGGGAGTGGCGTTGGCCTGATACTGCCAAGACGCCGTACACACGAAGATTCTGACATACCCCCCTAGGCTCGTACGGGACGTACGATTTGGAACACGTCTGGGTGAACCATCGAAGAAAATGGCTGTTGAAGCCGTTATACGCACAAATATATCAAATATAACATAGTAGGAAATGGTAATGAGTGTGGTTATCCGTCAAATGTGTCGGACGTGTTTGAAGTTGAGCAGCGCAACGAATCTTGCAAATTTGATACGGTCCAGCGTCTTGCTGAGGCCGTCGGCAACATTGTCTGCGGTATTAACGTATCGTAGGTGCAATACGCCTTCGTCAATATATTTCTTAGTGAAGAAATAACGGTTGTCAATCCAGCGAGTAGTGCGTCTGTAAGGGGAGCCATTGATCACGGCCATACCGTTGATACTATCAGTTTGCAGCGTTGTAGGCGTATTAAAAGGTAGACTTAGTGATTTAAGGATCTTGTGCAGCCAGAGGATGTCCTTTACGGCTGGATCAAATGCCAGGAACTCCGCGATGGTGGATGACGGTGCGATCAATGATTGTTTCCGTGATGCCCAAGATACTGCGCAGCCGGCGTAAAAAAATATATAAAACTCCGTGTAACGGCCGTCTTGTTGGTCTCCGGCATCAACAAAGGCTTGTAAAGCCTGTTCAGGGTGTTCACCAAGCATCAGTGCCGCGGTGCGTTGGCCGGCGAGATATTGTAATATACGCTTGGCCCAGTGTAGGTGAGATAGGGTGACATCGCCGATCGAGCGTTGGAGTTGGCCAAGTGCTTGACATATATCAGGTCTTGTTTTTATAGCGAGCCAATTGAGACCACCCAATATTTGCTGGTAAACGTTTTTCTGAGATGGGTCCAGAGGCGTGTTCTGTGTGATGACCATTTTTATTTCCATTGGCGTTTTGATACCGTGTGCATGCTCCATACCGAACTTCGCCAGCAGTTTTTCTGTATAGGCATCTTGTGAGAGTAATATGACCCTTTTGTCGCGGATACGCTGTATTTTGCAGCCAAGAAAGTACGCAGGCTCCCCCATATCCTTAATAGGGAACACCCTGCCTAAACGGCATTTGAACTCAGCTATGATATCCTTTGTTGGTGCAGCGATCAATGCGTCATCCACGTAAATTAGTACGAGGAGGCCATCGGGCCTCGTGAACACGCATGGATCGTTTGTTAACGGTATCAAGCCCAATTCGTTCAACTGCTTGGTGAACTCCTCCTGCCAAAGCATACCTGACTGTTTGAGGCCATATAGCGCCTGGAGAAGTAAACAGGCGAGTTCTCCGCCTGATGGGTCGTAGGCTTGAAAACCGGTGGGCATTCGCGCGTATATCTTGTGTTTCTTCAATGCTACATGCAAGTACGCAGTTATGATATCCGCCTGTTCGCACTCGAGGTCTTCTATGGCTATCTTCGTAAGAGATAGTTTGATGTAAATCTCATGGACAACGGAGGACGCCGTTTCATCAAAATCAAGCCCTGGCCGCTGCCAATTGCCGCAAACAACCCATCTGGCTCTGAAATCTGTCGCGTACCCGTCTGCATCCTTTTTCATGTCGTATACCCATTTGCCAGGTAACATTTTGGCATCCTCCGGGGGCTTAGTAAGGGACCATGCTTTGAGCGTATTCAATTTGGCGATCTGCTGCTCCATCGCGGTCCACCATTCGGCTGCCCGTTCGGATCTCATTGCCTCTTTGTAGGTGGTTGGCACTGGTATTTTGTGTGCTAATATCTTTTCTGTGAGGGCATAGGATCCCCCTTCGTAGCGCTCTGGTGTTTTGCCCTTGTTGCTGCGAGCAGATACTCGGATAGGGCGCGGCGTTGGGTCTTCGGGTGGCGGTTCGAAGGCGCCTGGTAAGTACGGTGTTGGTGCTGGTGATATACGGGCACTGCGCCGGAGAGGCTTTGGTGGCTCCGGTGGAGCGGTAGAGGTCTTGGCGTTCGATATTTGTTCAATATTTTGGGCAGATATTTGGTCATTTGCACTTTTAGCGGCTGTTTGGCGCTGCGGCTCTGGCTCAGATAGCTCCTGATTGGTTGACCTTGTAGGCACGTGTGCGGGAGCGGATATCGGCGATGGTGATAGGGTGTGTATGCGCGTGGTTGGCTGACTAATGGCCTGCTCAAGTTCAAATTGTAGCTGCCAAGGCACTTGTTCGTTGTTCTCTATCGCGAGACGTTGACGTGATGGGACTGGCACGGCTTCATCGGGTGCCTGTTCAATCGATTGGTGTACGGCTTGGGGTGCCGTTGGGACTCGTGGCGGCGCTACTGTTGGTCCTACACATGGTATCGGATCTTGTTCCCTTGCCGGCAGGGGTGGAGGTCTTGTTTCCTCTAGGAACTTGACGTCTTTTGTGTGTATTATCTTGCCGGTCTCAGGGATCCATATTTTGTAAATGTGGCCGTTGCCAATATAGCCCACGAGCCGTCCAATCAGGGCTCGGGGATGCATCTTTTGTGATTGAACACGGTCTTCCTTGTGGATGTATACATACGCCACGCAGCCGAACACGCGGAGATGTTCAAGTGTGGGCTTGGTCCCGTACGCTTGTTCGTATGGGGACTTGCGACCATTTGTGCCCTCTGGTAGGCGGTTTAACACGTAGCATGCGGTCTCCGTTGCCCAAGGCCAAAGTTCCAGGGGGAGGCTCGCATCGTTGAGCATTACCCTACTGGTTTGTTCGATGTACGCGGCATGGCGCTCGGAGATACCGTTCAACTCAGGTGAGCGAGGTGGTGACAGTTCGATGCTGGCGCCTTTGAGCCGTATCCACGTAATGAACTGTTTGAATTCAGTGCCGTTATCACAGCGTATTTTGCGCGGGTAAGAGGTAGTCTCTGTATTCAGGTATTCACAGAGGCCTTGTAACACCTCGCTGGCCTTATCTTTGCCGGTTAGGGGGAATACCCATTTGAGCCTGGTGGCATCGTCAATTACGACGAGCATTTGGTGATAGGCTTGTAGGCCTGGTGGCTTGATTGGCACAAGGTCCATGTGGAGCTTCGCACCAAATTGTGAGGCACGTTCTTGGGGGTCTCTCGAGACTATCCTTCGTGCTTTTGTTAGTGCGCATGGCTCGCAGTGTAATTTTGTAGGGGCGTCAATGTTATTTGCCCTTGCGGCTTGGAGATGTGCTGGATATCCGCAGTGTGCAAGCCTTCGGTGCCAGGTCTCTGGTGAGATGTTGGTGGTAGGGGCCTTCGTCGCTGCATTTGCATGGATAGGATCGGGGTGTATTCTTAGCATCGTAACGCCGCCACCACAGTAAGTGTAGCCTATCAATGAATCGTCCCGCAGCGAACGTATGGTATTATCCCTTTCTGATATATAGGCACCGTGTTTTGTCTTCAGGTCCTGGCCGGATAGGAGGTTGTGTACTGCATGTTCCGAATAATATGCAGTAACCACTAATTTGTTGATGGTGCCGTTATCCATTAGGAATGGGATCACCACATCTCCCTTACCAGTCATCTCGGAGACTGAGCCCTGCCACCCGCGCACCGGGGTGCTGTTTGTTGGTGTGAAATTGACGAATGAGGCTATATCATTGCAGATAGTGTACGCGCTGCCTGTATCTGCTATCCACGTTGTGCGAGAGCTCGAATTTGGCGCTGAGTTCGCTGTTGTTATTATGTTGATATCCGAAATGTTAGGCGTCACGTGTGTTGCTGCACCAGCAAAGTTAGTAACAAATTCGTTATTTGTAACGATATTTGTAGCAACGTTTGAACCACCAACGGCCGTATCTCGCGCGGCTGTTGCGGCGTTTGGTTGAGTTGGTGTCCTCTTCGGTAAGTATGCCCATATCCATCCCCTTGAACGCCAGCCTGGTGGACGGGCGCTTGGGACTAAGAAATGACATCTACTGATTTTGTGCCCAGGGATATTGCAATATCCGCATTTGCCGTCCACCTCTTCTGGCAATGAGGCCATGAGATGTTTGACGTGTTCTTCGTGGGACGTTCCTTCCGGAGGTGCACCTTTTTGTCCCTTCCGGGTGTTGCTCGCCGTACGTGCTTGAGGTCTCGGTGCGGCGGCTGTTATCTTCATATTATCAACTTTGGCCAGCGTTCGTGAGCAGTAGCCGAGGAATTGCTCGCGGGTGACGTCCGCGGGCTTGATTTGTTCGAGTTCGTTCATTATGAGATTCGACCATACGGTCATCTCGTCGTTGATGCCATGCACCAGGTTGTCCAGTGCATCAGCCGGTGGGAATGGGTATCCAGCTCTGGTGGCATCCACGTACAATTTGGAAAGATTTTCAACGAACTGATGCATCGTGGCATAGTCTGATCGTTTGATGGACTTCCATTTGGCCCAGTAAGATCGTGCGTCTGCAGGCCGTGTGTGGGTGAAGACCTGCTTGATGACGGTAAACAATTGATACGCCGTGTCAATTGGAAGGCATGAGTTTTGTGCTTGACGATATAAATCGAACGAGATCTGAGATGTCAGCCAATCCACGACTAGGGCGTCTGCGGCCTCCCATCTGGCATGGTCTTCGTGTCCGTCTGGGGGTCCGTTTGGTATCGATCCGTCGATCATGCAGCGTAATTGCTGCGTTCTCAGCCTTCTTTCGACATTCGTTACCCACATGTCGACGTCTCTCGCATTTGCGAGCATGGTTATACCCGCGATCGGGTTGAATTTGGCGACGTCCGGGATTCGGTGCCATTCTATTGGCTGAGTTTGGTGATCAACATCTGCAGCTGCAGCGTCCTGCAGCGGCATGCCCGTATCAGGCATCTTATTGGTATCCGGGCTAAGAGCGAGGGCTCATAACCTATCGGAGCGCGCTAATGATCGGTACGATTATGGCGTCTCTACGGGACACAGCGGAACGGCAAATCAATGCCTATAAGCCCAAGATACAATAGCAAAGAGCGAAAAATAGGCCTAATATCGATGAATGATGATAATAACTAGGGAAACAGGCCATATCTGGCCTCTATATATGGGGGAAGGCGTAGCGTACGTACGAGCCGTAATCAAACAGATCTGCAGGGGGGGAGTGGCGTTGGCCTGATACTGCCAAGACGCCGTACACACGAAGATTCTGACAGCATTCCTCGGTATTCGATTGCGACAGTCGAGCTCCATGGCATTGGCGAATCTAAACGACAATACGAGGCGACACATGAGTGCTTCCGCACAGGAATGGGCGTAATCACCTCGGTGCTTAAAGTTGAAGCTGGTGATATATTTATCCAAATCAATATTATTGTACGCCGCATAGGTGCGGTAACCCATCAGGTGGGAGATTACGCCGGGCATGAGTCTCTCTGTCTCTGAGGACTGTGTATGCTTTCCAGGCGTCAAAGGCATAAGCCTGCAGGCGGAAGTCCCTATCATTCCGGCGGATTTTCTGAATCTCATGTAAACTGCCCCAGTTGTCCTGGTTAGCACCAACGATAAACCTTGCTTGTTGGTTTAGCACCTTGTGGTGACAGATGAAGAACATTTTTGGCGTGCCATCTTCGAATTCTTTGCCCAAGGTATAATTGGCTATCGCACTGGGGGGGACTGGCTCTGTTGGTAGCCCGTCCACGAAATCTTTCTGATTAAGTACCAATTGGATAAGGATCTCACGTGGAGACCGCGTTGGTACCTCTGAGATACGAGATATTTGATTGATTTGATTGGTCAGGTGGGTCTGGAGCAATCTATGAGATTTCAATCTATCAAGCACTAATCATCTAAATACACGATATTGAGCTCCTATTTATGTTCCTCATACGGCCATGTATCTTGCCATCGCGGAGATGCCAGCTACAGCTGAAACAGGCGTTAAAACGCCGGGCGTAGCATTTGTTCGATGATGGAGAGCTGACACTGATATTTAATGAAACGGCGTAGTTGACTAACGTGTTTCGTACGATCAGGCAGTATTACACCGAATCTCCGTTCAACAGTACCGTAGCCCCCGCCCCCAAACTAGCATCGTAAGAAAGAGTGGTGTTGATTCGCATTTGGGTGTGCATCTATTTATTCTCCGTCCTTCCAATATTATTGTCATAAGAGTGCCGAGAGTCGGCGTTGCGACTTGGAATAATCTCTCCAGACAGTTCATTAGGCGGTACGGTATTATTGCAGCTTTATATCCCTCTACAGCTCCTAGAAAAACCATCTTATAACAGATGCTGTCACAAAGGGCCATGGATATATCTAGTACCCTACTCCGTATTAGTATCATAGAAAGGGTTAAGAGGGAATCATGAGCAATCAACGTACCATCATTGAGTATCATGATACTCTTGCATGAAATAACCGAAGGTCTTTTCTCACTCTCACCGCAGCAGACGCGGTCACAAGTATCGGTAGGGTACAATAGGTTCATATTCCCGGGTATCGTTACGCCTGAGAACACGGCAGTAGTGGTCCTCTTTGCCTCCAAGCTCATCGTGTTTGTATGCTGCAGTTGTGGCTGTGAGAGTTTGTAGGGGTGAGATGTTTAGGAGTGTACCAGATGAGAGGAAGTAAAACATGGCTTTTATATAGTCGATCTGGCTAGCTCAAGATTGCTAGAGTATAACACATCCTAGCTACTAGTAACACAGAAAAATGTTTGTTAAGCGGCATATTGCAGCCTGCATCTAGTCATTGATGGGCCTAAGAAAAGATAGTCTTTGTTTAACCCCATTTTGAACCCCTTACGCCATCTGTCCTTTGACCTGTCTGGGGGACTGCATAAAGCGGAAGCCATCCATAGATAGGATATAGACATAATTTTAAGAGTACCTGTATCTAGGAGTGTCTGGAAAACACAAATATGAAAGAAACGCCAACTTTCGCTCAAGTAAACCAATGGGGCTTTAGGATGATTAATATTTTTCGTGAAGCCCATTCTTCACTAGGTACATAGCGCACTGTTGGCTAGCGGCGACCTCAGCACAGGAATGCGGGTAATCACCCCTGCGCTTGAAGTCGAAGCTGCCAAAGTATAGCCTCTCTCGTTGTCGATCCCACGCCATATGAACTCGGTAACCCATCATACCACTACAAACGTAGCAGCATGGATGGGATTCACCTCCGGTGGTGAAAGCCTGGCCGTGCTCGTTCCTGCGGCCAAGGAATGAAGGGTGTCCCCTCATATCTTCGGCTAACCGGACCCTCAAAGCACCAAGCTGCAAGGTGCTATAATCTTTGTGGTTAATAGCTCCTGCCTCTTGGATCTCGTGGTCTCGAAGTGCCTTATAGGCAGCCCACGCCCGAGGGATATAGGGTTCCAGGCGATAATCTCGGTCTCTTCGACGGATATCGCCGATTTCCTTCAGGCCCTCCCAATTCTCTTGGTTGGCACCAACAACCATTCGTCGCGATTGATTGCTTGGGATATCGTGGTAGCAAACGAACAACATTTTTATCGAGCCATCGGCGACGGGTTTCTTGAGAGCCAACTTAACGATGTCAGCCTGCTGTAAAGGCTCGAATGGTAGATCGACACGGTCTCCAATGTTCCCTATTTGGAATGTTAGGTTGGGTTTCGTAGAGTTAACCAGAAAACATAGGAAATCGAGTAGTACTAACCAAGAAAGTTTGCTGGATTTGTGCTAGATAGCCTGTCTCTGAATGTCTTTCTCCCAAGAATAAGCTGGAGAAGGATCTCCCTGGAAGATCGCGTGGGTACCATGTGCCCTTCCGCCACGAAGGAAACCAGCAAAAAAGGAGAGCCAAGTTCCAGCCTTGAATAATGCCATTCGGCCTCGAGGTTTGACACGGAAGCCTCTGCGGTATCCAGGAGGTCACCAAGGCTCGGAGCGGCTCCACGGAAAAGCTTTGCTACTGCGATCTCGTTCCGGTACTGCTCGACGGTGGCTTTATAACCAATGTATACCCCTCTGAGCATAAAAATCTTGTGGCAGATGCTCTCTGAGAATCTTCTCACTAAACCTGTGCCTGTATCAGCATTATGTATAAGCTTGGAGAAAAACGTAGTAGCCTACGTACCATCACTGAGTATTTCTGGATACTCTCGACATTTTCGCCTGAAAAGCCAAAGGTCTGATCGTGTACGCGCTGCGGCACATGCGATCACGACGAGTGGTGTAGAAAACCTTTTACAGGCTTGACCTGGGCTGAGGTCATTCTGTAGGGCAACTCGTGGAGAAACCGCAACGGTAGTTTCTCTGGGATCCATCGTGTGTTCGTTATTTGCGTGATTAGGTAGTAAGTAAGATCCGTAGATGGTTTAAATCCAAAGAAAGGTGTACTTGAAGGAGGAAATGGACGTGTTTGAATATTGGTGTGCTTAATCGCTTAAAAAGTTCCTCGTGCGTGAAAGAATAACACAGCTCGAGAAGTGGGCAGAGGACAAAAGAGGACGGGAATGGTAGCTGCACCACAGTAGTAGTGTAGGACGAATATGGTATCAGATATCATAGATATAATAACACAAAACGCCACCTGTCCCCTTAGCCTGCGATGATTATCGGCAAGAAAGAAGAAGCTACATATGTGAAACAAGTTATCATTCCACACCACTCCCCATCATCAATTCTTACCCTTTACATAATGAGGGAAATGCATAAAAAAACCATAACCATCTGCAAAAAGGTAATACATAAGCGGTGTACGCTGGATCGGAACAATGCCATCAACAAACGACCGATACGCCACCAACGGCCTCTGGCATATCAATATCGGAACTTTGTGATACTCGCCACCGACAAGTAACAGCAGCAAACGGGGACATCAAAGAACAGGGCAAAAGCTGATGGAGGAGATGACTCACCCGATGAGGATATTAGGTCCCCGTGCGGGCTCTAATTACCCGTTTCCTTCTTCTCTTCTTCAGCTTTGTATTTTAGTTCATTGATGCTCGTTTGGGCGCAGGCTTAGATGATATGACCGTTACATACGGCAGTCTTCATCAAAACCCTTTGATGCCCTAAGGAAAATTGAAGGCAGCCTCTGGTTAACCCCGCCCAGTAGCCTTTAAGTTTATCCTTAGACTTGTCCTTGATTATAGGGACCCTTAAGAACCTTGCTCTATTACATAGTAATTAGGCAGTAATGACACATCTGCATATCGCCAATATGTACGTTACGGTAAGGCTGCACCGATAGGTATAATAGTGGCGTTGTGGGTATAGTTGTTGTTAGTTCTATAAACATTGGAGCTAACTATAGGAATGATGGTTACCATCAAGCAAAAGCAAGCAAGAAGACTTCTATTGTTACCCGTCGCAAGGAATACCGCAGCATATTTGATCTACCTGCATGTATGCCTTCGACTAGTTGAAATCCCTTGTCAAAACTTGGCTTGAAAGAGAAGAGTTAAGAGAGTGTCATTCCTCCTGGTATCAGGAGTAGGGTAAAGTAAACGAGATCATTACTGCCGCTACCCGCCGCAAGGAATATCATTGCAGATTTCGGCCTGGCTCATTATATATCTCCAATAACCAAACTATCTGATCAACTCTTGGTCGTTGTTTTAGAGGGTGGGGTTAATAATTATTCCGACCCGCCGATCCACAAGCCACCTGCAGGGACCCACGGATCTGCCGTCTTAGATTCTTAGCTTATCACAGTAAATCTCCGTGACATCATCGTGACATCTTCCTACCACAAGGTATGACAACCTGAAAGGAAAACTCCGCTTGACTCACTTCTCTCTTTGTCCCTCGTTTGTTGCATATTTCCGTCACTTCTACCTTCACTTCCATTTGAAATACCTCATCTTTACCCTTCACTTCCACCATCTATCTACGGCTCTCTCTCTACGTCTATCTCTCTACTTCTCTCTCTACATCTATCTCTACATCAACCCTCATCTACTTTTTTCAGCAAGCCTTATCAGCTACAAGCCAGCCACCATGCCAACAATCCAGGAGTTTGAAGCTTTTGAAAAGGTGGTGAAAACTATAGCCTCCCATCCTGATACGTCTGCGTTTCCGACCTCCCTCGCGCATAGATGGCCCAACCCGGTTGACCAGATGGCATTCCTGCGCTGGCAACTACAAAGGGGAAATGAGCTACAGAAAGTATTTGATACTCCTGGCGCCACCAGTGAGCAACTTATAGAACTGATCGACAATATGAGCTACAATTCCCATGAAGAGCGCTGTGAGCTTCTCCGAATCATCGACAGTCCCGTTGTCCCTTGGATTCATGTCGGAAAAGACAAATATGGTAGCCACTACCGCATCTCTCCACAATCCGATACCCTCTATCCAGATAAAGAGTTCTCCCCTCCAGGCGGCAATGAACCCCTCCCAACCAGTGTCCTGGGGGTTAACCTTAACGTCCAACCCCGAAATCCCCCCTGTCGCCGAAGGGGCCATTACGCTGAAGAGAGCAATATGTCAAACGAGTCCGATGATACTTCCGATACAGGCTTCGTTTTCCACCAGATAGGCATACTCGAGGAGTGGGTGGGCGATAGCGGTATTCCAAAGAGCAAGGAGAATATTTCGCAGGGCCCTTGGTTTCCAACTGGGTTTGGAGTGGTGGTGAAATTCGGCCGAAATGGGCTTGCAGATGGCATCTACATCATTTACAACTTCCTCCCTGTGGACGATTGCACCTATGAGCGAGCCAAATGCAGGTCAGACCATCCCACATGGGGATATTTAGGGAGGCGGTCGGACAAGTTCGCTGTCGCGAAGATCGCGAACCAGATGTCGAGTCTTGGATTTAACCGCCCTCTGTCGCTTGATCAGGTCGTCGATCACCCCGTTGAGTTGGTCAATGCTGTGCATGATTCTGCGGGCTTTATTATACGGACCACCGTTGCGGATGTTTCCTGTGGAAGGTGACGTTTTGCTATTCCAGCAGCCTCCCGTTTACTGTCTCTTGGGTTTTGTGGGCTTGCATCGAAGACATTGGATTATGCCTCATATTCTCCATACACGTCTATCTAGGTCGGTATGCTTGCATATGTTCCTCTTATCTTGATGTATAATTTGCCATCATCTTCGTGCATGTTGTATTTCCTTTGGTGTGACACTTCTCGGGGATTTTCCTTACCGGTTTTAGAAATCAAGAATGTAGGGTGCGATATATCTACCCTCTTCTGACTGTACCTAGATGCAATAATTCATTATTAATTTTTTGCATGTACCTTGCAGTCAATATACTGTAACCAAGGGATGGTATCATTGAACTTTACTTCTGCAATGTAACATTCATATCAATAGCAAAGCAGTAAAACACCACGAAACGGCAATGAAATTTAATATGACTTCGCTGCTTTCGAGAAAGGATGACGGTAAAGGGGATGGTGCATAAAATTATACAGATAGCAACAAAGCCAGGTAAACAGGCAAAGAACCGATCGCATTTTCTGTCCAGGTATGCTACTGTAGTAGCAACCATAGCTTAAGTACATCTAGCTGATTAAAGGGAGCGTTATTAGGCAATATTTAAAGAAGTAACATGGCATTTTTCTTTGAGGAGATGGTGGTCGACTCTTAGATCCAATGGCCACGAAAATACCCTGTTGCTATATCAAGTGGCCAACTGTGGCCCCTCGCCGTTGAAAGAGAGCCCGTATACTAATTTTACCTCCTTTTAACCATTAAGCTCGCTTCTGGATTGCTTAACATTTCAAAGCCAATCTCGATGATCTTTGGCTCACGGTCTCCTGCGATTTTGACATCGTAGTTCATGAGAATATTCGCTAATGCAACCTTAAGTTCGTTCGCTGCAAAAAATCTGCCGGGGCAGATAGGCTTTCCAATCCCGAAAGCGATGTGCTCTCGGCTCGTAGATACTAGCGCCGCAGTCCCATTTCCGGACTGCCGTAGACGGAGAAACCGGTATCCATCGTAAACAGTCGGATTTGGATAAATCGTCGGGTCCCACATCATGGAAGAATCAACGGCAAGGTTGGTTCCTTTTGGTAACTTCATCCCGTTGGCAAGAGTAACATCGCAAAGGGCCTTGCGCTCAAGGTTTACTTTAATGGGGAGAAATAATATTAGTCTTTGTTAATGGTTATCAGGCATGAGCGGTAAATTACCTAGCAATCCGGGCTTCAACCGTTGGCTCTCCTTAATCACGCTATCAAGGAGCTGCATCTTGAAAAGGCCCGCAGTCGTCCAGCCATCCTCCTTCAATGCTTCGCTCACTTCATCCCGTATTGGTTGAATGAGTTTTGGATGGGTACAAATATCCAATAAAGTCTGTTTGAGTAATTCGGTGGTCGTATGCAATGCACTCACAGCAAACGCCAACTGTGCAGCAGTGTGATCAAGCGATCGACCCGCAGCTGCATCTCTAAGCCACTGAAACGTGTCATCATATATTTTTGGTTTGTCTCCTTTTCCTGAAAGCCTCTCGGCTTTTACCCTGGCTTGAAATATTGGGTCTAGCATTTGGCGAGCTAGCCGTACTTGTGCTTGACACTTTCTGCATTCGGGGAGCAGCCACTTTGCAACTGGATGGAGAAATGCTGGATATGAGCGGAGTGCTCGCACTCCCATGAATGTATTAATGGTATAAGTGATTATAAGATTCTGCCATTCAGGGTTCCGAGATAGCTCAGGACCGACAAATACCGCAGACGACATTCGTGCAATAAAACTGACAGCATTCTGCGGCCAGTCGACAACATGCCAATCTAGAGCCAGGATTAGCAATTTGAATATTCCGAAGAGTTTCTAGATGAATAATGTACCTTTACTGTCATCCCAGGCTTCTTTAAGTGACTCTTTGATGTGCTCCTGCATCACCTTACACTCTACTCCAACGTTAGCATAGACCAACTCTGGCCTCAAAGATGGAACTTACGGCTACTTTGGTTCAGCTTCTTTTTGGCAACATCAATAGTAATTTTCCTTGGATCAGTAACCATACCAATACCTTCCATCCCTGGGTATCCGCCGAAATACTCCTATTTAGCAAATCCAGTAAGATTCAGCACGTCACCACTTATCTGTCAAATATAATGGAATTGACGTACATGGTGGACAAGGGCCTGATGGTCTAAATCCAAGCAGCCCTTCACCCACTCCGTATACGATGCTGGAAGTATCACACGAGATCCTAGAGCTGTTATCACTCGAAAAGGGCCGTCGAACTGGATGTTGTAGATTAGGTTCATTGCTTCCTTTGAAAAATCAAAGGCCGGTATTTTATCGTACCCTCTTAACGCCGTCCTTAATCAAGTTCCTGGAATTCAAAAGATATTCCTTGTGTGCTCTTTTCAGTGAAAAGTCCCCAGGGTATGAATTGATAGTTGGGATCTCATCTGGATCCCTGGTCCAGAGCCACCCAAGCACTATAGCGACAAGCGCTGTAATGATGGCTATGGATATCACGGCATAACCGTCGCTTTTCTCAGCTACCATATTAAAGGAGCCTCTTTGTGGATTGTTTGTTTCTGTATCTCTTGAGACTTCCCTCTAACCCAGACCTACAGCCTCTATATAACCCGTCATTTTATACACATCACGTGACTATGATGCTCTATCACTCATCTTGAGTCATGGTGCATGGTGCAATAGAAGGCTATCGCGAGGATCGATCACAAATATAGAGGTAGAACACATAGCTGGTCTCGGTTAGAAATTCCAAACTAGTTTGTCTATGTAAGGGGTACATTGGTGAATGCTAAAGGCGCAGACATTTTATTGGAGACTCAAGGGTTTTGAAAAATACAGCTGCGGATTTATGACAACCGCTCCAATACCTTGATCAAATCAGCCATAACTCCCATGGCGGTAACTGGGCCACCAGCTCCACCGCCCTGGACCGTGAGCGGAAGGTCTCCATATCGCTCGGTGTAGAAGCTAATGATGTTATCACTACCCTTAAGGCCGGCTATAGCGCTATCCTTGTCAAACTTCTGCAAGCCCACCTTCACGCTCTTGCCAGGGGCGTCAATACTACCGACATATCGCACAACTTTCCCCTCTGCCTCTGCCGCCTTCTTGAGTTCTTCCATCTTTCCATCAAACTCAGGCAAGCGGCGCATGAACTCTTCAGCTCCTTTACTTCCAGCCTCCAAGTTTGAAAGTTCTTCGGGTATCAAGCTCTCGATGGGGAGGGTATCGGGGCTCTCGACCTCCAAGCCAGCAATGCGGGCGAGTATGGTCAACTTCCGGGCAACATCCATACCGTTCAAATCGTCACGGGGATCTGGTTCAGTGTAGCCCAGTTCCTTTGCTTGGGCAACGACCTCGCTCCATTGCTTCTTCTCGCCAGAAGCTGGCGGTGAAGGTGGTGCAAACTGATTGAAGAGGAACGACAAAGTCCCGGAGAAGACACCCTCAATTCGGGTTACTTTGTCGCCGGTGTTAACTAGGTCACGAAGGGTTGAAAGAACGGGCAAACCGGCGCCAACGGTGCTCTCGTGGTAAACCAATGCATTGCTACTAGCTGCCGTAGAGAAAATATCCTTCCATAACTTCAAGGACGAAGAGAATGCCTTTTTGTTGGGAGTGACGATGCTGATTCCCTTACTGGTAAAGAGCGGGTAGGCATTGGCTATGGTAGGATCAGAGGTATTGTCCACCAAGATAGCTCGGCCTGGGACCTGAGAAAGGTATGAAGCTATCTTCTCCGGGGACCAGGCCTCAGATTTGGTGAATGGGCCGGTAGAGGATGAAAAGGCAGACTGCCAGTCAGCCGGAGGGATGGCGGGGTATGAGGGAGCGGGAGAGGTCAGTGTCTGCGAGGATCGGGCAAGGAGGACAAGAGATGGTGCGTTTGGAAGCTTAGACAGCTGTGAAAGGAAGTGACCTCCAACACCACCGACTCCTATACACAAGTAATGCACACCGATCAGCCATTGTTGGTGCTTAGAATATTGGATGCCTGTTAATTGAGGGGTACTTTGTGACTCTAGCACAACTCACCAATGACACCGAGGTAGATTGCTTTGTTCGACATGATTGACCAGTCAGAGATGATTTCCCTGTATGTTGATATCTATCAGAAATGACAAGTAAGCGAAGGTGAATATGACAGTTTGTTGCTGCTTTCCGAGTTTGTTTCTTCGTGGTGGGGGGCTCGTGCTCCGATCTCCGGTGATGTGATCAAGATAAGATAAGATGTCTTGGCATGGCATGGCTTGGCACAGTTTCCTTTCTCGACGACTTCAACATCGGCATCGACATATATCTTCCTTTCTTTTTTTTTTTTTCTTTAGAACATACAAGGAAGCAATTATGTCCTCGTCCCAGTCATTATACGGCATTCGACGGCCCAAATCTGAGGCGTCCAAGAAAGACCTCGCGTCGTCCTCCACGCTTGCCTTCACAACCCATCTCTCGTCGCTGATAGCTAAAGAGTCCAAGGCACCCTCCTCACATAGCTCCGATGTTGAGAGCGTACCAGCGTCAACAACCTCTCATGGTCGTGCGAGAAAATCTCGAAAACCGGACATCTTCTCCGTTCACAACAAAGGTGCGCAGAAACGAGCAGCAGCCGATATATCCAACGATAACGCCGCACTTCAAATACACAAACGGGGTATAGACATCGGTGAAGTAGATGACGCTGTCCTTAATAGGTCCAGGCGGAAAATGCTGGAAAAGACGAAGCTATATGATGAACTAAGGAAAGGAGAGTACTTAGCAGAGGGAGACAGTGATAGTGACGAGGGTGGACAACATGAGGGTCATTTCTCGACTATACGCCGGGCAGATAAGAATAGCCTGGTTAATTTCGATAGAAAATGGGCCGAGGATAGAGAATCTGGAAAAGATCTTGAGGAGAGGCCAGACGAAGATCATACCCTGGTTGAATATGAGGATGAGTTTGGTCGAACAAGATCAGGCACCAAAGCAGAGGCTGCAGAAGCTCTACAAAATCGGCAGCGCCAGCAAACCGCATCTGCTGCAAACAGAGAGGAAGTTGAACAGGATATGAGACCAAGCCTTGTCCCGTCAGTAGCTCGCCCTTCTCGACCCTCAAACGTTATATACGGTTCAACTATACAAGCCGCAGCATTCAACCCAGATGAAAATATTGCGGCCCAGATGTCTAAACTTTCCAAAAAGCGGGATCGAAGTCCTACACCGCCGCCTGAAACACATTATAACGCTGAAGCTGAAATTCGCACTCGCGGAACTGGATTCTACGCATTCTCTAATGACGAAGAGATCCGAAAGAAGGAAATGGAGGATTTTATGGCTGCTAGAGGAGAAACGACCGTTGAGCGAGATCGAGCTACTACGAAAAAAGAAGCTAGGGACAAAGCAAAGCAAGAAAGAAGAAAGAAGATTGAGGAGCTCCGGTCTAAGAAGAGGGCGGAGCAATTTTTAGGTGGGCTGGAGACGCTTTTGATACCTCCGGAAACAGGCCCTGAAGAAGCAGAAGGAAATAAAGCCAATTAAGATAATACGATTTAGATGTGCATTGATGATTTATGATACCCAAGACATACAATAATTTTAATTTTAACCCTCCCTCTCTCCTTTTTCCTCTTTATATATTACATCACTCGAGATACCCTCGCTCCTTGCCCTAATTAACCTGCTGATATCGATAGCTAAGCTACGATCACTAATAACGGCAGGCTGTGGGCTAACCGCTGGACAGACATATGTTTATAAACTAAGAACCGCTCCAGCGGGCAATCATAGATATATTATGTTTGAAAGGGTCTTAAATATTGGGCTGTAAGGACAGGAGTGACCATGCCTTGAAGCAAGCTAAATAATAAAAGTCGTATACAGGGCGATTGTATATCGGATCCTGTATAGACTCTTATTTGCTACATGTAACCCACGCTGCTTCTTGCTGTTCGGACTTGTCCCTTTCGTAGCACTGCATCTCAATGGAATTATCGTGCAACATCAACCGTGGTGTCACCCGGAGCTTGGCATTTGATATCTCCTCCCTCTTACACAACCTTTAGAGCTTTTCACTTATACCATCTTGCATTGACCACTAAGACCGAATACACGGACAGGGCTTTTGACACAAAATACATTTTCAATTATTTTTAATAAATGTTGAGAATGATGACTGTGGAGAGCTCTAGATGCAAATAGAACCAATATACGGAATATACAAAGTCTGATAAGGACAAGTAGAGGTGGAAGAGATCAGTAGATAAATTTAACATATTTTCATAGCCTCGTATAAGCACTTATGCATGGTATGAGGCAGATGCTTAAGCGTCAAAAGAGAGTGGGTATCATTGAAACAGACTCCAACGCCGGGAGGTAAGACAGGCAAATGCATAGTGAAAGGTCTATAGGGACAAGTTGAAATGTGTAACTCGTGCCTCGTAACAAATAGGACTGTACACCGAGTAATGTGCTGTGTATATACTCCAGAGCTGGGAATGATAGTCAGCTTGTGTATATACCGAGGAAAGGGGAATAGACGGGTGGCTGAGACTAACAACCACAAAGTACATAAATAGTCAAAATATGTACCAAAGCATCCTAGGAGTTGGGTTGTAGATTTAGGAGAAAGCGTCTGATCGATAGTCTAGAGAAAATAATCTTTCCCATGGCCGTGGTTTAGAAGCATGGCTGTTGAGGGAGGATCTAGATGGTGACGAGCTCGCCCCTGAAAGAAAGCTAGGCTTGTTTCTGACCGGGGTCGAAGGAGAGCCAACCACTGAGCTTTGGCCGTTGTTGTCCTATGTTGGAGAAAGAAAGAAAGCAATCAGTTTCTAATCGAAACGAACCAACATCTCCATATCGAAGTGGCGGTTATTTTCATTTATTCGATTCATTTGAGGGACCCGATAACAGATCTCTGCGAACCTCGTTAAATATTTGTGCCTCCTCTCTGCGGCCCTCCGCACTTTGATCCCCTTCCGACGGCAATACGGTTTCACCTGTTGATGCGGGCTGAAGTGTAGGTACGGGTACACCGTTTCTCGATGCCGAGCTGTTCCGTCTGCTATCTAAGCTCTTCGATAAAGTCTTTGTTGCCCCCCCGCCGTATGTTGTCCGCTTTAGCCGAATACTCCCCTTTGCGTCAACATGTGCAGAAGCAACGGTACTCTTACCAAGCCCTGGGGTACTGGGAGCTCGTGGTTTTTCCTCCGATGCATCCAAAAGATACCATCTCAGACCATCTGATAGCTCGAAGGGATTATCGTCGTCGATTGATGCGCCGTCATTAACACCCGTCGAAAGGCGGTCTTGGTTTGTCCCGTTCATAGATTTCGAAAGGTCAACCACTCTTTCCTCTGCCTTGGTGATTCGGGCGAGGAGCCAATCCCGCGTATGCAGTTTATGAACATCCTGCTCTCGCAGGAAGTAGTGGGGTGCTCCGACATTGAATGCCGCCCATGATCGAATTTCTTGATTGCGCGTAGGCAGGAAGAGTGCGAGATCGCCCTCCTTGAATGATCGATAGGCAATTTTGTCGTGGGCTTCGCTTTGAGCACGATGGTACTTGTCTCGGTATCCTCGGGCTTCCTTTTGCCATTTCCTAGCCAAAGTTTCAATGTCTTTAACTCTCTTGATTACTGCGTCCCCGCAAGCCGCTATATCCATGCGATCAACAGCAGCCATAAATGAAGAAAATTGAGACGATTCGTCTGCCTCGTTTCCTGCTTTGGCCCAATGCACATGTTCAGGTGTTGGAATTGTGCGTATAAGCGTCGAGGATGCCATGCTGTCACCGACGGAAAGCCCATTCATTACCCTGGAAGTTCGTTGGATTGTCATAGAATTGTCCTGAGAGACAATTGTGAATCCTAGTTCCTCTAGAATCCGCGATAGCTGTTCAACAAGGGTATGAACTTTCAATGACATATCACTAGCACGAGCACCTCGAGCGTCAAACCATGAGCTAGTAGACTTGCCGCCATCTTCAGTGGTTTCAACTTTCCTCTTCCATGTCAGAAGCTCAGCTGTAACAGAGCTTTTAGCCTCTTCCATATGTTGTAGACGTTCCTTTAGCTCAGTGATCGTCTGATCTCCCTCCATGGCGCGGTTGTCTGATACCTCTCTTTCAGCTTTCTCGGCGTTAAGGGTAGACCTCAAGGATGATGTCTCTTTTTGCTCCTTCTCCAGGCTTGACTTTGCGTCCTCAAGCTGGAATTTGAAGTCCTTGAGTCGTTCCTCGAGCTCGGAGGTCTGTGCTTGTTTCGACTCTAGCAGCGCCTTGGTGATTTCTGCATCCTTCTCTATTTGTGCGATTTTTTGGGTTAAATTGTCATTTTCCTCGCCCAGTTGTGCTACAGTTTCATCTGATCCCTTCGAATGTATAACCAGGCCTTCCACAACAACACAAAGGGCATCGACGAGGTCCACTATGTCACCCGGAGGTGAGGAGTTGGAAATATTATGATATGCGGACTGTAGTCCTTGGATTAAATCCTTCTGCTTCTTGTGAAGAGACTGGATCTCCTCCTCCAATTCATTGTTCCGATCCGTCAATTCAGAACAACGGGCCTGTGTTGCGGAATCAACTTTAGCAGCATCCTCTTGGCTCTTGCCTCGGGCGGCTTCGATCTCCTTGTACAGTAACTTGATCTTTTCGTCGGTCTCATGTCTCTCATGATCATGTGAATCCATGGCCCTGTCTAATTCATCTTCAAGCTCCTCGACCCTGGACTTGAACTTAGCCCCTTCTGATTCAAGAAACCTCCGTTCCTCTTCGAATTCACGCTGTTTAGCTTCAAGATTCCTCATTAAGTCCTTTTTGGTAAGTTCTGCTTCTTCAATCTTGTCGACATTGGCCTGACGTTCGAGGCTTGTCTCACGCTGCATTTTGGTTATCGCATCACGTTCTACAGTAAGCTCAGCCTCCAGCGCAACAATGCGTTGTATGAGTGCCCTGTCATCCTGTGGTTGATTTGATGACATGCGCCGCGATGAAAAAGAGGATCTTCGAGATGCATTATCGAGCCGTGCATTTTCTAATCGTGGAGAGGCCGGAGAGGTGGGTATGTCTGGCCCAAAATGCCCACTGACTGGGCGAGATATGTGGCTTTGGCGATGAAGGAGATCCTCCAACCTCCTCACACGACTTTCAGAACCTTTCAGCCTATCCTCCACCTTTGACTTTTCCTCTTGAAGGCTGCGAACGACATCATTGTCACGTAGTAGGAACGAACTACGGCCCATTTCAAACAGACTACCTTGTTTGAACGCTTTGGTTCTCCGCCGCTGCTGTCTGCTAGGGGTATCTAGTTCTTTGAGTAGCTGTGTCAACTCCTGGACGGTGTCATCCATATCATCTTTCGTTCTGACCAGTTCGATGTATTCCTCAACGTCAGCTCTAGAGACTTCAGGCCACACCGTAGCTTTTCCCGACTGCATATTGACTTCAACAGAAGGAGCGTTATCGTCAGTCAGCGTAAGAAAGTCGCCCATGCGTTTAACCCATTTCCTCCTTCTACGTTGTTCTTCATCGCGGAAAATAGCAAGCTCCTCAGCAATATCCCTCGAGTCGGTTTTCATTTTGTCAGTCCATTCATGACGACGCGCGGACTCGATTAGAATCGATCCGTAGATAGACGGTAGGTGGTAAACAAGGCAAAGTACGTCGAAAGCATCAGTGTCAACATCCAATTCCGCAATATCGGTCTGCGCCTTGGCCAGCCGTAATTCTATCGATGAAATCATTTGCATATGCACAGCAGCATCCTTCATGGCCACGTTTCGATCTTTTATGACAGAGTTCAGCGTATTCCGTAAATCAAGGCTTGCATCCACCATCTTTGGCAGGATCTTTTTCGTATGTACCAACGCTATCTTCGATACATTGGATATTGACCCAGGATCATTTGGTAAAGCTAAGATGGACGTATAATCAGTGGCGATCTTCCTGGCGTACTTTTCTATATCTCCCAGGAAAGACAGTTCGATTTCTGAAGAATAGTTCTGGGATGTGGCGTTTTCCAATGACCCTGCCTGGGCAGAAACACTACGGACTGTCTTCTCAAGGTCATCTAGACGCTGGGCAAAGCTTTGCGACTGTGTGGATACCTGTGACACCGCATTCTGCATTTCCTCGGTGTCGATATAATCCTGTAAAGTTCCCGTACGCTGTTCCTTTGGCTTCTTCGGTACTGGGCGTCGTAAGAAGGTGAAATCTCTCTTAGTGGGGATGGTACCGAGGCTGCCAAATGCGCGTTGCCAATCCTTGAGAGCTGACTGCTGGTCTTTGACGAGTCCGTTGGCCCAGTTTTGAGTATCCTGAAACTTATGCTCCAGGCTCCCGACATGGGACTTTAAGTTCTCTAGAGCGACGGCCACACCACGGCGAATAACTGCTATCCGTGCATGATGCTCGTCTACAGACTTGGCCATGGAATTGCACTGCGCGGCAAGGTTGAGTGCCCACGACCGACGCGCCATGTAGAGATCCTTCCATGATTGTAGGTTGTTCCGGTCCGCAAGTATATCGGGAGGGTCCTGCGGTGTGAATAGAGGAGGTGAAGGGGTTTCGGGAGCTCCGTTGCTGGTTTGATCGCTCACGTTTTGTCTGTCGTACACAAAAATCTCGTTCTACTACACTTAGCACGGAAACCGGTGAAGTCGGATAACAAAGGGAAGTGAAGACTCACCTCCGTCGCAAGGCTCTGGGTTTTGATGCTCTTCCCTCTCGCGGTCATTAATATCTGCCGCTGGACGGGAATCTGCGTGTTTCGGGATATCCATGTTCGCAAAGCATCCGGCCTGGTTGTATGACGGGTTAGCGACAGACAGACAGATATGTATATGCATATATAGTAAACCTACGAAGCAAACGAAACTGGATCTGCCAGCATCTGCTCACCAGTGTGAGCTATATATATGTGTAGCGACATAGCCGGGTTCTCCGCAGCGCGATGGGGAGATGTCCTTTGCGGCGAGAGATTGCTAAAGTAGTTTAATAGAAGCTCGCATCGTCCGCGACACGCGCCATCGACCTCCGTCTGGTGCCGTGTGATGTCTCATGAACGGCCGGCGGTTGTGCTCGTAGGTATTTGCTGCTCGGGTGTTTGTTGACTGGGCTCGCATGCACTTCTTCAGGTGCCTGGGGTGGAATCACGATCGCCCGTCTAGTGCACGTCAGTTGACCCACTGAACAACCACAAGCCCCTGGCACGAAACTCGCTATCTGAATCCTCTTCACGCGGTACGCAGCACTTTTTGCAGTCTAGGGACGCAGAGAGCAGAGCAGAGAAATGGAACGAAGTTGGTTTTGAAGCTCCGTCATTTTTTTCACGTGATGAGATAGGCCCCCGGATACTATATTCCAGTTCCAGGTTAAAGAAGTAGGAATATTCCTATCCATGGCTCAGGGAAGAGGCAGAGACACGATGGCCAGCCTGGAGGCGCCGGCAAGGGCTCTTATTGACCTCGCGACCCGAGACGAAGCCGCGGACGGGTTCTCGTTCTCGCAGAAAGAAGCAGAAATACTGGAGCTCTACGACCGTGTATTTGAACAGCAGCTGGAGGAAGCACTGTTGAATCAGCGTGCGGTTGCCCCCTTAAAACATCGGTTTATGTGTTGAAATATGTCTCGGAATATGACTGCACGGATAATGCTAACTAGATATACTTAATATAGGACTTTCTGAGGATAGAGATGTGGATGACGTTGACGCGAAGCTGGAAGAAGCTGAGCGCGAACTCCTCCAGGTCAGGGCAAAGCTCTCGGTCCAGAGAAAGGTGGTTGAAAGCGTACTCATGACTGAACCCAGCATACAAGCTGTTCATTCGGTGCCTTCGTCGCCGCTCGAGAAGTATGCATAACCTCGCATCAACCATCCTTCACAGTTAGCTCACAATTTACTAGGGCGCTACTTCCGCTAATTAACCGGCGTGATGTTCTTTCTCTCGCCTATGAAAACCTTGTCACTTCACATACCTCATGTATTCGAGAGCTATCCAATGCTGAGGCCTCTAATATGCAAAGCATCAAGCAGAATCAGGAGCTAGTCCAGTCTCTACTTGAGCTTACCAACAGCGAGAAGTCGCCAGAGGACGAGATATCTGATCCTCAGCTCAAAGAGGAACTTGACAGCCTGAAAACAGAGAACAGGCAGAAAAAAGCAGACTGGACTCGGGTAAAGCGTATAGTTAGTGCTTCTATCGCTGCTAGTGGAGTTGACTGGGCAAGCGATGAGAAGCTTGAGAATCTGGTTCTCGATGATGATGCATTAGATGATATCTGACCCCGAAGATAAATCTAGAGCTCTATATTAAAGACTTACGGCGTGTGCGTATTTGAAGTTATGCGCGCTGTATCTCGGTTTTAGGCGTATCATTGCTTGATACCGGTGATTGTTGGATCTAAGTGAATACGAATAACCCTCGAGCATGGCCACAGACGACTTCAAACGAAAATATCGATGACTAAAGCTGCCCAACCTGGGGAAGAAGCCATTATTATCATCATGTGCGCGTTTTCATGCCGTTGGATCGCCCAATACCCACTCTGCTTGCCACTGAATTATCCGAGCACTGGCGATGGTCGGCGTGATTTATATATCTACAACAAACACGTATCCTTAGGGTGGAATGAGCAAATGGGGGGTTATTGGCAACATGTATGGATGTGACCATTTACAATACTCTCGACATAGCGCATGGCTGGAGCAAAAGTCGCGGACAGGACGCCTTGAACAGTTCCTTGGAAGGTCCACGGATCGTTTGGCTATCCTAACCAAAAGGTCACTACCGTTTTCCACGAAGACACATAGGATTAGGTGTAATTCTACGGAGTACTACTATTTAATATTTGACGACATCTAATTGTACAGCCCCATAGAATAGCTCAATTTCTCGGATACCCGGAATCTATTGTCCACCACTTTCGAGCAGAGGGTAAACATGTGTAAGTCGGCAGTATGTTTATGCGTGTTCAGTGGTGGATGCAGGAATGTTGAAGAACTCCTGCCAGGTTCGCATTGTCTCCGGACAGCGCAAAGAGATAGGTCAATTAAATAGGCGTGTTCATATTAATTAGGAAATAGATATATTTTACAGCCGATAATAGTGCGTTTAGGAACAGTAGGAGGCTAAAAACTCGTAGCCTTTTCAACTTTCCCAGCAATTCTGATACATAGCTGCCCAGGTCGCCCCAGTATTCAAGCTCTAATGAATGCGCAAACCCTACCATGCAAGACCCCAAAGGAAATAAAGGCTATGTTACAAGTGATACCATCATGCTTTAAATGCGAGGAAAATTCCAGTCATTGGTCTGTTGTCGCACGGTAGCCTCCAATATGTTACAGCAACAGACCAGGTTCTATGCGTTCGGACGATAGCCACCTGCAGTACTCAGTTAGTAAGTTGGGTTTGAAGTGCATTACTCAAAGGTAGGTACATACCGTATTGGTGGCGCTGATGCGCACCACCAGTTTGCTGCGGGGGAAGTCGAAGCTGCGATACACTGGAAGGCAGTTCAACTTGTCGGAGGAGGTTGACCATCATCTCTGGCGAGAATCTAGTTGCATCATACGTAGACGCGGGCGGGATAATGCTCAAAAGATACACAACATCTCTTGGTAGAGGCCCTGCCGAAGGCTGCTGTGGTGGCTGTTGTTGCTTTACCCTAGAAGGAGCTGGCCCTCCACTAGAACCATTGGACTGGAGTCGTTTTTGCTGGTCACGTCTTCCAGCGGCACCTTTTAGGGGAGATTCGGCACGGATGAATTTTCTGGGTCGGCTTGGTTCATCGCCATATTCGTCAAGAGGGAATGATCGTTTAGGGGAGTGTGTAGTGGTAGTAGGGTGACGGATAGCAGGCGAGCTATGGCGGGAACTAGGCTCTTCAAGAGATATCATAGTTCTAGGCTTTAACTGGCTTGGTGATAGGACTGGCTGGAAGGTGGTTGGGTCAAAGGAGGGGGCTGAGAATCGATGGGCAAACTGTTTAAGAGTTGGATCCTCCGGGAATAGCTCTCTCATCCGGGACTCGAGATTGTTTATCTGTACGAGGTCTCCATATCGAGATTCATATTCATGTAAAAAGGCGAAGATTGGTTTTGCCTTGGCAACGTTTTCTGGATTTGAAGTGAGTCTTCGAACGGTGGTTTCGAACACAGCTCGTGCATCTAGAGAACAGTTAGTAAAGAATGTATATAAACAATCATGGGGTAGGAATGCCATACTTGTAATATCGTTAATATCGATAAGATGTTTCAGATACTCCAACGCAAAAACCTCATCCTCTGGGAAAAGCTTTGCTCCCCTCTCAAAGATTTTGGTTGCTGCTGGGTCCTTATAACAATGATATTCCAACAAGGCACTGGCAATGTAAACGTCACTCGTAATCCGTCCACGTTTACGCGCATCGGCAAATATCTGGCGGGATCCTGCGATTTCGCCAGGTTTGCCTTTACCTTGAATACGACGCATTGCTCGCATCAATGCAATCCAGACAAACGAAACCGCTTTAGAGAGGACGCCGATTTTCCCAGCATATTCTTTCTTCACTGACTCAATCTCCTTCGCTTTAGCGCTTTCGTGTGTCCGGGGGTTGTCCGTTTCATCTTCGTCATCATCGTTTTCATGTAGTACCGGTAGCTCCTGATCACCTTGCGCAGCCTGTTCTTCGACCCTCGCAAGATCTGTCGCTTCTTGCGCCCTAACCTGTCCAATCAACTCATAGAGTGCATCAAGTAACTTATCATAAGGCTCTCTGACTCGAGCGCCACGCTTCTTGGGATCCTGCTCCGAGGCGCTAGATAGTTCCAGTCGGTCGGCGCGCTTAAAGGCGAGAAGACAGCTTTCCGGGTTCGCTTCTATTCCCTGTTTCAAAAAGTCGTTTCCTTCAGTTTCCATGCCGTTTTGGAAGCAAAAATCCGCAGTATCAAAAAACATTTCAGGCACAAATCTCAAGGCCATTAAGGACTGTTTATAGACGTATAGAGTCCGCTGCTTGTAGCTGGCCGGGTCTTCTTCCTTGAGAACCAGAGGATCATCCTTTTCCCACTGTATCCAGCGTTTCCATATTTCAACCTGCTTCGAGAAAGAATAGTCTCCCTCGTAGCCAGGGGCTGGGGGAAGTCGGGGGAGAGATAACCTGACAAGATCTCTGGTAATGTTTTGAAGTTCCGTATAAGAGCTCCTAGCCGTCATATATGACGGGGATTTATCTTGTATAAATTTGCGTCCCTAAACCCATCAAGAGGAGGAGAGTCAGTGAAACGTGAACAATTATAATGCCAGATGTTCCACTTACCGTCAACTTGTTTAAGCCCATCTCAAATTGATCATATTCTTTCCAAAGCGTATTCACAGCTTGAGTGGGAATGCAAATTGCCCGTTGGTACGCCTTCCTCAGCAGATCCATTTTCTGTTGATCTTGCCAGCCGGAACCTCCGATGTTTCCAGGCCCGGAACGAAGAAATTGGATGTAATCGACCCAGATGTTTCCGGAATCTTTGTCGATGCCAATATGCTGGAGTGCAAGGTCATATGCTGATGAAATAGTACGTCTTGCGTCCCCGCTAGAATCAGTGGTTAAATTATTACGCCGACGCACATAATCCAAATACAACGACCACAACTGAACATTAGGAATGGATAGTAGGCATTTTGTAAATATCTGTTCCAACTTGTATAGTTCGTTGTTTTCAGATTCCATGGTGGCGTATTCAACCCATTGCTCGGCCTAGAGTAAAAACATTAGAATTCTCTTTTTATATATTGCATCAGTTTTTTTTTGATTCAATGGTAATAGAAACGCACCGCCGAGGGGAAGACCTTGAAAACCCTCTCGTACACCTGCCTGGCACTGTCGAGCTTGTTTCTGCTGCGGTGTTCGCTAATTAATTCTAGCCATGCATCCGTATCGCCACGGGGATCGGCTTGTATTCTGTCCTCTAGGATGCCCAAGCGGTCATGGGGGAGGCGAGTTCTTGAAGTAGCCGCAACTGGAGGCGTCGAAGGAAGAGAGCTGTTGGCTGACTGAGCGGCGGATCGACCCGGTAGCTTCGATTCCCCTTGCGTGGGTTTAAGTGTGCCATCGTTGTGCACTGAATGATCAACATGAGAATCAGAAGCAGGAAAATTAATGGAAACATGTGGAGTGTTTTGATCTGAGGCAATATTTTGCTGCTGTACATGGAATTGTGAAACAGGTTCATTTATATTTTCAGAAACAGAGCGCTGAGACATGTCTGCAGAAGTAGATATTGAATTCTGAACTTGAGCTGATAAAGCCGCAGCTGGCGGCTCGTACTCAGCGTCCCCTCCATCTTCTTCACCAGTTGATCCCTCCTCAAAGACACCAATCTGGGATATTGCGGTAGAGGCTTTGGACTCGCCTCCTGATGGGGGAAGCAGAAAGGCAGAATCATTGCTATGGGCATCCTGGGGCAATTTTTCAGGCAAATTAGGCCCCGGAGCAGGAGTTGGGGTTGAAGAGCTGACAAAAGGAGACATATGAGGAATCGTATTGTGATTTGAGGCTGCTATATTTGCAGAAAACTGCTCTTGAATTGTTTCAGAGGGATCATAATCGTCCGAGTCCGAGTCGCCTGCAGCTTCAGCATCTGCATTCAAAGCCTGCGACTGCAAAACCCCATATTCAGCTCCCTCCTCCGCCATATTGTCTATTTAGAAAGGAAATGTGGTATCCCGGGTCGTCTATCTAGAAGTGAGAAGCAAGTCAGTTAGCAGAGTCGAATGACGGGATAAACGCAGTGCTCTTCACCAACCTTCGAGAAATGAATTAAAAAAAGGCGCCTTTGCCAATAAATACAAGGGTCTGGCTGGGTGTAAAAGCAAGAGAATCTGCCCGCCGTCAGTGAGGCTGGTTTGTGAAAACTTCAGCAAGCTTCCCAGCGTCTTTTTGTGTTGTTAAAGCTTGATCTCGCTGGTGGTCACGTGAGAAAGGTGAAGGACAAAGGTCGCAGTTCGCAGAGCTGCAGTGAGTTGGCGCAGTGAGACAGCGAGGGGGCGAGGAAGCGAGTGTATCAGTACAAAGAACATTATTCGACCAACACTCCCGAAATACATACCACTTCATACATCCTGACTTGACTCTTTGAACATATCTATTCACCTGCGCAGGCTGTTCAATGGTGATATCACGTGATGCTGCCTGGAAACGCGAAACTTCCTTAATTGTTTCCGCGTCACGTCGAAAATCGCCTTTTTAACGCATCTTCAGTTCGACGAACCCCCACCTCGACAACACAGCACTCGCCCTCTCGCCTGCACACGCAATCTCTCGATAAAGGCAGCGGTAGACCAATTTACCGTCTCATCCAGCCCTGATTAATATATATTTCCACCATGTCTGTCGTTTCTCTGCTTGGTGTACGGGTGGTGAACAATCCTGCACCGTTCACCGCTCCGTACGAGTTTGAGATCACATTCGAGTGCCTCGAGCAGCTACAGAAGGGTACGTTGGATGGCTGGCGGGAAGATGCAAAATCTTGATCCTAGACTGACGTCTTACCTCTAGATCTGGAGTGGAAACTCACCTATGTTGGATCTGCGACCTCGTAAGTCTCAGTGCTGTTCCTCGCGTTTGTGGTCTTCGAAAAGAAGGTGGGAAGGCTGACTGATTAGATCCGAGTACGACCAAGAACTGGATTCGTTATTAGTTGGGCCAATTCCAGTCGGCGTCAACAAATTCATATTCGAGGCTGACCCTCCAGACTTGAAGAGAATTCCCACCTCTGAGATCCTGGGAGTCACTGTCATCCTCCTCACGTGTAGCTACGATGGGAGAGAGTTCGTCCGTGTTGGATACTACGTGAATAATGAATATGACTCGGAAGAGCTGAACGCGGAGCCACCTACGAAACCAATTATCGAGAGAGTTGTCCGTAATGTCCTGGCGAAGAAGCCCCGAGTAACGCGATTCGCGATCAAATGGTCAGTTTATGATGTGCCTGCTTTTTCTAATATTCTCTACCAGTTACTAACTAGAGTACTCGAAAACAGGGACTCAGAGGATTCCGCACCTGCGGAATATCCACCAGACCAGCCCGATGTGGATGCATTGGATGACGATGGTGCGGCATATGGCGCTGAAGAGGTTGAGCTTCAGGCAGCCCTCGAAAAGGAGCTCGAGGAGCTCGACAAAGAGGAAGTGAACCCCGACGGCATGGAAATTGAAGAAGGTCCCGCTAATGCCGAGGAGGGCAATGCCGACGATGACGAAGACGATGCTGGCAGTGAAGACCTGGAAGCGGAGAGTAGTGAGAGCGAGGAAGATAACGACGAGGAAGAGGGCGACGAAGACGTGGAGATGGGTGATGGAGACCCGGCAGACAACAATCCTTCTGATCCCAAGGCCACCGCCCAGCCTCAGCAGCAGTCTGAAGTTATGGTCCATTGAATAAAATTTGGCAAGAGAGTGATACCATCATTTGGCGGGGAACCATCGTGTTGGTTACGAATGCATGCACATTTTATGATTTAACTGGCGTCTGTTTAGTTGCAACATATACTATATTCTGTTATATCCCAGGCTATTATAAATTCCATGAATATTTTCAACAGTGCAACTGCTAAACAATGTCCGCTGATCTGTGTTTGTAGAGGTTCTTCGTTTTTCAATATCCATGCCACCCATAGCAGCGTAGGCGGCTTGCTGGATCTATCTGGTCCGTCCAAGGTACGATCCCAAGCCTGAAGATGCCATCCTCCTTTTCTTCCTCTATCCCAAACAAGAGACAGCGAAGTAAGCATCGCGAGTGACCTGAAGGGTTCTCCTGATTCACGGAGGTCAAGAGGCTCGAGCCGAGGCACCAAGGAGGGGCCGCCACCTTAAAATAATTAACCCTCGAACATCCATGCAAAGCTACATGCAACTCGCTTGCATCTACACATTATTCTTCCACGCAAGCCAGCAGGAGATCGAAAGCTAGAGGACACTCCTATTACTTGGTTTTATTGCATTCCCGTCCTGGAGCATTCATACGCAAAATGGCCGATACGACCGCGCCCGCGCCGGCGGATAAAGAAGAGAGCAGAGCGCCAGTTGAAACTCAACCTCCAAAGCCAGTAGAGGTCAGCAGTAAGGCGCCTACACAAGGAGATGAGGAGGACTCAGACTGGGAAGAGCTAGACGGTAAGCACATCTATTTATAAAACGAATGAGCTGGATTCACTTTGGAAAAATGGCCGGTTTCGCTGATCATTCTGCAGATGTACTCGATGATTTCTCTGCGTCGAAGAATGCTTCGCAACATACACAGGCAGACGGAATAAAAACAGAATCTATAGAAAAACAAGTAGAGGCGAATACGGAACTATCGAGCGCAGACCAAGAAGCGCTACTAAAACAACTAGAAGCTGGCATGGCTGAGTTGATGGGCGCCTCTGCCTCCGCTGACGCCAGTGGACCAGCTGCGGTGGGAGACACTCCGAAGGGGAAATCTGCAGAGATACCAGGGTTGCCACCATTTCCAGGGAACGAAGATTGGAATGCGCTGACCGAAGAGCTCGAGAAGAAGGGATTTACAATGGAAGATGTGATGAAGCTGATGATGGGTGAAGAACTAATGACCGGAGGAGACACTATTCCCAGCGTGGATGGCCCGAAAACTACGGCAAAAGCTACGAGTACTCAACCCTCATCCTCGAAGAAGGGAGAAGAAAACTTCCAAGAGACCATTCAAAAGACGATGGAGCGGATGCAGGAATCAGGCAACAAGGCCGCTGCCGAGGTTAACGAGGGTGGAAACGAAGATGTGCTTATGCAGATACTCAAGGCAATGGAAGGCGGAGGTCTAGCTGGTGCCGGCGAAGGGGATGACGGAAACCTCGACAAGCTTTTCATGGGCATCATGGAACAGTTATCTAACAAGGAAATGCTGTACGAGCCTCTGAAGGAACTGGACGATAAATTCGGGCCTTGGTTGAAAGAGAATAAGGAGAAGGTAGGGAAGGAAGACCTAGAAAGATACGAGTTGCAGGCTTCGCTGGTGTCTGATATCATCAAGAAGTTCGAAGAGAAGAGCTTCTCAGATGACAAGCCTGAGGATAGAGCTTATATATGGGAGAGAATGCAGAAGGTATGTGAACAATCAACATTATATTGTATCGTTGGATCTGTGCTGACTTGTCAATTAGATGCAAGCCGCTGGCAGCCCTCCAGATGACCTTATATCGGCTCCTTTCATGGACGAAGCCAAACTCCAGGCATTAGGTCAAGATGGCTGCGCCCCGCAATAACAATAGGATAACCAGTCCGGTGCGCACCGGTTTTAATATATTCAAGCCTGCCAATGTATTGTACATAAAATGGGATACCCCGTATTAGTGGTCGTCTTTATTTACTTCCCATTCCCAGAGAGCGTAGGACATGGAAAAGCAAAACCAGTTACCAGCCAAAACCAACGCCGTTTGAATGTGGCAGGTAGAAAGCTGCCGTAGAGAGCCATGACTTCAAAGTGCTCTTGAATAAACCGGCCTAGCGCCAAAATCAAGTCGAAACTGAAGTTCAAACCACAGATATCGCCTTAGGATACGCCTGGACAATATCCGTCGATATGTAAGCAGCCCATTTGTATATGTCCAGATTTTGAGATCAACCCCCAACTGTACCCTTGGGTGTTCTGGTTTCTTTGGCGTAATAGTAATGAGCAGTACCAAGCACATTAACGCCGTGCCATCCGGCCGAAATGTAGGCTGCAAAGAGAATGCAAGAAACCGTGTTAGGATCCCGATGTATCCATCTGATGGTGGGATTTGGACTCAATTCGATCGAGAAGCTCAACTAGCATATCATCGTCGAACATGTCACTATCAAGTGACTCTCCGCCGGCTCCATTCCCCGGCGCATCCTCAACTAAAGCCATATACTCGTTTTCCTCCTCGGCAATAAAGTCTTCCAATAACGCTTCGTCAAAATCTATATCTTTAGTTAGAGCTGCTCAATTAAAGAACGATAGCAAGAACTAAGACCGAGTCTTGATCTCACCTTCATCCTGCTCAGCAAGATACTCCTCCGCTTCATCCTCATCGCCATCCTCCAAATACTCAATTTGAGGACCTGACTTCGCCATCTCCTCCTCAAATCGCTTCTGCTGCTCTAAGAAATCATTTCTCTGGATCTGATCACTTCGCGCGTCAAACTGGTTCGCACGACGACCGCGTTTGACTCTGTTCAAAAAAGCATCTCGTCGCGTTTCTCTGGATTGTCGCTCTGTCACTCGTGCGGCAGGTCGGCTTATGGTTGCTGCATATCGCTGGGCGAAATGTGATGGCGAGGAAGCCGGGTGTATGGCTGCTGGGCTTGCCGGGGCTGCCGGGGAAGAAAGCGAGAAGGTGAAGGGTGTCGGACTGAATTGGTTTGTATGGTTTGTATCTCGGCTTGATCTATTCTTTGGGGTTATGGGGGTATTCTGGTCCGACATAGGGCATGTGGCAGTTACGGCGAACTGGTGATGAGAGGCGAGCCGCGGGGAGAACGTTGGCTGTGGAAAGGCCGGAGCAAAGGCGAACATGTTGCAATTCAATGGCAGTTCACACTATCGTAAGTATACGCAGCTGGTATCTTATCGGATGATATATTGGTATGTCTGGGGAGATATCATAGATTGGTCGAGCATATAGATACTCGTGTCGGTCTTTTAACCACGAAGTTCCGCAGACGCGTTCTCGCGTTCTTATCTTTATCTTAAGGCGGCAATAAGACATACACGTGACTTACACCTTACATAAGCGCATAAAGTGTGGTCTCGTGACTACACGTGATAAATAACCCTGTATTAGCATCACGTGATTCAACATGTGACGTCATCATGAAATTCCTCAAAAACCCGGGGAACTCAGGCCTCATCATCACCAATCGATCCAAAAAAACCACTTTCATCCATAATTACATTCTGCAAGCTTCAGAGTCCCCCATAACGGTCAATATCTAATTATTAGGCCTGCCCAAAGCTCCTCAAGGAACTCAGCACTAAACAGACCATTAAGATAAGCCACCATTACCGCCAGCAGTTGACCATCTCCTCTCCGGGACAACCGTCAGGGATTCTCAGCAGTTCCCTAACTACAGGGGACCCTAGCCCTCCCCAAACCTTCCACTACAAGATCCTCAGTTTACTTGAGAAGAGACGAAGACAATACCCTTCTGTTGCCAATACCCGTTGTCCCTAGACAGTTCATTTCTTTTAGAAACACCGTCGTAGTGGATAGCGGCAACCCCTCCAAAAGAGTCGTGCTTGGCCTCCTTATAGGAAATTGCAAGCCTCCGAAGCCAGCGGACGAGCCCGCAGGAGCCGCAGGAGTAGTTAAGGGCGTATAGAGTCATAGCTATTAGTAGCCTACTCCTTGATAACTCGTCAGAGGAATCCTAATCCCCGTCGGAAGAGCCATTGTCCCCGGAACCCCTCCTTTAGGACCTCTCGTACCACAGTCACCCCCCTTTAGATCCTATTATGTTGAGAGAGAACGTCTTCGTCCATCTCCCAGACTTCCGCCTGAGCGGCCAGTTCTCCGGAGCGGAGTATGGGGGAGCAGAATTATGGCTGGACCGTCTTGACTAGGAGATGCAGTCAATGGTGGACAACAGCTTGAGTCCCCCAGCTGTCCCCCCCAAGATTTACCTAAAAGCACTGAGGGTACTCCTCATCGGCAAAGCCCAGGAGTGGATGGTAAGGGACGCTGAAGTCAGGAGACTGTGGGCCTTAGGTACTCAAGTAGCCCTAGACACGATCAAAGACCGCCTATGTTCGAGATTCCCGGGGCCTGAGGCAGACGCCATCCCGTTATCCTTTAGCGAAGAACTGTCCTTGCTAAAACAGAAGGAGGACGAATCTCTCACCCAATACTACGAGCGGGGTCAGGCCCTAATCTCCCTCGCGGGTATTGAGGATGCACCACCCAAAGACGCCCCCGAGTCCGCTCAGCTAACCGGAGGTGACCGTATTCTCCTGAACACTATCTTAGAGACCTGGGCTAAGGGTCTCCAGGACAGCGAAGTTAGAAGGAAGGCTGTGAAGTCCTCAGTGGATGGCACCACCAGCTTGAAGAACCTGTTGAATGTTACTAGGGACGCTCATAGGGCAGTAGACGCGGTTAGGAAGCTAGACATTGAGGAAGCCCGTGAACGAGAGCTCTTCCTCTTGCGGAATACAGTCACCCGGAACATGAGCCCCCGACAATTGGAGGACTTATACCATCAGTGTGCATATCCATCCGGATACTCCCCCCGGCCTAGGAGACTGCCCAAATCCACACACACCACGACCGCCTTGACTACCCAAACTGAAGTAGTCTGGTCGTGTCCCTTCAGCGAACCCATTCCCAGCCATTCACTAAATCACATGTAATGTTATCTAGACTTATGTAATAGGTTGCCAGCACGAGAGACGACAAGACGGCTCTTCAAGCTAGGAGACCATCCTATCATTAACCATTCACTCTCCTTAAAATCTACATCCCCAGTATCCTACCAGCAGATATATAAATACGGGATATGCTCCCGAAATGCGCAGTGAGAAGTGTATTATGTCATCAGGAACCCGATCGCGGGACTAGTCCATATCGGGGACTCAACGCCAAGGAAAGTGACGTCGTGACTTTCCCCACAGCGAAAAAGGCACATAAGCATAAAGCCAGGCCGTCCACCGCAAAGCCACCACACCACCCCTTTACACAATTTTCATACTTCTATAAACCAGTTAATCCAACAGTGCGGAAACGATGTCGTCGTCAAAGGATGTTGGCTCTGGCGTTCCTGCCTCTAGCAAGGGATCTTGGGCTACTTTCCTCAAGGTAAGTTCCCCCGGCCTGTGAGGGCATTACACGGAATGCTGGGGAATTCATTCTGATATAAACCACAGTCTATTGCATCTTTTAACGGTGATCTATCATCCCTGACGGCTCCCCCTTTTATTATCTCGTCTACCTCCCTGGTCGAGTTCTCTGCGTACTGGGCCGAGCACCCCAGCCTGTTGGTCGCACCGTCACGCGAGCAGGACCCGCAAAAACGCGCCTTGCTGGTTTTGAAATGGTTCCTCAGTACTTTGCATCAACAGTATTGTAGCAGAAGCGAGAAGCTAGGGAGCGAGAAAAAGCCGTTGAATCCGTTCCTGGGTGAACTATATTTAGGAAAGTGGGCAGATGACGGAGACATTGGTGATACTCTGTTGTATAGTGAACAAGTGAAGTATGGAATACACCGGTTGCCTTGGAATCTTTCACACCCAAAGCTACATTGCTAATGTCGTATGTTATAGCCACCACCCTCCAGTCACTGCTTACACAGTTGAAAATAAAAAACATGGTGTCCAGGTTAGTTCTCATCAAGAGTTTTTTTTTTTAACCTTATACAACTAACATAGAATGGGTAGCTACAAGGATATAATGCACAGAAAGCGTCCTTTTCAAATACGATCAACGTGAAGCAGATCGGTCACGCCCTCTTGTCGTTCCCAACACCCGGCTCCTCCGAAAAGGAAACGTACCTTATTTCCCTCCCATCTTTACACATCGAATCTTTGATTTACGGCACCCCATTTGTCGAACTCAACAAATCCACTTATATTGCCAGCTCAACAGGATATATGGCGAAGATCGACTACTCCGGCCGTGGCTGGGTTAGCGGCAAGAAAAACAGTTTCAATGCCATTCTATACAAGCACAGTGAGGGAGAAAAACGCCCACTATACACTGTTGATGGCCAATGGTCTGAATCATTTGTTATAAAAGATGCTTCAAGCAAGAAAGAGGTTGATAGATTTGATGTTAAGAAGTCCAAGACCTCCGCTTTCACGATTTCTCCAATTGAAGAGCAGGATATATACGAATCTAGACGAGCGTGGAAAGACGTTGCAGCCGCGGTCGAAAAGGGAGACATGGATGCGCTCTCAGCGGCCAAGTCGAAGATAGAAAATGCGCAAAGAGAGCTGCGAAAGGTTGAGGCTGAAGAAGGACGAGAATGGGAGAGACGGTTCTTCCAGCGCATTAACCTGGATGGTAATGACGGGAACAACAAAGAGAACGAAACTTTTAAAAAGCTTTTGAAAATGGCCGGCCTCGATGCTGATGGCGCATCATCGTCGCCGTCTAGTTTAATCGATTCTGATAAAACTGGCGGTGTCTGGAGATTTGATGCCTCTCGAGCTGAAGGCGCCAAGTCACCGTACCACGCTGACTCCGTGCATGGCGTTGGCCTTGCCGTTAATACAAAGCCAACGCAATAATTTATGACGGCCTCATTTTAAAACATTCACCCTACGCTTCCCGTCTTACTTCTCTGCATATTAAAGCTTGTCTTATGCGTTACACATCAATTTTTTGCACCTGCTATCATTGCGTCACATAGCCGCTAGAACAGCGGTAGGGTTTATCATAATGATGGGTATTTTTCGGTCTATTATTATCTATTTACATTATATAGAGAAGAGATAGTATAGTATAATAAACAAATAGCATATTCTTCCAACGTTCCCCTTCGTACAATCTGCTCAAAATCATGCATATATGCAAATAGGAAATATCTAATATGCGCTAAAAACAGACATAAAGGAAACATGAAGTTTTTTATAAAGAGGGGATAATTTATGAAAACATGAAATCAGCTCATCCTAGAAAAGGTCTGTCTCCTCTCTGGGGGAGCGAAGGACTGATGCTCATGTGAATCATGACCCCTCTGAGATTCATGAAGAGGTAGCTCCTCAAATTGACCCTGGCCATCACTATCCAAAATCCACTTGCCGCTAGCTGACTTATTTCTCTTCTTGTTTTTGCGTTTCTTATCCTGCTTCGGTTTCTTCTCAAACTCGCTCCCGGGGCCAACGAGGAATCTTCCTGGATGGAAGATATTGAATGCGACAAGAGCAAGGAACATGGGAGCTGCATCTAGAGCGTAAAACGCCGCTTCGTTTGTGGCGATGGCTGAATGAAGACCACCTGAGAATTCAATGAGTCGGTAAATGATTCGGATGGTGATTAGGAGTAAAGATGTGTAGACGGTGTAAAGAAGTGGCCGCCAGGCGTACTGTGGGCAATCCGTTTTTTCGACGATGGTCATTTTCTTTTGGAACCGAATTGCGAGGCCCACGAAAATTAGAATGAATAGTTCCTGGAGCCCAATACCGCCCATATCTATATGTCAAAGTTAGAAAGGCAACACTCATAGTCTATTTCAAGGTAAAAGATAAAACTTACAAAGGTTAATTCCGATTTTGATACTGTTTGCACTATCGGAATTCAGAAGGCTGCTCGACGCCCCCTGAGTGAGAAAGGCAACGATATCCAGACAGACGAAGATAACTGTCAGCTTCCGCGCCGAGATGCCGAAACATCTCTGGTCGGGGAGGAAGAAGTGCACCATGCGTCCGAGAACCATGTAGACGTATGCGTTTATCCAGAGAGGGGCAAGGGCAATTAGGATATGATGGGGATATCCGAATCCCTTCTGATATAAGTTCATTGAACCCGCGGCTCGGAGGGCATAAGCAGTAGCTTCCCAAGCACCACCCATAATGATGACCCAGGAGAAAAACTGTGGAGCAACTTGAGTTAGAAGGTTGCCAATTCTATCATAAAAGATGGGATGGTTTCGTTCAGTACCTTTTTAAACGTGATGGCCTGTATGATATGGGTTATAGTGGTCAGGAAAAGAATACAGCAAAGACAACTGCGGGTGCGAATGTCGGACAATATTGCCATGGCACATCTTCATTATTGATGAAGTCAATTCCATCACACGAACTCATTGTTTAAAACAAACGAAGCTCTCAATGCTCAAACCGGTATGCTGAATCTGATATAAATCAACACCGAGGGAATAAATGAAAGAGAGACTGAAGGTTCTATTGCTTTGATGATAGAAACAGAATCAGAAGAAACATCCCGAGGAATAAAGATGAATATATACATATTCATCTCGAAACGGCTGTAGATAACGCGTCCCTCAATCTATAGGAGAGCGGGTATCAGATCCCACGGCCGTCCAGAACCCTAGACGGATTCTATTTCGAGACTGAAACCTCACTGAGCTTGCGGCAAGCCTCAAGCTATGGTCAAAATCAATTGCGACGAATGCGAGCCAATACGAAGGACTAACTGAAAGGCGCGGTGAGATTCTTCGCTCTGACGGAGCACTAAGACGTAACCCTTGCTCGAGTCTTTCTGAAGGATGAGAGAGTACACGCATGTTGCTGTCGTCACCTCCCAGCAAGTCGATGTGGCCGCTGAGCCCCAGCGCAGTTCGTTCGCATTACTCGTTTAGCTCCACCAGACATGCAGCAAGGATTAGAGTGCACAACAGCATCGATGGCCCACTTGAATCGAGGCTTGGAGGCTATTCATGTACCGCGACACAGTTGCTGACGTTCCCTCACCTGGATAGAGGTTTGGAGTCTGGTTCTTCCATAGGGGAATTGGTGCGGATAACATCAAGCTCAAGTTGCTATATTTATAAGTTTTCTCTAAATTATATGATTGGCTAGAATTCCGCAATTTTATTGGACAAATTTCATATTATATAATACAGTCTTGGTGGTATTTTCGGGGTCTTTTATTGGTCAGAAAGTCAACCACCTAACCCTACCCTAAATATCCAGTATCAACAGGCCTGATATCAAACAACAAACGGGCTGATATCGAGCTGAAAGACGCTGGTCTTGCTCTTCCTTTCTTTCTCTTCCTATAAATTTCCTCTTTATACCTAGGACCTCCTAGCTAGCTATTAAGTTACTAAGTTTGGCCATTAAAAATTCTCCTTTAGAAAATACTCCGTGGCTAGCTCCCTCTTTCCCTCCGCCAAATGAGATACCTACCTAGGTATTTAACAACCCTATAGACGCCGATAGTAACCTTGGAAGTAAGCAGAAAGCTTTTCTGCTTCGAAACGGTCAAGGTAATCGGCCGAGCGCTGGCCATAGTCATCATTAGCTGATATAATTTGACTGTCTTTGGAGTCCTCTATAACCTGGTAATTGGCCTGACTTGAGGTGTCTGTTACCTTCATATCAAGATTCAAGCTATCGTTAATAATCTTACTGCGGGGGAGAGCGAACATGGAGAATTTGGCGTTCATTGGCCAGAGTCGACGTGCGAGGAGATAGTTGAATCCGTAATTCGTTAAGAGAAAAGATTCATCCAGATCACCCAGCAAATTATATTCACTTCTGCCTCCAAATCTTGACGTTCCGCTTCCTAGCTCTAGTTCTCCCATAAATTATTATTCTGACCTACGGCTTTGAGTATATCATACAGGTGTACCATTGTCACTACCACACGCCCTACATTGAAATCAAGAGAAGGGCTCGTTATTTTTAAACCAACCTCCTTTACTTGCACGATGTAACAGGCTTCAACTTTGGCAGGCCGTAAGTTATGTCGAATATTCTCAGAACACTTAGTCCTTAGCTACTATTAGATGAGGGAGTACCAGGTCCAGCGGAGGTTATATATACCCTTATATATCCCATTGCCCTCGTGGAAATCTGAACTTAGAACAACCTGCTATACAGTCCCCGTCCACAATCTAAGAACCTACTCGTACTACATCAAGTATGCAAGGGCTAGAAATTATGCATGAGTCAACCTTGTTCTCATTTTATCCTAAGATGCAGCAGTCTGTTGCGGATGAATGCATGTTATTTCAGAATACAAAGGTAGAAAGAAAAAAAGGGGGTGGAAGGGATATAAAATAAAACGGCGAGGACAACAGCCTAGAGCAAAGAACTGATAATACATGAAAACCAGTTTTTGACCACTGATCATGGACTGGAAATGAGGAGTTGAGGCGTAGCAGGTAGGCGGAACAAACGACCAAAGCGAATACAACGATATGATAGGTTGTAACGGGACATCAAAGAAGGCGACAAAGAGAAAAAAAAAAGACCAACAAACTAAAAAAAAAAAACAATTTCTTTTCTTTTCATGAAGCCTTGCTTTCGTTTCTTTCTGCAGGAGTGGCTTTTTCTCCTCCATTGATTAGATTAAAAATCACTATCCCAGGCGATCGGAGGGAAGAGATAAAGAGGGGTAGAGAGATAGAAGAGATTAAGGCACATAATAATTTCAGCGTATCAAATCATGAAGAAGCCAATCTGAATGATGTGTTTGCTAATAGGCGGATGCGCAGTTAGCAAACAACTAAAAAAAAGTGAATATTGATTTGGATGAAAGCCTGTAAAACAGGCAAAACAGAAACACACACACACACACAGAGAGAGAGAGAGAGAAAGAAAAGTTGTTCATAGCCAGGCTCCCAGGAAAATGTAAAGAGGAAATAAGTAAAAAAGGTAAAAGTTAAACGCATCGCATAATGGAGAGAGAAAAAAAAAATAGTAAAAACAAAAAAAGGTACAGCAACATTCCCATTTCCCCATTCCCCAATCGCAAAAAGAGATAAGTGATGGTTCAGGTCAAGTCAGCGCAGAGTAGAGTAGAGCGGAGCAAGAGAGTAAGAGAGATAGAGAGGAGAAAAAAGAGGAGAAGTAATAGTAAAAAAAAAGTTCCACCAATTCCCATATTTCTTTTCCATTTAATTCGTTTTCGTTCTTTTCATGTCCCTTTCATTTTTCGTAGTTGTTTTTCTTTAGGATTCCTCAGACATTTCCCCAGGTGGCATGGCCAGTTTTTCTTCTAAGCGTCACGCTTAATGGCCGTAGTTTCCGCCCCAGCCGCCACCACGGCCGTTGTTACCGTAGTAGTTGCTGCCGAATCCGGCGCCGTAGTTGTTGTATGCCGTTGCCTGGTGGTGAGATTGAGTGGTACCGGCTTGGTGGGCACCCAGACTTCCTAGACCACTATACTGCTGGTTGAGGTGAGGATAGCCGCCAAAGGCTTGTTGGTTGGCTTGCTGCGCGGCGGGAACTGGAGGAAGGCCAGACTGTCCAGTGGTGGTGGGCTGGTGGGGTGCGTTGTTAGCTGCCGAACCGGGACGGTTGACGTGCGAAACGGATGGAGAGGGGCCGCCAGTTTTCGAGGAGTCGTAGGCTTTGGCGCTGCCAGTCTCGTCAGCGCTGGTGGGCTGTTGCGAGGGGATGGGCTGGTTTTGGCCAAATCCAGATTGGGTACGACCAAAGACATCTGGGATGCCGCCAAATGCGGTGGCGCCGGTTGACTGCTGCTGTTGAGCATCGGAAGGTTGCGCGGAGCCAGCGCGTCCGTAGGTAGCAGAGTCACGCTGTGGAGCGGCAGTCTGGTTGAATGCGGCAGTGTTGGCGGGAGAGGATTCGTAGCCAAATCCGTGCTGCTGGGGTTGTTGGTTATACATTCCGCCTTTGCCATATGGGGCGTACTGGTTGCCGTAAGCAAACTGGGATCCGTGAGGAAGGTAGTGTTGTTGCTGCTGCTGTTGCTGCTGCTGCTGCTGTTCCTCGTATCGTCGGGCATCGTCGTACATGGGACGGTTTCGACCATACTGGTGTTGCTGATGCTGGGTCATCTGGGTCATGTATGCGTTCGGGTAGTGAGGGTTAGAGTAGTAGGGATATCCGTAGTTGAATCCTGCGTGTGCTCCCTGGGTTTGAGGCATGTGGTGCGATGGCTGTTGGGCGGATTGCACTTGACCTGGAACGGCAGGCTGGGGGGTGTTTTGGCCACTGTTTGGTGCTTCAGCATGCGCATAACGGCCTGGAGGTTGAGAGGCAGGAACTTGGGGTTGTGACTCCGCTCCGGTGGTCGAGAATCCAGCTCCGGCGCGCTGGCTTGCGGTGGGGTCCTGAGGCTGGCCATATGCGCTATAGTAGTATGGGTTGCGGGATTGGTCTGCACCGTAGAAGGCGGAGTAATCGGCAGCGGTTGTGACTGCGGTAGGTTGAGATGGCATGCCCTGGTTGGAGAAAGTCTCTTGGTTCTGAGGTTGAGCTTGTTGATCGGCTTGCTGGTTGAAGATATCATATTGCTTCTGGGCATCGCCATATCGAGAGAAGTCATTGAATGGGGTGTCCGCAGAGGCGACAGGGGCTGGGGGGAGGCCGGGAGCGGGTCGTGGAGCGGTAGCGGCGGGTTCAGGCGCACCCATAGGTCTCGTGGAGGGAGGGAGAGAGGCGCGGGGGGCAACAGGAGAGTGCTGAGGAGGCTGAGGGCGGGTTTCTGGTTCTTCTCTTTCTTCATCAATGTTAACATCGTCAATAGATCCGTTCAATCCCATGCTACCGAATTGGACAGCTGCACGGTCGACAGCGTGGTTTTCAGGCATCACGACGGCTTCTTGCTGTTCCATAACACGGCGCTGGAAGTTAGGTCCGCGCGTAGAGCCGGTGGCAGGGCCCTTGGGATAGGCATAAGAGGTAGCTGGAGTTCGAGCTTGAGGCTGTGGCTTTTGTTGCTGTGGAGCAGATTCCTTTTCGATGTCAGTAGCTGTTTCGGTGTCAGGTTGAGCAGGGGTTTCAGGTTCGGCGGGGACAGGTACAGATGGAGGCGGTGGTTGCTGTTGGGGTACTGGAATGACGGGCTTTGGTTGTTCGATGGGTTTAGATACTGGCTGTGGCTGTGGCTGTGGTGGTTGTGGTTGTGGTTGTTGCTGTGGTTGCTGCTGTTCTTCGGCGGGTTGAGGTTCCGGTTCTGGGACGGCGACGGCGGGTTCAGGAATATGCGATTCAACAGGAGCTTCAACTGGCTTCTCCGGAGCACTTGGGGCAACAGGCAATGGGGGCTCCTTTACAGGCTCCGGAGCCGGCTTCGCGAATAGACTGGCCCATCCTCTCTTCGAACCTTCAGGGATCAAGCTGCTCTTCTGGGATTGGTCCGTCGACGCCTTGGGAGCCTCCTGAGAATTCCATTCTGGCTGAGGTTTTGTCTCGACAGCAGGGGCCTCTACAGGCGCAGATGGCTCCACGGCAGGCGTAGTAGAGTCCCAAGCATCTGTGGTGGGTTGGGGGGTCGACTGTTGAGGGACGGTGCCGTTGGCCTGAGTAGGCTGAACAGCATGGGAACCAGCTCGCCCGCCACGACCAGCACGTCCACGGTCACCACGGCCACGGCCACGCACGTCAAACCCTCCGCGTCCACGTCCTGCCCGTGGCGGAGGGGCGTTCTGCTCTCCTGAGGCAGGCTGAGCGTCCTTGGTGGTGATCTTTTGCCGGGTGCGATCAGTATTTTTCTTCTTTACTTCACCCCACTGAGAGACGTTTCCTAGACCAGACAGTTCAATAAGCAGTCCACCGGGTAGTAGTAGGTAGATAGACAGATAGACGACAAACCTTCTGTGATGCGCTCAATGGCGACCTCTAGGTCTCCGTTAGCATCCTCAAGAGCGAAAACCAGGTCTTCGTCTGTCCAGTCAGCGAAGAGCTCCTTTATGGTCGACAGGCTGCCAGCGTGCTTCTTCTTCAGCTGGCCAATCTCTCCTTCGTCTTCGTATGAGGTGGTGTTCGTCTGGTCGTCCATCTCCTGGCTGGCAGGCTTTGCTGTCGTCGTCGACCTGGCGCCTCCCCGTCCGCCTCTGGAGATGTGGCCACCCCGTCCACCGCGCGCTGAGCCGCGCCCACGCGAGGCAGCCGGCCTTGATTGCACCTCAGACATGGCTGGGAATTGTTGTAGAAGAAACAGACGTTACGAAAGGGCGTGAGGGTCGAGGACTGCTGAGATGCAGCAGGTCGTGTGAGGGCAGGGCGAGTTCCAGGGAGAATTTTCGGCTGCCAAAAACAGCTTTAGACGAGCACAGCCTCTCGCTCTAGCGGCGGGCAGAGCAGCGAGATAATGCAGGACGGTGTAAGCAGACGAACAGAGATGTAGGGAAGAAGAGGATGAAGGCGAGGTTGAAGCTGAAGATGAAGTCGAAGATGAAGCTGGGTTGGTCGTTTGCGTGAGGCAAGTTTCGCGATGGCCAAGGGAAAGGCTTTTTCCGGCTGATTACGCGAGCCGCTAGTCTCTCTACCTACGACAAACACCTCTACCTACACCTACACCTACTACAGATAGCAGACACAAGATCTAGCAGAGACTTGACGGCTGGATGACGGTTCTGCTTGATATACGATAGACAGGGACAGCGAGAGACAGACACAGACACAGACGGACGGACAGACGGACAGACAGACTCAGACAGACGGACAGAGAGAGACAGAGAGAGACGGACGGACAGAAGACAGACAGACAGAGATGAAGCCGAAACTGCTCAATTTGCTGGCGAAGCAGGTTCATCCGCCGCTGCCCAAGTCTGCGCGCGAGAACCAGCAGCTTTTCAACATGATCACCTCGACGTTCCGCCGCCATCTCGACAACGAGCACCCCCCAACCGGCTCCCAGGATTCCGGCAATCACAAGGCCAACGCCATCAGTGCATCCGGGCCTAGAGCAACGGAGCAGCATATGAAGTTGATACTGGAGCATCCGCTGTTCAACAAGGTCCCGTCAACGCTAGCTAAGCAGGATAAGCATGTACAGAAGCGTGGGAGGAAGCACCATGGCCCCTTCGGTGCATTGGAGGATGCCATGGCGTCAGGCAGAGCAACCCCCGACCTCTTGCACGGATGTCTCAGGGCCCATAGACTGTTACTACGCAAGCACTCAGGTGCAGATGCCATTCAGGCCATCAAGGAGTCCCAAGGTGGCGGACGTATCATCTCCTGGTTCCTAGGCGCTGATCAGCAGGCGAGGGACCAATTCTTTGGAAACAGACACACCATGGCTCTAGTAATGCCGTACCTCGCCGTCCAGGACCTATCGCCCGAGGTGCTAAAGTGGCTAGAGCTCACTAGGACGCACCATGCGGCTCATCAGTCCGAACCCGCTCGTGATCTCAGTTTCGGCGAGCTCAACATCCTATATGAATACGTGGCTGCCGAAGTAAATTACGGCAAGGGAATCGAGGGGGCGCTATCATTCTTCCTAGAGGCCTTTTCTGCCTGGTCGGAAGGGCAGAAACTTGCGCGCAGCCAGAAGGTGGGCCGTCCCCCGCCCTCATTCCGCCCAGCAACGTATTTTCTTGCGCAGTGGATTTTAAATCCAGAGAATGCGTCGGCGGTCAAAAAGATCGACCCGCAAATATTTGACAGCTTCCACACTGTCTGTGTGTCACTGCCTAACCAAATTTGGGCGGCCTTTTTACCCATATATCATCCTACTAAACCCGACCCTACATCCCCAATCAAGTACATAAGATACCTGAATGTATCTGGTACTGTGTATAGCAATCCAGATCGACTGCTCCGTCTTTCGCTCGAGGCGGCATCCCTGTGTCTTAAACAGAGACAGTACGGTCCTGCTTCTGAATTTATTCGTATATCGAAGAGGATGCTACCGGATAACAGTACGACAGCCAGCACGACGGCTAGCACAACGGCTAGCACAACAGTCAGCACTGCTGCGAAGAAGGAGCAAAAGGAACCGGCTTCCCCGACCAGTGATCTCCTCGATGGTTTGATTCTTGCGTGAACGGCTCACGGGCTATCGTTGTTCGAAGTCACTCTATTGCTTTATCGGGCGCCCCAGGGACAGGGCTGGTGGATCGCCCTCTTCCCCATCTCCCGTCGTTAATGGGTCATATCACACAATTACTTGTGGTTTTCTTTTGTCGAATTTCGTCGAATACCATGCGTTTGACGGTATATTCCCTCCTGCCATCACCACGCAGACGCGAATTCGATGGCCGCCAACCACAGTGGCAAGCCGTTGACAGGCTATTACTAAACAGCAACTACTTATTTACCATCTGTTCCAGTGGCCATTTTTTTATGTACAGGACGTGTTCAGGCGTTGTATATAGTCTCTAGTGTCTATATGGTCTATACTCGGTATCCAAGACACGGCTCTTATGAAATATATCTTCTCTCATCTCACACCACAGAACTATACACTACTCTATCGTCCATTCACGTCGAGCCCGGCCAGCTTCAGCCAAGATCCCAGACTTTTGGGTATAACCAGGAAATCCAGTCGTCCTTGTCCCTGGTTCTCTAGGCAAACATTATGTCATCGCTCGAGTCGTAGACGTCAGCGTCAACGGCCATTTTACCATTTCACTCGTTGAACCAGAAGATATATAGTCATCCTTCCTCGCCATCTCTTTCCTTTGTTGCTTTCTCTTCACCATCATATCATGGCCACCACCACGACCACCACATTCCATCCTCATCCTCCTCCTGCATATCCTCATGTGTCCTCTACTGATAGAACCACAGCACCACACCTCGATCAAGCAATAACCTTATATTTAGTCATGGCACAGTCGTCCAGGTATCCAAAATTCCCTCCTCCAACAGCCAGCCAGGCAGAAATATACGTCTTTTTACGGGCATGGCTAGCAGCTCGAGGGCAGAGTGCTTCGTTTTGCTTTAAAGGAACAGGTACGACGCTATACTCCCTATCGGAAAAGGAAGTGCAAGATATGCTGGGAGATAAAGAACTTGGAGCAGCGCTATATTCCTCTTTACGCTACGATTCTCCGTATGGGGGTGTAAGTCGACTGGGTTATATTCGCCATCGTACCAGTACTGACTATGTCTATAGTTGATGGGAGTTGTCTCCGGGCTTTCGAATGCAGCGAAATCGTTCGGGCCATGGATGCAAGCTCCTTCGCCCAAGTTATCGTCTAAACAGCCTCCTCCACACGCTTCGAAGCAGCCTAGGGGATCGGAGGAGTCTTATGCCAGGCCAAAAACGTCCTCTATAAGCCGGGGCGAGGAAATACGCACTCACTGTCTCTCAGAGAAGCCCAGCGCTCAGTATCTTAATAAATTCTATGTTAAGTAGAGTCTAGATATCTAGAGCCTTATTGCTATCACCATGGATGGCCATCTCGAACCTCTCTAGTATCTTCTTATATCACAGCATCAGATCAAATATCGATGACTTTCTACTTCTTTACTACGTAGACTTGATTTCTAGCAGCTCTAAGGGACCTCGAGTGTACCTATCCCGGTCCTATCTCAAGGGTGTCGGGTATATCAGAAGTACAGATACCCCGAGATCGTAAGAACCATCTAGTAACGCCGGTGCCAAAGGGATCAGATGAAAAGAAATATGAACTCTGCCTGCATACTCCGTACACTGACTGATTTTTTCTCCTTCCAACTTGTTTACCTTACACAAGCCACAGCCCGAATCGTCATCGAGTACTCTATATACATATTCAGTCCCGGCAGCATCGAGAGAGAACCTCGCGCCGTGCAGTGCAGAACCAGTCCGTAGACGCAGGTAGTAAGCACCTCGTATTCCTCGCCGGCTCGTTGGCCAGGCCCGTAAGCAAGTAATCGTTAAAGCTGGGGGAAAGGCGATGGCGATGGCGATGGAGCGCATGAAGCTTAAGCCGAACATGGATCCGGGGTCAACGACCAACTTCGGGCAAGCCTGCCACGCATAACATCTCCTTTCCTCGTCCCCTTCTCTCTTCCTGCTTCATCTTCTACTTTTTTTCTTTTCTTCTTCTCTCTGCGTGTAGCAAATCGTCAGCACCGTACCGGGCCCCCAATTGCCGTGCTCCCTTCTCGCGTGTCGGCGCATCCCATCTACATATACATATCACAGCCGCGCAGTCTTGCGCATTCTTGACGATGTCGAGTGAAGGAGCCAATGCGACTGCGAATGGTCGGACGAAGCAAGATGACACCAGTACGTGTTTCCCGTCTCATAAGTCCTTTCCTCCATCTGCTGGTTACGTTTGGTCCGCTGTCGTGGTCTATAGATGTACCACCACTACCTATATATATATATATATATATCATGCTAGTCAACTAACAAACACATCTTTGCAGTTCCTGCTCCAGTCGTCACGGTAAATTCAACCAGTGCGGACGTGGAAAGGCCGTCGACCACGGCGAATGGCAGCGGCGAGCCGGCGCCTGCTGATAGTACCGAGAAGCCGGCCGTAGAGACGAAAGCAGACGCGCCGACTGAAGAGAAGAAGGACACCCAAGAGTCCAAGGAAGAACCCAAAGAAAACCCCGAGGAACAGTCCAAGGACGGAAAGGAAGCTGGTGACAAGCGTGACCATGCTACCATGTCTGCGGCCGAGACGGCTGCAGCTACCACCACGGATAAAAAGGATGCCGAAAAAGAAGACGCAAAGGCTGAATCCAAGGAGCCAGCAGAGAAAAAACAGAAGGTCAAGCAGGCAAACGAGCCTGTGGCCACGACTGCTACTGAGAACGGCAACGCCAATGGTAACGGCAACGGAGCAGCGAAGAGAGGACCCGGCAGGCCCAAGAAGTCCGGGGCAGCAGCAGCGCCGCAAAAGAAGAAAGCCCCAACTCCACGTAGTTCCGATGGAATCGGGAGCAGGACCAGAAGCCGTCGATCCCAGCCCGAGGCGTGAATCGATTTTGATTTTGAGAAAACAAAAATATTATGTGGCAGCGGTAGGCGACTTACAGCATGTATTGGTCCCTTCTATCCGCTTGATTGATATGAGCCTGTTTATTTCGTTATATGCTCTATGTTATGTTACGTTTATGTGCTATGGAACCGCCGTCTTTCCAGCTTTTACTACTTTGATGCCATGTTAACCATCTCGGCGCAGCCACAGGACGGAGAGGCTTGGACAGGATCTAACGGGGGGAATTATGGACGGACAGGAGGCGGTATTTTTCATCGTGAACGCAACACACATTTCAGGTGTACAATATCTTGTTAAATACTCGCCAAAAAAATGTATGAAACGACCCCGTTATGCAGTAAATATGGAGATGTGTCTTTTTTCAGCTGCGTATCTTAAATAGTTGTTACGCCTCTACAAGCTAAATGGTGCTACTTCGTCACCAGGATCTAGAAGAGAGACAGCCGTGTAGACCAAGGTGACGCAGGTCGCAGGAACAGCCTCATTACGTCTTCACTTTCTCGTCCATGTTCCGTTTTCTACTCCGTAGTCCTCCCCTGCGCGGGTATACGTACTCGACAGCGGAATACGAGGAGTCGTCATGTTCACTTTGTCTGCCCTCGACAGCGAACTGCTACGGCCTCTCCGCTGACTCCATCGAGGATGCTTTCATCTGCGACTGCGTTGGCGCGAACTTCGGCAGGCTGCTGCTCAGGCTGCGCCGTGGTGATGCTGCATCGCCCAGAGAAACACCGCCGAAGCCGCCAACTAGCTATTTCTTAAGCACCAGAGGATGTCCCGTCCATCCCAGCATCAAATATATATCTTGCAGCCCCAAATCCGCCAGATCGCTGCAGGGTAATCTTCTTTTCTCTTCGGCTGCTTCACCCTGCGACACTCGCTCATGCGACCGCCGTTGATCTCTCCCTTCTAGCGTCTCGTATGGGCCCTGGTCTCCGCTAGAATCCGAGCCCCGGACGAAGAACCCAGCAACCGAGCAGCCAGAGACTGAATCGACCGAAACTCCTCAGTCGGCCTGACGCCGGGAGAAGGAAAAACTCGAAAAAAAAAAGCGAAGAAGAAGAAAAGAAAGGCTCTGGCTCACAGATCGTCTCCCCCCCCTCTCGATCGAATAATGGATTAATGCCGGTTATCCTATCGTCCTGTTCCCGAATCATAGCTCTTTATGCCCGAGAAACCGGCAACCATTGCAGCCTACGCTGCGGGGGCTTCGTTAGCTGCCATTACCCTCTTCTACGTCTTCGGTCCTAATTTCACAATTGACGGCGACGATTCCAACATTAGCGGGCGAAAGAAGGGCGTCGTTGGCCTGTCCAACCCGGCCAATGACTGCTTTATCAACTCCGTTCTCCAGGCCCTGGCCGGCCTCGGCGAGCTGCGAGTATATCTTATCCGCGAACTGCATAAGCGAGAGCTGGAAGGGCCCGAAATATACGATACCTTGCCACACAGAGATGATTTGAGGTCCGGCGAGGTAGCGGAGAAAGTGAGGAAGTTGCAGCTTGCGCCGGTGACAAGGGCATTGAAGGATATGCTTGATGCATTGAATGAACGGCCGATATATAAGAAGACAATATCCGCCAGGGGTTTCGTGCATGCTCTAGAACTTGCGTTTCGGACGAGAATAAGCAGGAACCAGCAGGATGCGCAGGAGTTTTTACAGGTCGTTGTCGAGCGGCTGTGTGATGAATATCATGCCGGGGAGAAGGCAAGAAAACGGGCGGCGAAATACCTAGCAACAGCAACGGGTGGTGTATCGACCGCGAACGGCGGCCTAGACCTGCAGCCAGAAGGGATAGTAAGCGAAGATTCGAATTCCACGCCGATGATAGAATTGAACGTGCAGGATGAGAACCCCGAGCCCGAAACCGAGCCTGAGGCCGAAGCTGGCTTCCCGCTGGAAGGGATGCTCGAATCCCAGATCGAATGCGAGCATTGCAAATACAAATATAAACCCAAGCCTACCTCCTTCGTCAATCTTACCTTGCAGGTACCGCAGAAGAGCTCAGCGACCTTGAGCTCCTGTTTTGACGGACTGTTAAAAACAGAATATATCGACGATTTCCGGTGTGAAAGATGTCAGCTTGTCTATACCCTGGAGCAGAAATCTAAAGCTCGATCTCGCGCCTCGTCGAAGAAAATAGAACAGTCCCTAGATAATGAAATAGCACTTCTCAAGAATGCTATTGAAACTGACCCCGAAATGACCCCTGAAGGCGTCACAATGCCCAACCCGTCGGAAGTCCCCCGCCGCAAAATCGCAAAACACATGCGCATCACGGTATTTCCAAAGATCATTGCTATCCATCTCTCCAGGTCGATATTCGATCATACATTCTCCACCAAAAATGCAGCAAAGGTTTCGTTCCCCGAACGCCTCGCGTTGGGAGGCATTCTGGACAAGAAATGGTACAAGTTGCTCGCCATAGTATGTCATAAGGGAAGCCATAATAGTGGCCACTACGAATCATTCCGACGGAATCACGTATACGCTCCTTTCTCAACACCGGATGTCTTTCGATCATACGCCCAAAGCCGCGCGCAGAGCCAGAATCCTTCCACCTTCCCCAGTCCGCAAATAAATTCCCCGCCGAAACAGAATGCAGGCGATATGACGCCTTTAAATATATCGCCCGTATCTCGCTCTCCTTCCACCACCGAATCAACCGTCTCCTTCCCAACTGCCGCAGGTACAACCACAGACACAACATCATCACCCTCTTCCCGGCCAGCGTCGGGCCAAACATCGCACCATCAAACACCTCACTTATCTACCCAAACACCCCAACTACAGCCCACCCCAGAGCTACAGTCCGGCACCCCCGATAGAGCCCCATCCACTTCCTCATCTATGAGACGACACCTCGATGCAACCCTATCAGGCGACTTCCTCTCTCCGCGTCGTGACTCGAGCGTCAAACGAAGTAAACCTACCACACCCACACCCGACCCACCATCGTCGTCGTCACGATTCCGATGGAAGAAGAAATCCAATGAGCGCTGGTGGCGTATCAGCGACGAACGAATCAGGGAGTGTAAGACTAGTGATGTCTTGGGTATGCAGAAGGAGGTTTATCTGCTATTTTACGAGTTAGAGCGACCCCACGATGAGGAAACATGATATATGATATGATATACTCCCGCTGGCTCGTCATTTCGGATGAAGGTTTACCTCGCCTTTATCTCTTTTCTTATCTTGGATGACTGTTATCATTGCATATAAGGTTTGCATGTTAGAAGAGTCTCTCGTTTAGGGTGTATATTTTGCGCAAGGGATGGCTTTCCTTCGGTATATAGAGAGGTTAGATTCTGACCATATACGTTAAAAATACATTTTGCTACGCCGTGCCTCGCTTCACTTTCGTAGAGTTAATGGTAATATGCCTTAATTCAGATGATACGGATGGACATAACCACTGCGAGTAAATACTTTTAACTAGTTCAGGGAAGGAGGTTTCGCAATGTTCTTGAACTAGGGTTAGACATCAGTATTATCAAAATGCCTGTAACCAAGCCGCGCCGGCCTACAAAGGCTCTTATTACATCTTGGCTAGACATGCTAATATCCACAGTCCAGTGCTCCCCAAGTTATTTTTGATAATAAGCAGGAGGCAGCAGCAGTAGATGCATAGATAAATACCACGCCTATATTGTGGGCCGCGGAAGGGGGTATCTTAATTGGGTACATTTGGATCTAAGGACCAGACCCATATTGATATAGATATGGTTACAGAGTGCCAAACAGGCTACATCCACCGGCGAGATGGATTCCGTGATCATAGATATAATTTCTGGTGGTAATTCTGTCAAGGTCGCTTCATGGCTGTTATTCTTATCGTCTTCCATTGTAATGTTAAAGTAGAGCGGCGGTAGCTGGAATGTATATGGGCAACCCGAAGCGTCAAGTTGGATGTTTTACACAGCTTAACTTGTCGTGGAAGTCCATGACGTCGGTTTAACTAATCAAATCACGTGATCCAACTTATTATCCACGGTTCCCCAAGAAGGCTTAAGGGCGACATCCTGTATATTCTCATCATATGTTAACTAGTTGCCTCTTTTTCTCGTCTATACGGCACGTCTGCCACAACTTCTTCTGGGGACTTATATTTTATTAAAACTAAGCATAAGGGCAAAATTAATAATTAGGAAATAAGATCAATTGTGAGCTTTTCGGTAAGACTCAGCTAACAAGTGCAATGATAGTAAACAACTAAGAATCTCTCTTGCGTTTATTATCAATGACCGTAATGACGATAACACAAATCATCCCAACGATAAAGCCAAGAATGATTCCAGACCTGAGGAAGTAATGCACCGCAGTGCGCCGCTTCATCGCCGTGGACCACTTTCCATACTGTTTGATATAACACCATGCCCACCGCTCCATGAGTACCTTATACCGGTCTCCAACTAGATACGAGTTGTTTGTCTGAGTTATGGAGTCCAATGATGGCCCAGGTGCGCTCTCAAATAACGCCATCGCAATTCCAGGCTGCTGTGTACCATAAAAGGTGGTCCTAAATGTATATCTGAGCCATTTCTTGTCCATTGCGGTGAGGCCAGCTCCAAGATCAAGCCATTTCGTGATAACCAGGGAAAAATTATCAGGACTACCAACTTGCTTCATCTCCAGTTGGTAGTCAACATAGCAACTCTCACACGTCAAAGTCTTCGGCGCCACAGGAGTCCCTGACTTGAGTTTCCCAAATGCAAGTTTGACCATCTGAGGAAGAACGTCGCCTTTCATATTAATATGCTCGCATACGCTTAGAAATTTCGGCTCGGCAACAAATGCTTCAGCATCTGGGGCATAGGCTACCGCCCAGGTTTGAAACCGCATGCACAGACGTGGCCCTTCACAAATTCGAGCTTCCGCAGATAGTAGCGTCGTGTTACTGATATTGTCATGAACTTCGGTGAAAAAGAGCGATTCCGTCGAGATGCCGTGCTCTGGCCCATAGTAATGACGTTTCATAGCGAGCTTCACATGGAAGTATATGAATCGATACGCAGATTCTCTTGGGTGCGCATCAGTGATCACGGAAAGGTTGTCCACCAAATACTGATCATCGCAAGGAATCTTTTTGTGAACAAAGTACTTCGGCCCTGGCGGGTTAACTTGCTCACCCAAATGGAGAGCTGAGCAGGTATGGCAGAAGAAATGTGTCGGAATGTCTCTTTCAAGTCTTGTTAAAAACTGCTTTTGGGTATATGTCGACTCAGGACATAATGGCCTCCACACATCACGACCGAGGGTTTCCAATAGCGAGTGGTTACAGAGAGATAAACAGCCCACATCTTCAGGATCCATGTCCTCTATGATCCTGTCTATGATCTCTTTTGGTAAATTTGTCAAAGTTGGCAGCCTTCCACGGCGAGTAGGGACTGGTAACTGTCTATGATGATTATGAACCGGTAGCCTTTCACGGCGGCTTAACTTGCAGAGCTCCATCGTAGTATATCAGGAAATAGATGACAGTATTACTGTTTTTATAATAGTAAATGGGTTGGAGATAGCACTGAGGTAATAACGGAGATTCTTCAATTTGTGGAAGCACAAATTTCTGGGCCGGAGTATCCCCTTTATACCCTACTACTATGGCTGTAGTGAGTATTCCGCAGTAAGTAGTCCATGATGTCACAAATTAGGAAGTACCGTGGATGGAGAGAGAACGGGAGAGGATAGAGTTACATAACCCAGGGCTCAAGGGCAAAGACAACCAGTATGGCAACCAGTAGGCAACCAGCATGGCAAACGGTAGAGCAGTGTTAAGAAAAGACTAATAAACGCAAAGGGTAAGATGTGAAGTGTAGGATCGATAGCTATGAGCTATCGAAGAGGAGATATATACACGGGCAAGGATACGGACAGTTACATGGGGGGTGGGAAGGCTTGGATATAACGTGGTTAACCATTTTAGATACCGTGGTTGGTGTGCTTTTGGTTGACTACTCATCTGAATTTTATACCATCTCCCGTAACGTGCAAAATGATGGCAACCAGAAAGTCTCGTCTATGCATATCCTTTGGAGAATGCATGTCAGTCCCTCGTGGTTTGAGAAAGCCATGCTGGGGGATATGTAAAGTGTTAAACACCATAAACTTATCCAGCAGCCGCCATCATTCTGCTAGGGATACTAGATCAGCCCCCGGCAAAGAGACAGAACTACAGCTCACTCAAGCAACTTTAGACTTGTCCCTGAGGCGCTGGAAGCAGCTGGTATCTATCTAGTCTTTGTTATTATACCTTGCCCAATGTCGCGGCCCAACCAAGAACAGTATATTGAAAGCTGGAATGCCACTAGTTCATTTAATCCTCCAGTACAAGGAATAAAAGAAGGCCGCCTGCATTCAATATAGCCTTGCCATTCTCCTGGTGTCAAAAGGCCAGTTGAACAATTGGCTAGTGCCGGCTGGTGGAGCATATCGTATGAGTGAGTACTGTTAGACCCTCCCTTATAGTTCTAGGGAGCCATGCCAATGGAGTTATATGCCCTATAAAGCTAGGACATGGGAGCAATGGGTGTCTCTATCCTGTCTCTCTCATCGTCGACAAGTTCGAATATCGAAAGCCAAGTCAACTCAGCGATATCAGCAGCAACTGCCCCCGCTTATCTTCGGTGGATTCAAAGGGCCGTCACCCTTGAAGCGCGGGAACGGTGGAGAGGACAAGGAGCGCGGCGAAAGGGATCGAAGAGCCTGGATATTGAGCCGGAGAGTCTGAGTCCGGATGTCCATGAACGAGAGATTGCTCTCGCATTCTGGTTAACGGATTGTAGGCTATGCGGTAGAGCTCGAGATCGATAAACGACCAACGACGCTACAGTAAGGGAGGATGGCCTTCTGTTAAACCGCCCTGAGTAGAACAAGCTGTATAAGTAAAGGAGAGAGTCGCGGGGGAATTCGGAATTGCGGCGAGGGGACGAAAAACATCGGCTGTTTTGAGCGAGGATGACGAAACCGGCTGGCGAGAACAACAGGGAAAAAAAAAACAACGACCGCAACTCTTGTTTTGTTGTTATATCAAGCTCGTCGCTCGAAATCTCTGCCATCTTCACGTTTGATTCCACCACCAGCAGCTCTCCAGGTACGTTGTGCTGTCCCTGCCCGCGCCTCCTGAGTTTCTCATGTTGCCCCGCCATACAGTGCAATTGCCGTGGCGGGGTATATTATATTTCCCGCATCCCTTTTCTTCCCTTTGTTCGAAGAGAAAACTTCACCTGTCTTCTCCCTCACATCACTTCAATTGTTTCCAGCAATTGTCTAATCAGTCGCAGTTTAGCAAAAATGGGTGTCCAGGAAGTTCTCTCCCGCAAGACCGGCGTCATCGTTGGCGATGACTGCCTCAAGCTCTTCGAGTACGCTCAGAAGAACACCTTCGCCATTCCCGCCGTCGTAAGTGAAGGCCATATAATTCAATACTGGATGGAAGATATACTGACATGTACTGCTCCCTGAGGTAGAATGTGACTTCTTCGTCCACTGTTGTGGCTGCTCTTGAGGCTGCCCGTGACAAGAAGTCTCCCCTTATCCTCCAGATGTCCCAGGGCGGTGCTGCCTACTTCGCTGGAAAGGTGAGCCTGATACGCAGTGCTGGTCGACTAGACTGAATGGAAATATCTGACATGTATCTGTTCAGGGAGTTGCCAACGGCGCCCAGGAGGCCTCCATTGCCGGTGCTATCGCTGGAGCCCACTACATCCGTTCAATTGCTCCATCTTATGGCGTCCCAGTTGTCCTCCACACCGACCACTGTGCTAAGAAGCTTCTCCCATGGCTCGATGGCATGATGGACGCAGATGAGGCTTACTACAAGGAGCACGGCGAGCCTCTCTTCTCCAGCCACATGATCGATCTCTCCGAGGAAGAAGTTCAGTGGAACATTGACACCACCGCCAAGTACCTCAAGCGTGCCGCCCCAATGAAGCAATGGCTTGAGATGGTGTGTATTCCTTTATATATTCTTTAACCTGTTCTATGTTTTATGTTAACGGTCGATTAGGAAATTGGTATCACCGGTGGCGAAGAGGACGGTGTCAACAACGAGGATGTTGACAACAACTCTCTCTACACCCAGCCAGAGGATATCCTCAACATCTACAACACCCTGGCTCCCATCAGCCCTTACTTCTCCATTGCTGCCGGTTTCGGAAACGTTCACGGTGTCTACAAGCCTGGCAACGTCAGACTGCACCCTGAGCTCCTCTCCAAGCACCAGGCTCACGTCAAGGAGAAGACCGGCTCTTCCAGCGACAAGCCCGTCTTCCTCGTCTTCCACGGTGGCTCTGGATCCTCCAAGGAGGAGTACAAGGAGGCCATCAGCTACGGTGTCGTCAAGGTGAACTTGGACACGGACCTGCAGTACGCCTACCTCAGCGGTGTCCGTGACTTCATCCTAAACAAGAAGGACTACCTCATGACTGCCGTCGGCAACCCAGATGGCGACGACAAGCCCAACAAGAAGTACTTTGACCCCCGTGTCTGGGTACGTGAGGGTGAGAAGGCCATGTCCAAGCGTCTCCACGTTGCATTCGATGACTTCAACACCACCAACCAGGCGTAAATCAAAACCGGTGATGTGTCAAAACTCTTATACCAAGTACATACTTAGCTAGTTTCACCATGCGTTGATATTCGAGGCATAAAGCTGAATAATTTAACAAATACAGTCCTTGAATCGTGCATGACTCCGCGGAAAAAAAAACAACCGAAATCGTACTTGATTAGTCCAGTGTCGCATTATGTCCCGTTAGACGATTGGCTGAGCAAGCAGCCTACATCTGAGACAAGTTTCTACTCCGTAAATAGCACCACGTAATTAGTAAGTTTGGGAGGGTAACACGTTGATAATTCATGGGCAATGCAAAATCCGCCAGCCCAGTGTTTGTTTAACGGGATAGCCGTCGACCAGCCCTACGGCCAAGGATGTATATGATGGGCATGTAGCAGATCGGCGCTCAACCGCCAAGTGATTTTTTTTTTGTTTTTTTGTTTTATTTTTTTCGGATGGAGTCGATGGAGATAGCGATGCGATGGGGCTGGCGGTGGACCAAGCCACACTCCCTTCCACGCTGCAGGTCGATTACTGAGCGAGCGAAGAGTCAAGAGTATCTTCGGGCCTGGTAAGATATCGATATCCTTGGACCCTTGGTTGCAGGATCAGGTTAAGGGGTTCCGACATTGGAGCTTTTGCCTCAGGATAACCAAGGACGCTGGTGGAACGCAACCACTGGACCCCAGGCCCTGCAAACCACATCCCCATCTCTTGCATCCGAATCCCTAAATGATAGCGCTCACTAGGCCCGACCCTAGGCCGGTGGGCCAACGGCTAAAGGACCATACAGAGGCGCAGAAGGGCCAGAACACAGCGTCCAGTGGATGGGCCTACGTAAGGCTGCGAGTCCGGCTGCTGGGCCTCAACAGGACTCTCTCCACCTCGCCCTTGCAATCCTGTTTCCACCGTGTTTCCTTGTTCCTGCAGGTGGATTGATGAAAGTGTTGAAGCGAACACCGCGAGAGGTCTTTTTTTTTTAATAGAGAAAAGGCCGGAAAAGGCAAGCGAGGCAACTGACGAAGTCACGGGGTTCGCCGTACCACCGAAGCGAAAAACGACGTCCATCACCGGAGCATCTCAAAGGTCTAGGAGATCGGTTGTCTTTCTTTTCTTTTTTTCTTCAACTTTGAACAGCTGTCTATCGTCCCGCCAATAGCTGGCGTCTAGACCCGGTGATATAGCACTGCCTGTATTGCTTGTCCCCTCGTTTCATCTGTCTTATCTTTTTTTTTTCAGCTTCTTCACTCGGGTTGCGATAGCTGGCCCTTGTTCTCTTTGAACCTCTTTGAACCGCCAACCCGACCCGAGATACCACCCTCTTGACACCGATATAGGACTTCCTGCGACGTTTGACCAATGTTCTGGCTGGTCTAGGGACATCGGTTCACACGCCGCACTCGACACTCGCTCCGGGACTACAGACGTTGATCGTATCTGATGCCTATCACCTTTGTCTGTCGTTCCGCATAGATCCGGCCCTTGTATCGATTAGAAGGCAGCGGATATACATATTCATTTCTTAATAATGGGGGGAATCACAGAGCGTGACGGGCCTCCCTCGGGTGCCGACGAGTTTTTGAAACTCATCTCAGACCCATTTTCTTCCGGAGTTCGTTATACCTACACCTTACCTTTCGATTAGACGCAATGGCTAACGAGAATATGACGATTAGATCAGATATGACGCTTTTTGGGCCTCACTGGGCACGTCTATTGGTATAACGGTCGGCCTGGCTCTTCTCTTCTCTTTGGTCCGCCCTCGAAACTCCGTGGTATACGCTCCCAAGTTGAAACATGCAGACAAAGCTCATGCACCACCGCCGCTGGGCAAAGGAATCTTCGCCTGGATAACGCCCATAATCAAACTCAAGGAAGATGAACTTGTTGATCGCATAGGCATGGATGCGACTGTGTTTCTGCGCTTCACAAGAATGTGTAGGAACATTTTCTTAACATTGAGCGTGGTAGGATGTCTCATCATGATCCCGGTAAACGTCGCTCTCAACGACAAAAAGTCCACCAAAGGTCAGTCGCTATTTGACCTTATGACGCCAAGATGGATTTGGGGGAAACCGCTCTGGGCAAACGTTGCTTGTGCCTGGGCGTTTAACGCCATCATCATATACTTTCTTTGGCATAATTATCGTGCCATTCACAGGCTAAGGAAACGTTATTTCCTGAGCCAGGAATATCAGAGGAGCTTGCACGCGAGGACTGTGATGATCACCCACATTCCAACATCTTATCGAACCGATGAAGGCTTGCTGCGTCTGACTGATGAGGTCAACCCTACCGCCAGTATACCCAGGGCTTCCATCGGCCGAAACATGAGGGAGCTGCCGGAACTGATCAAGGAGCACGATACTGTGGTCAGGGAGCTGGAGAAGGTTCTGGCAAAATATTTCAAAGACCCCGATCATCTCCCGCCAGACCGCCCGCTTTGCAAGCCCTCGAAGAAGGATCGGAGTGGACGATCTCCATCTGAGCGGGTAGATGCAATTGATTATCTTACCGATAGAGTTCGGGAACTGGAATTGGAAATCAGACACGTTCGGGAATCCATCGATAAACGAAACGCCATGCCCTATGGGTTTGCTAGCTGGGATACCATCGAGGATGCCCACGCCGTAGCTTTTGCGGCTCGGAACAAGCATCCGCATGGTACTACTATCAGACAAGCGCCACGGCCCAACGACATTATCTGGGATAACCTCGCGTTAACAAAGGCCAACCTAAGGTGGAAACGGTTTATCAATGTCGTTTGGTCCACCATCCTAACAGTTATTTGGATCGCGCCTAATGCTATGATCGCTATCTTTTTGACCAATTTAACCAACCTCGGAAAGGTATGGCCCGCATTTCAGACATCATTAAACGGAAACCCCAAGACCTGGGCCGCTGTCCAAGGTATCGCCTCACCAGCTATATTGTCGTTGGTGTATGTTGTACTTCCAATTATATTCCGACGACTCGCAACTCAAGCTGGAAAGAAGACCAAGACGGCTCGCGAGAGACATGTTATTCATAGTCTCTATGCCTTTTTCGTATTCAACAACTTGGTGGTCTTCTCTTTGTTCTCTACCGTTTGGCAATTGGTGGCTGTAATCATCAAAGCAAAGGAGGATGGCAAGGACGCCTGGAAGGTGCTTCAAGTGGGGGGCTACTTTCAAAATTTTGTCGTTGCTCTTATCCAGGTCGCTCCGTTCTGGGTCAATTGGCTGTTACAAAGGAATCTGGGTGCCGCCATCGACCTAATCCAGATGATCAACATGGTTTGGATCTTCTTTGCAAGAAAATTCCTTAGCCCAACACCTCGCAGGTCGATCGAATGGACTGCTCCTCCTCCATTTGACTATGCAAGCTATTACAACTACTTCCTATTCTACGTCACCACCGCACTCTGCTTCTCTACCTTGCAGCCTATTGTCCTCCCGGTGACAGCGTTGTTCTTTGGTGTTGATACATGGCTCAAGAAGTACCTTCTTCTATATATTTTCGTCACCAAAACGGAATCTGGAGGTTGCTACTGGAGACTTATCTTCAACCGCGTGGTCTTTGCTGTCATCCTCTCCAATTTCGTCACTGGACTTATGGTTACGGCCCGGGGGACATGGACTATGGTCTTTTGCTTGGTTCCGCTTCCACTTCTCATGTTAGGCTTCAAATGGTACTGTCGAGCCACCTTCGACAACGAAATGCAATACTATAACCGCGCTTTGGTTACTGATCCGGAGGCTATGACTAGTAGTAAGTCTTCCAAGAAGATGGCGGAGCGCCTGAGCTCCCGCTTCGGACACCCTGCCCTCTACAAACCGCTTACCACCCCAATGGTCCATGCGAAGGCTGCAGGAGCACTGGAGAAGATCTTCCAGTCTCGTCAAGGCATGGGCGCAGAGACCGGAGAATATTCCGATATCGCCATGCATAGAATGTCAGCCACGCGACCTGGAAAATCGGACGTCGCCCGGGACGCGCCGTTCGAAGTTGTTGCTGAAAACCAGCTTGACTTCTCCTACTTCAAAGACCGGCCGGACTTCCGCGATGAATTTGGTGGTGGTATCTACGGACGACCAGACGATGTGTTTACCGAGAGATCCCATACCCCTAAGAGTTTCCTTATTGGTGCAGGGGGCTCACCTAGCTCCTCACGGGCATCATCTCCTACCCCATCCACTTACAGTCAACAGCAAGCGCGTGGTGTAACTTTCCAAGGGCCTCACGGCAGATTCCCGCAGCTTGCTGATCACCCTGCATTTCAGCCTAATGACACTGACGAACCTACGTTCTACACGGCTCCTAATGAAAGTGAGCGAGGGCTATTGAGCCATGCCCAAACCACTCCACTAAGACATGACGGCGATATTGGGTCGATGGATCGATGGCACTCGCATTCATCGGAGTTCCGAGATGAGAGTCCAGCATCTCACTTTGAGCCATATAGGGGCCACCGTTGATTTTTGATTCGTCAATCTATTTTACATATGCCTGCCTTGGGTTCTCTTTTCACCTTGAAACATATTGAATCATCCCATGTTGGCATATCCGCATATCCGAGTTTTTGTGTTATCTTGGGGGTAATTACTATACTACTGGCTGGTTGTTTCTTTGGTGCTGTGAAATCGGAGTGTGTGAAATCTGTCAACAGTATATACAGGGTGGTTAATTTTTTGTACAGCGCGGTCTCTAGATTTTGGGTTTCTTGACTTTTTTTTCTCTATAATGACAATATATGACGAATTGCTGCTTTAGGATCTGGTCTTGAATATTTCTTTCTCATACTTCTTCAATATACTCTAAGCAGAAGGAATGAAATGAAATTCAGCCTTCCTCAGTCCCTCCCCTCAGGTTACGTCTAAGAGGACGTTACTCCCGACCACGGTACACAGGGCTCGCTGTGCCACTCCGCGTTGCATCCTTGTACCTTGGGGTTGCTTCCTGCTCACTCTCGCCCTTGCTCAGCCAGCTTGTGGCTTTTCCACGTGACGTGGCGACAGCTTATCTCCGCTGGAAAGTCCACCCCTGGCCTGGTAAGCTTAACTCTCCCCTACCGTTGCGACGTAAATAACATAGACAGGTAAACATATAATAGATCACCGGAGTCGCTTCAGGCCCTCGAAAAAACTATGCCTCTGCTTCTGACGACCCCCAACCTGCAACGGGTTCCTTGACACAAGAATACGACAGAAGTTGCCGTCAGCCTTGTGCAATTACACTGAAGTACTATACAGCTAACCCGGTGTTGCTACCCGACTACTGTACTCTGAAAGCTACGCGCGAGAGGGGGAAAGTGAAGATGACCTGGTACTCTCTTCTTCCGGAAGAGCTTACCGCGTTCGAGGGATGGTTGATCCGGTTCTTCGTATGTATTTCCCCGGATACACCAGCTATGCTATGACCGAATGAGGAAAATGGCTAATTTCGTTGCTGTCTCGGAGCATGTGTGACCCTTAGTTTATTCTCGGCACCCTGATTATGGGTCCTTTTCTATTTTTCATCGCATACGATCTCATTCTCTATATATGGCGGGCGGCAACATACGAAATACCGGTGATCGGAGGGCGCGCGAGGGGTAGACGGAGACCTGTTGCCCCAAGTTTTTCTGAGAGACCAAGCGGACGGAGAAGGGCCTTTAGCATGACTGGGCTGGAATTCTACGGTTCTAGAACTGAAGGTGTAAGGAGTGCCAGACATGATGAGAACGTTCCTCCGCAGGGAACAGCGCCCGATGCAACACTTTCTCGAAGAATACCACTTACTTCAGCTGTCGATGCCAAAATGAATTGAGCACAGTTGCAGGTATCCGAGGCCGGAGCGCGCTCAAGTGACGGTATACCATTCCGATGCTCTACGAAATAGAAAATTCGTGCCGATATTCTTCTCGAGGCCACTATTACTCACAGGATGTGTGTATCTCCAGGCCTTGTCTATTATGGCCACCTTGTCATACACTATTATATCACAGCTGGAATGGCACTTATCAGCCTCACCATGTGTATAATCTCGTAAGAGGTTACCGCGTATTACAGCTACTGCTAGGGCATAGGAAGACTGCATGCTGCAACCGAATGTTTCTAGAAGTACTACTTATGGCAGGCTGTTGCCCGATTATCGGAGTTAAAAATAATGACTTAAGGAGCTGCCCCCCACGCCCCCCATACCCATTCGACTCAGCGATGTTTACTGCCGGTTGCTACTGATGTGGGACAAGGGCACTCGTTGGGCAAAGGGAGCCTAAGTCATAGCCTCCAAACGGCCCTGATAAATCACTCTGGCTGCGGTGCAAATACGACGGACACCAACCGGCGCCTCTTCAGCTGATCTCTTCCTGGCTTGCCCTGTTTGATCTGCTACGTTACCTCTCTAACCGATTCAGCATATGGATGTTTGTCAGAGTCGAAACTTTATATTGCTATGAGTTGTCATCGTTGTGTGCAACTGATCAATTGGCCTGATGCTTGAAGCTTACTCGCCGAGGAAGCGATATCTACCCTATAGTTGTTTGTCGTTGATGAACGAGATGGCTTCCATGACCTGCTTTGGTATATGTCTGCGCGGCTTCCCATATCTCCGGACGGAGCTATCCTTAGACATTGGCTATTAGATGTCTTTGTACAACATTGAAGTGCTCCGCATGACAGCCCAGTATGATCTGTCTGTGGCCTCGTTATGCCGTTTCCATTTGTGTGTCCTATGGGCCTATGGGTTTACAGGGAACTCCTAGAGAGCAAGGATAAGAGTCCATATTCCACAATTGTACTGACAGTCGTTCATGGCCACGATTTACTCCAACCCCATACCCAACCATGCATCCTGCAACGTCCCGCCTCCCATGAACCAACACAGAGGGCAGGATAAGGCAGTGTGGCAACATAACGTGGTGCAACCGTCTGGTCGCCCTATATTCGTATTGTGTGTTCAGTTCATCCTCGGCCCCGTTTTGCTATCCTTTTATAAGAAAATATATTGAAGGCCGTTTCCGGAATATATCCCTGGAGCCGAATATTTTACCGCACTAAACCCCCCGCACCCTCTTCTCTATTAGCATCCGGATCTTAAATATCTTTTTATTTGAATGCGATTCTATCCATTTACGCCTTGCTTTGGAATGTTTATATCCCTAGGTTAATTCTCTTCCAGTTACGGCACGGCAGAACGAGAGATAGGCAGCGACCCTTACCAATTGTCTCCGACGAGCTATTATCTGGGAATCTAACCAACAATATTAAAAAAAATAACCATGCTTCCCCGTGGCGATAGATACAGATCTTCCCCGTTGCCTGGCGGCTCTTACGGACTAGATCCCCGTACAATGACTCCAAATGATATCGAGATTGCTTTACAACAGGCCCAGCAAGGGGCGCAGGGTTATGATTACTTCAGAGAACATCCCACTATGCGCCCCCCTCTTAACTCGGCTGCATCCTATTCCTACCCTCCACGACAGGAAGAACAAACAAACTATGGAACGAGCCAGCCTGGAATCCCTCATCACCTTGGATACGGACAGGGCCAAAGTGCCAATATTGGTGCACACGACACGAACTTGCCTGAGCTTGTACGCCGAACGAACCTCGCAGTATCGCTGGCGAATCATAATATCAACCCAAGGAGCCAGTTCACGCAAGTACATCCCATGATGTGTTTTGATGGGAGGTTTCCTACGGATTTCCGCAGCCCGATGACTGTTGAGTCGGTCAAACTTCTGGATGGTGAGCTTTTGACTTCATTGTTAGGTCCTGTTCTTCACTGGTCGTCCATGCTAACGATAGCGAGTGAAGTCACTCAACTAGATCGGATTTTACAGGAATACAAGCTGCCATACGATACTCGCTCAATAATGGGCAGAGATTCAACCAGTTCCTCCCGCTTGCGGCTGGCAAAGCTACAGATCTTATTCGAACATTTAGGGGCCAGCAGAATTGTTGAACAAGAGAGACAAAAGCGATGTTGACCTTTGCGTTGTATCCTAACCCTTCCTTGTCTCACACATCGTTCCTTGGTAAGCATATATGTTCGGGGAAGTTATAGTTAAACGCTCTCCTCTCCATTCTTGATATTTTTCAATGCACTCTCTCTTCGTTATTAAAGATATTCTTACAATAATTATGGCTGCTGGAGTCTAGGAGTATGCTTTTCTAAGACTGTGATACTATATATGATGAACACCTTGTCAGCCTATACACCAATGCTTTTCTATCTACGGGTGGCTGTCCTTCCTTAGAACCGGAGTTCATCGCATATCTACTCCTTTTCTCTCCTGTTGTCTTTTGTTTACTCTACTTATGCATTTCTTGTGAAACAGACATGGTGAATGATAGCTTAATACAAGCCTACAATTGTATAACCATTTAAATTTTGTTTAATATAGAACCGCTGCATTAAATCCCTCTAGTTCTATTTAGCTGGGCTTAAGAAACTCAAATTTACCTGGTGACAAAGAATTAAATGTTTAACTGGCCAAATATGTGGAGAGAACTAGGGCGTTGTGGAGGGCGCCGGTTCATTTACTAGCCCATCCCTCGATGTTCTCCGCATCAAAGAACAATTCCACCTCGGTTCTATGTTCCACTTATCTTCTTCCGCCCTACTAGATATTTCCTTTGCTCTTTTTATTTCTCGAGCTTGTATATTACGACCCCAGTGGAAAATCGAGCTTCCGAAGTCCTGATTCCGATTTCGTGATCTGGTATTGTTCGTTCATGATACCCATTGCTATCGATGCTAGCCTGATGCAACGGATTGCAAATCGGTAATTCTTCGGTTGAATATTGCTGCGCCTTTCTATTCCCCTGACAAAAAGAGACGAAAAAAATTATGGAGAAAGCGATATCCATCATCATGTCCTACTTGGATTCGACGTGGGGTGTCTTGCTCCAGGCGAAATCCCAATTGTCAACGACAAACGCCATTTTGATGCTATCGATGTTAGGCATGATGTTGTATAGAGCTTGGGCTGGTGGTGCGGTACGTTATTCTGAGACTACATTTGGTGCTCGTTTGACTGATGATATTTTAGAAACCTCCCAAGGTGACTCGCAAGCTCACCGTCGTGTCCGAAGATGATTTCCCTCCCATTGAACCTCTTGACAAGTTTGGTTGGGAGACCACAGAGCCGCTCCAGCTGCGACCGTACAAGCCGAAATATAATCTTACAATGGGTAAGATGTCCTCCTTAATTCTCGCTAAGTCTCATCGTAACCCTGTGGACCGAGTTGGCTAATTTACTCCTCTTAACAGCCCTTGAAAACCTTGAGCCAAGCGAACTGATACCCATAGATAAGGAATATAAAGATAGAATCTATGAGCGCCGAAAAGTTCTTAAAGAAAATTATGATATTGCCTTGGGTATACATTCAGACAAAGGAACTGTACACCGCGATGGTGAAGAAGCCCCACTGGTTCACGATGCCATCTGCGAGTTATATGAATATGTTATGGGAATATATCTCCCGAACAGATATCCGACGATGTTCACATTGATGGATGCAAAATTTGAAACCGGAAAGGTATTCATGTTGCAAAACAAGGTGACTGGGGAAGTCCTACCGGCAAGCGTTTCCCCAGGTGGTTCGTTGATTAAGGCGTTAGAAACGTTAGCCAAGACGATTGATGAGGATATGCTTATTCTATTGCCATCTGAGAATGGGGAGAAGCTCATAAAAGAGGGTGATGACGGGCTAAGAGATAGAAGAAAAGGGGAGAAGAAAGAATCATTAAAAACCTCCGTTAGTGATAAGGGAAACACCAAATATGTCCTGCAAGCATACGCGACATGCTTTCCTTCTGGCTTCAATACTCGGGAGAAACTAGGCAAACAGCTGGCCGCTATACATGACCCGGTGCCAGGGTATAAAGAGAAACTTGAAAAGAGTATGGATCGCTATTTTGAAAGGTTGGAAGTTGGGAAATACATGAAACGAATGAATTGGACCGTCACTGCAGGAGCTGAGCTCTTCTCGGCCTTTGGCGATATCCATTCATCAAAAAATGAAGACCTGAGACCATTGAAATCCGAGGAACTTGATCTTGATGATGTATGTTGTTTCTCAAAAATTCATGTTCCCTTCCCTCGTCCGACGACCTATGATGGTCAGTTATGGGATATGGCTAACGCTTGTTACATTGTGCAGACATTCTTACGCGTTGAACGCCAAACCCTCTATCGTCTGCCCAAGTCTGGAGCCATCGTGTTTTCAATCCATACCTACAGATACCCAATTCAGCAAATCAAGGAAGAGGGTTCCGGCGAGGATCTTGCTGCAGCAATTGATGGTATTGAGACAGGAAACATTCCTCACATGGGGAAATATAAACGAGTCCCGGTATGGGGACAGGCGGTCAAGGATTATCTGAGAAGTTGAACATGTCCCGTTTATCCTTTCTCAACAGTTAACTCATGGCAAGTTTGGCAGGGAGGTGGTGTACTCCGTACTTACTTTCAGCCCTTTCTAGTCCAATTTCCATTATGTTTGGTCCTTTAGGCAGAATGTGAAATCAATACTTATAATACCGAGCACCGTCGCTATTTCCAGCTAGTATGTACTGGCCAATATACATTTGAGGTGAGTATGCGGTATTTAAATATGTATTCCGAGGGGATCACTAATGGAAGGACTTGGGAGCATCTCCGTTTGAAGATGAGCCAACTCTATGACATTGAGCCAATCTAGGATTAATAATGAGTAGGGTGAATTTATGACTAGTTAATCCCTCGCCATGGATTTAGATGGTCAAACACCATCCAAAATGTCTTGAGAAATCTCTCTTATACGGCCACCCATTTCCAACAAATGGCTTCTACTGGTCCTTGAATATAACAGGAAATATCCAATGAACCCGGTACCCCCTACCGGCGATACAGCCTTTGCAGATGTAATAGTTTCTGCCCGAGACACGTGCGAAATAATTTCTGGAAGTCGTTTCATCACTTTCTCGCAAAAGTCATCCGGTACCACAATTTTTTCGCGATGTATGGGAATCATAACACGCACGCACCAGTACTGGGCATTGAAGGAAAATGGTTTTGATAGAGTCTGGAAGGAGAATGGTTTTGATAGAGCTATAAAACGCTCGCGATCACCAAGTGCCTGAAGAAGCTGAAGCCCATAGAAGTCCACACCGTACGTATAGGCGGTCGAAAACACAGATTGCAGGCCGGGTGGTCGGGCATTGACTTCAACCAGAAACACACTCGGCTTACTTTCCGTTATTGAATCGGCGTCAACAAGGTCTATGATTCCATCGGTTTCTTTATAGTGCATGGAAGAATTTTGCACCCTGGCTTCGACATGGTAAACACCAGAGCGGAATCCCAATTGGAGAAGGTTCTGGTGTAGGGACGACTTAATAAGCTGTATTTCTGCCGGATCCAGTTGACTTGGTAGTACTATCATAGTTTCAGCGAAATTATCTGCAATTGTCGCATCATTTGCATCCGCCTGGCATGGGAAATCATCTGATATTTCGAAGAAAGGACCTCCCCATCCCAAAGAACAAAGTTGGCATCTACCTCTGGGCCATTAATATACGTCTCGAGGAGAATCCCGTACTTCGAAAAGCCGCATTCTTCTAGCTGCTGTACTGCCTGGCACATACTCGAATAGTTGCCAACTTTCTTGACGCCGCGGGAGGCGCCATCCCGACACGGTTTAACAACTAAAGGAAATTGCATATCTCTAACCCTTTGGGCCACGGAAGGGTCATCCAGTTGCGCCGCATTATCCAGTCGCAGCGTTTGGGTATTGGAGTCCAGTAATTTGCGCATCTCATACTTGTGGTGGGCATGCACGATTGCTTGTATAGGCTCGGTTCGAAGACCCAATATTCCCGCAGCTTTCGCAGTCGCGATCACGAATTCATCTGAAAACGTAACAATTCCATCAATCTTCCTTTCTTTCAATACTTCAGCAATCCTTGACGGTAGATTTGCATCGTTAATCACATCAACAGGTATAAAGTCATCTCTTAGATAAGAATACTTTTTCCCTTCGAGCCAATGCCCCGGTCGATCGACGACAGTTATCGATATACCCAGGCCCAGGGCTGCTTCAAATGTTCCTTCGTGACCAAACGATTTGTTCTTCTCGTTGAACTGAGGGCGCCCTCCTACCAAGGCTAATTTGCGTACTGCCGGTTCAGTAGGAAGCACCCAATCGAAAGACAGGCGAACTCTCAGCTCTCCCTCGATCAAATCTAGTGTTTCGTAATCTGATGCTGGAGACGGCTTCACAATCAAAGCTCCAGGAGAAGAAGACAATAGAACAAGAAGATTCCCTTCAGCTTGGTCTGTGATCGGCGAAAAATACCCATTGGAACCTGGGAACCGAATGACTGAGCCGACAAATTGAGAATGCCGCATTCTCAGTTCGAGAATATCACTCCTACATAGGTACCCGTTGCGGGGAACAAGTATCACCTTTGCTGCCGCTTTGACTTGATTGACTGACGCTTGAATCGTGCAGCACGCACGGACAAGTGTCTCAAGGGTGGTGCCAGTGGCATATGGAATAAGGCCTCCGTTTTTCCTGTCCTCACATGGCTCATTGATACACGAGATAGGAACGATTTCCATCAGCAGATCAAGTGACTGAAAATATTGAGGCGCATCCGCATCCGCACCCGTCGTTGGCGTGGAAAGCCTCCAACGACATGAAACTTTTGCCAGGGCTGCCCAAAGAATCAAAATTAGTTTAATTAGGAGGCTTCGTGGGAGTAAATGAGCTACCTTTACTGCCGGGAATTTTAACCAAGAAAGTTTCAGCCGCCAAAGCTTTATCCCCAAAATTATTCTTTTCCATATTTTCTAGTTTCATTGTTGATGATCGCAATGAGTACCGTGGATGGCAAATAAATTGTCAGACGTTGAATCTCAATATAAATTCCACTGGGAATCAACTGAGAATGATATGTTTGAGGTAAGATTGTTCAATTGAGGTGTCCCTGAAATGTGATGTTCTTATGTGATAGAAAGAAATTGTATGGCTAGAGTCTGAGAAATTGCTGCTGGCAACTTTGACGAGCGACGTATCACTCTGTCCCCATATATAGGCTCCCTATCTAAAGGGGGGTTGCCTACCTAGACAATCGTCTCGAGGTCCAAACGAATCACAGTAGAGCCGTCAGCTATCGGTATACTTGTCATCTTCTGCGATCACGCCTTTCCGGCGTGGATACGGGGTTGTGAGATATGGAAAGAGGGTCTTGCCACGACTCCCTTATCAGATGCCTTCGTCACTTTCGCCAAGTACCCAAAAAATCTATGCATTTTTTAGCGGTCATTGAACAGGGACTGGCCTTGCTGCATGTAGACCTAGCATTACTACTCGAGGGGAAACAGGCAGAACATGGTATACGTAAGTATATGTTGGCAAGCACCTAACTAGCATGTTGGCTACATATAAAATGTAACGTCGATATGCACCTTGTCGTAACAACCTTGTGGTGAATACATATCCAAGAGTCCACATATAGTAGATGCCGTTTACGTGACATATCGCATGGTTTAAACCCCCCAGAAACCCAGAGTAAATCATTTTCATCCTGAGAATGTTTCACTAAGTTAAACCCCGGCCATGTCGTACGTATATGATTTGTGGGGTTGTTTCCCGCACCCGTCCGCTTAATTTTAAGCGACCCGCCTAGCTGGTTGACTTTTAGCCAACTTTAAATTTTGAGAACGATTGGCCATAACACGACCAGGGAGGTTAGTTAAAGCGTCACACGAGCATAAAAGTCCAACGACAAGGGAGCCATTAGTAAGTCCTTTTGGCGGAGACATCTGCACCAGGCACGGATATTCCAAATGCAGCCAGCGGATGAGGTCCCTACTCTAGTAACCCAGTGTAGTAAAAGACCAAATACGCAATAAATCCTTTACCCATTACTGCATGATGAACCCCCAGGTGTCATACGTAACCCATGGGCCGCTCTACCCGTTCTATTACTTTGCATTTACCCAGCTTCAAGCATTAGAGATGATTGGCCACAGAGTTAACAGTTGAGAGTGTCACGCGAGGAGCTTCTGAACTTGGAAGTTTCCAAGGTGGATTGGAACAGTCATCGGGAGAGATTCGGGCAAACGGCACACTACTTCAACTTATACGCTCGATGTTCGAGGCGTTTATCTAGCCACTTATGTGCTTGTATTCTTTGACTATGGTTTTGACCGCTATGACAGGGTAGTGGCAAGATGAATGCGAATGGAAAGGGACTTTATATTGAAGGGCTTTCTATTCCACTCGCAGCCATGACTTTATCTACAATGGCAACTGTCTCTGCATAGATGGGTTGGGCCTCGGAGAATCTCCTCCTTATCCGTTTCTTCCCTGGTGCTTGGGGTGAGCTCCATCCAGCAATTGCCCCTGTGATGGTGCTCGGTTCCATGATGATAAGCAGGAGTTTAAAGCTAGTAATAAAGGAACCGTTGGCAATCCTGGCGATCGCTATAGCCATGTTTGCTAGCTGTTGGTCACCCCCACTAGTAGATCTTGGAGGTTTGGCTACGTGGGCTTTCATGGCTCCCCTGTTAAATGCATCTAGCTACAACTTTGCATCTAGGGATCATTAAACAGGAACCTCTATATATAGCTCTAATACTAGTACTTACCAATACCTACAAAGAAGCCAGTCAGCTCATATGATATATATCTATTCATGTAGATATATATGTATCGGCCGACAATAGCCTAGATTCTGGCTCGTTAAGGATTTATCTGATTAAGAGTTCATCTAACAGGAATTCATCTAATAGTCCTAGTATACTTATAAAAAGTAACCTTAGTATGCAATGCTTATATCGTGACAAATATATTACCTAGGCGTCCCCCATTTTTTTTTATTCTACAATCTATAATAGCTTTAACCATTTATATAACGGACACAAATTGTTTATATTTAAGTTTTAAGACTATGGGTACTCAGTCAACGCAATACGAAAAACGTGAAGCAACTGAAGATGAAGTTAAGAACCTTCAACATGTTGTTGACTCCGTGCCGAGTGTTGTTTGGGTAGCTCTCTTAGCTGGTGCAGCAGAACGGTTTACATTCTATGCTATAACAACTCCATGGCGTAAGTACTAAGTTATTTAGCCGCGATACCAACTAGATACTAATCTCCCGTAGAGAATTATATACAAAATGGTCGGGACAGCATTGCAGTTCCCGGCGCTCTAGGGCTTGGTCAAGCAACCGCTACAAATATATCCAATGCCTTCGCTTTCTTCTCATTTTTGTCCCCTCTGCCATTTGCTATTCTCTCAGATGCATGGCTAGGACGTTACAAAACATCATGCATCAGTTTTTCGTGGGTTCCTCTTTCATCTTATAATTTAGTATGAAACTAACTCATTGATAGCCTTAATGTTTGTGGGTGTTTAGCGCTCTTCGTTACCTCACTTCCATATGTGACAAAAGATTCTATCAAAATCATTGGGTTGGCCATTTCTATGGTATTCCTGGGACTTGGAACAGGCGGCGTCAGGGCCACTGTCTCTCCGTTTATAGGTAATTCAAATCAACCTTTTGGAGCTTATCAAACTAATCATCTCCTACTACAGGCGAGCAGTATGCAGTCTCGGCTCCACGGCTGATAGTCAATAAAAAGGGTAAAAGATTTGTGACAGATCGAACGTTGACTCTTCAATATATATATAATGTTTTCTACTGGTGAGTAAAGCCCTAGATTACAGAACGTTGTACTTGGCTAATATGATTATAAGGTTCACCAATATTGCAGGCATGTCTCTGATTGCTTCAACATATTTGGAGAAAACTGTTGGCTTCTGGGCCGCTTACCTCTTGCCATTGTGTTCGGTTTGGATTTTGATCCCTTTGATGCTGTTTTGGCAGAAAAAATTCGGTAGGTTGTTAGAATCTAGTCTCTACCTAAATATTATATTGATGTCGAAAAGTCAAGCTAGCACCACAGGGGAATGTTCTACCATGGGCAGCAAAGGTCATTGCATGTTCAGTCCGAGGGGGCTTTCGATTAGATGCAGCAAACCCAGAATACCAAGCACAGAGGCATGGGAGAGAGGTTCCATGGGACGAGCGATTTGTTTTGGAGATGAAAAAGGGCCTGATGGCCTGTAAAGTTATGTACGTCAGTTCGCAAGCCCTATATTGTTCGTCACTTGCTCACATTTTTAGCCAGGGCCTGCTTTGTACCGTTCTATCTGTGTACCAGCCAAATCACAAACAATTTGGTTTCTCAAGCTGGTCAGATGCGGCTAGGTGGGATCCCAAATGACACGGTTCAGGCGCTCAATGCTATTGCTTGCATTATTCTAGGCCCGGTCATCCAAAAGCTTCTCTATCCTACACTTCAAAAGCATGGATTTTCATTTGGGCCCATTGCTAGAATGACCACAGCATTTATGCTGATGAGCACCTCGATGGCATTCTCCGCAGGATTGCAAAAGTTGATATACTCGAGGGGACCATGTTATGACCACCCTCTTGCATGCCCTGATTCGAAGAACGGTAGTATACCCAACGACATCAGCGTCTGGGCACAAACACCCGTATATTTCCTGCTGGCAGGTGGGGAGATTCTGGGGTTTGCAACTTTATCAGAGTATAGCTACTCTAAGGCACCCCAGGACATGCGCAGTTTAGTGCAAGCGTTGCGTCAGGTAACTGCAGGCATTGGATCTGCTCTTGGAATCGCCATCTCACCCCTTGCGGTAGACCCAAAGATATTATACCTATATACGGGTATAGCAGCGACGATGTTGGTTAGTGCCCCATGGTTCTGGCTGTTGTTCCGGAATTACGACAAGATCGATGAGGAGCTTAATTGCATGGAATCAATTCAGCCTTCTAACAATGGCCAGAGGGAGGAAACCACATCTACTGCCCGCCCATGAGAGAAGATTTCATTTGGTAAGTCTGCGCATATATACATTGCTCACTCTCGAGATTTGGTCAGAATACCTAGTATAAAACAACACTGGAGAACGAAACTCCAAGGACACACTGTTAGGTAGCTATGTACTTAAAATTGATAGAGCTACGGTGCTATGATATAAGTCAATCTATATTATACTTAGTATTGATTCTTTCGCTTCAATAACATACTCGAGTAGTTATATTGCTGATTTAGATTTTTCTATTTATCTCATAGGCTTACTATGACGCTGACGAGTCTAGATAATATTTAGCCAGATATATTTTCTCCATGTTAACAATGTACTCAAGGAGGTTCACAGCTTCTTTGATTTACCTGTTTGCCCGGTACGTCCTAGCGATCGTGAGCCATGATATTAATCAGTCTGGACGGTTTTCAGCCAGAGATATCTTGTCTACTTTGGCAACCCACGAATATTAAGTGAGCCACGCAGAGAGGTAGAATCTATACATTATATCGAGGCCATGAAGTTACACGTATGTCATGTCTAATCAAATTTCTAGCCATGTTACGATATTTCAAGATTGTAAAATACAACTCGACATCAACCAAGAGCAAAGCAACAAACAGGACAGAAAAGTCTAACGCACAACAAATCAAGAATACTAAATGTGGGAGTTGTTCAGAAAGCCTTGAGAATGATGCTGTATCGCTTGCTTGCGTTGAAGGGATATGACTGGAACAGCAGAAGCAGTGCAATCAATATGCTTTAAAAGCGGAGGGGGAAAATAACCGTTTGCCCGAAAGGAGTGTGTAAGAGGCAATAACAAAAAAAGCTTTTTGTAAGGGCAGTAATGGGATGTAGCAGAAGTGTGCTTGTGGGTTGAATAATTGATTTGTAAAATGAGAGTGGAATAGGATTATTAAACCACCCATTTTTTGCACTTTCGAATTGGGCATGGGGAGGAATGCAATGTATGGGATGCGATGGAGAAGCTGCAGGGCTTGATCAGATAAAAAATGATCGGGGATGCGCAAATGGCATATAACATAGTCATAAAAGGGAATGTGTGTTTAAATATGAAAAAAAAATTGTAATGATTCCAGGTCCAGGTCCAGATCCCGCACGCCAGTAATAAACATCAAAAATACAGCTAGGAGATAACTCGTAAGGGAAAAAAAAAGGGTACCCGCATGAGCGTTGTGAGTGTTGATAAATCGTGCAAGTGACCGCCGCAAGATCCACGTAACACATCGCATCATCAAGACGGATCAGTCTAGAAATTGGAGGCCGGGTTGACTGGTCCTGGCTTATGATACTGGTCGAGAGTCGACTTGAACGGGCTGTTTCCAGGAGCTTCATGAGTCTGAGAGCCCACGGCGGCACCGGTCTGGATCAGATCATCGTCATCGTTGTCAGCACGAGCATTTCTCTTGCGTCGTAGTCTGAAGAAGACGATGGCTAGACCGCCGAGGATGATGGCACCGCCAACACCGACGACGACACCGATGATGGTGTTGCGGGTTTGAGGGCTCATGCCACTGCCGTTGCCGCCGTTACCACCACTGCCAACGGTGGGTTCGGGTGCCGGTGGGGTAGAGACAGACGATATAGTCGACTGGGTGACGGCTCCATCACTGTTGGTGTATGTCTGGATGATGATGATGGTCGTGGGAGTAGCAGTCGGCTTCGGGGTGGTTTTGGGCTTTTGAGAAGGCTGGTTTGTTGGCTGGTTGTTCGTGGGAGTTGGGCTGTTTGATGTCTTATCGGTTGGCCTCGTGGGAGTGTCCGTCGGGGTTGGATCACTCGTTGGAGGAGTTGTGGGAGTGTCCGGCGGCGAGGTTGGCGGAGTAGAGGTCGGCTTGTCAGAGGTTGGAGGCGTGGTTACCTTGTCCGATGTGGTGTGGTCGCTGGTGGTCGGCTCATCGGTGGGAGAAGAAGTAGGCGGCGTAGATGGTGGCGTCGTGTTCTTGTCCCCGCTGTTGTTGCCCGACTTTGACGGGTCTGTGGGCGTAGGCAGTTTGTTATTGCTGTCCGTGAGAGGAGTATCTCCGCTTAGTATCTGGCGACGATGGCGGCCATGGTGACGGTTGGGGATCGGCTGCTGGCCGATGACAACGACGGCCAGGAGAGCAACGCAGAGAAGGACGAAGGAGAACCGTGATGACCACCGCATTGTGTCGTGCCTGAGTAGCCTTATATCCTGATGGTAGAGCAATCCGCTCGTTCCGCGCAAAACGGCGTAGAAGTCCTTCCCCGGCGGTCGATGAGGGCGACTAGCGGCAGCGGAAGCGAGTTCAAGAAAGAGAGAGACGAAGTATTAGTATTAAAGTAGAAGAAAGACGCCCGTAAGCGAGAGTCGAGTCAGATGAACGAGTGACGGCTTGGAGAGAGTCCAAGGAACTGCGGGCTTCGATGTAACTAAAAGCAACGAACTTCGTCGTTCTCTTCGCGCAAGTCGAAGAAAAAAGGTCAGGGGGATGAAAAAGGCCGAAAGAGGAAAAAGTGAGACAGGGCAGAAGGATGGGTCACGGTACTCTTATGTAAGCAGTACCTGAGCGTATCGGGGCGTATCAGATGCGTATCCGCTGTCTTGCAAGGGGCGCCCTGATTGGTTCCTGGTCCGTGCCTGGCCCGTCCACTATCGTTACCGCTCGTACCACTATTGTACCACGGCTGTATCGGCGGGCCCCACTTATTACTTGGCGCGTTTATATAAACATGCTGACCTAAGCTAGGTTACATCAGCGAAGGAAGACGGAGATGCGACTCTGCGATGACATGGAAGAAACACTGCGATGATATGGAAGAAACACTGCGGGAAGAGGACGCGATGGCACCGTCCGAGATCTGACTATGGTTGGCTGAAAGTCGCATGTTGATCTCCAGCACACGACACGACGCCAAACATCTCTCAGCCACGAAAGTAACTACGGAGAACATATCATGCATGCAGGCTCATCCGACGGCTGAAACGGTGAAACGGCCAGGGACCCCTCCATCCATGCTTCAACGCGAGCCTGAAAGGGTATTGGGCGGAATATATTTAGAATGGTGGACACGGCCCTGTCGTCAGCAGCCTGATCTACGGGGTACATACAGTACTACGACGCCCTGGATGCAACGCTCGTTAAGCAGGAGATATTATTGGGTTTTTCATAGAAAATACGCAAAAGCCAACGCAGAAACAAACTGGCAAGGACAAAGGAAAAGCATAAAGTCACTAAAGTCATGAACCAAACCGACAGTGGCGCCCCTATAAGTCACTAACCCTTGGGTATAAGTGATGGCGGATTGTATAGTTTTCCCCCTTCAGTACGCCCAAACCATTAACGCTCCCTACTCTAAGTCTTGATAAGAGTTAAAAAAGGAAGATGAAGAAACTGGCAGTGCAAGAGGTTACTCCCTCGGCTCAGAAACGAATGCTCTCGTTCCTCTTACATAAAGGATTTAGGCCTCTATCAGCAAGCGGGACCAAGACGTTAAATATGGCCCTCGAGGCGTTGGGACTGAAGTTTTCGTTGCTGATATCGTAAAACGATGTGGCCAGGCAAAGCTCCTTTCCATAGCTTTTTTTGACTGAAAACAAAAAGAGTCAGCAAGAGACACGTTGAATGGATCCTGACACGATCGTGCATGGTACTTACTGACGCCCTCTATAAGATCTGACAACCCACATATCAGCTTCGAGGTATCTTGCTGAAGTCCCATTCTCCAAGCGTCTACCTGGCCGGCAGTTGACTGCTGCTGGTTCGACTGACGGCGGTTCGGCTGCTGCTGAGCATCTGCTCTCATTCTGATCATATCTTTAATGGCCGTCCCAAACGTAGCGTATACCAACTCGCTAACATAGTAAACATCTTTATTCATATCATCTATCTCCGCTCTCGCGGAAAGGTCGTTGGCGGTGGCATCGCTGAGACAGAAGCGTATGAACTGGTTGAGGTGGTTGGAAAGACTCAAGAAGAGCAGCGTGCTCATGACATGTCCGACAAAAGTATCGTTTCTCGCGCATATCAGATCATGTAGCTGCTCGGATATGTGGCGGATAAGTCGCTCCACAATCTTTTGTGCAACCGATCTGAACTGCTTCGAAATCTCGTGCCGTTCGTCCTTGTCAAGCCCTTCGCCGTTCACCTCCAGCGGGGTACACATCAAATATATCGCGAAAAATAGCTTTACTGAGCAATTAAGCATCATATTGGACTTGTTTTCTTGATCTTTCATCATCGTAGCAGCGGGCGTACGTGACACAGCACCTGCAGAAACCGCAACGCAGAAATCACACACAATGTCCAGGGCCTCCAAAACCCAGTCATCAGCACGGCAAAATGCTTGCTTGCACGACTGTCTAAGATCCTTGGTTGTGACAATGTCGAGCCACTCGTTCCACTTTGCCGTTAACTCCTCAGGGCCATCCCGTAGGTATATCGCGGAGGTTTGAGGGGTGTGGGCAGATGGGTATTGTTGTAGTTCTCCTGAGCGCTGCAGCATGTGAGGATATGCAGGTTTAGATTTAACCCGTACAGCCTGGAGGGTGAAAGATGGTCCAGTTCCCGCTTTTAGCTGGATGAGACAGTTCTCTAGCTGCTGCCCATCACCGGCTTCTCCTTCTCCGTTAGCCCCTTGTTCTTGTTCTCCTGCTTGGGCTTCCTCGGCTCGATTCCTCTTTCTTCGTTCAATCCAGTTTATAAGCTTTCCTGTAAAAGATAGTTAGCATTTATGGGTATAAGTACAAAGGCATAGTTATACATACCCGGAAAGATGATCTTCAATAACTCCGATAACCGAGGGGTAGAGCACGGCAGATGGAAAAACCTAGAGCTTTTCACTTCTTTGCATTGTTCGCATATCGGGCCGCCGGTGCACTATAAGTGTTAGCCACCGCAGACTAGATATCAGCTGGAACTTGCCTACCTTTTTCTTATAAGTTTTACACCTCCAGCAACGCTGCCTCCGTGGGACCCCATGTTCGCGTGTCTGAGCATCTTCTGGCTCAGGGTGGACCTCATCGCCGACGCTATGGCGACCATGTATTCCTCTATTATCATTGCCCTCTGGACTTACGTCTTGTGGGCCAAATGGCATAGAAACGTTACCATAAGAGCCCGATAAGCCAATTGCTATACCTTCACTAGGTTTTGTAGGCCGTCGAGCAATCGGAACAGGCAAATGGCCGCTCCTGGGAGGCATTCGATGGGTCCCATGTGGTATAGGGGTGTTACCAGAGCGACCAAATAGCCCAAATGCTCTACCTCCACTGTGTTGTATTGGCCCTGGAGCAACCAGGGCAGGCGAGGGGCCACTACTGGAAGGCATTCGATGAGTGTCAGGCGATATAGGAACATCACTAGAAGGGCCTGGTAGGTTAATTGCTCTACCGTCATTCTGCTGTGTAGGCTGTGGCGTATCTGGGGCAGGCGAAATGCCACTCCCTGGAGGTATTTGATTGGTGCCAGGCGGTATAGGAGCATCAGTTGCTATATCGTCACCTTGCCGTGTAAACCGTGGATCGGTCAATGTAGGCATTACGCAGGCCCATGGTTCGTCTGGCCGAAAATCGCTGCGTTCCCGTGTGAATAAACGGATAACTTCTACATCCACGGTACGATCCGTAGTGCGAGATTCTACTATGGCAACAGACTATATTAGTTGTTGTTTCTAAATATTAACAATCAAGGTACCCATACCACTTTTCATTGTCAGGGAGGTCAACACATCGCCATGTAGACACGAAGTGTCGCCCATTGACTCGTGTCCGTCAGTTGAGACTCTGAGATCAGTCGCATCGTGTGCGTGAGATGGCCACGGCAGCATGTCCGTGCCGGTTCCCCCGGTTGAACCACTGGTTAGAGAGGGTGTGCCATCGGGACGATAATTTCCTTCGGTTACCGACAGCGCCTCGCTAAAGAAGGTAGGGCATGGGTTGATATGTCCCTCCAGGTCGGCAAAAGGGTCATTGGTAGGCTCGTTTTGCGTGTCTACGTCGTGGTACAGCCCAGTGAGTTCTCTATCGTTGGTAAGCTGTGGAGTAGTTCCACCAAATTCCACCAGGCCGGGAGTGCTAGTTAGAATATCGTCGTCGACATTCTGCTCAATATGCTCGTTGCGGTCTGTAGAACCCCATGAGTGATGCGATGCATCAAGATCAAAGAAATAGTCCATTTACGAAGCAGGCAAGCTCCGTCACGACCTAGGTATGCGTGAGGGGAAAGAGATAAGGTCGATTGGCAAGAGATTGGCCACGCTGAGATATATACCCCTGATGAGACACAAGGCCTGGTGCCGTTTACACAGGCTTGCGAGGTGTCTTCGAGAGGAAGACCTCATTCCTCTTGGATTATTTTAACCATAGATATATTTTCTCCAGCGAAGTTGCGACCGCTGATGACATGGCCATCGTCCAATTATTGCGCTAATCCGGAGTACATAAGCATGCATCAGCGCGACCTAAGGGGATTGGGCATGGGCTCGGAGGGCAGTAAGCGGCCTTGCAGCCACTGTCGTCGCCCTCGCTGGAGGCTTACTCAATGCGTACTCACGAGAAGACACACACGGAAAACCGTTCATCCTCGAGTGGGAAGTCGTCAGGGTTACTAGCTGTAGATCCGACAATTCGCGAACATACAACTCCCACTTCCAAATATCGAAGGCTAAGGCCTAGCAAAGTACTCGTTTTGGGTATCACGCGGGAAAACTGATTCTGGCGGCTGCGTCATCGTTCCCTCGGAGAAAGGAAATCCGTGGTTAGGTAGATTTCTCGCGCTCTTTTCTCGATAACATATAGCAACTGCCTGACTAGGCCGGGAGATGCTATACACGTCAACCCATCGTGTTAGGGTTCCCGAAGTATACCAATATACTCCTGGTCAATTGTCATTGAAAATTGAGTTCGAAAATAGGTAGAGTGCATAACAATGCTCCTCTATAAGACGAGCTTCTCTTTACCGATACCGAATACTAAGCGATCTGATCGTAGTTGAAGGAGCGTCATCCTTGCAAATGCCAAGGACCCCTCAGTAAATTCGAGTTCTCCGCACAAGGCGTAGATATATTCTGTAAGCGCTGCCCGTGCTCATGGTTAGTCGAGGTTTCATCACGAGTATCTTCTGGATAGTCCATGGTTGCAGTATTCCTCTTTCGTGAAGTTGCAAGAAGATGGCAGAAATTTGCCTGTGTGAAGCGAAAATAAACAAAAACAAGACCAGACTAGTTAACTAGCCGTCGACCAATTGGCTGCTAGGAAGAATAGCTTTCTGATATCTCACTCCTTCTAGAATGAGTGGATTTTTTTTCGCTCCCTGAAATCCCCAGCCCATATCTCCGATAGCAAGGTCTCTGCTGGAGATATTCGTAATTTTCAAGGATAATACCACAATGCAAGACCATGTTGAAGTTGGCCGTTGCAGGATATAGCAGGCAACACGGAAGGGCCGGATATATACCTTGCTAATAAAATGGAGACGGACACAGGCGCGAGTCGCTTCCATGACCCCACGCAGATGTCGTTGATCTGACTGCAGTCTTCAAGGTCGTTCATATATGAGTTCCCTAAGAGTCTCGGTGACTCATTTAACGCGTTGACGGGGGTCGCTAGAGGCCTAGTCGTACCAAACGTGTCAGCTTCCAAATGGAGGAGTGGCTTGCAGCTGCTATTGGAGAGAGAATGCGCCGTTCCGCCAGCCTGCATTGATGTTCAATAGTGAAAGGGATCGCCCTTCTGTACCAGCAATTCTGCAGTTCTAGAAACTCAGATGCAATATATATCTGAGACTCACTGTGCATCGTGATCAGCCAGTTCTTTGTTTGAAGAAGATTTTCACATATTATCAGACGGAGATCGAGAAGTTCAACAGCAACGGAGAGTTCAAAGCCGTCTCAATAAAGTATTTTTTAAGGAGTTGGTTACATAAGTAAGCGGATCGGCCTTTGACCGTTTAGGCAATATATACTCCCTCTCTCTCTCTATCCCTCATCTGGTGAAACAGATGAAATTAGTGTATCATATATAGTGTAGCTGAGTCAGGAATCCCAGCCAATAGTTAACTATACTAATTTATATAAAAATCTATTAGTTAAAGAATTTTTAATTAAATACTCGATTGGGAAAAAGGCATATTATCCAGCAGGGGATGCAGTATATTTTCGTCGCCAGGGCGGTATGATTACTTATGTGTCAATATGCAACTTAGCTGATTTAACAACAGAGTGCGAGTGGCGAACTGGTACTATTGATAATGAGACGTCTAGTACTCAACTACACGTAGTATATATGTTTATCTCGACGCTTAGATAAATATGGAGTTAACAGCAATGTTAGGTCAGAGATGACACCACCGAGCAAACCGAAACCATCAATGCCGAATACATTCGAGAACAGATATAACACGAAAAGCTCCACTCTACTCTAGACCCGCCACCTGCTCTAGCGACCTCAGAATCCATTTCCAAAGTCTGTCATCAGCGACAAATATACTCCCATTGCGTCGTATACCTCTATTGTCAACTTTGTGGTAACGAGATGTCCATTCGGAAACTAGTGTCAATTTCCTTGATACTGCTAGACCAACCATGTCTCTCTGAAAGTAGGCTGCCTCACGCCGCATTACACGGTCTAAAGGTTTATCGTCTTGTTTTATTTCCTCATGCTTTTGTACGTAGCAATTGGATAGCTGTTGTGACCAAAAAAATGCCGAGAAGTCCAGGTTATTTTGGTTGCTTAATCGCCAGATCTCTTCAAAGTGGTAGTAGCCCCCCGAAGAATCAAAACTCACTAGCCGATAGAATAACCAAAAGAATCTGTGACTTGGAAAGGCTCGCGGTTCGGCAGGTATTGTACCTCCCGCAGATATCGACTTGCTTAGTCCGTCTTCAAACGCAGCAACCAAAGGGGCCTCCAGTTCGTCTCGGGATTGCGGAAGACCAGGCGCCATGAGAAGAGCTGATAGAGGGACGGATGAGCAGAATGCCCAATCAATAATGCACGTAATTCTGCAATCGTCATCCACAAATATATTGTTCACATTGAGATCAGGATGATGCAAGGCAAATTCAGGGTTGGTATTAAGGGGGCCCGTTATCGCTCATTTCATCATCCATTTTGATGCTATTGCACGTAAAGAATGTCCGACTAATATATAGTCAGTGCGATTGTCAGAGCCGTCGATTTTAGAACCAAGAGTAACAAATTTATTCCACTGATCGCACGCTCTGCGGTATTCGTGATCGTCATTATATCTCTCGCGGGTCGGCAGGGGCGCCAAAAAAGCAGTGGTGATGAAGTTAGAGACACTCGGCATGCTGCACAAATCCTAATACCAGCGCATCAACGTATTCCTTCTCACAGGAGAATGGGCCTCGGGGTAATTCATCCAAGCTACCTCTGTCAAAGTCCACCAGTCCCCGTGATAAACAGCTCCCCACCTGAAAATGACCATCGTCTTCCTCAAAAAGTGAGCCGATCTGTTCGAACTGGAGTTGTGAAAGCTGCCACGTTATGGTGCCCAGTTGAGATAATACCTTAGTCTTTTCTTTTAACGATAAAGCCGGTTTTTGTGATCCCTGTGGCTTCCACTTTGCGCTGAGGGGGAAACCCCTGGCTTTGCTCATTAAAATATAGGGAGCTCTAATACTATTGTTTTTCGAGCAACTTTTTGGCGATTAGCGGGATACCAGGACAGCCTCCCTCCATATTCAATCATACCTATACGCGTACACTTCTGGGACAGGTATGGCTGAATGTGAATTGATATATTTTAACGTAGCCGCCTCGCTCGCTACTAATTTTTGGATCGTCTCTGGAGACCGGATTGTGCCATCATACCGTGGAGATCGAAATACCCATTCTACTCCATCACCGCCCAGTACAAGCTGCCGCCTACTGGTACTTGAGTAACATCACAAGAGCAGCACTTCCCAAAACGCAAGGAGCTTGCAAGCTGTCAGAGTGCATCAATATTGAAAACTGCATGGCGAAAGATGTTGAGAGTCATACTATGTTTTCATGTAGTGAGACATGCTGAAATGATGGAGATATGAGATATGAAATGCTGGGAAAAGGAAAATATTCCGATGGAAAGCAGAAAGCTTGCATCAGTCCCACACATTATGCACTCAACGGCCCGCCAGATCCACATAATAGCGTTGGGCTACGAACTTTCTCTTTGGGCTACAGTTACATGGCTGGGAAGGGTCAAAGATGCCAGGACAACCGACGGAAAAGACACTCATCACCCAGTATCAGACGGAGTTATACTACGGTACTACATTTGTTATACCTAGTACTAATCACCACCTCCATGATCAGGCCAGCAGCCTTATTACAACAAGGACCACATTACTACACATACCCTCAAAGATGTCTCTTGAGTATTCCCACGCCAGCTATAGTCCTGGCAGGAAGATTGCAGAGCAAGAACCCGAAGATATCTCCGACACCAACAGCTCACAGACCCAGCGAGATATCATTCCAGGGGCGTTTTTCCTAGAGAATAATATTCTTGCGGCCTTTTGTTTATTCGAGGGTTTGCAGGAAACCATAATAAAGGTTCATGGTATCTAGTCAAAGTACAAATCGGGGTACATCAACCTCACAGCAGCGGTAGTGATAACCAATACGGCATCTGAGCAAGCTCGGAAGACCTGTGAGAGCTTTATAGCCACGTACCCTGATCTCTCTGGAACTGCCGTTTTGCCCAAACTAATGTATGATTTCGCATGCCAACTGCGCGGGGAAGATCCAGCACCCACCTGGCTGATATCGAGCCTAGTATCAACCATCGCTTTAGCCACTATAAAGAGCTAGCCCTCTATAGGAGAAAGCTCTTGCTTTTGATCTCGATCTAGTACTTATATTATCTTTTTTTATTTTTTTATTTTTCTCTTTATATATACTGTGCCTGTCCCTGATTACAAATATCCGCCTTCTCACGTGATCTGTTGCTATGTAAATACTGCCTTCTTATTGGTTGTCACGAGTGGGTCTTGCCCCTGACCAATCAAAACGAGCGTCACTCTGCATGACCACTCGGCAGGAGGATGACTAAGCTCGGCCCAAAGCAGCTCTGGCACTTTCTTCCTCTTCTTCCTCTTCTACTTTCTCCTCCTCCTCCTCCTCCTCCTCCGCCTCTCCTTTATCCTCCCTCACCTTGCTGTCCCCTAGCACCATCGTTCGCTTCGCACACCAGTCAACTGCCACTCGCTTAGGCTGTCTTAAACAATGGCTTCTGTCGCCCGTAACCTCTCCAGAGCTTTTGCTCGCGGCGCTACGCCCGTTACCTCCTCCGTCAGATCCTCGGCAACCCGCAATGCTGCCCGATTCGCCCTTCCTGCACAGACCTACAGAGCTTCTTCGCGAAGAGGTTACTCCTCCGCTGCCGAGCCTCAAAAGTCTTCGTCTGGAATGTACTGGGCTCTCGGAGCTGTCGTCCTCGCCGCTGGTGGTACCTACTACTACATGAACAACGAGAGCTTCGCTGCTGCTCAGAAGCCTTTCGTCCCAACCAAGGAAGACTACCAGAAGGTGTACGATGAGATTGCGCATCTTCTCGTAGAGAAGGATGACTATGACGATGGCAGCTACGGACCTGTAAGAATTACCGCTTATCCAGCATTAAAGACAAAACGGTAACTGACATAAAACTTCTTTAATAGGTTCTCGTCCGTTTGGCCTGGCACGCGTCTGGTACCTACTGCAAAGACTCCAAGACCGGAGGAAGCAACGGTGCCACCATGAGATTCGACCCCGAAGCTGGCCACGGAGCCAACGCTGGTCTCAAGCATGCCCGTGACTTCTTGGAGCCTGTCAAGGGTGAGTCTCAACTCCGATAATACGATAATAAGAACATCACTAACTTCCTTCATTCCGATCTAGCCAAATTCCCATGGATCTCGTACTCTGATCTCTGGACTCTTGCTGGTGCCTGTGCCATCCAGGAGCTGCAAGGTCCCACCATCCCATGGAGACCCGGCCGCAAGGACGGTGAGGCTGCCGCCTGTACCCCAGACGGTCGTCTCCCCGATGCTTCCAAGGACCAGAAGCACATTCGAGACATCTTCGGCCGCATGGGCTTTGATGACCGTGAAATTGTTGCTCTCTCTGGTGCTCACGCCCTTGGCCGTGCCCACGCCGATCGATCCGGCTACGACGGCCCATGGGACTTCAGCCCTACCGTCATGACCAACGAGTTCTTCAAGCTCTTGCTCTCTGAGAAGTGGGTTAACAAGAAGGTATGTTATAGTCACACTTCCCCTCCATATGCCGACATGATCTAACTTAAATCACAGTGGTCCGGCCCCGCACAACTCACCGACAACAAGACCAAGACCCTGATGATGCTTCCCACCGACATGGCCCTGGTCAAGGACCGTGAATTCAAGAAGCACGTCGAGCGCTACGCCAAGGACTCTGACGTTTTCTTCAAGGAGTTCTCTGAAGTTTTCGTCAAGCTCCTTGAACTTGGTGTCCCATTCGAGTCTAAGCCAGAGGATCGATTCGTCTTCAAGACCTCCGAGTAAATTAGTCAACCCGCAAGGTCCTTGAAACAACACGAGCCTGAAAAGGTGACTAAAACGAAAATGGAAGAAGACTTTGGCTCTTTTGTATGAGTTAACGTTACGACAGCTTCCACTCCACCCTTCATGTATCACTTCTATCTACTTCCCCTTTCTTACGCAAATACCTCGTTTGCTTGTACCGGTTAAATATCCACACTACCTAGATTCATTTGCCTAGATCCATTTAACTTAGCGTCTTTCATCAATTCAGGATTCTTCAAATGCCCTCACTCATATCATGACCTACAAGGAGTTTCAACACGTCTTGTTTTTTATACTATTACTTCTGCTATTTACTCTAGTAGGATACACGTCATCGTATATGACGGACCAATCTCCACTCCTGTTGCTATTTGTTGGATCAACTCTAATGAAACAATGAAATAGGTCCTTAAAAAAATATGGAGAAGCCAGTATGCGTATATAAAAATACCACTGTCTTTTCTATCCGTGACAAATCCTATATTACATATATTACCCGTCCTTAGAAATATAGACCTCCCGCGTAGGTTGCTTCCCCGTCTCAATGCGCCTGTACAGCCCGCCCTTTCAAAACTTCCCAAGCACCAGCTCTTTGGCCATCAGGTCTGCAGTCAAGGCACAAGTCTTCCAAAGGTTGACAAAGTCAAGGTTACTAGTAAACGACTCCACCAGTCCGAACGGAAGCATACTTGGAATCCAGCCTATAAATCACCAATATGACCATGTTAGCATCTCACTCTTTGCTCATCCCCGAAAACAAAGGATTTACTCACCTTGCGCCAGCTCCAAAGCCCATCCATCCATGGCATAATGAATCGACTGCCCTCTCGGCAAATGATTCACATCTCCAGGGTAATATGTTGTCGCCTCAAGCTGTCCTGGCCTATACGCCTTTTCAGTGCCATTGAGAATGACAAAGTAGTCATCTGCCAAGTGAAGGCCGGAGTGTCCATTGGAGTAGATAGGAGTGCCGTAGAAGATCAGATATTCTGTGACTGATGCGTGGAGGATAACGAATGCTCCCATTGCACTTCCGTGGTTGCTATTAAATAGTTAGTCTAAATCATGTACTCGTCTCATTCCAAAAGTATAATTATTGGGAATATGAGAATCTAGGGCAGAGAGAACGAAACATGTAAGGGAAGTATACCTCCATATCCACTTATCGGTATCAGTAGTAAAAGGCGCAACATGCTGGCTGCCATATTCTTCCCGAAGAGCATCGTTCAAATCCACCATTAACGCAGTAACGTTATTTGGGTGTCGGCTGATCGACGCCTTCGCCAGCTCCTGAAGCCTTGCAGGCTTGAAGATGTAGAAGTTACTGAGATTCGAGTCCAACCAGTAAAAGAGAACCGTAAGAAGGGACAATGTCCCGATCAGAGTGCCGGCGCGCATTATGGGGGAGCCTGGTGTATAGTGCACGAATGAACAACCAACCGAACAGCTATAGTCAGGACGTCTTTTAGTGAAAAAAATGAAAAGAAGGATACGATGCACATTCAAATAATGCTGGGGAAGCAGCAATATTTAAAGTAGCGCGTAAATAATGGAGCTGGATGCTCGGGATCAGCATGTTCCTCTAGTTTCGGCCCCGGAAAGAGCTGAATTCCATGGGCTGATGCGAGATTGCGTTGAATACTGCTTGATAAAAGCGTCGGCTTGCCACTTTGATGCCATTAGAAGCTGCACTGTCAAAATATCTTAAGAATCTAAAGCTTCTATTCTTAATTTTGTCCTTTAGATTACCCTTAGATACTTGATAGAAACTCCAGAGTCTCCTGAGTATTCTTTTGCAGCAAAAAAAAAGCTGACTAAGCCGATGGAGGCACATTTAATTATTCAATATCAATCATAACTTTTGTTCGCTCAAGCTTGTCGACGGCCCCAGGTATAAATCACCTGGAGAGATAGTTTTGTCTTCTCGAATGGCCCCTATAGATCCTGGATCTGATGGTGTTTCGCATTATGAAATCCTTCATCTCCCGCACCCCCCAGTTTCTCTGAGGAAACAGGACATCAGAGCCGCATATCACCGCGCGTTACTCCAATATCACCCTGATAAATCTGGCTCGTCGACACCGTCGTCTCCCGGGGAGAAGGCAGGCAAACCACAAACCTTGAGTGGCGATCTACATACCCCTAAACTCGCGGCATTTCGCACCGTTGACCAAATTACAACGGCCTATAAGGTCCTCTCCAACCCCGCAGCAAAAGCAGAGTACGATAAACTGCTACTGCTATCAGGGTTCCGGAAGCCCAGTGCGACTGCTGGCGGAAATGAGGATGATGATCTAGTATTCCGCACTGGCCTAGAGGTTCTTGACCTTGATGACATGGCGATGGAAACCGTTATCTCGCAGTCGGGTGGGGAGGGGGAACAGAATACGACAGAGACGTGGTATCAAGGGTGTCGATGTGGTGACGAGAAAGGGTTCATGGTGACCGAGGAAGATCTGGAGAAAGAGGTCGAGAAGGGAGAGGTTATAATTGGATGTCGAGGATGTAGCTTGTGGGCAAAAGTGGTGTTTGCAGTCCATGAAGATGTGGATGGGTGAATCTAGGTTGTCAATATCGGACGAAAGATTCATGGAGAGAATGCCATCCGCACGTCAGTTGGGTTACTTCATCCAAAGCGCGCAATCCGCCCCGAAGCACACCTCCGACAGGCTTTACCTACTACTTCCTGCTAGGGAGGGCTCACTTGGAAAGGTGATCAGGCCCAGATGCAGGCATACGAGTCATGGGAAGAAAATATCGACTTCATCTGGTTATAAAGTGTCATACTCCCGACTACATACCATGCGGGTGAAGGCATGATATCCCGTTTGAGATGGGCCAACATGGCTTTCAAAGGCCTATTTATTCCGATGATCCATATATTCTTGAGCTAAGTTACTCTCTAGTGTGGTACTGGCGATGGGGTTTATTCCATTACTGGGGGATACCTACTGTTAAGCCTTGGGCTAAATATCTCATTAACAGATAGGCACAACCCTTCGATCATTAATATAGAGACAGTGTGAGCAATCACTAAGATAAGGCACGCCAGGAATTTCGAACATACATATGCCAACGGTTCGGTTATCAACCTTCACTCTTACCCTTTGGTTAGAGTGTAAAGTAATATTATAACGGTGTAGTGTGTGTTTAAGTGGCAATGCTGTTATATACTAGAAATAATGGAATAATATCATTAATTTTACCAATTGATAATTCATTCCAGTAACTACTTGCTACTTAGTCTATTAAATTTACATTAGGATTATCCTGTTAGATCATATACTAAACATAGATTGTTGTAGTTAAAATACATGTATCTTTCTATGTGGTTTTTCATATATATATATATATATATAAAGTGAATAGAAGGGATTAACCATGATATGTCAAATTCGTATTCTAGTTACAGTTAATCCATGAATACAGTTAATATGAGTTAGTAAACGTACTTGTTCAACAGTAAAGGTGGTAGAATTGCGGCTCAAACTGGCGGCTGCTTGTAATTGTTGTTGTTTAGTTAATAAAGATGGAAGTTAAATATTTACAGGCGCGTTCCTCAAATGTGCTTGGAAATCAGAACAAGTCACCCTCTTCTCCCGAAACCAAACTACTACCAAGCCCAAGATGTCGAAAACAGTTGAAATAACATCTACAGAGCAGTTTCTAACACTGCTCTCATCGACTCCCGTCCTAATAGCGGACTGTAAGCCATCCATCTTAACTACAGAAGCTCCCTTAGCCTGCCCCTCGCCACCCCACCACCACGTCCAAGAGCATCTCGAGCAGCTGCGTTTCCTTCGCCTCTTCTTCATTCTACTCTCTAACTAATATGTTTACTCTATAATAGTCTACGCGGACTGGTGTGGACCATGTAAAGCGATAGCTCCGGTATTCGAGAGTCTCTCGGCACAACATTCTGGTGCAAAGGTGAAATTCGTGAAGGTCAATGTCGACAACCAGCAAGAGGTCGCGGGCCTCTTCAATGTCACGGCGTACGTATTTGGCAGATACCCTATACCGAGCTCATGATAATCTCATGGCCGAGTAGAGTGAGAAGGCAGATGAAGAGGCAATGATTAACATTTACTTCTTTTTTGGGATAGCATGCCTACATTCATGATCTTCAAAGACGGCGAGGTTTTGCGGGAAGTGAAGGGAGCAGGAAAGGACGCCCTCACCAACATCGTTATGTTAGGTGTACGGGCTTCTAAAGGTGAAGATACTTCCGCTGGCCCAGCGGAGGGTGATGGCACAGCCTGGTTAGGTGCCCCAGTTCCGAGAGGTTACCAGGATATTACGGATGAAGTGGAAGTGAAGGGCATAGATATGCTCAACCGCGACGACGAAGCAGGACTTGGAAAGTGTCTATTCGATACTCAAGCACCAAGGACAGCCGAAACAACCAAAGCTGGGGATAAAGGAAAAGGAAAGGAAGAGATAAAACCAGACTGGGTTGAGAGTGACACGGACGAGCAGTTGATTGTGTTCATGCCCTTCCAATCCTCCATCAAGATCCATTCCCTACATATCACCTCGCTCCCGCCTTATAGTGATGACGACGAGGCACCTATGCGACCAAAGACGATAAAACTCTTCACGAACCACTCACATATCATCGGTTTCGAGGACGCGGACGATATAACTCCAGTTCAAACTTGCGAGATATCGCCCAAGGACTGGGACCCAAAGACTGGCACAGCAAAGGTTGAGCTCCGCTATGTCAAGTTCCAGCGAGTATCTTCCTTGGTTGTATATTTCGTTGATGGCGATGGAGACGGCGAGAAGATAAGAGTAGACCGATTAAGACTGATGGGCGAGAAGGGCGAGAAGCGAGAAGGCACTCTAGAGAAGGTTGGCGACGCGGAGTAGAGCAGTCTACTATACAGAAACCAGCTCAACCATTCATATATACCAGTAGCGTTAACACCTGACAATGAGAGCATTTTTAGACACGCAGATACGTAATTTTCACATATAAATTTTCATTCTCGAGACGTTCTAGCTAAATATACACAGCAAAAACGGTATATATAAAAAAGGATTGTTTGATCCCAAACCAAATGGCCATTCCAGTTGATAGTTATAGAACGACCAATAAAGTACGAATCAACGTGCAATTCATCTCTCTGGGACGCAGCTGACACCTAAATGGATAACATCATTGAGGAAACCGTCTGTACAGACAACTCCTGACGCATAGGTAACACGGGTAATGATAGAATCATTATATGCTGCGTTCGCCGCACGAGAGAGAGAAAGAGAGAAGAAAGCAAGAAGAAAGCGAAGAAAAATTCTTTTTATTGCGAAGTCTGCAGAAGGCGCGCTAGTCCGTATCAGGCAAGAATGTCGCGAGCAAACAGCGCAAACTCTCCGGCCCTCGCGTAATGCTGAGTCAGCAAGACATACTGTTCAGATTTTTCCTCGACTCGCGCTCTTGTTTCTCTCTTCTTTTTCTTCCTTCATGGCCAATGATGGGGTATACGGGAGGATAACTCTCGGTATCTTAGAAAATATAATAGGAAGAGACTGAGTGGCTTATATAGCCCAATGATCTCATTTGACAAATTTCTCTGAGGCCATATTTTCTTGCACGTTTCATTTTCACTTTTCGAGATAGGGATTGCTCGATGTCCTTATTTTTCTTCCTTTCTCACTGTGGGATAAATCGATTCGATCTTTAATGATAAGCGACTGGAATATCGTGACGTCACAGATGATCATTCCACTTTTTGCCGTGGGCCTTGGGTGATGGGTATCGGAGGTATGTCGAGGACTCCGCAGACATATCTACGGACACCAGGAAAGGATGAAAAATGGCTCCCTTTTTCCATGAGATAACGGTCCATAAATGCGATGCCATCGATCTGTCCTCGGTTTGAGGGAATTACTAGTTTAAGAACGTGCTGTCGAGTTCGATGGCAAGGTACGATCGCCTGATCTACGGAGTACCATGTGTATTCTCTTGCCCACGAGTGTTCTTCCGTTCCATGTGGCACTTTGGAGGCAAATTCCATACGAGTCCTTGTCCGAAGGATGAATATTGGGTATATTGGCAATAACCTCGTATGCTAGAGGAGCGCTAGGGCTTCTAGAAGGCAAAAGGTATTCGATAAAGATTCCAGCGTTTGATGTTTCATGATAATCGATGTTGCACGATTGATATGCATGCCATAGTTGGAATGGGGTCACTTCAAACCATCTGCGTGGCAGTTTGTCGCCTCCACCAAGTTATTTGCTTTGGAAGTACAGATGTATTCGTTTTAGAAGGATGGAGAAGATCGAGAAGGTTCATAGAAGACAAATAGACTAAAGATAGCCGATGGGTTGAACCGGAACTTTACCATCGACCAAACAGAGGGCGTCGATTCCATGATAAATCGATGGCAAATTCACAGTTCTGCAGAGTAATAATATTTGCCTCAATCAGTAGTTTCAGCGATATGTGGTACAACCGCAAATATAAGCGATCAGTGGGGTCTACCGAAGTTCAGATGAAGGAAGACGAACATGGAGAACAATGTTCAAGATCGACGACTTCATACTTTTGAATGCAAATCACTGGCGTGAATCAATAGTCCAATGTCTAATAGCGAGGAGAGACCGTGTGCTCGACCTTTGTGGGGGATATTCTGCAATTCTGCGGTTCTGGCTCTGTTAGCGCCTATATTCACTAGGAAGAACCTTGACGAGGCAATAAACTCCAGCAGATTGTGGTTTGGATGGATTTAGGGTTGAGTTGTACGCGGAGAGTGAGAAAGGTGGTAGGTGGAGGCGCAAGTCCGAATAGAATAACCGACGGGAAGCCTGTGTGCTTATCTCGTATTCCTTCCCCGTTGGTCGCCACAGGAAGAGCGGTCGGAGTTCAGCCATGCATGGAGTTGTCGTAACTCGGTATCTTCTTTTATCTGGTTGTAGTAGAAAATAAGCAACTTGAAAGGAGAATTGTAACCGGAACCGTAGGTTTATTTGCCGGTGCGCCCATCTCGTGTGTTCTTCCCATGTACCTTGCTGCCGGAACCCTGATAACTCCGGAATACTAAGGATATGATCAAGGAACATGCCTCTTCTCTATACTCCGTACCTTAGGACGATCTAATCGCGGTGGACCTCGCGGGAGTCTTCCTATTCAGTCACATGTCGTTAAGCCGAATAGCTTGATGCAAGTAACGTGAACGGCCAAGAGACGAATTTCGCCCAAAAATACATCCGAGACAAGTGCCAGCAGTTGGGCTTTCATATTCCATCAAGGGCGCGAGGCCAGTTGCACGGGGATGGATGGGGACGGGCCCCGGCACAGCTCGTATAGAGCGTAGGAACCGCTTTGTGGCCCAATTTGCTATTGGACGGAGATTTCCGCCTGGCGTTCTTGCTAGGACGTGCATCCACAGCACGGCAGATTTGTAGGCGCCTTTTCGACAGTGGCCAATGCATGAACTAGAAATTTTCACGACTTCCAGTCCAATTCACCATCTTAGTTTCTTTCATAAGTCATGTTGTTATACGGGGGAGGGCCGTAAAGAGAGACATGACCCTTCAGCTCCCTTCCCTGTGGTGGAATCGTATAACTCAACGAAGTCTGCTGAGTCGTGCTGCGTGTAAGATTCTAAACTGCAGCCGCCAAGCGCAGTCGGGTCATTACTAGCCCATGCGTATATTGGGGGGACTATTATGGCCAGCCCCCTCGGCCTATTGACAGCGTGCTCACTATCGCACTATGCAGAAAGTAGCTTCTCGTCACCGGCTCGGAAGTTGTTTCGAAGCACAGAGTAATGCATAAATGCACCTATATATACTCCGTATACCGGCCAACTTAACTCCATACACCGCTGAGTTCGACCACAGGCGCACACAGGCGAGAGAGGCGAGTTAATCCTTTAGTTAGCGGTGGACGGCTGTTAGTTAAGTGTTAGACTGATGTTTTACATCGCACTTGACTTTTGATTCTGTCGTCCTCTTGTGGACGCGCTATGTGGCGAGAAAAACGGCCTGGTTCAATCTAGAATCCAGCACTTGTTTAGTTCACGGCGTGATTAGGCGACACAGATGTTTCAGAGCGAGGACCACCACAGCAAGTTGTTAGTAACGAGAACGAGCGCAGGAATTCACCTTGCAAGGATAGAAATTTCTGTCGTTTCAATCGATAAGGAAACCCTTGGACGTTCGGAGATGGACGATAGTATGGTTCATGGGATCTTTAATATATGTGGTGCGTGAAGGTGACGAAACGATACTACGTAGATTGTCATTTATAGAAACTGTTTCAGTTCGCCGGCCAGGGACTTCTACAACTCCGAAAGAGCCTGTCTGTCCCAGTCAGGCCAGACTAGGACGGACTACCCGGGAGGAAGGTGTTTGCGTCGACGGCCCTTCCTTTGGTTCCGAACTGGCCTTGGGAGCGGCCTTGAATGCTGTGCTGATGCCAATGGTGACTCCTAGGGAAATTAAATATACGCACGATAAAGCGACTCCATGCACGAAAATATTTTATTTGCCGCCAGAGATCGGAAGACTTGTGCGTATATATCAACCTGGTAAGGCTATGTTCCCAACCTAGCCACACACCCTCCATGCACGACGGACCAATTGCCGCTGCTCCTCGACGTCCTGTTGTTGCCTTTCCCTGCCTGCGCATAGTTACTCCGAACTATCCTGGCCGTGGCCGGCCCTGGAGAACGCTGGATGGGCTTCTGGCGTGTTTCACAATATCCTTGGATCGAGGGACTAGTCGAAGTTAGCTGATATGCGCAGGTGGAGTAACATCACATTGTCTGGGTCAGGAACAGACTTTACTACGACTTGCTAGGGGCGGTAGCAAGGTTTCCTTCTGGTCGTTCTATTTCCACTTCCATGATTAGCGGCACTAGGATTGTGGACGCTAATTTTCTCTGGATCCAGGCCATAATGTGCCTATATTGATTTCGTAATATTGTCCAACGCCTCCAAGGCGATTCATTGGCGGGGATCAGAGCGGTCGTGTGCTTGAGAGTGTGCTTATGCACTCGCCGTACTCCATACGGAGTACAGCGAGAAGGATTCGATCAACACCTAAGATCTGGTGGTCAAAATAAGCCGGCGAAGAGGAACAGACTGGCCAGATATTTTACTTTTACCCCGGATCTTAGAGGCTCGTAAACCTCTTCGCACCCTGCAAGCCTGTCCTTCACATGCTTCTTTCGTTGCCATAAGTAATGCCGTGGGATGCCATCCATAATTTGCCATGAGGATTTGCCGCCATGTTGAGATCGACCTATACTCCGCCGGTGGAGACTGTGCTGTCCTCTAGTGATCGAATATCGTAACGCATTTGTCTCGATCTACCGATCTGTCGCCATCTCGTCGGCGGAGTCAATGGGTACCGGGCTCATCGAGGTGTCACAGCAGATCGTGATATCTTGGTCCAATTCTTTTGTGATGGTGATGCAACGTCCAGGCAGGGCAGGTTACATAAGCCGTATAACCATCCCCAGTCTGTAGTCGGTAGTTCAGGTTTATGACTACCTCCTCTGAATTGAACCTGTACTCCATGCGCAAAACAACGGCGCATGAAGCTGCAAGGCACGAAGCGGCTACTCGTTCGGCATTCTCTTGACCCGTGGCACTTGAGATGGTGAGATAGAGAGGTGAGATGTCGTTGTGTGTTCCGTACAGCCGTTGCCTCAACTGCCGCGACTCTCGTTTTCGTGACTCGATTCACGAGCGTTGCGCGTTATACCAAGCTTCCGGCTTGCGCTATCACGAACGAGATTAGATAGAGTGTCTGTGTGGGGGTTCTATTTTCGCCTGTAACACTGGGGTTGAAAGTATCTTGGAAGGTTTGCTGGACTGTTCCTGTTCCTGATCCCCCGCCGCCTGTGCCTGGAGGGGGAAGCACTTCCACCAGCCGAGAACGATGGGCAGAGTCGGAAGACTTCCAGAGAGGCGACCTCATCATCGGGCAAACGTCAACGGTTCGGCCCAGGGAAACGAGGCGGCCAAAGAAGGTTGGATGAACAATCGGTCGTGTCTCACGGACCTAGCTGGATCCGTTGAAGATACAAGCCAAAAAAAAAAAAACACAAATCGAAACACGATCGGCGTTACTCCGACGGGGTCTTTTATCTACGCGAGAAAGCTTGCCTCGAAAGGTACGTGCAGCAGCAGCTTTCCGGGCGGTGACTATCAGAGATTTCATGTTGTTATCACCGTCCGTCGGTTGGATACGTGCATGCAGATAGAGGAGATATCGCACAAATCGGAGCAATACGCAAGGCACGCACAGTCACATCACATTCTGCATCGTGAAATATGTGCACGTCTGCGTGCTTGCTGTGTGGTACTGCCATTCGCATAGCTGCAGGGGAATCCACCAGTTAGAGTACGGGCCTCTGGATGAAAACAGCAAAATGACTATCGAAGGTCAATGCATGAGCAGACGCCGGTAGTTGCTGCGTCTAAGAGCAGATTCGACGCAACGAAACCGGGGGTTACCTTGGGATAGAGGTGGGAGGTCGAACAAAGCATCTAATCAGTCTGGACACAAATTGTGGACGGAGCGAGCGTATCTGCTTCCCCGGCCCATTTGGAGGATAGAGTTTAGGTCATTGCAGCACAAGATAACAATAGTGTCAACTCATCAAGGATTTGATGCACGGCTACTAACTAATAGTGGTGCTATCACAGCTATCACGGCTAGTTATGACAGCGCGCCGGGGCAAACAAAGAAGGCATGATGCATGCTTTGACACTGCGGCTGGTACCCGACAGATGGGTGATCGGGAGCCCCTCGCTTCTTCCTGAGTTTTGGCCTAGTAAGGGAGTACCTTGTTTGTCAATTCGACTCGGAGAGGTGCCCTGGTTCTTGCTGCTCTCTTGCTCGACGATCATCCAGAAAAGATAATTCGATTGATATGGTTAAACATAACGGGTAAGTGAATCAAGTCAATTACAGGTGAACGCCAATTGGGGAAGCGAAGAAGCTTTTCCATTGCAGAGCTCAGAACGGTTCGTTTAACCTCATGGAGTGTTCATCGACCAGACGTTGCTTTTTCAACAGAGTTTTGATGTTCATATTCTACCGTTGAAGGGAAGATGACAAAAAAATAGGTTTCTGATACTTATGAAATCTTTCTTATCTTTTCTTTTTTTTGTCTTTCGATTTTTTCTCTGCAAGCTGTGTCAGAAAGTATACGGCACAAGAAACTGTGCAAATATGGATCCTTCGTGGGCAATCATTCATACCTTACTCGTTCTTTTTTTAGTGAAGCAGTGGGCCGTCATCACCGACGAGGCGGCACACGGAAAGGGAAAAAAAAACAAAAATTCGATGTACGCCAAACAGAAATCGTCCCTTAAACGACAGTCAAGAGACAGCGCAGGAATTGAGATTGCTTTTCGGGCGGCTTTTCCTTCAACGGCGCTTCTGTAATATTGCCATCGAGATCGCATGGCAGCATGAATGGCTCTAGTTGGACAGCTCGACCAAACACAAGGCACACTCTCGCCGTATACTCCATCTGACAGCACGCAAGTCTCTCCCGCCGGAACGGGTTGACATGAATGGGCTTTTGTTCTAAAAAAGTCTTAGATGCTAGCGTTTGGAGTGGTCACTTTTTGAGGGTTGAGCGCGTGTGCTCTGTCTCTGCCCGTGCCAGCAAGACGCAGAGACGAAGCAGACATGTAAGAAACGGACGACCGAGAGTCCACGAATCGCATCTGCCGCAGTGAGCATCCTGGCGCTCGACTCTAACCTCCGCATTTTTCCCGTCGAGTTTCATGTCCACAAAGTGGCTTTAGGCCGGTGGACCCCGGTACCAGATACTTATATGGAATTATAGCAAAAGGTTGATTTCACACGGGCGTGCTGAAATGGGGATGGAGAGCGCATCGGCTCCTTCACAACTCATCGCCCAATCTGGCTGCAGGAATGAGATGGCGTCCTCCGTCCTGCGTCCTGTCATCGTCGCCCGGCGTCGATGGGCTTTAACCCCCAGTGCTGGGTTCGCCGGCCCACACACACCGCCATCACTATCACCATCACGATTTCACGGATGCTGGCTGCTCGCTCGGTCAGCGGCGATCCAATAGCAGCGCCAATCTGGCGTTCCTGAAGGTTAATGGCCGAGCACACCCTCAACCCTCTTGACTGCCACCAGCCAACGCGTATGGACAACTCCGTACCTCCGTACGTTTTTTTCCCATGTACTCCGTACAAGATAATGCATTATACATACACAGCATACGCAGGAAAAATAATTAATGCTTAATATGTACCGCGCCAGATGCATGATATTACGTATGTCCCGTTCCTGTTCTTTTTTTTCTTCTCCCTTGCACTCGGAGCACAGGGTTGGCCAGGAAGGGCCACAGCCCCTGCCAGGCAATCTCGTTGGCTCACTGGCTGCTGGGGGGGTCGAGGGACATGGTGTGCCTCGTTGACCGCTGCAACCCACCGGCGATGCCAGCAGGGCACGCAGGCCAGGGCCACGCCCAAGGAGGGACCAAGGGAGGACCGCAGGCGTGTGCTGGGAGCAGTGCTGGAGTCGCCTGGGATCAGCAGTGCGATGGTTAGCCTTCCTAGCGTTGTCTTCCGGTGGAGTCCCAGGCTGCGCCATCCTCCGACCAGCGGCCCCAGACCAACTAACGAGGTTTGTTAGTTACATCCACCCCAAGGCAAGCATATCCATTATTGTGCAATTACAATCGGCATGGTTACTGGGCCGTCGTAGCGTCGTCTGGGCTAGCAAGCCCACTGGGCCACTGGACCTCGCCCGCGTCCGCTCGACCGCTCACTGGGTGGCCGCCAGCGTGTCTTAACGGTTCATGCTACTCGCCGGATTGGCAACCTACCCTGGAAAGAGAGAGTGATTGACACACCACACACTCTCTTCTTCTGCCTCTCTCTTCCTCTTCCCATGCTTTCTTTTTTTCTTCTCATCTTACCCTTTCCCTTTTCTCACCTCTCCCACTCCCATACAGTCTTTGCCCTTTCCTTTCTTTTTCTGAGCCACACCTCCATTCTGCGTTAATTTACCAGTTCTTCCCTCCCCGTCGTTCGTTTCCACCCTCTGATTTGGACAAAAACTTTCGCCCAGTCACTCACTTTTAGTTCACTAATTCTTTTTTCCTCTTCTTCGCCTTGCCCGTCACTGCCTTTACTTATATCATCTTATCCATATTCTTTTTTTAATATTTTCTTTGCTTCGTTTGTTTTATATTACTTTACGCTGTTCGCCTGCCTCTTTTCCCAACACAGGCTTCCTCAGTCATTCCTTAATTCTTATTTACTCCCCTCCCCCTCCAGACGTTGGTGTCTCTCTTCTATCACCGAGGAATACCTTCGAATCCAGCAAGCCGTTCGTTACAGCCTAGAAGATATACCAGTGCTTTGTTATGTGTGGTGGACAAACGGCCCTCGACTACTACTACTGAAACCCGACGAAAGCAGCATTTGTGCCTCTGCTTCTGAATAATAATCGCATCCTCCCAAGTGCACATCCTGTCACTCCTTATCGAATCTCGAATTCTATACATTCCTTTGATACGCACGCTATCCGGACTTATCTCGTCAAGGGAGGACTATACAACAGTGTTCTAATACCTTTTTCTTCTTCCTTCGATTGACCATATATATCTTTAATTGGTACGTGGTTGAACAAAAAGGAAGCAGCAGTTTATGATCTGAAGAGTTGCTTTGGGAATCCCTTGCAGGTAGCTGATATTTGAACGGATTGGCAGATTATTTTGTCAACTCCTTCGCAATGGACCCATCCTGTGTTGCCCAACAGGCAGCCGGAACAGTTCAGCCTTCGTTCTACTACTACAACCCTGAGCCTGAGTCGCGTCATGGCCAGCACGCATTCTTCACTCCTCACCCAAACGAGTACCAGCACGCCCAGAACCAGATGATGATGGTCCAACCCCAGATCCCACAGCAGTACGCTCAGCACCACCACATGCAGCCACAACTACACCTACACCCATCCGAACAGCAGAACGGTGCGCAATTCCGACCACTCAGCGCAAAGGGCTACCTATCGACGCCCACCACGACAAACAGCCCATCTCCATCTCCACAGCCAATGCACATTAAGCCTAGCGTTTTCCTGCACGGCTCACCTGGACTCTTGTCCCTGGACACTAACTGTGGCTGGGCTGACGCGAACGGATTCCCATCAACGCCTCCATTGTCAACTTCCGGCAGCAGCATCAGCAGCCCTCCATCAAGTTGTGGTATGTTGCACACCCCAGTTGGCGGCGAGACTTTCCGTTTGGAAGGCATCGAGGGTGTCAAGGAAGGCTGTGAGACGGACGTGGAACTCGAACTCCTGTCCGACTCTCACTGGAATCGCTCTGCCTCGCCCGAGATGACGCCTCGTAAGTTAATCCCTCCTTATCGCTCCTTGTGTTTGATGGGGAGTGTGTTTTCGTCTGATGTATACTAACGCTTGGCAAAAGTGTACGTCCGTCCCTTTTCGGTACAATCCAACGCCAGTTTACAGCCCGCCGAGACCAGCCACCAAAGTGCTAATAGCGGCACCGAGGGCGGGTCTTCGCTTACCTCATCATCCTCGCGCTCACCTTCTCGTTCTCCCATCCTCACTTCTTCCCTTCTACACGAGACGCCCACGCCTTCGTTCTCCTCGCAGCCCTCCAGCACCGACTTCTGTGACCCACGGCAGCTCACTGTCGAATGCCCAGTTCTCTCGCTGCCCGTTCCCGACTTCCCGCCGCTCCCGCCGCTCTCGACCGTTGACGAGGAAAGGTCTCGGTTTGACGGCTTGCTCGGCACCTCTTCGTTGAACTGTAAACTAGAACATAGCCTCACCGTTCCTGGCCTCGACCACACGGATGACACGCTTGAAAGCCTATCTACCTTCGACGCCATCTCAGATCTCGACTCTGAAGACGAATTCGTCAACGGCATAGTCAATTTCACCCCCACCGAGAACGCCTTTTTCTTGGGTGACAAACGCCGACGCATCACTAGCAACAGCAACTCTCATGAAGACGACCTCATAAGTGAACAGAGCTTGGAAGATCTGGAAGACGGTGACCTGTTCGCCCGTTCTTGCATTCCACTTCCAGAGTTCGACACCCTTGACCAGTGCATGGTTGCTGGAGATATGAGGACGAAGAAGCGAGTTTCTGCTACCGGCAGACGTGTTAACAAGCAACTGCCCTCCACTCCCGAAGACAGTGACGCTGATAACCTGGGCTCCATAATACAAGCTGCCCAGAACAACGTTAACGGCCGCACCGCCCACACTGACTCTTCTTCCACACAGGCTCAACAGCAGTCTGGTGCACCAAGCCATGAAAGCTCAGAGACCAACCCACAGAGCACCGCCTCTTCGGAGACTCCCGCTCCTACTCCCATGCTTCCCGTTGGTCGTCGTGGCCGCAAGCAGTCCTTGACCGAGGACCCCTCCAAGACATTTGTCTGCACTCTTTGCTCTCGCCGCTTCCGTCGCCAGGAACACCTCAAACGCCACTACCGCTCCCTCCACACCGAAGACAAGCCATTTGAGTGCCAGGATTGTGGAAAGAAATTCTCTCGCAGTGACAACCTAGCCCAGCACACCCGTACCCACGGCGGCTCTGGTATGCCCATGACAATGTCAGATCACCACCCTGAATCATCTCCGTTCGATGACCAGGACGCTGGTGCCTTAGGTGCCGTTCTCTATGAGGTTGCCCAGGCTGCTGCCAACAAGTCGACGACCAGTGAATCGTCAGATAGCGGCCTCTCCGCCCGCGAAACCCAATCCCCTACGCCATTCACAAACCGAAAACGCCCACTCAAGAAACGCAAGCGTGAAGCATCTGAGTAAAAAACTCGCTTAGCTCTCGCACTTCGCGTTAATGGATAATGATTTTCTTTTACAACAAAGTTATTCCTTCCGAGTCGCAAAAGACATCGGACATATATAAATCCATGGGCATTCAATAAACTTCTCACTCATATATCTGGCGTACAACTCATAAAGGGGATGGTGTTTCGGGACTGGCGTTCTTAGAAGGTGCACTTCTTCCCCAAAGGATCGCTTTGGGCTATTTTTTTCGACAGACAATCATCTCATTCAACCATGGTTGCATCTCGTCGCATTTAGGAACGCTGCGTACATTGCACGGGCCTTTCCTCTTAATTCTTTTAGATACTTTGCATTGCTTCTACCCTTCTTGACTACTTACAACCTTTTTAATACCTTCTCACACTCGAACAACCGTTAACCATACGTGGAATCATCTGCATTCTACGGTGTCTTGGACACAGTTTACCCAACCATTACCTTATGTTCGCAAATGCTTGCTGGTTCTAGCATATTATCATTCCCTCCTCTCACCACTCTCAAACTCCTACCTTCCGCTTCTTATGCATAGCTTTGTACTTGTGTGATAATATTATTGTAATCGCCTGTTTCATTCATTTTTTTTTAATTCATGGCCATTGTTTTTGCTCCTATTTAGCTTTCTTCTTGATTTATGACTTTTATGCCACACTGCTTGCTGCCTCGTGCACACGCGAGCTCCGCGTGATACTTAATTATACCTCTGCATCGTATCACTATATCTTTTTATATCTTCTTATCCCGTCGCTACGGTACTATATTTAGCCTTGCACTTCCTCCTGACTCGTTCAGTTTTCTTGACATCTCTGTTGTTCCGCGATACTTCCTTCTTCGAGAGCGACCGTTACATACTTTTTCTTTTGTACTTCAATGTAAAAACTAAATATTAAAAAAAAAAGAATTTTTCTCATTGATATTGTCCAGTACATAGTATCTAAACTTGTTCTTAGTAGATTTTGTAGAAGGCTTTCTGTGGGGCAAAAGGCGTGTACTCAATTTTGACTGCAAGTACAACCCACCACTAGAAAATATCGAGAGCCTGAATTTCTCTTATAATATTAGGACCACTGACAATAGTCTCATATTCTGTCTGGAGGAATTTAATACCCATACAGCTTAACCCGGTCTCTGAACTCCGAATACATACAAAATAAGCCCAGCATCCTCCCAAAAGCAGCTTGTCGCCAGCCGACCAAATTTTCTAGTTAATAGACCAGATCAACCAACGCCATGCCAGAAAAGCTGAATGTCATAGCTTTAATATCAGGCGGAAAGGATTCACTCTACACTACCCTCCACTGCCTGAAGAATGGACACAAAGTCGTTGCGCTTGCAAATTTATACCCCCCACCACGCCCAGGAAGACCCGGAGCAAAAGGTGACGAAGCTGAGGAAGATGAAGACCTAGACAGCTACATGTACCAAACCGTCGGCTATAGTATGATTCCTCTTTACGAATCAGCTCTGGATATCCCTTTATTTCGAGAAGAGATACGCGGGAGTGCCATTGATACCTCGCGAGACTATTATTATCGACCCGACCCAAACATAGGGGACGGAACTGATCAGGCCCAGAACAACGAAAAGGGACAAGATGAAACGGAATCTATCTACCGGCTGCTTCGACGAGTTATGGATGCCCATCCGGAGGCAAATTCTGTCTGTGCAGGTGCCGTCTTGTCTACGTATCAGAGAACAAGGATCGAAAACGTCGCATTACGGTTAAACCTCATTCCGCTTGCATGGCTGTGGATGTATCCGTATCTTCCCCCACCAGTACAGCGTGGGAATTATGATGCTGGCCCCTGCGCTACAGCTTCTAGAGTACCTGTTACAGGACTGCTGGATGATATGGCTGCATGTGGATGTGAAGCGAGGATAATAAAAGTAGCAAGCGGAGGACTGGATGAAGATAATCTATGGGGAGACCTTGCAAGTAAGGATGGAGCAGTGAGGAGATCTATGGTAAAGAAATTGGGACGATTCTTGGAAGAAGGAGTCGAAGCTGCTGTGTTGGGTGAAGGAGGGGAATACGAGAGCCTTGCCCTGGATGGCCCACAGGTTTTATGGAAGAGGAAGATCCAAGTCGATTCTGTGGAGAGCAAGGTGGGAGAAGCAGGTGTGGCCTTTTTAACTATTCGGGGTGCTAGGTGTGTCGAGAAGGAGGCTGTTCCGGAGAATGGAGATAAACCAACCTTGGATGATGTGAGAGTACCTCGGATTTTCGATGACGAGTTTAAACGGGTTCTCGATGCCACGAAAGTGCATTGTGTGAAGCAGGATCCATCGCCATTTCAGAGACAGATAACAAAAAAGTATGAGGGAGCTGCCGTATACTCCAAGGGGACTGGGGTATGCTTGAATGTCTATAACATCACTGCACCCGAAGCAGGGAATGGAGCTTCCAAGCAAATGGAAGGAATCAAAGACAAACTGGCAACCCTCCTGAGTTCTCAAAAGAAGGTGGATGGGCAAGCACTGACTGCCGATGATGCTATTTATGCCACGATTTTGCTCCGATCAATGGGTGATTTTGCGCCGGTTAACACAATATATTCAAAGTTATTCACCTTGCCAAACCCTCCGGCAAGGGCGACTGTGGCATGCGGCGACAGTTTACCTATTGGAGTTGATATCATGGTATCCTTTACTTTATATTTAGGTGAAAGGTCCCTCCGACAGGCACTTCACGTCCAATCTCGGTCCTACTGGGCTCCGGCAAATATAGGGCCTTATTCCCAGGCTGTATATGCTCCGGTGCAGTCTAATTCTGGGGCTATGCAAACGGGAGGATTTGTTTATATTGCCGGCCAAATACCGCTGATGCCTAGCTCGATGCAAATATTCCCCCCGTCTGAAGAGACGGAAGGCCCCCTAACAACCTTCTCTTCTCAGGCTGTTCTATCTCTACAGCATTTATGGCGAATAGGGAAGGCTATGGAAGTAAAATGGTGGATGGGGGCCGTGGTATTCCTTTCCACCGGGGACGAGGTACGGTCCAAGGCTGCTGCTGCCTGGACTATATGGGAACAGATGAATGAGGACCGCAGCACTGAAGATCTGGAAGATGACGATGATTCCTCCAACTTTGATGTCTGGAATATGAAATACGGACGACAATATGGCCAACCAAAGACAGAGGTCACCACACGCCCACTGCCCGATTTTAATATCGTCAAGGGGAAGCTGACTATACCGTCCTTCTTCGCTGTCGAGGTTGATGAGCTACCTCGAGGAAGTAGCATCGAATGGCAAGGTCTTGGACTAAAGGCAAGCAGCATTGCTTTAGTTTACGATCAGGTCGACGAGCTACAGATCATGCACGCATCCGGCCCCGACTTTGGAAGCTATACATCTATAGCTATCACGGCGAAACCCGACATCGATTTCAGAGCCTCCATGCAAAAAGCACGGCGGATTGCCGCGGATAAGCTGTCCCAAGGAAGTACCTTTTCCCATATGGCTATTTATACACCGTACGCCGCGGAGCTTGATGTCTGGGACGGGCAGGTGATACCGTGCAAAGCTGTGTATGGGCCTAGAGCTGAAAATCTTGCGGGTGGACTTGTTTTCCAAGCATCCTAGCCCTTTAGATATAGCATATGAAAATAAGAGACGGGGTGGCCTCCCCTGGTTCGTCGAATAATTGGGCAGAGATGTCTCTTCCAGCAGACTTGACATGCGTAAGGGGCGGTTTCACCTTCCAAGCCCGAATGGTGATAAATATTTAATGAATATTCACCCACCGCGACCCCTTGGATATAATTTGTGTTGCACAGCAGCCAGATATTAATTAACTGAAAAAATATATAGAAGAACAGCCGTTAAGAGTCCCTGGTACATGTAATATTTCGTCACTGTAGATTAAACATTGGACTAGTCATCCGAGTGGACTAAATTTGGTGTGAGTTGTCGCATGCAGCCAAGGAATAAACTATTCGGCCAGCATACAAAAAATGGTGTTGAACGTTTGATCTATTCAAGTTTACGTCCGTCTTCAAATTAATTGTCGAACCCTGCACCCGAGGGCTAGGAGCGAAAATACCTGCTTATCGGTGTATGGGTGAAGAATGGAAGCAAGCCGTCCCCATCCGGCCTACTTCGGAACCGTTTTGAGCAAAATCTACAGCTCCTCTATGATGGGATGGCAACCCATGAGCTCACGAACGAGGGCGAGCCAGAATGCCCATCAGCTATAGAAATTGCGCAGGAAGCCCGGTCTCATCGCCTCCCTCAACGATCGCCGCATCCGTATCACCGATGGAACCAGGATAACGCGACCACGTCGACGACCGATTCGGGGGAGAGCCTTTATGCGTGGAGGAAGCCGTTCAAGACACCAAGTGACAGTGGGACGGAGGCGGACGATGAGGCAAATGGCGTTTTGAAGCGACTGCCTGCGCCGCCGGTGAGCCGGAGGATAGAATATCGGTTCAAACGAGGCGATGGCGAGGAGGTTATCACGGAGCGAAAGGGACATGGAAATCTAGCCGTCTCCCGGCGTTCTAAGAAACGCAGAGCTGGGACTCCGGATACAGAGGAGCTGGAATTTCATATATCGATTGGGGCAAGACTTAGGATTGAAGTGTTGCGACGTATTTGCGAAACTGGACTTATACTTGGTGTTGCATTTACGGTGATGTTACGGCGTGGTGTCCGCTCGGTGGTAAAAGCCTGGTTAATAGGTAAGGAAATGCGAATTTTTAGAGGACGATAGGCTGTCGTTTGGTACTGGGACTGATTGATTGGTGTTTTGTCTAGAATTGTCTGTCTTTTCGCTCCTGATATTGGGGCTCTATGCCATATTCCCGCTCCGGAGGTGTCCATATGGCAGCTATCGTACGAAATTGAAAAAGATTATAGCCTTCCCGTTCTCGAGGGATATCGATCCGGCACCTTTGATATACCCGATATTGATACCTGTTTTGACAGCTCTTTCGCTAGGGCCGTCCTGTGGTGGTCTTGTCTTACTGAATATTATTTTGAGTCTCTCCTCGTTACCTGCAGCAACTATCCCTCTCTACGACTTTGGAAGCTACAGTGCGATGCACTGGCTGATCACCGCCACCCCACTCCTCATCTCAGAGAGCCTACCATGCCATAGCCTTAAACAATCCATGTTGGAGCTTGGGCTTGAACCAGAGCTTCTGATACTGATCTTCCCCCTTCAAAAATCAACAATCTCGATTGTCGAATACCTTGTTACTTCAAGTTTATTGCCGACAGAAGTACAGCTGCTGGGGACTGCATTGATCAACGTGCTACTTGTTTCCCAGTCCCCACAGGCGCAGATCCTCAAGGCCCTGGTCTGGCTAGGCGGACTTTGCATCTTCGTTACATGCAAGCACATGTTGCTGTGGGAGGTGACTTTGGCAAGGATCCCGTCATGGAAATTCCGTCGAGCATCAATTCAAACGACTGACGACGAACATATATTGAGTGCCATAGATCGTCAGGTTTGCCATACCCTAAGCCATCCCTTTTCCGCAGACCAGGCATCTGAGAGCGAATCTCAAGTGGATGTGGCTAGAACGAGAGGCCGTCGAGCTAGCGTTCTATATAATAACTTTACGAAACTTATGACGGCGGAGGTAGATCTCGACAAGAGAATCTTTAAGCGATCTGGTTCGACTCAACAGTCCGTTTCGATGGTGGAAAACGACACCAAAAACGAAGGGAGTATGGATAGCGTGGACGACCGAACACAGCTTTCTAGGACGAGCAGTCAACACATTCAGTTTTCTAGCAAAGCAGGAGGGACGACGCCCATCCGAAGAACGACTACGAAAGGTGGCCGACGCAAACGAATGATCCCACCAAGCATGCGAGCGTTTCTCTCCCTCACGACGGAGCAAGCCACCATTCGAAAATGGGCGTATGCGGCGTATTCTTATGTTATGGTTATCCTGATAATCATGGTCCCGGTACGGTGGTATGTGGGCAACTATGCCCTTGGTGGGCGGGAGCCGTTCGGCTGGGCGGTAGGGTACCTGTTCGGGAACATCCCGTCCCTCAGATTCACGCTGCTTCTGTGGGGTATGGAGGTTTGGGCCTGCATCCCGCCACGGACATACGACAGTTCGGCATCCTGTCATCTGGGCTGGGTAGAGCATCTCCGCCGCGACACCGTTGGTGAAGCGAACACCCGACTATTCCTGTGCGGCTATTGCATACTTATGCTAGTTTTCGGGCTGTCGTTGGTGTCCCGGCTCTCCCGCGTCGTCGAGGTTGACACACGCCGAAAGATCTTCCACGGCATGATGGTTGCCATGTTTTTCCCGACGGTCTTCATCGACCCGGCCTTTGTGGCTCTGTCGTGTTCGCTCGTCCTTGCGATCTTCCTCCTCCTCGAGCTCTTCCGTGCGTCCCAAGTGCCGCCGCTGGCTCGAGAGCTGTCGTCCTTCCTCGCACCGTACGTCGATGGCCGTGACCATCGTGGACCCGTGATTGTCTCTCATATCTTCCTCATGCTGGGCTGTGCTCTGCCCCTCCTGCTTAGCCTTGCTGGAACACCCCATGTTGGCACAGCCCCGTGGGAAGGATGGGAGGTTGAAAGTCGAGATATTAGCATGGTTAGCGGGATAGTCTGCGTTGGAATGGGTGATGCCGCAGCCTCCCTAGTTGGCCGACGATATGGCCAACGTCGGTGGTTCTGGGGTGGCGACAAGAGCATCGAAGGGAGTCTTGCGTTTGCTGCGGCTGTGTTCGTCGGTCTGGTGACGGCGCGTATCTGGCTGGTGGTCGGGGGGTGGGAGACTGATGTACACTGGCTGTTGACGATAGCAAAGTCTGCCTTTGCGGCAGTGGCATCGAGCTTCATGGAGGCCGTCTTGACGGGAGGTAATGATAATGTGGTTGTCCCCCTGGTTCTATGGTTGCTGGTGCGTGGTTTGCGGCTATAACATCTACTTTGTACAATATAAAAGGGATCTGAGGATATCTGCTAAAATAATGCCTTTACGACTATAATAGATACGGCCATATTCTACTCTTTGTAAGGTAGACCAATAAGGATATAGGCAGGTTGAAGTCAATTAGATAGCCGTCGAGATCGCTGGTAAGTTGGTAACTGTGGACAGCCCAATAGCCAGTACGCCAAAGGGCAGGCAGCCAGTAGCAGGCCGGCGGAAGAATAGACGGGCATTACTGGCCAGGGATGCCTCTATCAACCTATACCAGGATTCCACATAAGAAGTCTTCATGTCGGCCGCGACGACCTGCCGCGCATGGGAGGTCTGGGGGAACCCTGCAGCCTGCACCTGGACTGGATCAGTCGGCGCCAGCGAGGCCTCCACGTTCGCCGTGCAGATATATCCCATATCGTGGAGGCAAGTCTCTTCGACCTCTGCCAGGCCGCAGTCGCGCCCCTGAATCTCGTACTTGATACTCATACTTATACTCGTCATGGAGCCCACACGTACCTATACTTGTGGTCTGGTGTAGTTCTGGGGAGAAACGAAGTATAGATACCTCCAACGGCTCTGGCGTCATTGGGTACATGATCGCGCCGTGTGATTTACCGCAGACGACGAAGTACCCCCGAGTGGCCCCGGTCCCGTGGCGCGATAAGAGATAAGGGCTTCGAAGTCATCTTCCGCTTTCTTCTTCTTCCTCGAAACGCATCCTCGTCATCCCCCCGACGACCTCCATACCGACCCGGACGACCGCCATCAAGCCGCGAGGGTCACACACCGGCGCTGGAGCTGCTCTGATCGTCTCTCCTGTGGAACATCCCTGGCCCTGGCTGCCTCGTCGCTGCTCTTATATATACGCTTGCCTTCCCCGTGTACTGTGCAGCTGCTGCTATATCCTTCTGCCACCCCGTTGTCGCCTCTCACCTAGCTGCCATATATACGGAGGAGTGTCTTGGATAGCTCCGATTACCAGCTGGCTTGGAATCGACCCTAGTAAGGACACCTGCGTCTCATCCTCTGCTCTGCTCTGTCCTCTCTTCTCTCTGCCTTTACCTTGTCTTTGCCTCCTTGGATCTGCCCTAGTCATGGGTTGCATGTTAGGTGCCTGACTACCACAATGATTCACAAAGTACCTTGCAGACTGCTGACTTCTTCCCTTGCTCCACAGATATCATTTCTTTTGCCTTTGTTGCCGCCTGCAATAGATTGTTTCATACTGCTTTGTGAATTCACGTTTCGTCCGGTCTTCACAGGCTTCCTTCACTGGAACACAGGCTGCCTCCCTTCTGCATAAAATTCCTCCATCCCCGGCCCTGCACCCTCAACATCAACACCAATATACTCCTACGCCTTCCTGCTCGTCCTCTTCCCTTTTTCAATAGCTTCCCGGACGCCCATTCCACCAGACATAGCTCGCTCAGGTCGAGAAACTGCCTCAGATGAGTGTAGAGTGCATCATACCAGAACTGATACCTTGACTGAAGAAGAAATTTGAACGTACATTTTGGCGTGACAGCTTCTGTGCCACCCAAACCGATGTGCTACCATCCCTGGGAACTCCATAAATCATGGCTACACCATCGGCAGAAAGCTCGAAGCGGGCAAACACGGTTGTGGAGGATGAACCGTTGAATTTGAGGATAGGACAGTACACCCGGCTAAATGAGATTGGCCGTGGAAGCTTTGCAACAGTCTACCGGGGTACTCACAATGTAAGAACCAGCTTCCTTTGGATCGTATAACCCCATTTGACAAGCTCTGGGGCATGCGCAAATCTGCCAGAGTAGCGGAGAATAGGCTGACTGAGACTTCCTCTAGGAATATAACACTTTTGTTGCCGTCAAGTCTGTCACACTGGTTCGCCTTACCAGGAAACTGAGAGACAACCTGAAGCTAGAGATTGATATCCTTAAGAGCCTGCACCACCCACATATCGTTGCTCTTATAGATTGCTATGAGACAGCATCACACATGCATATCGTCATGGAGTTCTGCATGCTAGGCGACCTCTCGCGCTTCATCAAGAAACGAAACTCCATGGCCAAACACGAGCTGCTCCGAGATATGATGGCCAAATATCCAAACCCTCCCGGAGACGGCCTTCACGACGTTGTTGTTCGTCATTTCCTAAAACAGCTTGCCAGTGCTCTCCAGTTCCTCAGAGCCAAGGACCTGATACATCGTGATGTCAAGCCTCAGAACCTACTCCTTCACCCTTCTCCCATCATCTGCTCAAAGACCCTGCTGCAATCCGTCTCCTACAAGGGAAGCGAGGACTCGTTTACTCCTATTGCCGGAGTTTCATCATTTCCCATGCTTAAAATAGCAGACTTTGGATTTGCGCGTTCCTTGCCATCAACATCACTCGCCGATACCCTCTGCGGATCGCCACTATACATGGCCCCGGAGATATTGCGGTACGAGAAATATGACGCCAAAGCCGATCTATGGTCTGTGGGCGCGGTCCTTTACGAGATGGTTGTTGGAAAACCACCTTTCAGAGCTGCTAATCACATCGAGTTGCTACAAAAGATCCAGATGGCAAAGGACCGGATACGGTTTCCACGGGACCTGGAAGTAGCTAGCGACATGAAACGGTTGATTCGCAGCTTGCTAAAATGCAGCCCCGTCGACAGAATCTCGTTTCCAGAGTTTTTCGAAAGTCCGGTTATCGAGTGTGACATTCCTGGCCTGGTAGGAGAAGATTTGGAGGAACAGATGATGCGGAACGCTGCACGCGAGAGAGAGCGATTTGAAAGTGAAGCTTTGGACCCTGAGGGCCTTGAACAGGAGGTTCCGGAACAGCTAGATGTCCAGGATATGGACGAAGAGGTTGCTGCTCCATCCACCGAGAACGCGCCAGCTCCCGATATGGGGCCTATCAAAACCCGGCCGGGTCCTCAGCCGATAGTAGAACGAGGTTTGCGGACAAGCTCTGGTATAAGTCGAGCAGAAGGCCGGGAGAAACACGACAATGCAGTAAACCATCATAGTGAAGGCACTCCTGTACCGACGTCAACCAAATATGACCGGCCTGTTGTCAGTGAACCTGCAGTGCAACAGCAGCGGAGCAATAACCCACATTCTTCCAGATCTTCGCTCACAGAACAGATCTCTGGCCCCTCACAGAGCCCTCGTCCAAAGCACAAGCAACTGTCAGACATAGAAAAAGAACGTGCTGCCCAAGACATTGCCTTTGAACGAGACTACGTTGTAGTGGAAAAACGCGCCGTCGAAGTAAATGCTTTTGCCGACGAGCTTGCAGCAAGCCCACGGCTCCAACAGCAACAACTAAGCTCACGTCAGGCTGGCGCTATCGTTCGTCGTGCTACAACAACAGCTACTCCTCATTCTCTCAAGACCAAACAAATTGCCCCGCGAGATCCCCAAGACAAACAAACTAAACCGCGAGCCGATTCTACGCACAACCGACGCTATTCATATGATAGGAGATATGGCCCCAACCCAAGCTCTGCCACATCTGCCATCTCCAAAGCTCTCAACATGGCTAGCGGAAGACTTTTTGGCGTTAGCTTTTCTCCACCTGCGGCGCTGACGAAAGGTGGTCGGTCTCCACCACTGGGATATAATCCGTTTCCATCATACCCCATTGCGCAGAGCAGCTTGATAGTTGTTGGTGACGAGAAACCCCAGCATTTGAGCCATGACTCCAAGACTGTGCATATTATCGAGGAGTGTGCTACGCGGAGTGACGTAGTTTATGGATTTGCTGAAGTTAAATATAAGCAATTGATCCCAGCTGCTCCATCGACACGATCGGAATCTACTATCAAGCAAGCTGATTTTCAAGAGCATCCTGACGACGGCCTCACGATCGATGCAGTACTTATCCTCTCTGAAGAAGCTCTTGTTCTATATGTCAAGTCTCTATCCATTCTAGCAAAGGCTATGGATATTGCAGGTGCATGGTGGGCTCGTAAGAACCGTGAAGAGAGCCCAGGTAACGGCTTTACCACCAAAACAGAGAGGGACATCGCTATCAGTAGCCGAATTAATAACGTTGTCCAGTGGGTTCGAACCCGTTTCAACGAAGTACTGCAGAAAGCCGAATATTCCCGTCGACGACTGCTGGAAGCCCAGAAACAATTACCCCCCGACCACCCATATCGCATGTCTCACGAGCTAGGCGAGTCTGAGAGCCTCTCGAGCTTTGACCAGTCCGCCGACCAGGTTGTGATCAGCTCCGGCATCACTGCAGAAAAACTCATGTACGACAGAGCACTAGAAATGAGTCGAACGGCCGCTATCAATGAGTTGACCGGCGAAGATCTATCTAGCTGCGAAATAGCGTATGTTACGGCAATCAGAATGCTCGAGGCCGTGCTAGAGAGCGAAGATGCTTCACGATCATCTAAAGAGCGAGGAGCAGCAGACGGGAGTAGTTCGACTGAACACCGTATGGAAGACAGCCATATCCAAGGAGAGGATTGTGAAGTTGTGGCCAAACGTAAGGATTTCATTCATTATACCTGTCCTAAGCAGACGTGCTAACTATTTTCCTTAGTGGTAGAAAGTATTCGTGCTCGTCTGAGAGCTCTCCGAAAGAAGATGTCGATGATGGCAAAACGGACCTCAGCGCCTCCAGCTGTCCTCTCGCCAAAACTTCCACCGGCATCACCAGTCATGGCCCACTCTCCATCCAGATAAACGAGAACATGCTACTCGTAGTCGCCATTGGCTAAAATTCCAACGCACTACGTACACCAATTTTCACAAAACCCGCCCTAACTTCCGTTGTGCTAAAAAAAAAAAATATATTAATGCACTGGCGGCAATTGAACACAGTCTCTCAATTTTTACCTATCATGTTCTATTCTAGTCATCCCTTCTGGCTAACTGGTCCTACCTATGGCCTCTTGTCCTATTACCTATTATCATTATCCTGATACTTTTACTTCCTCGAAGTTATTCTTTCCACCTTGCATTCCATCGTTTGACCAGAATGGCTGTCAAACATTAATATGCTTCTTCCCCCCCCCCTCTTTACCTGTCTTATAACTGGCGCGGTCTCCTTTTCTTTCACCAGGCACCATTAAGGGTTCTTTATTATACCCTTTCGCCTTCATTTTTGGTGTATACGGTTTCTCGACGGCGGTTGATTTTTATTTCCTATTGTTCGTTTCTTTGTTTTGTTCATCATTCCATTGGGAGCCGCGTCTGGAGTGGAGTTTAAGATCGGGGCCTGGTTTCAGCTTTTGTGATTTTTTGATTATTTTTTTTGCTATCTTACTCTATCTCCTATCTTTAAAGGTTTGCGATCTAATTTTGATATGCATTTAACTTACTATGGAGGTCCATAGGTTAATATAAAAAATGATATTGGCATTTTGCCATCATAGGATTTTGTGGCAGGGCGCCGCTAGAATTTTGTTGTCCCCATGCTTGTTATATAGACCGCCGTAAAGGGTGACTATAGAGCATGGGATGAAGCTGGAAATAGGTCTTTACCTGACACCAGCACGGAGAACAAGCCTCGAGAGCATACCTATGGGGTGATACCAATATATTCTTCTATTTGACCTTAAGGACTTACTAGACTACTCCTTAGCAACCCCAGAGGGTGGTGGTATCGAATCATGGACAATCAGTTATGGATGTTCATTGAACTCTCAAACTAAGAAGAGCCAGTAAAACAATGTGACCTGACTTGTCATAACGCCGCTCTATCTAATCCAGACCACATTACGAGAAAGGAATGTGTACAGTCTCGCTAATAGCAACGTTCAGGATATACTCTTCTGAGCTACAGGGGCCATCAGCTCGACTTGGCCCTACCTGATATCCACTAAATCGTGTTGGAGTCATCGGGACAAACTACGCTAGGCTCCAGCAGTGCATTTATCAATTAGCTACGCCATGCGTTCCTCTAGCGGACCTTAAAGTCACCATATCCGAGCGGAGTACTAACTTCCAGTCTGAGCTTATCTACGGACTTATAAGCTATACCACCTGTAAAGATTCGCCAGAAGAAACGGTTTCCAAGGAGTGAGCAGCTGTGAACAACGATGGACCATTTGGTACAGGTGGGGATGCTCGTACATTGGTAGCTACCAAGACGGCCATTTCTAGAAGTCGAGCACCAGTGTTGTTGAGCTTTTTTCTATATAGAACTTATTCCACCTCCACTTCCACCTCGAACTACCTAAGCCAAAGTTATTATCTAAATATTTCACTTGAGTAGAGGGTATGAAATTTAACTCAGTCACAAAAATGGTAAAGGAGCTTAAAATATTTGGTCCCTAGAAGCTGATAAGCGCCAGTGTCGATATTCGATTTAACCACGCCAGGTAGTTAAACGACTGTAGATGAGAGATTGTACATGTTTATTACGTTAGGCTTCTGAAACCTCATTTTCTTTCATATCAAGCTTGAATCCGCCTACACAACCCCTTTGAAATAAGCCATCCGGATCGTACTTCCTACTTGCTTCCTGCAAGGACTTTACGTTTTCCTCTCCATATCCGTCAAATGGCCTCTGCCAGTCCCCGCAATAATTCATGTATCGGTATCGATGGCTCGTTCCATTGGCGGCCGCGGCAGCATCGATCTTCTCGATTGCTTCACGCGTCAACTTCTCAGCAAGTTCGTCGTCACGGTGTTCAACCCAGTTAACAGTAAACGAGATGATGACAAGAGGTTCAGTGGTATCAGATAACCCAAAGGGATTCCCGTCGCCACCTTCGCCTGCCCAGTTTGGTAGCATGGGCTGTAGGACAAGCGTCCAAGACATACCCTTGATATTAGCACGCTTGATGGGTACAATGGCATCGCTATATGCAGCATGCACGGCATTTAGGGTGGCCGGATCATTTTTGATGGTCGTGGTGGCAAGTACCTGGCGTCTTCCTGGAGGGTTGAGCGAGTTCATCTCATCGCATGCATCTGCGAGAGAGCGAACTTTGCAGGTGCTCCAGAAGCGCCAGAGTGACTTAAAAGAAGAGCTGCTCCAGCACTCAGGCCATTTCTTCTTCTTCTCGGGGAGCTTGGTGTAAACAAGATTAACAGAAATAGCCTGTATGCCGAGTTGCTGAAGATAGGTAAAACAAGCAATAGGACCAGATGCATGACTGTCGTATCCAGGGCCTGGTTGGTCTGGGTGGGCTCTGTTGACGAATTCATGGAATGCGGAAAGGACCTTTGTGGCGTTGCTTGAGGGCATATAGAGAAAACCACTCCAGATGTCGGAGGATGGAAAGCTACGAACTGTAATACGCGTGAGAATACCGAAGTTATTGCCGCCGCCCTTGAGAGCACGCCAGAGATCAGGGTTGGTGGAGGGAGAGGCTATAGCTACGGAGCCAGAGGCCAGCACGACTTCGTAGCTGAGGACGTTGTTGCAAACGGAGCCGACCCGCTGAGAGAAGAAGGAAATGCCGCCTATTTGTTTCCGTGTCAGCTTTGGGTTACGAGCACTCTAAACGAGAGATAGAGATTAAAAAATGGAATGGGACAGCTTCAAAAAGTTATACCTCCCAATGTCAAGCCGCCGACTCCAACATGGGAGTTCCTCCCGCCAGCAACAACAAGGCCCTTCGCAGCTAGCGCTTCGAAAACCGGCCCCCATCTCGCTCCTGCTCCAATGACCACGCTCAATCCATCCTCAGACGGCGTCACCTCGCAAAAGAGGCTCATATCAATCATTACACCGTCCTCTATACTTGCTGCATGCGAGACTGCGGAATGGCCACCGCTACGAACAGCAAACAACCCCCCAGCTTTAACGCCCCCATCCTGACTTCTTCGTTGGTCATACTCGCGTTTGAGGATAGTGACGGCTGTGCAGAGCTGGTCGACGTTTTGGGGCCTGACAACACATGCTGGCACTACCTCGCACTCTTGCTGGGCCCAGTAGGTGTCCATCGACTTCTTAAAGGTGACTGCATCTTGAGGCAAGACGACGACATTTTCAGGCAGCGCCGACCGAAGTAGCTTGTTGAGACGTATAGCAGCTTCCGACGAAGGGGCCGTGAGCTCTGGTATTTTGGGCTCCTTGTCACCGCCGCGTAAACGGCCGCGCATAGCGAATATAACGAGGGGGACGATAATGACGAGGAGGGTAGCTGCAACGGCTGGAGAGACCATGATGACCTGGAAACGTGACTATCGTATAGAAACCTGATATCACCGGACAGGCACGCTATGAAGAAGCTCGTCTAAGGACGTCCACCCGCAGACATCCGGCTGAGTCTTGACGATCGAACTGGCCCCCCTCCCCAAGGCCGCCCTATTGTGTCACTCAAAGCTCCAGCCACCCTTGCTTGTTGGTTGTTCTTTGTTTCTGTTGCTCCCGTACCAAATGCGTCATTAGGCTAAGTAATAAGGTTTTAAGCATGTGTCTTTAGGTTTCGGGTGGACTAAACTCTAAGACCCACAATTCTAAACCTTCATCCTTCGTAATTAATTCCATACATACGGAGTACAAAAACTGGCCTATGATATCTACACACGGCCAAGCATCCGAGCTTCCTAGCCCTGGCCGCAGAATCCTTCAGAATCTTGTCACTTGTGTAATCAGATCCCCGCGGCGAACCCCTGCTCCCATTATACCCGGCTGCTATCACGCTTTCTCACAAGGAGTCTCATGAAGGGACTTGGCACTCTCACCTTACCAAAGGTCAGGAATGGCGGTGCCGTGGGGTTTTCTAGTTTGAATTCATATTGAAGAAGGAGATGCGAGAGAACCATCTTGATAACGACGGACACGTAGAAGCGTGCGGGGCTATAACACCAGTCATTATAAGTACAATAAAAGGGTCTTGGTGGGGGTGAATAGGCTTACCAGGCATGCTTGATGGATCCCCAAAATGGAAACTCATGACTCGGATGGGTGAATCGAGTCTCAGATGCGTCACCCTTTTCATCGACAAAGCGGAACCCTTCAAACTCTTTGCCGTTTGGCCAGATGTTCTCATCACGCATGAGGGCGAGCTGAGGGATGGCAAGCCAGTTGCCAGCTGGGATGTGACAGCCATCCTCCATAGTGTACGGAACCATAACCGTACGAGGAGCACTGACTTTTTCGGGGAATTTGTGTTAGGTGCATGTTCCTTCAACTATCATGCGGGAGAGGGGCAAAATTACCAATTGGGCCTGGGCTCAGGCGAGAAGTCTCCTTCATGAAGCTATCTAGATAGGGCATCTCTCGGTTCATGGAGCCGAATGACAAGTTTTCACACTCCAGGGCTTCTTCCCTGAGCTTCTGTGAATATTCTTGGTGCTTGCACAGTCTGTGAATGCAGAATTGCACAACCTGGACTCGAGCTTCAGTATGGGTGATTCACCATGGCGGTTGTATTACGCTGCAAAAATAAAGTACGTACCATGGGTACCTGAAATGCACTTGCGAATAAAAGTCCAAGTGATATCTTGGCTACCTCGGTGGCATCTCGTAGCTTGGTTATCTCGGATGCCCATTGAGCAACATGTCCTCCCGCATGCTGATGATATAGTTCTTTAGTTCTACTGCCGTTTGAAAAGAGAGGACCCAACATACCTGCTTTTCTTTGCCCGCATCTCTATCATTGAGAGCTCGAGAAGTATGCCATAGCAGAAGATTATAGACTTTGGTTCTGGTTATACCCCAGCCCATTGCAATGGGGCCGATGAATCTATAGACTTGTAAGCTCCATGTTTCGTCAAACTTAGAGTGATTAACTTACGGTGTAAGGAAGGCTGGCATCATATCCACAATGGGAAAAGCCCGTGCACAGCTCCAGAAAAAGTTCATGATATCGTCGTAAACCTCAGGGCGGTCGGCTGTCGTGCATGATGCAGTTAGCTCGGTACAACATACCGGAGGTTGTGACTGTGGTACATACCCTGTTCCTCTCCGACCAACGGCAAAAGATTCACGCTGGTAAAAATCCGAAGAAGCACAGGCATGAGTCTAACTGGCTTCCACTCATTTCCCTCGCATGCGCCTAATTGGAGAGATAATGTTAGGATCTGTGTCGAATCATCCAGCTTTGCGCTGACACATACCGTCCAAAGCAGGAGCCATCTCCGAAGCCATTGCTTTCTTCACACGTTCTCGAAGGGAGTCGCTCATTAAAGGAATGTTCGATCGGAGCTTGTTCTTCAATACTCCAACCACGACGCGAGACACCTCGCTTTGGGTCCCCTTGTTCTCTATCTTGACTTGATGTGGTCCCAAGATTGGGCCGGTGGACGCAAGCTATTGCAGTTTAGCGATGTTCTACTCTTGATATAAGCAAATGAATGAGATTTAGCAGCCTTACCTCGTGCAGAGCTTGTTGTAGTGATAAAACATGCTCTGGTTCACGGTCCAGCTGCTTGAGCGTGTCCTGCTCTGATACGAAAACTATCCAGCGATCTAGCATCGGAATAGCAAACGGTTTGCCATTGCTCTAAATCATATCAGCCATCGTACTGCAAAGAAGTGGTATATTTCTGATTATACTCACCGATTCATACGCCTGCTCAAGGAGCGTCCCCGAATCAAAAACCATATGCAACGCCGTCAACCACCTTCCAAACGGCGTAGGGTATGCTGCAATAATGACTTTGGACTAAAAACCAGCGTCAAAGTTAGCATGGCCATTAATGGTACCATGTTCCGTATATGCATACCGGCGCCTTCCACCAATATTTCCACAGTATCTGAGTCGTCTGCCATGCCAAAAGGAGGTATATTATATAGTACCAGTGCCAGTTCCAACCACGGGAGTCAAGGGCAGAAGCCAGCTTCGAGAACGACGGAAGTACTGGAATCGCCATAGTAACAAAGTGCTTGCTCGTGGGCTCTGGATGCATGATGGGCAAGATTTTTTTTTGTGACCCCTTAATTCTCTGTTCGACTCATCCCCTTCATACGGACACCGTAACTCTTAAGTATAGCTGTTAACGAGCGGACATTGGTGGACCCCCCTTGAACCGCCAACAGACTCGACACTAGACACCCTTGGCTAACCCGCATTTTGTTCGGGAAAATGTCTTGAGTAGCGTTGCATTTGGGGGCAGGCGGGTAAAGCTAGCTGCTGGCTGCCTCCTCGCGAGCTGCCTGTCTTCGCATGTTGAACCGCTGAGGTTTCGAGAACGATATGCAGAACAAGGCAGATACAGTACAAGCGTTCAGCCTCCGCCACGTCGATCATTTTTTGCATCTCGGGGAAGTTGGGGGCTGGAAAAGCAATGTTGTCTGTTCCTGTTCCATTCTTAGTGATGCGTATTCGACAGGGAACATGATATTAAACCACCAGGGAGTTCGGCCCGGCCTACCTAAACGCAGAGCTAAACGGACTCTGTCCACCCTATTAACAGGGCTCAACAGCCTGGACAGAGCTTCGTCCCATCCAGCACTAGCCATTACGAGGCCGACTTTCGTGGACTAATGCAAGCCCGCGAATTTAAAATCCTTCACGCATGTACATGTGGGACATCGGGGAGTAGTTTTTGGTGTAAACTAAGTATATTCCATGTCTCAGCCCCGGCGCATATATGTATCCATTGTACAGATCAGCCGCTGTGGCAGGGGTTTTGGTTGCATTTTGATCACTCCGCATGGAACCATCACCATTTCCACGAATAGCCCTGGGCGGACCAGCGGGCACATTCCCAGCAATCTTCAGGAAAACATCCTGGCCCCCTTTCCTGCACATGTGGCACACTCAAAAAAAAGAACCCTGGTGGTGCATGGTGGTTGGCGGTGGGTTATCACAGCCTCGTCGGGCTTGGTTGTCCCAATATAAGGGCTCGACAGCCTTGCCAGTGTTGAAAAAACATTCAGTATCAACGACGGATAACATAGAGGGTACTGGTTGTAGCGTCTTCTTTTTTACAAAGTGTCAAGGTCTCTGCAGCGATACTTTGTCATGATCTATACCAACACTGTGAACTCGCAGCCATGAACCACCCACGTCCAGATCCCAAGGCCTTGAAGAGCATTCCTCCACAGGTACTGGCGACATTACCAGCTGGAGCACCGCCGCCGGGCGTCATACCAAACTATGAAAATCCTACAACTCAAGTCCCAGTCATCATAGGAGTTGGGTCGGCATTTCTCGTCCTAGCTTGTTTCTGCTTCTTCATTCGTATCTACACAAGACTCGCCATATCAAAGACATGGAAATGGGATGATCGTAAGTAGACACCCGGTGCAGATTGGATACGGCGAACATTATTCGAGGCTGACTGCTTTAACTAGTGACGATAACTTTGGGATTTGTGAGCAGCCACAGTCTTACCATATACTAAAAGTTGGCGGTCTAACAGCGATGATATATAGCTATTCAGTCTTGTGTATTTTGGAGCAGCTGTCAATGGTAAGCGAGACGGCCCCTGCCTTGCCTTCTTTCAGCATAGCTAACTATTCAAAAGGGTGCGTCAATGGTATCGCGGGCAGGCATCAGTGGGATGTCCATCTTGACGGGCTCATCGGAAATGCCAACCTATACGTATGTGTGAAGGCTTGATCCAGAGAGAACTCTGCTAACGAATAAAATAGCAAAGCTACCTCACCGTCATCATGGCGACACCGGCATTAGGACTCATCAAACTTAGCCTCTTCATCCAGTATTTTCTGCTATTCAAAGTTAGGCGATATGTGAGGATTAGTGTGTACGTCGGAGCCACGCTATCAGGCCTTTTTTACGTGTCGACTTCGATCACCTCGTTTGTGATGAGCAGCCCGTGGCCCGGAGAGTCCATCCTCGACTGTATCCTGTCATGGCACTATCTGAAATTTGCCGATTTCTCCATCCCTACCGGTATAATCGGTATGCTGGTTGACTTGGTTCTTTTCATCCTTCCAATACCGGCTGTTTGGCAACTACAGTTGTCTACAGCAAAGAAACTCGGTATCATACTCGTGTTCATGACTGGTGGCCTGTAAGTTCGCACCTCTCCTGCTAATCAGCCACATAAAAGGGTTTGCCATGAAAACTGACTTGTATATCCGTTCAGTGCTGTGGCCGCATCAGCCGTGAATCTCTACTACCGCACCCTGCTGCAAAATGATATCACTGATGCATCTTGGAAAGTCGGATACGTCTTGCTCTGGTCGTAAGTAAACCTGTTGCCTAGTCATTTACCTTACGGTGCTAACTGAAACCGTGCAGAATGATTGAGATGTTTGCTGGAATCACTGCTTCCAGTATGCCTGCTGTCCGACAGTTCTTTTCTTCTCGCACTGGCATCCTCTCCAAGAACTCAAGACCATCTTTCACTCCCACCATTTCAAGCATCCACGGCCGATTCAAGCGATCTGGCCACGAGGAGCTCCTCAACAGGAAAGATATGGCTTTCAAACAATGGGGCTATCCGATGAAGAGTGACGAGGAGAACAGCTTAACCAGGTCTGAAGAAGCCCGACAGAGCTTCAAGATGAACAATGGATTTCCCCAGGCTCCGGCTCCAACAACATGGAAGCCAGAACAGAGTCAATGAATCATGCTTAGATGGGCGTGTTTGTACATAGTAGAATGAGAATTAATGAATGCAATGTATATATTTTCTTTTCTGTTAAAAAATGACAAAACATCTTCAAGCTCGATATTTCTGATATTTTGATGTCTCTGGGGCCAAGCCTATTCGGGTTTAGTCTGGCTGCTTACATCTACAACTTCATTGCTATCAAGCTCCAAGCCGTTTTTAAAGATTTAACGAGATAGACAAAAAAGCTTCTACCAAGATGGACGGGAGAGCAGAGAATAGTTACGGGTCTATAGCCCCTCCGCAACCTCCTCCGGAGCCCATCGAACGGCCACCCACTCCTCCTCCACCTCCGCCTGCTGACCATGCCTTGCCTCCTCCGCCGCCGCCAGAAGTTCCGGCTCCTCCTCCGCCCCCAGAGTCCCTCGCACCGCCGCCTCCGCCCCCTCCAGAGCCAAAGAAAAAGAAAGGATGGGGTGCGCAGAAAGCTACGACCCCTCTGAGTGTTGAGGAATTGCTTCGGAAGAAAAAAGAAGCAGACGAGGCTGCTTCGAAGGTATGCATATCTCAATCCTTTGGATGCCCTTTACCGAACCTACCCTCTCCTATACTGTCTATGCATCAGGATAAGCCTTACTTACGTTCTGCTAACCTATAATTCTATTATCCAGCCTAAATTCCTTAGTAAAGCGCAAAGAGAGAAGATTGCGTTGGAGAAACGAATGAAAGAAGTCGAAAGTAGTCGTCGCGCAAAACTATCCATAAATGGCAATTCAAAACCAGAGTCGAGGACTCCAAACCAAGAATCAAATGGATACTCTTCATCTTCTACTCCCAGGCCTAGTGAAGCTGCTAGGGGCGGCAGCTCAAGGCAAATTCCTACAGGACCTCGCGCGTTGAGACAACACGAAGCACCTACCGGACCAGCGTCCATGCGATCGTCAAATCAACAAAAAGGGAACGATACAACACAAAGCTCTGCCGCATCCAATTTAGCGAACAAGGGCGAGAAGCGAGCTCTACCAGAAGAAGCTCAGGCGCAATTGATCAGACAAAGGTATATGGGTGCAGACCAGAGATCCAGCTTCTCAGCGAAGAAAAAGCGACGGCGGACCACGGAGAGGAAGTTTAATTTTGAATGGAATGCAGAAGAGGATACTAGTCCGGACTACAACCCACTATATCAAAATCGCTCAGAGGCGAACTTTTTTGGCCGTGGTCGATTAGCCGGCTTTGCCGATGAAGTTGCGGACGACACCGTGAAAAGATATGCAAAGGCATTGGAAGATAGAGATTCTGAGGCTGGTAGCGTTCGAGCAAGAGAGATATTGGAGATGGAAAGACGACGGAAGGAAGAGAGCGGGAGGAATGCCATTGATGCTCACTGGAGTGAGAAGAAATTGGAACACATGCGAGAACGAGATTGGCGAATTTTCAAGGAAGATTTCAACATAAGCACAAAAGGCGGCAGCATGCCAAACCCCATGCGTGCATGGTCTGAATCAAATCTTCCCAAGCGTCTACTTGATATCATTGACTCAGTTGGATATAAAGATCCCTCACCCATCCAACGAGTCGCTATACCAATTGCACTACAGAATCGAGATCTCATCGGTGTTGCCGTCACCGGTTCCGGTAAAACTGCAGCATTCCTCCTACCACTCCTTGTCTATATTTCTGCTCTCCCTCGACTAGACGAGTTTGAATGGCGACGAAATGACGGGCCCTACGCCATCATCCTAGCGCCAACCCGTGAACTTGCGCAGCAAATCGAAATCGAAGCAATGAAATTTGCAGCGCCACTCAATTTTAACGTCGTCAGTATCGTTGGTGGTCACTCGCTTGAAGAACAGGCATACAACCTACGTAACGGAGCTGAAATCATTATTGCCACTCCGGGTCGACTGGTCGACTGTATTGAGAGGCGAATGCTTGTCCTCAGTCAATGCTGCTATGTCATCATGGACGAAGCAGATAGGATGATAGATCTAGGGTTCGAAGAGCCTGTCAACAAAATCCTTGATGCTCTCCCAATGACAAACGAGAAGCCGGATACTGAAGAGGCAGAGAACGCACAAGCAATGAGCCAACATATTAGCGGCAAGGACCGATACAGACAGACAATGATGTACACAGCCACTATGCCTTCAGCCGTTGAAAGGATAGCGAGAAAGTACCTGCGGCGCCCTGCAATTGTTACCATAGGTAATATCGGCGAAGCAGTTGATACCGTAGAGCAATGCGTCGAGTTCGTCTCAGGAGAAGATAAACGTAAGAAACGGCTTGCCGAAATTCTTACGTCCCGCGACTATCGTCCACCAATCATCGTATTTGTCAATATCAAGCGAAACTGTGATGCTGTTGCAAGGGATATTAAACACATGGGCTTCTCGGCGGTCACATTGCATGGTTCTAAGACTCAGGAACAAAGAGAAGCAGCCCTTGCATCTGTCCGTAACGGGTCGACGGATGTGTTGGTTGCCACAGATCTTGCTGGTCGTGGTATCGATGTACCCGACGTTAGTTTGGTGGTTAACTTCAATATGGCGACCAATATTGAGAGTTATACCCATCGTGTTGGAAGAACTGGTCGTGCCGGGAAGAGTGGTGTTGCTATTACCTTCCTGGGCAGCGAGGATAACGACGTTCTGTATGTTTACGCCCTCTTACTCCTATTATGGAACATTTCACTAACCCATTTCTCCAGATACGACCTTAAGCAAATGTTGATGAAATCCTCTATATCTCGAGTACCAGAGGAGTTACGCAAACACGAAGCCGCCCAGTCCAAGCCAGTCAGGGGAATGGGCGCAGCTGGTCAGAAAAAGATCGAAGAAAGTACTGGGTTTGCAGGCAAGGGCGGCGGCAATGGATGGTAAAGAAAATAATATCCAGCCTCGAGAAAGCAAAGCTTGGTGGCTGTACGATACGATATATATGATCTGAATAAGCGAAGACTTTCATTGAGATGTAACGTTACGACGCTTTTTAGGTGGGAGTTATAGTAGGTCTATACACCCTAACCTTACGGCATGATAGGGGTGGCTATAAGAGCTTTACCATCCCGAAAGTAAGGGTAGCGTCCTAAGCGAAGATAAGGTCGTTAGTCCATTAAAAGACAGGCTGGTCAGTTATCTAGCTAGTCTATGGAGAAACCTTTGTATCCTAGGGATAAAGTATTCAATCGAGTTTGATCTAGGACTTGTATCCGTTTGACTTGAGCCAAGACTCTACATCTTCACGATCGCGTGAGAGCCAACCAGTCTTAGCACGAATAGCATCGAGACTCTGCTCGAGAGATCGGTCGTAGCCCTGTGTATCGAAGATTAGCATATGTCACCCATATTTAAATACAAAAAAAGAGGAAAATTTACCTTGTGATCCTTGTCCTTAAAAAACTGCTCAACTTCCTTCATCTGCTCAGCAGTGCACAGGCTAGCGCAAGATATCTGGATAACAGAGCCCAACATGGAGAAAGCAGGAGGGAGCCTCTTGGTCAATCCCACCCAGTTCTCCTGCAGCCACTTCCAGCGGGCTAGTATACCTGCAGAGTGAGACCGAAGGCCGGACATGGGCATGTAGATATCCTGAATTCTAACTTCCTCGGAAAGAGTGAGGGCAAGGGTCTTCTGCATGATGGCTGGGTCCTCGCAGGCACCCAGGCAGCGGAGAGCAGTGTTCTTTTCAGCAGAGGTGGGAGCATTCTTGTATCTGTCGAAGATGATCTCCCATTCCTTTTCGCCGCCATTTTTAAGGACAATGTCGAATACACTGCCGCGAATGTTGGGGTGGATGGCGCTGTGGTCACCAGCTGCGAAGCGCTTGAACATATCGGTGGCTGCGGCAACGACCTTCTCGTCACCGGCGGAGCCGGCGGCGCTGAACATGAGGGCCTTGTACTGCTGGAGGACATGGCCGTCGTTCTCGGTGAATTCCCAGCCGAGTTCATGGGATTTTTGGCTGACGAGATTACGCTGGAATGTCTTCAAGGCATCCTTGGTCTTCTCATCTTCGAAGATCCAGGCTCCACGGATAGATCCGAGACGAGTGAGAATTTCGTTCCAGACAACGAAGTCATTCTCTTGGTCAAATCCTTTCAGAAGTGACAAACTTCCAGAAGTCTTTTGGTAGCCAGAGGCGGCGAGAACACCGGCATCGGCAATCATACCGGCCTTGTCCTCAACAGTCAAACGGCCTGCCTTAGCATCCTGTCCTAGCTTCTCAAGACGTTCTGGGCTGTAGCAGGTTCTGAAGAGGGAGGAGTGGTCGGCGTTGAGTTTATAGAAGTCGAGGTCTACTTTGATGTCTTGGCTTCGTTCCGAGAGGACAGCGGCTTGGTCGATGCTGTCACGGCCCTTTAGTCCGAGGACGACAGGGTAGATGGTCTTGTCATCTTCCGTCTTGACATCTCCGGTGCGGAGGAAACGGTTTTGCTGGACGTTGATGGTCTGGTTCTCCTTGTTCTCCTTTACGGTGAGAACGGGGAATCCGACCTCCTTGGTCCACACGTCCATGACCTTATCGATGGGTTTACCGCTAGCTTCGCTAAGGGCGGCCCAGAGATCACTAGTGGTAGTGTTTCCATAGGCGTGTTTCTTGATGTAGGCCTTGACACCTTGGAGGAACTTCTCCTCGCCCATGTACTTTGAGATCATTCGGAGCACGGCGGAACCCTTGGAGTAAGAGATAGCATCGAAGATCTGGGTAATCTCATCGGCGCGTTTGACTGGAACCTCGATGGGGTGACTGCTTCTCAAGGAGTCAAGAGACAACGCCTGTTGAAGGTTGTCGATAACATAAGTCTGCCATACGTTCCACTCTGGGTAGAAGACATTGCACGAGTACCACGACATCCACGTGGCGAAGCCCTCGTTGAGCCAGAGGCCATCCCAGAAATCCATGGTGACCAGGTTACCGAACCACTGATGAGCAAGTTCGTGTTGCACAGTCTCGGCAATACGTTCCTTTGTAGCGGCGCCGGTGGTTTTTTCGTCGTACAAAACGTCGACGATTCGGTAGGTGACCAATCCCCAGTTCTCCATGGCACCGGCCGCAAAGTCGGGCACAGCAACCATGTCCATCTTGGGCAATGGATAGTCGTTATCGAATGCCTTTTCATAAAAGGCAAGAGTCTTGGCAGCAAGGTCCAAGGAGAATCTTCCGTGCTCGATGTCTTGGTCTGGGGTAGCGTAGACTCTGATTGGCACTCTGAAGGCCTTTGTCTCGATATAGTTAAGGTGGCCAACAATGAAAGCCACAAGGTAGGTGGACATGAGTGGGGATTTGGCGAATTTAACTGCCTTTCTGGGGTGGCTGACCATAGTGGACTTCACTTCGGTCTCGGATTCCACGTCCATGTTGCTCAGACAGGTCATGTCTTTGTCCGCAATGAGTGTAACCGTGTACTGAGCCTTCAATGCAGGCTCGTCGAAGCAAGGGAACGCCCTCCTGCAGTCGGTAGGCTCCATCTGGGAGGAAGCCATGTACTTTTGGTTGCCATTGGCGTCCTTGTAGGCACATCGATAGAATCCGGCCATGTTATCGTTTAGGGTACCGGTGAACTTGAGGTTCAACTTGGCCTTTGAGCCAGCCGCGAGCTTCTCTCCAAGGGTGATCGTGGCAGACTGGTCATCCTTGTTGTAGCTGATGGGTGTAGAGGCGGGCACTTCAGTTCCATTGGCGTCGACGGCAGCAGAATCGATGGTAAGGTCGAGTGCGTTCAAGGTGATGGATGTAGTCTCTTCGACAACATCGAGGCTACAATTCAACGGTCAGCACCAGCTCAAAAACCAAAGCACAAGGACACGCGGGCTTCCATACTCAACCTGAACTGATCCCTTGAAAGAAAAGTCCTCGAAGTTGGGCTCCAGGGTCAGGTCGTAGTGAAGCGGCTTCACGTTGGCGGGGAGGATCTCGCGACCTGCAGCGGCCACGGGCATGGAACCCGCGGCGCCGTCTTCGCCTCGTCGTGCGCGACACATTCTCCTATACGAGCAGAATCTCTTGAACTGGCGGGATAGACGAGCAGAGGAAGAGAGGGAAGCCTGGGTGGCAGTGATCGAGGAAGCAGAAGAGAAGAGCGACGATGGCGGGGTGAAAGGCGATGCTGGGCGGGGAGTGAGGCCGGGCGTGATTGGAGGGCGGATGTAACCTCTGCGGGAGGGATTAATGTTCAGGCGGAGTGGGCCCAGTCGATATAAAGACAGTGAAGACGAAGATGAAGAGAAAGGAGAAGAAGATGAGGATGAAGGGGAAGAAGAAGAAGAAGCTGTATACGCCGAGAGGGACCGCGATGCAGCGTGTGTTGGAGGTCGCGCGAAGGCACCGGCCCTCCGCATACCGGCCGCCTGCGACAGCATCATCCTGGAGATGGGAAAGAGGAAAAGACCAAGTAGCAGACGCAGAAAACGCTAATTGGAGGTTTATACAGAGAAAAACAGACTCCGAGCCGGTAGACGCTCTCTGTCGGTTCCTATATATATGGCTTCCAGGTCGATGTGATATAGACAATTTGATAGACAATTGGACAAGGCAATTGGATAAAGGAGTGACGGATTAAATCCAAACGAACGGTATATAGCCAGAATACCAGCAGGTTCTCCCTGCTTCGTCGTCTCCTGCTCAAAATATCAATTCGACAATCGAATTCTCGATCTTTTTCTGGCGTCTTTTTTTTCTCCGGCGAAAAAGGCGCGTCTTAAGGCCGATGGGCCAATCATAAAAGGTACCTGCTAATACACCAGATTTGTTAGAAAAAATAAGTACTTCCTATGGCTTGGCACATAGCTTAGCGCTTCTTTTTTTTCCTACACCAAATTTTCTTTCCTCGCGTTTTTCTTTTTTCTTCTTCTCATCAACGCAGGAAGGATTTGATAATAGACAGCTTCGATCTTGTAACGAGACATTCAGAGCTGTTTCTCACCCCTTTCATGCTAGATTACTTCTATTCCGCTAGTTTGAGGAGATCGGTTCGGTTCATCAGAGCTGCTAAGTGAACTGTTTCTCCATAGAATAGTCGGCACATCCATCACCATGGGGATTATCAAGACACACCACAAAACTACATGTTCGGTTCTTCCGTTGATGATTCGGCCAAGTGAGTGAATCTTTGTACAGAGATAGTATACACGATACGTGTTGAGAGAATAATACAATCTGTTACGACCCCATTTCTCATATCAATCACCAACCTCTCAGCAATTTACATGTCCTACAGCTTCAGGGAAGGAATTCAACCCCTAGACCTTCCACCGGAGAACGGGTTCATCCAGCTGAGGGGATTTGCCTGTCTTAGGCCCTCTTTCTGAGTGCGCTTCACTGACGGGACTCTGACTGCTACACTCCTCACAGCGCCGTTATCCTCTTCCAGCGGATGCTCAACAATGTTATAAAGGTTCATCCATGGCAGTAACTTTGCCCATACTACCCAGTAGATCGCACCGACAACAAACACGCTCAGTCCGGCCACACAATGCGAGTAGTATGGTAAGTACGCGTATACATTGTCTTTCGGGGTAGGGGGTGGGAGGAACGGGGCAACGGTGAGGTAGATATTGGAAACGAGGAAGAAAATCGTGACTGGCAGCGTTGCGCGGATGCCTGGTGCCCATCCTGGGTATTTCGACGAGCGTAAGTAGATATGCATGAGTCCTGCGGCGACCAGGACATTCACCACCGATAGAGGGTATGAAATCATGCTGTCCGAGAGGCTCATTTATTAGCCAGCACAACACCATCACGCCATGTGTGATATGGCAAATAATACAAGGAGTACTCACTTGAGTAGGAAGATATATGCATCCCCTGGCGGCGGTGCAAGCATCACTATCGCCGAAAGAACATAATGTTCCAGTAGCCCGGCAGCTGGAGAGTTGAACGGACGCTTACTGGCCCAGAACTTCGACAACGGGAGTACTCCTTCTTCACCGAGCGCTTGGACAACTATACACCTGGTTAGAAAGGAGTATAGATACAGGAGCCAAGGGTTAAGCTTACTTCGGCCCTGAGAGAAAAGCACCGCCAGGACATTTCCAAAAGCTGATAGTGCAATAAATATGGACAACACTCGCTCTGCCTTTGGGCCAAAAACATGGCGGAAAAAGGAGGCTGCGAGTATACGCCCAGAACCCAAAATTTCCTCCTTTGGTACAACAGCAAAGTATGCGATGTTGACCAGAAGATAGAGGATGCCAACCAAGGTGACCCCTATAGGAGCTGCGATTTTCAACGTTCGGATCGGGTTTCGCGTTTCACTGAGGGACTATATGTATAATCTTGTCAGATCCGCAGGGACAGTCGGCGCAGGTCAACAATCAGACTCACATAGTTGGCATTCGAATAACCGACATATGACCATATCACGCTATACAATGCGGTGACCATTCCGTATATGCTTGGGCGACGGTCTCCCCACGTATTCGAAAAATTGTTGGAAATGTTGCCCTTGGTACCTCCCCCCAGTGCCACCGCTCCACAGATTATGATGACCATAATCACAACCAGCTTCAACATTCCAAGTGCGTTCTGCAGCCGAAGTCCCCATTTCATTTCGATGGCATGGACGAAAAATGCTACCGTAATGCAGGCAAAGCCAATCCCTCGTTGATTCCACCGGCTAACTTCCACGCCTGCAGCATGCAGAACATACTCTCCAAACACGACACTATTTCCAGCTGCCCATCCGAGTAGTAGTGCATATGAAGCGTATATCGCCGTTGCGAGGAACCTTGGTTTTCTGTAAACGAATTCCAGGTAGTTCTTCTCCCCGCCATTCCTATAATAGGTCAGCAAACGGAATATCTTCTATGACAATGACTGGATGGGCAAATATATCAGCCGTCTAACCTTGGAATTGCCGTCCCAAACTCGAGATACACCGCCGTACCAGCCATCGCAATCAGCATTCCAATTATCCAAACCACAAGGGACATGCCGACGCTGCCAGTCTGGGCTAAAATGGCACTTGGTGTAGCAAATATTCCGGTTCCAATGATCCGGTTAAAGATTAAAAAGGTAGCACTGAAAACACCGATCTGTCGTCCACTGCTGCTACCACTGGTAGGATGTTCGACATGATAATTGTATTCACCATCACCGCCACTGAAGTCGGAACAGGTACTTTTGCCAACTATTATATGTCCACATCAGCATCACAACCCATTTAGCAGATGATACATAAGACAATAAATGGAATGAGCCAACCCTACAAGAGTGTATAGTCAAATCCATTGGTGGAAGGCTGATGTCACCAAAGGATAACCTTCCAATATCTTCTGAGGGTTTATTCGATGGTAGTTCCATGATAGAATTACCCAGAGTTTTGGTGGAAGTTCCTTCAGAGGTAGTATCGTTCGAATCCGCCATGACGGAAGAGAATAATGACGGTGTTTAAGGCGGAGGCCGGGGCCACTGCAAAACCAAAATACCGAAAGGCAAGACAAGCAAGAAACATAAATATACCCTATAACTAATGGTATAGGAATACACGATAATGGTAATACTTGGATATCACAAAGAGGGACTTCGTCATATTGGAATCATCCAAGTTTCATACCATCAACAGTGCTCGATCTCTTTATATGGGAAGGAAATACCCAAGGCCCTGGATGGGAGAGACTGCTCATTTTGGACCAGATACCTGGCAGGAACGGCTTGCATGGCAATTTCCTTCTATCGGGTCTCAAATATCGTTGGATCTCAGTGGTATAACGAACTTCTATCATGTATAAATAGCTTTGCTTTCATGAATATGAAAGCTGTACTCAAACTGCATCCGTCTCGCATGGTTTAAGATAATCGTTGGATATTTGTAGTAATTCCGCCGGAGACCCATAACTAACTACACGTTTATCCCTTTAAGGGAGACCAATATAACAACTGCCAATCTATAACCTAAAAAAAGAGAGCAAAGTTGGATGGTCAAATGGAGCCTAAGAAAGGCCGGCTGACTAATAAATAACTATTAAGGCCCGTTTTCCTGCTCTTATTCTACATCTTCGAAGTAACAATTGAGCAAAGTGAAGAAATATGCTTTTCTCTATGCCATAATGTGAACTGGGAGAAGATACAAGGGAAGAGAGCGACGCTGGGCGACATTACGAAAAATCGGTGTCAACTATCAATCTTGTGGTAACATGGCAAGTGGGCCCCCTACTTTAGCTCGAGCCGCGAGATGGGTGGTTAAGTATATGTGCATGCGTCGAAATCCGTGGCTTCGACATGGCTGGGAGAGCGAGCATAGCATACTTAATGTCTTCTACGGTCATTAGTACATGGGTCAATCAAAATCTACGTATATGGGTCAAGGAAGCTCACGATGCGTAGAGACGCCGACAGCGAGTTTCCTCCTCAGTTGCCTGGCTCAAAGTAAAACCTCAGGGTGCGAAATGTCATTTAAAGAGGAAATTCGCTCTTTTCCTGTCCATATATCCCGATCGCTGGCCATTGATAGAGTATGAGATTGCAGTGTTGCTTATTGTAGCGGTGGCATTTTCCTAATTGATAACCGTGGCTATATAGTAGATGCTATTTTATGTTGGCCTCGTGCAGAATATTTAATATGTCAAATTATGGATGTTGGCTTCAAGAATATCTAGCCTGCTGTCGTCTACTCTGGAATGATATAACGCTGGTTGGGGTTATCCAGAAAAGCGCAAGTAAATATATAAAACGGTAACCTTTAGAATTGCTCATCCATGGGTTTAAACGATATAAGAAGTATATAGGATTGAAGAAAGGTGTAGATGGAAGTGAGGAAGCATATCTGGAAGAGCGATATAAATAATGTGGTTAGAGGGCCTTTGTGAGGAAAAGTCTGCAGCTAAGGAAAGGAATTAAGCAAGATAGAGGCTTCTAGAACTGGGGCATAAAGGAATGGTATCAGTGTGTTCTAATTACTTCATCTAGACGGTGTAGATATCCGACATAGCTGTTAGACAACGAAGTAAAGCAAACACAAGTGAAAGGGTTAAAGAAACTGTGAAGGAATATCAAACGAATTGCTACATCAGGGAAGTTTGTAGTAATATTTTTATTATTCACTAACTCCTAATTTAAAAACAACCGCCCAACCAACTGGATTCTCGTATGATTACAAAGGCTAACATTGCGCAGGCCTGCGGATGAAGGGTGCAGTATCAGAGTGCCGTAAGAGCTGGCGCAGAAACGTCTGGTCTGAACGTAGAGTTAGGGGTATCTTGACCAGCCGTAGGTTTATCCTGTGCCTCCTTTGAAACTGGCGTCTTCATGATTGATTGAACCGACGGTGGCCCGTTGACTTCACGATTTAAGGTCATGTATTCCTTGGCTGCTTCGCTTGAACCCCTCTCTAGCAAGTAGGTCATGTAGAGATGAAGAAGCTCCTTGGCTGCCTCGATTGGGAGGGTACTTTTGTTGCGAATATCGTCGATAACTTGCTTAATGCGCTTGTATTGTGCGGGTTCAGTTTCGGCACTGGTTGGCTGCTCTAGTTCGAACATAAGATAGCTAGTCCAGAAAGGGCGGCTATCAGGGTACCAGTGTTGGTTCTTGTGGAACACTTGGCGGGCTTCTTCGGAGGTCCCCTTGACTCTCCATAGAAGCTTCGCCCACTCCGCCACAAGGGCAGCTTTTGTCTGAATATCACATTCAGCTGAATCAAGTTGAGATTTGTAAATCTCAATCGCGGCATCTAAACCACCATGACGACGTGATAGATTCGCAAAAGAAATTATCGTTTCAACGTGTCCTGGCATCGAAAGCAAAACTGCATTATGGATATCTTTGGCGATATCGACTCGTGATGCCATTTCTTCGAAGTAGGCGTAGTGGAGGCGGATAGCTGGCCTCGATATGGGGACATAGAGAGAACTCGCCTTTTGGTAAATAATTCTAACTTCTTCCTCCTTTCCTTCTTGGCCAGACATCCATGCCGCGTAACGCATCCAGAATTCATCGTAGTGCGCACACGTCACAAGACATCTCTCGTACAAGAACTGGGCGCGAGCAAAAGAGCCCTCTGCTTCTTCGAAATCTAAATATTTCCTCCAGTTCGTTAACTGACCCTCGTCAAGCTCGGTAACATGGAAGTAGGGCCTCTTGATTTCGGATTCATAGGTCCATCGCTTTGTGGTCTCGGTTTGAGTGCGTGAAAATGTCTCCAAGTAATGGGCGTCGGCTCGGAGTCGGATATCTCTCTCGACCTCGGCTTCACTCCTTGAGCCGGGAGGAACACTACCCGCCGCATTTTCGATCTCCACTCGGAACTGAGCTAGAGTCTCAGGAGGAACAAGTTCACTTAATGGCCTGGTTTGAGCGAGCTGCCGATATCGTTCAAAATATCTTGCATATTGGTGCATAGGTATCTGGATGATTGTACCAAGCACAGCGAAAATCTTATCGTGGCACTCCACGCGCTCCTCGAATTCGAGATATTTGTCCCAGAACAAATGAGATAAGAAATCAAGACCGACGCAGCTGACACCTCTCTCGAAGAGCCTAGAAGTGAGGATGTTAGTAAAGATTAGGTTCGAGGAAGCAAAAGGAAGGAGGGGTGGGGGAGGGGAAGACAAAAGGAAGGATGGGAGGGGAGTGGAGGATGGCAAACATGGCATATGCATTTAAATCTTCAAGTGGGGTGCCGAGTCAGGTCAACGATTGATAGATGTAGGTTTAGCTATATCATCCGTGCGTAACATAGGAGAAGGATTCCCGAACAAGTTCCCAAGAGGTAGTGTGCGAAGAACAAAGGCAGCCTGAATCTTATGGGTGAGAAGTAGTTTCAACGAAACCAAGGTGGCAGATGACTATCTCACCCATTTAAGGAACCTTGATAATATCGATCTGCACCATATGCCCTCAAGATTGCGAACGACCCACGCGCTATGTCGGTATGGTTATGGGGAAGGGTACCAACATATCATACTTACTCTCGAATGATGTCGGTGTCGTGCGAGGTTTCAACTTTGAAAGTGCAGTAATTCGTCCACAGGTCGACCGAGTTTGTGATGCTAGCCACTCCGCGCTCATATACCTATTAATCAAATAACAACATTAGCCAGCAAGCTCAACTCGGACGTATACCACTAAACAGGGCGTTGACTAACCATCTCTGCAGCTTCGGTGCCCGCGATGGAGAACTCTAGGTCTGCATATTTCTTCCAGTATCCGAACAGCAAGGGGAATTTAGCCAGGAACCGGTCGTAGACTGTTCTAGTAGCTGTAATAGCCTGTGGGCTCGAGTTGCGATTGATTCCACCTTCCTGGCCTTCCGCCGCACGCACGAGTTTCTCCCATGCTTCGAAGCTGTCGGTGTCTTCGAGCTATAGTAAAGAAGCAGAAGTAGGTTAGCAGCAATACGACAGACAATAATGCGGCTGAAGGCTATCCGGCTTTCCATGAGAGGCTTTCAAGGAGCCAAGGGAGATTTACCACTTCCGCATGAAGCTTCTTCAACTCCTCATTCTCCTCGTCGGTCCCGCCAAAAAGCAGATCTGCCATATTTCACAATAGTAAAGAGTAAAAGGGTTTCAATGGTAGGCAGAGAACAGGTCAAGATGGTGCTGTGGAATCCCGTGTTCTTGAACGGTAGCCGGGGCGCGTTCAGCGTGAAGTGAGATAGATGTCAGAAGTGAGAAGGCTACCGCAGGGCGGGCAAGGCAAATATGCGGCCGGATTATATAATCAGTCAGAGTATGTCATGTGACCTCAAATCTTTGACCGCGTGAGAAAGTTGAAGATCGAAGAGATTATCGAGCTTCAGCAATCCAAGAAGGCGAACACGGCGGACTTGCGCCCTCTACAAACACACAATGGCGACACAGACAACAGTGGGCCTTGTAGAGACCCTGCCTGTCCGGCTCAGAAACTTTTTCGCTCGCTACCCACCACAATACTACTCATCGCAAGCTATACCGAAGTCCCTACCCAAGCAAGAGTCTCAATCATCGTCAACCGAGGACTCTGAATCCTCAGCCGTCATAAAGCCTGCTCCAAGTCCTTTCGCCTCACGAAGCACGAAGGTCAAGCTCTCGAAGACCAAAGTCGCCGGCTCCCTTTCATACACCGACTCGTTACTCCGCTCGAACCCCAACGAGCTATACCCTAACCCCTTCCTTCCATATAAAAACCCAGAAACCGGCCGATGGCGAGGGGCTGTTGTATCACTGCGTCGACAGGCTGAACTGGTTAAATTGGGCATTAAATATGGCGTAGAGGAGCTATTGCCTCCGGGCCGCAAATCGACAGAATATAAACAGGCACGACTCATTGAGAAGGGTTTGAGAATCAAGGGTACTGGTGTTGGACAGAAGGTCAAGGGTCACAAGTGGGAGAGATTGATGAAAGGAAAGTTGGAAGAGAGGAAGAAGGCTATGTTAGGAATGCCGTCAATGATCAGATTGTGGAAACAGGTAAGCTTCCTCCATTCTTTTGTTCTCTTTTTTCTAGAGACGATATCCTCGATTCTTACACGGCACACTCGAACTAACCGGTATCCTTTTTTTTAATAGCGTGGTCATGGTCGTGGCTGGAAGAAATATCCTCGAGGATAATTTTGTCTCTAATATGTTCAGAGGAACGAATTGTAACCTCAATGTAACTCAATGTACTATATTTTGGAGTTTTGGTGGTCAAGGGGTCATTGCACCTCTTTTTCAAAGAAATATGAACCATAGTATCGGCTCTCCGAATTGTGTCGTATCTATACATAGAATTTCATGATATTCATAAATGGTACATACAAACTAAGTGGCCGCTCTTAATTAACTCCAAAAGACACAGTACCTCCCTGGTAAAAAATATCCTAGAAAATATCAATATCAATCATAAATTGGTGTCAATGGCTCGCCCACCCTGACCGTTATACATTCATGCTCCAACGCCCTAGATAAAGAAACATGTTTACCAAAATATACCTTCCCATCAACTTTTCTTGTCTTTGCCAAGGTAGAAAATGGCTCCTCACTGCGCATAGCAGTAAACTGGTCAATGCAAATCATTTGGCATCTCTGACAAGAACCTAGGATATCAAAGGTGGCATTTCCAACTTGAAATCCAGCCCATAGTTCTTCTATATATGGCTGTTCAAAAGATGTTGAAGGACGATATCCGGCCGGCAAGTTGGGTTTTGTAGTAGATATATTTTCAGAGACAATAATATTGGCCCGGAACACATCCGCCGCAACTGTTTTGGAAATTGAATTGGGCTTTCCAGAAGATTTTATAGTTTCGTTGACTTTATTGACGCTTGAGCGGGATATGAGTAGTATCGGACCTTCATTGGATAGGAGGATCGGATGTTTTGATCCGGACGCAGCGGACTCTGGAAACGAGCCTGGTATATTGGGTACAGGATTCATGGGAATGGAAGTATGTACATGTCCTCCAGTCGGACGCTGATATGGCTTTGAAAACCGCGCGGATATCTGGTCCCGTTGCGGTGGAAATCTTGCAAGCGTGCAAGGGACGTTAAGGAAATTGGAGAAGAACGAAGAGAATCGAGCGGATTTATAGACTTGTACCGAGATTTTATCTCCACATACAGTAGATCGTTGGTTTGTAGAGCTTTGACACAGTTGCCCTATGCTCAGGTCCGCAGAGTCGTCAGATAATGGTATCTGAATAGTGTCCAGGCATGGCTCTAGGCCAGGTAGTGTGATTTGCAAGGTGCCACGACAGAGGTCGATAACTGGCCGTATTAACGCCATCCTTGGGTATCGCTTTTGATTCAGAACCACACCAGTGCCTTGATGTATTAAACACCACTCTCTATCCCAGGCTAGACCCTCTGGTTTTACTTCCCAATCCATTGATTCAGGGACAACGAATGCTCCGCAGCTCTTTATCGGATAGACGCAGAGTTTCTCGATATAAAACCTCGAAGGAGGCTGTTGGACAGAAGGGGTGAACGAATTAGGGTCAGGGATGACCTCACCAACTATACACTCTTCAACGTAAAAATCTCGGATGAAGTCGACAAATGTATCAATATCTCTTCTCGACGTCATAGCACCCAGACTAACACGCAGGCCACCAGTCGGCTTTCCAGAAATAACATCGTTGTCGTCTCCGCAGCGTTGGCCTGCATTATAGTTCCGTCTCATATCATCAGCCTGTAGCCCAAGGTAATACGCCATCCCGCCAGGATTGCATAGTGTCCCTGAGCGTATCTGGATATTTTTCACAGCAGCCAACTTCTCCACCTCTGACTTTCGAACCCAACCGCCAGCACTATCTTTTAAATTGAACGATATGATAGGACCCTGGAGATCGCGCTCAATATATTGCCCTGGCCCTTTGTAAATCTCACAAACTTTCGTGCCATTGCCATGTTCTAAAGAAGACATTATATCGTATAATATTTCTGCCATATCTCCAGTGTGGCGGGATATATTGTTCATATCGCTGTAAAGCCGTTCATGCACGTCAAAGGCCGAATGCAAGGCAATAATGCTATGAAAAGGCAAGGTACCATCTTCAAGCTGTTCATGAAGAGCGGCGTCCTTTTTGGCATGCCACTGTTCTCCAACGGTCAAGACCATTCCAACTGTGCCCCCACCGAAGTACTTCCTGTTCTGAAAAAGATGACCAGCATCTTTGCGAACAATGAGGGCTCCAAGATCAGGATAGCCGAAGATCTTATAGAAGCTGACAACAGTGAAATCTGGAGCAGAGGTTGCGACGCTCAGGTCTATTGGAGACGTGGAGGCAAGAGAAGCGGCATCAAGCAATGTGAAGGCCTTTCGTTTCCCGTCAGTGCTTACACATGCATTAATGTCCCTGCACCAGTTCAAAGGCAGCCGACGACCAGTCATATTAGATTGACCCGGGTATGCGAACAGGGTCGGACCAGCCAACTCGGGAGTATCGCATCGATCTTTCAACATCCCAATCCACTCAGTTACCTCTTCGTCATTAATGAAACACTTCTTCCCCCGTTTAGCCATATCTCGAACCCCAACCAAGCTAGTGTGGGAATCAACATGGTATCCATACCAAAATCCCTTTGAATCATAGTCCCGTAGACTTTCTGCAACCAGTTTAATTCCGGCTGTGGCGTTGGCGACAAATACAACGTCAAAGTCTTCTGGTCTTGCGTTGAAAAAGCGAAGGACTCGTACCCTTGCATCATCGATCCGGCTAGTGGATAGCTGGGAAGATGAGGATGCTGAATGGGGGTTTCCAAAGAGGTTACTTGTTAATTCCTGCGAGAAGGTCTCTATGAGAGATTTTGCATAGAGTGTTGTCCCTGCATGGTCTAGATAGGTTGTATCTGAAAGTAAATGTATTAGCTCATGATCTTAAGCATATAGCAGGTGGCAACGCTCGTAATAGCGTAGGATGAGAAAGGATTAATACAGAATGAAGAGGGATTGCCTACCTTTGAGTAACGGGTATTCACTAGCTCGTATCTCCTCAACAGGCACCCTGTAATAAGACGGACTGTCTTCGTTGGTAGCCATCACTATATCTATTGCTCGAATAATGCAGCATTATTCACGTATTGACTCTGTAAACATAAAAATAAATATGTTAAAAGATATTTAATATAGACCGAGGCAATCAGCAGCAGACAAACGGCTCAATAATGAGCCCTAAAGATATGATATCGTTGAGTCTTTAAGCTGCGTTGCGGAGCTCTCCGAAAAGCGCGGAGAGAAGGAACTGATAACCATAATCACGTGAAGATAGAGATATTTAATGATATAATACGTATAAACATTTATCCGCTCCCGAGGTCCAAGGCATCACGTGACATAACATGGAATAAATAGTGTGCACGATATAAACAAGCACATACGACCACAGGAAGTGGAAAACAGAGCTTCCCGTCCGCTCAGCTGTACTTAAGCCACTTGCCGGTCGGTTAGTAGTTGGGTGGGTGACCACCAGCGAATCCCGACTGTCGTATGTTTTTGACTCTTTTTTTTCCTCTAGAAAGATGTCGTTCCCCTCACCTTATGCTCCTCTGAATGTACATGAATCAAAGTCAGGGAAGCTGCAGCTAGATTCTCAAATTCATACACCTCACATCACCAACAGTTACGGTCGGTGTTGATTGGCCCTTATTATTGGATCTGTTATGGGAATGCAATTCAAAGCAATCTAGACTAACGAGCCTCTTACTGGTGCTGGGTTTACCGAGGTCGCGTATTTCATATCCAAGCTCTTAAGATTTTCACGTTACATGTTAGTTAGTATAGCAATTTATTCTTGACCTGAGCCTTGATATACCTACTTTCTGAAAATATTTACTTAAATGCCTTGCCAAGATAGCTCACAACTCTAAGATGATAACTATGTAACGGTTAACGTCTTTCAGAGTTGGAGCAGGGTGGTGTGGTGTATATGTTCGACATATTTAGGAATATAAATTGTGAATGAATATTGGGTATTAAAGCAATTAACCAATGTAGTAACTATCTAATAAGTAGTTAACAGACTCAGGTATTTCTGGCCGTGCTTTCGTTTCCCACAGACTACTCTGTTCACAAGTTACTGGCCCACGGGAAAGTCACTCAGAGCACTGATTTCCTTCCAAGTCTCAATATCTGCAAGTACTTGGTTGGCACTCTTAGCAATCTCGACAGATGCATCACTGCCCAAAGGCAGCCAGCTGGGGACCTCCCGTCCTTGAGCACATCCTGAAGAAGTTATCACATCATAGATAACCTCCGCCCCTTTCACTGGATTACCGAGCTGAGCACCATTAAAGGCAATGAAGTTGCGATCCGCGGTGGCGTTCATTTCTTTATAGTCAGGAATACGGGAGGTCGAGTCCGTAACATTGGCGGAGGGCTCAAGAAGTCCAGTACGGAAAATCCTGGCTCAACAAGGCAATGGCGAATACCAAATTGCTCAACCTCGCCGGCCAAACCGAGGGCAAGCCACCTGGTGGCAGCTTTCGAGGCATTATACAGGTTACAGCTCGGCATAGGATACCAGGCTGCCATGGATCCAATGGTAACTAGCGTCCCAGATCGTTTCTCGCGCATATGGGGAAGAATAGCACGGTAAACATTCATGGGGCCCAGAGTATTGGCCTGGAATTGTCGAAGTGTTTCCTCCGGCGTGGATTCTTCAACAGTACCCTTCTGGACGTAAGCAGCATTATTAACAACAACATCTATCTGGCTGCCAAAAGTAGCCAATATATTGTCAATGCGAGCTTTGACTTCCTCCAGTGGCTGATTCTGGTCTAGCTGGGCAGTATGAAACCGATCCGAGTCAATGGTTGGAATTTTCTCCGGGTTGCGGGATGTCGCAATGACTCGGTCTCCACGCTTGATGGTGATGCGGGCCAGCTCGAGGCCGAACCCAGAGGAAGTGCCCGTGATGAGCCAAGTTCGTGGCTGTGAAGACATGGTTGATGCTGAAGATGAAAAGGCTCTGATCTTGTTATCTCCTTAAGAACCGTAGGGAATGATGTTGGAGGTCATGCTGTATTTATAAGACGCTTCCAACAGTTAGTTAGATACGATGTAGTTCATCCGTGCCTTTGATTATTTGATCCGGAGTTAGCATGGCTTCGGACCCGGAGCTTAACGCCGGTCTAAGCACCGCTGCGGAAGCGGGTATCGTCTTCCCCGCGCGATCCCTGGATATCTAAGTAACATCTAGGGCGCTGTATACATACATAAGTAGCGGAGAGTTGACGTAAAGAATCTAGGTACCTAAAGGCGAGTCCATTTATAGTCCGAAGTTAATTAATAATTTATTAGTCACTTAATTGGCATTGTATTAGTCATCTCTGAGTCAGCATATAGGGCGGTAACACGTGACTTAATGTCTCTCTATGGGACACAGGTAAGTGACTACCGCCATACTAATACTGTCGTATCTTTTTATTTTCATCTTCTTTTTATCATATCATCAAAGGTCATCTGGTCCTCACCGTTGGCAATGGTTGTGTACAAACAGTAAACAGGCCTACTGGCGGCAACTCTGGGCCACAAAATTGAATGAATAGAGAGGCCTTTCCGAGACTTTTGGCAGGGACCTTCAGCAAAAGGAGAGAACTAATTGATAGTATGGGTATGGGCCTCTATTTCCATCGGACGATTAAACAGCTATATACATGATTTTGCTGCGAGACAGGCAAGTTAAATGGAAAAGAACATATTCATCAATCATTCCGCATCCGAGGAACAGACGAACCATCAGAAAAAAAAAAAAAAACATACATCACGCAAGACATAAACAAGATATTTCGGGAAACATGTCATATCAGCCTGGTATCGTCAAAGTAGCACTGACAAGCCGGCCGTGAGCCGTCATTTTCCACTCACTATCCACCTATATTTACACAAGATAAACCAATTCTATCCGCCAAGCCCGTCGTATCAGTCGTTAAGACAACGATTGTGCCTAAAAAGAAAAAAGGGATGAAAACAAGAAAGAGCCACGATTAAACATGGTATGAGTTCCGTCTTCCAGAGCTGCTTCGATGTCTGTGGCTGCTGCTTCGGCGGCTAGAGTGGCTTCCCCGACGCGATCGCTTCTCATGGTGTTCCTCGTGGTGGGAAATGAAATAGGCAAACACGGCGGTCCAGAAGAAGGAGATGATGTTCATAATTCCAAAGGCGAACGAAGCCTTCAGCATTGAACAGACTTTGGTCGGATCATTGCTTAGTGGGTTATGTTGTTGCTGGCCATAGTACCCAAACGGTCCCAGGGTAAGCAGGAAGTTGCTGCGCGAGAAATCATTGCAGTTTTCCCCGGCGATACCGCGAAGCAGGTAGACACCAGCTATCAAAGCGCCGAAGAAGCAGAGGTCGACGAACGAGACGAAGATGGCTGAGCGTTTTGTGTTTTTATAGCGGAAGAGGGTTTCGAGGACCCATACACCGCCTAAGACGCTGACGATGAAGAGAACGAGGATGTATGTTGGTGTGATGATGTTTGCTTTGACGAAGCCATCGATAAACCACGACTGAGGGTACGTTAGCATCTATCAAACGGGGTGGTTGGAAAGGAGAGTTCGACGTACGAGCATGCCAATTGGCGGAATCAGAGTGACCAATTGGCCGATTCGCCAGCAGATGAAGAAGAAGCTGGAAAACATCGTGGGCGGTCAACGGAGCTATCCTCGCAACGGGCGGGAACCCAGGTTGCGCGTAGATATATATGCAAGCTGGATAGGAGTGAAGCTGCAAGTAACCGGAGTCAACAAAGCGATCCTGTCTGGGATGTTGAACAAACGCGATCGGCAAGGCGACTGCAGGCAGTGTGTGTATCCGGAAGAATCAAGAATCGAACTCCCAGCCCTGCGAGCGAAGTACCTATTTATCGCCCGGCCAACCCTTGCCTTGACTCGCATCGCATGGCTGGCCCCCCCTCGCCCTGCGTGAGGCTGGGAACAACCAACAAGAAAAATAAGATGGCGGGGCGATCGCTTCTAATTGCGCCGGCTGTCATGGTAACGAGCTCCGGCACCAATCAGCACCGTTGTTTCTTCGTATTATTTCCGCGATGCAGGGATGACGATGGCGATGACGATGATGGGACGTGGTTATGGCGTTACTGTTCCGTGGCCGTTTGTCCACAGCGCCAGGCACAAGTTACAGCCGTTTGCCAGCCATGGTTCGAGGAAGAGACCATTGGAAAAGCTCTATTCGATGTATAAGAGCAGATGCTCATCAGCTAACTATCTCTGTCTCCAGCTCCTTTACCATAGACATAGACTGCACACCAGAAACAAACACAATATCTAACATCCCATGCTATTGGTATCTGTTGAACGGAGATTCGGTGTAATACTGCCTGATCGTACGAAACACGTTAGTCAACTACGCCGTTTCATTAAATATCAGTGTCAGCTCTCCATCATCGAACAAATGCTACGCCCGGCGTTTTAACGCCTGTTTCAGCTGTAGCTGGCATCTCCGCGATGGCAAGATACATGGCCGTATGAGGAACATAAATAGGAGCTCAATATCGTGTATTTAGATGATCAGTGCTTGATAGATTGAAATCTCATAGATTGCTCCAGACCCACCTGACCAATCAAATCAATCAAATATCTCGTATCTCAGAGTATCCGTAGTCGATTCAGTATTATTAGTCCAACAGACAAGTTAAGACTCGTCTTCCTCCTTCTTCTCAACCTTGACAGCTCTCTTCCTCGCTTTCTTACGAGTAGCTGGCTTCTCCTCGACGCCAGCTTCCTCAGTCGATTCATCCTTGCGCTTCTTACCCGCAGCCTGCTTTGCTGGAGTGTTTGGAGGCGTTGGGATGTCGCCAGCCACTGCCTTAGCCTTTGCCTTGATTCGGTCGATGCGATTCTTGACGGCCAGACGGTTAAATTCTACGTGCAGCGTTAGAGACCTTATTTGTGACTGACTCGGAGAAGTGCTGGTATATTATTTTATAACCCTGGAATGACTTACCACCGCCCATCATCTGAGAAATAGCTGTAATGTCGACCTTTGGGGAGGTTGCTAAAATTGAGAGTAGCAGCTAATTGTAGGAAATACAGTCGGTTAGTATGATATATAAGATCTGGTACTGTGTATGGAATGGAGTCCGTCTGAGAAAGAACATACCAGGGCATCAGCCTTCTCGTCCCACACGACAGACATGATTGGTAGCCTTGAAAGGTAGATGTGGTATCTGAGATGAGGTTTGTTGTTTGAAGGTTGATATATTGTCAAATGGCTGTTTCTCGGTAGAATCTCGAGGGAAGCAAGGACAAGCAGGAGAACTTGATATGGCAGAAGGATGTAAACGGAGTAGAGGGTATGATATCTGTTTACTTTATATGACAATATACAGAGGCTGGTTGGCAATGATAACACATTTAAATAACACAGTTGCCCGGCTACCCAACCAGCCATCATAACACCACGGGGAAAGCTCCGGGGATACCGTTCCAGGCATTTCCTGGATCGTCTTGATCATACAATTACTAAGTAACACATTAGGAACATGACAGTCATTGATATCTTGATTAACATCCCCAAAGTAAGGGCTGGAGAATACAGATCTTGCCTGATCCGGATTAGAATTAGCTAAGGCAAGAAGGGGAATCAAAGGGAAATGGCAAATTTCTTATGCCACTTTTATACAGGAAGGGGACCATGAGCAATGATGTCGTGACAGCGTAGCAGAAAGACGGTTGAAGAGTTGGGGGGGTATTATTTCAATTTGCTGAGTTTCAATGGTCAACCAAGAACCATCCTCCCAAAGCGCAGATTTAGGAAGAACCACATATTCTTTCATGAAAGAAACGCTAAACAAGGAAAATAGTAACGACATGAGTAACGACATGTAAGGTATTAGAGTAACATGAGGGAATTGGCATGGAGATGGGTAGAGAAGAGGCGAGGATGCTGTAGGTATCATTCTAAAACATGGGCCTTCTTATGACTTGACCATGGATGCTGGGTGACGCTCGAGAGCTGGACTGTGTGATGGTGTCCTCTGGTCAGGAGGCTGATAAGCAGCGGTATTTATCGGGTATCTGGGGCCATCTTCTGAGCTAGTGTTGGCTCCTTGGTGGTGTCTAGGTTCATATGCCGTCTGCTGCATTTCATACCCGTCTGACTCGCTACTCGACGCACCATAATCGGCGTCCGCAAGTCGTCTCCGTCGTTGACCATCCTGACGCTGATGTTCAAAGGGATTCATAAGAGCAGACGTCGTTTCGGGCACGGCTACCGGTCGATCTTGAGCCCCAGCCCCAGCCTGATACTCTTCATCCGTGCGGGGGACTAATTTCACCTGGTCATGTTCGTACTCGAGCAGTCGACGACCGCTGTATACGGGAGGTTCTGGGATCGATCCCCAGGTACGGATGGGGTAGGCTCTGCCCTTCTTCCAGGGTTCCGCGAGGGATGGGAAGTACTGGCGGTATGCAACCCAGCCACAGCCGACTCCGAGCAGTGAGCCGGAGATGACGTCGAAGGGATGATGTCGTGCATCCATAATGCGTGATACGGCAACTAGTCCAGCAGAGAGAGTAGGTACCATGACGATGAAGGCCTTCCAGACTTCTCCACGGCTGTCCATGACATGTAGCTTTCCGGCAAGGTAGAGAGATAGGTAGAAGAGACCAGCAAAGGAAGCTAGGTAGAAGTTAGTATTCCAAGAAGCTATATGAAGGTAGTGCATCCTCGATATCAATACGTACAGCTACTATGTCCTGAATAGTGAGAAGGTCAGCATATGTGAACGGACCAAACTAGCGAAATTACGGATCTCTACATACCTGATGGGAATGATCGGAATCCATCCTTTAAAATCTCATGGTTAGTCTGGGTGCATATCGAGGAATTCGACAGCCCGAACGGTGGAATCTCAAAGCTCGACGGCTTGCATCGATCAATCAGATCCGGTCGAGGTTTCCCGCAAGCATTCTTCAATGCGCCTGTGATAACGAATGCCGCTGCCTGAGCCAACACCAATCCAAGCACGCCGCAGTTCAGCTCCCACAGCCTGTCCTTGAACCGGTATTTGCCTGTCAGCCTCCTCTTCCCAGTCGTCAGGTTCAGAGGTTTGCTATGCGAGAACAGTCCGTCGAGAACGATCGTATAGACGATGATGACGAGGATAGGGAACCCGCCGGAGATCGCGAGGGCGAGAGGGATGGAAACCCGTTCCTTGACGGCGTATGGGTAGTGTAGGGTGTAGTTCTGGAGAGCGAAGGGCTGGTGGAAGGGCTCAACACGGTCGAGGATGAAGAATCCCGCAATGAGCGCGCTGGCGGTAAGGAAAAAGGGTCAGTCTCGATCGGGAAAACTGTCGCATGTCTTCGCGCCATCTTGAAGCGGCTTACAATAAGATCACATAGTCTAAGATGTATCTGCGAGTGTTCGGTTAGCCTTCTGCTGTCTGCCACCGACGCTGTACGCTGTATCCCACTCACGATATGATTATCCTCGCGCGCAGTCTCTTCTTGGAGAAGGGGAGCTTGGTAGGGAGTTGAGCGTCCATGGCTGGGTGTATCGAGCCAGGCGCTTTCTATCTCGAACTGAACGGCGGGCGCAAAATGGTAGCAGACAAGAAACGGGTGGAATAGATCAGCTTTTACAGCAGGATCTCGCGAGCATGGCCGGCTCCTGGAGTCGGTGAATCGTGTGATAAATCGTCTATTCTTGACCGCGGCGAGCGTACGTATGCAAAATATCTGAGCTAAAACGAGAGCAAGGAAGAAGCAACGAAAAAAACAAATACGGCCCCGGCGAAAGCGCTGGCGATGATGCTATTCGACAGTTTCCAGATATTCTCTTGACTGCGAGATGAAACGCTACCTTTTAGCCTTTTGTCCAAGGGCGACAGATCGACTTGCTGCATTAAATATTAATTACAAAGAAGCAAAAGGACAGGGAATCATTTTACGCTGTGAGTGTGCTGCGAGCTGATTATGCTCACGTCGTACGCTGTGTCTCCCCTTGGTAATCCCTCGCTGATACGCCGTCCAGCTGTATCTCGGTGGTCTCCCTTCAGGCCGCGAGGCGCAGCATGCGCTTGACACGCCCGGTCGCCTTGTTGCCGCCGTGGCCGCGTCATGAAGAAGCAGCGCCATGGAGGCATCGGACGGGGCGAGATATCTACGTTCTAGGCCGGGAGGGATGTGAGAACACGTAATGCTTGCACGACCGGGGAGGCTGATATGAAAAGCTTGAATAGAAGATCCAAAGAAAACATATGGTATCACTAGGAGGACAGGGCCGTTGACAGGACACCGGCAAAAGGGGTGAAATCAAGTTGAACAACTACGGAGTACCCGAACAGAAAACGCTTGATCAACATGCTACTACCCGTGATAGACGAACTGGCCGGCCTTCCAGTCGAGAGGCCGGTTGCAGTACCACGTATCGGCCTCTGCGTTGGTCGAATCTTTTGAGCGTCTACTATTATGGTTGATGGGCGCATACAGGCCGAACCCTTGCTGCTCCAGGACATCCATGATGGTCAAGAGAATCACACGGGTCTGCACCGTTTTCGTGCCGGTAGCTCGCCAGGGACTCCCGCGAAGCTTGAGCTCGAACACATTACCTTTGACCTGGCAGTTCTCGACATCTGGACCCAGAGCGTCGGCTAATATCAGGCCAAAGTCACTTGGGGCATCGACAACGCGCAGCTTGTCGGCGTGGTGGAAGGAAATGCTCATCCAGATACACGGCGGCGGAGCTGGCTGCTGATAGCGGAAGAAGATGCTGTCTATCGGAGATTTTGCGTGTCAGTACGGAGACAACATGCGGTATAATCAGCTATTTCATGCATTGAAATGACAAAACTCACCAACATGTCCGATATCTACCGAAGCCTTTATAATCCAGCCTCGCAGGTATAGTCCGTTGAGGATCCTCGACATCAACCGACGAACTTCTACCCTGCCATCTCCCCAAGAGTGCGGCGACCACGGGTTTCCCTTCATTTTAATTTCGAGTGATTGGCCGTATTCACGCGGCGGATGGATGCCCTTCGGCCACCCTGTGCGTACCATCTCTATTATCTCCGGGACTATAGCTTCAGGAAACCTCAACAGCCGGATTCGGTCGGTCATATGCATGGATAGACAGGCGAACGGGGTCCGAACTTCTGCGCCTGGAGGTGCTGACCTTGTAGCAGCGGTGGATGACGATATCCCTGACAAGGACTGGGTCTGTATTGGAGCTGGGCGATGATATGTATCATGCGAAACCGGTGAAGATATGACCGATGGCGTCGTTGATGCACCCGTATGATGATATGGTATGTTGGTTGTTACTGACGGCGGAGGACTCCATTCTGGCGCCATAGCCGCTCTATCGTCGTCGTTATTCGCATCTAGCTCGATCGCTTTCATGCTCTTCTCAAGACTGGGGATATTTATGTCATGTTCGTCATATTCTGGGTTGGGCGCGCACTTTCGTTCCATCTTCAATCGTGTGTATTAACGTGGTTTCCCCTCTATATATACGTAAAGAAGTACCGGTCAATAGACGCCTTCGCTCCTGCGTCGATAGCAAGCAAATTGTTATTTTTTTACAGAAACAAGACAAAAGGAGAACGAAATGGGCCCTCTTCGATCGAGGAGGATGCGAGTATTTATCTTGCCTATCGCTAACTACTCGCTTCCTCTGTATCCACAAGGGCTGAGCAGTGTTCGCGAGGCTGGATAGATCCCTCGTATTTCCACCGCCAGTGACCTCGATAGACTGACGCCTCCTCATGGCTTAGCCGATAGCCAACTCAGTTGTAGCGAGTACCGAGCGCTCACGTTCTTCGCATTGAGCCCAAATCGGGAAATTTATCGTAGAGGTGACCATTGTGACTTTCTTTGTCATTAATGGTCCGCTTGGTGACAGTCGTTCTACTATGTGCACGAGGAAAGGCGCTGCTATAAAATAAACGTTTGACGATGGCTTCTGCATACGTTTATCGAGGCGCGTTGTTTATTCGAGATATAGAGTGGATCTTAAGGGCTCGTGGCAGAGACTTACGTCTAGAGAAGCAGTTTCCAGAAAAAACCCATGCAGGGATCAATTAAAATCCTCCAGGATGAGCTAGATATTCCTTGCTATGATTTTAAAGACAGGCGTTCTCATTAATATCACTCTCGTTTCAAATTCCACCACTTTGGGCACATTAAGTCGAAACATTATTGTTTTCCTTTAAAAAGGTTCATTAAAAACGTCAAAGTTGAAAGTCATTGCTATGCCGGCTCATGAATTCCACCCATTACTTGGCGCAGCGAGTGATGTATAGTCCGATTCTAGAAGCAAATATTAGCCTTTGCGCTGATCCCTTATTTATAAAATCATTAACCAGGGGTATACGTACGGTGGGTTACCATAATCCTGGAAGTACCTGAGATTGGTCGACCCTGCATTGGACATCTTGAAAGCAATTCTCTGTCCAAATGGACAGTCGAAGGTGGAGATGACGTTGGATGTACCAGCGGCGAGTTTTGGTGTTCCTAGCTTTGCAGCTACCTTTGGCGCATTCGCGAAGGTGGTGCCATTGCTCGCTGGGCCTTGCAATCTAGATACGCCTACTTTGCCGTCTCCTTCAAAGGTGTAGGTCCATGGAGGACGTTGCTCCTGGTTGGGGAATAAGAACACCAGCGAGCAAAGGTTGGGGCCTTGAGGGGGGATATCAAAGTTGAAGATGGAGGAGACTGTTGATGAGACCTCGCCGAAGTATGAGGTTCCCCGCGCAACAGTAGGGGCTGAAGAGTCGACGGGGATGATTAGATGGGGGAACTCGAATGGCCCGGAGAGGTCGGTTGGACAGTTCTTGGCCGTTCGCTCCTCGGTAGGTCGGGAGGGGATTGAAAGGGCATGGGTGCCCATGGCAAGGCATGCTGCCACAGATAGCCACTTCATGTTGATTCTGGAGACTTTGACTTAGGAATTGATATATGATGTGCTGTTTCTTGTCTGCGTGCCTGGGGTTCAAGTTCTGACTGAGCTGAGGGACATTCATACTTGGAAGAGCAGCCCGTATTTATAGCCATTCGTGCTCAGTCCATAGCTGCTATTTTCCGTTCTATTACCGAAGGCTAGAAGCATGTCTTGAACCAAAAAAGTCACGGTCAAGGCATGTCCATGCTGTCTCCCATGGATTGTTCCATCGTCAAGTTACACTCGATGGCACGGAGTGGACATCTATAAACACTTCAGCGGCGAGATGTGCTAAAAATGGAGAAACCAACGATTAAGAACACGGATCAGCCGCTGCAAAGGAGCAAACTCAAGGAGCTTTCTTGTAAAAGCTGCAGGGAGTGGATGGCGGATCTGCGTTGGATGTCTCAGAGCTTCATCTGCAGCCAACGCCATGTGACGTTGCGATAGTATCACTCGCCGATGCACATCTCCCGACCAGATAGTGGACAACAGTCGGGATTAGAATCCTTGAAGCCGCAGCCTCGCTTCTAGATGGGAATGCTTCCGCATGGTGGGTTCTCTATTGCGCTGTTGCTGTTGCTTTTGTTGCGCAAGGTGGGATGCTTGCAGTGAGATGACCCCTCTATGCTTCTATCAACGCGGATAAGTACTCCTGGTTATATCAAAGTAGCATCCACCTACCCTGTGGTTACCCTGTACATCAACTGTTGGCTAGACGTTCAGGAAAACAAACACCGAGGGTTTGCTTTTATCCTTGGATTAGGCTTCACCGAGTACCCTCATGCAGTAACAGTCCAGGGGACGATATAAGTCATGCCATCATGACCTCATGGGTAAGTCCATTGGTAGGGCATCATAATGGCAGTGCACTTGGTCCGAAAGGCGTGACTATTGAGGAGCCAGTGTCGATGGGATGCTGATACTTGTTGCACAGGTCGCCTGGATCTCCCGGGATATTAAACCATGGATGAACGCTCACTCATGCATCTCGCCGCCACAGTGGACTCACCGAGGACCACTCCGCCGATAAGAGAATTAGAGAAAATCGAACATTAATAATAGGGACATGTTGAGATATGAGACAGACACCAAATGTCGTATGATGTAGGTGATATGGAAGCAAGTTATTGGGAGAGAAGCTGGATAGGGCCGAGATGATGATGTAATACACCCGTAGAGTCCAACAAATTACCCCCTGTTACGCCATGTAGAAGAGTACTATTAAAGGTGAGTGAAGCGATGGCTTAGTGCTAAGGAACACTTCGATGCTGTTTACAGCTATATCATTTAAGCTACGTCTCTATATATTAGCCTAGTTACGCCGATGGTAAAAGATACTATTAAGGATTCATGAAAGGGGAGCAGGTTGAATATTCCTTCATAATTGAATGAAATTATATATCCAATTGTTCTATGCATCTTTCCATGTATACACTGCGTGGGCCGAAGTAGTACTTACACTATATGCAGCCCAACCTTTCCTTCTGATAACAAAGGTGCGTTGGCTACATGCGGTGCTCCTATCGTTCTGGCCTGTATTTATTGCAGGTTTCGTTGGCACAGCACGCGGGTATAATCGAGGAGGTACAGCCGCTCTTGTCACAATCACACTTGGGTTTCTCACAAGTTCCGTTTGCGCAATGATCTGGTGAAGCCGGGGCATATAACCGCTCCCATTGCAGCTGCATTCATGTCCGGGTTATGAAGCGTAGATCGACCACTAAAGGTAGTCCGGTACACCATTTCGACTAAAGATCCCCAATACTGTCTGGAGTCGACGCAGCCTATATATGGGTTGGATTATATCTGGACATTCATAGGTAAAATGGGGGTGGGCCGTTGTGTAGAAACCAGATAGATCCCCGTGGACTCAAGGTTATAAAAAGTCCCTAAAAGTTCATTTTCAGTCTCCTCCTTTTAATTACTAAGGAGATTTCGAAGGGTAGATAGGTCGATTTATATACCGTACAAGTACATAAGCATCGATTTGCTTTTATGCATCGGAGTCGATGTTCTCTTATGTTCTCCTGGCCATTTGCCACCGTAGGTAAAGATGCTGCGCTTATTGCCTTCCAAAAAGAGTAAGTGCAAGAACGCCCATAGGTGGGTAACCGCCATCATTGCCTCTCTTATGTATGACGTTACATCAACAGGGCCTTTCGTTGCACTGGGAAGTGGGCGAAATGCAATATAACAATTGCTTATACAAGTACATCGCCCCTTAACAATCAAAGTTTTGTCATTATTCCCCCCAGCCTGAACCACAACACCCTGCTCCTCGCCTTCGATGATAAGCAATTCTAAGGTCCCGTAGGTTGCATAATTAACGAATATGCAGTATTTCCCAATGATAAAAATGACCTTATCTAGTACTTCAAGTTGGTCGTCCATGGTAAAACAACTTTGGTATTAGGGTATCGTCAAGCGTAGTCCGTAGGAGAATGAGTAAAGAGACTCATCCGAGCCTTGCTGCCGAATGGCCGTTTGTTCAGCAAGTAAACAAGACAAGTGAAACCTCCTGGTGATTCCTCTTTTGTAAAAATGAAGGGCTTCAAGTATGACCCTGTCGTGCATCTCGATGTTGAGCCTTTGGCAGGTATCGGAGATTCCAACCGCCTTCAGCAAATTGACTCCCAATCTACTATCCGGGTTGCAGCTTTGCGGTGAGAATTCGTATATCCCCGCTAGAACGGACGGATTAACAAAGTGAGTTGCATTCTGCAGAGGCCTTGTCTTCGGGTGCTAAATAAAGGGGTTTTATATCGCGGGAAAACCTCGATAACGTGATCATTGTGACGGCCCGGATTTACTAAAAGCCGATGACACCTCAAAAGGGAAATAAGAACCATCTTGCACCTTAACCAAGTGACTTCACTCTGTTTATTAAAATAACAAAGCTATGGTATCTATAAGCTTATATTATTTTATTATTTGCATGTTGATACATTTAGAAAGTTAAGAAATTGAGAGGTGTCGCCATCTTGTAGGTGGACACTTGACACTATTCCGAAACTTTTCTAAGTGCTCACATATTAATGGTTGCTCAAAACACACTCGATCTCCTGTCGACCCAGCTCATACCCCTTTCCAAATTCCAAATAGTCTGCCTCGCCATCTTTTAGGCCCTCGATCAATATGCTCAAACTCTTCTGTTCTCTCTCTGCGATGTGAAGGAGAGCGTTTCTGCTTTTATGTGATAGTAGGGCGGAGAAAGCGAGGGCCTCGTGTAGTTGCACAAATGCCTGTGCAAGTCCTAACAAATGCCAGCGATATTTCTGCGGCCGCATAGATAGAGAAAGCATTTTCTCTGCAAAGGGAGACGGCCACTGTTCCAGCACCTCTGCGAGTGATTTTGGTGACGGATACCCCAGGGTGGCGATTATGTTCATTCCGATATCTATCAGGTCGATGCTATCTTCCCTCCGCGTTTCATCTGTTCCAGCGATATCCGAGGTTTCAGGTCCGTAGCCATATTGAGCACGGAGAAACCGAACAGCAGCGCAACCAGCCTTGTTCGTTGTCTGCCATGGAACAGAGATGAAGGATTCCAAAATGCAGGGATGAACGAACCAAAGTGGAAGAATTTTGCCTAGCCGTGGGTTAGGGGGAAGACTAAGGCGAAAAGACCTGAACTTTGATGAGGATCGCTCCCTCAGTTGAGGTTCCGACGCCCTGTCATCGAACGTATATGGAAGGAATACTGGATAGTCAACGGTTATATGTGGTTTCGTGTCTTTCTCTGGCAGATTTTTCGTTCGTCCAGTAAATGTCCAGTATGCCCTCGAGTTTTGTGGTGCAAGACTGTCAATCCAGGCTCGAATAGTAGCCACTTCATTATGGGTAAAAGCTCCAAACATCGGTCCTCCCCATGATATCAATTGCACAAGCCGGCTCCGACCACTATCGCCTTTATATACCCATGGCTTTGTGTTGCTCAACCAGTGCAAAAATTCCATCTGCCAATCTTTCTGCTTAAATGCATCGGGTTCTAGCCAGGCTGCAAGCTTTCGACCACCAAATCTCGCACGGCAATTGTCATGGATTCTACTGGATGCAATGGTCTTCGATTCGAATATTCCGAGGATCTCCTTCATATATCTGGTTTGGGGGGAGGGTTGGAGTGACACGCCAATCGAAGCATCCAAGTCTAACGGACAACATTTGGATAGGACGAATCCGGCCTGGACACGTTTCCACGCTTGCTGAGCAGCACTACCTCCCTCCGAAGTCCTTACTAGGTGCAAGTATCTTACCACGGCCTCCTTTGCCATTTTTGCATGACCGGTATCCGCATTATCGATGGTGATATGAAGGGTGAAATAGTAAGGGTCAATATTCAGTTCGCGAAGCTCCTTGGCAGCCACGATGGTCTCGAAAGTTAACATCTCGAAGTGCATGTTAAAACCTAATATCTCGGGCAAGAACTCGTGAGGGAAGAGGGAGATGAGAAGTTGAATGACGGCGGATTGCCAGATCTGAATATCCTTCATATCTGGATGCCTTATGAACTCAGACGAATTCCCCGCTGGCAACTGTGCCCCTACTTTGTGCAATAGCTGTTTATAGACTTCGACATGATTTTTATCCAAGTCGCCGTCGCCGAGTTCTTCTGATAGGACCTGCCAAGCATCTTTCGTGATAGACCGATAAGCGAAGGGCGTTTTTATCTTATGGATGTGTCCAAGCCAGGCGCCGTCGACGAATTTGGTCGGAGCCATCCGCACAAGCCAGCGTTTTGCGTCTTCCAACCCATGAAAGAGTTCCCTAGGCTGGCCTCCTCTTCTCCTTTCGAGATACCGTTGCCATCTCAAAGTAACTTGGTCAAGTTCTCGCTTCGCGAATATATCGAGTGCATCATGCGAAAACTCTTCAACTGAGAGAATGGTGCTTTTCTGGGTTTGCGCTGACTCAATTGCCCCTGAGAGAAAGGAGAGAAGGAGAGTTTTCGCCTTGGGAATGATATCAGGATGATTTTCAAGGTGTTGCAGCCTGAAGTACAGCTCCTTGTACAGTTGGCAGCGCTCTTCCAAATCTACAGGCGCTGGCTGGCTATTAGTCACTTCTACTTCCTCAGCTCTAGAACCAGCGCCTGTCTTGCCCTCATTTTGATAAGGAAGCGGAGTTTCCCGGCTGCTCCTTGCTGCTTGACGGTTTTTCGAGACCCACCACCAAGTAACGGCGAGAATACCCAAAGCTAGGCAAAGAAATGGTATATTTAAGCCAACAACGGCTTCCATATCGCAATAAATGGTCAGATGGGAAATGTTTTAAATTGAAGTTGAAATAAACAAATGACCGGTCAGCCTATGCAGCATCAACAGATTGGTTTTTTCAGTGCGCTGCCGATTGAAGCACCTCCCACTTCAACTGTTCTCTCCTCGAATTTAGGCAAAGGGCGGCAGGGAACAGGTTTGCAGAGTAGTAGGTTCAGTCAATGATATGTTCCAAAATACCCACCAATACATTCTATCCTCAACAAAGTATAGGTCTTGAAACATATATCGAAACTTACCCAAGGCTGATTCTCATTTTTATTAATAATGGTGGCACTAAGCCTGCACTCTCAACTGGTCAGACATTCAACGACTGTTATAATCATCCCGCTCTACGAGAACTGGCCGAAAGCTATGGATTACGGCCGCGAGTGAATCCGACATTCTAGCTATAGGTCCTAGGTTGGAGATAGATACCCTGAATGTCCGGAACAGAAAATATGTCGAGAGCTCCCCATGTTCGCTGCGGCTATCTATTCTTGGAACAGACTTCGAACACGCACGGCGAAGCCAAACTCATCTAGGCGATACCAGCACATGGCTGCCCCTTCATGTACCCCATCCACTCTTTTGATATGGGCAGCAATTGGATGGGTCTCCTGAAATAAGATGTGGCAATCTTTCCGCCCATAATGAAGGCTAGCCTTGAGGATCGGTCATGCAGATAAGTATGCATCTAGCTCGGAATCCACATAAAATTCCCAGCCGCCTTCCGGAGCTGTCAGATCGACAACGACGTCAGTAGACACTAAAATGTCAAGTTATCAGTTCGTCAGTGCTATTCCGGGGTTAGGAACCTAAAGATATGGGTCCCATAGAACTGAGGTTACTGAGTTAAATTTATATAGTACTGTTTTCTCGTACTATTTGGACATCAACAAACCTCTACATTTCATTTTTCTTTCACCCAATCTACTCTCTCAGCATGGCGAGCTCTCTCAAAGCTGAGGAAAAATACTCCTTGATCTCCCGTCGCTTAGAGCTTCAGAATGGCCAGTCTGCCCAGGAGTTGCAATCACTTCTAATCCAAGGCAAGACTATAAAATACCAGTGGGGTGAGTAAACTGTTCTAACATCCCTTGGGAACCCGTATAGTTTTTATTTCTTCTGCTAACTGTTTTTTGCATGCTCGGTCAGTTACCGCTCCCACCGGAAAACGTGAGTTATTCACCCTTTCTTTCATCCTGATATCAATATTTTTACTAATCTATCCTAGCACACATTGGTTACTTCATTCCTTTGATCAAATTTGCGGATTTTATTCGTGCGGGGGGCGAGGTACCTGCCTCTATTTGGGATTCTATAGCAAACCGTCTTTATCTAACGGCAGTCTATAGGTTATCGTTGAATACATCGATGTGTATGCATTCTTGGTCAATTACAAGTTTCCATGGGAACAGGTACAGCACCGCACAACATACTATCGGTCAATCATCACTGCAGCCCTTGAAGCTGTGGGAGTTCCGGCTTCAAAAGTATCAATGGTGCAATCTTCATCGTATCAAGGCACCCACAAGTTCAGCGTGGATTTTTGGAAGCTCTGTGCACTCTGCTCTCAGCAAGATGCTCGTGATACCGGGGCCGAAGTTGGAGCTTCGACAATGTTAAGCCCGATGCTCACTCCGCTGCTTCAAGAGCTGGGTGAGGAGTATGTTAGTGCTGATGTTCAATTCGGTGGCAAGGACCAGGTAAATCCCGTTCTTTCTAAACTATAATTGTATTTGAGTTAGCTAACTGACGTGTGTAGAGGGGTATCTTCAATCTCGGAGAGCAATTCCTCCCCGAGCTGGGGTATTCAAAGCGCGTTCACCTCTTGAATGAGATGCTCCCAAGCCTCACTGGTGGGAAAATGTCATCCTCACACCCAGCATACACCAAAATCATGTTTTTGGACGACCCTAAAACGGTCAGAGAGAAGATTGCTGGTGCCTGTTGCACGGCTGGCGATGTCCAAGGAAATGGCATTCTGCCAATTGTGCAGCATATCCTCATGCCAATCAGTGAACTTCGGTTATTTAACATTGAAAACGCCAATTATGTCGTACATGATGGGTCGAATGGGCTGGGTGATCGTCAAGAGGATATACACCTTCCGCTGTCTGCCAAGGGGGCTCCAGACGGGACACTTTTTAGCGTCCGGGTCCCGGATGCAGACTACGCATGCAACTCATACAGGCATTACAAAAACTATGAGGACCTCGAGCAGGACTATGTTAGCCTGAAGATTGACCCTGATGCTCTCAGAGAATCTGTTGTATCCGGGCTTAACCAAGTGTTGAAACCAATTCGCGAGATATATGAAGGTAACGAGGAATGGCGCCAGTCAGATATTATGGGCTACCCCGAAGATCAGCCAACAACGCAAAATGGGAACCGGGGAAATACTTGAAAGTTCTATTTCTTTAAGTTTGAGAGTCTAAACAGCTGCTGGCCATTACCAGCTACTGTATGCTGTGGCGATACTCTAGACATATACTGTCATAGTATTCTTAAACTATGTGGCTGGCCGAATGCCCACATTCAATCTCACCGGATACATCGTGCATGTTTTTGCGTGTTTGTTATGTTCCACTGCGGAATCTAATTCTCCGGCTGCATGTTGGGTGACCCGGTGAATATTGTCTAACTCATCTGGTGAGGTAATTGAAAAATAGCCCAAACCGCATCTCTGTGCATCACAACAGGGGAACTATGAGGGACCCTATTTGATGTCAATCAACGCCGTCAATGATCATATCCTCTATTTCCAACCCCTCTCTCCCACGAAGAGCTATATTTATTCAAAGATAACTTAACTACATACCCACCCCTCCCTCGCAGTTGCCTACATAAAATCTGAATATATGATCAAAGCCTCGGTCAATTTAAAGCTCAATTCATCGAACATTTGACCATCCAAAATCGGTCAAGCTAATATGTTTGATACTAATGGGGTTTGCGCAAGTCCCAACTCTATGTCTCAGCTTTATGCCATACAGAGATAAAGCAAGGTGACATGTATCTACGGAGTTCATGGTGAGCGAACATGTCTGTATGGCTTCTTGATCATCGTCTGAGTATCGACTCCCGTACCACTGACACAAAACATCTTCAAAATCGGGAGATGTAGGTTGAAAGCTGAGTTGACTGATCCGAGACCAGAACTGATGTCACAATGCCACCCGGAAAGCATGAGCATACAGAATCGAAGGACCATACCCCATTGCTTGTTCTTGGTCTGAGTAGAACAGGCGGTACATGTAGGCTCCATCCCCTTTAATTTGAATGACACTCTATGCACATATTTTAATTCTTGCCACAGCCCTCTCTCGAGCATTGGCAGTTCTTGGGTATGAAAATCTCTATGACCTCGACGACATTGCATGCGGAGGCCCCGAGCACGCAGACTTCTGGCTAAATGCTGCACAGAGAAAATTATCTGGGGAAAGCAGCTTCAGCTTAGAGGAGGTGAACCACATACTAGATGGATATGATGTCAGTGCTTCTGTTATCCCTTGTATATTCTCGTTTGCTATTCACAGCCTTCTAACGGAATCATGAGCTAGGGAGTCCGCAATGTCCCTTCTGCAGCCTTCGCTACCGAGTTGATTAGGCACTACCCTTCAAGCAAGGTCATATTGCCTACTCGCAACGTTGATGGGTGGCATGTGTAAGAATTGCACATATCCTCTCTCTTTCAAAGGCGAAGGCTAACCATGAACCAAAAGGTCATGTATGCAAACTGTGTACCAGCGTTCCATTGACCCTGTACTTCGATTTCTCGCCATCTTCCATTCGGGCTCGAACATATATGCGACCTTACTGCGTAACCTACAGCAGATATTGTACAAAGACGACTTCCCGAATTATGGCAAAACAGCATTCCACGAGCACCGTGAGTATATTCACCAGAAAGTGCCTCCAGAACTCCTGCTCGAATTCAGCGTAGAGCAAGGATGGGAACCACTGTGTAAGTTCCTGGAGAAAGAGATTCCCCTCGATGAGTTCCCACGAAGCAATGGTCGGGACGTTTTCTGGAAGGGATGTCGAACTAGAGATATAAAAATTGTCAAGGGGCTGGCTGTTAAGGGTCTTCTCATCGCCGTCTGCACTACTGGTCTGGTTGTTGCTGCATGGTCGTATCGCGATCTCATCCAAGGCCTCATCGGCTGAATTCGGAGGTTTCAGGCACATTCAAGTCAACTAACCATACATGAAGTGGTAAAAAGCCAACAAGAGGCGTAGTTAAAACGCAAAAAATCTCCTTATCTGCCTTTTTATATACGTCTAGAACGTAGTAATAATCTGCAGCCAGGTGACCATTGCACCGTACCCAACATATACAAGTGTGCGCTCGGTATCATTTGCCGCCCATCCTTTCTGACACCTCATCCATCGCCCATTTTGCATCCCATCATACACTCTTTCTCAATTTCGTGGGGCATCAATCAATTCTAGTGATGGCCCCCTTTAGGGATTCTCTACCATGTGCATATTCCTCAGAGCAGGTGGTCGCATGGCTCAAGTATATATCTCTTCCAAAATCATACCACCAGTACTTGGATGATCCGACGTCGGTTCCTAAAACATTCGAGTCCCTACGCACTCTATTCAGATGCCAGATCACCACATTTCCATATGAGAACCTCTCCGTCCATTACTCCCCTACGCACCTGGTCAATATCCGTCCTGATGTCCTGTACACCAAGATGCTGGGGCCACACGAGGGTGGAAGGGAAGGCAGAGGTGGATATTGCATGGAGCTCAGTATACTCTTCCACCATATGCTCCGGGGGGTAGGGTTTAATGTCTTTATGACTGGGATCAGGAACAGAACTAGAACGGAGGGTGTTCCTAGTGGAGAGTACCAGGGATGGCAAGTCTGCACATCCCATTTCTACCCTTTAATATTGGGGGTTCGGTTCTTATACTGTTCCTCCCGGGCTATAGCTGAAGGACCCCAACCTGAATTCATGCTAGAACGAAGAGTAATGCTAACCTACAATAGGACACACATCAACAACATCGTACATCTACCATCTGGCGAGAAGTTCTCCGTCGACGTTGCGTTTGGCGGAGATGGCCCAACAAGTCCTATGCGAATGGTATCTGGTTATGCCATACAAAACCTCGGACCTCAAGAAGTTCGGCTAGTAAACGACCACATACCTAAACAGCGGCTCACGGAGCCTAAACTCTGGATATACCAGTACCGAAACGGGCCCGATAAAGAGTGGGATTCGTTCTATAGCTTTGCTGAGATCGAGTTCTTCCAGGAGGACTTTGAGGTACAGAATTGGTGGACAAGTGCGAAGACCCTTCATCGGTGGACTGTCCTTGTAGTGCGATTTTTGCGAGACGGCGAACCGGTCAAATTTGATGGGAGGAAAGACATGACGCCGTCAGAGCCAGGCTTCAAAGTGGCTGGAAAGGTCATGATGGTCAACGACGTGGTAAAACTCAATATGGGCGGGAAGACGAGTGTTATTCACTCGTTTAATAGCGAAGAGGGAAGACTGAAGGCCCTCTGGGATTACTTTGGTATTAAATTGACGGAGGGGGAAATCGGGTGCATTAAAGGGTGGGATATGGCGCTCGAATAGAGGGGAGCGCTTTTTCTTTCGTGTTTCGTTACTTCTAGTTAGACTTGGGGTATCTATGTCATTCGCTGATGTAGTAGGGCGTGTCTATAGATCTAGATTAATCCTAGAAGACCAGATTTTGACTGAGGAGGAATAATCTCGAATGTAGAACGATGGGTGTCTTTGAAATCATAAACGAGCAGACAAGGCGAGATCAACAATTAGTAATCTCACCAGCTATCTCAACTCTGCCCAGAGTACAAAGATGACATATATCCAACATCTAGACGAGGATGACCAGACATAAGGCATCACAGGAGTATACCCGTAAGCATGATTGCTGCATATAAATAAGTCACTACATCCCCTGCTGGAGTTTCAAGCCCAGCAAGAGAGTCTATAAATATCTCCATCTGAAACCACATATTTATACTTGATTTCTCCTCGGTTCTATCGTATCAACTATGGACTTGTCAATCTGCGGAACATGCGGGGTGCAGTACGATACCACATCTGTGAAGTCTTGCAAAATATGTGATGATCCTCGACAATATGTTCCTACTCATGGGTATACGCTCTGAACTATCATGATTTACATTCTCAGCAGCTGACATTTATCACCAGGCAACGGTGGACAACGCTACGTTCTCTGCTGGAGTCAAGGAAGTATCGCAACGGGTTCAAGACGAACGAGAAGCACCCAGGGCTTGTGAGCATTTTCACTGTCCCTGAGGTGGCTATCGGACAGCGAGCATTTCTCTGCTGCACGCCCAAAGGCAATATCCTTTGGGACTGTATAACGTATCTTGACGAGAAGACGGTCCGCCGTGTCAATGAGCTCGGTGGAATACGGGCGATTGCCATTTCCCATCCCCATTTCTACTCAACAGCTATCCATTGGGCCGAAGCTTTTCAATGTCCTGTGTACTACTCTGCAGAAGACGAAGAATGGATTCAGCGCTTTTTCGACCACGGCCCCGAAAGGGTGGTTGCAGGCTCAGAACCCCTAAACCACTCGGGGCCCAAACAGATTCTGTGGGAAGGGAGTGAGCTGAACCTCCTTGACGGCCAAATTAAGATTCTCAAAACTGGAGGGCATTTCCCTGGGAGCTCCGTTTTGTACTGGAAAGATACAAAGAGGTTGCTGGTGGCTGATACTATCCAGGTTGTACCCAGCGGGGTGTACCATGTTGACAGGCCGAAAGGCACAGCTTCGTACACTTTTATGTGGTCATACCCGAATCAAGTGCGCTCTATACTCCCTTCACTTCCTATATCAGGTATATTGGGGCTCTATTTTATCAATGGTGGCTAACTATAACTATCAACGTTAACATCGTTGCATCTGTTGGACGACCTAAATCGTTTGCTAGATTCGTCCCAAGAAAGCTGCCTAGGCCGCTGAAATGTCTCTCGAGGGAGAGTCTTGTCTTGCCAGATGTCTGGAAATTGAAAATCATCTGCCATTTCCCTGTCCTATGTGACATAGCCATCCGGGCTGTTCATTGTAACCCAGCTGGTTTCTGTACAACAAGACGTTCTTCACGAGCAGAATGCCGCTGCTGCTGTCAGATAGGAAGACTTAGGCGACCTTTTCGGTCTCCATTGGACGATGAGCAGCCGTGGGCGCCCAGCTCGAGTTGAGTCGCGATACCTTTCTCACCCTTCCAGGGGTATCCACGGGCTAGCTATATATGCCAGATCTCGTTCTGCGACTGCTCTCATGTATGACGAGGTGCGGAGAACGTATTCTCGCTTGATATCCCGGGCTGCGGAAGGGTTGCTCAAAGCTATGTTCCACCCGCAAGTGAAGCGGCTCCGTTTACTATGAAGAAGCAACCGGTGCATTGCCAGCAAACCCTCGACGATCACGGATATGCTAGCTAATTTAGCTGTTGTGCATTGTTGGACAGACCCATACTTCCCGCTTGCGAGTGTCAGGGTCATAACCCCTCATGGGAGAGAGAACGACTGAAATCTGGGAGATTGACAGCGAGATGGGCGGGAGAGGCACGGAAATGATGCTGGGCTTCAGCTTCGCCATGACCGTCCTGTTCGCCGTGTCTCAGCTCAGGTATACGCCCACGCAGGGGTGACGTTCCTGATGCAGCGGTTTTACTCCGGCTCTCATCTCCCACCTCCCACCTCCCACCTCCTCCAGGAGCTCGCAGGAAGATTGGCAATGCACGCCACGGCGACCGCCTGGCCAGAAGCTATGTGCAGGCCTGTCGAGTACGTGGTACGCTGGATCTAAGTACCATGAGATGTACACCCCCTGCGATAAATCGAGCCAACCATATCAGATTCACAGCCTTGCCAACGCCGGTCTATGCAAGTTAACTCCCGTGGGGAGCACATGGTGCGGCTAAGAAGTATACACCCCACGCCATGGTCAGAACTATTAGAGCATAAGCGGGGAGAGGGATAGCGAGTCTCTAAGCGAACGGACATTCAAACGAAGCCGTTTTATTTTTCTTACGTATCCACTCCGTCTATATATCCTGCAAGATATAGGAGGGTTAGCGAGGTGTTCGGAGATATAGGATACGATGCATGACTAACATGGACGTATACACCACCTACCTCCTTCCGCTACGCTACATAGGGTGTGGGCCGTTGATATCTAAATAAACCCATGGAAAGTCAGCGCTTGATTGATCCATACTCAAGATCCATGCCCACGGGTGAGATCCTGACCATGCATGCACGATTACTCGGCCTGCACCGCAATTTTCTGGTTTAATGGTGAGAAAAGGTCCCCCGTCCTCCAGCCCATCAGCTTACTTCGTTTAATTAATTATTTTTGTATTTTTTTAATTTTTATTTTTTCCTGTTGTTTTCTTTTGCGGCCCAAGAACTAAGCTGGTATGCGCCCCTTTTGGTCCCATGTCCACATTCTTGGCGTCCGATACTTCATCCGGTTTAGCCTCGGCTCTCTCGCTCGCATGGCTGAACCGCCTTGGGATCTGATAGTGAGCCACCCAAGACGCAACCTGCGTGTCTGGCGGAAATACGAAGAAGGCGTGCATAGTATTTGCGGATACTATGTCCTGCTTTTCCTTATTTGAAGCCACACCCTTTGACCTCGCCGTTGTTGAGGGCGCGCGGTGGAGACGGGCGTATACTATGTATACTCACCGCAAACGCAGGCGCCGCCTTCCGGTCAAGTCTCTGATCCATACGGAGGGCATCTGAGCTAGCCTGCGGGCATCAGACGCCCAATATGACTAAGAGAATGATGTCTGAAAAATATATACATATCCCTTCCCTGATAACTGGTGGTTATTGGCTGCTTTTCCGTGTATCAGGCCTCCTTGTGTTTGTTTTTTTTTTTTTTTTTGACGTAACGCTGAACTCGTTCCTGGGTTATTTGGATCGTGACCACGCTGTCTGATGTCTTGTATACGGAGTACCTTTCTTTGAGGTATCTCGATAACGTCACAAGGCTCACCGCGAGTGGGTTTGCCTCTCCTTTTCTTTTTCTTCGGACATTGCCCCCATGCCAATCACCAGTTGGCATTTGATATTTGGTGTTTACGCCATGATATCCGGTTCTATACTCGGCTCTTCCTGCTCCTGATTCAAAATTACAATCTCCTTCCTTCCCATTTTACTTGGGCTGAGTCGTTTGAGCGGGATGGATGGTATGGGTATCCTCCAGACCAGCCGACGTATATCCCACGATTCAACCCAGTCATCCACCGGAGATATATCAAAAATCACCGTGGTCATGAACGTCTCTTACGAGGTTGTCTGCCACGCTAGTTCTGGATCTACGGACAGCCGCGCATTTGGGATATCCAGGCTCACCAATCCTGGAATTCATTCGCCGTATGCATTTACGGAGTAGATAACATCCCGTGGGCAATTCATGACTGCATTTCACCAGCCGCCGGACGTTCCGACAGCAATTCGGCCTAGCATTGCTTTTTTTAGGACGTTGCCATAGCCTTCTAGGTCGACCAATCTAACATCCATCTTTCCCTGTGGCTTTCCCACTGGTTCGTCTTGCTTTTACCATGCCATGAATATCCCCGCCGAAGTCGAAATTTGTGGATATCTACTGGAACCGGGAACACGGCCCAGGTTCCAGGTCATCGTTCCAGTGGCTTTTTTTCTGCCTCTCGCTTGGATGCATACCTTACGTGAAGGGGGTTGGAAGAAAGGAACGAAACTTTTTTCCAAGGTGCCTACCGGCCAACTAGATCAATACGGGGACATTGGGACCTTGAATCATGTCTCCTTTACATGACATTTCAGCCATGTATTTTCATAACCGTGGAATGACATTAGAGTAGATAAAGGCAACAGCATCCTTTACGGGCTCATTCCTGAGGATCAGAGTTATCTATGGCTTATAGAAATGAAATACGTCCATCTATCAGAATGAATTCCTCTGACCATTTCACCCTGGATTTCGTCTTAATCCCCCGCGGATATGACTCTGACGTTCATGGAATTTGGCCTTCTACGTCGATTCTTGCTGCAAAGGACATCGCCAACCCCCGATCATGGATACCGTTAAGCTGGTCTCAAGTAGCCATTTTACTTATACTGGTATGGCCGGTTATCGTGGCCGGTCTACGATATTATCGAGAAAAACAACGGAAAAGACGCTTCAATTTTCCTACCAGGGAGTCCTTTGCTAAGATGACCGTTCGTGATGCATGGGCTATCCAGCTCAATCTTATGGATACCGAGACCTCGTCTATCTTTATGCTTGCGCTTAAGTTTGCTATTTTCTCGGTATGTTGGGAGGCGATCGATTTCCCCATGCTGAGCCCTCGTATACATATCCCTGGCATTATATGTGCTAACCTATATACATATAGGTCAACGGCATACCTTCCATCTCTAGCTTGCTGGTCAAGACAAATAAGCTCCCCTCGGAGCGTGTTCATCTTCGGTATTCTATGACCTCGGTCATGATTGCTGAATTCCTTGCCTTCCCCCCTGACGATGAAAGAGCCCTACAGGCAATATGCCGAATGAACAATATTCACCAAACCTACCAGCGGGCCGGTCAAATCCTAAATGATGATCTGCTGTACACCCTTGGCCTTTTTGCCTATCTTCCAGTCCGATGGGTTGGTAAATACGATTGGCGTGGACTGACCGACATGGAAAAGTGTGCTCTGGGCACGTTCTGGAAGGATATCGGCGATTGCATGGAGATCGATTACTCTGATCTCCCATCGTCCAAGTCTGGCTGGAAGGATGGCCTCCACTGGCTGGAGGAAGTTGCCGAATGGGGCGATCGCTATGAACAAAAGAACATGGTTCCTTGTGAGAGCAACCGTCGTGTGGCGCTATCAGCCATTGATATCATACTCTATACCATCCCCAAGTTCCTGAGGCCATTTGCAACGAAGATGCTCTATGCCCTCTTGGAAGATAGGATGATAACGGCCTTAATGTACCGTACCCTACAAATCCCCCCTAAAGAGAGGCCATTCTCCATTCTAACAAACTCAACTCTTAAAATAGGCTCCCAAAACCTTCCAAGTTTTATAGAATAGCCGTCAATACCATCCTTGACGCCCGACGTTATATAGTCCGCTACTTCTTTCCACCACGCCCTTCATACTTGCGTTTCCAGCCCCTGAGTGCAACGCCAGATAAGGACGGGAGATATTACCTGCAGACCTACGATTCAAAACCATTCTATATCAAGCCAACATTAGCGTCACGCTGGCTTGCTCCTGCTGCCGTTATCAGAAGGCTTCTTGGCCTACCATTACCAGGTGATAGTGGCAACGAGTATTGTCCCCGTGGATATCGTTTGGAAGAATTGGGTCCGTCATGGATCCTAAGGAAGAAAAGTATCGAAAGTGATGTTCGACTTGCCAGAGAGAAACTGAACAAGAATCATACAACGGGTTGCCCATTTGGATGAATAATCGTTCGTATCTTGCGTGATGCTGTGGTGATGGTTAAAGAGCTAGGACATAATGGTAGGTGATTTGGCCTCTTCTTACTGCACATTCGTTTGCTTTTATATATATATACCTGTGAGGAATGTTTATACATACTACGGTTATATATTGATTTTATATATTGGGAAATGTTAGTATATAACTGCCCGGTTGGAGAGTTGTTGGCTTAAGAGCAGTAATACCCTGCAGTAATTTCTGAATATTATCATCTTCGCTCCTCGCTCAATTATAATAGTTTCTAGCTTAGTCTCTTATAATGTACAAACATACATATATTGAAGGATATAGCCAAATTTTAAAGGTGTTATTTCCTAAGTGGACTGTGAATATTGTGATATCAAAAGGTTTTATTGGATGAGGCTAATAATATGGAAAGAATAATCAGAATCGCTTACGCCCTTTGCCCTCTTTAATGCGCCTTGGGTCCCAACCGTGGAAATGATACCGAACAAAAAAAGAATAGGGCACAATTGCTCATGAGCACTTCATGTACAAACATCATAATAATTCACCGTGAATGTCCCTAAAGTCAGCGCATCAATGACGGCGTTGTTTCCCACTGGTATAAGGCTTTGAACACTGAGAGGGCTCCAGACTGCGTCTCTAAGGTGCGACCTCTCCCCCGATCATTTACATCCTTCAATACCTTAGCGGTCTGAGCGTCCGTACCAACAACCCCTCCCTCAAACTGAGAAGTTGTAGAATCTTGGTCTGCATTAGTGACCGGTAGCAGCTGACCCTCAGTAATATCGCCGCCCTCATCCTTGGCAAGATTCGTTCGGTTACCTTTGGCCTGTAGAGAGGCAAGGTCAGGGCTGGCACGGTTCATAGGAGGAACCGCGTTACTGTAATCAACTGCACCATGAGGCAGCACAACGGTATCGTTTGAGTTGGGCTCCATGTCTGCGTATTTACGACCCCACCACATTCCATATAGGCCATTCTCGTTTTTGGTGACAGATGCGGCGTGAGCATTGTGTTCCAACCAGTTCAGATATGAGGCACAGGTTCGTTGATGCCATCTAAAGGCCTCCCTTCGACCCTCCTCACTGGTTTTATCGCCTTGCATAGAGTCATATAGTTTTGGATCAGAAAGCATCCTCTTTTCCTGAGGGCTGAGCTGTCGACAAAACTCCGCGAAATGATGGAAAAAGATGCCTTTGAATGTTTGGCCGTCTTGCGAGCATATTCCAGTACTGTCACATGCCTCTTCTAAGACTCCCGCTCGTCCTAGTCCATGCCAAGTGTGATTCGACTTCTCCGGCCAGCCGGTGGCTTTTATCACATTCCTGACAAGCTCATGACCGTCTTCAAGGTAGTATTTGAGCCCAGTTGCAAGCCAAAGCCCCCTGAGCCCGCTCAGGATAACGCCTTGGTTATACGTATACACCATTGTGTTTAGAACATCGCAATTGCCGGTTCCTGGGTCTTTGGGGCCCCATCCACGAATATGAAATCCATCTCCGTAAAGACCATTGGCTCCAGTCATATTCGAATTTTTTAGCCACTTGTAGGCGGTTATAGCTGCGTCCCGGTGAACTGGATTATGGCGTGGACTAATAAACCCGTTTTGAGACTGATTCTCCACAATTGGTGAGTCGATGGTGTCTCCAGGGAAGTAGAGATACATGGCAACGCTGGCCGATATGAATAATTCGTTGGTAATGGCATTCTTGTAGGGAGTCAACCAAGGGCTCCAAATCATACCACCACCGCAAAGCAACGTATCCCATCCGCGCGCGGCCAAGTCATAGAATACCCGGGCTCGGTGTGCAGCCGGAATCCTGTACTGTGTTCCATGCCATGAGTGGTGAGGGCCTAATTCGCTGTTGGGGTGACGACCAAAATGCAATTCGGAGTGTAAATTCTGGAGTTTGATGCTCTCGAGCCATTCCAAAACAACCCACAACATGTCATCATATGCCTGTAACCGTATACCAAAGAAGTTTTCCCCATGCCAAAAGGTTGTAGTCTGCTGAAAGTAATAGCTGATGAGATTCTCATGGGACAGTGCTTCATTATCGCAACGAGCCTTGGCGGAGTCGTTGATCACAACCGTATCAAGGGTAGAGGACATGAGTGATAGTACTGAGGGAATGTGAGTGTTCACAACTGCCTTGGTCCAGTCAATACCGCTGGGCCAGGTTGCCTGCCATAGGCTGAAGTACTCCGACTGCATCACATCGAGGGCGTCAATCATTGCTTTTAGTGTCCCACTAGACGGGCTTGGATAGGGCGGAGGAAACGGAGCTTGGTCTTCTGGGAGAGGTTCCTGCTCGTTCTCCGAAGGCTCCAAACTGACCATCGGTTCCGTACCGGTCAGAGGTATCTGCTGATCGTCACCGATCATGAAAATCTGCTGCGAGGCATCATTTCTAGTCGGGTTGACTGGTACCGCCGAGGTACTACCACACAGCAGAGGGATTGCTGGTACATATACGGATGCAAAAAGAGCGAGTGTAAGGAATGAGTGGCGGCCCCCCAGGGGCCACGACCGAGTCAAACGCATCCTAGCTCTGCTTCCGATGCGTGAAATATGATTTGCTTTGCTTCGCCGACCTCAAGAGAAAGAAGTACCGAAAAAAAACGAAAGGAATCCTGGGCTATTATAGCCGTCTGGAGGAGTGACTTCTAGTCTCGCATGGGCAGTTTCGCTGCTCGTGTGACCGCTCTGAAGGTATAAAAAGGAATGCTCGTGACGATGAGTTATCGGATAAATGTAGGATTGAAGTCTTAGCCAGCGCATCCGTGGCTGTTCACCAAGCCCTGTTCAGATGCGCGACCTCTCGTCAATCGATATAAGATGGGCTTGTTCTTGAGAATGAACATCGCGGACAACCGCGTACGTACTTTCTTGTTCCTTTTTATAGAAACGGCTTCGGGAAAGTTGCGGGGGAAGAAGTACCTACATATATTACGTAAGCTCCTTGGATATCAGATTTACGACTACGAAACAAAGACGAATAGAGGATGGTATGGTGTCCTCTTTGTGCTCTGGAACCTCTACCTTGTATTTTAACACTGAAAGTAGTCGACGAGTGCCCGAAAGAACCTGTTGCTAGCGAATTAAGGCGGATATCAGGGAATACGACGGAAAAGTAAAGGATTCTACGAATAAGAAATAGTACCCCTGCGTATACTTCGGAGGCGATGTAGAAGATATAGAGATATTGGGTGTGACACATGAGCGCCAACGCGGTGATTCCGATAAGATATTCACTATGCAACTTTAGGCACGTATATGATTAGAGAAAACGAGGTAATATCAATTTGGTAAGTAGCTAAGATAGCTGTTAGTCATAATTGGCCCCATGCAAAGCGCACGGAATCAATGGAAATCAAGCGTACCTATTCTATTCAGATCATAAAGGGCCGACATACCCTCAGCCACCGAGTGAGAGGACTGTTATCCAACAAAGTAGACCAATCAAACAGACATCAGGGTGGCAGAATAATAGTCGGCAATTTTTCAACGGTACGAAGTCCGCGTTCCATATCCCAGCCTTCAAAGGGTTCATTTTGTCAACTCGGATTGCTTATGTGTCGGAAGCAGCAGTACTAAAACCAACCACGTATTCGAATAGAGTGGTATTCGATCAAATATCCATCGGAAATTTCGTTATTTGCCCATACACGCTATCGAATTATGCTCGAGGGTTGCTAAGATCGATCATTGTTTCCCTCAGGACTGCGACTTCGTTCACGGCTTCGGCTTCGCGCCCTGTTTCCGCGTCCTCGGTTGGAGTTCTGGCCAGCTCCGCTAGATTTTCCCTTGTTTGAAGGCGGGGGCCTCACGAAAGCGAAGTCGACTTCGATAGTCTGATCAAGCAATTTGGCGCCATGTAGGGCTTTTATAGCTGCCTCCGCTTCTGGCAGAGTGGGATATTCAATTAATGCGTAGCCCTATAAGAGAAGTTCCAATTATATGAGCATGATGATTGCAGAGTAAGACTAGCGGGGGAACGAGTTCGACTGGCTTGATATACCTTAACGTAACCGGTCCTTCGATCGAGGTTCAAATTGAAGTTCTTTATTTCACCATACTCGGCAAATAGATCTGTGACATCTTCCTCTGATGCTTCTTCATGTATATTTGTTGCCATGATGATCCATCCTTCAATACTGCGCACTGCCGCAGCTGAAGCGCGGGTGCGTGGCTCAGGCCCTGTACCAGTAGCCTGTTCAGCTTCTGGAGAGAGCGGAGGGTCGACTTCCATTTCCGTAGACATGTTGATTAATCCTTTCTCTCGTCTTTTGCTCTGTACCTGCCCTTTCACCGGAATGTCTGTCGATGTCGAATTTGGCCGTCCGCTGTAGTATTTTCTGCAGTTGTGATGTTGAGGGGTGTGAAGCTTGGTCAAAGGTTTTGGTAGCTAGGATATTACATAATCAGGTTTATTTTAACGTTCTGTTGACCGAGTTCCGATCTTCTCCTGTATATCTTGAGGCAGTTCGGATGAGCTTATGTATTAAAGAATCAAATATATACATGGATATTAATAAATATGCCGCGATGTCCAAAGAAAATATCAACCAGGGATATGATAACGTGGCCTTCCCAAACTTCGGCCTCGTGCTGCAGCTACCAGTGAATTCCCAGGCCGTGCCTAATAAGATGGCGAATATATATATATATTGTCACACGATATATACTCTGATAACCAATCCTTATTTGGCGCCGGAAGCTTGAATAAGGAATTGTGCGGCGTCATCAGCGAACACACCGTAACGGAAGTGGGCATCGAGGTCGAACCCGTTTAGGCAAACTGGGTCTCCTGGGAGACAGTATTTCTTGACTTTATCGGCGGAAACGTGAAGGAATGGGACGAATCGACCTGGATCACCGAAAGCTGCAATGGCTGAAATACCGTGCTCCGACAATAATGCTCCGGAATGGGTGACCATTGCGCCCTGGGAGTACCCAACGAGAACGACTTTGCTGTCGGGGCACTGGGCAAGCGACTGCTCCAAGAGTTCTGCCATTTTCGGGCCGCCATTGAGACCTAGGAGCAAATTTCCCTTTAAGCAGGGTGGTTAACGAGATGACAATATAATTCACGTACAAGTGGATGACTTTTATGACGATCTCCATTCAGCGTTAAGAAATGGGACTATACCTCGGGGGTGGCATCATAGTTCACACCCTGAATAATGATCTTATTCCCTGTCTGTTTCCGAAGTGCCGCTGCAAGTGGTCTGCCAATGATTCTACCCATATTTCCTGCCTCATTGGTTCCGCGGGCAAAAATCATCGTCAAGGGCTGGCATGGCGCATGTTCCAGAATCCCATTTTCTACCGTGCCTTCATCATCCGTGGACTCGACTCCGAAGTCTTTCTCTTGCTGATACCTCGCAACTTTGTTTAGATTGTCGATGGCTTGAAACAACGAACTAGTGACGGACTGTGTGGTTACGTCTTCGCCCTCATATTCCCACCACTGCCGTTCTCGGCGCTCAGGCAGAGTAGGGACCGATCTGATAGTGACTGTAGAGGTCGTTCCTATGGCCCGGTTAGGCGCAGCTATGGCGTACGCCGCAATGTTGGCAAGAAGCAATGCTAACTCGATCTTCATCCTGATTCCAGATCTTCGAACACTTCAAGGCGGAGTTAATGGTCCGGGTGCAGATCGGCATGGAGTGGTACTAAACGAGGGCCGTCTTTGTACGAAAAGGACAGTTAGAATTGGCAAAAGACAGACGTGGGGAGATCCAAAACAGCGAAGCAATTCCTGTACTCTGTACGGCGAGCTGGAACCCTCTAACCAGTAGGCTGGTCTAGAATCGATCTGGAGGTAGCAGAGAACCTTGGAATGCTGTGAGATGGTCCATCAATACCGAGGAATGAAAGAAGGACTTTAAAGGATCCATAACAGACTCTTAGGCCAGGGATGATACGCAAAAATAGTTGAAAATATTCCACTTTGAGGGTGCAGTCCCCCTCAAAATAGAACACGAGAGCATTATGCATTAACGTGGTTGGGGCATGTGAAATGCAACCTCAGGACCCATCCTCATCCTGCCAGTACAGTACGTTGACACCATCGTGTGGACGGAGAGTCAGCTAGGCTCTCTGCACATTACCTGCCCTGCAGCTCTCGAGATCAAGGTTATGTATGAGACCCATCCAGCATGGGCGCAAATAACCAGTGAAAGGCCGATATACGACCTTGAAGGAGCGGGTAGTAAATGAAATAGTAATTGATGCACCAACAGACCCCAGTTCAAGCTCTGATCTCACGTTTGGTTGGACACTGGGTTATTTGTATTACAGGCTACCCGATCGGATCGACAATCCAATTTGTTGGATCGATCGATGGATTGGTCAGTGCTTGGACAGTGCATAAGGAAACTGGAGCCTCAGGATACGCCTCTGAGTGGCTCACATGGCACTCCGTAGTTAATCGGTGCTTGTCTTCAGCTGTGTGAAACCTGGGAATATTCGATCACATATTACCGATGTTCCAGGTTGTGTGTGGATTAGCTACCGGGTACAGGGGTGTTTCTCTGGCTCGTGCAACGACCATCGTGTTCTGGTCGGCCCAGAAATCTTAGCCATGACTATGTCCTCAACGCCAGCCAGGCATCCAGTTTTATCGCCATCGAGGCATTCGTGATCCTGGAGGGACTAGAGGGTGGTGAGTATTCGCCTTAGTGACTTGCCTAACTATCCAGGCTATCATATGACGTTGACCTGCCGTCCTGGTTGTAAGTCTGCAGATGAGGTACGGCTTCTCTTACTTCTGACCACCGTCGACCCTTGACTTTGTCCAACAGGAACAGACATTCAGGGCCCTTTTTGGAACCTGGACTGTCGAAGGTTGGACATGCCAGCAATACGAACGGTGTCTTTCCAGGGCGGCAACCAGGAGGCGAAAAAGAGCTGCCTAATATTGCATAAAAACAATTATTTCCGCGGTTCCGAGTCTGTCGAACCTTAGACACGTCAAATGACGATCAAGGCTTGGTCAAAATATGTGACCTTTTTCGAGCCCGTATGGAAATTATGGCTGTGTGACGCGTCACCTGGGCGCTTTTATTGATGATATGGTTATTCTGACGGCCCAGCTCCTGCATTTGCTAGGGGATGCTTGTTGCATCTAACTCAAGGAGGGTTGAGAGCCGATCGAGTACGGAGTAAAGGCAAGCAAGATGCTGATGATGTCGTATCTTTACTTATCTTTACTTATCCTACACGAACGGTGAGTGTTTAATATGATACGGCTTTCTTTTATTTTGGGAATAGGGTTCTCAAACCTGCAGGTACTGGAATTCCAGTACAGAATGCTCAGATATCGATTCGGCTTGAAATTATAGCGAGTCTTCAATGGATAATCATTCATTATAGAGAGGAAAGCTATTATGGTGCCCTTTGCTCTCTCTGCTGGACTCCTTATGGACTAAAAACACATATGTTGAATATGGTCAAAGGAGCTGGACAGTAACAATGCTGCCTCCTATACCTCCATAATGTCCAAATATTTGCTGAGAATACTATGTATTCATCCTACCACCAGTCCAATGGTAGAGTAGTTAGTCAAAGAAATAATGACTGTGACTTAGAGGATTTACCCTTGTTGTTTGCTTTGTGGTCTCCTTCACTTCATCATGGTTCTAGGTGAGCTCGCCAGCCAGCTTAAGTGAATGGATGATGTCCTGTCTCGGCGTCTTAAATGGTGCTTGCCTTCTTTTCTAAACCTTTGTTGATATTGACATTAAAACATTTTGTCAACCTCACATCCCAGTCATCAGTGATATCACCAAACTGTTCTATCATCCTTTTCTCTGCCATATCTCATAGAGATGGAACCAGTCCCAATGAATATGGTTGAGCAGTGGCTTCAATACGAATATGCCCCTCCCACTGTCGACAACAAGGTCTTTAAGCTGCCTCTGGTTCCAGAGCCATCACGGCCTAAACAGTTCCCCTATCGTGAAAGGCAGGATATCGAGATCATCCTTCGTGGTGGAAAACCGGATCAGTACACTCGACTTTGCAAAGAAAACGCGGACATAGAAGTCTCCTTCGATCCAACCGACGGAAATTTCACCATAACAGAACGGGTTCAGGATCCAGAGGAGCCAGACTATTACCTTGAAGTGGTCGCCCATCTCAACCGCAGGAACGCAGAGTTATTGGATATCAAAAAGTTCTCCGACACTACCCTCCTCATAGCATTCGCAGTTGCGGATGGGAAGCGTCCATGGATGGAATATCGTCAATCTGGATTTGAAAGCGCACACCTACCAAGTTTGCTTAGACAGACTGTTAAAGCAACGTGGCCAGTCAATTACATCAAGGTTCTCCTTCCCCTTGCGAAGCATCCTCGTAACTGGACTGCGGTTCTCACCCTTATGACGTTCAAAGGGGTCAACAGCAGGGAACTGAAGGAGGTGGAAGAACTATACAAGGCAGTGGAACAATGTCAGAACGAACTCCTCGATATTAGCCAGCGACCAGCGCGCGCTGGCTCGCTGAAGGAATTGCTTGATGAGGAGGAGATAATGCGCAAACACATCGGATTTATGACTCCAAAGACTAGAATTGCGTGGATAGAGCATTATGAGCGATTGATTGACGATATCGGTATTGCTAAGAAACGAACAATGTGGTTAAAGGAGTCGGAGAGGTTAGCAAAGGAACAGGAAGCCGTCTTCGAGAGAGTGGAGCTGGATAATTAGACCTGGCGTATTTTTGTTCGAGCCGTCATGTTTTCGTTGTTCTTTCAGTACTTTCCATTCACTCGGCTTCTTGTTTGCCTCTGGACATTAGGGGACGTATGATTTGAACGAGGCTACTACGGGATGTGCATATGCTGATGATTGGCCAACTTTCTCACTGCCATTACTTTTGTACTAAATAAATGCCCTTCTACCAGGCCTGAACTCAGAGTTACATCATCAACGGGTAACTGACAGTGCAATCTTGGACTGAACACTACGTTAGAGGGTTGATGGTATTTATTTCCAAGATGGAGGCTGAGAGAATCAAAAACAAATTTGTATGTAGAGCTTTCCTATCCGAGTGGAGTTAGATTTATGCTATTCTAATTCGATATTAATGAACCCATTCGAGCCTCTAATGACAATTCGGTAGGGGAGAGGTACCAGCAATGATGCCAGGGCGAGATAGAAAGGTGTAAAAAAAAGAATCCAAAGAGATGAGTAGGGCCTCAACGACGTGTGACAATCTCGTTCCACAACCGTAAGGGGAATATCAAGCTATTTATACAATCAAACCCTCGCTCCCACGCCATTTGCATCCATAACTTTCAATAGCGGAAGGCTATTTTTTTTTTCTTTATGTTTTTTAGAAGTATCAGCCAATCGTTTATCTGTTGTTGCCTCTCATTGACAGAATCTGCACCATTCGGATGAAGATGTTGATGAAGTCGAGTTCAAGACTGACGCTCTCGTTGACAACGTCACGTCTAACGACACCTCGTTCAGCCAAACGAGCGTGGTAGAGAATCTTCTGGATATCATAAAGCGTGAATCCACCGAAGACAGCAAGACCACCGTATAGCCACAAACGTTCAGACCACATGAGAGTTCGTGTAGCAGTAGCTGGGAGAACCAGTGGAGCAAATCCAGAGAGGGCTACAACGGCAACACCAGCCAGGAGGGGCCCACCAAGATAGAGGTATTTCTCCTGCTTGGCAGTAGCACCGACAAAGGCGATGGAACCCATCATGCCCACGGTGTAGAGACCAGCACGGGCAAGGATGGCTGGAGACATGAAGAATAGAGGAGAGAGGACGGCTGCCTGGGCAAGGTTGAACCCAGTCCATAGAGCGTATTTTTGGATGTAACTATGAATACGTTAGCATACTATCCCTTCATTGTATGGCAAGGAGATCGTGTACTTACTTGTCTGGTGATGTGTAAAAGGTTCCATACATAGTTCCAATACTGGCAGCTAAGCTGAGACCGATGACAGCCCATGGGTTGGTAGCCATGAGTCTATAAGACCATCCGCTGGTGTGGAGGGCTCGAGCAGCGACTCCGATAATTCCGATACCCAGACCAGTGTGCATGAACGTCTCGTTCAGGAAGCTTCGTTCATATGGAGCCATTCCGCCATCTTCTCTTGTCTCGCGGTTAAATATGAAGTTGGTAGCCACGATAGTTCCACCGATGATGGCAGCTCCATACATCAGTTTCTGCGTCATGTTGCTGCGATCGCCCGCAGCAGGCTGGTATGCTTTCTGCATATAGGTTGCTCGGCGGAAGGCATCCTGGAAAGTCCTGCGGGCTCTGTTAATAGGTGACGTAGAAGGCAGTTGAGAGGATACTCTGTGAACTGGCGATGACGATGGCTTCATGGGTCCATTGTGGATGAATCGGATGGCCGTGGAAGCTGTTGTTGGCTTGGGAATCTGTTTGACCGCAGCCGACACGGCAAACGGGCGGCGGAGGACAAACGCCATGGCGTGTGCCGCTAATGCGTAATGAAGATATCGAGCTGGTTTAAATAACGATAACTCCGGTGACGGGCGATGGCCGGTATGGAAGCTGGCTGTTGGCGTTTATATATCGAAACTCCCTTTGCTCTTCATTTGAAGCATCGAAACCCGAATATTCCAGAATGGGCCGGGTTAGTCACCCTTCTTCACGTGACCTGATGACTTCATCGTCGAAAATCAACCTCGGAGATAAACTATCGGAGCGCGCTAATGATCGGTACGATTATGGCGTCTCTACGGGACACAGCGGAACGGCAAATCAATGCCTATAAGCCCAAGATACAATAGCAAAGAGCGAAAAATAGGCCTAATATCGATGAATGATGATAATAACTAGGGAAACAGGCCATATCTGGCCTCTATATATGGGGGAAGGCGTAGCGTACGTACGAGCCGTAATCAAACAGATCTGCAGGGGGGGAGTGGCGTTGGCCTGATACTGCCAAGACGCCGTACACACGAAGATTCTGACATAAACAAAAAAAAGGCGAACAAAAGACAACTTTATCAGCCACTTGCAAAGGAACAGAGAGGAAAGTCGCGCGGACTTTAGAGGCCATAACAGAGTGACAATATCTCCCGGGGCTTTTTTTTGCCTGTCTTGCTTTCCTATTCGCTACGATGTCGCTGCTGCAGACAATCCATCTCGCCCACCTTCCTCCCTCCTTAGTAATCCACGTTGCCCTCTATCGCGATGTGAAGAATTCCCAGTTTCTGAGGGAGCAGCTTATTTCTGCAAATTCAGCATATGAGTATGCCTTTATTGATGCTAGCATGGTACGACTTTTGAATGTCCTTGCGATCTGCCGCCCTCGAACCAATATGGCCTCGTGCTGTCCATATATTTGCGGCTCAAAAAGGTTGACTCTTTGCATCATCCGCCCAAGTAGATACTGTCCACTACCCATATCCTTTCGGCCGCATTTAGAGCGATAAATGACTACGAAAATAACCGATTAAAATCAAGAAACGTTCACTCGGAGATAGTGTTTGCTTTAAGCCCGAACAATAATGTTAGCGCCATTCCAGGCCCTTCTCCCAACGCGGGAGTCCAAAGAATACCAATTGACCGATATCCCTTTTGATATAGATTGCAGATGCCTTCCGCCGCTTTGGGATAGCTGATTCGACAAAAGATCTTCTTGTGATAAAAGTTAGCACGTCTCCGGAGATCACACATGAGAGCGTATCACAGCATCTAGGGGAGGCAGTTGAAGGTACTCCCATAACATTTGATGATGCAACATTAAAACAAATTACAGATGTTGCGAGGATTCAAAAGGTGTATAAACTATCAGGACTGGTGGAACAGAAACAGCCAAAGAAGGGTGCAGATTCCCTACAAGCTCAAAGCAAGGAAGACGCCGAGAAGACCTACAGAAAACGGCTGGAGATATCTATACTCGGAGCTATTGCTTTGAGGGGTTCCTAACTGATAGGCCGCCGCATCTTTTAATAATAATGATTTATATGCCATTGCTTATAGCGTTTAGCGGTTCTGTGGGGGGATACCGCATGGTTTATCAACATAGACCTGGGATCTAAGTGCAATGCCTAGTACCCAATATATGGATACAATCCTATTCTTCAACATCTCGCATGAATGCTACTTTCTATCTGTCCGCCCGATGGCTCTGCTGACGGCCACAATATATGTAACCGAAACGCTCAAACCGACGAAAGTGATGTCGCTGAACGCTCCAATTATGTGGTGTCCTTCATTCGTCTCCCAACACCTCCCCGCCGTGTCGCCGGAGCGGCTATAAATGGGGACGCTGACTTACGAGTGATATGCTGGGCGCTACTCAAATTGCCTGTTCATCGATAGCCATAGGACATTGTGGAATTAGCAGGGTGTTCTATAATATAGCAAAAATATGCACTATCTGCATTAAATGGGTATATAGTAAAGTAGTGTATTTTTTGGTCCGGTGGATAACGTTTTAACAACCATATAACATAACAGGAGAAGCCTATCCCAAAAATCTTTCATTCTGAGCCTTTGCCTTTGAACTCTATTATATCAGAGTACCCATTTTATCCGCGGCAGCAAAATACAAGCATTATTTAATATCATTAACCCTCCTTTAATGTGAATTATCTTAGGGACCATGCTCCTAGGTAAGTGTTAGCCTGTTTTACTGGTATAAAAGGGTGCACTGGGTCATTATACCGATTCAAACACTAGCCTCTCAGTCCTCGCTACCCTTTGGTTTTCCCTTCCCACCCTTCCCCTTCCCGCCCTTTCCTTTCCCCTTTCCCTTTCCTTTCCCCTTCGACTTCCCTTGCCCCTCATCTTCCTCTTCTTCGTCCTCCTCCTGCGGGGAGCGCTTCTGAATAGAGTTAGCATATCGTACTAGCAAAGAAGGACGCATGAGTTCGGCCATCAGTTACCGTAGCATTTCCTCCCTTCACCTTGCCCCCGCTCCCCCGTGTTTTTGCCGGCGCTACAGCAAGAGTATCCCTATCATCCTGAGGGGCACGTTTCTAGGCAGAGTTAGTATATTATACTGGTATTGGGCTGGGTCGTCTTACAAATGGGGCGCTGGATCCCGAAATATCACTGGCGCAAGACCCGACACTTCCATTGCAAATCTCCCCTACCACTCCACTGACATCTCGTCTCTGGATAGGGCTGGATGCAGGAGCAGCAGCCACCGCCGTAACGACGGTGAGAAGAAGGACGGAGAAGAACTTCATTATTGGTAACTAGTGCTGAATGGAGAGCAGATGTTCGAGAGTAAAATGCGTTTTATTTCTAACAGGGGAAGCTTAGGAGGGAGCGATAGTTCTGTGGTGAGCTCTAGTAGTTTTCGTTTGGGGAGTATCGAGGATCAACCTCGGGGAAGTTCAACCAAGTTATATATCCACCACCATTTGAGGTAGCTTGAGGGGAGAGTCCGTGGGCACCCCCTCACTAAACGGCCTCAGATTCGGTGCCTGGAATCCGATAGTTCCAAAACTATCTCAATTTTGAGGCGGGTGATCTACCGGAATCGCTTAAGCCCTCCAATGACCACTTTATGATCAGCAGTGATATCGTCCTGCAAGGCAGCCACAATATTAAATAGGAGCTTCCTCTCGTTGAGCATTGTGGCTCCAATAGACACCTTTCACAACGTCCGGACTGCATATAATACCAATCATCAGAGGACACAAGCGGTCCAGGCTCCTTTGTGTGTATCATTATCGAGAAACGTCCCGAATAGGGCATTGACAGCTAACAAACGAATCATAAGTCAGGCCACAGGCTTGTTTCGCATAATTCTCCGCTAGCATTGCTCCGTGCCTTCTTCGTGTCCTCCTGTCAAGATGCGCTTGGTCGTGTGTCCGTCGTCTTTGTCAAGGTCGAGAAGGTTGGGAGAAGGTTGGTTTAAATAGTTTACGGTTGCCGTGGAGACGAACCTTGTCCAAGTGACTTTTAAATAAAGCACGCCAAGACCAGGCAGGATGAAAGCTTCAAGTCGCGATAACAGCAAAAGCTCATGCGATGGATATGAACCGATGAAGGGAGAAGAGGTCCTTTTCACCTCTACGTATATATGCAAATGCCCGATCAAGGTCCTGGCACCCTTGATGCCTTCTTGCCGCCGCAAGTAGGACCAGCAGACCCGATCATCGTCTCCCCGGACGCTCCATCGTTTATCCAGGAGATATTAGCACCAGTCGATTTCTCGCCAGACCTTAGATTGAATCTATCTCAAGGCCTGACATCCGGTCCAGCGAGTCATGACGATGCCAGCGGCCGGCCGCAACCGAACGTTAACACAAACAGTTTGGGAGAGACGAGAAGGACGAGGGTTGCCCTGGAACGAAGCACAGGTGCGGAGAATATACCAGTTCGCAGGACAAAACGACAAAAACTCGGAGACCAGTCTGATAGTATAGTTGGAAACATGGATGATTCGGTTGAGGAACTACCAGGCATCCCAGCGCCGGCGCAAGCTGAGGCTACAGCTCCAAAACCCCGAGCTAGAAAACCGAGAAAGCCAAGTCAAAAGAGCCAAAAGGCCGACGGTATGGTCAATTCAAGGCTGAATGGGAGGGTAACAAAGGCGTCTGGCACCACGGCCTTAGCATCAGCTGGTAAAACAGCCCAAGAACTCGACGGCAAGGTTGACTCGCATGATAATCCGGGGAAGAGCCTTGAAAGGGAATCCGAGGACTTACAGCTTGAAGACGCTACTAAAAGAAGAACTGATTGGACACCTATAAAGGATGCAAATCCAGTCTCTATTGATTTAACAGGTTCTCCATATTCTCCGCAAGACCGTGACCCTCATATCAAAGGCAAAAACTTCAGTTCATTAATATCTGGCTTCAATTTTGCTGGCGAACCTTCCCACGAACGGGCGGCTGAAAGCCAGCTTAACCTTGAAGGGCCAACGACGAAGAAGCTCCTAGAAGTACGTTTTTGCAGCGAGGTTATGCTGATGGCGCCTTACTAACTAGCCATCTATAGTTTATGCCACAGAGCTGTGGGACATACAAAGACCAAGAGACGGAGAACCTTGAAGCAGGGACATCTAGTACTTCCGAGGGAAAAGCCAAGCGTAAACCAGCCAGGAAGGCGAAACGACCTACTAAACCAAAAATTACAACGATTACATCTTTAACCACTGGGCGATACGAGTCTCCCGTTGTTTCAGAAGACCCCAATGTTGACTTACACACGGATTCAAATGTGGAATCAATCCAGCAGCTAGGGAAGGCCCCTTCGAAACGTAAAACCACGAAAGCGAAACCCAAAGGGGCTGCCCGTGTCAAGGCAGATTATCTGGCACAGTTCAAACCTGCGCCGACAATAGAAGCTCTGAAAGCTATCGACAGCCAGGCACTGCTCTTTGGGACGTCTAGTCAGCTAGAGAGAGAATCTAGCCCTAGTGTATATGGCCTAGAGCACGAAAACGAACCTGAATCCCTACGTCAAGCTAGCAATGATCAAAGCCGGAGCGTATCGAGGGAACCTTCTACAGGCTTGAGGGCCTCCAGGTTTTCCAAGTCTAAAAACATGTGGGGAGCAAGCTCACGTAACTTGGACGGTTCTCTAATGGACGTTGAAGTGATTGACCTTGTTGATCCCGCCTCTCCGAAGATAATACACAAACCAGTGAATAACGGTTTAGATGTTTGCACAATTGAGCGAACAGCGGGAGAAAATTCGTCTTTAAATGAAGTCGGCTGTGCTGGAACGGTCGAAACCCAGGCTAGTGTAACTGATGTGACCAAAACATCTGATATTCCGCAAAAAGTCCCTGATAGTTCGAGCATTTCTAAGGTCGCTAAAGAGGCTACACCTGCTATGAATGCTATGCCAGATTATTCCAAGCTCTCGACAGCCAATCTTGCACAGAAATTGGCGTCTTTTGGATTCAAGCCGCTCAAGAAGCGTGAAAAGATGATAGAGCTTTTGGAGAAGTGTTGGGGAAGTCAACACAAAACCATTGACGAAACTGCAGCCGAACCAGCTGGGCCTGATATATCTAAATCCTCTATATTACCGGCACCATCATGTGCCGACGCCAAATCTTTGGTATCAGTTTCCGCGAAGAAAAGTAGTAGAGCCCCTACCAAGCGGACATCAAAGCCAAAATCTCTCAAAGCTACTACTAAGGAGATAGCGGACTCTACGCCAGCCAACCAGCCTGCACCTGCCAACGCGAAGGCTTCATCTAAGCCCAAGGCTACTCAACCTGATATGATAGAAATAGAAGATTCCACAGATGAGAGCCTGTTGGGGTCACCAAAACGACCAATAAACCGGTCAAGTGCTAGTTCTTCGGGTTATCGTCCCATATCATCTCATAATATACCCCATACGTCCTCGCCACCTCCGCAAACAGTTCCTATTAGGACCAAACCCAGCGGAGACACTAATGCAAAAGAACCGGCAGATCTCCCTAACATATTTTTACAAATTACCAATGCTGTCAAGGCACAGCCGCGTATGCGTAGTGTCCATGGCGTGAAACAGCCGACCTGGCATGAAAAGATTGTCATGTATGATCCTATTTGGCTTGATGACTTGACGTTATGGCTAAATGTTGATGGCTTCAAACGAATTGGTGAAGACCGAGAGGTCTACCTATCGCTGGTGAGAGAATGGTGCGAAAGCAAGGGAATTTGTTGCTGCTTTAGGAATAAGAGGTAACGAGATATGTACTATACCCAATTTATTGTTTCATTATCTTTTGAGGATTGTAGGATATTCATAGGACTGTCAATTGGAGCATATGTACGGAATGGCATGGCGTTGGTCTAATGATTACAGAGAGGTGGCGCTCTAAATAACTGCTCTAGATACAACATTCTATCCTGATGACCTTGTAAACCTTTAACCTACGCTAATGCATAATATGAACCAAAATCTTTCTAACCTTGGCTTGAATGCCATCTGTTATGACGCCATTTCTATGTAGGAGCTTCTGTAAACACCTCCCTACCTGGCCTAAATAAACCAAGAGATCATAGGTAGTAAATCCACTTCCTGCAACATTCAAATATCAGGGAAATATTTGAAATCATTGGTAGGGTCTTGGGAAGGTGCATTGTCGCTTCCATGCATGCCCGTAGGCTGCTGTGATTCTCCCTGTTCTTGTCCCTGGTTTTGGCTATGCCCCTGCTGGCCGCCTTGCTGCCCCCCTTGTTGCTGCTGGGGCTCATGTCGATAGCCCCCTTGGTTGATCTGCTGATGAGGCGTCGGCACCTGGCTGTGACCAGCGTACTGGCTCTGGCCCATTGATGGATGATATCCGGGGTACTGGGGAGCCCCGGGTACAGGCCCAAATTGGGCCTGGTCTGGCATCGTAGGCAGCCCTGGTACTGCAGAGTGGCCTATTCCATACATGTTAGTTAATTGAACATTGATTGGCTGAGGATCTATGCCCATACGTCTGCTTTGCGGGTATATAATTGGGAAAGACGGTCCCGCTTGCTGCACCGCTTGCCGTATCGCCTGAGCCCGTGCCTGGGCCTGGGCTTGAGAGGCCTGTAGATCCTCATACGACGTAGAATATTGATGTTGTGTTCCCTGGATAAAAGTATTAACAAATAGATATACATTGATGTAATGACAAGACATCGGTGTAGTTACTTACCATCCCCATACCAGTAGGCTGTGAACTGCCACCTATGAGAGGAGGGCCACTCTGAATGCCATTCAAGACGTTATGGATATAATCCCGCAAGCTCGCGTTTTCGGCACGTAGAAGCTGGTTCTCTGCAACGAGGGTTTGATTATCGGCTCGCAGCCGTTCCAGCTCACCACGGGTATATGATACCCGCGTTATTGGGTCAGTCTGCGTACAGGGCAGATTGCCAGCGATGCAGTTGGCGCAACCAGTAGAATTTGAGTCGCACTTCATTTTTCGTCCCTGTATCAATGGAGTCTTAGTATATCTTGAATAAATATGTAATTTGGGATATATTATGGAAAATCTCATAGGAGTCGTGATTGAAGAGGTGTGGAAGTTGGTGACTGATTAGAAGCATTATAAAGTTAAGGTGAGAGTTATAGTGATAATGAATGCAAGACGGGAGCGGGAAAGGGGTAAAAAATGATCCGGGAATTGGAAGATCGCTAACTGCAGTATCCAGATCAAATGAAACGGCATTTTCCGGGTAGAAGCATACTGGGGTTAGGATATGGAGCGGCAACAAGCATTTGATAACACCTGCCCCGATATAAAGGATGCAACAACGGGGCTTAAAATCTGACAAAATACAAAGACAACTGTCGCCTTTATGTATTCCGGCAAAAACAAACAGATATGGGCCTTCAAAGAAAACAGGACTAAAGAGGTGTAAAGGGGAATTCGGCACCGTGCCAGTACCTGGTCCTTATCTACTAGGACAAGGACAATGTTTGATGATAAAAATATGGAAGACAACTCACCTTGCAGCGATCGCATGCCTGACCAGTACGGTTGGTCGCAGACATCTGGTCTTGAACCATCTCGGAATAGTTTGGCTCAGGGCTATTCTTGCCTCGTCTCGGTTTCTTTGGGCGGCGAGCTGAAGCAGTAGCCCCCGTCGTTGATGATGCCGATTCTGTTACTGGGGCCTCCATCATATCTTCACCGGTAGCGCTGGTATTCTCTGGGTCTTGAAGCTGGTTGCTTTCCTGACTTTCGTCTTCCTCGGCTAAGGGTTGATTGTCTTCCCAAGATTCTTCCTGGAAATCATCGTCCTCTGAAGGTCGTTTGAGTGGTGCAGACATAGCTACTTATATGTAGTTGGCGAGCAAAGATGTTGGTTTCTAAGATATTCTTAGAAAGTTGTAGATCTGAATAGGAGCTTGATGCTAGCCAAAGGATGAATTCAAAGGTAGGTCTCTTTGGAATGTCTTAGGGAATTATTGAAGGCTAAAAAATGATAGGATGAAGAAGGCCAACAAATGAGGAAGTGTATAATCAGTAGGTCTGGGGATTGATAGTGGCTGGTAAAGAGCTGGATAGGTGTCTCGTATTGTGTGGATTTGAATAGTAGAACTGTTGTCAGCATGTGCAAGATCAAGATATATGTACTAGATGGTCTTCTTTTTCTCTTGATTTCTGTCTCCATGTTATTGTGCAAGGGTGAAAAAAAAGCCTTCTTCGGCTCTTTCCACACTCTGTGTACGAATAACACATCCTTCAGCGCCAAAGATGACGGAACTACCCATGATGGATAATGGTTATGAACTAATAGGTTATAAATCTCTTTCATGAAAGGTATTTTGAGAAAGGATTCTTTTGTATCAATACAGGATTGAAGGGTTCCTGTTCTTTTTTGCTCAACTGCTGGTCACAACTGCGACTCGACTGTGCCAGGACTGTTGACGAGAGAATGGGCTGAACATCTAAACTATCAAGACAAAAGTCATTCTTGATAGCAAGATCCTTTCATCAATGTTAAAGTCGCCTTTGATTTTCAGCATAGCCATATCAAATCAAAGACTCGGCTAACTTACCCCCACCTTTTCGAGGGAAGAAAAAGAATATTTTAAACAAATGGCCCGTTACAATGAGCACGTAATAGATGACTTGGGCCAGGTTCATTTCAAATTCTTGCAAGAAAGTGGGCAAAAGCCTGGAATAAGGCTCTGCCCGAGGCTTTGTCCCTTTCCGTTCACCCATTTTCATTCTGGGTTATAGCTCTGCGAGGGTATAATGGGGTCATGCCTGCACCACTCTAGTTCGAGATATTTCTCGCAATAAGAGCGAAATAGAGTCATGAATATGAAAAAAAGAACGGCATAGATGGGTCGGGTCTGGTGGTGGAAACGACACGATCAAGGCCCGCGAGTCCACGACAAACGAGATATGACAAAGAACCAGGTGTTTTCTAGCCAGGGTTTCGAACTCGATCTCATATCGGACTCTTCGTCTATTGCCACAATCTTTCATGTTCGGGATTCGAGCCGTAGCCATACAACGGAGCCGTGGGGGTATTAAAGGGACCAGCTACAAGCTGTCAAGCAAATAGGTTCGAGGGGTATATATGTTGTGTATCATCCTACCAACGACAGCGGTGAGCTGGAAAGTGGGTATATATGCTATATAAGAGGGTATATAGCGAGAATAAAGCAGCTAGATATAAAATAGACACGTTACTGATATAAATCGAGGAAATGGTCGCATGCTTCATACTTTGACGTCGAGATGAGGACGTTGTAAATTCTGCTTACATAACGTATCTCACCAGTCAACGATCACCACCAGTCAACGATCACCACCTCCAAATGCTCCTTACGTCCAAACATGCGTGTAAATATCGAGATATCTCAACACAACGTAAATAACAAATAAAATTGACTATTAAATAACGATAGTAGGGTTCTAGTTTACATACAAATTAGATAGATTAAGAAAAGAAACGAGTGTTGGGCTTGATAACTCGCCCGGAACGGGTTCCCCGCGGTTGGGATAGGAAATTGGGTATTAGAGTAATAGGATCGATAGGAGCAACCTTAGAAGGTGAAGTCTTCTTCTTTCCTAATCGGGAAGGTGAGATAGGGCTTGAGACGTTGTTTTGAGCCTTTTTGGCCTTCTTAGCTATTCGCTCAGCTTCTAATTCACTAGCTTTACGCTTCCGTTCAATCGCTGCCTCTGCGCGCCGTGCTGCAGTCTCCTCGCGGGCCTTCTTAAGAGCCTCCTTACGTTACTGTTGATCTGCAAGCCTTTGAGCCTTCTTCTCTGTAGCCTCTTAAGTCTTATTATTGCGGTAAATCGATCGCTGAAGCTTTATTTCCTCTGCCTGAGCTATCTTATCTTGTTTTTTAGTCTCTACCTCGATAGCTCGCTGCCTTGCTGTTTTAACCTTAGATGGAGAGAATATCTGCGCTTGGCCTGCTTTATCCTTTTCAAATAGGCCTAAACCCTTGCCTCGCTTCCTTTTCTTCTTCTCTTGTATAAGTGCAGCTATAAGAGACTTATTTTCATATAGTAAGATCTCTTTATCGAAGACCAGCCTCTCACTAGCGCGGATGATCTTTGATATATGAAGGCTGGTTAATGACTGCCGGAGCTGCACTTTCTTAACCGCGCGGCGGAGACCCCGTACAGTAATAGGGGTAGGAGGCTCGATATCGATATTCGGAGGTGTTAGAGGTCTCTTATCGAAGTATTTCATTTGACGTTGAGGCATAATAGGATATATCCCTGTACTTGCAAATCCAGACTTAATATTTGCTGGTGTAAGAGCTCTTTTCCATGCAGCGTAGAAGAGTCTCCAAAAGTCTCGCTTTGATATTGATAGATACCCATATCCGCTGCGTAAGAGATTATTAACTTCCTGGGAATATGCACTGGCTAATGGCCCAAATATCCTAACATCCAATGGCTGTAGACGGTGTGTTGAATGTGGAGGTAAGATAACTAGCAAGATATGGTTTTTATCTGCATATTCGATGAATCCTATATTGATATGAGATGAGTGGCCATCTAGAATAAGAAGCCTTCTTCCCCGGCCAGCCTTTGCCTTTGTATGCTTATCGAATATTTGAAGCCATTCCTTGCCAAAGTTATCATTGCTCCAGCCATTCGGAGATGCTGCAAAATATGATATTTCTCTCTGAGGGTCAAATTTGTCCACCCAGGTGTCTTGTAGATCACCTTCTCCCTTATAAATAAGTGTAGGAGGAATCTATTCTCTATCTGCAGAGACAGCAGCGAGTAGAGAGATAAACTCGCGACTTCCATCTTGTATAGCTGTTATCCTTCTATTTTTAAGCGCATGAATAGGAACCACCCGTTTAATAGCATGTCCTAGGCCAATAAGGAAGCCTTTCTTATCAAAGTTGTAAATATTATCTGGAGTAATATTATACTTATTTATTGCTTCCCTAAGCTAAAGAAGAGGTTAATATTAATATTTAATAGCTAACTACTAATAAACAAGTACTTGCAAGCTCATAAAAGTGTTCAAAATGCTTGGAATTATCAGCAATATGCCTGGATTGATTAATGGTGCGGAGATAGAGACTCTTAATGCGATCCTTGTGCCGGCTATAGAACCGAGCCACCTAGTTGATGCCAATAGCCTGTTTAGTGAGCTCGTATACGAGATTTCGCAGTACCTGGGGCGTAGGTGATAGGCCTCTCTCTGATAATCGATTTATATGCTGTAGGAGTACTTCTTCTTGTGCATTTGTCAACTTTTTGCGATGGATAGATGTTGCTTCAGCTCTTGAGACTGCAGCACCTTGATACCGCCGCGCCAGCGTTATTTGGTTAATTTTGAACTTTTTAGCGGTTTGTGAGTAATTAGGAGTCTTTTGCGATTTTAAATCTTCAATCGCAGCAGCAATTGCTGCCTCATTGACCATTTTGTGGCTGTTGGAAGGTGGTTGTTTTGGTGGATGCAGAGTTTTTGGGGTGTGTTCATTAAGTGGTGATGATCGTTGACTGGTGGAATACGTTAACGCGAAGCTACCACAAACTCAAAATAATCCTTCTTCTATATCTCAGAGCAGTCAGTAAGGCAATACCTAGGTAGTCAACAAGTCCAATGTATGAACCGCTTCTTGCACCCTTCTGTAGCCATCTTAAGCACCCCCATCGTAAAAATCTGATCATATGCACTTTACAAGAAAACTTCTATTTGCCTAACTATGCCAATGCTTAAAATCAATGTACGATACTTCAATATGCTCCCTGCCCAAAGCAATAGATAAGAGGCTCGCTGATGAATCTCTGGTATCCCCTCCCATCCCATTTTTTCTAGGCCTCTTCTCTCATACCCTTAGCCAATGCATCACCTCACATCACGTCTTTAATCACCACGTCCGTTCTCGTCTAATCTGAACGCCAACCCAGAAAGGGCTCCTTGATGCTAGGCAAGAGAAGGGAGAAATAAATAAACAAAACATAGGAGAGAAGGTAAGGTGTGTAACTGGGATAATATGCATGTTAGATTTTTGTCGAGATAGAATATTCAATCATATCGTATCAGGGTCATTATATCATATGTTAGATGTGAGACATAAATAAGCAGGAGAAATGGGGGAAAAGGGGGTAAGAAAAAAAAAAGGATAGGAAGAATGGAAGGAGGAGAAAATGTGTGGTAGGTAAATCAAGAAAGAAAGAGTAGCATGGTACATGGTACAATGGGGGTATTTGAAGGGGGGAAGCCAAAAGGGTTATGTGATCCAGCCGTATTTCTAGTTCCCGGCAAAAATGGGCGAAATGAAGACAAAGTATAAACGAAGGAAGAATCCAAATGGACAGTACATCGTACAGCACAGTACATCACATAATAAAGGGTTCGCGAGTATAACAAAGGATCAGTGGCGATAGATGTGTTGCGAGGAGTCGGCCGAGATACCCTTGATCGAAAGTTGAGTATGGGCGTGTCATCGGGTTCTCCTTCCATTGTGTGCAACCGTAACGAACTGAATTCTGTCCTGGTATCGGTGCTGGAAGCCATATTCTAGCCATGGGGCTAGATTCTTACATTGACTGACGTCGAGTAGGTTCAGCATTGAGCACCCGTCAGCCACAGCTTCGACTCCAGTTCCAGTAACGCGGACACAGCCGCGGACAGATAATTCGCGGAGGTTGAGTAGGTGGAGACCGATGGAGCGTAGTGAGGGGTCGGAGACGGCAGAGCCGCAGAAGGAGAGGTTTAGGTGCGTTAGTTGAGGGCAGCCGAGGGCAAGGACCTCAGTAGCAGTGTCGGATAGAGCGCAGCAGAACGACTGTGGATGGTCAGTATCATAAACGAAGGCTGTGTGGTGCTGATAGTTGAGACTTACCAGGTCAAGCTCCTGAAGACATTTTGCGCTATTGGTCAGGTAGACGATGGCATTATCGGTGAGATACGTGCAATCTGCTAGACACAGTTTCCTCAACCGTAGGAACTGTGCGTTACCCCAGTATTGGAAACCCTGGTCGGTAATGGTTGTACAGCGTGTGAGGTCAACTTCTTCAAGCCGGGGTGCTGCATGGGAAGCGATATGGTGCATTGAACGATCCGTGACATGCTTGCAGTACGACAAAGTTATTTTCTTGAGGTAAGGGCAGCCATAAACTGTTCCAGCAGCAGGCTGATTCGGCTGTACTGCGCCCCTTTGCCCATACTTTGAATTCTGCAAAGCTCTGCCATTGACGTGGTTCTGGTTTGGCTGTTGCGCTGGTACCACCCACCCAACAATTCTTGCCAATAGCGTATCACTCACTTTCCGACAATTACTCAGGTCAATCTCCTGTAGTGATTTGGCATGGTTCGTCATATCTAGTATCGTTGGCGCGGTAACATCCCAGACACTCTTCATCTTCAGGACTTGCAAGTTAGTACCGCAAGTGTTAGCGAGAGCCGAGAACCCTTCGTCGGTAACATGGAAGCAGTTGTTCGCATCGATGACACGCGGTCTATCTCCGGCAAACGGACATATGATACCAGTGAGGATATCATCAGTGACTCTGCGGTTATAACGGCTTAGGTCTAAGAAGTGAAGTAGACGAGGAGACCTAGTTAATAGCTCGCACCATTGGCGTGAGACGCCGCGGAGACGTAACAGGGTATGCAGCTCGAGATACTGGAATATAGAAACTAGGAGGTCGTTGGATAGTATACCACGATGACGGATACTGTTTCGATGACGAGAAGGCTTGGTCTGAGATAAGGAGAAAGTCGAGTTTGCGAAAGGGAAGAGCTGCGCGTGTTTGTTAGGCGATGGTGTCCGGGAGCGAGAGTTAATGCTCGTTGATTGAGATTGAGACTGTTGGTCTTGCGCGGTGTCTTCAGGTATTATTGGAGCAAGAGAGCCTCGTCGTGAGCGAGATCGAACGTTATCCAACCCGACGCTTAGGAAAGGGTCTGGGTCAGAGGGTTTCACTACAGACTCCTCTTCCATTCTGCTGGGTTTGTGTAGAGTCTCCAGTTCTGTTTCCGAGAAGGTGAGAAGAGGCATTGACTGCCTCCGAGCGGAAAACAGTGCTTGACTTCCTGGTGTAAACAGCTGGTCCGAGCTGGGAGCGTCTTCCATCACCACGTCGCCGTCGCCGGCATCATCAAGCCTTGTCCTGGCGGTACGTTCGACCTGGTCTCTAATATCGCTTGGACAACGGGCCCAAAATTCTGAAAGTACCTCACCACTTAACATCAAGCACTCAACCGCAGACACAGAGCGTACTGTGGCTGTTCTTCTCGGAGCAAGCGATAGACTGACGACTTCGCCAAAGTATTGTCCCTGTTTTAGCCTCGCTTTAACCTGCACGTTGCTTGAATCTTCCGCATCGGCTACACGCCGAGGGCTGACGGGGTCACATCGCTCGTTGAGAACCTCGACTTCACCGCGTACAATGAAATATACCTCCCTTCCCTGTGAATTTTGTCGAATGATGTCAGTGAATGGAGGGAAGGTTCGTGGCTGCGCATTTAGGCCTAGAAAATGAAGAATATCTGGCGGTAAATTGGCGAACAGCGGGAGCTCTCTCAGGAGCATTCGCACGCTAACAAGCCCGTTGGCCAAGGCACTGGAGGTCGGAACATCCTGGCAGCTAGGACTAGGCGATTTGCGCTTCTTACTGAAATTGTTGGCATCGCGATGGTCATCTCCACTGAAATCTAGGGCGTCTGAGAAAGTATCCCGTACTCTCTTGGTAACACGCCTTTGCCCCGGGGCTGTCGTTTCTAGCGCTGCAGGCGGAGAATCCTTCTGTTTCTTGCGTTCTAGAATCTGAAGTCGCTCCTCCGCTTCATCTCTGATAGCTTGCTCCACCTCGGGGAATCTTGGAAGAATGTTCCTGAAATCTTCCTTTGTAAGGATGAGCAGCAAACAACGTGTTCGTGCGATGATAGTGGCGGTGCGAGGGCGATCCATCAGGACGCCTATTTCTCCAAAAAAAGCACCAGGCTTCAGCTCCGCATATGTACTCTCGCCATCTCGAGACGTGACGGCCACGGCCCCACGCACAAGCCAATACATGGCCTTTGCATCGTCCCCCTCTGTTAGGATATAATCGTTTGCAGAATTTATTTGCGGCCGTAGATGGAGCCCTATCTCAGCTAAAAAGGATTCCGGTGTAGATTGAAACAGTGGAAAGGAGCGTATCCGATCGATTATATCAAGAGGCATTCCACGAATCTGTGACGCGGCCAAGGGCGACGGCCTGACGGGCCGGGAAGGGTTCGTTTCGGTGTTGAAGGTACGGATGGGGGACATTGGGTCCGGAACAGCTGTTGCTGGTTTCGCTGATAACGGCGATGCGCTCCCGCGGCCATGTCGCCTCATCTTCGGTGTTATCAAAAACTATGTCTCCAAAAGATATACGATTATGGTTATTTTTATTTATTGCGATCTGGCAAGCTGGGATAATGCCGCAGGAGCAGGGCCAGGAGTTCACTTCGATATAGCCCGTGTCCAACAACGATTCATGACGGCCAGCTCGCTGGGTCCAGAAAAAAACAAAAGCTCGGATGCGATGGTCAGAACAATCATTGACTAAGAGCTGGAATCCCTGCCGCCGGAGCTCTGAAAAGGAGTAAATACGGGTCCCGAGCTGCTACATTATATATCAGCATGAGTAGAGCAGAGGAGGCGACATCAACTGAGGCGCAACGAGCGCTGTAGGGAGAGATGCTAACCCGCGTGACAAAGGAGAAGTCTGTCTCCCACAACGACCACGAACGACCACAATAGAGTTTAGACAGCTCTTTTTGAGGCCGGAAGATTGTGCAAAGCTATCCCCTGCTCGCCTTCGACGTCGACTGGGGCCGCGGACAGGAGATTCCAGGTCGCAGGCCGAAGGCTTGGAGCTTCCAGCGCAAGGCCCTAGCGGAAGCGAGTAGGGAGCAGCACGGGCAGGCGAAACGAGAAATTGACGGTGCGTGAGAGGCAGAGCCAGAGCAGGAGAGCGACGGCGAGACACCGCCGGGCGTTGGTCGGGAGGCAAGGCGAGGCTGCAGCAGAGATTGCGGTGCTGGAGGTGAAGTTGACGATGTGGACAAAGAAGAGACGATGACGGAGCGGCCTGTGGTCAAAAAGCAAGCAAGCAAGGGCCCGCCCACGATCCCTTGGCGCGTCCGCGGGGCTTCCCCAGAGCTGGTCACGTGGACACTACACTACTTCTACTACATCTACCTATATCACATCTACATATCTACTATATCTATCTACTACTTCTATATCTATCTATTACGTCTACTGCATCTACATCTACATCTATGATATGGCTAAGTGCGCACTCGAGCTCCAACACGTTGCAAGACGACGGTAGGTCGCCCCTGTTTCAACAGCTCGCGTTCTTCATCCGTGGTTTGTCATCGCCTTCCCTAAACCCGGCCGCCCGCTTTTCTAGAAGCTCGGCTTCGTGCTCCTTGCGCAATATCACCGTCCGCATCCCTGCACATTTACCAACTCCAAAACCCACCTGATGCGTTGGCGAGGTCGGTGCCCCTGCAGCTATTGGACGCACCCCTGCCTCGCCTTGATCGCGCGCTATCCATAGGGTGGCCGCGGCGGCGAGGATCCACCGTGCAGCTGATTCCATAGCGTTTTATACGTGTGCTGCTTGCCTGCTAGGCCCTCGGTAAAGCGAAGATCTGAGCTTATAAAGACGCTGAGGCGTGTAGTACAAGCGAGAGGTAGAGATTACTCCTCTACCCCGTATGGAGTATCGACCTCCAAGCTAGGTACATCACGTGGTACAGCCGATTGCATATCATTCTGATGAGATGGAGAATTCTCGATGAGATGGAGGAAGAATAATGATATACCCAGCGCTTGGACTAGAGAGGCAAATCTCTCGCTTGTCCTCAGCTGCCTTGGTGTTGCCACCAGCCATCAGGCCACCATGAACGGCTATACATCTTCATTCTGGTAGATCCGCCGTCTTCTCCGCACGGGAGCGTCTCCCCGGCTCATCTTAAGCCTTCAACTCTGACTCTAGTGTTGATTGGTTGTGACTCCCAGTGCTCAGAAGATATTACTAGCGAGGCGGGTAATAACACAGCTTGATATACTTGTCAACTACCGAACAAGCTGTCAGGAAAGCTGATTGGAGACGAATATCTCAAAGGGGAGGATTCAATCTATGCCCTAGTATATATAGTCCGTCCATAGCTTACTATTTGCTACTATTCCTTTCCTCGTTATCCTCGATTTAACATTCGTCAGTGTCCTCAGTGACTCCAAGCATTGACGTATGGCGGATACCGGATCTAGTGGACAAGCTAATGGCGTAGGTTCACTCAAAACACCCTTACAACGGCAGCTGCAACGGCGTCGGCTGCTGCCTACCAATGAAGAGATCCTTGCAAGGAATATACACCTATTTAAAGACTAAGTACTGGCCTCCGGGTCTAGAACTAGGCTGCGGATGAAGTAGTTCTATAGACCCTGGTTGTAACTGACGAGTGATGACTAACAAATACTCGCACTGATAGAAATAATTGGGAAATACCTCGGTTCTTTGGCATGCCATTCCTACATAGCTGCTTTGTTTACAAGTACGTAGTCACAAGTAATCCGTTATGGGGTCTCTTTACAGGAAAATTCCTGCAGATTGGCAGGGTGTAACGGCAGAGACCCTTTAAAGGTTAGTAAATAACATAGATTCTCGTATTTACGTTATTAGAAGGAAAGATATGTTACGAGGGGGAAATTCCCTCTGGGATGTTAAATGACAATTTCATTTATATTAAACGATGGAGTAAGCTGAATGAGGCAACAAATTGGCGAGGGACCATGGTTAGATAACATCACATAGCGACATCAAGAAGATCTTTCAAAACGCTTGCTGAACGCTCGACATGCTAGTAGTATTGATAAGCATAATACTGGCTCAGCACTTGCTGTATAGCCAAGGTATGACGGAGTGTGCACAACCCCTGGGAAATGGCCGCGCCAATCGACCCGCCTATCAAGTGGACAGCAACTATCAATTCGCCAGCGGGGCTTTCCACTATCAACCCTTGATTGCTTAAGGTTTGAAGCTGGAGCATGCAAACACCCGAATACACGTGGAGCTCATAGAGCAATTGGTTACAGGCCGCGCGACAACCTGGTGGTACTTGAATTATGGGTGCCATAGGTATGTTGTGTCGGGGATGACTATGGCGTTCTGACAGTCTTCCCGTGTATTCCGTTCCCCCGTAGCTTGATTCACGCCGTGAGCTTCGCACTCTCTCGGTAGATCTTCGTGGTAGAGAACTATCATATGCTCCTAGGGCTGAGTCAAGCGATGAGGGTGGCGGCCGGGATGATCGTGCCGAGTATGAACGCATAGACGCTCCATAATCGTAATACTGTCGTTGTGAGCGTGAGGAGGTTCTAGAACCGCGAGTATCGCGCTCTGTGTACCCTGGCGGTTGCTCGCCTTCATCCTCGTCGTCGGTAATGAAATCTGGCGCTGGCGGTTCGGGACGCACTCTGCCCTTCCCCCTATCAGTCATGGCGGCGATTCTGAGTTGGAGAGTTGCTTATAAGTTGTTGGTCTAGTATCTCTGAGCGTATTTCTCCGTGCAGGGTAGGCTGGAGGCGGATGGGGAGAAATTAGTGGTTTGGAAAATATGGGAACCAAGCGTCTATCGAGTAGTTTATATACCCAGGCAGCCGGGCCACCTGGATAGCAATGACTCCTATGACCATGAAAAAGGCCCCGATTTGCCGTAACCATGGAATTTCCAATTCATCATCGCCCTCCTTTCACAATTGTTGTCTTGTTGTCGTGGGTAGAGTGAAGAGTGTTCTGCGATCGCATCTCGGGCTGTTCGTCAAGGTGTGTTGGATCGGACTATCACTGCCCCAATTGGGGAGATCCCGGCTTGCGAACCATGTTGTACATAAACTGAATATATTGTGGTCGATATCCGCGAAATGATGCGAACAAATCTTGGAGCAGTCCATAAGCCAAGCTCAACTTTAGTCCTACTTTCGCTGTTCGAGCTGCTGTATAAACGTCATGACGAGCTACACAATCAAACAGTGAGTTGAATTAGCAAACTTTCCAACCAAGAAATTATCATATCCTAGATTTATGGAAGTTAATAAAAAGGAAAAGGGCTCACCTAGTAAGCTGTAAACTCCAGAAAAGGATAGCCCAGCAGTGACGGTGGATAGAAAATCTCGATTTCCTCGGGCATGGTCTACGGTCTCTTCAAATATGCAGAATGCCATTGCCCCAACTCCGACCCTCGTCCCTAGCTTTACGCCCTCTTTCAGCCCTCCGATCATAGATGTATAATTCTTGCTCTTGTGGTACTGGTACCACCCGGTAGAGCTGGAAGGAAAACGGTGCGCATTCTCCGCACGAAATCGAAACGCAGCTTTAGTACTGCCATGTGAAGCTCCTAATGCCATCCCTGAAGCAAATGCAGCCATTGCACTTAAGGGGAGACGTACGCCAACGTCTATTCCAAGCCGTGGAGGGCTTTTGTTGTCGAAAACAGACGAGAGGGCTCCGTCATCTTCCTGGGGTGAAAGTTGCCCTTGTGAAGGCTCCATGGTGTGAATGTCTTCGTCTTTCTTCAACTTAAACAACGGCGCCTGACCACGCAGGAATATTGGGGGATATTTAGCTGGTATGGAGTCTTGAGAGTACTTTTTTTCCCGTGAAGCTTGAAGTGTTGTAGCTATTTAGGAACAGGCTTGGCGACGCCAAGGCGGCACCAGGCAGCTCTCTTGCAACCCGCACCAACACATATAAATTGATCTCCCCCACTAACAGCATAGCATATCTCAGTTGGTTAATCATTTCTCGCATTTTAATTATGGTCAGTATATGCCAGGATGGAGTGTAGTCGAGACGTCAAGCTGACACAGTCTTTACAGGCAGAACCAACCTGGACACTCCGGTTCAAAAACCACAACGTTACAGTGCTACTCCTCATATCTCCCGTGGAACCATTCGACTCCATCAAGACCTCTCTTTTAGAGGCATTAAATAGCCGTGGGATAAAAGAAATAAATGGCAAAGTTGTACCAGATGACGCTGCAGATATCGAGTTCGGCGTCCCGCTTGACCGGAACAACCTAGAGAAGGGTTGGCAACCACTAGCAATACGCAGTGAGGGAGCCGGCAAGGCAGCGGGGAAGGGGAAGAGCACCGTTTTCAACTCCAGCCCTCAAGGAGCTGATCTTAGAGATTCTCAGGCCGTAGCGTTCAGGTTCCGAAAACCGTCAGAGAGGGATGCGTCCAAGGATGGAGATCTCGATATGGACCTGGATGAACCAGGTTGGGACGTCCTGGTTCCCACATACGATGACGAGGATGACGAGGAGCAGTGATTATTGAAGCTTTCTATTGATCTTGCTTCAAATCTTTCCATTGACATGAGCACGGCGTTTGGTATTTGGGCGGCACGGCATAATAGGCACGACGGTTCTGGGTTTCATAATTTACCTGCCATCACTACATTCACTGCCATATAACCAAGCTACAGAATAGGATGGCTCCTCGTTTACTAGATCAGTCGGCGCGAGATAGACGAGACATGGCCGCCTCTTCAAGAGACGTATAGACAGTCTATACCCCGGAAGAAGTCTCACCTGGAAGAAGTCTCACCTGGAAGAAGTCTCACCTAGAAGAAGTCTCACCTGGAGAGAAGTTTTACCCTGGAAAGAAGAGTCTCCCTGTATAATCCTACTATCTTCTTCACCTCGTAAACGCCTTTAAAACGTCGTCGCTGGAGGGTCTGTATTAGTCACCTTAACCGCCGCTTAGTCATCCTATCACTATGGCAACCGGCGCGGATAAACATAAACGTTGGCAGCGTCAACATTGCCCTATCAGGTCGAGTTCGACAAATCTCCAGACTGGGGGAAGCTAACAAGCAGCAGTCTTCACGTCCTTCTAGTGTCTATTAACTAACCGCGTATTTTGTTCACCTGCTACTGCTTCTCCCCTTGTGCTATTCACAGCAGTCTATCTTCTTACTTCTGTATCGCAGACCTCGGCGCGGATTTTACTGTTTATTCCCCTGATTAAATTGCTTCCACCCTTACCATCCGCGAAAACGATACGAAATGGCGGCCTCGGGCGGCGCGTCTTCAATCCAGGTGACGGTTCGAGTACGGCCATTTACAATTAAAGAAGCTGCACAGCTCGCGAAATGTGACGAGGGAATGCTCTTCATGGGCGACGGCTCCCTGGCTGGCACTGCTCCCAAGCTGCAGCAAAAAGGTCTCCGCTCAATTATCAAGGTGGTGGATGGCAAATGCCTGTAAGGAAATATTTTTTTGAATTACCAACTGTTTACTTGATGAATCGCAAACTGACGCTTTGCAATCTGCAGAGTATTCGACCCCCCTGAAGACAACCCCTTGCAGCGATTTTCCAGATCCGTTATTCCCAACAGAGCAAAACGTGGAAAGGACCAAACATTCATGTTCGATCGAGTATTCGACGAGAACACAACTCAGGGAGATGTATACGAAGCTTCTACCAAACACCTCCTAGACAGTGTCTTAGAAGGATATAATGCCACCGTTTTCGCTTACGGTGCCACAGGCTGCGGGAAGACGCATACGATTACAGGAACACCCCAGCAACCCGGTATAATATTCTTGACAATGCAGGAGCTATTTGAAAAAATTGCGGAGAGGTCGGAGGAGAGAGTAACGGAGCTGTCTCTGTCCTATCTTGAGATATATAACGAGACCATCCGTGACTTGCTTCTTCCCGGCGGAAGCAAACAAGGTCTTATGCTTCGAGAGGACGCCAATCAGACTGTATCGGTTCCTGGACTGTCGACTCACCGCCCTCAGAATGTTCAGGAAGTTATGGATATGATTATGAGGGGCAACGAATACCGAACAATGTCTCCCACCGAAGCGAATGAAACCTCTTCTCGATCCCACGCAGTACTTCAGATAAATGTGGCGCAGAAGGACCGTAATTCCGACCTCAACGAACCGCATACGATGGCCACGTTGAGCATAATCGATTTGGCGGGAAGTGAGCGAGCGAGCGCAACGAAGAACCGTGGTGAAAGACTTGTGGAGGGGGCCAACATTAACAAATCGCTCCTTGCCTTGGGTAGCTGCATCAATGCCCTCTGTGACCCACGAAAACGCAACCATGTTCCATACCGCAACTCAAAGCTTACCAGACTACTCAAATTCTCTCTTGGAGGCAACTGCAAAACTGTCATGATTGTCTGTGTTAGTCCTGCAAGTCATCATTTCGATGAGACGCAGAATACCTTGCGCTACGCCAACCGGGCCAAAAATATCCAAACGAAAGTTACGAGAAACGTCTACAATGTTAACCGCCATATCAAAGATTTCCTTGTTAAGATTGATGAGCAGATCGCCTTGATCAATGAACTAAAACAACAGCAAAAGGAATACGAGACGATCGCCTTTGCAAAATTCAAAAAGCAGAACGAAAAGAAAGAGGCCGTGTTGCGTGAATCGATTGCACGTCTTCGCAGCGCATACGAACACGCCGCACCCGAGAGGCAGGAGAAAACCAACTGCATGGTACGGCTTAAGCAAGTTAGTCGACGGGTGTCTATGCTATCCGCCTGGATTGCTGCATTTGATAATGTATGTGCTGCTCGCGGGCAGGATGATACAATGCAGGGGCTCCACGCAATTCGAAAATCGGCTCAAGGGATTCTCTTTGAATTGGAAGGCAGCCGTCAGCATTATCATCAGAAAATTGGAAAGTCTTCTTGGGAGAGGTCTATAGATTCTGCTCTGGAAGTGGGCATCAGGCAGCTCCGCGAGTTGGAAACAAGCGATAATACCGATATTGAAAATCTCAAACGGGAAGCCGAATTGTTGAAGTCTAACGCTGAGTACGAAGCATTGAGTGCCGTATCAGAACAGGATAAAACTGGCGAGTTCGAGACCACTCAGCGACTTCTCGAGGCTAACTTTGAGACAATATCAGCGATTGAACATATAATGCAGCTTAGTGAAGAGGAGGCCATTGACACAGGCAAAAAAATCCTTGGAAAGCTCTTGGAAACTTGCTGTGCCAATACAACTAACGTCGTTAAACCCAATGGAAGCAGCCCTGCTAAAACGGAAGCATTCCCTCTCCCCCGCAATGGAACCCCAAAGAGACGAAAGAGAATCAGCCTAATCAGCCGCGTATCGCTCTCAAAACCCTTGGTACCTCCAGTTACCATAACTCCGCCGGTCAACCAGACACCAATGAAAGGTTCTCCGCGGAGAAGAAGAGGGCCAGGGCTGAAAAAGGGGGTATATTTCACTCCAAAGAAATTGGGAAAGCCTAATAAGAGGAGCGTCAGATGGAAAGATGACGCTGAAGATGGACCCCTAGCAGAGTTCGAAAAGACGCCCCAGAAACCACAGTTATCGCCGCAGCCATTCTCAGGATCGCCTTCTTCTCTTCCGGTTCCAACCATGGCGTCGTCCATTCCGTTACGGTCAGGATCGAGGGAAACTTCTCCAATGCCTACCCTACCACCTATGCCTAGTACGTATTCCAAAAATTCGAGATTCCAGACTGGTTTTTTGTCTAAGAAAACCAATGAGGGTTCACCCGGTCCCGCACCAGCGCCTCCTAGTTTAACCAGACTCTCCTTATCGGACACGGAACAAGCCTCCCCACTTCGTCAAATTAGCAACAGCAGTACCCTAAACAGGCGGTCCCTTGATCGTGAAAGCAACACCCATTCGTCTGACGGTGAAGATCCTCTGAAAATCGACAAGCTAGATGCCGCTAGAATCAGCTCCGCCATGCGACGTATTTCCGGTTCGGGACCTGGACCTGGTGGACCTACCAATCGACCACGTCACCGAAGCCCCAGCGTTGCATCTAACAGTCCGCCAAATGAAAACACCATGTTCACAGCATCTCAAGCCCGAAGGATGGTGAAAAGCGAAAAGGACCAGGAAGGGCGATACGGTGTCTTAAGCCCGAGGACGTTCCCTGTCACGAAACCTGGCAGTCAACGAAGAGTTACTTCCGTGGACCTGAAAATGAGAGACGTGAGCAACTCGAGCAGAGACGGTGTGAGGTTTAGCACTACAGCGATTCCTTCAGCTGGTCAACCTCGGCCAAACCTTCAGGGTTCCGGGCCTAGCGCATGCCGTTGATTTATCATTTCTCCTTTGTTTATCCCTTCATCCAATTTTTACATAGTATTATACCAAATAATTTCCGCGCGAGGGGGTGTAATGTGGTAGGCGTTGTGTGGAAAATTAGCATGCCTTCTGGTTTCAATTCTCTTTTGTATTACTTCTTTCTCCTTTTCTTTGACAGAATGTACTTGGCTCATGACTCTCCTTTCTCCTTCTAATGAACACACTTAAATACTCTCTATTAATAAAGATCCAGTAGCACTGGAATACATAGATCATATTCTTAGTAAATAAGCCTGGTTGAGTTAACTTGGTCAACTCAGCTCCACTGAATGATTTACTAAACCCTTGTCTGTTGCCATCAACATGGCATGTTCCCGCCCCAAATTTCATGACAACATCCAGAGTGCCGACATAACCCCTCAATCAATGACGAGAGAATGATACAAGTAGTAAAAACTTATGCTAACCACATCCATCATTAGATGCCAATACACTATTTCTCACCCAATTTATCAAATCTTCCAAGGCCGGAGTGAACGTTAGGAGGTATCCGTTTCGATATTCAGCGCGTTGATAAGCCGTGGATACGTAGACGGGACTAAGTATCAGGATTTCCAAGCAACATTTTTAAGGTATGATAAGAGATTGATATCAATCAATAAGAAAAACGGGCTGCTATGTTCTCCCGAGTGATTTAAGAAGAGGTAGGGTATTAAATTTTTCACCAATGATATAGCAGGGGGCGATTGATTTCGAGCTCGAAGGAAGGTATACGGGACGGTCTAACGTGGGAGGATGACATCGGTCATTCTAGGCTAGCCCCTCGGAACCTTTTAGCAAGTTGTTCACCATCCGATAGTGAGTTTTGAGAAGGGTGAGGTGAGGAATAAGTTGGGGATTGACGCTTAAAGGGCCAAGATCGTTTTGGGGGCGTCTCACCGCTCTCCTGAAGTATTGTCACAAGCGTGGCCCAGCCAGCCGTGTTGATCAATTGTACGCCTTCGGCAGGATCATGCTTCGTAGCCACGGTGCAAAGAAGAGATTCCTCGTCCTATCAAGCGAGGAAGAAGAGCGTCTTAGTCAGGCCAAGTTTAGAGATATATAGAATAGATATTTGACTTACTTCACTTAGGATACCCATTCCATGTAGGAAAGTTAGGAGATGGAAGTTGGAAACCGCCTTAATCGCTTCGTTGGGATCGCTACTAGCCGTTAACTTACTCGCAACACGTCTTAGGTCCTGGCTTTCGCCAATGATCTCTCGATTCTCAATAGGGAAAGAGGAGTCAGTAAATACTGTTGTTGGTGTAGTTGGGAAGCCGTGCGTGAGCGTGACGAAGAGGTATTCAACAGGGAAACTTGGTTTAGCGTTCTCCTGAACGCTGACCTTGTATTCGTTTATTTTTCGGTAGAACACCTCTGGAATATAGCGTGTGATGTTTGCGTTGTCCAGTTCGTTCTCTTGCTGCACCAGCATTACGGAAGGGTCAGCGGATGGCTCAATGATATCTGCTCGCACCATCTCTACAGATGAATTTGAGGCTTGGTAGGCGCTGATGGATATGGCACCATTTTCATCGCCGCTCAAGACACAGGTCACGAAATTCGAACCAAACTGGCCTGTTTCGCTCCATTTGCATGGTTTTGGGTTCCGTGCTTGGAGCTGGGAGGCAAAAACTACCTCTAGGGACGAGAGATAGTAAGAGTCGATATGTCTTTTGCAAACAACAGTTCCGTCCCCGGCACCTGAGTCAATAAGGTCGGTGAAAATGACACCTATTTTTTCCATTCCACAAAGCCTGGCCACTTGGTCCACGTCCTTTTCGTTTGCCCATTCGTGGAGGGTTACGCCATCCACTTCATCCACCTGCGGTGGCTCATATATTGCCTGTACCACAGCTTTTATACCAAGCGGCACCTCTGTATACTCTTCATATGTCCCGTAGAGGAACCCAATCCTCTGGGAGCCTGATTTCCGCCAGAAATCCAGCAGCGAATTGATGAGGTCGGGAGAAGAGAACTCAACGTGATCGACCATTCGGAACTGTTGCGGCTGCAATGTAATGGCACTTGGCTGACACTTGGTACATATGCCTTCTGGCCAGGCTGGATGTCCAGACGGGCAATCCTTCTTAACTCTATAAAAAGGTTCCGATAGAGGAGGCATATAAGAGCTCTTCAGTTCAGGTTTATTGGTAGAAGAGTTAATTTTTCGAAGGTATGAGTTGAATGAAAGGTGCTTTATCTTCTTTTCGGCAAGGTATTCCGGTGCATACGGCTCTAGGGGCATGCAGTAATCACACATTCCCTTGGGCCCATGTCGACACATCTTTTGGTCAAGGGGACGTGGGATCTTTCCGTCCTTCTGGTCTAGTCGGTTATCCAGAGCTGACTGCCTCACAACCTCCCAAGGGTTCTTTATTATGGCTGTCGGGGAGGTTGGTTGTGGTGCTGGCGCAGGTTCTTCTCGTTTGGATACAACGCCGCCATCCAAACGATGAGCTGCCTCCGGCTTTTGAGTGGCTCCCGAGTTTCCATTCGGGAAACCATTACTCGATGCTTCCTGTGTATCGTAGCCGATATATAGTTTATCTCCATGACTGTACCCATCACGTCAGTGGCTAACGCCGTGTGCTTCAATGTCTGGCCACAACTTACGATAGCCCGACTCTCTGTATTGAAACGCCTTTTAGAGTTGTAAGGTTCCTCTCCTGGCCACCAGTACATATCGGTTTATTTGAGAGAGAGACAGATGATGGATCGGTATCCTTGGGTAGGTTCTCGAGTATCTAGTAAAGTACTCAGTAGTTAGTGTGCCGTTGTCAAAAGACCACTTGGTAGACAGAGTGAAAATAGGACGCAGTTTCAGTCAAGAAGTACCTTTGGTAGCAGAGATGTAAATTGCTCTGCTGGGCTAACCGTCAATCTGAACTGGCCGTTGCGGCTTTCAAACCGTAGAATTATTGGCCGCGGGGAAGCCATGGTGAAGTAAACCGAGTGTAACCTGTATCATTTGCTGTGCTAGACCAGAGAGAAATGGCCGGATTCGTAACGGAGACAGAACCGCAGGGTTAAATGGTAGAAATGGAGCTGTTGGGAGGTCTTCGTTGCGGCCTGCTTTATGTACGTTGATGGTGTTGTTGCTGGAAGGCAGCAGAAGCTCCAAATCGTCATAGTAAATTCCACAGGTACATAAGAGCCCTTAAAGCGGCGAGGGTCTGTCGCCGCTTTGGTGTTATCATACGACGCCGCTTTAAGACGATCCTCTTCCTGCCAAAATGCAAAGGCCAGTCTATTATAAAACATATACGAGGACTCTTCGCCCTTCCAGGTTACGTTCATCCTCGATTTCTCGCTTAAGAGGTGTATCCGACATGAATACAGCTGAATCTGGCGGTTGCGGCGGCGATGTTCTCATGTATCCCGCGTTTTCACTATTCCTCACCATAGGCCTCTCAGGGGAGCCTACCAAAGATGACGCCTCAACTACTTTTCATTGATACCCGTTCATACTTGCCTTTAGACGTATCCTTGTCTACTTATCAGCTTACTCAAAATAGGGGTTCCTTATGGGCTTATTATAGAGCTCTACCCGTTCGTTATGAATGACTCTCCATGGACAAGCAACTAGCGAATACGAAACGTGATCTCATTTATAGCGGTGGGAAAACTAATAAACTAAGTCCTATCCTGCCTTATCTTTCAAAGAAGGCTGCACTCTGAGGGACGTGCCAAAGACAGATTCACCCAGTCCTAATCATTCGTGGTGGTTACGCAAAGTTGACTTTGGAAACTGCCTCATAAAAGCCTTTACCTTGGGCGGCGGCGAGCTCGAGCTCGAGTGCAGTGGGCTGGCGAGAGCCATCAGCGCCCTATAATATGACCAATATTAGCAGCCGTCTAGTCAAGTGTTGGGTGCTGCAAACGTGGAGCTTCCATATGTCCCTGATGGAGGCCGTTAAACCCCTCCAGGATAATACCAGGCGAGCTGACGAAAGCACCCGATAGTTACCACCCTCAATATGCCTTATAGAAAGGGGTGTGCATCGGTTCAATCCCGTGGTATAATGCTTGGGGCTCTGAGGGAATTCCAAGGACTACGACTCGGAAACTGCACGAGCCAAGACATGAATGAGAATTTAATCACTTACAGCAAATGTTCCAGCACCCCATGGGCTACCTCCACGAACTTCCGAAAGGTTGGCCAAGATTGGGAAGGTGTTCTTATAACCAAGTGGAACGAAGATCATGCCATGGTGGACGAACGTGCTCATGCTGGCAATGACGGTGGATTCCTGGCCACCTCCTGGGGTGCCGGTTGAGACGAATGTTCCCACGTATTTTCCAAAGAAATCGCCCTTGGCCCAGATGCCGCCGGTCTTGTCCCAGAAGGCTTTCCACTGCGCAGGGAAGTTGCCGTAACGGGTAGGGATACCGAACAGAATAGCATCAAACTGGGTCAATTCTTGAGGCTCGATTACGGGATAGTTTGACTTGGCTGGAGCATGCATCTTGGCAAGTACCTCTTCGGGAAGAGTCTCAGCAATCCTGAATTCATTGTGTCAGTCCATGCGCAACCGCTTGAGAGAGCAGAAAACAAGATGAGGGGTCTTGGTAGGAATTTACTGGAAGATCTGAGCGGTACCGCCTGCTGCCTCAATTCCCTTCTTTTCAGCTTCGGCCAATGCCTTGATGTGGCCGTACATCGAGTACTGTAGGAGATAATATTGTTAGCAGCCAATGCGTAGGTGGGGAAGAGCTTGTGGAACGCTGTCGCGGAAGTCCCGGGAGACATACGAAAACAATTGCGATCTTTGGGGCCGCCATGATGAGCAGAGTTGACTAGGTAAGTTCAAAGGGTGGAATTGGAAGAGCTGGTGATAGTTGAGAGTGAGACTCGATGGCTCTAGAAGACTATGCGGAAGCTTGGAATGGATTTGTTGCAGGTTACAACTACGGCGGGAGAGGGGTAGCTTTTATATTGCTGTCAATATCCGTTGCTGAGGGCTTAAGGTTATGTGCAAATGGCAAGTCACCACAATGACGTATCTGGAGAGAGCCACTTACACTGGGTAGCAGTTGGCCAGAACAGCTTACGCGAACCTTACAAATGGTTAAATAAGAGTGCAAAATCACTTTATGCACATCTTACTTGTGCCTTACTCACCATTGGAAATCAGCTTGAGGACATTAATGCTTGCCCCTCTCGGGCTTATGCAACGAACTCCGCTCCCGATACTAATGTGCTAGTTTAGCCTCCCCTGTCCCATATTTGCTTGTGTTTAAAGCATCAACTTTTGACTGAATAATCATGACCAACCTTTTTGGTCATCAACTTCCGCAGTCATGTGACTCTATACTTGGCGCGGGTCTGAAACATCCGCAGGCCGAAAAGGGGTTGGTATAAACAATATTTTCCTGTTCGAAGTGCGTGCTCAGAACTTGAAGATACGGATACAAATAATATCAGGACTGGTGCCGAGTCTTGATTTACAATGGCGGCCTCCGAGCCCTGGATGACCCAGTTCTCCCGGTATATCAACTCTGCTCCTGGTATAGAGAACACGTTACGTCTCCTCCAGTTCTCATGCATTGTAGTTGGGTCTCTTTCAGGGGTCTCGTCCTCGCCGTGGGCCAGAGCAGGCAGCCAATTTGCGTTGGGTATGTACTTACAGTATGAAAAAGGCCTGGATGGTGCTCCCTGGTGGCGTCTCCTTTAGTCATAACTATCTACTTTATTTTATCGTCGACATATTCCTTTTTAACCTTTTTGCTCGGTGCAGGTCGCCGCTACTTTCGGTATTTCAAATTCATCGATTACTTTGAAAATGCATGGGCGGCGTATTCCTTGCCTGAAAACACTGCATCTCAAAAACGTGGATTCACGGCATCAACGCTTGAATTCTGCAAATGGAGCATGCTCGGAATCTATCTATTGCTCGAGGGCGCTACCATTGTAGGTTATTCTCAGTCCGCACGGGGTTCATGCTACGTAGCTCCTCGCCATATCCGAGGGCACTTTACACCATTAGGGTTTTATTATATTCGGGACCGGTAACTGACGATCCCGCTCCCGTCAATAGTTTGATGCGTTGGGCGTCCAGAAAACGGCCTGGGGGGAGAGGGCTTTGCTCGAGAGCAATAAATTCTGGCTATATGCGCTGGTTTTCTCCTTCTTGAGCACTCTATGGCAGCTATTCCAGCTATATCGGGGAGTCAACACACCGACGGCCCCGCAGACAGCAGAGAACTCCGACTCGAAGAGCAGCACGAGTTTGTCGGAGAAACAATCTACGCCCGAGAAAAACGATACCAATAATGATGACGTCACAATGGCTACTCGGACGTTGATGAAGGACCTCGTTATCACCAGCTGCGATATCCTAATTCCAGGATACGGTATTGGCTGGATGCCAGTTTCCAAGTTGACGATGGGCATCGCAGCGGTTGTGAGTACTCTTCTCGTTGGACGAGATAGGTGGATAAAGGCTCAAGAGCGCCTCAAGGGGTAGATGGGTAAACAACATATGGATTGTTGGATAAAAAGTTTATAGATCAGGTGTCAAGCAGCATTCATGCCGGAAAAGGGTAAAATATATAGATTGATAGATTGATAGATTCATAGATTGATTTCCACGCTTTGGATTGGTCACGCAAAGGAGTAAGACCCCGTATTTTTTGACTCTCTGGTTGTTCTAGCGCATGGAAGGTTGCTTCGCCTCAAAGAGCCGAACCCGCCACACTAACTCAATAAAACTGGCGTGTATCTCGTCGAACCAACGTCGCAAACCAACCCGAGAGTCTCCATGTTCGATACGAGAGAATTGCCTATTCTGGTAGAAACACGACTTTTCATGCTTTCTTCTATGATTAGCTCATACAAGCAGCGTAGAGGCTCATATTCGGTTCTTGGTCGTTCGACATTTCTTCAACAGACCAATCCAGAGTATATATGTCGGAGAAGCCACAGTCAGGTAACAGAGATAGTACTGTCTTTTTATACAGCTTTTGGCAGCTTCCGCGGTTAACGATGACATAATCATGGGCTTCGGCGTTATATATTTCCGGTAGATCTAAAAAGCTTCCGTGCCCGACTAGCGCCTAATCGGGAAGTCAGCTCGTATCTGGGCTATCTGAGCCTCCATCACAGCCTCACACGGCTTCACCTTGAACACGACACATGTCCGCATTCTCCATAAGGCCCATCTCAAGGCATCTTGACTTGAGGTATAAAGATAACACGATTGGTCTTGTTATTCTTCCGTAGTTTCCATCTCATTTCTCATTTCATCACAAAGATAACTGATCCAAGTTACTTTATATCGCTATAATCTACCCATACCATACACAAACATATTAGTGATATTTCCAATATGACTGCCTACACTATGGACTCGAAGAATCCAGCCGACTTCCAGGCAGAGGTCAACCAACTATCAGAAAAGGAAATGGAAATCCTCAGATCTTCCGCGGCATCAGACACAGACAACGAGGAGGAGGCGCCCCCACCTGCATACTCAGATTCCACCGCCGCTACTATTCCTCGCGATGGGACACAGGATTTCACACCCGGACGCTCACTCTTCATCAACTCTCGTGGAATCGGCTTGATCCGTTTCCCGCTCCCATCATCAGAGTTGGAGATCGGCGTCCACCACCCAGACGGAACTCTGGCGTACGTCTCGACGAGAGAGAAACGCTGTTCAGGAGATTCAATCCTATCGTCACCAAAGCTAGGCAATTTGCTAAGCACTTCATACTTCTTTGGGCCCGGTCGCAACCCTATCATTCGCCAGCTTTATCCAACCGCATTTAATGCCAATGGTGATAACAGCAACAACGACATTAGCGTGGCTGGGAAATTCATTTCACGAAATGCATGGTTCGAAATGCCTGATGGTGCCAAATTTGAATGGCGATATATTCGGCTAGGCTATGATGGAGGCGGCAGATCGAAGCTTCTTATTCTCGAGAAAGTAGAAGGAGAGGGTGAGGGATCCCGCAAGAGGGTTGCACAACTTCTTCGCACCAAGGAGACCATCCCAGAGGGAAGCTCTAAGCATAGAGCTGGCTGTGGCGGGGAGTTGACCTTGGATCAAGATGCTCATCTCGAGCTCGACGAAGCTGTTATTGTGGGTACCTGCCTTTTGGTGTTGAAGAGGGAGGTTGATCGCAGGAGGGCTATTCAAATGATGGTTATGGGTGGTGCTGCTGCTGGTGGTAGTTAAGGTCATGTATATGGCAGCGACCTTGTGTTGGTATGGTTCTTTTGGCGTTCCTGATTTTGTTTCTAAGTTCATACCCATATTGGAATTTGCATTAGAGAATATCCGCCTGCTTGTTCTTTGTTTTATTTTTATTATTGGAGTTTGTGTAAATAATCATACTAGAATATTATATTCCTTATTCATTTTACCTAATCAGCTATATATCACCACATATATTATTCACTAAACATACCCAAGTCCTTATAAGGTTACCTCCACACCACATTTGCAAATTGAAGCCGCGTGAGGTCTGTTTACACTAAATAAGCGAGAAACACCGCCTATTCCACGAGAGAAGCCATTCGTTTCTCATGGGCTTCCTTCTTCTCCTTGACAGCATTGATAAAGATTTGCCGCGAAACCCTCTCTGGCAAAATGTGCACCATTGTCTTCGCAATCCAATGAGGAAAATAACCTGATATAATCGCTTCCCTGTCAGACCCAACCCTCTTCAACGCAGACCGTGCATACGTGTCGGCATTAGGGATCAAAAACCCTTCTTTGACAATATGTGACCCACTTCTGGCCTCGCCTAGTATCAGAACCTGGACATTGATGTCTTTGCCTTCCATCTGCATCTCCATGCTTAAGGAGTTTGAGAATGAAGCGACGAAGGCTTTTGTGCCTGTGTATACGCTGACGTACGGCGAGCCATGCGCAGCGACGGAACCCATATTTAGAATCAGTGAGGGCTGTCGTTTGGCCTTCTTGGAATTAATGGAGATGGGTCCGTGGTCAAGTAGCGGTAGAAGGATGCGGGTGAGTTGCGTCATGAAGCGGATGTTCACGTTGAGTACCGTGTCGATTTGGTCTCCTTCATATGACTCGTAGGCCTTGAACAGGTTGACAGGTGGTAGACAGCCCATGCCGCCGACATTATTCACTAAGATGGTGAGATGGATACCCTGCAACACCTTGTATAAGTCCTGTAATACAGAATCTTCCAGCAAGTCCTTCGATGCGTCAAAAACAAAATGGCGAGTTTTGATGGCCGGGTATTGATTATTTAGGTCCTCAGTAATGGCATATAGTTTTTCGCTGTTTCGACCATGAAGGACAAGATTGAAGCCGCTCTTCGCTAATTCATAGGCCATGGAGCGACCGACTCCATCTGTAGCCCCTGTGATGAAGGCATACGATTCTTTACCATCGTGCAGGTATTTGGGTAGCCTAGAAGGGTGGAGGAATGTGTATGCGGTTGACAGTAAGCCCAGCAGAATAAAGAACACAGTCGCGATTCCTATCGCCGCAAAGAACTTTTCCCATATCATGATGTCCTAACTTCCAGGCGCTTTTGTTTATTTAGAAAATTTCTCTTCCCACAGAGGTCTGGTTGTGTGGGGGAGAGGTCGAGGGAAGCTCTTGGGTCAGATTAAATAGCGTGCCCCTTTTTTGAACTTAGATCCATGGGAGTAAAGTGGCTTGGTTGCGATTGGTATATTGTTTCTCATTGCGCCCACCTTCTGGCCTGGTATCCATCCAGTGTGTTATTTAGCTTGAGGGGAAGGCGCGAGAGTATAATTTGGCGCCCATAATATAGCCACCCTGATCACCATCTAACTCGAAGCTTGATAGTTGACTGGTGTAAGTCCAGTTGTTAATATCACGATCTCGCAAGCTTAAGATTTCCTAAATGAGCCGCGGCTATGATGGAGATCGGTGATATCACATGACAGTGCTTATGTAATATACATCGCGCAAATTAGCCAATAGCAGCGCGCTTAAAGTGGAGCTCCTTCTCTTAGACGCGCGCCTCGTCCAAGAACGCGTCCAACTTTCTCAGCTTGGGAATCAACAAACAACATATTTGATATCCCAGGTCAACACTCCAGAGACAGGGTCTAAGAAGTCCAAATTAGAGGCTGAGCAAATTCAGATGGCCTATAAGCTCCGCACAACCCAACGAAATGAGCGCACTGTCTCTACTGGGGGCAGCTCTGACTGGCGCTCCGTGGAGGGTGGGTTGACGGGATATGACGCGGGTGACAATGGCACCAGACTATATTTTGGCGAACCTGTCAGTGGCGACGATAATAGCATCCAGTCCACAGGGCAGAAGCTTGCCAATGGCTTTGAAAAGGATTATGCCGTCGATATTTCTTCATTGCTCACGCCCGATGCTCCAAAGACCATCCGTTATCCGTTAAATGGCCATATCCCAGCCTCTCGCACAAAGGCCAAAGGATTGTCCGCCTCAGCTACTAGTGCGGGAGCTGAAGATTTATCTGTCACGATCCCTCGCCTTAGGCCCAAAGTTCTCCCGAAAGGCAGCAAAGGATCAAAGTCGGGACCACCCAAAGCGGCTTTGAAGTCGAGAATCAACCCAGATCCCCCGACTCTATCACAAAATACCTCTGAGATGCAAAAGCCTTTTATTGGACAGGGGGTAAATCAGGCTCCTCCTACAAGAGCCTACTATAGAAGGACTTCTAGCCTCGACAATATGGCTGGATTTAGTGGCACCCGTAATGGACCAAAGCCCTATTCACAGTCCACATCCACGTTGCGCAATGTACCCGATAGATCGAGAACAGGGTCAAATCGCCTAGGCCACTCACGCGATGCCTCTGGCAGGAGATTGAGATCGTATCCGAGCCTTCCACTTTCGCCCATCCTCTCAGACGAATTTTACAACGATGGAATGAGCTCCATTATAAATACTACGGTGGTATTTCCTAATATCCCCTATGAATCGAAAAGATCGTTGAGATCCAGCCCAAGCCTCCCTCCATCTCCAGCCATTTCAGGTGATCCCCATAGCGATGAAATAAGCTGCGCTGGTTCTCCAACTTTGAACCGCGATATGTCTCTGGTACTCGGTTCCCAGGAGGTTGAGCTCTCCGGCGTTAAACCGAGAACTACTTCGAACTCTTCAGCTCCGTCACGATACCCATTTAGCAATAAATCGAGAATGAACTCGAACTCCACGGCTCCATTCCGCGACAATTACGGCACCAGATTCAGTTCCCATGGCGTTGGGCTTTCTAGAGATATATCGAGGACCGTCGATAGTGCTACATGTTCCACCCGTCATAATTTTCCCGAATTTGTCCCATACCAACGGCCTCCTTTACGTGATCTCTCTAGCAATGGATTGAGGACCCGAGACGCCATTCGTAGGGATGCCCAAGTCCGCAGTGCTAGCATTTCGAGTTCTCAGAAGGAAAATTTCGGCCCACGGGAACTATTTGACTACCACGAGCACGGCTCTCCCAGTGGAAGGGAGAACATCCCTCGCAATCGATCTGACAACTCCGTAGAATTGTTTGGCGTCACAGAGAAGATGGGGACTGGTGCCCTAGCGGACTCCTGCTCTAGTAGCGATATCAGCCTACCAATTTCTGTCAAGAAACGGTCCACCCGGTTTTCTCAACACAGTCCGGCTAGTAACAAGCGATTATTACCATCATCCAATGCGTCTGAAAATTCAACTGTTGTCTTTCAATCCCGTGATAGATCTCACCACTCCCCAAGGAACACCCGATTTGCTCCCAAGTCCGTATGTTCTTCCCCATCAATCAGCTTTCGGGCTGTAGATGCGGCACCCCCACCAACCGTCTCAGTGGGATCTCTGTCTATTATAACCGACCGAACATCTACCATGGTGCACATCCCTAGGGCTGACAACCGCCTCCAGGGGGATGTTGCCAACACGTTTGAACCGGTCTCTGGTCTACAAACCCGTCTACAGTGTTTGGAGAAGGAAAAGAAGGCTCTGGATGTCGATGTCCAGCGGTTGAGCAATCAAAACGTTGTACTATTCGACAGGGTGCAAGCTCTAGAGATAGCCAATTGCACCGCCGCAGAGAGGATTGGGGAGTTGAGGAGTGAGAATATTGGCTTGAATACACGACTCCAAGTACTCGAGAGTGGAGCGATAATCACTGACGAGCACATTGAAACGCTCGCCAGGAATAACTGCGCCTCACAGGCCAAGGAAGTCGCCCTGGAGCAGGTATGCTCCGTAGCTGACGACAATTTTAAGACCCTCGCAGAGGAGGGCACTGTGCTAGAAGACCGAACTGGCGTGCTGGAGGAAGCTGAAAGTGTCATGAATGATAGAGTGGGTATGGATGAGGTTGCAGGCGCAACAGAATCGCGTGAAACCCCGCTGGAGGACACCCTATTGAGCCTGGTTAGTGTAAGTACAGCCTTCATCTTTTCCTTCCCTACCAAATTACACAGGGCCTTGCTGACGGATCTTTTAATAGCCGGACGAAGTGGAGGACCTCCGGAGGAAGCTCGAGGCTACCCGGGTAGCTCACAGAGCTGGAAAACCCTGCCGCGGTGTCTCCTTACAGCCACTGTCACCAGTTCTTGCTAGTATTGGTGTCGGGGTGGAGATAACAGAGCCGGGTTCTCCCCAGCGGGAAGACGAGGATTTGTGCCCGCTGCCTCCAGTCAGGAAATGGATACGGCGTGGGCCGTAAGCTCAGATGGTCAGGGGAGCTTAGAAGATGGTGGTGTTTTGGTCTTTTCGTGGGAGTCACCCTCTAATACGGGACTAGGGGAACCGCCCATCCCGTCGGCGTAGAAGGCCCTGTATATAATCCGTGTGTGCTTACGTTTCGCATAGCAGCCTTGGGCGTTTCTTTTTTTTATCTCATCATCGTTTATTCCTTTTTCATTTTTTTCGTTTTTTTCGTTTTTTGGGGCGTTGGGTGGAGCGAGGAACGCACGATGAGGGATGCAAACATTTCTATATATACAGAAACAATGGGTACGATGGCAATAAGATGACCTTGCAAGACATGCGTTTTTGACCTAAACATGAGCTATCTACGAAGGCTTGTTAAGGGATGTGGTGTTCTTCAGAAGCTATAATGGTAGCCTGCAGCGCCATTCATATTTAGATAAGGTCCCACGGCTAGCATCAACTATTATGGAATATGATGCGATGGGAGACTACTTTTATACCTTGAAGTAATATATTTGGTCAAATAGGATCTCTGGTGTTTCCAAACCATGGCAAATCATTACATCATTTCTATTAAAGATACCTCAAGGATAGATCAATAATAAGTTATCATAAGCTAAAACAAATCATCACTGTCCTGTGCTTTGCTTTCAGTGCCATGCGCTCTTCGTTTGGCAGGCAAAGAAGACGTAGGAGATGGCTTTGCAGACATCCTCTGAGCTGATGGCGTAGCCATAGAAGACGAAGAGGCTGAGCCCAACTTTTCTCTTGCAGTAACTTCTTCTCCAACAAAACAACCAAGGCCCGCAAAAGCTTCAAGTAAGGTCCTTTCATAATATTCTCGTAGGTCATACCCACCAGCAAGAACCCTCGCATCCTCTCGTAAGGGGTCGAGATATGAAGACGGATATTGCTCCTGGAGTTTATAATAGTCACGACTATTAAGTGTGGCTGCACCAGCAAACGGATCATACGGCTTCTCGGGCTCGGGGGTTTTAATCTTCCTCAATCCCTTGATCAGACCCGCACCACCAGCAGCAGCATTGCCGGGTACCGACCCGGCAGCCCCAGTAGCCAATGGGCCCTTGCCTGCCGTCTCTGCAGCTCGTAAAGCAGCTTGTTTTCGTTTGATCCGTTCCTCCTCGCTGCGTCTGGCAGAGGACTTCTTAAGCTGATGAGCCTTTTCTGACTCTCGAGCTACCGCTGCAGCATCTGCTGCGTCACCAGTTACTAGACGGGAGATTATATCCTCCCGGCTAGCAAGTTTGGCTTTCCTTTCATTCTCGTAGTCTTGCCTGGCAGCCTCGCGGCGTCGACGGAGTTCCTCCTGTTCCTCGGACTGGTGTTGTTCGAAGGATGCGTATTCCTGTCTGGCCAGGTCCTTATTATGGCGAATTGAAGCGGAGTTTGCAGCTGAGTACTGGGCTAGTTGGGCTTCCGTTTTAGCCACATCTGTTTCGTATACGAGGTTGGCTATGATTTCCTCTCGCTGTTCTAGAAAGTCATCCCAAGCTCGTTTATTGTCAAACTCATCTTCTCGCCGGTTCAAACTGTGTCCATCGTCAGCATTTCCTAAGATCATTCCTTTTCCTTTCACAAAGACTGTGTGAAGAAACGTACATTCCCATCACACGTTTTCTGATATCGACTTCCCTCTCAACCGCAAGGTCCCCAAAGGTCTGTTTGCGGAATTTGTTTTTTCGGAGCGTCTTGCGGCAGCCAGCGACTGGACAGGGGGCAGGACCAGAGGAGAAAATGCGGTCCACGCAGGATTCGCACATTTTATGGTAGCATTCGGGGTTTATGAGGAAGCGCATATCCGGGTTGAGGTACCTAGAGGACTTGCAGACGGGGCATACTTCTGTACAATTTGCGAAATGTCAGTAACCCGAGCTGCGGATCAAGAAGGAAAGAGTTGTATCTGTATACTCACCGTCATCATCGCCATTTTGACGTGACCCATTTGCCCGGGAAGACATCTCGTCGTTGTAGTGCTGGGCAAGCACCGATACTAGGCTCTCAGGAAACAGGTGAGAGTGGTAGAAAGGCTAGGACTACATCGAGACATCGTCTTATAGCATCCTAGCAGCATGAAACTAGCGCCATAGGCCGATCTCTTGAGGAAGCAGCTTTATCTTCTTCGTCTGTCTCTTCTGTCTTTCTCTATATAACTTTCACCTCGGAGATATATCTAGTCACGTGACATGCCTTCTTGTCCCTGGCCCAAGCTCCCCCTCCTTGTATGTTTTTGGTTTCTTCTTCTTCTACTTCTACTTCGTCTTCTTCGTCTTCCATGTCGCGATGCCAGGATGGGCGGACGAGACAGCTATCCATGTTCCCCAAGCTCCGGAGATATAGCGGCCTGAGACACCCTACTGCATGCGGATTTTTCCACCCACCCGCCAAGCTGAAGCCATGGAGCCGAGTTTCCCACAAGGTGTCCTTGGCCAGTGACAAAGGCGAAAGAGCAGAGCTTGACCTTCTCAATGGCCGTATATTTTATTCTTTTACACTTGTTTAGCCTGATGGCATTAGACGGATATGCCTTTTTGCTTCCAGGACGGCTTCCTAGACACCTTGATGCAGATGTGGAACGCTATACAGAGTACACACGGTTCCTACTCCTGGTGTCCTTTACATATATATACCAGATATCACTGGTATATAGCCTCTTTGGAGGCAACTTTTGGATGGAACTAGATGGAGTAACCTTGGTGGCTAAGCAGTTCTTCGCGCCTTTCATGTGCGCCTCGCAGGAAGTTGCATATAAGGGGCCACTATTTCTTTTGTTTTGACCCTCAGTTTCTTAATTATCACTCTAAGAAATTACATTCTCCTGAGAAGATGGTTCGCGCTGCTCTGTTGTGCCTTTGCCTTGCCCAGTGCTCTGTCTTCGTCTTTGGACAGAGCTACTCTGGCTGCCACCAGCATGGAAGTGTCGAGTAAGATGTCTTGCGAGAACGCTTTTTAGTTCCTTTACGCTACAATACTGTATCTCACCTGCTAACCGATGTCTCGTAGGTATTGCTATGGACCGAACGGAGAAGAAACACCGGTCTCAACGCATGCTTCAATAACCTCAGGGCCGATGACTACTCCTGCAAGTACGACTGCAGCTGCTCAAACCACCGCTGTGACGGGATGTCACCTTCACGGCTCACAAACGTATTCAAACCCTCCCGCGAATGTATTTCTGGGTTTAGTTGACAGCTAGTGCAGATTTTGTATTGCTGGAAACGGCAACGAAGTGGTGGTGACTGGCACGGCTACTGCAACTGGTCCTCCGCCATCCCAGTTTACGGGTTGTCATAGCCACGGCAAGAATACGTAAGTTCAGCTAAGTGATATCTAACACTTCCAGTATTGTTTTTCCTGCAAAGACAATCATATTGGTGCTAATACCGCACACAGATTTTGTTTAGGCCCAAATGAGGATGAGTATGAAGTCCTCTCTGACAATGCCACACCCGGTGAAGAGCATGGCCACGAAGAGCACGGCCACGAAGAAGATGGACACGGAGAAAGTGGGCACGAAGGGCTGAATTGCCATTTCCACGCAGGCGTAGAGTACGTCTTCTTGCCCTACTACCCACGAATGAGTTACTTACCTATTATAACTAGACATTGCGTTCCTACAAACGGAGGCGAGGCTCCCCCCAAGTCATGCGACCGTGTTGATCGAGACTACAACATACCGTACCGTGTCGGATCTCTATTCGTCATTCTCGTTACTAGTGGGATCGCTGCCTTTGGTCCTATCTTATTGTCACGGTTCTTTGCTTCGAAAATGAATATATTTGCATTCACGGTAATTAAACAGCTTGGCACAGGCATCATGATTGCAACTGCCTTCATACATGTTAGTATCTTATCCTCCAAACCTAATGACTCAACTGTAGCTAACGGGCCTCTAGCTCCTGACACATGCGGAGCTGATGTTCGGGAACGAATGCCTTGGTGTTCTACAATATGAAGCTACAGCCACTTCGATATTTATGGCCGGTCTATTTTTAACATTCATGATTGAATACCTTGGAAACAGGGCTATTTTATCACGGGGAAAAAGACAGCTAGAAGCTGACGATGTTGAACCGTCAGCGGCCTCTAGCCAGCATGGTACGGAGTTGGGCCCAAAACCCGTGGTAGATTCGGCCATCGCGAACTTAGGCCACAACCACAGCTGCACAGATGTACCAGATGACAAACTGAGCGTCGCTCTCATGGAGGCCGGCATCGTATTCCACTCAGTTAGTAAGTTAATTCTCATCCTACCCACAAAATTTTTACGTTACATTAACACTCCCCCAGTCCTCGGTGTTACTCTAGTGGTCTCAGGAGACTCCGGCTACACCCCGTTATTCATTGTGATAATCTTCCATCAAATGTTCGAAGGTCTAGCTCTTGGTTCCCGAATTGCCGAGTTGCCAAAGACAGGAATTTCGACTAAATTCATCATGGCCGCTATCTTTTCTATCATCACGCCCCTCGGTATGGCTATCGGGCTCGGCGTCCTTCATACGTTTAACGGCAATGATCGAAGTACTATCATAGCTATAGGTACCCTCGATGCATTGTCCGCTGGTATACTTGCATGGGCTGCCATTGTTGACATGTGGTGCCACGACTGGATCCATGGTGATCTGAAGGATGCTAGTTTTGCCCGAACGGTGACCGGACTTTTGTCACTCGTTGCTGGAATGGTCTTGATGGGAGTACTGGGTAAATGGGCTTGATTTATGGATATTGTTATACGACTCTGTATTTTGAAGATGTTGCCACTAATGCTAATGTGTAAGGGGGATGGTTCAAAGGGGAACAATTCACAGTCTTCGATTTATACCTCCGTCTCTCTATCTTGTAGCTATCTAGGTCATTCTACAAACGGTCACATGACAATATTAGTCTTTTAGGTTAATGAATCAGCTTAGTAATCTAAATCATGGCTTATGTCATATTAAAGTAGATCAGATATCACGTGTTCAGGCTTTCAGGAGTGGGAGCTTCAACTTTTTTTTACCCGTAAAATCATCGCATTTACACTGCGAGTTCTTTAACTCTCTCACTCATTTTTCAACATGGCAGACACAGGTGAGGCCCTCACGGGTCTTGAGCAGAAACGCCTTCAACTAGAGAAACAAATAACAGATCTACAATCTTCCATCTACCACTGGAGACTCTGGAACGCAGAATACGATGGCTTGAAAGAGGAGCTCTCGTCTCTGCCTGAGGACAGCACGCGCGAGGATATACTTCAAATAGGAATAAATTTTGGAGGGTCCCAAGTGACTGAAAAAGAAGTACGCGTTTTACTGGGAGACGGATCCCCTGGACCAACGATATCAAGATCACCTCAACAAATAATACGTGCGATTGACCGGAGGATTGACTATGTGCTAGACAATATAAAGGCCTTGGAAAAGCGTGCCGCAGCCTTGGACGATAAACTGAAGGCATTTCTTGTGGCGGGACAACCAGATACGGGATTAAACGAGGAAGGCCTACCAATTACCGATATTGTCGAAGAGCTGGATGAAGATGGAAATGTCATTTCAGGATCTACTACCATGCCTGGGAAGGAGACCAATCAGCTACTTGATGTTTTGAAGAAAGCTGGACTGGATGTTCCGGGAGGAAAAGCTAAGAGCGAACCGACTACAAGCGGGTCGAAGACCGCTGGAGCGACGCCTGCAACACCTGCCTCTACAAGCACTGATGCTGAACGAAGCTCGGCACGGGATGTTACTACGAGTAAACCCACGGAAACGCTGGGGCTTAACACTAAGCCACAAATCCAACAGGAGACTGGCCGCCAGCAGGTTAAAACTCCCATTAGAGAGAATGGAGTACCATTGAAATCCAATATTCCGATAGTGGACTCCGTAAAAACATCTACGGAATCAGCGACATCAACAACGGATACCGTAGAGAAGGGCGTGTCGACGATGGTAGAAGTTGAGGATGACTCCCCAGAAGATGCTGCATTACGCAGAGAGATGATTCAGTATGGACTTGAAGAAGTAGGCGCCATTGTTGCAGAGCTTGAACTAGATGAAGATGGGAGCGAATTCTCAATCGACGATGAAGATTATGACCTAGACGACGAAGATAGCGATTGTGAGGATGAATATGGGCGATCTACAAAGAGAGTCTTGGATGACGATTATATCAAACAAATGCGTGAACTCGAGAAGAAGCTGAACGCAAAGAGTTTGCAAAATATTGGCCCTGACACTAGCTCATTGCCTTCGGATGTTCGGACTCAGGTGGAACAAGGGCCATCTGCCATCAAGAAAGGCCCAGCAAAGAAAAAGAAGGTTGCATTTGCTGAAGAACTTGATATTGCCCCGGAGCCATCTCCTAAGCCTGCCCCTTCTGTTCCCAAGGCCAAAGAATATCTACCGCCACCTATCCAGGAGGCAGTGGTTGAAAGGTCAGGAAGCATAGATAGGGCAAAAGTACAGGATTCAGGATCAACACGAAAGGCCTCTCGCTTTAAACGTGCTCGAAAAACAGAAGAACCCATCTCTTCGGGAGTCACTACGCAGTCTACCCAAATACCCTCAAATATTGGCTCTTCGCTCAATTCAAGGGCTCCAGTAATCCCACCACCGCTTTTCCCTGCTACGCCTTCGACTCCAAAGCCATTCTCGCAGCCTATACCTGATTTGGACAGACTCTCCATTTCTAGCGATAACAAAACCAACACAAAGGTTAATAATAAACCAATAGCTGATGTCCTCGTGGAGCGGACTGTACATAACGATTCAGCTATCCCTCCTGACCCAGATGAATTAGACGAATCTATCCACAGAAGAGAAGTTGCAGCCGAATTCTACAAGTTACGGAATCTCAAGGTTCAGCAGAGCGGAGGGTTCTTGCAGGAAGATGAGGTTGAGCCACTTGTTCTTGTGGATGCTGACGAACAGTCACAAAATGGACAGGATAAGCCGAAGAAGGTGAGCCGGTTTAAAGCTGCAAGGGCTAAGTAGCCCGACTAGCAACACAATATACAAAATATTTTCTCCTGCGATATACTGGTCACTTCCTAATCAATATATCCACCTTTCATTCACCTTCTACTTGTAATCACATCATTGTTGCTGGCCTATACGCCCGGAATTTTCAAGAGGCCACGAGTCATCGGTCTGTAATAGACTTAGATGCACTTCTTCTCTACCTAGGCAGACGATGATAATCTTCTTTTTATCGGCCACCGTCTGACTACGATGAAATAATTCCAATATCAAGACAAGTGGGATCTCTGGCTTCTTTCTCGTCCCTATACGGGTGGCTTCTTATGGAGTCGCTACGGGATTCAAATGGGATTGTCGTTGCGTTACTCCCTCTACACTCCAAACTTTCAGATTATTTAGAATTATCAATAAACGTTAGAGATTTAAATCTTTATTGGCCCCATAAACACTACCACAGATGTAATGTAACAGTACGGTAGGTGTGCACCAGCCCATTGACCCGGATATAAAATGCATGAAGCCTCGTCCCTCAAACCCCGGAAAATCATAGTACATTTATCATTACTCGTTTCATCGTTCCGAAAAATGGCCTCAACCAGCGTACGTGTCACGAAACCCATGCGAACAGAGAGACTCGGTTTTAAAAGCAAAAACTAAGACAAGTACGTGGAACAAGAGGGAGGCCACATGAAACAGTTTTTTCGGAATACTCAAATCTAGCACAGCGAGGAAAAGAAGCGGGTATAGTATCCACGGCCTGGCAGTAAGTGGAGCGCAGGGCTGGGTGAGGGAAAGGAATTTTAAAGTAAGTAGGGCGAAGTTGATTAAAGCGGGGAAAATAGTCCTGCTCCTTAGAATGTGACCGATTATTGGAACCCTGTCAGGAGGAGGTAAAAGGAGGCGATTTGTAACAGTATATAATCGCCGATTATGGTCTTCAGGATGGTTGCGCACAATGCGAGGAGATGTGGCAGTAGACCGGATAAGGAGGTTAGTAGTCTCTGTGTTGACATTTTCATTATTTTGGACTTCGGAGGTCGGATCTGGGTCGCTGGAAGTCGCATGGTTAGAGCCGTTTTTCCCCAGCATGGTAGAACGAATGATTGAAGGGGGAAGATCCAATGCTGGAGGTGCCCTCTTCACGGGACTTCGTGGCCGTCGTGATGGCGACCTGGTAGCAGGGCTATCTACAGGAAGCACACGGGCATTAGCTTGGAGGTCGGTGGAAGATGGGCCCCTGTGAAAACGGCGCCCTTCATTGGAGCCACCAGCCTGGATGCCATTCAGGACGTCCTCTGCAGTTGGCCTCATATCAGGATCCACGTCCAAAAGACGTGTTAAGAAAGAGTAGAGTTTATCAGGGAGGTCAGGTCGCATTCGCCTTGCATCATCAAACCCTGCCCATCGGCTAATTTCAGCCCGGAGAAGGTCAAGATCCTCTTTATCTTCGTCGACGACATCGGCATTACGATATGGAAGTTGGCCGAAGCAAAGGAAATAGAGAATCATTCCAAGTGAAAAAACGTCTGATTTGAAGCTAAAGTTGCCAAATGGGCCATCGGGCGAGACCCGCCGTAGCACTTCAGGGGCACAGAAGGAGATAGTACCCGTCGTTCCAGTGGAATTGCGAACAGTGTTCTCAAACTGGACTTCACCAAAGTCACTGACCAAGACCCGTAACTCGCGGCCAGTTTCATGTAGAAGACAGTTACTTGGCTTTAGGTCACGGTGTATGTAGCCACTCGCATGTAAAAAACGGAGCCCAGAAGTAATATCTTTGAAGAATGAATAGATCTCTTCAAGCTGAAGCCGCCTCGGTCCGCTAGCAGCAGTTGGGAGTTCTGGCTGGCCTCGAGATCTCCGCCGTAGCCGATCTTTTAACTGCTGCGGTGTATCTGCTGCAGTCTGAATTGAACCGCACATGTATTTTTGTAGATCACCTGCATTGCAATATTGCTGTAAGATAAACGCACATGGCACTCTTGGGCCAAAGTTGCTGAGCCTTGCGTTTTCAAGCCACACATGTCGATATGACACCAGATTTTGGTGTGAAAGGTGCTGCAGCAATTGAACTTCAATTAACACCTTCTTGAGCCACTCATGGTCATCTCCAACAGGAACCCGCTTGCATGCGTAGTGGCCCAGAGGCACACCATCAAGTATATGCTTCACCAAAAGCACAACACCCTTCCCTCCTCTTCCGAGCTCCCGTTCTTCTACGAAGAACCTCTTGAAATAGTCATGACTGAATGCGGCTGACGAAATCCCATGGGTATTAGAAGGCGAGTCACCACCCTGATCGGCTGTCGGAGCCGGTGTACCTCCCTCCTCAGCAGGCTGTACCAGCTGGCGCCGTGGAGATGAAGGAGCTGATCGATTCGAAGGCGGGGGAAGGCTACTATTCTCGAGCAGTCGAAAGTATTCCGGGTTCACGAATCTCGGCGGCGCTGGTGCGACTGGAGTAGATCCGCGATGAGGCTCTTGGGGATTCTCGGGATTACCATCACGCATCGGTCGATGGCAGTAGGGGCAATCCGTCCGTTCCGCACCGATGTTATCGACGCCTTGATTCGCGGGTTGAAGAACGAGCTGTTGAGACGAGTGGTCAAACACCACGATCGCGTCGTCATGGCGACTACAAAAGGGAAGAGGTTAGTTCCGGTTCCTTGCCTATGTGCAGCGCGAAAAGTTCTTCCTCCAGCACTCACAGTACTATGTCCCCTGCAGCGCTATAAGGGACTATCGACATGCTTCGCGAATCGTGGTCGGCCATTCTTATGCAGCTGCGGTTGAGCCTATTACGTCAGGGCATTTTTTCATAGATCGGACAGTAATAAGTTGCCTTCCAGGCCGACTCTCGATATTTTGTCTTATTGTCTTCTTCCTCTTCGTCAGGCAGTTGGACTGGGTCAGCTATCCATAGTCATGCGCAACACAGCTTTTCTCGCGACATTTTAAAGCTGGCTAAGAAGGTCAAGCGATGTAATTTATTTGTTTATGTTCGCAGTTTGGTGGATTTTCGTATATACAGCAAGTCACATGACGTCGGCCATGGGAGAAACAATATTCAGGGGGCAGGGCAGGGCAGGCAGCATTCTCTATTCCTTCACGATAAGTCTCACTCCCTTGCTATCCGTAGGCCCGAAGGGCGCAAAGAAGTCATGCTGGACACTGATGTCCCACTCCGTTGTTTCAAACAGCTCCAGTCTGAATTTATGCAATAAGTTCCCCGCCAGGAGGTTGAGCTCCAACTTTGCTAATTCGAGTCCCAGGCAGCCTCTATGTCCACCCGAAAAGGGGACAAATGCCTTTTCCATCCGCCATAGATCCTGTTGACTGCTATCCAGCCATCTCTCGGGCATGAAGCAGTGCGGTTGGGGAAATATCTCTTCATTGGCATGGATGTCGCGGATTGACATCGAGATGGCAGTATTGGCTGGGAATATGTAAGTTTTGCCAGCTGGAGTGGTGTAACTTGTGGGTGCTGACGGATTTACCCTTGGAAGGCGGCCTGAGACGCCGGTCCCTATGCGGAGAGCTTCCTTGATACAGGCCTGGAAGTAAGGTAGGCCCTTGAGCGTTCTGTAATCTAGAAACTCTGACTCTTGACATTCCTTCGCAGCTTCTGCAAGCTCCATCGTGACCTGTTTCAAAACATAAGGGTTTGAGAGGACATGGAAAGTGAATACAGACAGTGTGTTTCCAGTCGTCTCTGTTCCGGCTCCGATAAGCGTCGCAGCTTCGGCTGTTAACCGTCTCAGAGACTTTTGTTCCGGTCCAAGCACAGGACAGGTATACACAGCATCCAGAACAGTTGGTGTAGAGTTAACCCGCATACCTTTTGTTTCAATAACCGCCTTTGCTTGTTTTTCAATCCTCTGCAGTTCACACGGCCAGTGTTAGAGCATACCTTTGCCTGATATATCGGGAGAGAAGAAGAAAGATTTAACTCACAGCCTGGTTGTCAATAACGGCCAAAGTGGCGCCGCTACTGTCAATCATGGAGATCACCCATCGAGGGATAGTTGCGAGGAGCGGGAACACAAAGGGAAACTGTCGATGCCAGAGCATTATGTACGAAAAGTCCCTCAGCACCCGATTATACGCGGCCGCGAAATCCGGCGTACTTATGAAGTCGATCGTCTGGGGAGCCGCATAGTTCGTTATGACGTCTGTAGCAAAGCACCGATATGCATTAGAGATGTCAACGACTTTGTTCGATATGCGGTGCTCCTCTATCCGGCCGCATAGACGTTTCACGACCGCCATCACTTGAGGTTCCAATGCAGAGACGTTGGCCTTCGAGAAGAACTTGGCCATCGCGCCACGGCGTTGTCGGTGCAGTCGCCATGAGACCGTGCCAACGGTAGCGTAGTTGTCTTCAAACGGCCGATAGTACCATGCGTCCTTGTCGAGTTTGCTGTTTGTATAGAGTACGTCCCAGAAAGCTGGGTCGTCGATGTGGACCTCCCGAGGGCTTATTCGCACGACAGGTCCTAGGTAAAACGCTCACGTTAGATAGACACTCGGGAATATAAAACAAAGGACGCTTCAGGTACCATATCTCTTGTGCATATCCTCGATCCTGAAGGTGTAGCGGCCCAGCTTGATGCACTCCCAGTAAAACTCGTACCATCGCGTTACGGCAGCGACCCGGGGCCCAGGGACTCCCGCCAACGGGCTGAGCCAGAGCTGGTAGACGACCACGATCGTCACATAGAGGCCGACGGCGCAGAGGAGCAGCGGTGCGAGCGACAGCGCTGGGGCGTTGGTATCCATGGGCTGCTGCATTTGTGTGTCCCGGGAACCTGGTTGCTGGCATGCGTGAGCGGGCGCAAGTGGCTGCGTTGAATTGGGATCCCGCCTACGGGGGCGAGGGCTAGGGGTTGGCAGGCCTAGTTTGCCCCATACACCCTGGATTATCACAGATCGGCATCATGTCCATCTCCAAGGCGTTCTACTTATATTCTCTTCACGGAGTAAGAGCTGAAAGATTCTATCTCGCTGTTGTATACGTATCTCTTTGTGCTACGACGCCTGGAGAACTCCGTAAGAACGTACACTGAATCATCTTTATATTATCGACATTAAGTGGTATCGGACGTATTCGTGCTATCCAGCAGAATGGGACGGGCATATTCTCTACAAGAGTCTGTCCAACATAGCCGTTTTCGGTGGATGTCCCTCTACAAGGCGAAAACACTTTCCAACCATTTCCGGCCTTCTCCTATTTACTAGCTTCTCATCGTACAATGAAACTGTAAACGATAATGCATCTGACTGCAAGGATTACCACACTTGTTATCAATCATCAACAGGGCCAGACTTGGCAGTCCTGATTTGATCCCTGCCCCTGTCCATTGTGTACGAAAAAGCACGTTTGCGGATCGCATTCAGGTGTACCTAGCCATCGCTTTTACAGGGACAGGTACTCCCAGTATTCCCATTTTCTGCAGCCATCGGCCTTGCATAATCCGATGCAGGGATGATATCGGAGTATTACGTGTGGTTAATAGGCTATGTTAACAGCAATAAAAACCCACAGGCATGAAGTAGCTTGTCCAGGCCTACACGGATTTCCTAAAGATGAAAATGTTGCGTTGTTCATATATAATGGGAGTAACCTTCATTCAATAATTGCGTGCTTAGTGGAACGAGAGGATATACGTTTCGGGAACTTTCTAACCTGTGTCATTGAGATGGCCTCCACATATGATCAAGAGCAAAATATGTAAAAATAGTCAGAAAGAAGTGTCTATCAGTGGAAATTGGGCCCACCGCTTCGCCGAATAACGAGTTCTTTATCTAGATGCAGTATTTCAAATTATCGCTCCATGAAAGCGGCGATTGAGCACCTCGCCTCTGATCTTGCAAAGGTTCGTCCGATGTAACCTCTTGGCCTGAACAGGAATGTCATATCACTTTCAAGATGATTTCCGCAGTTGCTCTGTTTAGGCTTATTGATGAACTCAAGCATCCCGCTGCCTAAGATTTCACCGTATATGTACGCCGTGTGACCAAGGATCAACCACTCATAGGGTGCCATGGGATACTGCTCAGTAGACCAAGATAGTGGTTCTAGACAATATATTGGGCGGCAGCAATCCGTATCAACGAGATGATAATGTGACACAGGTGTGGGCTCGAATCGTCTCTGGTATTCACGCAGAGAGAGCATAATGGAAAAGCATCCCTTCCCAATGAAGTGTCCACCATGCTTGCTTGCAATATCTTTGCAGTTGTGTCTAGGGTATCACTGTGGCTGCATAATTCCAAATGTCAACTCCAGCCTTGAATAGCGGTCAGATTGGGGTATAAATATAACAGACACTTAGCTACTCGGCGGACAGCATATGTGAGACCTCTAGATACTCAGTTCATCGCTTCTAGCTCCCGCAATTAGTTCATATTCTCCATGGGATAGTACTCCGTACATGTGCGAGATATCAGGAATACATCTACCTTTGCAAGCGTGGAGTGGCTTGACTGTTCCATACCGCAGAGCATCCATTATTTGCACATAATGAGATGAATTGATAAACGCCTGTATTTCAGAGCCTTTGATCCCAAGTTCCATGATGTGTCCGGATGTGTTGATACTTGCCTTCCTTACTCGGAGAATATGCTGTAGATTGAATAATCTTGCCAAAGATCTGATCCCCCAAGGCGAACCACTCACTATTATTAGTACAGCAGTCTTGTCCAGTCTAGAAGCCGCAGCGATATATCCCCTACCTTCGAACTCTCTTGGCTGGAAGGTACTCCATAGACGAAAGTGATAGCAGCACTCTTATGACCGAGTACTGCGATTCGTATCCAATGGACGTCCCAAGGCAGCCAAAACGCACAGTTAAAACAAGCTTTGAGTGTCCTTGATGATTTTGCCAAAAATCTTCAGTGTTTGACAGGAGGATCTCCTGAGGCCGATCCCGGCGATCCATTGACGCATCAAAGCCACTCAAAGCGCCTTCGACCCCTTAATTACGACGCCGCGGCCACGCCACGACCTATATCCATGACCTCATCCTTTTAATACAGACGGCCGTCGCCCTACTTGGGCCAGTCGTAGGATATAGCTCACAGCGATCATAGGATTGTTGACCTTCATCACTAACTAACAGTTGATTGACCCCTTCTAGGATGAAAATGTCGAGTTTTGGCTGAGCGCGTTCACTTGTTTAGCCACTCAGCCTCTTTACCAAGGGTATCATCAAGTCTCTCTCTTCTGGATGCCTTAGCATCATCTATCGACATCTGTCTCGCAGTCATTGATTAAACAAAACTACCCCGTAGATAATCGTGTTGGCAAAAAGCGCGCCTTGCGGTTAAAGGTGTAAGAAAATGATAGCCTAGGTACTCCATATGGCATCGGCACACTCAACCCCCATAGACGGGAATCGTTATCCGGGAACCCGTTAGACACGAGTCGTTTTGAATTTGGCTACCTTTCGCCATCCTGCTCCAGAAACGTCCAAGATGGCGTGGAAGATATGGACCGGACTTCCTGATTGACAGCGAAAAAGAAAAGGAAAAAGCCAAAACATCAAAGCCGAGAAAGTATCCGTACTTCATAGAAAAACTGTCCAATACGACCAGCATACGCTGTTCGCTGGCGCAGGATACAGTTCAGGCCACGAGATATATGGTATAAGCTGGTCCCTTCTAGAGAGTAACGACTTCGACGCCGAGGTCTGCGAAGAAACTGGACTCGTTTTGAAAGCGTCTTGGTTGCGGCCATATTCCGTGCCGGTTCGTTACTTTTTTCGCCTTCGCTGGAGACGGGCTGGCGGATGTATTCATCTTCAGAGTGAGCTGTGTCGCGTGTCTGACCATATGAGACTCCGTACGGGATGGATGTTCCACGATAAGTTCAAGGTATGGCCAAAAATAGGTCTCCCTTCCTGCACCGCGGATATTCACCACGTCTTTCTGACATTTTGTCAAGCCTTGCAGCTTTCTTTTTTCACAGAAACAGGGATCAGCGAAGGTAAAAAAGAATCCCATGCAATCAGAATACGAACTAAGTCACTCGCCTAGTGTTTGCTAGCTCGTTATCAAGTTCTGGGCGGAGGAGGCCTATACGACGATTATATATACCCGGCGGTCACCCCCAGAAAATCTGGCTCGACATCCCGGCGTTAGATCTCAACTGCAGACATAGAAGAATCTAGCCATTTGACATCAGTCCGGTGCACTTCATTCTCTGCATCGTTGTCAAATCCAGCTTTGTTTGCGCAAGACGGTCCTGAATCCCCTGCGAAATCGCTGCTGCATAGCCCGGGATTTTCACCAATGGCGGACCGGTCGAAGATAGACGGGCAGCCAGCCCCTGCAACCCAGGAACCCCTAGGTACTCCAGGAGCGCTGGAGCCGGATGAGAATCCTTACGATAATTCAGATGCCGATTCTGCGTTCGGCAGTGATGGGTACGGGGTACTTCCTCACTTATAGCTTCTATTTGGAATAAGGCTAAAGATCGCTCTTCTCTTCGGATAGGGAGAGCTCTACACAGTCGCTGGCATCTAGTATATTAAATTATGAGTGAGTTATTGTACTTCCCAACATGATCAAACACCGTTTGTACTAATCAGATGGATTGTCTAGATACGAGAATGGAAGACGGTACCATGCTTATTGCGCTGGCGCATACCCGCTTCCCAACGACGAAAAGGAACAAGAGCGCATGGACATGCAACATCATATCTACCTACTCCTCCTCCGCGGAGAGATCCATCGTGCACCTATACCACGACCTGTCGGAAACGTCCTCGATATAGGTACTGGAACAGGGATAGTAAGTGGCCAACTCTCCGCATTCTAAAGGGACTTCTGAAGGATGAGTAGGAACTAACTGCAAGGTACAGTGGGCTATGGATTTTGCAGATCTATATCCTGAATGCAATGTGATTGCGACCGACCTTTCGGCGATACAGCCCTCGTGGATCCCACCTAACGTTCAGTTTCGGATTGATGACGCGGAGCAAGAATGGGACTTCAGCCATAAATTCGACTATATACATGCCAGGAGCATGGGAGGCAGTATAGGGAACTGGGATCGATTCCTTAAGCAAGCCTACGACAATCTGAACCCGGGCGGCTGGATCGAAATAACCGATTTTGAGACATGGGCCACGACCGATGATCAAAGTCTCCCGGAAACATCGGCGTATCATGAATATCAAGTGCAACTCAACTTGGCAGCTGAGAAGTTCGGCAAGGTGATGAATATATCACCGCGATTCGAGGAATTCGTGAAGAAGGCGGGCTTCACCTTAGTTACAGAGGAGAAACGAAAGACGCCTCTGTCACCGTGGGCAAAGGATAAGCGGATGAAAGCTCTCGGGCAATACATGAACATACAGATGATGGAATCCATCGAACCATATTCTCTGGCACTTTTTACAAGGGTTTTACAGTGGGATAATGCTAAGATACAAACACTCCTAGCGGGTGTCAGAGAGGACCTACGGAACTTGAACTACCATATGTACTCAGTGGTGTAAGTTATTCCTTCTTCCCCCCTCGTTTAAACTACCCTCTTGCTCCTTGGACATCTCGCCTAACATGGACATATTTTTAGGCATACTGTGTACGGACAGAAACCTCTCGCCCCCGAGGAATCCGATAAGGCTGGGAAATCTATACCTCGTCAGCTAGGCTGATACTAGGCTGATAAACTAATTGTTACTCCCTTGATTCCTTCCTTCCCGTGAGCGTGCTTTCTTTTTCTTTCGTGTGTACTCCGTACGCTTTTCTTTTCCCTTCCTCTCCCGGCCTGTCTTTATTATTTATTTGTAATAGATATACATGTCCGCCATGACTCGCAAGCAAGGGGGGAGTTTTCTTTTTCTTCTTTTTAGCCTGCATCATTCGACATGCCCCCTTGATGAATATAGATGGATTCATGTTCTTGCCATGTCACTCGGGTTCAAAAAGCAGTATGTGCAACGAATCGCGAACGTGAAACTATGTCTCGCGATCGCCATGTCCGGTATCCAAGCACGACCAGAGCCTTTCGACACACCCGTCGCGCCTTGTATATAACAATGTCGCCCTGAAGCGCAAAAAGGAATTCCGTTTTAGGTAGACAGGGTTACTGAGCGCCTATAGTTGCCCCCTTTGAAATAAATCGTACTCCCTGTCGATCAAGTCGACCTGCTCCATGACGATTGTGTTTCTCCACCAAAGCGCCGTTATGCAGTCAACACGCGGTGCAAGGTTCGTGTGGGCGGTTTCAAGTGTCTTCCAGCTGCAGTTGTTCGTGGCTTTTGCATGGCCTTCATCTTGCAACACGCCTATTTGTCGATGGCCGCTACTTTATGCATGAAAAAATCTTAATTAGATGAAGTAAACGAGTACGAGGTGTTCGGACGACAAAAATGCCCGATCGTTGGAAATAGATATCGATATTCCACTAGTTACGGAGGGAGGATGTTGAATTTCTGGCTGCGGTTTCTTAGGAGAAGTCACGTGAAATGCCACTTTTGCTTGTTCCATCGCAAGTTTCTCGTTCGTAAGACATTATTGCATCCATGGATGTAGGCTGAACGACGGGCTGTTGTCACTGCCGTACTCTTGGAGCATGGGCGCAGTCGTCGGCCTGGGGCGTCTGGGATGCGATCGCAGCAACTCCGAGAATGAAACGCCACCTCTTTAACTACACCTTTTTCGCTGTTCTCCGTGCCAGTGAAGCCTGTTTGCGGTATCAAGAACGGCTTTCCAGCGGCAGCGGCCGTGGTTCTGGTTGTATCTTACCATGTGTTCTATTGCCTAGGATAATCATTGCAATGCTGCTATTTATTTATGACATCCGACGCATATACGGCATCCATTACATGGCTACTTACGGGCAGTGCAACCCCCTGCGTTCAACCTTCATGTTTAAACTGTTAATTAGAATAACATTTACATCTACATACAGGGTTGACTACTATACGATCCAAAAAAAGCCGATGGCTGCCGACCCCGCATTTTTATGGCTGTGTGTTCTCAAGTTCGTATGTTAACTCTGGCCTTCCCGCAGTCAGGCTGCATTTTGATCGGTGAAGATACAGAGTAGTGCCTAAGGATTGCCATTTCAAAAATGACCCGCAACCAAATTTGCTGAAACAAGCAATAGAGGTTCTAATACATCGTCTACTGATTATCAACAAATAGGGCAATCTATTATGCCCCCTTCTTTATTTTTAAATGACTTGACACATTATGGGCCCTTTAGGCAGAAACACCTAACACTGATACAACGTGAAGTGTAATAGGATTGACAGGCACTTTTGATGCCAAAAACTGCTTAAACGCACAAAGATGCTCGCTAAATCAAACTAGAAAGCCAAATGATGAGATGGAGGCTCGTCGCTTATCAGGGAAGGCTCTTCGAAGCCGTATAATGGTCTCTCCATCACACGATATGCTGTTTCGTCCATGGAACAGGACCGAGGGGAAGCCGGACTGGAGTCATATCCGGCGACATTAGGCCAGAAGCAGCACAGTAGAAGGCAAGCATCGAGCAGATAACCCCGCTTGCGCCGCCTGCCTTGTTCATTTGGACACTTTGCTTGGGGTGCGAAGTTGCAAGAAAATTGGCAATGGCCAGAAACAGATATGTGAATGCAAGGAAGACAAAAACAAGCAAAGGAACAATGTTGGAATGTATCGACGCCATCATGAAGACAATGGTCAAGAGTGCCCATATGATGAGGAATATGCCCAGAGCGAAAGTGTACGACCGCTCATCTCCGTACGCTTCGCGTATTTTCAGCCCTGGGATTTTGAGCATTGCATATGCCAACCAGTATGCGCCATATGAGGAATGGATGGTGGTGCCCAATGTGTTTCCGACTCGGAATTCCATGATCCCAACAATAACTTGGACCATGCCTCCCATGAACAGAGCAAGGCCAAATGCAGCTTGATCCGGCCCATGGCCGCCCCGTGGATTGGAATCAGGGAGCCTATGGAAATGATTCTTCATGTTAGCCGAAGCTCGCCAATGGTGAAGACGGGCTTCAGCATGCAGGATGAAGACCCCCAGAGGGAGTAGGGGCCGTGGTGTACACTTACCCTGCGCCGCAATTATACATTCCTGCCACGAAGGCTGTGACAGCGAACCCGAAGAGGCCTAGGGGGCTCGGATTGGCAAGCTTGTTGAAGGGCGGCGAGGATGCATGGGAGACGATGGGCACTTTATGTTCCTGGAGTTCATAGAGTGATGAACACTCCGTCTGAGACACCTTTGCGCTCGACTGCACGAGAGGTTGGGACATGTTGATTGGTCGTCTAGTTCGATTATTTGGCTTCGTCGAACTAGAGCTATGATCTTGCCTTACTTCCGGCGGGGAGGTTTAATTCAAAGATTTCGCAGGCAATGGAGGATCGTGAGTCAAAAACAGGGAGATTCTTGAGGAATGCACAGGAATATATCTATCTCAGGAGTTTTGAGGGGCTTTTGGTGGGATGTCCAGGGTCAAATTTTTTTCTTCTTGTCCTTCCAACTCGGCTTGCTTGGCTGGTTGGCGAGGCCTTAACAGCTCCTGCAGCTCTTACTATATTAAGCTTTTGCTATAACTGAAGCACAGAGAGCATTATCTAGCGCGGTTTGGTGACTTATGGACATGAACCACGGACAGGCGCCAATCTGTGTGTATCGCCTCCATCAAATTCCCCTTTTTCTGATAAGGACAAGCATCGTGGTTTGCTTAGGGGGTGGAGACTTGTCAAATGCTTGATCAGCTAAGCTTTGAACTGTTCCTGTTGGCCTCGGGAGCTGGATCCACGAACCAAACGTCGGCTTGGGGAAACGGCATTATCAAGATGCGGATTTCCAGCACTAACTTGTACCTGGAAAGGCTAAAATATGTAGGAACAGATCTTTTGTGGAGATAGATGTACGTAATTATTCGTTATGAACTTCATTTAGAGGGTGTTTTAGCCCCCTGTAGTTACTGACTCGCGCGACAAGGGGAGTGCCATCTCAACTGATAGCTGTCTCAGCTATCGTCTTTCGTGCTCAGTGGAGAAACTGGTTCCTTCTGTGACTCTGACCCTGGAACTCCCCCAGGTTGAGATACAAATCCTCCAGGATCTATAATCAAGGAGACACCGAGCCTCGGTCGAGTGTATTTGCGGTCCACCGCGGGGGCCATCGACCAGCTGTTGTGGAGCTGTTAATATGTCGTCCCGGTAGCCGTCTTAGCTTGATTCCATGACTCGCAAGTTCTAACTAGTTGGCTCTGGTAACCGGTCCGGTACACGTCCGGTGGCGGATGTATATGGCTTGGATCTTTTTGCGAATCAAGATATATCACAAATCAAGGAAACGCGAAGATCGCGAACTGTAAGCTCAAAAACGCCAATGATTAAAAGGAGAAGGCAGTAATGCCATGTGTATGCGCTTCAGTTGCTGGGATCCGTGGCTATCGGAGCACCGCCGTCCTCGTTGTCCAAGTCCCCGAACCCTTCAAAGTCGCTTTCACTATTTTCACTGCCGTCCGAACCGTCCTCTGGCTCTTCTGATTCAGCAACAATATCGGCGGCATCAGCATCGTCTTCAGCATTATCTTCAACAGCAACCTTGGCATCAGCTTTGGCATCATTTGCTTTCCTCTTCAGTCCCATTTCCCCTAAGCGGCCATCACGGCCATTGATTTTCTCATCCCCAGTCTCTTCCGCTTTAGGCGGTGGAGTAAACCAAGGCAATTTCCCGCGGAGGAAATCGTTGATGACCATCTTTGCAACACCATTACAATCAGGCTCACCACCCTTCAGTAACCGACCGCCCTTCCGAGCTAATATGCTCAGGAATTCCGTGGCATCTGTGAACCCCTTGATCTCATATGTTCGCTCAATGTGGCGTTGCTGTGTCTTTTTGAGAATAGCGGGAATGTACTGTTCTGGGTTCTCAACATTCTCAACTCTGACAACGCCACGTAGAAGGATATCCTCCTCGGTGGCAGTATTGCTTGGAGGTACAACTCCAGGGCAATCAATAAGGTAGATTCGCTTCATCAAGGTGATGTATTGCCATACTTTTGTCTCACCAGGGATTGGAGCAACAGTGCACACCTTCTTTTTCCTAAGGGTGTTAATGATAGATGACTTTCCTGTGTTTGGGTAGCCAATAAATCCCACTGATATTTGCTTGCGATCGGAATGGAGAATCGAAAATTGACGCAAAAGTTGGATTAAGGAACCCTTCCCAAATGAGTTGTTGATGTTTGCATGGAATGCGAGTGTTGGGTACTCCTTTGATAAAGTACGAACCCAAGCAGCCTATGACCAGATATTAGTCAAATGTGCCAAGATATAATAACAGACATTATATAGAGGAGGATATATGAGATGTTACTAAGAGAACAGCTATCGTGCCACAATAAAGTGGGAGCGGGACTCAACTCAAAACAAAACACACCATGCCCTTTGCGACAATGCCCTCAAAACGAGAGCAGGTCAACCTCGACTTCAGAAAGAAGCCAAGGTTACGGGGGGGATTGATCTGCCATAGCGGTAACAGGCCGGCTTCCATGGAAAAAACGGCAAAAAGAAATGCGCAGGAAGCAGCCTTGACAAACGCGATGGCACCTTTTATATGATGGGAGAAGAAGAAATTGGGGGGGGGGATGGTATAGACTTACAGCAACACTAGTTGGGACCAAGTCACACTTATTGAGAACGAAGATCAGATGTTTGTGTGGTGCCTCATCTTGTATGTATTTCTCAACACTTCTGCATCGGGTTCCCTCAGGATCTCTGGCGTCAAGAGCATGGATAACGACGTCAGACGAATCAATAACTTTGTAAAGTTCGTTCCAGATTCGTTTACTCTGACCCTTTGTGAAAATTGGTTCTCTGGCAGCGGTAAGCTCTCCACTAACGCCATCGGCTCCATCATCCTGAGCATCTCCTGAAGTGCCGCTGAGGAGTTTTGCCTGTTCAAGACGATCCACGTAGCTGTCATGCATCTTAACTGTCTCTCCGGCAAGACCCTCGAGAGTATCAACACTCAGCTTAACCCGCTTTCTCTGGGCCTTGGGTCCAAACGTGTCGCTAAATGGAGCATTTTCAACAGCAATCTTAGCCTTGTGTTGTTTTAGTCCATTGGGAGCATGGCCGTCCTGGATGAGACTCATTGGGAGCTTGTTCGTTTTCAACAAGACTTGATACGGATCAGCCGCCTTTTCAGCCACAGCCTCCCGGAACGAGCTCAGGGCCTCTTGGGAGATGACTCGAGTGTTCCCGAACCACTTTCTGTTCGGTTCTATCCGAGCACTTGGTTTTTCTCGAGACTGATACGACGCAGCCTTTGTGATTTCTCCACTGGCATTTCGTTGAGCTTTGCCATCCTTAAACATGTTAAGGGTCTTCACCTTCTTCGCATCTCTATCAAGGGCACCTGACAGTTAGTATCCAAGTCCATACTATTTTGTCATAATATATGGATATAATTCATACCTGTAAAAATTTTCTCCCTTGGTTCGCACATTGCCCATCCCATCGTTACTCTTCCCCTGGCGCTCTCGTCGAGAGGCCTCCTTCTTAGCTGTTCCCATCTTCGCAGAGGTTCAATGATACACTCTGCTACTAGTGAGCAAGGTCGTGTGTCTTGTGTGAAGTTTTGTGAAAACCCCGAGTTGTTGGTCTGCGAACGAAGAAAAAAAGATTTTCGATTTTGTGCAGTTTTGCCAAGATTTTCCATGCACGGACCACGCTGTAAAATCAAACTTCTCTCAATTCTTTCTCTCTCGTGTCGACGAAGACCTTTTTCTCTCCAGCATCACAGTTATACCAGGCGAGCGACCGCCGCAATTGATTCACCATGGCGTCCTTACTGCGAGAATGCAGTGCGAAGTCGTCCATAGCACTATGTCGGACCTGCACAAACCCCGGGGTTCAGTCCCGTTTGTTCTCCTCGACTGCTCGCATGATGGTTGGCCCCGAAGCCCCCAGCTATATCGAAGTACCACAATCGATCCAACCCGATCTCCCTCGTCGTCCGCAGCTCAAGGGTACTCTTCCTGTCCCCAGAGAGCTATTCCCGGCCAATCGACCCGACAAACCTACCGAATCATACATTTCAGACGCTGCACCGTTGCCGTCAAACACAACCCTAAAGGTCTCACCAGACCACCCTCAATATGAACGTCTCCAATGGAAACAGAAAATGGCAGAGAACAGGAGGAAGAACCTGCGTGAAGGTCTCTTGGAGCTACATGAACGCAAGAAAAATTCTCACCGAAGAATGGTCGCCAGGAGCAATACCAGAGAGAATCTTCGAACTCAAATCATGAATCAGCCACCGCGAAAAGATGAACTTCTCACAGCACCTACAACGGTTTCGGCTATGAAACCCACCAAATGCAAGGTACTACCGAACCCGGGTGCAGAAGAACGATTGGCGCAGTCAATTGTAAAAGTCCAGGAGGCTCAGGCCGCCAAACGTGAGGATATGATGAATTCACTCCACGAACTTTACGTGAATGCGCAGAAGTTTATCGTCAACGAAGAGCAACTCAAAGCCGAGCTCGAACGTGTCTTCCCTGATAAGAATAACCCTGACTGGGCTAATGGACGTCGTGCTGGAGACAGCATTTGGAACTTGGGTCCCCCACCTACTATGAGTTCGCTGGCCTACCAAACGAAGGATGAGCTGACCAAATGGGAAACCGTGCAGCGACGAACCAAGAGACTTGCCGAGGAGCTTACCGGAGGCAAAATATAATAATGGAGGCACCTAAAGCCATTATCATTTTTGATGTAATCATAGCATTGATTGTATAGTAGATTTCTTTTCTTCTGGAGTGAAATTTAAGGGTTTTTTTTCGATATTATTATCATAACGCAGCTACCATTAAATCCCTTTTTCAACATTGGGTGCTCAGAAGGGGATAGAACTAGGCACTGGAAACTACGTCGCCTGGTCTACACGGTTTCCATGTGAATAGGATGATCCGTATACCCCATTGCCTTGATATAAATCTGAGCACTTTCGAGGACTCGCTTCCTACTATTTCCGATGGTATCTCGCCCCTCGAAGCCGCCATATACATCTTCAAAGTCAAGCGGTGCAACGGTCTTCCAAATGCGGCTGACGGCATCTGGCGGAAGTGGTATCTAGTTTGTGTGATATCGCGCATAACCGATGCATCCGCAGGTATGGAAAGCGGTCGGACGCAGAAAGACAAGTGCAAACGCACAAAAAAAAGAGATTTCTGCGGCTAAATAGCTCATAGACTGCTTCTCTACTTTCCTTCCGTGGCCTTGTTGGTAAAAAAGAAAACGGGAACCGATGAAACAGAATATTCGATTATCGACCGTGGTTTCGCAGGGTTTATTCCAAATGAATATGCCTCACGTATAGCACCTCTTGACGCGGCCTGTTCGAATAACTTATCCAAACACAGCAACTGCTGCTTGCATATAGAACCTGAACCACATCGCGCTAACTGGCATCCCAACCAGCGAGGTCGTCGTCACTGGAACACACCCCGGCACCCATGCCATGGAGGACGAACGTCTTGCCAAAAGTAGGTTCAACGACATACAGGAGTCAATAACCGTTCGTATTCCCAGTAGCCGACGAGCCAACCAGGGCAATTGATGTGCTGCACAAGGAGATGACACTCCGGCTAGCTCTCTCTCCCCTTGCCGACATGCAACGTGGTTAGTGCCCAGCGATGGGATGCATGGGAACTTAAACGACCCAATATCGACCCGGGGATTGCCGGAAGAGCGTTCGCTGCGATGCAAGTGTACATATGTCAGGATATAGATGCAGCTGGCCGAGGCGACGCAGTAAGCCATCCGCGTGTCGACAGCTGCATCCGCAGGAGTACTTCCGTACTATATATATCTAGATAGCGGTAGCTCCCTGGACATATACCGCTGCCAGCGTCAAATCATCCCTGTCCCTTTGAGATATGCAACTTCAACGGTCTGTCCCATCCATGCTCAGTGGGAGATTGGAACGGCAAGTGCATTGCCAGAACTCCATTAGGTCCATCTCCCGGTCAACTGGCGAGTGTTTGTGCTTTGCGTATATGCGGATGTGTCGCCTGGCCGTCAAGGATGAGATGCAGGCTGTTTATGCACGTAGTTAGCAAGAGTTAGTGCTTTCGTTTCAGCGAGAACATCCGCATCAGCGGAGGTTGTAAGGCAGCGATACATCGACCTCCCATTGCTTTCGTTCATGCAAGACGAGCTACCCAACCAGGCCGGCCATCGCATCACATCAACATAGCATCAACATCGCATCTACATCAAAGTGTCTTCAAAGTATCGAGATATCCGTCCTATCACGTGATAGGGGAAATATAAATCCGGCCTCGAGAAGAGAAAGCTGAACCGCCAGCCTTGGATCCCTCCCTCACCCCGGCCCTCATCTAAGGCTGACTTCGACTCTACGCGGGCTCGCAGGGCAGGGCAGGGCGGGCGTCGGCGTCGGGGTGAAGGTAAAGGACGGCAAGCTTACCGCTACTTCGCTACGCGAGCCTCGCAGGCGTGGACGGAGGACTGGAGAATCTATCCTGGTGGAGGCAGAGTGACGTCTTCTCTCTCTCTCTCTCTCTCGTCTCATCTCTGAGCAAAGTACTCCATACTCCATACTCCATACACCGTTGCTAGCGGACGCTGTATCGGTACACGGCTTCCTCCAACTTCCCTCAACACCTACACTACGGAGTACCTACAAACGATCGTCAGATGGGCTCCAATTTTTTTATGACGTATATCACCGTATGACGGTACTCGAACCACGATGATCGGGATGTGGCCGGAAAGGATATACAGGATGGCTTTCTTGCGGCTCTCTCGTCGACCTTCCTCACCCCCATAGCCAGCGCAGCTCGGGTTCAACTACTCGGCATCGTCTACTTGACTTTTCTTCCTACCTAACCTTCGACCTGACGGTAGGTCGGCCGCTTGGCAGGGCCAGCGTGAATATATGGGCAAACTCTCTCTCGCTCCATCGTGCCTGCACGAGAGCGGAGAAGATATGGATGGTATAATAGCACGTCGTATATGGGTAGGCAAAACAATCCAGTGACCAGGTTGGATTGGCGCTTATCCTCTGCCCAGCGAAACACAACTGCGTCAGATACTGTTGATCGCTGAAAGTCGTTATTTAATGCATTTACCCTTCTTGCTGTGAAATTACTTTACTGTGCAGTAATAGTAAATACATAGTATAAGGGGGGTGGATGTATCCCGTAATATTCGCCGCCCTTGACGTCTGTTCGCCAGCACCGTCGACCGTCAATCAGCGATTCGACGAGCGACGCCGAAGGGTGGGCATCATCAGCTGCCACTAGCCAGTTTGCCGCTGGCAGATGGAGTACTCCGTACAAGGGGACCGACGTGACACACCGATGGGAGAGAGCGAAAGGGGGGTGAAAAAAAACACAGTTATCTAGGCGGGAAAAATCCAACTGCCGTTAAGATTCCGTGTGTGGGAGCAAGTATATATGTACTCCACGAATTCCTGCGAGCATTGATCAGCATACGTCGTCGATCGGCGAGCTTATAACAGTTGCCAGGCCACTTCGATATACCTGGAGTTGAACCCCACGCCAACGAACGCCTCAAATCTCTATACTTGTCTCTCGATCTAAAGTCTGCGGTAGCAGCAACCTTCTCGCACAGGTTATCAATGATATCTCGCCCTCATGGCAATTTAGGATAATGGGGGCGAATCTACGCTAAGAAGGGCAAAAACCCGCTCTAAAATAGGCTCCATCTCCTATCCACCATTCAGACACTAAAAAGGGGTCCATCCATCCCTCTCCAACCCAAAATCTGTCCTTTTTCACCGGAGAACGCACTATTTTATCGCTCAGATACGCCTACGAGGGACGGGAATACGCTTTACCGACAAAAGATGGCGTGCTGTCAGGCGACAGGGAAAGCTAATTGCTCGAATAAGGTTGGCTCTCACCTCCAGTTCTGGTCGTTTTCCCTTCTCTGTCCAAGGAGAAGAGAGGCCGAAAAGGCCGGTTCACTGACGCCGGGACAGGACAGCTCAGAGAGAGCACGAGTAGGCGAAAAGCTAACCGTGGAGAAACAAGAAAGGGGGTGGGACACAGCACACCTGTTTCTTGATATTGCTGGAGATCGCATCCCCGATCGTCTTCCAGAACCATGCTGGAAGGAATAAAATAGGCAAACTTGAAACGTAAAGAGAGAAAGAAGCAAAGAAATGAATATGTGCGGCAATTTCATCCATCTGGGATGAAGGATAAGTCTGATTCCAGCTAACGCTTGCATGGGACACAGGGTAAAAAAATAAAATAACTCTCTTTTCTATAGCCGGTTATTTGTCAGGGATCCCCCACCCTCTGCCAAATCCCTCCGCTCGTTTTATACTTTGCATGTATAGTTATCGGGGGGGTGGTGTGCTGTGCGAGTGGGATGTGGCTGCCTGCCTATTAATTTGGCCACAGACCCAACGCCAAACGCCAGCAAGAGGGCGTAGAAAGTTTCCAGAAGAAGAGATAACCGTGCATGTTCTGCAGCAGGGCAGCAACGAAGGTTAAGAAGGCCGATACCTACTTTCAGTTAACCCTAATATCCTATGCCGTGGTACGTCAGAGCCGTGGGCAGAGTCGACGATGCTATATATAACTGGCTAGGAGAGACTTGGCGGAAAGATCAGCCAGCCGAAGAGCAATGACGAAAGACGAAAGGATGAAACGATGAAAAGAAGAGTGTGTGTGATGACTCCTGTTAATCATCACTTTGCATAGTTGGAGTTGCTGTGGACTCTGCTGTCTCCGAGTGGTGGAGAGTTTGTAGATCAACAGGGGGTCAAGAAGGTGTCGGTCGTGGGATGGAACGATGACGATTGCCCGTATTTCACTGTACATAGTATCGAGGGCGATACATGCCATCGTCAACCATCGCGGCTCCGGCTTGACGCTCTTCTGATTCCAGCCGGGAACGCAGGAATCATCGAGGGAATAAGGACAGAGTTCGACATCCTTTTTTGATCGAACCGTTGAGTAGCGTCGGTATACATAACATGCCAAAGCCCCGTGCATCCCGAAAGTATATGGCTAAGAGCAGGGAAGGTCGATATTACCACGGAGATACGTAAAATAAGGATAGTATAAATTAGATATTGGCTTAACGGTGAAGCTATACCTGGTCCTCCTGTCGGCCAACGGGCGGCTGCAAGGCGGAGGACTAGAGAGAGACGAGAGACGACAACGGACGAAACGGACATGAAGCGCTGCTTCCCCCCATGCATGATCCATGATCCATCCAGCTGGGACCAGCCTGCATCACGATGGCTGTGACGTGTAGGCAGAGCGCAGTTGAAGTCGAGTGCAAGTGAGTAGAGTAGACGCTGAGTGGATGGAAGTACGAGGAACCCGCTGCCCACCGGATGCGGCGCCGGACGGTTAACTGCTCGACAGCTTCATTGGCCGTCTTCCTGTCCTCTGTCTTTGTCTGTCTCTGTGCTTCCTCTTCTGCCCCTATCCTTCCACTGCTTCCTATGCGCTGAAGCGAGGTCACATCCCCGTCTCCGCAGTTCCGCGTTCCGTCGCCTCTCCCATTTGTCCCATCTGTATGTCCGTCTGTCTGTACCCGTCTGTCCCGTCTCTGTCATCCTGCCATCCTCGTAGATGTTGTAGTGTAGATGTGTGTAGATGTCGTGAAAGAGCCTTACATCTTTAAATACGGCCTGTACCGCCGCTTACGAAGTCGTACACAGGGCCCCACTACTGCCATTCTCTGATTGGCCAGGAGCAACCTTTGGCCCTTTCAGCATCAGAGAGCGGCTTCTCCCTCGCTTTCTCTTCTTCTTCTCTTCTTCTTCTTCCACTTCCTCTTCACCTCTCCTTCTCTTCTACTTCTCTCCTCTCTCACCTTGTCCCTCTCCTCCGTGCCGGCCTCGATTTCAATTAATACCTAGCTGCTGCCCGCTCTCTGTCAAGCGGCTGGCTCGTTTCTCTCTCTTCATCTACTTATCTTGTCACCACGGCAGAGGTAGAGGAGTACTATCACTTCATCTTTGCCTTCCCTCGAGCTATTCACGGCATGCTCAGGTAGACGTCGTCAGGCACTGTCTCTTGATTTGTCAATCGTCCACCTCCTGCTCAGCATTCCGCGTTCCGCCTCCTGATAGCGCATACGGGTACTTTGTCCTGTCCTTCCAGCTCAACGAGATATCCAAGATATACCACCTCCTACCTACTTAAATCCAAGGCGGCCTCTAGCTGCGGCAACATGGCTGCTGGTGCCGGTTTGTACAACTCCTCAGACCCCGTCCGTACAATGCCCTCCCCCGCGTCGAACGAGAACTCGAGCTCCAACAACACCAGCAATGGACACCATTCCACCGCGAACCACGACAACGACAACTCGCAGGTCTCCCCGGCGTCCTCCTCCTCCTCTTCGTCTACCTCAGATACGGAGTCAGAGCGGAAATCCAGGGCAGACCGTCCCCGCATCGCCAGCCGGAAACCAAGTGCCTCCATACTCGTGCCCCGCGACCATCCCGAGATCGAGATCCAAAAGGAAGAGTTCCCGCCAGACGATGCTCGTGCTATGAGCCCGCGAAGGAACTCGGCCGATGTCGAGAAGCTGGGTACCCAGGCGAGACATACGCTTCAGGAGTGAGTACTTCTATCCCTGCTATCGAGAGGGCTTTTGCTGACCGCGCGCAAACAGACAAGCAAAGACGCTGCAGTCGTCGTTACAGGCGTTGGCCGAGCGGATTGACGAGGTCAAGTCCGATCACGACAAACTGGAGAACGAAAACCGTTTCCTGCAGGACTACATTGGCGGCCTGACCAGGACCATGTCCACCAAGACCGAACTTACCTCTACCAGCGGCGCGGGTAAGGGGAAGAAGTCTCAGAAGTAGACTCGTGGACGTCATCATGCACGCACCGCACACGGAAGCCGATGTGAAAGGGTCGCCTCAAACACTCGAACCGATAGCTTTTTTACCCAGCCACCTACACCGCTCTAACCTCCACACACTTTCCTTCCCCAACCCCGAACCCGACCACACATGGCACGCCGAACAAGGGACGATGTCACCGGGGAGAGCATGGCTCACCCCTGCACCACTCCTCATCCCTGTCCTATTACTTAATTGATGACCCGGTTACGCTTTTATGACTTTCGAACAACAGCACCCTTAGCATAAGCCGACACCTCTCTCTCCCTATCCACCTCTGCCTATTCATTTGAACCAAATATTTAATATGGAATCATCATCATGGGCTATTTCTCCCTCTCACCGCCTCTGCTTGTCCTGCGATGCTATGCTATGTGATGCGATACGTTGATGCTACATTTCGACAAACAGAACAGGGCGCTAGAAGCTACTTTCCCGCGTTTTCCATTTCCCGTCTCTGGTTTTTTTTACCTCGACGCTTGTACTTCTGGCTGTGGTCTGACTATCGATGGGGTTTGATTTTTATTAACAATGATCGGCCGCGATATAAGATACCCCGTTCGTCTTGTCCCTTCTTCGTGTCCTTTTTAACCTCCTTTTTTCTTGGACTACATCTTGGCCTTTTAGACATTACTCTTATGACCTTAATTTTACTCTTAATTCTCTTCCTGTCCTGTCTCTTGTCTCTGCTTTCTCTCTGGTGAAAACTGTCCAGGGGTCGAAAAAGACGGTTTGGGAGCACGCGCCCCCGTGACCGACCATGTGACCGTCGACCCGCCGCCACCTTTTTCCCTTTCTGCGCCTTCTTGAACCCCTTGCCCTTGCGTCTCCATCTTTCCCCCTTACCTCTTGACACCAAACGGAGGGCGAGGAGAGAAGACAAAGAGGCGACCCCGGATTCCGACAGGCTGGGGAGCGGACGCGCAGCTGACGCACATCGCTTGGCTGCCTCGTTAGCCGGTCGGTGGATTGGATGCCCAACGAAACACGAAAACGGGCCATAGCAGCAGCCAAACCATCGCTGGTAGCCGGCGTATCACGGATCATGGATCACGATGTCACGAATATAGGCCCTGCCGCGGATCAACGACGGCCACACACACGGCGCTGTCAGACCAGGACGCCACAAAGGCACGAACTCCTCCGATGGCTTGAAAGGTCCGACTGACTTGGATCCAACGGCTTTCCTCCCCCCTTCCGTCTTTCCCCTTCTCGTTTTCCCCTTTCTTTTCTTTTTCCGCTTTATTCCTGGTATGCCTTTCCTGGCTTGGTGGCATGCATGCATCCATGCATGCGCCTGCGTCTGCGTCTGCGCCTGCGCGTGTACTTGTGTACGTGTGATGTCATCGGGTAGTTACCTGCGGCAGGGCACCGTTTGCAAGCACGACGACGCGTTTGGCCGTTTCTGATGCCGCTGCCCTTTTTTCTTCTTTCTCTCGACTTCCCTCAACTAACCTCTACACTATCTTTTTTGGGCTAATGGTAGGTTACGGGTTGGCAGGGGGATGCATGCTCGGTTCCCCCCACTGTAGCCGCCTTGCGTTTGCTTTCTTCGTTTCCCTTTGACTTCCCAAATTGAGTCAGGCTGAGCCAAAATACTCGTCAGCCCAAACAAACAAAAAAAGTTATTTCTTTTCTTTCTCTTTCGTGGACACAAGATACAGACCCGAACACGCGTTTCTTCCTACATTACTCCAGCTCGACCCGACTCGACTACCTTGTTCTGTTCTGTATCTATAATGACTTTCATTTGTGATCTGGATCCGGGGCAAGTAACTGGTTTTCTTCCCTTCATTCGTGCTCCTATCAAAAAAAAAAGGAAAAACTAAAACAAAGAAACTGCAGGGAATTCTAATCACGTCGCTGGAATTTACTATTACCTCTGTTTGATCCCTCTATGGACTGTTGTCTTATGATATTTCTTGGTCTTAGAATAAATGAAAACGCAAAAGCTGGTTTAAATCATACGATTATTATATGTAGATTACACCGTGCATATACGGGGATGAAGGTATGGGCCTTGAATAACCTGATATCCGCATATAGATGAGTCTGGTACTCGTGCAGAATGCAGTGCAGGAAACGTAAAACATATACCCGGTGTAATAGCATCTCATCCCATCCCCCTTTATCTCATAACTTGTACTTTGTACTCTATACTTGGTGGTCCAAAACCTGCTTCAACCTCCCTCCTGCTCGTGAGACGTCATATATACCAACCCTCAACCTGCTGCAAGCCTCACTTTGCCCACCCTTTGTTTTCTCCTTTGTTTTCTCGAAACTCCAGACCGTGCCCCCTCTCACATATATCCTTCCCACGGCCGAAGCCTATCCCATCCCTCGTCCTCATCCCACATCCCATCACATCACATCCCATTCCCTTGCATCCATCCCACCGTCGTCACCTTTGCTTTTTTTACCGTTTCCTTTTTTCGCGCGATCTATAGGTTATGTATCATGCAAGCAGCAGAGGAATGCACCCTCATGTGCGATACCAAGGACACGCAGGCTTCAGACCCGTTGGGCCAGCACAGGCGGAGACTGGTGGAAGTACATCCCCGCAAGCAGCAATACATATGTGACCTGGGATCGGCCAGGGTGGTTACAATACTTTACGAACACCCTTTCAGTATATAACATGTACTCGAAATTTCACGAAGCGGGCCATCCACAGTCGAGATGTAGGGTATGGGCATGATAGAAAGACGAAGACGTGCGTTCAGCTTGTAGATGGTAGGTAGGAGTATTGGTATTGCGGTTGGGCTTTGGGCTTGATATTGAGACGTCACGGCTAAGCTAGTAGGTAGAGGCGTTAGATCAGCTTGATAGCGACTGGTCAGTGAATAGATAGCGGTGAAGATCCAAGGCCTGCCGTTTATACTATTTTGCTATTAAAAATAGTTTTGTCGATGGTTGGGTTGGATTAGTATTAGGGGTAGCTGGGTGGAGAGTACGTATGTAGTAGCGTTGGAGAGACTATGCTGAAGAACAGCTAGACTTGCTGTCTGAAACGGCTCCGTTGGTGTCTTGGTGTCTTGGAATAGGGGAGGGAAGCGCGTTAACCACTAGAAAGGAGATTGGATACGGTGCATCCTATGATTTACGGTCTGAGATCACGGTGATGTATGGGGCAAGGTCAATGGTTGCTTAGACGTCTACGTCTACAGACTAGAAACCACAACCTAGAGCTACCAGTATAAACTAGTCAACCAGTAGAAGTACTTGTATTTTTATCATAGCCGCAGCTGGCTGCCTTGAAGATATAGAAATGCCAGACGCAAGAAGTAGAATGTGAAACTGCCGCGTTGGTTCCGTTTGTGTGTACGTACGCGCAAAATCTAATACTATCAAACCTATTTTTGGTAGAGGAAAAACACTTGTTCGAAGGGGGGACTTGGAAGGGGGGGCGATAAAAGGTAGTAGTAGGTAAGAATGTAGAAGGTAAAGGTAAAAGGTAGTGGTACTTTTTTCTCCCTTTGGTGTTTTTTTTTTCATGTTTTTGTTAGGCCTTTTTCTTTTCTGTCTTTTTTTTGGGTGTCCCTTCTCCTCTTCCAGACGTTGGGCTGGTTATCTCTTCTGGTCCCTTGGGGGTGGGTGGTTTAAAGAAAATATTTTTCCCATGGGCATGCGGGGAGAGAGAGAGAGAAAGAGGGAGAGGGAGAAAAAATACATCACTAAAGTCCCCCCCAGGATCGAAAGCAGAAGAACTTGGAAGTAGAAGGGAGTTTTGGAAAGAAACCTAAGTGACATTATCAATTAAAAAAACGGGGGATGGGTGGGCGCGTGGTGGGTGAATTTGGTTTGGTTGAGAGAGGGAAGAAGATGAAAAAAGGGGGGAAATGGCAATAGCATCATGAACTCCTCCGATCTAGAACTAAATGCTCATCCTAACCCATTTACTCCTTGGCGGCTTCCTCGGTGGCAGCTGGGGCTTCTTCCTTGACCTCAGCTGGGGCCTGGGCGGCCTGGGGTTGAGCCTGAGGCTCGGTGGTGGGGTCGGCTTCGGAGGAAGTCCACAAAGTCTATAGTGTGTGTCGTTAGTATCGATGTGTCACACACGAGGCTTAATACATGTGCCTTACCAAGTTGTCCCTGAGAAGCTGCATGATGAGAGTGGAGTCCTTGTAGCTCTCCTCGCTCAAGGTGTCGAGTTCTATAGGTCACGAGGTTAGTATCACGTCGTATGACTAGGAGAGACTAGAAGGAAATTCGGATGTATCAAACGCACCAGCAATAGCGTCGTCAAAGGCCTGCTTGGCGAGGTGGCAAGCCTGGTCAGGAGAGTTGAGGATCTCATAATAGAAGACGGAGAAGTTGAGGGCAAGACCCAAGCGGATGGGGTGAGTTGGGGCAAGGTCAGTCTGGGCGACCTCGGTGGCGTTCTTGTAGGCAGTCAAAGAGTTGTCGGCGGAGGCCTTGCGCTTGTCACCGAGAGCGAACTCGGCGAGGTAACGGTGGTAGTCTCCCTTCCTAGAAGCGGGAATTTATTAAGATCTGTGATGTGACGGGAAGCAGCCTTTGCGACGGGGTATACATACATCTTGTGATAGAAGACCTTGGACTCTCCGGTCTCAGCAGAGGCAATGAGGTGCTCGTCGAGAACCTTGAGGATATCCTCACAGATATCGGCCAGCTCGGCCTCGATCTTCTGACGGTATTCCTTGATGAGGGTAACCTGAGCCTCGTTTCCTTTCGATTCTTCCTTTTGCTCGATGGAAGTAACGATTCTCCAGGAGGCACGTCTGGCACCGATGACGTTCTTGTAGGCAACAGAGAGCAGGTTGCGCTCCTCTACTGTTAGTTCCCGATTCGAGGAAGCGACAATCTTCATGTTCTGGACCATTTCTAGACCTAAGAGTCAACATGACGTTCCGCTGGGAGAGGGGCTATGTAGATGCGTTTACCTTCATAACGCTCGGCTTGCTCGGCCAATTTGGCAAGGTAGACGGCATCTTCGTGACCCATGGTGGCTGATTTAACTAGAATACTGTTGACGTTAGTATCATGATGCCATGTATCCGGTGTTGATGTCGTGGATATTGATATCAATATCTCGTATCCGATATCCGATGGCCAAAAATGGGAACATGACTTCATAGACAGGGGTAGGGACTGTGCTCGTCACAGAACAGCGGTGTACAGGAATGTTATAAGCCTCTCTATGAAGCACTGAGCCCACAGTAACAGATAGAAGAAAGTAATAGTCCTGTGTATGATGCTGGTGCTGTTGTCCGGCATGCCACCTCTACCAGGCCTCAACCAGCCGAGAGATCACAAAACCCCCCAACAGCACGGCCCCGGGCGCGTTACAGACTCGAGGCCGAACAGACCAAGACCCGTTTGAGAGCAGCAGAGGCATGCGACATGGATAGAGGCAGTTTGCACACCACACAGACAGGAGTGATGGCGCTGGCGTTGAGGATTGGCGCGCGGCAGGCCATTTAAGAGGGTAGCCCCCCAAAGTGAAACAAACGCAAGGACACTCGAAGATGGGGAGATCCAGGGAGAGGCGACTCACCTTTGAAAGAATAACAGAGTCGAGGGGGATATACGGCAGAGACTCGAGGCGGACGGGGAGGCAGCAGTTGGGAGACGAGGTGGTGGTAGCTGTTCAGAGGCAGGCGATGTGCTGGGGGAACAGAGGGGATGGAAGTGGATGGAAACAAGTGAGGTTTTGTTGGACGCTGAAGGCGCAAGGGGAGGTGGAGTGTTTGCCAAAAGGGGCTAGCTGCTTAGTCATACATACACATCAACACTACACATATACTCTGTACCATTAATTAATATATATAAGAATAGATATATATAGTAGTAGTATAGTAGTATAGTAGTATGAATAATATAAGTAATAAAAGTAAATATATACAATGACTTCTTACTCCATACTAGTATGCGGTGGTGGTGGTGTAGGCTGACTCGTGACTTGAATCAGGTGATAATAGTCAGGTGATGTCGGAGTAAAGATAAGCCGAGCCGAAAGATAACGAAGTCACGTGGAAAGGTATGATCACGTGCAAAATATATCACGTGTAGTGTTATAGTCACGTGACAAGCTAAACCCCTTTAGTCGAGCTCCACCTTCCCGCCAAACAAGAACGAAAGAAGAAACAAGAACGTTCGAGCTTCAACTTCATAGACAAACACACAGCAGTAAGCATCCCCCCTCCATCTATCTTGCTTCTATATCAGTATATATCGACTCCAGCTCAACCGCCATCATCTTCCAGCAGCCGTCTCGTCCAATTCGCCATGTTCCAACTCGCCAGACCAGCTCTCCGCGCCAGCAGGCTGCCAGTTACCCGCTCTTTCTCCGTTGCCGCCGTCAGAATGACAGAGGGCTCTACCGGTGCTCCTCGCGCCGGAGGTGTACAGTCCGGGTTAGTAGAAACCGCCTACTCCGGGTCTTCGGCCGGACATCTGCCCCGTCAGCCCGCATCCACGCCATCCGTTGGCTAACCATCTTTGATACAGTGACGCCTGGACCAAGAAGGAATCCGCCGAAGAGAACCTCTACGTGAAGAGGAAGGAGACCGAAAAGTACAAACACCTTTACTCTATCCCTGTAGCTCAATTGGGGCATGCCATTGAGTTGATCGCTAACCGGTTACACTAGGCTCCTCGCACTCAAGGAGAAGCTGAAGCAGCAGCGTGCCCACCTTGATGAGCTTGATGCCCACATGTAGGATCCCCCATGTACCACCAGGAAGGCTAGAGGTCTTTAACTAACGTTGGCAACTATAGTGACGAGCTCACCAAGAACCAGGGTGGTGAACAGAACTAAATACATAGTCAATATGAACGAGGGTTGATATACAATCAGCTTCCTGCTTTGAAATGAATCCTATCTGCCATTTACTCTAGTACATAGTCTGTGTTTTCTATTCTCCACTCTCAGCATTTGTATTTGCATCTTCACCACAACCTGGTACCCATATTGCTTGAGATAGTTTAGCCTCGAAAATGAAAACATGTTGTATCATAGCGAAAATTAATGCCCCGGTTGCAGCGAGGAGAGAGTAGATAATAGATGTATGCTGTACATACATTTCATTGCTTATGAATAGTCATGTTGCAGGCACTTACAAGTTGACGTGTTTATACGGCCAAAGGCGAGACATTAGCCTCATAAAAACAACCAATCATCATTCCTCTCCCCTCACTATTTTCTTCCGTAAAACGCCCAAGTTAAAGAAGTGTATTTATTTGTTCTCAAACGAATCCCCCATTACCAGTTGTACAAGTCATTGAATTTCAAGCTCCTGGGTTCAAAAAATAAAGTGGAAAAAGAAGCTGGCTTTAGCATATCTCTACCTTCGTCCCATGTAAGAGCGGTAAAAGTCTTCTGCAGCTCCTCCACTGCCACCACCAACACCGCGTGGAGCACCATTCTTGAACCCGCTAATAGAATTGCCGAGTTTTTGAGATGCGGTGATCTTTGCTCGCAGAGCTGCCGTTCCTTGGTCGATGAGTTGGAGCTGGGAGAGGTGCGAGTTTAGGATGCGAACAATTTGGGAGATCTGCGTTATATTATATTAGCTGGATGCGACGCTTGTTATGGTAAAATATAGGAGCACAAACCGGTTCATCAGCCTTGCTGGTCTTGCTAAGAGTTGCAGAAGCGGTGTTAACTTCCTCAATCATACTAGTTAAATCCTGGCCCATTTCATTCAGGCGCTCTGAAAGACGTTCGGCAAGTTTATAGCTATAAAGGTTCCATTGTTAGTTAACTGTACCACCACACGCCTGTGCATGCGGAATCAGAATCACTTACGTTCTTGCTCGTTCCTGATCGGGCCCAGGAAGGTTATCCCCCATTCCAACCTGTTTAGATAGCAAAGTCTCAACCTCCTGTTCATACCGATCAAGCCACGAGCTTAGCTCATCCTGCTGGCTCTCAACGGAGGCGAGTTGCCGCTCGACCTCCTGCGTGGCTCTTTCAGCGTCAACAGTATTTCCGTACAGCTTCTGCACCTTTGTGCCATTTTCAACCAGCATCCTGTCCCATTCAGCCACTTGTTCTGCTTGTTCTTGGAACTCCTTTTGGTATTTTGTAAGGTCTGTCGCCCAGCGAGTGATGATCTCATCCATAGTCTTGTTTTTTAGGCGTGATTGAGCTGGTGGAGCCGGTCCTACGGTCGATGCTCCTAGGTTAGTTCCAGTAGTTCCAGCTGCCGCAGTGGCTGGTGCAGTGGTTGTGGTGGTGGCTGCGGGCGCAGAGGACGCGGGAGTCGCAGCAGAGGCACCAAACTTTGGAGCACCAGTAGATGCCGCGGTTGTAGCCCCAGAAGTGGCTGTCGTTGTGGCAGCTGGGTTGCCCATGTTTGCAAACATGTTGCTGGCCGCTGGTGCAGCAGCAGCGGTAGTAGCTGGTGTTGTGGATCCAGTAGAAGCTGTGGGCTTTGGAGTGCCAAATAGTCCACCAGATGGCGTAGCTGTGGTCGTAGCCGGTGTAGTTGTGGATGCTGGAGTACCAAGGGAAAATAGAGGTTTCTGGGTGTTGCCGCCTGCTGTGGAGGTGGTAGTGAGAGATGTAGATGGTTGGGTTGAAGCTGCGGGTGTCAGAGAGAAAGCTGGCTGACTAGAGGCTCCGGACGAAGGTGCGAACAATGAACCTGACGATTGGGTGGTCGCAGGGGTACTTCCGGCTGCTCCAAATAAACCTGTGCTTGCGCCTGGTTTCGGAGTCTCCGCACCTGGCTTTGACTGGCCCAAGTTAGTGAATAGGCTTCCAGAGGTAGTATTAGAAGTATTGCCTGCTCCACTGGCGCCGCCAAACAAGCCGCTGGAAGGCTTCGTTTGTTGCTGTTGGCCTGCTCCGATGCCTGAACCGAAAGTTGGAGCTGAAACGGCCGGGGACGATGTAGATAACGGGCTCGAAGTGCGTGCATTCCCAAAGAGGGTTGATGGAGCACTGGATTGTTGTCCAAAAGATGGCATTTTTGGAGCATTTGATTGAGCTTGGGGAGGTGGGCCGGCGGGTGTTGTTGACGTAGTGCTGAACAGTCCTGACTTCGTGGTAGCTGGAGTTGTGCTTCCAAATAGACCGGAACTCCCTGTTGTAGTATTTCCACCCCCAAATAGGCCCGATGGCTTCTGCTGTCCTTGGGTTGCGGAATCTGGTGCTTTATTTGGGGTCGCCGCGCCTGAACCAAAGATGGGTGAATTGGTTTGCTGGCTCGATGGTTGATTTGGGTTATTAAAGCTGAAAGTACCGCCAGTAGAAGGCTTCTGCGCGCCAAAGAGATTGCTTGAGGTTGCGGCTGGGGTTGCTCCGAATAGTGAGGGCGATGAGGTCGAAGTCTGACCGCTTGCACCAACGTTGCCAAAGAGGCCGCCGGATGAGCCTGAGGTTGGCTGACCAAAAGGGGACGAGCCTCCGCTCGTGGATGCGCTTCCAAAATTCATATTGAAGGAGGGAAATATCTGCCGGTTTGTTGATTTCTCGCGATGCAATAGAGGACTGAAATAGAGTGCAGGCTCGCACGACGACACGGCCAATACCGCTGGTGCGAGGAGTAGAACGAGGTCGCTAGAGCGCGCTGTACAATGACTCGAAGTCCAATCTGCGTGATAGAAAGGCAGGCGCCGAGATGCAGGCTGGAGACGCGGGCTTCTTTCTGCTCTCTCTCCTGGATGTTTTCTTGAAGCTGTAGAAAGATACAAAAGTTGAAGCTCGAAGTCTAGCTTATATAAGCCGTATGGGTATGTGACATGATACGTCCTTCTTAGTGTGTATTCTATAGATCGGTAAGATACCAAAACACGCCGCCTTTGGGCAGAATTTGGGCCAGAAACCCCCAAAGTTGCATAAAACGACATCTACATCCACAGGTTTGAATCATAGAGAACTGGGTCATGGTCGCAGTAGTTGCTCGTATACTGCGTCTTTGAACCTGTATATACCGATGGCTGAACAGCGCTCTCGCCCTTCCAGCGTACTACTGGAACCTCCGCCAAAGGGAGTCGAGCTAGAGGACCCTGGAGCGTCAGATCATAGTATGCCTGCACCCCCCCTTTTGATGGAAGTAATTCAAGGATGTATCTGTTTAGCTAACCCGTTTTAGATCCAGAGAGTGACGATGAGCATTTTTCTGATGCCACAGAGGGCCAAGCTTCTACCTCTCGCCGGCCATCCCGGTCCCAATCGCCAGTGCCACGAACCCGAGTAGAGAAGATCGATTCCTCCCCTAGACACGGGGAGATGCCTGGGTCACCAGCATACCAGCAGCGGCTAGCAGATGCTGTGCCAGATGAGATTGATATCATTGGGGAGAAAGACAATACTCAGCTCTCTCCACCCAACCCAGAACGTCCTCTGACCCCCGGAGGGACGCCTATACCCATTACCATCGTAGAGAAAGTCGACCCCAGTTCGCCAGCATATGGCGAAGAGCCAGGGACACCGGCCTACGAATCACGGAAGGCGGACTTCCCTCCTGACCGGATTTTCAAGCTAGGAGACCCGAGAGCAAGCCCCCAGCTCGTCATGCCTGAAAATGGACCCGAAGATGCTATCAGTGATAGCGATCTTCCAGAAACGCTGCTCTCTCGGGTCGAATCTTTACCCAAAGAAGGTGTGAAACGACGATTTACTGCGCACCGTAGGAAACCAAGTGATGCAGCCCCAGATGCCGAGGAAATAGTACTTGAAGTTCCAGGTAATTACCGTCTCTTTTTAATTCCCTATACTATATTCTAGAGGAACGATTGACCAAACCAGGACAACCAATTCCTGCTACAAATAGCCCTGAAACCCAATCCCACAGCAGCGACGAATCAACGCAACTAAAAGACGGCGATACTACTCCAGATCAGGGGACTGGAGGTGGGGCTGATAACGATAACGATGATGCTGAATTTGGCGACGATTTTGATGACTTTAAGGGCGGGGATGGGGATGATGACCACGACGAGTTTGGAGACTTTGATGATGGCTTTCAAGAGCCGGAAGAGACATCAGACGCCGCAATACCAGAACAAACTATCCCTTTACCCCAGCCCTCCAGTCAACCTATATTAGTGAGCTACCATATAGTCTCATTACACTCGTCTCAAAATTTTATGCATATAGAAACATCGCTAACCCCATGTCAGCCGCCTCTTCTAGATTTCTCGTCCCTTAAATCACTTCCAGATCTTCTTTCTAGCACTTCTGATCACCTTGATACCCTATTCCCCAATTCTGCAAATATATCTTCATTACCGCCCGTTGAATCTTTTCCTGACTCCTCTGCAATATTTACTACCGAACGCTCCTTATCCCTTTGGTCCCAATTAGTCGCCCCTCCTCCACTACAACCTCCCAACTGGACCAAATCCCGTATTCGTCGCCTGTTTCTCATTTCCCTTGGTGTCCCTGTTGACTTGGATGAAATTCTCCCCGCCTCAAAACAGAAGAAGCTTGTCCTACCTTCTATGAACCGTGACACTGCCCGTGTTTCAGGAGAAGAGCCATCAGGTCACGGCGGTACATTACTTCGTTCCCGAAGCAAACGGAAGCATTTGGACGGACAGCCACGCTCATCGACATCCCTTGACTCTAACCGCTCACCATCGCGACCTGTCCCCTCAACCCCTCGACGGAAGGGTAACACCCCGCCCCCAGAACTGGATCTCTTTGCCACTCGCCGTCTCTGCGGCACTACAGATGCAGCACTCGACGGCTTCACCGACAAAGAGGTGAAAGAACATATCCAGAAACTAGAGAAGATGACTGTTCGAGCCAGTGAAGTGTTGGAATACTGGTTGAAGAAGCGAGATGGTCAGCTTGGAGAAAAGGAGGCTTTTGAGGGAGTTATAGAGAACCTTGTTAAGCATGCAAGGCAGGTGAGGAAATGAACATTATTAAATGAGCGATTATCATCCACATCCCTTGTATAGTGTCAAGGGATGCATAAGTAGCAATGGAAAGAAAGTGTAATGATTGAAAAAAGTTATGCTTCATCTTGGAATTTCATGAGTTAGCATGGATGGATGCTTGGAGCAAGCGAGTTCAAGTTTGTCATTACCCAGGACATAAAAAGAGGAATGGAGCTGGATTCAATCGGTATTCTTTTTTTATACCTTATACCTTATTGCATCAACTGTGATAGTATTTTATATTTATATTTTTATTGATAACCCCATTATAAGTATACCCCCCCAATACTTGTCTTATCTGGAGACTTGCTTCCGATATTATGCTATTCAAACTACAACCACCAATACTCCATACTTATGGTGAAAAACAATATGGTATTAAACTCGCTTGGAACGAAATGGTTGCTAGTCATAAACATATAGGAATATCGATATCGTCAGTCATAGCATGTAAGTAAATGACAAGAAAATGCACGAAACAAATCAAGAGCAGTAGAAATAAAGATATGCATCATAATAAGAATATGTTGTCAAATAATCGCTTTCACAAAGAGGGTATCAAATAGAAGAAAGGGCGAAAAGCCATTACAAGAAGAAGAATTGATCCCCTACCCCTTAAACAATCACCCCAATTTGTCACATTGAAAAGAAGAAGAAAATGAACAAATGTAACAATTTTAGAAGAAAACACCGACAAACATATTCTATGTTGGTGGGAAAGGAAATGGCAAATAGCTCCGGAGGGGTATAATGATAATAGCAAAACAAGAAAGACCCCTGGTACAAGAAGGCGAAAAGAAAACAAAAAGATAATGATATCAGTGATTATTGCGGCGAAATGGTGACAAAAAATGGGTACTAGGAACCATTTAATCAAGACAGAATGAAAGATCAGACTTGATGTGTTAATCGAGTTCGATGACGTTTGGTGGCGCTTGTGTTGGCGTAGGACTCGAAGATGCATCGTTATCCATAGCCGTGCTAGATCCTCCAGCTTTTACAGACGAATCTTGGGCGTTCTTCGTACTGGTTTGACGCATGTTGATATCCCAAGACCGATCGGCTCGAACTTTAATAGCAGTGGCATCATCCAGCTGCTTTCGCTGTATTAACTCATCTCGAACGTAAGCTAGGAATTGATCGATAATCAAACATTTTGGGCGCGCGTCTTCGTTGCAAATCGGACATTTCCAGTCCTCTGCCATCCCATGTGGGCCCTTCAACGTTCGGGATTGTCTTGTATTAAGGAAAGTATCAAGGTCGAAGCATTCGCTGTGTTTGCAGGAGACTGTGCGGACCGGGGTTACGAATACTCGCGCCATGAAGGGGTCGATGAGAGGAACGGTGATGAAGTCGTCGATGAAGCAGAGTTCATCGTCGTCGATTGTGTTGTTTGTTAATCGTTTGACGATGCGATCAAGGGATGTGGATTGTGATATAGGTTGTATAGCTTGACGTACTCGTTGACGTGATGCCGTATCGATTATCTCCACTGCCATGGCAAATATGGAAATTTTGCGCTCCTCTTCTCCACCAAGGATGGTTATCTTTATCTCATTCTCACCCCGTTTTAAAGACCGGGTGATGTTCACTGGTAGATCTTTCGCGAAGTGGAACCGTCGACGGATATGATGTTCCTGTCCGTTGACATGGATGTAGATGGCTTTTGGCCAGAAAGAGTCTGCCACTACCCATCTCTCCTCCGTCAAGGGTTTGGCATCGGTGAGCCGTACACATCGGAGTTGGTATATCTTTGATCCATCGATAATGCCTTGGGTAACATGCAGTGAATTGCGTGACTTGAACTGTATTGGAAGCTTTGCAAATTCTTCGGGTGGTAGAGTTAGGGGCCATGTATGTAATTGTTGGTGCCAGTTTAGCAGAGTAGGGGAAATGGCAAAGGACTCCACATAGTGAAACAAGGTTTCACCTGGCTCGTTGGAACCGCTTTTGGCTAAGGATACATTGACAACCTTTAGGTGAAGCTGATGGAGACTGCTGTAGGGGGTTGGATTGGCCAATATTAGAGCAGGCGAGTTTGGGGGAGGAAGTAGCCGGGCCTGCTGAGGCTGTGATACGAGTTGCGTATACTGTTGGGCAGGAGGATGAGCATACACCTGCTGAGGAACCATGTGAGAGGTATTGTTGTTGAACGTAGCCGTTGAAACGGTAACTGGTGCGCGAGTGGTTGATTGGTATGGCTGCGCGGGGGTAGAATTGGCCGCCGTAGGCGCCATACTCGGGGAAGCGGTGGACATTCGTGGCTGTAAGTTCGCCCGGCGTTGGAACGGGGGCGGCAGTGTCCGCGGCCGTGCCTGGGTAGCTGCTGGTGCACGCCTAGTCTGTTGGGTTATCGGTGGAATGCGCACTTGATGAGAAGCAGGGGTATGGTATCTAGAAGGCGCCCGTGGTATATGAATGGTTGTTTGCTGTGGGTTTATGGGCTGAGTAGTAGCATTGGCGGCGGCAGCCTGAGCATAGGCTGTAGCTGCCCGCTCATACAAAGTTACCACTGTTTTATTTTCCTCCTGAATCTGCTTTATGTAAATGGGGCTGGGGATACCCAGCCTGGCCTCACGATTGTGAAAATACATGTAGTTTTTGTCGAAAACTGCTTTCCACGCCGCATCCAGTCCAGGTCGATGCTCGGTAAGAGTCTTAGCGCTGGCCGTGTAGAACATGAACTGCATAACCTTTGAGTATACTCCGAGCTCGCCGGCAATCTCGTCAATCAGAGGGGGGTAATTCCGTAACACCACTTTGGTAGCCAGCATGGGCCAGGTACGGATAACGGACGGTGCCCAGGATATAATGAATTGCACTGCTTCTGCGTAATTTTTATTTTGAGCAACTAGGGGCTCAAAGCTGGATGGGAATGCGCTGAAGTAATGTAAGAACATGTTGGAAAGGGGTGAATTCAGCCTCATCATATCGACCGTTACTTTAATTCCATGTTTTGCCAGATCTCCCAGACCTGGGAGTGGTTTGGGAAGGACGGTGGACATGCAGAACAGCTGATGAAGTGCTAAAAATTGGAGGTCTTGCACCATACAAGCATCTCGAAGCAGACAGATATGGATGGACTCATGTGGTTTGAAGAATGGCATGATGCTGGTTAAGAAGGGTATACAAGAGCTTAGAGCCTGCGGTGAGAGGTCAATGGGCGGGTTCATGAGGGGTGGAAGGTTACCGGCTGGATTTTCACTGGGCCCTCCACTGATGGGCAACGCAGCGGGCTGTTGCATGGGCTGTTGCATGGGCTGTTGCGTGGTGGTTGCTTGGTTAGTTGCTGGCTGATTGCATGCCGCCAGGCGTGGGCGTTTATCTCGATGTTCATCCCGACTGCCTGTATTCTGCACATTGGCCTGGGCGGTCATAACATGGTCCACTGGGGAATTTGTCGTAGGGCTGACTAGAGGGCTGCCTAGAGAAGTTGAGATGTTCTGGGGTAAAAAGTTTACAGGCTGCCGGGGAGAAGCGGTTTGGCGTCCCTCAGGAGGAAGTGACTGCAGTTGAGGAACCTCAGCCACCACTGGCCCAACACGCGGCGTAGTCACTGTTGGATCAGATTTGTGACTCAGATTTGGTGAAGGGAGTGGCTGCACTGGCCGCTGCACTGGCTGCTGAGCAGGATCTGGCGTAGTAGGTATAGCAGTGGGAAGCACATTATTTGGAGACACTGGAGAGTGGCATTGCGGGGGAGATCGAGCATCCCCGGGCTCCTCAGAAACAGGCGTAGGCCGTCCTATATCTCCAGCTTGCTGTGCACCTATATCCGTGGGAGACTGGGTATGAGAAGGGCGCTCCACCCGTCCCCCATGGCTGAGGACAGGCGTGATAGCAGGCTGTGAGGGCCGGCGGAGGTTTGGCAGGCTGTTTGTCGTATTTATCTTCTGCATCCATGCCTTTGGCCGGCTTCCTAAGAATTTGCTGGCCGTAGAATTTGACGCGACCAGCTCAGTATCACCAGCCTGTCTTGTTGTCGATGAAGACCGTCTTCTAGCATTAGGGGATATCATTTTGCGTCATATCCCAAAAGCAATATGAGCCAGTTACATCATGCAAGCGGCAGCTTATGTGTTATTGAACAGCTGGCCCGACAACTGCTGCGAGATGGCCTCTTTATAAACAGAAGAAAATAATTGTGTTTTGGCGAAGGTGGAGCAAGCTTTATGGTGCCCCTCTGGGTTGGTATCTAGACAATAAACACTAAAGGACGCGTGAGCCAGGCCAACTGCCTAAGGATAAAGGGCTAGAAGTCAACTGGACAAAGGGAGAGGAACAGAGAAGGATATCCGCAGGGAGAGAGAAGGAGGAAACATTTATATTTATATACTCACCGACAAGGGAAAAAGTGAAGTCGAAGAAAGCATCGCGATTTAGAGTTTCGGCTCGTATTGAATGTCGATACCGTCAGTTACCGCTATCAACAGTCACTTTTGCCCTAAGTGGGGTCGGCGGGAAGGTATTCCTATTACCCTTGTAAGTTACGCGGACTAACTATCTTCCGTCTTAATAATCAGCTTAAGTAAGATCTTATGTAATCTTCGACTTACGTAACCATGGCCAACTCACTCGCTTCTTTCCTTGCTTCGTCCCACGTCGGGCCATCTTGTTGCCATCTCGCTCTCTTCTTCCTCTTCTTCTTCTTCTTCTTTCACCTCCTGCTGCTGTTGCTGCTGCAACGATGTTCATCGCATGCCCGCCGCCTGCGCATGTTGAGTCCCTACTGCCTGCTCTCGCCCCTCTAGCCGTCGTCTGTCCGTTGCGCTCGCGTCGCCTTCTGCTCGGTTAGTTAGAAGCAACGTCAAACTATCGAACCAGGCCAGCCACCCCCCCCGGGACGTTGGGCAGCTTCTACCAGAGCCAAAAGCATCCTCTAGGGGATTGAGTTTACCAGCTTTTGCGATATATTACGGTCCTACGCTCTCGATCCGTGGTTTATCTTCTATCGATCGGTCGTACTCTGCGGATTGGAGTATCCCACCCCTCGAACTCCTGTCACAAGCTTGCCCCGGGTACGACTACTGGAATCGGAACGCCCTCCGAAACATAACAGCTCGACCTGCAAGCTCCCCTCGCCCCTGCAGGACCCATCCCGGCTGCTCTTCTTGCGGTCGATGCTAGAGCTAGCTTCTTAAATCTCGAAATCTGCGGTGCCTCCTTTTTTGCCTTACACTCCTGAGGGCTCTCGTTAGGATAGACACATATACTCGAACATGCCACAACGTGCAACAAGCTCGCGCGATGCCCATCCCGGTGACGTGCTCTTAGTTAACCGTCAGTGCTCTCTCCACAGGCTCTTTGAAGATAATCGTTGCTGACATTCTTATGGACTGAAATAGACGACTTCGATGCCCGAGGCGCAGACGAGCTGACCTTACGACGAGGCGACAAGGTTGAACTCCTCGAGCTTGATGAAGGGTTTGGTGACGGCTGGTACCTTGGCCGACACGTCTCGGAAAATCGAACTGGCTTGTTTCCTGGAGGTTCGTTGTCCTCATGACTTGCATTGTAGCCGTCATGTTTAGTTGGCTAACTCCATGTGGCGCAGTTTATACGGTGATCGCTCCCAAGATCGGCGTCAGGAAAACAAAGGATGGCTCGCCATCTACTACTGCTTCCGCCTGGGATACGTCCGTCCATGACCCCGACTCACCGTCCCTACAGACGGGTCGCGACCCTGTCTCTCCAGTGTCAAATGACGAGACGACACCCCAGCCGTCAAGGCACGTTAGTGCCATTGACATGAAACCTTTGTCTAACGCGGATGGTGAATCTGAAGGTGGTGTCACAGCTGGCCCCGCTACGCAGCGTCCCGTCTCTGCGAATTCTATGCAGCCTCCATCAACCATCCAACGGACCATCAGTGAGACGCTGGGGAATATGAGCATGAATGGAGGAGAAGACAGCCCGGTTCTGAACGAAACCTTGAGCGTGATTGACGAGCACATCACCAACTTCAGCACGCCACGTCATAGCATCGCAACCCAGGAAAATCACAGTTTGAATGATTCTAGTAGCGACTACAGCAGCTACCCAGACCACCGCCTATCCTATATTCGTGGAGAGGAAACCGATGAAGAGGAAGAAAGGACTCCGAGTGAAGCCGAGGTTCGAAAATGGGATCATCGACAGATGGCCCGGCACCTAAGAGAAGTCGGAGTCGACCCAAAACACTGCGAAATATTTGAATCACAGGAGATCTCCGGTGATGTCCTTCTCGACATGGACCAGGAATTCATTTACATGAGAGAGTTTGACTTTGGAGTTATGGGTAAGCGACTCAAGACCTGGCATAAGATAAGAGCGTTTCAGGAAGAGATCCAGGGGCCAAGGCACTTGAGGAAATCGAGCTCCCATCCATCTGAAGACTACGACCGGTCGCAGACCAAGTCGGTAATGTCTGGCTCATACCTTCCTCGTATCCCTAGCCTGAGCGAACGACATCACCATACCCCGCGAGGCTCCAGAGACCGGAGTGTAAAATATCGTGACACCTCCTATGGTACACAGGTCCCACCTTCACCACTGGGCCAGTCACAGGAGAACGAGATCGTCAAACCATCTCCGGATTCCATACGCCAGAGCAACCACCACCGATACTCATCTATAGAAAACGCGTCTGTCTTCCCCTTGGCCGATTCTAATGCATTTTCTGCCTCGAGGAAAGCGCCCGCTCCGCCACACGAGAAGAAGCCATCCTTTGACCGTGGTTGGATAATGAGCCCTCCATCAACGGCCAACAGCAACAACCAGCGGCCAAGCAGCTCTCTGGCAGCCACTAAGCAGTTCTATAAAACCGAGAGCAACCGAACAGAGTCAAACAACGCGCTAGACTCCGTTGATGTCGATAGGGGGTATTTCTCCGGCGGTGACGTTGAAGGCCGGAAACAACGCAGAGTGCTGCGAAAGAGGAACTCTAGCAAGATAAGCTACAGCCACTCTAGACACTCGAGCTTAGCCGCGTTGGCAGATGACAAGAAAAAGAGGCACTCTAGATTTGGTAGCACGGGTTCCATGCGAGATCTGACTCCCGTGAAACCGCTGTATCCGAAGACACGCTCCCAGGATGTCACGAACAGCGCTCTTGAACTGTTCGAAGACGAATCTCACTCACCTACCGTTACGAACCTGGAGCCAACTCCTGAGTCCCCAACTGGATTTTTATCCACCCTCGTCGGCTATGGTAGATCACACCATGATAACTCTGGCCGTTCGTCTCCTGGTCCCACTTCTAGTTTGAAAGCCATTACACCAAAAGTCAGGCGAACGATTGGGCTCCGGGCTATTTCAGATGCTGTTACAGGCAGCGAGAAGATCCGTATCAGCTCGCCTGTCTCCTCTTCTGTGAGTAAGGACATGCCGCAATCCCCCACTCGAACAGACTCCAGTACACCGTCAGGTACTGGAACGAGTAGAAGCTTGGAAATGGACAGCGCGGAAAGCTCAAAGCTAGAGGGCCTAGCCGCAACGAAGAATGGAACACAGCGAACCAAGTCGAAGAAAGATACTAGCGCTTACCGCCGTGGGCTAGAAAAGAAGAGCCCCAAGGAGCAGATGAAGGACGCCGATTATTACGGTTGGATGAAGAAGAAGTCCTCCAACCTAATGACAACATGGAAGCCACGATTGTTTATTCTCAAAGGCCGTCGGCTGTCGTATTACTACTCTGAAGACGACACTGAAGAGCGTGGCCTTATCGACATTTCTTCCCACCGCGTCTTCCGTGCCGACCAGGATGCGATTACATCTCTACACGCCACCCTAACCCGAACTAAGGCCCTGCCACCTACCCCATCCAACGATGATAGCCCCCCTGAAACAGCAGCCGAAGGGGAGGAAAAGCCCGACACATCTAAACGAAGCAGTTCATCCGAACCGCCGTTCATTTTTAAATTAGTTCCGCCCAAGGCTGGTCTTTCTCGCGCTGTCCAATTCACCAAACCAGCTATCCACTTCTTCCAAGTCGATAACATCCAACAGGGCCGTCTCTGGATGGCAGCGATAATGAAAGCTACCATTGAACGAGATCTGAACCTGCCAGTCAGGACGACAAACAAGCAAAAGACAATAACCTTAAAACAGGCCCGCATGCTTACCCAAACATCTCCTACGCCTCCTCTGGATTCTACGTCAAGACCACCTAAACCAGAGGATGAGAGTTCTCGTAACACCTCGGCATCAAACAGCGCGACTCTCGCGCCAACTGGTGAAACTAGTACTGATGAGTTTCAAAAACTAGGAGATTTGGATACCGGGTCGTCCGCTTTGTTCCCTGAGTCGGCTGCTGCACATGCCCCCCAGCCGGCGACCTAAGTGGCCGCCTATCAGGTCTATGACTTGCGTATTGTATTACCTTCTTGTCGTCATCCCCGGCGACAGAATTCTTATTTCCACTGCATCTAATTTTCCTATTTCCTCCGGGCGTGTCTGCTTCCACCACTGCCTACAGCAATATCTCTCTTTTTTTTCCGTCTCCTTTTCACCCACTTGATTGGTTTAACAAGTAGAATGTTCGAGCATTACGATTGGCGTCCCCACGGATATACCCTTTCTTTTTTATCTTCTCCCTATATATTTTACTCTCTGTGTCTCTCTCTCTCTCTCTCGCTTAATTACCTCCTGCCCCCAATATTTTGGAATCTACTTTACTACTAATGGTCTGTTAATGTTATTAGTGAGCTAACTCACCCACGCTGCAAATTTTACCTATGTCGACGAAAAAGAAGTCAAACGCTTACTCAAATTTACTGGTACTATCTATCTAATACGATCTTTAATATATGATTTTTCTCTTATTCTTTTTGTTTACCTTGTGTGTATTATTTGTACGATAGCTTTTATACTTGGGGTGGAATTATACGTTAACCTTGAGTAACAACAAATTAGTGGTACGGAGTACAGAGTAGAACTCCCTATGATCAGTGAATCCAGAGCAAGATAAATCATTTCATACCTCCTGCAACCCCGTCTACGGGCACCCGCGTTAACGGGAGTATACGCTGCTATATTTACTCCGTACGATGGCTATCCCAGCATCCATCAGCGCCAAGCGGGAGGCGGGTGCTGACATAAATTTAAAGATAAGATTCGCCTTCCATCATTTTCATTCTTACTCTCTCTCTTTGTCTATAACATGAACAACCCTCCCTTCTTTTCTCTCTGCCACTCGTTTTTAAGACACTAGATGCCCATGCATCTGTGTCTCCCCGCGATTCTTCAGCGGGTTCTCGCTGTTCTTCTGCCCCTATCCCTAACGTCGCTTTGCTACCTCTATCTTTACCCCTTATTCCACGGATGCGCCTTTCCTCTTCCAGCTACTACAAACGTCCGCACCGGCATCTACCCTCCTTATACCAGCGATGCATTTCTAAATACCGTTCGAGATCACATCGGGCTACGCAACCGAGCACAAGAAACGCCCATACTAGCACCATTCCGTTTGCTAGTTCTTGCCGATCCACAACTTGAAGGCGACACTTCCCTACCAAAAGCCGGTGAAGGGTTCATACCACAGCTTAGAAAGCATTGGAAGGATGTGATATCTGCGGGTACGGGTGTGGCGTTCTTCCATGCGGTTGGGGACAGTTTTCGAGATGTGGTCTATATGGATATCCCGCGACTAGCGAATACGCTCCGCAAGCAGCTCGATCTTATAGGGAACGACTATTATCTGGCGCATATATACAGAACGTTACGGTGGTGGAGTCGTCCTACACATGTTACTGTTCTGGGGGATCTAATCGGGAGCCAGTGGGTATCAGATGAAGAGTTTGGGATACGCTCGTCGCGATATTGGAATCGGACTTTTCGTGGAGGCGTGAGGGTTCCTGATGATATTATGGCTACGGGGGAGGCTGGATATACCCAAAAAGTGCAAAAGGGTGTGTCTGGAGAAGTTATACTTGACATTGAGCCCGATACTTGGTCTAATCGAATTATTAATATTGTTGGAAATCACGATATTGGTTATGCTGGTGATATCTCTCAGCAGCGAATGGATCGATTTGATAGAGAATTCGGTCGTGCAAATTGGGACGTTCGATTTAATTTGCCAGCTGCAGAGTTGGGCCTCGAAGCCAACAATACTGATAACATGCCGAGATCAGTCCCTTCTATACATCTGGTTGTCCTTAACACTCTCACCTTCGACACTCCCGCGCTTGACTCTTCAATCCAAGGCCAGACATATCAATACCTCAATGGTGTTATCGATAGATCACGCCCGGTCGAGGACCGCACGACGTTTACTCTATTGTTGACTCACCTCCCACTCCATAAAAAGGAGGGCACCTGCACTGACCCCCCATATTTCTCTTTCCATGAGAGAGATGATGAGCGTCTAGACGGTGGCGAGCCGCGATTTAAGGCTGGAGGTCTGAAGGAGCAAAATCACCTAAGCGACTACGTTAGTCATACAGGTATCCTACAAGGCATATTTGGGATGTCAGGGGACACCGCTTCTCCTATCGGTGGAAAGGGACGGAACGGTTTAATTCTAACTGGTCATGACCACACCGGATGCGATGTTGTTCATTACGTGGACAGAGAGACGGCTAGTGATGGTAGTAGAACTGACGCTGAGGGAAGCACGCCAGCCGCTACTTGGTCATGGAACGCAAAGAAATATTCCCGGGAATCATCTTCAAAAGTATCAGAATCAGCCAGTGCCTCTGATCCAGCTACTGCACCTTCATCCTCTCCATCTATCCGAGAGGTTACTCTACGCTCCATGATGGGAGAATTTGGAGGCAATGCTGGACTTCTATCTGTCTGGTTCGATGCCGACCCCTCCGTCCAAGAATGGAAATATGAAATCACCACCTGCCAGCTAGGGGTTCAGCATATCTGGTGGGCGGTTCACATCGTTGCACTAATAACATTCATAGTTGCTTCGGTGTGGATAGCTATGTTGGTGGTTTGCGGAAAGTCCGTTGTCCAAGAGCATAAGGCCTCGATGCTGAAACCACCAAATGAAATGTCACCGAGGAAGAGAAAATCAAGGAGTAAATTACGTTCGGGAAAGGGCACACCCAGGAGTTCGACGCCTAAGAGGCAATGAAGTATGATGAGTATATATATAATCCATGCATCTATTCATCCCAAGCATGTTGGACTTTCACATTACGATATAATATGCATTGGGGGCGTTTTGTTGATACTTAGCATTTCATCCATAATACCATTCATGGCAATTAGATCTTTTTTTATCATTAACCAGGTATATAGTCGTATGATGACAACTGAACGACTAGATTTACCACCTTGAGTAAATACCTTGGTGAACCCAATAGGTTCCTATTCACTGGATCTAGCAGTGAAAATTGTAACAAGGATATATACAAACGCTTGAACGGATGTTACGAATCAATGGGAAGTGCATAGAGCAAATTTACTCCTGCCGGCTAGTTCGTGACGACTAGGAATAACTACGGTATCCTGACACTGATGGAGAATGATTTATTTCGTGTTGCATTCGAGACTAGACTGTATTAATCTCAGCAAAGCTGGCTATATCTCCATCGAGGCTCGGAAGCGAGGCCCGTATGGGATGGTTCTATGCTCTCATACAACAGGGATGAACCGCCAGAAACCAAACACGGATTTGGGAAAAGGCGAGAAGATATGGTTGTATTTTTGCGTATCACATAAAAATTAAGAATCAACGCCCCTGGGTAACCCGTCACCAACCTCTTACATCACAACACCAGAGTTACTGGCAATACGCTAAACGGGGGAGTGAGCAGTTAGTTATGGCTATGACTTGGTGATATGCTCATTGAATTCTAAGAAGTGACTTACAGGCCATAGCTCTGCAGCTTCCTTTCCAACTGGTCCTGTGATGGCGGATCCCTTCATTTCACCCTTGGCGTTGACGATCTGAACATAGTGGTTAGCGTTTATTCAATTGCAATTTGAAACGGCCTGATATTCAGTTGATGGCACTTACAACACCAGCGTTATCCTCGAAGTAGAGGAAAATGCCGTCGGGTCGCTTCCATGGCTTGCTTTGTCGGACAACAACAGCAGGCATGACCTTCTTCCTCAATTCTGGCTTTCCCTTCTTGACAGTGGCCATAACCATGTCACCAACACCGGCAGCGGGAAGACGGTTAAGACGAGCACCGGTGGCCTTGACGGAGATGATGTAAAGATTTCGGGCACCGGAGTTGTCACAGCAGTTCATGACTGCTCCACTGTGTTGACATAGATATCAGTAAAGTTGTTCGAACATATACACTCCAAGGCAGATAATTCGTGGATTTCCGCGCTCAATTCGACTGGTCGACCACTCTGTCTCCTCCTCTTCCTCCCATCTAGCGTTCTATATGCTCATAACTCTCCCTCTTTCTCTCAACGGACAGCGCTGGGGAAATGTGTGGTTCATATGGTTCCATGTGTTGGACATTCGGGTTTGGGATTCGTTATACGTACACTGGAAGACCAAGGGTCATCTTCAGCTTGTTGCCGGACGCACCGCCACGACTATAATCACACAAGCCAGGTTAGCCATAGTTCCTTCTTTCGCGACGCTGCTCGAATGCTCCTCGCCGTCGACTCGACCTGGAGGTACCACACAAGAGAATGCGGTCCAGTAAACGCATAAAAAGAACATTACTTACCCTCTCTTCGACATGATGACAGATTTCTACCGACTCGGGGAAAGGACGTAAAAAGACTGGGTGGTCGTGGAATCCGAGTATTGACAACTTGCGATCTTCAAATTCAGCATTCGACGTTTCCGCAAGATGGATTTCGCTTAGTGTGGGCAGAAGAAATCTTGGCGGTGTTTTCTGGTTGGCCCAAAGCGGCTAGCGTCGTTATATTCACATGACTTACCCTAGACCTAAAAAGACACCGAATCCGGAAGTCATGTGATTAAATAGCATTACATTGCGACGACAGATGATAGGATAGATGAGGCTATGGAGTATCTGCAAAGACATTTCATGTGGTAAAATGCAAAAGAATAAGGAAAAAAAAAAGATTGGACGCATTCACGGAACATGCGTCATTCATAGATAGCCGACGCCTCCTTTCCATATGTCATTCCTCGCCATGCTGGACCCCAAAGCAAAACTCCTAGATGGATTATTTCCCCCCAAGCGCCAATACAGGTACAGAGAACAGTGTATTCAATTTGGACAACCAGAAAACAAAAACCAACGTCTCACTCCGCTTCCTTTGGAGTTTCCGAAGCCTTGGCAGCGTCGGGTATTGGTTCTTTGCCCTCTGCAGCATCGGCTGGCTGTGTCGGCTCTGTAGCTACGCTGGCAGTTTCTGGCGCATTGGACTTCGTTTCGTCTGTTGCTGGGGATTTTGGCGGTGTTGATGCCCGTGGGGGAGCTGTGGCTGTGGCTGCCTCTTCCTGTTCCTCGGCTGGAGTTTCAAGCTCTAGGGTTTCGTCCATAGTAACATCGGCATCCTCCATGGTAGTGTCTCCGTCAACATTTTCCTGTGGGACTTCTAAATTTGAAGCTGGCGTAGAGATGGCAGGTTCCTTCTCGTCAGTCTCTGGAGCGGGAATACCATTGGTCTCAATGGCAGGAACTTCATCATCTTCCATCTGTGAATCAGGGTTGATGGAGGGTTCGACAGCAGAAGGCGAAGGCTTGACTGGCACTTCGGTGTCTTCTGCTTCATCCATCTTGTCTGCCTGGTCAACGTCCTCCTCAGGCATGGATGACTCGTCCCGAGGGGTCACAATGCCGCTGTCTATGATTGAGTCGCCATCTATGTGACGGTAGTTGATGTTGCCTCGTCTTCTCTCGCGGTTTGGCTGGCGGCGAACTCCATTGGCAGCTGCTGACTCCTCGTCTTCACTTTCACTTAGCTCACCATCCTTTTCAACGTAGTTGTCGAAGCGACGTTTTGTATATCGCTTATCTTTATTTTCGTCTTCGTCGAGATCGTCTAGGATGGCATCAGCTTCATCATCCATGCCGTCAACTAAAACGTCTCTTGGGACATCGGTCATCTGAACTGATGGTGCGAAAGTAGTGCGTCTGAGGTTCTCAACAACCTGAATTCGAATCTTTTCCAGGTATTCCTTGGAGTTGGCGTTATCCATGTTCGATGGACGGACATCCAATTCATAATCAGGAGAAAAGTACTAACGTTTTGTAAGCGCATATCCGCAATAAGCCAAAGCAACTCTCTTCAGAACTTACTTCATAATAATCGTTGTAGGGGAGCTCTGCTGGAAGCTGGTTACCGACCAGAACACCAGTCTCATATGCCCAGGTACGAGCAACGTTCCTCATCGTGTAACCGCCACCTCCCAGAATTAGTGTTGGCAGGTTAAAGCTCTTCACATATTTAACGCAGTTTGCATGGCCCCGCATGCTCAAGTTGAAACAACCCAGGCGATCACCAGATAAACTATCGCCACCACACTGAAGGACGACAGCCTCGGGACGGTACCATTCCATGACATGCTTGATGACAGGCTCAAAGATGCCTTTATAGGATACATCATCGATACCATCTCGGAGAGGGAAGTTGACGGAATAATACTTTCCTGATCCGACTCCGATATCGCGAAGTTCACCTGTTCCAGGGAAATACTCTCCGTATTTATGGAAGGACACTGTCATAACACGATCAGTAGTATAAAATGCTTCTTCAACGCCATCGCCGTGATGGACATCAATATCGATATAAAGAACGCGCTGTTTAAAGCGTAACAGCTCGAGAATTCCGAGAACGATGTCTTTAATAAAGCATGTAAGCTCATAGTTCTCATTGTCCAGCGGGGCAAGGGAAACCCACCATTAACATAGCAGAAGCCACTTGCTTCACTTTTCTTTGCGTGATGGAGACCACCAGCCCAGTTGACCGCAATGTCGCATTTGTTCCTGTTCAGGCGCGCAGCACCCTCCATCGAACCTCCTGCGCTAATACCACAGAACTCAAAGAGTCCATCAAACACTGGGCAGTCATCACCCACGTTATAACGACTTTGCTCTTTTGCATACTGGTCCATATTATCGGGCGTGACTTTCGCAAGGAAGTCTATGTACTCGTCGGTGTGGAACTGTGTCATCTCAAATTTGCTTGCGGGTTTCGCGCGCTGTAATCGCGTCAGTATCTTGCAGCAAAACGAGTCCAGGCTGAAAGTAACAACCTATGTAGACTTACATATATCTCCATCTTCTTGTAGAGGCCATAGTTCATCACCAAGCTGTGGGTCATTCGAATGCGATGAGGCTTCATTGGATGTCCAGCAACATAAGCATAATTGCCCACATCTGAGTCGTAAAAGTAGGCGATGCGCTTCTTGTCCGTCGACCCATTGGTGACGGGAGCATCGAGGGGCGCGAACCCGGTCATTGCGGGCAAAGGCTGGAATCAGCAAGCTTGAAGGACGGGTTTTCTATAGACTGGCCCTGCGGAAGCAGAGAGATGGGGCAGGTGAAGGCGTTCACAGAAAGAGAGAAGGCGAGAGACAGGAAGTCGAGTAGTCAAAGAGCAGCTATGAATCCCATAGCCCAAGCAAGACAAGAGCAAATAGCAGCGTAAAACCCGTGTTTCTCGGGATAACTCTGGGGGATATGCGAATGATGAAATGTTCCTGGGCGAAGGGGATGCAATTGACAACTTTGATGACTGACTAAGCAGTACCAGCTTCACCGGTGCTCGGGATTCGGATTATCTCGTCGGAACGCGCGCCTGGTCAAAGAGCTCTCTTGCCCTTGAGGATGCAAGCAAGCACATCAACAACGACAACGAGCTCGACTTTCACCTTTCTTCTTCCTACTCTCGCGCTCTTTGATATCGCCTTGTTCTCGCTGAGGCATCGGCGGAAAGATACCTGTTCTCCGCGTCCGGCATCTTCCTGTGTTTTCATCTCGCTTAAGCTTCGTCTCAAACCACTGACAACCAGCATTCGTCATGGAGCGGTTTAATCGAATGTTGCAGGCCGCACAAGGCATGGGCATGAGCAACGCTCCTCAGGGGGTAAATATATCCGTCCTGTTTCTCTTTTGCAATATTATGCCTCTGATCGTTCAGTATATCTAATGTTGAGCCTATGTAGGACACCCCCAACCTTATTGATAACTCCGAAACCGTTCACATATCGTCTTTAGCTCTACTGAAGATGCTACGGCACGGTCGTGCGGGTGTTCCTATGGAAGTCATGGGTTTAATGCTTGGAGAGTTTGTGGATGAATACACAGTCAGAGTAGTGGATGTATTCGCTATGCCACAGAGCGGTACCGGTGTCAGTGTCGAAGCTGTTGATCCCGTATTCCAGACAAAGATGATGGAGATGCTCCGACAGACAGGAAGGTACAGTGTCCAGCTTCCGGGTTTACTATTATATTAAATGAGTGGTCTTTACTCATACATTTCACAGACCAGAAACTGTCGTAGGATGGTACCATTCTCATCCAGGTTTCGGATGCTGGCTCTCTTCCGTCGATATCAACACCCAACAGTCCTTCGAACAGCTTACTCCTCGCGCCGTGGCTGTCGTTGTCGATCCTATACAATCCGTTAAAGGAAAGGTTGTTATTGATGCCTTCCGGTTAATATCACCTCAGACCCTCGTTATGGGCCAAGAACCACGCCAAACCACATCTAACCTTGGACATCTCAACAAACCATCTATCCAGGCCTTGATCCACGGTCTAAACCGTCATTACTACAGCATTGCCATCAACTACCGAAAGACGGGGCTGGAGGAGAATATGCTGATGAATCTTCACAAACATGTATGGACTGAGGCCCTTCAGATGAACGACTTCAGAGAGGAACGCAAAGAAAACATGGAGCGGCTGCAGAAGCTTGTCGGACTTGCTGAAGGATACGAGAAGAGGGTTAAGGAAGAGTCAGAGCTCACACCAGAACAACTTAAGACACGCTATGTTGGAAAGCTTGACCCCAAGAAACGTAAGTTCACGCTGCAGATCCGGTCGTTATATGTCTTCCACTAATCCCTTTTTTCTGGTACAGATATCGAGGATGTTGGCCAGCAGCTTATAGAGGACAATATTGTTGCCGTGTCCCGACAGATGATCGATAAGGAGGCATCGCTGGCTCGGGATAGCAGGTCCAATGCACGTCAACACGAGATGATGGAAACTGACGAAGAAATATGATTTCGGATGTGTAGCATTATCTTCTCTGTTTCGAAACTTAATTCCGTTATCTCAGGGTCAAGGATAATGGGCGCCAGCATTCTATGTATAGATATCCGGCAATTCAATTCAAGATAAAGAGAAATATTCTATTGGTATATATAAAAACAGTAAATCTTCCAACGCTATCTATACATAAAGGGAATTCATCATATATGCAAACAATAATAACAAATCAACAAAGGGGGGATGCATTCAAAGATTTGAAGGGGCCAGCCCATCGAATCTTCTTCTTCGTGGCCTGGACTTCTTGAACCAGGCCGCTCACTAGGCCACCGTTTCTCTCAATGGACGAATACCCGTCAATCACGACGTGTGTTAACCTTGGTAGGCCACGCAGTATTCCGTTCAGTAGTCGGCATGAAAATTGGGTATAAAAATCCTTGGAAACACGGAACGGCTCGAACATCGGGTGTGACGGGTCACACAGCACCAGTATTTCCAATGTATGAACCCCCTCCATGTACTGGAGCCCAAGTTTCTCATTCACAACCCATGATGCTGGCGGATCGGTCCAGCTCGAGCCCAGGACGAGACGCAGCACCCTCACTGCGCTTTTGTATCGCGGCGCAAGGTCACAGATGTTCGGCACGATAGACGGCTGGTGCTGTATAGGGAATATACGGAACGAATTCGACGAGTAAAGGTATTGCGTTACGTCGTCGTGGAATCGGCGACAGACTAGCAATATACTCGTACGTCGGTATCGGCCGAACGTTGGTGAGGCCGGCTCTTTGTCACTTCGTTTACGGCTCTGTCTTATAGGTCTCACCATTCGAGGTGGGCCCGAGAAGATGTACGAGTACACCTTCATCCGTAACTCCCAGGGAAGATCGAAGATTTTACACTCGTTCCCATGCTCCGGTTTTCCCAGGTGAGCGTTCGTACCTTTAGCAGACGGCGGCGGTATCATGATGGTCATGGCTTGACTGAACAGACGTAGCATACGGTTCTCTCAAGGCTTCTGGGATCCTGGCCACGCACGCAGGGCTTTTACCATCCTCTTGCGAGGCCGAGCTACTGCGAGAGCTCAGGACGGGAGAACGAGCGTAACCGATATGTCGACGCCGACGGAGACCAAGCGGCTCATAGAAGACCTAGCCGTTTCTCTTGGTGGCGCGACGGCTATAAACGAGATAGCCTTGATCTACCCAGCTATTACAACACAATGAGCACTGATAATGAACAAGCACTGTGTCAAATTTCGTTCACTGGGGTCGATTAATAACTTTCTGGAGAAGAGAAGAGAAGAGAGAAGATGGAGACGAAGATGGAAGAGCGAAAGATGAAAAGGCTGAAGGCTTATGTAAGGTCTATGGTTATATAAGCACTTATCACATGACTGCGCAGTTGGTCTCTCTGCGCGCCCCGAGTGCATACAAGGGTCTTTTTTTAGTCTTGGTGAAAGGTGAAGCTTCAGATTTTGTAGACACTTTTTATCATAGACAGAGGCATTGAACCAGCCTTTAATCTCACTTTTTAATACCATGATATAAGCCAATGGGAAGGCTCCTTTTCTAATCTGTCTTGAATAAAAAGAACTACATCACAAACAGCCAACATGCTTGCACGCTCGATACTGCCACTTGTGAGGCAGAGGGCGATACCCGTTGGCACCCGACTGTCACTCGCTACCTCACAGGCCAGATTCTACGCTCGCGATTCGAAAAAGCCATCGAAGCCCAGCGGCTACACGATCCCGTCCTCCGCTCCCTCTTCCGGCCCCCTATCAGACAGCCAGAAGCCTCGAGTGGTCCCTCAACCGAAGACACCAGAAACAGACAAATTCTCGGAGGAACAAGTGGAGTTTGAAACATCTGCCGAATCGCAAAAGAATACAGCTTCTCAGTCAGCAGGCGCCGGCGCGGAATCAAAGCAAGAGTCCTCTGAGAGCCAGGCTGATGCTCTAAACGAAAAGGGAGAGCCAGAATATGTCAACCAACAACCCCTTCCTGACCTGACTCAAGGTATCCCATCTACTTTGGGAGAAGAAGTGGAATCACAGTCGAGACGTCGAAGCGGAGCACTTAATTTGACCGAAGACCCGGAAAAGGCCTCTGAAGACGATGGAGGTCGTGGCGATATTCCAAAGAACGCATACGTCTCGTCCCTTGAAAGACGCAGAAACCGAATGACCAACTTGACCTTTGCCGCGTTCCTGGCCCTCTCTATTGCTGGAACAGCGTATCTTGGCCGAAATTGGGATACAGCGGAGGAGGAAGCGGCGCATCCAGATTCTCCCTCGGGATGGGGCTTTGGACTACTTTTCGGCCGTATACGTGCTCGTATGTCTGATATCACCAGCTACTACAAGGACCCTGCTTTTGAGAAACTTCTACCTGAAGAAGACCCTCAATTCAGACAACCCTACACCCTTGTCATCAGTCTCGAGGATCTCCTGGTTCACAGCGAATGGAGCCGTGAGCATGGATGGCGAGTAGCAAAGAGGCCGGGAGTGGATTATTTCCTCCGATATCTCAATCAATACTACGAATTGGTTCTTTTCACAACCGTTCCAAGTATGATGGCTGATCAAGTTCTTCGAAAGCTTGACCCATACCGAATCATCAGGTGGCCGCTATTCAGGGAAGCCACCAAGTACGAGGACGGTGAATATGTCAAGGTAATTTCCTTCATAATTCTAGTCGTTTACCACGACCTGATTTTTACTTACATGTTGCTCATTCGTTAGGATCTTTCTTACCTGAACCGCGACCTTTCAAAGGTTATTTTGGTCGATACCCATGCTCCTCACGCTAAACGCCAACCCGAGAACGCCATCATACTACCAAAATGGAAAGGCGATGCAAAGGATAAATCACTCGTTGCCCTGATTCCATTCCTAGAATACGTTGCTGGAATGGGTATCGACGATGTCAGACCAGTCCTCAAGTCTTTCGACGGCACTTTCATCCCAGCCGAATTCGCCAAGCGAGAAAAGGCCATGCGAGACAAATTTGAGAAGCAGTTGGCCGAAGAAAAGGCGAAGAGACCGAAACATAGCATTGGTAGCATCAGTTCGCTCTTCGGTATAAAGCCCGCCGGGTCGTCGATAGCTGGTCTTGAAGATGGTCAATCCGGCGGAATAGAGGAGGGAAAGATGCTGTGGGATCAAATCCGCGAGAGAGGCCAGAAACAATATGAGCTGATCGAGAAGGAGATCCGAGAGAACGGAGAGAAATGGCTGGCAGAAATGGCAGCTGAGGAGGAGAAGGCGAGAGAAGAACAGATGAAAGGAATGAAGAGTAGCTTTACTGGCTTCTTCGGAGGTGGTGGTAAATAAGGCACCTTTAACCGCATTTGAACCTGACTTAACGTGACCCTGAAGTGGGAGGAAGGAAAGCATGAAAGGGGTATGTTGATGAATGGTAGGCGAACTTGGGATTATGCTTTACTGTACAGCCAGCCTACTCAACCTATGGATCTATCCGGAGCGTTGTCTATTCCTTCTATTCCTCTTTTTTGTTTTAATTATTCTTCTACAATTGTCTTTATACATATCTTTGCTTTCATCTGGGCGTGAGGATGGAGGATCCCAGCTGTTACTTTCTGCCTCTTCCCTCTACTCCCACCTACATTTTACCGACCTCTACCATTTTTGTTCTGCATTAATCTTTCCCTCTAGACTCTCTTGCATGTCGATGGATGTTGGATGTTGGCAGGTGCACAATAATACTATTCCACTGCTTTGGCGTTTGCTCTTCCCAGGTCTCCCGAGGCCATTATGACCCATTCAACTCTTCGATGCTATGTACTCTAATTTCATGGATGCAGGTGTAGTTACTTTAGGCCTACTCAAATATATTTGCTTCTTGTATACAATATCCTATTCAAATAGCTCTAGTAGATGAAGAGGTATCAAAATTGACGTTTCTCTTGAAAGAATTACTCAAATTCATATCCCCAGATCTAGACCCCTAAATTATACTCATTAACATCCCCCGTTCAACTTCCTCCCATCAGCATCATCTAAAACCTTACCAGCCTTCTTATCCTGCATTAACAGTGTCAATGCTTTCACCAGCCTGTTTGATGCATCCACTGAGGTTTGATAATGGAATACCAGCCTTCCGCCAGGAAACACAGTAATCCCTGCATCCTTACAATATTTAACAAATGCCGCATCTGGTATATCCACCGCTACTAAATCCAAAACAATCATATTGGTTTGGACAGGTAGGGAAAATTTATATCCTACTGCCTCTAGTTTTGCGGCAGCAGCTTTGGTCATGGCATGAACACGAGGGAACTGAGGGAATGAATTGTTAAAAGCCGCAAGGGCGCTGGCAGCCATCATACCAGGCTACACAAAGTTAGTTACGTATAAAATTTGAACAATTGCTTTCAAGAACATACCTGTCTTGTACCACCTCCAAACATCTTCCTGAAATACTTGGCTCGTTCGATGAAGGGTCGTGATCCTAATATTATACTACCCATTGGAGCACCGAGTCCTTTTGCAAGACACACACTGATGGAGTCAAAACAGGCGCAGTATTCTTTCAAATCAACCCCTTCTCCAGAAACTCCATCAAACAGCCTCGCCGCATCACAATGCATGGCGATGGGCTTTTGGCCCTCTGGGACAGGATAATTGCGAACAAAATTAGATATCTCCTTAGCATCCTTCAGGGGAAGGATGGTTCCACTCAATGTATTTTCAAGGGCCACGACACGGGTTGGTGGGTAATGCCCTATTAACCTTGATTAATATTGTTGAATAGAGGTATATAAAGCCAAATGGACAGGTAGTGAATGTCATAGTAAACATACAATTGCCATCAGGCGTCATATTCTTCTTGACATCTTCCAATGTCAAATGAACGCCATTCGCAGGATGAACAGCCGTAACTGAGGCCTGTGATAGAGCGGGCAAGGCACCAGATTCCGCCCGGTGGATATGTGCCCGGTGATCTAACAACACGGTATGAGGAGGTTGAGTCAAGTGGGTGCGCACGCATATCTGGTTCCCCATGGTACCAGACAGGGCCCATAATCCAGCCTCCATCCCAGTTAACTCGACGAGCCTTTGCTCCAAGGCAACAACAGATGGCTCTCCAACATCTGCATCATATATGTCATCGTCAAATGTTGCATCAAGGATAGCCTATGGTTATTTTTAGTTGCATATACACCAATTTCTCTATTACAAATGTATACAGTGGATGAATATTGGTATATGTGCTCACCTGCATCATCTCCTCCGTAGGCACAGTAACAACGTCTGATCGGAAGTCATTCTCGGCCTTTCGAAGTGCAGCCGTCAGATTTGGCGTTGCTTTGTATTTATGTGCATTTCCGTTCTCATTAGTTTGACCATTTGACTGCTGAACAGCAGTGCATGCTAAGGAGGTAGTCATCGTCTGTAAGAATGCTGCTTCAATGGTTATTTGCTTATCGAGAACAGAGACCAGATATTGGAGATAGGTGACGATTCACTATCAACTCGGAACTCCGGCACAGATATAGCAGCTCTCAAGCAGACTTAGCCACCAATAAGGCTTCTACATGAGTATAATTCGTATAATGCTGCCAGCAAAGAGCCTGGGCATTATATCTATCTGCGGGGTCAAACAGTTTCCTCTACCTCGGGTCTGCTTCAGGGCCCCTGGCTGCACCAGGACATGCAACCCATGGTATGCATGGAACCTCGCCTTCGTTTAGAGCATTTCATCAGCGGCTAAGCCGGCGTTAGCTTGAATGCTAGTATCCCCCACGTTATTTATACGAGCCCCGGAGGTAGGTTTGCGGTTGGTGCTTTGATGGTGCAGCCCCGGACCGAGTTCTCAAACAATGACCAATATAAACCTGCCCTGGAACGGAAAAGTGTGTCGGGAAAGCTAGAGCGATGTTCGTTGCGGGAAACTTTTAAGCCTTGTCGGAGAGGGGAGCTGAAGCAACTCCGTCTTGTCATGGGAAAGTCATCGTGATATATTTGAATAGGGCGTGGGGAGAATGCTGCTCCTGCAGAGTTTCGGGGAGGTTCAGCTATGCTATTCAACCCCATCAGAGAAACAACAAGCAACCACCCATCTCTAGGCGACTGGAAAGATAATACATAGTTCGAAATAAGGCACTTCAACTCTACTATATACAACTGCAACATACATACAGGCTAAAAAAAAAGAGGCCGCCCATTAAAGAAATATATACATCGAAGCAAAGAAAATTCCAGATTTTTTTTCTTTCTCTTTCCGTTTTTCTCACTGCAGAGCAGTCATATTCATGAAGCTCGCATCCTGATCCTGTATGCCCGATACGTCCCAAATTCCAGTCATATCAAACGGGAAACCATCCATCGTTCCGAACGTGCCAGATATCGACATCATGTCGTCAACTATGTCGTTGTGTGTCGTTCGATCATACGGCGTCATCGCCGCTGCTTCAGGGGCGTCGGTACTGTGATGGTTTATGGCGTTATTTCTATTAAGCTCTGAAGCTTGCACTACTTCTTCAGTGGTATGTTTGCTGAGTATCTTCTCGCAGTGGTCGAGACACATGTCACCGACATCCCAGTCATTTTCAGATCGCGCCTTTTCTAGGACACCACGGAGAATGCTGACGTTGTTGAGACAGGATCGAGCAATCTCTGGGTCTGATGTCTCCAATGCAGACCGAACAAGGAGGGTCGCTGTCGACGTCAGATGGTATGAACTGTCTGTGGTTGATAGTCAGTATCAGCCTTGTTTCATAAAAGAGGCTAGGGAAAGGCAGATATTTCTCTACTACTCACAAGACATCCAGAACTCTTGATATTGCGGTTTCCTCAACGATATCATGAACTGAACGATTTCCTCCGCTGCCTTCCTACATTCCGTCTGGAAGTATCGGCGAGCCTCTGCGTTCGGGTTGTCAGATGGACTTACTTCCTGTAGCCATTCCTCCTCCAACTGATTAGCGCCATGGAATTTCGTGTGCCAGTGTGAATTTATACGCTGGCAAATGGAAGATGGGGCCTTACTTGGAGTTCAACCCTGCAAACCAGCATTTTTAGCGCCAGAAATGCTAGCTGCATGCTGCTGGAACCCGATGTTGATGGGGCGTCTTGATCTTGTGGCACCCTTAGCCAGTCCGGAAGAGAATCCTCCCACCTGTCCAAATCCGACCTCATTCTTCTAAGGATTTTTGATGTCTCCTTGGAAGGTTTCGGTTGAAGGCCATATACTAGTGGGAGGAGGTCTCCGAGAATCTCAGTCAACTGGCACAAGGCGATATAACAATGTGCAGCCCTGACTCTTTGCTGCGTGGGGTTTGCTTGTGGTACAAGAACACTAATTGTGGGGAGGGGAACATCATATTGATTCCGGGAGATCTGTGGAGGAACTCCATGTCCATAACTCGCCCTGTTAATTGAGGTTAACAACTTATCCTCAGGATATATGCGAAACAACCTGAGGACTCACCATTTATCATGGATGACAACGCCCCACCAGAGCCGGATACGTTGATTCTTCTCTGCACGGGACAGTTTCCAGTTACTTGGGTCCCTGTTGAGGCCCAGACAGTGAGAGAGAGCTACAGTACGGCCGCTGTTTATGGCATTTCCTGTAGTGGAGAAGATAGGTCTGCCCGTTAGGTCGATCAAAGCAGCACTCAATGTCGACAGTCCCGGAGCAGAAAACTCTTCGTGAAGTGCAACTACGGCCATATTGACGGCATATCTGACGTCAGGCTTTGGATGTGGAGCGAGGACTGGAGATTGGTTCCAATAGATGAGTGACGTTGCATACACCTGGCAAAGCAACGGTGGTGGAACGCTGTCATCTTGAGCCTCATATCCGCTCAAAAATGCTTCTTCGTCGAATATCGGAAAGGAAGCATTAATTTTATCCAGGAATCTGTGTCACCACGAATTAGTGATAAGGATCATTATTGGTTAGAGAAACGCAAGGGCTCTAGACATACATCTTGATTAGATCGTGTTTAAAAGGGCCAATGATCTGTTCGATGATTTCCTTTTGGGTTTCTCCCGGAACCCCCGCCGTTCTAAGTCCCTGCCGTCGTCTTGATACGGTTGTGTAAAGGATTGGTTTCCTTGGATCGTTGGAATAAACGTTATATGGCGTCTTTCTATCCGGGCTGTGATTATTCGATCGTTCTGTATAACGCTCGATAACTTGAGCATCGGCAGCCGCAACAGGACCAACAATATGTACTGATTCCCCTGGTCCATGTCGATAGCCTTGCTCGTGCTCTGATTTATGGTTGGTCGAGGAATGGTTTTCCTTGGAGAGCATGCGCGGGATTTCCATAAGATTTCGAGCCGGGGACGCCGTACTCATATCATCGTGCGTCCTTTTTAGCCCCTTGGTATCGGGAGGCATGCTCCAGGGTTTGGTGTCGCTGCTGATAGCCGATGACGGCGCGTCCATCAGGCTGGACTTGTCTTCGCCATAGTGGCAATCGGCGCCTTGAACTCTGCACAGCAAGCATGACTGGCCAGGCAGGTCGACCGTGCAGCGTGATTTGCGCTTTCGACACAGATCACAGGCCCGGACTTTGTGTGACCGGTACGGGCGAGAGCCGGTGCTAAGGGCATATTGCTGCGTGTCCCTTGGGGCAACGGTGGTCGGGAGTGGTGTAGACGACGAAGCAGCCATCTCGGAGAAAGTAGAATAGGCAAGAATATAAAGGCGAAGGCCCTCCACCAACGAATCAGAGTGTTTTATGTATAATTGACTCTTTAAATCGGCGTTGGTAGAGGCCGTGACATTATCCGGTAAATGAGAAAATGTGTGTTGAACAATGCACGTCAAGTCCCGAGATCTAGAGTTCCCAGTCGATCGTGAAACATACGGCCGGCGCACGCATCCATCACGCAGAGCCCTCGCTTCTCGGAGATATATCGTGGGCGGCGATCTCTGGCATCTCGAAGTTGTATCATGTATCAGGATTTCTTCCCTTTTCCTTGCCTCTTTCGATATGCAAGGGCTTTTGCCGTGTTCCCCGCCTAATTGGACAATCGGCCCCGGAACGGAACAACGTGGCGCCTGCACGCTTAGTAAGACGGCCCGCCAGGATAGGCGCGCTCTCATTGGCTGAAACACATATAAGGTTTGTTCATATCGGGACTAGCTCGCAATCTCTGATTGGTCAGAGCTTGCCCTTTATGCTGACTCATCATATATCAACCACCTGAAAAAAGGGGTCAAAACAAATATATATATAGAGATGTACGGAGCACAGCGTGTTGCGTTGACAGATGCATGCAGCTCTGGTGTAAGGCGGCCCCCGGGTAGTACAGCGAACCTACATGTGGGCAACTGTTGGTTTTCAGCTCTGACACAGGGGATCAATGTTATATCACGTGATATGGATGTTGTCCGTTGATTGATTGGAAGCGTCGTAAAAAAAAAAACATGCGCCATCAAGCTTGCTATTTTAAGCTCGCCGTGGCTGACTTTTGCAGTGTTTAACTCGTGGGAGTTCGTGGAGTACCAGACATCCTTGAAAGCTCCGTTCGTTTCAAAAAAAAGCCCAGCCGTTTGAGCGTGCATGGTTGCTGTTCAAATAAGTTGGTGCTCGCTCCCATGCAGAGATCGTCCCAACTAGATATTAAACGAGAAAGTCGGAGAGGCATCGCCACGCAACCACAGGCTCAGGATCCTTTCACTTTTCACGGTCGCGGCCTTCCATGGATCCTTCATAAGAGGACACAGCTACGGGAGGCTTACACGCTTATTTGGATACAGCCATGGCTTACAGCGGGAACTGAGTTTTAGAACCATGGAAGGGAACCACGTCTCTGTTCCGGCCAGAGATGTAGATGGTATGCAGAGCAGTGAACATATGGCTTTGGACCAGCGCAACGCCAAAGACGACAGTCTCTCCTCCTGTTCGGATTCAGGGGAGCCCGCCAAGGTGTTGAATACCCACGGAGGTGGCTCAGCGAAAGAGGAGTCCACGGCTGCGTTTTCTCGGCTTCCAGAAGCCATCATTGAGAGGTACGTCTGAGCATAAAAATATCAAAAATTACTTTTATGGACGATATGTTAACTTACGTTGATCAGGATATTATATTCAGCAGACGCAAACTGCTTTGCTTCTCTAACACTACTTAACCGAGAATGGCGAAGGGTTTCCAACTGCTCACAGCTTTATCGTCACCACTTGGCAGACTATTGTTCTTCCATTTCTGATAGTCAAGCCTCCACGCATGAGTCAGATAGCATCGAAGATCTAAAATGCAAGTTCGCCCAGGTAGCCAGGCAACACGTTTTTGCTGCATTTCTTCGGCCAAAGCAGACCGTGGTAAAGCTCATTTCAGCGTCCGTCAGCTCGTCATCTGCTTCTCCACAGGGTGAAGCCCTGCGGTTTACGTTCTCTGCACAAGGTCGACTGCTCCTTGCGCTAAGCTCGTCGAGGATATTTGTGATAGATCTAGCTACGGATCCTATTTCAGTACGCCATGAGCTAAAGATCCTTCGCCGTCCCACGGCTGCTGCAATCCTTGATGATGGGACCTTGTTGGCTGTTGCATCCTCTGAACACCGGGTACGGGTGTATCGACTTGACGATCAGCATGCGAGCCTTCTTCAAACAGTTGAACTTCACGAGGTTCCGTTAACGCTGGAATTTTCACCCTATGCCTCTGTACTGACGGTGGCATTTGATGGGGGGATTGAAGTCTACGCGCTAGGGGATAATATATTATCTACTTCCCATAGAGCTGTAAGATGCGATGGAGTGTCGACCCTAGCGTTTTCTTCTGATGGATCGTTGCTCTTTGGCTCTTCCACCGATATCCGCGCCTGCAGCTTGATAACGATTTCACCTCCACTCCTCCCCGACCCAGGTTTCGACCTTAGCCTACCAGAGCTTCATAGTCGAATGTGGACAACGCAAATTTTATTCCCGGAAATTGGTGAAGGATACAGCTGTGCTAACCTGATCCCACCAGCTGAAGGTGGAGACCAATCCATCTTCTTCGTGGGATACGATACTCAAATGAAGGCATTCAGGATAGCTCAGGTCGATGATTTGGCAGGCGGTACGCTTTACCTTGTCGGCCCTGGAGCAGATACAGACAGAGATGAGCCTGGGCCGAATCTACTTCCTGTTGCTAGTGAGAAGGGTGAATATATAGCAGCCAGCTTTAACGGCTCTGGTATATGGATATACGGTGTTCCAACTTCAAGGACTAAACCTGAGAATCCGAAGAAAACATGTCAGACGTATCCACAGCCCACCATTCCTCGAGCTGATAAAAATGGCTCTTTATCGTCTGAGGCCACAAACTTCCAACGTCTTAACAAACATATTGAAGGCCCCAAAAGCTTCATCTCTGGGCATCCTCTCGAAGCTGTCAATGATATCACGGATATGCGATGGATGCGCAATATAAATGGAGAGGATAGTAGCCCTAAAAAGCTCTGCAGACTTGTCACTGTAGCACCGGGAGGAGTTGATTCCTCCTTCGGAATGATTACTGGGGATACTATGCCTATCGATGGCGGCCGGATTATCCTGTTTGACTTTGAACTCTCGACAAAGAATGGTGCACATGAAGAGCTCATAATTGAAGCCGGCGAGGCTACTCCAACGGAGTTGCCTGAGCAATATGCAAACCTCGACACTGAAGTTGAACTCCAGAAGAGAAGAACCCAAATCAGCCGTCAGAGAACCATGGCTGCTAGACACGCACCGCCCAGAGCAACCAGGAGAAATAGCATACCGCCTGCAGTTTCCCAGCAGAACGAGGATTCGCCGTCTCCGCCTATTCCATCTACTCCGGGAGGAGAAACTAGAAGTGCTCTACCATTCTTAGATAGCCCTTACAGCAATACTTCACCTCGCTCTACTGAGACATTAAGACGAGCAGCCACTGCAGCCTCTCGTAGTCTTGCAGCCAGCCGCTTTGAGAACGCTCGCCCTGCTCTCCACTCAGGACCTCGCCGCCGGCAGTTTGTTGTTCCCCATGAAAGTGACGCAGATAACTGGGTGCCACCACCTCCTCCATATACTGCAGATGCGGATGATTCTTTGCCTGATCACTTTAGAGTGGGCATTGTACCAAGAGCGACAGAACCTCTGCCTAGTAGTCCACCTAGGGACGAAGACAATAGGGTGCTTCGTCGATCGAGGACTTCTACTATTGATTCAACAGGGAGCTCGTCACTGTACCGTTCCCAGACAACCATAAGCCGGCCAAGTATCTCAATCCCAAGGCGTCCTGTTGCAACAAGCAGTGCAACGAACAGCCCGGTCAACCATCCTAATAACACCCAGACCACAGCCATGTCACCTTCCAACCCGATTGCTAATGGAAGGCGGCAGTTATCAAGTAGCCAAATTGGATTCAATACCGCTAATTCTGGCTCTTTTCTACCCCCTCACACTCCAGCCACCACCAATATTACCCCGATCCCTCACTTTCCTCCTCAGGTCCCTCCCATGCAACCTCCTATGAACTCAACACATGCTAATTCAACGCCCATGGCTGGCCATAATGTCCCCTCCCACCATACCACTCACGATCCAATGAACCAAGCTCATTCCCACAATATGAATATGAGCACGTCAATGCCAAATCAGCTACAACCAAGTGGGCCAGGAAGTCAGACCATGCAGCCCGATCCCTTCCAACGGCCTTCCTACATCCCTTCGCCAGTAGCATCTAACTCCCAGGCTGCCGACTTTCAAGGTCCTCTACCGGGCGTCCCTACACTACCTATTGAACGCCAAATATCCGGAACCAACTCGCTCCCTGAAGCTGCACACCGGAACACTCTGCCGCGCGGTAGCCGCTGCCTCTCAACGAATTATCGACCCACTGTTAATACAAATGTTGGCGTTGAAAGATCCCGTTCTCGTTCTCAAGACGTACCTCGTCGCCGCATACTACCAAACGCAGGCGGTGGCCTTTTCGACAAACGTACTGGCCGTAATATCTTGACATCCCAGTCTGACATTCGAATAAATACTACAACGCGATCAGAGGACTGGAAGGAACAATGGAACAAGCTCAAGGGCGAACGAAAGAAGAACAAGGATTCGAAATGTGTAGTAATGTAATATTCTCTATCGTATATTTTTCTTTAGTATGGTTGTATTTGGGTATCTTGGCTGGTTAAATATGTTACCTCGTGTCTCCTTTTGCCTTCGCTTATTTTTCTTGTCGTCGCTTGTTGCTAAAGGATGTATGGCCCGTATCTACACCTTGCTGGCTTCATTATTTGACATATACTAGACTAGCTCTCTCGTCTCTATGCTTCGATTTGAATATCAACGAAAGCCCTCTCAACCAACGTCAAATAAGCTTATGACGATTAGGGTCTAAAACCCAGCAGATTCCCGGTCGTACCCATGCTTCACTGCACATCTAACTAGTGTTATTTCTAAGCCAACATGACACGGTTGTTGTTAATTAATAACTACCATCGCTTCGTTATAGGCGGGGAAAGCTGCAGCTGCGGCTAAGCTGCATCGCCCCCATCTGCCGCAGACGTCACACCTCCCTGCATAGTAAACATCCGCTCTATATAAGACCGCTGATCCTACTTCCAGCCTCATGAAGCATAAGACGTTGACTTATGCTATGTGACCTCTTGCTGGGCATCCTTGGACCTTCACCGTTCTGACCAGCTAGTATCTTGGGGTAACCAGGCCCGTCTATACCTGTTAGTTAACGTTATCATCGTCAGCCTCATGGCGTCATCCAAGGAAAAAGCACCGCCCGTTGAAGAGAAGACGACGGCGGAACCTCCTCCAGCTTATACGCCAGCTCCCAATGGCGATATCCCTCCAGTGTCGCCGGTTCTCCAGCGACCGCTCAACTTTGATTTCAAGGCAGCCGCAGAAGCCAGGCTGACCACGACGGTCCTAGTTGACGAGTGTATAGCACACCTAAAGCTTCTGCGTTCACTCGCGGACCTAAGAGACCTTATATCCAAATCTGATGGCCTATTCGGCATCCATGATATTCAAGCGGACGTCTTCGAAAATGAAGAAGAATCTCGAAAGGCTCTGGCGCTTATACGGGAGAAGAGATGGGAGATATATGTCACACGCGCCGCACACAGGTTTGAAATCTGGGTCAGATCTTGTACTCCTACAGGCGGACCGGGCTCGAATAGCAGCTGCGTCATGCTGTATGATGTGGAGGAGAATCCCGAATATAAAAATTTCCCTAAATGGGAATTCCGGACACTGTGGAGTACCGCCTTGATGCCGCCGTTAGGTTAGTTATTTCATCGTATTCTTGAGGAACTACGTATCAAAGATATTATTGTTAATATACGATGAGACAGATGTTGTGATGGTTTGGCATGCATACATGCTCAATCCTCGGGATGTTCTTGAGGATTGCCTACGGCTTGGAAAGATGAGCTTTTGGACATCCGGACTGCCACTGGACGTCATAAACGAATGTATCGACAACACCACCTTCGAATACACCCCAGGTATTACAGCTAGATCGAATTTCGAACAGAGGACGGGGCTGCTATGGAATAACCTGGATGACCCTCCGTTCAAAACAATTCAATGCCCTGGGTGCTATGGGAATGTGACCGCTTTTTGGGCAGACGATGCTCCCCAGCTTGGGAGGATAGATGATCCCTTCATGCATTGTCGGGGATATGCAGACAAAGAATTCAAAGTCCAGTGCCAGAGGTGCCACTTGTTCATCACCCATGAAAAACTTAGACTGGGGAAATTTCGAAATGATATACGCCTCCTGGCTGAACAGGGAATATTGCTACCGGGAACCCTCCTAAGTACTGACGGAGTGGTAGATAACCCCCTGACAACGGCCAATTCGGTAACATTTCCAAATAAGCTAATCGCAGATTACTTATACTCAACACTATTTAACGATACAGACCTTCAAAAGGACACGAGTGGAACTATGTTCAAAGCCCGCGATATCCTCGGACAAGCCATACAGAACGGGGGAAGGACACGTCCTAATGAGCGAATAGCAGTTCGTAGGATGATGTCTAGATACTGGGAGAACTCTTCCCCATTCGCACTCGACCTTGTTGGTGCCGTCGTCCGCCAGGGCGTGTTCATCGATAAGATGGATAAAATCGACTGGCTGCATTCTCCCGCACTAGAATCGACGATGGCTAGACTGATTGATAAATACGTCATCTTTTTCCGCATCATAGCCCAAAACAAAGGCAAACTCGTTGTGCCTACCCTGGATGTTGATCTAGCCTGGCACACCCACCAATTGAAGCCACAAAGATACTACGCTTACTCCATGCAATTGACGCAAACTTTCGTCAACCATGACGATAAAGTGGTAGAGACACAGCTCACAGATGGGTTTGAATGGACGTCTAAGCAATACCAGAAAATAACTGGGGGCGGAATATATAGCGAGTGTACATGCTGGTACTGCGAAGCTGTCCGAGAACCACATGTACATGCACTATTCTCTACTTCTGCACCGACAGCACGAAAAAATGCAGCACAGCTCCGCATTAGGGATGATATAAGTCCCGACCCAGACAAGAATCCACATATCTCAGCGCACAACTCGGTCCGGGAGCCCGAAACACCAGCTAGCCGCGCGAAGGCCAATCTCAAATTCCTCGAGCTTAGAAATCGACATTACAAAATGTTGAAACGGGCGGGGAAAAGGGGTGATAATAATAATAAAAATCAGGAAGGTATACCGATGTATTACTGGGGGGTCCCTCTCGTTGCAGGGGTATTCTTTCTACCGTTTGCTATGGATCCAGGAATTAATTGCGATATGTACGCCTCTAACCCTGCATGCCTGGCTACGCCTGAAGGTATAGCCGGAGGTTGTGTTGCAGGTACCTGTCACGGGAATGTATTTGCTGGTGTATGTTCAGCGGAGGGAGGAGGCGGAGCGGGGTGTTCTGGTGGTGGAGGATGCGGAGGTGGAGGAGGCGGCGGCTGTGGTGGTGGCGGAGGCGGAGGCGGAGGGGGATGTGGTGGAGGAGGGTGTTGATATTGGCTGGTCATTTTGGTGTCAGGAAGGATACAGAGTAACCAGTGAAGGGAAACCGTGCTGTGACTCCCAGCTGGAGAGGTATCTAATTTATATGTACTTTGAGGTAATCGAGAAAGCGTTGGTAGTAATATGTTTCACCATGATTAGTTATAATAATATACGCGTTAACGGCGTCTCAAAGGAAAATAAGTAACTCCCCTTTATCCTAATAAGGTCAACCTGACTACATCACTTTTCCATTCCCATGCAAACTCCAAGTGGGAACCAAAGAAAACCCGAACCGAACACGTCCCAGACGAGGGGAATGGTATATATGAACATCCCTCGCTATAAAAATAAAAAGTATCATCATTTTACCTATTCACCTTTCAAACTCCGGTTTTCTCGTTACACTTCTAACCCCTGAATGGCGTAGGGAAACTCCACAAGCCCGTCAAGCATCCAATTTAGCGGGTCGAATACCTCGTAGTTTTGTTCCAGGAAGCCGCTGGGAAGAGACGACGAGTTGAAACCACTTATCGTGGTAGCTGTCGAAGAGCCAAGGTTGGCTGTTATAGGTCCAGCTGTTATGGCGGGCGTGGTGAGAGTGGGATCAGCGGCCGGCCCTGTGCTGAGGCCCTCCAGTCCGGGCGCTGGAGTAGATGTGGAGGTGCGTATGGGAGCGGTAGAGGAGCAGGACGCTGAGGAGTCAGCACCGGAGTCTGGGTTTGTTGGGTTTTTGAGGTATGCTGTTGCAACTAGTTAGAATTTATACACCACGGGAAAGGTATAGCGCTAATTTTCTTCGGCTTACCTTCAAAATTCTTCCCTCTAGCCTGGAAATCCTCTCGCCATCGCCAAACGGAGTCGAAAACAAGTGACATGCTCATGCGGCAACGCACTTTTAGCATCAACGAGTCTCCAGTTTCCGATGGGCCAATATTCCCTTGCTGCCGCTGGATTTGATGATTTCGACTGCCAATGCCATTCATCCGCCACATTTGCGCTAGAACCTCTGCCAGCCGCTGTGGTAGGTCATTGTTAGTGACAGACATGTTGCGGAGTGCATATATAGTACGAGTAAACAACGATTTGGTGTAGTTCATGTCGATGTGGACGGCAAAAAAGCTATTGCATAGCTTGAAAAGGCTGAAGCCTGCGGCGAGGGTCATTTGATAGACGTAGTTGGAACAGTAGGATAAGACGGGGCCGGTGGGCGTTTCAAGACCCAAGGCAGCCTCAAGGAACCCAGTTGTTGCGAGGAATAGGGCTGATAGGCCTTGACGGTAGTCCTTTGTGGTTGGATTGTCGAAGAAAATAGAAAGATGGAGATGGAGTCCGGCAGCACGGAGGTAGACGTTTGTGATGGCTATACTCAGTTAGTGGGTAGATATTATATGTTGCATAGAAAGGAACGCACAGTTTGTCTCTGTTTTAACCTGAGCCTCTAGGTCGTCAAAGTCTCTGGACAGTACTGCTGCCATGATATACCGTTCCTCGTCACTTAATACGCCCACAGGGTCCCGACGGTTACTATATAACGTCTGCGATATCTTCGCACAGAATTTTTCGATCTGTAGCCGCACTTTGACTTCAGGCGGTAGCCTGAGATCTGCCTCTGTAGAAGACAGTGTGCAATCGAATAATGTCGATGACGGCTGGCCATATCCAGTTGCGACTCTATAAGGGATATTAGCATGGTTTGAGAGAATATGATGGAATGGTAGTGTTTACCGCTGAGCAACGATGTTGCAAAACGCCCACGTTCTAACCCTATCCTTTAACTCCCCCTCTCTCAACTCGACTCTATATTTTGAGAAATCTTGCGCATGGGAAGGCCTATGGAGGCCAATTTGCATTGCTATTTGCTGCATCATACCACAGAGCATGAAAGTAGGGTCTGTGGATGTACTGCTAGTTGGGAAAGGCCAGGTGCAAAGCAAAGCTAAAGCTTTGACAACATGATAGCTTTGTGGGACGTCAGCGAGTGTGCTCCATACTAATCGCAACACCGGGCCGGACAAGGCGTTGAGGAGAGAGGGATCTGTTTGATATCGACGAGAGCCAACGGCAAGAATGGTCCAGAAGAGGAGTGGAGAGGTATCGTAGTACTCGTCTGAGGATTTCTGGGTCTCAAGCAAGGGTAGGAAAGGGTGATAGTATGTGAAGAACCTGAGAATGTAACGTCATTAGTGAAAATATAAGTCACATTTTAAGGGGGTAAACTAACCTGTTGAAAAGCTCCGCGACTCGATCTGTATGAACGGTGACATCTTCTAGCCGTTTCACATCTATCATATGGTCAGGAGGGCTTCGTAGAAAGTCTCCTCCAGACTTGAGGTCCAACAACGAGGCAACTGCCTCGTGTGGCCTCATATATTCTGCGCCTGCCTGCCCCGATTGTTGCGTGCGCATCGTAGACGGCGAAGCGTTATAGGACATGGACATTGGCATAGCAAGATGCCCGGTAGCCATATTTAGATGTTGGTGCTGATGCTGCTGCTGCTGCTGCTGTTGTTGCTGCTGTTGCTGTTGGGCTAAGAATTGCGCATTGGCGTTGGCATTAACGACCTGTCTTCGCAGTTCGATTATCTCACGCTCCATCTCTGCATTACGGCTGCGTTTCCCCACCCGTCTGAAGTTCGGTTCAATCTTGCATGGCAGTTTTAGGCGTTGACAACGTGTGCACGTTGTGAACGGGTCTTGAACGACATCGCAGCGAAGCTACATAATTTCTATCAGCGTCGAGCCACTACAAACGGAGAGAGTATATAGACTCACCTTCTGCTGACGACATTCGTTGCATGCTCGCTTTACAGGATGTCTCCTCCTCTCATCCTCGTCTGCATCCCCTGTCGCGCTCTGGGGAGAGCTACTCTGCGCACCACCGCCGGCAACCGATCTCTTCTGTCTCCCACCGGCCCCCAACCCCTTTATTGAGGGCCTCCTGGCCCTCCCACCATCGCTGTCCCCTTCATCTCCGCTGGGACTCTGTTGCTCCCTCTCTGCTGCGCGGGAACGCAGTATATCGACTGGTGACATCACCCCCACTCCACGCCAGTCCCAGCCCAGATGCTTGTATCGTTGCAGTGGATGCGGTGCTGGCTGCCTCCGAAACCGCTATCACCATGTCCTTAACCCCAGTCCAAACCCCCAGCCCCGCCGGTTGATCTGCGAGTGTCGGAGTTGGAGATAGGCTTTTCGGCTACGGGTGCGCAGTGCGGGCGCCCGGCGTGTATGGGCGTGTACGGCGTGTGGACAGGGTGAGACCGTGTGGGACGACGGCGTGTGGGCGGGCAATCGCAGCGCGACTGGCAACACAGGCTCGGTGGCTCGCGAATAGGCGCTGCTGAGGGCTCGCTGGGATATCTCTTGGTTGTGATATGTCGCTTGTCCAATCTTTGTCTTTGTCGACGTTTTGCGGAGAAGCGATACCGGTGGTCACGTGGACGCCTGCCACGACATCGACAGCAAGACAGACAGACAGACAAGATAGACAAGACAACGAGAAGACAAGAAGAAGAGAAGACGAGAAGACGAGAAGAGAAAAGAAGACGAGAAGAGAGAAGAGAAGCGAGATGACGCCGGCGCAGGGTAAAGGGAAGCCCGTCGCCGTCAGGAAGCCCTCGACTGCCCGCTGTCTACACCCATCACGGCACCCAGCAGATATCCAGATCCTCCCTCCCTCTACAACATCACAGGAGACGCCACAGCAAGAGGGGAGACAGGACGTATTGGCGACAGAGTTCGATTCGTCGCTTATCCCGCAGCCATTCCTCGACCCGGGCCTGCTAGAGCGGATGCTGAAACTGCGCGGCTCAGAATCAACGCCACAAAACAGATAGATAACAGATAGGCACGGCAAACGAGCACGAACGGCTAATTACGACTCTATTAAGCGAATGGACTATTTAGATACTGTCTTTCTTTATGAGGCAATGATGCAAAGGCCTGGAATCAACATACGGTTCTCATAATCAATTAAACAAAAAAAGCAAAGAAGCAACTGTAATGGTCAAAGCAAAGGGGAGATATCAACATGAATAAAAGCAAATTAAATCGAAATCAAAATCAAATCATGTTTCATCAATCATCATCGTCATAATCGTTGGAAGGCCAGGTCTGGATCTAGTGTAGAATCCAAGCTGATCGTCCATAGGAACAAACGTAGGGGGGAGAACATCATCATCGTCATCATCGTCAAAAAGTGGAATAACAACAGAAACGGACATTGGTATAAATGGTATAGGTACTCGTATTCTTACTCTTTACAATCATCATGACATCATAACGCGTTCAATTGGCATAACATATTTCGTGGGTGAGTCGTGGTTTCGCTCATAACGGGTAGTAGTGATGTCTAGTTCACCTCTCTTCGAGGCGAAAAGAAGACGCTTTCCGGGTCCATAGTCGAGGCTACGCTGTGATAGTCAACGATAACATTCCCGCCAATGGCTCTGCGGAGCTTCTCCCGGCGTGCTTCGAGTTTCTCTTGTTCGCGACGCTGACGAGTGCGGGTGATCCAATCTTGTACCTCGTGTAGGGGCCGGTAACGGACACGTTTCTCCCGTCGGGAATCAGGAGAGAATGAGGTGATGTTGGTCTTACTGGAGGATTTAGTTAGGCGGTTAGGTCTAGAGCGGGATCGCTGCGAGACACGCCGGATCAATGCAATCGGGCCCTGGAATGGTTTGCGGTTCTGCGGGATCCCAAGTGTGTTGCTGACATATTGTCCGCTCTCGTATCCGCCAGACGCGAGGTCCTTTCCAGCAGTGATCGTAGTCGTGGTCTTGGGAACGTTGTTGGTAGCATTTCCGTTACCATCGCTAATGGCACATTCGTTGTCATAATCTTCCCAGAAACCGTGTGGGCGCCAAAACGGATGCTCTTTACCATCCAGCTTCCTCCCTGCCATTCTATTGCGGACGTGATGCGTCCTACTTGTAATATCCTTGGCTGCAGTCGTGGCGGGGATGGAGTCTATGGTGGAGGTACGACGAGCACTAAGCCTTCGGCGGACGGAGCTCAGGCGGCGCACAAGACCACTTCCGTTACTACTACTATCCGTCTGCATTGGGAGTGGGGGTCGAGGTCGCGAAGGCAATGTATTTGCACGCCTTAATGGTGTAGCCGGTGTGGTTTGTGCAGCCGAATCTGGGGGTTTAGGCGCAGCACGAGGATGTCGGAGTGGTGATTCGACATATTCGAGAGGGAGTGGTGGTGGTTTCATTTCGCTTGTATAAGGGCGGGCCTCCGATAGCGGATGCTCAACAACCAAGAGGGATTTGTTATTATGAGCGAAGAAAGGGACAGCCGTAGCCTGACTGATTTCTACAGGGCCAGGGGAAAGAGATAAGGACTCGATGGAGTGTTGGAATGGCGTTGATGGACCGCCTGGTGGGGTTAGTGGGCGGACGGATCCATCCTGAGCGTGGTCGAACGGCTCCTTGGTTAAGATAATTTGCGGGGTGGGGATGGAGGTTGAAGACAGTCGGAGTGGCTTCGGTAGGAGTTCTGACAGGAAACGTTCGGTCTCTGGTTGTATTTTTGGTGTAGGTTGGTTGACTGGTTCAGACGGGAGCCTTGGCAGAGGTTTGGAATTGAGAAGCTCCTTCATTGCAGTGCCAGTGATGGGTGTCCGATTGCTATCGCCAGATATAGAGCCAGCGCGGGAGGTATTCCTACTTGTGGGAGCAGATAGAGACGACCGTCGTGCAGGTATCTTTGGTTTGAAAGCGCTAGGACCACTAGATGAAGAGGTTAAAGACTCCGACATCGTGCGTCGTTTGTGCCTGCGCGAACTGTGGAACGATCCTACGCCCGAATCAGGGGCTGTGGCTGGTCTGTGGTAGCCTGGATGTACTGAGCGTAATGTTGGCTTGGGCGGCATGGAAGACCTTAGTGATGACCGACGCTGCGGAATGACCACCACGCGAATGACATCCTCAACCTGCTTCGGTTGAGTAAAAGTCAGGTTGGTGCTCGCAGTCGCTATGGACATGTCGGACGCGATGCTCCGTCGATCTTCGTTTGTGATCCGGGTACGCTTATGCGCAAGGCGTGGCTGCGCTTGTGCCTGCGTTTGTACTGGTCTAGACATAGAGGGTGGACTGGGCGTTGGTGTGCTGACGGATCGGAGAGAACCGTTCTTCTCGATATGCCGCAGTGTCCTCTTCTTCTGTGGTGGAGTGTCTATTACAACGGCTTCGATGGTGGTGGTGGATGCAGTTGAGATGCGGCGTGCTTGCGCCGAGTCCATGATGTCCATACCGCTTTCACTGGGCCAGCCGATGCTCGCTGCAAAGGCTTCAACCGAGGCAGTGGGTGTGGTATCCTGCTCGCTCCAGACTCGTTCACGGAGACTCCCTTGGCGAGCATGCGAGAGCAAGTGCTCTTGAAGAGATTGGGTGCGGCGAGAACTAGGGGAGGGCTTCTTTTCGCTGCGTTTATGGACTTGTAGCTCATTTGTATCGAAGAGCGGGCGCCCCTGCTTGGTCACTTGTGCAGGTATATCAGGGCTCATCTCGCCTGTGTTCGCATAGCTAACGGTTGTATTGCGCAAGGGATGCGGCAGTTTGTGCTTGCAGGGTAGTAGGGGGATAGACTTGACTCTCTCGGTCTCTTCGTCGGACGATGGTGTTTCTCTAGCCGTCGCATAGGAGGTCGTTCTCGAGGACACGGAGGATAGGTGCTGGCCCTGTCCATCTTGTTTCTTGGAGCGCGAGACGACGCGGGGAGGCGTGATATCTGGTGTTAGCAGGTTTATCCTGTTTGTGGGTGTCAGGGTGCCTTGCGGGTCGACGTGGGGGTTATCAGTGCCGTGGTTCTGCGAACTCGGAGGGGGTTTCTGGTCTTCGACTGTGATGGCCGGTGGAGTGAGAGGAAGCGCGCGCGCAGGCGAGTAGACGAAGCCGTTGTTCATATTACCGGTAGTATCAGCGCCCGCAGAGCGTTGCGGGCAGTCCGTGTTGACAAGATCCCATCGCCGTAGGGCCTTATGGGCTCTCATATGGGGTCTGTCACTGCTCTCGCGCCTCTGGATGGGGTCCGCCACGGTCGCCATCTTCCAGGAGCGATGCCTCATTTATAAATCAGGACTCCCCGTCGACATACCACGGTATTCTGTCGAGGTTGAGCAATGAGTGTAGAGGTTCCGTTTCATCACGGAGCCACGATGTTCTGGACGAGCACACCAACACACCGATGTGCTGTGGTATGCTGTGCTTGTGAAGACGGAGAGTTTGATAGGAGTGTGGGCCAATGAGCGGCGATTTCGACGATGCTGAAGGGAATACGTTTCCCGCTACAGTGGTAGAGACGGGGTGTGGCGAAGATATGGCGCAGGTTGACCGAGCGAGTGGATGGTGAGCACCGAAGGAGTGACAGGTATGAGTAACGAAGGGCTGTACCAGCGAAATTATGTATTAAATTGTACTCCGGAGAGAGTCAGGAGGTGCAGGTTGGCTTGAAACGGGACGGAGATGCGTGCTTGAAGAAAGGACCCTGGCATTTATATGCATCAGGCGATGTATCGTCTCAAGTTAAGCACCCACGCGTGCCCACGAACAAAGGCTACGCAAGCAAGAACAGGTCTTGAACGCGGGCCAATAGTCCGTTGCTAGAGACTACCAGTCTCACGTACTCCGTACTGTCAAAGTATTCCAGGTTCTGCCCATCAATAGTTCCGCTGAACGCGCATCCTGTCTGGACCTTGGGTAGAGAGAAAAAGCAACGAGAGGCTATCTCTGCCCTTCTAACCTGGCTGCCGTCTGCCCGGTTATGTCGTGTCACCGCCCTTCTCCTGTATCTGTGTCTTTGTATATATCCTGGACCAGCTTCTGTATGTCTCTGCCGGCCCTCTATCCTCGTCTATCTCTGGCCCTCTGGACGTTGTCGACGTTGACGTTGGGGAAGAGTTGAAGTTGTAGAGTTGAAGTCGCCAAAAGGTCGGAAGTTCTTTCTTTCCTTATCGGGATGTACCTGATTAATCATATGCCTTAGTAAGTATTTAGTCATCACACTTAGTCATCTATCTGAGTCAGCACGATCTCAAAGTCACATGACACACATGGCCGAAAAGGGAAATAAAGAACGTCAAGGCCGAAAAAAGAGGAATCTCAGTAGGAAAAACACGAAGAAAACACAAGAAGCAGAAGAAGAAGAATGTGAGAAGAGAACTGCACTGTTTATCGTTGCTGTTCAGACCAGGACAGCCCGGCAAGAAGAACATTCAAGGCACTGATCTCCTCCTATCCCCTTCCTGCGCTAAGTAGCAAGGTCCACTACTGACGTCAACATCCCAGAAATCGCTCCCTCTGGTTTTTCTCCTCCCATGCAGCGTATATAACAATAGACTCTTCACCCCGTCACTCGCTTATCTCAAGCCAGCAACAGCCACAGGAGATCATCAGACAGACAATAAGAGACCAGCCCATCACAAGGACCAGGCATTCCAGCAGTCCTGACCAACATTCACTAGGCCCTGCTGCTGTAGCCGCACCGTCCTACCCGCCCCTCCTTCATCGCTCCCCCCCCCCTTCCACTCCCTACACCCAGAGACAGATTCCGTCATCATGAGTACAATACAAAACCTCAAGAACTTCATCCGCCATGGGAAACAGGCGCGTATGTCTGTTGCCCACGGTGAACCCACCACAAACGTCACAGCCGTCCACGCAGAGCCCCAGCGGAAGCCACAGCCGCAGTACCAGCCCGGTATGGCGACCGGCACACTCGACGCTATCGACCAGCACCAGCGCTCGAACAAGGCCTCGTCGACCGCTACAAAACCCCAGACCCGCGTCCACGAGCATGAGATCGAGCAGATTGTGGCGGAGGAGAAGCTCAGCCGTTCCAAACTGCCCAATTACCCTGGCCTTGAGCGATGGACTCTCGTCGAGAAGATGGGCGATGGCGCCTTTAGTAACGTATATCGCGCCCAGTACAAGTCCGGACAGTCGGGAGACGTCGCCATCAAGGTCGTCAGGAAGTTCGAGATGAGCTCCAAGCAGGTATGTTGAATACTACTTTGCCGCTCGCCGTCCATTGCACTCGCATGTGTCGATTTTTCTCTCTGTTTGTTCTCTGCCAACCGGTGCGCCCTGGGTAACGTCTAGGGCGATAATCACCTTCACCCGAGCATCAAGAAGAAGCAGGTGGAGGTGAGACCTCCTCCATCCCTCCCCCCCTTCTGCCTACTCTCTGTTATCAAACGTTCCAGCCAATGCTGATACATCCTTAGCGCGCGAGTATTCTCAAAGAAGTCCAAATAATGCGCCAACTTGACCATCCTAACATCGTAAAATTGATCGAATTCTCTGAATCGCCCCAGTTCTACTACATCGTTCTAGAATTATGCCCTGGTGGCGAACTGTTCCATCAGATCGTTCGCTTGACCTACTTCAGCGAAAACCTGTCCCGTCATGTTATTTTGCAAGTTGCTAAAGCCATAGAATACCTACATGAAGAATCTGGAGTCGTCCATCGGTCAGTATACTCCAGTTATCTACTGTTATCCACCTGCTAAGCCTCCACAAGCGATATCAAACCAGAGAACCTGCTCTTCTATCCAGCACCCTTCACCCCAACAAAAAACCCCAAACCTGTTGCCCCCGGCGATGAAGATAAAGTCGATGAAGGTGAATTTACCCCTGGTGTTGGCGCGGGCGGCATCGGTGTCATAAAAGTTGCAGACTTTGGTCTCTCAAAGGTTATCTGGGATAGTGAAACAATGACTCCCTGTGGTACTGTCGGTTATACGGCCCCTGAAATCGTCAAAGATGAACGCTACTCCAAGTCAGTTGATATGTGGGCATTAGGCTGTGTTCTATACACTCTACTCTGTGGCTTTCCGCCCTTTTACGATGAGTCGATCCAGGCTTTGACCGAAAAGGTCGCGCGTGGCCAATATACCTTCCTTTCACCATGGTGGGATGAAATCTCCAAGTCCGCCCAGGACCTGGTCTCACATCTCCTCACTGTTGACCCCGATAAGCGATATACCATCAAAGAATTCCTTGCTCACCCATGGATTAGACAGACGGACGAAGAAACGACTGCTGCCGACGATGCCCCTCCCCTCGCCACCCCACTTGTTTCCAATGTCAACAAGATCCTCGAGGCCCCACTCACTGGCATCGATCCCAATTCTCGTCGCGCTGACTTCCGCTCCCCTGGCGCGATGAACCTACGCGAAGTCTTCGATGTCGGATATGCAGTCCATAGACAAGAAGAGGAAGCCAAACGCCGCAAGGCTGGTTTCAAGGTCGGATACAGAGGTGCAGCCCTCGACCCGCTCAGCGAAGTAGAACATGTCGACCAGCAACAAGAGTACGGTGGCGATGACGCCGAGTTCCAAGGCGAAATGCATTACTACGACCAAGGAAGTAACGCCGCGGCAACCCTCCCTTATAGCAAAGCTCAACCAGGACAACAGCTACAACAACAACCACGCGCAGGATACAACCCTGACGTAGCAGCGGTTGAAAACAAACTACGAGGTACTAATATCAGCACAGGCCAGCAACAACAGCAGATGAGTGCAGCTGCACAGGCCCGTCGCGCAGCTGGCGCAGCTACTGCTACAAAACAGCCACAGCAGCGAGGTCGCCAGCAATACCAGCAAGGTGGTTACGGCCAGCACAGTGCAGCGGTGGCAGCTGCAGCACGGGAGAACGCCGCTCGGTCGGCGCAGCAGCCATTCGAGCTTAGCCTAGATAACGCTACGTTGCTGGGGAGGAGGGGGAGGAGGATGGCTGGACAACCTGTTTCGTGATTCCCGCTTCCCTACCGGGGCATCTCACCTACCAAACTACCTACCTCTCTCCACCGCCAGGTCGGTGTTTACCGGCACTCCTCTTCCTACCTCCCTTTCCCTCTCCGATTCACGCATGCATGTTTAGCATTGGTCTTCTTTTTTTGTTAATTTTTTGTCCTATCCTCTTTATGTCACGTTACATCATGCTATGCTATGCTATGCTATGCTATGCTATGCTATGGATTCAATTTCAACCCCAACCCTGACCCTCTGAACCTTCTCAGCACTAGACGTACAGAATGCTCCGTACATACATGACTCTTTAAAGGTCATGCCATACCCCCTTGGCCTGACCAGAAATGGATGATGGGTGTTTATAAAGACCGCCTGTGTTTGTGCTTATACTCTACTTGCATTATTGGTTTTTTTTTCCCGCAGCTGTAGTATTAGATAGGGATATGTCGAAAAAGAAATAAAAGGGCTTTCCTTGGTTTTGAGCTACGCTTGATAGCACGGAACTTCCCATGGGGGATGAAGGCTGAAGGATGAGCTTTATGGATAGGGAATATCTAGGCGCAAAGATTTGAGGGTGTTCGCGGGTGATTACGCAACCTATGTCGTTGCAGTTATGGCTGAGGCTGAACTAATGGGGTTCAGTTACGCGTACAACAGCCACATCATCCATCAAAGGATCCCTCTTGTAGCAGTATGTGTTATAGAATATATTATAGAGAGATCTCGTGTGTATATATAGTAAGAAAATATATTGAATTGGTCTTTTATTCGTCACAAAAAGAAGACTGGCTACCTCCACCTGGGTATATTAGGAAATGGACATCAACATAAACATGATCTGTACAAAGACAGACGTTTCATTAGCGACAGTCGCTTCACCCATGGCCACAGCCACAGCCACAGCCTCCTCCCCATTGTATCCGGGCATTTCTCTCTCTTTCTAAAGGTTCACATAAAACAGTAAACTATAGCCATCCAGATAACAGCGTCTAAACCACCCATTACCTGAATAGTTTATAGGGATTGTTTCCCTCTCGTCTCGATTGGAAGCAACACCATAGCCACAAACGCAGCCAACATGAGACCACCAGATGCATATACTGGTGCCTTGGGGTTTGTGCTACCGCCATAGATAGCCACAATCGGCGCCAACAGGCCACAGATACGGTTAAGGCAACTTGCAATGCCTGTTCCGGTACCACGGTTTGGTGCAGGGAAGACCTCAGGCGTATAAGCGTAGAGAACGCCGTACATGATGTTTTGGAAGAAAGCTTCAAGGCAGGTACAGGCGAGACGGACTTTCGGGTCTGGGGAGATGGTGAAGCAGAAGAGGATAATTCCTGTTATCATAGTAGATATGGCCATGGTACCTTTACGTCCGATAAATGGGATGTCGACGGTGTAACAGGCGATGAGGGAACCGGGGACACCAACGATGGATGTAATGGCGTAATCACGATAAACTGTTTTTATATATTAACTGACTGAGTAGTTAGATAGGGGTAACGGTAGTAGACTTACCCTGGTTGGTAGTTGGGGGCGGGTATTTGTCTCCACCGCCCTGTGCAAGGTATTGTGGCAAGAAGGCGTTGAAAAGAGGATAGCCCATTCCAATAGTTGCCCAGCAGAACCACAGCAGAACAGCTATAAAATATTAGCTAAGGTAGCTCTCAATCAACCAAGTGTCAAGTAACATACTGGTAAATCCAAGTCTTTTAGTCGCAAATAGCGGGGCGACACGTTCTCCAGAGAATTTGTTTAGCTGCCTCTTAATAATTTCTGTGGTGCTCAACTTCTGGCTCTGGACCTCATCTGGGTGTCCACCGATTTCATTGAGAATTTCCACAGTAAGCCAGGTCTTGACACCGTTCTTATGTGCGATACCGTGGACAGTAGCAACGGCTTCTTCTTGACGACCACGAGACAGCAGGAATTTTGGCGACTCATAGAGATGGAAGAGGAAGAAACGGGCCAGGAACATGAGGAAGGTGAACACTCCAAGGACGTAGGTGAAGTACCTCCAGCCCATGTTGTCCTCTTTAGCACAGCAGGGAGCTGGGGCAAGGTGGCAGGATGGTAGACCATCTGCACAGGTATATCTGGGCACAAGACCCCATGCGATAAGACTGTGTAGGTAGATGACATTAGACTAGAAATAGAAAAAGAGTGCAGCAAAGAGACTAACCTGGCAATTAGTTGACCAACGGGCCACCAGACACTGAGCATAGTTAGGAGATTTCCAGATGCGAATGGAAGGAACTCGAGGAACAATGCACCATCGACGGGTAGATTCCCACCAACACCTAGACCGAGACACGCGAACATAGCACAGACGCTAAGGGAATATATCAGCAACTCAATTTTCTCCGTGGTTTGTTCAACCCAACCAACAATGCTATACATACCCGATCCAAGATGGGCTACCGCCAACAGCTATGCCAAAGACGCCACATAGGAAAAGCGTCATGTTAAAGGCAAGACGACGACCGATGATATCAGATGCGGTTCCCCAGACGATCGATCCTAAGCAAAGACCAATGAACAAAGCGCAGGTGGTAAATCGAACATGCGATTCACTAATGCCGAACTCGAGAGATAGCTTTGGTAGTGTGAGAGCAACACCCTATTGAAAATATGTTAATAAGTTGCCAAGCTCCTGGTGTTCGAAGCATGCTATTATCTTACTTGAAGCCACAAACTGAAAACCGAGATATTAGCCTTTGAACATACAATATGATATACTTCACCTTTTTCTGTGTTTAGTTGGAGAACTCACTTGTCTGCTAACCAGCCGAATCCACACAAAACGAACAATTGCCATTGATATCGACCCATTCCAATATCCTGGACTGCCCTGTTGATGACCATAGATTTCCCTAAATGAAGATATCAATTAGACCATTTTTTTAAGAAAGCAAGACCATATAGCGCCACCAATTTCGCCAATTCGGGTAAGTTATAGAGGAACCGGCGCTTCCTTCGTCCGGTCTATAAAGCAAAGGGGTAAGTAGATCTCAAAACGTACTGTCATATGCAGTATCTTGGCCGGATGCGGCAACACCACCCTCAACCTCAGCTCTCAGAGCCTCGATGGTTAGCTCAGCATACTCGGTGGGTGGTGGAGTGGCGGTGCCTTCTTCGTCAAAAGTGCCGCCTACGGACTTCTTTTTCGTTGGGAGTTTACTCGTAGGCGAACCGCCAGATAGTGGTATTAGGACTCCGGGGAAGAACTTCTCGTCCTTGGCGAAAGGATTCACGAACGGCATGGTGAACGACTACTGTTGCGTTGGGGCTTGGGCTTCTGTAGGGTATGTTTACTGGCACTGGGCGAGTTTCACGGTTTGCGCAAAGGAGGGGATGGTCGCTTTTGGGCTACTATTCGGAGATAGCTAGAAACGGTTTGCTGCAAATGGGCGCGCGCAGTATGTGATCGTGTGATTGCACTTGGACGAGAACCAATTGAAATGGCGAGAAGGAAAATGAACGGAATAGAGATTTCTGAGGTGTAGTTATCGAACTAGCTCTATCTCAAGAATGCGTAGCTGCCGCCGGTGTTTGCGCTCAACCAGCTTCCTTCCAGCGGAGACTCGCCCACGTATAGAGGTCGGCGTGCGTATGCGCCGTATCCTTCTCCGGGGTGAGGGAAACAGGTCGTATATACAGGTCGAGAGGGGGGTTCGGTCTGAGTTTGCGTGGAGGAAGAGAGACCTTCTATAATCATCGAGGCATGACCGAGAGATGTCACGCCAGCTATTATATATATGCGTTTCACGAATCAGACTCGGGCTTAAATTAAGATCCCAGAGGCAAAAAAAGCAACGGAGAAGGAGCCATGAACAGAGCACGAGAGCGGGCTGAAATTGGCGGATCTGGTCAAGATGATTGGTGAAATCAGGCTGTGGAGAGTCGACATGGTCAAGGGGGTGGAGCTCACGATATTAGTGCACTCGTCGCCCATTTAGCTATTATGTCATAGGGCCGATATCTCTGTTGATATCGTCACCGTATCTCGATAGTCCCGAGTGTTCTATACGTTGGAAACAAAGGGGACGGGCTGTATGGGCGATGTATGGAAGCAGGAGATCTCCGTGAGGCTCAGACAACATCATGAAGGTTCGGTTCTTCCCTGATGGTAGCAAAGATGGAGAATGCGAGCCAGGGATAGGCCATCAAGTCACGGGAAATCTCTCCATCCTAGCGCAAGTGTGAAGAAGTGGCGATCCTTCGCTGGATAAAAGTCAGCACATCATCACTCTCTGCAGCAGGGGGTTCTTCTCTTGCATGTATGTCTGTCTCTCTGCTCAGGCCTTCTCCTCTGCGTCAACCTGCTTCTCTACCATGTACTATGGCACTATCCAAAGACAAAAGATCTTGATATTTGCTTCTTTTGTGGTCAAAGAAGAGTTGCTTATGTAACTTGTCCGTGTTTAGTCTTGGCGGTCTTGGCGACCGCGATCCCGGGATCGGAAGAAGTTTATTCCATATTCAGCCAATCACGGGCCGTTACCATAATTACGTCATATGGCACACCCTTAGTCAGTGTCACGTTGCATCGTGTTCCAGCCAATGAGAAACCACCGAGCATGGGCCGAGGTTCCACCGCATATAGAAGATGTATCCCTTCCGCAAGCATCTCGGTGGATACATACTCCGTCGTCTACGAGCAGTAAGAAATCTCTGCGGCGGCAACACCGAGTTGGTTTCGGTCGAGATACCTAATTCGCCGAGCTGTGACGTCAAGGCTTCAGAGTTGTCGAGGAATTCTCTACGGAAGCGCCTTTTGTCGTGCACAGCCATGTGGTATGGCAGGCCATGTATGCAAGATATACGTATGACAGCATTCGCGTGACGCCGTTTAAAAGGGGGGTATGGAGGATGTCGTGGCCGTGTTAACATCATGGATGGCGGGAGAGAAGCGCTGCGGGTTACCCCTTTCGGTCCTTTCCTCGTGATGGAGAAACGACGGCACAGCTGAAGAGGCTGCCTCCTTTAGCGTTGCGATAGGACTATCCATGGCTGGTACGAGATCGACCAAACGCCGAACAGGCAGTAATCCTCCAGACATCGTTACCAGTTACCGGCTAACGAGGACCTTCTGCATTCGGAGTCATTCGTACGTCTATGAAACACGATTGCTTTAAATCCATCAATCAAATTGAACACCAAAAATACGCTAAAAACGCCAAAGCTCCTCGATATCTTGTGTGAATTCGTTCTTAAGAAGTCAAGATGTGCATGTCTAAATATAACTTCGTATACGGAGGTATTCGTCTGCCACATACGGAGTATAACTGCTCGGGTAGCCTGTTGATCGGCGTGGGACTGCCAGAAGTCAATTGCATCCAAAAGACCGGGTACCTGTGAACAGGATTGAACATCAACTGCACCGAAGCCCAGGTCCGGGACTGTAGATCATGTTATAATTAGGTATGAGCAAGGTTTGTGGGCATCTTGACCATATCGATATAGACGTAGGAGGATGGCCAGACCAGTTTTGTTGGATGTATCTCTCATGGATCCACAGAGTTGCGAGAAACTCACCCTCTCTAATCTGATAGTCTGTCGCCATTGTAGAAAGAAATCAAGAATCGACTTACCTCGTCTTCGTTGATAGTAACCCTGAAAACGAGGTGGTGGAATTGAATCTCCATGGTCAGATACTGGTCAGCTAACGAGATAAAACTCCAACATTCTAGGGTATTGAACCTATATTGATATACGGAGTACTATCTGTAAAGGCTCCAGGAACCTGATGGACTGGGTTAAATGCCTTCTAGTGGAGTATAGAGTTGCTGGCAACACCAAGGCACTGATGAAGTTCTCGTGGTAGTTAAAACTAGAAGCTGGTGCTTATCAGATCTGTATCTCGTGTGTTATCAAACATCGCATGGAGTGTACTAGATAAAACGTTTGATATCATAATTTAATGATCACTTCTTGAAAATAATAACAATAATATAGAATATAGTCGCAGGACGAATATTTACCAGGATGGTCAATGTCTGCAAAAGAACGGGACAGCATAGTCCATATATAGCCATATTCAATGCTTAGTAGTTCAGGGCTTCGGCAACCGCAAGCAAAGTACGGCCTCAACCTACGTCTGAGCTTCGAACTCTTCCCGACCCCATAAAGCCTTTTTTGCCCGACAGTCCCACAGAAAAATGTCGTTCCGTGTCGATATTCGTTATCATTCTCTTGATCTAGTAGTAAGGTCCGCGGCAGCCTCGCTCAAACCTTCCAACCCCACCAACTCAAGGTGCACCCGACTGGCTCGGGCCCCAGGAAACTCATCACAGACACCCGTTCGCCGCGATAGTCATTTCGTGGCGTGCGTCTTGTGCGAACCAGCGGCCGCTGGCTGAAACGAGGTGGCTCGTCGTTCCTTTTGATAGTCAAGGCCCCGAGTCTCTTGACCATGTTTATTTATTTTCAGGCTGGCGGGTAAGTTCGTATCAAGAGAATAGACGGTCAGCACGGCCTTGGATTCTCTCGATATCAAGTGGTTAAGAGGATGCATCAACCTGTCCAGGAGCCGAAGTATGTGCCGCCGGCCAAAAACACCCTCTTAAAGCAGCAAGGAAAAAGCAACGTCGAAGGGACAACTCCGCGTGGCTGCCGCAAGCCACCATGCATCTTCCATGCGTTCTTGCTCGCCAAACCACCACCGGAATCACGACGGCATCACGGCAGCATCACGGCAGCATCATAACGGCCCCTGGTAACTACAATTCGTATTTCTTGGAACCTGATGGCTGGCCAGCTTCCTCTAGCCTGTGCTGAGTATTGGCGGAGGCTGCCGATATCAACATGTTAAGCCCTGTCCACTAGGCCAGGGTTCAAGCTCCGGGCAGCATATCCTTTCGCCGAAAAATCCACCCTGGGAGGCCGGCGAATCAAGACTAGAATCAGTGCTTATGAAACAGCCTATGGATATAAATTTCTAACGGTTAAAGCGGCCAGTCTTGTTGATGGCCACAAAAGCTATGGATATGTCCATACGACATGCCCCAGATTTCTCTTTTCGTCTTTTCTCCCTTATCATATGTTCCCAAGAGGCCTGACAGGAAATAATATATATTTATTTCCCTGATTCTCTCAAGGGTTAGACTCTCTTCTTGTCCATCGGAACCAGGGTGCGGGGAAGAGCTTAATTCCGATTATGAAATCTCAGGACGGCACAATTGCCGAAGGGGCGCATATCCGTCGAGAAGGCCAGCACAGTGATGGACATCCTGAAAATACTACTAGTGCAGGGTTCGAGAGTGAATCAGAGGGGCCTGTCCTGCTTACGGAGAAGAATTCACAAAACGACGGTGACAGCGCCAGAGGTGAATCGGACATATCAGCCACTAAAGACACCAGAGAAGGGCCGATTTACAACGAAAAAGCAGTACCGTTGGCGGGCGATGGGCTGCTATTCCAGGCTATTACTAGGGATCAAGAGCCTAACTCTCCAGAATGCCGCCTAGCTCGTTCACGGTCATCGCAGCCACCTCCGCCAGCAGACCCGGAGAACCTTACCCGGCTAGGTTCTCGCATGTCAACAGATCCAGACGGCAACATATACCCCGAAGGCGGACTGGAGGCCTATCTGGTTGTGTTTGGATGTTTCCTCTGTCTTTTTGGCTCCTTTGGTCTGGTTAACGCGATAGGAACCTTCCAGGCTTATATGAGTGAGAACCAGCTGAAAGATTACGATCAGAGCTCTATATCATGGATCTTCGGGGTCTTCTCTTTCCTTATCTTCTTTGGAGGTCTTCAGATTGGCCCTATTTTTGACGCAAAGGGCCCCAAAGGGTTAGTGTTGGTTGGCTCGACTCTAGTAATCGGGAGTCTAATTGCCCTTGGGTTCTGTACCAATTACTGGCAGATCATGGTTGTCTTTGGTGTGGTATGTGCTGCAGGAACTTCGATGGTGTTCACTCCTGCAGTGGCCAATCCTGGCCACTTCTTTTTCCGCCTTCGAGGTCGGGCAACCGGCCTAGCTGCCACCGGTGGTAGCGTGGGAGGTATTGTCTTTCCCTTGGTGTTGGATACCCTCTTCACGAAGATTGGATTCGCCTGGGCCACTCGTGTTTTGGCTTTGATATGTTTTGTCAGTCTCGGCGCCGGGCTTTTGTTGGTCAAATCACGACTACCCAGGAAGCGTGCAACCATGGAGAACATCATGCCAGACCTTCGTATTCTCCTCGAACCGGTATTTGCGTGCACGACAATTGGCATTTTCTGTATAGAATGGGGTCTGTTCGTGCCTCTTACCTATATTTCCTCCTATGCTCTCCACCATGGCATGCCAAAGGCACTATCCTACCAGCTCCTGGCCATCCTTAATGTTGGATCCTTTTTCGGGCGATGGGCACCAGGGTATATATCTGATTATACAGGGCGTTTCAATACGATGATTGTCACAGTCCTGATGTGTCTGCTCTCCGTTTCTTGCCTGTGGCTTCCGGCCAATGGCAACCAGGCGATGACGATAGCCTTTGCATTCATCTTTGGTTTCTCGAGTGGGAGCAATATTGGGTTAACGCCAGTGTGTGTTGGCCAGACATGCAAGACGGAGAATTACGGACGGTACTATGCCACGGCGTACACGGTCGTTAGCTTTGGGTATGTACACCCTCCTTTGTCTTACCTACATTCCTTTTCTAATTACATGACATAGATGCTTGACCGGTATACCCATTGGAGGATCAATCCTCACCCGTAACGGCGGTGACTACTGGGGTCTCATCACCTGGACGAGTTGCTGCTACTTCACAGGGCTCGTGTTTTTCATCGCTGCCAGGGTGCTTCGAGTTGGCTGGAGCCCGTTCAAGATAGACTAACGATACCAAAAAGAAAAAGAAACTCTCAAAAGTTAATTCTTCGTGGCCCTAATGCAGTGGCCCTTCCAGGCATAGCTTCTACGTTTATGCTTGCCGTTGTTTTATTGCTTTCTCCTCGGAACCTGGGTTTATGGTGACGGGTCCCCTTTCCGGCGTTGTTATTCTCGGGTAGAGACATAAACGTTTCAATGTCCTTGTTTTCTCAATAGGTCTCTGTGAACAGGCATGCGTTGTATAAGAGTACTATATATTTACAGTACTATAGATAAACCTATAACGTCACTAGGGTCCCTATAAGGGCCTATTAAGGTGTAGATAGATTCTATTTAGGCTATATCTTGAGGTTTGCCCGATTAGAGCAATACATAATATATGTCTATCAATACAAAAAGCTATCGGTGCCAAGCCTCCAACAACATCCAAGTTAACTGCAACTTCACTATGGCTATTGGATCTTTTCCTACGCTGTTGCATTCTTCTTCCTTGCTGTGGTCCACGTCGATATAGTAAGCTGCCTGCCCTATATTGCAACACTATCACCATGCAGTTTGACCATTTCGCAGAGGACCAGCTGGATACAGTTTCATGATGATACCCCTGAGGTTATCGTTCGGTTCAGCTCCCTGGGACGAACAATCTTCTGTAACGAAAAAGTTGCCAGAAGGCCATTTACATTTAACATGAATGAGCTATCAACTTCTGCAAACGTCCCGCCTTACGAATTTCCAGATCCAGGCGCCATCTTTGATTCAGCGGCTAACTACTTTAAGTCTCTTCCCACACAGCATATGTTGCACTTCCTTACTCAAAAAATGAAGCTAACTGTCGCAAAAAAGTTGTTGCTCGCTGCCTTTTTATGAAAGTTGTCAAACGTATTCGGTTTAATGAAGGAGCGTTCCGACTCTACTGTGACGATTTTCGCCCATCAAATATACTTGTGGACATTGAAAATATCCGCGTTTCAGCAGCCATAGACTGGGAGTCTACCTATGTAGCCCCCGCCGAGTTTAGCTACGTGGCTCCGTAGTGGCTTCTACTGCAAGCTCCTGAGGACTGGGAATCAGACCTCACCAAATTCCTGACTCACTATACGCCTCGCTTTCATCTTTTCTTGGATGCTCTACGAGCGGCTGAGTCTGATATGATATCTGACGGCAGGTTGCAAGAATCTCAGAGGCTATCGCAACATACGGAGAAGTCTTTAGATAACAAATTATTCTGGGTGTGTCTGGCAGCACGGTATAGCTCCATATTTGATGAGATATACTGGACGTTCATCGACGAAACTTACTACGGCAAGTTCACGTCTCTGGAAGACCGACTGCAATACCTGAGCCAGGAAGAGAAGCCTAAGTTGGACGCGATTTACGATATCAAGGTCAAACAGGCAGAGGATGGAAAAATTGATCCCCATTACTCCCTTGATGATACAATGGAGCTGTAACGGCTTTTTTTTCTCTTTCTTTGGTATTTTAAGTTGTTTTATACAAGAGTGCTGCGTATTTACAGTATATAAGCGAGCCTATAATTATTATAGAGGCCCTCTAATAGCGTTATGGGCTCGCCTGCAGTGCTGCAAATACACAGCACTCTCATAGTCTCACTATCAAGGAATGTAAATAGAGGCTATTGGCCACGCTCTCGCTTCCGGTTCTTGTCGACCCGCCAACTCACCCACAGCACTACTTTCTCGTATATAGATCACACAATACGTGATTTGGATATAGTCTTGCTACTTTAGCTGCAGAAACGCCATAATAGACCAACGGCGGGCAAGCGATGCCTGAATGACCGAACAATCTTCCATTAATAGCCACCAGTTATACCAAGAGCTTTAACGTGAGGTGTGCACAAGTCTTGGTGGTAACAAAACACCAGCCACGGAGGAAGTTCAAGCATTCTACGAAACTCCGTACCTTTCACCGAACCTACCAATATGAACATCACCAAACAGGCCGTTTCTTTTTGAGTAAATCTTATAGATATTACAGGTAAACGGCTATGCTAACCGAGTAGTAGACGCGCAAAACCGCCGTGGCTTTCCCGTCACACAGCCGCAGCACAACAGGCGAGAGGATCTCGGAGAATAATAAACATCGTCGGCGCAGCGAAAAGCTTGATACAGGAACTCTCGCGCGGAACGAAGTCGAATTTGACAAAGACAAAAAAACGAAAAAAGCATGGCTGGAGGAAAGGTCTATCTATTTTTATATCGGGAGAGCTGACCAGTCCACGCTTTAAAGACGCCCAGCTGAGAAGCGCGCCATCTGATTCGTGTTTCAGACGCCCACCCATCGTCGATGCAAGACATTTTGTCGTCATCCAGCAGAAGCTCACACCCAACAGGCCGCTGGATCGAGGAATTATTAACGGACCCGTCGATGTGGTGCGGACTGTGTTCTCGCTGCGAGAGTAGCATCTTATCTCGGATCTCTATCTCCATGGTTACCTTCCACGGTCCACCGATCGCACCGTTTATACCAATCGGGACCAGGGGCGAGGAGCAATCAGCAACCGACGGATCTCTCGGTTCATGGATTCATGGAAGATACCATGTCTCGCATATTCTTGGGACGAGCTGACGGTGTATTCTCGATAGGATGCGATCCCACCGTAACGTCTAGCAGTTCAGCTAGACTCACCTGAGGATGCATCCGTCCATACGGATGAGCATGGTCTCACTCACGACCATACCACTCGTTTGTCTCACTACAAATTACTAGACTTGCTCTAATAATACCACAGTAGCAAGCATATTCTTCCAGGAGCCTATGGTGTTTACCCGAGGAAGCCACTGGGAACCGGTACAGGTGCCTAAGGCGTTTACGTGTTTCTTCCTTCTGAACTCCCAATACCATAGCAACCCGGTGGCTTGCATCACTTTTTAGCTATCAGGACAGGGCCATGTTGCCGGTGGAGTTCCGAACTCAAATGGATTTCCAGGTGAAAAGGGAAGAAAAGAAAGCATGGCTTTGATCTAAGCCTCCAAGCTGGATAGGTCGAGACCAGCCACCTCTGCTGTGACGTGGGATTGACTCTGATGTATATCTCCGGTGGGAAGATATATAAATATGCCATGTCCGACTGGTATTCCCCTTGAGTTTTTCTACTATCATCATCTACTATCGTTCATATTCAAGAAGAATATAATACTCTTCCTTTTCTGACTTTTCCAGCGTCGTCACTCGCTTCGTTGATACTTGTTAAATTCCAACAGACACCCCCTTCGTTACGCAACTGTTTTTTGTCGGTCGTACTTTCACGATGGTTGCTTTAACATCCTTTATCGTTGCTGCTCTTGCAGGCACTACCCTTGCTCTCCCAGGAGCAGGCTACAGGTTCCCAGACCTTGAAGTGAGAGGACGAGGAGGCAACTATAATCCTCCTATGACAACCGGAAACCCGCCAACTCCTCCCCCTGGACCTACCAACCCCCCAGGCGGCCCGTCCACTCACACCGTCACCTCCACCAGAACCGATACGATTACCCTTACCACTTTCGTCCCTTGCTCTACCCCAGTTGCAACTATCCCTGGCTACACTTGGTATAGCACCTGGCTAACGGCTTCCACCTACACCACCACCACCTGCTACCCAGTCACCGAGACTACGGCACCACCACCACCTCCTCCACAAGAGCCCACTCCAGCACCACCACCACCACCATGCCAGGGTGATGACTGCCATGGCAACGGCGGCGGAAACACCTGCCCACCACAGGCAACTGTCACCGTCACCATCACTGAGTGCCGAGGAGATGGATGTGAAGCACCAACGGTCACTCCTCCACCAGCTGGTCCTACTCCTCCACCACACCACTGCCCTAGCTGCCAGACTTATACTATCACCGACATCCACGAGGGAACAATCACCATCGTTGTGCCCCCAGTGACCCTTCTCCCTCCCGGCCCATGCGGTAGATGCCAGACCATTACCATCACCGACATCCACGAGGGAACGAAGACCGTCACCATTCCCCCAAGCACAAGCATTTCCACCGTGACTCCCCCGCCAACATCGACCCCGCCCACTGGTACGGGTACCGGTGCCCCCCAGCCACCTGCGCCAGAGTCTACCTACACTCCCCCGACCTTGTCTTCCCAGCAGCCCACCGCAACTGGCGCCCCCAAGCGCCGTTCATGGTTTTAAACGACGTCTGACGGATATGAAGAGATATATCTGAAACGACGCCGCCATGGACATCCTATGACTTTATCTTTACGTTGTTTAATGCTTTTTTTTTGACTCCATCACCCAGCTCCTACTAATCATAGCCCCTATACTACTGTTTATAATGTTGGTGCAGTCATCGTTTGTTGTTTTTTTCCAGCGCGCATTTTATTTCCATGTCGAGGCGTTGATCTCTCATGCTTAGTATATAAAATACCCACTTTCCTTAATGAATCTATGAAGACTTATAGCCACAAGAAAACCCAGATTGAGGACTCTTTCAGAAAAGAAATAACACTCCTTTTACTTCCTCTATCTTTCTATTGTTTTTTTCTGCCCAACTATACCGGAAATGTATGTAATGCTTATTGTTAACGGGTCATATTTACTTGAGTGAGAAATTAATGAATATTAGACAATAATTCAGCGAATGAACAAGTTGGCGACCTAGCCGAACAGTAACCACCTTACATAGCTTGAGCCTGTGGCAATGTTATATTAAGTAGGATATAAGAGCAGTGTGTATTATAACTGTCCATGGTAGCTACTGTTTCGACATAACTGGGCTTTAAATTTTAAGTATCAACCTATTCCAAAATGCAGATGGGTGCAAAGTGACCCGAATATTCAAAAAATCCAATCAACGAGAATTAGAAAGTAAAGAATAAATTGAACAATAGAAGTAAACGAGCTATAGAGTAGAGTCTTGTTCTTCATCCGCTCAACTATCTTCTCTTCCGTAGATTGTCTGTGAAACTGAAAACCAAAACAAGAAACACGGAAAAATGATCAAAAAGTGGGTATGTTCAACAGACAGAGCAAAATCAACCAAGTAAAAACATTAAAGGAAATAGAAGACAGAAGGGTAAAGAAATATGGGAGCCAAAGAGATATTTAGAAAAACAGGGGATAATAGAGAGGCCGGAAGCAACCAAAAAAAACATTGTCAGACTCGCCATAACTCTCTCCGCCGGGAAACGCCCACATAATTCAGAAATCCAATTCGTGAAGCTTAGCAAAATTGAGCTAGTATGAGGGAGGATGAGGACAGCATGCATGTCGCTAATGGATATAGGGGAAAATGCGATTTCCAGGAAATATCAGCCAAATAAATAAGTACAGGTCACGATAGATTGTTTGAGTAGGTGTCTGGGGAAATATAGGGATTCCACTTTGCCAATCATGGTGAGAATATATTGATATGCTTCCTGGAGTTAAAACTGCCTCATTGCTCTGTCACAATGGATATCAACCTTCCTAGTACGCCGTCCTTTTCGTTAAAAATGGTCCGTTTTTGGAATAGCTAGCTACTGTTTGTCCGAGATATCGACTACCCTCTGCTTGGATTAGTAAAGGAGGTAGAAAACGGAGGTGAACTGGATGGGCCTGCGCGGGGGGTATGGGTAGCACTCACCGATTCAGTAGTACTGGCTTTCTTGGCTTCAGCCGTTGAGCTCGTTGGCCCTTCTGCGCCTCCGTAAGCTCGTGGCTCTAAGCGTGGGTCTAAACGCGGGCGTCGATCCCGATAATCAGACGAGTGCATACGGGATCTACCATGCATCTGCGTGTTAATGCCAAGCCTCGACTCATTGTTGCTCTTCTCAAGCAAAGGCCCTCCAAGAGTGGTGCACTTGAGAATTGTCTGCATCATCTGTGTCTGTTTAAGCGGCTTGGAGAGGTATTCGTCCATCTGGGCTTGGATACATTTTTCACGATCACCCAACATAGCGTGTGCCGTTAGGGCAATAATGGGTGTTCTTGAAAGGCCGTGACGCTTCTCGTATGCACGGATTTCACCGGTCGCTTCGAAGCCACCCATGATTGGCATCTGGACATCCATGAGGATAACGTCGAATCGGCGTTTCTTAATAGACTCGAGAGCCTGGAGACCGTTGCCGACAACGGTAACGCCGTGGTTGCATTTCTCTAGTATTTTAACGGCAACCTTCTGGTTAACGTCATTATCTTCAGCCAGAAGGATGTCGAATGATCGAGAGTCATCGGATGTGAGTGGTGTTGAGCGACCTTCCAATGCCGGGAGCATGCCGTTGCCAAGATCGATCGGCTGGCATGGAGTTGTCATGTAAGAGGTGATTCCAAGGTCAAGAGCTGACTTCAAGCTAACAGAAACGACTGGGCACAAGAGAACAATGGGGATGTACTTGAACTCATCGAACGTTCGCAAGGTTCGTGCCGTTTCGATCATATCGACGATGATAACATCATAAGCGTGTCCAGCCTCTTTACCTTCGTCGTCTTTGATTTCGGGTGGTGGAACGTTGGTCTCGTTGTGAACGACGATCGGAATCAGATCAAGCTCTTTCAACATGCCGATAATATCCTGCGCGTAGTCACCAGTGAACCCCTTATCGATGAACAGAACTGAGTGACCCTTGTATGGCATCAAAGATGAGGCAATGACATCCAGAGATTGATCCGCCTGTTTCACAACACAAGTGAAGTGGAAGGTACTGCCACGACCGTATTCTGAAGTGACCCAGACATCACCACCCATCAGGTTAACCAATCGTTTGGAGATAGACAAGCCCAAACCGGTACCACCAAACTTGCGAGTAGTGGAGCCGTCGGCTTGCTGGAATGTATCGAAAATCATATCCAGCTTGTCCTTTGCAATACCAATACCTGTATCCTGGACGGAGAATTCATATGCATACTCATCCTCAGCGCACACCTCTCGTGCAGGCTCACCATTGGCAGGTTGTGGGGGTACATGCTTCTTGATCTCAAGCGTTACCTCACCATGTTCAGTGAATTTAATGGCATTTCCAACCAAGTTCAGGATGATTTGTCGAAGGCGGAAGGGGTCTCCAATGACATAGTCGGGAACAGAGCTATCGACCTGGTAAGTCAGGTTGAGGAATTTTTCATTGGCCTTCACAGCAAGTGTTTTCAAGGCGTTGAAAACTGTACCCCTCATCGTGAACGGAATACTCTCGATGACCATCCTGTTTGCCTCAATCTTTGAGATATCCAAAATATCATCAATAATGGTCAAGAGACTGTTTGCCAGACTGTGCACCACGTTTAACATTTCACGTGGGTATGGCTTGAGGTCATCGGTATCGAGAGTAAGCTGGGTCATACCAATGATACCATTCATTGGCGTACGGATTTCGTGGCTCATATTGGCCAAGAACTCTGATTTGGTACGATTGGCTAACTCGGCAGCTTCTCGAGCAGCTGTGTTTCGCTGGATACTGTCTCGGAGATTTGACACCATCTTATTGATCTTCCTCTTCAGTTCGTCCATCTCGCCAGAGGCTTCGACAGTGATCAGCTTTGTGAAATCGCCATCGGTAGCTGCATCTGTAATTTCTCCAAAGGCTCGCACTTGAGACGTCAGATTGTCTGCCATCGTGTTAACGTCCTCGGTAATTTCTTTCCATCTGCCAGAAATTCCTTCGACGTTTGCTTGACCTCCCATCTTTCCATCGACACCCACATCGCGGGCAACCCTCTTCAGTTCATGGGCAAAGTTGGCAAGTCGGTCAACCATGTTGTTTATGGTGTCTTTCAAAGTGAGTATTTCACCTTGTGCATGCACATCAATCTTCTTGTTCATGTTTCCTTTGGCAATGGCCTGGGTGACATTGGATATGGCTCGCACTTGAACAGTAAGATTTTGGGCCATGGTGTTCACGTTGTCGGTTAGGTCCTTCCATTTTCCTTCAACGTTGTCAACCTTAGCTTGACCTCCAAGGGTTCCATCGGTTCCGACCTCACGAGCGACCTTGCTGACTTCAAAGGCGAAAGTGTTCAAACGGTCCACCATACTGTTGATGGTATTTTTCAAATCCAGGATTTCTCCCTTGACCTCTGCAGTCACCTTCTTTGTAAGGTCTCCCTTTGCTACGGCAGTGGTGACGTCGGCAATTTCTCTGACCTGAGTTGTAAGATTCATGGCCATGCCGTTGACGTTTTCAGTGAGATCCTTCCAGGTGCCTTCAACATCATGAACAGTGGCTTGGCCACCGAGCATACCGTCTGTGCCGACTTCCTTTGCAATTTTCGTGACTTCTTGGGCGAATTGTTTGAGTTGGTCAACCATAGAATTTATGATGGTCTTCAGCGCCAGAATTTCACCCTTGCAGTTGGCCTGGACCTTTTGGGTAAGGTCACCCTTAGCCACGGCGGTAGTGACAGTAGCGATATCACGGACTTGGGTGGTGAGATTCTCAGCCATAGCGTTGACGTTGACAGTTAGTTCGTTCCACATGCCCTTGACTCCATCAATCTGGGCCTGACCACCCAAGACTCCCTCAGTTCCTACGTCACGGGCGACTCGAGTGACTTCCGTTGCGAATGTACGAAGTTGATCAACCATAGTATTGATAGTCTGCTGGAGCTCAAGAATCTCACCCTTGGCTCGACGTTCAATCTTCTGGCTAAGGTCACCATGGGCGACAGCGGTTGTGACGGTTGCGATTTCTCGGACTTGGTTGGTAAGGTTGGTAGCCATGATGTTGACGTTTTCAGTCAACTCTTTCCAGATGCCGTTGACTCCGGTGATTTGGGCCTGACCACCCAGAATACCTTCGGTTCCGACCTCTCTCGCGACCCTGGACACCTCACTTCCGAACACCTGGAGTTGGTCCATCATAGTATTGATAGTGCGTTTGAATGTTGTGATTTCTGGGTCCATCTCCAGAGGGTGGATCTGGACTTTCATAGAGAGGTCACCGTTGGCTACCTGAGTGATGATACCGCCGATTTCCCTAAGAGCTTTCTGGAAGGCCTCGTTGGCTTGTTGATGTTTGCGGAGTTCACGTTCCAAAAGGCCGACATCTTCACGTTCCACCTTGACGAGCGCGTTTTTGGTGTGTTCTTCCTGTAGCCGTAATTCATCACGTACACGAGTGATTATTTCCTTTTGTAGTTTGATTTCATCGGCCTGCAGCTGCACACGGTTACGGAGATAAGTGATGTCTTCTTCATAGGGGTTCTTAACTTGAACAATGTCATCGTCTTCATCCGAGGTAGAGTCGTCTTCACAGACAGTCTTTGAATCGGTGTCTTGGTCGTTATCGGGTTCGTTATGGATGTTTTTAAGATTTGAAGCACGGGTGTGTCGTGAGGGTGGCTACAGTAACATGTTAGCTTCGAACAGGGCGTCATATGTGCCAAGTTCAACTCAGACACTTTGATATCAGCGTCAACGATTACTACTTACCACGAAGAACTGTAATGTGTTAACTCTGCTGATAAGTGCAGCTATCTCACGTTCCAACGCAGCTTTGCCATCACTTTCCAAGCCGGGAAGCTTGATTTTGGCGACATCGTAACCATTTGTCGGTGGCTGGTTATATTTGTGGCCGTTGAATGGAAACGAGGCGGGCAGCGGTGTATCCTTTGCCAGACCCCGTAAAAGAGCAGCAGCTGCTAACAACGTTTCGTCGTCGGGAGCCATGCTGTAGCAAAAATATAATAGTTCTCCTTTCCCTTAGGTTTTCTCTTTCTTTCTTTTTTTACACGTTCGTTCGCCCGTTCCAACCACTGCAACGTAGGAGCCAAAAAAAACACGCTGGCAGCAGGTTCGAGGGCAGAGCTCAGAATGCGTACGGGCCACGCAGTCAACGCGAAGTCGACATTGGCGGCAAGCAGTCGGCTGGTGAAGAAAGGAGGTGGTGGGTTGAGGTCGAGAGAGTCGATCCGGGGTAGCGTTTTGAAGCGAAAGCGGCGGTCTCGCTCGCCAGGTGACGGTGACGGTGGTAGCGGTGAGTATCCGGTAGCAACGAGAACGACGGCGTAGACGACGACCCAGGAGGCCGAGGCGGTGCTGCTAGTCGAGATAGAGATAGGCAGGTCGCAGTTCGTGAAGGGAGAGAGGAGAACTTGCGCTGGGATGGCTCGTCGGGAGGCACAGTTTGAGGCCCAACTCTAAACGGACGAGAAATGAAGGGGGGCTAGCTCTTTTGGGGTGAAGGGCCTACGCGCTTACTTAAGACTCGGCCCACCAACCTCTACGACGGCTTTCGACCTGCAACAACGGCCAGAGAAGAAGAAAATAAAAGGACAAAGGTCACTCTGCAACAACATTCACCTTCCTGCAGGGCGGATGCACGGTACTTGCCCGCTTATGACGACGACCGGCAGCGTCCAACAACTGGGGAGGCTCGTTGCTTTTGGCTCTTCCCCCCCGTTTGTGCGAAGGGCTCCTGGGCGAGGACGAGGGTTGGCTACCTGGTGGGCGGGCGGGCTTTTACGAACGCTTGACTGACTAGTTATATCGAGACAAGGGCTAGCATGCTTAGACCGAACCTAACTGCAGGATTCAGGAGGCTAGCAGCACGATAGCGCTGTCGGACTCCAGGTCTATCTCGACTGCAAGGACAGCAAGATCAACATCGTCACTTGAAACGCAAGTGTTGCCTATGAACAAAAAAAATGCGCCAAGCGAGGCTTGCGTTGGATCTGGGCTAGTTGGTCGCCTTGATCATCAGCATCAGACGACTGGCTGTCACCGCGATTGGAGGGTGCAGGGCAGGTCTCGCCTCCGCATGGGATGGTTGCACTAGACTGGCATCAGCAGCCAATGGGGCACCTCCCGCCGTCCAAGTCCGAGAGACGGTGAGCTCGCAGCATTGTTCTCCGTCGATTGACCGTTTGAGGTACGTACATATACGTCCAGTGGATGACGTGAGATACGGGAGTATAGATGGATGTAGCGGGTTGTGCAGATACATCCAACGGCATCTCCATATTTACTCATCCATGAGCCGATAGCAAACGCCATCCCGGTGGGTTTGACCTGCCAGGTTGGACTCGTTATTGCACAACGGATGGCAACAGATGATGGAAAGCCATGGGTTACCTGGGATATTCCCATCCGATCATGTGCATAGATTGGAATCTGGACTGTTTCCGACTGAGCTGTCAAGTGAGCCCTCCACACCGGCGAAAAAAACACATGCGGAAACTATACCAAATCAGACTAGTTCAGTGTCAGATTGATGAGGGTGAGAAACATATTTCCACCACCGCCGGTTGGTCAGCTCCTGGATACTCTTTGCAACCCCCCTCCGACCCCGGAAACGGAAACGGGTAGGTACATATCACCCTGGGACAGAAGATATAGTACCTTGCTACAGGGGTTTCCGCTTGATTCCGTGGTCTCTGGCTTTAGTTTAACGTCTAGAGCCCTGTCCATTGAAAATGTGAGGCGGTCGAATGATGCTCCTATATTGGGTCGGAGGTGCGACTGCCAGTTGGTCATTGGTTAGGTCGGAGGGATCGTTATCTTGCAGTAGCCTATTCAAAGGAGCTTTGATTCAACAAAGGGAATATTCTTATTAATAAGTTTACTCTGTCGCGATCAAATCGCTGATGGGAGGGGCAAGGGGACCTTTGTATAGATCTGGACTGAGATGAATGTATAAGCCCGTCGAATATGATCAGGTACAGGGAGTCACCGTGGGAGATACGATCTCGCCTACATGACGACTAACATAGTTCTCTGGAAACGCAACAGTGCTTCATGCGAACTCTCGATCGCAGTAGATGTTGCATCGTCATGAACCTCGTTTTAATACGATGCTTCCCCCACGGTGAAAGTGGCATGAAATATCACGTGACCCTAAACCAACACACACGATAAAGAGTCACCAAAGTCACTGAACACCAAGTTTCACGCCGCTCGACTCGCAGCAGCCTCCAGTTACCGTTGTTGTTTCGTGACTAGAGAGCTGCGGATAGGATCACAAGCTGCAACCATGGCATCCGACCTTACTCCCCAGGTTTTGGAGTGTCTCGCCTCAACGGACGAGCCACAATTGTCGAGTCATGTCTTCCCATCAGCTCCAGCGCAGAGCGTCAAGGCTGCTTTAGACCGTCTCACCGCGAGAGACATGGTGCTCCAGGAGACTATAGAAACTGAGGAAGTGTATTTACTGCCTGAAGCCGAAGGTATCGTTGCCAATGGCAGTCATGAAGCTAGGGTTTTCGAGGCAGTCAGTGCCGCGATGGAGGGGTTAAAAATCACCGATTTGCCAGATATCGTTGGAAAGGAGATCGCCAAAGTCGGAACTGGAAACGCGTTTAAAAAGGGGTGGATTAAGAAGGACAAAGACACATTGAGGGCGGCCACGGATTCGATAGAAGACACGTCCCGCGACCAGCTCGCTATTATCCAGAAGACGAAGACACACCCAGACGCCAAAATTCTCGCCGAGCTGCGAAAGCGGAAGCTCATCAATACCCATAAAGTTTTCGTATATAAGTTTTGGAAGGGACCCAAGTATGCCAGAGAATTTGTCAAGGAAGAAACAGATCTCACGATGGACATGCTTGCCGATGGTTCCTGGAAGACGGCAAAATTAAAGGGATACAACTTCAACGCCAAAGGAGCCATAACACCCTGTGGCGCCCTGCATCCACTGAATAAAGTCCGCCATGAATTTAGACAGATCTTTTTTGAGATGGGATTCAAAGAAATGCCTACTAACCGTTACGTTGAATCTGGATTCTGGAATTTCGATGCCCTATACGTCCCTCAACAACATCCTGCCCGTGATCTTCAGGATACCTTTTATATCTCTGACCCCGTGAAGGCGGATAAACCGAGAGCAGACCCAGAGAACGATATCCATTTGTCAACTTTTAACCAGGATAAAAGTTCCCCTGCTTCAAGTACTGCCTCCAAACCCCCAAACTATGAGGAATACTGGAACAACGTTCATGCTGCACATGAAACCGGCTTCCGCGGTTCCATCGGTTACCGCTATCCTTGGAGCGAGGAGGAATCCTTGCGCCTTGTCCTACGGACTCACACCACCGCTGTCTCCGCTTATATGCTTCAAAAACTAGCACAAGACCCACGTCCTGCCCGATACTTTAGTATCGATAAGGTCTTCCGCAACGAAACCCTAGATGCAACCCATCTTGCTGAGTTCCAGCATATCGAAGGTGTGATTGCGGACTTCGGTCTATCTCTCGGGGGGTTGATCGGGTTCATGGAGGTTTTCTTTGGCAAGATGGGCATGCATGGACTACGCTTCAAACCCGCATACAACCCTTACACTGAACCCAGTTTGGAGATTTTCGCCTACCATAACGCCCTGAAGAAATGGGTCGAGATTGGAAATAGCGGTATGTTCAGACCGGAAATGTTGGAACCAATGGGCATTCCTAGCAACATGCAGGTTTACGGCTGGGGATTGAGTTTGGAGCGACCAACTATGATCAAGTGAGTTTTCCCCCTGTCCGTGCGGGTATATGACACCTCGTTATAGATACAATAAATGCTTACATACTTACCCCGCGAATAGATACGGTCTGAATAATATCCGAGAGCTGGTAGGACACAAAGTAAACCTCAACTTCGTCGAATCGAACCCTGCCGTGCGGCTAGAAAAGGATTAAAGAGACGCCCTCCCTTAGATGAGTTATGTTATGCATACGATTCGATTACGTTGCTACCTACCTACCTACCTTAAACCAATTTAATTGTTATATTCCGCTTTAACTTTTGTTAACCTTACTCGAATTAATCATGAGACGGGAATAACAGCTTTGAGGAAAGAAATGAAGTAAATTAAAACTAAGCTTCGGTTACACATCTGGGGGCAACTTTTTAAACCGTGTGTTCTAAGAATAATGGTCAATGACAACACCATCCCTACAGGGAGCTTCGACGTGGGGAAAAAAAACAATTCATATAGATGCATGTGATATGTTCTGCCCGTATCTGTGCTTCGACGTGTGATCTTGACCGTCGCAGCTCATCAGAAGGCAGCTTTTATTCTCCCGGCATAAGTGATTACAAGAATCTGCTAATCGACTTCCTCGCCCATGCTTAGGAGACCGAGATAGTTATTCACATATCTCGATCGGACGAGGAAGCTGGAGTACCGGTTCATTTGTAGAATAAGAAAATGGAATGACGACAAGGGTGCAGATTTGTAGGCAGAAGAGTAAGTGGTATTAGAAAAAGGGAGATTATCCACTGTTGCCTATCTTCTGGTTTGATTCTCTTGACTAGAGATGTCTTTTATATGGTATTGTCTGGCCGTAAAAGGTCTTGTTGGGAAGGAGAAGGTATGGTTTTGAATTTTTATATTATTTCATTTTTTGGCTCTGTTCGTTCCCGCCACACTTCTCTGGTGGATTCGTATTATCGCATCCTCTCAAAAGAATAGGTGGGACGGCGCTAGAGTTTTCATAACATCGGAAATTCCTGATATCCATTCCCATTCACCATTCCGACCTCGTTTCAAGAAAATGGATCTATAACAGTAAACCACTATTATCAGCATACGTCCACACAAAAGTTGTTCTCGTGATCCTTCTCCCGGTGCCGTGCTTTGAACTGTTTCGGTAAGGGCATTATATACCATTTGGCATCTAAAATAAAAAACGACTTCTCTCCTCCCGCTTATCGGCTTGCGGTCCAGACGTTCTTCAAGAATCCATCCCTCTGAGCCAAACGGTTCAAGCTGTCATCACCCTCGCCCATAGCGCGTACGAATCCGGACAGAGCGTAGACTTGGTTTTCACCGGTGTATCGGCCGTTCTCGTCGACCTTAGCGATGCTGATTTGAACCGAAGCGTGGTCCTTGGCCTTGATGATGCGGTTGGTGGCGCTGCACTTGCGGGGGACGTAGCTATTTCACACAGAATCTCATTAGTAGCTGCAGGGACAAATTCACTTCTCGCTCGACGTTGATAAGGTTTCTGTGGACAGGAGGGAGTTTGCGTACAGATCGACGATTTCGCCCTTCTCGTTTTCCATTTTGGCGGATTAGATTGAGTGTATCTGGGGGAGAAAGGGTTGGTCGGAGGTAGAGACGGAGGGAGGTGGAATCGGATGGTCTTCTCTTGTCGATGACTTTGATGCCTTTTGCTGTTGGCGCGAGATGTAAAATCGCTTTTTCGATTGTGCGTCATGTGACCTGGTGGGAGATTTAGGTTCAGACATATCAAAAGCATCAAATAGACATGGAAGAACTACGAGCGAACGTTCAACGGGTTAATATTCGATGTTCAAGTTATCCAAGCCCGTGTGTAGTCTAATTGTTATCCTCTAGATAAAGGGTATACCTAACTAAGCCTTCAATTATGTACAAGAAGCAGAAACGGTCGAATATACTGGCTCGATAACGGCCACGAGATATATACCAGGATCACATCGAGCTCTTTTGCTCCTTTAAATGAGCTTCAACCTCACTTATCCAGCGGACCTCTACTCCTCTCGGCCCTTCTTTCTTAAAGGTCACGAGTATAACTCTGTCAGGATCACCTCGTTTCTCGGTCTCCTCCAGTTCTTTGCCTGGGTAATTCAAATCCATAATCAGCCTGCCATCAGGCATGCTGCCCAGTGGCCGCGGCGAGATAAACTTATGAGTCCATGCTGGTTTACCAGAGTGAACGAACTTGATCAGTTCTTCCCGTCGGCGCGTCGACTCTTCAGCTGATATCGGCACCTTTTCACCCGGCCGTTCGAGAAACTGTGCAACGAAGCTGAGCAGTAGTACTTGGGGAGGGAACATGATTACTTCGTCTGCCTTTGTACGTCGTAGCCATTCTGTAGCTGACAGGAATTGCGCTTCTGTAACCTCTACTCCGCCATCCGAGGTAGGTACTTGGACTTCTTCGCTGTCCGCTTCCTGGCCCGCAATATCGACAGCACTAGTGCCATTTGCAGGAGGGAGAAAATATAGATACATCTGCGTCGTGAAACGGCGGGCGTTGATGGAAGGCGTTACCCAATGCGAAAAGGGTATAAGGGATTCTGCGCGTACTTTCATTAACACGACCTTTTCCACCTCAGGAGTCTAATTCAAGGCAGCATCTCACCAGTATCCGGCTCAGCATTGGCATCTATGCCCTTTAGCCATTTCTCAAACGTAACTTCGTTCCTATGTATGGCATGTCGACCTTCCTCTCTCTCCGTCGGGCTAAGTTTCACCATGCGCCCAGTAGCCTTATTTTTGGCAAGTAGAATACCGCTCTCCTCGAACGTTTCGCGGATCGCAGCCCGTCTATAGTGAATTCCATCATCGTGGCTGTCTGGGTGACCTGCTGGAGGGAAATCGCCATCCTGAGAAGATATATTTCCGCCCGGGAATACGTGTGCCGATGGGAACGAGGAGGATGTTTTTACTCGATGGAGAAGCAGAACTTCATCCTGCGGCGATATAAGTATGACACTGATGAAGTGTTAGTTTACTCCGTTTCAATTTTATTAATCAAGGAGACTTGCCTTGAACTTGGACGTGGTATTTTATAATCGATGGCTGGCTTCTTGCTATCATCTGGAGCCATTGGTTTTCGATACTGTGGTATTATGTGAATATTTGAATACGGTACTCTCTGTATAGAATTGAATGTAGCCCTCTTTTTCGATGGTGCGGTGCTGCGCAATAATGAGCTTTCTGGACAGTTGACTGGTTGTCGTGAAGCTGTGATGCTATACAGCCGTGGAAGAGGGGAGAAGGCAAGCTTGGAGGTCTGGTGATGGATTGCGTGCGGATGCCATTTATTTATGAGAGCAGGCATCGTTATAGACGACGTTGCCTGTTGAAGCGTCTGGTTGACCCTGTGGCGGCACTCATGGGCGTGTGGGGAGGAACGAGCGCGCATGGATGATTGTCCCGAGGTTGTCTATCAAAGCCCCGACAGCCGAGATGGCCATGGGACAAAGACACGAAGAGCCACCTAGGGTATCTACAAGAGTAGCTTAACACGCTATCTTTCATTCTCGATACTTCTGGTGGCCCTGTTATGGTCTAAGTATGGGAAACATTGGTCAATGATATTACATGTTGTGTTATACCACGTACCGCTACAAATATGAGTAAGGATAAAGTGCGGATTAGTTTCCATTCTGTCATAATGTGTAATGTGCATAACTATCATCCATAATATTCAGGGAACTCATAAGGAGCGTAAACTTTTAGTAGTCGACTGTTAGGTCAACTTGCATACCAAACCACCTGCTACCATCAGATACAACACCACTTTAAACTCCTGAAGCCTCGCCAAACTGAAATAACGACATCTGAAGGAGAGAGTAGGGAAAATAAAAGATGGGTGGAAGGTTTAAGAGTAAAGCTTCTTATCGTAGGTGTGCAGGCCGTGGACGTTTCCTTCAGCCTGGGCACTGGTAGTTCGTACCTCGAAGCGAACAGTTCCCTTAGCAACACCTTCATGGAGGGCCTCCAAGCTCTTGACGCCCATATCCTGGAACGAGTGCTGGACACCGGCAATAAGATATGGAACGAACTTGGTGATGGAGCCACGGTCGAGGACGGAGCCAGACACACCCTGGGCAACGAGCAGACTGTCTTTCTCAGAGAAGTATCTCGCTGTGCCGGCAGTGCTCTTGCTGCCGCCTGAACCGGCGCCGGCTTTCTTTTCTTCCATGGCGTCGATGCTGCCCATACCACGGTAGGCCTTGACGAGCTGTCCTTCGCGGCTGACGAAGTACTGGCCTGGAGACTCGGTGGTACCGGCAAGAAGGCCGCCCATCATGACGGTGGAGGCACCCATGGCAAGGGCCTTGACGATGTGGCCTACGTTCTGGACACCACCATCGGCAATACAGGGAACACCAAAGCGGGAAGCTAATTCAGTTACGCTGTGGACGGCGGCGGCTTGTGGTCTGCCGACGGCCATGACTTCCTGGGTGATGCAAGCGCTACCGCTGCCCATGCCGATTCTCAGGCCATCGGCACCGGCTGCAATGAGGGATGCGGCCTGTTCGCGAGTGACGACGTTACCGGCGATAACGTCGATTCCGGGGTGGGTGGCCTTGACGTGTTTGATCATTTCGATCTGGTAAATGCTGTTACCCTGGCTGCTGTCGAGAACGACGAGGTCAAGACCGGCCTCGACTAGCTTTTGGAGTCTGTCCTTGTCCGCGGGGCGAGTGCCGATGGAAGCAGCGCAGATAAGCTGCTTTGAGTCAGGGAGCTTGGAGGCCAATGGGTAGTGGAGGTTTTTCATAAGATCGGAGCGAGAGAGGAGGGAGACGATGTTTCCTTGCTCGTCGACGATCGGGAGCTTGCCCTTCTTGGAGGCACGCAGGACCTCGTTGGCTTCCGCCAAGGTGGTGCCTGATGGAGCTGTGACGAGATCGGTGGACATGACAGCGGTAACTGGGTCATTCAACTCAGGGTGGAATTGGATGTCCCTGCTGGTGACAATACCAACCAGCTTAGAGCGGAGGTCGCCATTTTCTGATTTTCCACGTTTAAGTCAGTGGAGGATGCGAGACATATCAATTGTATAGTCAAATCATGGGAAGCGGACAATCTCAGATATAAATCTATGGCTCTCCAGTGCAGCTCTCGCCGCGTACAGTTGAACGAAAGTTATGATAAGATGGAAAACATCATTGGAACGCAAGGGTGAAGAATAATGAAAAGTAGTATAACTCACCAGTTACGGGAAATCCACCGAATCCCCACTTCTGCTTCAAGTCCTTGGCCTCTGCGACTGTGGTCTTGGGAGAGATAACGACTGGGTCGAGGATAAACCCGTTCTCATACCGTTTCACCTTCCTGACCATCTCAGCCTGCTCTTCAGCAGAGCAATTGTGGTGAATGACTCCGAGACCACCCAGGAGAGCCATATGGATTGCCATGGAGTGCTCCGTGACGGTATCCATAGGCGAGGAGAGCAGAGGCACATTCAAAGAGATGCGCTTGGTAACAGGCGACTGCAGAGTCACCTCGGATGCGGGGAATCCTGCCAAAACAGATATTGGTGATTAGCCTCCTATCCTTGTGCTGTTTCTCTTGACGTTCTAGCAGGCGCATTCATACCGATGTATCCAGGAAGCACCAGGAAGTCGTTGTAGGTCAGGGCCCCGCGCTTGTTCGAGTCAAGCAGATCCTTGATATCCAGTCCATCCCCAGACGTGTACTCCGTTTTCAGGAGGTCCAGGGCCTTGGAGCAGTCGACGAACTCCGTCCTGCCGCCCAGGGTCTTCACCGCGTTGCCGTTGCGGCCGTCTCCATTGGAAAGAGGCATTGCTGATATATATATATCTGCTCAGAGGGTGCGGGTATGACGAAGATGGACAACCGTCAACAGAGACTGCTATGGAAAACGTTCTGTTGGCGGGGAGAAAACTTCTTTCCCAAGGGAAGGAAGAGAAAACCCAAAGGAAGAAAAATCGAACAAGGAAAATTTGACGTTTTGTGAATGCTCGCGTGGAGCTGAGTAAGCAGAGCTAGCACAGTACTCTATACAAGCACTTATATACAACCATAGATCAGATATAACCATATAAATAATGATCATAATATATAATATAGGACCTTGACTGGAGACTTCTTGATCCTCGTTATCAACACTGGTGGCTATATATGTCTAGCATGTATCTCTACCATGTTCTTCTGTCTCAACCTTATTTTCTACTTCATCTTATCATCTTCTTATCACCATCATCTTAACATCTTAATCATCTTCATCTTGTCTTCTTCCTTTTTTCATCTTATATCATCTCATCTTCATCTATCATATTATCATGTTATACCTGGGGGGGCGTATTACGATAACATAAATACACGTATCGTACGTAGTAAAACCGTATAGAACACGTCATATGGATACAACACGTGACTTTGACATGTGAGAACCCACGCTAGTCCCCTTCGGGCATCTTGTTTACCACTTTCTCCCCACGTCAACAAAGCGACAAAAAGCTGTCGAGAAAGCAACGAGAAAGCAACGAGAGAGCAACGAGAAGAACAAGCAAAACAAGCAAAACAAGCGACCAGGCGAGCTGCAAGATCCGATCGGACAGCGCCAACGCTAAGGGGACACCGCCTATCGCGCATACCACGGCCACCGTCAACAATCCTAGCCTGTCTTCACTCGCTAAACAGCTCTCCCTGGCTGTCTGCAATATTTATTCATCGCATCACCCCTGGACTGCACGGAGCATGAGGCGCTATGCTTAGGCTTGAGAGGGGTGTTGGTTCCAGTATCGCTTCTTCATCCATCTCGCACCACCAGTCCATCTCATGATGTCGTCAAACCCTCCCTCGCTACGACGACGAGGCCAGTCCGAGCTGCTGCCGGCGTCATACGGCCCTCTGCGACATGGCTCAACCGCCTCTACAAACTCCTCTCTCTATTCAATGTCGTCCAGTTCTCATATGCCCAGTCGGACGAGCACCGTCTCTTCGCACACGCCCAGTGATTTCGCTCCAGAAACGCCAGAGCGCAAGGTAGACCTTCGTGGAAGACTGGGAAGTTTTGATGCTGCCCAACTCAGCGCTGGTGAGACTTATGGAAGCATCCGGCGGTCGTTGCGCCCACTGCCACAGGCGCCCAACAGCACGCCGCCGAAGGCAAGACCCTCGACGGCGTCTGCTTCTTCATGCCATACTCGAAGCCAGACGATGAGCGGCTTCGTACCCCAGCCAGACTTCACATCACCGTATTCGAAACCATTACATAGCCAGCCTGAGTTCACCTCACCGTTTTCAAAACAGCTAAATAGCCCTTCTCGCGATCACATAAGTCCCATAATTCAGGAACAGGATGAGCCTCTTGAACCACGGACACAGAGCGTACGACGCTCTCACCACTCTCGCACACAGTCGACTCCTCATGCGCCATCCCTACAGGCGGCATTTACAGCGCCAGAACTACATACTTTCCAAAAGTCGACGACCAGCCATCTTCGAACTCTCTCACAGATCGCCCAAAGTGACGGGGATGAATTCGCTATAGCCACGGCAACCCCATCAGTCGTGGGTCTGCAAGGCCGTCGGCGGCTCAAACGTGCTGACTCGATCCGTGGTGGTCCAAAAGCAAGTGCTGCTGCAAGACCGACGGGTGTGTCTGCTTGGACGGCGACCAACTGGATGGACAAGCAACGTCGATTCTTACAGGCCTATGAATACCTGTGTCATATCGGAGAGGCCAAAGAATGGATCGAGGACGTGATACAGAAACCGATCCCCCCCATTGTCCAGCTTGAAGAGGCACTACGCGATGGAGTCACTCTGGCAGAGCTCGTTCAAGCATTATACCCACACCGCACCCTTCGAATATTCCACAGCCCCAAATTACAGTACCGCCATTCTGATAACATCGCCCTCTTCTTCCGTTTTCTAGACGAAATCGCACTTCCAGAAGTCTTTAGGTTCGAACTAATAGACCTCTACGAAAGGAAAAACATCCCCAAGGTTATACACTGTATACATGCGCTCTCTTGGCTGCTGTTTAAGAATGGTGTCGTTGACTTTCGAATTGGAAACCTCGTTGGACAGCTGGAATTCGAACATCATGAACTGGAGCAAACACAACGAGGCCTCGACAAGGCAGGAGTTCCAATGCCTAGCTTCTCAGGCATGGGCGCCAAATTTGGAGCTGAACCCGAACCTGAACCGGAACCGGAACCGGAACCCGTCGAAACAGGGGAAGAGAGAGTTGCCAGGGAACTGCAGGAGAACGAGGCTTCCATAGCAGATTTACAATCACAAGCCAGAGGAGCACTCGTTAGACTACGACTAGGCGACTTGATGCAGGGCCTGTGGGACCAAGAACACATGTTAATCGACCTCCAGTCTAGAATACGCGGAGACTGGGCCAGGCAAATTTCTGAGTACAGATTGGGCATGCAAAAATTCGCTACCAACCTACAGTCGGCCGCCCGAGGTTTCATAGTTCGACTAAGGCAGGAAAATGACCAAGCCTGGTGCATAGCGGCGGAAAAGCACATCCTACAGTTCCAATCTCTAGTCCGAGCGAGGAAGGCCAAATCAAAAGTTCAGCTCATACAGACTCTGGCCCGTAGAGAAGAACATGGTATCAAGAGTTTCCAAGCTGCTATACGCGGTGCTCTTGCGCGGAAACTGGAGAGTGACCGGTATGAAGAGACAAGAGATGCCGAGGGGGCAGTCCAATACCTCCAGTCAAATATCAGAGGTATGCTGCTACGACGGTCTGTGCAGCTCGATAAAGGGCATCTCGAGAAGAAAGCCGCTGCTGTCATTGATATACAGTCAGCTCTTCGCGCGAATGCTACCCGGAGCAGGATAGAGGGCGAAAAGGCCATGCTGGCGAGATTTAGCCCCGAGTGGTTAGAGATTCAATCAATCGTCCGCGCAAAGGCTACTCGCAGCAAGGTAGAGAGTCAAAGGGCTATGCTAGCGAAGTTCAGCCCCGAGTGGTTGGAGATTCAATCAATCGTCCGCGCAAAAGCTACCCGCAGTAAGGTAGAGAGTCAAAGGGCTATGCTAGCGAAGTTCAGCCCGGAGTGGTTGAATATTCAGTCAATTGTTCGTGCGAATGCGTCACGTAGCAGAATAGATGCGGAAAAGGCCATGCTGGCGAAGTTTAGCCCCAACTGGCTGGATCTTCAATCGATTTCACGAGCCATCGCGGTGAGGAGGAAGATTGAGGAGACCAAAAAAGAATTTAGCACCCACGAGTCCTCTGTTATCGAGCTCCAAGGGTTCATCCGGGGACAACTACTTCGTGATAACGTTGATGCCTGCAAGAGCGCCCTTTTCGCCAACACAAGTAGCATAACCTCTGCTCAGAGCAGTGTGCGAGGTTTCTTACTGCGACAAGCCCAAAACAAGGAGAACGAAGCATTGCTAAAAGAGAGCGGGACTATCTGTCGTTTGCAAGGCCTTGCGCGAGCCGCATTGCTACGGATAGACGTTGGAAGCCTCTTATCAGAGCTGGATACTTTCACGGATGAAATCATTCAGCTCCAAGCCCTCTCACGAGCAGTGCTTGTCAGAGCCGATGTCGACAACCTTCTAGGCGAGCTAGAGGCGGAGGAGGATGTGATCATGGAGCTCCAGACGCTCGCCCGAGCAAGCATGGTCCGCCAGCGCTTTGCCGAAAAGCAACGATTCTACCGCGAGAACATGGAGAAAGTTATCAAAGTCCAAAGTTTCGTGAGAGGCAAGATACAAGGAGAGGCATACAAGAGTCTCACCAGCGGAAAGAATCCTCCTGTTGGAACGATAAAGGGATTCGTCCACTTACTGAACGATAGCGATTTCGACTTTGACGAAGAACTTGAATTCGAGAGGCTACGAAAGACCGTTGTTCAACAGGTGCGACAAAATGAGATGGCGGATCAGTATATCACCCAGTTGGATATCAAGATTGCCCTTCTAGTCAAGAATAAGATTACCCTAGATGAAGTTATCAAGCACCAAAAACATTTTGGTGGACACGTCGGTGCGGTCTTGTCGAATGCCGATATTGCTTCGAAAGATCCGTTTGATCTTAAGGCCCTCAACAAGACATCCCGCCGGAAACTAGAACATTATCAGGAGCTGTTCTTCCTTCTGCAAACCCAGCCACAGTATCTAGCGAGGGTATTCCGACGGCTGAGGGAACAGGCAGTGTCCGAACGTGACTGTGATAGAATAAAACATCTTGTCATGGGCTTATTCGGTTACTCTCAGAAGAGACGCGAGGAATATTACTTGATCAAGCTTATCGTACGATCGGTGAAGGAGGAGATAGATCATTCAGCTTCTCTTCAGGATTATATTCGATGCAACGCATTCTGGACCAAATTGCTGGCAGCCTATATCAAGACACCTCGGGATCGGAAATTTACCAAAGATCTCTTTGGTCCACTTGTCAAAGAGGCTATTATTGACAACGCCGACCTCGACCTAGAAAGCGACCCCATGCAGATTTATCGCTCCGCTATTAATAATGAAGAGCTGCGTACTGGTCAACGAAGCCGGCGCAGGCCAGACGTTCCACGAGAAGAGGCTATCAGAGACCCGGAGACGAGAGAGACTTTCATCCGCCATCTTCAAGATCTCCGTGACATCGTTGACCAAGTGCTAGCCTTGCTAGAAGAGTCGTTGCATCGTTTGCCGTTTGGAATCCGCTTCATTGCACAACAAATGTATGAGCACTTGTTGGCTAAATATGAAGAAGAAGACAGGGGATATATCCTCCAGTTAGTAGGACAGTGGGTATGGAAGAGTTATCTACAGCCTGCGCTCTTAGACCCTGAGAGGTCGGGCGTTGTCGAGCGTGCCTTGACTCAGGAGCAGAAGAGAAACCTGGGAGAAATTGGTAAAGTTATGGGCCAAGCTGCTTCCGGAAGACTATTTGGTGCCGAAAATGTCTACCTCCAACCCCTGAATACTTATATTGGAGAATCGATACAGCGACTTGGAGGAATTTGGGGAAATAGTAAGTGTGCCCATTACCAAGCTACTTGGTAATTTTACTGACACTGTTCGCAGTCATCACTGTCCAGGATGCGGAGGCATACTTTGATATCAACGAGTACAACGACTTGTACGCCAAAACAAAACCGACGTTGTATATCAAGATGTCCGATATCTTCTCAATCCATCAACTTATTGCAGCCGAAGCGCCATATATTTGCACCAGCCCCGAAGATACTCTTCGAGAAGTCATCCGCGACCTTGGTAGCGTGAAGAGCAATGAAAATGAGCTCTTGACCGTTAGCACTTCTTCCGAAATCAGTCTCACTTTAACTCCTAAGCTGCATAACATGGAAGGTAAGTGATATACACCTATGAAATGCATTAAGTAGTCCACTAATTTTGTGCTGCAGATCCGGATGCGGAAATCAAGGCTCTCCTGGTTGAGACAAAACGATGCATTTTATATATCATTCGAGTCCAATCCGGCGCCAATCTGTTGGAGATTCTAGTCACTCCACCAAGTATTGAAGATGAAGGACGATGGGCAGATCTTGTCCGCGACGAGCTGTCGACTGGTGGCCGGAAACGCGGCGCCTACTCTGATACCAACACGCTGATTGATATTGGTGCTATGGGTTATGCAGAGTTGAAACGGACCGCGCTCGAGAACATCGTCAATCTCGAGAGAGCTGGCAGAATCAGTCGACATAACCAATATCAAGACCTTCTAAATGAAATTGCCGTCGACATCAGGACCAAACATCGTCGCAGAATTCAACGGCAGCGAGAGCTTGAGGGTGTTCGCTTAACCCTAGATCGACTGAATGACCAATCCGGCTATCTTGAAGGGCAACTAAAGACATATAACGACTATATTGAACAGGCCATGATTACACTACAAAACAAGAAAGGAAAGAAACGTTTCCTAATGCCATTCACGAAACAATGGGACCATGAACGAGAGCTTCAACGATCCGGCCGTGTTTTCAAATTTGGCTCCTACAAGTACTCTGCCCGAAACCTCGCGGACAAGGGAGTTCTTGTCCACTGGAAGGGCTACACGGAACGTCAATGGGACCGCGTCGATCTCACCATCTCAAGTAACGCGGTTGGTATTTTCACGATTGATGGAAGCAGCGGCAACATGATGGTTCCAGGAGCAAATGCACAAATCCCACTAGATGACCTGCTGCAAGCCCAATTCAATAACACGCAGTTTATGGATTTGTTCGAGGACCAGCTACGCGTCAACGTCAATCTGTTCCTGCATTTGATTATGAGGAAATTTTACAATGAATGAACAATTGTTATGATCGGGGGTGGACTTGGAATTGGAATTGGAAAATTATCTTCTTCTCCTATTACCCTTTTTCTGTTTTTTTATATTATATTTTTAACTCCTTTTTTATCTGTTTGACGTTTTCTTACCCATCATGAGGTTCTTTTCGGTGTTTTTATACGATGGCGACGGTGCGGGATGGGCGGTATAACGATGTCGCTGTCTGCATTTTTCTATCTTTCCTTTGTTTGTTTTTTATGTTTTTGAGATATCACCCTACTGCATCGGCATATATCTAGTTCCATTGCAAGTATTATGGACTGGACATTCGTTTCTTGTATGCTATTAACTTGGTCTCCCTATTTTCTGCACTGGATAGATTGGAATGTGTCCTGGTGGCATGATAGCTAGGTTATTTCCTATCCGTATGTAGTTATTTAGTGGACGAATAAATACTCGTTTCGGCGAAATCTATACTCTGCTCCGTATACTTGTCTATTAGTTAATAAGAAGTGTTTCTCCTCTGTAAAATCCTCCTTGTTTTGCTGGCGCCACTTAGAGGCCACTTTTATGAGGTTTGTCACGTTGGCTGGGAGTTGGGATCGACAAGCACCAAAACACCAAAAACCTCCCTGTTCTTTAGCATCACCCGCAACCCATCAGCCCCTCGAGAAGAAAACCCTTTCGTCGCCGATATCCTTCAGCATAGAACCTTTGGGCGATTTCGTCCTCGTTATTAGCGACTGTTCGCGGGGATACACCGGCTCTTGCGACTTCCTGCCGTCGAATCCATCGAGTGCCTCTCTGCCTTTAACCAACTCCGCATTCTGGTCAGACAGAGCAATCACTTACTGCTCAGCGAACGCAATTAAGATACAGCTCTTCAACCATCTTACCCTGGGGCCAACCTGACCGAAACCTACTCAAACCCGGATAAACACGCTCGTCATGGACCTCAATTCGTTGAAGGACCAGGTTAGCAACCTGAGTCTGTATGACATCAAGGCGAGCGTCCGCAAGGTGCAAAATGGTGAGTAAACTGGATGAGACTTTGACTCTCTGTCTGGATCTATGAAGGGTCAAATTCATAAGTTATTCTGGTATTGATATATGGCTTCTCTTATCTATTTAGCTATGATGAACTACACCGAGATGGAAGCAAAGGTTGGTACCCCTCATCCGCAGTTTATTGTCGGAACTTATGTATGGGCGTGTTCACCAGCTAATGGTCTATTTCTCTTGTTTTTACAGGTCCGAGAAGCTACAAACAATGAACCGTGGGGAGCATCTTCAACTCTCATGCAGGAGATTGCAAATGGGACACACAGCTAGTTCGTTGCCTATACTTATTGTATTCTTCCTATGAACTCCCTGGCTAACTATCCGGTTTCTTCAGCCAGCTGCTCAACGAGATAATGCCAATGATCTATAAACGCTTTACGGAGAAGACTGCGGAAGAGTGGCGGCAGATATATAAGGTACTGAGTTTCTCCGCCCTTTTGGTTTATCATGACAAATTTATCAAATATTTTTCTAACAGGCTGTATTATTTGTTTAGGCTTTGCAACTGCTTGAATTCCTAATTAAAAACGGCTCAGAACGAGTTGTTGATGACGCACGATCTCACATATCCCTTTTGCGCATGCTTCGCCAATTCCATTACATCGACCCTAACGGCAAGGATCAAGGAATAAACATTCGCAACCGCTCTCAAGAACTTGCTAAATTGCTGGGTGATGTTGAGATGATTCGTTCTGAAAGAAAGAAAGCGAAGGCGAATAGGAATAAATTTGGTGGATTCGAAGGAGGAATAGGCGTAGGAGGGATGTCGTCTGGTGGATTCTCCGGCGGAGCGGCTGGTAGCTCTCGCTATGGCGGATTTGGCAGCGAAGACACACACTACGGAGGTTTCAGCGGAGGAGTGTACGGCGATGGAGGCGGGTTCAATGGAAATACTAGCGAATTCCAGGAAGCTGGTAGGAGATCCAACCGATTTGAGGAGTATGATGAGGGTGAAAGCAGTGGATATTCGGTACCCTCCCGCCGACCTGAACCATCGTCATCCCGAGCAGAATCGAAAAAAGCGGCTCCTCCAAAGGCCCCAACCCCAGACTTGGTCTCCTTTGGTGATGATGACGAACCAGCACCGGCGCCTCCAGCTGCAGCTCCTCCAGCAAAAGCACCATCCTCTATAACCAAACCTGCCGGTACAAGTGCCTTGACGGAGCTTACACCCCAAAGCATGGATGATGATGACTTTGACGACTTCCAATCGGCTAGCCCTGCCACGCCTGCTACTAGCACGACTATACAATCCAAATTTGGCTCAATTGTTCCCCCTGGCGCACCAGGTCAAACCCAATTCGCTGCTCCAAAGCCCATTTCAGCCGCCCAAGGTGCAAGTCTTAACGGACTGGCTGGCTTCAGATCTACCCCTCAGACACCATCTGTTGCAAGTACTATATCTCAGGGCTCAAACATGGGACCACTTTCACCATCTACCCAGTCCCAGCCGCCTAAGCCAACTAGCTACCAAGCCTCACAGCCAAACTATTTCACATCCGTCCCCATCCCTCAATCAAAGCCTTCGGAACCTTCGACGAAATCCACCATCAAATCCCCAACTGCAAGCTCCTCGAAATCGGGTGGCGATGCTTTCGGGAGCCTATGGTCCTCCGCTAGTGCCAGTGCTGGTATCAAGTCAACAACTCAAACTCAGAGTAAGGGGCCAAACCTCGCCAGCATGGCTAAGGAGAAGGCCAGCGCTGGCATATGGGGGGCACCCAGCTCCAATGGGTCCCCTCAAAGCTTTGGTGGAAGTCCCAGCTCCCAGCAGCAGAATAAGCCTAGCGGGGGGAGTGCACTAGATGATCTCCTGGGTTAAACAGCTTTCGGAATTGCGGTTTTGCTTAACGAAACCCATGATATAGTAAATATGCTTTGGATAGCATTCATCCATTGCATGCCTTCAGGAATATTGCGTACAGACAAAATTGTTCCGTTCCGTCTGCCTTGGTATCGATTTGTTTGCTTTGCCCCTTTCTGGTTCATGCTAAATATTCCCCTTGACTCCTTCGAGCTGGCTTTAAGTTCTCATGTAATTATGGCTATGATAAAGATGAAATATGCAAGGCTCAACCCCTGTCTCTTATTTAAAAATACACCAAATGATCAGCCGGGCTCAGAAATAAAGGGTTCTTGAGGTTTGACTAATCTTTCCTCCACCCTTTGGCATCAGCTCATAGTTATACTTGATATAGCCGCATAATATAAACTACTTGGGAAAAAAATATCACCGTCGGCGGCTTGAAGATACTGAGAGAATCAATCTAGACGTATAGACGATATATTTATATATGCTTATTTGTATTCATTCATTTATAGTCCAAACCCTCCCTTTAGCCTAGCCACACGATTTTATGCATGTCGTGAGGATACACCCAACATGTAAAAAAAGTAAAGAGAACATTAAGATGGAAAAAAGGTAGTAGAAGACAAAAACCTAAAGGGGAAATGAGGTGGGCTAATAACGAGCAGCAAAACTCGAGCACAGGAGTGAAAACAATAAACCAAGGCCCACACACATCAGCCACATTAGTACCGTCGCAGACAGCCTATTCGGGGTTATCACGAAGAAGAATTGAAGAAGAACATATTATGTGAGAGTCATGTTTGGAATCGTGTCGACCAGATAAGCTTCCACAATTTTTTGGAAATGTAGGGGAAGAGGGAGTAGAGTAAATAAATGAAACTAGTTGGCCCTTATTCTCATGATGTACGCCAGGTATCTCATTTATTCGTTTAGAGAAGAAAAGTCATGACGAAGAGAGAGAATCAACTTCTTTGAAAGTAGATTGCTAAGTGGATTCGGAGGCTCGCTTAGAGACACTTTTTGTCCGTTTCGCTGCCCCGGAGGCGGAACGAGCTAGCTGAGCTTCAGAATGCTCAATAGGAGGAGGCATGGATCTGCTATGCTGATGTCCGCTGAGTAGGTGAGGGGGATAGGGGTTTAAGTCACGACTGCTTGTTGAAAAGGTAGATACTATCGGCGGATGCTTTTCCCTGGCTTTGTCTTTCTCCGTCTCTTTGATTTGGGCGGCTGAAGTGTCCATTTCCTGTGTGCCACTATCTGTTACCTCGATGTCAGCATGGGTGTTTGCTTGTGCCTCGCCTTCGTCAGTTGTACCACTAATATGGGCATCGTTCAGCTGTGAGGTTGGAAGAGTAGTTGCAGTCGGGGTTTGCTCGGTTTCGCTTCCGGCGAGGTTCGCGTCGACCATGTTCAAATCACCATTCAAGGAATTTAGTCCACCTTCGATATCTCTAACAAGGCGTACGAATTCCTCTGGAACTAGTCCACTCTCTCCCGTCCTTGGGTCTTCGGCAACAAGCCACCCTTGTCCGTGGCGATAAGAAACTAGAATTACCTGGCCTTCTTTCAAAGGCAGCTCGTTTTCATGCTCACGAGTGAAATCGAAGAGTGCTACAGCTTTTCCGTGCATCTCCTCGTCCGGTGAGACAATTGTAAACTGGTAGTCCCGCGAGTACCTCGAGGGGTCATGCCACGCGTCATCATCTGATATATCATCATCAGAAGCTAGTTCGAAATCTCGATCGTAAGATCCGTGGTTATGAAGTGAATTACCGAGTCCCGAACCTCCCACTGCACCCTGGTCACCGAAACCAGGGTGATATGAACGCCTGCTATCCCCTGCCGGGTAGGTCACGTATTCCCCTCCTGGTCCATCCTCGTCCGCGTCGTCGTCCCTCACATAATATGTTTCGCTGCCATCGCCGTTCACCCCAATCAAAACACCCCTTTCCGCATCGATAGCGTTGTCGGCGTCAACCCCGAAGCCGGAGCCTTTGCGTCTGCGTGAGCCGGGCCTACTCTCGCTAGAGTGACCGGATTTATTCTTTCGATGCCGCGAAGTTGTCACAACCGGACTATGTAAATCCTCGTCTTCGCTATAAGGGGGTCCGTCCCCAAATGCTATCGGAGGAAGTTGTTGCTGGCTATACATCGTACCCGGGTCCCAGTTCGGGGCGGGCCAGTGAGAGCGGGTGGCGTCCAGTGAGGACAAGGGCGCATCTGAAATCCTCCGAGATTCGTGGACGGGCGTGGAAATACCCGAATCCTTGGGAGGCGCGCCATAGTGAAGCGGGTGACTCGGTGGATAGGCAAAGTCCCGAACTATGGCGTAGGGAAGGCTTGACTGGTAGACGGAAAAAGTATTAGAGATCGTAGAGGTAGGGCGCGAGCGATTTTGAGAATTCGACTTGTTGGAGTGAACAGATAGTCGGTTCTTTGCATATGACGAAGGTCTTTGGAGGCTCGATCGTTTGGTAGTGGAGGATGCTAGTGAGGCTCGCGCTGAGATCGGAGGCGGAGTGGAGGTATCAAACTGAGGCGGCGACTGTGACGATGCCATCGCAGTCGCCATCATATGCCGTTGTTGTGAACCCTCAAACCAATGATACCACAAACGACTTCTATCTGGTATGACAGGAATTAGGCGCAAGCGGGCGCAGGCTTATATCGGGTTCGCGTTTGCCTTGTCACTTGCGAATCGGCAGGGTCGAGGTTGCTGTTGAGGATAGCAGATTCGAATGGCGGTTCAGGCAGCTCCGTTGCCAGATTAATATCGCGTCGATATGAGGTCAGAGGGGGTCTACCTCGATAAGGCGGGGGAAAACGAGAGGCGGCTGTCTTCCTCAGGCACAGTTTAATAAATCAGTCAAGGCAAGAAAATCAGCTCTCAAGTATACCAAACATGCTGTGGTTATGAGACCAGGAACAGATAAAAATGCCACTGGGCCCGCAGCAGGTCGCAACAGATTTAGCCGCCAATGTGCCGCTGAGTCGTTTGCGTATTGTGACCTTTCAGCTCAGTAGTTAGAAGGCTAAGAGAAAAAGTGGCCACCAACAGACGCATATGCGGGCAAAGTTGACACGTCTGGCTATGGAAGAAGCTCTCGATCTGTCTTCAGGGTGAGAGCGAGGCTGTCATGGGCGGGCTTGACGGTGCTAATGGTGTCTGGCAGGCGATGGAAAATCGACGTGGGAAGGTACCAAAATCGGTATGGTTGAGTTTATGATGAAACACACCAGGGTCGTAATTGACCAAACAACAGCTAGGCCGAAATTCCACAGGTGTCCCACAGGATTTCGTGGTGGACCAGGGGCTTGGGGAGGGAAAAAGAAAACTCGACTAGGGAAGCAAAATGATAGGTAGTTCTATTTATAGCGCCAACTCGAAACCGTTTCAAGGCGACTTTTCAGTAATCAGGGCCGAGAGAGGACCTGTGTCAAGGCATAGCAGCCGGGGGAGCCTGACGAAACGAGGTAAACGGCCACGCGAGATGAGGACGAGGGTGAAGAGCAGACACAGAGATATCTCGATCAAACGATGAAGTTGGAATGTCCAAAAGCGGACGAGGGAAAAGAGGCTCATGGTCACATGACCTTATGCTTAATATCTCAATCGCGACGTCGCTTCATCAACAACTTCGACGGCTTCGACAATGAAGGATCGCAGACATACGACGGCTGGATGGCGGGGAGATGCTGTCTGTCTTCTCTACGGCGTGCAGGGAGGCGAGTCCTGGTGGGAAAATGTGAAAGACTGTCTTCGCGGGCAGCCGTCGAACTGCGCGTTTGCTAGATGTGCCAAAGGAACTGCGACAATCTCCAGTTCCTCGGGCGTTACAAACGGACATGTTGCTGCTTCAACAAGCTGGACCAGTGTAGGGTGCTTTAATTGCTTCGAGGTCCGCAATTGAATCACTACTTCCCCAGGATGGCCACGATGACATCACAGCATTCCCTTGAATTATATAGTAGAAAGTCAAGCTTTCTCCATCAACACTCCAATCGCTACGATCTACCCCCTGAGATATACTCAACCCTGATCATAGTGGAGAATAATCACCTCTGGCTCCTCCTTTTGTTTCTAATGGTGATTTCTCGGGACCGTCTACCCTAGCAGTCCAGTACCCATCCAGTGGCGCGTGGGGGTTCTTTGTCGTGAAATTGCGCCGTATTTCCCCGCATATACAGGATGCCGGTAGGCTTGTTGAATTTAAGCCCCGTCTCGTTTGTTCCATGCCAGCAGCAACCGGCGTCAATAATCCTGAATGATAAATAAACATCATATGTCTCCACTCACTGGCATCAATGACATCGGCTACGACGATCATATCAAATCCTTTCATAGAGAGGTGTCTTTCGTTTGTCTAGAGCACCTGAATGAACCGCCATTCTGATGGCATTTTACATGTTTTGCTACTTGTGCTTTACAAGTAGTCTGTTGAAAGCGTACTCGAGAGTCCTTGTCTCTCCTTCGTTCTAGATATGTGTTGATAGCCTTGCGGACTTATAGCAAGTGAGATCTCAAATATCATTAACTACCACCTCAAGCCACAGCTTTGCCCTTACAGTCACTCACTTTCAAAGTGACTATAAGCCTAGCTATTAAATAATAGCTTAGTGAAGTGGGATTTCTTATCTTACCTCAACATATAGGCCTCGGGTCCAGGCCTCATATTTCTCTTTCTACAACCTACCTAGCTACCCAGGCTCCTTGTAACCTTCGGTTGTTCAGTTTCAAGCTGAAGCACCACACCCTCTATATATCGAGAACCATCCTGCTCATACTAGAACTACCCTTCGGCTTGCTTCTTACCTGGTCAAAATGGACAATAAATCCAAGGCTGGCGACCTGAAAGGCTACTTGACCGACGACATAGAGCAAGTGAGCCCTACAAGCGAAACAAGCCCATGGAAAGACTTAGAGGACAGTTACCCTGAAGGCGGGGCAGTCGCCTGGCTAACTGTCGCCGGTGCATCTGCCAGCCTGTTTGTATCTTTCGGCTGGGTTAATTGTGTGGGAATTTTTCAAAGCTATTATCACACACATCAGCTAAAGGCATACACCGAGTCAGAGGTTGCATGGATTTCCTCGCTCCAAGGTTTGTTTCTCCTTCTCTACTGTCCCTTTGAGCTGTTTTGCCATCTTTCTGTTCTGTTCCCACTGACTTGACCCAAGTTTTCTTCATGTTGTTTTGTGGCCCATTCTTTGGTACAATTTTTGATAATTGGGGTCATTCATACCTGCTTATGGTTGGAACCGCTCTCCACGTTGGTGGCTTGATGCTTGCAAATTTCATGGATACATACGCTGGCCTTTTGCTTAGCCAAGCGGTTTGCTCAGGGCTCGGAGCATCAATGGTGTTCTACCCATCGGTTACATGTGTGAGTTATATTGGTCTATCTCATGCCCGAGTGGTACATTCGATTCTAATCTTGAAATACTCTTAGGTTGCAACTTGGTTCTTTCAACGACGAGCTGCCGCCCTGGGACCAGTCGTCGCAGGGTCTTCCCTTGGTGGCGTTATTTTTCCCATAATGGTCATACGTCTAATTCCTAAATGGGGCTTTGGCTGGACAATGCGTGCCTGCGCCTTTCTCATCCTCTGTTTGCTTATCTTTACCAATTTTACACTTAAATCGCGCTTGCCGCCGTCGAAACGGCCCTGGAAATTGGCTGATATGACCCAACCGATGAAGGAGCCTGCATTCTTGGCGCTATCAGCCGCTATCTTCTTCTACTACTGTAAGTTTTCGCTTGATGGATCCTAGCCTTTGATCAGTTCAATAATACTTTTGTTTAGGGGGTATGTTTCTCCCCGTGACATACATTGTCGTTGCAGCTCGTAAGGAGGGGATGTCTCAGAATTTAGCCAACTATATGGTTCCTATTCTTAATGCTGCTAGGTAAGCACTCTCGATTTTCTGCTGTTGACTTTGAGTCTCTAATGGGAGTCGTTAATATAGTATTCTTGGACGCACTATACCCAATATCATCGCCGACAAGGTTGGACGATTTAACATCATGATCATGATGTGTACTTTGACGACAACTCTTATCCTCGGGCTCTGGATGATTGCCTCGGATAACCTAGCTATGATTCTTTTTGCAGTGTTCTTCGGAATCTCATCAGGGTCGGGAGTCGGGCTTACTCCAGCTCTCGTTGCCCAGGTATCCCCCATTAAGGAGATAGGTATTCGGACCGGATTGGCATTTGCCATCGGATCGTTGGCTGGTCTGAGTGGATCACCAATTGGTGGCCAGATTATTGAGGCGAGCGGTGGTTCTCTGCGCTACATGATGGTGTTTGCCGGGGTTAACTGCACTATCGGCACTGGATTCTTTGTCCTTGCTAGAATCATCTTAGGCGGTATGAAGATGGCTAAGGTTTAGGAGAGCAGGAAACGAGGGAAAGAGATATAGACGGGGATGAAGCCGGAGATAGAAATAGAACCGGAGACAGCGATAGATGCATTAGATTTTACTGCAAGTTAGCGATAGAAGGCAGTTTTTAGCAATAACGATGACGATGATATGGGAATTAACATTAGGACTGACATTTGGGATAAAAAATGGAACTGGCCTTAGACTTAGAGAAGGGGAGGTGGGAAATCGGCATATGGAGAGATACGCCTACACCTGCAAATTCGAACCTACAACTAGCGGGGAGCACTGCTTTAACTAGGAAAATGTATTGATTTACTAGGAAATATCTATTTTTTTGGAGTAGCTGTTACTTTTGACGTACAAATATCCCTCCAGCAACATTCTTTCCACCAAAGACAGCTACTGAGGGTATCAAGTTGGAGGAACGCCGAAACACAAAAACGACAGCAACAACGATAACAGCAACAACAACGATAGCAGCAGCAACGGCAGCAACGATAGCAGTAGCAACGGCAGTAATAACGGCAGCAGCAACAACGATAGCAGCAGCAACAGCAGCAGCAACAACAACAGCAGCAACAACAACAGCAGCAACAACAACAGCAGCAACAACAACAGCAGCAACAACAACAGCAGCAACAACAACAGCAGCAACAACAACAGCAGCAACAACAACAGCAGCAACAACAACAGCAGCAACAATAGCAGCAAGCAACCAGTAACTTCAGACCGCAAAACGCCCGCCTACCTAGAACTCCATATTTTTGCCAGAACACCACTTCGTCAAAAGTGATGTATACATTTTATTATCATTTTGTAGGGAGAAAAGGAAAAAGGAAAAGAGGAAAAAGGTAACAAGGAAAAGGAAAAGGAAAAGGAAAAGGAAAAGGAAAAGGAAAAGGAAAAGGAAAAGGAAAAAGGCAGAAGAAAAAAGGCAAAAGGAAAAGGGCAAAAGGAAAAGGGCAAAAGGAAAAAGGCAAAAAGAAAAAAGTACAGGAAACACTTTTTCAATCACGTCACTACGACTCTCCAAGGTAGTGATGAGTCGGTTCGTAGGGAGAGGTCCTTGTCTTTGTCTCCCATGTTGCCGTGGTTGCAGCTCTTGGCGTATGGACGATGGAACCTTTGGCGGGAGGCTTGGAACCAGATTTGGTTCCGTCACTGACGTCAGAATGACCGGTGCCTGACGAATTCTTGAGGTTTGCAAGCAGAGAGGCGATTGGCATGCGGTTCAACGGCGGAGCTCCGGAGGAATGCTTTCCGGAGGTACCGTTTGTTGAGTTTGTTCCGTTGTAGCCTCCAGAGGCGACGATTTTGATATCGAAACACGACGTGTAAATCTCATCCTTGCCGTTGGGGAGGTTAGGATCGATCCCAGCCGCGGTTGGCCAGATCCAGACCCAGTATCCGGTCAAGATCGAGCCTTGCTTGATGTCCTTTGGTACCGGGAAGTAGTGCTGACAAGCGAGGTCGGCTCCCGTGAGCTCATCCGGCTCGTGGGGGTATTGCTGTTGCCGACTCTGGGAGATTTTGTCACCGTTAACTTGGTAACATCGGCCGTCATCGAAATCTTGACTCGCGAGGAGACGACCACGGCCGTCACCTCCGGATCCGCCCGCACCCCATACCCCGTGGACGTCGAGGAACTTTTCATCTTGGCGAGGATCTTGAGTGCCGTAGATGTATACTGTTCCACGATTCTCTGGTTTGCCGGGCTGGGTATCTGGGAGGGTCACGTGTCCGTTTTCCTGTAACATCAAGGCAACAATATCGCCGGGCGCTGCCTCGAGCATGGGGAAACCACCGGATTGGCGTTGACGGCGCTGAGACGGCATGCACATAAAGTCGCTGGGTTGCATCCCAACGTCGACAGGGCGGTCCTCAGGAGGAAGTCGATGTGTCATCATCATGTCATTGAATCCAGATCCCGTTCGAGCAACATGGCCACGAATGTAGCCCTTTTTCCCAACGAACGACCCGTTCGTAGCGACGTTCAACTCTTCAACCCAGCTATGGCACTCAGCCAAGGCGGCCAAGCAAGTTGCAGCCACGACGGAAGTAATTGTGAACCGCATCTTGAAGGATATAATAGTATATAGCCTGAGTGGAGAGTGGATAGAAGATGTTTGAATATATTAGGTGTTGGCCTGAATAGAAGATGGAACAGATCATGGAACAGAAGTTGTTCAAGTTTACTTTGTGGTGCACGGTAAGTAGGCAGTTTCTCGAGCAGATGGAACTTGTGATGAAGAAGAAAAGAAAAAAAGAAGGAGAAAAGTGGGCGATGGCCTTCAACTTATAGCCGCAGCGAGTACGATTTTGGGGGGCAAACGGCCTTGGGTAAAATCGGTGCAAGAGGAGGACGATGGCGTCAGATCCAGGATTCTTTGCCCGTTCGGACCGGCCTGTTAGGGAACAAAGGGTCTATGACGTGAGACAGACGCGGGAGACGTGGGAGAGACGTGGGAGCCTTTGGGAGAAAGAAGGGTTTATGGTCGAATGTAACAGAAATGAGTTGACGTCCGTGGTTCAGGTCGACAAACTCCGTCTATATAGAGTGGTTCCTTAGATGGAGGTTGGGCGGGCGGAAGTAGGCGGGCGGAAAGGGGTTGAGTCTCTGGTAGCGAGTCGGAAAACAGAGCCGTGGAAGGTAAACGTTAGTTTGAGAAGGGAAGGAAGTCTGTTATGCAGAGCCAAGGAGTGTTATATAGTCATAGACTTTGTCATGGATATCAATGATAGAGGGTGAATGGCCGAATAAGAATGTTGACCAGCAACACCACTGACTATTCAATAGAAGAGAAATATGCAAGAACCTATTCACGGGAATAAGAAAAGGAAAACAACAGTGTTCTCTATATATATACTGTATGCCGGCGGCAACGGGACGGCAGTAGATGGGTATCATCTACCTCTGCACCAGACCGTGGACCAAGGAGCAACACAGGCCAATGAAGCAGGTAAGCGCGGCCTCTTCCTGACATACGCCCACGGCATGTTTCAACCCCAACTTGCCGGTAACCAGCATATTTGAGCATCCGGCCGGAACGTCCTGGAGAGAGACTACCATGGGAGGGGAGGCCCTGGATGTTCTGATCCGTGGACCTAGGGTATAGAGAGTTCAATGGAACATGTATGGTCGTCTGACCAGGCCAAGTGCCGGAAGAGCAGGCTATGACTGTCGATGCTACTGCAGCTGTCACTGCAACGGTAGGCCGGCGCTTGCAGGTTGACCAGGTCGACCAGGTCGACCAGGTTGAAGGTGAAGTCGAGGTCGAAGTCGAAAAGTGAAGTTGAAGTTGAAACCGGAGAAAGTCGAAAGTCGCAGATGTTGGCTTGGCGTGGCCTCTGGTTGGCTGACGTTTCTCTATGCGCATCCAGGCGATACTTACGACTATGAGAAGAAGACGATGAGAAGAAGATGAGAAGACTTACGAGACTGAGATAAAGATGATGAAGAGAAGAGAGGAGTTTATAAGGTCAGTCTCGCTGCTCAGAATCTACACATCGCCGTGTTATTCTATTATTCCTGTTGAATATACTTGATGTACTTGTCGTACTTTGAGAAGTAAGCGCCGTGTATCCTTTCATTTCTTAAGACAGGGAGCAAGCTGACCCATGGCATGTTAGGCGGCTACATGTTTATTCTTAGCATGATTATGGATATATGTCCTGTTTATTCTTAGCATGATTATGGATATGTCCCGCCGGTTATGTTTTATCTCTGTCGAAACATGCTCGTCCAGCATCTCTCTACAAGGGCAAAGACCCTCCAGTCAACGCCCTATCAGCGCTACTTTGCATCTCCGGTGGCTTCTGCAGCCGGCTCACTTTTCCGTGTGATAGATCTTATCCCATACTTCTGTCTTCAACCCCACTGTTTGCTGCTTGCATCTCAGAGTCCACACTAGACACGTACAGGCCAGTGTACGGACCGCGGGGTAGGAAGCTAACAAGTGAGTCTCCAATGATTCTCCCATGACTCTCCAGTGTCTATAAGGCGACGGGCTAACGAGGACAATATAGAACAATAGGACAATAGTACCAGGCTGGAGTGGTCCTGATGCGGCCGTTGTACGAAAGCGAGCCCCGGGGAACAAAGGACTTGCATCAAGCGCAACTCTACCTCCATCCCTACGCCTTAAGATGATGATATAGATGCCATCACCATCTATGAGCTCGTCCTATCGCCAGTCGTTCACCGGCCAGCAGACAGCCAGCCTGACCCTCCGTCATCCACGGCGTCGTCCACGGCATCGTCACCGACCCAACGCCGTACATGCAGCCAGCCTCGTTAACCCCCAGCCCACCCCCTCTCGATAAGATACACTCTCTAAATACATACAATAATGCTCGTGTAAGTATCTTCCAGCTCAAAATCCGCCGAAAAACCCAGGTCACGTGCTATCCGTGGCGCTCTAAATTTTGGGGCAGAAAAAAGTTTGGGTTGAGGAGAAAAAAAAAGAGTGAGAGAAGGAAAAAAAGGAGGGAAGAGAAAGAAAGGGGCTTGGGATTGGTAGACTATGTCGTAGTAGTCGCGCGTCGGGAATATATTAGTTATCGCTGCTCCGTACCTCCCTGTATATAGAACAATCGCAGCAGTGTATAGGGAACTCCTTAAAAGCCGACGAACTCGATCAGGCCGCACCGCCAAACTGGAAATTCGGATTCAGGCCTTCCCTGCAGTGATCCTCGTCCGTCGTTAAATCTCCACAGATGGTGGCATAGCCTTCAGCTTGCATCTCCCTCCTCTCTTCATCCCTTCTTCCCTGCTGAGTGGGAAGCAGGAAAATTGTAAGTAGGCTGCCTCGTACATCTGGGTGCTCAGCCATCTATTTCCCCCCCCCCCTTAAGCTGTCTATCTCGAGGCCAAGCTGACCGCTTCATCTATCTCCAGCCTCAAGCTCTCCTAGGTTTCATACTTTTGCTGGGGTCAGCAGGCGGTTTAATTACGACATTCAATCCGTTATCTCTCCCTGCTCCACCGCTCAATTCCTGAATTCCTCGATAGACGAGCAGCATCCTCCAGCAGCATCCTTCACCAGGGCGAGACCCGACGAGATCAGACGGCCAGAGAACGCACACTACAGGTTATGCACTGAGATCGAAGATAGATTATCATGAGGGGATCTTCGCTTATTCCTCGCCGGTTTCGCGAGAACTCCGACGATGCCGCAGAGGCTGGATGGCTCAATCGACAGGTGACGAGTGTGCTGCAGTCCCTCTCGCTAAGAGCTTGCAGACATCCCATACACACGATAGTGGCCATAGCATTGCTCGCGAGCACGACCTACGTTGGTCTTTTAGACGGCAGCCTGGTCGAGTCGCGCAAGGCGAATGACGGCGCCGGACAGGTCGACGTAGCTTCACTGGTAGGCGGAGGGAGGAATTTACATCTTGGACCGGACACGCAATGGAGATGGCAGGTGGACGATTCCGTTCAGGCCGATACCAGAAAGGTACGCACTTTCACCAATTCTTCATCCTCGTTGGAGAGCTCAACTGCTAACATTCGATTCACCGCTGAGCAGGTGTCACAGCATCTTGCCATTGCGACCTTCGTGTTCCCGCATTCATCCTCTGGGTCGCCGCAGTCACCTCCCCTTGCAGAGAATGTGCCACTGCCTGCCAATAGCTCTGCCAAACTCATTCCATACACGCCCAATCTACTTACGCCCATATCACAAGATACGCACCTGGCCTACTCGCTTCCGTACGATGAAGTGCCGTATTTCCTCAGATCGGTGCAGGAGATGCCGGATTCGACCAATGATCCAGAGGGAATTGAACAGAAGAAATGGATAATGAAGGCTGCGCGCAGCTCGGTCTCGGGTTCTAACGTTGCCATACAGAACTGGTTCACTGATGGATGGAACTCGTTTGTGGACTTGATCAAGGTATTTTTCATCTCGACGTTCTTTTTTTGGCCTGTAATAGGTAGCACGGTATAGCTGACGCGATAATAGCATGCGGAAACCATCGACATCATTATCATGGTGCTTGGATATATCTCCATGCATCTAACCTTTGTATCACTGTTCCTATCCCTACGACGTCTCGGATCGAGGTCTTGGCTGGCTGCAACTGTCCTCATCTCTGGAGGCTTTGCTTTCCTCTTCGGTCTGCTGGTGACCACCGCCCTCGGTGTTCCAATTAACATGGTCTTGCTCTCTGAGGGTCTGCCGTTCCTTGTCGTTACTATCGGATTTGAGAAGCCTATCATCCTCACCAAGGCCGTGCTCGAACGTAGCCACCAACAACCAGGAGCCAACACTGTGACTGCCAACGGCTCTACTAAGCCTGCTACGCCAGTACGATCTATTCAAGATGCCATTCAACAAGCCGTGGAAGCCACCGGATTCGAAATCGTCCGAGACTACCTGATTGAAATTGCCATTCTTGTTGCCGGCGCTGCCTCGGGCATCCAGGGTGGTCTACGACAGTTCTGCTTCCTGGCTGCCTGGATTCTGTTCTTCGACTGCATTCTCCTCTTCACCTTCTACACCACGATCCTATGCATAAAGCTTGAAATCAACCGTATCAAGCGCCATGTGGATATCCGCAAGACCCTAGAAGAGGAAGGAATTACTCACCGTGTGGCTGAGAAGGTTGCTTCGACCAGTGATTGGCCACAGATGAGCTTCGACGGCAAGGGAGGTAACTCAAAGACCAACGGTGCTGGAATCTTCGGCCAGAAGGTCCGAGCTAGCAGCATTCCCAAGTTCAAGTTCCTTATGGTTGGAGGCTTCATCCTGATCAACCTCCTCAATCTCGCTACCATTCCGTTCCGTAATCGCCAAGATGGCTTGTTCATGCCAGTTTTGTCGAAGGTCTCTAACATTCTATCTCCCGTGCCAATTGATCCGTTCAAGGTCGCCGAGAACGGTCTCGATGTCATCTACGTCAGTGCAAAGAGCCAGCAGGTTGAAACCATAGTCACCGTTTTGCCACCAATCAAATATCAGCTCGAATATCCCTCTGCTCACTACGCTAGTGCCAACGTTGATCGTCTACTTGATACCGACTACAACCCTGTTCTCGATGTCGTGGGTGGCCGAGTGCTTGAAAGTATCCTCAGATCCCTCGATGACCCAATCATTAGCAAATGGATCATTGCTGCTCTTATCTTGAGTTTGATTCTTAACGGCTACCTTTTCAATGCTGCACGCTGGAGCATCAAGGAAGAGCAATCATCGACTCCATCTGAAGCGCCCACGCCAACTCCTGCCCCGGCCAGAGTTGAGCGCAAACCCGTGATCAAGGAAGATGGTACTCCACGAACGTTGGAAGAATGTGAGCAGATGCTAAAGGATAAGATGGTAACCTCGCTTGACGATGAAGAATTGGTCGAACTCTCGCTCCGTGGTAAAATCCCTGGATACGCACTTGAGAAAACCATGGAACATGAAAGCATCACTCGTCTGGAGGCATTCACTCGAGCAGTCAAGCTCCGACGGTCTATTGTTGCTAGGAATCCTGTGACTGCAGCTACCAGTGCGAGCGTGGAGACTTCCAAATTGCCATATGAGGGAATGAACTATACTCTTGTTCATGGTGCCTGCTGCGAGAATGTTATTGGATATCTCCCACTCCCAATGGGTGTTGCTGGTCCCTTGATCATTGACGGACAAAGCTATTTTATCCCCATGGCCACCACCGAAGGTGTTCTTGTTGCTAGTACCAGCAGAGGATGCAAGGCCATCAACGCCGGTGGCGGTGCTACCACGGTTCTCACGGCGGACGGTATGACTCGAGGTCCCTGTGTGAGCTTCGACAGCGTCTCCCGAGCCGGCGAAGCCAAAGTCTGGCTCGATTCCGAAGAAGGCCAATCGACCATGAAAGCCGCGTTCAACTCTACCAGTCGTTTTGCAAGACTTCAGTCTATGAAGACCGCTCTCGCTGGCACAAACCTGTACATTCGATTCAAGACCACAACCGGTGACGCTATGGGCATGAATATGATTTCCAAAGGTGTCGAGAAAGCTCTGTCTGTTATGGCCAATGAAGCTGGATTCGAGGATATGCAGACCATCTCCGTCTCTGGAAACTTCTGCACTGACAAGAAGGCTGCCGCCGTTAACTGGATTGATGGGCGAGGAAAATCTGTCGTTGCCGAAGCCGTTATCCCAGCTAATGTCGTCAAGTCCGTTCTTAAGAGTGATGTTGACTCTCTGGTCGAGCTTAATATCTCCAAGAATCTTATCGGAAGTGCCATGGCTGGCGCTCTCGGCGGATTCAACGCCCATGCATCCAATATCGTCACAGCCTTGTTCCTGGCCACGGGTCAGGATCCTGCCCAAAACGTTGAGAGCAGCAACTGTATCACAATTATGAAGAAGTATGCCTCATCCCTCATCCCTAATCCCTTCCACCCCTAACTCCATGTTTTAAATTGATTCCAACCGCTGACATTTATCCTTCTCTTCCAGCGTGGGTGGTAACTTACACATCAGCGTCTCTATGCCATCGATAGAAGTCGGTACCATTGGCGGCGGCACCATCCTTGAAGGACAAGGAGCCATGCTCGAACTCCTCGGCGTTCGGGGCGCACACCCTACCAACCCAGGCGACAACGCTCGCCGTCTTGCACGAATTGTAGGCGCCGCCGTCCTCGCCGGCGAGCTCAGTCTCTGCGCTGCCCTTGCGGCCGGTCACCTTGTCCGAGCACACATGGCTCACAACAGAGGCTCCGCAGCGGCGGCAGCACCAGCGTCATCATCACTACCAACAGCTCCTCCAACACGGTCTGTAACTCCTGTTTCAGCTGCTGTTGGAGCAGCAAGATCTGCGAACAACCTTGCCATGACGGCCGTTAGCGATCGTAAATGAATTTAAAAGGCCACACAAGTTTTATCCGTGGCCTGGCGTGAGGATGAGAATCGTAATCCTATTTAATCTCACTTCTTTAATTGCATTTTGCAGATAATAAAACGCTGACTTGTTTTCCGGTTTCCTTTTTTTTCTCTTTTCTCCCGCTCGGCACTTTAAGAGTTTCTCCCTCCCCTTCTGCAGGTGGTTTCGGATCTTCAGCTTCATTTCGCTTGCGATGTGAGCTGTTAGTTGTGATTCGTTCTTTTTGCATGGATTAGCTGCATTTCGATATTTCTTACTTCTCTCCAGCATCCTTAGATAGAAACGGAGCCGATATAATTACCTTGTCCATTATCCTGTACACCTCGTAGGGCCTCGTAGGGCCTTGTAGATCTCCTTAATGGTAGGGAGACGCTTTGAGCGATATCAGACGCAACAGCAGACGATGCATGTATATATCCGATTGTCTTGCACGCTCTTTGTCTCCCGCTTCCCTGTTTCCACCACCCATCCATGCATGGTCTGTAGGGATAATTCCTGATCATCGATCGATCGTGGCTCCGGCTTACTTTTGAACTAGCCAGCTATTCTTGGAAGCAGGCCATGGAGCTTTTGGTCTGATTGGCGCTGCGAAAAGTCCAGAACCAACCAGGATCCCGAACTCCATGCTCTCCTTCGCCTCCATCGAAAAAGGAGAACAGGCCGGGCAGATAGCACGACGGCAAGAGGACGGACTATGCGGTGCCTTGCATCTCCTGCAATTGACTGCCACGCCTGTATTGTCGTGTCTCGCTCTTCATAGGACCGGATCTGCGTCTGCGTCTCGTCCGTCCTGGGCGCTCTCTGGCTGGCTGCTGGCTTCGTGATACATACAACTTTCGGGGGTGCGCCTTTCTTTTCTTCCCTGTTGTCAGGTTTCCCCGTCCTGCAAAGGGGAGTACAGGTTGATTTGTTCCCGGTTTCTCATACGGTATATAGCTGCCTCTTGTCCTACTCCGTCGCCGTTTTTCTCCTCCCGGGAAGCCCAGCTAACAGAGGAGATGTCTTGCCCAGGTTAGAAGATCAACCCAAGAAAACACGACAAAGCGGTATCCTTCATTTCTTTTTTCTCTTCTTCGTCTTTTTTCTTCTTCGTTGCTCGAAGCTCGTTGCGGCCGTTGAACGAACTTTTTTTGACGACGTCGTTTGCGATCGAAGAAGCACCAAGTTCCGTGGTGGTCGCAGTTATAGCCCTCCTCCGCCCCTTCGCGGCCTCTCGCCAAACCTCTGGATACGGATTAACGGTTCAAGAACGTGTTCTGTGTCGCCTGCTTCTCCGCACATAATTACACTGTTCATGTGTGACCGGTAGACTGCTTGCGACCTGCTCATGAACAGTTCTGTACCTCCCCGTCCCGAAGTCACCATGTCTCCCGTTTCGACCGACGGAAGCGAATGGTCAGGAATAAATCAATATTCGCTCCCATCACCGAACTCCATCCGCAGCGCATTCCCTACTCCACCGTCGTCTGGCTCGCAATCCCATGGCGGTCCTTCAGATTCGACTTCCATCTCGTCTAACAGCCTCACACTCCCACCAGCTAGAATGTCACAGAAGGCATCACCACCGAGCTCGATTGCGTCACGGTCGAGAGAAAGTAATGGCACACTCTCGGACCAGAGTGGTGCTAGGAGACAGAGGATGGAGGATATGCTGTCCCAGCACTACATCGTACTGAGAAGATACCTCCAAGGTCCGTCCAGAGACGAATCGAATATACGGTCAAATAAGGCTAGAGATAAGCTTTTACGGCTGTCTCCTGTCCTGTTCCTCGAATTGAGTACAGACGTCTACGACGAACTACTTAGACGACAGGCTGTCGTGGCTGCTTCTCGTCCAGGTCCTCCAGGTCCACGGCCGGAGGTTCCTCCCCACCTACTTCCCCGACAAGAATATCATAAAAAACGTAATCAGGCGCGCCAGAAGCTATCCTCGTTACAGGATCAGCGGTTTAAAGACCTTGCGACAGATGTGTTTTGTGAGCTAGAGAGACGGTTTCCACACTTTGCTGGTCCAGACATGAGCAGGCGCGGGAGCCCTGCACCCAGTATGGGAGGACGTTATGGCGGCCCACGACCGGACTCTAACGGACAAGGCTACGGGTATCCAGGCACTCCAAACGGATCTCGTGGCCCTCCGCCGGGTTCTAGAGGCCCTGGATATCCTCCTGGTCCTGGTGGCCGATTCCCCCCTCGACAAGGCTCCCTCGGGGGCATGTCTGCTACAGGATTGGGCATAAACGGCGAAGCGATTCCGGAAAACGCACCCTATCAAAAATCTTTCCAGAATAATACCGTTGTGCCTAATAAAAGTACGCTAGTGGAAGACGATGACGCCGACGATGACGATGATCGGCGAAGTGATGCCTTTGCGCTAGATAAGGTGCTTGATAGCAGGAGAGATCTGATGACAAGCGCTAGTGGTGCAGAACGTGATAGAAAACTTGCTGATGCTGAGGCGCAGGTATCTGAGCTTCAAAAAAGGGTAGAAGAGCTGGAGTTGATGCACAAGGAGAAGGAGGAGGAAATAAGCTCTCTCCGGGGAAGCAAGGATAGATCAAGTGTAAGTCTTAATATTTGTTCTCTCCTATATTTACGTGAGAAGGTTACTGACGAGGTATTAGGGATGGGAGGCGGAGAAAGCTGGATACGAAGAGATGAAGCGAGAGCTGGAAGAGCAATTATCCAACACGCATAACCTTAACAATTCGGTTCTCTCACAGCTCGACGAGGCTCGGGATCGGCAGAGAAGTGCTGAGATGGAGCTAGATCAGCTTCGTCAAGAAAGATCCGTCGGTGGCAACGCTTCTGCTTCTAGTGACGACGGAAACGAATGGAGAACCCGATTCGAGGACCTTGATCGGGAGCATGAATCTCTCAAAGCCAAACTCAAGCATCAACAAGAAGTCACGGAACAAGTGCGGTTACAAGCCTCGGCGTTCCTGCAGGAAATGAGAGCGTTGTCTGACGGGCAAAACTCGAATTGGGATCGCGAGGAACGTCTAGCACGAGATGTAGACCGACTAGAGGCAGAAGTCAAGCACTGGAAGAACCGATACGCAAAATCAAAGACACAACTGCGGCACCTTCGATCCTCCTCAATCGGATTACCTGAACACCTTCCGGACACGAATATCATTGCAAAGGAGAACGACCTAACTCAGCCTGACGGGCTGGTCAAAGATGTACACATTACCAAGTTCCAAATGGCTATTGATGAATTGTTACGCATTGCACGCTCCGACGAGCCGTCTATGGTATTGGGACAGATGAAGGGTGTTGTGCTTGCTGTCCGATACATCACACAAGATCTCGATAACGCCCAAAAGAGAAACAAACACGACGACGACGATGAATTGCTCAGAGTACGCACCCGAGCCAAAGCACAAGTCTCAGCAACCGCAAACAACCTCATCACTGCTTCAAAGAATTTCGGCAACTCCAACGGCCTGTCGCCCGTCTCTCTTCTGGATGCAGCTGCCTCTCACCTCACTGCAGCAGTGGTCGATCTAGTCCGGAAAGTGAAGATTAGACCAACCCCAGAGGACGAGCTTGCAGATGATGAAGGAGACGAAGACCAGCTCGCACCCATGCAGTCACCTGGATACTTCAGCGTAGCTCCAAGCCTGACCCGATTCAGCGGCAACGAGTCTATCTACAGCGCCATCAGCTCTCCGCCGTCATTACGATCGAGGGCCAACTCCCACGTCATGTCACGAAACCGGTTGTCAGGAGCTAAACATGGCTATCCCGGTCTGTCTCCTGATAAGGAGCTAGAAGAGCTCAGGGTAAGTTTCACATCCAAAAGTTAACTACGTCCCATCATCCTCTCGTCTCTAATCGATCAATATAGCTCCACCTGGAAGACCAAACCAGCGCCCTCGTCCATTCCATCCAATCCCTCGTGGCCAGCATACGAGGCGAAGACCCCATTTCCTCTATCCAGATGCACATCAACACCATTGCAGGCGCTGTCGAGAAGGTAGTCTCCTCGACGGAAATGGCCATGTCGAAACCCGATGCCAACCCTGCGCTGCGTGAACGTGCAGTCCCCGTGATAGAAATACTTGCTCGACACCGTGATGACCTTCTCGACGTTGGCGCTGCAGGCGGCAAGACGAGTGACTCCACCGTGATACGTGAACTGAATAGCAAGCTGCCACCCATCGCATTCCAGATAGCTCGAGAGACGAAAGAGCTTGTGCAGCGTGTCGACCAGATCGAGTATGCCAGCCAGAACAACGAGGAAGATGATTTCCGTTAACACCTCCATCACATCTTCTATTCTACCTCTACCACTTATCTAATTTCATGTGCCCCTTTTTAACCACTTTGATTCTACTTATGGAACGGAATGACCTGTCCTTCTTGCCCAGTTTTATAGCCTTGCTTGTGTCTTCCTTCTCGCTTCTTCGCTTCTTCCGTTTTATATTCACATTCGGTTCTTCCACCTATTCGGAGTACGCCTTTCGAGCTTCTGTCTTTTTCCCTTTTTTTTCTTGCTTTCTCCCCAATGAGAACTTTACGGGTGATGGTGACGAGATGGATGTACTTTTATTCTCCATAGATACTTCGTATATCCTACTATTTTAATGTCAGCTACGGACAAAATATATCATGTTACCACTGAGCCAGAGACCTCGTATCGTATCACTGGTAGAGCGTTGGCGTGGAAGGCCGCAGAAGTTTTCAGCGCTATTTAAGGTAATTTCCGGTTTGGGCGCGACGGCCTCGCCCGGGTGGAGCCCTAGCCCCTGAGTCATGTGACTAAGTGGTATAAAGGGCAGGAACAACCCTCGAGAAAGGAAGGAGCGTGACCTTCTTCTGTCAACTCCTTACTCATCCCTTACTAATCTTATCATCCTTCTCATCTTACTCATCCCTTACTAATCTATTTACCTAAGGTCTTACTAAGCTATTTGCAAACAGTGCAAACACCCCTCCAGCTTCCCAAAACTACCCCGCCCCTAGCGCCCTTTTTTCCAACCCGCCGCGGCCATGGCTTCTTTTGCTCCTCGCTCTCTCTTCTCTTCCTCTTCCTCTTCCTCTTCTTCCTTTCTCCTCTCCTCCATCCGCCGGCCTCACACTCTGCAATCCATCGCATCTCAGCCAAAGCTCTCCAGATCTTTCCACCAGTCGTCTCCCATCATGGCTAACAACAGCAAAGCCTACTTCGAAGTGCAGTACGCCGACGCATCCGGCAACTGTGAGTTTTGCCCCTCACTCCTCTTGTTTACCATCACAACAACACGCTTCTGGGTGGTGATACATCGTCAATTGGCAGTACATGGAGCCTCTCGTGGAACAGCTCGCTGACATGGCCGTTTTCTGCCTCTTATAGCAAAGACCGGCCGCATCAACTTCACTCTCTACGACGATGCTGTCCCACGCACTACCAGGAACTTCCACGAGCTCTGCTCCGGCAAGCCAGGATTCGGATACAAGGGATCTGGCTTCCACCGTATCATCCCAGGTTTCATGATCCAGGGTGGTGACTTCACCCGTGGAAACGTACGTTTTACCGTATCTCTCTGGTTTACTTCTTTCATGGGGTCAAGCTAACATCACTTCTCTAGGGAACTGGTGGAAAGTCCATCTACGGTGAGAAGTTCGCCGACGAGAACTTCAGCAAAAAGCACACCCGCCCTGGTCTCCTCTCCATGGCCAACGCTGGACCAAACACGTAAGCAATGCACCACGATGTCCTGTCCGTAAAAACAACGTCTGGCTAACCCAGACCCTTTCCATCTCCATAGCAACGGCTCCCAATTCTTCATCACCACCGCCGTTACCAGCTGGCTCGACGGAAAGCACGTCGTTTTCGGCGAGGTCGACGACGATGGATCCATGGAGATCGTCAAGGCCCTCGAGGCCATGGGCAGCGCCTCCGGCACCATCAAGTCCCCCGTCAAGCCCGCCATCGTCGACTGCGGTGCCATGTAAAGATGTGCTAGCTCTCCTCTCTTCGCCCGATTAGACACAGCCTTTGCATTTTGACGAAAACACCCATGGCCCTTCCTTTTTCCTTTGTTCCTTTCTTGCGCTCTTGTCGTCCTTTTCTCTACTTTTCATCATCGCTCTGCCACACACAGACAGATAATATGGCTTAACGGGATTGGAGGCAAATTGCAATGTTGGAAAGAAACTGGATTAGGACAGCCAATCCACATCTTTACTCATAAAAAGCTAATCATCGTATCTGCCCTTGATTGCAACATAACTCTCATAGGTGGCTGTTTCAGTACGAAGACAACGCATAATCACTTTACATAGCTGAAAAAGAGGGGCATTACTTGCTCTGAATTGTACTACTTTTACCCTGTACAGGCTTCCTTGGTTTTTTTTTTTCAATCCATCCATCAACTTGACCAAATTAAACCAGACGGCGGGGTGGAGTTGGGTGCATTAATTGGCCACTCCTTCTCATGCATGGAGAAAAAGGAATATCCGCCAAAGCTACGACTGCCCCTCTACGTACATATCTCCGGCCAGGAAATGTTGTATAGGGTACGGAGTAGAGACAGTGGTAGAAGCTGGGAAGAAGTCCATAATAGAGTAGTGGTGTGAATTGGTAGAGAGTCGACGCTGTGTATTGACCGAATGGACAATGAGGGCTCAAGTGTCGGCTTGGGGTTCATGAATTAAATCCTCTGCACACTTTCATCGTGCAGCTTATATGCGATTTTGATTGGATCCCCGGTGAGTATTGGAATATCTTACCTGTATTTCTCAAAAATTATCCCATATCTTTGTTAGATGCATGTTGCAAGCACTGCCCAGTTAAAAATAGAGTGTTTCCCACTCATGGTGAGTTCAATTGTTAGAGGCTAGTGGTTTGGAGAAAAGTTCCGTGTACTGCCGCTTAAGACTTGTAATGATGTAAGGTAGATTAAGCCGTAATGCAGGATTATCTATCGCTGAGGCATATGCAACACCTTCTAGCAGCTCTCTCTCTTCTATATTGCCACTAAGCGCTGCCATTTCCTGTATATGTTTACCATAGGCCCAGATGCCGTTTCTCTGGCGTGTTCCAAACGGCAGAGAGAGGGGATCCAGGATATCTTGAAGTTCCGGCGCGAGCCATTCATGGGTTACTCCGCCAATGCCACTTATATCGATTAGAACGGCATTACCTTCATTATCGATCATGATGTTGGAGGGCTTAAGATCCATATGTGTGATACCTCTCAGATGTAACTGGTTGAGGCCATCAGCAATCTGGAGGGCCCATCTGCGCCAGGGAAGATTTTTCCCATCCGACTCTTTTAGTATAAGCTCCAATGTTCCACCCGAATAGTACTCTAGTAGTATTCCTCGCATGACAGGTTTGTCGTTAACTGGAGTCGTAGTCAGGTAGGGATTTCTGGAGACGACAACGGCAACCAACTGCACTATGTTGGGTACATGCCGGAACTGCATAAGATTGCGTAACTCTTGCTGCATGACATCACTATCCCTCGGGCTGTAAAAAGGCCTCTCGATCTCTTTGTAGATGTACCATCTCCCGTTTTCGTCAAGTTTAGCCAGAGAAATCCAGGGAACCGCACTAGGGAGTCCTTCCTTCAGCTTGATATCAGATAGCCATCTCGTCGGCACTGACAAATCTTCGACCTGGGGGTATATCACTCGGGAGACATCTTCCCGTATTGTATATCTAAGCTTGTTGGAAACCTCATCGAATCTGTTTCTCAGTGTAAGAGAAGGGGTAAGTTTTTGCTTTAATGGAAGCGGCCCTGACTGGAAATCTGGGGGGATCGGTTGTGTTATTGAGGTCAACTCGACCTCCGTAACAGTGTCGTCGATAAGGGGAGGAAGGGAATGAAAATCGATATGGGAAATGAAAGCTTCGAACTCAAGACGCCTTTCTAGCTTTTTTTTCATAATTTGGCTGGGTATCCTGTGCCTAAATGATATCTTGATGTGCCATTTCTTATGGCCTGAACGGGCAATGGCGCGAACTGAGCAATACGGAACCCCAAAGCCTTTGGCACCACGGTAAAGCTCCTCCTCCTCGTACGATCGCGGAACGAACTCAATGCTAAATGATGTCATGAGAAATGGACAGCCTGTGGTCGAGAACGCAGGATATTAATGAATGTTTGCGGAGTCAGTAGCTCATATCTAGCGGAGATAAAAAAAATCCGAATGCCGGTTGAATTATATCAGTTGCGCTACGCTTCAGGTCGCAAACTCTAGATATTGGACACTCATCATTGAAGCAAAGGCTAGGATGCATTGATATATGTTCTCGAGGGCCTCAAGTTCTATATGTAAATATATACAGTTTCTTGTGCAATATTTTGTCCAAACGATAGCCCGTTGACTAGAACGCCTCGGCGGCATTCTCATGTTCCCGGTATTTATTCTAGATTTAGATCCGGCACATGAAATCGGCCCTGGTCACACCAATAATGGTGTGCTTTAGATAGACATCACTTGGTATCGAGGCGTCCGTAATCGTCCATGGGAAGAAAGCGTCACGTTTCTCCTTACGAACGCTGGTACGGCATTCACCCGTAGATTATTCGCCATGTACCAATTCCGCTCTGCACGCAGCCCAGGCATCTCCGAGGGACGTATTGTTTCTCTTCTTTCAGTGGAATCCATTCTTCATGCCTCCGTCCATCTCATTCATCGTCGTACCCAGGACCGGAGACGGCTTCCCCCATCAAGACTCTTCTCCCTGCACTCTTCAATACTCCATTTAATATCTCCCGCGTCTGCTTACATCCATCAATCCCTACCGCAAACATCGTCTCAAGATACGACACATGCACTCCCGAATCCATCTGCACAATTGACAACATCTGATTCTCGTTCTCTGCATCATACCCGTCCTCGTCTTCATCATCTTCATCATCACCTCCTCTTGGAATATTTATATCAGGCATAGGATTCGTGTTCGCAACTGTCATATATGGTAATTCCACCTCCTCGGGGGCAGAAATGTCTAGTAGCGGGTCGAGGCTTTCGTTTGTCCCGCCTACTTGTGCTGATTCAGCCGTTACGGCCGGAGTGGACGCACGACCGCTCATGCCTACTGTGCAGGCGCAAAGAAGGCCGGGCATGGGAATACCGGCGTCCACGAGCGCGAGGGTACATGCGTTCACGCACGCGGCGAACAGTGAGCCATCAGATGAGAGGACAGATACGTGGATCGATATTGTACTGCGTGGGTAGAGATGGGCGTGTATGTGTGGTTGGAAAGCATCTCGGATCGAGTTGGCTAGTTCGATTGTAGCTTGCCTTGTTTTTCACCGTCAGTATTTAATACACTAAGTAAAGCAATAAAACCAGAAGAAAATAAGTTACCTATCTCCTCCACCACCGCCAGCAGCACTCTTCTTCTTCCGGTCCACATTCGCAAATCCAGCCAGATTAACGACGACATTAATCACAGCTCCCGTTGCGCCCGCTGTCTCTGAGCGTTTCCCCTCCGCGGGGCCATGAACTGTGCAAAGGACCGCCGTGTTGCCCATTGATAGATATGATGAGCCAGAACTAGCTGGGTTTGTGGATATTTGGGCCTGTAGAAGTCGTAGTTCGTTCCATCGCCGTCCGTCCAGCCGTAGCCGTGTGAGTCTGTATGTTGTTGAGGTATCGAGCGGCATTTTGATCAGGTTCGAAGGTTATAGTGACAATTGGGTCGGGTATAGTCATGCGATGAGCCAGAGTGTTGATACCCGCTCCTTTTTGGGTTATTGGTGAGCTCGTCGAATTTGTTGACGGAGTTGGTGATTTCTTATTGAAGCTCAGCAATTTGCCTTTTCTGGTAAGAATTGTGCCCAAAGGTCGATTAGATAAGCTAAGCCGTTTTGGGACTTTGTATAAGCCGCGAAACTGGATGTCGGTATTGAAGCGAAGACTTATATATAATATCTATTGGTATATATTAAACGTATCTATCATCTTTCAAGTCTACGACTTCTAAGCAGTTGAAAGATGCACACTTGCTCTAACTTCCTCGCATGAGGTGCTTAATTGATATCACATGACCACGAGACAGTTCCGCGTCAGTTCACGTCATGGCTCCTCCACGTCGAAAGCCAGTGGTCGTGAAATACATTTATTCAGCATGACGTCTCACTGGGAGTTGCAGGATGCAGATGCGACCACCGAGGATAGTGATGATGATGATTTGGGGTACCCGAGGACCGCCAAAGTAGCCGCAAAGCGGCGTAGTCCCGCGCCGCTTCCTAGTATGTGATGCTATACCCTCTCGATATCAATCTTCCTACAGGGCTGATGAGGCTGTTCTTAAAGGCGATAGGCCTTCAAAACGCACTAAGGCTTCGCGAGTATCTCCGGTAACACCTAGCAGGGAAGATACAGTCGACTTGTCCAATATTCCAAGCGAACAGAGTGACCACGAATTTAACAATGGCGAAGCAGTGTACAAGGAGTTTAAGAACCGTAAGACTGTCCAGCGAAGGAAGTCAGCTGCACAGATGCGCAAAACGCGAAAGGTTCAAAAGGTTCAACGGGACTCTATTGTTGGTCGTCGTCCGCGTGGAGTTGAAAGCCGCAGGCCGGTACGTCTACCGCGGGAATATGGCGACGTCACTTCTGATGAGGATATGATGGAACATACCTTACCGGACTACCTACAAAGGCGGAGCGGCGTCTTTGATAAAAAGAGGGAACAGTTGCTAGAGGCTGGGTTAAAGCTACCGCCCAATTTCGATGATATGGAATTTTCAGATGATGAGCAGCTTGATTCCCTGATGGAGAAACCGGGCTTTTCCCATGTGAAGCCGTCACGCAAGTACGAGGACATCCAGTTGCCGTACTCGTTAGGCTTGATACCCGCGCCAATCGCTCAGTGGCTTCGTGATTATCAGGTTGATGGGGTTAGCTTTCTTCATGAGTTATTCGTTTACCAAAAGGGCGGTATACTCGGTGATGATATGGGTCTGGGAAAGACAGTTCAAGTTATTGCCTTTCTCACCGCTGCATACGGTAAAACCGGCGATGAGAGAGATGCTAAGAGAATGCGCAAGATGAGAAGAAAAGGCGAATCTACCTGGTACCCACGAACCTTGATTGTGTGCCCTGGGACGCTTATCCAGAACTGGAGAGATGAACTTGACCGATGGGGTTGGTGGCATGTGGATGTTTATCATGGAGAATCAAAGGATGCCGCTCTCAAGTCTGCTGCATCCGGGAGGGTGGAGATTCTAATCACCACATATGTTACCTATCGTTTGAATCGAAGTGCTATTAATATGGTGGAATGGGACTGTGTGGTCGCGGATGAGTGCCACATTATCAAGGACCGAAAATCGGAGACCGCGAAGTCGATGAATGAAATAAACGCGCTATGCAGGATTGGTCTTACGGGAACCGCCATTCAGAATAAGTATGAGGAGCTATGGACCTTACTGAATTGGACGAACCCTGGAAGATTTGGTCCCATCTCCACCTGGAGATCTACGATATGTGAACCGCTGAAAGTCGGGCAGTCTCATGATGCCACAGTTTACCAACTCAGCAGAGCAAGGAAGACTGCAAGGAAACTGGTAAACAATCTTCTTCCAGCCTTCTTCCTGCGACGAATGAAGTCTCTTATTGCAGATCAATTACCGAAGAAAAGTGATCGGGTTGTCTTTTGTCCTCTCACAGAAACACAGTCAGAGGCATACGAAAATTTCTTGGATAGTGATATAATTGACTATATTAAGAATTCATCTAACTACTGTCACTGTGGGTCAGGCAAGAAGGCTGGGTGGTGCTGTCGGATGATTTTACCCCAGGGAGGCAAATGGCAGAGCTATGTCTTCCCTGCTATTTCAAATCTTCAGAAGCTCAGCAATCATCTTGCAATACTAATACCACAGCCTATGGATCCAAAGGATAAACAGGCAAAAGATTTGGAAATGTTACAAGTCGCTGTGCCAGACCGTTGGAGAGAGTTATACCGTACGCGAGGCTCAATTTTGAACTACTCGAATCCAGAATTTTGTGGGAAGTGGAAAATTTTGAAGAAACTTCTCAAGTGGTGGCATGCGAATGGAGACAAAGTACTCGTCTTCTCTCATAGTGTCCGGCTACTTAAAATGCTACAAATGCTTTTCAACCACACGAGCTATAACGTGAGCTACTTAGATGGGGCAATGACTTATGAGGACAGGTCCAATGTCGTTAACTCTTTCAACTCAGACCCTCGGCAGTTTGTCTTTCTAATATCCACCAGGGCAGGTGGTGTAGGCCTCAACATCACCTCGGCGAATAAAGTTGTTGTTGTTGATCCAAATTGGAATCCTTCTTATGACCTTCAGGCGCAGGATCGTGCATATCGAATTGGCCAACTCAGAGACGTGGAAGTGTTCAGACTAGTGTCCGCGGGCACCATTGAAGAGATCGTCTATGCCCGCCAAATATACAAGCAGCAGCAGGCAAATATCGGCTATAATGCCAGCACTGAGAGACGATATTTCAAGGGTGTTCAGGAAAAGAAAGATCAAAAGGGGGAAATCTTTGGTTTGGCAAATCTCTTCGAATATCAGAATAACAACATTGTTTTGAGGGACATCGTGAATAAAACGAACATAGCAGAAAGCAAAGCTGGCGTCCAAGTCATTGAATTTGAAATGGAGGGAGAACAGACTCCTGATAACCCTGACGGAGAGGATGAAAAACCCTCAGCCTCTCTAGTGGACGAGGACGACGATGTTGCAATAAGCCAACTTGCCGCTCTAGTTCGTGGTGAAGCCGATTTTCTTAAGAACTGGGGAGGTGAGGCTAACAAAAAACCCACTCCAATGCTCAAGCACGACCCCATCCAGGCCATTCTTGCCGGCGCAGGCGTGGAATACACACATGAAAACACCGAGGTTGTCGGGCCTTCCAAAGTCGAAGCCCAGCTCAGCCGTCGTGCTGAAATGGTTAATGACGGAGAGGAGGTTGGCGAAGAACAAGTCTTCAGACCAGAATCGAGAGACGGAAATTCTACCAGCATTTTTGTTCGTGGCAAGCATGGACAGTCAGCTCGATTCAAATATCATCCTCCCCATGACGTTATGAAGCGCCAATTCTGTAGCATGGCTACACGCTACGGTTTCCGGGACGTGACCGAATTTGCACTTACAGTCGAGGGTTTGACCCAAGCCCAGCGGAGAATGTGGCTGGAGAATTGGTATAAGGAACGAAGGGAGAAATTGCTTGGTGATGGAAAGCCCAAGGAGCCTCGTGAGATTACTTGACCTACAAGAGGTTCAGAGTAACATCCACCTCAAAAAACATACGGAACAATGGACCGGGTACCCCCATCACAAAGATTTCGCAATTTCAAGGGAGGTACAGACGCCGTATCAGACGCATTTGCACGCTTTGCTGGGTGACGTGGAGCGGTATAATATTTGCAACTCTCTTCTATTTATACTCGAATGCTAATGTTAATACAGTGCAAGCAAGACTTTCCGCCATAATATATATACCTGACGGTTTATATTAGGATCATCCAAAAGGAAAGAGACCGTGTCAAGACTGGCCGGATAGGTTTCTCGACAGCCAAGGGGATATGCAATTATTATAAAGCATAGAGCACCACAGGTTGTGTTATTATTAGAAGATACCAAGCATTAGCAACGTATTGCAAAAATTATATTACGTTGCGTATACCTCGACGCTGCTGTATGAAGCACGAGAAATACACGGAGTCAAGAATTAGTTCTCCGAAAGTAGGGAGTATGGAAAACTCCCAACGATATTCAATTAAAGACGCCTTCCCACAGGCATTACCATCCCGTCCATATGACTCCACGCTCCGAGAACGTATACAAACTAAACCCGCATTGTAGCCGCCGCTTCCCAGTAAAAACTCCCAAATAGTAACCCATACCTCAAAGCCAGGATAAAGTCCAGAGCGCCGGGAGGTTAGGCCATTTTTCCTGCCACTTAGCGAGTATTTCAGGAACTCTCTCATCAAAGCCTTTCCTAGCATTGCCGGTTCCTTGGTCCCATCCGCTAGGTCCATTCAATCGCCGCTCTTCGTCAGCCACCTCATTGAGCCTGTTCGCCAGATCAAGTATCCCTTTACTTCCGATCAAGGCTTCCTCATGGTTGTCCCTGATATCGACGTTAAAGACGTGAACGGGTCTGTTCAAAGGTGACCCTCGATTCATGAGATCCTCCACGACCGCGTCCCAACAGCGTTCCTCGCATGTTATAATAACATCGACGACACCGCCTTCCGTTCCAAGACTACCCTTATCGCCCCTCGATACATGATCTAAACGAGGCATTCCTGGGTTCCAGTCTTGAAACCGCTCCGGTCCCCATTTTACGCCCTTATTCCGTTCTAGCATGGGAAGAACTCCGTTATTGCGGTATAGTCTTGGATCTTTCGCTTGTAATTCATCATATATTTGCGAATAAGATACGGTATTAAAATTATAAACGTTGGGTTGAGTGATAGATGGTCCCGGCAAACGAACTAGGGAGCCCGTGCCGAATGATATGACAGAGTATGAAGATGGAGGTGCAGATAGACGATTATGGGCTTCCATGGATCGATTCTGATTTGCGGCACAAACCGTGCAGAATTTGAGCTTGAAAGAAGCTGATGTAGGATGAGGAGGGGTAGAATTGTTTACTACAGTGTTGTCATCTGGTGTCGACGAGGATGCATTTGCCTGTTCCGCAGGTGGTGGAGGCGGAGGTGGAGGCGGAGGAGGGTTTATTGTAAGAGCCTGGGTGGTGCCCTGCGCAAGGGCAGGATCTGTAGCCATGTTGAACGAGGGTCGAAGCTATACGGTCTAATTCTAGAGCAGCCGGATCTAGTCGCAAAACAGGTCAGCTACCAGCGAACTTCCATTTTGAGAACAAGCACGTGAGATACGAATTGAATCGGCATTTCAGAAAGTAAGTTGCGTATGTTAGGTTATCCTCAAGGGAAATAGGACAGCTCCAATAAAAAGAGGTTCATCATATGATAGAAGGTAGCAAGACGGAGGAATTGGCGGTGTTTATAGCATACCTTAGCATAAATATTCTAGTCTAAAGTTCATTCTCGTCATACACCAATAGCAGATATAATGACTGGCCGGTTCCTCTGAGTGGAAGACCTGAAACCAAAGTGTTCAAAGGTTGAAGACACCTCGACGTTCATTTAGCGAAGTTTTATACGCGGGTATATCACGTGATATTTTATTTTATTAGGTAATCCGCTGCCTCTGTGTCTATAGCTATTTTACGCTCTTATTTTAATACACGATCCCCCCAGAATTTTGGCTATTTCGGGGGAACTACATTATGAGCGATACATATCTTGTATAGATATATTCCCGTTCAGTAACCAGACGCTACCTCATCGCTAAATCGGAAACAAAAAACCAACGCGTACTATATGCCCCTTTTTGCTTAAAAACATAACCGAAATACTTTAAGGGTATATAGAGTTCCCTCACAGATCCAAAATCAAGAGGTTTTCGGGAGATGTAGGACGGGGGCTCTCGGCAGCAGGAGCTTCCGCTTTACTCTGCTCTAGTAGCTGCTTTGCCTTGAGACGCTCCAACTTAGTTCTTCGCAGCTTGTCTTTCCTGGCGTGGAACTCGATGAGGTGCTTATTCTTTTGGCGCCAGTCGGCCGTTGCCGTCTCGGGAAATTGGAAGAAGCAGCCGCTAGGTGCGTGGCCCTTCTGACCACAATAGTTACATGAAAGCCTCTCCGTGTAAGCGTCTTGGCTCTTTGCCTGTGGTTGACGTTGCACTTCAGGTTGTGCTTGTTGCGTGGGCTCCGGCTTGACTTCAGGCTTAACCTCAGGCCTGGGTTCAGGCTTGACTTCCGGTGTGGGCTGAAGCTTGGATTCAGGCTTAACCTCAGGCTTAACTTCAGGCTTCGGCTCAAACTTGGGCTCGGGTTTGGGCTCAGGTTTGGGTTCATGTTTCGGTTTCAGTTCAGGCTGCGGCTTTGGTGCCACAAGCAGCTTTTTAGCAGACTGTGCTGCATGTTGCTGTTTTTTCTGGTACAGCTTCTCGCGGAATTCAGCTTTCTTTTGAAAGAATTCAATGCCACTCTTGTGTGCTTTCTGCCATGCGGGGCTGGTTCTCTCAGGGTACTTGTAAAAGCATCCATCCTGTGTATGATGGAGCATTGAACAATATCCGCAACTGACTTTACCGTCTTCATCCACGGTGTCGACTTGAGCGCCGGAGGCATGGCTGCTGCTAGGTTTTGAGCCGGCAGAATGAGGCCCCTTGGCAATAGAAGAATTTATGGATGGGGTTGACTCAGGCTGAGGCTCCTCGCTAGCATCCTGAGATGAAGACGGGTTCAGAATGCGCGCTACCAATTTATCGGTCTCCAGAGTAACTGGCCCGTCTTTTGCATTGCGACCAGCATCAATTTCAGCTTGGATCATCTCCCTTGCCCGCTCAGAGACCCGTAGGCAAAGTAAGTCCTGGGCCATCCAATCTGGTATAGTAAAGCCCAATTTCCTTATTCTGGAGTAGTACCTGTGGAACGTTGAGATATACTCAATGTCGTTCTTGGCGTTGATAGTCATGAGCTTCTGAATGAGATATCGACGGTCATCTTCATTCACTAAGCTGCAATAAGATTCTATCTGCCTCCAGAGAAGGTAGGCTGACCGATTTGGCGGCTCTTCGATTTCCTCCTTGAATTGTGGGCCGATCGACTCGATCATATAGTCGTATAGCCATTCATTCTGAACCTCCCACAACTTCTGGTCAGTGGGAGAATCGGGCGGGCAAGTTTCCTCTCTGTTCTCCAGGATTGGTAGACAGGTCACCGCTTTAGCCTGTTCGAAGACCCGATCTTTCCAATCAGGAAACTTCTTCGCCATATGCAGAATTTTGGCGCGAGCCACCAAACTTGCGCGAGCTCTGAAAGCAGTAATCGTGTCCTCGACACTCACTCCGTCGCTGATACTGGGTTCCACAGACTTGGAGCTCTGGGCCAGTGGAGGAGATGGCGACGGTGTTGGTGGTTCTAGAGATGATGGCACCAGCTGGTTCATCTTGGTTTCCATCTGTTGGATCTTCCGCTGCATAGCACCCAGCATCTCCAGAATATCATGAATCCCAGGCATCTTGCCCATATCCGTGACTATATCTGCAATTCCATTTGTTTCCCCCTCGGCCCTAGCTTCGTAGCTCCCCCCAGTGCTGGACACACGACCATCCCAAACGTCGCTGGGCTCGGTAGACCTATTCGTCGATCCTACCGCTTCGCTTTGGTTTTCGGAGTCACGGCCATCGGGAGCTACAGATTGAGCTACAGAGGGGGCTACGGACGAGGTTCGAGAGGCCCCATTGACGTGCGGAGGCGGTGATACTGGTGGATCTGTAGAACCAGCGGTTGGAGAGAGCGGCTGAACCATAGTGGTTGGGAGCTACCAAGAAGGTTTAACAAGAAAGGAGTACTTGATGGTCCACGAAATCCTCAGTCGGATACTTATATAAAGTGCAACCTCGCGATTAGCCGCGAGGGGGCAACGAGCTCATGACCGCGGACGACCATATAAAAAAAATATATAGACACAAAAGAAATTTCGAGCTCCGCTCTATAAGCCAATAAGAGCTAGAGCATGTGACTTACCGCAACTCGTTTGTTTACAGTTCACAAAAAGTAGACAAAAGTACGAGGATTTCACCGCAACTTCGAAGATCCAATGGCCTGGGAGTGGGCACCGAGTGTCAAAGGGGCTTGCATATACTCGGTTGAGAACTAAATTTTGTCTGCTGGCGTGGCAGACTATGTAAAATTGACCACTATGAAATATTGAAAAGCAAAAAAAAGGAAGTACATATGATTACTTAATATATGACTAATGAACATAATATCACGTGGTATTATCGATACCCGAGTCATGTGATATGAAAATCAGCCGAGGTAAAAACAAGGTGCTTTCTTTGGATACGATACTTCACCCGGCTAACTGACAAGACGGCGGGTTGATATTGTTATTTCCACTGGCTAAACGAGCATTCACGAGCTAACCACGGCTAGTATACATTTATACGTATCTGGGGTAACTGTTAAAGCGGCATTAGCTCGCGTGGACCCCGCAGCTAACATGATAGTACCCCGGATAGATGTCGACCATTGCGTCTTGTCAATGTCTTCATACCTATATCCAGGCTAGAACCGAGCAAGCCTACCAGTGACTATACCTCTGGCACCATGAAGGCATCTAGCTCGACCGAAGGGTTCTTCCAAGCTCGGCCAATAGTGCAATCTCAGATAGAGGAGGATGTCGTACTTCGGCGTATCGTGTCTTTGCATCTACCATGCCCGTTACCATGGAGTATGGAGCAGGACTTGACTCGGTTCTCTCACCTAGTTTTATCCCGGCCAATTCTGAACTACGCTGCTGAAGCTGAACGCAACCAGCCCTATCTCAAGCCACTGACCACGTTCGGTGCTGAGAACAAGCAGGATTCGCTCGTTACCAGTGAAGGATGGCGCGCACTCCAAGATGTCAATATCAGAGAAGGATTGGTCGGGCTTGCACATGAGCCTGCACAACCTACGGATGACGTTCAGTGGAATGCCCGGGTCTTCAAGAGCATCAAAACTCACCTCTGGACACCAAGTTCGGCGATGGTGACGTGTCCAGGAAGCATGACGGATGGCGCTGCAAGATTGCTTAGCAGACATCTTGATGGTGAAAACGGCAAGGTCTTTGCCGAAGCGCTGAGAAGGCTTGTCAGCCGTGACCCAGCTGTTGCCTGGACGAGTGGACAGTGGATGACAGAACGCAAGGGAGGTAGTGATGTCCGCGGTACCGAAACGGTTGCTCGAAAGCTCACAGTTCAAGAAATGACCGAGGATGATGGAGTTGATTCCATCGGCCTGCCATTAGGCCCTTGGCGGCTTGATGGGTTTAAATGGTTCTCTTCGGCTACTGATGCAAATATGGCAATTATGCTTGCAAAGACTGGAGACGATGGCTCTATCAGTGCCTTTTATGCACCATTAAGGAGACAGGTCAACGGCAGAAATGGCGAGGAAAGCGAGCTAAATGGCGTGCGTATCCAGCGCTTGAAGAACAAACTCGGCACAAAGGCTCTTCCGACTGCAGAATTGGAAATAAAGGGTATGAGAGGATATCTGATTGGAAAAGAAGGACAAGGCGTCAAAGAAATCTCAACCATTCTCAACATCACCAGAGCCGGAAACTCGATCGCTTCTGTCAGTTACTGGGGGAGATCGTTAGCTATCTGTCGAGCATATTCGAAAGTGAGGGTCACTAGCGGCAGACGCCTCCAAGACACTCCCTCATACGTGAGGACATTAGCAAGAGACCACGCCAAATATGCCGCTAGCATGCACCTCGCTTTCCTTATCGTTGCCCTTCTAGGGATTTCTGAAGGCAGCAGCAGCGCATCATCCCAAGCTGCCAATATTAACATTATTCCAAAGGACGAAAAGCATAGCCTTGCATTGCTCCGGCTCCTTACACCCATGGCCAAAGCACGAACTGCCCTCCGTGCGATAAAAGGGGTACGAGCAAGCATGGAAAACCTTGGTGGGATCGGCTATCTTGAAAACGAAGATCCCATCCTTAACGTTGCAAGGATTTTCCGCGATACTTGTGTACTAAGTATTTGGGAGGGGACAACTGAGGTAATGGCCGATGACCTAATGCGAGTCGTTAAAGGTAGACAGGGTCCAGACTGTCTAAATGCGTTGGATAAATGGATATCCCATGCCCTGGGCGTAGCCAGGGCACATTCATTCAGCGCGGAAGCGGGGGTTCTTCAGCAGCTATGGGCAGAATTTTTGTCTGATGTTCAATCAAAGAGCAGAGAGGAGCTAAACTGGCATGGCAGGAAATGTTTGAAGGTTCTAGAACGCCTTGTATGTGGATGTTTGCTTATCTTGGATGCGTCTCGAGATGACAATGACCTTGCTCGAGAACTTGCAAAACGTTGGATCCTTAAAGACGCCGTCTCCCAGAGATCATGGACGGTGGAGGCTGACTGGGATAGTCGCATTGTCTATGGGGATAGCTTAAATGGACAGAGAAATGCTCATTTATAATTATTACGCCTATGAGATAGGGGATATAGTACTACCTTTGCAAATTTGTATATAAGAGGTTGATATATAGCTTATCAAATAGCACTCAATCCAATAGGTCAAATATGGAGAAACAAGAGAATGACTAGAGCTTGCCCAATATATCTTCACACGGTAGATATCAACTATACTTGTAAAGCCAGCCCTCAAAAAATGCATAATCTATTTTATGGTGTAATATCCTTGTATGTTTATGCCCTTGACTCACTAGATCAAGGGGAAATCTCAACCCATCACAACTCCCGATTACTTCCAAGTAATCCCCATCGCCATCTTATACTTTTATGATACCCTAGCCATGCTCAGAGATCTCGAATGCCGAATGCAGGTAATAGAAAATGAAGACAAATAAGAGCAAAGAACAGAAAATGATCCAATATGGTATCCCCGATTGATTCATGCCGGACGATGTCGGCTCTCTTGAAGCCTAAGAAACGAATTGTTGCTAGAATGCGTAGTGTCATCCATCCCTCCACCATCCTCACCATCAAGCCCTCCGACTCAAAAATGTCCATCGAAAACAGATCCGGGCCTAGGAACGAGAGAGTATTGGTATTGAGTATACCATAAAAGGAAAAGTGAGATTACTGCGGGAGCCAAAAACACGCCATCTGCTATTCAGAATTGTTGGTTCAACTCTAGCCCGACATTTGCGAAGGAAAGATGACCTCGTTGCTGATAGCATGGACATAGGCTGGTAAATAAGGCTTCCCTCGTTAGAACCCTATCTACTCTTAACGAATTGGCCTTGGTTAAATCTTGGGGATATAGCTCAGGGTTCGGCATCAAACAGTCCTCCCATACCAGGGGGCCGGTCGTAGCTTTCAACGGGCTTCTTCTGTGTGTTAATGTTGCCCGTGCCTGAAGAAACAGTTGGTTGGAGGGGGGCCATCATTCCGGGCATCCCGCTAGCACCTACAGCGATACGGTTATTACTCTCATTGTGGTCATGGTTAGAGTCGCCGAGAAGATCAGCGGTAGGGTGGGACACTGAAGATGAGGCCTTGTGCTGTACACTTTCCGGCATAGCTCCGTTACTGTCAAAATCGAGAAGACAATCCTTATCCTGGTTGGGTTTTACTGCTTTTGGCGCATGTGGAGGAATGTCAAGATCGTGGTTTACTTTTTGCCCTGGAAGGATCGCAGTGAATGCGAGAATTTGCTCTACTGCTTTAGAAGGGTTGTGCGAATCACTAAAAGCAAAACATGTTAATCTCGGGGGTATGCAAAAGACAGACAAATGGAGGGCCCATCATTAGTATCACTTACATATTGGCATTTATGATCCAGTCGAGGTTTTCTCGTCCTTCCTCTGACCCACCAGGGCCTCCATTGATGGCTCGGAAAAGTTTGGGTCTCCATTCGATATTTTCATGGGCTCTGGCAGCGGCTTCCTCTCGTTGTCGGTCCTCGATTTTTGTCTTCTCATCAGTAGCTAGTTCCTGGTTTCGTTCCAGTAAGGCTTGGACTGTGTTGTGCCAAAGCTTCTGGGATTCACGGCTTGTCTGCTCTTCGAGCGGCCGGCTGAGAGGTGGAGCATGCTTTGCATGCGTGGCATTGAAGAGTAGTTCTTTCTTTCCAGTCTATTTTATGGTATTAGCAAAATAAGCAGGTCAAAGTACGTCAGAACCATTGTAACCTACCGCAACGTCTCTGATGAACATTTCACCGTTCCAAAGCCCTGAAAGCTCGTAGTAAACCTCCCCGGTCTCATCATTCTTAATGGTTCCTCCAATGGCGTTATATGTACCGGAGAAATAGCCTCTCGTTTTGAACTCGAGGTCGGCAGAAAAATGGTTTTCTGGGCATTTCACGTAGCTATGGTCTCCAAGTTCATACTTCATTTTTCCGAACAGAATTCCGCGAGCGTACATATTTGGCTGTGTTATGATGCTAGACCGCAGTGTTAGTATCCACATAATTTAAAAGAGTTCATGCAGTGGGAGATTCCTACTATCTTTCGCCATGTCCCTCCTCCTTTCCTCGATTCAGGAACTCCATGTATGATATTCCTTCCATCATACTTGCTGCAGAATTGCCCAAAAACCTACTTCTAGGTTTTAAAGTGCCATCTATTCTGATATGATGCTCCGGTGCCATGAAGAAGTAGCTGGACTTAGGTGGATGATGCGATGTCTGTTCGGAAATATAATAACCCTTAGTGCCATCTGGGTAGTCCCAATAGCCTGTAAATGTTTCACCCAGGATAGGATTAAGGGGTTTTTTAACGCCTCTATATTCAAAGATGTTAGTAAGAACATAAGTTGGTCAACGATGAAGCCGTTCAAAGACATACGGTGGTTTGATATGCCATCCACTAAGGTAAAACTTGACCACGGAAACGAATCGTTGCAGAGGATCATCAATCTCTGGCATTGGTAACAGCGTGTCTGGGTGGGCCATGAAACTAATAGGTGGTGCAAACAAGGTCAGTAATTCGTATTTCCTCCCTTCTATTCCACCCCTCACATCAAGTATAAGAAGGTACCAAACGTACTTTGTGATTCTTTCCAGCATCGATCGCGGCTCCAGGAGGAACGTAGGTAGGACAACTCGGCTCAGGTCAGCGCCAGGTCGTAACTGGGAGATGATATGATAGAGTACTGTCAACAGCCAGAGTATGGCGAATTAGTATTGTTTGTTGTTAGATAACTCGGCTGCCAATGGAACCTCCGAGTAGAGCTTAGAGCAAACTCACTGTTTCCCTGATCCGGCTCTACGATTTCGTCTTCCCCTCCCGGGGTAGGGGGCCGGCTGGATTCATCTATGGACGAACGGCTGCCTATTTCGAAGGGACGAGGAGAATCCATCATCAGTATATAGCCATAAAACAAGAATCAAGCAGTTCGAATCGGAACAGCGGGATTAGGTAGAGTAGTATGAAGACATGGGGAAGCAAGCAGCGCAGTGCAACTTCTGAAATATATATCATGACGTACTGTTGTTCGTCGGGGTCCGGCGATGTGACACTGAGTTGGCTGGTGAATGACCATGCGAGCTGATCCCCGGTATTGGCAGCTTAGGCAACATCGTTAAACGTATTGGCGGCGAGCCGTGGACTTCTCCGGACTCTGCGGAATCAGCTGGTTATATAGGCGTAAGCTCTCTCTCGACAGCTCTCTAGCTCTCTAGCTCTCTGGTTCTCTTGACGGTTTCGCTCCGGAGACGAGTCGGTTTAAGACATCAAAGCGTGTGACTGTGGAAAATGGCCGGATGAGGAGGGAAACTGGCTGGTGCCGGGATATTTGCTGAATCGAAGCTCAGATGCTCTCTGGACGAGTGTCTATCTAGTGTCTCTGCAGATTCGCTGTTGTCTGGGTTTAATACTCGCTCGACGACTATGCGGAAGAGGCGGTCTTGAAGCTGGGATACGGTGGAGACAGGTCACTTTCCAACCAGGATGGAAGATGGATAGAAGAAGTAACAAAAAAAAAGAATATTCTCGATAAGCAGCTATAAATACTAATATGCAAGGCCGTGTGTCCCCTGAGCTGGTGAATGAACCCTGGACAGCCGGAATATATGGGATTGAAGGGAAGACAGAGCGACGGGCAAGTTGGTGACGTTGGAAGCTTCAACGGCGGGCTTGGAAAAAGGTACTTGGGTGAGGGGTTTTTTTGGTGCCTAATCCCCATATAAAAGGTACATCGACGCCATGTCCCTTGGGCCAGGATGGATTTTATACGGCATCACCAAGGGGCCATGCGATAGATATGCAATACTTCGCCCTGCAACCGCCTCAAGTGAATGCATCTTTATAACACCCATCTGCCTCCTTTCTTTGCTTCTTCCCTGACGGCTTCGATCGATTCATGGTACAAGTGAACATCGCGGGGCTTTTTTTCGTATTTGCTTTTCTTTTTCGCCATGCTAGCATGAAACTAGGGCGGGTGTTCTGCATGGGTACGGCTCAATGACGCAGGGTTGGATATCTCCTTTATCCCTTGAACGCTCTATGGGTGGACTCAGTACTCAGTGTCCTCTAATAAAGTGGGTAGATTGTGTTCTATCTATTGCAGTTTCGTTCTCTATCCTTTTCCAACCATGCAAATGCGGAGACGCTTACAAGAGACCAACGATCTGGTATCAAAACCGATCTGTTTCAAGTATACCTTATGTCAAGCCTCGAACAAGGAGCTAAGAAAGAAAGAAGGATAGAAGATCGTGGAGATCCCCCGGCCAGCCAGCCTTTATGCAACTGCACTGACTGCATCCTTGTCAATCAACGGAACATCCCCATTTGTGACTTCGCGAACAAATTCCATATCAGGCTGGTACAGCATAACATGGAAATGCTCGACAGCATGAACAGACTTTAAGGATTTCCAGTTCCGAAACCAAATCACCTTTTCGAGAGGGTTTGTCAGTTTAGTACGGTCGTCGGTCAAGGGGAATGAATCTTAGATATTGGGCTTCCCCCTATCTCTTTGATCCTTATACATACCCTTTCAGCAGGAACCCTGGCCCGAAATACCGATCCAACAAAGTCATCGATTTCTTTTCGCGCGCGAAGGGTAAGATCATCTGCTATCGGATCGTCCTCGAACGCAAACTTCGTCCACACCACCAAATGGACGATATCTTTTTCAATCCCGTATGGCCAGTCGTTAAACAGAATCTTGTGGTCCTCTAGATATGCATGCCGTAGCATGTATGTCAGTGTAAGCCATATGTTTGACCGCCGCCTACCAACACATCCGTCCTACTACATGTGGCTAGATGTAGACGGCTCAGGCCCTTTATACTACTAGCGAGGTGGTATTGCCTAGGGCCGGGATAGAGCCTAATAGCGAAAAAAAGAGAGCGGTTGGAGGCGGGACAAGAAATAAAAAGGAAATAGAGTACGAACCGGGATTCTCAAATGGTCGTGATCCTTTAGGTGTCATAGCATTCTCCCAATGAAGCCGTTCCCGGACGACGAAATCCATGACCGAGCCATATTTGGACACAATTCGAGATGTATACTCAAGGTATTTTCTTAGATCGGAGGGCACACGCTGAAAGAGATCAATTCGATTTGAGGCTATGTCCAATATCAGTTGGTGTAGGCATAGATAGTTGTATTAGTAGGTGTCAAACCTATGAATTGTTGGGCCAGCTCCCAGCTCTGCCGAACGTATTCATCATCAGGCGTTGAGAGGACTTTAATTGATTTAGCTGGTAGATTGCAGAGAAAGTCAGGACACTCTGCCGGCCATTGGTCCTGGGGTAGATTGACAAGCCAGTATGGAAGCTTCTCCGATTCGATGTACGTGGGTGTCAGCTCTGTGCTCTTTGTCATTATCACTGACGTTATTCTATTGCGGCAAAACCTGTATTTCTATAATGAATGAAACGCAAAAGAAGATAAACGTTTGAAGGCCTTCTATGGCGCGGTTGTTTGGAGGGTTTGAAGTTGCCACCTCATATAAAATATTTATACGCCCTAGTTACGTAGCTGAAGTTGAGGCTTATTTGTTAAGGTGGATAAGACAAGCTCATCGACCTTCTTGATTTCACATTATAGGATACGCTGGCTGTCTATTGATTCGTGGAATAAAAGGTATAGTTACTCCTTAAATAATACAGGTATATGCGTTGTTTGTGTTTGGCTGACCGTCATCTATATCAAAGTAACATTTATATTCGCCACCTTGACAGCTACTACTAAATAGCTATAATGAAATCAATTAACATGGAATCCACGGCCGAATTCAGACCAGCTCTTATTGTGGTAGATATGCAGGAGGACTTCTGTCCACCGGTGTGTCCTAGACCCTCCGTTCAACATCATGATACTTAAAGCGCTCCCCGCTAAGATATATACACCCATCGTGAAATGAATAGGAGGGCTCACTTGCCATCCAACACGGCCGGTCAATCGCCCCATTGATAAACAAGCTCTTGTCTCTATCAGGTTTTGTGGTCAAGATAGGAACCCAGGATTTCCATCCGGCCAGCCATATATCCTTCGCCACGAACCATCCAGCACCGTCTAACGTACCATTTACTTCAACTATTGATATGAAAAACCCTGCTCCTGGGAAAGAGGCAGAAACTAAACCTCAGCAGCTTTGGCCGGCGCACTGTGTTCAGGGTACGAAGGGGGCAGGATTCATCTCCGAAATAGAATCTGATAAGCTGGATGCTATCGTTAGAAAGGGAATGGATGAACGGGTAGAAATGTATTCGGCTTTCGCGGATGCATTTGGGAACCAGAATTGCGTGGAGACAGGAGGTGCTAATCGTGACCTTGAAGCTATGCTGAATGAGCATGAGGTTTCGGACGTGTTTGTTGTCGGGCTTGCGGGCGACTATTGCGTCAGGTGCACTGCTATCGATGCTGCTGACCGCGGGTTCAAGAGCTACGTTATTGATGAGGCTACGAAGTGCGTTGATCCTGGCGAGGGCTGGGAGAACGCAAAGGTGGAAATGGCAACTCATGGAGTTCGTGTCATCAGTGCTGATGGGATCGAAGAAGCCATCAACAAGCTATGTATTAATGTCTAATGTTGATATTAGGGATGAGACTGGGAGTGGCTACCCTGAGCAGCTATCTAATAAATAAATCTCTTGAGTAACCCTACCAATCCATATACATGCCAGGTTGAAGTAAAGGGGTATCCAAACTTGCCATAAAAGAATATGGACATGGCGCCGCACCAATAGTAATAAATCCTTTCGCCAGAAACACACAACATAGACAACCCAAACTCTAAGGCGACCCTTTATATAGTAGTAAGCAAATCGAAATAGAGGTCAGACGAGAAAGCTGATATTAGCTTGCGTGGATCAAGTATAAAGCTCGCCGGCAACCGCAATTCCTCGCTCCGCGTCCCTTCGCCGACTTGACGTCCCATTCATTCCACGATCTTCATTCTCCTCTTCATTCATCTGATTCTCTTCTTCTATCTCTCGCTCTACTTCTTCCCGAATACCTAGTATATCAGGCGGGATAACGCTCATCTGAACACTCGGCGCACCATTAATGTAGCGCAGTTGCTCTAATATTCCTTCCACGAGCGAGTCCAGATAGGGCTTTGTATTCTTATTTTCAACCCTTCGTAGATCCGATAACGGTGGGAAAAGAGAGCAGTCTGGCTGGAAGTGACTGCGGAAGGGCAGTGTTTCGGGTAGTTTTGGATCTAGCTGGTCTTCGGCTCCAACACATATCGCGGTCTCGTACGCCCATAGTCGAGAGACGTTGCGGGGAGTATATCCTCCTCCTCCAAGGACAAGAGTGGGTAGTCCGAATGATTTTGTGAACGCAACGCATGCACCGTGCGCACGGATATTAAGGTTGAAACAGCCTAATCTATCACAGCCAAGGCTGTCGGCACCGCACTGAAGGACTATTGCACCAGGTTGATATGTGTTGATGCATGGTCCTATTATGGCTTTGAATAAGTTGACGTAATCGTTATCTTCGACTCCATCGTTTAGCGGAACATTTAGAGAGTGGTGGGCGCCAGGATTGAGTGGGTGTGTTGGGCCAGTGCTATCAAGCGGACCGGTACCAGGGAAGAAATTATCCTTATCGTACTTGTGGAAGGAGACAGTGAGAACTCGATCTGTTGACCAGAATGCTTGTTCTACTCCGTCTCCATGGTGGACATCGATGTCAATATACATGACCCTTGGGTGGTGTCTGAGAAGCTGTAGAATGCCCAGCACGATGTCATTGATGTAGCAGAACCCGCTTGCCTCGGTCTTTTTGGCATGATGCAGCCCGCCAGACCAGTTAATAGCAATCTCGGACTGATTGTTGCATAGTTTTCGAGCGGCGTCCACAGTCCCTCCCGAGTAGAGGGCACAGTAGTCGTACAGGCCGTCAAAAATCGGACAGTCGTCGCCAAAGTTGAATCCAGCCAACCGATCCTGCTGGTTGGCGCTGTCCATGTCAGGTGGGATGACCTGGCTAAGGAAATCGAGATAGTCTGTACTATGGAATTCAGCCATTTCATCGTATGTCGCTGCGCGGGCGACGTAGAGGTCCATGGCATGGTGCATCCCGTAGGCCATGACGAGCTGTTTGGTGAGCGTTAGACGCCACGGCTTCATGGGATGCGACTGGCCGAAATGGTGAGGCTCGACGGCAGCATTCGCATGCCACGATACCCTGTAGCCCTTTGGCCGTTTGATAACATCGTGAGCTACTTCATCGGTAGTCTTGCGATCGAAAGTGATGGTGGTGTTGGGCAGCGGCGGAGGGCCATATTCCTGCACGATGGCCGATCTGCCCATGGTCAAGTGCGGGCGCCGGTAGCTCTCCTATCCATAAAACAGCTGTCTGCAGCCTGAGTGGTCGTTATATTCCCAAAGGCCGGTGGTTATCTGTTCTGGCTGTCCGCGAGTTTCGGTCTTTTGGCGATGGAAAGAAGCTTGGGGAATTGCGGATCACCTTTTTGGGGGCAAAGCCATCAAAACCAACAGCCAATCAGAGGGCGCAAAATTTGGTATCCAGATCTGGACTAGTGCGGCTTAATAGTGGAGCCTTTTTGTTATATAACCCGCTAGTCCCAAAGTAGTAAGTTGGTCTGTGCAAGGGACGCCCAGACTTAAGGTCAGGTGACTTTCTTTCTTATTCATCAAAGTTCTTTCTCGATCGGGCAACTCTCGACATATCAAACATCTTGAATACTCTCTCTCTCTCTCTCCTTGGTAGTTGGCAGCTGTTATACCGACAGTCTTCTTGTTTGTTTACCTGCCGATACGGCTGCTTTGGACTTCTGCATGCACGATAGGTAGACAGGGACACAGCAACACGTGTTATTTGCCATGGCGCATGCAGAGGACTGCTCTTCTGTTCTGGAGCAGTTTGTTCACAATGGTAAGACTACTGGATGCTCTATCTTTATTATCTTGAAGTACTATGACTGACGTACCCTTCTCTGCATAGTGGCGAACTTGCCTGCAGAAATTAATCACCTTATGGAGGAGATCCAAGCCAAAGATAAAATAATACAAGAATGTCGCGCCATAATCAACTCGAGGGATGGGAGCTTACAAAAATTTATCAAGATAAACGGGAGCCATGCCTTGAACCCGAAAGAAGAAGCTTATAGCAAAACTATCATTCAAAATATGGACCGGTGCCAGATACTACAGGATGAGAAGGTTATCCTGAGCGACAAGGCAAGCATCCTCCTCGATCGGCATATTAAGAGACTGGACGTGAAGATCCGAGAGCTACAAAATGACGGCCTCCTTTCAAACGACCCGCCGATTCCGTCTCTCTTCCAGAACAGGGATCTTTATCGTGAACCTCCCAAGGCAATATTTCCCGATGCCGCCACCAACGAAGGATCTTATTCCTCTCCGCTAAATCCCGCGTCGGCAAACGCGAATTTGCAATTTAACATTGCCCAACGGCTAAATAATGTTACCTCCCGTGCATCAGTGGGACCTGGAGCTGCTACCCAGGCTGCTGCTCGAAACTCGGCTCCCGCCTCACCGGCAGCCACAGCTCTGCACCAGCAACGACGTGAGTCATCGGCAGGAGCAGCAGATAGTAAGCGGCGCCGACTGAATACGTCCATTAATACGCTGCCTGTTGCGCCATCGAATTTACGTCAGTCGTCTACTGGCCCAGGAACCCCCAAGGCTGGAACACCGGGGGTATCACGGGCTGGTAGCGCTGGCCCCCGTTCAACGACGGGAGTGAAGAAACCCACTACTAAAAAGGTTGCGCCACACCAACAAGTGCGCAAGATAAAGGCTCATAATGCACCTGGAAAATCAACGAAGCGGTCTTCAAGCAGCAATCGGTTGAAACCAGTATCTGGCAATGGGGGCTCACGGAAGAAATCTCGATCTCCTGCCGCCGGTGTCGCTGATGAGGACGAGGACGAATCTATGCTCAGCAGTGCCGACATATCTGATTCGGAAAATGTCCATGTGTCTCGCCGGCAGATGGCACGGTCCTCGCAAGAGGATGCGGATGACGACGATGATGAAGAGGGCGGCGAAGACACAAAGACGTACTGTACTTGCCGTAGTGTGAGCCACGGAGACATGGTTGCTTGCGACAACGATAACTGTCCGTATGAGTGGTTTCATTGGAAGTGTGTTGGGCTTACGAGGGAGCCTTTGGGGACTTGGTACTGTGATGAGTGTCGCAAGAATTTGGGCAAATAAATAGGTTTAATGCACCGCATCTTGGTAGGAATTATATATTCTCTTGTACAGTACCCATTTTTAATGATTAATGTGATATGACCTAGGAATTGACATGATATTCTCCTTTTACTCGGGTTCTTAACCCATGGGTACTTTTATAGCTGGAAAAGCATCAACACTTGATATTGCAAATGGAAATGTAGGTTCGATGAAATAAACACAGATGAATAAATTTTGCCCCAATAAAAAACACAGAAGATACGCTTTTTTCATTTTGTAGATTCATTCGACAATGTAAGGACCAAAAACAAAAACTAACTCCATCGCTATGCTCTCTATGGTATGGTACAACGGAAAAGGGCACCTTTGCCCTCTCTGCTTTGTCAGGGTATAAAGTAAATGAGTACCAGTTGCTTTTTTTATGCGGTTATTGAAACGCTTTTTGTACTGTGTTGCTGGCCCTGAAGACTGAAACGAAGATATGGTAGGGACGGCAATGAAGATGTAAAAAATAGGGAAAAACGGGTATATCGAGAGGGGAAGGATATATGCCGCAGAAGTTCTGGTCGAGGTCCAGATGATAATGATCGTAGATATTAAAAGGACAATGCAGAGTTTTTCAGCCATTCGTCGAAATACTCGCAGTTCTCGGCGCTGACAGGACCTCCTGGACGGCAGAGGGAAAACACAGGGCACTGACCACAAGGCACTTCAGTCATTCCGTTTGATCCAAGGGAGGGTCCTTCTTTAGTGGTTGCGCCGCCTGGGCCCTGGAGGCCCAGGTCGCGTTGAAGAGAGATCTGATTCGGCTTCTTGACACTCCTGTATGCGGCTCCGTCTCGAAGAGAAACCAATCTCCCGTCATAGCAAAGCATCTGCAGCAGCTGAGAGATGCTCCCTTCGTCCATGGTGACTGGGGTAAGTCCGGAGCCATTGATAGCTTTTGTGATATCAGCCGTGGTCGGATGGCCCTGGTATGATGGGAGGTATGGTATATATTGCGTTTCCGAGTCATCGGCCTGAGCCTTCCGCTTCTTCCCCTTTGGCTGGTCTTCGCTTCCGGGAGAATTCCAGCTCCGTGCGCTCACCCAGTGTTCAATCCAGCCACTCAGGCCACGAATGAAATCTGCATCCAACACGCCATCTGTGAACCACGCACCTCCGGTAATCTCCTCGCTCGGCTGTAGCCCTGATAGCATGTATATTTTACGTGACGGATACTTGACGTTTCGTACGGATTTGACATAACTCTTCGCTTCGAGGGATTTCAGACACCGGTTCATAATCGTCTGGTGCAGGTTTGTTCGAGTCTTGATTATCTTGGTCCAGATACCGTTCCGGCCGGTCGAATGGATTACATTGTACACGAGGCGTTCCTCGCCGTTGAGGTTTTGCAGTCTATGGGACAGGAGTCAGTGTTAACTTGAACAAGCCGCAATAAAGAGATAGAAGCACACTCACTTTTCAGCATCTGACTGCGCAATGATCTTCCAAGCAAGACGATCATCTTTCGCTTGTAGAAGCCGGAGCAAGCTCTGGTCGACTAGAATTTGGGTGCATCTCAAGAGCAGCGCCAGGTCGTCGTTCGGTATGACTCCCAGCCCGAGCAGATCCTGCTGGTAGTAGAGATGGTCTGTCGGGAAGCTGGAGAGACACTGATCGTACAGCTTCATCGCCAGGCTCTGCGGATCGTTCGATGCTTTGGCCCGCGAGGGGCCAGCAGACGAAGCCATGGTATGCCCGCTTCGTCAGTCTCCAATCTCCAAAGTGCGTTTCGGAGGGCCAAGTATCACCGGTGAGGTCTGGGATAGGAGCTCATCGCTAGGTGAAGACTGTTCGTAAGACTATCGAGCGAGTCTGGCCATCGAGTATGCGAGTAGCGACTTATCCCACCTGAAGGAGGTTTCGATATTTATTTAGATATGTGACTTTTTTGCAGGTTTGGAGAAGAATCTGAGCCTAGCGTCGCTTTTCGTAGTGGCGGTACTTGTGTCTTAGGGCAAATTTACTAGCAAAAGCGAAGTACCCCTCGCCCAGCCAGTCATGACGCTCTCTACAAAGAAGCTCGAAATTTCCAGAAGCTTTCCACCACCACGTCAATATCAACAGAAGACGCTGCTCTTCAGGACTTGTCTCTCCTTCCTCCGGACAACTGATTCTGAAGCTGCTTTGCTGTGTTTACTGTATAAGCTAGTGCTCTATCTCTCACTATGGCCGACGCTCTGAAAGCCGAGGGGAACAAGGCGTTTGCGGCCAAGGACTTTACCACAGCTGTGTGAGTAGTGCATGATAACTTCCCCCAGAGAGAGCGTGAGCTGATCGATTATGAGACAGTGAGAAGTTCTCTGCGGCAATCGAACTCGACCCAAGTAACCATGTCCTGTACTCGAACCGCTCGGGTGCCTATGCCTCGCTGAAGGACTTCGACAAAGCACTTGAGGATGCGAACAAGACGACAGAGCTGAAAGCTGACTGGCCCAAGGGCTGGGGTCGCAAGGGAGCTGCGTTGCACGGACAAGGAGATCTACGTGAGTGGCTACGATATGGCTAGATAGAGGTTTATATTCTAACTGTGTTTCCGTTTCAATAGTGGGTGCCCACGATGCGTATGAAGAGGCCCTGAAGCTCGACTCGAGCAATGCGCAGGCCAAGTCTGGGCTTGAATCCGTGAAGCGTGCGATCGATGCCGAAGCTAGAGCAGATGGCATCTCGGGAGACCCCTCTGGCGGGCTTGGAAACATGTTCCAGGACCCTCAGATGATACAGAAACTGGCCAACAACCCAAAGACGGCACCGCTGCTTGCGGACCCCGAATTCATGGCCAAACTGCAGCATCTGGCTAAGAACCCCAACTCCGTCGGCGAAGAGATGAGGGATCCCCGCTTCCTTCAGGTAATGGGTGTCCTGCTTGGTGTTGACATGTCATTTGGTGCCCCTCCAGAGGCCGCTGGCGCCGGTGGTCGAGCAACTGAGGTGGAAGAGGATGTGAACATGCCCGATGCCCGTCCCTCCACCCAGAAGGTGCGGGAACCCGAGCCAGAGCCTGAGCCAGAGGATGAGGAGACAATTGCTAAGAGGAAGGCCAAGGCCGAGGCTGACGAGGAGAAGAAGCTCGGTACAGAGAATTACAAGAAGAGGCAGTTTGATGCGGCTATTGAACATTATAGCAAGGCTTGGGAAATACATCACGACATCACTTACCTGACAAACCTCAGCGCTGCCCAGTTTGAGAAGGGAGACTACAAGGCCGCCATTGAGTCTTGCGAGAAGGCCATCACTGAAGGTCGTGAGATTCTAGCTGATTTCAAGATTATCGCAAAGTAAGTCGAACATGTCGGGAGGTTGGGACTTAAAAAGAACGAGCTATACTAACCATCGTCATTCAGGGCATTTGGACGAATCGGATCTTCATATGAGAAGCTAGGAGACTTGGCCACAGCTATCACCAACTACCAGAAATCACTCACGGAACACCGCACCCCAGAAATCCTCGCCAAACTCCGCGCCGCGGAGAAAGCAAAGATCAAGGCCGAGAAGGAAGCCTACCTGGATCCTGAGGAGGCCGAGAAGGCTCGCGAGCTCGGTAACAAGATGTTCAAAGAGGCAGACTGGCCTGCCGCTGTCGAGGCTTACACTGAAATGACCAAGCGTGCTCCAGACGACCACCGGGGCTTCAGCAACCGTGCAGCAGCTCTGATCAAGCTGATGGCATTCCCCCAGGCTGTCCAGGACTGCGACGAGGCGATCAAGCGAGACCCCAAGTTCATCCGTGCATACCTGAGAAAGGCGCAGGCCTTGTTTGCTATGAAAGAGTACAACAAATGTTTGGATGTATGCACTGAGGCAGCTAATCATGATGAGACCGGCGCCAACCAGCGCGAGATCGAGCAGCAGCAGCAGAAAGCTCTCGAGGCTCAATTCAGTGCTCGTGCCGGTGAGACTGAGGCTGAAACCGCCGAGCGAATCCAGCGAGACCCAGAGGTATGTTCCTGTTTCCACTTTCCCCCCCATCACGCTGCATGCATTAACCGTGTCTGTAGATTATGGCCATTGTCCAGGATCCTGTGATGCAGGCCATCCTCCAGCAAGCCCGTAACGACCCAGCAGCTCTACGCGAACACATGAAGAACGCGAATGTCCGTATGAAGATCCAGAAACTGATGGCCGCTGGAGTGATCAGGACAGGATGAGCGGGATAACGAATCCACGAATCCACGATTTTAAAAAAAGACAAAAAATTACTCCGTACTCCTTAATGAGCAAGCGTATATTTAAGTTGATTTTGAGTGGAGGCATTTGATGTCGGAAATTGTGATTCCGCAATGTAATGACGTTGATATCTGAAGATCGGAAGATCGTAGCGTATAGATTGGACTACCAGGTACCGCCAGCTATAGAGCCCTGTCTGTCTGAAACATGGAACCGTCACAATTCATTTTAAGATACCGCACCTTGTCAAGAGCTGTCGCTGTAAGAAAGACGTTGGTTATCAAAATATGGACGGGCTGACATGTTAATACTTGCATGAAGCTTGCCCGATTTGGTCATTGCTTTTTCTACCTCCGAAAGTCAGCCAAGGGTTGGCCGTGATGCATCTCGCGTATCGCAACATCTTCACTTGCCCGACGTGCAGACGGGAACGGAGCAGCAGTTGCGTAATAGAGGTCCAGGGCCGTGGGCTATCCATGCAGATTTCCCCATCCTGGTACATCTCCTTCCCGCAGTTTCGAATCTCTCCTCCGTACTCCGTATATACATATGTTGGTTTGATACGGAGTAAAGATGACAGCAAGGGCATTCACCAGCCACATCACCCTCAGGCCGCTAGAAAAAAACCTGCTCACGGCCCCTGGCGATGACCTCAATGCGCGAACGAGCATTACCACTTGGCAGGTGGAGTTATCCTGGCCTCTAACTTGAGTGAAAACCCGCGATGTGGCAAAACGCAGTGTTTGGGCCAGTGAGGGCGCTAGGAGTATCAACACGAAGGAGCGTGAGATCTTGCATCAGCCACGATATCTGCCGTCACGATCTTGATCTTCGTATAGAGCTCTTGCCGCGGCTGACCCCTTTTCCCGTCTCCCTTGCACACAGGTTAAAAAAAAAAAGAAGAGGAGAAGAAAAGTGGCTGGTGAGAGTGGAGGTTGTTGCGTGTCATCGTATCCGTGAACCAAGCTGCTTCCCTGCACTGCTAGCATCCGCTAAAGCACGATCTCGATGGAGATGGAGTTAATTAACGGAGCCCAGGATGCTGGTGAGTTGCCACCAGAAGCCACCAGGCAAGCCATTGAGCCGTGAGATCTCCCAGCAGGCCAATTGAGCGGCCGTGGAATGCGTAGCAAGTTGACTCCTCGCATCGAGATATCAACCCTTGTAGCTCCCTCCCTTCTGCCTCCCCCTCAGCTTGTACGGAGTAAGGCGTTTCTCAATTGCTTTGTGCGTCCTCTGTGCGTCCGTCCATAGCTAGCTTCTGTATTATCTCGAGGCCGGTTCCACTCGCGGCCAATTCGCTGGTGTGCTTGGTGATTCGTCGCCCGCCGCTGGGACAAGAGTTTTGGTTCAACTCTGCTCGTTTCTTTTTTCAGTTAATTATTTATCTTCACATCGCCAACTCACCCAGGACCCCCCTCAGAACTTAATTGCTTCTCTCTCTCTCTCCATTCCGTTTCTTCCTGTTCGGCACTCGTTCTGCTTGTCGTGTGCAGTGGAATGTTCTCTCGCGCGGTCGTCGTCGCTGTGTTTGTGTAGGACCAACCGACAAACCTCCAACATCAGAAACGAACGAAGACGCCCTTCCTCCTACCAGCTTGCGTCGCCTTTGCTTCTTCCCCCGCTCTCCGCACGGCGGATGACGCTCGATCTTGCGCCTGTTCACCACGTAATAACCGAGTAGAAGCTAGTGCTCGAAGCGACGGGGAGACGTCAATTGGTACAGTTTCTTACCCCCCTGTGCTGTATAGCGAGTCGTCGTCATGGCTACACAAGCGGAACAGCCAGCGACGGGCGCCGGTCCTTCGCCAGAGAGCGTCGAGAAGAAGCTGGTGGTAGAGAGCGAGAAGGCTGGAGTTCCTGCGTTTCAATTCGATCCAGACGCTTCGCCGGAGAAGAAGGCCGAGCAGGCAAAGATGGTACGCAAGTTCCCTATAATCAGGATATATAGCACCAGCACACTAACGAGCCGCAGGCGATACCCTCCACCCTCCAGAAGAATGGAACAAACGGAACAAATGGCACCAACGGGGCGAAGGCAGCTGCTGCTGCCGGTACCGTAAGTGAAAGAATTATTCATTGTCCAGTGCTCTTTGATGGCGTTTGTATAAGAAAGTGATGGACTGATCGTGGGCCTTCTATATTATAGGTTGCTACGAACGGTACCAAGAAACAAGAAATGGCACAACCGCCTGAAGCAGAGAATCCCGCGATGGACGTTAAAGAGCTTACCGAAGAAGAGAAATTCGCTCCAGGCCGAACTGGCTGGGGTCCTCGCTTTGCTGCTCCCGCTGCGGCGGAGGATGCTGGCGAAGAGCCTGGGGTACGGCCAACGCTTCTAGAGAGCAAGGTCGATGACAAGTTCTTTGGAGGTATGTATCCAGGGTGCTGTCGTGAACTGATATAAAACAGCCGATGCTAACGTTGATAGACTGGTACCACAACGCTGGAATCATAATATTCGCCTGTCTTGCCTCGTGGATTATCGCCCTGCTCGGTGGAGGCCTGGGCTGGGTGTTCCTGGTCATAGCCACCTGTGGTACATACTATCGTACCTCTATCCGCCGTGTTCGACGAAACTTCCGTGATGACATTACCCGAGAGCTGGCCAAGAACAAGCTCGAGACCGACTCCGAGACCCTCGAATGGATAAACAGCTTCCTGGCCAAGTTCTGGCCCATCTATGCGCCCAACCTCGCCCACTCCATCATCACCTCCGTGGACCAGGTGCTCAGTACCTCTACTCCGGCCTTCCTCGACAGCCTGCGCCTCAAGACCTTTACCCTAGGAAGCAAGCCACCGCGCCTCGAGCATGTCAAAACCTACCCCAAGACTGAGCCTGATATCGTCTTGATGGACTGGAAGTTCAGTTTCACTCCAGCCGATAAGATGGACATGACCGCTCGCCAGATCAAGGATAAGATTAACCCCAAAGTCGTGCTTGAAGTCCGTGTCGGTAAAGGTATTGTCAGCAAGGGTCTCGATGTAATCGTGGAAGACTTTGCCTTCTCCGGATTGATGAGAGTCAAGGTGAAACTGCAAATTCCCTTCCCACACGTGGAGCGCATTGATATCTCGTTCTTGGGTAAGCCAGAAATTGACTATGTTTGTAAACCACTTGGTGGTGAAACGCTCGGCTTTGACATCAACTTCATTCCTGGCCTGGAGACCTTCATCACAGAGCAGATCCACGGAAACTTGGCCCCCATGATGTACGATCCCAACGTGTTCCCAGTTGAGATTGCCAAAATGCTTGCAGGTAGCCCCGTTGACCAGGCCATTGGTGTCCTCGCTGTTACTATCCATGGCGCCAACAACCTCAAGAAGGCCGATCAATTCTCTGGTACTCCCGACCCTTACACGATGGTCTCGATCAACAACCGAACTGAATTGGCCAGAACCAAGACGGCTCACGATACTGCTAACCCCAAGTGGAACGAGACACTTTACATTATCATCACCTCCTTTACGGACGCGCTCACTCTACAGTTGCATGACTGGAACGAATTTCGAAAGGACGTTGAACTCGGTACTGCTACATTCCCATTGGAATCTCTTGAGACTCAAGATGTGCATGAAAACCTGAACATTGACATTATGCAAAACGGCCGTAACCGCGGTATTATGCAGGCAGACGTTCGCTTCTTCCCAGTCTTAACCTCTACTAAGACCGCTGCCGGAGCCATCGAGCCTCCACCGGAATTGAACACTGGTATTGCCAAATTCACCATTGAACAGGCAAAGGATCTTGACGGCAGCAAGTCTTTCATCGGACAACTCAACCCTTACGCCGTCCTACTCCTTAACAACAAGGAAATCCACATAACCAAGAAACTTAAGCGTACCAACAACCCCATCTTCCCCAACCCTTCAAAAGAATTCCTGGTCAGCGATCGTAAGACCGCCCGTCTAGGGATGATGATCAAGGATGACCGCGATCTTGCAGCCGACCCAATCCTCGGAAAGCAGCAGATGAAGCTAAACGATATGTTGAAACTTATGGAGAACGGCAAAGAATGGTTTGATCTTGCCGGTGCCAAAACTGGACGTGTTAAGATGAAGGTGGAATGGAAGCCCGTTGCCCTCAAGGGCATTGTTGGAAGCGGTGGCTACATCAACCCCATCGGTGTTATGAGACTTCACATCAAGAGCGCTAAAGACCTTCGAAACGTCGAGACCATGGGTAAATCTGATCCTTACCTCCGCGTCCTGAAGGCCGGTATGGAGACTAGACGTACGGTCACCTGGTTGAATAACTTGAACCCTGAGTGGGACGAGGTTCTCTACGTGCCTGTAAACTCCCCACGCGAGAAACTTATTCTTGAAGTCATGGATGATGAGTCCATTGGCAAGGATAGACCACTTGGTTTAGTCGAATTGGCTGCGTCGGATTGGATCAAGGAAGGAGAGAACGGAGAATACGAAGTCCACGATGAGAAGAGCGACTTGTCTACTCCCCTCAAATTAGATGGCCACAGTAACCAAAAGGGTGTACTACACTACACCGTTGCTTTCTACCCAACCCTAAACGTCATCGACCCCGAGGAGGAGGCCGAAGAGCTCGAAGCCCAAAAGGAGATGGCAGCAGCTGAAGAAAACGGCAACAAGACCACCGAGACCGAGAAGGCTGAGGCCAACGCTACTCCCAACGGCAGCCCAAGACTTGACGCAGACAAGGCAGGAGATCTAACCAATGGTGAAGCTGGCGAGAAGGCTGAGAAGGAAGTACCAAAGATTCGCCTTACACCTCAAGATGTGCACAATTATGGTATGTTTTTGTCTCTACGCTATAAAAGTAACCAATTGCTAACAGCTAGTAGAATCTGGTTTGATTGTTTTCAAGCTGGAGGAGGGAGACTTCTCAACCACGGGTACCCAGCTCGAGGTTCTGATGGATGACAACCTGTACCCAACATATACCTCTCCCAAGGTGCAATCTAAGCATATGGTGTTTGGTGACGGTAAGATAGAATATGCGTTGTACCATTTGTTTCGATCATTGCTGATAAAGATGTATAGTTGGCGATGCCTTCGTGCCTGAGATGGAGTTCTCCAAGATCACTTTGCGTCTGGTTGATAAATCTGACCGTCCAGGTGACGAAAATGAGGATCGCTCGATTGCCAAACTTTCTGGCCCAACTCTAGCCACTCTCCAACAGTGCTTGGTATGTTGAATATTCAAATTCCTCTAGTCCTGGAGACCCAATTGACTAACGATATACTAGTACAAACCCACTGAGCTCATCCTCCGAGGAGCTGATGGAATCAATAGCAAGGTTACCGTTAGCTTGAAGTACCTTCCCGTAAAGATGAAGCTTGATCCCTCTGAAAGTATCAACAACATGGGTACCCTTCGAGTGGACGTCCTAGATGCTGCAGACCTGCCTTCAGCGGACAGAAATGGATACAGCGATCCATACTGCAAGTTCAAGCTTGGTGGCAAGGACGTTTTCAAGACCAAGGTGCAGAAGAAGACCTTACACCCTGCTTGGAACGAGTTCTTTGAAACTCCTGTAAAGTCCAGAATTGCTGCCGACTTCAAGGCCGACGTCTACGACTGGGATTTCGGTGACAAAGCAGACTACTTGGGCGGAGCTGCCATCGACCTCACACAACTACAGCCATTCCAAGCCCAGGAAGTCAGCCTTCCTCTTGACGGCAAGTCTGGAGCAATTCGATTGAAGCTTCTCTTCAAGCCAGCCTACATCACTCGATCTCGACAGGGCTCATCCACATTCTCCGGAACCTTTGCTACACCAGGAAAGATTGTAGGCGCCCCAGTCAAGGGAGTTACCATGCTTGGAGGTGGAGTGATCAAGGGAGCCTCTTTCTTGAAACATGGCTTCAAGCGATCCAGCCGCGCTCATGGTGAGGGAGAGGCCGAACCAGAAGCTGCCAGCAACGGCGGCCACGGCCACACACCCAGTGTCGAAGTTTCGGCGGCGCCAGCCACCCCACAGCGCTCTTCAGCACTTGCGGACTCCCCATCGGGATCCCCCGTCATCTCGCACGCTAGATCGCGAAGCAGCGCATCTCAGGCCGGTCTCGGCGTCTCCAGTATCAAGGGAGACACCGGAACAGCCACCATCACCATTGTCTCTACAACTGGCTACCCGCGCTCAACCAATGTTCGAGTAGTGGTCAAGCAACAGACCAGCAAGGGCATGAAAGAAATCCATAAATCCAAGGCCCACAAGGCACCTCACACCTCCGGATCATCGTCGCCCGAAGGCCAGTCCGAGGCCATCGTCCAGTTCGACCCCGGCCACGAAACCATCAAGATCAACTCCGTCACTGCCGACGCCCAGTTCCAGCTTCAAGTCAAAGACCACGCTGTGTTCGGATCCGACGACATTCTAGGAGAAGCCCTCTTCTTCCTTGACGACCAAGGCTCCAACGCCGGAAGAGAACGCAACGTGAAAGTCGGAAACGGCTACGTCACTATCAAGACTGTCTTCATGTCCTCGGAAACCTCGTCCCTGAGACCAGGTACTTCCCACTCCACTGTCCCAACAGAAGATAGTACCGCTGACTCCCCAAAGCCTCGTAGGAGTTTTCTATCCAAACGAAGCGTCAGCGGCGTCGGCAGCTCATAATGGACAGGAACCCATAGTATAGTATCTATTCATCATGATACCTTTTTTTCGGCCATTCCCCCTCCCCGATTTAACTCCACTGTTAACTCTTGTTTGCACTACTCTTCTTACCTACCCTCCTGTACCGCTTCCGCTTCAACCTTAGTATGACTGCATTTGATTTCGTTTCATTCAATTCTATAGCGATTTCCCCATGTTTCCTCATATTTCCTCTTCTCGGATCGAAATAATTTGGAAAAGGCCGTTGGTCCATGTATGGATCATGAACCTCCTGTAAATCTTTGGACTAATATTTAATTATTTATTATTCCACTTTACCACGACATTTGTCTATCAATAACAAATATTCCGACTTCTACAATCCAGAGGCCGTAGTAATCGTTAGACCATTACACTAAGATGCAGGCGTAGATAGTAGGCCACAAATCTTTTGCTTCGTGGCCTCGTTTTATCAGGTTTTGCGTGCATACTTAGTGTGCATGAACTGGTAGCACTGCATGAGATATCGTATTAGGTGTACATCACCAGGTAGTTGGTTGACTGTAGGCACAGATCCAGCCATTATCCAATATCGTATCCAATATCTTACTAGATTCATATATATATATCCAGAAATTATGACCAAGAGACTTTAAACAAGCGACTTTAAACAAGCGACTGGGCAATACCCTCTGCGTCGATAGGGGCATCAAGCAGATGTGCCTGCTCGCCTTCTTTCTTCTCACCCGCTTCCTCTTTCTCGTTCTTGTCTCGCCATCGATCTCTCTCCGGTGGCTTGCGAGAATCACCTCTCGCCTTCTTCATGTGCAGACGGTTGCCATAGATTGCACTGACGCCATTGAGCACGGTTAGCGCCCTGTTGGCTTCCTCAGCGGACTCTAGGTCGACGAAGAGGTAGTAATACTGGGCTCCCGAGAGTGGAAGTTTGTCCCGATTAGCTATTATGACTTTACTTATTGCCTCGCTTGAAGAAATTAGCATAGTACATGTATAGATGCAAGGGAATGCTTACATGTTAAACCCGTAGAAGACCTTGCGTATCTCGTAGTCGACCGTGGGCTGGTTGCGCATTCTAGGCAGGCCACCGACGAACAGACGCCGTCCCTCTGCCGCATAGCCGTACCAATGGTCCGAAGCATCGTTCCTGGTCCATCGTTCAAAAGCAAACTTCTGAGGTTGTTGCGAGTCTGGTGCAGAAGCACTAGCTACGTCTGGGTCCCGTCTACCAAGCGGAGGATGCGGGTCTGATTTAGGCACGCCCGGGTTGATCTTTACGGGACGACCAAGCATGAGTTTATTATTTAGTTCTGCCATCGCACGCTGTGCCTGCTCCGCTGTCTCAAGGTCAACGAAGCAGTAAGACGGGTTCCGCCCCGTGAAGGGGTCAATAGAGATATCAATACGTTCTCTTCAAAACAAGAGTCAACCACGGCGGGGGTGCTAGAATTAGGAACTGATACAGAGTATGAAGAGGAGAGAGAAAGATTCGGGGGCGTACATCTTATACGGGCTGGTCGACTCCTGCTGAGGGTCCTGCATCAGGTCTCTGGCACTCTCGAAGAGCTCAGCTACATCCTTTTTCTTCGCCATGTACGGCATATTTCCAACGTAGAGCCGTCTCCCCTCGACAATAGCCGGGTGAACAGGACTAGCAGCAGTCGTAGTTGCTGTAGGGGGTGATTCATGGTATCGAGAGCCAGGCGCCTTTGCACCGCGAGTTGGAGGCGAGTCCCAGCCCTGAAACCCCCGGATGTTCCCCTGCGAGGCATTCCCAGTCCCGTTCCATCTTGACGCCCGCTCGACGGGCTTCGACTCGAGCCGTGGAGGAGCGTCTCCCGCAGCGGACGAGGGTCCCCTCAGCCGCCAGTTCGAGTTCTCTGACCGCCGCGCTGGCCGAGCGGCTTCGCTGTCTTCCTGTACGTGCGCCATAGCGCGGCTGCTACGGGGCCGTTAGCACATCCAAATTGCTTAAACGTCGGGATCAACCTACCTGGTCTCGTTCGTCTTCGCCTTCGTGGCTGCGCGGGAGTTCGATGCTGAAGCGCTGGAAAAGTAAGATGCGCCAAGCCGTCTGCTCGCATCTATACCATCCTATCCTATCTATACCATTACTCCGTATACACCGTACTTTGATGTAAGACGAGTCTCCAGCGGTGATCAGGGGGCATGATAGAACGCGCAACCACCTCACGTTCTGGGTCCAGGGGCGCAGATTTGCCCGTGGCGTCTTGCTGGCTGATGATGTGGGGGATGCAGCGACGAGCAGCTTGCCACCGCGGGTCGGCCAGCAGGATGTATGCGTCTTGGAGCAGGGGAGAGCGTATTAATAGACCAGATAGTCGACGGGCGATATATAAATAGGAGAGACAGCGCGAAAAGGAGAAATCCACATGTGGTGAAATGAGCAGCCCCTGACCTACGTAATATAAGACCACTTCAACACAACATCTTCACTTCACCTCTCTCAACACACTCTCTCTCTGCCAGCATCACTCTCTCAGAGCTTCTGTGAGTACCTACGTTGTGTAATTCTGCGTTGCCCTGATAGCACCGGCCTTGGTTGTTATGTCATACTGAGCTTCCAAACCTGCCCTGAACCCTGAACCACGGCCATTGCCATTGCCATTGCATTGCCATTGACCTTCCTTTTGTTGTGCATCGGCTGACCAGCGTCATCGTCTCGTCTCTAGGCATATAACTGTGGCTGCTTGCCCGCAATTGACTGTCTGACGGCTCAGCTCTACGACAGACCAACCCTCGACCTCGACCATGGCCAGTGGCAAGGCATTTCCCACCCATCTCCGGGCCCCAGGGGCGGAAGGGCGCGATGAACCGCATAGTCGACATCATATCAAGTCGCAGTCCAACATGGTGAGTGCTTGATCTCTTGCTCTGCTGATTTCTGGTCCGTTGGGATGGCTGGTTGTGGTGCTGGCGTGTTTACCCACAGCTCCAGCGGCCGGTCTCAGACTGCATTTATACCTATCTCTTCTATCTGTCTATATCTATTTATTTCTAGCTATATCTCTATGTCTAACATCTGGTACAGGCTTTCGAGAGTGCCTCGACGAACGTCGCGGCTGCACAGATGCGTAACGCCCTCAACGCCCTCAGTGACACCGTAAAGGACCCCGCCGAGAAGAAACGATGCGAAGCCGAGATGGACAACTTCTTCTCCCTCTTCCGCAGATATCTAAACGACAAGGCCAAGGGAAACGTCCTCTCGTGGGACCGCATTGCCCCTCCACAGCCCAACCAGGTGGTCGAATACGACGACCTAGGCAACTCTGCGTCGGTGGAATACCTCAAGAAGCTCGCTGTCGTCAAGCTCAACGGTGGTCTGGGTACCTCTATGGGATGTGTCGGCCCCAAGTCCGTCATCGAGGTCCGCGAGGGCATGTCCTTCTTGGACTTGTCCGTGAGACAGATCGAGTACCTCAACCGCACCTACAACGTCAGCGTGCCCCTGGTTCTCATGAACTCCTTCAACACCGACGACGACACCCAGTCCATCATCAAGAAGTATGAAGGCCACAACATCGACATCATTACCTTCAACCAGTCCAGATACCCACGTATCCTCAGGGACTCCCTCCTCCCTGCCCCCAAGAGCTACGACTCTGCCATCACCGACTGGTACCCCCCCGGCCACGGTGACGTTTTCGAGTCTCTCATGAACTCCGGAACCCTCGACAAGCTTCTCGAGCGTGGTGTCGAGATCATCTTCCTCTCCAACGCTGACAACTTGGGTGCCGTTGTCGACATGCGCATCTTGGAGCACATGGTCAAGAAGGACGCCGAGTATATCATGGAATTGACCAACAAGACCAAAGCTGACGTCAAGGGTGGTACCATCATCGACTACGAGGGCAAGGCCCGCCTGCTTGAAATTGCCCAGGTGCCCAAGGAGCACGTCAACGAGTTCAAATCCATCAAGAAGTTCAAATACTTCAACACCAACAACATCTGGATGAACCTCCGTGCCGTCAAGCGTGTTGTCGAAGAAGGCGGTCTCCAGATGGAGATCATCCCCAACGACAAGACCATCCCTGCCGACAAGAAGGGCGAGGCAGACATCTCTATCATCCAGCTTGAAACCGCTGTCGGTGCTGCTATCCGCCACTTCAAGAACGCTCACGGTGTCAACGTTCCTCGTCGCCGTTTCTTGCCCGTCAAGACTTGCTCTGACCTGATGCTCGTCAAGTCTGACCTGTACACGCTCAAGCACGGCCAGCTCGTCATCGACCCTAACCGTTTCGGAGACGCTCCTCTCATCAAGCTGGGAACTGACTTCAAGAAGGTCTCCGACTTCATGAACCACATCCCAAGCATCCCTCGCATCTTGGAGCTAGACCACCTCACCATCAGTGGAGCAGTCAACCTTGGCCGCGGCGTCACTCTCAAGGGAACCGTCATCATCGTTGCCACCGAAGGTAGCACCATCGACATCCCTCCAGGCTCCATCCTCGAGAACGTCGTTGTCCAGGGTAGTCTTCGCATCCTGGAGCATTAGAGTGGGCTTTACATCACTCATCTCCAGCCTACCATGCTACCATGGTCCGTCCTGGCTGCCTATTTCCTATATCTGCGAGTCTATTAAAACAAAATGTTGCTGTTGGCGTTGTTTTGAGCGTCCCTAATCCAAATGCATGCGTACTATTTCTTTCCTCCCCCCGTCTTTCCTTTCCTCACAGGACTAAAACGAACGGTTTCATTATCTCCTCTTTCTATACGTGAGGGACCAAAAAACCATGGACTGGACATATCATATTACACATTACAAGCTCTTTTAATCCTTAGCTGATCCGTTTCTCACTCACTACCAAATGCCCCATGTCGCGAGCCGATGCTTATAATTGCCTGTACCTACTGAACTACTGAAGGAGAGTATGCAATTCACATCTCTTAGTTCATAATTTCTTCTCCTGACTCTCATTACTGGTTGCCATATCAACATAGAGTTTAATAGGAAGAAGTTAGGTTCGCTTTATAAAATATTGCTTGCATTGGAGATCGAATAACGCTTGAAGACTCCGGAAGAGTTGCGATTTTGTATGCTGGAGTAAATGAAAGAAACAAGGAAAGAAAACAAAACCCTAACCCGAATATACATATTGAAGAATAGGCCGTTAGATATCATATCTCATAATCATAACCGTCACGGCTTCACCTCCGATGGGAGGAGCGTGACCGTGGTGGCATGGTGCCGACATAAGCAGGGTACTGCCCATCACCACTACCACTATTCTTATCCCTCCTCCTCTTATCCTTGCTCCCATGTCGCAAGCCGTTCTTCAAAGTAGCCTCCAATTTCGCAGCATACTTCGCTCGTCTGCTACTTTCACGCGGTACCCCAGAAGTTGTCATTGGCGGTATGGGCCCGGAATCCGGAGCCATCGGGGCAGGAGGTGCAGCATATGGTTGGGGTACGGCAGGAGAATAATCGTCATCCGACATCACTTCGATGCTGCTATCGCTTTCACTCCATGTTTCGTCCTCGCCCCGACGAGGTCCGCGAGATCTAGAGCGTTCTCTGGAAGCTCGAGCAGGATGGATTTGATCGTCTATATGGCGGTAGTCCTGGTAATAGTGGTGATGGCGGCGGGACGGGGAGCCTCGAGAGTGAGAGCGTGGACGGATTTCTACACCCTTACTCCCCTTTCCTTTCTTTGGCCTTGATTCTTTCAGTGAATGGTGACGATGTGGGCGAGATCGAGGTTCCAGATGTATCATTGGTTCACCGTACATCTCTGCTGTGGGGGGTATGGGGGGAGAACTGAGTGGATTTTCTCCATCTATCGGGGACAGATGAGATCTCTCTACGTGTGCGCTAGCCCTTGATCCTCGTCGTGGAGTTGATGGAGAGTGTTGTAGATGTATCACTCCATCGTCGTCGAAGATGTCGACATATCTAGGATGGAAAGGATGGCTGTTCCGTTTAGGCGTAGGAAATGCTGCTGAGGCATCATCTTCGTAATTCGGCCTGATCTCAGGGATGTTCTTTGACGGAGGATATGAGTAGTAGACCTCCGGCTCATCTTCTCTATGTCGCCGTCTTGGTGATTCGCTCGCAGATTGAAATGGATGTTGCCGCTGGCGATGCAATGACTCATGGGAATGATGTCTGACATGGGAAGATCGTGAAGGATAAGCGTTTTCATGACTTGGATGTTCCTGGCTGCGTCGTCGTTCGCTTCTTCGAGAGTGAGGGGTGGAACGATTATGTTCGACAATAATGACCTCTTCTTCATCGCCTGATGGTTCAGGATGGGGCCACGATCGTCTGTATGCCGTTGGTGGGCTCGAATGGCCACGATAATGATTCGATGATTTCGAGCGAGGAATACCTCCATCAGGGCGAGCATGGCCTGCGGATTTTGGCCCTGTATTACCGGCATAGGTGGCCGCTTCGGCATGTCGTAGAGGATGAGGAATCCGTCCATACGGCTCTCGAGAATTGGGTCTCGATGAAGACGTTGGGTGTGACTTTCTATTCGTAGAAGAATAGTGGTGATTTTGACCAAAGTAATCGCCTTCGTCGTCTTTGGATTTTGACTGGCGACTTCGTGCCTGGAAGTTCGTCGATGCAGACGGCTGTGGGCTATGCGAAGACCTTGCATTAGGCGTTGCCTCGGCAGATTCTAATTCTAGACGATTGCTGACGGTTTCATGCCACTTCACCATGTCTGGATCTGGGTGTGCGGGAAAGGCAGAAGCTGGGATACTCTTGGGGAGCAAGTATCCCTCATGGGCGTCAACTATGTCAAACATTTCAACTGCCCTCTGAAGAAAGGTAGCATGTTCCTCGGGACATAGCAAGAGCTGGATTGTCTGCCAGCGAATGAACCCATGTGGAAGTAGGGCGGGAATAGATGGCGGTTCAAAGGCACTCTTTGTCGGCTGAAGGGTATGGAAACAGCCCAGCGATTGATAGATGAACGAAAGAGAAGGGCTGGGGGTATTTAAAAACAAGCTATCGTAGTTACCCCCAACTGCACGATAAAAGGCAGCTAATTTCTCGGGCGTGAGCTCCTTTGTAGAAGACGAAGGATCAAGATCAGACTAGTGCACTATTAGCAGACTTTCTTCAACAGGAAGAAGTACGGTCAGTATATCAGAAATAGAACGGGTATAATTACGATAACTCCTGCAAGCCCTAGACATAGCTGTTCGAGCCTTGGGGATGGGCTCTTGTCTGCTTGTATAAGATAGCCCCATTCGAAGTCGCTTGCGGGCTGCTGTGATCCCATCTTGTTGTATTCTATAAGGGCAACCATTGATGTTTTTTTAACCAACAGGTCCTGGTTTATCTTGGGTATTTTTACCACGACTCGACACTCTCTTCAAGCGAGGGGCGGATTGGACTTTAAAAGCAATAAAGTGAGGCGCAATCCAACTGTGATGCAGGGATTGGGTGCGGGCGCATGGTTGCCTAGGCAGTGGCCTAGGCTACAAGGCAGCAAGCGAGAGGCAGAACTGTGCAGAAGAGAGAGAGAGGAGACGGATGAGATGGTCGAGAGTGAAAGATGAAAAAAGTGAGGATGGGAAGTGATATGGAAGATATATGTCGTGATGTGGTGTTGTTGCCCAACGGACAGATATCCGAGTAGATCTGAAACCCGAACGGCGGTTATTAGTCGCCCATGTATAACGTCTTCTGGATGTTCTATATTAAGCCAGGTGGAAGGCCATCGACGAGGGGAACGGCCCTATTATATGATATCTGTCTGCTGTCAGCGCTTGCGTGGCTGTATCATGTCGTCAGGCCTTCATTCTCGTCGCTTCTCGCTTCATCATACGATGCATACGATGTTCACCCTTCCCCCACATCGGGTCACGAGTGCGCGGCCAGGATCGCGTAGGCAGACTTCGCGAGGACGAGGAATAAGAAATATTAATACATGTTTATATCGTCGACGAGGTAGCTTCCTATATTCCCCGGAAGTTTACGTAGAATCCAGCGGCGGACGGCTTCATCCACGGGAAATCCAACAGGTACCCAAACTCTGCTGTGCTCGTCTCCGATCTATGACGTAGAGCCCGCTGGATTCAGGATTCGTTCAGCCTTATGTGCCTATCCGGCTTGTGGAATCTTTGATGATGGTCTAGTTTCGAGAGATGGAAGCCGTGCGACGCAATAATATACTGCATTAGAAGTGCGTATACCTAATATACACTATCTTCACAGGACTGGATTTCCTGTGACATGATCGATTATTATTTCATAAAGCACCCAACGCCTTGCTTAAATCAGCAAATCATATCCCTCCCTGGCACGTAATCCCTGCCTCCATCCAGGCTGCCTCAGGCGGTCTACCACCAAGGCAGCCCGGGAGAGGTATCTCTAAGGTCAAGCACATAGTAACTAGAGCGTTCAGCAGCTAGCATGCAAGCTTAAAACCTCTTCCGCGTTGGCTCTGGGCTTGGACTGCGCGTCACGCTCCGCTCATCTCGACCTCTCTGTCTCAGCCACTTCTTCGTCGAAAGGTCCAATTCCCGATCCAACTCGTCGCTGGGTTCCTTGCGGTGAATGAAATTGCAGAATCCGCCTCGAACACATCCTTCGCCGCTGTTAAGTCGGCAGCATGCTTCCCTAAAATCGGTGACCGGAGAGAGTTCGCAGTAAATCGGCCGGGCGGCGTACCAGCGGGAGTTCAGCGCATCGCAGGCTTTTTGCGCAGAGTCTTCGTATTTGAATCTCGCATATACGTTTCCAATTAAATCTGTAATAGTGATGGTTAGTGATTTTATTGCTTTTGACAGGTCAAGGGCTGCGATAACTTCGCGATGAACAGGTATGGGACTTTAAAACGTACGATCATTATTATTCTCGCATACCACCACCTCTTCGATCTCGCCATACTTGCACATCTCACACCAAAAGTCCTCGTAGAAGGCATCGAAATGGTTCTGAAGCTGGCTGGGGTTCATTTTATTCTTGGGGTCATATTGCGGGTTCTGGTAGAGGTTGGGTAATAGGATAGTCTGCGAGTATGATGGCTTGACGTGTTTTCGCGAGCAGCGGTCACCGTGGCGACAGGCACCGATTTTGTAGTAGAACGAGCAGTTCACCTGAGTGCAAGACGAGATGTTAGCCTGGAGAAAGCTCGATATCGCGAAGGGGCGGAGCTTACCTTATCTTGCTCAGTCCCGAAGATGGAGGCGAGGTAGTTGGCCATTTTGATTGTTTGTGCAGCTGAAGAATAGATTGACAATAACTCGGAAACAGATCGGTCTCAGGAACCAGCAGTTGTCTTCGGGTTGACGGAAGATCGCGAGCTTGAAGCGTCGAAAAGTGTCGAAAGCGTCGAAAGTCGAGTGGCGAGAGGGTCACGTGGTATGTCGGAATAACATATTCCCGGACATACCTGTGTATACAGAGAAGATATCACTATATATGGATGATATATGGATGATAGGAGTTGATGGAAGTGGGAGGCTTGAGGATAAGATGGTTATATTGGAGGGTTTGTTTGCATTAGGTACTTACGGTACATTCTATCTCTCGATATAAGGAATCTTATCTTGTATGAGAATAGTCGACAGGACTAAAGGGGTTTAGAGTGAATAAGGATGTTATTGAATAATTTTCTTTTACAATTAACTTGATTTAAAGGCTTTATAAGATGCGTGAAAGAAATACTGCATAATAACTGTCCAGCTTACCCTTTGCGGTATATAGTATTAGTGAAGTAAGGTGTAAGTTTTTGTATACCTCAAGGCAGTCACTTACAGCATCACTTTAGAACAACACATTTACTTTGTGCCCCAAATCTAGTGAAGAAAGTAAGAAGGAGGTGAGGAAATAGTAATTATATGCCTGATTTAAAAGGACATAAGCGAGGAAATTTTCAGTCTTAACCACCTTCTCTAACCTCCTTCTCAACCTGTCCTTTATTAGACGCGTCCCTTTTCTCAGCAAGCCAGCTTAACAATTGATTCTTCTCTTACCATCAAGCCGCTTCTTCCGACTAAAGTAACTTATATCGGTAAGGCGATTTTCTTATTGAGATTCCTCATTGTGTTAAGGCTTTTATCCTGGATAGATATTGCTCAGGGCCACTTCTATATGAAGTGTCTCTTATCATTAAGGCCTTCTTCTTCTTGTTGAGAATTGCCTTGGATTAAGGACTTTTCTTGACATCACTTCCCTTATTGACAAGGTCCTTTGTTGAGATCCCCCCTAAAAGTCAAGAATACTTAAGCTTCAAAATATTCTTCAGTTAGACCCTTCCATCTAAGGTCCTAGAAGTCGACAGGTGAAAAGAACGCATATATATACCATTTCAGCCTCATCAGATAGAATGGAACCGGCACCGGAATACCAGCACCCGGAGCTGATGGCAACCCCTTGTGGGAATCTCGCGATCACCAATGGGACAGGGAAATATAGCGCCATCTACCCGCCAAAGGCTCTATATTTACGCATCTTAGGCGAGCTAAATAAAAAACTCAAGCCAATCTACCCACAGGGTAATGGCAGGTCCTTCATTATAAAAGGGAACGTCTACTACCTGTTTGGCACCACGGTCTGGCGAGATTCAAAAGGCGAGATTGCAGGCGAAGCTGCAAATTCAGTCACACTAGCCACAGATCCGAAAGTGAACCCTATCGCGAACATTGCTTTTCCAGCAAATAAACGCATGAAGCCTCTTGTTCCCCTCACTGAGAGCGAGGAGAAGCTCGAGAAAGAGCATACTAGTAAGGTTATTCTGGAAATGCCTGGAGGCCTCTGGAAACCTCAGTCAGGTGCCGTTGGGGGGTATATCTGGTTCCAGAAATACGTTCAAACTTGCTCTCCACAAGGCAACTTCAAACGTACACTTCATGGCGTGGGTATAGCAACTGTAGTGTGGAACAGGCAGACAGGCGAGATGACGGCCGAGCGTATCATGAATGATACCATGCTCTTCGAAGCGAACGAGCCAGCATTTGGTGCGTTCTGCTCAATCCTAGATGAGCACTATTTCTATACTTGGGGGAAGCTAGGCGAGGATACCTATTTGGCCCGTGTTGAGAAGTGGGAACCAGATAACCGAGACGCATATGAGTATTGGAACGGCCATGAGTTCACAAAGGATATGACCACTCTCGCGCCTGTGTTCAGTGGCTATACATCAGGAACAGTCATGCGGACTAAGATGTTTGGTCATCTATATAACTGGGTATTCATTGGAGGGACAGAGACGAACAGACCTGTTGTCACTATTGGTGTTGCTCGTAATATCCACGGTCCGTATATGATGTCTGAACTGATCCAACCTGAGCAAATACACCCTGCTTTTCGACATGTTCACTCCGTGTATGCGCATCAATGGGCCTACCAGGAGAAATATGGCCAGCTCCTTATAAGCTGGAATGAAACCGATAATGAAAATGTCATGGGGGTAAAGGTCCAGCTTGCGATGCGTAAGATGCTCTTCCATCTGCGAGTGAAGGTTTATAAGGCTAACATTCTTCAAGGTCATCAGTGCGCCTTCTGGAAAGACATCTCTTTCAAGTATATGCCATGTGAGTGAGCCCACACCCAGTTAATAGACATCAAGTGCCTCATTGTTGATGTCTCCGCAGCTGTCGTATCTGCTCTAATTATCGGACGTGCGGATTTTATAAAGACCTTCGCCCAGGCCAAGACTGCTAATTGTAGGTGTTCTTCCAGCAATCGTACGGCAGCCAAAATGCGAGAGCTAATAATGTGCATCGAATATAGGTGATGTTGAGCATGATGAAGACGGCAAAACTATCATCAAGGTCTTTGCAAGCGAAGAGGGGGCCGCCGATGCAGCAGTGGACGCGATCTGCAATTTGATCTGCGGCTGGTGCGACGAGTTGCTGGAGGAGGGGAGGGTGGCTAGGATGGAGGAGAGAGGGCTGTCGCTGAAGAAGATACTCAGGCTGCGCTTCTAGAGTGTTAGCAGTCAACTGTTGATCGAGCGGCGTCTCTGCATCGTCTTTACATCTTACATCGTCTCGCATCGTCTCTGCATTCGGCTTTCATGTCAACATCTTCAATGACGTAGCCTCACGTGGTCTTTGATGATCTTCCCCAGTATTTGCTCCTAGACTCATACACACATCTATACCACCTGTACTCCGTAGAGTACTCCGTAACTGTAGAGTAACTGTAGAGTAGAGTAAGTGTAGTAGATAGAGAGTTGTGCCGAAACCTTTCATCTCGGCGTTCTGGTCCGGCTACGCGGGTTCCTGACGCCGAGCCCGCCCACCATAAATTAGCCGGGAAGCTCACCTTTCTCCGCATTCCTCACCTCCTCCCTTGCATCAACATCAACCTCGTCTGCAGCCATCATCCAGCCACACCACTGCATGCCACAACCCAGCCAAGATGCTTCCCCCGTTCGACTACTTCGAGTATCGTAGTGCTCGGTAAGCTATACCCTGCAATCCTGTCCTAGATATACTCGTATACTCCCGTACTAAGTAGTACACAGCAACTTCAAGCGCAACCAAAGATCCCAACGCTTTGCTTCTCTACCATCCGTCTACCATGCTCCGTTCTCAGCGTTCGACCAGTCGGTGATCGATAAGCCGATCGAAGAGCTCGTCCAAGATGTCCACAAAGGTGCCCTCGCTCCCGTTGACGTGCTGCGTACCTACGGGAAGATCGCCATCAAGGCACAGGAACGATGCAATTGCATAACGGAATTGTTGATTCCACAGGCTGAGGAATGGGCAAAGTCGGGTATCAATATCCAGGGACCCTTGGCTGGTATCCCCGTCTCGTTGAAGGATTCCATTCAGGTTGGTGGTTTCGATACCTCGGTAGGATACACGAGATATACTCGCCAGCCGGCCGCAAAGGACGGTGCCCTTGTTAGACTGTTGAAGGACGCAGGTATGATCACTTATTCCATGTGATGATATGTATGACATCTAACTGTTGTGTAGGTGCTATTCCATATGCTAAAACTGCTCTACCGATTACATTGCTCTCCTTCGAGTCGACTAATGACCTCTGGGGTGTTTGCCGTAACCCCCACTCCCCAGACTACACCCCCGGAGGCTCCTCTGGAGGTGAAGCTTCCCTCTTGGCCATGGGTGGCCGTATCGGTGTTGGTTCTGATGTTGCTGGTTCCGTCCGTCTTCCAGCTGCATGGAGTGGCTGTTACTCCATCCGCTGCAGTACGGGACGATGGCCAAAGGCTGGTGTCAGCACCAGTATGGCCGGACAAGAAGGCGTTCCCAGTGTTTTCAGCCCTATGGCAAGAACACTCAACGATCTGACCTACTTTGCTCGTTCTATCATCGGAATGGAGCCATGGAAGTATGACACCACCGTCCACCCCATTAGCTGGAGAAGCAAGGAGGAAGAAGAGGCCAAGACGAAGAAGCTCCGAATTGGTGTTATGAGGTCTGACGGTTAGTTTCTCCCACTTTTTAACTTTCAATTTACATTGTAATAACATGTAATCATCAGGCGTCGTTCCCCCAACTCCTGCAATTGCCCGTGGCCTGAACACAGCCATTGCCGCTTTGACGGCTGCTGGACACACTTTAGTCGAAGTTAAGGAGCCACCAACTGCTACCTCGCTAATGGGTCTCAACCTTGCTTCTCTTCTACTCAATGCTGATGGTTGTGAGACCTTCAACTCCCACCTACAAACCGGTGAATCCTCTGATCCTGGTGCGGTTCACCTAACCACCTTCTCCTGGTTCTCCTGGCCATTCCGCTACGCCTACTACCTATTCGTCCGCTACATCAAGCGTGATGCAACCTGGGCCTACCTCCTCCGTGATTTTGGCCTCAAGACCGCCACCGAACAATGGAAACTTGTCGCCCAACGTGAAACATTCCGCGCCACATGGCACGACTGGTGGAACGCCAAGGAACAAAACTTCGACTTCATTCTCTGCCCTGTTAACGCCACTCCTGCTCTACCACACGGTGCTATGACTGATGCTATCAGCTCTTGCGGTTACACTTTCTTCTGGAACATGCTCGACTACTCTGCTGGTGTTATTCCAGTGGGCCACGTGGATTCTAAGAAGGATGCTCTTGTCGGCCCTGATGGAAAGAAGGGTAAGAATGTGTATAAGCGTGTCTTGAAGAACTTGGGTGTCGACAGTGCTGTTTCTCGAGGTGCTTGGAAATACTACGATGCTGATGCTATGCACGGCCTACCCACTGCTATCCAGGTTGTTGGACGAAGATGGCATGAGGAGAAGGTCATCGGATGCATGCATGCCGTCGAGAAGGCATTGGAAGAGTACAAGGGCCCTGGCGGAGAGGGTGGAAAGTACCAGCTTATGCAGATTGACTAAGCAATATGCATTGCTTTATCCCGATTACTTCGATTACTTTCATATAACAGCTAGCGATCGTTGTGCTATAGTCAATCATTTCTTGATCATTTCCTTATCTTTGTATCTACGTCTGCATCGGATAGCAAGCCGATCTATGGAGTTGTATATATTAAATCGATTGAAACATTCTATTCGTGACAGGTATTATACAGGCAGGCGTGAATCACCACTATGCATCATGGGAAATGGCTCCATATGATAAGGATCGATTCAATCTATCAAAGGAACGAAGAAGCGGGTCGGTTTGCCATGCATCACGTTCATCCTCAGCAGAAAATTCATCTTCTGCAGTAAACTCACCTTCAGTGGAAGCTTGTAAATTCTCCACCGTCCTGACATCGCATCTTGATTCCATATCTATTTCCGAAGGGAGAATAGAATAGGCATAAGCCGCTGACTTGTGCCATACAAACAGGGTGAGTATCCCTCCAGCTAAAAATGTACCAGCTGTCAATAAGATATTCATCGGAATAGGGTCTCTGTCGAATTCCCTCAGCGTTATCATTTCCAACGGCGTCTGGAAGAAACTCCCCATACTTGCGGCGAATATTATCAATCCATAGACTTTTCCAAAAGTCTGGAACCCGAAAATTTTTGCAGTATAGTCGGATATTGCTGTGTAAAAGTATGGTCGATATAATGTAAAAAGGGTGACGTTGATATATCCCATTGCTAGGCTATGTGGGATGCAGCCTGCAATACCATTTATCGTAGTCATACTGACAAGGCTAAGGAGTATGAATGGCAGAGAGGCGTAGTCGAGAAGTAGTCCAATGAACGGGACAGCAATAAGGCCACCAATGGGCAGTAGGTAGTCGAAATAGTGGTTTAATGCCCTGGCCAGAGCAGAAGAGGATAAGAGGTATTCGTACTGTATAAACAGGGTTGATATGAAATAGTTTATTCGGAGAAATTGGCCCATCACGAACACGGTCAAGAGGACAAACCATAATGAACTAATCTGCTCGGAGGCTGGTAATGCATGCAAGGTCCCCCATAACTGGTTTTTGGTGTGTTGTGCTCCGTTGTTTCTGGTTTCCCCTACTTGCCCTGCTCCCCTACTCGGGATGAAGTTCCAGATACTGGCGGTGTTTCTGTGATTATCGCCATCAAGTAGGGTGTTGATTTTAGACATAACATGATGGTATCTAGGGGACTGTTGAGTTGAACCGAGACCAGAACCAGCATTAATTCGGGTATTCTCCATTTCTTCGGCCAGAATATCATCTGCATGTCCTATAAGCTCTCCCATTGTGCTGTAAGGCCTTGATTGCATGAGAAACACCTGAGACCCAAGGATCAGGCCTGGAACAACAAGGTAGAACAGGAACAAGAGTTTGAGCGTAATTTTCGTGCTATGGATCTCACGAAAGAATAGGAAGACGGTGCTTGAGCCATCGAAGGCGGCGGTCAACATCGATAATATGAGGCCAGAATGTTTTGGGAAAGCGTTCGATAAATGGAAAGAGGATATGAACACGGCTGGTCCACCCATTGCCAGGAGGATATATCCGCATAGATATCTATCATACGGGAAATGTGAGGCGGAGGTAAACAGAAGAGAGCCCATTGCTATGAGAATAGCACCAAGACCATTCGTAAAACGAGGGCCATATTTGTCGAGAATGGCACCAATAGGCAAAGCACAAATATTCGAAGCAATGGCTGATGCAGTAAACATAAAATTAAGCCTAAGATAACCGTTAAAAAAATCTGTTATAACGCAATGAAGGAGGTATGCGTGGACTTACCTTAGTTCTTGCTTATAACATACCCTTACGCTTTGACCAATCTCATCTCCTGTGCATAAATGGCTATATACCCCCTCATCTATCAAAATCGGTTTAAGTGCAGCATAGCCAAATACTATGCCAGATGATAGGAAGCAGCATATCACAGCGATAGCAACTTGTACTAGCAGATGGCATAAATGTATTAGTAGCCGTTTGTCTAATGATAACCCCTGGGAAGTTCAACATAAAAAAAAGCCATTAAATGGCTCTGTATGCTCGATAGCGAGACTTACCCACTCTCCTGGTCTTGCTAACATTATAAGCGCCAAATACGCTGGGTCTCCTCCAGCGGCAGTCGTTGGCCATGGTCCTGTCTCGGTTCATATGTGGGCTTGACAAAATCTTCTCTTTTTGTTTAAAACACCCGGAGAACCTTCATATGACATATTTTATGACGCAAAACGGTCGTATTTGCGATATTCCAGGAAGCAAAGAATGTAGTAGGTATGGAAAGAAACTCATGGCAACTCTACACCATAAGGGCAAAATCTGCCCACGAATATAGCGTGGTGTCGTTTTAAGTTGCAGAAAATGAGAGATAACTTCGAAGAACAGCTTAGAGAGAGTAAAGACCCATGCGTGCACCTTGAAGCCTTGAAATCAAGCCATGGTGAGCTTGCGAGCTCGAAGATGTTGAACATGGCGGTTGTAAACATGGAGTTGCACGTGAGAGAAAACTAGTCACGCAAAACAAAAGCATTAGTTACGTCATACGTGGTGCACACGAATGACACAAGCCCCCATGTTTGAACGATGTTTGAACGATGAGTAGAGGGTTTCCCCTTCCACAGCCTTCGGTCTTATAATATTTCTCTAAAGATAATAAACAGAAACAAAGAATCCATACATGCATTGGCCTATAGATCCATGGGTATCATTTATGCATCAATATCACGTGATGAGCTGAGGTTTCTGACACGTGACTATGCAGCCAAACTTTCAGGTCTTCCAAGGTTGCTAAAAAGCGCAAAATGAGGATTATATCTTGGTATAAGATGATTGATTAATGCGTAGCGAAAGGAGCACGAGGTCAAGTTGAGGAGCAGAACTTGACAGGGAACGGTTAATAACTACATAACAAGCAAAGCGCTCATGCCGGCCAATTTCGGGTTTGCTGGAAGAGAGGAAAAGAAAAAGGTTAGTTTTGTTAAACCTGAATGATGTCGAAAGTACTGGACTATGTCGCCACATGCATGATTATATGCCTGCTCTCAGCCCCGTCACTATACATTCCCCGGTTTGGATGTCAATTCTACCTATACAATGAAAGCCTCGAATGCTTTGATTGAAGGATCCGAAGGATTTAAAGGATCCACCGGCCGTATGCAAGGTCGCTGGTCATTTCCAAATATTCAGCTTCTAGGGTCCGCTTAGCTCTAGGCCATTCTTGCTGCATGCTTCCCCGCAGAGCATTACATAACTAACTACTGGACCACGAAGAAGAGATCGCCAAACAGTTGGCCTAACGTTACGGAGATCCCACCAAACAAGTTATCAAGGAGCCTTATATGTTAACCCCTTTCCAAAGGATAGGTCCAAGGGCAAACTTAAGGGTAACAAAATAAGGTTGATAGAGGGCGCTTTTACAGATCAAACATCGGAGGCCCTAGAGGTTTTTGTTAGAGACCTCCGTACTTCGGATAAATGTACCAACAGCGCACGAGCTTGCATGGGATACCGACTTTCCTCTTTAAGAAGTGTATTAATAGGCCTCAGTTGCCTATTTCTACTGAGACTACATATTTCTCAGGAACGGCTCTTCCAATGAATGGTGTGTATAGTGATCTAATTAAGCTTCATATCTGGAGGAATGTTGCTAGTCAAGCATTATGTTGGACCACAAGGCACAAAAAGGCCTAGTGTCCAATGGGAATCCTTGGGCATCGGAACGAGTTGTACCACAGCATAGAGAATCTGACATATTGTTATTCCGGCTGACGTAGAGCTCTACTGCTCTGTTTATGGGGTCAGCGATCACCTCATGTTTGTTTTTGAGATTTGGTAGTATTTCTTACGGCTTCTAATTCTGTCTTTGAATGCATTATTTCTGCTCCCTCCCAAATGACTCTGGTGCGGTTGATACCATAATTCCACAAACTGTAAACCTGTAGGCCGGCTGCTTAACCCTTGCACAAGTTGGATAAATGGTGAAATCCTTCATTACGGACGCAAATGCTAAAGTGGTAATCTGTTACATGAGAGCAGTATTTCCGCTGATATAGCTATCAAGGGGTCCTTTACCGCAAGGTATCCAAAGATGACGCTTTTAAAATATAGCTTTGAAAGGTATATTATACGTTCTCTACTGAAGCAGTATATCACTGCTGTGCCTTGTGGAGGCCTTTTTATTGAGCCATCGGAGTGAGTAAAGCTATCCACGTATGTAGCAGGATGCATGTATCAATCCGGAGGATCATGGGATGAAACCTTATGCGCTGCATGCCAGAAAGTGATAGAGACACCAGCAAGCCTAATATAGGACATTCGCCTGGAACAAATGGAATGCTTGGAAGGATGAAGTGTTACGTGTACTCAATCCAGTAGCATCCAGGGATGGCGATTGATGTCCGAGATTATAGGCCGTCAAAAAGGTATAAGTATTGGGATTGAATCCCCTTTTCGAAGTTGAAATCCAGAATCAACAATCCTACAAAGCATTCCATCTTCAGTAAATCAAAAACCAAGTCCCCCAAGACAATCAATCCCACCGAAAACATGCGTTTCACCACCCTCCTCATTGTCAGCATTGCCTCCTTGTCCACCTCGTTTGCTCTCCCCGAGGCCGGAATCGCCAACAACAACTGCGGCTATCCAAATGGCAACTGCTACGACAATAACTGCCATGGAGAACTAAGCCCAAACAGAATCACCTGCACCTCCGTAAGTATACTCTTAAGTCCCCAAAGACTATGTCAGTTTCTGACAGGAAAACTTCATTAGGGGCCATACCTTGGATGCGAGTGTGGATACGGATGTGGCAGCAACACCGGAAGATGCAATGAAAATGGCTGCAATGGACGTAACGGCCGCTGCACCAACAACTACCTCGGCTGCTCTTGCAACTAGAGCATATCTTGGAAACTTCTGCTGAGTTTCGGGATCAAGGGATGTGTTCAACCCTTTTGCAGAAGGTCTACACGGGTCACTCACTCGCTCTTTTCTTTGCCGAACCCGATTGTTTTCACGAGTTATCCTTGTTAAATCCCTGATTCAATCAGTGTATACGCCTGAGTTTGCGGTTATTTATATCAGGGTCAGCTTGCTTCTAAGCCGAATCGTTAGCCCAATTAAAGAAATCATTCTTTCTTGGACTTTTGATAATCATCCGTCGTAGTTATCGAATTGTGGAAACATGAAGCTTGTCCTCGATAAGATTTGAACTATTTTTATCCCTGTACAAACCTAATTTCTGGGCTGAGGTCTATATCACGTGATGGTTCTTTTTATTTATAAACCGCCTGACAACATCCTTCAAGTCCGCGGCGCATTCTATTCAGCCCCCGCGGTAAAGATGGCATCCTTATATCCGAACCGTCTAGACCAGCTCCGATGCATTCGCCGGAGCAAGTTTCCACTGACCGGGAATTCACCCATTCACGGATTCACAGTCCCGTATAGCAAACAATGTGGGAGGCTGGACCTGTCTGAGCCGTTCTCTGTTTTCAGTTATATGTCGTGTTTCAATGGCTGTGGCCTCCATAACTCAATGGAAAGAGATTTTTTTGAATCATTTGGAGTTTGATGAGCTCTCACCCTTCGGCAGTCAGGATGATTGTTGCTATACCCAAAGTATGGCCTCCAACGGCAGCCAGACTCATGATCTCGCTGGGACAGGTATGATAATCCCACCAAGATACCACCAGCACCTCTACGTGTGTTACATTTATATTTTATCATAATATTGGAGAAAAAGAACAGAAGCGAAAGGCTTTTATGGGCCCTGAAGTATATCAGAATCAGAAGCAATTAATTATGTTCCTATATGCGTAATTTTATATATATATGAATGGGGAATTCGCATTTTGCACGCTCAACTGCTTCGGGGCTACCGAAATCCGATCTAGTGCTGTCAGGGGTTAGAAAGTGCGAGACTTAGCGTGTGGGAGTTATAAAGCCCGGCTTCAAGCACATCAGAGCAGCCATGATGGTAGTAATGAAGGCAGCGTCTTAACTTCTCCCGTCAACCGGGTTTACTGTGTATTAACCCTTCTGCTACAACAGGATCGACAGTCTCATGCTGTCTCCGAAACAAACTGCAACTGCCAGGACACGGCGCCCGCTAGCCTGCGTGCTGTGTCAACAACGCAAGATCAAGTGTGAGCGTATATTCCCTTGCGCCAGCCGTGTAAGATGCGGCGTACAATGCGAACAAGCAAACCGCCAGCAACGCCGTAGATTTCCTGAGAGAGAGCTTCTGGCGCGCCTGCGACACTATGAGGGCTTGCTCCGCCAACACAATGTCAAGTTCGACCCTCTCCATACGCGGGATGGCCGCGAGAAGCCACCGGATGGCGTACAGTCAGAGGGAATCATTCCCGAGGCGGACACGACAGAGAAGAACGCCGGTGTCGGGTCTAGGTCCGTGTGAGTATAATCTTGAGTCCTGCTTTTGCTGGGAAGACTTTTATAGGTAAAAATTCGGATGACTTATTATTTTGTAAGGGACATTTGGCGTGCCATGGGTCAAAAGGGGGATCCCAAGGATGGTGATGATGGAAACGACGGCGAAGACGATGAAAACGATAGTGGTTTCTTGCATGCCAATGATGATATCTGACCATCAGTGATCAAGAAGGCATGGAATCACACGTTTCAAGGGCAGATCAACGACCACCTCTCGTTTGGTCCCACAGAGAAGGTCGACCTTTCTGCTTCGCATCCAAGCCTGGTACAGATCTTCAGGCTCTGGCAGATCTACCTAGACAACGTCAATCCCCTTCTCAAAGTCACGCATACACCAACCCTTCAAATACGTATCATCGATGCTGCTAGCGATATTGCAAATATCAATCCTACACTAGAAGCGTTGATGTTCAGTATCTACTCCATCTCTATTCTGAGTCTCACGGAAGACCAATGCAGTGCCTTATTTGGAGCCCCAAAGAAGGAGTTTTTGATAGGCTATCAGTTTTTATGTCAACAAGCGTTGCGAGGATGTTGTATTTTGCGATCTAGTGGTCGTGAGTGCTTGACGGCGTTCTATCTCTACCTAGTAAGGCTCTCTGACCGGTCTGCCAGCGTATACTAATTCTCATAGGTCTCTATCAGACATAAAACGGACCCTGAATCTCTGTCCTCCCTGCTTAGTACTGCTATACGCATTGCTCAACGGATAGGCATTCACAATGAATCCACGTATAGAAAATGCTCTGCTCTAGAGGCGGAGATGCGTCGAAGATTATGGTGGTCACTTATTCTGAGATACGAGATATTTGATTGATTTGATTGGTCAGGTGGGTCTGGAGCAATCTATGAGATTTCAATCTATCAAGCACTGATCATCTAAATACACGATATTGGGCTCCTATTTATGTTCCTCATACGGCCATGTATCTTGCCATCGCGGAGATGCCAGCTACAGCTGAAACAGGCGTTAAAACGCCGGGCGTAGCATTTGTTCGATGATGGAGAGCTGACACTGATATTTAATGAAACGGCGTAGTTGACTAACGTGTTTCGTACGATCAGGCAGTATTACACCGAATCTCCGTTCAACACTTATCATATTTGATAACCGCATCTGCGAGATATCCAATTACAAGACTACATCGTTTGCTCCTGCTTGGGACTACAGAGTTCCTCTTAACGTTAATGACTTTGAGCTTCAGCCAGAGATAAAAATACCATCAGCAACAATCAATAGGCCCACAGAGATGCTTTTTACTATAGTGCGTAGCGAGCTACCTAACTTCATCCGTCACAGCGCCTCCCACCTCGACTTTACCAATCCGTCTTTAAACACCATTGCCACTCGGCCTAGCCCCATAGAAGAAGAAGAACGGCTTAAGGCCCTAGAAAATACTATGGAGGAGAAATATTTGGCATTCTATAATCCAGAGAACTCACTTCACTACATGACTATCTAGACGATACGGGGCCATATGGCTAAAAACCGTCTCTTGCAATACTACTCCAGATACTCGACTGCGTCCATGCAGCAAACTGATATTTCCATGCGACACGAATCTCATGACCTCGCCTCTCACTAAAAGATACCTCCGGTTTGTTCAATTTCATTTCCCATTCCCCACATATATTCACCTGCTTCAGGATTTGAAAAAGCGGCCTATTGGGGAGCACGCAGACGAGGCGTGGGAAGGCATGAGTAATAACTATGAAGTGCGAATGATGGACTTAAAGAAAGATGACCAGCCCTTGTTTATCGTTTTCTCTCGGATTGTCATTTAGGCCTGGGAGACGCGCGAGTCTATAGCCAGACAAGACAACATGTGCCCAGTGGCCCCGCGGATCATATCGGATATCAGGATCAAAGTTATGCAAATGACGGCAAATTTATTACCAAATGTTGATACAATACAGCCTACAGGACCCTTAAACGTCAATTCGGATGACCTTTCTACGCCCGTGCAGATGGACTTTAATATCCCTGGTACGGCTTATAGCACCAAAGGTAATGGGTCTACCGGCTTGGGGCCGTGGGGATATCCCGAGATGCCTGGGCTGAGCTCTGTGGATGTTGGTGTGTCTCAGCTTCTTTAGAACTCGACAGACTGGGATATACCCTAAGGTACGGAGTATGGCTCCTCTAGTGATTATTTTCCTGGCTCTCTGGCGAATAGCATGCTTATAGGGTGCTTAATTAGTGTATACTAGCAGGTATATATCCAGCCGAAAGGAAGCTTCGTGGGGGAACACAAAGACAGGATTTTAGGTGATAGTAAGGAATTTTGTCGGCAGTTACTTGAGAAGGAACATATCGTTCCTAGAGATTACGCATTTGACCAGGTTGCTTTGGAGTCTACTTGTACAGTCTCGCATAAAGCCGCATATGGCTCACTCGGCCCAGGCTCGAAGTCAATTTGACAAACCCGTCTGACTGCAGGGTCTTCAATAGTGATAGAGGCATCACTCTCCTTGAAATAGGGATGCCTTGCACAGATTTTTGGCTGCAAGGTTGCCTAAAGTTAGTAAGTGATTGTCTCGCGTTGTCCTATAACTATAAGGAGAGCGGCCAACCCTCGGTTTCTCGCAAGAATTCATCGTAGACATATACTCATGCCCATGACGTGATGAATGGAAAGAGATCTACAATTAGATGTAGTTTAGGCTCCTGGGATATTTATTTCTTGTTAACCGGCGTCAATTCCTCCTGTGGGTGAACCATCCTTGTCTGCATGCAGCGGCATCGGCTCGACCAGCAAGCCCAGCAGCCAAAACCCCAATCCGTTAGATGTCATCTGTGAGCTGGTCAGTCAATCCTCGTTCCCAAGGCTCCCAAAATGTCTGCATGCGCGAGCAGCACCTCTCACAATATCTGCGCAAATGTGTAGCGGTGAGAACAGCAGACAGGTTTACGTGCATTTCAGCCAGCCAACGCCGCTCGCTAGACCGAAACCATTGTAGTTCGGGCCGTGTTCTATGCAGCTTGCAGGGAACTTTGCATCCTAGAGTTGTCGATTAAGAGCATGCATCGGCGGTTGGACGTCAAATAGGTCAGATTAACTACACGTTATAACTAAGTTCACACACCCCCACACGATTCATTGGTGCTGGGAGCGGCCACAGGTACTTGAGTTCCTGCACCGATAAAAAAAATTGATTCCGAAATATCGTATCTTCTAATTCCCCGCTCACTTGTGCTGATATCATTCGGTACCTGCTGTCGGCTCTTGAGGTCGTCGGGGAACGAGGGCGTAAAGTGGCTTGGGATCACTCCAGAGGATCCCTACAAGCCAGTAGAATGTAATAAGACATGAGTGAGTGATCAATGAAAATTCCGAGTTCTATGAGATTCTCCGCTGAGAAATTATGAAACTTCGTTATCTGAGCTGGCTCTGCAGGAGCAGCATTTCACCTTCCTTGTCCGGCTATACGCCAAAGGTTGCGTGGCTTTGCTTGCGGAGCTGGCTCTGGAAGGGACCCGTCACTAGCAGAGCAACCAAAAATAACCCTCCACTGATCCAGAAAGGGAGCCCTGACCAGAAACCATCTAGCTTGAGTTGGAGGTTAAACACGGCAGGCCACAGACAGCCCCCAGTGAAGGCACCCATGTTATTGACAATAGCCTGTGTGGTGTACAACTCTGTGATGTACGTGGGGTCTGAGAAGTGTGTCACAAGCGCTTTAGTGCTATCCACAAGGCCGACTCCCATAGTATATAATACTAGAGCAGGGAAAAAGGTAGCAGGCGTGCGGCAGAACCCCAGCATAACAGCACCAACGCTCCGGATAATGATATAGCTTCGAGTCACGAACAGGTCCATGTGACGGGCGGTACGGAAATATGGAAGCAGCCGTGCGTTTATGAACGGCCCTGTAATCAGTGCGGCAATGCTAACCAGCATAGTGAAGGCCGTAATGGTTGTCACCCTTGCCAATGGCCAGTCGAATTGGTGGCTTGTCCACTGGGGTAGCACCATATTGGTTCCCATTGCCAGAACGGTAAAAAATTCCAATGCGAAACCGGCTTGGAATACCCGATGTCGGAGAATATGAAAGTGTATGCGGGAGAGGTAATTCGTTGTTGCCCAAAATACGGGCCCGAATAGACGCTCGAATCGCCCATGGAATTGGGGTATACACTCTTCACTAGCGCCACCTTTCACTTCGCTTCCCAGGCTGGAGATGTCCGAGTCGCCTGAGTTTGCGACTGGTTGTAGAAGTGGAGTATTGACGTCTTCAGCTATGTTTTGTATTTCGGCCTCGCCCATCTCTCCATCGCTCGTGGAACACTTAGCAGATCGGTATCTCAAACCAAGTAATAAGACAGGCACTTGCATGGCACTTGCCAACACTGCAAATAAGCCCACAATCCATGGCGACGATCGAAGCAGAAACCCGCTCGCAGTTGTACCAAGGAATTGTATCCCCAAAAGAATTGAGGTAATGGAAAGGAACATGGAAGATCTAATCCCTCATATCTGTTAATGAATGTAGAGGTGGTAGTTTGCCATGAAGGAGTATGAAGGGCGGTACCGGATAGCCGATGTGGTTCTCTCGGCCACCATTGACCACAACAGGGTGAGTATGACTATCTGACTTGCCCCAATCATGTCCCAGCAATGAATGAGCCAGATAGCCCTCAACGAGCCCGTGAGGTAGCGGCAGAGGAGAGTGAAAGTTGCCGTCTTAGCACTAAAGCCGGTCGTACACAGTATAAGCAGCTTTCGCTTGTCCACTCTCCGAGCCAGCCAGGCACTGGGGAACGCCATCATCAAGGCCGTAGTAGCAGCCCATCGCATATCACCCCCGATGAGCATCATTGTCTTCGTCTGAATATCAGGCAGCTTGCAGAGGCGTTCAGACACATGGCCTTCCGGGCTAACGAGCTGCGGTGAGCGTGTGAGATACCATTCCCGACACACCGCGGCTTCGAGCATAGGTACCCTCGATGCCTCTGCCATGGCGACTGACAGAGACATGAGCACCATCAGAAAAGGCGCATCTGAATGAATAAGGAGGTAAAAAAGATCGCGTAACATAGTGCCGTTTCCCGCCATGCCTTGCGACGACGATTGTCAAAGGATGTGTCTGTTTGCTCGGGGTTTCATGGTAGATTTCGGGTTATATATAATGTTTGTAGTCGTTCTAGAGGAAGGTAAGATCCCGGGAGACCTGCAGCGGGCCAAGAGCTATCAAGATACCGTCAGATAAGGGCTGCAGACACAACTCACCATCCCACTTGGGTCCCGCTGCGTCATGCATCTTCCCCCAATGATGGCCTTACCACCAACTTGATAGGCAGCCGGCACGCGGACCCCTGGCTCACATGGTGCATGCACGAGCCCTGCGATTTCTCTCGGCGGTTCTGAAACTCGGGCTTGACAAGATGACACCATCGCCAGCGGTGCAGCGAACTCCGTATTCCCGTATAAATTCTCTATTATTAGGCGTCGGTTGACCGTATGTGGTGTCTGAGTCGAAGGTGGTCCTTTCGCGCCTTTTAGGCCCCAGGGAGCGGTGCCCCACTAGCTTGTTCGATAAGGCTCGGCGCAAGGGACGGGCCGGCCCCTAAAAATAGATACCTAACTACCCTCTTACTTCTGCCTTAATTGCATACAGAGTGGTACGTCCACCTCAGTCCTCGACTTGATAAGGCTGGGATGACTGCCTGCATTGAAGAACCTCACGGGGATATTTGATTGTCGATCTCCTTATCTCGAAAATCATTTCAGTTCTCCGTATCTTTAGATCAGACAGAGAGCACGCGCCCCACGGGCGATCACATCCCGGTAGAAAAAGAAAGATTCTCAGCAGCAAATGTGAACAGCTCTCCAAACTCATCATGAAATGAGGGTGTAGGCGGAGTTTATATAGTATATGAGCCACCAGTCGCTTCGTGGTTTGTGGAACCCTACAGTACTGCTCGCTAGGCATGGTAGGACAAGATCAGTTCCACCCAACAAGACGTCTCCTTTGCCGCCTAGATTACTGTCATAAGTATACTTCTAGAGATCACCAGCCTTATGACTCCACGAACACGTATAAGCCATTTTATTCGAGCAAAGCGGTTCGTGATCCTGAGCGTACGGACATCTGTGCTCCCCACGAAGCTTAGTCACGGTCTGCACAGCAAGAGTCTTCAACGTTTTGCCCTTCTCTCAGCTTCCCTTTCCATCAGTGTGACTCGGATAAGAGCGACTGGTTTATAGCTGTCTCAAAGTTATCTTCATTTAAAACTTCCCTCGCAGTTTCCAGGGCCTTTCTTATAATCTGAAAACGGCATTCATGCCTCAGTACTTAAACAGCAAGGCTAGTAGGCTCGTCCTCGCTCTCAATTATTTTCCTCTATCAAAACCGCATTGAGCAAACTACCTATGCCAACGCCCCCCTATCCTCGTTAACCTGCCTGGCATGCCTAAACCCCAAATCATTGACACTGAAAACCTTGATAGAGCCGAATTTGTTGAGTTCTTCTTAGAGCTTTTTGGAGATAAACTTGAAATAAAGGTATGAACAAGATAGACTTAGGAGGACGTTAAGCGCTGCCTAGCCCAACTAATACGCCCTTCGATGTAAGAACGGCCAGAAAACAAATTTTTGTTAACCGTGCCACGACAGCTCACTAACGCATGTCCAAATGCTAGTTGGTGCCTGATGCGAGAGTAATAGTGCTTATTAAATTATTTCAGGAAGATATAAATCACTTCATTGTGACTGAATATCCAACCCTTAATTTTTGTTAGTTATATTTTTTTTTTTCAATTAAGCTCTTATTGTTTCTTAAATTTACAGCACACCGCCCCTTTATGTAGTTAAGGACACTTGCGGTAGTTACAAGGGCAAGTTTAGGGAAGCCTAGGTATAAATATTTGGCGAACTACATGCAAGGAATTGTCATCGGCCCTGAAGAGATACGACATGGGAATAGTTCCTACTTTCTCTAGGTTATACCGCCTTGACGAATGTCTTATACACACATTCCCTAAGGAGTTGCAAGCCAGAGTCTTTAAAAGAAGAGACATACATATCTACCCCATTCGGAAATCAATACTTACGTCGGTGTTCAATTGCTCTTTGGCATCGGGATGGCGGGTGTCCATTGGGTGGATTGCTTAACTATGACATGCATCCAGACGGCGAAGTGAAAGAGGAGATCGTGATAGGACTTGAAGCTATGGCTAATTTTGATCAAGCATCGACCTTTACACTGAACTTATTGTAAAAAGGGTCTCGTTACTAGGTCATTGTGTTAGAGGACCCTCGAGACCTTTGTTACAAACCATATATTCCCTGTCACAATACAAGTCACGGTTAAACGAGTCTTAACGGCTTATACCTATGCCACCAGTCGCCATGAAGGTGTTACTTTCGCTCAAATTTTAGGAGGACCATATTGGAAGAGGCTTGGTCTGGAGATTTATTAGTATTATTTCTAATTGACCTTATTATAACCCTTACATGAATTCTTACGCCTGTCTTTAGACTTATGTGTAGCGTCTTAGACTTACCTTTATTTATATTTACCTTTATATACACCTTTAAGCGCACTCTTAAGTTTACTCTTAGATCTATCATTAAAGTCATATTTTAACTTAGACTTTATTAACTAGCTACATGGGTACCGGATAGAGACACTGATATAATTAAGTCATTAAGAAGCCCAGCTTTGATTGAGTGACGCTGTCCTTTTAGATAGCCATGGGTTTTTTAGACAAACTAACGGTCAAATACTATTATAAAGGCTCCCATGGGAGCTCCGTTTTATAGAAACAACGTATGTTGGATTCCAGTGTAATTTCCTTGAACTACTCTAGAGTACATGGTAGTAGCCCTAAAGCAATAAGGATACAGGGATAATTGAAATGTCTCGTTTAGATTACATTTTCAAGGTTGGAAGTGGTGGAAGCATCTGGAGCTCAACAAACTCGTCTAGGATCTGTCTCATGGACTCTAGAGTGTCCACCGCCCCAAACCAGCCAAGTTTATGACCCTTGCTCCGACTACAGCGTGGAAATATTAGCTTCTACATATCAAGAGGTGGTGGAAATTAAGGGAAGCGGTCGTTACGAGGGCACAGTACTGACCTGAACTGGAGCGGCCACGCGATAAGCAGCGCATTATCCGCAAAACTAAAGATTCGATTGATATCCTTCCCACATTGGAATGGGTTAGACTGTAAATCATATCTCTGAGTTAGTGCCTTCCATGCTTCCTGAACCTCAGGATCTGTCGCCCACTGAGTAAGTGCGTATTTCAAACGAATTGTGCCCCTTGGCCCGAATCTAGGTGATTGAGGGTTAGTATGTAGGCTTATACGCCATCAAATTTTTCTTTGTTTAGAGACAATGAAACATAGGGGAAATAGAAGAACCAATGCTTACCCTCTTGGCGGCGGCTCGTATTGAGTGGGAATCGAAATGTACTCTGCATTTTCGTCCTCAGGTACTTGATATGATACACCATACCAACTAGCAAACATGGGCCAAAATGCCGCCCAACTGAAAGCGCTGTTATCGGAAGCATTGAATGCCTGGTTCACGGCGTTCGGTGTTAAAACGGCCCATTCCTCAAGGTAGCTGTTTAGAGTTGCAGATGAAAGGTCGAGGGGCATCATATATGATGCAAGATCGCCTGGAAATACAAGGGGTCTTCCTAGATACGCCTGGACAGCACCAAAGATACCCAGCGGGTACATCATGTTCATGGCCGCATCTTTGACAGCGCCCAAAATGAAAGACGGCATGACCACATTCCAGCCAGCACCAGTTTCTTTGCAGTATTTGAAGAGGACATCTTCTTGGGTATAGTAGAAATTTGGTTCTAACAAGACTCGTGGATCGCTTTCTCTTTGCGGCGTCATAGTTGGGCCAAGGTGGAGGCCGTAATTTTTAGCACCAGTTTGCAGCATGACTCGCTTGGGTGTAATTTCCGCAAGTTTCAGTGCCTCTAAGAAGTTAGAAAGCATCGCCGCTAGACAAGGATGCATCTGTTAGCAAGTTTGGTTTCAGGGGATGTCAATCGCCAACGGGCATGCATATACATACTGTTGACCCTTACTAGCTCGTCTGCAGCGGACCATATCCCACCGCCATCTTTCGGCTCGGGTTGGACATATGAAAAGAAGAAGACATAATCACTTCGAAGAATTGAAGGTTAATATAGGTCTCGAATCTCCATGATTTGTTGGTAATAACTTACGCCTTGACTCCTTGCTCTTTCATAACATTGGCTAGCTCAAGAGGCGTGCTATTTAAGAAATCCAACGGCATATGCAGGACGTTGGTTTTCCAACTTTTGTTGGTTAACGGTGCTCGCCTTGACATCGAGTAAACATTCGTCCATCTTTCTGGCAATTCGGCCAAAACTCGTAACATATGGTTGCCGGATATCCCGTTTGCTCCCGTTACAATTGCTGAGAGCCCCTTCAACGACTTGGGGAAGACTGGCAGGCCATGATAAATGCCCTTGGACTGTATTCTGCCCACGGCTTGCGGTTCCTCGTCTATTATCAACATGTCGTGAGGAGGCTCTAAGGTTGTTGGGGGTTAGATGATTTGACCAGAGGAGTTGAGAATGTGATTTGAATTGGATTCATGAATCATTGAGGATGGAGGAGAATCGCTGTAACTTATACAATCCCTTCTTTAAGCGGCTCTAGTTCCCAGCTGCGCGAGCCGAACAACAATGAAGTGATGTTCGCGCATGACTAAAAGCCTGCTGTGTACCTTCAATGATCAATTCGGGTAATGGAAGGATTACTGATTTGAGTAGCATTTTTTAACTTCCATCCCACATTAATCGCGTAAATAGTAGTATACGGGGGAGACAGGGGTTTACCCCATAGTTAATGGCCGGCTAGTACTGGTACATGCAAAATCGCCATAATCCCGCCCTATTAATTCCCCAAACACCAGCCAAAAACATTGAAGAGTCGAGTTGTGGCGGCTCCACGGCATCGCAGTATTGAGTAGAGAGTCCCTTGGAGGAGGGAGTGTACTCCGTATGTATGAATTGTGCCCTGCTTTGTTCACCAATGCACCCTGCATTGCAGTGTAACGATCTCGTTGTTTAGTCAAGAGATCCATGCATATATCCCATGCAACTTGATAGATAAGCACCAATCAACGGGCTGGAAGTGACTTGTCAGAACACCAAGCTAAATCATAAAATAAAAATGAAAATATCGGTTAGGAACCCGATTTTTCCCTTCCGATGGGATGGAAAAATACCGCATACGAAGCGAGAAAGTTCCTTCGCTTAGAAAATCCCTTCAAACCCCTCTATGGAGAGCTGGAATAATTCTTCATCCCACAAGTTTGGATGGAATGTCATAACTGCTGATAAATCGGCCCCCGGAACCGTCTCGTGTTCCCACGTCAGGTTCTGATGGTCCATTCCCGTAGTAGATCCATTGAAACCGGCTTGTGAAACGAAGTTTTGACCTTGGTCAAAGGCTGGGTTCATGTACTGCTGCATAGGGGGGACACAAGTTGATGTAGTGCTGTAAGGATTGGCGCTCATTTGGTTCTGGCTGACGAATGGCGGCCAATCGCCCGTGTTAGACGTCTGAGGTGTGACGCCGATATGGCTGCCGGAACCGTACGTCGGAATCGTAGCCGTAGCTGTAGCTGTAGCTGTAGTATTGGCCTGCGCCGAGTTCGTCGTAAAAGTTTCACTTCTATTACCACCACAGGGCTGAACGTTGTCTTGAGCCGTAATGTTAGGTCGTTGGCACTCCTGCTTCAGGGCCCCCGCATTTGAAGGGCGTTGCACCGCAGCATTGCTGAGGACGCCTGGAGGAGTTTGATTGGTAAATGGGGGCTATGTGCAATGCAGTGTCAGTAAATGTTGGTACTATAAAGAAAAATAAGATGCGGGGCAGCAATGCCCCTTTGTGGTAAGTTTTAGGGTGAGCCACATTCACTAACCGATTTGTGCCTATCGTCAACAACAGGAGATGCCGTTGCTTCACTCTTTTCGGACTTGGAGACTCTCGGTTGGAGGAATGGAGGAAGAGGCACTTCAGCATTTTTATCCTTACGTTTAGAATACCATGCTTTCAACATGCCAATGATAAGCGAAAACTTAAGGCCAACTCGACTGTGATTCCCTTCTGTGCACGAATGTAGGTGCGTAATTAGCTTATTCAGCGAAGGTTCAATTTTGAAGTCTGCAGTGCTGAATACATTGGCGAGCCTGCTTCCTGGGGCTGAGGCAGCCGAGAATAGCTTTATTAGGGCAACGCATGCATACGACGTGCGTACGAAATGTATCGTAGGTAGACACGGGAGTAAGTTCCCGTCCATTGCACAGAATAGATCAAGAACTCGATGCGTCGATGTTAAACACGCTGTAAGTGCGTTTACATGCGCCGCAGTTCCAAGGTCAATCTGTGATTCTTGGGTAAGGTTGGCAAGAAACGGAGGCTTGAAGTCGTCAATGTTATGGTCAATGTGCATGCCGATTTCATGCATATATATACTAAGAACTTGTTCGTAATGTTCCATTACAGCTATGAAAAAGTGTCAGTAGCGAGTCGTACGACGCGGGTACGGGTGACCCAACACGAATATAGAAACAGTTCTGTATCACTTACGGGTATATACTTCTGGCGGAACTTCCCTCCGCCACTCATCCAGGCGCCCTTCAAATCCCTTCAGGGCATATTGAATTCTTGGCTCAGTGATAGAGACGTTTGTTAACGGATCATCCATGGAAAACTGGAAACCGATCTCCTCGCCAATATGGGCTAATTTCGCCCATTCAACGAGGGCCCGATCGCTGGGATACGCGTCAGGAGAATCCAGCAGCATCTGAACCGATTCATCCATATAGGCATTCCAGCGAGTGAGGAGTGGTCGTCTAAGACCCATAGCAACACTGCAGACATGTTAGACATATTTGGATCGGCCAAAAGTAATGACGGGGTAACGCACTTGACAGCTAAAATATAGCAGCCTATCCAAGCCCTCCTCCCGTCAAGTGACTGAGGATCGATGAATAGGGCTTTCCTGGTCATAAGCTCCCTTATCATCTCTGACGATTGCGACTGCGGTTTTGATCTGCGGTTCATACCCAAATCTGTCCCCATAATAGCCGCCATATGGATAAGTAGATAGAACTTGAGCTCTTCATAATGTTCTGGCGGCATATACCACATAGTCGCTATCACTAGAGATTGCACCAGTTCTAGTGACTTCTCACCTCGAATAACAATGCGGTCGGCAAATATTTTATGCATCTCGGTGAGCAACGCCGTCTCTAGACTAGGTGAAAAATTCCCAATTGATATCGAAAGGATGGATAGGAAGAGTACGGGTGTTTCGCGGCGGACATCCCCCATTTTTGTGTTTGGTGCGAACACCACACATGGCATTATGGGTGCCATATTCTTGACGTAATGATCAAATGATTTTGCCGCAGTTTCCTGATCGACAACGCCGCGATCTATCACGTCCGCATACTCGTGGTCAGGACGAGGTGCTGACATGGATTCTGGCTCGAATGCGGGCCAACTGCCCTCAGGCCTACCCGTATTCTTCTCATGCAACCATGCATGGACGAACGAGCTGGGTCCGGAAGGGCTCATGGGGCGCGCAAGGGGCGCAAGAACGGCAGGAGGTCCTATCCCTGGCCTTGACCGCATATCACCACTGAACGTTCTCTTGTTACCAGCGATTCCAGGAGGCCCTGACGGATTTGCTCCACCAGATACTCGTCGTTGCGACCCCCAGCGATTGGATCCAGGCCAGGTTCTTTCAGCATTATGCGCGCCAGGTTCGTTTGAATCGGTAGGATAACTTTTGGCCCTCGAGGCCTGAAGACTGGCCGTCAGGGCATCAATCTTCTTTTCTAGCTCCGCAACACGACTGTCTCCCTTCTTCTGTCTCTTTCGAGTCGGCACAGTGATAATGCAGCGCCTCTGCGCCTTGGCACATCGTTTGCAAGATCCATCTGGTTTATCGGGATCGGGATCACATCGCACTTTGAGCTGTCGACAAGCTTCACAGGCACGCGGCCGCTTGAGGTCGGCGAGGGGGTCGTTCGATATCGTATCCGAAGCTGCAACGGCGGCAGGGTTGTTGCCTGATGCGGCTCTCGAGTTGTCTATGCCGGTAGTTTCGTAGGAGTTGTTGCGTGAAACGGAGGCGTGCGATACGCCATCGTCGCGCGGCAGTGAGGGGGAGCCTCTATGAGAGGACGAAGTGGCGGAAGGCGACGACGCGTCTGCAGCGGATGTGCGGGAAGGGTATTCCACCTCCATCTACCGGGAATATCGACGGATCTTTATTTGTTTGCTCAGGACCATGCCACCAGGTCGCCTAACGTCGCCATCCACGGAGGCACGGTATGTCGGCGACCGACACAGGTACAGCCCGACAAGGTTCTAGGGCGTGGTGTGCCTATAGCAGTCGATTACTCCCTTAGCGGCGAAAACTCGGAGGAAGGAGAGCGCTCTGTAGCGAGACGATAGTCGTATCTCGAGATTGCTGAATATTGAGACCAAAGCTGGTCTGGAAATCTGTGGTGTTGGTCGTCGCCTCTTGGTCCCCTCTGGCTAAGGCTAACTTCTAAGTAGTTGCCTGGAAGCTGCTGCCTCGTACTCGTATCAGAAAATTGAATATCTGCCAGCTGAACAAGAACCCTGGCCCTTGGTCCGTTTTCCTCCGTCGAACTTCTCTGTGAGTCACTTTTTATCCTCGGGTGGCTTGCAATTCGTTGTTATAATCGGGATTTCTCTTCCAGGCGGGAGCCAGCCGTCCAGCATCGAAGTGTAAACGATGCATGCTGTGGCGGTCGAACGGCTGAAAGACGTCATGAGCAGTATAAGTCCATTATATCAATTAAATATAACCAAAACCTCCATGGGAGCAGAGTTCCCTTATTCCGACCGGACGGATTAATTGTAGAAAAAGTACCAACTCCGCAAAATGAAATTCTGATGGTCAACTCCATGAACACCAAAACATTCTAAAACAGCCAATTGCCAATAGATACAATGTGAGCCAAATGGGGGGGGAAAGATATGCCGGAATATAACATTAAAATGCGTATGGAGGTAGATTTATGCCACCTTATGAACGGGACACTCCTCCTTACGGTCAAACCATCCAAGGATACAGGATTTGTGGAATTTGCATAGACACTCCAAGCGTGCCAGCTCAACTCCGACCTCATACTCTTCCATACAGATGGTACATTCTGGATGGACGCCATCTGTGCTCACGCAGTCTTTCTCCGTTGCAGGGAAGCTTAGCATCCTTAAACGGTCGGATAGTGGGCGCAATGAACCTTCTGAAGACGGGTGCGAAGGTCTTGGGCGTCTGGTAGCGTGTCTTTCAATGCATACTCGTATGTGTGCTTCGTGGGAACCTTCATCACTGCCCGCTGACTGTGGAGGGAGGATTTGGTTGCATACGGGGCACAGGTCTCGTTCATTAACAGGGTGATGGGATCGGTTAGTAGGTGGTGGTGGAAGAGGGCGATTCATATCTGCTGCGCGAATCGTAGGATGAGATCTTGGGTATGACGCATGATGGTAGTGTCGTTGCGAGTCCTTCATATTAAGTTTAGTTGTTTGAGCTTGTAGGGTAGAAGTGGGATATCTGTTACTGACCTGTGGTAATGCTTCTGGGGAAGAATATGAGGGAGGAGAACCATGTATATGAGATTCAACGCCTCGACCTGGGAAATATCTCGGCGGCAGGCCTCGCAAACTTGACGATACCTCATAGCCAAAACCCCCGTATGAAGGGAGATTGGCTTCTGTCAAGCTTGCTCGGTGTGCCCTCTGGGATTCCCGTGTATGATTATGGACCTATAACACAGTTAGAACTTGAAAGGGATATTTGCAGGCGTTAAGGAAGACATACAGCCGTGTTAAAGTCCCGCTCCCGTCGTCTTCGACCTTCAATGTAGGCTTCAGGGGTGCGGCTAGAGCCAGAGGAGATGGAAGCTGATTGGCGACGAGATCTTTCGGCGCTTATATCCCAATCCGTGCTCTGTTGTCCAGATGACAAAGAGCGTGGATCCGCTTGATGGCGGCTATGATGACCTTCCCAACCTAGCGAGCTATTTCTAGCGCTATGATCATGGCGAGATGCACTACTACTCGCCCTATATCGGCGAGGAGGCTCAGGGTTTGGATCTGGCACACAAGGATTGCAAAGACGGACTTCAGCTCCGCCACCTAACGATGGCCTAGGGATGTGGTGAGCTGAAGTTACTCGCGTGTGAGTTTGAGGCTGTGATGAAGGCGGCGGCTGCTCATCATCATCATCAATCAGGTTGATAACCTCGGGCTCCGTGGGACGTTGGATGATGGTAGATATTGCTCGTTGGGTTTCAGGAGGACGGACAATAAACTGGCGGGGGATGGTAATTCTATGAGGCGAGCATGCGGCACAGACAACTCTTCCGCACTTTCTGCAGTGGTGTTTTCGGAACCAAAAGGTAAATGTCACTCCGCAAATTGGACATTCTGTGACTTCAGAGTCGGGCTGCCATCGGGGAAGTCGATGGTCGGTGAAGCTTCTTTCACGATGTCTCAGGGAGTTTAACTGACGAGACATCGTAGGAGACGGAGGTGAACCGGTAAGCAGAGCCTCATCCGTATGTTCCTGTGACTGGGATACATTGGGGTTCCCAGAAGTTCGGCCTCCAGAGTTGTCTGGCCTAGAGTGTTGCCTGATAGGAACAGACCGACTACTCGAAGCTGCAGATGCCTGAGAACCAAGCCCATTTCTAGACCTATCAGCTCCTGTACCACTGCTGCCACTTCCTAGCCGTCGTTTTCTGTTCGTCGTTGAATGTCCGTCAGTCATCCTCCCCCCACCACGACTATTCTCTCCACCATCCGTCGACTGATCTTCCCGTAGGAACTGTGTCCATGTTGTATGGTCCTCGCTTGCACCGCTCACTCCTCTCCCCATATTACCGTGGTGTCTCTCTGATACAGAGCGGTGGATAGATGAAGATCGGGCGGCATCGTTCGAAATCGGAGTTTCCGAAGGCAATGACATCGAGCTTAACCGATATGGCGAAGAGTTCAGCCTGAAAACGTCTTTTATTTTCTGAGGGGTGTTCGATGACGCCAACCTCCGCCGTTTGGACGGGCCGGCATTTGCTGTAGGCGCGGGAGGTTCCACGTTGACTTGTGAGGTAAAGCAGAGCCTCGTCAGTGCTGTCTCGTTTCTTTAAGGTATCCAGGAATAGTCCGTATATATACTCTGTATATGTATATATATAATTTATTGTGTAAAAGAGGTATCTTTGTTCGAGGTAAGGGGCGATGCGGCGCGTTCCACCATCGAGGCAAAGTCGTGAGAGGCGTCAAGGCGTTTTCTCCCAATCATGGAAGATAGGGCAGAAGCTAGAAGGCCCGAATATAACTCTCTTCTTTTTTTATAGTTGATCACGAGTACTCCATTCCCTTAAACCTTTTATATCGTGGACGGAGGCGCGAGCGGGCTGTCAGGTAGCTGATAGCTCAAACACCCACGAGATACGCGCGAGACGAGAGCAAACGTCTGGAACCAGCACGGGGAGGGCGGATAGGAGGTTTAGAGCTGCGGTCGAGAGAATAACGCGGAGATCAGGGAGGATATGTGCGATGGTCGATGGGCGAGACGATGGCGAGGTGAAGTTCGTTTCGATGCGGGCTCAGGTGCAGCTTTGCCCGTGACATGCAACCGCCAGCGAATGAGTATCTCAGGTCTCTAACTCTTTGGGCCCAACCGGATGATGAAACCCAAACCGAAGGCGAATAAAACAGGGGAAGGGATGAAATCATAGACTTTGCGTATTTTTAATCCAAAATTATTAACAGTCTTCACAGTCCAAAAGTATTTATTTATTTAATACAGCTGTTGTCAAGCAGAACCAAGATAGCCGCTCCGCCCAATCACTCAGTCTCTATTACACAATGTAAGGCAAAATCCACCTGTATGCACTCCTGATAGACAAAAAAGAGGTAAAAAAAAGAAGACGAAGAAGAATGAATACAGGAAGGATAGGAAGAATCGCTCAGGTAAAACAGCAAAAAGCACGAATAGTTGGATCAAGGGTAAATTAAACAAGTCCTCACGTATTAACGACATAGAGTGAAGAAGAGAGGGAAAGGGAGAGAGAAACGGTGAATCCAACTTTTAGAAAAGCAAAAAGGTGAGCAAGAAGATAAGACCAAGGAAATTCGTGATGTGATTTCATTAATAATGCAGGGGTGATATGCTATCCCAACGGCTCGCTCTTATTGAAGCCGACATCTGCTTGTTGCCAGACGGTGTGTATAGGTGGTGTAATGGTAAAATTCGAAGAAAGTGTTTATTAGGATCGGGATCTAGGTGAGGTAGGGCTCGGGTGAGCTGGTGCTGGTGCAGTATTTGGATTCTGGGGACGAGAAGGGATATGATGGTCCCCTATAAACTCGGCGGAACTTCCTCCAGACAACGTAGTTTCATGAATATGATCACTAGCTCGATGCTGCTGGACGTATCCCATCCCCTTCAACTTTCCGCGTCGAGTAGTGTCGAAAGTCGCTGATGATGGGTTTCTTTGTCCCTGCGTTTGTCCCTGCGTTTGTCCCTGCGTTTGTCCCTGCGTCTGTCCTGTCGTGCTCCCACTGTCGCCCCGACGATGTGTCATCGAATCACTCGAGTCAATGGACATAGGCCCACTGTGGGTTGAGGACGAGTTGGAACCAAACGGCAGTCGTGACTGTTGTATAGCACGGGTAGAGAACGTCCGCTGCGGTATAAGAGCTTCGGAGTTTGGAGTCTCGTAATCTCGAGAGCTGGTACGTGAATGATAACGGCCTAGGAAAGGCTTGCCGGCATCGTTGAGTTTTACATCCTTGAGGTCGACGGAGCTACCGCGCTTGGAACTTTTGCGGGGGATGGTCGGTGGCCTTATGCGGAGGCCAATATGTGAGCTTGATTGAGAGCGAGTGTGAGGGCGAGACTGGGAGTTGGAAGCTGACGGGACATGGCGGGTACTTGTTCGGCTGGGGAGTTCGATGGCGTCTTCGATCAGGATGGGTGGTAGGACTGGTGCGTCGCTGCTCCTCTTGGTTTCGGGTTCAGTCTCTTCTGTAGCGGAAGGTTCTTTCGGAACGGCTGCCGAAGATGATTGTGTCGGCTCTGGATCATCTGTATATGGCTCCGCGAATCCGTCTTGTTCAGCAGTCGCGGGCTGAGGTCGCATTGCAGCCTGTGGAGGAGCACGAGAACTTCGAACAACCTCGAATCCTTTCCCCTTATCCTTTGTCTTGCCGCCAAACATACTCTTCAGCCATCCACTGGCCGAAGAGACTGGACCTGTAGGATCAGCGGGGCCAGTCTTCAACTTCCTCGTAGCAGAGTTAGACAATGCGGGCCCGCGCACTCGATAGTAGAAGTCGACCTCGCGAACCGCATAATCCGTTCGAAGAGCAGGGTCACCGTCACCGTCAGGATCTTCCCTAGGTGCACCGAGGTATGCAGGCGTTGGAGTTCCGCCGTTGGTTACAGGATGGTTCGCAATGACTTCGGCATGGTGGTCAGGATCCGCATCCGCGTCGGGAGTGTCAATTGCGCGACTTGATTGCCCGTTACCCAAGTCGCTGCTCGTCCACGAAGTGTGGCGTATCCCTTCTAGGGTTGCACGCCGTTGCCGGGGTGGCCGGTAGTACGGGTCTGCTGTCTCGTGTTTAACGTGCATATGCATGATGCCGCTACGCGGCGACCCGCCGCCGCCAGAAGCTTGTCCCGGCCCAGTTGAGAAGGCTCCAGGGGTGGTGGGAGTGTATGGTCCGCTTCCTGTTCCGCGAGGGTTGCTGGTGTTGAACAGGCTGCCTGTGCCTGATTCGAACCCAGTGCTTGCTCTGTCTATCCCTGGCCGGTTTAGGAGGACGGCAGAGCTGCCTGAGAAGCTGCGCGGCCGTTCGCTATCGAGCTGAGTAGATGGACGCTCCATGTCGACATTGAGCATGGTAGCTTCGGAATTAGTGCTCTGGCGCGGGCGGCGCTTTCTGGGGGAGCGGCGGGATAATTGGCGGACGCCAAATACCTATCAACGTTAATATACAGATGTTCATAAGTAACAATTGGGATCTCGTAGAATAGACATACCTTTACCAACCCTCCCCTGGCAGCCTCCCCTTGAGCGCCAGCATCACCTCCAGCTCCAGCCTGTCTAGCAACAACCTCAATCAAGGTCTGGATTGCATTAAGGAAGAAGCCAAAGATCAGCACCATGCCATGCAACATGAGAATAACATAGCCGATCCACCCCTTTGCCGAGTCCTGAACGTCCAGTGATGGCACAAAGGCTACACACAAGAGGATTGTCAGACACCGAACGAGTGCAAAAACGGTATGATATGCGTTCATTGATGTTGGGTATTCAAAAGGCCGGAACGCAATCAGGGTCAGTATCATGGTAACCTCACAGATGGCTAGGATGGCGATCTGCGCTATTCCAGAGGGCTGTACGGCGCCAATGGCTACGCCTCGCATTGCTGTCAGGAGAACGGAGATTAATGCAAAGGGAGCCGCCCCATCACTAAAAGTGTTGTACAAGGGTCCGTATAGGAGGACGGTAGGTAGGTCGTCGAAAAGGTATGAGCGCGGACGAGTGCAGATGATGAGATAGAGGAGCCACGCCGCGAACCCAGCAAGTATAACCAGCAGTATGACCGCTAAGGCTACGACGAAGATGGGAGACGAGGAAGCCACGACAAGCTGGAACATGGACAGCGAGACTCCAGGGAGGAGGAAGAAGTTGAAGACGATCCGGACGACATTTCCCAGGGTAAAAGAAAGGTTTTTCGACTGCAGGTCTTCCTCTGCTACATGGCTCACGTTGTGATGGATCCATCGGAAGGCGAAGCCTAGCTGTATGACGGCGGTGACGGAGCCGAGTATGACTAGAAGCCAGATGATCATACCTGTCCATATGTCTTCTGCATCTGTCATGCCGATGAATTGGCTCATCCGGTCGAGCCCATAGGTACCGTTGACAGAGTATACGCCGTCAACCAACGGGTCGGTGCCATTCCCCTGACTAACGAAACTCTGATTGAACATGAGCACCGACCAGCCCAGCTGGCTGACGACGGGCTGATAGTAGCCCGGATAGCTTAGCGTTAGGGAACCCGTGAGGATGATGAACTGGATGTATTGCAGACAATCTGCAAACCCAGGTGTGACCAGGCGTATGAGATCCTCATCCCGGCCGTAATTGCAGGTCCATCGGAAGATATCCGTGGTGCCCCATGGACTAAAAATGGCAGCGTATACGGTAGCAATGCCCACGAGAACCAGGATAGAGAGAGGGACGTATCCGAGTGCTGATCGAAGCGGAGGGCCCAGGTCCGGGGCAATATCGGCTACAATGCAGCTATATGGAGTCTTGTTGATATCTCCGGCCTTTACCTCGAGGGTAGCTAGTAGGGAAGTGAATGCGTATGAAGAGGTGACATTATATGTCGTCGAGAACGCGCGCAAGTCAGACCGAGAGTTCCTGTATGCTTCATTAGAATAGATCCGTTATATCTCGAGTGTAGGACGTACTGATTGACGTTAAACACCGGCCCCAAGGGACACTTTCCCTGGGTGAGGGAATCACAGAACGGAACGACCGACGAATTCGCAGCCGAGAAGCTGACGACATTGATCTCCGGAAAGAGGGTGGTGAATGTATTTGTCGACGGGTCAACACTGACTATCTTGCCCAGTGTCTCGTTCGGATTCGACCACCTCGGGTCATCTGGAGCCGGATATGGCTCCCTCGTCTCGGTGCCGCTCACGTTCCCGTACACGGTGACGTTGAGGTTCAAGGACGGCAGCGAGCTGTTGAAGTGCGCCGCGACGTAGAGAGGGATGAACTGCAGCTTGAGCGGGTTGGACTTGAGGATCGAGTCCGGCAGGCAGTTTCTGAACGGCACCAGGGCCGCCTGCGTGTTTCCCGCGAACAGGAGGAGGACGAGAAGCAGCCACGACGAGCAAGCAGACGGTAGAAGCGACATGGCGCGAGATGGGTATGCCTTCATCTGCATCTGCATCCGCCGGGGACGACGCGATCGAGGTCGAGGTGTTCGAGTATCCAGAGCATGTCGAGCTGGAGAGTTGAAGCCGTCGTGAAGCTCGACCATCACGGTCTCCGGGGCTGGATCCTTCTGTCCGCTGCTATCTTCGCCTGGCACGCAATTGACAGACGTTTAACGGTAACGATCGTGTTATGGAGAGTTGGGGCTTGTTGGAGTTGGTTGTGATGGTAACGATGTTGGCAACGGCGTTTCGTCGATTGTGATTGATGCGGGATTCCTCCCTCACTGTCCGGCATAAGAAGACATCACAGAGATACCCTCTACCACGAGAGAACAACGCGCAGAGACAGACGAAGCAGAAGAAAAGAAAGCAAATGTGATAGAGCCGGTGGATGGGAGCAGCAGAGACGGATCGTGGCGCAGGCTAGGTTGAGCCTATCAGCCAGCTAGCATCAGAGACAACTACGATACTACAACGACAAGAAGGATGACCTGGCGATGGCTACAGTCTACGGACAACGGAGGAATAGAGATGGTTAGTACGGAGTACGATGTCGAGATATCGTCGGCATCACGGTCAAACCTGCGACTGATCTCAGATCTCCAGGATTCTCCCATGCCCAAGCTCCAATCTCCGGTCTTCACCCTGATATCTCGTACCGGCCAACTAAGAACTGTACAGGGATGTCTCTCGATCCACGCAGCTGTGGCACGCGAGTGTAGTAGCCGTAGTAGACCTCGTAGTAGTAGTAGCAGTAGTAGTATGGTTAGAAGATAGGAGGCCCCTGAGACGCAGAGCTCCTTGTCTTCCCCTTCCCCTGGCTTGGTTAACGCGGCCGCTTTTTCGTTTCATCTGCAGGCCGACAGCACGTGAGCCCGAACTTCCTCCTCTTCTCCAGCTCATAAACTACGGAGAAGAGAAGAGAGACGACGAGAAGACGAGAAGAAGAGTGAAGAACAGTGAGAGAAGACGAGTGAAGAACAGTGAAGAACAGTGAGAGAGACGAGATTGATCGCTCGCTGTGCTGGGCGCTGTCGACGAACTCGCTGGCAGACATAGATCTGGCTACTCCTATCCCTACGCATATTTCTACCACCAGACATGTTCAACTCTCCAGACGGCGGCGGCTTGACGGCCGCTGAGACCAAGGTCGCCCGTAAATGGCGAGGGAAGCTCTTCTCCCGCGACAAAGACATCAAGTTGACCTCCAGAGACGAGCAGATTGACGATTTCCTGGCGTCTTCGCGCCCGCCCGTCCGCCATGACGTACACCACGTACAGCCGCCACCGCAACAGACACAACCAGCACCTGGATCTCACCCTGCGTCGGCCAGGAATCCGCCCAGACTAGACGTCTCTGTCTCGCAGCGATGGCCTGGTGCTGCATCGTCGCCAATCTCTAACCCTACAAACAGCTTCTCGCCCGTGGATCGTCGGGGAAACGGGGCCGGACACGCCTTTGGAAGCCCTGGTGGTGCCGGTGCAGGTACTGGTTCTGCCATCGGGAATGGGAATGGAAGCGGCATGAAGAAGAAGCGACGACGATGCGAGGGTCTACGGGTTACCTTCTGCGATAAACCGCCGGCCGTCATGGGCGAGGGAGGCGAGGAGGCCGACGCTCCCACGCAGGAGATATCGCTTTATCGTGCACGCTCCAATTCGTCCACATCACAATTCACAGACGGGGCTGATGGAGGTTCTTCAGACTCGGGATACCACGCTGGTTCCCCGGATACAGCAAGACAGCCGACGTTGCCTTCATTTGCCGTCTCGGGCCCAGGAGCTGATGCAGGCGAAGATGGGTTCAGGGCCAAGAAGCAGACATCGCCAGACATGCGCAATGCACAAAACTCGGATTTTCTCTTATCAATCAGTGCGCAGCCTAAAGGGTCACGGCTGTCATGGAGGGATACGAGCGAGGAGTCCTCCTTTGCAGAGCGGATACGGGCCAAGATGAGAGATGAGGAAGGGTTGGCGATGAAGAAGGCCCTGGGCGGTTCACAGACGGCTGAGCCGATGGAACAGGAACACCAACGCTCCCCTGAGAAGACTATGCCTGGGAGCTATGGCAGGGACCGTGAGAGGGATCGTGACAGAGATTACGATCGAGACTACGACAGGAATCGTGCAAGGGATCATGATCGAGACTATGATAGGAACCGTGACAGGGATTATGATAGGAACCGTGATAGAGATCCCGATCGAGGATACGGTAGAGACCGCGATAGAGGTGGTGGCTACGATAGGGTTGTTGACAGGAGCCATGGCAGGGAACCTGAACGACGTGATAACCATGAAAAGGACTACGACAAAAGTGGTGGCCAATCAGGGAGCCCTCAGGAACCGGCCAGCGCGAAATCTGGTCTATCCTTCTGGAGCAGCGTCATGGCTGCATTGCCAGACGAAAAGAACAAGTCACCCGATAGATACTCTCCTCCACCGAATCTAGCTCGTACTAAAAGCGTGAAACAACCATCTCCGCCTCCCTATGTCCGAACGGAATCCAAACAAGGATTTCACAATGAGACACCACAGCCTGACAGACTACAGCCCGAGAGACCGGCGGACATGGGCCACCATTCCAAGAATTCCTCCACCTCGTCAGCCAAACTGAGGAACATGGCTAATATGGTTGGAGATGCTGCATTGGCCGAATTCTCAACATACGTTGACCAGTATACTCCGCTCTTCTCGCGGGCTGCAGAAAACGTGAAACCCATGATGGAAACGTCTCTTTCGGAGTGGGTTCGTGCCAGCGTATGGTGGTTCATCAAGGGCAGAGCAGAGCTAGAAGCCTTCATGCGCACTCGGCCGTCTCCCAATCCAGCCAACGGAAGGCAATCGCCAGTAACGGAACAGTCGCAACAAGCTATCGTCAACTTGGCCAAGGCATGGTGGATCAGTCAACAGCTCATCCCCCAGCACCCAGAGCTTGCCAAATTTGGTAGAATGAAGCCAGATATGCTACTTGCAATGGCGCAGTCGATGAGCAACGATACCCTTGTCAGTCATATCAGCATCCATCAAGCTATCATCAGCCACCTGCGTGCCTTGTCCATGTCCATGCAACGGAACAGGATCATTCCTTCACCCACAGATCAGTCCGTCGGACTATCACAGCACATCGACACCTCTATTTGGATCCGATACCCGTTCTTCGCGCCGGGTATATCGTCCGTGCTTTCAGGCTCAGGTTCAAGGTCCATGCTGGTAGACCACTCTACCAAAAAACCCGATATAGGCGAGACGATGCCCATAAGTGACACAAACCGTCACTTCTGCTATGGCCGAATGTTTGTCGAAGTCTGTCTTAGTTCCAGCGATGATGACCAAGAGCAATATGCCATACCGTGCATGCTATCCATAACCCGCGACAGGTCAGATTGGCACGTCATTGCAACACTCACAAGCCAAAACGAGCTCGTCAACTTGACCATACAGACTGATAAGAAACAGGGCCCAACGTGGTCCGATATCGACTGGCAAGTTCGCTTTAACTCTCTCACCCTTCGCCTCCCCCGCGGATTTGAACTAGACATCAAGTTCCAGGAAGCGGATTTCAAAATGCTTTGGAAAATCGTCGAATATACGCGCAAAGTACAAGAGGATATGAAACCCACCGCTGGAGAAAGGATGGTGTTCGCTGATATCCTTAAAGTCTTCCAATATACGGAGAGCTCACCGAACAAGACATTCCCTGCCGAACCTACCCAACGCTGCAGGATACAGCTATTTGAAAAGACGGTCAAAATCACCGAGGGGACAGGCACACGCGAATCACACCGCGGTTTCCGCTTCTTCGCCGTCACCAGTCCCAAGGTGAAAACTCTCAGTAGCGTCTCGCATGTTCTGGGAGGCGGCGCCCCTATCACATTCGGCTACCTACGTGGTGACGACGGGGCACCAGCAATGATGCTCAAACACTTTGAGAAAGGCGTCGAGCACTCCATGCTACTTACTTTTCAGGACACCGAAGTTCGCGCAAACATGCACTCTTTGCTCATCGGTATCGCAACGTCGGAGTCAGAAGCGAAGTCGCCCGACCTCTCCCTACAGTCGTTTTCAATGATACAAGGCATCGATCCGCTTGGAAACTCCGGCGGCAGCACCGGTTCCCGAACAACCTATCTGAAATTCGACAATTGTACTGCATCTGTCATCAACACGAGGCCAGTAAACAAGCAAGGCGTGCCATGTACCGTCCTCTCAGAGCGACTGCGTGTCTTCGTCAGTTCAAGCTGGGGCTCCGTTACGGATAGGATTAACATTGGGCCTGGCGATTTGAAAATAAGCCTTGATATTAATGTTCCCACTGTGTTGAGCGTGATTAGGCCGCCGCAGCAAGATTTGGCGGTTGCTGTAGCGGAGAATATGATTCCAAAGGAGGTACCATCGCAGATGACAGATATGCTTGCCGTTTCGAGAGTGAAGCCGATTATTAGGAAGTACAAATTCTCGACGCTACAAGGTTAGTCTCTACCTATATACTGTGAAGATGAAGAACCTGTGCTAACTTTTACAAGACATGCATCAATTCCAGCAAGGCATCACCGGATTCAAAGTTTTGTTTGACGGGTAATATCCACCCCCTTCCTCGCTGTATAGTACATCACTAATCGTCTATAGGTATGCATCGATGTTCGCCATCGCCCGCCGACGCATGGTAGTCCCCATCTACAAGAAATGGGAAGCCTCCCGAGCCCGTCTCCAAATCATCCAACAAGAGAAGAACGTCCAACTAGTCGCCTTCCTAGCCGGATTCAGTCATGGCAGGAGCATGAATTTCGTCCTCAAGAGCACCGATAACTTTGAAAGTTTCAACCGCTCAGGTAAATATGGCATTAAGATTGTTGATGCCAAGTTTGCGCTGCCCAAGAACAGCGATGATGAGTCGGCCGATTACGTCTGCTTGGATATGCCGGAATATCCTGGCGAGCATGACGATATCACTATTGGCTTTGACTCGGAGAATGGTAAGATGCACTACACCACGCAGACGAGAACAGGTTTAGCTAACGTATCCTTAGATCGGTATAATTTCCAATCGGCAGTGCCTGGGTCAGTGAAGGAACCATCTAGAATGGGCTCATTGCGGAAATAAAGTCGATCGTGGCATTTCACATACGTATACCACTATGTACGGTGCTTTTGGAGTTTAGCGGGTTTATCTTCTCTTCTCTACTTCTTATTCTTCTTTTTTCGCTTCTTCTACTTCTACTTATCCTTCTTATTCTTCACCTCTCCCTTTACTACATTCTTATCCAGCGGGCTTGCGTTCAACCATCACCCTTTCGTTCGTCCATCGCTCATGTCGACACGAGACTAGATGACACTGTTTTTCTCACCCCAACTTCACCTTTTGTACTTCACCTTTTTCTCTTTTACTTTCTCTTCTTTACTTTGTCGGTTATTGCTCATGATGTGGCAGGTCGTTCCACTAGCGCTTTAGACCATGTATGCAGCTGGATATACCATTCAAGTTTGTCTTCACTGTCTTCCTGTCTCCTTCCCATATATCTCCATGGAGCGCGTAAAGTGCCACGTGACTTCGCGTTCGGCCTCGGCGCGTCGGCGGGGGAACGCCGTAATATCCCCGCCCTCCGCTTTGTTCTGTCTCTACCCTGCTTGCATCTGGTATCGGGGACGCCCTCCGTTATATTATACGCCCTTCAACCGCTCGCTGTGGTATATAGGTAGTACCAGTTATCTGGCTGTCGTATATCCTCATATATCAACAATCATCTATACCGCTGGACTGGAGGTATATATCATGGCAGAGGAAATCCAGAATAGCTTCGCCAGGATGGACTTGGAAGGGAGGGGCAGGTCAACTATTGCTCTACACGCCGATGACCCCCTGAATAACGTCACGGACGTGTCTCCTCCAATTCACTTGTCTACGACCTTTAGATACACAGACAACCCTGACGAGCTGGTTCCCGAGTCTGAGATCGATGTATGTACCTTGACCTTTACCGCATCACTCTACTCTATGCTAATTTCTACTACAGCATGGGAAGCAAGAGATCAACAAGTTCGTCTACTCCCGCTGCAGTGCACCGAACAGCACCCGCTTCGAGACCATCCTCTCCCCGCTGGTGAACGGACACTGTCTCGCATATTCATCTGGTCTCTCGGCCCTGCACGCTGCCCTAGTGTTCTTCAACCCACGCCATATCGCCATCAGGGGGGGATACCATGGTAGTCACGGTGTGATTAGTGTCCTTTCACGTCTCACAGGCTTGAAGAAGCTAGATATTGACTGTCCCGCCGAAGAGCTGGAGAAAGGCGATGTCATCCTCGTCGAGACACCTCTCAACCCCCATGGCACCGCTTCTAATATAGAGCATTATGTGAAGAAGGCCCACTCACGAGGAGCATATGTTCTCGTCGATAGCACGTTCGGGCCACCTGGTCTTCAGGATCCGTTCAAATGGGGCGCAGACATGGTCATGCATTCAGGTACCAAGTACCTCGGAGGCCACAGTGACATGCTGTGTGGTGTGCTAGTCACCCAGCGCAAGGACTGGTACGCATCTCTCTTTGAAGACAGACTATTTATCGGCAGTGTCATGGGCAACCTAGAGTCCTGGCTGGGTATTCGAAGTCTGAGAACGCTGGAGATCCGTGTCCAGCGACTGAGTCAGAATGCCACCAGCCTCGTATCCTGGCTCGATGCTGCTCTGCACAAGGGCAAGGAAGGTGCATCTGAGACTACTGTCACAGTCACAGACGAGGAGGCCAACCTTGTCCAAAGGACGGTGGCTAGCGTCACCCATTCCAGTCTACAGAAGGACGATATGGAATGGCTATCAAAGCAGATGCCCAACGGGTTTGGGCCGGTCTTCTCTATCATGATGAAAGAAGAGAAGTTTGCACGCGACTTCCCATCGAAGCTGCACTTCTTCCATCATGCTACTAGTCTTGGTGGCGTGGAGTCGCTCATTGAATGGCGTGCGATGAGTGATGCTACGGTCGAGAGAGAACTACTCAGGGTCAGTGTTGGGTTGGAGAACTGGGAGGACCTGAAGGCCGATATAGTTGCCGGGTTGAAGGCCATTGTCGAGGCATAGATCTGTACTGCATCGTATCTTAATTCTTTACTTATAAATTGTCAATGAAATACCTTCATCTTGTCTTAAAAACTCCATATTCACCCCACAGGATGATTAGTCATCGATGCAAGTTGGCCTCGGGAAGTTGAAAGATCAATTTATCCATGACAACAACGAAGAAAAGAACCAAAGAGGACGATCAAGAAGAGACCAGATACAGATCCTAATAACCAACATACTAACGCCACTCGCTACCCTACCCATGACCTCCCCAGACATTCCATCCTCCTTCACAGGGACGTTTCAAATCCACTACTTCGCCAGCGCCGCTTCGTACACGAAGAAGAACACCGAGTCCTTCCCCGCTCCCTACCCACTATGCAGACTGTTTGATCTCCTCGAGTCACACTACCCGGGCATCAAAGGCAAGGTTCTCTCTAGCTGTGCCGTCAGCGTCCGTATGGAGTACGTGGACGGGGAAGAGCTTGATGTCGGGACAGCAACGGATAAGACGAGGATGGTCGAGTGCGGGGATGAGGTTGCCATTATTCCGCCTGTCAGCTCAGGATAGGCCTGCTTGAGATACAGTTTCTATCTTTTCCTACGACGGGTTTATAGATCAAGCGAGAGACTTCATTGCATATACATCAACTCGTTATGTCACAAACATTTCCCTTGCTACCAACTTTGCTCTACTCTGGCCCGGCCTGGAAGGCCTTGCCGGCGACCTCTGGCTGCCACTTGGCCTTGTCCTTGCAGTAGATCTCGACAGCTGCCGGCCACTCCCTGCTGCCCTCGAGCGTCGCCGTGCGGACAACGTACTTGTCGTCGCCCATGACAGTTTGATGATGGTATATGTGGGTGGAGCAGGTGGGGCAGAAGAAGCAGTGGACAGGGTTGCCTTCTTAGTCAGTTACAAGAACTAGATATAGATCTGATATCGATCTGGATCTGGATATAGGAGCTGGAGAGCACACCTGAATCACCGGTGTAGGTGTACTTGGTCAGAGGGCCCTTCTTGATCTCGAGGTTGGCCTTGGGCACGATCTGGTTGAGGGTGTAGTCGCTGCCGTTGATGTCTTTGCAGGCATCGCAGTGGCTGGCCCGGGTCAGCAGCTATATACATCTATGCCGATGAAGCTGGAGCTTACCAGAGGATGTGAGACTTGTCCTCAACCTTGACTGCGTATTCAACTGCACCACAGTGGCATTTTCCGCGGACGGCCGACATTTTATCTTATGTTGCTCTCGGCTCTTGTTGTGCAGGCACGGATTTGATAGATGAAGAATGAAGACAACAGAGAAGCAAACCACAATAAACGGGCCTTTTATAACTATAAACATCAGGCCACCCCCGCGTTCCCAGCAGCTTTAAGCTCCTACACTTGCATTATTATTAATATATCTACCCGGGAATCCTGATGCTGTATGACGTCCCTCCCAGCATCCCGCCAACCATGCCGCATGCCAGCCAGAAATGATTACACATCGTATAGACCAATCACCAGAAATCAGTCTACTCCAACGTTCATCCGCCTCCTACTCTGCTTCGTATATTATCCCGAGTAAACCTGGCGGAAGCTGGGCTGCTGCCGGCGCTGGTTGGCCGCTTACATAACGGGCGAGCAAGGGGCAAAAACGTCGCTCTCCCTGGGCTGGAATCTCCAAACTCGAGATCCAAAGCGAGAACTTGTGTCTTTTCTTCTTCCGACTAGCGATTACGACCTAGACCTCCGTGATGCTGGAGAAGCTCGTCTTGTACAGCGTCCCTCGGCCCATGGCAGCGATCATACTAGCTCTCCGTTTCCCCGTCGCGATGACTGCCATCCTTGCGTTGTGATATTAGCCCGTGTATACATACAGCAGCTCATTTCTTTTTAAAAAATTCTCTTTATATTTTTTATATCTTCCTTATCCTTGCACACACGATGAGACGCCATGTCCTTCACTACTACTAATCGGTCCGTTGAGAAACCCTCCTCGCTAGCATGTCTTGCGTGCCGGAGGAAGCATCTCAAATGCGATGGCGTTATGCCGGCCTGTGGACGGTGTCGCAAAGGCCAGCTCGGATGCCACTACACTCCCTCTCGTCGAGGATATAAGCCTGACTCCAGAGGCCAGTACGCAGTCACATACGCTCCTACGCCGATACTGACGCCCTCGCCCGAATTTACTCTCCCAACCGGCATCCAGTTGACGCCGCAGCTCTCTACGTTCTCATTCATTAGCACACCCCTTCCAGGTACCACCGCGGCCACGGAGGATTTCTCTTCGGACCAGAGTAGCTCTGTTCCTATCTGGAAGGCAGCAGACCATCATAATCCCTATGACCAGACGTCCTTGGGTGCGGGCAGACCGGCGGCTGCGTTGGGGAGCCAGTATCCCACGACGGACTTACGCGGAGACTCTTACCTCATCGACTTCTATTATGCATACTTTCACGACTCTCACCCCATACTACCACCCGTGCACTTCCTGCCTCGAATGTACCCGCTCCCAGCCTGCTTGGAAGCTACTATCAAGTTCATTGGCGCACATTTCGTCACCGATATAACACCCAACGCATACCGATCAGCCGTCACCGCAGCAATTGCGGAGAGTGAGGAATCCTGCTATAAAGTCCAGGCACTGCTCCTGCTCTCGATCACCTTACATGGACGCAATGAAAGAGGGGAGGGTGTCAAGGCGTTCACGGAAGCAGCAAGGCTGGCGATGAAGTTGGGCATGAATATGAGGTCCTATGCCCCAAGCGTCGTAGGCGAAGACCCGGTCATGTGTGAGAATATAAGACGGACGTGGTGGGAGGTGTATATGATTGATGCGATGTTTTCCGGGTTCGACCAAACGCCCTGCCAGATTTCAAGCAGTGTCATCATGGACGTTCCCCTCCCATGCGACGACATCAGCCATTCAACTGGCATATACCTGACCGAGCCACCAACTGCCGCTCAATTCTATGACAGAATCTTTGAAGATGAGGAAGATAGCAAGGAGTACTCGTCGTATTGCCACGCAATCGAGGCGTCGAGGATACTGAAACGCACGCTCGACCTTACCTATGCTCCAGAAGATCCAGAATATGATCAGATAGAGTCCATAGATGCAAACATTGGCAGCTGGTTCCACCACCTACCCCCTTCGAAACGCGATATTCTTGCAGTAGACGACGAAGTGGATCAGATCATGTTCCGCGCGTTCATGATAATCCACTGCGCATCGATATACTTACATACACCCCAGTCCAACCTTCTCTCCACCCCTGTAGCCATATCGAGCATCCCCTGTGCTAGACGATGGATACGGTTGTTAAGAACAAGCCCCTCCACAAACCTAACCCACGCCATCAAATCTATCAAAGCCGCCAACGGCCTTGCAAACCTCGCAGCCCTGAGATCACCAGGAATAAAACATTCGCCGTTTTTCATCTGCGGCATGGTCCTGAGCGCGCTCGTTCAGCTCTGTGCATGCTCCGTTCGTGCGTCCGGAAAGCTAGAGCCTCGTCGTGATCGAATCGCCCTGCTCATCGGAGAACTCAAATCCTTGGGGCCAACCTGGTCGATATCCAGACTGGTAATGCGGCATATTAAGATGGTTGCGAGAGAGGTGCTTGAGATTGGCGTTCGACCGCCTGCTTACTCGGCCATAGAAGATAATGGCCCAGACATAGTCACCATCGTCAACAGCGATCTATGGCTAGGAGATATTCCTCTTGAATGATTTTCGGTATCGTATCAAACCTAAGCAGCCTTCTTTTTCATGTTTTTCATACTTGGAGAAGAAGTCGGTTTTTGGGAAGGCGAGAGGGCAACATCCTATCCTCCCCCCTCCCCTATATATATATATTTATATATAACTATATGCCCTCCCGTTTATTTTAACATGTCCGCGGGGGCGCACGGATATTTTTTTCCTTTTTCCATTGATTCGATTCCGGACGCGTTTTCGCAGTCGCCGAGTCCATGTAGGCGGGATACGACGAACCTAACATATTATTAGTAACTGGCCTGTCGTTGATGCTGCATATCCCGCGGGCTCTGACATTGATACATTACTACTATTGGTTTTCGGCCTTCATCGGCGATCAACGATACGGCGATTGCGTCTCTCCATCTATACACCGGCTGAAGCCCGGTTGAATCATCTGCGTTGCAAAAATATGTCGATATGTCCAATCTTCCCACGCCTGGGCGTGGGGACAGGTTGGCCTTCTTTTTCAGTTTTCGGGGTTCTGGCGGGTAAAAACTTTCGGGTCACTTTTCCACTACGTCAATCAACATTTCCTTTTTTTTTTTTTTATCAAACTGCTATGCATGGGGCTTGGGCACGCTCGTTTTTTTTTTTTAATTATATTTGTTTTATTTGAGTTTTCACAGATCATAGGCGACGGTGAAGGAGTTTGAGAGGTTGAGAGGGAGCGCAACCATTTCCACATCTATCCATCATTTATACCAAGTTGTGCAAGGCAGGGGAAGAAACGGCTGTTCCGTAGTCATGCTATTTAATAATTAATAAATTAATCGACACATCGAACACATGGAAATCCAGAAATATTAAATGTTATTCATATGCTGGTCATAAGTTAGATCTATCTCTTCATAGATATCCTAGCGCAACCGGTTCATTTTGCCCATACTTCCACAAAAGCTCCTCCCACATATCATTACGTATTACACTATAACAACAACAATAATAATAACAGCGATGACCATCGACGCGATACTACCACGTAGCATCACTCAAGTCTTCTTCATATACAGTACGATCCATCCCAGGATTCGATAGACTGCGGTGATTGCAATGAGAATGCCGGCCCACTGGCCCTGCTTGTCGGTCGCGTAGCCAAACGCATCCAGGACACCTTTACCAGAGATTTTGCACTGGGATACTAGTTCGCTAGTATACATGCACTGGCAAGACTTTCCACATTCGAAAACACGGCCTGAGAATTCGTTGACCATCATTCCCTGGAAGACATATGTCTGATTGGCCAAAGTGGTTAGCTGTTGGTTTTTCTTCTTCCATTGTTTCTTTGTTTGCTACATGGAAAAAAGGAAACAAACGAGGGGGAGAGAACAACAGAAAACGTACCTGGTAATCGATATAATGGAAGACATATTTCCAGAATACGTTCAGAATGGCGGGTGCAACCATGAAGCCGCCAACGCTCATCCATACACCATTCGTGAATGCAGTCAGCGCCAAAGCCACGACAAAGTTAGGAAACAGCGATGCAATCATGACTACAAGGGACTCGGCGGCCAGCAGGTCGAGGAAGAGCCAGAGCACTAGAGTGAAAAAAGTGTCTGCGCCTGAGCGGAAGTTTACAAGCCAGTAAGCTACAACGGCGAATATTATGGTGATCATGACTGAAGGAGGTTAGCTGATGATATTATAGAATGATCGCGGAGATGGAGCTGAATGCATACATAGGAATGGCATTCCAATGAGGAAATTCGAGATTACGAACGACGTTGCGCCGTATAGGCCGTTGGCTCTCTCCTTGATGAAGGTTGCGCGATCTTCAAGGTACGAGGGAACATAGGCGACGGCCATAAACGACATGAACGCGGAGCAGAAGAACTATGCAAAAATGATGTTAGCATCGAGCTATTCGCCTTATTGTGCGATTCCGAGCCACTCACCAGAGCATTGATATATGGCTGAATGTTCTCCTGGCCAGTTCCCAATCGCAACCAGACAGTTCCCTCCATGATGGCCAAACCAAGATACATCGCGACTCGGATACCATATGCCACCACATCACGGCAACCCTTGATAAAGGACCGATGAAGAAGAGTGATTATAGTCGAGAATATGTTGACATGCTGAGGCTGGTCGGCGGACAGAGTGATATTTCCCTCCTTTTCAGAAAGCGTAGTGAGTCTTGAGATTTCGAGATTCACATTTGAAGCTTCTTCTGAATCTTCCCACTCCTGGTGCAATTTAGCCAATTCAGCCTCTGCTTCGTCGGTGTTGCTTGCGAAATCTGTGCTGACAAGATCAAGCACGAACTCTGCTGGGTTGATTTGAAGGGGCATCGGGTGTCCCATTTTATCAAGGTAAGCCTTCATTTGCGCCCCCGGGCCAAAGTAGCAGGTCTTCCCTCTAGATAGGATGAGAAGCTTGTCGAAAGACTGAAACATCGACGTGGAAGGTTGATGAATGCTTGCGATTACGATGAGCTATTGGGACATCGATCTCAGCATTCATAACGAGGAATCAAAAGCCAGGAATATCATGGATACACTTACGTTGTTCTTTTTCGCGAGGGCCTTTACGAAAGACATAACCTCAAAACTGGCGGTGGAATCCAAGCCGCTGGTGGGCTCATCTAAGAAGATGATTTTAGGGCAGGTAATCAACTGAGCGGCCACGCTGACACGACGCTTCTGTCCACCACTGATGCCCTTGCGAATTGGGGTGCCAATCAAGGTCTTGGCCTGGTTTTGGATACCGAAAGAATTGAGCAGATATTTGATACGCTGAATTCGATCTTTCTTTGGAATTGATCTGTTTCCATAGTTAATATCGCACGAAGCCTGCCAGCCCTCGGATGAACGAACCTTGAGAGTGACAACTGGGCAGCGAAATAGAGCGTCTCCTCAACGGTCAGTGATCCGATGAGGACATCCTCCTGTTCGACATATGAGCTCAAATGTCGGAACGTCTCTCGCGATGCAGTTCTGCCATTAACAAGGACGTCTCCGTTGACACCATCGCCTAGACTGCTAGCTCGACCCGCAAGGACATTCAACAGAGTCGTTTTCCCACTTCCGGATGGGCCCATAAGCACCATAAGTTCACCTGGAGAAAAAAAAATCAATGCATTAGTTCATTGGGATTTCTGGCCGGAGCCATTTCGGAGACTTACCTTTATTGACATAACCGCTGGCGTTCGAGAGAATCGCTTTGGGCTGTTTCGTTTCTCTATCCTTAACGGTCACAGTGACGGATTTCCAGGAGAAATGGTCGACGGTGGCATTCATAAGAAAGGGGTGCTCATCCCCATTAGCCTCAAGGTCCGAACCCATCGTCGGCAGATGCTCGTCAATTGGTATTGAACAGAAGGGCCGTCTCGTCTCGCTCTAGAACGCTCAATTGAAATCAAACAAAACCGAAAGTCATCAATGCACGGTCGTCACAGTATATAGATAGAAAGCAAACCAGCAACCGGAAAACCACGACGAAGAGAAGAACAGGACGCACCTGGAAGACCCTTGTGGGTAACGCGTATATAAAGGATGGAGTACATGGGACCCTGCGAGGGGCATGGCCCCATCATCGAGGTGCGGTTCAGAGGTGCAGTAGCCCAAAGCATCAGGATGGAGTAGTGCCCTTTTCGATCATTACATCCGGCACTATACGCCGGGATACAGCTACCGTTTACTATGTTCACAAGCGCCAGGGTAGGCTACTAACCTCTCCTATTGGGCCCTGATAGCGAGTGCATCCTGCGAGTCAACGAGTGCATCATCGCCATGCATCGAGAAGCCCGACGCATACTTTCGATCCTTAATTCTCGCGCAGGAATTCTATGTTGGGAATTTTTAACTACTTCAGCTACTTCAGCTTCGTCAGCCCCGACGGCCACGGTACCATTGCATACAGCGAGCTCGGTTCTTCGTACGGCCAGCTGACAGGAGACAGGACGACGGCGAAGTGCGGTGAGTTCGTCCCGCAAGATGGTCAAGATTTAATCCGGGATCTGACCCTTGGAATTTCCCCTATCAAGTTAGTTGCGGGGGTCTATGGACCGTCCTCCCGCCCGAAGCACGGTGTCAGCGCAGCAGATAACACGAACTTTGGTAAGGACACCCTGGGTCAAAGCGGGAGAATTCCCCATGGCCGCTCTTCTTGCGTGTTGAGGCGCTGATGAAGATGGACCCTGGGTGGAGTGAACTGCGCTGGCATGGCCAATTGGGCCGGGCTCCCTGGACAGGGTCATTTCGGCCATCCCTGAGGCAAAGAAGTCAGACCTGCGTCTTGAGCAGATACGACGCCACATGCTGTTAAATATCCGCCAGCTGGTCGACATGTAAACGGAGTGACCATCGCTTCGTTGGGAGAGTACAGCATTGATATACCACATCCTCGGTCGTCAAATATCTTCTGATAATATTCCTATCGTGCAGAGTACGGAGAATATCTATAGAACATACAAGCCTGTACGGAGTATTTTCTCTTCCTTGCTTGGGAGTAATATGAGAATTGTGCTCCGTACTCTACTTATAGGCAGGAAGAAGAATCCAGCCATGGGAAGAGCGCTTACCTTTGGGCAGGTACTCGCAATAGATACCTACTGCGGTCCGTATAAATGATTATGGCAGCACAAACAGTAAAGACACCGATGGTGAAGTTTATATCACTAGTCAAACAGAACTGATCAGGTATGTAGGATCTAGATTTTATATCTAAGTCATTAAAATTCTCTATAATACATGGTTAATATGTCTAATTCTACAATAGTAATACAGTGAAGATTGTCCGATGCAAGGGAATAGGATAAAGCGAGGTCCTCTCCCAACAAGTTGGACGCTCCCTTAGCCAAGTCAACTCTAAGCTTTTTGGCGCAGCTGCAGATGATAGGTCTGCAGCGATTCTTCAGTCATAGGACTAGGTGTCTTCACCATCGGGTCCTCGCCCCGGTTACCCTTTGGAAATGCGATCACGTTACGAACACTCTGCGTGCCTCGCATCATAGCGATCAACCTATCGAAACCAAGCGCGATACCCGCGTGGGGGGGACAGCCAGCCCTGAGGCATTCCAACAGATGCGAAAAGCTTTCGAGGCGTGAAGGCGGAATTTTGAGGATTTCGCGGAGGACAAATTCTTGGACTGCAGCTGAGTGGATTCTTCGACTTCCACCGCCAAGCTCAACGCCATTTACGACCAGATCGTAATGATCGGCGATCGCTTTCGTGGGATCTGTTAAGAGAAGGGTAGCATCCTCGGGTGTTCGGGGTGCGGTGAAGGGATGATGGGTTGAAGCTATCCCAGCGGTACCACCTTGGCCAGGTTCTGACTCGACCGACGGGGAGAAGAGAGGGAATCCGGTAACCCAATGGAAATTAAACCCCGCTGGCGGGCTGTGGAACTGTAGTTCAACCATATGTTTTTGTATTGCGAGACGTAGCTCGCCGGCTCGGGTCGAGCCTCCGCTAAAGGGTTCATGCTTCCGGGCCTGGAAGACGACCAAGTCACCGTGATTCAGCTCGAGTAGCTGCTCTACTTCCCACGCTCCTTCGAACCCGACGGCAAATAAGCCAGAAACAGGCTTCGTAGAGTCAAAGACGAAGGTTCCTGGACCTCCATCGGGGTTGTCGTTGAAATATTTGCCCTCCGGGGACTCCATGAAACTTTTTAGAGCTTCCATGGTTTCCTGCGGCGAGCCATTCCCTTCTACCTTGAAAGCTTCAACAGCTGGAGAGCTCAAAGAACTGATCTTGCTTATGAAATCTGAAGGTAGTAGTTGATCGACTCGATGAAGCTTCATATCAAAGCGGGTATCTGGCTTGTCGCTACCGTATGAGCCCATAGCCTCGTGATATGACATGCGCGGAAACGGTTCCGGTCCCAAGGGCTCTGGCATAACGGAGGCCCACAGTTTCTTGACGAGAGACTCGGTGGTAGTCATAACATCTTCAGCCGTTGCAAAAGACATCTCCATATCAAGCTATTTCCCACCATTATTAGTACGAGTCATCCCAAAAAGATGTAGACATTGGTACTCACCTGAGTAAACTCAGGTTGCCTATCAGCACGTAAGTCCTCGTCCCTAAAACAACGTGCAAACTGGTAGTATCGGGGGATACCACTCGCCATAAGCATTTGTTTGTATTGCTGAGGACTTTGAGGCAACGCATATGCCAACCCTTGATTCCTCGTAGGGACTAGGAACTCCCTAGCGCCTTCAGGAGTAGACTTGAACAATATGGGAGTCTCGACTTCCAAGAATGGCGGTTCGCATTCCTCCAACGCTCGTCGTAGAGCTGCGTTTGCCTTTGCTCTGAAGGCTAATGACTGGCGAAGCGAGTCGTCATTGCGGATCTGTAAGTGTCTCTTATTTGGCGGAAAGACGGTGTCGGCAGTAACTATGATATCCTTTGGAAACTCATTCAAACATTGTATATCTTGCAGCTCCACCTCCACCCTGTCAAGATTGTTCTTGCCATCTGGCCCACGATTCTGAGGTTGATTCTCTTTCGATTTAACGATCCCGTGAATGACGACGGCGCTATTCGGCTCAATTGCTTTCAATGCGCTGAGAGTCTGGGGCTCTGAGACGACGATTTGGACGCTTTGCGAGAGGGTAGGGTCGGTGAGTCGAACGAATGTCATGTTCTTACCGATTTTCCTCCGTTTGCCAATATAGCCGTGGACTATGACAACTTTTCCATTGTTTTCTTCTTTATACAGATCTCCAAATATAGTAGACGCAGGAGGGAACTGAACTATGCCGTTCTGTTAGCGTTATCTTCATACCAACTGAAGGAGATTCTCACTTGACTTCGAGTACTGCTCTAGAAGCGGTGCAGCCCCAGCTAAGCTGTCACTCGAATAGAGACGGCTCCCCCTCTGGAGTGCGCATCTCAAGTGCAAGGGAGATGATGCTGTTGCTCGGCCTCGGAAGTAGTTTGATATTTCGATAAAGCTCTGCCGGCGCGCAATCGCATTCCCAAGACGTAACGGGCGAGCTGCACTGCGCAGCACTGGCATCATCGTCATCTCATGAGAATCGACGGACGCTGATATCCAGAATTAAACGAACGGCGTGAAGATACTCCTTCAAAGCTGACATCTATTGTCTGAAATGTTAGAGCTCGTTTCTCTCAATCACGTGATCATATGCACTAACAGCAAAACCTTTAAAAACATTTTCCACTCCTTTTTCTCTTTTCTTTCTTCATCCTTCCAAGTTTTATTCAAGTGAGTATTCGAGTCAACCAGCATTGTCATTCTCGCGAGACGTATATATTTTCACGTGTATTAACCTTATACTTCTCTGTAGATGATGAAAGCCTAGCGTGTGACATATGATTTCTGCTCGCTCCCCTTCGACATGGAAAACTCTCCCTTCGCGGGCTCAAGTGGTCTTCCATGAAGATGGTTGGAGGGAGAATGATATCGGCGTTCGGCACACCCACCTTGTTACTTCACGGACGCGATGAAGGCATCTCTGATCAAAATATTACTTGGAAGGCGTTTTTTTCTTCGTCTAAACTGCTGTTAGCGTGGGGTTGGTGTGCTCAATGCGTGCGTTATCCAGATCCCCAGAAGATTCTCACGTTGCGGGTGCTAGAACACCAATGACGTTGGATCCGGATCGGTGGTATCGACACGGTGGGAGCTCGGTCCAGATGTGTGATGAGTCACTTTTAAGGCAGCGCCGATGGTGTGTTGGCAACCTGTTCTTAAAAAAAAAAAAACAAACAGAAGAACCGGAGTGATAGTAGAGCATTTTTGCTTCTTGACCGGTAGAGGGCCCACAAGGAATAGAATCAAACACCGACTAGACAACCCCATTTGCTCGGCAGCTATGGGGTCATCATAGCAGGCTTATTATTTGCTGGCGAACATGCCTCCTCCATCCCACGCCCTCTTCAGCCAGTCTCGCGTAATTTCCCGTCACGTCCCATGTATATATTCCTTGTATTCGGAGATTGTTGACAGCATCCCCGCTTAGCCCGTTGCCACTTTCCGAATAATCTGACTATTGTTTTAAATAAATGCATAAATCGCACAAGGGCCGTTGACGAAGCTAGCAGAAAAGCTATTCAGCTCGTTTTCGCGAACAAAAAGGGCCAAAGGGCTGTCGTCTCCACGTGATGGCGCCTGGTGGATCGCCCGCAGAAAGCTCCGTGCACAGACCCCTTTCCACATCGCCGATATATAAAAACTTCGTGTTCAAAGGTAAACGAGGTGAGAACGCCGACCTCGAGTTAGGGACGCCGCCACAGGGGTTGAGTGTTACAGAAAGAGGGAGGGACATCCAGCTCTGTCGACATGCGCAATATTGATGGTGCAATGTTCGGATATGCCAATGTTTACGTTCGTCCCTGAGCCCCTGCAGAGTAATCTATCAGCGAGCCTATCGATCGATCGACGGGTTGGCAGACAGTCACCCCACGCAAGCTGTTCCTTTGGCGAAGGCGGCACGTCGAGATGACGCTAAACAAGAGTACCCTCTCCGTACACATGGCTGCACGACCTTCTGGAGATCAGACACCAAGGGGCACGCTTGCCGGATTGGTTCAGGTGGCAGAGACACGAATGCATCACTCGAATAGGAGATCTAGAAGCGAGGAGGGTTTCTCCCTGCAAGGTCCTGCCTCCGTATTATTCACAGACTTTGCTATACCCATGTCACTGCAAAAACTGTTTTCCGGCTAGCCGGAAGCGCCCACAACCGAGGGAGGAGCTTGCCTGTCGTGGATTGACATAAATGTGGCGGCTCTCGAACCAACACCACCACCACCATTTCATGTTTTCATCGTTCGGATTTATCTTGTGCCTTCATGGCTGCAGCACTCGTCCTTCAGCCGTTACACAGATCTCCGAAAGTCTAATGGCATGGGGGTGCGCTGCTGGCTGCTCAAAGATGCCATTATTTTGTTTGTTACAGCCATTGTTAGCTGAAGGTACTCTTTTTCCTCCGCGCCTGAAATATCGAAGTCTTAGATGGCACATCTCCAACGAGTCGACCGCGAGGAGCTCAGGGCGTTCTGTCCACTGTCCGCAGCCATGCTAATCGCACCGCCGGAGGTCGTCGCAACGTGGCCAGAGCCCAATTACGTCAATCCTGAGCACCAGGGTCCGCACTTGACGATTATTGTAGTCACTTGCTTCATATTGTCTTCGATCATTGTCGGACTACGAACATACGTCCGACTGCGGTTGAAGAAGAACGCTGGCTGGGATGACGGGCTCATGTTGTTTACACTGGTATGATATAGCTTTCGAGACTTATTACAGATGCACAATGTACTTGGATACTGATCGTTTTCTTTAATGGAAAGCCTCTCTTAGCTGGAATTACTGTCTCGAACGTAATTGGCGTTTACCATGGCTGGGGTAAGGCTGACGCTCGTCGTTTCTATACCAATTCTACTGTTGTGCAATACGGTTAACATTTGAAACTGTGTCAGGTTACCACATCTGGGACGTTAAGCCTGAATGGGGCGTCACATCCCGCCTGGTATGATGTGACTTTCCGCTGATTCTATACATCTAGAACTTCGCTGACAAGCCTCACCTCTACTATAGACCAGCTGGTGCTCTCAGTTCATGTCCGTGATTGTCGCCACGATGGTCAAAGCATCGATTCTGATTTCGTACTTGCGGTTTTTTTCCGAGACGGACAAGGCCCTTAGACAAGGTACTTGGATTATGCTCCATATAGTAGTAGCGTGGGGACTCGGTATGCTTCAGCTTTACCCATCTACTGGAGAATTCTCCGAACGGTAACAGCAGCTAACAGTAAAATGTCTGCAGCAACTGCATTACCTTTACTCTTTGCCTGCAAGTAAGGCTTCCTTTTTAAATTGTGTTCTTTCATATTATTCGCGTTTTCCTTACACGCTAACACCACCTCTCAGACCGTTATCAGATTACTGGACCGATCCATTACGACGGAGTTGTATGAATAATGGCGCCCGTATTATCAGTGGCTCGGTCCCCCACGTTCTTACAGATATCATCATTTGGATGCTTCCGGTTCCAACATTGTGTAAAATGCATCTCCCTGGCCGAGAGAAAGTGGTTCTTATCATTCTTATGAGCTTTGGTCTTATGTACGTGTGCAGCACCCTGTTCAGGGATGACTATATCCTATTTGGATGACGTTGACTAATATCGGGTCCGAGCAGTGCTTGTGCTGCGTCCATTGTGCGGCTTGCTTATACATACGTGATTCTTTTTGTATCATACGACTCAACTTGTAAGGCTACCCTCTTCACATCCGAGTTCCCCCGCTTTACCCGCTTCACCCACAACCCGGACCGTTATTGATTTTCGCTCTCTTGTTACAGGGGTTGGATACAATCTTTGGATATGGAATGACCTCGAAGTCAATTTGGCTGTTATCTGTGCATCCTTTCCCGTGCTCCGGCCATTGGCAAAGCTATATCTCCCGAACTGGGGATCCAATATCTTTACCTCATCTGCAGACAGTTTGCCCATGGAAGCTCAGCCGTCAGGGCAAAAGGAACTGCGACTTGTACCACTTGAATGGAAAGAAGACGAAGAAAGTATACGAGAAAAGCCTGAAGTTCCGAAACTGCCTCCTCTCAAGGGTCTAGACGATAAAATCGATTTGGCGTATCCGCCACAAGTACGCCATCCCACGAGCCAGCAACGGGAGTGAGAAGGCAGCTGCGGCTTTGCGCACGGATACGGCACGAAAGCGCCATCGCCGAGGGCAATTACCACAATTAATACCCATGAAATCCTCCAATCGAGCCACTGCGGCATTACCTCCTCCGTCCGAGCACAATACGTTGAGAGAAACTTCATGCGAGCTTAAACCCTGCTTATGGGTCTCACTTGCATCCCCAAAGTTGTCGATAACATGTAACTTGGCTGGGGATGATGAATAACCTGTTCCTTGGGATAGAACGTATGGAATGCGGGGTTTAAAAGGAGATAGAAAGGAGGTAGATAAAGGGGAAATCTCAACTATACAAGAGATGTTCAGGTTATCTGGCAGACCTGTCTGTGCTGCGGCATGATAGTCACCTTTTAGCACCAGCAAGTGCCAGTGTTCATTTAATGCCCGCCTGGAGCGGGTTTTTACTTGGATGTACATTCTAGAACTAAAGACCTAGATAACAATAAACACTAAGTTCATTTTGTCTCAATAACTACGTCTTCTCTTTTGTTTGCTTCCCATCTTATCTGCGCATCTCGGACTCACTAACTACCCGGCCCCTCCATACACTTGCATATAATATTACTCCAGAACTTGCGCCTGCATACCCGCTGTCCCACCGACCGTTGACATAGCCTACGTCGGGGATACAAGGCCGACATCGACACCAGCAACGCTTGCAAGATGAATAGGCTCTTTCGGAAGGAATTGCCTACTCGGGTCGGCCATCTCGGGACAAACTGATCAACGCCCTTCACGGGCGCTAAATGCTAAAATACGACGATCAATATAGCTTTCTTTGGTGCTCGTAACCACTTACAAATACAAAGGTGAATATCCCACGGGTAGTCAATTGCCCCGCTTCGGAGTTGGATAGATTATATGGCCTGATCGTGCTATATAAATATATACCCCGTTGACCTCTCCTTCTTGCCCTCCTTCAATAATCTACATCCAGACACTCCAAAACATTCTTACCAACACAACACGAATTATCCACCAACTATCCACCAAATACCAGCGACTATGGCTTCTCCAGATGAAAGAGCTCTTCAGCTTCGTAACCTGCATATTCCAGGGAAGCCTCTGGTGTTCGCCAATGTTTACGATCCATGCACCGCCCGCATAGTGGCATCAAACCCATCATCCACTGCTCTAGCAACAGCCAGTTACGCAGTAGCAGAAGTCCATGGCCTAGCTGATCCTGATCTTGACCTCGAAACAAACATCGCTGCAGTCCGTCGTATCGCTTCAGTCGCAGCTAAACATAACAAGCCCCTCTCCGTTGATATGCAGGATGGATACGGCTCGCGCCTTGAAGAAGCCATTGAATCAGTCATTGCAGCTGGAGGTTCTGGCTGTAACTTGGAAGACCAGGACAGCGAGACTGGACGCCTCTTCCCACACGATGTCGCGGTCGAGCGCGTTCGACGTGCCAAGGCTGCAGCCACCAAGGCCGGAGTTCCCAACTTTGTTATCAATGCTCGTACCGACGCTGTTCTGTTAAACAAAGACCTTGAAGACGCCGTTAAAAGAGGCAAGGCATTCCTGGAGGCTGGCGCAACTACGGTGTTTGTCTGGGGAGGATTGTCCCGCGCCGATGTTGAGAGGCTTTCAAAGGAATTTGGTGGAATGTTGAATGTTAGCTTGCTCCCTGGTGGGCTGACGGTTCAGGAACTAGCAGATATCGGCATTGCAAGAATCAGCGTCGGTCCACGGATGTGGAAGGCAGCGATGAGAGCGGTTGAAGAGGAGTCGAAGAAACTGCTTGATGCTTACTCTGCTATGCGAGCCGAGTAGATTAATGACTTGGAGATGATCAGTTATGTTAATTTAGGCTATACTCAACCTTAAGAGGTTAAGTTGATATTTAAGGCAATGGTACTTTATCTGGGCTATTGTTGGGCTTGCATCATGATCTTTTTCACCAGTAGATATAAATTCACGAGGTAGATTGAATAAGATCCTAGAATTAGTCCGCTTCCACAGCTTTAGTTGATCAATCAAGCAGTACTCCATACTGCTTTACTCCCTCTAATATAAGGCCATGGCGTAGACAGGTAAATAGCACTGCCGGCAACAGGCTGACCTCATTGGGATCCATACTCAGCTGAGTGCCAACCACTCGATAAGAGAAATATATCGTACAGGCTTCCGTGGAGACAGATATGGAGGCTCCTGAAGAGTTCCTTGGATCCTGCAGCATGGATATCCTATATTTGCTTTTTATATGGCGCCCAGATATCCAGCCTCGAGATTAGACGTGCACTAGCTGCTTCGGCTCTCCGACAAGCAACTTCCCGTTGGCCATTATGCGCCTGTCTCTGAGTCATCTACTCCGTACATCCATGTCGAGGGACGAAGCTGAAGGGATATCCCGTCTCTATGACTGTCAATATCTGGGCGACGAGGTGGAGAGAGGAGTCGGCATTCTGCGACTCGCGAAGCCACATCCGGGGCGCCAGCCAACCAAGACCCTTGAACTTCATGGAGGATGAGAATAGCTCCATGCTGGACCATGCATGGCCGTTCTATTGGAAGCACTGGTCCAACCTCGACGCAGTTCCCAACTAACGGTAAATACGACCCTGATTTATAATGAGCTCGCTTGCCGGGAGTTCTCGTGACTCCAAAAACTTCTTCTCCTCACTTTCTCCTCTCTCTGGCCGTTCGTGGACATATAAGAACCTTTGGTTGTGTACGCCTGTACGCCGGATGCAAGGATTTCCCTCGCTGCGAGAACAATTGGGGTCTGAGACATGGGATATAACACCCAGCAATAAGACGAGAGAGAAAAAGCGAGAAGGGGAGCAGGTCAGGATAATTGAGATCTGAGGTTTCTCGTCGACAATGGCATACTATTCTGTACATAGAGTAGTGCTAAATAAGTCTCTTGCAATTGGAGTTGCTGGAACTTGCCTCACAGCGCTGGCATCTCTCCCAGCTATTGCGGCCATTATTTCTCGATACCGTCTGAAAAAGAAGAGTGACCTTTACCAATCTTTAAGCCAACTATATCATGATCAAGATGGTGTTGCAACCGAAGAATCGTCCGAAGCATTCTCGGATAGGTTCCAGCGGACCTTGATCGCATTGGTTTCACTGATAGGTGTTTTGACATCTTTGGTGATTGCAGTGCTTGATACTGATGGCCACGGCGGCCACAGCCATCAGCCAGTTCTAGCACAGTGGCTTGTTTTTGCAATTTGGGTAGGCTAACAACAGCAATGTTTCGATCATATTCTTCCATGCCCAGCGCCCCTATCCCACCACTTTACTATCAGCTTTAATTGCTAACATGATACCTATCTTAGGGCATGCTTCTAACCCAAGCTACTGCACTAACTGTAGAGCCGTTTTCAACGAAGAGATATGACTTGGGCATGTGTAAAGCCTTGTCCTGTTGCTTCCTGCTCGTCGTTCTTTGTGGCCAGTTATGGTCAATCAGATCAATTGAAGGATGGGAGTATTTCCGTTCATCCCATGGCATCCTTCTTCTGGCTCAAATTGCATCTGCATCTATCAGCTGCTGTACCTCAGTCTCGCTCCCTCGTCGGCCCGACGTGTATAAGGATGGGAAACTTGTGGATCAGCAATTTACTCGCACTCTCTTCGGCCGTGTTTCATTCATTTGGGCCGGCCCTTTACTTCAATTCGCGATCAAAAACCGAAGGCTGGAAGTTGATGACCTTCCAGCGCTAGACCATGCAACTCGCTCACGTACCTTGCGGGAGGTTTTCGATAAGGCAAGAAAGAAGGGCGAAAAGCTCTGGAGGACACTGATTCGAATCTACGCTTTCCCGCTGATGTCCCAGGCCTTCTTGGTTACCTGTTCAGCATCCTTGAGCTTTGTCCCACAGTACTGCCTACTTAAAATTCTACGTTCTCTTGAGCAGCGCGGCACCAATTTGTGGGATCCTGTGGAGGCTTGGATCTGGGTGTTTGCACTTGGTGGCTCTACCCTTCTTGCGTCAACGATTGAGTCTTGGTTATTTTGGCTATCTCAATACCAACTGGGTATTCCAGTTTATGAACAGCTTTCCGCTGTGGTTTTCGCGAAGTCGATGAGACGGAAGGATGTCAAAGGTGCACAAAAGGCTGACGAGACAGCTGAGCCGGGAAGTAGTGCAATGCCAGATGACGACGAAGATGCGAAAAAGACAAGACAAGCCACCATCAACCATGTTGCAGTGGACGCTAATCGAGTTGCGGACTTCGCAGCCTACAATTGTTTTGTCATCCTCATTATTGTCAAAGTTACCATCACCGTTATATTCCTCAGCAACTTGATAGGCTGGAAAGCTCTATGCTCCGGGCTACTTGTATCGTTGCTTATAACACCCCTAAACATATACACGGCCGGGAAATATACCATTTCGCAAAAGGCGCTGATGAAACACCGTGACCGGAAAATGGGAGTGATTTCGGAGGCACTTCAAGGTATTCGCCAAATCAAATTTTCTGCCATAGAGCACCAGTGGGAACAAAAGATATTTGACGTCAGGGAAGCCGAGCTAAAGGCACAGTGGCAAGCCTTCATATACGATATCCTCCTGATAACTATCTGGATTATCGGGCCTGTCATGCTTTCTGCTGTCTCCCTAGGAGTATACACTTTATTATACGGCGCGCTTTCCGCATCTGTGGCCTTCACAACAATCTCTGTATTCACATCCATGGAATTTTCCCTGGCAGTTTTACCAGAATTGATCGCCGATTTCATTGAGGCATTCGTCAGCACAGGCCGTATTGGGAAATATCTCGAATCTGCAGAAAGGGTCCAGACGACTATACCCGGAGACTATATCTCTTTTGAAAAAGCGACTGTGGCGTGGCCTGCCGAAGAGCTAGATGATGGTAGCGAAAGGTTCATGCTGCAGGACCTAGCTCTCGATTTTCCTTCCAAAGCACTAAGCATTATCTCTGGTAAGACAGGCTCTGGAAAGAGTCTGCTTCTTGCAGCCATCCTCGGTGAAGCTGACATCATCGACGGGACTATTCGTGCACCCGTAGCGCCACCAGTTGAAGAGAGATTTGATGATAAGGCTACAAAGGCGAACTGGATAATCGACTCGGCTATTGCGTTCGTGGCCCAAGTACCATGGATTGAAAACGCCTCTATCAAAGATAATATATTATTCGGACTTCCTCTTGACGAGGAGAGATATGGAAAGGTTATATTTGCTTGCGCGCTAGAGAAAGATTTTGAAATGCTTCCTGATGGCGAACTTACGGACATAGGCGCAAACGGAATCAACCTAAGCGGTGGCCAAAAATGGAGAATATCGTTTGCACGAGCGTTATACTCTCGTGCTGGAATTCTGATTATGGACGACATATTTAGTGCTCTCGATGCGCATACTGGACGGCATTTGCACATCCATGCTCTAACCGGAGAACTATGTCAAGGGAGGACTAGAATCCTTGTTACCCACCATGTTGGCCTCTGTCTACCACAAGCAGATTACGCTGTCCACCTCGAGCATGGTGTAATCAAATACGCTGGGTCTTTGGCCGAGCTACAACGAACAGGGAAACTCAGCGAAATTCTTGCTGAAGAAGCAGATGAAGTAGAGACGAGTAAAGCTTCCAATCAGGTCCAACCCAAGGCCCCCCTAAAGCCAACCACACAAGTAGACTCTGCTGGTGTGCAGGGTCAGAAGAAGGAACCTCCGAAAAAATTTCAGCAGGCAGAGGGCCGTGAGGTTGGTGCTGTTAAACTAGAGAACTACTTGAAATATCTCCAAAGTGGAGGAGGGTTGCCCTACTGGGCAATGGTAATGTTCTTTTTTGTCCTCTATTCGGCTTTGGCGGTCTTCCGTGTAAGTTTTTCCCCACGTTCTCAACAATTCTTCTTTATACGCTTATGCTTACGTTGTTCAATTTAATATAGTCGTGGTGGATTAGTATTTGGACGAGGTCTACCCAAAATACCCCTGAGCAAAAACTAGATATTATGTTTCACGTCGTCAACCACGTATCAACCCCCAAAGCACCCTCCTCGGATACACTATGGTATTATCTTGGAATCTATGTTGCCTTATCTATTCTATCGTGCGTGATTGGGACCCTCAGATACGCCACTTTCCTATGGGCTGCAATTCGAGCATCACGAAACCTATTCCGAAAGCTCACGTATACTATCCTTCGAACTCCTTTACGCTGGCTCGATACCGTCCCTGTTGGTAGAATCTTGAACCGGTTTACTGCAGATTTCAACCAGATCGACTCTCGACTTCCGTATGACTTTTCAAGTCTGCTATACAACGTCTTACAGATACTTGGCATTATAGCCGCCGGTGTCCTCGTTTCGCCCATGCTAATAATCTTTGCGTCAACCTTGCTGTTGATATGCTTCTACTACTCAAATCGCTTCCTTCAGGGTGCTCGTGAGATCAAACGTCTGGAGAGTAACGCCAAAAGTCCAATATTCGAGCAATTCGGGTCTGCGCTAATAGGGCTCGGCACAATCCGTGCCTTCGGTAAAGGGCAAGCTTACGTCGAACGCATGTACGGAAAAATTGACTGCCACGCGAAGGCTTATTGGAACCTGTGGCTATTTAACAGATGGCTTGGTTTCCGCATGAGTGCCATCGGGGCTATTTTTGCCACTGCTACCGCAGCCTTCATTGTATCCCTTAAAGGAATTGATGCCTCTCTTGCTGGATTTGCTCTTAGCTTTGCTCTGCAGTATACCGCTGCAGTAACCTGGACGCTACGCAAATATGCCAACGTCGAGTTGGAGATGAATGCAGCGGAGAGAGTATTCGAGTATTCCAACCTTGAGATCGAAAACCAGGAAGGCTTGGATGCACCTGCTGGATGGCCAACGGAAGGTCACCTTGAGGTATCAGACCTTGTTGTTAGCTATGCTCCAGAACTACCCCCCGTTTTGAAAGGACTATCTTTTACCGTCGAGAAGAATCAGCGGGTTGGCGTGGTTGGTAGGACTGGGGCGGGCAAGTCATCTCTAACCCTAGCACTGTTTCGTTTCTTAGAGGCCCGATCAGGATCTATTCATATAGATGGTATTGATGTTTCAAAGATCAAATTGGCACATCTCCGAAGCCGCCTTGCCATTATACCACAGGACCCAGTTCTATTTTCAGGAACCATTCGCTCAAACTTAGATCCGTTCAACGAATATTCCGACTCTGAGCTCCAGAATGCCTTAGAACGTGTTCATTTAGTTCCATCCGCAGACCAGATCTCTTCATCCTCTTCCGTTGCCAATGCACCTGTGGTATCAGAGGAATCAGGCTCGAGTACCCCGACTGCAGTTGGAACCGATTCTGCAAGCAGCACCATGGCGAGCAAAGGCGGCATAAACACCAATATCTTCAAGAGTTTAAATTCAAACATATCGGAAGGTGGCCTTAACCTTTCTCAAGGTCAACGCCAATTACTATGCCTAGCACGAGCCATTGTGTCTCGCCCAAAGATCATGGTTCTCGACGAGGCCACCTCCGCCGTCGATATGGACACGGATGCCCTTATCCAGCAATCAATCCGCTCCGAGTTTGGTCGTAACTCAACTACGTTACTCGTCATTGCCCATCGCTTAAGTACTATTGCAGACTTTGATCGTATTCTGGTTTTGGATGCTGGAAAGGCCGTGGAGTTCGGCGAACCGAAGGAATTGATGAGTATCGAAAATGGTGTGTTCAAAGGGTTGGTGGAAAATAGCGGAGAGAGAGAGACTTTGGAGAATATTATTTTGAACTAAAGTGCGGTTGACAATACTTTTACCTTTCCCAGGTTTTGATGGAAAAGGTCGGGGGTTAAATTAATAATTATAAAGACAAAATCGTGGCCAGCGTTTGGGCTGACATTAGGATATATCTCTATTTGCTCGTTATTCAGAATTATTCAAATGCCGGCGTTATTTTGGACAAAATAATATAACATATCTTTTCATTGTGCCTCTGTTCTCTTGGCTATCTTCGTTATAGTACACCTACGCTTGATTTCGATTGCTACCATTTTAGGGGGCTATTTAAATTAAAAGTTGCAGATGATGACAACCTCAATAAAGTAACTTGATCCAGTTTTAATCCTAGCCTTCAGGGATACTGTTTATATAAAGAACTCAAACTATATACATTATTTAATTCATGTAGGGTCGTCGTGTCATTACTTGCTGATGTGCCACATTCCACTCTCAGTGTTGTTGGTCAGGTTGGTTTGCACCACCTTTCCACCCTTGAGCCATCCGTTCTCGACAATACCGCCACCAGGGACACCAACCTTTCCTCGGTCTAGACGGTTAGCTCCAGCCTTTACCGTGAAGTTGGCCAGGGAGATCTCATCCGCATTTCGGTTACGGATATGGGGAGTTCCGAAGTATCGGGCCTGCACTTCCTTCTCGTTAAAGTGGAGCTCGAAGTAGCCACGGTAATACAGCTCAGACCATTGCAGGACTTTGTTGGTGGTTGCGAGAAGCTTTGATTTCTCAATGGAATCCTTGATGCTGATTTTGGCACCAGCGGGGGATGGAGAGGAAATTGCTGAACCGGCGAACTCAACGCCAATAGCACCCTCGCCGGTCTTGGGGTCATATGGCTTCTCGTCCAGCCAGACAAGATCGCTGACCCAGTTGGCGTGACTGTCACCGGCAATCATGATGTTGTTTGGGATATTGTGGTCATAAAGAGTCTTGAAGGTGCGGTTTCTGTTTGCTTGATAACCGCTCCAAGCGTCATTGTTAAGGTTGCGGTGAGCACCGAACGCAGCAGATTCGTTGATGTGAGAGAACACTATATGAAATTAGTTGGGGCCACAGACGATATGCGGATAGTATACGTACCGATCTGACTTCCGATGACACGCCACTTAGCACCTCGCTCTGCGGACTCAATGAGGTTTCGGTAGAACCAGTTCTCTTGACGGGAGCCCATCAAAGTACGGCTGGCGTCACCCCGAATCTTGGCAATGTAATCGGTGTTCCAGTATAGATCTGTGATTGAACGATCATAGACACGGGTATCGAGCATGAGGACGTCAAGAAGGGAGCCAAGCTGGAAGTTACGCCAGATACGAAGGTTGTCGTCCATCTCGACTTGTCTAGATATTCACATGTTATTAAGGGGTAACGAATACAAGGACAAGGACAAATGACAAACCTGATTGGCATCCATTCGAAGTAAGCGCGAACAGCGTTCATCTTTCTCTGATCGGTGCTGATTCCACCATCGGCAATGAACGATTGCTCGGTGTTGTTAAGCTTTGATGATCCATCACGGTAGGTGTTATCAGCGACCTCTATAGAGTTGTTAGAGTCAAGCGGGTGCAAAATGGCTTTTCTTTATGGATCATACCGTGGTCATCCCAGACTGGGATCCAGGGGAAATTCTGATGACTGGCAAGCAAGTCCAAATCGGTTCTGTAGGTAGCATGGCGCTTGCGGTAATCATAAAGGGTGATGATATCACGATTGGGCAAGGGTACTCGTCCAATGTCCTTGCCAGAACCACTGTAATAAAGCCTTTAGTAAACAGGAACCTAACCATGTAAGGTTAAGATAAGCTTACTAGTGACCATCCTCATATTCGTAAATGTAGTCACTTCATGGAAATAAAGTAAGCATGTTTCTCTGAAAAGTCATTGCTATATCAAATGGTGCATACCCTAGATGAAGGACATAGTCGACCGAGTCCTTTCTTACGGGATTTCCGTATGCATTGAAAAAGCCGAATGCTATTATAATGTTAGCAGTCAGACCTTTCACTTTTCGAGAAAACCATTAAACATACGGAAATTGCTGCAAGAGTACACGGCAAGGGAGATATCCTTGACCAAGTCGTGCTCAGCTGGCGCGGTTTTGGTACGTCCAATTGGACTCTTCTTGTCCGAGTTGCAAACATAGAATTGGTAGTAGTAGGTGGTGAATGGCTTCAACTTCGTGGCTTCAACCTATCATTTCTCGCATGTTGAGTATCTGTCCAACTTTATGCCCATTAAGATGCATAAGATACATACCTTGACAGTGTAGTCGACATCGGAGCTAGTGTAGACAGTTCCTTTCTCAACAACCTGCTTAAACTTGTTGTCTTTGGCAACCTTGTAGGTCAGGCAAACAGGAGCCTTGGAGATAGGCTTATGTTCATCGGTATCCTTTTGGATTGGGACAGGGCTGTAAAGTGGCACGTCACCGGAGACGGTGCTGTTGTCATTGACATCATCGAAATGCGGGGAGCATCTAGTCCACAGGATAACGGAGTTGGCGTAGGGATCTCCAGACGCAACGCCGTGAGTGAAGTTCAATCCGTCTGCGGTGAATCCGGCGGACGGGTCGCTTCTCTTCGCAACCTTGGGCACAGAGATACCTAGGGAAGGATGGTGCAGGGAAGGACTGCGGTAGTTCAGGTTGCCCGCATAGGATGCAGTAGCCGTGGCGGCGGAGAGCGCCAGAAGAGCGAGAGAATACAACATCGTCACTTACCAGGCTGAATTGAACTGGCAGAAGATGAACGACCTCTGGGGCATCGCGGTACCTTTATAGAAACGACACCCTCGTTTGGCCATTTCCAGCAATCTCGCCATTTCAATTTCACGAGGTCAAGCTCTCCACCTCGCCATCAAGGTCCAGACTTACCATGTCCCACAGCGTACTGGCAGGCGAATGAAGATGCCGTAGCTGTGCATGTGTAGCATGGGTATTTGCATCGCCGCGGGAAGCACCGAGCCCCGGGGCTGGCAGGGAATTGTAACTCCGCGAGGGTGAAATGGTAAGGCTAACTTGGAGGCCCGCAGACGGGGAGCTCATCCCTGCTCGGAAGCAGTGAAGTAGCATCAGAACACTCTAAGCAGCGGTAGCGGTCTCTGCTCGAGTGGCTTCATCCTCCGTATTCCGTATTCCAGACTGGTGATCGGCTGGGAAGACGAGGCTGCCCCAGAATGCATCTCGAGGGCCTCTCTCAAATCTCCCGGACCAACTCCATCAGTTCGTATATTCAAGCTTCGTCTCAACGTCGCTTAAGGACGAAATTCAATGACGCTCCCTTGTATCTGCACGTGGGTTGGCGTAACTCCACTGGACTCCAGATATTAATTTACGCTCTTTGCTCTTTGGCCGAACAGAAATAGCCCGCGGCTTGTTGGAGATCGGCAGGTGGAATAAGCGTGGTGGACGTAACGTTGTTTACAATGGCGGATGCTTGATTGGGTGAAGAAAGTAACTAAATATATTAGCCTTTGAGAGTTATGAACCTCGGGACGGTTAAAAGTATCTGGACATCCTAGAGTCCGTGTATCGTTCGAAATGAATCAGTTGCCAGACAAGATACTACCCTCAGTGGGGAGATCTCGATAATAAGGCACGGAGAAATGGGTCGTGTATGATACTCCTCGATACTCCAAATATAGCAATCTACCTTATAGTAACCGCTAACTTAATCATGGTATAGATAGTAATAGCATTTTAACTTGTGAAGAACTGTATGGTTAAAGTCTTTATGCATGCAGTACTAAGCTGACGGCAAGTCTAAGAATAAGCTTGAGGGTATGTGGAGGGTCATATTGATAAAAAAACCCCTTCTATTTTCTTTTGGAAACTAAAGTAACTAAGTCCTCCAGAGCTTAGGTGATAAAGAAAAACATCTGGCCGTATAGTAACGTGCCGAAGGGTCGATAAACAAGTCGAGACTCCAGAAAATCATGACAAGATACACTCGATGCAGGATATATTCCAGTTCGTCAATATCCTCAATTCTTATCCGAGCCATGCAAGCCAATATTAATCCAGGAAAACAAAAATCCTTCTCCAATGTCATGGCAGCATATTAAGCCATAGAGATTCTTCCCAGTAGCGGGAAACGGTCACTGAACCTCCAGGCTATTCAATGCATTTCCATCTAGATGCTGTCATCTAGTTCAGAAGAGTCAAAGGGGGTTCCAAAAGCGGTAGGCCCGGTACCTGCCACCCAAAGGTTGTTTAGCTTTTCACCCGTACAAGGATAGAATGTGCCGTCAATAATACCTTTTGCGAAGTCCTCGGTGAAAGGCTCGGTTTTGATTTCTGCCTCGTGTTTGATGGATATGATCCTATTCTCTTCTTAGAAAGGGTCTTGGAGATTTATATCACACCTGATGCGGTGACCACTATGGGAAATATTACTCACTCGTTCTCAGGATCACGTTTCACCTTAGCTGCACCCTTTGCGCGTCCGTTGGCTCTAGCTCCTTTGGGTTTGGCTGCCTTGACGGGTGTGGTGTCGACGGCATCGACATTGGATTCTTCAGTGTCTCCTTCATTGGTGGTGGCCTTGCCCTTTGCGCGGGATTTAGGGGGTTTAGTGACTTTGTCACCAGTCGCAGCCTGCTTAGAATGTTAGAAGATAGATAATGCGTATACTGGATGTCAAAAGTTATATACCTTCTTGTTTGGAGTCTTGTTGCCAGCGGCACCGGAAGCGTTTTCAGCGATGCCCTGCAAGATTTTGCGCTTCGACTTATTGAACAGAACCAATGCACAGGCGGCGTTCTTGAGGCCAGCCTGGATGGCCAACTTGTCGTAATCGACCTATTAAACCGTAGGGAAGTATGTCAGTTATTGCATGAGAAGTGTAGATTAATAAGATGTATAGATAACCAAATGATCAGTCACCTCTAAATGAACCAAAACCAGGCCAAATAGAGGAAAACAACCACAAAGTCAAGCTTACCTTGATGCTTGTTAGACCATCTGTGGCACAAAGCATGCCCAGGGTGAAGATGCGCTGCTCGCTAGCAGTTAGGCCTTCCATGATGCTGGAGAAATAGATGAAGCGTGATAGAACTTGATGAGCTATTATGGTTGATAATAAACAAGTTGTATGTTAGAGGTAAGGAGGCTGTAAGCTGTAAAAGAAGTTGGTTGCAGGGAGGCCGTGAGAACAGGTTTTATAGAGGAAAGGGGGGTAAACAGGAGATAAATAGTTGTGAAGCTGGGTGGTTGTTATAGACAACACATCACTTTCTCGCCGAGATGTCTAGCTCAAATGAGTTTATGGAAGACCTCACTTTGAACAAGAAGAATCTGGAATAGGACATGACTTAGTAAAGGTAAGTCCCGACTTGTTAAGGCTGTTAATAACCTATAAGATTTGTCCTGGTTCAAGGCTAGCCGGGCAGTAGTTTTATCCCCTTAACATACCAGTATCAATGCCACTTATCTTCAGCTCCCTGGCTGTATTGGAGAGGCACTGCAAGCTGTCTGGGTGCTAATCGCAGTGACATAGGCTGGTTCGATTCTAAAGAGAAGGTCTTTTCTAATACAATAGTATATGAAAGGTAGAAGAAAAGAATAAGGGGAGAGTTGAGAAACGAGAAGACAGAAGTTGAAAAGAAAAGAAAATGGATCCTTTTCTAGTGTAATGGTATTATATAAGAAGCAACATAAAAAGGAAGATTCTAAATGGTCATGTCATATAGTTCGAAGGATATCAAAAAGTTTCCATAACTGCTCCGTCACGGAGCCCGGTTATTCTTAATTTGGGCAAAGACCTTCTCCCACGCCTCAGGGAGAAACCTCGAAGTAGACTTTGCAGGCCGGCTCTTCTCAGGCGCGAAAAAGAGCACCTGGTCCTTTCCTTTCCACCAAGGCCTAGGTTGTGGGTTTATGTTCATTAGGCTCACAGGCCGAAGCTTCGACTTCCGAGGGGCCAAGTCAGCTATCGACACAAGTGTTCGCTTTGGATAGAAGTTGAACTTCATAGTCTCAATATTCAATGTTGCAGTGCGTGGAATCTTGTTCAAGTATGTTCGCAGATGTTCTTTGGATTGTTGGGTAAAGGCGGGTAACGAAAGGTAAACTTGATTCACGAAAGGTGCGGTCGTAAACGAGACGAACAGCATAGGAATAGCTCCGCCAATAACAACTATATAAGATAGACGGTCAGTAACTAGGCCACTGATACCACGGGGAAAGATATGCTTACTTGCGGGCGCAATATACCACGGGAAGTCTGCTGCATAAAACGCAGGAGCAACCACCGAACATGAAACGACGAAGAGGAGAATAGTGGTGACTCGCATCATGCCGATAAATGCGATTTTCCCTGTCCCCGCATGGTATATCACTATCTGTTTCGGTTTGGCGCGAACAACTAAGATAGCGAAAAAAAAAGGAGTCAGCTTATAGGTGTCTCTGATATCTCTGCTATCTCTGGATGAGCTGGAATACGGACCCCGTCCTTGACCTGGTTGGCTCTTTGCCTGCGGATATCGAAGCGGCGCACGCAGCGGGCCATTCTGAGAACCAGTGGGCAATCTCTTATATGGGCCTGATGCGTTAGGCAGGGCTTCTGTGGCCTTCTGGCGTATCGGTATTCTGGTGGTGATGTCCCGTTGGATCCAGGAACCCAGCCGGAAGCTCAACCGGTGGCCAGACCGCAGACAAAACATATTTCGACAGATGAATAGGGCGAATCTCCAGCTTGTCGAGGCTATATCATGTCAAACGCATAGAGATATATCCCCAATGGCAGCAGCAACTGGCGCAAGCATCGATCGCTCTCCTCAAGTTCGTGCTTTCAAACTCGCGGCAAGCGCCATAAAACTTACCACGTGATCATAAGGTTTTGCCCTAAGCGCGTCGGATTTACCGAGAGCCGCGGAAGCTTGGCAGGTCCTAACTTCGCCGCTTTGGGACATATATTGGGGGATAGGGTCTTTTGAAGCGACGGTGGGACAAAGACTCAGTCCCAGCACAAAACCTGCGCGCACCAGGGAGAGAAGACCCTAGCTGGTACGGAGTACGCTCCAGACATCACACGGCCCCGTCACGCTCTGCCTGTGCTGATTGTTAAAAACAGGTCACCCTGACATGATCTATCACGAAGCCACGGCTCTCCGTTGCACGACCCGTTCACTACCATAGTTGAGCGTAGCTCGACTTCCGCCCTCTCGACGATGATATCTTTTCTCTCCTCTCTCGTCCTTTTGCTATCGTCGGTTAATGCCTATACGCCCGTTTCCGACGACACGCTACGGTCTCTATCCCGTCCCGGAACCGATTTCGATATTCACAATGGTGCGATACTTGCACCAATTTTGCGGCCAAGAGTGCCCGGCACACCTGGGTCGACCGCTGTTCTCGAACACTTCGTAAAATTCTTCAAAACGACCCTGCCAGATTGGAGACTTGAGTTCCAGAACTCTACCTCCAAAACGCCAGTAACCGGTGACAAGCAGATACCATTCGTTAACCTAATTGCCATTCGAGATCCTCCCTTCGCGCACGTCGGTGATGTTAGCAGGCTGACTCTGGTCGCGCACTACGACAGTAAACTTACTCCGGAAGGGTTTATCGGCGCGATAGACAGTGCGGCACCATGCGCAATGCTCTTGCATTCCGTACGGAGCATCGATGTGGCGTTAACGAAGAGATGGAAAACAATACAAGCAAATCCGCCAGATGATATAGATATGGATGCTCAACAGGGTGTTCAAGTTTTCCTGCTGGACGGGGAAGAAGCATTTGGCGATTGGACTGCTACGGACTCTCTCTACGGAGCTCGCTCGCTAGCTGAACACATGGAACATGAATACTATCCAGCCCTCTCCACATTCAAAACGTCCTTGTCTGCCATCAGATTATTTGTGCTTTTGGATCTCCTAGGGAGCAAGGACCCTATTATGCCCTCTTTCTTTGCAACCACACACTGGGCATACAAGCACATGGCCAAACTCGAGCAACGACTTCGTAAGCTCGGGCAGTTCAAATCAGACCCAGACCCCAAAAAGGGTGCCGAGAAGGCGTGGCTTACGGAAGGGAACAGGTCGCCGGAGATGAGGTTTCAGTCACACATCTCAGACGACCATGTGCCTTTTATGCAGAGAGGAGTCGAAATCCTCCACATGATACCTTGGCCTTTCCCACACGAGCTGTGGCATAAGATCCAAGATGACGCGGAACATCTCGATCCTCCTACCGTTGAAGACTGGAGCACACTCATCACCGCTTTCTTGGCCGAGTGGATGGACCTTGAAGGGTTTTTCGATACAAAAAAGTCGAAACAGGCTAGAATAGACGATGAAGAAAAGACGGAGCTGTAAGCTATTTTCATGTTGATATCTACAAATCTGCCTATGTTGATATGTAATGATCTCATACCCTTTTGGTATTGCAAATATTATGCTCGAAATTTGATTTACACCTTGCGATAATCTACACGTTGGGCTAATAACACATTTATAGCATTTAGGGCACCATGACGAATATCTTTATGTCTCATGCATTGTACGCTTTGGTTTCAAGTCTTTTACACAGAATTCTCAGCCATCAACTTTATTGATGGTCACGACGTGTTACGGCGCTCAACTCGTCCAGGCTTCTTTTTTTTTTCGGGCGATTTAGACATTATTACGGCGTGCGGAGCATTCATCTCAATACCCCTGGAGTGAAATGGCTTCGCATCGTTGAAATCTATAATTTATAATTTACTCTACTAATTCGAGATAATATGGAATGCTCCAGATTGTTTGGTTTATTTTCCATATAAGGAGGCAATAATGAGAATTTGTATACATTAAAAGTATACGAAAAGAAGCATATCTTATACTCAGTTATCCGCATCTAATCAAACATCAATAATCGTAAGCATCCGGCGTTATTATCGTTCAACGGGTCATTCCAACATGTACACCCTCTAGAGTAAGGGTTATATGCCTAGAAGGCTACCCAACCAGAAGCCAGCCAGCCATGGTGCACCCCAAAGCGGCGTAAGAACAGATCTCAGCAGGCCAGGCCCAGGGCATACACCACTCAGCCCCCATCCAACACCAAACGCAACAGCCCCAGCAACGAATCTCCAATCAATATCTGCTACCGTCGCAGTTGGTAAGTTGAACTTGTCAGCCAAAAGTGGCGGCTTCTTGCCCTCCTCGTTTCCATATTCGGTCTTCATGTACAGGTACGATAGAAGATTCGGCCCCACACCGAATACCATAACTAATGCAAGAGAGGGATCGAAAGTGGCAGGATTGAACCAGCTAAAGAATCCAAGGACCTTTTCGGGGTTGGCCATGCCGCTGATGAGTAGACCAAGGCCGAATTGGAGTCCAGCGATGCAACTGTAGACAACTCCTGAGTTGGTGTAACGTGGTAGTACGGCCGGAACTATAAAGGAATTGATTGCCTGCGAAATGGCGACGGCAGAGGACATAAACGCCAGCTCGTCGGTGGTAGGGTAGACGGGCATGTAGACCGGGGTTCCATCAGGCGAAGGGGATAAGGTCGCCCCGATTCCGAGATTGGCTGTAATGAGTGCGGTCATAAAGAAGATTCCGGTTGCGATGAAAGACCGTGGTGAAATCCGAGAGATACCACAGAGCATATGGCCAGATGTGCATCCATTGTCATTCTATAGAGCCAGTTCTTTGTTAGAAGAGAGATCGTATAGCAACATAGATGACGAATTGGTCTCTTACCTTCGTTCCCCAGCCAACCAAGAAGCCAATTCCTGCTAAAGCGAGCACCGCTTCCAAGGTTGCTGGCGGGGTAGCATACGGCGGTAGAAGTGATGGCGCAAGCAGATATACCGGAACAATGCTCGATACCATTCCCAGGATCACCGGGACATTCTGCTTGTTTGGATTTCCCACACAGCCCGAGAGCAGAGAGGAGATACCAAAGACTCGGCCATTGTTCTGGAGGAGTCCGTAGGAACCCTGGTATAGAAGCAATGCTCCCAGCGAAGTATTGATAGGCGTGAAAGGCATCCTATACCGTTCTTCTCTCCGATCAAATTGAAGAGAGATCTCAATTCCCCAGTCCTATTTCACGGTCTATCAAGGAGTTGTCGGCTGGCAGACCGGGGCGAGCATGAGGCGGGCACAGGCATATAAAAACCAGCGTCATGCCCATCATGCACGACGGCTGCGGGGGCGGCCGGGAGGCGCATCACGAATCATATCCATGAGGTGTTTGCGATAGCCCATCAGGGGGATCGGGGTTGATGGAAGCGCAGGCTATATCCCATTGGTGGGCGGTCCACCAGGGGCTCGGGGTTCGTATTAGCGGTCCCCTAGCGCTGTCGATGATGCAGATGCATCATCCATACTCGCATAGTATAGAGCATATCAATATACTCCGTGTCGTCTAGTATATGGTCTAGTGACGGTTGTGGTCCAGGAGCCCGGTGTTGAACATAGACGGCGTTAACTATAAGATATATGACGTTCGCCGATTGAAAGTTTTCTCAGGGACAGCCCAGAAAGGCCCGAGATGATTGACCATAACTTCACCACCCAGCAACCATGCCGAATGATGAAAGCTCTCGTGCCCGTAAGTCAATTGGAAACCCGTTCGTGAAACGCGAGAACCAGGAATGGACGGTTTCTTTGCATCGGTCGATGATTCGGAGCGTCTCACCACCACCAACTCGAGGGAGGAAACGCCGATATGAAGCCCTATGCCCCCATAGTGTCGGCGAAGAAGCTGGTATAAAGCCCGAAGATCCACCATCTAGCGAACAAAATATCGATATTGCGGCTATAGAGGCCGGGCAGGAGGTTGTCAAAGACCATCTTGAGATATTCTCCGCGCGACTCCGGGCTTCGACGCGGCCTGAACTACCACTGGTTCCCCGGCTCGGCCACGGGGCATGGAGGGATCTGTATCAGAGGAACCAGCATGAAGATGGCAGACATTTTGTTGTCCATCAACATGACCATCCCATTGCCGGGCCGCACTATGACCTGAGACTGCAGTTTTCACGAACAAGCTCACTGAGTTTCGCCATCATGTACGGACTGCCTGGAAACCCAAACAGCAAAAGGCTGAGTAGGAATGCAACTGAGACAAGGGTGCATAACGTCTGGGTAAGTTGCGATTTTAGTCCCCTGGCGTTTCCATAGCATACCCTTGTGTGTCAGTTATATTGACAGTCAAATATAGAACCACTTGATTGAATCTGCATCTACCATGTCAGGGAGCATGATTATCTGGGACACTGGCGAATATTCTGTACTCTCGTACTACACTGGAGACACAATGTTACATACTGATAAATCTGACGCGAGCTGCTCAACAGAGGATCGGGTCACAGAAAGCGAAAAACTTCGACGAGCATTTCGCCAGGTAATGTTAAAATTTCCTTACCTTTGCATTTTTTAATTCTAACCTCCCACAGCGGAAAATTCGCCTAAGGCTGCATGGCGCTCGGCTGCCACCAAACTATACTGTAACTCTACGGCTTCCAAGGGAGAATGATGCATCAACACAGCCAAGGAGGCCGTCAAGAAGAATGCGTAGGCAATTAATACATCAGAAGAGAGGTGACCCTACTACATCAAGCTCCTCGCCGGAAAGGGAAGATGAGCGAGCAAGAGCAGATGAGCCATCTCCCGGCAAAAATTCTTCGCCTAATATCTCACCCTCACATTCAGATCAGGAAGATGAGGTTATCCGGCAAACCAACGCCTACACGGGCGCAACGAATTCAATTTCTTCCATACATCAACGAAAATGGTACATGACTTTAGATCGTATCAATTCAGGGTTTGAGAAGCATGTCGATGGCACTACCCGAACGTCACATTGGGCTAAAAAGGAAGTAGCTGTCCCTGGGAATGAAGCGGCTAGTCCCTTGGGATTCGAGCCATTTTATGTCCGTGGACCAGATTATGAACGTAGCATCCTCACAGGCAGGTTGGGCCGTGATGTCTTGAGTGACGAGGGGGTCGTAGGCTTTCGTGGGAGAAGAGGATGGCGACCAGTAGTTGAATAATTTATAGATTCCATGAGGGGATCCGACCAAATGAACTCATGGTACTTCCCCCGAGACTTGTCCTCAGGTCTATCCTTATATACACTTATCGTCCGTTGTAGGGTATAGTCCCGTCTTCCAATAAAGATCTTTCAAGGGACCTTAACCCTGTATTGATTATGACTTAATGAAGGGGCTCTTTAATCTTTATTGAGTGTTAACCTAAGCAATATACATGGGTATATGTTCTTCGTTACCTAAAGGCCTTTAACGCCCTCCAAATTTTATTAGGCGATATAAAACCAAAGATGAGCCGCGGGGAAATATTGACTTTTGAACCCCTCAAAAACTTTTGAAAGGTGAATATATATATCAACATCGACATCAAAATCAATCCCAAAGAAAACAACGGATCCGAATATTAACCCATAATCAGTGAATCTCCATCATTAGCCATGGCAGCCCAGCAAACACCAGCAACCAGTGAAGCACCGTGGCATTCCGCATTCCCTGCCCCTAAAGCTACTGTTGGGGCTGTTAGCCGCTCAGAAGTTCTTGAATGGATATCGAAAAACGAGAAGCCACTCGATTATGTGCTTGTAGATGTACGCCGAGTGGATCATGAGGTTAGTTAATACACCTGAACTATGTATACGCTGCTCTTTACGTAGTTGAGTGCATGTTGAGAGAATATAATACCCGTATATGGAGTCAAGATGAGATCGTGACCGTTCTAATTTTCTTTATGCTTAGGGAGGGACGATATCTGGCTCCCTTAATCTACCAGCTCAGAGCTTCTATGCATCGCGTCCTACGCTGTACAGCCTTCTAAAGCAGGCCGGTGTAAAGAAGGCAGTCTTCTACTGTGGTAAGTTCTTTCTCTTTGGAGTCGAGGTAACTGTCTAATGGCTGTGTCCAGGCTCATGCAACGGTCGAGGACCCCGTGCTGCTGGTTGGTTTGCCGACTACCTTCAGGAACGCGGGGAGAATGATATGCAAAGCCTGATTCTCGAGGGGGGTATTAAGGGATGGGTAAAGGCTGGGGATGAGTATGTGTCACGCATGGATGGTTATGATGCTGCTGCTTGGAAGTCATGAATCCAGGAAGATGTATAGCTAGGAGAAATAGACAAGAATGAGTCTGAGTTGATAGGAGTTATATATTAAGAATAGTACAAGTACATATCAACAGTACTGAGTACTGAGATCTAAGTTTGCCGTGATGGCAAAGTAAATAGCGGAAGATTGAAGGGCGTCATATGGCCATCTAGTGGAATATAGGGGTGCGCTGAAGGTTGTAACAGACCCAAGAATAGAGTAAGGGTCAAGAATGACGCTGGATAGGATGCATGGACAAATAATGACTCAGAGGGCTTCGATAGCCTTCAGGAGAATATCGATTCCACGATCGGTATTTTGCTGCTGAGCTGTTGTATCTCCCCCTTGCTTGTTGCCTTTGAGGATCCATGATACATCACTCCACCAGCCTAAACCGATCAATCCGCCACCTCTCCTTTTCTCAAGGCTCTCCTCCATACGGCTGGTATGTTCCCACTGCTTCGCGGCGGCCTCTGCACCTTCCACTACCTTGGTCGGGATACCGCACATGGAGGCACAGTGCATTCCGAAACTACCCTCAGCGACTCCGTCTTCTAGCTTGTAGAGGAAAGTAACACGTCTTTCTGCGTCATCGACATGAATACGCATCCTACGAGCAGCGATCTCAGGATGTCCCTCGAACTCTGCCGCAAGCGAATGATAGTGAGTGGCAAAGAAACCTAGGGCACCGATATGAGTAGCGACATGATGAAGTACTGCCTGTGCCACTGCCACGCCGTCGTAGGAGCTGGTTCCGCGGCCAAGTTCATCCAAGATGACCAGGGAGCGTGGAGTGGCTTCGGAGAGAATCTTTTTGGTTTCGGAAAGCTCGACAAAGAATGTCGATTGAGCGGCAAAGATATTGTCATTGGCCCCTAGCCTGGACATAATACGGTCTACAGGAGTTAGGCGGGCGTATTCGCAAGGAACGTAACATCCTATCTGGGCCATGATGACTGCGGTACAGGTCTGTTATAAGTTAGCAAATGACATAAAGAGAATGTGTTACGTGTATACACTTACCATGCGCAAGACCGTGGACTTTCCTGCCGCATTGGCACCAGTGAGAAGGTTGATGTTTGGAGTATCCCCTCCGAGTTTGACATCATTTGGAATGAAATCACCAACGTTGGGCATCATGCAAGGGTGTCGGAGCTCATGGAAGTCGAGCACGCTCCGCTCATCATCCACGAAGATTGGGCGACAGCTTGGATGGCCCAAGGCGGTAGATGCCTTGGCCAAGCCGATCAGACAATCAAGTTGGGCAATTATTTTGACTGCCGCAAGCCAACTTGAATAACTTTCGTCAAATCGAGCATAGAACCTGCCTGCAACCCCCTTGACAATCTGAGCATGTGTCTCCCGAGCTTCCTGGAGCTTTCGAATCAAGGCCCGCAACTCAGGGAAATAATATCTCTTGACTTGCTTTGTAGCCGACATTTGGTCCCAAGATTTTGGAATGTTTTTGATCTTGATGGGCACTTCGAGTTGGTAAATTTCCTTGCCATTATCTTTGAAGATAATGGTAGAGCATTTCAACTCTTTTCTAACCCTGTTCAAGATCTGCTGGAGGTCTTCCTCTAGCTGTTCAATGGTCTCCCTTGAAGCATCGAATTCTTCTTCAATCCCTTCCTCAGGGACAAGGATGCCAATTTCTCTAGCTTTGGGTCGGTCAAATGCTGTTTCCCAAAACTTCAAGAGACTGGTGAGGTCCGGCATGGCGGAGATCAATTGCCCAATTAATCCATGGCCGGATCCAGCCCCTTTTAACAGGCCTATCGTATACTCAATTTGCTCGAACCCTTCAAGAACACGAACGAAATCTTGAGCTTTACAGGTGCCAGCATGAACGCGAGAGATGAGTCGTTCTAGGTCGGGCATTTTGGTCAGTTGGGACGAAAATTGCTCACGGACAGTGTTATCCGCATTGAGGGATTCGACGGCATCAAGACGAGCATTGATCTTTGCGGTATCCATCAAGGGATGGCAAACCCATTGCTTAAACAACCGTTTCCCAAATGGTGTAACGCAGCGGTTAAGTAGTTGAAACAGTGTTCCCTCTTGGCTTCCATCGTAAGTGTTTGCAAAGATTTCGAGATTAATCAGAGTTTGTCCGTCAAGGACCAAGCTGGAGGCCTTCTTAATTGGATCGTACCACGTAAAGTTCCCTATGGTAATGAGATCCCGCCCGATCTTTAGCATCTGGAGGTACTGTAGCAAAGCTCCAAACGCGGACATAACGAGGTCTTTGTCCCGAGCATCCCGAAGTACTTGGGGCCAGGCGGTTAGATTGTCCTGATCTTCTGAAACGAAGTAATCACCAGCTTCAAGCTCCCTGATAGTAACACTGGCCTCCCAAAATTCCTTTACAGGTTTCAGGTGATTCCAGAGCGTAGTTGGACCAGTGTTGTTCTTCAGAATTCTAAGGGCTTTGGTGGACATCACAGATTTTTCAAGCAGCAGCTCCTGCGGTCTGGTTTGAGCGACAAATGTTTCGAACCTAGTCATATCCACATCATCAACAAACTCGGACAAAAAGAATTGTCCAGTGGCTGTATCGACGTACGATATACCGAAAGTGGGTAGGCCATCAACGATAGCTTCCTTGATCGCCACGCAGTATGTCGACATATCGCCTTGAATCATTGATCCTTCCACCAAGGTGCCAGTGGTCAAGACACATGCCAGTTCGCGCTTTATGACCTTGTCTTCCTTTTGGGGTTTTCCTGCTTTATTCCCCTTGTCGTCACGCTCTCTCATTTCCTTGCTTAGCGCAGACTCCGACTGATCTACACGCGCGATTTTGAAACCCTTCGCAACGAATTGGTTTGCCCAATGGTCGAGACTCATCTCTGGAACGCCGACCATCCGCATATTGACCCTATCTGTAAGTTTCAGGTCAAAGAGCTGGTGCCCAATTGTGGCATCATTTTCGTATAGTTCGTAAAATTTCCCCTTCTTGAAGAATACAATGGTATCCCAGAACTTCTGCTTAATCTCCCAGTATTGTTTTTCGAAGGGAGAGAACTTCGTCCAAGCCAAAGGCGGGATATAAAGAGTGCGAGGGTCATAGTCTGTATGGCCAATGGGGTTTTTATCCATATCCATAATGTTTGCAAGCCATGGATATCGGTTTTCTGGCTCTGTCATATGGGCCTTCTTCTTTTTGTTGCCGTTATTTGATTCCGATTTAACTAGGGGATTGCGTGGTTGGTATGGCTTCACATTTTCTGGGTCGTAACACCACTTTTGAGCGGAACCAGCCGCTCTCTGGGGTATCTCGATGTCCACATCCTCCTTAGGAATTGGGAGTGGGCTGCTTGACATTTTCTTTGATGAAGGGTTTGAAGGGCGTTTTCGTTTCTTGGACGACTTGACTTCCTCCTCCGAATCGTCGTCTGGGACTACAAAATCATCGATATCTATAACTTGTTAGCTAAAATCCATTAGTAATTTGGTATGAGGTTAAGCTCACCATCGTCTAGATACTTCTCTTCCTCCTCATCGGGTTCAAAACAGTCCGAATCACTAGCATAATCTCCTGTCTTCCTTCTCTTTTGAGACCGGCCCCGTGCATTTCTTTGCCTTGGCTTGATGGCCTCCTCGTCGTCGGATTCTACATAGCTTTTTACTGCCGTTCTCGCCTATTGTGGATCAGTGAGCAGCCCTCACAAAAGTTATTCAGTTGGTGGGTGAGAAGGGCTATAATGGCATACCCTTCTTGTAGGTGTAATAGAAGCGGAAGACTCTGGTTCTCCAGTACACACTTTCCTCACAGCTGTCGGTGTATCTTCTTCCAGTGGCTCAATCGCATCGCTGCTAGGCACTGGAGTAATATTCTGGGCGGTATCCAACCCTTGCTTCGACAGTTTCGATCTCACAGAGCTCGTGGTTGTCGTACTGAATGAGCCACGTATGGATGCGGCCTCCGAGGGAGAGGAGGCTGGATTGTTGGAACTTCGCTGGGAGGCTGAAGGCGCAGAAGGGGACGATTTGGGTTGGAAGAAACCTAGGATGGACTTTTGGTTTTTGTTCATGTTCTGTGTACTGGGTGTCGACCGCTTCAGTACACGAGAGGGTGCCGGCGTTGTATTGGCACCCATTCTGACGGGTAGTCAACAGCAAGCAGTAAGAAGAGTCTATAATACAAACATACGAAGTATATGCTGCCAAAAACGAACAATGCACAATAAAGGATGCTGAACGGGAGGAAGAATGGACGAACGAAGCTGAAAAAACCACTATAAAGCTCTCTATCTTATCGGGCGACACGAAACAACCGCGTCCCAACGCGATCAGTATACACGTGATATGGAACAACTATACTCCGATGTTATTATTAGGTAAGCGTATCCAAGCCAAAAAGGGAAAAAGGAGGGAGAATGTCGACAAAGTGCAAGTGAGATGGTTTACTATGGTACAGAAAGCGCTGAAATTAGGATAACCCGTCTGAGGAACTCATATCACCCAGTCCATCGCCAACATAAAACGAAGCTGCGACGGGGGAGAAATAGAAAAAGTAATGTACAGGGACAAGAATGCACCGTCATGTATATATTGTAAGGAACGCTCCAATCAAGCAAGGACATATATTAAAGAGAAATCACGGCCAAGATTGTCGTTGATCTCGTTCCCTTGCCGCTTCAACTTGTTCTTCTCGCCTCTTCTGAGCAGTCCAGTCATTGAGGGAGACAATCTTAGGTTTCTGACCCCCAGCAACGGGCGGCCGCCTGACCTGTCTTCCGGAGATTCTGCGCTTTTCCGCCATTAACTTCCTATCCTCATGTTGTTCAGCTGAAGGCTCTGGTTCGGCAGCGTCTTCTTGGGGAACGGTGAGTCCTTGGTCCTTGAATTCTTTGTCGTCGATAATCTTGATAATTTTGACCCTCCACTTCCCGATCCGCAAAATCAACAGACTACCATCAATGATAAACTTCTCGGTGACATCTGCGGGCCAGGTTCTAAGAGGGATGAAACTCAGGGCATCGCCCATCTGTTCAGCACCGCTCGCCATGCAACCCACAGATGCTCCGTTATTCACGATAATCCGGTATCCTTCTTGCTTTGAAGACACCATTCCTGCCGCGTAAAGAATCTTGTGGAAGTACTGCCCAACAACCATCGAGCGGGGGAGAGTTAAATGAGGGGTTGGGGCGGTAAATGCGTTCATCTGGGGGGCTTTGGGGTTAACCCCGGAATTGATAAATTCAGGAATTCCAGAGGGCGTCAGAGGTATCGAAGCTGCTTCTGGTTTAGCGTGTGATGGTGAATCCTGGGGCTGGAATATGGCTTTATGGGCCTTCGATGCCTCTTGCGCATCCTTGGGCCCATGTATAAGCTCCACGAATTCTTGAGCAAGAGTATGCTGCGCAACTCTAAGCGAAGGTGCTTTGTTGTGCTCTTCCATAACTTTTTGGATTTGAGCGATTGGAATGAAGGTGAAGAGCTTCAGTAGTCGCTCCATATCTTGATCAGGTTGGCGCATGAAATACTACTTTCAGTTAGTATATAAAAAGGCAATAAGATAAGCTTGATATGTCTTACCTGGTAAAGATCATAAGTTGATGTCATATCCTTATCCAGCCATATCGAATTCCCAGCAGATTTCCCGATCTTTTCACCCGTTGAGGTTGTAAGTAACGGTACGGTAAATCCAATAGGCGTCGATAGATCGGGATCTTCATCTTGTTTGCCTTCGATTGGTGAATTTTTCAATACTTGTTTAATGGTATCAATCCCGAATTGGATGTTTCCGGATTGATCAGAACCTCCCACTTGAACTGTGACTCCTTTCTGGTAAAGATGCCACCAATCCCATGCCTGCATTATCGGGTAGCAAAATTCGGTGAATGACATCCCACCTCCACTCTCAAGCCGAGTTTTCACCCTATATCATGAACAAAAAGAGGTTAACGCCTGAGGCTTTGCGCATAGGACGATTATATCCAGTTGTGAGGGGCAACTTACGGCTCACGTCCGAGCATAGTTCCTATCCTGGCATGACGTCCAAGCGTATTCAAAACTTCAATCAAAGTTTCTTTATTCCACCAAGTGTTATTATTCTCTAGAGCTCGTCTCCAGGCCCACTCCCAGGAATACCCGTGCTTCCCCCCATATCTTTCGAATGAAGCCCCAAGTTTTTTGAGTTGCATATGCATGTTGGCAATGTACGCTTTTCTGGAGGCGTTGTTGAGCATTGGACGTGCCGTCGTTCGCCCTGTAGGGTCGCCGATTCTGGAGGTGGAACCACCCAACTATGGACTCGAGTCAATTTAAACAGAATCTTGTACAGTAAATCTCCCCGACTGAAGCCAGTTGAGATTCTGTATAAGCAGGAGGAAGAGACAAGTTCTACTCACAACCCAGACAGCTTTCATGCCATGAACATAGGCCCAACCTAAAACCATAAATGGAAGCATATGTCCGACGTGCATCGACGGAGCAGTCGGGTCGATTCCAGCATAGAATCCCACACGTTTGTTCGTAAGCATCTTATCCAATACCGCACGGTCTCTAGAAAAGATAATTACGAAATATTCAGTCAGAAATTCAATTGCGCGTGTAGAACGAAATCACGATGCATGGTTGTTGCGCACTCACCCGATAACAGAGTGAAGTAGTCCTCTTTCCTCCATCAGGCTAAGAAAGCTCTGCCTTTGGCCATCTTTGATTTCCTTCGCCCACTTCTCCCATTGCGCCTCTGCTTCGGCTGTCCGAGCCAAATATCTTTGGGTAATGCATCTCCTTTGCGTGGCGCCGGGTGTTGCTCTGAGGGTAGAGGGTGATATCCTTTGAGTTGCAGTCCCGTTTCGAGATATTACGCAAGGTAAGGAACGGATATCCCTGGGAAGGGATTGGCGCAAAGAGGGACGCAACATGGCTTCAGACTGGTCATGCGGAGAAACAAGGATGGCTATCGCAATACAGACGAACTTTTTTTGCTAAGAGAAAGCGGATAAATATTAACGCGTTAAGCGCCATTTATCAAAGTGGGCCCGTTTGCCGCGAGAAACCTTAAACTTAACCCAAAAATAGCAAGCAAGCTTCATATGACCTTCTCGCATGACTATAGCGAAAGCCAACAAGTCAGTACTACCCCAGAAACCTGATCTCACTTACATACCTGGTTCCATATATAAGGGAATATCATTATTTACATTACAGGAATATATCTATATAACTATATGGAATTATCCAACTTGCTGGCCCATGATAACTACCTGGCTAACTTAGTGCAATACCCAGATCAGCCATGGAGCTCATATCGTCAGTTTTATCCTTTGTTTTACTTGGTGTGCTGGCTGGCTTCAACTAACAAGATGCCCGAACAACTAGCATGGAGGAGCGTTCTTCCCAGACCTCCTTTATTCGAGATTCCCAGATGAGTTTATTCGCAAAGGTGACATCATGGCCACCGCTTGGGCAGGTCACGTTTCTTAAACGAAGAAGGGGTGCTTCAGGTGAAGCTGCAGATGACAAAGTAAGGATATTTAAAGCTATCGAACTTTAGTAATATGCTATCGGCATCCATCTATTCCATCAACCCTCCGTTTTTGTACTATATACGGAATACGCTGGAGCTTTCTAAGCTAGTGACTAACATAGAAAAGATTAGATTTATGGTCGTGCTAGAATCTAGCTGCTCTTTTCCAGAGCGGCCGTGGGATGTTGCTATTTGGCACAACCTTTACAGGGACGAATGGACAGACCTCGAGCTACACAAGGGCCCTCCTAACGATGTTCCCATAGCAGTTAGCGAAAAATCAGCGAAAGAATGCTTCCGATATTCCTTTACTGCCGAGATACCCTTTCCTCCAAGTGGGAAACATGCGGCTTTTACTATTAAGTATAGAACAGACACAAGCGCCAAATGGCAGTGGATGAATGAACAATTCGGAACAAAAGATGGGGAGATTATTATTGAACCATACGACCTACCATCAAAATGGAATCCTCGGAGCCTGGATAAATATTTGCTTTCGCTGAATACAGATTTCGATATTAAGCCTCAGCGAAGCGAAGCTCCGGGTGCTTTGCTTTGGACTATTACCGGCCAAATTGGGCCCGCTGTTAATAGGGAAAGCAAGACGACCAACATGATACTCGGGATGCCGAATGAATTTGTTCGAACATTTTCTCTAGTTCGAATGTGGGCACCATGGCTTGCTCCACGGCACGGAGCTGCCAGCTTTAATCTGAATGAGGACTCTATACTTTCATCTTTTGTTTATAAAGATGGAGTTGTTCTTGTTCTGCTGGCCGTGAGCGGTATTGATAATGTTTCGACTGTTTTTCGATCTGGCCCTGGGGGTGACATCATCGTATTTTCTCAGAATGACGACAATCACGAATCGAAGACTCAAGTACTTGCCGCTACTGCGTCCTCGTTTGAAATTGCGGTGGCTTCCGTTATATATGAAGCTCGGAAAATGATGCGGAGTTACTCGACGATTTCACATGATATACCATTGCAGGGAGACGAGCCAAAGGCCCAATGGTTTTCAGAGTGGTATGACGGGCTATCATATTGCACATGGAATGCCCTTGGTCAAAACTTGACCGAGGAGAAAATATTAAACGCTCTCAAGCCTCTCAAAGAACATGGCATCGGAATCTCTAATCTTATCATTGATGATGGATGGCAATCTCTGGATAATAAGAACCAGTCACAGTTTAAACGTGGTATGACAAGATTTGAAGCGGATGAACAAGCATTTCCACATGGACTTCGACAAACAGTTTCTAGAATCCGTCAGGAGAACCCAAACATTAAGCATATTGCCGTATGGCACGCCTTGATGGGTTATTGGGGGGGTATCTCGCCAAATGGCGATATTGCCACAAAGTACAAAACAATTGAGGTTGAGCGAACCGACAGAGCGGCAGATAGCAAGACGGTCATTATTGATCCAGATGACATATCCCGGTTTTATACCGACTTCTACTCCTTCTTGTCGTCTGCAGGCATAGACTCCGTCAAGACCGACGCACAGTTCTTCTTGGACATATTGAAGGACGCAAATATTCGGAAACGCTGTACGGCAGCGTACCAAGATTCATGGTCCATATCCATATTGCGATATTTCCAGGCAAGAGCCATATCCTGCATGTCCCAGGTACCCCGGATAATTTTCCACTCCCAGCTCCCAAGCAACAAACCGCGTCTTCTGCTGAGAAACTCAGATGACTTCTTTCCAGGCGTGGAATCCTCCCACACTTGGCATATATTTTGCAACGCACATAACAGCTTGTTGACGAAGTATCTCAACGTTATACCCGATTGGGACATGTTCCAGACATCTCATCCATATGCATCATTCCATGCCGCTGCCAGATGTGTCTCTGGTGGAGTTATTTATATAACCGACGAACCAGGGAAGCACAATCTGGACCTTATTGACCAGATGACAGCTCCCACTACCAGAGGAGACACGGTAATTTTGCGTCCAAGTGTTGTGGGCTACACACGAGACGTGTACAACAACTATAACGAAGGTTATATGTTAAAAGTAGGGTCATTCACTGGTTGGGCTAAAACCGGAAGCGGGATCCTAGGTTTATTCAACATAGCTTCTGGCGAAGTCTCCTCGCTGATTACCTTACTCGACTTTCCAGGAATCCTACCAACTAACGATAAAGAGTACGTCGTCCGTGCTCATACTACAGGGAAGGTCACTCGGGCGATGCAGCCTACCGTTCAGTCAATAGTTTCTGTAACTCTCGAACCAAAGGGCTGGGAGATTCTCTCTGTATACCCTGTTTATACATTCATAGTTCCGAAAAAGGAGGGGCCCTCCCATATTAAAATGGCGGTACTAGGTCTGTTGGGGAAAATGACAGGTGCTGCAGCAATAGTTGGCTCAGATATATCAATTGTCCCAGGAAACAGTCTTCGATTCAATGTTATACTGAAAGCTCTGGGAAATTTGGGTTTGTGGATTTCTGATTTGGAGGGAAGAGAGGTTACGAAAAATTTCATGGTATTACTCCATGGCCAAGCTGTACCAGTCGAGACAGTACAGAAGGGTGTTGATGATCAGAATTGCGTTCTTTCCATAGATGTTTTGAGAGCATGGAGAACGATGGGTTTGGATTCTGGATGGAGTAATGAGGTCACCGTTCAGATACTCATGATGTAGATAATTTTTATATACGAGTAACATACAATACTTGCATATCATACAATGGCATAAAAAACGATCTCGTCCTGCACGATAAGGTGTTTAGTCATGCCTACTACCCGAAAATTCTTGACAAGAGAATAGGTAAAGGACATAATAACTCCTAGGGTAACCATCGTGCGGTTAGATTGCAAATTAACATAGTTTCGGCAATATATAACCTAGATTTTCACTCTGGAATGGAGTTTAATTCAGAAGGTTGGGGTTCCCTTTTCTGGTCCTGCAGTATTATATAACTACCATAAAAATATTGAGTATTATCTTATTAGCGTGAAATTTGTTCAACCCTGGAGATCCTCTCCCATGCCCCCAAATGTAACTGTCTTGATAGTAAGGAATTCATCGATACCATACTTGCTTCCTTCACGGCCAAATCCACTCTGCTTTACGCCACCGAATCTAAATGAGAAGAGTTAACAGTATTCCACTAAATGAGGTAAGAGTACGAGGGCATGAATACTTACGGAGCAGCAGTATCACTGATGATACCAGTGTTAACCCCAACCATACCGACTTCCAGCCCCTCAGCAACACGGAAAATTCGATGTACATCCTTGCTGTAGAAGTAACCAGCAAGGCCAACTTCGGCCTTATTGGCAAGCTCCACCACCTCCTTCTCCGTCTCGAAAGGATAGATACCAGCTACCGGGCCGAAGGTTTCTTCAGATGCCATTCGCATATCCTTCGTCATATCAGTGATGACGGTAGGAAAGAAGAAGTTCGATCCAAGATCAGGAGCTTTTTGTCCACCAATTACTACCTTGCCACCCTTGGCCTCTGCGTCACGGACATGTTCATGTACCTTATCAACAGCGCGGGAGTGTATGACAGGTCCATGTGTAACTCCTTCGTTAAAGCCATGACCAAGGCTGAACCCCTTGACCTTCTCTGAGAATTTAGCAGTGAATTCATCGTAGACGCCTTTTTGGACATATATACGGTTAGCGCACACGCAAGTTTGACCGGAACTGCGGAATTTAGATGCAATGGCACCTGCCACTGCGGCGTCTACGCTGGAAACATCATCGAATACGATGAATGGAGCATTTCCTCCCAGCTCAAAGGATAGCTTCTTCATAGTTGAAGCAGATTGCTGCATAAGCAGTTTACCCACTCCAGTTGAACCAGTGAAAGACACTTTACGGATCTCCGGAGCGGTTGTAAGGCATAGACCAATCTCTGGGGTATTTTTCAATGCGGTGACTATGTTCACCACGCCCTTTGGAATTCCCGCACGTGTAGCCAGTTCAGCAATGGCATTTGCTGTGAATGGTGTCTCTCCTGGAGATTTCGCAACCACGGTGCATCCTGCAGCTAGCGCTGGGGCGATCTTCCTCGTAATCATAGCTGCCGGGAAGTTCCAGGGGGTAATAAACCCGCATACACCAACGGGCTCTTTGATTGTCATAATTCGGTTTCCAGGGACAGTGGCTGGAATAGTATCACCATATACCCTGGGGGCCTCTTCACTGAACCACTCGAAGAAGCTTGCCGCGTAGTTGACCTCCCCCTTTGCATCAGCCATTGGTTTGCCATTCTCCCAGGTAATAAGCGTTGCCAGATCCTCTGCATTATCCATCATCAATTGGTACCATCGTCGGAGCATACGCGCCCGCTCACGGGCAGTGGTTTTTCGGAAGGACGGAGAGGCAGCAACGGCCGCATCAATCGCTTTTTGTGTATCTGCAGGTGAAAACTCTGGGCAAGTACCAATGAGCTTGCCTGTAGAGGGGTCTGTATAGCGTTTAATAGAGTAATAGTCAGTCGACGTAGTCTGCGTAAATAACGAGTTGTAGGTTCAAATACCGTTGACCTCAAAGGTCTCTCCAGACTTTGCATCAACCCATTCTCCATTGACATAGCATTTCCCAATAAAAAGGGATTTATCCTTCAACTAAACCGGTATAAGTCAGATAAACCTGTGTGTTTGTTACGTCAGGCCGGATTGCTTACCTGCGGAACCGTGTGCATGGCGTAGTGTCGTCTGCCGTACGATGGCGGTGGTATGCGGAAAGGGTATATAATACGTGGCCGAGAGAATTGCTTCAATATCGGACGAAGAACGTTTACCATCGTGGGAGAAGAAAACGGAGTGAGGGCAATGTGACCTGGGAGGTCAGTGTGCTGGCGTGCCGGAGGTGGGGTGGCAGGGATGTGCGGGGAGCCAGTATTATACAGCAGTGAAGTTGAGGCTGCAGGTTCTTGGATAAAGTAATGTGGTTTATTTGCAGCTGAGCCTGTAACGCATCAACTTATCATTGCTATTTAAGCGGGATTGTTATCTCGTCAGGACGTGAAGCGATGGAGGCCGAGTTTCTCCCGGCGCCGGCTGTTTGGAGCTGTCGAGGCGCCAAGGCGGCACCTCGGCTCGGCGATAGTTAAACTTATTTCGGCCCTAAGAGAACTTGAGGATTGAAGAAGCAGTGATAGTGAAGGTATTATATGGAAACGTATATGCATGAAGGCTTACAAGGTAGAATAATATATAGGGTAAAGATAGTGATGAATGAAGGTACGGCTACTCGTAAGTATATAAGGCTAAGCGGGCAGAAATAACTTCATAACTCTCGTTTATAGAAGCGTATACTAGATCTTATTTACTATCTCACCGTTATGTCCTCTGAAGCCTTTCTTAGGTAAGTAAAAATAAGCTTCCTTTATTTCTATTTCTAGTGATCTGTCTCAAGAGGTCATAGCAGATATAACTACACATCAAAGGGCAGCTTTATCCACCTGGTGTATTGGATCTATTTCGATAACAATCTTCCTAGATTGCTTACCGGGTTTTATATCCTCTAATATCCCATTAATGGCCCTGAGGCTACCCAATCCCTTTAGTCCGGCTAATAGTAGGTCTAATCTTGTTTTTACTAACCAATTCCATCAATGCCTTAAACTCCTATCTCGATCTTATTTTGCAGCCTCTTAGGCCGATATGCTTTAGCCCCTCCTACATAGACTAGTTCATTTTGGACGCCAAAATTATTCCGTAGCTGCAGATAGGGCCACCAGGCTTTAGAATACGCGACGCGCCTGCAATAATATCTATAGCCTCCGCCTCTATCAATAACCGCATCCATATAGGACCGAGGGAAGGGAGCATTTTTAGCAACTCTTTTCCCCATGCTGGCCCGACTTATTCTCAATTTGATTGTCAGAAATTAAGGTATAGCTGCTCTACTGAGATGTTGAAAGTTAGGTGGTTGGTCAGTTATTGTAGCTCAGGGAGTACGTGCTATATAATCGTCCAGTAATGGAATCGTAGGATGATTTCTAGCCAATTGAAGCTGAAATTATGTCGCACATACCCCGTACTCCGTAACTACTCTCTTTGTCTACGACTTGGCAAGGGATAACCCTCATTGTATAGGGAGATTGTGCTGCTTACCGAGTAGTTATCTGTATTTGGCTAGCATCCGCAACCATATTCAGTGGGTCCAGAACTAAAAATAATTTTAACCTTCTGGACCACATGCCTAAGAATGTGATTTACTTGCAGTTCAATATCTATTACAGAGGATGCAGCTGTTTTACCAGGCGCTAATCAAGCTGAGAGGAGTTTGAGATGTCGGTTGACTCTGGGAATGGGGTTGGTTACATCGCACCAGCAATGCGATGTGCAAGATAAAAAGAAGAATCTACGACATGTGAGTGCTTTGATACGAGCCAACTAATAAGTTAACCTCATAGACAGCTAATAATGGTTAGGCAAGATATTAAGCTATCTAATACTGGAACCTGTAGACATCTAATTAACTAATAGCGTAGATAAGCAAAGGAGAGTCGGGCTATTCTCACCTAGCAAATATATAGTTAAGGTCATGTAGATGAAAGTAAAAAGATTGCTTCAGTTACTAGTTAGCTTCATTTTTATGATACAGTTACCTAGAGCCTACGAGCACAGCATAACCAGCGGCTATAGTTAGGTTGGCACCGCTGCCTCCAACACGGTTCCAGCACCACCCTCGTACTGAGGCCGCAGAGTAGAGCCATCCAGATAATATGTACGCACCAGTAAGTGCCCATTTAGAGCATTCATATCTCTGTAAATATGACCTTGATATGCCCACTTGGGGCATTCCCTTCACATAATAAGAATACAGAGTATATAGATAGGAACAACGCAGTGTGTAGCTAGAAGGTCGGGTAGAGTAATACTGTAGTTAAAGCAGTTAGGGAAATTCTGAGGGTAAATATTACAAAGAACAGCTTATGGGAATACAAGATATAGACCTCATTTATTATATACTCTCTTAACAAGCTGGATCTTTGACTCTGCTAGTAGATCTGAATGGGCATTCTTCAAGTGCTGATTCAGATTCCATGCTCTGGAAAATCCTTTCAATCGCCGAGAACATCCTTCCACTGGACAGTATCTCGCATCTTCTTTCGGATTCTCCGCACAACTTGAAAGGGGTCGATCTTCTACCTCTTGGAACTCCTCTTCCGGTTCATCTAGCTCAGTGTGTTTCCAATAAGGCATCCCATCCTCCCCTCTATTTAGTTGCACAGTCCCTTCGTGCATGGTTCTGAACACTTGGTCTTCACCAAAAAGGTCTGCACAGCGTCGGGAAGCTCGCATAACTGCGGCGGCCGGCCATCCAGCCAGTGATGCCATACCGACAACCACACTCCAGTCGCGAAGACCTCGGCGCACACTACCTTTATGTTGGGAGTTTGGATTTGCGGGTAGCGTATCCTCAAGGTCATCTATACTACTTTCGGGAGTACTCGAAATTGGCTTTGAAGCTATGCTGCGTTCTGCGTCATTTTCATCCCATATCTCCGTCTCAACATCTGGGTTGTTTTTGTAGTTTGGCGGGATATCGATACTTGACTGAGAAGTCCCTCTTCTGGCTATCTCGGTGGGTGATTTGGGTTCATTTATTGACCCCTGAGTCATACTAGCGCATGTTTTCCGTGCTCCTTCGAGGTTCAGCAGGAGGTCATCTAGTTTATTCAGAATATTTCGTGCCTCTGGGCGAAGGAGCCTCCTGGACTTGTCATCGTCAGTCTGTACTGTCGGCCGGAGGGTAGGTTTCGATAGCCCCAAACCACCAAATTCGCTTTCATCTCTCGGAGCCGTGCTTTGGTTATCGCTCTCCGATGGAGGTTCCTCTCTTTCAAATCGTCGAGCACCCTGCCAATCCCACGGTCTAGCGTTGAACCTTTCCCTAGACACCTTCATCATGTGTGCAATAAGACATTCCTCCAATTCTGCGCTCGGCCTATCATCAGGAGGCATTCTTAAGGTCCAGACATCGTCTGGGTCTCTATTAACGCGTTCATCTACCCTCGGAACTTCATCCGTGGGCATTGGCCAGGCTGTCCAACCTCGATTCGGAGCAAATGAAGACAAAGATTCTGGTGGCTTTTCATCTGGGGTTCCGCACGGCGTCATATCTGCAATAGTTCTGGCCTTATCTTCTTTCGCGCGTTTCTTAAGAATGAACGCATTGTATAGATGAATAGAGAGATCTCTTGATCGGATAGTGTCCAAGGCAATAACATCATGCCGCTCTCGTTTAGTCCAGCCTCTCCAAGTAGATGGCGGCCCTTGAAATTTATTTGGGCGTGAGGAACTCTCTCCCATGCCATCAGGTGAAGATGACTGCCCGTATGTATCATCAAGGGCATCGGTATCACGGACGTAAGGCGTTCTTTCGTCGTCACCCCTATAGCTTCGTCCTTCACTAATGCCCTCGTCATTCTCCGTTCTTTCATCGTCCCCAAATTCAGAGTACGACGCAACCCGCCCAGTAGCAGCATATTGAGCTTCCTGGTTGCTCTGAAACTCGTCTGGGTTGAAAAGAGATGTATATTGCCTAGACTCTCCAGAGGCAGCAGCTTCAAAGCCAGGATAAGCCATCTCGTTCGAAATTTTGCAAGCTTGGAGCTTAACGAGGCAATCAACTCAAACAAGCGGATGAAAATTTCCAAGAATAAAATTCCATGTTTAAACGCTCTCCCCAGAAAGTACAATAACTTGTAGTAAAATTTTCTATTTGCTAGCATGGAAGAATTAATTTAAGCTTACACTTGGAGGAGCGTTTTGAAAAATATATCAATCACGTGTCTATAAAAGGCACCCTCCTCCAGCAGTTAAGAAGCGGAGACAATTTAATAGTTATGCAAAGGATTGAAAAGCACTTATATTTTTATTTTTGATCTAAGTACATGTCATTACGAGCTATAGGATTATCATTTCATAAGACCCTGTTCAATCTTCCGTCGCTTCCTCCTGAGCTTCTCCGCTTCCTCGTCCTTCTTCTTGTTCGAGTAAAGCATTTTATCAAGCAATTTACGCTTCTTACGACTCAGCATCATCTTCTGACGTTCAAGCTCTTCCTCCTCCTTCTTTTTCTCAGCGGCGTACTTCTTCGACTTGGCGCCCTGCTTCTTTTTCTTTGATTTCCCAGAGGTCTCGGGCTCATTTACAGGTTGAAGGCCTAGGGCTTCCGCCTCGAGTTCCTTCTGGTGCTGTTTTTGAGCGGCATCCTCTTCGTCTTCGGACTCTTCATCAATGTTGAGCTCCTCGTCGTCAAAACCACCAAATGAATCATCCACTTCTGCATCACTGTCGTCTTCTTCGTCATCATCTGAGTTTGCAATGTCCATACCGCCATTTAGTGAGTCATTGTCAGATTCTCCTTCGTCGGCAACATCTTCCTCCTCGTCGACATCTACAGCCTCTTCTTCTTCCTCTTCCTCGTCCTCATCTTCATTTTCCTCTTCTTCGGCAGCTCTCTCAGCTTCACCCTCTGCTTCTTGATCCGCCAAGCTTACTCGAGGATCGTACTCACCGTTAGAAGGCTTGACCCATGGGCTAAGATGTGGAGGTAGAATTGTACCAGGTGCGTAGAGGTCTGGCCTAAGTAGCTTTCCATCATTCACACAATCCCATACCCACTGTGGCTGGACATATATCCGACCAGGAATTCTGTGTCCAGGCCGTACTCTTAGGATCGATTCTTCACCCTCTTGAGGGTTTTGTGGCAATGGGGGAAGAGCAGACTCTGCAAGAGGTGGTCGATCAACGACTTGATGTGTTATTCTGGGGTCCAATTCGTCGTGTGTGAAAGCACCATCTCCCAACACCGTGTCCCACCCCACTCGCTTACAGCCGAAAGACCGCAGCAAGAATTCTATAGGAGCACGGGGAGCTTCTCTTGAAATAAAGACGGTAAGTGGCGCAAATAAAGCAGCGGCTTCATTTCCGCTAATCTGTGGCTGTGGGAGAGTGTCTGCATCAGGGGCAGTTGGCTCAAAGGTGTCAATCGCGTCTTCACGTTCAACTAGCGAATCTTCGGTGGGGCCCTCAGCGACGTCATCAATTTTGACATTCTTGAGGATCGTATTAACCTTCTCCTGCACCTCCTTTGACGCAGACTCGGACTTTTTATTTTCAATGGTGCCATCATCAGCACCTGCGGATGGCTCAATGGCTTTGTTCCCATCATCAATTTTTCTGCCCTCCAAAGTGAAAGCTGCAAGTTCGGCACCCTGGTCATCACTTCTAGCGTCAAATTTTGGAGGGTATACAAGTCCAATGGAGGTATAGAGACGGAAGTTAACAAAGCCAAGTAAAGTCGTATAGAACTCCACGAAAGTACCCATGATCCTGAAGTCGATATCCCCAGCCACCTGCTGGACGAAACGATAAGGAACTAGCCATAGGATATCCTGTCCCTGAATTGTAGCTTGGTAGTAGATTCCCTTTATTGAAAGGAAAGACTTGCGAAGCGAGTTGGTCGCAATCAAGTAGTGTTGGAATTCATGACAGAGCCTCTGGCAGCGAGAAATGGTCTTGGGAGGGACGGTAGCGGTAGAGGGCAAATTGGCGAAAAGGAAGAGCAACGACAAAGCATCGTCCAGATCCCGAAGCGCATCGATAAACGTAGGATAGCGCTCCTTGACAAGGTGGTCAAGCGTGAGCTTTGGGCCAATATTTTTCTCCAGGCGAGCCGCATCTCCAACCTGGCCACGACCAAGAGCCCTCGCGATCTTCTTTGCAAGGGTTTTCTGTTCGCGGAACTTATTCAGGAGAGGCTCATGAAGCAGATACTGTATGTCTCGCGTGTAGTAAAATGTCGTGCTCGCGGTTGCCGACTTTGAAGCCTTCTTCTTGTTTCGCGGTTCACGGGGATAAATTCCTGCAGTTGGAATTAACATCGCACAATCACCAACCACAGCTTCCAAAATATGAGCTTACCTTTGAAGATACATAGTCGCCTGAAGTCAGGGAGTGAAATCTGCAATTTTCGAACAGCCTGGGTTCTTGTGATGTAGTTTTTGGCCTGGCCAGAGGTTCCTGTAAAAAAGTATTAACTTCACGAGTTTTGCAGATAAAAAAGCCATTGAAACAAGCCATACCTTTTTTCTTAAGTCTACCCATTGTTTCAGACCTGGCGACTACTCGATATATGTGTAGTTGTGCGTTGACGAAGAACCGGCGCAAAGCAGAAGATTTGGAGAATAATCGGCAGGTCGAAACTTTTATCAGCAAAAAAAAAAAGCTCGATGGTCCAAGCGTCTCCACTTATCTTTGACCACGCTAAAGAAGCAACGACCGCAAGCAAAACGCGGCCTGAACTGCGCGACTGCGATGCTCGTCCGGCAAAGGACGTATTGACGATGCCAATTGGCAGGAGGAAGCTCTGCGTGTTTGGGGCAGCGGTCGCCCTGAGGCTCACCCTGATTTTACTGTTCCCCGGCCTCCCAGATCTGCTTACCGGCCGTGTTGAAGTGTCTACCCCAGTCAGCAGCTTCAAGAGACGTATGTACACGGCGCAATTCCCGCCATTGATTTTAGGGATAGGTTGACTGACGCCTTTTTTTTTACGAAATTCAGTGCAGGAAGGCTTGTTCCTCTATCTTCGGAATGTCTCTCCATATGACGGCGGGGTGTTTCACCAGGTGTGCATCAGATCCGCCCGCCAATAATGCCTGCCTATCTCTAACTAGATATTCGGAATATAGGCCCCTATATTCCTACCGCTATTTTCGCTCATACCACAGTCCCATGGATACACTCTGTTGACAGTCGTTGTGTATACGCTGCTCGATCTTATCAACGCGAATGCGCTAATCGAAATATCAAACTCGGGCGAGTCCGTGGTGTCGAGGCTCTTCACCTCCCCGCGGAAGAAGATTAGATGGGATGGCATTGCTATAGTCATTGGGTACGTTACCACTTTCTTTCTACATGAATTTATAGCTATTATCTAACACCTAGGCTTCAAGTTATCTATTCAATCCTTTCACAATTGCGACCTGCTTGGGGCGACCAACGACTGCTTTTACAAACACTGCCATAATATATGCAATATCCAATGCGATAACTGGCAGAAGTATCAACTCGATGCTTGCACTGGGCCTGGCATCTTACCTCTCCGTATACCCCGCCCTTTTATTCCCGCCTCTGGTACTGCTTTGCTACGATCGTCATATCAGCAAAGTCAAAGCGGGTGTTAATGGCATATCTTACGCGGCGTCACACTTTCTTGTTTTCGCCGGAGATATCGCGGGCCTGTTGATGATATCTTACGCCCTGACTGGCTTTTCATGGGATTTCATCTCTGCAACATATGGCGCACATATACTTGTTCCTGACTTGACGCCCAACGCTGGTCTATGGTGGTACTTCCTAATCGAAATATTCGATCCGTTCCGTGAATTCTTCCTGGGAGTATTTTGGCTGCACCTTGCGAGTTATGTGGGCGGCCTGACCATCCGCCTAAGACGCCAACCGCTTTTCGTGATAACTTGCCTCCTCGGGATTTTCGCCATCTTCAAGCCGTATCCCAGCATCTCCGATGTTTCGATATATCTATCCTTCCTCTCTCTTTATCGACACGTGTTCCCTCGTATGTACAGCCCCTCTTCTTATTCTCTGCTCGTCCCTCTAACGTGACTTAGTGATGCGGTATACCTTCTTCTCCATTTCCGCTCTGCTCTATGCCAGCCTTCTCGGTCCGATATTTTATCATTTGTGGATATACGCAGGCTCCGGGAACGCCAACTTCTTCTATGCCATCACACTTGTGTGGAGCCTTGGACTTTCAATCCTCGTCGCGGATTCCTTATTCGCCGTTCTTAGAGACGAATGGGAAGAGGAACGGCCAGAAGTAAAGGGCCAAGATGCAAGGCAGATATGACGTGGCGCTCCGTATCTTTTCTCAATTAAGGTCCTGGTCTGTGATATCCATGCAGTCCTCGTTCCCATCAGCATATGGTTGAGACATAATCATATAGTCATGCTCCCTCATCTTCCCGTTCCGTAATCTGGTTGGCTTCGGCGAACTTTCGTCTTCTGTGAAGCCAATCTGTTCATAGAATCGAACTGCGCTCTGATTAGATTTGAATACCGTAAGCATGCCCTTTCGAAGGCCCACGTTCCTGCCGATATCTTCGAATATCCGGAGTAATTGTTTCCCAACCCCTCTATGTTGCACCTCGGGGGCCAGATGTATTTCATAACAGTAAAGTACGGGCAGCTCATCCTCCTGGGTAACCATAAATGACAAAAAGCCTCCAATAGGGGATATGCCGAGAGGGTCTTTGGACGTGGTTTCATTCTCAGAAACAAGAACTATATATCGCATGTCTAATAATTTCATTTCCAGCTTCTTTTTACGCCCGGACCAGCCGGACGCTGACTTATTGTAGGCCTCTGAACTAGTGAAATAGATGAGATTGAAACACGCATCCATGTATTCGGCAGGAATTGAGGCGGCAGTATAAAATTTAACCGAGTATGCATCATGAGTTGCGTCACTGGTGGTATCATTCGAACTGGCGCGTGAAGGCCGGATGGTAAGGTCCAACGCGTACGGTGGTATATATCGATCAACAAACTCGCTGAACGGAAGAGAGTTGATATCATCAACTAGTGATATATTATCTCTCGAAGCTGGCGGCTCTGGATTCCACTCAGCATTAGATAGCTTTATATTGATGGAACTTGGAACGTCTTAGATACCTTTTCTCCGCGTTTTAGGTACGTTTATTGTGCGCTCTCCAGATGGCGATTGAGCTGGAACTTCCGTTGGCTCCACGCCTCGTTTTCTCTTCTTTATAGGCATTTATTGCTACTGTGAAATGATTTGAAGACCTGAAATGAAAGGTAGGGAGTTGATGAAGTTGCATTGAAGTCGCGTGAAGTCGCATCTTCAAGGTACCAACTAGGTAGTTATCGATAAGGAAAGTTAACCTCAAGCTCCTTGTTGAAACTAACGGCGTAAAACTAACCACTTGATGCTTTGATATTCTTGCCTGAAATTGCGCCGATAGAAGATCAAAATCAATGATTTTAATTACTTGACTGAGGATTGGCCATGCATGGAACCATTCGACTGTTGTCCGGCGCTGTTAGACGAGGATCTAAACTGAAAAAGCCGACAATAAATTTAGAACAAGTAAACCCTTCATTCGATATCAAATGTTATGATTCCAGAGAGAAATGCTAACGAGATGATTGAAGTTCATTGTACGACAGCGGGTTATAAGTCTTTGGCGGGAGATTTTGAGATCAACCAAGCGTAAGCAAACCGGAATATACCCAATGTTGAATGATTATGGATGATTAATGAATGGGACTCCTTTGGCATCTTTAGGAATACCCAACTCATCGACCAAACACGAATTACGGTCATTCGCTCGTGGGGAATTTGAGCGGCATCGATATGTTACGGATGTGGTATGCTGGTAGCCATCCCTTGCCTACAAGACGGTCGCTAATTCATAATAGGGGCATATAAGATATTTACTTTCGGTGCGGCCATACCGAGTTCCCAGGCTATTCATCTCCATTGAAGCTGTGTTTTGCTAACTTCATGTTCTTATAGACTGGCAAGACGGAATTCGACACCATGAGGCGGTATATTAATGAACAAATTACCTAGCGCCTCTCTTTCTGCGGTGCATGAATTCATTGGACATGACATATTTAAGATCTTTACCATTTTATACACATGTACATTATCTAGTAATAGAGTACGGAGTAGAGCTCAGCTTAATTGAGTGTATGCTCCTTTCCAAACCCTGGTGCCAGAATGGCCACAAACGCCAGTCCCAATCGATAGTATACAAACTTGCAGCCATAGTCATGGTATAAGAGTTCTATTTTGAGCCCCATGCCAAACTCTTAACGGCCGCAAGAACACCGCCTGATCCGCCTTTACTGTCCCCAGACTCTTTTGTTGCCGGTTCCTCCGACTTTTCATTTACCGCGGCATCCGGGGCCCGCTCCATTGCTGAAGGCTTTAGCTCTGCGCCTTTTGCAACTTGCTCAATGGTAGCATGTCTGTTCTGCCAGTCCTTATCTTCCTGTTCTCGGACTTCTAATTCCTTCAGCCAAGCGTCCCGCTTCGCCTGCTGTTTCTTTATGTCCATTGCCTTTTCCAACTGTTTCCGCTGATCCCGCTCAGTCTTATAATATACACTGCCGGCGCATACGGCGAGAAGGGTAAACGCTTGTGCATAGATACGAGCGCGGAACATTCGATTCACTTGTACGGAGTCACCCAATTTCATAGATCGATAAGCACGGAACAGCGCGTAGCAGGTGGCACCGATTCCTATTTCGCGCCGGTAACAAGTTAGTAAAGAGGAACATTTGCGCAAAATCAGAACAGATAGAACAGAGAGAAGAATACGTACCTATGGGAACCAGTGGCTCCTCCTTCAGTCGCCGTCCCAGCTTCTTCCAGGCATTGTCCTCGAAGAAGTCGCTATAGCATGGGGTTAATTTATGCAGGAAAACGAGAGCGGGAAAACTCACGGATCGTCATCGAACGATGATGGTAACGGTTTATCACCCATCGTGCAGAATAACCTAGTCAATCACGCCTAGAATAAAGCGGGTGAGCTCTTCATCGTATGATGAACATATCCCATGCATCGGAATTTTGTAGGGCCGAAGTTAGACGCCAAAACTACAACTACGGAACAATTGCATCTTGAGACGGAGTTCGACAGACGTTCTTCAATGGATAACTACCGTAAATGTTGTTGTTCTTGCTATGTCCTTTTGTTCCGCCGGAAATACTCAAAAAGGAAGACTGTGGCCTATCGAGAACAGCAACTTGGACTAGCTATTTGAATGGCCATAATTACACCCGACCAGCAACATAGCAACATTGAAGGACTGCGAAAAAACGGTCTGCTATATGTACGGCAGACGAGAACAACTATACCAATAATCAGCCTATATATCTTCCGCCTGAGAGATAAGCAGATCAACTCTGCAAACTTCGTAGATTATAATATACTCCGCACATTACTGTATCCCCAGCACTTATGGTGGTTAGACTGAAACGTGTATTGAGACCTTTGATTCGCCATCCTACGCTTGATAGACAGCCAATCTCTTTTGATCGTGGCCGTCAAGGAAGACAACTGCTCACCGCTGACTCTACTGCACGAAAACACTTCCAACTTCATATTCATAACTTTCTAGCATTTCAGTCTTTATTAATATGAGTGAAAGCCGATATCGGTGAAGCTCAGGACCCTTGTCTAGCGAGAGATCAACCTGACACTGGGCGCATCCTGACAGCAAGAGCGTTGTAATCCGTAGAAGCACGAGTATCATATCAGGGCCATGCTATATACCGGCATCTCGAGAGGTTCGTCACGACTGGCCCAATCGGGTAGTTAGGGCTAAGCGTGAGGGTTCCGGCGAAAGAAAATAAAAAAAACTTAGAAAATTGCATCATGGGATCGGCGATTTGGCAGGAGTCACATCCTTGCCAGGGACAAGAGTTAACGAGCTTACATCTCTTTCTTCCGTTTGATCAATTAATATAAACATTAGATGGTAGGGTCGCTTGCACAAGATACGATGGCCGACTCACTTCCAAACGGTGCTACGACTCCCCCGCGACTAAACAGTCTCTCGTTGACCGAGTACACCGCAACCCCCTCACCTCCATCCAAGACCGATGGCTGCCCTCCAGAATGGGATATCCCTGAGGGATTCCTACTTCCAAACGGATACCCAGATGTATTGTTGACACCTACTTACTCGTCCTAGTTGATTGATCTGTTTCCGTTGCTAATTAATTGGCGCAGTACATCCGTCTTATCCTGACTTCTCGAGTATACGATGTGATTCAAGAAACACCTCTCACACATGCCGTCAACCTCAGCAATCGGCTAGAATGCAAGATCATGCTGAAGAGGGAGGATCTCCTTCCTGTATTTAGCTTCAAGCTTCGGGGAGCTTACAATAAGATGGCTCATCTCCAGGGAGAGAAGCGGTGGAAAGGGGTTATTGCCTGCTCCGCCGGTAAGTTCCGTGTCCCGATGGCTGTCATACTGTAGTGCTAATTCGGTGCAACTAGGAAACCATGCCCAAGGCGTTGCCTACTCAGCTCGCCAATTAAAGATCCCGGCGACCATTGTGATGCCATCAGGCACACCGGCGATAAAGCATAAGAATGTCTCGAGGTTGGGTGGAACCGTTATACTTCACGGACAAGATTTTGATGCTTCAAAGGAGGAAGCACATAGACTTGAGAAGCTCCATCATCTCACTAACATTCCACCATTCGATGACCCTTACGTTATTGCCGGACAGGGCACATGCGGCATGGAGTTACTGAGGCAAGCAAACTTACAAAATCTAGAAGCTGTGTTTTGCTGTGTTGGAGGAGGCGGTCTGATTGCCGGCGTCGGCACCTACATCAAGCGCATTGCGCCCCACGTTAAAGTGATTGGAGTCGAAGCTGGTGACGCCAATGCTATGGCACAGTCGCTAAAATCCGGAAGTCGCATCACATTAAATGAAGTTGGCCTTTTTGCCGATGGTGCTGCCGTGCGAGCAGTAGGTAAAGAAACTTTCCGACTTTGCCGGGAGGTCGTGGACGAAGTCATTGAGGTGTCGACCGACGAGACCTGTGCCGCAATTAAAGATATATTCGAAGACACGAGGTCGGTTGTGGAACCAGCTGGAGCTTTGGCGCTGGCAGGTCTAAAGAAATACATATCAAAGTACCCGTCTAAAAACCCCAACAGGGAGTTAATCGCCGTTGCATCAGGGGCAAACATGAACTTTGACAGACTTCGATTTGTTGCCGAACGCGCTGGTCTAGGAGAAAAGAAAGAGGCCCTTCTACGTGTCATGATCCCCGAGAAGCCTGGCGCCTTTGCAAAGCTGATAGAAATCGTTATGCCGCACTCGGTAACGGAGTTCAACTATAGGTACTCTGGGAAAGATTCCGCTGACATCTTCATGGGTATCTCACTTTCTACTTCATCAGATGCTCATGATCTACAGGCTTTGAGTGCCCAACTTCGAAAGGGAGGCATGGAGTCATCGGATTTGAGTGATGATGAGCTTGCAAAGACACATCTTAGGTATCTTGTTGGTGGCCGGACGAATACTCCTGATGAGCGGCTCTTCATGTTTGAATTCCCTGAACGCCCAGGCGCCTTGGAAAAATTCCTAACCACACTTCGTCCTAATCAAAACATAACACTCTTCCACTATCGCAATTATGGCGGAGATGTGGCGAAGGTTCTGGCTGGTATCCAATGTCCGCCCGACGAGAGAGAATCGCTAGGAGCCTTCCTAGACGACCTGGGTTATCCAGTCACGGAGTGCACGGATTCTCCGGTGTACAAGATGTTTCTCAGACAATAGATCAGGGTGATAACCATTTTCCACAAAATTTTTGAAAAACATATCATGAGTGATGATTGGGCTATGTTGGGTGCTTAAATTTCTTGATTGCATTCCTGGACGGGCATAGCTGGTGGTTAGGACTTTGGGTCATATACTATTCTTCACTGGGTGTCCGTTGTTTCTGGTGTTTTAGTCTTAGAGGGTAAGTAATGGAGACCTCGTTCCCGCCTTAATCCTTTCCGTATCTGATTCCTACTATAAGATGTCAACATGAGCCTTTTAATCGGCCTTTAGTATTAACGGGGCTCCCCAATATCTTCTCAAGGGGATATCCCAAGGTCTTAACGTAGAGAGTAGCCAATATTATCGTTGTGAGCATGTAAATTTGGCCGGGAAGACGGAACTCGGTGAAACAAATATCCGAATCGCCAAGACATCGAAATCTGAGCAGCTTCACGAAATGCAGACGGTTAACAATTGAAGGAACTTGAAGCAATATCAATTGACACACCCAACGAACCAAACACTCCCCTCTCGCTCTTTTATCGGCGTCTATAACGTCTCCTTATTTACAGGCTGGTGACCTGACGGCATAACTCGCACACACCGCGCTACTCGCCCTCCTAAATCAGGCACCATGTCCGGGCTCCGATCTCTCCTCGCTGTGCCTTCTAAACTCCCGCTCTCCCAATTCACATCAGTCTTACCCCGGAGGATATGTCGAACAGTTTTCTCGCGATCCTTTTCGCAGGCCTGCGGAGCAACCCTTTCAACCCGGACGCTATGGAATACCTCTGAGACACTATCGACTGGCTTGAAGAACCTGTGTTCACGAAGTGTGAAGGCCTTTAATTCGATGTCGGGAATTGGACAAAGCCGAGGAATGAAGACTAGGTCATCAGTTAAGAGATTATGTGACGGTTGCAAGGTACGTTGGTGATTCGGCACTCCGGTTTGGAGATAGCCATCCACAAACTTCACCGCGGGACACGCTGTTATAAAAAATGCGGACACTGACATGCTCTTGATTATTTCTTCTAGCCCGTTCGACGGAAGAATCGCGTGTATATTATTTGGTAAGTCTCATATCACCTCAAGCGTTGCATTCCGCCGTTTACTAACAACCAATCTAGCTCGAAGAACCCGAAGCACAAGCAGAGACAAGGAAAATAATCGACGCTACCATTGTATTGGATGTATTTGTATCGGTCATATATACTTGGGATTCTATGAGAAGTTTTGCAATTTGATGGTGTGGTATAGACCGTCGCCCTAGAGCTTTCCACTTCTTACATGTGTATAATATTACGATTTTACCCTACCAAATTCATGAAAGCATGGATACTGAAGCCAAAAACAAATATGGATTGAATTCCCTAGGGACGCACCTACGACAGACTCGTTTTACTTCTCGTTCTTCTTACGTTCTCTCTGCAAGGCATATATCCTTTCCTGATAACGAAACCACAGCATACACTTCCCAGATTCACCTCCAGCCACCGAAACGTTCTTACTAGACTCCAAATATCGGCAATCGACTATCCCATCTAGCAAGCTTAAGGCTATGGACAGTGTTAATATACTCCGTAGAGCTTCCACGCATCTGATATCGATTACATAATCAGGAACAATAAGCCACGTGATTTGGACATACTTTCTTGTAGGTCTTGGCAAAAAAAGTTCTAGTTGAAGCTCGATCTGAACGCAGCTTGGAGAAAGACTGAAGACTTGAACAGAAAGCAATTGGTTCAAGAACATCGACAGTGGATAACCATGAGGGCACATACTTTGATGCGGCGGCCAGTCCACGCATTTACAAACCTATCGCGTTCGTCAATTCGATTGCAGTCCACTACTCCCTTTGCCCATCGATGTCTCTTCAACGCTCCATCCATCTCCGGCAGCATCGCCGCACCCCGATTACCGATGAGCGTACGATGGGAGCCCCGGAGGTCTCTATCGACTGCTGCGGAGATGTAAGTATCTATCTCTACCTTCGCAGCTAGGCATTTATGAGGTCAATTGCTTATATTCTCTTCAATTTTAGCCTCCAAAAGGCCGCAAACCCGGAGGAGCTCACCGAAGCCACAGTTGTAGAGAGCATGAACCCAAATGAGTGGAAGCATATGTCCAAAATGCGAAATATTGGAATTGCTGTTAGTGTATACGGTCCACTTTTAACCAGACAGGCTGCTCACTCAACTTATTCCTTTAGGCCCATATCGACAGCGGAAAAACTACTTCCACGGAGAGAGTTTTATTCTACACAGGACGTATTAAAGCTATCCATGAGGTGCGCGGCCGCGATTCTGTAGGAGCGAAGATGGACTCTATGGACCTGGAACGTGAAAAGGGTATTACAATTCAATCTGCCGCGACATTCTGTGACTGGGTCAAGAAAGAAGACGGGAAAGAGGAAACCTACCATATCAACTTGATTGACACTCCTGGCCACATTGATTTCACAATTGAGGTCGAAAGAGCCCTTCGTGTCCTCGACGGTGCCGTTCTGATTTTGTGTGCTGTATCCGGAGTCCAGTCCCAGACCATGACCGTCGATCGACAAATGAGACGATACAATGTCCCCAGAATTTCCTTCATTAATAAGATGGACCGCATGGGAGCAAACCCTTTCAAAGCCGTGGACCAGATCAACCAGAAGCTGAAGATCCACGCTGCTGCGGTGCAAGTCCCGATTGGATCAGAAAACGAGTTTAAGGGCGTTGTTGATTTGATCAGGAGGAAGGCTATTTACAACGAAGGCTCCAATGGTGAAGTTATTGTCGAATCGGACGATATCCCAGAACACCTTCGTGATCTTGTCGAGGAACGACGAGTCAAGCTAATTGAGACCCTCGCCGACGTTGATGACGAGATTGCAGAGATATTCTTGGATGAGAAGGAGCCAACCCAAGAGCAGATCAAGGCTGCTATTCGCCGAGCTACAATTGCTCTGAAATTCACGCCAGTATTCATGGGATCTGCATTGGCCGATAAATCCGTCCAGCCCATGCTTGATGGTGTCTGTGACTATCTCCCAAATCCTGCTGAAGTTCCCAACCTGGCTCTTGATCAAAACCGAAAGGAAGCATTCGTGAAACTTGTTCCTTATGCTGACCTTCCGTTTGTTGGTCTCGCTTTCAAACTTGAAGAGAGTAACTTTGGACAACTTACATACATTCGAGTCTACCAAGGAACTCTCCGAAAGAGTATGAACATGTTCAATGTGAAAAACAACAAGAAAATTAAGGTCCCACGAATTGTACGCATGCATTCCAACGAGATGGAAGAAGTCACGGAGATTGGTCCTGGTGAAATTTGCGCTGTGTTCGGTGTCGATTGCTCCTCTGGCGATACCTTTACCGATGGGAAGCTAGGATATACTATGACTTCCATGTTCGTTCCCGAGCCTGTCATTTCTTTATCCATCAAACCTAAGAACTCGAAAGACCTCATCAACTTCTCTAAGGCTATTAATCGTTTCCAGCGAGAAGACCCCACATTCCGTGTTCACTTTGATAAGGAGAGTGAAGAAACTATTATCTCTGGAATGGGTGAATTGCATCTCGATATTTACGTGGAGCGTATGCGCCGTGAATACCGCGTGGACTGCACGACTGGTAAACCTAGAGTTGCATACCGTGAATGCCTCGGAAAGCGAGTCGATTTTGACCATACGTTGAAGAAACAGACTGGAGGTCCTGGTGACTTCGCCCGTGTGGTTGGTTGGTTAGGACCGTCCGGAAAGTTGGAGGTCAATCACTTCGAGCAACAGGTTGTTGGTGGTAGTATCTCGGAGAAATTCTTGTTTGCTTGTGAGAAGGGTTTCAATCTGTCCTGTGAGAAGGGCCCTCTGATCGGCCACAAAGTTCTCGGAACAGAGATGATAGTCAACGACGGTGCCACGCATATGACTGATTCCTCTGAAATGGCTTTCAAGATCGCAACACAGCAAGCATTCAGGAAGGCGTTCAAGGAGGCTGAGCCCTACATTCTTGAGCCTGTCATGAAGACTGTCATAACCGCCCCATCTGAATGCCAGGGTGATATTATTGGCCTTCTGAATAAACGCAATGCCGTCATCAACGATACTGAAACGGGTGTGGATGAATTTACCATGTTTGCTGATTGCAGTTTGAACGGTATGTTTGGCTTCAGCAGTAACTTGCGAGCTGCCACCCAGGGTAAGGGTGAATTTACTATGGAATTCAGCCACTACGAGAAGGCCCCTGTTCTTCTACAGTAAGTTTGCCCCTGTCAACACCGAAGTAAGGGATCCAGTTTATTAACCACACCTTTTTACAACTATAGGAAAGAGCTCATTGCCGAATATGAAAAGGCACAGGCCGCACGACACAAGTAAAACACCATTCATCATCTAATGCTGCCCACCCATGACATGTCGCTAGCATAATGCCGTCTATCTAACGCCGGACTCAAAACACTTACGCCAAGATCCGCTTCACCATGAACGAGTATACTCAGCATACTCACCATCTACACATTCTCCGTCGTATATAATCTACGTCACTCCCCCTGGCATTCGACTACTTGGATTCATTCTTTTCGCACTATTGTATTCTAGAAAGATTTTTGGGAGGAGCAAAGGATGAGCCTGTTTATTAGAATTCCCCCTTTAATGTCTTCGCGCTTCTGCTGTTTTACTAAACATCCACTTTCCTATACATTTGATCATGGAACTACCTTCTCCATGTAACCTAGACTGTATAATTTCCCTTCTCTGTTCCGTTATGAGGCAGCTATTTTGTTTACTTTGTGTGGGTATATCCGACTGGTTTAACGGCAGAATGCATGGCACGGCCTTGGGGTGAACAAATGTATAATAAAATTTTCTCCTCTCTAGTATATGACGCACATCGATGACTAGACTTGAGATTCCGAAGTTATAATGGTTAAATCATAGAATAAAATTCTAAAGCCCGTCCTTTCTATGACATTACATTCTAGACATAAAGTAATATGATGCTGAGATTATGTCTATTTGTCGAGGAGCCTCAAAACCGCAACCGCAACGCTATTGAGAGTTCCAATTTCATTGTGGCCTATTCAGTAGAAGAAAGTCGTTAGATCAGTTGCAAATCCTGGAAAGGTGGCAATGTATTTGAATAAAAATCGAGAGCATCATACCTCCATATCTAACCCGTTCCCACCGAACTCTCTTCAAAGCTTTTCCTGGACCATCGTTTCGCTCCCAAACATAGGATTGGATGACTCCATCTTCTGATGTATGGTTGTGTGTGAGAACCCCCAAGTCAGCGGCATTTGGCCCACCGGTTGCTGCATCCCATACACTCTTTCCCTCGCGCCATGGAATGTCACGGTCGTTTGCAGCGTGGATAATTGTCAGGTCGAAAGACTGTGACTCATGGCTGTGTTCAGTATTGCTGTGCTCTCTTGGAGCAATGCCTGTTAGAGCTGCAAGTCTAGCTGCCGTGTCCCATCTGTCAAGAATTTTATCAAGTATATACTTCTTCCGCTGGGGGTATTGAAGCAATGGGGAAAGAATTGGTGGAATGAATCCCAGGATGGAGTAAGTATGTAAGAGTTGCGGTATGTTGGTGAATGGTGCCATGAGGATGATACCTGCAAACGGCTCTTTGGCCGTTTCCGTAGATAAGCCTGACGACGGATTTCCAAAAGTGTATCGCTCAGCCAAAGCACTTGCGACTGCTGTACCAAGACTTTGGCCTGCAACGATGATTCTTCCGGTTGAAATTGAAAGAGGAGGGGAGGTTAGATAGTTGACCGCAGTCAGGGCATCTGTAATGAGGCCTTCCTCGGTGGGCTTGCCTGTGGATTTCCCAAATCCTCTATAGTCAAATGCAATGACATGGACGGGCCGATCTGGAGTGGACGTGGAGAGGAAGTTTTGGTAAACCTTGGGGCGATAACCGGTTCCAATATCAGCGGCATTGCCGTGAACTGCGTAGTTGTTAGCACCGTAGCCATACCATCTTCAGTCCAACGGGTTACATACGGTTCAGCACTACTCGTGCATTTGGGTCCTTAGCCAGCAGCTGGAAAGCTGCCGTCTTGGTAACGTCTTCCGCTAGTCCGGACGGGGGATTCTGCAGGAGAAGATTCTCATAGTCCCTGTAGAGATGCGGAGGAATAATGTGCCATGAATAGAGCGTCTCATTATCAGGCGTAACAAGGTTGAATGGCTGCACCTGGGATTCTATGGCCTAGTTAATAAATTGCAGGTAGAATGAGATTCAGGATATAGCGGTAGCCGTACTCAAGAATCCAAAGCATTCGACGTTGTTCAGGTCATGACACTTTGAAGGATTAATCCCATTGGAGTATAGCACCCTAGAGGCAGTGTTAATAAAGCCATACTCCGATGCTCTTGACTGGGATAATTACCCTCTCTGGACCGTTGGATATGTCAAGGACAACACGGCCAGGACATATACGAGACCGCAAGCGGCCAGGAGCCAGTAGGCCTTCTTAAAGATGGGAGCAAGCTCCATCGACCAGGATGGGCTATAACAGATTATTAGTCGATATCCCTCAACATTATGTCTAAAATATAACAGTATACTCACATATATCCCGAAAACAAGAACGAAGAAACCGAGGGCAGGCTTTACTTCTGATATTGGTATCGCGAAGTTCCAGGTTATGGTTATACCATGGACATGTCAAGCATACCAAGATATTATCTCGAGCACTTGTTAAATAAAGAATAAGTGGCAGTGAATATTGAAAGTGAAGAAATAATGAAAGATATAGTTACCTAGGCTGAAGTCGTATAAATATCACAGGGAAGTTCCGCGCTATCGGGAATTTTGGATAAGTTCAACTTCGCGTCTTGGCTTCTTTTTGCGCGCATCAACTTTCGCGATAGGGCTTTTTCTCTGCTTTACAACAAGGTCGGCTTTCGACTGTTCAATCGCCAGCATGGTAGAGAAGCGAAAACTACCTGGCAGGAATCGCGGCGGGCGCCCGCCCAAGAAGAGGCTCGCAGAAGCAGACGTCACTCCGTCTCCGAAACGCCTACAGCGACATGAGCAGCGGCGGCCATCTGCAACTCCGTCGAAGAAAGCCGCTGAAACACCTGCGCCATCACTTCCGATCGAGCCTCCAGCTGAAGATACGCTTCCTACCAAGATATCAGATAGTCAACCGCTCCCAACCCTCCCCAAACCGCAGACACAAAGCTCTCTGTCCGAATACCAGACCTACGCCGAGAGGTGAGCTTGCTCCCCGATATAGAGGCATCTTGGAGGAGATATCTCAGTAAGAAAGTGTTGCGCTAATATATTATGGTGTCTAGTGGTGCTGTTGCAGCTGCACTTCATCGATCTAGGTCAAAATGGCTTCACGATTGCCTGTTCGAGAAATACTGGACCAAGCCGTCAAAGAAGAAGAATCAACCTCAACCCACATTCCAGAACCCCCCAAAGGACTCGATGACCAAGCTGGGGCCTTGTACGATGGTGATTGAACCTCACTATTTTGATATAATGCTATATACAGTCCGACGGCCACACTCTCAGCCGCCCAGTCAACAAACACAACAGAAACCCATGGTTCAAGTACAGTATACGCCGCCAAATAGCTCCAGCTCGTTTCATGAATATCACCCTCGGCAGCATCCAAACCAATCTACTCCGAGTAAACCGCCTAATATTGCGCCTCTCCACCCCCAAGCTCCCCGCCAACAACAATTACCACCACAGCAGCAACCACAACCCCCACCTCCTAGCAGCAATGTACCACCGCCTGCGCCGGTTCATCAACCTCCACCAGTTCATCCTCAAGCCCGCAATACTCCTCAAAAACCTCCAAATCCTCCGCCGCCTGGGAAACCCAGTGCCGACCCAGTTATCCAGCTTCTGGCAAATAGGGCGGCCACAAACCCTGATTTAAGGGCGTTGATGAGGATAGTCGCGGACAGTCAGGCCGATCAAGAACAGCTTCGGGCGTTCCAAGCACATATCGACGAAATAAATGCAATTATTGCTAGCAGAAACCCGAAAGATTCACAGCCACATCCGCCACCGGTGAAAACAGAGCCGTTAGCGCAGATGGCTGCTACCCCTGTTCCCGCTGGCGGAGTACAGAATCGAGTCCATACGCCGATTGCATCACGCAGTCCAGCGGTGACCCCCGGGCCTACAACATATCATCCGCCAAATCAACATCCACACCCGTCCGGGTCACCATATCCTCATCCCCCACAGGGTATAGCCCCGATTAAAGCTAAGAACTCCCAGAAGCTCCCACCAGCTCAAAACGGTTGCTTTCGCCCACAGTACCCGCCTCCTGTCCCCCAGGCGCCGAGAATGGACATAAAGGGGGTTGTATTTGAGTTTATTCTGCCTGCTGGTGCAAATCATGGCCCTACTGGGGACAGGTACCTGTTTCCAGAGAATATGATATTGGACTACTTCCCTGGGAATACCACTGTAATTGCATCCTTTTTAGCAATTAAACGAATTGATCCACCCGGGTCATCTACAGAAACAGATAAAAAAGCACCCGCTGGAAAGGTAAAGGGTAAAAAAGCCAAATTACTTCAGGCCCCTGCGACGCCTACTCCGGGCGAAACCCCTTCCCAGACCCCAGTTCCGCAGCCAGACACCAATAAGGATATGAATAACTCAGGTGTCCCAGCCGCAGAAGACCCAAAAGCGGCAGACCCCCAAGATACCACTGAGCCTTCCTCGCCTTCCAAAGGGGCTAAGCCTAAAGTCAAAGAATATTATCAACCGGTCACGCTTCGGCTACATGCTAATAACCCTAGGACATTGGAACCCCTAGGCCGCGTCGTAAAATCTCCAGGGGAGGTTCGAGATTATATGAACAATGTCATGGATAGGATTGAGCGGGCTGATATCGAATATCTGGCTCTACGACTCCCGCGAGAACAGCGACGTGGTCGTGGTGCCATTGCAGGGGACGAGCCAGGCAAAGCTGGCGGCTCAATTCGGGCCACTCCTAGAGTTAAAGGGACAGAGACTGAATCGGGGGCCGCTACTCCGCAAAATGAGGATAGAGGAGGTGGTGGCGATGAGGTAGTTGAAGAAGAGCTGAAGGACTATTATGACTCTCCATGCAGCCTTGTACCATTAAGATCGTGATTCATTCTTCTCCGTATCGGGTTCTTGTCGCATCGCATTCTGCATTTTTTGGATACTTGGGAAGCGTGGGCATCTGGTCAATTAGCATCATTTAGAAAGACATAATGCGAGGTTGGAAAGCATTTCTTATGAAGAATTAATTGCACTCTGAACATTTAATCATTATTATCATGTCGACGTGGATCACATAACTACCCCTAGCCCAAACCCTGGATATCATTAAAACACCAAGCTTACGAGTCCTACTCTCATCGCATTCGTGATGAATCTCCTATAATTCCCGCCATCTCCAACAACGCTCTTCCAGTTTGCTCCTCAGAGTCACCGCCGCCAACATTCAAATGAATCTCTCGTCGTCTTTCAGCTTCACGAGCCTCGAAATTCCAATGAGCCTGCTGACGCGCGATAGCATCAGGTATCTCCCCGTTCGCAGTGGACGTACGGCTGTGCCTTGAAGTCGAAGGGCCTGAGGCCGGCATCGTGTGAAAAATTCCCCATACCTCGATATTATAAATTGATATATTTATCGTTTCACTTGCCGCGGCAGAAGCTGACGATGACAAGGACCGAGACGGGGACGAAGAAGTGATTCCAGGAGGTAAGAACACGCCCTCACCATGACTTAAGCCGTTGGATATAACGAATTCAGCATTTTCTAGAGCTGGATCGATCAAGATACTGCCGCCGCCTGCTGGCGTAGGGAGGATTGAATCGCCGCTTAGCGATTTTCGACTTGGTGGAGGCATTTTGCAGCCAATAGCTATGCCGTATTTGGTTGAAAACGATACCACGGGCATGTTAGATTTAAGAGAGTTGATAGATGGGGAGCCATGCATGACGACATGCTCGGGGCTTAGTTGGAATAAGTACGGCAGTTGTGACGGATCAGAGAAGTCATGCATGGCGTGAGAGGGAGATGTTGTCGATGATGATTTCCATGCATGCGGCAGGTATGCACCCACAGTAATTAACTCGCCCTCGTTGCCAGCGTTGTCCTTCTTAACACCTGTTAGCAGCAGAATGCTAGGTGCATCCCACGTTAAGACGTTATGCGAAAAGGACGTTAGTGATTCGCCGTGGGCATCCGAAGAGAACACTCCGTGTAAACGAGTGCCGTTTTGTAGAAGATTGGTAGCCGGGAATGATGTAGGGAGGAAGAAGGAGAGGTGAGAGATCACTTGGGAGTTCAAGATGCAAGAATCGAAGGACCCGGGTAGTGTTATGGAGATGTCTGAAGGCGCCGGCTGTGGCACCGACACCATCTTTTGTTCATCGGTAGGGGACGATATACCCGAATCCTTTCTTCGGGATAAGTCGAGATTTTTGCTGAAAAGGAGATGTTCAAAGAGCGGAGTTAGAGGGTCGAATAGGTATGGGAGAGAAGTTGATATCACCCTTGAAAAAGTCGCAAAGTCAATCCCATCTTTGCTGTCTCCCATATTGAACGAAGCGATAATGTTCTTCACGCAGTCGCGAGCCGATTCCAAAGATTCTTCACTAGTTTGCGAGAAATATTTCGACGTTTCCTCATCAGCTCGTAATGGTGATAACACAACTAGCAGCATCAACAGCCGTTGGAATGTGTCGACTGAAATATGAGCTTCGTAGACAGTTCGATCAATGCGCTGATCATGTTTAAAAACTTCGATCGCATCTAACGACTCCAGGGCGGCAAGAACCAAGTCATCGTCATCGTGTTCTCCTTCGTCATCATTCGATGGCTTATCGATCGAGAATCCTGGATCGTAAGACTGAATTCTCGACTCACTAGGGGAGCTACCGGGTTTCTCGTCAGTTGGCGGATTGTTCAGGTTGGCAACGTCGCCTTTCCTCCCTACATCAGCCATACTACCAAACAGCAGCTTGATCCTATCCTTTCTCCCTCTACGCAACACCTTGCCGTACCGTTCAGTCAGGAGAACGATCACTTTTACCATGGCATCAAAGGTAAGCACGCTTGGGGCTAGAGTGTTTTGAAAAGGGAACGCTCCTAAGTAGGAGACCATTCGAAAGATTACCGGGCCAGCATCGAGGGCCTTGTTCCCGAGCCTGCTGTCACCATCCGGTATACCCAAAAATTTGGATAGGACTACTTCGTTCCAGTACTGGATATCTCCCTGCTTTAATGCAAGAGAGTTGAAGTTATCTTTCAGATGGGCTAATTCCAAGGGAGTGAAGCATTTCGATGCAAAACGACGGGCCAAAACTTGGCTCATCTCCTCTAAATATTATTAGATATTTGTCTTTCACGCAAAACCAATATAATGGCTCATGGGGGTATAATTGTTCATGAAGGGGGAAATCAAATCATAGACAAAAGTTGCAGCCTAGAACTTACCGGGAGATGCTCCATGCTCTCGAGAATCGGTTGAATGACCGGCACCCATGGTGACAGTGGTATAAACAGTCGAAGCTAGGTAGTTAAATAGATATTGATATCCAATATTAACATAAAACTGCCGAAATCGACGTTTCTATAGTTATGGCTATTAACGTCGGTAGGTGGTTTCTCCGCAGCACGCTATAGTCAAAGCAGTGGTATGATAACGAATTTCGCTTAACCCGGAGAAAACGAACCGTCCGGCGTCCTTCCCTGGCATTTGTATGGCCGATATCTTGCCTCCCGCGAGTGTTGCCTCGCTTGTTTCTTGTTGTTGCTTTGTCCAGGAATTCGGCTTGGAAAGAGGCCAGGTCCCGTGATAACCGCGTGACAGTATTCACTAGCCTGTTTAGGACTAGCGTTCCTACGATCTAGACCTGAGGCTCTTTGTCACGTGGACGCCACTCTATAAAAAGATCGAGGGGCAAACTATTATAATGACACGGATAGAAAGGGATATGATGAGGAAGTTGTTGGGATATTTGACTGTATTTTTGCTTGGTTTTGTTTCATCAAGAGCTATGGATGCGCTCTAGGAGGCATTTTTTAATTTGTGCGGGGTAGTAAGTCTGTATGACATCACGCATGCTAGTAAACTATTAAACAAGGACAACACCGACACCGTATCTCTTGCGCTCGTCAGGCTCGTTGTTGCTATCCACGCCACCTGCGATCGGTGCAGTTCGGTAGTTGAATAGGTAGTAATGGAGTTGACCGTCTCCGGCACCGAATTTAAGCTTCTCGAGGAACAGCGGGTTGTCATGGAGGGTGAGAGCGTTGAACACGTCGAATTTCTCCTATTGACCGATTAGCAGATGACACTCCTCTGGGTGCTCGTGATTGACAGTGCTGGGATTTTACCTTCTTCGCGATGATCAACGCATCATTAATGAGCAGCTGCAGACGCTCCTTCAATCCCTTTTCTTTCTCGGCAAACGCTGTTTCCGAGGCGTAGTAATACAGGTATGCAGCCCTGACGTTGCTGTGCTTCTCATTCTGGATCACAGATGACTCCAGAGAATAGAATGACACGAAATCCGTGATTTGGTGGGTGTCTTGTTCCTCAACGACAAAGGAGTATACGACCGTCTCCGACGTCCGTTCTCCGTTGATGAATAAATGTTTAATCTCCTCTTCACTAAAGGTCTGCGAGAGGTCAAAGCGCTCCATGTAGCGATTCATGAGGTTGGAGACCGCACTGATATCCTTGACCTGCATTGGACGTAAGCCAGGCGTGGACGTTTCCGAGGGCAATTGGTTTCGTGCAACCTGCCGGGCCTTCGTGGAACCTGTTGGTAGACCAGAGAATCCAACTTCATAGAGCTTCAACCAGTCTAGCGCTCGGTGGTAGTACCGACATGAGCTGATCGGCGTTGGTAGAACGATGCCAACGGTGTAAACTGCTTGGAAGACTCCCCTCAAATAGCATCGTCGCGTTATTTCCTTGATCAAGACGGGTGCCAGTCGCTTGGCTCGTAGTTTCTTGTGTACACAGAGGAAATCGATTCCGACAGACTTTATCTTCTTCCCACGCACGGATATTTCGATAGGGATACCGCATATAGCTGCGACTAGCTTTCTGGATTTTGAAGCTCGAACGCCGACGTGCCACTCGCTTGTCCACCCGGGAGCCTTAAGTGCCCTTTACATGCGGCGTTAGCTTTAACTCAAGATTGGAATCGAAAGTAGCAACAGAAGTCACAATACTAACCAGTTTAGAAAGTCCTTTGAATAGTTAAATCGGAACATTGCACTGTCATCCTCCACATAGTGATCGGTAAGTAGTTCATACAGCTCCTGCGTCTCCCTGTCATCGTTCAGGTTCAGCGTGACCCATTCAAACCCATCAATCAACGGGCCTGGTGTCTTCGAAACAGTCTCAATATCAATCTCCTTGATCGGCCCATCCACTATCTCACCCTTGTCGTCAAATCTTATAACCGGTTGAGTCTGCCAGAACTTATACGAAGCCATATCCTTTTGGTTTTTCGGGTTAACCGCAAGCCCAGCCAACAGCTCTGAAATGTCCATTTTCCGCATCATCTCTGCTGCCTTCTCTTCATCCAGACCCGCGAATTCACCCTTTAACGCGGGATTAGACTCCATCAGCGCCTGTGCTGCCTTCGTACTGAGCTCTATCGTCGGACGAGACTTCGAGGGTGCTTTTCCTGCATCGACCGCTTTGCCTTTACCTTTGTCACCGCTGGAGGAAGGGCTGCCATTCTTGCTCGCGTCGGTGTCCGGGACGTCGCTCGTCTGGCCAGAAGCCGAGTCCGTGACTTTCTCATCCGCCATGGTGCAGGTGTATCAATTGTCAGCCTGTTGCCAAAGGGTCTAGGTTGCTTGATAGCTTGATACGTTTGGTGGGGATGAGGGGCAAGAGATGCAGGCGGGCTTTATTTATAAAAAATCCTTAACTCTTTATCATGTGCAGCGACCCCTGGAGTTTCTAGTTTTCACGAACGGGATGCCGTCATAGGATACAGGGTGAATTTCTTAGCGATATGGACATATATTTAACAGTGCTAAATGGTGGGAGGTTATTGCTTGTTTTCCCAGGCTTCTTTCCAGGGCATGGGATTGTATGGACACTGATCCCTGCCTGTTTATTAATAAACACCAAAGATGTGCAGGGCAAGCTGCATCACACGTTTAGATTACAATTAAAGACCAACTCCATATGATATGTTAGTGTCTATGCAGGTGGACTAGTGACATGAAATGTGGCGCTTGCTAGTTAAATAGAAGTGCTTCCAGACCCGTTATCCTCCTTTACCATGCAGAAGAAAAACCCATTAAATGGAATCATGCTTCAAGTTGAATGAGAACATGCGACTCGCTATAGTGGCCAAAAAAATGCTGTTAAACAAGAATTCATTCTCATTTAGACTTGGTAGCTGTCTCAAGAACTTCGAGTAGGCCGCCAATAAGGTGTAGACTGCCGGTAGCCAATACACTGACGGCCGAGTCGCCCGAGGAAGAGTGCTCCTGGCGATCCAATGCAGCTATACTGCGTGCAGACTCGACGGCCTCTTCTATCGTGGCCTTGACTTCGACCTTAGTGTCCGGTGACAAACCACGCCATACTTCCGCAAGCTTGTTCTGAACGCTTAGTTTCTCAACGTCTGAGGCGTCGGTGTTGATGCTCACGAGGTCGGGGCGATATCCCGCCTCTTTAAAAGTCACATTGGTGCAAAATATGGCGTGCGTGAAGGTGCAGTTTCCAGCAGTCAGTGCCTTGTGGAGGGTATTCGCCAATGTTGTGATATCTCGGGTTTGTTGGTTGAATATCAAGATGCAGGGCTTCCGGTGTCCTTCTGCAGTGCTTGTCTGTGTATATGGTAGCCCCGAGAACCATTTCCCTGCGACTTCGATGCTGTCAGCCGTATGTCCTCCATCGATGTGCCAAACCAGATCGTCCTCTTTCCGGATTTCGCATCTCCCGCCCAATTTAACCCCCTCAAGGCCAGCTTTGAATTTCTCCGGCAGGGGGGCTTTGTCGGCGTATGACGGTACATCAGGAAACTCAATCTTTCTCAAGAATGAGCTACAGATAGCTACAGCCAGCTCTGCGTTTTTGTTTTGGAACTCGCCAGAGAGGCCCAATCGAATTTTCCCAGGGACGAGGTCAGGGTGGCCCTGTGCGACATATAATTGGGCCTTCTTCTCCTCCGCCCGCTTTTGCAGGACACCCATGGCGGGTTCAGGCTGCTGTGCAGTATAGGCCACGGTCCCAGGCTTCATGATCCCTGCCTTATGCCACGCTATCTCTTCGATCGTAGAGCCTAACATGGCCACATGATCAATCCCCAGGCTCGTTATCCCCTCGACCACGGGGTTCACCAGAATGTTAGTCGTATCATACTCCCCGCCAATACCGCACTCTATAATTGCTGCATCTACATTCTCCTTCAAATAAGTATGGAATGCCATAATGGTCAAGTATCGGAAGTAGTTTGGTTTCATATTGGGCGCCTTCGGGTCCAAGCCTTTGGAACGAGCATCTTCTTCTAGCAGATCCCAGACTTCGAAAAAGTATTGTGTAAATTGTGACTCCGTCAGAGGCGCATTGTTAATCTGTATCCGTTCGCGCACGAACCGAAGGTGAGGAGAGGTGTACAGTCCAATTTTCCTAAATTTCGGCGTTGATTTTGACGTTGAATTGGCCTCCTCGCCTCCGGGAGTAAGGTATTGGGATAATATAGAGGATATAAATGCGCATGTTGAGCCTTTGCCCTTGGTACCGGCGATGTGTATTAAATTCAATCGATCGAGGTCAGACGGCTATGCAATTAAATAAAAAGTAAGTAAAGTGGTTAAAAAAACGCAGTCTTGTCTCTCTAATCGACCGCCGGGCGATTCTTCGGAGGAGCGACGAGTTTCAGCGACCTACCTTGTGTCCTATCTTCCGGCACCATTCTATTGTTTCCGGTATCGACTGTTCGTTAAGGACGCGACCAGACTGGCGCATAGCATTTATTATAGAAAAATTGGTTTGCAGAGAATTCAATGCCGCGATGGCGCCCTAAATCGTCATGTCAGCCTCCGTCGGTGGGTGGTGGATGGCAGCTAGACTTACGCCATAGGTTCGGTCCATCGTAGATAAGTTACGATAGGGCCGGAATAAACAGCGAGTAGAGACTTTAAAGGCTATAGGAGACCAATGGCTTCTGACTAACATTGAGATTCGTGAGAAGGGCTGGCTGGATATGTTCTTCTTTTAAAGTCATGGTCGATTGTTCTCCCTCCTTTGGTGATCGGAATGCGATATTTACACTTTTCTTATCGGAGGTTCGGGGGCTTATCGCAGTTTTTCAGGTACAAAACAAGACCGTCCATAGCACCGATCTAATGGGGACTAGAGTATACATTATACATGCATAACATCGATGGAAGAGGTTTCAAGTTTCAAAATAATATTACAACTTGTATGAAGCATTTGTTATCGACACGAATGGGCAGCAATGAGGCAAAGAAGTGAATACAAAAATAGAGCTGCGCTATGCACACTCGCTAAAATCCTCTCCTCCGTCTATGATATCTTCTATTCTATCCTCTTCTTTCCTTCCTCCATAAAACCTAACCGTGCATTGCTCACGCCACGCTGATGCCTCGCGGTTGGTATAAAATCGCCAATGATTTTATCGCTGCCTGCCCGACGCAGAGCTTCAGCATATCCTTCCGCTCCGGCAGCTGGGGTGTTGAGCTTCGGCCAATTTACCTAGAGACGGCATTAGCACATGCGAAAGGTAGAACGAATACAGAATGACAGGTTGGAGGAACTTACATATAGCATGCCATGGGAATGAATAAATCGTAGACACCAGGCAGCGACAACGATCCAGAAGATGAGGAAGATCCTTAATGGCCAGGCAGCTGAATCAGGCAGCTGTCGAGTGAACATAGCTACCAAAATCATGAAAATAGCTGCTCCAAGGATATATGGAATAGACTGGATGATAAGTGGCCGTCGGTCCGCGAATACATATGCCACAGTAGTAGGCGGAAGGTATGTGCCGAGGAAGAGGTCGAAAGCATCTTGTCTTGGGCCGTCCATGAAATTGTTCAAGATATATCTGGTTATAGAGTTATTTCCATCCTGGAGAACACCGGCCTTTGTTCGTTGGCCGGTACGAGTAAAGTCGGTCTTCAAAGCACCGGTTCCAGAATACGACTTGGAGACAACATCTGCGTTATCAGCCCACACATTGCGGAAGAGATCTCGGAATACCAGGTCATCGTCAGTCTTCTCGCCTTGCTGTAGGATTCCGCAATCGATGAATTGTCGCGTTAACGCCCAACGACCGAGCATGCTCTGGACAACGTTTGTTCGGTCCAAACAATCCATGCAGTTAGTTCGGACCACGGAGGACTGCATCATTCTGGTATCCAGAGAGCCTGATGGATTGCCTAACGACTCGGTACCACTAAAATATTGGCCGCGTTGTAGACCGTCGATAAGGCGGTTCAGGAGAAGCTCTGCACGGTGCCATTGCAAGCCCTTGGTCTCGTTGTGGAAGTCAAAGTATATGTAATGGAGGCGATCCATTTCTTGCTGCTTGACAGATGATTCTAAGGTGTGCGTTTTTTCCGATGTGAGTTGGTCGGCCTCTCTGCTTTCGGTGGGAGAAGATACTAGCAGTCTCATCATCTGCTCATATGCTTTTTTCATCTTCTCCTCACGGCCTTTTTGGTTGATCAAGTTCACCAGGTAATTTTCCCCGTAGATCTTGATTTGCTCTGAAAAGTGCATTCGGGCTGCTGAGGCTGCAGCGTCCACTCCACGCACGGTGAGTTTTGGCGTATAATGAAGGTTGTTAACTTCGGCCCAGAAGACAGGAATACTCCCTCTCGTCTGGACAAATGATAACACATGAAGGTCTTGATGGCTCTTTTCTCCTGTTTTGTTGTCACCCATACCAAACCCAGACACCCCTCCAGCAGCATCATTCAAAATAGCAATCTGCTCCGTCTCATTATAATTAGAGACGTTTCCCTGCTCATCAATCCCGCGGGAAAAATACCTGGTTCCTGCCCTGAACCTCGAGCGGCGAGTTATGAGAGCAAAAGTAAACGGCGTAGATTTAATTTTGGCAGGCGTTATACGCATCATCCCGAACATAACAGGTAATATATACGGATCGACGTCTGATGATTGTCCATTTCTAATCCCTGTGTTTTCCGACAACCCCGAGCTGAAATCTATCAGGTCCGTCTGGATGAATCGGTTCCAAAAAAATCGATCGTCTGCTCGTTTCCAGAGAGGTTGCGAAGGATCGCTCTGCGACTGGCGCTGGAAACTGTTGGTAATATCTATCGAGTAGGAGAAGTACATCGGCCCAGTGGCTAGCATTCGCTTGAGTAGGGCCAGGTAGGCATCCTCGTCTGGGTCGTGGAGCGGCGTCTCGCGGAGAGGGAGGAATTCGGTCGTAACGACTTTGTATACCATATGGCCTCTCAATCTTCCCATGGGCCTCGCCTTCGAGATAACGATAATATATTTGTCTACAACAATTAGCCTTAATGCCCCTATAAATCAGAAAAATAAAGGGGAGCACAGGTATCCGCACCAAGCTTCAATTTGACAATGCCCAATATTCCAGCAATGCTAGAGATCCGTTTCGCGCCATGTGCGGAGGCATTTTCAAGCTTCAACTCGCCCGTGGGCCGTTCGATAACCAAGCTAGGAGCCGAAGAGGAAGATGCAGATCTAAATGCATAGCAACGCGGCGAAGCGTGGAGGTTGATGTCACGGAAAGGGAGATTCGATGACATCTTTGGAGTCGGGATATGCTGGCTAAACTGGTGTAATGTAATAATAGGTATCGCGATATCAGAACATGGTCTATGGGCGCTTTTGTTGCTGTGTATAACCAAGAAGTACTCCCTTGCTATCGAATGTTGTTATCTTTGGCAAGGCAGGAGGCTGGAAGACGCTAGGAAGACAAGCTGAATGACGTGGAGCGAACTTTTTTCTAGGCACCTTTTTTATCCCACCACACTTCACCACACCACGTAGGGCTATAGGCGATTGCCGCTTGATAAGCCTTGGATGAAGAGGAGTGTGATATATGTTGCTCTTTTTCTTGTATTGACGTGTTGAGGAATGATATCTTTGCCAAAATACCTAATGATATACCCGTTACAACCCCGTTACAGCCCCTCGATTAATCGTTCGCTAGTTATAGAGTATAGAAATTGCTATCAATATGAAATTGGACATTACATATTTCCAGCTCATGAATACTCTAGTGCAAATCTCGAGGTGTTGTTCCTCATAAGCGAGTACATATTATCTATATATGTACTATATATATTTTAGAGAAACACCACGATATCACTATAATAAACAATCAATATTCATTCTAACGGTCGTTAGGCCTGGTAGTTTACCCTCTATACTCTGTTTAAACTTCCAACCTTCTCCATAGCCATATCATGCTATATAGATAGCTCCTCGCCCAGGTTCTAAGAGAATCTATGCCAGAGGAAATTAGAGGGGCAGGATATTTACGCTATGAATAGCTTAAGCTGCTAGTTAGATGGTATGAGTGAAGCAATTGAAGTAGTATATTCTTTTTCTCTGTAGAAAAATTAAGGAAAGACTAATAGACGCAGATGTCTAGATATCATTTGAAACCGATTTTCCCATCCTATCGCTGCCATAAAATGACCTGCCATACAAGGCACCGTAACGCCAGGCATGCAAAAGATATAAAAGGAAATAGAGTACAGGCCAGACACCACCACAAGGGGTATGTATGATGATAAATCTGGGAGTGTTGCGCAAGAAGCAGACGAGACAATCATCTCTTCCCCCGATATCGTCCTCGAGGGAACCTGCCGTCCCGACCACGGTTCTCTCTCCTCCACTCTCTCTCCCTCTCTTCTTCACGCTCCTGCTCTTCCCTAATTCTGGCCCTCTCACTCTCGATCTCCTCCTGCGTCTTTTCCACCCTAACAGTCGGTTTAGGTAAGTTCTCTGCCCAGCGTGGATGAGCACCATCCGTACAACTCTTTCCTGCAGGACAGAACCCGGCCAGGTAGAACCGACACAGGTTCCTCCTCACATGTCGTTTGGCGCAGATAGGACCCAACGGACAGAACCCTTGGTCATAATGTTCGCACTGTGGCAGCTTCGCGTCTCCGGAAACATGCTGATATAGACAGTCGTCTCCATTAGGACAGAATCCGTTGCGAGAGAAGGACTGACATTCCGGCATGCGGCGTAGGTTATATTCGTGTAGGTATTCACATTTCAACCCCTTTTTGCACAGTCCCTTGAGGTAATGTTTGCACACTAAGCTCCCATGTGTTGAGGAGGGTGCGATGGCGGGTGAGGAAGAGGTTGATATGCGAGACGGGGTCGGGTGACGTTCTGCGCATAGCGGGCCAAGCGGGCAGTGGCCTTCGCGGTAGGCCTTGCAGACCGGCACATCGGAAGCGAGCGCGAAGCTGAAGGATTTGGCGACGAAGTCTGAGAAGGCGAACTTGGTGAAATTGGGGTCTCGAGGCGTATCGGGGGAGACTATCCGATCTGCGATTCTCTGGACTTCGGCCATGGTGACAGGACGACGACAGCGTTGACGCGGCTTGGTGTTCTCCTTTTATCGGAATTTAGGAAGCGTAAATATAGATGAAACGTGTGTCTCGCACGCCGAGGAGCCTGGGCCCCGGATCTCCTGTCTCCTGTCTGTCTTCCTGCTGTCTCTGTCCCGTCGCCAGTGTGCCTTGCAGAGCTCCTTGAACTCTTTAGTTTCTTCCAAGGTTGTTAAGGGAAGAAATGTATGTATTATGTAAGTGATCACGTGATTTTATCTTATCAAAACGTCGCCAAAAGGTGGAAGAAGGACGAAAAGGGGCTAAGAAGAAGAAACGAAGCAGAGAAATAAGCAAGGAAACAGGTCGAAAAGTTAAGGGAGATGGCGCACGCGATGTTCTGGTCGAGCCGGACAGCCTGGAGCTCGTCATCGTTGTGTCTAGATTGGCTTTCCTGCATGGCTTGCGTGAATACGAGGGGCCCCGAACACCCTTGCTGTCTCTCTCTCTCTCTGCTGCCAGTTTGCAAAAAAGAAGAGCGAAGCGCAGGAATGACAGTTTGATAGTTTGTTTTTCCCGAATAATACGGCCCGCTCGCACTGATGTTACCCCAAGTTTATACACCTTGCTCTACACCACATCAGCCGACCCGGTCTGTATAGGACGTCACCCATGATCCGGGATAAAGACGTCTATTAACATGCCTTGCAAGACGGCCTTGATGAGAATGTCAACAGGATTGCGCAATAGCTAATTACAGGGAACTCGAGGGCGTCATCCCCCTTTTTTCATTTTATGCAACCTTTCTTCTTCGATACATACCATGGTTCCATTTTTATTTTTTTACGGTCTGGAGGGATGGTTAATTATATTTAACCCGTCCGCTCCCGCTCCTGCTTCCCTGCAGGTTCGTTAACGCATAAGAGGCCCTATTATTTTCATCTCTAGCATTCTTTTTTTTTTTTTGGTCTCGTGTCCACTTGCCAGAAAGGGCGTCCCAGCTGGAAACCCTGCATGTTTTCCTCCGTCGTTATTTCTCCCCTTTCTAAACAAGAACAACTCTCGACTGTTTTGCTAGTCTCGCCTGTCGTGCCTGTTATGAGCAAGATGTTTCCATGTAGACCGTCGTCGTGGTTCTCGGGAGATAATATGGACCAGCACCCGGCCCAGATAGGCGCCGCACCCATCAGCTGTATCGAGCAGTCCCTAAGCCAGATTCCGATATATTCAAACGCCGTCTACTATCCCAATTGGAGGATATATAAGGATAAACCTCCCTCTTCGCTGAAGCTCGGCTATGTGTCGCATGTTTTTTATGCATTTGCTTGGTGAGATCTTCCGTCCCCCGCATTTATGGGCCGTTCGGCTCGGCCCCCGCGTACCTGGATATTGTTACGTTGTGCTTGGGATTTCGGGTATCGCGGACGAAGTAATTGATAGACGAGACAGAAACTGACATGAGATTTATATGTCGTTGGGGTTAATGCAGGGTCAAGCCAGATGGTACAGTATATGTCTGTTTGCCCCCCCTCTCGTGGATACGATATCGACAAAGGTACTGACTCGGCAGCAGCTTAGTGATGAGTGGGCAGATGAACAGATGCCGGTGGACGGCGCCAAAGGATGTATAAGGGCGTTCACACAGTCGAAACGTCAATATCCGCAGCTCAAGATAATTCTCTCCATCGGAGGAGGAGGGGCGGGGAGTGAGAATTTCGCAGGAGTTGCAGCTGACCCAATATTAACGGCAAACTTCGTGGAGACTGCAAAGGGCCTGGTGGATAAATTCAATCTCGATGGACTTGACAGTATGATTCTTCCACGCGTACATCACCTGTTGAAATGTTAGATTGGAACTGACCATCAATGAACCAATGTTATAGTCGATTGGGAACACCCAACCGACGCTCAACAGGGGGCAAATTACATATCTTTGCTCTCTGCACTTCGAGACCAACTACCCTCGCCCCAATATATCCTCTCTTCCGCACTTCCAGCCGGCCAGTGGGCCTTACAACACATCAACCTGACCCTCGCACAATATTACCTTGACGTAATAAATATAATGACATACGACTTCTCTGGCCCCTGGGTACCTCAGTGTGGTCACCAATCTCAGCTCTTCACACCCGAACAACCACATAACGATGCCGCTCACCTATCATGCAACTCGGCCATCGCATATCTGCTCGCACAGGGCGTACCTTCGCATAAGATATTAATGGGCGTACCGGTCTACGGCCGTGGGTTCCCTGGTACAAATAGCGTTGGACAGTATTCATGTCTCCAGCCAGATGAAGCAGGGGGCCTGGACGCTTCTAAACCTAACGACGACGGTGGTGGTGTGAACGAAAAGGAAGTAGTATTTGACTACTGCGATCTCCCTGTATCGGGTTCGATAGAACAGCACGATACTGAAGTTGGCAACGCAGCATTCTGCGTCGACAACGAGCAGAACGCAGGGTTTATATCATATGACTCGCCGCAGAGCGTTAAGCTAAAGGCACAGTTTGTAAAGCAAATGGGCCTGGCAGGGTTATTTTATTGGCATATCGCTGCAGATTCCACCACTGCGGCAAGAAGCCTTATTGCAACAGGGTATAACACCATGCATGACCTTTGATCTTTTGTCCGTTCTCCTTTTGCTTTTCCTGTTTTGTTAGCACGCTGGTGTCAAGGGTATTGTTATCGTCAACTCATGCATCGGATGGTGCTTTCTGCCTTTTTAACAATAAAAATGCATAATATTTTCTTCTTCTAGTTGCATGATTAGTATTGAGCCCTAATGTTCTACATACCTCTAGTCGATTAGAACTAGCTAATGGCACCGGATCCTCTCAAACGTCCGCTTCTGGGTGGAGTCGGCGCTCTCCTGCAGGTTCGAGCCCGTATCGTCCATCTCCTTCAGTGGTTGGTAAACCATGCTCTCGGTAGACGACACAATCCTAGCGCAATAGCAGACTAAGAGTCGGTAAGGGCGTCTGTTATTATCATGCGACTACTCCCTGCAACACGCCGACCCCCTATATATAACACGAGTAACCTAACGCAAAATCAACCGTTCTCCGGGGCACTTATACCCCAAGTATCCAGGCCGATATATGCATATTCACTCTGGCCACCTCCATTTAGGTCGACAAACACAAAGTATTCCGACCGTCTTTGATAGCGTACACTGACCGCCGTAGCCGCAACGCAATCTCTCCTGGTTCCCACCACTTGACTTTAGCAATATTGGTATGTTATCCCTGCGTTTCGATCTACGTGTCAGCCATCGTCACATTCTAGAAGCTATTCTCTGAACATAGTAATCATGAGAGAGAATATAGACATACCTACTACCCGCTGAGGCTTTTCCAGAGCTGCACTGCTCCGCTGCCGAGGTGGCTAACAACAAGGTGGCATGGCTTCCCATGCATGTTGATATCTGCGAATTGACAATTGCCTTTGTCCTTCCGGAGATACTGGCAGTCATAGATCATGCTCGATCTACTCAACTTCTCCATGCTTAGAATCCTTCATTCAGGAAAGGACATCATGCCATGCACTTACAGGCCATCCAGGTGAACTTGAAGATACACTGCTCTACCATCGCCATTAAGTTCGGCAAATCGAGCTTCATGGCGAGCTCTCCAAGTGCCAGTGGTGATCCTGCCACAAGGCCACCACTTGATGGCGCCGTTTTCGTTATCGAGATTCTGGAAAGCGGTGACAAACCCATCGTCATGGACCCGTTAATACTCTTCTCCATTTATATCTGCTATATTAACCCGCATTATGGTATAAAGTGGTGAAATCTGCTCACAACCTTCGTTAATATCTTTTTTCAATCCTGGGAGTAACATGTCGGTGACTTCGGCAAAAGGCCTCCATATTGACAGAAGAAAACGACTAGGGGCACCACTAGATCGGGAGAGATTCTCATAATTCATGTGGAGAGGCCATGGACATCCTCGCCATGACCCCCGTTGTCTTCCCCATAGATATGCAAGGTCAACTCAGGGTATATCAAAACAGGCATGTCTCAGATTGTACGCAGCACCAGCCTAGGCGCTTCACAAATGGCCATGTCACTATGTCATATTGGATATATTTCCTTCGAGAAGAAGACGCCGAGATGGCTACATGTTGTCAAGTTGTTCCTACCTCCAAGGTTTCTTCCAAGAACATGCAGGCTGTTCCAAGATATTTTATTAAAACGTTTGTCATGTGATATCAAAATCAAAAGAGTGGAGATGCTCGGCCGTTCTTTTCATGTTGAGAAAACCGCAGAAGGATGGCGGATGCAGGGGTTTATATAGCACTGGATCCTCATGCTGTCCAAAACATGCACATGACTCCTCATTGGCCACCTTGTTCGTTAAAAACTGGCGGGAGAGATTTATTTAGATAATCCTTCGTCCAGTGTAGTCCAATGTGTCTCCCCGAAGTTCCTATGATCCAGCCCTCGATCACCTCATTCTGACCATCAACATCACCATGGCCTCCGGGCTCATTTTCGATTACCGCTCGCTCCTGCAAACTGCTCCCCTCATTACCTCTACTTGCACACTCTGGTTCTCTCTTGACCAGGATTTCTTCTTGGATATCTTCCTCCACTCTGACCATCGCACTCGCAGCAATGAAATCTTACCATCCTATTTCCGCGTCTTTTTCCGCCACGGTGTCGTACGCGTACTCAGTCTTCTTACGTTGACAATGTCAGCAGGCGGATATAATATCTTCATGGACGGGCAGATAAATAAGACGTCGTTGAAATGGTATACAGCTGGCACACTGTTCGCGGCCAGCCATCTCCTCTTCGTGCCGGCTATTGCGCCCAGGGTTCAGGCTGTCGTCGAGGACACATCCCACGGATCTTCAACTAAAGATCTCAAAGACTGGCTAGCAATCAACCGCGTGCGTACCTGGACGGTAGACCTGGCTGCACGGGCCTGTTTCCTGGTTGGGCTTTCGATTGTTGAGTGATGGTGGAAGTTTTATGGGCTGAATTAGAGATATTCATTTGCGCCAAAGAGCTCAGCCCTTCTTTATTCCAGTACCCAGCACACTAGTCCGGTGAGAGTGAAAGCTATACATGACAATTTCATGTAGTTAAAATCTTATAGTTATCTGGATACAGTGCTCCCGAGTAACTTTAAGCTTAAATTTAAAGTAACGTTTAAAAGAATATAGGATGTCACTAAAGTATAGCTCTGCGCACTCTACAATGCACCTGGAGAATAAGTATAGCCAGTATAGCTGGTCCTCAAGGATATAAAGGGATAAGATATAGGACAGTATGTTCTAGTTAGCAATTGTTTCTGCAACGCTAAGGCCTCTTCTAGTTTTCTCGTCGATCATGATGGTCTGGCGATCAATCACGGCAACGTGGCTATCCGATGAAAAGCCCCCTGATATCACTAACTAACGATCTAAATTTTCTACCAATAGTTCCGTGCACCTCAAAGTTCTTCCATTGATTATCGTTTAGACACAGCACCACGTTTCCGCCTTGACACCCGGGCGCCATGATTGCTAGGCGATGCTCGTTCCAGCCACTCTTATACCACTTTAGGCCATCTCAGCTTTTAAGACCTTCCTTTGATCAGCGTGTCGCATCTGCGTTATCAAACAGACCATCGATGATGAGCAGATCAGCCAGCACCATTGGAAATACGGCCAGACCTAAAGTTGTGCTTCCTACCAAGGAACCTACAGAGGCTCTGAGCATGGGTACAGATCTAGTCAGCCAATCTGGGACACACTACCGAATCGATCGGATCCTACAACATAAGACTGAACCAACGCTATCATGCGTTTACCTGGCTACGTACGCGTGTCTTGAAGGCCACTGGGTTATTTTCTAACGGTTTCATTCCTAGTGCTAAAGATGGAAAGAAACATGTTATCAAGAATATCTTTCATACCGAATTCGAATACCAACTGGATCTACAGGCTCCTCTTGCAGGTTGTCCCAATCTACGAGTTGTGATAGACACCATCCCGGAACACCTCCTATTTGTCTATGACTACTCCACCGAAGACCTTCTTGACTTAGTTGTGAAAAAGGAACTTCCCCACCTAGCGAGGAAGATGATTCTGCGAGATACGTTGGCGGGACTTGCGGCTATGCATAAACACGGCATCACACGGTGGTAATAATGCTATCCCAAGTGATGTATGAATCTGACTTAATCTAGCCGTCTCTCTGTTTATACAAGACATCAAACCAAACAACATATTTGTCAACTACGATGTGTCCGATCGTGCTATTAGGGTCAAGAGAACCCAAATCGGCGACCTTGAAATGGGCTCGATGATTCCACCAGGTCTAAATGTTCGTGGTGCCCTACTGGGAAATCCAATGTGGCGTAGTCCAGAGTCCCATGCTGCAGCCCGAATTAACATCCCCTCTGACGTTTTCTCGTTTGGCCTTGTTGTAAGCACACCTATACCCTAACCACGGAACCAGATGTCCTGATAGCCACATCTTACTCTAGTGCATTTTTACCATGCTTCGAAAGATCATCTTTCGTATCGACGAGGGAAGTCTAAGTAGAGCAGAGAAAGAACGGATTATTGTAAAGCGACTTCTCTCTCACTTTGGAGACGGCCCAGGACTGGTTGGCTTCTTACATCACCTGGAAGATAATTCTGCTAAATGGCGCGACCTTGTCGTGACCATCGCCGACGAGTTTACGCCTGCTGATCCGAGATACCCCTTTTCTATTTGGGAAGACGTTGACGAGTCCTTTCGGGACATCATTGTCAAAATGACGAGTCTCGATCCTGCAAGGAGGATAACGGCCAAAGATGCGCTTGAGCACCCTTGGTTCAAGGATATACATGAATGAACTAGGGCAATTCCTATCATTGGTATAATTTCTGTACTATATATACTCTCCTCAACCCAAGAATGTCAATATGTTACTTGACATTACAGCCTAGCCCGGCTCTCTATATAGAGTGTTGAAGATTGATACCCCGCTGTCTCGTATAACCGTCGTATAAAGGTGGAAGAATGGGTCATGGTCGAAGGCAGAAAGTCAAGGCTCTGCGGTCATCGATTGTGAGAGGGGATCCCTGCTCCGTAGTGTAATAATCTACAGGTGCAGCTAGCTTATTTCTACTCATGTCGGCACCCTTAATTCAAATAACTGACCAAACGGTGTCTGATATCTGACACTAAATTAGGGCATTTATTAAAGCCCAAGTAAGCCATAGTAGGTAGGTGACGATAGTTCCTAGCTCCATAACCCTCAGTAAATTCTTAGTAAACGAACGTCAAGTAGCAATATAACACCGAAATAGAAAGAACAAAGTAAATGAATAGACCATCCTGGGCAATATCATTAGCCCCACTCCATACCCATAAGCCCCAAAGCCCTCAATTCCACAGCCTGCAAGCTACGCCTTGATCTGAGCAACAAGCTTATCACCGATATTAGCCAAGGAGCGCTCGAAGGCGTCGAAATTCCTGGCCTTCCACAAAGCGCCCTTGGCTCCGGGTTTGGCTTGTTTGCCTTTAAATGCAACGTAGAGGACGTCATGCCCTTCATGGCCCTTGTTACCGTTGAGGTGTTCGTTGGGAAAGCAAGCTTGGGCAAGGGATATGGAGACTTCGCCCGTATCGGTGCCGCCGTTGGTATCGCCCCATACGCCGTAGAACTGAAGGTTGTTAGTTAGTATATCTAAACCTATGTCTTCTGCTTTAGGAAAGGGGTGTGGCGTACCAATTTGTTATTGCACACGACTGCCACGACGCTAAGGGACTCTACGCCCGAGGCAGAAGGTAGGTATCGAGGACTCTTCCCCTCATTCCCAAGAACGACGTATGAATGCTTGTTAGAGTCTAGATCTTCAATGCCGTATTTGGCAACTTCATCTTTGAAAGATGTCTGTCCCTGGCCAGACGGGTCGTTGGCGCAGTCACCCTTTGACCGGTTGGCGCCGTCACAGTCAACGTCCATGTCTGCTAGCCCCATCGCGTTGGAAGAGCCGGTAATGTATATGATCCCTTCATGGTCGCCGCAGTAAGTGAAGCCGCCTGTTGCCGTTAGGACCGAACGCCATATATCGTACAATAGACTTACCCCGTCCATGACCGTCTTTGAACCCTGTGCTGCTAAGGGGCGAGGCACAGCGACTATTCTATAAACGTGTATCATATATCAGTATAAGTTAAAGGGGTGAGTATCTCGTCTGAGAACGAAAACACCTGCCTTCGCCTTGTTGTACAGATTCTTCAAATTTCCGGGAACAGGACGGCCGGCGGCAGAGGAGAGGGTAGCAAACCCCAACACCGCAAGGTATAGAACAGCCTTGAGAACCATTGTGAGTAATATAATGTATAATTGGGACTCTGTCTTGCCGTGCTGCTCCTGATAGCCGTTGACTACAGCATCGCGCCGTTATATAGTCAGTTATTACGAACAGGTCTGGTCCTGCACGACGTCAACGGCTCTCTCCTCATCGTTGACAGCTGTCATGATGAAAGACAGTATAGATCTGGACGAGGCTAGAGTTGTACAAAGGCTGGCTGTAGAGCTGTTGGTAGCATATCAGGAACCGCAAACAGTATGTTGGGTCGCGGAAACCAGGGAGCATATCGGGTCGCAGGGACCACGGGAGCAGCCATTGAAGGGTATAGATCATCGCGTTGCATGAGAATTTTCGCGATAGACGTGCAACTTGCAACGTATATGGTAGAATGCATCGAGAGAACATTGCTCGTTATAGCGATAGGCTATAACGAGAGCCTTGGGAAGATTGCACGGCATCGTAGATATTTCCTATCTGGGTATCTTGTAGAACATGCATACCTAGGTACACATTCATAGTAGACGTTGGGCAGAACGGCCCTTATACCTGTTACTGTCGTCTGTCTATATCGTTACTCTCAGTCTTCTCGTCTTCCTGTTCTCGAGGGTCTTACTAAGCTTACTAATCCGGCCTTCCTCCGGCCGTTTCCCCGGCGGAAACATGGATATAGCCCCTTTTCCTCTTCCTTTTCCACTTCTTCTTACTCTTCCTTTTCTCCTTCCCTTCCACCATCTCCGTATGGATCTATCCATCTCCCCCCGATCCACGATCCATCCATCTATCGCGTGGAGAAACCAAAGTAAAACCACCCTCCACCAATCACACATCCCACACACTACTCTAGTCGACGCGTGACCAGCCACCGGACAACCGCTAGCCAACCCATCGAACAAAACGAAAAAGTTAGACCGACGTTCGCCTCCTTATATTTCTTTGCTTTTGGTACAGGCAGATCAGCTTCAGCCTTCAGCCTTCAGCCCTTTCTTTCGTTGGGTTTTTTCTTTTACTAGGCGCGTGGTCGGTCGATCGGCTATGCAAGGAATGGGATAGTAAGTTGGCTATCGGTGATGTGAAAGCTTGTTTGACTACGGGAACGGCGCGCGGTAGACAGACAGTACACGAGACAGATGGCAGACAGATGGTAATTATGGGATTCGTTCATTCTCTAGGATGGGTATCAATCGCGAGTAAGAACATTTTGTAGCTGAATGTGAAATGTGCAAGTGAAAGGTAGGAAATAAGGTATAAATAGAAATAGAAATGGTCTGTACAATATATATAAACGCACGAATGCGATGCGATGCGATGCGCCCATCCGGATATGTCCCCCTTCCATACATTAACATGCATCATTATCTTTCCTTCTCTTAAATTATGCAAACTGGCAACTGACTGGATCATGCCTTTCCTGCTAAGATGGCAGGGACGTTCAATGGCACCTCTAGCTTGTTCGACGCGAGGGCTTTGGAGTAGTACGTTAGCTCCTTGCCGTTGGCGACGGAGGAGTTGCCTAGGATAGAGAGCGGGATGATGCCCTTGGGGTATTTGCCTGTCTTGCCGGTGAGCTTGAGGACGTAGCCTAGGTCAGCGTTGGCGACCATGGGGATGGTGTTGTCGCCTGGCTTGATGATGACGTTGTTGAGGTAGGAGGTGCCGATGGGGTGGCCGTCGACGGACAGGTCGAGGGTGAGGTTGCCCTGTGAAGTGTTAGTGGTTGTATATAGGCGAGTGATGTAGGAGACTTACCATGGCGAGAGTGAGGACTGAAGGGTTGGGGATGAAGACGTCTCCCTTCATGTTGTTCATGGTGCCGGGGGTAGACTGGATCTTGATGTTGGTGATGTTAAAGCCCTTGAGTTGGTTCATTCCTGCTCTAATCAGTATCCTGTATATATATATGATAAAAGGGAGGGACGCACCCTTCAAGGAGACGGTCTTGTTGTAGTCGACGGTGGTCTTCTGCAGTCCACCGAGCTTGAGCTGCGTCTTGCCTATGACAAGCAAGTCAAGGTGCTCCGACAACATGACGGCCTTGGAGAAAGCAGCGAACCCATCGTGGTTCTTGATCTGCACGTCCTGGTCGACGATGGCCTTGACGCCATCATGCGACTTGACCTCGGGCGTGCTCAGCGTCATGAACGACTCCTTCTCGCCGGAGAGGAAGACCTGCGCATCAAAGGGGTCGAGGACGGGATGGAACTTGGACTTTGAGCCGATGACCTGAGTGATTTTTACATGCATCGAGTCTGGCGTGGGATCGGACGTCTGCATGTCTGTGATGGCGAGAGTGGAATCGGAGACATCTCTCTGCGCCAGCTTGGGGTATGCGACGAATATTCTACTCTCGTCAGTACGTATACATACATAGATAGAGGAGGACATACACAGGGAGGATGATGACGAGGGCGACGACGACGAAGATGATGGCGATGAGCCACCAGAAACGCCGACAGATGGTCCCTATGCGCGACCCAAAGGACCGTCTGGGCACGCTGTCGACGGCCTCGACGTTGTTCTTGTCTGACATGATGGCTGGTGGGTGCGAGACGGGAGATATAGAGGCGGCTGATGCTCTATTTATGCTCTGAGCCTAGTTAGTACGGCAGACAGAAAAGAAAGGCTGTCGCACGATGACCGGGGGTGCGTCTACTGTTACATACCTAGGGGCAGCAGCAGCACAGCAGCAGCAACAGCAAAGTAGAAGTAGAAGTAGAGTAAGAGGAGAAGAGCAAGTCCTGTGCCAGCAGCACTTACGAGGAGGAAGAGTGAGAGACCGGAAGGAGGGAGATGAGGACGGGGTTGGCTATAAGTAGGGAGGGCGAGCTATAGGGCCGGGGAAGAAGGGCAGGGGGGCAGTGGAGGCAAACTCCACCGCATCTACCATGCGAACACTTACTCCGTACGGAGTACACTTTCATACATGCCATGCTGGGGATACTGGAGACTAGACGAGACTGGAGACCGGGGATGCATCGTGGAGGCATCGTGGAGAGACCGTGGAGAGCATCGTGGAGGCGGGGACGCGGAGAGCAGGAAGAAGAAGAAGAAGAAGACATCTCGATGTAGAAGCTCGTGATGCCGAGATGCGAACATGTGAGAACCTAACTCTATCTCTGTCCCCATACTCTGTACCTGTCTGTCTCTGTCTACTCCGGTCTCGTACTCTACTCTGCTCGCATGTCATCAATGCCATCAATGTACCCATCCTATCCCTCCTATATCCCATATCCCATCTTATACCACCCTCCTATACCCTCTTCTATTATATCTCCTATTATATATTATATATTATATTATATATTATATCGTCTTGCTTAAAATTGTCTAAGTTTAAGTTTTCTGCCAGCTCCGAGGGTGGATCTGCACTAATCCGCTTTAGGCGTTAGCCCCGGGGCATGAAGTCAGTCTGGCTTATGTAAGGCCGAGGCATCACACAAGATATATATACATACACAAGACAATATATATATATATAAGATATACAAGATATACAAGATGATATATATAGATAGATGTAGATAGATAGATAGATGAAGATATAGCAGGAAAGATAGAGTACACTGTAGATAGATCAAGGTCAAGGCAAGGTGAAGGTGAAGAGGTAGAGGTGACCATGTGCATACCACGTGACAGCTAACCCTCCAGCCAAAGAGAAGCCAGAAAGAAGAAAGAAGAAAGAAGAAAAGAAGAAACAAGAGCAAGAAGAAGCCACAAAATACGGGATGAGCCTTGGGACTCGCCAGTTAAAGTCTTCGTTTCTTCTCCCACAGACCACCTTTACTTACTTTGCCTCTACCTCAGCCTGCCTACTTTGCCTGCTTTGGGCGAACGGGGAGGCCGACGCGGTGAGGCCGATGCTACACACCTACATGGAAGAGTACAAGGTAGCATCGATGCACGCGCTTGTTAAGCGCTCCCTACTTCTACATCCTACATGAATAGATGTTGTACGTACAGACGTTGTACGATGGAAGAAATGTTTGATCGGCGAGCTGGGATGACGTTGAGACGTCGGACGGGCCCCGTTAAGGGAAAGCATCGACCTGCGTTCATCCCGCCCTCCATCTCTCGACCAGGTCCAGGGCCAGGACCAGGAGTCTGAGTCTGAGTCTGAGTCTTGGTCTTGATCTTGGTCTTGGTCTTGAGGGGTTCGGTACAGCTGGCACTGGCAGGCATGTGGACGTCAGACGGACGAGAGGCTCTGATCGCCGTTTCACCTCGCCGTTACCGCAAGTTAGCAGACAGCTATCTTGTACGGCGAAGCTATGCATATGACACCGAGTAGCGAGTTAGTCTGCTTCAGGCCCAGGTCCGGCGCGCTAGGGGGACGCCCTGACTTCTCTCCTGCCCGTGTTGGCACTCTGGGGTTAGGTTAAATTATACGAGCCGGCTCTGGGGAATGGGGAATGGGGAAATTAGAGTATCTGGCCAGTTAATTTCCGAGGAAGAAGGAAGAGTTAGCAATTATGGTGATATATGTAAAGTGATATAAGTGATTAGTAATCAGGAGGGTATCCAGCACGCCAAGCAGAACGTATATACAGAGATGAAGATGAGAGGTTGAGAAGATAGAAGAGATAGAAGAGAGTCATCCGTCGGTGGACTTTTTGCGGCCGAAGATGCTGCGGCTGCGGGCTCGAGACTTGCTGCTGGTCGACTTGACGCTGCCGCCCTTCTTCATCGTCTCGTCCTCCATGTACTTGTCCTTGTATATCCTACGCCGGTCAGTATAAGTCTATTATCTAGGTATCAGTTTGACTTACCAGCTGCTGCCGACCATGCTCATCCCGCCCTTCTCGGCCATGCGATAATACTTGGCCGCCTTCTTCAGGTCCTTCTTACACCCGTTCCCTTCCGCATAGCAGTACCCAGCTTCAGCCATCGCATCCACATCCCCCCATCGCGCAGCAATCTCAAAACACCGCAACGCAAGCGCCTTGTCCTGATCAACGCCCCATCCGTTCAAATTGCTCACTCCAAGCTCATAGATGGACAGCGCAAGCTGGGCCTGGCGAGCCTTCTGTTCCACGATACTCATCTTCCCGTCGCCGTTGTTGGAGAGAAGTTTCTGTAGTGCGGCGTCGCACGCTTCGGGGCTGGGCGGGTTACTGCTTGCCAGGTCGAGGCCGGCGGTGTCGACTGCTTTGCGCAACCATTGGACGCCCTCTGTTTGGTCTGCGCGGCGGCCCCAGCCGTGACGGCAGGCGAGGGCGTACAAGAGCATGCCTGTTGGATGGTTCTGCATGGCGGCTAGGCGGAGGTGGTAGGTTGATTCTTTCAGGGAGCCGGATTCGTGGCATTCGATGCCCCTGGTGACATGGTCTTCGGCCGTCAGCGGTTCGTTTTCGCTGTCTTTTTCTTTCTCGTCGGGGTTGGGTGAGGGGTGGGATTGCGACTGGGTGAGTTGGTTGGTGGAGGGGCGGATGGTGCTGTGGCTTTGTGTAGAGGCGGAGGTGATGCTGGTGCTGGATTGTTGGCGGTCAATTGGTGGCCGTACAGCTTTGATGTTTGTGTTTTCGGCTGGTGCTGGTGTAGGTATCGGAGCAGGAGCTGGAGCTGGTCCAGGGTCGGTGATTGATCGCTCAAACTGTGGTGGTTCAAAGTTTGCTTGCGGCTCGCCGCCGTTGAACGTCTTGGACTGGCGTGATATCAGCCGGCCGCGCGGAAGGGAGAACTTCGCATATATGTACGACTGTCCGGCTGATAAGGGCGGTTCGGTCGATTCGTCTGCTGACGGAGACGGTGTGGCCAGGGGCGCTGGCACGGTGATGGGAGCCGGCTTGTTCTCCCTGTTGAGGAACGAGGCGCCTGCAGACGTGTTTGTAGATGTATTTGTAGGCGAATCTTGCATGGACCGCGACGTATTCGATCGACTCATCGGCCGGGAGAAATTGAACGACGGTTTCGTCAGATTGGGCGTCGTACTTCCTCCCGTGCCTGCTTCCGAGTTCGGTGACGGTGACCGCTGATATGGTCTGCTCGTATGCGACGGTAGCGGGGAATACGGCGCAGACATGCCGCTGCTGGACGATAATTTTCGTGGCAGCGAGAAGGTCGACTTGGAACTAGATCCGTCATCGTCCGAGCTTTCCTGGGTAGAGCCATTGCTCGTACCGCCGGGACTGCTGTGCGTTCGTGGTAGCGGAGGAGGAGGTGCGAGATGGTTATGGCGATGCGGCGGCGGTTGCTGCTGCTGCTGATTCCGCTGTTGATTTGCGTAGAACCGTGTGGGTGAGTCGCCGGACGACTGGGGCGAGCGCGAGCGTACAACATTCAGCCTGTTATCGATGGTCGGTCCAGGGCCCGGAGACGGTGTCTTGCGCCGTTCCTGTGAACCGTCTCGAGTCCAGAACGTCTCTGGCGAATTAGCGCGCGGAGCCCCAAACGAAGTCTCCGGCGGCCTGTTATCCCAGCTATCGTCTATCGGGAACGTATTGCCCGTGCTGGTGTTGAGAGGAAGTCCGCTGATCCGAGGATGCTGCGACTTGGGCCTGAAAGTAGGCTCCTCGAGCGACATGCCGTTGCTATACGGAGCCCTCTCTGCATCCCCTCTTCCTCGTCCTCTCTGCTCGAAATTAAACCCCGCGCGCATCGGCGTTTGTGACCGCCATGTGTCCTCTTCGGATAGTGTTCGATTATACCCTCCTCTGGGCTGGGATAAAGATCGTTCGACGCTCGACGGTGGGAGACGGCTCAGTCTCCGTCCTGCCTTGCGGGATTCATCGAATTGTTTGGCGAGCAGACGGCCCTGGGCTGCGAAGGCGTCGAGGGGTGAGAGCGCAGGCGGTATCTCGCCTGCGACATGTTGTAGGCGGGGAGAGAGCAAGGGGCGTCCCGGATGTTGTTGGGTTGGTGTTTGAGATTGTGGTTGATATGGCTGTGTTTGGAGGCGGTTGGAGGACGGTTGAGATGTCGAGAGCGAGTCCGTCGACGGAGCCTCGTTAGGGGCCGCCATGGGGCCGTATCTGGCAGGCAAATCACCTGCGATGCCCCAAGGAGACGATGATATGTTTGAGATGGAGTGGCTGTCTTCTCGTGCTGGACATGGATATCAGCCTGACAATGTTCTTCCCTCTCCTTCCGATGTGTCGAGTCGAAGCTAGGGAGCACGCCGTGTCTTCGCCGTCATATCATCGCGATACCATCTGCAGGATCAATAAGGACCGCCGTATGTATGTATGTATGCCTGCTGAGGTGTCCGTCTGGTCAGAGGGAGCGATGACTGTCGACGGGTTAGCCCAAGGCCTCGAGTTGATTAAAATAAAATAAAAAAGGGAGCTAGCCGGGCTTAAATTAAGGGATACAGGGGCACCCCCATCGCCATCCATGCAGGGGCCAAAACCAGGCTGAATATATAGATGTAAGAGGGACGCACTCACTGTCAACGAGCTGGCACAGAGACCAGGGTTGCTGTCTCCATGGCCGGAATTTCTTTTGCGGGCGCGAGTTGATCTCCGTGAACTATGGGCCAGCAGTCGCAGTTTCAGGTCTTTCGAAGGCTTCAGGGACGCGATACGAGGCGGCAGAGGGCTTACTAAGGCCGTTCTTGGTAATCGCGCACGCAGCAAAGAGCTGATGATGATGATGAAGATGATGACGATGAAGAAGACGAAGATGATGAAGTCGAGGAGGAGGAGCGGTGTCAGGCTGTTTGATGTTATGCGGCTTGTCTACGTGAAACTGAAGCTCCTGAAGGTCCGACTCGGAAGAAGATAGACAACCACGTTCGAGCATACGGAGTATCAACAGTCATAAGGTAAAGAACACATTGCATTGTCATTAACCATCAGGATCCAATTTATATACATCAAAGAACCGAGAAATACGCGAGAGAATAACAAATCGCAGGCCTGAAAAGCTCCAGATATAACCAGATATCACGTGAGCACAGCTATACCCCTATTCCTCCTCTATACGCAGTCATCTATATACGAGATGAGACGACCAACGACGAGATGATACCCTCAAGGCAAACTGTCGAGGTAGTTGCGGTGGCCGTTCATGAAATCCCACCCGGAGAAGGCGTCCCAGTTGATGGACCAGGTCATCAGGCCCCTGAAGTTCGGCGACTTGCCCCCGCGAGGCTTGTACGTTCCGCATCCCGCGCCGTTCACCAGGCAGTCCAGGGCCTCCTGTACTCCCCTGGCGTCGACGAACCCGTTGCCCGCGCTGACCTGGGACGGGAGTCCAATGGCAATCTGATCTTCTCTCAGCGGCGGGAAGGTGTTGTTCGTCCTGGCCACGGTGAACCCGGTCTTCAACATGTCTGCCATCGCAACGAGGAAGTCCGGGTTACCCACGTTATGGTACTGGTCGTCTAGGCCGATGATCGGGCCAGAGTTGTAGTTCTGAACCTGCAGAACCGCCAGGTCGTCGCGCATGGCGTGGATGACGGGGAGATAGGATCCAGCGCGGGCGTCGTTGCCGTTCATCGGGCCGTAGGAGGAATAGCCCAGCTGCACGAAGAAGGTCTCCGGTGCCATGGTCAGGACGAAGGCGTCGCCGTATTTCTTCTTCAGGGTCTTCAGTGCTGAGATCAGGTTGACGACGACTGGCGTCTTGGGGTTCTTGAAGTCCGTATCCCCCTGGTCAAGGTATAGCGAGTGGCCCTCAAAATCAATATCGAGACCGTTAAGGCCATACCGGTCGATGATGCCGCCCACAGAGCTGACGAATTTATCCCGTGCCTCGGTCGTGGAGAGCTGGACCTGGCCGTTCTGTCCGCCGATTGAAAGGAGGACCTTCTTCCCCTTGGCCCGCTTGGCTTTTACCGCGGCCTTGAACTCCTCCTCGCTCTCGACGTTGGGGCATTCTGTCTTTGGACACAAGGAAAATCTGATATCCCCGGACGTCACAGACGTGGGTTCGCCAAAGGCCAGCTCAATTATGTCCCAATCGTCAGGCACATCAGCGAGCCTCAGGTAACCAGACCCGTTGGCAAAGCTAGAGTGCAAGTACCCGACCAACGCGTGCTTCTTGATTGTCGTCGAGCTGGGGGCGAATGGTCTAGCCACTACGCCGGTTGTGGCGATGGAGAGAGCCGCCAGGGCAGTAAAGGGGAACTTCATGATGTCGTTATTGTGGAGGGTTGTGGCTCTATTGGTAGGGCTGTAAAGGAGTGAAAAAATATGACCTTTTCCGCTGTGTCCTTGCACAAATGTCTCGGGAAGGTATATAAAAAACCGTTAGTCTATCTGGTCAAATGTGAGACACTCCGTTTGACTGTTCGAGGACCTTTATATACCCATCCTGCCGTAGCAATGGTTACACACTGGGGATGTTGCAGACATACCTGAGGGTATCACTTTCAGATGTCATCTTCCCTCATGACATGTGCTGGTGCCGCATTAGAGGCACCACTACGGGATCAGAGCATATCATCTTTTACCCCGTATAGGCCTTATCTGGGGTATTCGATCACTATGTGTGGGGGATGTTCATAACGTCGTAGCTCTTGTGAGCGGGGATGGGGGAATGAAGGTTGACTACGGGTGAAAGGAGTGTATGTCATGGGAGATTAAGCCTGGGAAGAATGGCACGCGGGTTTGCCATGTTCACACCGCTATTCGTCCTATTCCGTTGCAAAGGGCAAGAATTATGTCTTGATTCATATCAAAAAAATACAGTTCAGTCGGCCTACCTCGGAACACGGACATATACCTGAGTCTACAGCAAAGTGTCAGTCATACACGACACTTCCACAAGCACATCTTTATTTCTTTCTACCATAAAAATGAGCCATGGGAATAGCACACATCAAAATCCCCGGTTCAAACAAGTTATCGTTATGCCGGTGATTCGGCTTGTCCCATGGCCCACGCCGGAGAATTCAATATCTCTCCCGTGAAACAACCCTACCACCAAGATCGGCGGTCAGGAACCGATCTACCGGCAGATGGAACGGTCATATCAAACATTATTAAGAGGTAGGGCGTGTCGTAATGCCAACCAGCCTTAATCCTCGTGTATATCCGACTAATAGACGTGGTAGAAAGGAGTTGCTTTTCACAAAGGCCAGTAGCATTTATTTTCCCATTGGACGCAAGCGCCTCCTAACCGGTTGTCCGAAGCGTCAGCTGGGAACTTGTTAAATGGAACGTACCGTTCGTGAATGGTCAGGTCGTAGTATTGGAATATATCACGCCAGTTATACACTTGGCCGCGCGGGTTGGTTGGGAGGCCGCGTGATACAAGGCATTTTCTTGGGCATTTTCTTAGGCACCCAAAGCACGGAACAAGATTTTTTTTATCCCATAATAACAAGACGATAATATTTCTTCGAGGTAAATCCGTCCATACGTCGCTAGGTTGGTCATCGGGCACAGTTATCACATGTTCGCGATGGCTGGACTGACTGCTGATAATATTCATCAAGCCTCCAGGAGTAGCGATAAATCCTTAGAATACAAAGAGCCAACCTTATCGAATATGTTAAGAACTTTGCTCGGCAGTTTGAATGATTATGGTGTGAGGGGAATATAACCCCTCCAGCGCTTTAACGGAAAAAGGGGAAGTGGGCTACCGAGTCTATATGCGAGTAATTAATTATCTAAGTTAGCCAACCAAATGGCATATCTCTAAACTGCTAGTTAATTTTAAAGGCTCTCGTTTTAACTAACGGATCTAGATCGTTTTATTGGCTTATTTATCCTTTAAGTCACAGTGCGACTAGAAGTCAAATAAAACGACCTGTTGGTTCTTGTCATTTTATCTCATATTAGCCAGCACCCTGCGACAGACAGTTTTCCGGTGGTATCAGCGAAAAATGAAATATTACAACGCCTCAATCTAAATGGTTATATCTTGACATGAAGGGGGTTTTCAGAGCGGGGATATATTGCTCGTTTACGGCCTGAGTCTAGGCTTAGGAAAGAATTGCTGTGAGCAGCCAGTATTTCTTTTATGAATGTTGATATCCCTAGCCGCGCCCCGGCCTCGCTATCAAGATGACGCCTTCGTCTCCTATAGAGTCGGGTCTATGTGCGAAATGGGCTTTTAACGCCGGAAGCAACTCTTGCTTCATTTTTTCCAGATTCGGATCGGTTTCGAACCAGGCAGTGGCCAATATTTCAGCAGCATTTGCACAACGCTCGGAGAGATCTTCCTCAGGAAACTTGCAGTAGACATCGACTCGGCGAAGGGTTATATCTGTGAACCCGGCCTCTCGGAATATTTCCGAGGCTTTGTGGAGGAGGAAACCCTGATGGTCAGGCAGTTTATTGTCAGCACTCAAATGGGCGCAGGCTTGGTTGACCAGATTGACTGCCTCATTATCCGGTGCCCCTTGAACTAAAACGATCTTTGCATGGGGCAATCGTGGATCTACGACTCGAGTCATCTCTCTTAGAGACTTCTCTAAATCGTGCACGTAGTGCAAGATCCACATCGAAACAACTGCATCAAATGTATTATCTGGGAACGGTATATTCTCTGCAGTTCCTGGAAGGATCTCAACGTTATGCACTTGGGATTTATTTGAAATGATGGCGTTCCTATCCGCATTTGGCTCTATAGAATAGGCCTTGCCATGACGTTTGGCAATAGCCACTGGCAGTTCTATCCTTTCATCAGCTGTGGGTTTCTTCATAAGGAATGCTCGAACTTACCATCATGCCCACTGCCCACATCTAGAATCTTGTCATTCTTCCCAAGCGCTTCCAGGACAGCGTCAAAGTCATCGCGAGAAAACCTTTCAGCGAAAGGTTGAAATGCTTGTTCGCTCAGTGGATGCGGACCTCTATACTGCGTCGGCATCGGATACGGTCCCAGCAAGGGGTGTTGTGTTGTTCGTTTGGCAATGATATAACAGTGGTCCTCCTTGGTACACAACGGACTCCTCGGTTGGAAAGGGTCCATCTGTGTAAATTCCACCTCCATTCCGACTTTTGCTATCATATCATACCATTCACGCATCGTACACACCGTTCCCTTGAAGCTATGGCCCATGAAAGGTATATCAAGCATATCCATACATTCTCCTGTTTCGGTGTTGGGAATAATTCCAATAACGAGCATGGCCCCTGGATGGAGCCATTCACAGAACTTTAGCATCATTAAAGATAATTCTCTGTGAGAGAGTGCAAATAAAGATAGGGCCGCAAATATTGCATCAAACTGAACTCTGGGTTGGTATGTTCTCATGTCTGCTTTTTCGAAGGAGCCTTTTATCACCTGTTTTCGAGCCATATCAACCATTGTCTGTGAAATATCGATTCCAGAGACATCATGTCCAGCTGCGGCGAGCGTTTGAGAAACTGGCTTTTCTGTTCCACAACCAACATCGAGAACCTTTGTTCCTGGTGGAAGTGTGGTGAGCACACGCTGGATGATCCTGTGCAGCCCCGGGCTATGGGCGTAGGCGTCTTCATAGCTCTTCCCAAGGGCATCGAACACACTTTCTGCGGAGGCAGCCATTGTTAGCAAATAACCTAATGGTGGTTCTTGGTATGTGAATAGAGAAAAGATCCTTTCGTGATGTTGACTTTGAGAAACCAAGGCTGAAATAATCCATTCCTCCAATACACTGACGGCAGCTCTTTGAGGTTTATATATTGTTCCTCTTGATGCTTAGAGTTACACTCGTTTAACTAGGTGAAAGCCAAAACTGGCTGGCCATGTGGCATTAATGGAATAAACATCTGTTCTGAATAGTCAGACTTGATACCCCATAGACGTAAAGGGAGATGAAGCACGATACGGCCATATGTCTCTATCAGGATTGCTATATGGCATTCAGAGCCACCGTCAATGATCAACAAGGTAGTAGTATATACCCATATATTAATCCTGCCTTGGGCACCTGAGCTTGAAGAGGGGCGTATAAATGTCGCTATATCCCTCACTTGTGATGTGGGATGTCCTCTGTCCTACCATGCAAGTCAAACAATGAATTATGTTCAATCTACCCGGCAGCCCAATCACAATTGAGACGGGAGTAGATCTTACGGAAACTTATACAATGGTCGGTAACAGACAAAGAACAAGCCAAGTCCTGGGCAGTTGTGGTATAGTCAGCCCATTCACCTCAGAAAATCCCCGGAATTACGATCCTTCTATTTATTTCTGTATGTGTATTGCCAGGCGAGTTGGTTCCAGTCTACTCCATAGCAGGCTCTGTTTTTCGGTGAACACCTAGTATGTATAACTCTTGAACATATTTCATTCTTATAAGAAGATTTGCGAATCCCTAAATATGATCGATCACTAACATCTTGCTCCTCATATATTATGAAACTCATCTATTAATCTAGATTTTAAAACCGAAATCCCCATCGAAGAGATAATCTACTTTTGCTCCGTAGAACTATCCTCAAATGGATGTGCAGAGGAAAATTCACAAATAGCTTCCCTTGGCCTCTTAAAATCGATCACCTCCCTGACCTCGGCCAATGCACCTCCCAATGTTCGAGCATTCTCCCAGGGGTTTCGCCACAGGTGGTTGCCTGAGAAATGTGCATCCACTTCTCTAGAAACCTGTGTAATCACGCTGCGTAATGCGTAACAGCGGGATGACTCAGGATAATAAAAGAATAAATTTGATATATCTCTACCCTGTATCGCGCAGATAGGAGGCACAATAAGGTAGAGGTCCGTTAGGGTAGGGAAATGTTCGTATAAACCATAGTATTTCAGGTCCAGTAGTGTTGCTCGGCAGCTGGAGAACCACAACTCTAGTGATTAAGAGTAAAGTAAGCTCAGCCAATGGCAAGGTGTTGGATATGTATGGAATGACTCTTAAATCATTATCTGCAGTTCATGTGGGGGCCTGCTAAATGAGGAGAACGGTGTCCGTAAAGTCAGTCTTGAGTTTGTTGACTCCTCTCCAAGCCTTGAAATTCCAGGATCAAAGGGATAGGCCTAAATGTGACAGGGGAGCAAGAAAGACGGGCAAACGGAGTACATCGTATAGAACCCTGCTGTCCGTCGCGGCTGTTCGGCCCTAATTGGTAACAGGGTAACTTGGAGCCTCATCCTGGATAACAGTAAGCGTTGACATCTAACCCTGGTGTTTCCATATCTCTATCAAGGGGGTGGCAGGATATGGTAGCAGGCTCGCAGCCTGATGTACTCCGATGACGGTCGTTGCAGGGCATTCGGGGCTCCTCCTTATAGGTAATTGTGTTATTAAATCCAAATAATCACGCCCTTGCCTCGTGACATGACGCACTACTATGACTATCCCCTGGAAGACGGATTTAAAACCAAACCTCCAGGCGGCAGATATCCGTAACTCTAGGAGAGCATATCATACCGAGAGAGATAACGGCGTTTTATCGTTTCCAGCTTGTTTGCTGCGCCCAAGCCACAGAGCTTCCCTACGCCTTTTGTTGGCTCGTTGTTGACTCGTTTTTTGACTCGTTGACTTGTTGGCTTTGTGGCTTAATGCTTGATGGCTTGTTGGCGTTGTTGCTTTTCTACAACGTGTTATGCTTACTCATCCTGACTCGTTTAAATGGGCTCAATGCACCAATCAGAAGCCGGTTCGCTACTCCACTTGCCCCCGGGCTCCCGCTAAGCTTAAAATCTCTAAAAAGAAGCTGGAAGTTCTAAAATTAAACCTAAGGCTTACCGGGATACGAGCTTGTGCTCTTTCCCCTTTTCAGGATGTTTATGCTATTACAGGTCATAGAACGAGGGATATTACTGTGTTCCGACCCCCATTCGCTAATTATCCCATTCTTCGCCAGTGATTAAGCGTGCGACCTGTGCTTTTTCCTGCCTAAATTTTGACTATGGCCCTAGAGGAGTCAGCGTGCGGAGCATGGTGTCTTTCTACGCGGGACCGCTAGTTCCTGCACTCTCTAACATGAATTTGCTGAGGGCGGAGCCCATTCACACCCCAGATACGAGGCACAGGGCTTAGACCCACGAAAAACAGATTTAAGGGACGGGACGATGAAGCGAAAAGGGTCAAGCGTGCGAAAAGGTCATTCTTTAATACGCGATATACCCCCAGGACGAAGCCGTAGTTCAGCTTGATTTCTTATATTTTGTCGCGCATCATCACCAAGAGGCGCTCGAGAACCGCGAGGGTCAGCTTCTCTTTGCCTTCTTGTGGTAATTGATTGAACAATTATTGATAGCCGCATCTGCAAAAGCGAATACCACTCTCGATTGGAGAGGATTAGCGGCCCGTTTGGTGTGTATGACCTTTTGCAAAACATCTTTCATCAGTCTAAGGGCTAAATATACTGACTGTTACCTCTAGGTTCTATATTGTGAAGCTCTTTTGCCCTTTGACAGCCTTGTCAAAATCTTGCATATTCTCTCAACCGATGTCTGTTTTACCTTACCTCCAACGGTCGGCTGAACCGCACCAGCTTGCCAAACGATATTATTACTATAGCTATGGACCTACGATCGGAGGAGTCATTGGCGGCATCATCTTCTTTATAATATTTATTGCTATATTATTCCGATTAAGGAAAAGAAACACCACCGTTGTCGCCCCATATGTTGCACCTCAAGCATCAGCAGCAGCATCGGCATCCGCGACTTCTGGAGCACAAGGGAACCAAACCAATGTATACGTCATGGGTCAAGGTAGCCCGCTGCCTCCCCAGCCGGTTCCCCTGCAAAACATGACTCCTCAACCTGTACCGCCGAATGGACAACCCTATCCACAGCAGCCTTACCCTCAACAGCCATTCCCTCAACAGCCACAACCTCAAGATCCATATTCTCAACAACCATACCAGCAGCAAACCTATACCCAGCAGCAACAGCAGCCATACCCCTATCCTGCACAATCACCGCCTCCTCAACAGCACTCGCCACAGTATGGATATGCTCCAAATCAAGGCCCCGCGCCGCCCCAGCAGATATATACTCCAAATCAATCAGGTCAACAGCAACACTACTTCCCACGATCACATCCTGATGGCATCTCGAGCCACCCGGTAGAAGGACCACCACCAAGCTATAAAGATCAGCCCAAGGTCTGATACCAGGTTTCTTAGCAGTTTAAACGACCGCTATAAACTCGGGTGGTCGCCACCCTCCTACCTCTTTTATGATGTTATATCCAAAGACATATTTCTATTCCTTTTCTCCTCTACATTTCTTTGGATCATGTTTACTGAAGTGATACTTAATCGTTGGAGCTCGTGTGGGATTCTCGGCATATTGTGTTTGGAGGTATCCTGCGTGTGCCTCCATTCCTTAGATTGACCTGAGGATGGAGGGGAGGAACATGCCTTTAAATGTCCCTGCCTGCAGGTTACTAGAGTGAGAAGCGATGGAGTGTAAGCATGGCAGGGAAGGATAATGACCCATCAAAGCTATTGTCAGCATAGGTCCCAATAATCTAATGAATATTCTCCTTAACATTGTTTATACGTATTTCATTCAGGTATGATGTCTTCAGCATGAAACGATGATGGACTTCTTATCTAGTTCACACCACTGTAGCTGTGGAAGCAAACATGTCTGTGGTCATAACAGAATATTAATAACCCTACTAGTCAACCCTCGCTATGCTTGCAATGACTTGCAAAGCTGCTTTCATATCTTGGCCGCTATATTCAGCATCCACTTCCTTTTCCCAGTCATCTATCCAGGGGGTCTCCGCTCTGGGCCTCTTGAAGAAAAGTTTGTTCTCATGTAGCCCTGGGAAATTAACAACCATACCTGCCGATTCGCTGCTTCTCACGCCCTCCCTTAGATCATACAATTTGATCTTGGTTAAGGACTGAATATTATCTCGAAGCTCATGAAGAACTGATATCCAGTTGTTGGCGGCTAATCTAGCGCGATTGAGTGAAAGAACACGTAGAGTTGAGCGAAAACTGCGAAGAAGGGCAATAACGGTGCCTGACGAAGCGAATAAACAGGATTCGAGAGTAAGCTCTCGCAGACACGGGAGTGTATCCCTGATGATTAAGTGATGAAAGAAGTAGGCTGTCGATATATGCACATCAAAGCAGACATGTAACTTTTCGAGGTTGTTGGCGGCGCGTAGTAGCTCTAGGGTCCAATAGACACCTTGGAATTTTAACTCATATTTGAGTGTGAGGCTTTGGAGATAGGATACCGCAGTGATGAATGTTGGCGTTTCAAAATCGTGGATACTTAACAAATGCCCCTCGACGCTGCCGTGAGCCCAAATATCCGTCTCTGTTTCATAACCGGCTCGTTGACCTAATGTCAGAGACTTGACCGGTAAGCCTCTTTCAGCGATGGCATACAGGATAGTGCTGGCGGCGCTGCTACCACCCAAGGAAGCAGGAGTATCTTGGTCCGTTGGCGTTGCCCCGTAGTAGACCTCAAAAGACCGACAGTTTACTAGGAGAGCCAGGATATCGCGAAGCATCTGTACACGGCACTGGGAAGCAAGGAAGCCTGACGGATATCGATCCCAGAGTAGATCCAGTCCTAGCTTCCCGTGACTCTCGTCAGATATGGAGAGGCACTGGACATAACGGCTTAAATGCGGCTGATCAGCTATAAGCTTGAGCTCTCGTAGGCCTTGGGAGGACAAATCTGTTCGTAAGGTAGCTAGGAAAGGGCCGAAGGAGTGCAAAGTCCTCTCGTACAGGAGCCTGCATGTAAGTCGCAAGGAACGCAAGTCCTTATATCCAAGGAAGCTGACGATTATTCCTATTATTTCGACCGGGATTGCGTAAAGGGCAAAGTTATTACTGGCATAGCCATCGGTAGGCCTGCGCAGTGGGAAGCAATGGGACAGACTAGACTGGCCTTCACGACTGCTCACTGCCATCTTTGCTGACGGCCAGGAAGGTATAGAAGACCGTGCTCGCCCGCTAGATAATGATAGGGTACGTAGTTCCGTAACTCTTCGGCATGATGACTGCTGTACCGCGTAAGATCTGAGCTGGTTCAATTGTGGCCGTCTGCATTCAATCCGCAGACGAAGAATCAGATTATGGGATCACCGCTGCAGGGATAGTGGCCTGAGAACAGGTCGGCGGTTGCTGTCAGAGAGGCCGATTCCTTCGATATCGAGATATCAAGCAGCTGATATGTTGCTTCATTTAGTCAACAACGGTATCCATATGTAGATTCATGTTCGAAGACTGACCAGGAAGATACTCTTTGCATATATTCATCGAGCGTCAACAATAGCACGGTTATCATGGCCAGGGATGGTTTTCTCGTAGTAATGGTAACAACGTCGCAATGATACCCCGGCATAAGAGGTCCAGTCGCTTTAACAGCGGCATCACCGATGCCTCCATCCATGCGCCTCCATGCAAGGCCATCACAAGATTCGCCCTGATCGATCGCTGGGAGGGCTGAGCGTCTGGTACAACATCGGCTTTGACCGTGGCTCGAGAACAAGCTTCCATGGACGGTCGCTAAGGTCCAAAAGCCTTCGCCTACGACGCTTGGCCGTGACATCAGCCTGACATTCTCTCTCCTCGACCGCGAACGCGATATAAAACACTAGTTTGCGCCCCTATCTACCGTCTCACTCATTCTTCGTCGCATAAATACCCGTCGACCGACTATGCGATAGCTCGAGAAACCACCTCCAGACGACTTGGACAGGGAGATACACCAAGATGCGCCCGTTTATGAGCCTCATGGGCGCAGACCCGTCGCAAGACTGCCTCCATGCCTTTGAGACCTCCTGGCTCTTCTCGCCTTTCGTCCTCGGATGCATTCGCGCCCTTATATCCCTCTACTCGTTCACGACCATATTCGTCATCTTCGGCTGGCAGGGCACACATGGCCTGACCGTCAACAGTCGGCGCTCGTTCAGCTACTTCACCAACCTGAGCTACTGGGGCATCGCATTCTACTTCCTTTTCGCAGCAGCTCACAGCTTCCTCTACTCGCGAACGGGTCGGTCGGTGTTTTTTGAGAAGACACCGCGGTTCCTGCGTGCGCTGCACAGTCTGTTCTATACGACCATCGTTGTCTTTCCGTTTATTGTGACAATAGTCTATTGGGGGTTGCTATTCGAGGCACCATGGTTTCCAGAGATGTTTAATGGCTGGTCTAACGTATGCCTTCTGCTTCTCTTGAAAGAAGATGGACTTCACTAATCTCCTTGATAGGTTTCCCAACATGCGATGCAATCGGGGTTTGCGCTTTTTGAACTAATCTTCACGGCAACACAACCTCTTCCGCTCATCCACCTCCCTTTCCTCTACCTCCTTCTCATGCTATACCTGTCTCTGGCATACCTCACCCGCGCGACGCAAGGGTTCTATACCTACTCCTTCCTCAATCCGGGAGTTCATTCCGAACATAGAGGTCGCGTGGCTGCGTACTCCTTCGGGATCGCAGCAGCTGCCACTGTTTTGTTTGGCGTATGCTGGTTTATAATCTGGCTTCGAAGGCGTCTAACGGGCGATAAGAGAATACTCGCCACACCATCTCGAGGCACTGAAGATGAAGAGATGAGGGTAAGGAAGTGACCATACCACTTTTCCATTTCAGGATCTTGCACCCGCTCGGGGAAGGAGAAGATACGATATAATATTCACTTTGACCTCAACTATCTTCTATTTGATAACTATTTATCCGCGACTTAGCGTTTTCTGCGTTCTAATATTGTTGCTGGTCGATGATAGGAGATACCATACTCCCGTGTTCCCCCAGGTTGATACTGATGGGATTCCGGCCCCAGGGTAATGATTATTTAAGTGGCTTCAGACTTAATCTAGGACACCTATTTAATGTTTAATATTATACCATACTCTCACTTCTCCTAAGAAAACCCGATTGCGGAGGGATAGCATCCCATATCCTTGCCTGTTCATGCATGCTTTCACCCTGCGCGAACTCCTGAAAGCCACGTAGAAGCGAGAACGCCACAACGGGATGTTAGCTTGTCGCCTGGGCCTTTCTGTTGATAGAGCTGAAGCAGACTTTGCCTATTCGTCGACATTTGGACCAAGGAAGCTGGAATTAACGAGGAGGCGGCCCGTTGTCTTGGTCCGCTTGAAGCTCCCTCGGCCACAATGCTGGACGTGAAGTCATGCATGGTTATAGCTGACCCCTATCCTTAAGAATGGAATTCTAACATGCCCGGATACGACATTACGAACCTATCCGAAGTGTCAAAGAGTGCAAAGGACCACTCTACAGGGTACTTCCTATCACCACATGGTAAACGATGGTCCCAACGAGATCACTTAGATTATATTAGTCACTAGCTATAAACAATATCATAACATTATATATACGGAGTAGTATCCAGACGATTTCCCCCAGAACGCCTCGTTCGGATAGTGAACATGCGAAGAGATGAGAGACCAGCCAATGCATGAAATGAGAGATGTGACAGGAAGAGGGGATGATAAATAAAAATACATAGAGGGGGGCTCATGTCGTGAAGCGGATAAGCAGAGACTTTCAAGCTCCAAGAACTCTCTCCCAGCCTGTTTCGCTGCTGCTCGCGTTGTCTTCATCGAATGCGTCATTAGGGGCAGCGGGGGAGCCTGGTCGCAGACCAAGTATCCAACCAACCACTCCGCCTGGAATTATTTGGGCAATTATACTGTAAGCGATAGACCCTCGACCGACATAAATGGTACGAGGCTTTTTCTTCCGCCATCCGAACAAGTTTTTCTTTGTGGGAGCAATTGCATCGAATATAGCATAGTGTAGCTCCCTTGCCGGGCTTGAATTCGGGGCAACGTTCCCTGAAGATCCTAGGCGATAATCAATACTCGAGAGATAGGTGGATCCGTAGAGAGCGCGTTGATGAGGCTGCCATGCAAGAACCTCTGTTCCTTTATTATTATGTCTTTGGCCGCTTCGATATTGGCGGCCAAAGTCCAAGTTTCCAATTTTTATCTCGATGACATCAATAGCACCACTAGATTTGCCGTTGGATGAAACTAGAAGATTCAGCTCCTGGCGTAGACTTGTAGCGAATCCTGATATTGCTCGTGTTGCTGCTACTTCGGGGCTGGCAAATGGCGCAGAAAGTGCGGATTGAATCGTTGGAGAGATAAAGACGATAGAAGGGGTGTTTGATTTTAGTGTGAGGAGCGGTAGGAGGAATTGTGTTGTGAGAATTGGGTATAAAATATGGGTGTTGATGGTGTCGGCCCAGCTTGAAGCTGGTATCGCCGCGACGGGGCCAGTGGGATAGTTTAGAGATGGAATGAGGATAACGGCGCTCAACTGGCAAGTGTGAGGTGGCATTCCATGCAATGGAGCCTGGGCATTTGTGATAAGAGATTGGATGACGTAGAGAGAAGGGTGTATGTCAGATGGGGTTGCTGGAGACTATAAAATTGGTTAGATAGAGGCTAGATGGAGATGATAGAAGCTAACACCTACATGTGATAAATCGAACCATAACGTCCGTATGTCTTCTCGTCCTTCACTCTCGATAATCTGTTTTTCCTCCGTTGAGGTCGCGGTAATAAAGACAATGTATCCACGTCGTTCAAGGTCACAAGCAATAGATCTCGTCATCGGCTCATGCGGCGATCCAGAAATGACTGTCAATCATCAGCTCATCTGAACATTTATGGGCCAGCTATGGAAGCACTCGATACATACCAACAATCTCCTTTCGAGCTCCGGTGCCCGCTCGCCGAGCTCTTCTCTTCTTGACGTGAAATTTTCGCTGTCCGTATAACATAACACCACCTGTTCCAACGAATGCCAGAGCCGACACGGCTAGTACTCGATGTGCCGAAACCCAGTCCTGACATCTCTCAAACGTAGATTTCGGAGGAAGAAAAACATCTGGGAAGAAGTTGGGGTTGGGCGGTGGTCTTATGGACGACGGTATCCATGTCTGCTGCGATAGGGTTTCCTGAATGTAGGAAGCTGCTCGTTCAACATGACTATCGATCGAGTCTGCGAGTTGGGATGAGTATTTCGTTACTTCATTAGGAACCCATGCAAGCTAATAGCTAGGTCAGTATATATATGTCCATACGTTCAGTTACCTGCTCCGAGGTAAAAGAATACTCACGTAGTTGAAGAAGAACTGGTCATCGCTCGTCATCTTGCTGTCGCTTTTGCGCTGATCCGTATATAATCGCAGCTATCAACCCCCGTTCTTCTCCTCGTGCTCACAAGTTGAAATTATCCAAAAGCTCTGAAACTCGACTATGATGTTATGCAACAGATTCTGCCGTCCTTTTCCGCCATCGGGGCGGAACAACACAAAACTCCGAGATCGCGCGATAAGATAAGATTTTTCTCCTATTTGGAAGGCCGCGTTGGCTTGGATAGGAGCCTGAGAAGGCGAAAGAGGAAGAGAAGAAGGCCCTGGAAGGGTCGACAGCGGCGGTTAATTATAGAGCAGATAAATAATGGGATGACAAATGCTCTGATGAGGTTTGGCACTGACTAACCGCTTTGCTTGTCTCTGTTTCAATGCTTACAGATTCACTGCCTGCTGCTTCCTCTACGCGCCAGCGTGTCCAGATATTTATACCCAACGTCTGCACTTGATTCATGCTAGCTTTATGAGCTGTGGTCATATTCTCCGGCCTGATATCACGCAAACTAAAGATTTTAATACCATTTTACCTCCGGACGGCGCGAGGCGCGTATTCTTAGTTATCCATACGACAAGATGAGGGAGCTGGATCCCCTCGTGTCAGAATATCAGCATGAAAAGCATCGGCCCCGTGAGGCAGAAGCCCTGATGACGCTGCGGAAGATTGCTTCTATGGTTAAGCCTATTATGCGCCAGCGGATGTGGAGAGTTGGAACGCTGTGCGAATTCTATCCTTCAACCCCGAATTTACTAGGCTTGAATGTGAACTACGGGGAGAAGATATGTATTCGGTTAAGGCAACCATATGATGAGAGGCAGTTTCTTCCAATAGAACAGGTAGTTGATACCATGCTTCATGAGTAAGTCGGACAGCCAATACTAGAGCCTACGTATCAGGAGTTGAGCCGAGCTGATTGTAACTAGACTATGTCATATAGTTCATGGCCCGCATGACCAAAAATTCCATGCGTTATGGAACCAACTACGCGATGAACACGAGCAGCTACTTAGCAGGGGCTATACCGGAGAAGGTTTCCTTTCAGATGGCAAGCGGCTAGGTGGTTCACGGATACCGATGGACGAAGCCCGTAGGGTTGCACGAGCAGCTGCGGAAAAACGTCGCGTATTGACTGTTGGCTCTGGCAAGAAACTAGGAGGCGCGCCGGTTCTACCAGGGACGGATATGCGGAGAGTCCTTGCCGATGCAGCTGAGAGACGAACAGTAGTCACCAAGGGGTGTGCCAGTGGAACTACTGAAGGTGACAGGCTTGCAGACGAAGCTACTCGCAATGGTTTCCGAACAAAGGCCGAAATGGATGATGCAAACGAGAGAGCAATTATGGAGGCGTACATTGATCTCATTCAACAGGAGGAGAAGGAGCAGTATGGGAATTCTTATACGCCTCCTAGTTCATCGAACCCTGCCGGCCCTCGGTCTCAACCACAATACCCCACAAGTTCATCCTCAACGGCCCTACCACAAATATTCTCCTCCGGACCTCCGCCGTCAGATCTTACTTTTGGTTCATCGACCTTGGATAAAAACGATCAAGAGCCGTGGACATGTTCCATGTGTACCTTCGTTAACCGACCTCTCTTCCTTTCTTGTGAGGTGTGCTCGACCGAACGTGGCCAGCGAACTAATGCACCGCCTCCTCCCTCCAAGTCGAACCCCAAGCCAACCCCCGCCAATGGGTTCACTAGGCCAGTAGCGGCCTCCTCCTCTGCAAGGGATAGCAGGATGAAGCCGCGAAAGTCCGCTATTAAAGCTATAATTGACCTAGAGAAGAACGAACGACCGCCGTCAAAGCGGTCTCTTGGATGGGTGTGTCATTGTTGCGGCGCCTTTATGGAATCGCAATGGTGGACATGTTCTGCTTGCGGAACCATGAAGCTATCGGACTGAACGTCCATTCATGCTACCATCCCCTGCTCGTCTTCTACAGGCTACCTGATATGAAATATTACGAGTTTCCTACGCTGGTTCTTTTGCTTTTTGGGACGCTAAATTAGATATCCATGTGCGAATGTCGGGCCTTTTCTGTGTATCTAGCCGAGAATCTACTCCGTACTATTATTGTTTACATATTGTGTATCCACATGATCGCACTTCCATGCAAGGAAGCTCTGCATCTCCCCCCTATAGTTATGTTAAGACTGTTCATCCTGGATCATAGTCTCTACTGTAAGATCTACAAGGCACCATGTGGAAGCACGGAGCTTCCTTCACATGGTGTCCTGCTAAATATTCCGTAGCAACCTTCAAGACAGCTATTCGTGCTCACGCTTCCTACATACATGCGTCCAAACATAAGTATATAGAAGCTCTTGTTGACCCGCCAGTGTCCATGGGTATGGGTTCGGCATGGACCGCTTGGTCGACCTTGCGTGCGGGCCGAGGTGCCAAGGCCAAAGCTACCACACGTCAAGAGCTCAAGTCGGACAGTCCAGAGTCATACATAGTCTACTATATCACTATGCACCTATGTACGCTCACACTCGGTTTGGAGTGCAAGGCTGGCCGTTACATTCTGCAGAACCTACATTCAGTCCGTCCAGCACGGCTGCCGTGTCAACGTGGTTCAATCTTTGGTAACTAACGAGGACGAAACTCTCCAACGATGGCAAGGCAGAGACCAGACAGCTCACACTGCATACATGCTAATCGACCGGCAGTAGGATGCATATTCAACTAACTGACATCGGAATACTCGAAGCGATGGGCTTGAGAGCCGAAGAAGAAAGCTTCGGCGACGTCCGTCCCAAACTTCGAAATGGAGCTCAGATCCGCTCTTCATGCACCAGGGATTCGTGCCTACTCCTGGGGGATCAGCCACTAAGATGTCGATTATGATATGGGTGACACTCCCGCCAGCCTACCACAGGCCTCTACAGAGCTTTAGCAGCGATATCACCTGATATTCGTATGTTTATATTTTGAGCTTCGTATATTATCACCGATAGGTCCCTAATGCAACTTTGGTCCCACCACTCGCACATGTTGATAATAACGCGGCTTGAGTGGTTCGTCTTCGTTAACTTTGCGGGATGAATTGCTGGAGAGCTCTAGCATGTTGCCATTGATCGACGGTTCCCCTCCATTTACGGACTTCATCCCATGGTCAGGCTGATTCGAGACATATGTATTCCGTCTGGTTACATAGCTATATAAGGGTCGATGGCCTTGCTGGCGTTAGCTGGTATCCAACAAGCAAGCAGCATACAATCCATTCAATACATTCTTCCGAGTATTCTCTCAGACCCAACCAGACAAAATGAAGTTCCTCTACCTCTTCTCCCTTGTGGCCGTTGCCACCGCTGCCCCAGCTACTCTGCAGGCCAGAGGTGCCACGACCTGTGGCAGCACCTACTACTCTTCCAGCCAAGTGACCGCTGCTAGCAATGCTGCTTGCGGCTACGTCCAAAATGGCGGCACCGCCGGCGGCTCTACCTACCCCCACGTCTACCACAACTACGAGGGTTTCTACTTCCAGGGCCTCAGCGGTCCCTTTTATGAATTCCCCCTCCGCACTTCTGGCGTCTACACTGGAGGTATGTGATCGATTTTACAGATATCAATTAAGTAGATATACAAGATGCAAGGGTTACTGACAATGTATGATTAGGCTCCCCCGGCGCCGACCGTGTCATCATCACCGGAAGCTGTCAGCAGGCTGGTCAAATCACTCACACTGGCGCTAGCGGCAGCGGCTTCGTTGCCTGCTCCGGCACCAGCTAGATCCATGGGACTGGGAAGACTGATGTTAACTATCTCTTAACTGAGGTGGCTAACTAAGAGTTGGTTGGGGAATACTTTATAATCTCCTCGGACTGCAGAGTAGAAGCGGCAATGGTTGCTTCTCATTTGAATGTTGTGTTGCGAGATTTAGTATATGTATATAGCCAAGAATTTATGAACAGCTTTACTCATGACTGAAAATTTCAAATAGCGCTACTGGGACTAAATTCTCTGTCAATGGGGTGAATGGCCCGTAGAGAACTATATTGTTGTCGGATCTAGATCTATCTTATTTGAATTACAATCTATACGTACACACTTCTTTAACAACCAATCACCTACCAGAGGCACTTTGCTCTCCCAAGGTCTGGGAGGGCCCAATTTTACATCCACTCATTGCACAATATCGTCGGCCAACGACTTTCGAGGTAGAAGTAGAAAGGCGTGATAGTGGTTCTCTGGAAACCCTGAAGAAAAGGCCCAGTATTATGCAAGTACTATCAGCTCTTGTTCCCCTATATTCAATAAGCAAATTCACTCTAACACTCTGACATATCGGCCTCACGTTCTTTACTCTGTAGACAGTGGTATGTTGTATCTTGTACAGAGTGTTGATAAATAGGGGGTACAGAAGCATGGCGGTACTGGTACTGGGGTATATACTCTCCAAGTGCTCCCTACCACCATCAAGCCGGGCTAGCTCAATCGGTAGAGCGTGTGGCTTTTACAGTATACACGGTCTGACACCACAAGGCTGCGAGTTCGAGCCTCGCGTTCGGCTTTCTTTTTTTTTCCCTTTTTCTTTTTTTCCCTCCTGGGTATTATGTAATTCCACGTGACGGCTTGCTTCACATAAAAGTCGCTTGAGCTTTTTGCATTTTTACAGTCTTCACTTCCTCGCTTGTCTGGCTTCCTCACACAGTCCTTGGACAGCGGTGTTAAGCTGGTTGATGAACTAATGAATTAGCAATGTAAGTCAATTCTGCGCGCTCTACACTCCCGCTTTGCACTTCATTCCACGGTATGAAGGCCAATGCTGTGTTTTCCAAACCATACACATCTTTTATATGATGAATACCACACGAACCAATTACTTTAGGAAGAGCCGGAAGAGGTATGACAACCGTTACCCTCACAGGAGCGGGTTAATTTATTATTTATGTCGTCGATGCTTAGAAAGGTTCTGCTGAAGAAAGTTTGTGTATGGTTTTGGAATGGCTTTGGACTTTTTCCTCTGTTCTGTCATTCACCCACAATCGACGACCTTTTGTTTGGTCTTGCAGGATGCTAATATGCCTTCTGCCTTAGATATGTTCGCTAGTTGACTGCTAGTAACGAAGTCAACGAGTGATAGGCGAGCTGGATGAGTCGATATCGACCTTATAATGATGTCAGGAAGGAATGGGATAGCGGAGGAGACTTACGTCCAACCCGTTTCGAGATTGCTTGACATTTTCTTCAAGTCGCACTAATATATTTAGTTATCGGAGAGTATTTAATGAATCTTGATAAACATACTATTTTATGTACAACATTGTATTTCTATTCAATCGAATTTGATAGATATATTTTACAAACTCCATCCAATTCGCCATCTCGTAAAACGCGAAGCCCAGGAATAAAAACAGCTTTTTGGTATCCCACCCCAATGCATAATGATTGTAATTTCCACACACGCCTTTATGCTAACTTGCAACCAAAATAATGATATGGTTAACCAACAACAACTTGCCGATATCTTTCTCAAGCGACAGACATATACTGCCGCTTCTTGACTCCGGTCTGCTTCTGTTCATCCTGCGCCCACAAATCTTCATCAACATAATCAGATTTGCTCTTTTCTCGCACCTGACCGCCAATAAACTGCAGAGCCGCGAGGTTGTAGCCCATTTCATCCTTTTGTCTGTCTAGAACTTGGCGAAGGTGAGAACGAATCGAGTCGAGCATTGGCTTCATCATTTTGCTGGTGACAATTTGGGTATGATGCGTCTTGAGAATGAAGAATAGTACACGGCAGGTAAGCGGGATATCCCATCCCTTTCCGGCCCATATGTTCACAAATGTGAAAAGGGCTGGCAGTTTGGTGAAGGGGAGGACAAGAAGGGCATCCTGTAGTGAGGCAGCGGGTATTTTCCGAACAACGTTAAGAAGATAACACTCGGCGGATATATTTCCAAGAGCCAAATATTGTGGGTGTCGGGTAGGGGGTGCAATTTTCTTCTCCTCGGCGTCTCGTAGCAGTGCGAGGTCGTCCATACCAAGATCAAGCGCTTCAATGATTTTCTCTCCGGCAGTAAGAGTCTCGGCTGTTTGTTTGCCGGCTGCCACAGCCTCCGCCTTCTCTTCATCGTCATCTTCATCTAGGGACTTGAGCAGGTTGTCTTCGTATAAGGTTTCCATCTCCTTTTCTCGCTCTTCCTCTAAGAATATTTGCTCATCCGTCTGCTCCCAAAGTCGGATACTCTTATCGTGACTCGAGGTGACAATGAATTCTCCGCAGTGGCTCATTGCCAAAGCCCAGATCTCACCATGATGACCACTCAGTTTTAGAATCTGCTCAAATTTATCGCCGTCCCAGTACTTGACCACTCGATCCTTGCCTACGCTGAAAAAATTGTGACCATCGCCTTCCTTGTTGTGAGGCATAAACGCAACAGCCATGACACTGTCCTGGTGGGCAAAGAAAGATTTGTGGCAGTCACCGAAATCAAGACCCCATAGTCGTACGGTCTTATCAGCTGAGCAAGTCACAATCATCTTGCTATCATGAGAAATATCCATATTCAAGATGGGTAATTTATGGCCATAGAGGTTAAGGAAGAGTTTCAGTGAGTCGACGAAGAAGACTTTAACAGTGTTGTCCAGAAGTGAGACAGCCAGCAGACGAGAATCAGGGCTGAAACGAAGACTGAGAATGTCGTCTGTAACCTTCAGAGTTCTCGTGTGGACGAGTTTTAATTTTGGGGTAGTCCGTTTCGTTCCGAGAATCTCCTCTTGGACGACTTGGAAGTTCCAGAATTTGGCAGTCTTGTCGGCACTTCCAGTGACCATAGATTTTCCATCTGGGTGTGCCTGAAGTGACCAGACGGGGCCGTCGTGTGCTTGGATTGTATCCAACAACGTTGAGGACGCGATATCAAATACTTCGATTTCTCCGTTCTTGTTTCCGACAACCACGATTTTATCACCTGGTAAGAAAGCAGAGCAAAGTGCATAGCCGCAGTCCAAGGTTCGTAAACATGTCTCTGTTCGCACATTCCAGATTTTGAGACTTCCGTTTGACGCAGATGATACCATTCTATCATCGGAGCTTAGAGCGAGTGAACGAACATCCGTTCTGTGGCCTGGTATATCAATTGATAGCACACGGCTGTAATCGGGCTCGTCCTTGTCCTTTGATTTTTTCTTCTCAGCTGGTGTAATGCTGTAGGTTTCCAACTGATTGTTGGTTGTAGCCACGAGTAGTTGCAATCCCTTGGAACCCATCCAGTCAACTGAAGATACTTTCCCCCCCGTTCGAACGATAGTATGAGGCACAAAAACCTCCGTTATTGGAGCAGAGGCTGTAGAATCAGCCATATCGATATCCGCTTCCGCCCCGCCTTCTCCTGCTTTTTCTCGAGCCTTCTCTCGTTTACGTTTGCGTTTCCTTGCAAGGCTCTTTTGAACCTCTTCGTCACTCTTTATTCGCCAAACCTCTGTCGACTTTTCGGAACCATGGAGAGCGACATAATCTAGTTGTGGGTGGAAATGTATGCCGATCGTTTTCTCCTTTCCACTACGGTACAAGTTGCCCCTGTCAGTTAATACCTTGGTGCTGTTTACTTCGGCCTTCCCCCTTGCGAGTTCCTTGATCGCATTGGCATCAATTGACCATACTCTCAGTTCACCTTCATTCCCTCCTGTAATGCAACCGCTTAGGTCTGGTGAAAGACCTAAACTCCAGCACTCGCCATTTCCTTGCGCAATATGGGTTTCGATACAGTGTTGAGAAGAGAGATCCCAAACTTTGATCAAAGAATCCTTTCCTGTACTTAACAAGAAGCCTTCATGCTGGCTAAGCGCCAGAACTTCGGCATCATCGGCGGCATCGGTGGTCAAAAAATGAAGCGAGGTAATTTGATCCGAGTGCCCACGCAATTTCACCAACCCGACCTCGGATACCAAATCCCAGAGTATAATGTCCGTATCCTTTGAGCCGCTTGCGACACGGGTGCCTTGTCCGTCAAAGACTAACTGTGTAATAGCAGATTTGTGGCCATTGAAAGATATCATTACTGTTGAGAATTTTGAGTCCCATACTCGTATTGTACCGTCCTCGTAGCTATAACCACACAATCAGTACTGGAGCAAGATAGATAGTATAGAAGCTCGCTTGGAAGGCCATACCCAACTGCGAAGATATCTTCGTCCGTCTTGCTCTGCGCAATCGCCGTCACTTGCGCCGTGCAATCAGGGTCACTCCATTTCGAGAGTAGATCACCCTTCTTTATATCCCAGCACAAAACATTTTCTCCAGCGCCCACTACTGCACGTCCAGCACCAGTTTTCCTCGCCGAATTGGAGGTTTTCTCATCTTTTAGCCATACCGCATTTGCCGAAGCGGAAGTGACCAGGCCAAATGTCCTTGAAGCCTCGAATTTCCTGAAGAAAAAAGGTATTAGCAACAATTAGATGTAGCATACGAAGGGGATAAACGTACAAGTATGACTTCACCATTTTCTCTCACGGTAGAGAAAGATTCGACACTTGCGCTCCACAAGCTTCAATCTCGAATGCGCAAAGAAATATTTACATGGATAACTAGCTGCGGTCGCCTGGATAGACCAATGTAGCAAGTCTTATGATTACGTAATCCGGTCGACAGTGAACGCATGGCACAGCCCATGGAGAGGTATCACGGTGCATTGAAACACGATCTAAACGCTACTTATATGACAGCTGCGAGGCGCAATTATAGGAATTGATTTCATGATACTGCTCCCTTGAAAATGCTTCTGCTGGATTATCACAACGTCCTCATACACTCGCTCCTAACTGAGCGGTTCTCTGGGTAAATACCCCACTCAATACTCGCTGCCTTGATATAGGGAATAGGACTGACAAGCAACTGCAGAGCTCCCCCCGCCTCCATAGACCAGGTAGTCTCTGATTTCGACGGTGTCACATTCCACGTTTCCACTCCCGAAACTAAATCAAGAATCCTCATCTCCATCGCCGTACGATGCTTCCGTGAATTGGTACAATATGGGGCACAGGGTGTCCTGGAAAGAGAGTATGGGCCATATATCGTATCCCCGGAGCCTGGATACGACTTCTCTATTTTGATAGACCTCGATGCTCTCCCAGCTGAGCAGGAAGCAAAGGACGAACTGGTTATGAGCATCTCTCTTCTCAAACGAAATGCAATGGCCTCGCCCTTTGAGAAAGCATTTGAGGAATTCCAGAAACTTGAGGAGGAATCCAATAAATACTCGCTAGAAGCTTTACCACAACAGTTGAAAGATGGCGGGGAAGTAATGACTGTTCATTACCGAGATGAGGAGGCCATATTTGTCAAGGCGGGATACGATTGCGTCACCGTTATATTCAGCACAATCTTCAGGGACGAGACAGATAGGATCTTCGGAAAGGTATTCCTTCAGGTACGTTTTTCCAATACCATTACTTACTACATATATCTTTTTAATTTTCATCTGACCCCACGATAGGAATTTGCCGATGTCCGAAAGCGGGCTATACAAAACGCCCCTCAGGTCCTCTTCCGCAACGACCCTCCTCTAGAACTCCAGGGTATTCCAGGTCTCAAAGATGCTCGAAATGGAGAAGTTGGCTATATTACATTCGGTATACTTAATACCCTAAGCTACGTGCCTGAGTATAACTTTGGCTAATAATTGATAGTTCTCTATCCCCGTCACCTCCTACCACAGAAACGCGCAGAAACTATCTCCCACATACAAACTTTCCGGGACTATTTTCACTACCATATTAAAGCTTCGAAGGTTTGTTTGAAGCCGCCTCTGGCTAAGTTTAATAGCTACTGACTCTTTTATTCAGGCATATATCCACACTAGAATGCGGAAACGCACAGCAGATTTCTTGCAAGGTAAGGACGGTCATATATAAGGATCCTGAAGGTGAACAGAAACTAACACTCGATTTAGTTCTCAACCGTGCGAGACCTGAAAACGAAGAAAAGGAACGAAAGACTGCCAGCGGGAGGACATTCCGTGTCCAGGGTTAGTGGAAATAACCTGATAATGTCATGTCTTTCTCCAATATGTGCTGCTGGTTCTTCAGCGCTATGATGACCATTCCCGTTGACTTACACCCCATGCAAGTACAGCTTAAGTCTAGTTAAATACCATGTATCCTTCCCCAAATAAAACCATTAAGGCTCCCGGCCCTCTTGCTACATTATCTCCGTCTTGAATCTGCCAACTATATCCTTACGTGTGTCAGTTATGTCGGCTTGACTCCCAAGACGCGGTATCATAACCTCAATGCTAGTTGATTTGGCCTTTACTGTAAAGGGCACCCGTGGAAGCTTGGCCGCCTGATTGACGAGTAAGTTAGAAACTAAGGGGCCTATTATACATGATATCAATTAGCAGTACTTGGGTTGACGTGCTCGTTATAGTAAAAAGGAATTGACTTGGTGATTTGAAAACACGTTAAGCTCAATGCTTTATATGTGAATTGCAATGTAGCTCAATACGTATAGGCAAAGCCTGTTCAAGTAACAATTAAGACTAGTATTCACTGAATGGACCAGACATTTTGGAGGGTCAAAATCGAGTTTGTAGTTTAAAAAAAATCTTTAATTAAGAATTTAATTGTATCAAAAAAGCTATTGACAAGTGTGATAACAAGCATGATGAATGGGGTTTGTTAGCCCATCCTCCCATTGATCTCTATAACACTAAACCTTGATTCCTAAATAGGAAACCCAGGTGAATCCATATTCCCACGATGAAGAACCAGCCACCAGCCCCCGGATAATATCTCTCTCTTTCTCTCTCTCTTCTTTCCATCATGAGCACCTATCTTCTCTCTAACCTAGAGGTTTCTGTTCCTCTTCTCGGTTATCGAATTTCATCGACTTCTGACACTCGAAGGCACCCCCTGCGTCGTTTCGCCTATCTACTTCATACAACCTTCCAAGTTATTCCGTGGCAAGATATACCCTGAAAGAAAATGGAGCTTCTCCAGCCAGTGAGGTATATTCCTGGGTCAACTAAAGCTGAATATTGTGGCCCAAAGCCTCTTTCGGAGCGCAAAGCAGAAAGGCATGACAGAGTCGTTGTGGCGTATTCCAAGATATATGGCGTTGCGAAGATGATAGCTGAAATTCTGGGCGCCTTTGGAGCAGAGGTGAGTGAAAATAGCGACATAACTACCTGCAACATGCATCGGCTAACAGTCAGAGCATAGCTTGACAATACGCCGACGGATATCAAATTCCACATTGCTCGAGTTGAAACAGAGTTAACGCAAGCATCACCTTCCAAACTACTCTCAGCAACGGAAGACTTGTTCTATATCTTACTTGCAAGAATAAAGAATGAAATACAACGGATGGAAATCAACGAGAGCTTCAAGTTCAATTTTCGCCATCAGAAAATCAACCCTAGGTTCCTTGAAAGGAGGGGCCTGCCAGAGCGCTGGCATCTGAAACTGATATTCGATGCATGTAGACGACTGTTACTATCAGAAGAAGTGTGTGGGGTCCTCAACACGGAACTCATTCGACAGCAGCAGGAGGAATATATGGATCAGACCATGCAAATGGGCGAGGCGGCAGGTTACTTCGAAGATGATCCGATAGGCTACCGTCGATATATTCAGAGCCTTATCACAGATCCAAACTCGCCATACCGAATCCAATGGAGTGGGCTTAACCCTGTCTATGATGCTGCCCCAGCGATGATATTCGCAACCGTGAATGAAAAGTATCTGGATATTCTAGCACGAGAGAAGAAGCAAGGCAAAAGCTCCTCTCCCAAGGTTCGATCCCCTCCACCAGCATGGAAGTCAAATCCAATCCACAAGGAAGAACGACGGATACAAGCAAACAGGGATGCAGCATGCGCCATGCTTCATGGTATAACAGTCGGCGAATTCCGACGCCGGGAAGGTCAAGAAAAAGTGCGTGGATATATGCAACATAACCTCTGTGTTTGCCTGGAGCTCTGTACCTGTTCTCGCAGATGTACCGTTAAGGGATCGAGGATTTGCCCATGCACCAGTAGGATGAACCTACTTTACGAGGAGAATCTTGGCCTTAGACGGCCATTCATTGAGAGGTGCGCAGATATGGCTGTCATTCTATTCGAAGCACTATCTGCCACCTATCAGGGTATCGGTGTACTCCAGATGATGCACTACTTGAATAGGGGGCTGGAATACTTTCACGAAGAGATCACACTCTTCCGCGACAGCTATTGGAAAGCAGCTACTCAAGACAACTGCCTCTTCGACTTCACAAGTGAGTTTCAGTACCGACAACGAATCAGTGAAGATGCATTCCGGCGACAGGATTGATGATGATGTTCGATGATATCCTTTAACGACTTTATGACTTGAACGAGGGAATGAACGGAAGTTACGGAGTTGGCTGGTCTGCTTTCAAGGTTATTCAAAAATAAATGAAATCATGCTTTGCAAATTATGTATATGTTAATTCCTTTAACTCATTGATGACTGGATTGAAATATTTTAATATGACATTGAAATATGAGAATTAACTTGACGTCCACTTGCCCAGGTGGTGGTTGCTCCGTCAAGTCACGTGTACGTCAACGTCAGGGGATATTTGGACGACAAGAAAACAAATACTGCGAGACTCCCAAAAACCGTCGATGGCTATGTTTTTATCATCTGACAGGTTCACCATAAGAATAAGGCCTCGACCTCCGTCCTGGAGCAGAGCTCAGGTGGAGATGTCGAGCCTGTTTAAAACTATGGCATTTTCATGAAGTGTAGGGCGATGAGAGATTATGACAACTTGTGGTTGTGGTGCTTGGATTTATAGGAGATTTAGGCTATTCTAGAGTCTAAAGGCAGTTCAGTAAGTGCATACAATACAATTGCCAACATTAATGTTGACTGGTCCAGGTATGTCTATCGTTCAAGCAACAGCACTAAGCTCGTACTGACAAGCCACAATATTTACCACAAATAGACCATCCCCGAGACACCAGGGTCTCCAGGAAACTGGCTTTCATCTCGGCGTTCTGGTCTAAATATACCCGAGAAAGCGCGAGCGCTGGACGTGTCAGACGTGGTGATGCGTTGTGTGCATTCGCCTGGGGTATGCATCTGTGTATGCATCTATATAAATATCTATCCCTGCATTGGACGTCCACCGCGTCCGGAACCAATCATGGGCGGCTAGACGGACCCGTTTTATGTCTTAGCTCGTACCGCGACTCCAACATCTTAATCCAACATCCGCGTCCAGCTGAGACAACTTTTGAAAGCCATGACTTTGGATAAAGGACGGTCTCCAAGAGGGAACGTACTAACTGTTCTATTGGTCACATTAAGATCCGGATACTTGCTAATAGGTTTGCCGTGAAATCACCTACAGATACCGGTTTATTTAAGAATGGACTGGGTTGATAAACACGCACGTCGATGTACTTGGCCGCTGTGGTGATACATGCCCACAGCCACAGATGCGTTACCACTACGCTGGGCCCGTGGGGTATGGATTCTCTTGAGAGCATCGGAATTGCCTGCCCATTGAGTTTGTCATGGCAAACTAGGGTAGATGGCCTCCCCCTAGAGTAGGGACAGGGGTATACAGCGGGTTTATAGGAGCTCGTTGCGTTGGTGTTTTGTTTCCCGTTAAGCATTATTCCAGTCCTTCAATATTGAACAACGAGCACTGGTCAACTACTCGACGTGAGGACGCGCCCGAAATAATCTCGCGCCAACCGTCGATTAACTGACAAGATGAACGACAATATTGCTACTTGTGAGGTCCAAGGACAAGAGCAAGTACAGAGCCAGGAGAAGAAACCGCCACCCCTGATGTTGAGCGAGTCTGAGAAACAAATCCTCGAGCTTCAATTGAATGGTCTGCCAGCGGAACCTGACATCCAAAACCTCTGGTCGTATACCACTGCTTGGGACAAGGTCGTTATCATCGTCAGCGTAGTCTCCGCCATCATCGCAGGCGCATTGAATCCTCTGCTCACAGTAAGTCATCGCGATCGTCCTTAATTCAGAATGGAAAGAAAATACAGAGGGTGGGTGAGGCAGCTGTTAACAAGGTTATAGGTCATATACGGACTAACCGTTGGTTCGTTCGCAAAGAAGTCCAACGGCAACACATCCATTCCTGAGTTCACTGATGATGTGGCACAGCTCAATCTTTATTGGGTTTATCTTGCTATTGGATGTTCGTCTTCATCTATCTCACCACGGTTGGGTTTTATTATGTCGGCGAGCGCGTTGTAATGCGCCTGCGTTATAACTATTTCCGGACAATCCTCAGGCAAAACATAGCGTTCTTTGATACGCTCGGTGCAGGTGATATCACAACACGCATTACCTCGGATATGAATCACATCCAAGAAGGTATCACAAGCAAGATATCATTAGGCTTGACAGCAATCGCAACATTCTGCTCCGCTTATATCATTACATATGTCCAGTACTGGAAACTCGGCCTTATCATGACATCGACAGTGGTTGTCATGTTGGCCACGGGAACAATTGGGGGAAAGCTGGCCGTGAAGTACAATACATTAAGCCTAAACTTGTACAATAGCGGTTCCAACCTGGCCGAGGAGAGCATCGGGTCTATTCGACATGTAACGGCATTTGGGATCCAGGGTGCCTTGGCAGACAGGTATCTTGGCTTCCTGAAGCAGGCGGAAATACCTGGAATCAGGGCGAGGTTGTCAACTGCTTTCATGATTTGTTTCATGAACGGCTTGCCGTTTCTTTCGTATGCCCTGTGCTTCTGGCAAGGTGGCAGGTATCTAATGGCAGGCTATATGGACGTAGCGGCCACAGTGACTGCTACAATGGCCATTACTATTGGAGGATTTGCGATCGGAAGAGTGGCACCAAATCTGCAGTCTTTCATGGCAAGCACGGCAAGTGCTGGTATGATAATACGCTCGATGCAACGCTCATCCCCGGAGGATCCCTTGTCGACAGAGGGTGAAAAGCCCGAAATGGTAGTGGGGGAGCTTGCATTTGACGACGTTAGTCTAATCTACCCATCAAGACAAGATGTTGCAGTTCTCAAACATGTCAATCTCACTATACCCCCTGGAAAAACGACGGCCATCGTAGGGCCGACAGGTTCCGGAAAAAGTAGCATCGTGGGCTTGCTCGAACGCTTTTACCAATCCACAGGAGGCCGTATCACTCTCGATGGCCGCAACATCCAAGATCTGAACCTACGATGGTTGCGCAGTCGACTGGCCTACGTGGGCCAAGAGCCAATCCTGTTCAACGCCACTATATTGGAAAACATTAGCCATGGGCTAGCTCCCCGTGAAGCTACCACCGGGACTGCTCTCTCACCCCAAGATGTCAAATATGCCGTTGTGGAGGCAGCCAAAGCTGCAAACGCACATGATTTTATCATGGTGCTGCCCAATGGATACGATACGATGGTTGGCGAAAAGGGGCTGCAGCTATCAGGGGGACAGCGGCAACGAATTTCCATTGCACGAGCCTTGGTTCGGGATCCCACAGTGCTGATTCTCGACGAAGCCACCTCGGCACTAGATACTCGGGCAGAGAAGTTGGTGCAGAAGGCACTTACGGAGGCTGCTAAAGGGAGAACAACCATCGTCATAGCGCACCGGTTATCAACGATACGCAATGCAGATAATATCGTGGTGTTGTCAGGGGGTGAGATTATGGAGCAGGGAGACCATCATGACTTGATGGCAAGGCATGGGCTATATGCTAGCCTGGTAAATGCGCAACAGCTGACGCAAGAGGAAGCGGAAGATGAAGAAGAAGCTGTTCTTTTTGAGACGGCGAGTGCTTCTTCTGTGGGGTTTGCGAAGGAGAAGTCAAATGTAAAAGAGCAATCAGCCACTTTAGTCGAGAATTCAGCCCAATACGAACCTAAGGAGCGGCTGTCCTTCTGGGCCCTTCTCCGTCTTATGGATAGGCTGAATCGACCGGAACGCATGTTGATTCTTCTAGGCCTAATCGGCTGTGTATTCGCCGGGCTTGGAACTCCAGTGTGCGTATATTCATACATTCCCACCTCTCCTTTTCTATCTTCCTTCCCACTAACGAAGAAGCCCATAAATCTAGTCAGGGAACTTTTTTCGCTAAACTTATAGAGGCGGCATCGCTGCCGCCATCGCGGTACGATGAACTTCGTTCCGGAACGAGCTTCTGGGCCTTGATGTACCTCATGTTGGGCATTGTGGCCATCCTCTCCTGGTTCGGCCAGGGGGCATGCTTCGCGTACTCTTCGGAACGCCTGGTCCGCCGCGCAAAAGACACGACGTTGCGCTCCATCTTGCGCCAGAATATCGGCTTCTTTGACGACCGTGTGACGGGCGACCTGACGACGATGCTCTCTCAGGACACCGTCCACTTGGGCGGGATGGATGGTGCAGTGCTGGGCTCCATGATTACCTTCACCGTTACCATCATCGGGGGAATTGTACTTTCCATCGCGGTGGGCTGGAAACTAGGTCTTGTATGCACCGCTCTGATCCCTATTACCATGGGCAGCGGCTACGTGCGACTTATTGTTCTGAGCCTCTTCGACCGCAAAGTCCGGCAGACGCAGGCTGCATCTGCGGCCTATGCCAGCGAGGCAGTGACAGCGATTCGGACCGTGGCAAGTCTGGGGCTTGAGGACCACGTCCTAGGCCATTACCGCACTATATTAGAACGCGATGCATCTGCGTCACTCCGCTCCATCTTACAGGCCTCGGTGCTTTTTGCTCTCTCTCAGTCCCTGGTCATGCCTTCTGGCGCCTTGGTCTTTTGGTACGGTAGCAAACTCCTGGCTAGCGGCGAGTACACAATGACACAGTTCTTCATCTGCTTCTCGGCGCTCATCACTGGTGCCCAAACGGCCGGTGCCGTGTTTTCTTTTGCCCCTGACATGAGCAAGGCGCTACAGGCCGGGAGACACCTCCGTAACCTCTTTGACCGGGTGCCCCCTATCGACAGCTACAGCCCCGCGGGAAGGTTGCTACCCGCAGAGAAGTTGCGCGGCGGCATTGAGATCCGAGACGTAAGCTTCCGTTACCCGCGACGGCCTGAGCGAGTCGTCCTGACCGATTTTTCCCTCTCGATTAAACCGGGCCAGTTCGTCGCCCTGGTCGGACCGAGTGGGTGCGGGAAGTCAACTGTGCTGGCCCTCCTCGAGCGCTTCTTCGATCCAGAAACAGGCCGCATCCAGGTCGACGGGGAGGATATTACGGGATTGAACATTGCTCAGTACCGAGGACATGTCTCCATGGTCGGGCAGGAGCCCATCGTGTATTCCGGCACTATACGTGAAAATATCGTATTGGGATCCCCAGAAAACATGGCCGAAGAAGCTATTGTAAAGGTCTGCCAGGACGCAAACATTTATGATTTCATCATGTCTCTACCGTGAGTGATATTCTTATTTTCTCAACTCTTTCTCTGCCCATCAAGCCCTTTTCCCCCATCTGCCTACCGTTCGTCTTTCTGTCCTGACAGAAATTCCTTTCGCTCTACAGAGAAGGTTTCTCTACGGTCGTTGGTTCCCGGGGTAATATGTTGAGCGGAGGCCAGAAGCAACGAGTAGCCATCGCGCGAGCACTTCTCCGCAACCCCAAAATCCTGCTGTTGGACGAAGCGACATCGTCACTGGATTCGCAGTCCGAGAGGTTAGTGCAGGATGCCTTGGATCGCGCATCCAAGGGTCGCACCACCATCTCGGTAGCCCACAGGTTGAGCACGATCAAACGAGCGGACCTGATCTGCGTCATGGACCAGGGCAGGCTGGTCGAGAAGGGGACGCATGACCAGCTGATGGCCAGGAGGCAGATGTATTATGACCTGGTTCAGGCGCAGAATCTAGATAGTATAGCTTGATTCTATCCCGAATAGATATGTCGATAGGGTAAGGAGGGTATATGTTTGCACGGATAATATAGAGACGGCCTGACTGTATATAAATTGTCTTAAAATCTCCCTTTCTCATCTTGTACTTTACACAGTGCAAGAAGAACCCGAACAATCCGTAGGGAAAGGAGCATACCGGGTATCTTGTCATATAACCGGCCCCTTGACAGGCTGGTGGTTGAATTTATACGTTCTATCAGGAATGAAATAAACTACTTCACGATATTTTGGTATTACAGGGTAAGCTTACCCGGTAGATGTACAACTTTTCAATCCTAGGGGCGGCCTATCTATTTTTTTTCCCTCGAAGGATTTGAAAACCAGATACATGGCCATCTTTGCGCAAAGCAGTCATCAGGCGCTGACTACCCCGGTTGTTAATGCAGCTGAGAATATATATGCCGGAGAGCCCCGGCGCTCCAGCCAAATAATGGTGACGACCGGACAGCGCGGAGACAACAAGCTGAAGGCGGATGATTAGCGAAAAAAGCCGTGGACTAAATAGCCGTAGCCGTAGTCGTAGCCGTTGCAAGAAGCGATTCATCACACTAGGCAGGCTCGCTATGGCTTCCGAAAGGTGGTACTCTGCTTCGGCCAACGTCCGCGAGAATACAACTGCATCGTCGCCACTTTTAGGCCAGAGATCACACTCTGAATGCAAATTTCGACCAGGACGCCCCACTGCCCCGGGCAGCGGGAATGGAACTTGCGCGGTGTCCTCCTATTTCTCATTCGCTTCCTGCCTGGATGAAGCGCGATATGCTGGATCTTGGACGCACGTCGGAGTAGCAAAACGGAACCTGCACAACGATATTAGCTGGCGGAATATATAATTATCCGGGGCTCAACAATCGCAGTAAAAAAAGAAAAATACGAGCCCTTGACGGAGAATTAACAGTGAGGATCTAGGTGCGCGTGCTCATCCCTGTACCCTGCGCTGTTCTGGCTGTGTTGAGAGAAAAAGGCGCACTGGCAAAGCTGGAAGTTGTCCGATTCAAAATAGAGGATGACCATATTAATACCGCTGGCCTCTTCTCTGCCTTCTACAACTTCTCGAGGGGCGGATTAGACACCCGCTATAAAACCAAACAGTGAGCGGCGCTCGAGGTGCGATAAAACTCATGCTGGAATGGTCTTTACTACCCCTGCCTTCACTCGTCTGATATCATCGAACTGGAAACTCCCAACGCTTCGAAAATTCATCCAGTGGTCGCCGGCCGTTACCCCTATATCCGGCATCGCGACGCCAGCCGCTGAGAAAAATGTGCAGCCGGTGCGATCGAAGTGGCCTCCCTTTTATTTCGACACCGGCTACTCCATAATCCCCAAGCGGCCGTCGCGGCCCTTCCCACCGCCATTTCTATCGCCGCCGTCAACGTCGTTTTCGGATGCGTTGACGACGCATGATCGTGGTCGCGATAGGAGGCCGTCGGTAAACGGAGAGCCTCTTCGTGGACTCACAAACGGAGACGATGCCATCCTCTGTGCTCCGAACTTCCTGGGCGTTAATGACGGTGTCGGAGCTTGGGCGTCGAAGCCTCAGGGCCATGCTGCGTATGTAAAACCGCTATAAAACATCTAGTGAACGCCAACACTAACATCTGTCATCGTCTTAGCTTGTGGTCCAGGTTGATACTCCACTACTGGGCCTTGGAGGTTGAGAATCGTCTCACTGGGTCTCCTAAACCTGATCTGATCGAGTGCCTTCAACGCGCATACGAAGAGACCGTCGAGGCAACCTCATCGCCCAACGAGTTTCTGGGGACTACCACCACTGCAACTGCGCTCCTGAGTTACAAGATCATAGGAGAAACGCCCACCCCGTTCCTGCACGTTACAAATCTAGGCGACTGCCAGACGCTGGTTATCCGCCCAAGAGAGAGACGCGTTGTGTTCAGAACCGAGGGCCAGTGGCACTGGTTCGACTGTCCCATGCAACTAGGCACGAATAGTGTCGACAGACCTCGGGAAAACGCTGCGTTGTCGGTACTCGAGATCGAGGAAAATGACATCGTGCTAGTCATGTCCGATGGGGTCACGGATAACCTGTGGGAGCAGGACGTGCTTGAAGTCGTCCTCAAGAGCCTGGAGAAGTGGGAGATATGCAAGCAGAAACGGGCGACGGCCGAGTATCTCGAAGGTCGCGGAGGGAGGATGGTATACGTCGCTGAGCAGCTGTTGACTACTGCCAGGGCGGTTGCCATGGATCCGGCTGCGCAGACTCCGTATATGGAGAAGGCGCAGGATGAAGGGTTATCGGTCAATGGAGGTTAGTATTTCATCCTTGATGCCTTTGTTACAACCTATCTGACCCTCCTCTCTAGGCAAAATGGACGATATCAGCGTCGTTGCCGGTCGTGTTGTCCGGTCAGGCTGAACAGCGCGCCATAATCATACATCAAGGCGGGGCGTTCACCCAATTATTCTTTTTCTTTCGAATTAGCATGCATTTCAGGGACGCGAATGGGAATTGAGCGTTTGGACGGTTGCATTTTTACAGCGGACAGGGAGAGTATTTTCGGGTCTTGGGCTTGGTTTCTGGCGTTTATCGGACGGGGAAGCATATATATAATAATCGTTAGAGCGCAAGGTAGAGCCAGATGCGCCGTACACTCCGCACATAGTAATATTTCTCAATATATAACTGTCAATCTCATCGAGTCTTCTCGTCGACGTGGTCAAAATGTTTTGCTCTTTTGCGATTTCCACGAAATTCGTATCCACACGCCGTCGAAATCTTGGCATTAGTTTACATTTTCTCAAAGGGAAAAAATTAATCTCGACATACTCAGAGATCAGCCTCTACTTTACGTCTTTAGTAGCAGGAGAGAAGAGAAGAATACCGCAGATATGAGGGCGAAGCGATCAAAGAAGTACCGGAAGCTCATGCACCAGTATGAGCTCACGTTCGGGTTCCGCGAGCCATATCAGGTCCTGGGTATGGATTCCGAGCAAACCAGATATAATGAAGACGAGACAAGCTAACTAGAATCGACGCTGCAGTGGACTCGCATTTCCTACAATCAGTGTATAATTTCAAGATGGACCTTGTGCCTGCGCTAGAACGTACGGTACAAGGCAAAGTAAAGCCCTGTACGAGCACCCTACGAGCAGAAGACCACGAATGAACCCAGCTAACAAGCCGTCTAGTCGTCACAAAATGCTCTCTAGCAGCCATGATGGCCGTCATGGCCTCACAAACCGCAAAACAAGAAACAACCCATTCCCACCATCCTCAACGCCAATTCCGACCTCCACAGCTTCCCCCGCCCACCATATTACCGCTACGATACTGCTCGCACAACGCAGAGAGCACGCCCATTGACGAAGCGGAATGTCTGCTTTCGTTACTATCACCTAGCGCGGACGCAAAGAAGAAGAATAAAGAGCATTACATATTGGCTACGGCGGATCCTGAGCCGGTGGCGCCTACGCAGCAGGAGCAGAAGCGCAAACGGCCGCATTGGATGCAGGCGCAGGAGGTACCGCAGCAACACGCACAGCCTCAGGGGCAGAGATATAACCTGCGACGGGACGCGAGACAGATACCTGGCGTGCCGATTATATATGTCAAGCGATCTGTGATGATTCTGGAGCCTATGAGTGAGCCGTCTAGTGGTATACGGGAAGGATTCGAGAGGGGGAAACTTCGTAGTGGGTTTGTAGAGGCAGCTACGGTTACGGGGAAGAGGAAGAGGGGTGTAAATGGGGAGGGAGATACGGGTGCTGACGAGGGTGGTGATGGGGAGGGCGAGTGGGTGGAAGTTAAGAGGAAGAAGGTCAGGGGAGTGAACCCATTGAGTGCGAAGAAGCCCAAGAAGAAAGAAAGTCGACCGGCCGGGAAGCCGGAGAAGAGGATAAAAACGGGAGACGGCGACGGCGATGTTGATGTTGATGCCGAGAAGAAAGAAGAGACAGGCGAGCATACGAAATCGAAGAGGAAACGAAGACATAAAAAGAAGGCTGGCGGGGAGGAGAATGACGCAGATACCCCTATCGTGGAGGCAGAAACATAGATCCATAGCTTGTGATATACAACTCTCGTCCAGTCTTTCCACCTATCGACACACCGACATCGTACATGAAGTAGAGAATACCCAATAAACAACGATTCAAACTCCAAACACCAAAGCTATCGCTATCTTAACATCGAGCGGCCGACTGACTGTCCGCTCAACTGGCCGTGTTCGTCTGTGCGGATGCTGCGTCCTCGCTCCAGACCTTCTCGATCCTGGCCCTGTTCTCTCTCGCCTTGTCCCTGTTTCGAGACGCGCGCTTCAGTCTCTCGGCGTAAAGGCATCGATTGACGTCTCGTTTGATGTCGTTGCAGTTTCCGAAGACTTTGTGCATGAAGCCTTTCGCGTGGCATTCGTCGAGCATCGTCATTATCTCCTCGCAGTCTAGCTGGTTAGCGATGATACACGTAGACAGGGGAAAACGTACTGATGTTATCTTTTGTATGTAGATGGGAATGCATTGCGTCTGATAGTATCTCCTCTATTTATATTGTCCTGTTATATCTTCTGTTATATCTTATATCTGTTGTTGTTGAAGTCGGAGTTTTGGCGGTTAAAATTCTGCCACAAGGCGGCGAGGCAAGCTCCACCGATAAACAAAAAATTTCTGCCGATAAGAAAAAAGCAGCTTTATTTCTTCTATATTTCTACTTTTATTTCTACACTCGGAAGACACGATTGACCGGCCAGCCAGTTGAGACACTGGATAGCGACACGTATATTGGAATATACCCGTCCAGTTACTGTGCGCGACTGCATTGGCTTAGAGCTATATCTACGAGGGGTGGCATTGAACACCCCACCACACATTACCAGCTACAAGCAGAATGTCGATGATAACGTCCACGGCCTGGGTTCGGCGAGGCGTGGCAGCTCAGTTCCCCGAACGGTACGAGATTGATGAAGCAGAAATCAGCCGAATCTCAAAACTAGCCAAGGTGCAGCTTGAGAGTGCGCGGACAGATCTGAACGCAGCCAGAAACGCCAATGCCAATGACGACGACAACGATGAGGAAGAGGAGGATGAAGATGAGGACGACGTGATGGAGACCACCGACGAGGTCGAGGTAGAGAAGAAAGAGAAGAAAAAGAGCAAACCGGAAGACGATGACGATCTGGCGGAATATGACATGGAACACTACGACAGCGACCCGCGAGACGAAGAAGGCGATGAAGTCACCATGTTCGGCAACGTGCAGTCCCTCGCATACCACCAGCCGCATGAAAAGGACCCTTACCTGGTGTTACCCAACCGAGCTGACGGGGCCGGCGACGACTCGGACGAAGACCGCGAAGACCTCCAGATCCTACCGTCGGATAACCTGCTGTTGGCAGGCAAGGTGGAAGACGAAGTGGCTCATCTGGAGGTATACGTCTACGAGGATGCGGCGGATAACCTGTACGTTCACCATGATGTGATGTTACCTGCTATACCACTGTGTGTTGAATGGCTTGATATTCCCGTTGGCAACAATGCGCGAGAATCCGGCCGATCGCACGGCAACTTTGTAGCTGTCGGTACGATGGAGCCGGATATCGAGGTTTGGGATCTAGATGTGGTGGACTGTATGTATCCTAGCGCGATACTAGGCAAGGCACCAGACGATGAAGTCGAGGGGGAGAAGAAGAGCAAGAAGAAAACAAAAAAGAGCCTGAAGAAGAACGAGGAGTATCACGTCGATGCCGTGCTGGCGCTGGCAGCGAACCGTCAGCATCGAAACCTCCTCGCCTCCGCGTCGGCAGACTGTACCGTCAAACTATGGGACCTGAACGACGCAAACACCACCCGCTGCGCCAAGTCGTACACCCACCACACAGACAAGGTGTGTTCTCTCGACTGGCACGCCAAAGAGTCTACGGTGCTGCTCAGCGGCTCCTACGACCGCAGCGTGGTAGCATGCGACATGCGCTCTGCAGAAGGGCAAGTCGGCCGCTGGACCGTCCCCAGCGACGTCGAGTGCGTCCGCTGGGACCCTCACGATGCCAACATCCTCTACATCACCACCGACAGCGGCCTGGTAGTCTGTCATGACCTGCGAACTCCCGACACCGCACTATGGACACTACAAGCCCACGACGACTCGGTATCATCCTTTGACGTCAACGCCTTCATACCCGGCTTTCTCGTGACGGGTTCAACAGACAAGACGGTCAAGATATGGAATGTCCTCGACAACAAGCCTAGCATGGTCGTTAGCAGGAAGGTGGAAGAGGTAGGGAAGATATTTTCCACTGCCTTTGGACCTGATAGGGCGGTTGGCTTCCGTCTTGCTGTGGCGGGTAGTAAGGGCGTGGTGAAGGTGTGGGATACTTCTACCAACGGGGCTGTCAGGCGGGCGTTTGCTACGAAGGTTGCGAGTGCGGAGGAGATGGGGGTGAGGGAGGGAGGAGCAGAAGGGGAAGGGCAGGGGATGGTTGGTGTTGCTGATGATGAGGAAGATGATGACGACGAGATGGAGTAGACACCGTCTGACTGCAGCATGTAAGGGACTTGGATGCATATACGATATGTCGATCTACTCTCGACGTCGTTAAATACTCGATGTCATATTCCTACTATACCCTAGATATCTACCACTTCACCTTCATCCTTCACACATATACATCTACTCCGTCAGCCAGAGTATCATGTCGGGGAGACCAACACCAACAGGAACATGTAAGGATAGCGCATAAATGGAGCCGGACCGTCGTCCATGGCGTTTCATCTCGGCGGTTAGCTCTGACCTCTTCTCCTCGACTCTTATACTCTACACTTCTACTTAACTTCGACCCTTCTCTTAACTTCTCTGGTCAAGTGGCCTGGTCATGTCATGATAGTCGGTGTGCAAGTCTACCTTCTGGTGGTATCATGGTGTATCGGCCTGCTGGTCATCTGGCTGGATGTAACTGTTAGTGTTGGCCCCCGTGACTGGCCGGGCGTTTGATCGCCGCGACGTTTCACCAGCAGATAGTCAAGTACGAAGGATATGACAGTAGAATATGATAAGAATATGATAATATGATAATAATAGTACCATAACGAGAATAGAGGTACTCCGTAGTGGTGACGGTGACGGTGACGGTGAGGACAACGCAAAAGAAAAGACGTGGCGCCTTAAGCATAAGGTGACAGGAAGGACAAGAAGAGGCGGACGGGGTGCCTGGCTAGCCCGTAGCCCCGACGCTAGGGGGCGGATCATGGAAAAGTCAGCCTGTACCCTCCCCTTCTAGCGCCCTCCTCCCTTCGTCCTTCCTCTCCCTCTACACTCTCCCTTCTCTCTTCCTCTACCTCTACCTACACTCTTCACATACTCTCCCTTCTACTCTCCCTCTCCCACGAGCGTCCTGGCTGTCTGCTCGCTCTTCTCCTCTCTGTCACGTAGATCGTCAGACCGCCTTACCCGCTAGACGCACGTAAGGCACCAAGGCAAGGCCCAAGGCATCGCTGGCTGCTGCTCACAATCTTTACCATTCTCTATTCTCTACTCTCTCGCTCATTATTCTATTCACTTACTACGACATTCATTCACTCGATATTCGACATTGACACTCCTTGCTCATTGACTCGTATTGTCCGACTGTTACTCCGTCGCGCCGACTTCCCGTTGCGCCATTCTCTCCGCCAGCCAAAGGACGACAAACGGCGCACACATATAACTCGCCTTCACCCGCACACTACCACCACCTACACATCTATCTGCGAGAATGGCGACCACAATGACCTCCTCGCTCGGCCGCGCATTCACCAAGCGCCAGAAGCGGCCAGAGGTCTCGGCTCCGATGCCCTTTCGCGAGGGACAGCCCCGTTTCGCCGCCGGAACCATCAAGCGCTCCAAGATATCGGCGCCGATAGAACTCATCTCGACCACCAACCTGCTCGCATACACCGCTCCAGACATACAGAAGCACAACGGCAACAACTTCGGAGCAAAGAGCCCACCAGTCGTCTCGCGGCCGCCCGTCAAACACCCGCACCAGACCCTCGCACACTCTACTTCTTCCTCTTCCTCCTTCAGATCCGCAGACGAGTCGGACGCCAGCAACTCGCTCCGAACGCCCAGCACGACACTTACGTCTCCCTCCTTGCCACCGTCGGCAGAATCATCGCCCATCCTGCGAGACCAGTCCAACCCCAACCCGCTAGCATGCTACTTTGACCAGAAAGACAGCCCCGTCTCTTCGCCTAGGGAAACTACTCCTTCCATCCCCTCTCGGGCCCTCAGCCATACCAAGAAATCACACCAGGAACTGTCCCGCCAACGATCGAGCGCGTCTACTTCCTCGGGACCCAAGAATACATCCATCTCAGCCACGCATGCATCTCACTCTGCTGCGTCTCGAGGTCATGCGCAGGACACCAGCGTCCACGCTCACCCGTTCGGCAAGGAGCTGGAACAGGTCAATGAGGTGGCTGAGGAGTTCTCTGTTGGTAACTTCTTCCGGGACGAGGATGAGCGTATCCTCGCTGACAAGGGGCTGATCAAGGTCGATGTGGTAGAGTATCTTAAAGAGGTACAGGGGGTGTACGCCTTTGTGTTTGGAGCAGACGTCGCTAGCAGAGACTGGATCTGATGTGACACTTACTGGTGGGATATGATATGATATCGTGGCGGTGGATTTGATACCCTTTTCTTCCTTTTCTTTTTCTTCTCCTTCTTTTCCTTCCTCTTCCTCTGATTTACTGTTCATGTTCTGGGTCTTATTTCATGTGATATCATACTTTATACTTCTTGATGCCATACTTGATATGTGTGATGCGTTTATTAACTTCATCTACTTCTTCTATGCATGTTACTTTACTTCTCTATACATGTTATCCGTGCGTTGATGTGGCTTGTGTTGTGCATGCTTGATGCAGTTTACCACATGTCATACATCATACTCTCGCTTCCTTCCCTTGTGTGACGTTTCTCTGTGGAATGCTATCTACTCTTTTATTCAATTATTGCTTAGGCCAGATATGATAGCCCATGCCAGTTAGTTACACTTGCCTGCACCTGTCTACGGAGTATACCGTACGTATTTGGCCAAGCCTGGGAAGAATAAGAATAGTCGAGACAGATGCCTGCATGATCTAGACACTCGCCGTTTCAGCCGCCATCTAGTCTTCCTTTCTTTTCTTTGCACTCTCGGCTAATCCTTCAACTAGCGATCATATAGTACGGTCACTCCTTGTCAGTCTACCGCGAACACAGCTACAGTCGAGCCCTCTTAAGCGGTCTACCTTGATAGGTAATGTCATACCTGCACCTATCAATTGGTGTGTTATCGTTATCATGCTGTCAGTGGGCCAGTGAGACTGTTTAGATGCTTGAGATGGAGATCTCGCATGTCAGACCCGCCAAGGGGCCACCGCGCTTGGTGTCATACGTTAGTGCGCGGAGACGATCCACGCTTATCTAGTCGGCGCCTTCCGCCGTCGAAGCTGTAACCTTTATAAGCAGGCTAGATAAGACGATGTCTCGGCCTTGTTCTGTACGACTTAACTGTTGCATGGCGTACGTTGACCAGTGTATTTATATCCCCCCTAGACTACGTGTCGAGAAATACAAAATCCCGACCAGTAATCTGACGGACTTCATCTCGCACCTCGAGCGCTGCTTTATACCGTGCGGCGTCGGTCGGTAGAGCAACGAGAGACGTATCGGCCCCATACAGAAGCAGAAGCTTAGCGCATATCGGCTCATCCTGTACAAAGTCCATAGCCAAAGAAAGAGGAGTTTCACCAAGCTCATCTCGGGCGTTGATATCGGCTCCATATTCAAGCAGTATCTTAAGTATTTCCTCTATTATCTCGTCGCTGACGTCCCTGCGGTTCAACATCCGAGTCCATGCAATACTACACCCCACGCGATAGATATGGTAGTGTAACGGCGTGTGGCCCCAGGAATCAACCACATTAGGATCCAGTTTATGATCAAACAATAGCCTAAGAGTCTCTAGCAGGGCGGCATTACTCGGATTGTCTATTTGCGTTTCGTCAATTATGACATAGGCTAATCCGGTACCTTCGCCGTCCTTGGCCGATACATCAGCGCCATTTTCGAGAAAGAGGCGTACTAGGTTTATATCGCCGTTAGCCACGATGTAGCGAAAGGGGGAGCACAGAGGTTGATCGAAGTTATTGACGTTTGCGCCCTGGGAGACCAGATATTCGATGAGAAGGTAATTCTTCGCGAAGAAGGCGGCTAGTTCCGTCTCATTAAATGTGCCGTCTCTAGCATTACATCTTTGCTTGACTGCTTTGAATAGGAGATGGTCTTGGAGAAATGTTTCGGACCATCCACTGTTGGGGTTCAAGCCGGCATCAAGAATGCGTCTCGTTAGGTCGATGTCTGAATTGCGCGTGGCAGTCCCGATGGCCTTGCTCTCGTCTTGTGCATCTCGTCTGTAGAGCGGTATGTTCAGTAGACCGTGTAGCCGACTGTTGCACTGTAGGAGCGAGTTGACGTCGTACATCTGGAGGTTCTCGGCGATGAGAAGGATCAGTTCACTTGGAAGCGTCATGAGGGAGGCCTGCTTGGTATCACGGCCATCTTGTCCACCTTGCTCCTCTTCCTCCATCTCGGGTATACCAAGTTATGTCAAGATGTCATGAAGATGTCAACCTGTATCAACTTGTATCAACGAGTGAAGTTGATGTCCCAAAGAGGAAACCGAGCACAGGACAGCTGAGTCAGCATATCCTCTTGGCGTTCTCCACAGCAGAAATTTTGCCAGGCAGAACCAAGCAACACCGCCTTTTGGAAGCAAACACACAGAAACGCAGAAACACAGACACCACAACGGCTTCATCCCACCAACAACTTCCCCCGCCACCGCTGGTCTCGTCTCTCTGGCGTGGTCTTCTCAGCATGATACATCTCAGAGACCAGCTCTATCGTTTACTCTGCCTTCCTTGATTCTGTCTTTTGTGGGAGCTAGTTCGGACGAGATGGTCTCCGTCACGCACCTCCCATCGACCCCGGCGTCAACGTCGAAACCCTCAAAATCGATCCTGAAACCGTTCTCGTCTTTAGCTGGCCAGAAACGCAAGAAGCTCGATCTTTCCATCCCATCCGATATCTCGTCGGGCTCTGCCTACTCGGACTCAAATGCTAGTCCTACTACGGCCACCACGCCCGGCGGTTCCCCTGGCCCGCGTAGGAAACGCGCACGGGTCAAATTCGACGTGGCCATGGACTCACCCGGAAGCAAGCCTGAGGCTAGTGGTGCTCGCAATGACGAAGTTGTTGCTGAGAGGAACAAGGCGCTGGCAAGGGAGGAGGTCAGGCGTGCAATTCAAAGACACCTTATCGGTGATAGCGAGGCGTACGATCGTATCAAGGAGATGTTTTCGGCTGATCCCAAGGTTATGGAGGAGGATGGGACACCCGTTTTCGACCTGCCTACTCCTGTTTCGCTGAAGAACCACCTTATGGGCCTTTTGGGTAATGTCTCTTCGCTTGATGGTTCCTGCAGTGGCTTGGTACACGCCATCTTGAACAGCGAGTGGGTTGGCAGAGACAAGTCGTATGTCAAGCTGTTCGTCCAGTTTCTGGCTACCCTGTCAGCTGCACGCGGTGGATATCTGAACTCGGTGCTGAAGATGCTGGTCAGCCGTCTGTGTCAAGGTATGTCATGTCTATCCTGCGTTCGTTCGAAGACAAATGGCTGACAGTACCGTCTAGTGGACCTACGCGCTGGGAAGCTGCCTGATTATGATACCGTTCGTAGCTCGGAAATCTACCATCGAATCCACTATGCCATCCGCTCCGTCGCCCAGGTTGTCCCCGCCTGTAGTGTCTCTCTCTCTCCAATCTTGTCTACCACCTTCCCACACGACTCTGATACTGTTAAGAACCATCTTATCTACACGCGTAATCTCATAAAGATCGTATCATATCTCCCTGAACTTCGCTCCGACATCCTCGCCCTCATCACGGAGAAGCTGGTCAAGATTGACGCTCAAAACCAGGTGAACATGGAAGACTTTGACGAGGACACTCAGCAGGATATCATGGACGCCCTCAATACCACAGACGTCTCGATTCTCGACCAAGATGAGGATGGATCGGACGAGGAATCGGAATTAAGTGACGATGGAACCCTCGACCCGGACGCCCAGCGCATCAAGGCCGTAAAGGCGTGCATGCTAAAGGTTGATCATATGGTCGACGTCCTCTTTGAATACTACAACTACCCCTTCACATCTGGCTCCCTCGAGGACCAGGAGCAAGTCCTCGACTTTCTTCTCGCACACTTTCAAAGCATCATCCTCCCGACCTACCGCTCCCGCCACGCCCAATTTATCCTCTTTCATTTCGCCCAGGCTTCTCCCATCTTTATCGACCGCTTCGCTACAACCTGCATCGAGATCATCCTCAGCAAGTCTCAGCCGGTCATCATTCGCCAGTATGCAGCTGCATATCTTGCCAGCTTCGTCGCCCGTGGCGCTCATGTCTCCGGCGAAGTGATTCGTGATGTCTTCAGTCTCCTCGGCACTCACCTCCTGAACCTACTCGATTCTTACGACAAGGACTGCCGTGGTCCCGACCTCCGCCGTTATGGGCCATTCTATGCCACTGCCCAGGCCCTCTTCTACATCTTCTGCTTCCGCTGGAAAGACCTCACCATTGCTGCCATCGAGGCCGAAGCTGACGGCAACTCGCTAACCCACCTAGACGTCGACGAAGTGTCTTTCACCCAGGAGATGAAAGATATGCTCCTCCGCGGCATCTACTCAAACCTTAACCCTCTCAAGATCTGCTCGCCTGGAATTGTCGCCGAGTTCGCCAAAATCACCCAATACTTCAGTCTCTTCTACCTATTCCCTCTACTCGAGAAGAACAAGCGTATGCGCATCCATAACTTCCGTGGCATTACTTCCATGGCTATGGACCCCGTGTTTGGAACCATTGAACGTGAAACCCGCGCTGATGATAACTTCGTCACCCAACTTGATGATTATTTCCCGTTCGATCCATATAAGATGCCCAGAGGCGCTAGATGGTTGCGTGGGGATTACGTCGATTATAAAGACGTGAGAATCGCTGGTCTGGATGATCGTGGTCTCGACGATGAAGAGGATGATGACACTGCGAGCGAAGATGACGACGAAGAGGACGCTGACCTCGATGGATACACTGAGACCGAGGAGGAGTAAACCCACAATCTACAAAACGACATACACACTCACCTACACATACACATACCAGACCCACACATGTGCGCCTTTGAACATTTCCTTTCAATCTTGATACCCTAGTTCTTACTACTTGCTCGAATTCAAACGCAAGCCAACGCTATTCTACGACCATTCGACTTTGCTTGCCTTGCCTTTTTGTTTTCTTCTATTTAGCGTCGCGCATCTATTTCGTCCTTTCGACTACATAAAAAAGTTTCCCTATGGAGAGGTAATGGAACAGTCTAGCCTCGGTTTTTTGTTTTCGTTCGTTCTACTTGTTTTCTTACATGTTGGTTCAGGGCTGGGTTTAGGATGGAGTATTAAAATGGGCTTTCATTTGCATTGGGTGCCGAAACAAGTCATTCATAGATGGCCGCGAAAATTTTCGGAACTTCAGAGTAGTTAATTTAAAAGTTACAAAAAAAAAATCAAGAAACATATATTTTACATTTACATCCATCTTTGTTAAATCACACTATATATCCTGTTCCATCCAATCTAGTTTGGTTAGTGGCATATTTCTATCAAACCATACAATATCTTCTTTGACGCCGTTATCATCTATTGTCCAAGTCCCGTCACGGACCAACTCAGTCCATTTATCCAATACCTCAAACACCTTGGTATACGCATAAGGCTCCCACGGGCACGCAGAATTGTACCAAAAGGCGGAGTTGTCACCTGAATCACTGATAAACTCTACACCCTCAGCTTCATACGAGACATATAGTCCACCAAACCGCTGGATAGTGAACTTTCCAAACCCAAAGCTACTGTCAAAGTAGGACTCGGGGCCTACACTGGTCACTGGCTGAGTGGGGAATAATAGAGTGGGAAACGTAGTGAATGGGTGAGGTAACCAGTCAGCTTTTTCCTTCTTGGTCCATTGTATGCGAAAGGAGTCAACAGGCTCAGAGCCGTAGGTCTTCTCGAGCAGGTCAGGGGTAAGAAATGTCGTTCCAGGAGCAATGAAGGTGAAATTCTTCGGAAGGCGGATTGTTGAAAGAAGCTGTTTGGCGAAATCCGATATCATGTAGCGATCTAATAATGAGATATCAAGTGGCGGCAATAGAGCCAATTCCATATCCTGCGACATATCAACATGGCTCGCTGGCCGTCGTGATTCAATTTCGTATATCAGGGTGTCCCACGCCTCCACGGTATTAAGCACATCTTCTTCAACAAAATCCCGAATAAGGCATGTCTTCTTTTCAGCGTCCCAGTAATATTTCCCGATATCCCACATGGCAAGCCATTCATCCAACACATCAGATAAAGGCAGCCACTCATCTAGCGGAGGAAATCTCCCCGGGAATTCAAAATAATAGGCCGTCCCATTGAGCATGTTGAAGAATAGGCCGCCATCCTCTATAAATTCGGATAGATAGTGACGCTCATAAAGAAGAATAATAAAGTCGTAATCATCTTCATCGTCTTCTATCCAGTCTGCAAATTTGAAAAAGTTCCTTGGAGACGGCTGGAGGACGTAGGGTGTTAGGGGGTAAGGCTGCCATGAGATATTTCGGTCCTCGTAGTAGTCTAGCAGTGTAAGGAAATAGTAGGTTGGGAGTTCAGTGACATCGAACCAATCCCAGTACTTGTTCTCTAGAACCTGCTGTCCTAGATTCCGCTGGATGTGATCGGATGCATTGGGTATTTTTTCAATACCCTTTTGGAGGATTGAATTGTGAAGACGCGCAAACTCTTCCATCATGGCCCTGTCCGTGGCCGTCTCGAGATCGAGGAGAGAGAGGTAATATTCATCTTCGGCGGCAAGAATGAGTATGTATAACGATAAAATAGTAATCCAGGGCCTGAAATTCCGGTAACGCATATTTATATAGCTATTGTTTGACGTTGGTGGTTGACAATGTGGTTTGGAAGCTCGTATAATGTTGCCTAGAAATGGGACGCTAGTCAGGATGCATGTCAGGATGGGCGTTATGAAGTGTTGTATATATACACTGGTAGAAGCAAGATAGAGTACATGGAAGAAAGATGGGTAATGCCGTCTAATATACAAATGGATGTCCTTATACCCGTTCGTTAACAACTCGTAGCTGCCCAGCCGCGGTCCGATAAAATATATCAATACTCTCTTGGTCTCTAAGCGGATTCACGGACTTATCCCATGCATGTTTTTGCGACTCTATCATCATTGATCGCACAGATTTTCCTCCTCCACAGTTCTTCAGCTTTTCTACAAACTCATGTCCTTCATGCAGTAACATATCCCACTCACAGACATATAGGAATATATCTCTTGGTAAAGCGTCTGCAAGCAGCGAGGGAGGTGCTAGCAGGGGCGAGGCAAAGGGTAGATGGCGGTTCGCTTCAAGGGGCATGTAGCTGTGGTCAAACATGGTGGTCATGAACTTGGGAAGAGTTTTGGAAGGGAAGATGCTTCTGTCGCGGCGGACATGACGAGGGAGAACGTAGTCGACTATGGGGTACCATGAGATGATGGAGACTATCTTTAGAGATGATGTAGGTGTTGATGGTTGTGAGTTGTTATTGCTGTCATTATTACCATTGGTAGACATAGTGGTAGTGGTTTGTCGAAGGAGGTGTTGAGCAGACTGAGACCGCGATGCAGCTGGCCTGCTGGTATTGCCCTGTGGATGTTGAGAAAGTGTAGAGAGATGTAGATTTATCGAGCTTTCATCCCTGGTTTCGTATGGGGTGAGAACCGATGGTGTCGGGGAGATTTGTGGTGTGTCTTGTAGCAGTAGATGGCGGCGTAGAGGAACCGTGAATGCGAGATTCCCGCCGGATGAGAACCCAGATATGCTGACACGCGACACATCGAGGCCCAACTCCTCCGCGTTATCCTCGAGATACTGAAGCGCACGAACACCGTCATCTACCGCAGCTGGAAAGGGATCTTCAGGAGCCAGACGGTATCCAACGCTCACGACGACCGTATCTGCGCCTTCAACCACCGCGCGAGCCCAGCGTGCATCATCCGTGGCTTTGCCAATACAAAATCCTCCGCCGTGGAAGTTGACCACCACTGGATATCGATTGCCTGCTAACTTGTCCTTGACGTACGTCTTTGGTGTATAGAAGTAGAGCTTCACTCGTTTCGACTCGGGTTCCAGGCGTGGGAGCGTTCGAACAAACGACGGACTCGGTGGTATAGGTGGAGGATACCTGTGAAGTACCATGCCTATACGCATGAGAAATCGCAAGATGACCACCTGCACCCGTATCCAGACCTTGTTAGGAGCCGGTTCCTTCATCGTCGAGCTTAGATCACGAACGGGCGGACGACTGGTATAGGCCTGAGCTGGCTGGCGACCGTTTTTACGGGCATACATGTACCTGAGACATCGATCATGCGAGCATCAGACGAGCATCAGAGAGACAACGGGGTACTTAAATACTCCGCGATGTCTCATGCCTCGATCTCGCCAGCCTCGTTAGCTGACGATGGAGATAATGATCCGTCCTGGGCAGGGACTTGCAGTTACAGCCTCAGCCACGATCGATGTGGCGCTCCAGGGACGTCTTCTCTGCTCTTCTCTTCTTCTCTTCTCTTCTCTTCTTTTCTTCTTCCAGATGCTCGTTTGTCTCTCCAAGCAATGACGTTGTCTGTGGCTCTCGCAAAGCTTGATTGATTCCCGGCATCCGAATCCCTGATTAATACCTCGGAACAGGAGCAAAGTTAGTACGATGGGACTGGGATTTCGCCGCTACCCTCGCTATTTTGTTCTCGCAAGATGCTGCCTCTCTGGAAAGATGGCTATTTGATCAATACGAGGTGTTTCTTAAGAGGAGATACGATAACTACGTGCTCTTCATATCTATGGTAGCGAGAACGGGCGCTACAGATATTGACCAGTCCAGCAAAGAGACCATAAGCCTAACCGTGTATAACGGCCTAGGCTCGCTTCTTAGGCGGCCCTGGCAAGTTACAAGCTACACGCATATTGGTGGGGCCGGAGAAGATCGCTCGTTGATGACGCTGTTTTCTAGCTTCTGATAGTGGTCTCTATATATAGGGGCATCCCACCTCTCACTCCCCTCCCCTCCCCTCCCCTCCCCTCCCCTCTCCGTCTCCTGCTTCGTCTCCTGCTACGTTTGTTCTTTTATCTTACATTCTCTACGTTGCAGAAAGCGGGCTTCCTACACTTGAAGGTATCAGTCTAAAGTTATAGGGGAAGACCTCGACTTTTTTTGCATACTTGCCCCATCCGGACGTCCCACTACAACCGCCATAGACGCAATCAAAAGCTGCGACTTCCTGTTATATACCACTCCCCGAACACCGAAAAAGGAGTTTAACGACACTGGTATTTATAATGGCGGCGCTCAAGGATGCTATATCCAAAATAAAGCAGTCCGCCTCAGACTCCGATTTGCTACCCCGCCGCCGCTCGAACCTAGCTGCCTTCCTTCAGGAGAAGGAATTCGTCTACTCCAGTGATGAATTTAGTGACGACAATAGCGGTACGTCTAGCAAGAATGAGCAAAAGCGCGCCGCACGACGCCAACAGAAAGAGCAAAGTAGGTCTAGACTGAGTGCGGAGAGCTCAGGAACAAGAGATAGCACAATCGACTCTGAGAGGTCGAACTTGAGGGTCAACGACGGCCCTGCGGAGAATAATGAGGACACCGCTGAGATGAAGGCACGATATGGCGACTTACCGATGATGCAATCTAGGGACCGCCTACGACAGCCTCTCGCTAAATTCGAATTAATCGAAGAGGGAATGGAAGGTCAGGAACTTACCTTCCGTGCTCGGCTTCATGTTGTTCGCCGCATGGGTGCAAAGTTTGCTTTCCTTGTATTTCGACAGCAACTCCATACGTTGCAAGGTGTCCTACACACGGAGCCAAATCTGAGGTCGGCGAACATGATCTATTGGGCTGAGCGCATACCAGTTGGCTCGATCTTGAAAGTGAGAGGCCGTCTAAAGCGACCAGACGTACCTGTTATCGGGACAACCATTCATCATCTTGAATTCGAGATTGAAGAACTTCATGTGTCCGTACGCAGGGAGGAGCCAGTGCCTTTTAGTGTTTACGAAGCTGAACTGGCTGGCGCCCACGAAGAACGACTGGAGGGTATACGCCAGAAAATCCCAGATCGAACGAGATTATCAAATCGAATTCTCGATCTTCGCACTGACACCTCGCAATCAATCTTCAGAATTCAATCTGCGATTTCCACCACGTTTCGCTCGGCTCTCGATGCCCAGAACTTTATTGAAATCCATACCCCCAAGCTTCAGGCATCTGCCACCGAATCTGGATCCAGTGTCTTTGGGGTGAATTACTTCAGTCGCCCTGCATTCTTGGCCCAGAGTCCACAGCTCGCGAAACAGATGGCCATTGCCTCGGACTTTGAGAGAGTCTACGAAATAGGCGCTGTCTTCAGGGCGGAGAATTCAAATACCCATAGGCATCTAACGGAATATACTGGATTGGATATTGAGATGGCTATTGAAGAGCATTACCATGAAGCCTTGGAAGTTCTTGATAGCGTGCTCAAGTCTATATTCAAAACCATCTACGAAAAGTACCGATTAGAGATAGAAGTTATCAAACACCACTACCCGTCTGAAGACTTGATCTGGCTCGACCAAACCCCCGTCATACCATTTGTCGAGGGTATCAAGATGCTAAATGACTCTGGCTGGGTGGATGAGCACGGCAACAAGCTTTCCGAGATGGAAGACTTGGGGACACGAGATGAGATTAGGCTGGGTGAATTGGTGAAGGAGAAATATAATACTGACTATTACATTCTGGATCGGTTCCCTGCATCTGCCCGGCCATTCTACGCCATGCCTCACCCCGACGACGATAGATTCACATTGTCATTTGATATATTTGTTCGAGGACAGGAGATTGTCTCTGGTGGTCAACGTATACATAATCCAGACCTACTTGAAAAGCGGATGAAAGAAGTTGGCATCGACCCCTCAACTATGGAAGAATACATGGAAGGCTTCAAATGGGGAGCTCCCCCTCATGCTGGTGCTGGAATTGGCCTCGAGAGACTCTTGATGCTGATTTTAAAACTGGGAAATATTCGACTAGGATCGCTGTTCCACCGCGATCCAAAGAGCTTCCCTCGTCACGAGCAGCCTATCGCTCTTCGCCATCCTCAGGCATCAACGCTTAGCCCTCCATGGCAGGATGAAAGCAAACCACGCAATGCAGTAATCGACCCTGCCCGAAAACTGCAGGCACTCGAAGATCTTGTCGCTAATTATGGTGATTCAACCTCCACTTCCTGGTTCGATGACCGGTACAAGATATGGCGAGACTATGCCACAGGCTCCGCGGTTTCTTATGTTCCATCGCACGGATATGCTGTCATTGCAGGCGATCCACTATGCGATACAACCCAGTACCGCCGCATAGTCATAACGTTCCTTCAATGGCTGAAAAAAGAAACCAATCTCAAACCAATTTGGATTCTTTGCTCGCTTGATGTCGAAGAAATCCTCGGCGAACATCTTGGATGGCGAACTCTTTCTTGTGTTGCCGAAGAACGAGTCGATCCCCAGCGCAACCGGGCTGCCTCAGATGGTGAAATAGCCCGTAAAATCCGCCGTGCCGAAAATGAAGGCATCAAGATTCACACCATCCCCCCTGGTGAAGCACCGCCAGATGATATTCGAGAAAAGATTGACGCGCGGATTAATGACTGGCGCGCTAATAGGAAAGGAACTCAGATTCATCTTTCTGAAATCACTCCATGGCGCGACTATGCTCATCGTCGATACTTCTATGCTACCGACAGTGAGGGAAAAATCTGCTCATTTGTCGCACTCGCCCAGCTCGCTCCTCGACACGGCATGCAAGTTAAATACAGTCTTGACTTCCCAGGCTCTCCATCAGGATCGATTGAATATATCATTAGCAACGCTATCCAGTCTGCTGCAAACTCTGGCGTGAAATCTCTCACTTTCGGAGGCGGCGCAATCCCACACTTGATTCCTGGTCACAACCTAAGCAGCGTCAAGGCGAAAATGTTGCAGCACACATACGATACTATCGTCAAGCAATTTAAGTTGACTCGAAAGACTGAGTTTAGGGCTAAGTTAGGTGCCCATGAAGAACCTGTTTATATTGCTTATCCACGTCATGGCTTGGGCACAAAGGGGATTAGGGCCATCTTGAACTTCTTTGAAGACTGATAGACTTTCTCTCTGAAGATGAATAGACTCTCTCTTCTCTGTTTCCCTGTCGATTACCTTTTGTTATTTCTTTTCTATGTGTCCTGGATTTCCTTAAATGAAATATAAAGGGACGAGCTTGATGATAAATCATATATATGAGTTGTTTCTTGAATACTTTTTTTGAAGAATTTCAAATTTATGTACAGTGTATGGAAGATAATGATAATCTATTTCTTATCCAGTGAAATAGCCATTTTCGATCGTGGCTATATGGATTCCACAGCCAGTAAGTACTTGGCTAACGGAATAATCAGGTCTTACACTAGCCTTTTGAATATTGTTAATGTAGCATATTTAGTTGGGTGGTCCTGGTATGTTCCTATTCCAAAGCGCGAACGAATCTTCCGAATCCTTGTCCAAACGGTCAACTAAACCTACCTCATTCAACCTCTCTTCACAGTTTCCAGCGAGAAAAAAAAAACACGGACATCGACTCTTGCAAGCTCAGGTCTAGATCCTACCAAAGGACGCTGCGCTGGATAATACTATAAATTTTTACGTTAAATAATGCGGCATCGTATACAAAATGGGGGCGATCCTCCAGCCTTGCCGTCCGCCTCGATAACGTTGATTGTCGGGAAACCCATCATAGTATGGGTCTAATGGATTCCATCTGCAAATCAAAAGGTAGCTTCGTAGCCATCTTACGAGGCTTCGTAGCAAGCAGTGTGTGGCCGGTAAAAATGCATCGCAAAGGCCTCCTAAACTATGGTTTATTCCATCGGTCTTCCCCATCTGGAACAAAGTCCGGTGGGCCCCTGGATAGATGAAGGGATAAGGGTTTATCTGAAAGGTATACTGAAGACAACGGGGCCCCCGATGAGAAATAACTGACGACGTTGTGAGAACTCCCCCGCGAAATCCTTCATGAGCTTGTGATATGGAGTTCCCAATTTTTTCGGAAATATTGAGCGACTAGGATTAGTTATGCTCGACTCCGAGGCTAAAGACATGCATAAGGCTATGTTAATGTCATACTTATATAGTAGACACTAGGGCGCTTCCTTCATCTCCTCCCTCGTTTTGTTCATTTTTATCCTCAGTCAAATGAATCAGAAGAGCAAAGGACCAACTGACTACGGTATTTCATATCATATGAACATACTGCTCCAACTGTTTTGTTGATATTTCTGGCTTGGAGTAATTATATTGGCACCCCAATAAAAGCAAGGTAAGGTCAGATTTGTCTGGCAATTTTTCATTTCTGAGAGCTAACACTGACGATAGGAATTTGAATCCGGGGCTTGCCTAAAATGACGGCAATAGAACTCGCCACCCCATGTCTCTCTCTACTAGACAACATTAACAATGATGAACTTGCTCATCTACTTTACCAAAAACGACACGAGCCAGTTGACAATACCCTACTGGCTCTCCTGCAGAGGCTCATACATACCCTGGAGGAGCTAGCTCTGGACGAACTGCAAAGTATCCTAAATCAACGACAAACTCAAGCAGAATTAAATGAAGACTATGTGAAAGCATTTATTTCTGGGACGATTGCCTACCTAGGCAAAGATGTGACATTAGACCACCTTCTAAGCCGTGATATGCCTGAGTCAGTGGTATTTCAGGGCACAACATTAAATGATTTTGATCTCGTGGCGCTGGCGGCTATTTTTAAAGGGGACGAGGATATTTTAAGAGTCCTTCTTGACTTGGGGAGAGTCGGCAAGGGGAAAGACTTCTACTCCGTGGCACTCTATTTAGCGTTCTTCATCGGTGACGTCAAGGTGTATGCCCTACTATTGAACAGGAGTGAATTTGGACCAAATGATTTATACAGCCTGAGAAGAGGTAACATTTTTACCTGCGCTGCCAAAAATGGCCACATTGAACTCATCGATTTCTTATTGAATGAGGGAGTGCAGGCTATCAACAGCAAATACTTTCCCCTGCATGAAGCAGCTTCCAATGGACATCAAGAACTTGTTCGGAAACTGCTTAGAGCGGGATTTGACGTCAACGCAATAAACGATGCGGGCGAGACTCCACTGCATGCTGCCGTTCGTTCCGCAGAATCAGATAGCTCAAAGCACAATTCTATTCCCATCATAAAGTCTCTCCTTGACGGTGGAGCGAACCCTACACAGAACACTCCGGCATCGACAGCACTTCAACTAGCGGCCCGATATGGAAATCATGGCGCTGCTGAACTACTCCTGCAGGCAGGAGCTGACCCAAACTTCGCCCCGAAGGGTACCGATACTCCGTTGATACGTGCAATTGAGTCTGGTGACATAGAAACGGTCAACATACTGCTTAAATATGGGGCGAATATTCACCAAGTCTCTAAGCGGCATGGAAACGCACTAATCGCGTCAATTAAGAAGGGAGAGGAGGCAATGTTTGATTTATTTCTCAAAAATTTCGACTCAAATACTACCGATACCACAGGAGCTTCAGCACTTTACTTCGCTGCCGCGGGTGGACATGAAGGCATGGTGCTTAAGCTGATAAACAACGGAGCCAACATTCTCGCCAACCATAACACAGTTTTTTCTGCTACTATGGGAGCTGGCTTAAGTGGGAACAGCAGAATTGTGAGAACACTCTCCCAGAAGGGAGTTCACGATGACCATGCGGCATTATATGCTGCATCTTCTGCTGGAGAAGATGAATTGGTTACCCGACTACTCCTTGATGGTGCAGACATCGGGCACTGTATACTGCCATTCGACCGTGATCTATCACTTCATGCTGCCATGATTCGGGGACACGAATCAACGGTTAGGCTATTGTTAGGTGCTGGAGCGACTTGCAGCAGCCGGCACTTTCCTAGCTTTTTTCTCGAAACAGCCTCCCGAAGATATTTTGGAATCGCCAAGTTGGTTCTAAACACAAACACTACCGGGCCTATTCGACTTTGCCTCACCAAAACGCCGGTTATGGACGGTGGTAAAATTCCAATTGCTCTGCTTCTTCTAACACTTAAAGCTGGAGCTAGGGCTGGCAACGTTGCTGCTGCCTGGGAATTTATACAACCATATGGCCAGGACGTTGTGGAATTCATGGAATATTTGCTTTCCCAGGATGCAAATGTGAAACTACCTGTCGACTCTCCTAAATCAGCCTTCCGATCAGCTATCGAATCTCATAACCTGGCCCTGTTCACTTTCCTATTAGACTGCTACGGGGCAAATATATCCGCGGATCACCCCAACTTGATAGAGTTAGTAGTTGCTAATAATGATCTGTCGACATTGGAACATTTACTGCAGAGAGTTATGGAGGAGAAGGAACCCAAGTCATCTCGGTGGCAATTATGTCTCGATAGAGCACTTATGGCTGCTCTCGAGCAGAATAGCTATCCCATGGTGGAGATGTTAGCACGTTATGGTGCTTTCAGCAAATATTCCTCTTACCCAAAGTCAAGCGATGTTGAAACCGACGGCCACACTCCAACGGGTAGCCGCAGTAGCGAATTTTCCCTTGCCATAACGGCAGTTGAAACGGCAATGAAGAAAAGAAACGAATTGGTTGTTAGGTTTCTCGTCGCACTGGGTGTTCTAGACCATGTGGACTCAGGGGCGGTGCAGAACATTCTCTCAAAGGCTGAAAGGCACCGATGTCCTTTCGTGTTAGAAGTTCTCAACAATAGGAGACTCATCGGGTAGCAGAGCTAAGGCATCGTTATGGAGCGAGGCGGCGTCATGGCAAGGAGGATGTATCAGCGTACAGGGGTCTCACCTGTAGGTTCTTAGGCTCTATCTATATATTTATCAAGTATCGGGTACGCTCTACTCTAAATCAATGACTTTTACCGTTTGCTGGCGGAGCGGCAACCCCTTATGCTTTCATTATTTATTTAGGTTCCTTGAGCGTAGAATGGTACAATCGAGTGTAAAAACGATACAAATCTTAATTATGACCAGAACAGCCGCTTGACTATAATGCCTAAGGACCCCGTGCACTTCTCTGGGACTCTTTGTTCCAATATTGAAAAGCTCCTTAGTTACGGCCGTCGGCCGAGCCATTGAATTTAATGCGCCTAGCGCCGTAGCCCACCGAGGCGGCGCGTTCCGCCGGATGCTCCAGGATAGTAACTAGTGGTGACATCTGCTGCAGTAGAGTTGGATCCTCTTTGCTATGAACTAGGTGTGAACACCATCCATTCGACGAGTTTTTTTCCAATGAACTGTCTAGGCTCAAATCCTTGCAGACAGTGCTTACGACGTCAAGCATAGCCTCCAGAGGGGCAGCTTGGTCAGAGTACATTTCTACCAACACATAATGCTCAACTCCGATTGACTACCCGTTAATATATTTACATTAACAAAGCAGAGTTTCCTGTCGCACTTAAGGTGCAGGTCGTTACGTACAGACAATCGGTGGGCGGGGTGGATAAAGTATGGTATCCAATATCTTACCATACTATGGAGTGAGAAGGAGATGGCGATCGGGAAAATTGGATGAATATAAAGGATTGGTTTGCCACCCATCGACCAGGGCAGGGATCCTTTATTTACATTTTGAATGGGGAGAAAAAAGGACACATAAATGGCTCCGGACATATGCGATGCGGATGCAAGAGAAAGATTCAATAGGTTATTCCGACCATCAAGGAAGAAAAATAGGTAGACGTAGTCGAATAAATAGTAAGGTATTAAGGACAGATAGCGTGGAAAAGATATCAGGTTAAACGAAGGCAACGCATAGATATGAATCTTTTATCAGAGAGCCACTCAACCCCGCCGTAAATAATAGTTAATCAAAGAAAAGGCGTAAAAGAAGAAAAGAGAGAAAAAGTGACGGGAAAAAACAAATAAGCAGTGAGAAAGTCAAAAATATACAAAGCTCCTCCAAAAACCAAAGTATGCACCGTTCCACCACCGAGTCGAAATAGAAATAAAGAAGAAAGTTCATGGCCACCGCCTCCGCTGGCCCCTGGGCTGTTACCTGGATAAGGTAGGTCAAACCTCGGGTTGAAACGTAGAATCGAGGCACACCGGTATATATTTACATGAGAGATTAAACGTGTAAGGACGTAAAGGGGTAAATAACGAAAGAAAGGAAGGGCAAAGGGTTGGATATAGAATAAGATATGGACATGATGAATGGATAGGAATATGTCCATATCTCGGGTTATCGTTTTAAAGAAATGGTCCGGGGTCACATTAATGGGCACTAGAGGGGGGGGGGAAGCGAAAGTTCTGCAAGATGGCAATAAGTAAAAGCGAGAACATTGAAGGAATAATAAACATCTTGTCTGGATAGCTCGCATTTGGCCTATTTCGATTCTGAGGCGGTTTCGGTTGAAGCCGCAGTTGTGTTCGGAGTCGGGCTATTATTGCTTATTGCGTCCTGTCTAGAGATTTGAGGCCCAGACGTTTTCGTAGGATTTGATTCGGGGCCGGAAGCGGGAGAGGGAGCGGGAGCAGCCTGGACAGACGACTTATTGCAATTATTCGATTCTGCAATCTTGAGTTTGTTCTGTGTCTCTGCCAGCTCTTGTTGTAGTGCTTTGATATAGACGATGGCCATTTCAACGGTGCTTGCTTTGCTGATCGGCTGGTTCGCCGGAGGCTTATCCGATGATTTCGAGTTTCCAGATGAACCACCTTCGCCAGAGTCCTTATTCTGTTCTTTCTCTTTGGCTCTATGTGTTAACGAAGCCGGGAGTAGGCTTTCTATCTCCTTGAGGGCGGAATTTATGCGATTTCGTCGTCCTTGTTCGGCAAGCTTATGATTTGTTCGTTTCGAGCTTAGGTTTTCGGCAAGAGCTTCTGGGTATGTGACTCCTGGTAGGAGGGTTCCTTCGAGGATATGTTGGTAATTTGATTTCGAGGCAAGGTGTAGAGCTGAGCTTTGGGATGATACCACTATTTGAATATTAGTATAAATTGAGAAGAGTACATATAGCAGGAAAATGAAAGGAGAGTTGAACGTACTGCCATCAGCGCGAATGAGAGGTTGTATGCTTGGACTTATTTTCGGTCGCAATGCTGGACTCTGGGCAGCGCTCTGGCGCTTCTTCGTCACTCTAGAACTTTGCTTCGAGTCTGATCGTTTAAGACCGACTGGGCCACTAGGCGACCCTATCGCTCTTATTATTGGGCTTGGTGTAACAGAGCTCGTTCCTCTTAATTCGGATATCGATCCGGTGCGAGGTTTTAAAATCTGGGGCGGTTTGGAGTGTAGTGTTGGCGTGCTCTCACCGCTTGGCAAGCCGTGGAACGAGGCTGGCTCGGGAAGCGATATATCCTCCATGTGTTCGTCGGGAGCCGATCCAATAACCACAGTGCCATTCCTAGAGAATTCTCCTTCGACACTAGGCGAAATTTGCTGTTTTTGTAATTTCATTAGGGTCGCGGGAGTGGCTACTTCGTTCATTGCGGAGTTTTGGTTGGGATCTTGCGCGCCCATGTACGGCGATTTTCCGGATCGTGGTAATGCGGGTGGTGGCATCAATGGCTCCGTAAGTGGCTCCGGCGAAACGGAATCTAAACCTGACCCTTCATTGCTGCTTGAATTGCGCGAATTTGATGTTCTGTTGGCAGCTGCTTGAGCAGAGAGCTTTTTCGTTCGCGCTCGAGCTTCGGCTTCGGTCTGCGGTCGTGGACGGCCGTTTAGTGGCCTGACCAAGGGTGATTGCCGTGATAGCCTGGAAGCCTGCGATTTGCGACGCTGTTTCTGGATAAGTTTTGGCGAATTTGTTAGAGGACCCGAGGTTGCATGGTGTTGGTGCGCTAGGTCAGTCGGTGATGATAGCATGCCGTAGTCCATATGCGAATTGTTGGGGAAGTTGAAGCCTGCGCCATTAGATTGCCGCGCCTCGAGGGCCGGAGATGTAAGCGGGCTGAGATATTCCCCTGGAGTTGTATATTCAGGGAACCTTAGTTGATGCTCCAATGGAGTCATAGCTGGTGACATGAGGGGAGTAAATGAGCTCTGAATGATGGGTTAGCGCTGAAATCGAACATTTGCGGCATTTTTATATTACCTGGTCTTCCATTCCTCTTGTATACGGCTCGTAGCCACGCTGATGGCCGGTTTCGAGTCGAAGATTGTAGTTTTGCGATCCGCCATGCATTTCGGCGCTATCTGGAGTTGGTGGGACAAACGACTGGCGCTGGCCGTAGTTTTGGCCGTAGACGTTCTGTGGCTGTTGCTGCTGCTGCTGCTGATGTTGATGTTGCTGCTGATGCTGTTGTTGCAGCTCCTGATGCTGCTTCAAGTAGTAGTGTTGTGTCTGCATGGAATTGGGACCCTGCATGTCCATTGATGTGATCGGTTCACTTCCTCCCATAGTAACGGAGGTACTGTACTGCTGCTGCAGCTCCTGCAGAGGCTGGCTGGTGCTGATATGGTCCATCGAGGTCAACCCAGCGATATCTTGCATTCCAGTAGTCGAAATAACGGGCGGTGCGGTCGTCACCATATTCTGGGCCTGACGCTCGCTGGAACCGTTACTCTCAAACTCGGCGAGGTCAAAATTGAAGTCCAGCAGACTGGTGTAGTCGTCCGTTGTGGTGGGAATCATGGCTGCGGCGGTCTCGTCAGACACATGCTCTGGCCACGATGGAAGAGACGGGTCTTGATTCATCGCAAAAGGGAGTCAATCTTCATGCGATTCAGCGGGGGATAATATGGCGAGGCAGTCTCTGCGTTGCGTCAGGACGGTCTGGGTGTCGAGGGCCTAGGAGGGGTTGTTCCGATTCCGTTTTCCGCCGGCGGGGGAGCAGCTTCTGGCTGGTCGTTGTGTGCGGGAATTGGGTCGTCGTCGGGAGTTGCCAATGGCCTCAGCAGTGAGCACACGACAGAGCAGAGGACGAGGGCAGATGCGACACTGGTGGGAGGTGAGATATGGATATGCAAGACGCAGACCTGGCGATGGAGAGGAACCAGGGAAAGAAACGGGCGACAATAGGCGAGGACTGCAAAATTAGCTAAGCGGGTCGTATAATGTATCTTTGAGTACCTTGCATATATGTTTTGCAAGAGAATACATTAAGATACATGATGCCTCGGCTGCGGCGCTAGCTGTGTTAAGCAAGTCACATGGCAGCGGGCAGTCAATTTCCCGATCGGGCGTAGGCCCAGAAAGGAAAAAGCAACGACATGTCAAGGATTTGCTGCAAAAGACGCGAAGATGCAGACAAGACGAACATGACATGAACGGTCTACGGTCTGCCTTGTCTTTGCTCGCCGGGCTCGAATATATCTACAGCCAGAGACGCTTCTACAGACGGGTGTACAGATCGTGAGGAGGGTGCGTTCGTACCACTCGCCCCTGGTCCGACAAGGTTTGCTTTCCAACCTGTCTCAGGCACGAATAACAGCTACGAGAAACAATATATACAAGGACCGCACCCCACAGCATATGCATGAAACGTGGAAGAGCTAGACAGAAAACGCTGTTCTTATTTTTTACGGTTTTTACGTTTTTTTTTTATTTTTTATTTTTATTTTTATTTTCATCAGTCAGGGAGCTCCATGTTCATCTGAATAATATGTCGAACCCTTGATCCTACGACTCGCAAGGCTTCTCAGTGGCGCTTACCTCGGACTTGGCTGTACCCTTGCCATCATGAGGCCGCCCCTCGGCGGCGGAATGCAGGTTGCAGGTTCCGAAACCCACTATGCCTTGCATCGAGGTACCTTCTGACTGGCCCTGCACGTCACTAGTCTCCCTGTTCCGAGAAGCCCGCTCCATAACCTTCATTGTTAAAAGGCTAAAGCTGCGTGTCTCAAAGCGTGAAGGGTGCCTTGGGAAGTAACGCCTTGTTTGATCCTAGCAGTCGAGCCTCTTGCTTTTGCCTCCCAAGCTCTGGCCACCGTTCTGCGGGAGTCCAAGCGACAGCGAAGCGCGATAACCCAAACATATATATACTCCAAAAGCACCGACAGACTTTACTTCTTTGACCCGCTCGTCCGCCTGGATTACTATCTATACGTAGGGATATACAAAAACGTCAGGCTAAATTCGCCACAAAGTCTCATTTTTTGACATGGTCATGCTTTATGATATGTCGACTCGGACGGTATCAACCTTTCTTCTATCGTGATAAAGATCGTTTCGAGCGTAGCGGATGGGGCGGTATTCTCGATACCTTGCCGCAAACCCGCGAACCAAAAGTATGGAAACCAGCGCCTCTAGTGTGGCGCCACAATGCACGATGGGAAGCTCGAGGAGATCTTCGGATGAGGAGATTGCGATCAGGCACCAGGAGCGTTGAAAAGCAAAGTTACTCTGATCTCGACATTCGCGAGTCGGCGGCCGCGGATCCCAAGGTTGATAGACCTTCAATCCCAAGTCACTTGCGGTTCCAGCTGTTTTTGGCCCTGGCGCGTTTCTGTCGAGCGGGCTATGGCGCAATCGGTGTATAGATCAATGCAGGAGACGTCCGAGCGACAGGTTGATATCGTATAACTACTCCGTACTTCATCGAATAAATATACTTTGCTGCTTCCAGCTGGGCCGGATCGAAATTCCATCACTGGCAAAGCAACCGCAACATTGTCATTATCGACCACAGTACGATTCCGGCATTCTGGGGGAGTCGCCGTTGCCGCAGGGTTGCTATGCGGGGCTGGTTTCTACCCAAGTGACAGCATCGTCATCTCTTCGCAATCTGCCGTGCGCCTCTGGCTTCGGGATCTACAAAGCTGTCCCCGGACTCAAACCGCCACCAAAAGGGGTGTATATCTATATTTACGGCCTTTACTACTGATGCTGGGATGGGAGATTCTATTCTCCTTGACTTGAGCCAGATAAGAGCTGGAGCTAGTCTCGCCGATTAGACATGACAGGAGACTGATACACATTATTGGACACCCTTATTATCCCCTCCCTCGTTTGGATAGTCTACACGGATAGCGGGGTTAACTAGCTGACGCTGCGATCACCTGCTGCACCAACACTTCGACTATGGAAGCTTGAAAGACGCCAGACCATACTCGCGGCTAAAATAGTTTGCTTGTCTCCTTGTCCTACCAGCAGGTCGTACCAAGGTACCCAATGCGGAGCAAGAACAATACTATAGAGCCAAGTTATATACACTAAAACAACCTACATATAACTAAATGGCCGATGACATATATGTCAGAGCTATGGAGCCGCGTTGCCCTGCTTCTCCGATTCTTGAAAGGTTATATAAGGGAGTCCAGAACGTTCCCGGATGGATGCGAGGAATGTGGATAGCAGCCAGGGTAAACCAAAGCAAGAGCTAGGACAGAAAAAAAGAAAAAAATGCAACATTGATATTGTGAACCCGACGCAATGGTGAGAGCAATTAACCCGACATATTGGATATCTCCGCGGGGTTAGACGCTGCCGCCTTCAAATCAACTCAGTGTACGAGGGCGAGTTTCCTAAACTCGCCGTCTGGTTGGTCGATTCTACGCTCTCAGCCGCCTCCACGAGTGATATATAATGTGATCTATGCGCTACTGGAGAAGTCTGGGGTGCCTGGTTAAAAGAAGCGATCGTCAGGGACTCGGGGCTGAAGAACTAGCTAATTTGTCCTTCTATACGGAGTAGAACGTTAGTAGATATGACACATATATCTATCAACATGACGACGATAAGTGCCATATCTTGAAATTGGTGATAGCAAAGAAGCAATTAAACGGGCACCATACTAACTAACGAAAATGTGACGAGCCTAAGACGGATCGACTGATCCCTGTGGCTTGACATATAGTTAACTATTAAATAATAAAAAGGAACGCCAGACGAGCTACAGGTAAGACGTCATTATTTCACTCCCTGCTGCATATCGGTTCTTCCCGCTTCTATGAAACTATGCTTCGCAACAACATACTTACATTCAACGTCGTCTCTCGCAGCCTCAACATCCGTGCTCCTTCCCGGTACCGTAGTTATTATTAGATCACTGACTGTAGCGTAATATCCGCTATATACATAGTTGCTACGCTTATCCTGAAGCCAGCCAATCATACACCAGAAGATGTCCGGATAGAAGAAATCCCCATGTCAAAGTAAAATGTTCAAGGACGCTTAGCCGACTCTCCACAGTGGAAACACAAGGCAAGGGAGGCTAGATAAGTAATCGCGCAATTTTATACGAGCCTGATATCAGGGATGTTGCATTTCCGTTGACACAGATAAGAATGCTTATTTCTTAATTGTCCTAGAATAAGGACCTTGTATTTTATATGAGTCTGCATGGCGTTTAGCCCTTAAAGGGGAATAATAACGCCGTTGAGATGAGCAAGTGGAGGCGAGAGTAATTATTTCGATAAGTAATCCGCGGAGTCTGCGCCCGCTTAAGCTCTAGATATACTATTTCGTATCCCACTCTATCAAGTAGAACGACAGAGTACGCCGTTACTTGCCACTCCGCCTCCCTTTCTCCGTTCCCTACAATACTGCAGCTTTGATGAATAGTTCTGGCCGGACTTCTTTGCCATCTACCCGAGAAATTCCCACTCCTATTCCGCGGGAAGACACATCCTCATAAATTCGAGTGGATCGATCCGTTTATTTATTTCCGTTGGGCCTTCGGACTCCTGCCGCAAGAGCTTATAATTGATGCCTCCATTTGTGGATCTACTGACTAAAATATCAGAGTTCAGTAGCTGGGTTGATATCCGGCCAACCAGCCAGTTAAGCGACGAAAATTTTTCCTTTTTGTCTGCGACGTCAATCATTCATCGCGCAGGTACCAGCTAGCCGAATTATTCCTAATCTACGTGACAGGTTCCGTAGAGTGCGGAAAACACCGTCTAACTAAGCCTACTGTCGATTCAATATGTGAATCTCCAGCCTATTGATAATTCTATCGAAGTCTGGTAGGAAAATTCTTTCGTCCGCATATCATATAATATCCGTTATATAGCCAGCTCCCCACTACGGGGGCGCCGACATACATATGTATGTGGACGGATACTATGAGGCTATCCTCGAACCGTGGATACATACCTCTCTATATCAACAGCGTCGGAGCTTTAGCCTGGTACGGGTTAGATCCAGATTCGCTATGCTGAAGTCTAGATATCGCCTCCCATCCACACCCACCATCTCCTCTGGCGAATGCAATCATATTAGCGCGGTAACCACTACTATGCATGCTTGTTCATAGTAGATCATATGACAACCGGACTACCGCCAGGAAAATATCATCAACTGCATGGTAGCTGCTCAAGGGTGGCTAATCGTAGGATGTTTACCGAAAATGATATTAAAGGTGATGTTAGATAGGTTTGCTACGCCACATTAACGATATCAAACAAGGATACTTTTGCTGCTTGTTTCTTTTACATGGAGACTTGGGCATGAATTCCCTGGGCCCTAGATCTATACCACCAATGATACGATACCCACGCCACCTAGGCCGACTGCTACGTCACGTCTGAGTTCAGGGCTTCAGATAACACCAAGAAAAGTACTTCTACTATCACGTATCACTTTTCCCTTCTTATTCAGCTTGTCTGAAAGGAAATGGAGAAATTTATTTAAGAAATTTGTCCCACCGTGCCTCCCATGCAAGGGTTCAACCTATACAGGCATTACTTGTTGCTGTGGGATTCTCTAGCTCATTAGAGAATACAGTAATTGGAATCGGGGTCGCACCTAGACGGTTCCGCTCTCTGGTGCACTGGAGCTATTTCACAGTTGATAGAGATGGAAGGGATCAATCTTCCTCTCAGCCATTAGGCACGGGCGAAACCCCTATCAGATCATAAGTACGTAAGTACTTACAATATAAGTCGTTGGACACAGTGGAAACAAGACATGTTGGCTCAGGTTCTCAGTGATAATAGAAAACACCGGCTAAACGTTGGGCAGGGGATCTAGGATTTTGCCGACTGTTTTCTTGCTCTTTTTTCATCATTTGGCACTGGCTACAAACAGTACGTAATAGATGTGTAGCATTATTGCGTAGCCCACTTTGCTGCTCGGTCCTCAAGCATTCCTTACAGGTTCCTTATCGAGCTTCCCAATACATACGAAACAGTTTATCCAACGGGATGATTTTGACCCGGCATTCTGGGTTGTGTGCAAGGATGGACCGGACGCGGGCTCACTGTTAGGTCGATGATGCAAGGCTGCGGATAGATAAACAGCCCATCGGATGGACTGGACGTATGGTTTCCGCGAACCCCTGAAGTCACTATAAGACACCAGTGGCCATGAATTAGCAAGTCTTAGCTTAGCAGCTATCTGCTGGTTAGCATTGCCTTCTCCCATATAACATCTCTCCCATTGCAGCTGAACGCACATAGAATTATAGCAGCATGGGCGAGAGTCGTGGCACTATTCTGGTGACGGGTGCCAATGGAGTCCTAGGTTCAGCTGTGGTTCGAGAGATCGTGAAGTCGCCATCCTACTGCTCATCGTACTACGGCCTCTACACGGTACGAGATTCCTCATCGTCTTCCTCGCTGCATGCCAGTCGGGTAAGCGGTTGTAATGTTAGTCAACATGATTCTGAGGTGATTCCTTTAGACCTCTCTCGGCTGGCTAGCGTACGTGCAGTTGCAGAAGATATTAACTCTCGCATCAGCTCAGGGAAAATCCCGCCTATCCGGGCACTCATACTCAATGCAGGTTTCCAGGAAAACTTCACCCAGACAAGTACAGAGGATGGTTTTGATATGACATTTCAGGTGAACTATCTAAGTCACTTCCTCCTCACCCTTCTACTACTAGGGAGCATGGACAAGGAGAAAGGGAGGATCCTGTACATCGGCAGCTGGGTGCATGAGTGAGTGTCTCTTCGTCCACCTCATCAGTGTTTTGATCCATCATATGTCTCGAATGGTCTGCTGATTTCTGTAACTCTGGGGATAGCCCTGATGACACGAGGAACTATGTCGGCCCAGGAGCTATGCTCTTCCCTGAAAAGTACCGCCCGATATTTCGTGATGGTATAGATGCAGTGGCTCGCGGTACTTGGAGCACGCCTGCTGAAGACCCTTCCGCCTTATCAGGTGTTCGTCGTTACGGTGCATCAAAGCTATGCCTAATTCTCATCATGTTAGCCAATCCTCCCCTGGTCTCACCAACAAAATGCTGCAAAGTTGTTGACGCCTTCTATTATTACCCTAGGCATGAGCTACAGTGTCGGCTAGACCGCGACCCAGGCCTTGCTAAAATAAGAGTTTTAGGGCTTGATCCAGGGGGCATGCCCTCGGATATTCTACGAAGAGCTTCTTTCATGCAGAGGGTGGTAATAAACAAAATTGCCGGTACCTTGCTAGCACCCATCATGACCTGCCTTTCACCAAATGGGATATTGCGGACGCCGGAAAAGTCAGCCCACGATGTACTTTCGGCTGTATTTAGTGATAAGGATTCCCTTGGCAGCTCTTCCCAGGGAAAGTCGCTGTACTTGAATGGCAGCGAAATCTCAACTCCAAGCGAGGAGGCAAGAGACTCGAGGAAAGCTGCAATGCTTTGGAGAAGAAGCTTGGCGTACACAAGATTTACAGCAAGCGAGTCTTGCCTGGCTGATTGGAAATGACCCCGCTATGAACGGGAACTATGCCTGCTACCTGGATTCGATCATAATAGCCTTGATATGAATTGATGACTGTGCCACATCGTGCGTGTCCAGGCTGGCAGATGGTACACCAGCAAGGCACAAGACAGTGAACGTCGAGTTCAACAGGGGGTATAATATGGTGAATATGTCCAATACACCATCTAGAGGGTCAACGGCAATAGACGACGTCAGCTCGGTACTAGGCTACAACTGGCAGGTGGTACCCCATTAATACAGAAGCGACACGACCTGGGAGTACTTTGGGCATGATTTAATTCTCTGGATCGGTTGCTAACGGGGGACGATTCATCTCGACTCCATTAGGGAGCAGTTTGGCGGCTGGGAAGCAGTTCTCTTGGACACGAGTGATCTGCAAAGAGGGGGTATCAGCAACCCAACTTGGTCGAGCTTTGGTATAGTCTCCAGGAACTACACATACCTCCTGAAGCATTGCATATGTACACTATTTCCTCCTTATTTGTGGGTTCTTTTCGATATATCACATATGTCCGTTGGCTAGGCCGTGACAAGGACCCCTTCGTTGTCTTGGGTTGTATTTTGCATGTTCATAAGCGAGAACTATATCAACCCCTGGCGGTCTTAGTTATGATAACGTTGCCGAGAGACGATGCTGAGACCTAGGTAGAGCACAGCTAGAGGGCCTCCCAACGGTTAGAAAAGGTATAGGAGTTATAGTGTTACATCCTCGGGTAGAATTGTATAGAGGTGGTGGTAGTTATGGAGCGTAGAAAGATCAAACAAATTGTATGGGCTAGTTTGTGGCGCCAAGGCCAGCATAAACCTGGGTAAAAAGCGAAATAAATAAACATATATAAACAAGAAGTCGTTCATAAACTTAAAGCAGTTATATTCGTTCACCCCTGGAACGAAACCAGCGCTGAAGTCAGTTGACGGTTGACTTTGAGTACAATTTGGCTTACTGGATGTAGAACAACCTGTAGTGTTGACTGTCATTTCTTTGTTTATTGCAGGTTTGATTTTTTCCTGATCACAACATTGAATGCCTTATTGTCGAGGTTGCAATACGCCGCTAAGAATCATCCTATCTAGTAGGCCTAATCCCATGCGGCCGCCCATAATCGGTGTCACTAACAGCCGAACTAGGATGCCGGTTAGGGTTTTTGATACGCTGATACTCCCCCAAACCGTACAGCCAAGAAGAAGTATTAGCACCCCGCTACGTTAATTTGTTATTTATATCGTTATTATCAAGTACAGAAGTACCCCTATGTACTCGCTGTTGAACAGCCCTGGGAATATGAAAGGATAGTCAGGCAGGTAGACTTTCTTAAAAGGCCACATATATAGAGCAAGACCCCTATTCCTTCTGAGTTACGTTACTAGACCCTGTTCTATCCCGTCGCGAAGATGACACGGAGGCGCGGCTAGTCTCCGATCGATCACCATGCGGGAATCTTCTCGGGAGCTACACAAGGCAACGAGACGAAGAAGTATAAATATCCACCGTTCTCCTAGAAGGTTCTCCTCAGCTACATCAACACTCTTCAAATCATCACTTCCAATACTACGTCAAATCCAATCATCCAGTTCCGACCATGAAGCTATCACTCATTTTGTCCGCTGCCGTCCTCTTTGCCGTCTCAGCTGCTTCACCAGCTGATACCAGATGTTGGCGAAGAGGGAGTAGGTTATTGATTCCAGCTGTCAAGCATTGGATAGGGAACTGACAAATATTTCTTTCTGGCAATAGCTTTGTGTTTTGACGACCCCGAGTGCTGCTCACGTCGATGCGTCGAGCGATACTGCGAGTAGTCAATCAAGATAGTGGAGGATAACGTGGATATGGCGGTGGACTTTTCAAAGAGTAAGTCACCTACTGATGTATGAGATGAAAGGAGACAAAGGACGTCCAATTAACCTGTGCGGAGTACATCAAATAGCCCTTGGTCTTTTGTTGTTGATCTCATGGTCTTTTATTGTTGATCCCTTGATCTTTGGTTGTTGATCGTTGAAACAAGCCTGGGTTTCTGAAACGGGTATTGCGAATCTCATATTGTTCCATCTTGCCGCCGCAAAGAGGATGCGGCAGGGTCAGCTACCCTATGCCTCTGTGACAGGCTCAGAATATATCTTCTTTCTCTCATCACATCGTCTTTGGCTTGTGTGCATCGAAGAGGTTACGTTGAAATGAGGTTGATGGGATAAAGTTGTGCCAAGCCTTTTGACAGATTATGTAATATTTTAATGCCAAGCTTTTGCTTCCATTTTTGGAGATAAAGTGGGCCAAGTGGGCCAAGTGGGCTCTTCACTTGATTCAGACTAGCGTCATGCACAAATACGTCAGCAACCCCAGGTCACGGGTTTCTGGTCTAGATGCGGGCGCGTTCATCCCTCTCCATCACCAACAGCGGTCACATCGTTGAATAGCACGACATCAACTCGCTACCGGTGAAGCAAAAGGTGCTGCTACTATTTTGATAGTTGTGGGTGCTTCTGCCATGCAAATATCAGTTAACGGCATCAGAGCTCGCCAGCAAACATGCGTCCTGCTGCCTCGGATTCTGTTCGCAGTCGTCCCCGCAAACCCACCGCTCCCAACATAACGAACACGACACCATCCACCGAACTTCGCGGCGCAGCTCCGGCAGCATTTTTCCTTGCTCGGGGAGATGATATGGACGTGTCTGAACCCAGCATCTCCGTGACACCGAACGATAGCACATATGGAGTGCAGAGCTTAGCAGATACCATCGATGACGGCATCAGCGGGCCGTTACCCTCGTCGTATAACATACACGCGACCGTTGAGCCTGATGTCGACAGCCCATTTTTATCGCCCACGACAAGAAATACAACACGCAGTGAACATGGAGAGAAGACCGAAGGCTTAACAAAGCAGTCTCTATATCCTCTGTCCGATGTAGGCGTTCCGCTCTCTACCGTCCCTTCATTTATCGGCTCCTTAGGGGAACCGGTGTCTCTACCAAGCAGCCCGAAGTCTTCCTCAATGCGGTCATTCAGACATATGGAGGATATGTCTGCTGTGGACGAAGGTAGCTATCATAATGGTGGACCTGAAATTGATGACAGTCTGGTTGAGTCGTCTGAGCTGCAGGACAGCTCTCCGCAGTTGGTTATGCCTAGTATAAAAATGCCCAGCCGACGCCCATTTACGGAAAGAGGTAAAGCCATTGGGAGGCTAAAAGTTCTTCTTGCCGGAGCTCCGGGTAAGTCCATGAATGATCCTAACTATCCCGTTGGCGTTCTATCACTAACCAATATCGGACAGGTTGCGGGAAAACTTCATTGCTTAAATCCATTGTTCAAGTCGCCGAGGATATTGTGCATATCGACCCTCTGCCGCATTCTTCTACTGCTCTCTACCCGAGTATGGCAAAATCACGCAGGAAATCATCTGTCAAGCCTCGACGTACTAGAGAGTGTGAGCCAATTTCCGAAATATATGCTAGTACAAAGCCGTACCCATCCTGGTGGTCAGACCTGGAAGACTCGAGAGTGTTGCGGAGGAGGAAAAGCTTGGGAGATGCCGTTTTGGAGAGGAATTTATGCTTTGTCGACACTTTCGCGGGTTCAAAAGGTGCCGACCAACAGACTGAAGTTATAGTTCATTATATGAACAAGCAATTCACACGAGCAGCCTCTGCTGTACAGTCAGTTACCTCGGATTTCCAGGGGCTTCTTAGTGGAAATGGAGGCTCTCAGGTAGACATTATACTATATTTGATATCCGAAAGTGAGTTTATACCATTGAATTAAACTTGCTTGGAACTAAGGGCTAATAAGTGTATAGAAACCATGACTGCTGATATTCGGAACATTCGAAAGCTATCTAACTTTACAACTGTTATTCCATTGATAGCAAAGTCCGATACCCTTACTCCAGACGAAACTCAAGCAATAAAGAAATCATTCACAGAACGTGTGCGTGCTGCAGACATAAAATTTTCTTGCTTTGGTCCCTTTGGCGACCCTTTCGTGGACGATGACAGCACATCAACACCCTCCATTCCGTTTGCGGTCTCCTCTGCAAATACTAATGATGAAGAAACAATGGATGCAAGTATTCTCATGAGCCCAGAATATGTGCAACCACTTGCACCTTCAGACCTGGGATTCTTCATTGAGAAACTCTTGGATCGAGATAACATTGCTTGGTTCCGGCATTCTGCCGCTAAAAAGTTGATAGAAGCCCAGCAACACCGCATCCGTACCCCAGCAAGCTCTCTACCAGGTACATCAAACAACTACGGCGTTTCGTCTCTCACTGGCTCTCATCTCACCTCTCCTTTATTCTCGGCTTCAGCCTCTCACGTACTTGTCTCACGTAATGGCAGCGTAGGTCCGTCTGACTACACGCTTGCGAGAGTAGCAGACCACACCCGCCGTGAAGAACAGTATGCTCAAGTACGACTCGCAAAATGGGCGTCTGACCTCCAACAAAGCTTACAGAACGAGAGATATCGCTACGAGAAACTAGGACGCAATGAACGAGCTGTCTGGCTGACAGAGAAGCTAGGTGAATGTGTTGCCGATGGAACGCTGGTGCCGCTGTCGCAAACACCTGGCTTCCGCGGTTTTGGAGACAAGTTAGATAACGGCATTGGGAAGAGAAACCTCTGTGTGCGAACGCAGGATGGTCGGCGTTTTGAGTATCGAATTGCTGCTGCAAATGTGAGCACGGGCGATCCCCTGGGGATTCTGGGATTCGGCGACAACATCACACGGCGAGGATGGGTGCTGGTTCAAGTACTGGGCGGCGTGGGAATTGTTGGCGGGCTGGCGTTATGGATGGCGCAGACCTGGGGTCTTGCGGACGGCTTTGCTTATTACTCTGTAGGCTGGCTTGGTGGGCACAACTAGACTACGCATGATACACGGCGTTAATAGGTGTTGCTATCTATACTCTTATCTATCTATACTCTTATACTATCTATCATACCCTCCTTATACTATCTACCATACATCAACATCTGCTCCTCTACCATCCATCACTCGTATCGTATCATCACTGTATTACACCTCTCCGTACTTTATTCTTCTACTATTATCTATCTTCATCTATCTTCATCTTTCTGTATCTTCGTGTATCTTCGTGTATCTTCTGTATCTTCTGTATATTGGTGAGAGGGTTGCCCGATCCGGACTAGCGCGGCGTACCTCATGGAAATTTATGGAAGGTTCGCTTGGACTCTTCCATAAGCTTGCCCCCGAAAAAAGACAGAGCTTTATCTTCTCCTCCTCGCCGGCTTCACTTCTCCTTCTTCTTCACTTCTCCATCTTCACTTCACATCTTCACTGCAACCCCCGAGCGGTCCTTTGACTGACACTGCACTCCTCGCCAGCTGCTCCAGCGTCAATTCTTCCACACTCCATCTCTTTATGTAAGTTGGTTCAGCCGCCTGCAGAGCTTTCTCCCGTGCACTAGCTAATGAAGCCTCGCTATCAGACCCCCCATTCTCTTCACAGCAACACCGCAGCCATGGCCGAGACCTTCGAGTTCCAGGCTGAGATCTCCCAGTTGCTTTCTCTCATTATCAACACTGTCTACTCCAACAAGGAGATTTTCCTCAGAGAGATCATCTCCAACGCCTCTGATGCCCTGGACAAGATTCGCTATGAATCTCTCTCTGACCCCACCAAACTCGACTCCAACAAGGATCTCCGCATCGATATCATCCCAGACAAGGAGAACAAGACCTTGACCATCCGTGATACCGGTATTGGTTTCACCAAGGCCGTACGTTGAGCTTTTCCCCTCCTCTCCCACCAAATTTTACCCTGAGTCATTGAGCCTCATGTTTGCTAACTATTGGAACAGGACTTGGTCAACAACCTCGGTACCATTGCACGCTCTGGTACCAAGCAGTTTATGGAGGCTCTCACCGCTGGTGCCGATATTTCTATGATTGGACAGTTTGGTGTCGGTTTCTACTCTGCCTACCTTGTTGCTGACAAGGTCACCGTCGTCTCTAAGCACAACGATGACGAGCAGTACATCTGGGAGTCCTCTGCCGGTGGTACTTTCACTCTTACCCAAGATACCGAGGGTGAGCCACTCGGCCGTGGTTCCAAGATCATTCTCCACCTCAAGGATGAGCAGACCGAGTACCTCACCGAGAGCAAGATCAAGGAGGTTGTCAAGAAGCACTCCGAGTTCATCTCTTACCCCATCTACCTCCACGTCTTGAAGGAGACCGAGAAGGAGGTCCCAGATGAGGACGCTGAGGAGGTCACCGAGGTCGAGGAGGGTGATGAGAAGAAGCCAAAGGTCGAGGAAGTCGACGACGAGGAAGAAGAGAAGAAAAAGGAGAAGAAGACCAAGACCGTCAAGGAGTCCTCCATCGAGGAAGAGGAGCTTAACAAGACCAAGCCCATTTGGACTCGCAACCCTGCCGACATCACCCAGGAAGAGTATGCCTCTTTCTACAAGACCTTGTCCAACGACTGGGAGGACCACCTCGCTGTCAAGCACTTCTCCGTTGAGGGTCAGCTCGAGTTCCGTGCTGTCCTCTTCGTCCCCAAGCGCCCACCATTCGACCTCTTCGAGAGCAAGAAGACCAAGAACAACATCAAGCTCTATGTCCGCCGTGTCTTCATCACTGACGATGCCACCGACCTCATCCCAGAATGGCTCAGCTTCGTCAAGGGTGTTGTCGACTCTGAGGACTTGCCACTCAACTTGTCTCGTGAGACTCTTCAGCAGAACAAGATCATGAAGGTCATCAAGAAGAACATTGTCAAGAAGACCCTCGAGCTCTTCACTGAGATCGCCGAGGACCGTGAGCAATTCGACAAGTTCTACTCTGCCTTCAGCAAGAACATCAAGCTCGGTATCCACGAAGACTCTCAGAACCGTGCTACCCTTGCTAAGCTCCTCCGCTTCAGCTCCACCAAGTCTGGTGATGAGATCACCTCCCTCACCGACTACGTCACCCGCATGCAGCCACACCAGAAGCAGATGTACTACATCACTGGTGAGTCCATCAAGGCTGTCCAGAAGTCTCCCTTCCTTGACTCTCTCAAGGAGAAGGACTTCGAGGTCCTCTACCTCGTTGACCCAATTGACGAGTACGCCATGACTCAGCTCAAGGAGTTCGATGGCAAGAAGCTCGTCGACATCACCAAGGACTTCGAGCTCGAGGAGACCGACGAGGAGAAGACTGCCCGCGAAGCCGAGGAGAAGGAATTCGAAGGCCTCGCCAAGTCCCTCAAGAACGTCCTCGGTGATGCCGTTGAGAAGGTCGTTGTCTCCCACAAGCTTGTCGGTGCTCCTTGCGCCATCCGTACCGGCCAATTCGGCTGGTCTGCCAACATGGAGCGTATCATGAAGGCTCAGGCTCTCCGTGACACCTCCATGAGCTCTTACATGGCCTCCAAGAAGACCTTCGAGATCTCCCCCAAATCCCCCATCATCAAGGAGCTCAAGAAGAAGGTTGAGGCTGACGGTGAGAACGACCGTAACGTCAAGTCCATCACTCAGCTCCTTTACGAGACTTCTCTCCTCGTCTCTGGATTCACCATTGAGGAGCCAGCTGCTTTTGCCGAGCGTATCCACAAGCTCATCTCTCTCGGCCTCGACGTCGAGGAGGAGGAGACCCCTGAGGAGAAGACCGAGGAGGAGGCCGCCACTGCTGAGCCCGCTGCTGCCAGCGCCATGGAGGAAGTCGACTAAACTCGCCCACCGTTATGAAAATCAAAAAAATGCAACAACCAAATCAACCGAAAAAAAGTTGAAAATCATGGAAAAGAAGAAATGTTGTCATGAATTTCCTATGTCCTCTCCCCTTCCTGTCCCCCTCCACACATTTGTGTACCTCGATACCACCATCCAACAATCACACTAAGGAAACGCAAAAGAAAGGCACGGGTTTATGAAAAGCACACTTTAGCGGTCTTTGCCATTTGTCTCTTTTGCTGTTTTCAGTTAATACCGTCTCAATGTTTTAATTGTCTCGTTGATCTCCTCGGTTTCTGTTATTTTTCTTAACCCTCTGCGTACCAGGTGGCTAGTTATGGAGACTTTAGAAACGTGTATCAAGAGAAAAATAAATACCAAGGCGATTTACTTCATTACTTTCTTGAGTCTTAACAATTCGTTAATTATCTCGTCACTACAATAGCTTCTCTGAGTAGGTAACCACATATACAAGTTAGCCGTAGACAGCCAATCTGGGACATCAAGGCACACAGCAGTTAAGGATAGGTAAGGTGATGATTTATAGTCGTGCTTATATTGATTTTTATTTTCAGCTCATGAAGCCTAGTTAAAGAATGGGAATAGCAAAAGATAAGCCACAAGCCGCTATACAGAGCACTTTTTTCTTCAGATATTGTTTACCCCCAATCCCTCGTCCATTCACACGTCAATCGTCATTGCCGTCCATCCACATGTCATCCCAGCCTCGTCACCATATCACATCACATCACCGCACGTCTCCATCTCCTCTAACCACCTCCTAGCTTTCATTCTATCAGTCATCATCATGATACTTATAGGCAAGGCGCGTGTTATAACAAGGAAAAGGAAAAGAAAAAAAAAGGAAAAGGACCAAGGGTTAAGGGGAATTAATGAAGCGAGTGGCAGATACGCGCTCAACCACATAAAATGCTAGCATAATGTTATAACATAATGGCTGAAAGGGAGGAAGGGGGGAAATGAAGAAGGGCAACGTCATGTAAAGAATATGGTTGGCCTAGTAGGGTAAAGTAAAGAGGAGAGGAACAGAGCAATGCATGCTAGAGGTAAGCGATGAGGCAAAGCTATGGATGGGTGGGAGGTAGTATATGGTTGTGGGATAGCTAGTTGGCTAAACGGGGTGATCGGAGGCTAATAGAAGAGGGAGAGGAAGAGGAGGAAAGAAGCCGCCTTTCATGGATTAGATGAGAGGGGGTGATATGAAATGGTTAAGATGCCAAATAAGGTAAGAGGAAAAGGATAGAATAAGTATGATGGTTTAGAATTCGGGATGCGATGCGAGAGATGCAGTGAGGACAGTGAGGATGGTATGGTATGGGATGGGATAGGATGAAAAATGCTAAGAAATGAAAATTGCAGGCTCAATGGTAGCAAATAAAAAAAAGGGAGTTAATACAAATATCAAAAAAAAAGGAAGAGAGCAAAGATCAAAACATGAATACGCTTTTCCAACCGACAGGAGAGAAATGACAAGGCAAAACCGCAGTTGCAAAACGGACAAAAAAACTAGAGAGGTAAATAAAAATCGTACATCAAAAGGGAAGAACGAGGCAGAGAGCAAGGAAGCCAGGAAATTATGCGTTTCGAGTCCTCAGACCACACCAGATGGGGCTGGGGTAAGGAGATGATTCAGATGCCCGTGTCCGTCCATCCTTTTTCTTGTATAGGTAGGTAGGTAGGGTAGTAAATCATACATGAGGTAAAGGGGTAGAGAGATGGTAACTTTTTTTTAAGTCGTGACCCGTCAGCGTCAGCATCAGCATCAACGTCAATGTCAGCATCATGTCATGTTATGGTATGCGTTTCAAGTAGGGTTGTTTAGACGGGCTGTGGCTGGCCACGGCCCTTGGGGGTGACGTTTCCGCTTCCAGCGGCGCTACCACCACGGCTACCGCGAGTAGAAGGGTTGTTGTAACGGCCAGAGTCCTTCTGGAAACCGCCTCGGCCCTGTCCGCCGGTACGGTCACCACGGCCACGGCCAGAGCCTCCGCGTCCGGCGTAACCTGCGTTACCACCGTAGGCGTTGGCGCGGGGTCGACGTTCTTCAACGGTGATTTGCTCGCTGCCGATAGTGTGGGGGTTGGCTGCAACGGCGGCCTTGTAGGCTGCTGGATCGTTGAATTCGACAAAGGCGCAGTTCTAGATATATGTTAGTAGGAAGAATTTAGAGTAAGGGGGTTGTGTGGACATACGCGTTGACGGTTAACGTCGAAGTACTTCAGTTTACCGAAACGGGCGAGAGTCTGGCGGAGGAGGCTGGCGTCGACTTTCTCGTTAACGTTCTTGACATATCCGAGGACTCCTTCGGCTTGAGTTGGAGTCTGCTGACGTGGCTGTCTCCTACCGTGCTCGGCACCAGCGGTCTGCCACTCAGAGTTGGATGGGGGTTGGTTCTCAATTCCAGCGTCAGAGGTAGTAGGAGTAGATTGCTGAGTCTTGGTTGGAGCGGCAGCCGAGGCGGGAGCTGGAGCCGTGGCTGCAGGAGTAGGAGCAGCAGCAGTAGCAGCAGAAGCAGCAGCTGGGGCAGTGGGGGTGACAACTGGCACGGCGGGAGCGGGAGTGTTGGCGCCACGGTTTCCAGCAACTGAGGCCCAGCTCATTGGCTTAGCTGGTGGAACGGCAACGGCCTTCTTCTCTAGAGCGGGAGTAGGGGCCTTGGGGGTGGCGTTTGCTGGGGAAGGGTCTGGGCCCTTTGGCTTCTCAGGCTGGATGGCATCAGAGGAGACGGGAACAACGGCGGCGGCTGGTTCTTCTTCAGCAACTTCTTCCTTCTGCTCTTCTTCAGCAGCAGCCTCTGGCTCCTGCTCTTTCAGATGCTCAGGCTTGATTTCACCATTGACAGCCTCCTTCTCGAGCATCTCGTCGACCTCGTGAGCAGCTGCTTTGCTGTCTGCCTGGCGCTCGATGGCAGCTTCAGGAGCTGGAGCGGCAGAGTTGGTAGCAGCCTGCTCAATTGCGGGCTCCTCAACGGCTGGAGCGTCCTCGGCGATCATCTCCTCGTCTTCGTCGTTCAGATATCGGATGATGTCGTTCAAGACGTAGTAACCGTTCTGCTGTTCAGCGAGAACGAAGGTCTGAACGAATTTACGAGGAGCCTCCAGGTTGTTGGACATCTCACCGATGACAACAACGAGAATGTTATCGAAGGAAGCTTGGGAGTCTACGTTCAAAACACGGACTTTGCAGTTGTTATAGTCCAGTGCCTCGATGCGCTCTTTGATCGACTAGACGATGTTAGTGGTGAAATTTACCAAGTGAATAAACGGATAGACTTACTCGCTGGCCAACTGCGACGTTGATCTTCTCGGCTTCAATTCCAGAGACAAACTGGGACTTCCGCGAGTAGAAGAGGTGGAGCTTCTCTGGGGTACGGCTCAAGGTAGTATAGTACTGTTCGACGAAGAACCAGCCAACCTCGTCCTTTGGAATGTCATTCTTGGAGTCGTTGGAGGAAGCTGGCGCGTGTGCGGAGGAATTAGCCGGCTGGGCAGCGTACTGTGCAGCCGAGGCATTGGCGGCCTGGTGCGAGGCCGCATAAGGGTCTACCGGGTAAGGATTGGCCTGGTGGTGGTTGTGATAGGTGCCGTTGGTGGCAGGGACAGTTTCGGTAGCCATATCGATGAGTCCGGAGCAGATAGTGAGTGAAAACTGAACCCGGTAGAAGTCCGGATCGATAGAGTATAGCCTAGCGACTGAACAACCTGAACACGCTTGTCTTTAGTTTGTCTTTGGTTTGGCTTGGTTGTGTGGTTGTGGGTGAAGGTCGAACTGTCTTATCTACTGCACAAAATATCAGCGCCTGCCACAACGAAGAGTAGAAGTGAACTCACGTCAAGATACAGCAGAAGTGATCCAACTCGGATAAGAGTCAAGAGTCAAGACAGGAGTGTCAAGTGTAGGTAATTAGAGGCAGAGGTAGCTGTCCAAACAAGAAGAAAGAAATAAAAGACAGCAACAAAGAAGCTGGCTGGAGAGACGGTGAAGAAACAACTTTTGTATAAAGAAGTGAAGCAGCAAGAAGAAGAGAAGAGAAGCGAAGAAGCGAAGAAGAGAAGGGAGAAGCTGGATGCTGGCGGTTGTGCGGTCGATGTTCTTTTTTCCTGGTGGTGCAGAGAGAGAGTTGCAGCCCAGACAAGAAGGGCGAAGGGAGGAAGAAAAAAAGTCTGTGGCGCTTCTGGCCGCGCTAACTGGATTTGCATCTTTCACTTTCCCACCATATAACATTATACGAGAGGAAGAACTACGTCAACAGAGATGGATGGATGCTTCTGCTATTACATGCAGTGCACTGTCGAGCTGCAGGTATAGGTTCCTGTACCTCTATCTGTCCTACCCTACTCTTTATCACATACGGCTGCAGTATTAACAGTCATTTATTCAGTAGTGAACATGGTATAAACAGCATCTACAACATGGATATTAGAGACTTCACAGATAGACTAGAGTAAACACAACATGGGCCAAAGGTAGACAAGAACGCACATGGACCAGACTGGTAGAGATGAAAATGATAAAAGAAGAAAATGATGAAGAAAAGAACAGATGAAGAAAAGAAAATGATAAAGAAAAAAAAGTAAATGGTAGATATCACTGCCCATCGTATCGTCATCTCATAAGAAAAGGGATCAGCTTCCTCCCGAAAGGCGTATGGTAGAGTATGTCCTCATGACAGTATTAGATAGGAGATGGTTATGGTCGTGTGTCGCGGTCGCGGTCGTCGAGATTCGAATTGCATAGCACCCCGTAGAGTCGGTGAAATTAAGGCGAAAGATGGTCGATGGATTCGTAGCGTAGAGTAGGTCGTAAGAGGACAAGTTATAAGGCGTATCTTAAGAGGCGGACTTGATCATGTTCTTCTCGTCCAGAATCACCGGCTTGCGCATCACGGCGTCCTGGCCGGACATCCTCCTGCCCAGGGCCCGTTCGACCTTCGCGCTGAGAGCAAGCTTGCTCAGGCTCTCGGACTTTTCAGGTGTAGGCACGAAGCGCTGCTGGCTTAGACGTTTGTTCTCGAGGCGAGCGAGGCCGGCGCTTAGCTCTCTGATCTCGGCGATGCGGCTGTCACTCGTCATCATACTGCTGGTCGTCTGGTTGCTGATGGTGGAATATCGCTTGGAGTTGCGCTGCGATGCCAGCTATCAGTAGCCACAGTCAGGTTTCTTCTTTCGACGTGGAACAGCGATGAACAAGGACATGCTTACCGAGGGAGCCATGATGGGGCGTTGAGAGTCGAGAGACCGTCTCGACATCATGGTAGAAGACAAGAAGGGAGGCGAGAAGGGAAGGCGTCCGACCTTTATGATGTTTGATACCTGCCACGCTACGCTGGGGGGAACAGACCGGGAACTTGGCCTTCTTTTTTTGCCCTTCTTCGCTGACCTCTGCAGCAAATGAGAGGGGAGCAGGATGTAAGGGAAAAGGAGCCGGCGAGGAGAGCGTGTCGATCGTGCGACGAGGACGAACAGCGTTTTCTCCGGCGGATCTTTTTTATGAAACTTGCTTTGCACGTTTTAAACGTCACAGTCCACGGAGGAAACAAGCTTGAAAAAGAAATACTCTGCTAAGATGATAACCTGACGTGGGTACGGAGTTGACTAAATGTGTTGGCTGATGGCTGAGACTGGATATACGGCTATGGAGCGTGGGAAGCGTGGCCGCGAGCTAGACAAGGTGAAATCCCCGTCAAGAAGGCTCCATACGCCGTTCGTATCGCGCTCTCTGCTCGAAACTCAGATGGCTTGACTTGCTGCAGATTGGCTCGTCACCCTTGTCAGAAACGTGGATGAAGCCGGGCTGCGAGGAAAAAGGAATTATGGCCGGCTCTTATACTGATAAACAGCCATGACAGACAGCCAGATGCCATGAGGTGGCGAGGATGCGGATGCGAACCCTTGCCTGTCTTGCATCTGCTCGCCCGCTCGTTCCTTCAGCGATATCACGCAGGCTGTATCCAGTGTGACCGCGGCGCAACCGAGAGGATCTATCACTGGCCCTGTACGACTATCCAGTGGCCTTGCGAATAGCCATATAATGGTCGGTTGACATCTCTTCCTATCTACGGAGTATACGGAGTATATCGGCAGCTCGTACAGGCTGCACCGACATGGGTGCCCTGATCCAGGACGAGCGGACGACCTTGATTCAGCTGCTTGGATCGTCATAGAGCGGGCATACGGTCTTCGTCTACGTCCGTCGTGGTCAATACGGGCATCACAAAGGAAGAAGCAACACCCAAACTCGTTTATACGGTCTGCCACGTTGAATCGGCGGGTCTTTTGCGGCTGAGTCTGAGTTCAATGGACGCTCGTCTTTCTAGTTGGAGTCTACAGTATCGTGGTCCGTTCTACAGATACGATCCAAACTGGCATACTGTCTGATGCACAGAAGGATGGTATACGGATGGGAACACTACGAAGGATGCTGAGCCCGCTCGACTAGAATAGTATTCTGGCATGCCTTTTTAATTATATTTGATATATATCATTCAAGCATTTGGGAGCAGTCCACTCTCTAATCAGATTCTATACATCTTCCACTTCACATTTTAGTTCGTATAGACAGGAGTACTCCATGCCTTATTCCATCACCCTCGTCTGTCCTGGATTTATCCTTAGATCTAACCTTGGGCTTATCCCTAGGCTTGCCCTTATATTGTGGGGTCCAAGGTCACTTCGATTTCGCAGGCTTGACTTTAGGTTCTTCGTCTTTCACTGAAGCCTTTAAACTAGCGGCGCCGGATGGTGAGACGCACAGATATCGTCTAACTGGCCGCGTTCCTGTTCCTTAGCGAGGAGATTTTTGAGGTCGCTTCAACCTATTGACTTGGAAGCATGTAGCAAGAGTAACTACCTGCCTCTCTTCTTCTTGCCGCCTCCGTGTTTCGCCGCAAGAGCTTGTAGCTTAGTTTGTTCCTGAATGCACGAAATGTCATCCTCATCTTGAAGCCTGAGCCCTCTCGAACTAATCAACGATACGAGAACAAAGTTCTTAGCCAGCTTCTTTGGGTGTATATCAAAAACAGCTTCAAATATAGGTGCTAGGTCGTGAGCAGCGCAGACCCTAAAGTCGCTACTCTCCACGCGCTTTTTAATGCGGCGATTCAACCGTTCGTCTAGAGTAGATTCAATTTTCTGAGCAAGAGTCTCACTCCCGCTGCTATTAGAGGTGGTATTTTTAAGGATCTCGACTTCCTCTTCGTTGAAATACGGTTTGCCTAGGTAGGTGATGTCCACAATACTATCGAGCCGATCCCTTGCAGCGATGTCTGTCTTGAAGTTGCGGAGGTCGTAGACATATACATGTAGTCGATACCAGAGGAACTTCCGGGAGCGTATATCGGCCACCTTGTACGTCTGGGATATATCTTGGTCCATGATGACTTGAGGTAGACATTTTGAACTTGTACATAAAGGCGTTGAGCAGTGATATCTTCTTGTAAACGGCTTTATACCAAGCATGGAGCTTTACGTCATGTACCATCGGTCCTATCCTAATGGAGGAAGTTTCTCCTATAAAGATGACGGAACAGAGGGTGATTGGCTGTTGGTGAGGTCCAGGAATACGGAGAGATATCCGTATTTACAACTTCAAAAGCATAAAAGCGACAGATATCAATCTGAAACCCGCAATACGAGTTCACTGCAGTCAGCTGCGGCCACACAAATCAGGCATCCCGGAGGCCCGAACCCTGCATCTATATACCGAGGGATCAACCGCGAGAAGCGTCTGCATGTCTGTCTGTATACCGTGTCCAGGCTAAAGAAAGCGGCAAGCCGTCACCTTGCCACGTGGAAACAGGCACCAGGTCGGGGAGCGCTGAAGTAACAAAGCCATGAAACCATCTTCCCCATGAGCTATTCCATACGTAGCCAGTAGTCGATGGCCGTGAATTGTTAGATGTTAGATGTTACAGAGTAGGTGTTGATTCTTGGTGGTCGATTTGCCTATTCGAGAACCGGTGATGTAAGCAGCTATCTCACATCTTTTTGGCCTTTTGTCCGGCTTCAAGCTTCTCCTTCACCGTCCAGCGTCAAAATAAATAATAACAAACAGCCATGCCGAAACCAAAGGCGCTCCTGAGGGAGACAAAGGCCAAAAAGAAACGGAAACAGGTGGTACGTACATGAAACCGGGGAGGCTTCTGTCTCAGGGCATCACCCCACCATAGTGTAAGATCGCAAGACCTCAGACTAACAGCTAGCGATCGCATCGTGGATCTGTCTCCAGGCTCCAGAATCTGCAGATGAGTTTCTAGCAGGTCAGTAACCGCGTCTGGATCTTGAGTCGCCCCCGTCGATCGTTTCGTCACTTTGCCAAACGTGGGGTAAATTCTGACTATATTCCTATTGCTATAGAAGGAGTTGATCTCGAAGAAGCCGGCGAGAAATGGCGGGCCGGAGATCCGGTCAAGTCAATGCGCTTTTTCATGAGGGCTATCGAGATGTATGATACGGGTTTACATCGGTTTCCCGCCTCATTCGACCTAGCTTATAACAAGTACGTGCTTGTATCGAGGTGATGCAATTGAATATATAGCTAACTTCCTATCTAGAGCTCGCGTACAGTACGAAATCACCCAGCATCCTAAACTGGTCACGCAGCTACCGGGACCCATCCTTGACATCCTCCGAATCGCGCTCACATCCCATCGAGAAGCCCTGAAAAAGGAACAAGATAATGCAGATATATTATTCAACACAGCACAGGTGTTGACTAGTGTAGCGGAAGCCATCACCGAAGGAAAGCGAGCGAGCGAAGAACAGACAGAAGAGGCGTTGAAATGTTTAACAGAGGCCCTGGAGCTGTTTCAGCGGTGTCTTGTGCTGCAAGAACTAAAGTTCACAGAATATGAAGAGCAGCTGCAGATGGTGAAAAATGGTGGGCCACAAGATCAGCCTCAACAAGAACAGCAGCAGGGCAGTGGTGACGGGCCTAAGATGGCATCCGGCTCCGGCTCTGGCTCAACGGAAAGTGAGGAATGGGCTGCTGTCATTGAGCCAGTCACGAAAAACACGCTTATCGATACTGCCATTGCGCAGCTGGAAGCACTAGCTACACTCTGCGGATTGCTCGCCTCGGATCCTGGAAACAGTCTCGCCTGGGTAGAAGAGTATTCATCCGAACTTCTAAGAGAGAAGATTGCCGCATACGTACAAGGCACAGATAGAGCAAACGAGGTCGCCATAGCCCGAGCAAAGTTTCTCTCCATCTTATTGGAAGTCACCTATCGAAGCGGCCGTATCGACCTCGATACCTATAAACATGAGCTTGACTCGGCGTTCAGCAACGGAGTCGACGTCTCGCAAGATCCAGCGGGCCTCTGTAACCAAGCCGAGGCGCTGGTGGGATTCAATTCAGCCATTGCAGATTTCTACCCTTCTGCTGGCGTCAATGGGTTCGAGAAGACTTTAGATCTGCGATGGCAGGCCTTGGGCGTTGCCCTGAGTCGGTTAACCGCTGCGTCGAAAATTGCTGGAGCAGAAAACCTAGCAAAGATACATATTGCGCGAGGTGACGCGGAAATGTATCGCTGGCGTCTAGGTCAACCTCCTTTCCTTTTTGGCGCGGCCAAGGATAATTCAGGGACGTTGCTGAAAAACGCCGAAACGTATTATCGCGGAGGAGCGGCCATTGCTAGGCGAGATGGATGGGCGGAAGAGGAGCGTGAAGGAACCATCAAGGAAGCCCTGGCAAAGGGGTTGGCGGGTGACCTGAGCCAGATGGGGGATTTGGCGATTAACTCCAAGGAGTATATGTTGCATGTAGCCGATGACATGGCAGAGGATGGCCTAATGTCGCATGAGGATTTGCATAAACTGATGACACAGTTGGAACCAGACGAGATTGTCTTCTAGTCTGTGACACCGCCTAATTTTGATAATCTATATCCTTGTCCATAGAATCCCTTCGAGGCGATGAAAACGAACATTCACGAAGGTCGCGAAGGCCTAATCTCTTCATCCATTTGTTCTGCTTCTTTTCGTAGTACATCGTCGGCATCGAATTCGCGCATTGACTCAACTGCACCCTCAATATCTCCAACTACAGCTTCAAGGCTAGCCAGTAGCTGCTGGATCTCTTGTTTTTGAGATTCAACCTTTGACGCAAGCTGAATATTCTTTCTCTGGACCTCTTCTGTCTGCGAATCAAGAGATGATTGCGCTTTTGCAAGAATTGGCGTCAGATGCGCCTGGTATAGCTCTTTTGCCGTGAGAGTATGGGCACTATCATTTGTGTTAGCACTCGCTATCTGTGAGAATACAAATTCGATTGACCGCGTTTATACATACGGCACACTATTAGCTCCCTCGCCATTCTCCCTCCGATGCTTAGCTTCTCCAACGAGCCTGTCAAGCTCGTTCAACCCCCTCACCACCCCTCTTTCGTGAAGGATATCATCGAACTCTGCCTTCGCGCTCTCTTCCAGCTTGGCATTCAACTGTCTCCATACCGACTCCAAGCTGCGCGGAACATGTTTCGCAGGTGTCGGGAAACAGGATGAAAAGTTTGCGTAGGAGTTCGTCCGGATCGTGTGTAGTAACGCCTGGGAGAAGACTTGCTGGAGTCGCGATGCGCGTGGGCCAGGAGTTAGCGGGACGGGCGCTGCTGGTGGCGGGGAAGGCGAGTCATCTTGGTTTCCGTCTCGACGGGCTGTGTTCGTAGGATCAGAGGCGGGTGTAGATGCCATTGTATCAATCCTTATGGACTGGGAGGAGGATGCGACGTTTGATTCCGTTTGTTTATGCTCTTGAAGGCATGAAGAGACGCGAGGTCACGTGTTTACTCGACGTCATGGTGCAGGAAGACTCGACTTTGATAGTTGATCTGTTTATTGTTTATATTACGAGATATGGATATTTAGACTGTCTTATAGCCAATTGCATTAAGCAGCACTATAACCAGAGGGTTATCAGGAAAAAACTCGACCGGAAGACGCAGGTATAATTCATTACGGCCGCAATAGGCCCCTATGCAAACGTTAAGAGATTAATGTAAAAGCAAACGTTAAGAGATTAATGTAAAAGCAAGATAACACATAAACTCGTGAACAAGGAATAGCAAATTGTTTATCCCAGTAGAAAGAACGCCGGCGCTGCAAAAAAAAATTACCTGTACACAGGTTCCTTCAATAGTTCTGCGAAACGAGCCCGGGGGCAGCGTATCCAGCAGCCATCTGTGCCTGCTGTTGCTGTTGCTGCTGCTGATGGTTATGAAGAGCTTGGTGTTGCGCCTGCTGAGCCTGCAGCTGATTCAGGTCGTTAAACCAAGGGTGTCGAAGGGCTTCTGCGGCGCTGATTCGCATCTCTGGTCGCAGCTGGAGCATTCTACTCAACAGGTCCAGACCCAGCTGGTCGATCTGGGGTAGAATCAACCGCAGGTCCTGGGTTGCGTAGACATGGAAGTTTGGCTTGTATTCTGGGAATTGGGATATTCCAGGCCACGATCGCTCGGAGGGAGTGCCCATTAAACGGAAGATCTTTTGCAGCTGATCCTCGTTCGTTGTGCCGGGGAAGAGCGGGCGGCCAGTGTACATCTCAGCCATGATGCAGCCAGCGGACCAGATGTCGATGCTGGTGTTGTATGTCCTGCTGCCCAGCAGCACGTCTGGAGCTCTGTACCAGAGCGTGACAACCTCGTTGGAGAAAGTGTTGACTGGGATACCGAACGCGCGTGCCAGACCGAAATCAGCAAGCTTCAGCTGTCCCTTGTTATTGATGAGGAGGTTCTGCGGTTTTAGATCACGGTGAAGGACTCTGTTGTCGTGGCAGAAGGCGATGCCCCGCATCAACTGGTGCATGAATGATTTGATCGTAACGTAGTCTAGCTGACCCCGATCCCCACGGACGTCCATGTACTTCTTCAGATCCTTGTCCATGTACTCGAAGACCAGCATGAGTTTGTTCTCGGTGTGAATGACGTCGTGTAGGCCAACGATGTTCTCATGCTTCAGCTCCTTCATGAGCGAGATCTCCCTTATCGCCGTGGACGGGGTACCCTCTTCAGAGTCAAGGTGTATCTCCTTTAGAGCAACCATCTCGCCGGTCTGGCGGTTTCGTCCTTTGAATACCTATAGTCATCCTGTTTAGCGCTATGTTCGAATGATAAGGAGGTGGGGGAGGTTGAGAGCGTACGGTAGCATATGTTCCTTCTCCAAGCTAAGAAGATTAGTTAGAAAGCTGGTACAAGGCACAGCCGGTGAGTATATGAAGGAAACACACCTTCTCCAGCTGCTGGAACGAGCTAGGTTGGTGTCGCTTGTCCATGATGCTGCGGGCTGAGGGGCGACGTGCTGCCTTGCGGGATGAGACGGCGGGACGAGTGTACCGCTGGCTGCCAAAGAAAGTAGCAGGAGAAACAAGCGAGGAGGCAATACTGAGATAAGAAGTTGTGTGGTTTATGAACCGGTCGTGGCTATGTGAATTGACGGAGTTGTGGCTGTCCATGAGGAGAGAGAGCGAGGAGAGATAGCTAGGTATTAAATAATCGCCCTTGTCGCTGGGAGGTTTGAAACAAGCCCATCCTACGCCCGACCTACCAAGGTTTTCCAGCAGGTAAGCAGTGTATTTTTAGCCTTCGAAGCGCCCAGCCTGCGAAAACACCAATCATGGAGGCATTCTCTGCAGGCGGTTATTCATGAGGGCGCTTGCGATTTCATTTTTGACCGTCTGGCTGTCTGACTGGCAAGGGGCGATATCTATAGGAAACGCAGGGGCGAGTCGGCGCCAATGGAAACGAGATGCAACTCCTACTGACATGCTATATATCTATATATATTTAGAACGAATATACGGAGTACAGGAAGTATAAGGGCTAAGCAAGCGCCTGGAGTCTGGCAACGACTTCAGGGATAACGGCTTCAGCAGGCTGGCTGCATCTCACGCGAGTCATCTCCCCTGAACGGACTGCGAGATCCCCGAACAATGCAGCTTCGTTGCGGAATCCGCCTACATTCAAGACTCCAATCGACATGCCTCGCGCGATTGCTCGTTCAACTAGTCTCCATGCCGAGAAGGTAGCCAAACTGGTCCCAAGGACAAGAAGCTTCCCGGCTTCATCTATCGCTTCTTCGGCAGCGACCTTCACTCCCTCGTTGACCGACTCGCCAAACATGACAACCGCCGGTTTGAGGATGCCTGCGTTCGAGGGAGAAGCCAGTGCCCCGTCCTGGTCTGCTTCAACTATCCCCCTCGACCCGTCTGGCCGTAGCGGCGGATTCTCCAGGCATCGAGGACAGGCAGGATACCGAAAGTCAGAGTAGTGTGCGTTTGTAAGATCCACATCGCCGTCCGGGTTGAGCTTCAGCCCTCGTTGGCGTTGCTGCTCGATGCTATCGGTATCCAGGGCGCCGGACTCTGTTATTCGATTAAGGAATTCCGCCCAGGGAGGATTGAGGGCAAACAACGACTCCTGGAACTCTGGACGGGGTATCTTATGGCGGCAGCTAACACAGATGACCGATCGTAGGTAGCCATGAAGCTCGACTACAGGTATATGAGGATGAGCCTTGCCGTGCAACGAATCCACGTTCTGCGTAATCACCGAACTGATGTAGCCTTTCTTCCCCAGCTCTCTAATCGATTCATGCGTGATGTTCGGCTTCGATTGACCCATTGTAGGCCATCCGATGAAGCTCCGAGCCCAGTATCGTTTCCTTGCTTCATGTTGATTCACGTACTCGTGAAAATAGATTGGTCGATAGGCAACATTTCGTCGGTATGTTCCATTCTCTCCACGGTAATCAGCCAGCCCCGATGCCACAGATATGCCTGCTCCGGTCAATAACACTGTCTGCTCATTCCGGCCCAGGTTCACGCCTCTGAGTAGCGCTGGAGGAGCAGCGGAGAGGAACGAGGCGATGGCATCGATTGCGCCGGAGAGAGTGTTGGCGGATGAAGGGAGGATAATCGGAGGCGAGAAGGGAGCCGTGAACGGGATCCTCATGCGTTGGCTCATGGGAAGAGCATGTTTGGCGATCCGGCCGGCTGTCTATAGGGATTGAGCAGTATCAGATCTGAAGGTACAGGTCTTGCTTCATGATCGGCTGTAATCGACTTCGTCATTTGCTGTGAGGCTATCCCTGCGATTACTAACGCCTCAAACTACGCCTGCCCATACCCGGAACAGATATTTAGCTATTAATAGATAGTTACGATGTACGGGAGTATTAAATAACTGAATCCTCTATTTCTAGTTCGACAAGAGAATATAAATCTACTTTGCCCCAAGTGAAACCAGCTGTTCATTGACTGTTCTGATGACAGCGGCGACTAAATCTGCATCAACAACGCCCTTTTGCCAGGAGAATCCCAAAACCAAACAGCCGTCTACGCCCGTAATAACGGAGCATGATATCGCCGACCCAAAAACATTCGCACTCTGCGTGAAGACCATCCGGCCATATCGTGGCCCCTTCTCTCCCGCCTCCAATTCCTCCTGGCTCGACTTAAACACGCCGACATTTGAGATTTCAAAGCTCTTCTCCCTCTCCTTGCCGACCTTGGGTAGGAAAAGTTCGTTCTGGTAATCGTCCACAAACTTGAGCATTGCTACCATAGAGTTCTTCCCCCTCAGGCTCAGAATCCGGTCAAGATTCTGTTTAGACCTCCTTGCTTCGTCCCAGGAGAACTCGAGACGTTCTCCATTTTTGCTGAGCTTATCTCTAGAGTACATTTCCTGGAAGTCCTGGACCCAGACGCCAATAGAGTCGTCTGTAATGTTATCGTCTGTAAGCCATCGTCTATTCGAGATTGCTCCCTCGCACCGTAGGCTGGTAAACTTCCCGGGAAGATTTGTGAACAGTGCGTTAGCCAGGAGCGTCTGCAGGGCAGCGGTTACTGTAGTCTTGTTCTCGCGACAGAGGTCCCTTAATGCAGCAGTATCCCGCTTAGAGATGACAAGATGGCGGACCTGGTTCTCAAGAGGCGTAGTGATTTTGGATCCCGTCCATAAACCAGGGTCTCGTGCGGCCTTCCAGATCTTGGTCCAGAATAAGATACTGAGGATGAAGAAGAACGAAAGCGGCATGGGATAGACCTTTTCCAGGTTCGGTAGCAGCGGTGTCTTCGGTGACGGAATGACACTCTTCACATCGGCAGATGCAGCCGAGCATGCATTGTGTAAGGCCTGGAGAAAGGTCTTATGGAATGCTTTCCCCGATGACCCGTCTCCAATAGCATGGTGCCATACATATGCAGCAGTGAATTGACGGCTGTCCCGGGGATCTGTGAGGACACACAGGCGCCAATATGGTAAGGGGGCAGCGAACGAAGCGTTATGCTGGACGTTTAGCAGCTCGTCCAGCTCTGCATCCCGCTCTGGCTCTACCTCTGATTCACCTTCACTCTCTGCAGCAGGGAAACTGCTCTTCCGCTCCTGGAACGTAACGCACCGGTCGAGATTGACCTCCGGTAGCCGTGCGAAATAGGGATCCTTTGAGTCCTCCTCTAGCGGAATGGCCGAAAGAACCGGATGTTGCCCGATGAGCGTCTCTAGGGCTTTATAGATGCAGTCCTTTAAAGGCAGAGAGCAAGTCGACGGCAGCACATATGTCACCGTCACCGCGACGTTTGTGTAGAACTTTAGAGAGTTACGTGCTGTCGAGTAACGCTCCAGCCGGCCTATATCATCCTGGTCTATTAGCCGGTAGAACTTGTCGAATAACCGGAAGCTGGCTTGATCTTACCGACTGTACGCAGTCTCTCAAGCTTGCTCAACGACTCCGACGAATCCGACGAATCCGACGCCATGTCTACCTGATGTCAAGACGTAATATATGCCTGTAGCAAGGTCGACTGACTCGCCGGGGTCCCTGGCAGGGGAAGTTTTGGCCTTTCCATGGGTGCCTTCGGTGCTTCGTATCCTCGTCCCCTTGAGACTAAAAATCTTCCGGTGCCCAGTGCTCCCCAACTAAAAAAGTGCTTATTCTGAAACTATCGAACCGTGAGCTATAGTATCCCGCGGCCGTGCTAAATATATAGTATTCTGAGGCTTTGCAGACTGGTATTTCAGCCCGGCATCGCAGGCTGGGCTGGATATTTAGCGAACGAGCCCCCCAGCTCCAGGCCATGATTCGCACGCCAGCCAGTTGCGGGTGGAAGTCCAGGTTTCGCTCAGCTCGATCTCTTTGTACCCTCTTACACCCACGGCCTCGCATATCATCTCCAACAGAGAGAGAGTACGGCGACATCCAGCAACGTGGCTTCAAGCCACCTCTTAAATACTGCTCGTCTCGCTGCTCCCGCTGTATTTCTACCCTGAACAAAGCCTCTCCGCCGAGCACCGCATATCCCTACCGGACGACCGTATCATATCGCCCCACTGCTTCGACCTGCTGCCTCCTGATACTACGACCGGCTCTCTCAGATCTTCGACCGCCCGCTGCCTTCACGATGGGCTGTCAATCCAGGTCGCATGGTCACAGCCATGGCCACGGTCACGGCCATCACCACGATACCACATACTTGACGTCCAAGAACAAGCAGGACCCGGGAGTGCGGATTACACGAATAGGCCTGTTGGCGAACCTGGCCATGGCAATTGGAAAGGGCGTGGGTGGTTACGTCTTTCACTCGCAGGCGTTGGTGGCAGATGCATATCATGCCCTAACAGATCTTGTGTCGGATTTCATGACCCTGGGGACGGTCTCTTGGTCGAACAAACCGCCCTCATCCCGTTTCCCGCTAGGATACGGCAAGGTCGAGACACTGGGAGCGCTGGGAGTGAGCGGTCTACTGCTCGTTGGAGGCGTGCTGATGGGGTTGAATGCCGCCGAAGTTATACTCACACAGTTCTTCCCGGACATTGCGCACGCTGCTTCACATCTAGGCCTGCTCGGACATGGACACTCGCATAGCCACGCCCACTTCCCAACGGATCAGGCTCTTGGGCCCAACCTCAACGCTGCCTGGCTTGCCGCAGGCTCAATTGTTGTAAAGGAATGGCTATATCATGCGAGTAAGTACCCTGTTAAAACGCCAGGTCTAGATACTCAATTGCTAACAATTCCGTCCGTTAGCTATGAAAATCGCAAAGGAGCGAAAATCCTCCGTACTCGCATCTAATGCCGTTCATCACCGTGTCGACTCCCTTACAAGTATAGTTGCGCTGTTGACCATCGGTGGTGCACACGTTTTCACCGACGCTACATGGCTGGACCCAGTTGGCGGATTGGTTATCTCGATAATGATTATCAGGGCGGGACTAGGGAATACGAAAACTACCTTGCTAGAACTAGCCGACGCGGGCGTCGAGGACAGCATGGTAGACTCGGTGCGAAAATATGCTGCCAGAGCAATTGCTGGAATCCCGGACGGGGCTGAGATTGAACTCCGGAACATCCAAGGAGTCAAGTCTGGTCCCAACTACCTGATGGAGATCGATTTGGCCGTCCCCGGATCATGGTCAGTTGCGCGCACTCGGGAGATTGAACGGGTGATCCGAGAACGCGTGGGGTCGCGTGTCCGGGGTGTTAAACGGCTGCGAGTACGGTTCACGCTCAATACAGAGAAGGAGCTAGACTTCGCTGAAGAGTTCATTGCACCTGACGTGAGTCCGCGGAGCAGTCCCGAACCAGAGGCTGAGACCAACGGAACGGCCGTATCGGGAGCACATGTCCATGAGAATGGCAATAGGAAGAGGCATTGATTTCATTTCATCCTGGAGCTACCTTGTGGGCGATGGCTGTTGGCACCCATCACGGTGCCCAGGGTTTCGGACATAGACCGCGGCCTCATAAAAGCCATGATATAGTCCACAATATCCCGGTGTCCAAGCCGAAATGGCTAGTGTTTTGCGCAGCCATGGACTCTCGGATCGCCTACGCCCTCTTAATACACCAGCGTGTATTGTAGAGAACTCTACTTCTGGACATCCCCATTCTATGCAATGGGCCATTAAAGAGCCAGTGTTGGATATACTTAGGAGACTTCTGCATATGTATTATTGCTCTCCTGTCTGTAGACCTGCTATTCAATTTAAGCTTAATGCCTAGTTACCTTTAACCTGTCCTTAGTACATTCTACGACATAAACTACGCAACTACGTAATGATAAACGAGCACCATAGGTTCACCTTACTCAATTACTTATTCAAAGGCAGGTCTCGCCAATTATTAACAAAATACATGGCTTCTCAAAGATTTGTAGTAGCGATCCCTGTATTCGTTGTCTTTACCTGTGTTGGTCGTGCATTTTAAGCTGTTCGATGATATCATCCCGCCCCACACGAATAGACGCCGAGGGGAAAGGCCACCATCAACAGATATCAAGCCCTCCGTTTATATAAACACATTGTTCTTCATTAAATATTAAGTCTCTAATTTGTATATTTAATAAGGCATCTATACTCAGAAGGTAACTGCACACAAAATGGGCTCCAGTGGTGGACCGCTATACATCGGCTTCGACCTTTCGACGCAACAACTAAAAGGCCTCGTCGTCTCATCAGACTTGAAGGTCGTCAACGTCGCTAAATTCGACTTTGACAGCGACTCAAAGGGATTTGATGTCGAGAAGGGCGTCTTGACCAATGAAGCTGAGCGGGAGGTTTTTGCGCCAGTCGCCATGTGGCTACAGGCTTTGGATGCCGTGCTTGCAGACCTGAAGCAACAGGGGCTTGATTTTAGCTTGGTGAGAGGTATTAGCGGTGCGGGGCAGCAGCATGGGAGCGTATACTGGAACGGGTCTGCAGAGAGGATATTGAGCAGCTTGGATAAGGAGAAGACGTTGGAAGACCAGCTGCAATTGGCACTATCTCATCCGCACAGCCCGAATTGGCAGGATGCTAGCACGCAGAAAGAGTGTGATGAGTTTGACGCTTTTCTTGGTAGCGAAGAGGAATTGGCGAAGGTGACGGGGAGTAAAGCACATCATGCAAGTTCTACCAGTTCAATTACTGCTTTACTGGCATAGCTAACATTTTCATCTAGAGATTTACTGGGCCCCAGATACTGAGATTTCAGCGAAAGTACCCCGATGCTTACAGAAAGACTTCCAGGATATCCTTGGTTTCTTCATTCTTAGCTTCCGTCTTCTTAGGGCAGGTTGCCCCGTTCGACATATCGGATGTATGTGGCATGAACTTGTGGGATATTCCGACCAACCAGTGGAACGAGCGTCTTCTCAAGCTATGTGCCGGTGAGGTTGGACCGGAAGAGCTCAAAAAGAAACTGGGAGACGTGCCTCACGATGGAGGACATCATCTCGGGAAAATCAGCAACTATTTCGTGGAACGATACTCCTTCCACCTAGACTGTATCATCACTCCCTCTACGGGAGACAACCCGGCAACTATCCTTGCTCTCCCATTGAGGCCACTCGATGCAATGGTATCCCTGGGGACATCGACTACATTCTTGATGTCGACTCCACAGTACAAACCTGATCCGTCAACGCACTTTTTCAACCACCCGACGACGCCGGGGTTGTATATGTTCATGCTCTGCTACAAGAACGGCGGCCTCGCCCGTGAAAAAGTGAGAGATGCGATCAACCAGAAGTCAGAAACAAAAGATCAATCGAACCCTTGGAGTAACTTTGACAGGGTGCTACTGGAAACGGCCCAAGTTGGTCAAAAGACAGACTCGGATCCGATGAAAATGGGCCTCTTCTTCCCTCGGCCGGAGATAGTACCCAACCTTCGAGCGGGGGAATGGCATTTCAATTATACACCGAGCCATGGAGAAGGCCTTACAGAGACCGATGAAGGTTGGAACCACCCGTGGGATGATGCTCGAGCAATTGTCGAGAGCCAGTTCCTCTCCCTTAGGCTACGCTCGAAGGAATTAGTCCACAGTCCATCCGAGGGGATTCCGCCACAGCCCAGACGGATATATCTGGTCGGCGGCGGCTCGCGTAACGCAGCCATTGCCAAAGTTGCAGGCGAAGTCCTCGGCGGCATTGAAGGCGTGTATAAGCTGGACGTGGGTGAAAACGCGTGTGCCTTGGGCGCGGCATACAAGGCCGTGTGGGCGTTGGAGCGGTCACCAGGCCAGACCTTTGAGGATCTAATTGGGCAGAGATGGAAAGAAGAAGAGTTTGTGGAGAAGATAGCAGACGGATACCAGCCTGCTGTGTTTGAGAAATACGGTCAAGCCGTGCATGGCTTTGAGCAGATGGAGAAGCAGATACTCAAGTCAGAAGCAGACAGGAGGTAGCTTGTATAGCAGTAGACTACTCCCCATAGCTTCGATTAGTTACTGCACACAAACAACCCAGCTAGTCCCTGATGATCTCAGTCTCGATCTTGCCTGCATGTTCATCCTGCAGCAAGGATGTTGATATTTACAGTAGAAAATAAAGGCTTAGATAAGGCAGCTTAAAGCAGCGACTCTTTCACGGGAATTTCCCTTTCAGGCCATATCTGGTTGGACTTTTATACCGCGCTCTCACCATCGCTGTGCCCTCTGCCTCTCTGGCTGCTCTCCCATTGTTAACACAGCATCCGACAGAGATATATATTCTTACCAGCCCATCGCCGAGAGACCTGGCGTCCCCTAGCCGCTGACTAGTCCACCCCACCAAAGGAGATTATATTGTTTTTGTGGGAGTTGTGTCATACTCTTGGTCCTGGTCCCGCAACGGCACACTAACTTTTGCCCACGCTGGACTGACAGGAAATATAAGCAGATTTATGAAATGAACACTCAGACTCCTTTACGACCTTCACAGCTCTGCACAGTTGGGTGACTACTTCCCTGGACTGCGTGAAAGCTAGAGATCAACTTTCAAGCCTCTTTCCGGCCGTCTGGGCAGAGCACGAGAGCCTCGGGCCTCGCTGCGAGCGGTCACGATGGAGGAGCAGGTAAACCACCAGCGTCGTTTTTTACGTCTCGTGTTTTAGGACCCTGGATAGATGCTATATGTCTGCTAGCAGCTGGTGGATAGATAGGTCCCTCCGGGGTGGCCGTCTTTCTTTGCGCAATATTGCTGACTGAACCGGTATTATCTTTGCTAGGTTGCAAATGCCATAGAAATCGCCGGAAACCCGTCGTCAGACCAGGCGCTTAAGGCGCAAGCTTTCGATTACATTAGCCAGCTTCGATCAGACCCGTCAGGATGGCAGCCCTGTCTCTCGATTTTTACAAAGTCTCCCCGGCACTCCGAGATTGTACGCCATGTAGCCCTGGAGATCGTCAACGGTGCCACACAATCGGGCCAGATGGATTTACAGAGCCTTGGATTCATCAAGGATAGTCTTATGGCTTATTTGCAGGAGATGTACGGGCCCGGATCTACAAATGAGCCAGACCAGGCGAATATCCAGAACAAAATGGCCCAGACAATCACATGCCTCTTCTCCGCCCTCTATGCCAATGGATGGGATACCTTCTTCGACGACATCCTCCGTTTAACCTACAAATCCCCAGACAACCCGGCACGAGACAATGTCTTGGGGACAGTCTTCTTTCTCCGAGTTATCAACTCCATCCATGACGAGATCGGGGATGTGCTACTTTCCCGCTCGCGGGCGGAGCAAGATAGGGCAAACACGCTGAAAGATCTTATTCGCGAGAGAGATGTACAGAAGCTAGTTGCCTCGTGGCAGGAGATCTTAGGCCAATGGCAGGATCAGGACAATGTAATCACTGCAATGGTTCTCAAAGCAATCGGAAGCTGGGTCAGCTGGATAAATATCTCTCTGGTGGTGAATCAGGGCATGCTCGACCTTTTATTCCACCAGCTTGCGAAAGCCAAGGACTTGGGTCTGAGTGGTGGAGGGGAGAGGGTCAGGGACGCCGCAATTGACGTCTTCACGGAGATTATTGGAAAGAAAATGAAGCCATCTGATAAAATCGACATGATAGTTTTCTTGAATCTGGAAAGTATCGTCTCTCAACTCTCTACAAGCCCACCGCTACATGAATACCGATTCACTTCGAAGTACGATACAGATCTCGCAGAAACAGTGGCCAAGCTTGTAAACATCACAGCTCTGGATATCGTCAAGGCGCTCGAAACAGATGGAATTGATGCTGGAACGAAAGAAAAGGCCGAGGCTCTACTCCAAGCCTTTTTGCCCCATGTCTTGCGATATTTCTCCGACGAATATGATGAGATATGCTCGACAATCGTACCATGTGTAAATGACATGCTCACCTACTTCCGGAAAGTTTCAAAGAAGAATCCCGAACTAGCGGCTCAGCAAACTCACATGCTGCTGCCAGTTCTCAAGGCTATTATCCAGAAAATGAGATATGATGAAACATCTAGCTGGGGAAGTGAGGATGACCAGACCGATGAAGCAGAATTTCAAGAACTGCGGCGAAGGCTGAATGTTCTACAACAGATAATCGCATCAACGAATGAGCAGCTCTTTATAGAAGTTGTTACTGATGTGGTCCGATCTACATTCTCTAACCTAAGACAACCTGGGGCACAGCTAGACTGGCGTGACCTTGATCTAGCTCTTCATGAGATGTTCCTCTTTGGAGAGATTGCTATGAAATCTGGGGGACTATATAACAAGCAAAAACCAAATAACCCGGCAGCTGAGCGATTGATTGAAATGATGTTAATAATGGTTGAGTCCGGTACGTGTTTAGATTTTTGTTATATTACCTTTGATTCATTGTTACTAACAATTATATCTAGATGTACGCTCTTTCAACCATCCTGCAACACAACTACAGTATATGGAAATTTGTGTGCGGTATAATGCATTTTTTGAGCACCATTCACACCTTCTTCTCGGAGTTTTGGAAGGGTTCCTTCGCCTTGCCCATCACCAGATGTTAAAGGTTAGGACCAGATCATGGTACCTATTCCATCGCCTGGTTAAGCATCTTCGAGCTTTCCTCGGGAATGTTGCGCAAACAGTTATAGAAGCTCTCGGCGATCTACTTACAATCCACGCGGAAGTACCCGGTGAAAACTCGGATGGAGATGACATGTCCTCAGAAGATATTGGAGGACCCCCGGATACTGTTTCTACCAGCCAGCTGTGGCTCTTCGAGGCCATTGGAACTATCTGTTCTACAGCAATATCTGTCGACAAACAGGTCTACTTTGCACAGTCGATCATGAACCCGATTTTCATGGATATGGAGAAGAATTTGCAGGCTGCCCGAGCAAACGATGAGCGCGCTATATTGCAAATTCATCATGATATCATGGCTCTCGGTACTCTTGCCAAGGGTTACTCCGACTGGATGCCTGGTTCCACCTCTCCTCAGACACCACCACCTGCAGAAGTGTCGGAAGCGTTTGGTCAGGTAGCGGAGGCAACATTAGTTGCTCTCGAGTCGCTAAAGTCTTCGTTCACCATCCGAACTGCGGCCCGTTTCACATTCTCTAGACTCATTGGCGTTAGAGGAGCAAGAAATCTGCCGCAACTACCCAGATGGATTGACGGCTTGCTTACCTCAACTTCCTCGAAGGACGAGATGGCATTATTCCTTCGGTTATTAGATCAAGTCATCTTCGGGTTCAAGTCCGAAATTTATTCGATCCTCGACACTTTGTGGACGCCTTTCCTACAGCGTGTATTCGCTGGCATCGCAGAGCCAATTTCTGGCACTGATGACGAAATCCAATTAGCAGAACTGAAAAGAGAATACCTTAACTTTTTGCTCATGATATTAAACAATGATCTTGGTTCTGTGATAATTAGCAGTTGTAAGTTTATGTTCTTTAATATTATACCTTGTTTATCCTTCAGCTAACATATGGGGGTACAGCGAACCAATCGATTTTCGAAACGGTCATTTCAACCATTGAGCATTTCGCCAAAGACGCCGATGACTTCCCAACTGCGAAAATGGCATTCCTTGTCCTGGCCCGAATGTCTAGCCTCTGGGGTGGCCCGGATATTGCGCCTCCTTCAAACGGCGCTGGCGTAACCCAGTCAGAACCGGCATTGCCTGGGTTTGCACAGTTCATGATAACTCGTTTCTCCCCTCTCTGTTGGGCATTGCCAATGAATTCGTCATTTAATTCGAAAGACGCCCAAGCTAAACAAGTCCTCGGTGAAGCGGCAGCCATGCAAAAAGTGATATACTCCAAGACCGGGCCCGAGTACCTCCAATGGCTTCGAGATTCCGAATTGCCCGGGATGGGCATGGGCTCAGACCTTATCAACGAATATTTAACGTCCTTAGAGCAGCTAGATGTAAAGGCTTTTCGACAGTTTTTCCAGGTATGAGAAAAGACCCTTGCTATCCCAAAAGATTTTTGCAGCATGTGCTAATAGTTGTCCCTCGTCATAATAGGCATTTATACAACGGTTGAGCGCATGATACTAGCGATATCTTCATATTTCGTCGGCCTCATTTAACATCCCATTTATCGTGTTTCTTGATCCAACAATCATCGGCGACAAGCGGTCTTAAAAAATCTTCGAAAAAAAGTTACCCTGGGTTCTTTCTTAAGAAATTTAGCATCTCAGGTGCTCGGGGTCATTATCTGCGGCCACATTTACATTTGTTCACCTTTCCTCCCTATTTATCCCTATATCTTCTCCACCATACGCTCCATTCTCCTGTCCGAACTCCCTTCCCCCTTCTTAGCTGCACTTTGACACAAAGATAGTGAAATTTCTATCAATCGGTGTAAGTGAAGCATACTGAATATCCGCCACATTTGAACTTTTTGCCTGTGCTTTGATGATCTCCTACCCCCCACCCTCCCCAATTACTGGGACGTTTACGTTACTTGCTCAACCCCTCTTCATTGTTTTATTCGTTTTTTTGCATTAAATCTACGCCTACATTAGGCTGCGAAGCGTGAGAATCAGGAATGAAATGGGGCTCTACTGGGTGGGTGTGTTAGAGTGGTGGACAAAGGTAGCAGCATATGAAATGAAAGAAACTCGACGCGGTCATGCGATTACGTATAACTCCGAAGCAATTATTGAGTGGAAATATGATGTATAAGAACTACGTGGCGCCCTGAAGGGTAGATAGAATATCAATCGAGCCGTCATAATTCACCATAGCAAAAATTTCCTGTCTTGTCTATATAAGGCTCTACGTATTTATGGTGGAGGATCTTCAAGACGAATGGACGATATGGGTTGAGTAACGCTCATGTGCACACTCAGGTAACGGCAAATTATGAAATGTAGCAAAATATATTCTGTTCATGCATCGAGTTGAAAATGTTAGCCTGACTATAACCCCGTCTTAACAACTTCACTCCCCTCGACGAACGGCCACATGCGCCGCGATTCTTCTAAAGATTTCTCGCTCGCCATCTGTTCGATGAACATGTCCAGTAGTTCCTGGTTTTGCCGGCGCTTCTTGACAATATCCATTTCAGGGGATATCCATCCATCCTCATCTGTATCCAAACACTTTCTCGCTATTTCATGGGCCTTGTGCCAATCCTCATAGTCTTCGAACTGAATGTCATGCTCTACTATCTCCTCTTTGCTAAAGGAGTAGGGGCATTCACCAGCAAAGCCTAAGCCAGACCAGCTTTGGAAAATCTCTATCATACATGCGCGAAGCGGGAGAACACCGACCTCCGAGGTTTCGCCGCAGCGCTTGAACAGTTCCCGGAAAACACGAGGAAGGTTCATTGCGTTATGAGCCGCTCTATTTTCGAGATAGTTAGAAACTTCGTATGCCTTTGCAGCCACAGCTTGCTGTTGTTCATATCTTGCTAGCTGTTGATCTTCTGCATCTAGCTCGTTGAAGTTGTCAGGTAGTTTCGGCTTCTGAAGCCCTCGGACGAAGTTTTGTGGTGGCTCTAGGAAGATAGGCCATCGCGCTTGCAGGAAAAAAGGGAGAACAGATATTGATTGCCAGTCAATGAGCGAAAGGATTTGCGACGGCTTATCAGGGGAAACGTATATGTTTCCCATGTGAAGGTCTGTATGCCAGAGGACAGGCTTTGCAGACTGTGTGAGAGTAGGGTTTGAGTCCAGTAGTCCCATAAGGCAGATAGCGCTTTCGAGCAAAGTTTTCCGCTCCGCTGGGCTTCCTTGATAGAATGTCCCTGGGTGAATTGGTGAGCTATGTAAAATACGAGAGATTTCTCGTTTTGCAATAGCAGTACCAAACGCGGCTAAGGTATTCCCTAATTCTGTATGTTAGGAAGGATACAAAATGTATGGTCAGATACACTCACAAGGCCCTAGATCGATTTTGGACTTATCCATTCCCTCACAGTCCTCGGGCACATACGACCTGTCACCTGAGCGACCCACGCAGTATGATTGTGAAGGGTCAACATCTAAATCCAGGGGTTTCCAAGCTGGTAAATTCCCACAAGAAGCCCGGAGATACAGGCTGCCATAGGCAGGGAGCTGTAGGGAAGAAAGCTCACGTTCGATCACCGTAAGCCGCTTGATGAGCTCCAGTTTATCAGACTGCGAGATCTCACCCCATATCCTGAAAAGGGGAACTCCGGCTGCTTTCTCCATGATGATATATTCCGCACCTACAGGGTTTGCGGGATCCGAGCACCACGCATATACCTCTGGGACGGGAACACTTGTATGCTGTTTCACTATGAGATGCACAGTGAGCCGATTGATGAGCAATGTGGAGGTGTAGGACGGCTTTCTTACCATATTTCAACACAGCAACCTCCGATTCAGTGGTATACACTGATGGTCCAGAATTGCGACAGGGAATTTTCGCAATGACCTCCATTCCATTTTCCTTTACTATTAAAAACGCCTTGCTGAAACCACCTTCCATCTTTTCGACCGCATTGATGGGAGAAGCTTCGCCTCCTGCAGTAGCAGCGCGAGCGCAAAGAGCGTCCAGGTTAAATTTTACATAACGTCGGTCAAATTGAAACTTTTCGTTGACGAGGAAATTTCCATTTGTATACTCAAATAGCTGTTCAGCGGTGATTAATTTCCCTTGATCAATGTTAGTGTTGAACGGAGATTCGGTGTAATACTGCCTGATCGTACGAAACACGTTAGTCAACTACGCCGTTTCATTAAATATCAGTGTCAGCTCTCCATCATCGAACAAATGCTACGCCCGGCGTTTTAACGCCTGTTTCAGCTGTAGCTGGCATCTCCGCGATGGCAAGATACATGGCCGTATGAGGAACATAAATAGGAGCTCAATATCGTGTATTTAGATGATCAGTGCTTGATAGATTGAAATCTCATAGATTGCTCCAGACCCACCTGACCAACCAAATCAATCAAATATCTCGTATCTCAGAGTTAGCCATGAAAGAAAGCGCTAAACGGGCTCCCTGGACTCATACTTACCTCGACAAGAGATGTGTAGATTCCGGTGTGTGTGTTTTCCACGAACATCTATCCTCCGTAGAAGCGAGAAGATATGATTTCGCATCTTAGAGGGAGCTCTTTTGCACTAACTTTTTGTTTAGGGTCAGCGCCTAATTATAGGCAACTAGTTAATTGCTGGAGATTATCCGCGTCTACATAGCTGTTAAATAAATATAAATAACAAATGTCCTGATTGGCTCGTTGGCTCCAGGATAAATAATAAACATTAGAGGCGCAGTGCTAGCCCGACACTCGCAGAATGTGCCAGTCAACACGCTGACTTTCATATGCACATCCTCCTATCAATTCCCCTAGGACCGTCAATACATCTTAAAATGAAATGCTCCAACAGGTGAAAGACAATATGCTCCTCAAATTCACAACCCCCCCCCCCCCCCCCCCCCCCCCCCCCCCCCCCCCCATACCGAGTCCAAAGAGAACGCTGCCTCGGTGACAGATGGGTACAACCCCGTTGCAACAATATAGGCTCATTGTAGCTATTAAAACAAGCCAGGATAGTCATCGATGGCTGCGCTTGTCCTGCCTAAGTTGTTGCAATTCGCTCTTTGATATAGAAACCTGCTGGGCTTCTTCGAGCACGACAGGTATAATCTGTCTCCAGTGACTTAGGCTCCAGGAGGAAGACGCTCACCGAAGAACGACAGAGAAAGAAGACGGAAAGGAACGAGAAGGAATAAGCAACCACCAAGCCTCTCAATATACAAAGTCGCTTCTCGCACTGCTTCGTTTTCCTCGTTCTTTTTTTTTTCTTCTGGCTTACAAGGTTGCGCATCACTGGGCTTCCTCATTTGGCTGCCTCTTCCACAGACCATACACCTTGGATACGGGTCTTCTTTAGAATCTGACATGCAAGATCGGCCAGTGTACCAGCCCTTAGCAGCTCTAGAATCTGTAAGTGCGCCTGAAGGTCCTTTCCGATCCAATTACGCAACTCAATAGCGTTGAGCGAGTCCAGGCCAAAGGCAGTCATGGTGACGGTCGCCTGCTTTGCGAGCATGACGTCGGGATGAAGCATCAGAATGGCGCCGAGTTTGTCGCGCAAGCCATCGACGACAAGTTCAACGGCCTCTTCCACGGTCGTAAGCTTGGCCAGTCTCTTACCGATAGGAATGTTTGCGCTGTTGCTATCATCCGCAGCTGTGCTAAGCGCGAGGGCAGCCGCCTTGCGCAGATATGAGAATTTGCCATCGGTGGCATAGTAGGGCATAGAGTCGCCGAAATCGAGACCGGTAACACATTGGTCGTCGCAGGTGGTGCCAACCTTTCCGTTGATAGAGCTCTCGATGAGTGCTAGGACTTCGGCCTCGCTAATGCCGTTACCGGATAAATTACGAAGAACCTCGCATTGTTTGCTGGCATTCTCTGCCAGGTAACCGGCATCTTCGACCGCAGTCAGGTTGAGAGATGTCGAATTGAGACCCAGTTTGCGGCGGTGGACTGTCAAAGCATCCAAAAAGGTGTTGGCTGCAGCGTAGGCTGCCTGCCCTCGGTTACCGACAATACCAGCAACGGAGGACATAACGATGAAGAAGTCTAGGGGTTCATTAGCCAGCGCAGTGTGGAAGTTCCAGCCGCCCGCAACCTTTGAGCGGACAACCTCATTCCAGTCCTCGAATGACATCTTTTCAAAGAGGGTATCACGCAAAACCATAGCTGCATGGATGACACCACGGATCGGAGGCAGTGACGACTGCAGCTCTAAGATGAGCTCGTTAACCTTTGCCTGATCGGCCACATCGCAGGGCTTTACGTAGATCTTGGCTTCATCAACTTCGCAGTCTTTGCTGAGCTGCTCTAGCTCAGGGGTCATCTTGCCGCTGCGGGACAAAAGGACAATGTGCTTTCTACCTCGTTGCACTATCTTTTTTGTCATAGAACGGCCAAGGCCACCTGTACCGCCAATGATGATATAAGTGGCATTGTCTTTCACTAGATCCTTAGTGGTAGGCTGCTGGTGAGTAATATTGACCTGCTCATCAACGAGATGGTTGACAATAACTTTACCCGTGGTCTTGCCGCTCTGAAGTTTGCGCAAAGCGGCTTCAACCTCGGATATGCCAATCTCGGTGATAGGGGTAATGGGCTGGATATTCTTCTTGGCGATGAGAGCCATGACTTCGTTGAAAACTCGGCCCATGATCTTGGGTCGCCAATCTCCAACTTTGGTCAAGTCAACCGAGCTGAAAGTACAGTTGTACTCGAACTTGGCCATTTCCAGTCTGGTATTAGAAGTGATATCACGTTTTCCAATTTCAATGAAGCGGCCGAATGGAGCAATGCAGGCCCAAGTCTCTCTCAATAGGTCACCGGCAAGCGAATTGATCACAACGTCCACGCCATTGCCACCAGTAGCTTCTCTGAGGGCAGGCCCGAAGCTAGTGTCTCTACTATAGAAGATATGATCCTCAGGGATACCATACATATCAATAAGGTGCTGCTTCTTCTCGGCACTGCCAACAGTGGCGAAAATCTCAGCACCAATCATCCGTGAGAGTTGAATAGCGGCCTGCCCTACACCGCCAGAGGCAGCATGAATCAAGATCTTTTCACCGCTGTCGAGGCGTGCAAGTTCAACAAGGCCATAGTAGGCAGTGCAGAAGACGACGGGGATAGAGGCAGCAACAGAGAAAGGAATATCATCGGGTACAATAGCTGCACTAGTAGCTGGACAGCGAGCAAAGGTACCATAAGCACCGTGTGTCATAGCACAAACCCGATCTCCAACCTTGAGCGAGGAAACGCTAGATCCAAGTCGTGAGACGGTACCGGAACACTCGACTCCGAGATATGGGCTAGCCACCTGTCCCATGGCAATGACAACGTCCTTGAAGTTCATGCCAGTGGCAGCAACTTTGATTTCAATCTCATCAGGCCTCAACTCGTACGCCTTCTCGTCTTCCCAGAACAAGGAGTCGAGCGCACCATAAGTGCCAACCGCGATCTTGAGGCGGCGTCCGGGCTGGTTGAAGTCTTGGAGATAAGGGCGGGAAGACTGAGTTTGGCGGAAGATATCGAGATTCATCTCGTTTTCCTCTACTACACGGGGAACGAAAAGTTTACCATTTTTCTCCGCAAACTCGTAGTCAATAGAGTCATCTTCGGGCGTCTCCAATGACGTTTTCAATGCTGTGAGGATCAGCTGCGCCTGGTCGACAGGCATCAACTTAGATTTGGTATCGAGGTCGAGGGTGGCTGCCACCTTGCTCAGCTCGGAACGAATAGTTCGGAGCATTCCCTGAGCCATGTTGTTATGCGGGATCTCTGCATTTAAGTAAGCACCAGAGCCCACCCAGAGGATAGACAAGCCATCAAGCAGGAGCTTCTGAACGCGAGCAAATGTATCGGCGCTCATGTTATCCAGAACTGGGCTATCAACTTCATTCAAGACGATATATCTAGTGGATGAAGAGATTTCCACGTTCTCCAGTGACGTGATGGTCGGTCTGCATCCACCACTCCGGATCTCAATTAGATCTGCAAGAGCCGCGGAGAGAGTATTTGAGGGGGCAGCATCGCAAATGATGGTGATAGGAGTGGAACTCAAGTCAACACCGGAGGCCAACGCACCATGGACGTAGCCATTAGCGTCACTATTAGAACCATTGATGTGCCCATCGGTGTGTCCGTTAGTGTGACCGCTGATGTGCCCATTGGCGCCTCCATTGGTATGGCCGCTGATATGCCCATTCGTGTGTCCATTTATGTGTCCATTTATGTGTCCATTTATGTGTCCATTGATATGCCCGTTGGCGTGCCCGTTGGCGTATCCGTTGGCGTGTCCGTTGGCGTGTCCGTTGGCGTGTCCGTTGGCGTGTCCGTTCGTGAGTCCATTGATATGCCCGTTGGCGTGCCCGTTGGCGTATCCGTTGGCGTGTCCGTTGGCGTGTCCGTTGGCGTGTCCGTTGGCGTGTCCGTTCGTGAGTCCATTGGTATGGCCGTTGGTGTGCCCGTTGGCGTGCCCGTTGGTGTGCCCGTTGGCGTGCCCGTTGGCGAGCCCGTTGGTGAGCCCGTTGGTGAGTCCATTGGTGTGGCCGTTGGCGTGCCTGTTTGTATGGCCGTTTGCCTCATCTGAAGTAGGATTGTCTTCAAGTCTCGCTGCAACTTGAGCTTCTAAAGTCTCCCAGTTCACTTTATAGCACACGGATCTGCACTCTTGGCCATCAAAGGCATCGCCGTTAATTGGGGTCAAGACGGTGTTTCGCAGCATAACGACAGGCTCGTCCCCGCCTGTGTGCCATGCATCATGGTCATATATAAAGGGCCCCTTTGAAGAGTGGTTATGGCAGCGGGTTACGAGTTCGAGCGTTTCTCCGGGAGAATTTGGGCATTTGGTAGATATCTCCACACTTCCAATGGCCGATGGCATGATCAAGTTCTTCATATTTCCGCGACCTGCGCCGATGACCAAGAAGCAAGTCTGGAAGATCAAGTCTGTGAATGCAGGGGGTAGAATGCTTCGTGTCTCATAGTTGAAAGGCATATTGGCGGCAGAATCTTGGAGAACAGCTATACCAGCTGAATAGCCACCATCGACTCTCAGGTTTGCGCCATCCTTGAATGTGAAGTCTCTGGTGTATCCAGCGCCCTTGTTAGAAAGTTCCGAGTAAAAAATTTCACGGTCAACTTCAGTACCAGGCTGCGCTTGAATTTTGGCCCTGCGATCAAGGGCAGCTTTTTGGTTCCTCACACGAACAGTATTGGCATCGCTGCGTTTCTTGATGCCAACAAGGCCACGGCAGTGCTCAACCCAGCCTCGGGACGGCGCCCAAGAAGAAAATTGGAACTCATCCCAATCATCAGAGTACGATGCAAGGCCTTCCGCGTATCGCTTGAGAGTAAAGCGTGTGTCATAAGATGCGCCGTCATCAAGGATAAAGGCCTTAGTGACCTGGATGTCGCGCATACAATAAGAGGCAATTTCATCTAACGATACGCCACGTATCCTCGCTCTTTGAGAAGCAGCTTCGGTCGCCATAGTCAGGTATCCAGCGCAGGGGAATGTGACAAGAGTTTGCATTTTATGATCTTTGAGCCATGGCACTTCATCGGAGTCAAGAACGTTGGTCCAAACAGGCTCATCTTCGTTGCAATCATCTTGTAGGAGTCCAAGCAGGTCATGACGGCCGAAAGGCTTTAGGCGACGGGACTTGCTGGCGCGGGACTCTGTCCAGTACTGATGCATTGACCACTGATAGGAAGGCAGGTTTGAAATCAAACTGGGGTCCGATTGACCCTCCAAGGTCTCATTGACCTGGCTGAAGTTGATAGCAAGACCGTTGGCCCAAAGATTACCGGCAAGCTTGACGGCTGTAACCGCAGCATCTTGGTTGCGGAGCAAAACAGAGTAATACCTGACGCTAGAAGCAGCTTGCTTGCTAACGCTCTTCAAAATTTGCTTGATTGGGCCCTCGAGGGCAGAATGGGGGCCGAGCTCAATGATAATGTCCGGCTTTCCATCATGGTATAGCTGCTCAAGGGCGGACGAAAAGAGAACAGGCTCGGTAAGGTTGTTAACCCAGTACTGAGCGCCTAGTGCTTCAGTGTTATCGAGCTTCTTGCCGAGAAGAGACGAGTAAAACTTGATACCATCCGTGGCTTTGGAGTGCATGTTTTTGATGGCCGCCATGTAGTCATCTGCGACAAGTCTCATGTGAGCAGAGTGATAGCCTACGTTGACACGAAGCTTCCGGCTGAAAATGCCGCGTCTTTCAAGTTCCGAAGCCAGGCAGTCAATGTCTGTCTCATCACCAGAGGCAGTAATTGAATTGGGAGAGTTTTTGCAAGCAATGGTGATGCCATCCAAACCCAAGGATATGATGATTCCCTTGACTTCGGCAGGCCCAGCACCAACTGCTAACATTGCACCATGCAGATCAGGATTGCGCTGCCTCATCTGAGCAGCAAAATAGCCGCGGTAGTAAGCAGCAGCCATGGCATATTTGAGTGTAATAGCGCCTGTAACATAAGCAGCCGCGATTTCACCAGATGAATGGCCGCTGACCATGGAAGGGTTAACGTTCCACGTCTTGAGAAGCTCAACAAGACCAAGCTGGACCGCCGTACAAATTGGCTGCGCAATATGAACCTCATTCACAATGGACTCACTCTTATCCCGCAAAAGCTCTTCCACGAGGGAGAAGTCAGCTCCAATACTCTCGAGAAAGTCCGACGACTCTTTGACCGTTTTGGCGAAAATGGGGTGGGAGTTGAGTAACTGCTTGCCCATCTGCGGCCACTGAGCACCTTGGCCAGTGAACACGAAGGCTAGCTTGAGAGGTTCATCTGACGCCCGTTGTGGGAGCAGGACTTCATCATTCAAGGTTTTTGCCAGCTCGTCGAAATTTCTAGCAGTGATAGCAACACGAAAAGCGTGGTGAGTCCGGCGCTCGCCCAGAGTGTATGCAACATCGCGAGAGATGCGCTTCTCAAAGATTTCGGGGTGCTGCTCGACGTAGATTCCAATCTGGCTCGCATTTCTTTTGGCAGCACCCTCGTCGTGACCCGATATGGGGAAAAGTTTGGGTGCAGGGGCTTCATTTCCTGGTGATTCAACGGGCATGGCCTTGATTGTAGCCACTATGGGCGCCTTTTCGAGAACGGCGTGGGCATTGGAACCCCCAAAACCGAAGTTATTAATGCTAATATAGCGCTTGCCTTTAGGCCAAGGACGAATATTGATGGGAACTTTCATACCCCACTCTTCCAGAGGTATGGCAGGGTTGGCCTTCTCAAAGTTGGTGTTGGGTAAGATGAAGCCTCGATCCAGCATAAGACTGGCCTTGATGATAGATATCAGACCACTGGCGTTTTCCAAATGGCCTACATTTGTCTTCACAGAGCCAATGTAAAGGGGCTTGCGCTTTGTACGGCCGTTTCCAAACACTCGCTGGATGGCAACTGCTTCTAGAGGGTCTCCTACTTTTGTGCCTGTGCCGTGTGCCTCGACGAATGCCGTGTCGTCCGGGCTAATGTTTGCGCGCCTATATACGTCACGCATGAGCTTCTCTTGCATTTCACTGCTCGGTGTCGTCAGACCAACGGTCTTGCCGTCCTGGTTAATTCCTGTATTGACGATTACAGAGTAGATCTTGTCGTTATCGCGCAGGGCTTGATCGAGTGGCTTGATTATGAGGGCAGCGGAGCCTTCGCCGCATGCGAAGCCAGATTTTCCGCGGTGGTCAAAGGCGTATGTCTTTCCTGTGGGAGTAAATAGACCCAGCATAGACATGGAAACCAGGTCGTCGGGGTTAAGATACAAATTCGCAGCCGCCACCAGCGCAGAGCTGCATTCTCCGTTACGGATGGCATTAACTCCTAGGTGAAGAGCATGCAGACCGGAAGAGCAAGCTGTGTCGACGCTACAGGAGGGCCCGTTGAGATTGAAATAATAGGAAAGCCGCCCGGCCTGGATAGCTGGGTGAAGGCTCGTGGCCTCAAACAGCTCTATTCGCTTCAGGTCTTGCGTACCATATCGGTAGTCTGATCTCTTGCTACCAACAAAAACTCCCATGGTCTGTCCGGATATCTTGTCCTTGGGAAGACCTGCGCACTCCAGAGCCTCGTACGAGACTTCGAGAAGCTGTCTTTGTAGCGGATCTTGGGGTTGATACAATTAGCGAGTTACTTTGCTCATGTAATAATGAGGACTCTAGCTTACCTATCGCGGCGGCTTCTTGTCTTGTGATATTGAAGAATGGGGCGTCAAAGCAGGACATATCTTTATCCATAAAATAGCCTCCAATTTGGTTAAAGGTACCCCTCTTTTGCGGATTAGGGTGGTAGTACGCTTCAGAGGAATATCGGTCTTTGGGGATTGGGATAGAACCGTCTCTGCAACGAGATATCATTGTCCAGAAGTCCTCCAATGAAGCCACCCCGCCCGACGTGCGACACGCCATGCCAACAATGGCGATGGGTATGGGTTTCTCCATGTTGGAGGGCTGGTAAGCCAAAGGATCTAAACTCGGTGGCAAACGACAAAAGACATAAATATGTGTGTGTTTAAACAGGAGCTATAAAATGTACTTTTTGGGTTGGGAGTATAAGAGGTGTAGTGCTCAGTTGGATGATGAGAAAATAATCATGAGCAGGGGACACTGCAGCACTGGCAGATAAACTAGGTACGGAGTACAGGATCTGGAAGGGGCTGCTGGGGATAGGAGCTGTCACGATCTAGGAAGAGGTATCATATATGTAACAGTTTGTGGATAAGTTAAGCTACTAAAGGGCCAAAAAGTCAGGCTTTAAAAAGGAATATAGTGTAGACCTTGCTTTTTATCCCTTTCTTGCACTTTATGGAGTAATTATTATTTTATTTTTACCATGTTTAATTCACTTCCTGCCGCCTTGTGACCTTATTGCTAGGTGGACATACATGCAACTATTTACTTTTGCTCTCCTCGTTACTAGGAGTCATAGATAAGGCGGAAGATACTACGGAATACTTAAGGGGTACTCCATACACTCGATAAAGAGGATACATGTGCCGGCTAAATTTTGACAATAATCCTAAACCAAGGAATAACAGTCCTATAGTTTCCGGTTAGATAGTTGTGATCTCACAAGCACGCCCTAGTTGGATAGGCAAAGGAAAACCTGAAAAATAGGCCAGACTGGGCGAGCCCTCATTGGCGGCCATTTCTTGAGTCCCTGGCGAAACCCGGTACTAGCGATGTGTGCGACCTTGAGGTCGTTCATGTGGCGGAGGTGAGACTGGTGGAGTGGACGCAGCAGATGCGCCCCATTAGCCGCGCCCCACTTGAATCGCTCGGCTGAGACCCACCGGGTGGGTCATGCATAAACAAACCACTAGCTTAAACGCCAGCCCTGCGACGATAGGGGATCTGCGACGATAGGGGATCAGCGTCAACTCAAACGATCGATACAGAACGTTAATTCATCCCCATACGGAGTACTCCATCTAGGGAACTAATACAATATTAAAGCGTGAGTAATACTTTGTATAGCTGGGAGATTCGTGCGATGGTATCAGCGTCCGTATTGACATACGCTGGATCAACCTCTTGCTCGCCGCTGCGTCTTTCGTCTCACTCATTTATGACTGTCAAAGTCAGTTTTACCCGTGCTGCAGATTCATATATATAAATCATTCGCTCACCTTTTGGCGCATTTAGATACTAGCGGTCTGCTTGTCACCTCCATCCTACCATCATGAAGATCCTCTGTATCCACGGCTCATATGGCAGCGCATCGGTAAGTCAAGTAGAGACCGCCAGCGTGGTTTCCTTTTCTCTCTACGGAGTATTCCGTTCACATTTACTGCTTCTCGAACGCGGCATGGTGTGCCGCGCCGTTAAGATAACGAAGAAATAAAATACCTCCTGACACCTTCGTCTAGGCTTTTCGCACCCAACTAGAACCGTTTCTCGCTACGGTAGAGAAGCCCGGGGAAATTGATTTTAAATTTATTGACGGCATTTACCCTGCCACGCCTCCAGAAGGCTTTCAAGATTACTATGGGCCGGGGCCTCACTACCTCAACACTCAATTCGATGGCACTGCCGGCCTTGAAACTTTGCAACATAAATTGCGCACGATCAAACCGGGAGAAAACTACGAGGACACAATCAAAGAGCTTGTTAAAAACAATGCTACTGTCATATCCAAGGGAAATTATATGAAGACGTTCGACTACATTGAGCAGCTCCTAACTGAGGATCCAGAGATTCAGGTATATCAGTCCCAAACGAAAAACTGCCAGTCGGCTGGGCTTTTTCAGTCAACTCATCATTCTGAGAGTAATACACTGACAAGAGTTCCGTTGTAGGGACTTCTCGGCTACTCTGAAGGCGCCACAACCGCCGCAACGTATTTGTTACTACAGGCACGCCGACATCAAGAAGAAGGCACCCCACATAGGGTCAAGGTAGGCCACGCCCAATACGGTGTATTTCCATTCACTTGCGGCTTTACTAATGATATTTTGGTCAGTTTGGCATCTTCTTTGCTGGCTGGCCACCTACAAGATTTGAGGGGGACCGCCTCGTGCCTATTCTGCCCGACGAGGATGACGATGCCATTATTGATGTCCCAACGTGCCATGTCGTTGGCTGCAGTGACCCTTATCTTTATGGCGCGATGACGCTATTTCGAGTCTGTGATGAAGATACCGCCACTCTTTTTGATCACGGCAAGGGCCATACGCTGCCTCGAGATCCTAGGACGATCACCGAGCTATCAGACTCCATCAACACAACACTCAAGCATGCAGGTCTCCTCAGCTAAAGACGTACCCAATAAATTTATATGCTTTGGGCTCCTGAGCATGGTTTCAGCGCTGCCACGGCGTCTGTGGAGGGTTTATACTAGAGCAGAGTGGTGACTAACTGGCTAGATTTACGGATAGTTTGTGGATTAGCGCCACCAGTCTAAATAGATAATAGTCAGTTTACAGCAGTGCATCCCACCCACGCTATCCTACCCGTCCAAATTGCTGACACGGTAAAGAGCCTAATGCCCCTCGGCACTTAGTTAATCGTGGTCACTCAGTCGCGATGCGCGAGGGGCCTGATGGGGGACCAAGGCGTACGGAGTACATAATAGTGATGTGCGTAGAGCCACGAGTCAATGCCACCTCTTCCAGAAATGCACATTCCAGTCAACAGAGAGCAAGCTGAATTTTGCGATAATACTAAATAGCTCAGGAAAGGCTTTTTAGGAGAAACAGGAAAAAGCAATTCACACGATCGTCAGACCAAATAGTTAACGACAGCCTAGTTATCCGGCCACAAACTTGAGCTCCTTGAGCATCAGCACTGACCGACATGCCTGGAGATGATTAGTGGAGGCATGCCTGTCAATGCTCATTATGGTCCCGGCGGTTTGGTGGCGTTTCCACATGTATGAAATGCTTGTATTCGCATTGTGACGAGAAGTAGGAGTCGTACCCGGCTCCAGATTCCGGGTCTGCTGTGAAGTTGCTAGGCGGGCAGCTGTAACCCTGTGGCCGCTGCTGTGAGATGTTTCTATCTCAGAAACTGGCTAGAGGAACTGATAGGCGCCTATGACCCCGACAAAACATCCGTACGGCCGACACCTGCTGCTTGAGCTTAGATTTCTTTTTTTACTCTCGCTTTCCTTCTCCCTATCGCTAGGCTCAATCTGTTTTGCTAACGTTGCGGTTGCTCCGCGCTTCCGCAAGCTGCACCAGCAAAGCAGACACGATAATTGAATCGCCCGAATACTATGGCAGCTGCGAGCCCGAGGATTCTACTCATCAGCAACGTTGAGCGTGGCCAATGCAACGTCTTCCTCGCGACTGCCCGGGCTATACTGCACGCTGATCCTAATGTCGACTTGCACTTTGCCTCATTTCCGGCACTCGAGGCTGAAATCCAGAGCATTTCTGACGATGCCAAACGAACGAACGCCAGCACTAAGCCCATCTCATGGCATAGCATTGCTGGTCAGACTCACGGCGAGGCCGTGTCGGCTGCCATAGCTAAGCTTTACCCCGGGGAAGATGAGGAAAAGACGCTGTTTAAGACGCCAAATTTAGCACGTCCACTCAGCACGTCCGTCACAATGGCAGCGATTCGTGATATCGTTCGCTGTCTGATAGGTTGGGACGGGCCTGCCTTTATGAAGGTGCATGACTGCATCAACGATATTTGCAATGAAGTCGTGCCAGACCTGATTGTCATCGACCCCCTGATGGCGCCAGCAGTCACTGCTGCCTGGTATCATGAAAGCCCGATGTGTGCCCTGAGCCCAAACTCCATCAAGGACGTCGCATTAGGCAGGGCCTTTCCCTGGTTGCTTTGGACATATCCAGCGTAGGAACTGCCCATATCCCCTGTCGCCTATTCTCTCCCTTGGCCCTGCACTGGGATTCATTGATCTAGGGTACGATGCGTCTATGTTCGAGTGATGCTAATGAAATTTATAGCCTCATGTCGGGGATATCCTTTCCCATTCCTTGGCATCGTGTACCGCTCAACATATTCTTCTACTTTTATACCCTTCGCACCATAGCAACAGATCGAGGTTTGCGCGGCGTTTTACAGCATGTTACGAAGGCTCTTGGTCGGCCGGCACGGACGGTGAGAGACGTGATAAATAGCAAGGGCCCAGGTACGCCTACAGTCTTTGTGAATACGCTACCGGAGCTCGATTTCCCATGGCTGCCGTGCCCTCCTCACGTCATTGCGAGCGGTCCCATCGTCCGCCGCGTGCAGCCAATTTCAGAAGCAGATCCAGAACTTGCCGACTGGCTTTCTGGCAGCCCTACCATCTTCATAAATCTGGGTACGCACACCAAGCTAACCGAGGCCAAGGCTGCCGAGTTTGCGACTGCCTTGAACATGAGTCTTAATACCATGGACGACCGGCACCCAAGCAGTCGTCCTCTGCAGATCTTATGGAAACTGCAAAAGGCGGGCGAATACGACGCAACCGCATCTGGTTCTAGAATTTACAGCATTCTCAAAGACAAAATAGAGTCTAATCGAATGCGTATTACCAGCTGGTTAACAGCCGAACCGCTAGCCATATTGCAGACTGGCAATATCGCTTGTTTTATCCACCATGGTGGCGCCAACTCCTATAATGAAGCTGTTCTGTGAGTACATGATAAGCCGACGTTTATTCTCTCTTTTGTATTTTCTAATTCTCTCCGCTATAGAAATGGTGTCCCGCATGTTGTCCTACCATCGTGGACAGACTGCTATGAGTATGCCCAAAGGGTCGAGTACCACGGCATTGGCCGAATAGGCGCTCGGAAGCAAGTGCCTCAAGTGGAAGCCAGTGAACTATCGCGTGAACTTTTGACGGTTCTCGACGGTGAAGAAACTAAGTCAATAAAGCGCAAGGCTCAAGAGCTCGCTGCTATCTGCAAGGAGAAGGGGGATGGGGCAGATGCTGTGGCCTACAAGATGCTAGAGCTGGCAAAGAAGTCATAGTTGTAATCCTTACCCCATTCTGTGGTTTTACTGGCTTTCTACAATAATTTCTATTTGTTCTTTTCTTTCTTTGACTGCACATTCTTACTTGTATTATATACAACTTATACGGTGAGATTCTCTTAATTGTGGAAAGGTGGGCAATTTTCTGATCCTGCCAAGGGAGTAACTAATGCCTGAAGCTGCAAATTGCAGAGCTCTACGTCACTAAGGTAGCTGAATATTAAACCAAGGTTTTCGCGCCTACAATAAGATATAACGACAAGTGATTCGCCACAGATTCTACTTCATAACATCCCGCGGCTCATGTGGACTCTATATTGACCAAGCCTGGGTCAGATTTGACGAAGCAACGAATCACAAATAAACAAACTTGATTTAAGATAATATTTTTAACAATCTCTATGGATCTTTTCCGTATATCTCTATTTCATAGACGCATGCCCGGCCTGCTACTACCTGCTTGTTGTTTCATTATCGCCAACTCTTGCTCTTCTATTACGGTCTAACAAATCCTCAATAATCTATATGGTTTCACTGCACTCAAAGCCTTGCTCTATCAAATCCCACGTATGCCTTGATAAGACCCCGTCGAGAATATAGTTCCCAAAAGCGTCCCTTCCACTACAGACTATGTAAGGAAGACGCAGCTGACCTGATATTGTGTGTGATATCCCGAGACGCTTCTGCATAAAAATGGTCGGCGTGCAAGGGGCATTTACGCGCGTCGAGTCTAAGTTGCCCTGTCTCGCCACGGCAGGGCCAAAGTCCGCCTTTTCGCGAACATCGAGGACCGTAAGGTCGTTGTAGGCCACAAGGAAATCATTCCCGGGGTTTTCGGTAAAGTAGTGGAGCTTTTCAGTAGGAATTCGCTTCTCCGCCTGAGCATGCTTGAAGTCAAAGTAAGCGGTAATCTGCGCTGGGGTTGCCTGCTCCTGGGTCTGTCGGCGGATCTCCATGGCTAGTATTGCGAGTGGCCCCCGGATAGTTTCAACAGATAACGACATGAATACCCAGGAGAGCATATTTTGAACATAGACGCCCTTCTTTTGCTGCAGTTCGGACAAGCGCAACCTTGGGTTGACGGGCATGGCTAGCAACACGTTGGAAACTCCTGGCTCAGCTTCTAATGCCTTCCGGAGGAACCAGGCACGAAGTATAAGAGAGTTACTGAGAATGAAGGGCAGACTTTGTATTCCCTTAACCTCCAATTGCATTGAAGCACGCTCCTTGAGTTGCTCAACGAACCTGCCGGGTACAGATATGCATCGCGCTTCAAACTTCTGGACAGTGAAGCGGCGCCACAGGAATACTCTCAAGAACATCCTACACATTGCCCATAGCCCTAGGCTCTTCCCTTTCATACACCACTCTTCTTTGCCTTTCTCATTAGCCTTCTCTCCGATTTGCCAAACGATATTCTCCGTGGTACCCAGGAGGGGTGGCACATCATCTTCCCGGCCAGCAAGGACAAGTGACCACGCGTGCATTAGGTCTGCCATGCCGCCTCCATCAGCAATAATGTGTCTCCAGAGAAGGGATACGATGGTAGTGCCCTTAAACGTCGTTATATGTAGCGCTAATGGCGGAAGCTGTTCTTGGATCCATGTTGTTATAGTGCCGTTCGCCAACGTGTCGCTGTGACATTGGAATTCTAGATAACTAGGTCGATGCGCATGCAATGAGATTAAATTTTGTCCAGTCGACATTTGGCTGACTAGTTCATGATCTGATTCTTTTTGATCTGACAAGTCTCGGTGACTATAGCCGATAATTGAGTAGCCTCCCAGGAAGCTGCGCGGCGTGTGGAGCTCAAGTTTTCCATCTTTCTGGGAACTGTAAGTATAATACTCTTTGTGTAGGGGGATATCATTCAAGGCTTACGTTGCGCTTGAATCGGCCGGCAAACTTTCTCCAATCTCCTATTTGGAGGAGTCGCGAAAGAGATGTCCGGAGAATTTCAGGGTCTAGACAGTCATTAACACCAAACACCCATGCCATATGCATGGCTTCCACATCCTTGGCCCTATCGAACTCATGTAGAGGATATATGTCGACATCTTCGGGGGACAACATGTCGGCAGAGATGCTGAGCTGTATACCACTGTTTCGCGACTCGCTGCTCAATGCGGGCCACTCAGATTCAATGGGTTGGCTACATATTTGTATAAAGAAACAATATGAACAGTATTAGTGCTCTGTGCTCCTATTATTAGGCTGTTGAGCCAGCAAGAACGAGCGTCGTACGGAGTATTGCATTAGGCCTCCTGGGTTGTAGGTTAAGTGTATTGAGAATGCAACTAAGTAGAAGCTGAGAAGACCTAACAGAGTAATAATATTAATTTTCTTTGTTAACGGGTGGCTTGGCTAAGGTAAATAGCTCTACTCCGTACTAAAAGTATTATAATAGTCTGGTTAAATTTTTCGCCTGCAGCATGATAATTAGCATCATCCTCGCGGCACGGCCGGTAGTTAAGAGGGAAGGACAGATACCAAGGTATTGTTAGACGGTTGAAGGCAAGAAAGAAGTAAAGAAAAAGAAAAAGAAACTGAAAAAAAGAAAAAGGAAAGGAAAAAGAAAGCATGGAAGAAAAAAGCCAGGGCAAATAGGAATTTCAAGACCAGGGTAACTAACCAGCTAAGGTCTCGGGATAATGTCGATCTGTGCCATAGGTCAACTGAGCAAATACCAGTCGAATCGACTTTGGAAGGGTCCACGGCAAGTAGTAATATTTCTCCCTACACATTGAGGAACACCAACTGCTAACTCAGTTCTTACTTTTCTGGGTATAGGCTGCTGTTGTGAAATTACTACCGACATCAACGGGACGGGTTTATCTGCTGTTTTTGAAAGCGTTGTTCCTGCTTCTTCACCCAATCTCGTTCAAGCGCTCGTCTCTCATAAACTGGGTTCGGAATACGCAGTACCGCATCGAAGGTGCTGCAAGCCTCGACGATGTGGGATATAAGGAGTGGCCGTAGACGCCGGGGTGCAAGGTTGCCTACAGTTATTACAGCCCGTGATGAAGGCATATCTTGCATCCGAGTCGACGAAGCCATAGATATTACGTTTAAGCGGCCGTCAAAAGGGTTCAGAATGTTATCTATAAACCAATTGGTTATAAACGAAGCCGACCGGTTGACATCTGAGTCTTCTTGTTAGCTGGAGTTCTGCAATAATTACCTTATCAAACCGTTGTCTTGCTAGAGCTGAAATGGCCCTTAAATAAGCTCTGGAGGCTGATGGCTGGAAAGTCATTATCCACCACGGGTTTAGCCGAACTCAAACAACAGCTCATAAATGTCCGAGATCACCGCACCTAGGAGTCATGATTGGTCAATATGGTATGTGATACTTCTTGTCAAATTTAAGATGTTGTATATTTCATTAGGTGCCCAAGCTCCACCTATTAACAATAAGTGGATACCTTACCGAATAGAGCAGAAAATAACGAAGTTTGGCGGGGTGGCCATCTTATATATCTAGCGGTTGAGCGCCTGGTAAGATGCACTAGGAGACGTAAAAAACCTGGTCAACGGGCCAAACAGATTAAACAAGGCTTGTCGCCATTTGTTTGACGAGAGAGCCCCTTTTAAGTAGCGTCTGTCACAAACAAGGGCATTTTCTAGGATCTAGAAACGTTGATTACCCAGCGAATTTATATCAACGCTAGGATCCGGGACAATCACTTGTCGAGCCATGGGTGTAACTGGACAGTATCAGCCATTAAGTACTGAAGAACCAGAGCAATCGGGACTGGCCATCTATAGCTCCCAGCCCGCTGCTGCACCACGAACACTGATTGATATCCTGGAAGATTCCATTAAGGTTCATCCTCAGCATCCTGCCATTGACAATGGACAGACATGCCTTACCTATAGCCAACTACAAGAAGAACTTGCCATTCGCGTAGCAACACTGCGCGCATCTGGGATAGGCGTGGGTGATCGGGTGGGAATTCGCATGACCCCTGGTACTGTCGACCTATACGTGAGTATCTTGGCCGTTTTAACAGCGGGGGCGGCCTATGTTCCGGTCGACGTTAATGATCCAGATGAGCGAGCGAATACAGTATGGGCAGAGTCTTGCGTCTGTGCAGTCTTGACCGATGGCCCAAAATTGACAACTCACGCCGCCTCTTTAGCTCAATCCAAATTCGAAAAGCCCACCATAGACGACACGGCCTGGATCATTCATACTTCTGGGTCGACAGGCAAACCAAAGGGGGTGGCTGTCACGCATGGCAGTGCAGCTGCGTTTGTCGATGCAGAGGCTCAACTATTCCTATCCGAACGACCCATTGCCCCTGGTGACCGAGTTCTGGCTGGACTTTCAGTAGCCTTTGATGCATCATGTGAAGAAATGTGGCTAGCATGGCGGAATGGAGCATGCCTCGTACCAGCGCCTCGCTCGTTGGTCAGAGCGGGCGTAGAACTGGGCGCGTTTTTGGCCCAACAATCTATATCCGTCGTCTCAACAGTCCCGACATTGGCAGCGATGTGGCCGTTAGAAAATCTTCAGAAAGTACGGCTATTGATCCTGGGCGGAGAGGTGTGTCCCGCAGAGCTTGTAAGCCGTCTCGAAAGCCATGGACGAAGCATATGGAACACATATGGCCCAACGGAAACAACGGTGGTCGCATGCGCGGCGCCCTTGGTGGCCGGCCAGTCGGTTCGCATTGGTCTTCCGTTGGCCGGCTGGCAACTCGCTGTCATAGGGCCAGACGGCAAACCTGTCGCGTGGGGTGAGACTGGAGAACTTGTCATCGCAGGTGCGGGTTTGGCTCGCTATCTGGACATTGAGAAAGATATGGTCAAATTTGCACCATTGCCGTCCATCGGTTGGCCACGATCATACCGAACTGGCGATCTGGTACGTGCAGAACAACAGGGGCTGGTATTCATTGGACGAAATGACGAGCAGATTAAGTTAGGAGGTCGTCGTGTCGAGTTAGGTGAAATTGATGCTAGATTGATGATGCTCCCTGGCGTTAGTGCGGCTGCCAGCGCAATCCGTCAAAGCGAGACGGGCACACCACTCCTCGTCGGCTACATCATTCGAGATGTCGCTGCCAGCAACACCGACCGCAACATATTACGAAACCACTTACCTGCAGCTTTGGTTCCTTTTTTGATTAACCTGAAGCAGTTCCCTTTGCGGACTTCTGGCAAGGTAGATCGTAAAGCGTTGCCATGGCCACCTCCACCAGTCAATGAAACGACATTCACAGGCAGCGCTGGCTGGTTAGCCGAACAGTGGCGGAAAGTGCTTGGGACACCCATCCAGGACAACAGCAATTTTTTCGACGTTGGTGGTACTAGCCTTGCTGCAGCACAGCTCGCCTCGTTGCTTCGCCGGCGATGTCCTAGATTTTCGGTCTTAGACATTTACCAGCACCCGACCTTGTTAGAAATGACCCATCGAGTGGATCAACTCACAAGCACGCGTCAAAGCATGCGAGTAGTAAAGCCGACACCAACTTGGACTGGCTACATCCAATTTGGCATCATCATAGCTTTGCTCACATTTGAGAGCTTCCGCTGGTTTGTTGTCATGGGCCTTTTCAAAGCATCAGCAACGTTTCTCATGGGTCCTCTTCCCTGGGTAGAGTCACTTTTAATTCCAAACTGGGCGCTTTCATTATGTTGGATACTCCTTGTAACTATGCCAGGCAGAGTACTGACTACAGCTACTGTAGGACGAATTCTTATGGTTGGCATCAGGCAAGGCAATTATGATCGAGGAGGATGGGTGCATCTTCGCTTGTGGACAGCCGAACGATTTGTGAGCTTTAGTGGAATCAATCCCATCATCGGCACGCAGTGGTGTCGCTACTATGCCTGGCTTCTTGGCTGTCGCGTGGACCCGAGTGCACAACTCCATGCTTTGCCGCCAATCACAGGACTTGCAATCTATGGCGCGTCATGCGTTGTCGAACCTGATGTAGATACTGCCGGGTATTGGGTGGATGGGGATGTTTTGCGAATTGGGACTATTGAAATATCCACGGGCGCTCGAGTGGGCACCAGGGCCGTAATGCTTCCAGGAGCCATTGTCGAGCCTTTTGCAGAAGTGCAGCCAGGCGTCTGCGTAAATGGGACAGTCACGGGCGGTGACTCCTTCCCCGATAAAATGTACACCGCCGAGCAAGATGGTGCCTGGTCAAAGTTGCGTTACACTTTGACGCTGTTGCTAGTCGAAGTTTTGCCAGCCATCGGCGCCATACCCGCAGTGGCTCTCTGCGCATATGTTTTGAGAAACAGTGAAGCCTTGGAAGATTCGATGGCTACCATATTGATACTGGCGGTACCAGTCACCTTGATGAGCATCATATCCTATGCAGCTCTGTTAACAGGCCTGATTCGGTTTACGGCAAGGTACATGGCGCCTGGTATATATTCCAGCCATGGCGTGCATGCCTGGGCTGCTTGGTTAACTCACCGACTCATGAATGATGCCCGAAACGGTCTCTTTGTCTTTTACGCTAGCCTCCTGACACCAATATGGCTTCGAGTGTTAGGCGCTCGCATCGGTCGAGGAGTCGAAGCGTCAACTATACTTGCACCACCATCACTTCTCCATGCAGATGATGGGTCATTCTTGGCAGATGATGCATTGCTTGCGCCATTCGAGCTTCGAGGGGGTAAAATTATACTAGGCGTCTCGTCAGTAGGACAGCGAGCATTTGTCGGCAACTCTGGCATTGTCGGGCCAGGCCACTCTACTCCAGATGGGTCGTTGGTCGGTGTCTTGGGCAGTGCTCCAGTTCCGTCGCAAATGCTTGCTGGCTCATCTTGGCTCGGACGGCCAGCCATATCAATCCCTCGGAGAATGGATAGTTTGCCGGACCCAAGACTGGCTTTTGACCCACCGTTGAGGCTCAGGATCGCGAGGGGCGCAATTGAGTCAATGCGGATTGTTCCGTTAGTAATCTCGGCGCTCTTGGTAGAGTTACTTGTGGCTAGCATGATCACAATCCTGGACTATTGCGGCTTGACCATTGCGATCATTGCAGGAGGGATGTTGCTTTTTGCAACAGGAGCCGCAACGTGCCTGTTAGCAACAGCTGCCAAATGGGTGTTGACGCCTAATGTTGTAGCGGGCCATCAGCACCCGCTATGGAGCTCATTTGTGTGGCGAAACGAGCTGGCTATGACCTTTGTTGAATCGCTGGCACTGCCATGGATACTTCGCCTGCTATATGGGACCCCTCTGTTGAATATGTGGCTGCGGACCATGGGAGCTGAAATTGGTGGAGGAGTTTGGTGCGAGACACATCGTTTGCCGGAGGCCGAACTGGTGAGCCTGGGAGACAGCGTCACGGTCAATCGTCAATGCGTGTTGCAAACTCATCTATTCCACGACCGACTGATGCGGCTGGGCCGGGTGAGGTTAAAGAACGGAGCCACGCTAGGCCCCGCTGCTATCTCATTGCCAGGAACAATCGTTGGAACTGGTACAACAATTGGTCCTCTGTCTTTGACCATGCAAGGAGAGCAAGTCCCCGATGGCGCTCGTTGGCTTGGGAACCCAATTGGGCCATGGGAAATAGCGCCTAAGAGTGCACCGGAGAGTTTCTCAGTTTAGCGTCATGTTACATTATGCATCTGGTTGTTTCTTTGTTTTGGCCATTAAATAGCATCAACTGTGAATTAAAGTGAGATTAATAGATATCTGTCAACGTCAAGAAGTTGAAAGAGAGGTTGAAACTGAGGAGAAACGCGATATCACGTGATGAAAGATTCCAGATGGTGCCGAGGTACTTAGTCACGTGTCAAGTTGGATATTTTGTCTCCATGCTCGCTCCTGTCTGGCGACACAGGTAAATATATTCGCGATTAAATACATACATAAGTTTCCCATTTATGAGCAATTAGCTATTTAATTTGGTAGAAAGCCAGTTGAGAGATTCACCTACGGTTTCCTAGCGCTAAGATGCATCGAGGGGAGGGCAAAATAAAACACGCATTAAGCAAATAAATGTTTAGCGGCATGCTCAATATGATCGTTTGCGAATGTAGCTATGGTGAAATAACTGTGGTCATAATCAGGCTGGTAACGGACGTTGATGCCGGATTCCACGCCCGCCTCCTTTGCTGCCTTAAGGAAGTTTTCTGGTAGGAGTTGCCCTTGTTTATAGAAGTCGTCACCGGTACCCTATTGGTAGCATTAGCTCTCACACTCATATCCCGTTTCATTTCACGCGTGTTATGATGCATAATATATTCGCCGAGGGACCACATACCACATCAATCAAAATATCCAATGATCCCTTCCATTGCTTAACTAATTCAGTAGCATCGTGCTTCTTCCATTTATTGTTGTCATCACCAAAGTAACCCTTAAAGGCCTTTTGGCCCCATGGGCAGTTGATTGGGTTTGCGATTGGCGCAAAAACCGAGACAGATTTATATTTGCCAGGATTTTTTAGGAACTATATTGTGGTGTATTAGAGCAAGAGCTAGGAATATGGAACAACCCAGATCTTGGGGGAAGTAATACCAGTGTTAAGGCACCGTGCCCTCCCATGCTGTGGCCGGTAATGCTGACACGGTTGGAATCTAATTGAGGAAACTGGCCAAAGACGACTTTGGGAAGTTCGTCTGTCACATAGGTATACATGTTATATCCACTGTTGTAAGGGGATTCGGTTGCGTCGATGTAGAATCCGGCTCCAGATCCAAAGTCATACGCATCATCTTCGCCAGCGATACCTAGCCCGCCTATAGAATTCATTAGATATCAAGCCTAGTAAGGTCGAAGGGTACTTGTATAGGGAGGCATACGTGGGCTGGTATCAGGGTATACGATAGCAATTCCTTTCTTGCTGGCTGAACTTTGAAGGAACCCTTTCTCCGAGCAGTTGTCCGGAGTACAAGTCAGCCCCGATAGAAAAAACAGCACCGGAGCCTTGTTATTTGAATCCTTCACTGCTTGTGGAGGAAGATATACGTTGAATGCCATCTCGCACTTGGTGGACGTGGCATTGTGAGAAAGTTTGAGGAGTTTCCCTCCAAACGAGGCAATAGTTGCCTTAGTTGTGACAGACATGACTCAAGAGGATGCAGTTGGCCCCAATGCAGAAATGTCTAGCACTCCTTGAATACAATCTTGGTGAATATGGGGTTGTTAAGCAACAAAAGAAAACAGCAGTTGGCGTTGAAGTTGATATTTAGCTGATGCGGGGTATTCCGGATCTCGCCCAACTTCCCCCGCACCGAAAGTTCTGCTAAAGATAACTAAAGCAGGTAAACATCCTTAACTACCTAGTAGCTGTTAATTGAGTAGTTTGGATATTAACGAAATACATTATGGTTCATCTATATATGTACATAAATAATAAGACTTCCATTATTCCAATACAAACCTCCTCTCACGGGTGTCAGTCGACATGGGGCATAAAGCACTTATCATCAAAAAATAATAATAATAAAAATGCACCTCTATTTTAAAAACACCGGAACTCCATATATGACGGGCGCTGCGCCATTCAAGTATTTGAGGATGCATGAGTCCCGAGAGCCAGCCACCGCCGTGTCTAAGCCGATTTGATCTGCCTGGTTCTCACCTTGGGATGGTGAAGTAGAAGAATTCGCCGTCGATGCAGAGGCGGATAATAGCCCCCATTTTTCAAACACTGTTTTAGCAAATCGATCAATGTCCTTATCCGTGACGTCCCAAAGCGTTGCTACTAAAGCAGGGGCTCCAGCATGCATGTAATTCCATGGTGTTCCGTAGGGCTCGAAGTCACCCGCTTCCGTCATTGAGCCGCTACTACATCCCATCAGGAAAGTCACAGCACACCTATCAAGCCTTCTAACGGTCCGACCGCGGATGTATTGGGCTCCGCTGCCGTGTCCGAAGTACAGCATGATGTCCTTGCTTTTTAACGCGGTTTCGAATGCCTCCTCCGTTGGTGCTGTATGCACTCTACCTGTCCAACCTTGTAAGGCCGATAGTGGTGCTCCAAAGGCGGTTTCCGTTGACTTGAGATCACCGCCAGGATTGAGGATATATGTGCCGTTGTTTCTATTAGCATAAAACCCGAATTGGCCGTTTTCGGGGATTTCTTGACCCTGAAATCGCAGCACTTGTTCTCGTACACTTTGAAGTGATGGCATACGGGAAACCGAAGAGTTTTGTAGACAACCCATGGACTCCCATGGGAATGCATGGAGGGATTTGTCAAGAATTAGTATGGTATGGCGGGAGTGCGTTGAAGTTCGCTCCCGCCTATCTTCTTCTGCATAACAGTGTAGCGCATCGAGTGTCTCTACAACCATCATGTCAAAGTCAATTTCATCATACGCATTCGTCTCCCCGTGAAATTGAAGAATATCAACGATGAAATATAAGAAATCCATCACGGCATCTTCTGGGTTCATCTCATCGTCAAGGCTGCCAATATTGACAAACAGCTCCATCACCCATGGGTCGAAGGTAGGATAGTTGACCTTGGCCTTTCCTCGTTTCTCCCTTCTTGATGGAAGGTGTTTGTCAAGGATTTTGTTAAAGGAACTTGTGAACTTCGCTAAAAGTGCTTCGTTCCTTGGAGCTTGAGAAAATATCCCACGGAATCCCCCAAACCATACTGTTTCAATATTTTGGAGAAGGTCCTTCAGTTGCTGATCAAGATTTTCTCTGTTTGCCCACCACTCTTTCTTTGCCTTTTTGCCAACACAAGCCCCGGTGTTGTGAGCGCTCGCGTTTGCTAGGCGAATGATTTCCAACAGTTCGGCTTTGCCTTCCTGAAAACTAAATGTTTCCTCATCCATGTCGTCTTCCCCCCCTCGCTTGAGTGGGAGGCGCAGAATGAGTGGGCTTTGTCCTGACCGAAGCTTCGATATGATAAACTCATCCTGACTAGGACAGAGAGTGATAGATATAATGTCCCATTCAGCCGGTAGACTATTAACGTAGTTTTCAATAAAGTGACTTTCTTCGACAGGTGGTAGGGCTAAGTTTGCTGATGGAGAAGCTGGCCAATCTAAACCGCTCATGTGGCCAGATAACTCCTTATCGGAGACAATAGCGAGGTGATCCCGTGAAAAGGCGGAATTCCGACCCAGCTCTAGAAATAGGTTAGCATTGAATATTTCCCACTCGGGAGCCTTCCTTTTAACTTACCTATAGCATGTGCGGCAATAAAAGGTTCCACCTCGGAACTACGTGCAGATCCTGTTGCAAATGCCAGCATTGATGTCCGGCTTCGAAGGTAGGAGATTTCATGACCCTCTTTACTCGAACCACGTAGAGATACGGACGATGAAATATCTGCAAGAACTTGTTTCGCTGTGGAAAGTGTTTCCGAAATATCTCCTTCGCCATGAGAGAGGGGTTTGGCCGAAGTTTCAGTTGTAGACGCAGATTTCAACCGTCTTGTCCCAGCCCGAGACTTTGACCTCGAAGCTGTTTCTTTTAAAACCTGACCGGCACAATGGAGAGAAGGAAGTGATATTGTTGATTCTGGAAGAACGCAGTAGACTGAATGGCCCGCTAACTTTTGTACTGCTACTCCGAGCGTATAATGTACCTTGCAGAGGCTATGGGTAGAGTCTGTCGTTTCCGTCGACAAGACTCTGTCGGCTTGGTTTAGCAGTGTGAGTACTTCATTAAATTTTTGAGAGGGTAGTAGAAGCATAGCTTGTTTTCTGAGAAGATTGCTATGAAGCCGTGCAATCAGTGGCCGGTTGTGGGGAGTATCTACTTCGATAGGGGCAGGGGTCTTCGGTCGAACGGGGGGAGGTTTTGTTTGACGCGGCTTTTTAACGCTGCGCGAGCGAAGTGCGCGTGTGGCTGTAGTGGTGCAGGGCTTCTCGGCGGAAGTGATACTTAGGTCCTTCGTCTGTTTCACAATTTCCTTCAAAGGGTCGAAAAAAGGGTCAAGTAAGTCCACGGTATTGGTATTCGTTAAGCTCATTAGAGCTTGTATTGACTCGGAAAGGATGCGATAGGCACTCTCCATCTCCTCCCTAAGGACGTAGAGAGAGACCAAATGCATATTAAGTGAAATGGGGAGAATGGAGTCAAGCGACACTTGAGACTCGTTATGCAGCTTCTCCAGGAGTTCAGCTCCTTTGTGCGTACGACCACCTCGAATAAAACGATCACCGAGCTCGGCCTTAACAAGGGCAGCAAGCGAATGAGCACCAATTGCATCACAAGCTGCTAGGGCCTGTTCGCCGTGGTAGACTGCTTCTTGGAAGAATCCATTATGATCTGAAATCCGTGATAATTGTAGTAATGCGGCCACGTGAGAAGAAAAATGTGGCCAGTAAACCGACCCCTCGAAGTGAGAGTTTGAAGGTTTTCTGTTTTTGGCAGATATCTCAAGGGCTGCGATTCCATCCGCAAGAGCATCGGGGCTAATGGAACTCTTGTCTTGGCTATGCTTCTCTAGCTTAGTTTCGATGTATTTCTCTAGTCGGGCCCATAATCGACTGCTTATCTTGACCGCACGCTTCGCATAGTAAGCGGCTTCGTTCGGTTCACCTTTAGCTAAGAATGATCGGGACAAAAGGGTTGAGGCATCTGCTGCTAGGCGCTCAATTGTGGCCCGCGTTTGGAAATTTTCCTTCGATAGGCTAGCCGATATGCCGTCAAATATTGGCTGAGCTCGCAATATACTCTCGATACTATACTTTGGTAAGCTTTCTAGAGTTATGAAAGGGTTATTGCAATAATTATCCATACCTCTTTGCGGGATCCCCTATCTCTAATTGATATTCTGCGAAGCCAAGATGCCACGATAGTAGAACATGCGGAGTAATGGTATGTTCTTCAGATATAGCCTTGGCTTTGGTAAGCATGTGGCCAGCCTTATCAGAGTATCCGAGGCGGCTGTATTGAAGGCCCATTGAGGAATAACATGCAACCGTCGTAGAGAAATCGGCTCTCTCTTGCAACGTTAAAAGTCGACTGATGGCCGCGAGCGCAGTTATCTTTAATTTCCATAGCCCTCGAACTTCCAAATAATCAACGAGGCCACGCAATTGAGCCACCAAGGCAAGAGGGTCTCCAATCCGAGCTTGAACAGACTCCCATGACCCACAGCCTTGAAGAATGACGACCCAGGTCTGGACAGCATTCTCTAGAACTTCAGTAGACGGAGTTCCTGAACAAAATCCCATAGTGATCATAAGAGACGCCTCGAGGTCATCACGGAGAAGCATCAAGTCTTTGTCCTCAGAAGGTGTAACAATGGAAGACAGACATCTGGCTGCTTCAGTAAGTAGGGATTCAGAAAATGATTTTTCAAACGGGGGGTTATGCTCTAGCAAAAACCGCAAGATTTGGTGAATAACCCTTGAGCGACGGATAGGGTAGGTCCCCCACGTGAGTAAAGAAAGGATGGTGGATATCAATGATGAGAGGTGTGCAATAGTTGCAGGCGAAGTGGCTACTTGTGGTGTGTCCATTAAAATGGCTGCTTGTTGCTCGAGTAGAGTTGCTCGGTGGCATGGCTGGAGGCCCTCACTATCATATATGACTGAATTCAACCGGGGTTCATGTTTGATTTGGCTCCTGATGTAGGAGCCCATGACCCGACCCAGTGCGTATGCTGGCCCCCTAGGGTCCTTCCAGATATGACGTGGATGGCCCTCGGACGCCATGCGACTAGCGGTTTCCAACACTCCAGCCTCAAGATGGGCTTGTATTGCTGAAATATAAGCTGCGGAAGACCTTTTAGCCTTCCCAATCTCGGAGTATAAGGCCGCTTGTCGTTCTAATTTAATTGAAATAAGTCCGGAAATTTGTTCTGGTAAGGCGCAGTGTTTAAGCACATTTATAGCTTGTTCCACAGGAGGTAATAATTCGAGAGGTTCTTTGCCCAAATCTTTATATCGCATATAGGTAGACCAGTATAGGTTTGAAATCCTCAAGAGACGAAGTGAGGAATTCAAGGCCGCACCATTATCTGGCTCACAGCGGGAACCGATTTTTCGAAGGAGCTGGCAGAGTGAAACACAGGCGGGTAAAACAGGCTCAACCTTTGACCACAGCAGCGAAGTTCCCCCAGACGAAAGTTTCCCAAGTGCAACTCCAGAGTCTACCGCAGCCAGTGCAATATTCCCGCACTTTTGTAGGCACAGAGACAGCGCATCTACATCGTCATGCTGCGCGTCTTGAACAGCCGGCGTTAGATAACGTACAAGGAACCGAACAAAGCTCACTAAATAACTTAGAGTAGAATCATAAATCTTAGTGACGCTCGAATCCCCTAGATCGTCTTTCGAAGACGGCTCTGTTGACGAGATATGTTTCATGACTGCTTTCTTGAGTAACGCGCTCTCCATGAGAAGCTCATCCAGTTCAGTCTGGTTGCCCTTCATGGAAGATGCCAAATCAGTTGCGGCTTCACCAATAGCATTCAAGGCTTGGGTATCCGGAGTCGATCGCGGTTTAAGTGATTCGACTTTCAAAAGAGCTCTTCGACACTGAAATATTGCGCGCTGTACCGGCCGCCCATTAGGGAGAGATGTAGCAGAGGATTCACAGAGCTCAGTTGCAATTTCTAAGCGGCCAGCGCTGTAAGCAATCTGGCCAAGCGTCTTTGCAACTACTGCCATGAAGTTGGATTTGTGCTCAGAATTTTGCTCAATATATCCATTCGATTTCAAGCGCGCCTTTAACTTTCCAAATGCAGCTTGAATACCATCAAACTCGTGCTTTTGCGAATTCGGACACCGTCTGGCATAGGTAGTAACGTATCGAGAAAGGGGCCCCCAAAGTTCCTTATCTTGATCACAGTTATGACCAGATATTTTCCACCAAATACAACGTATTTCTAGCGCGAGGAATTGAAGCAGTAGTGGTACTGTCGGGTTAACTCGACTGTCAGATGGGGTCTGTTTCTCTTCAGCAGGCGAAAGTATGATAGAAAGTGACAGGATATTTTGAGAATGGGATTGAAGTTGCTGGGCTGCCTTATCGTCCGTAATGGTTCCCATGTTATGCGCCGCAAGAATTGCATTGGCAGGGCTTGAGGGGTTCTCTAACGTTAGCAGTTGAAGGATCTTGCGGCTTGTAACGGGGCTTCCTCCAGACGTTAGAATCTTGAGAGCATAGGACTGGAAGGAGATGAGAAGTTGTAGGAGTGGTCCGCTTTCAGGTAGAACTTGGAACTCTAGGAGAGACTCTAGTGACGGCTTTTGAATGGCCATGTGCTTTTTCACAAGTCCCTGGGTCCTCTTCGTCCGTTCAGCGTCGATAGCGATCAGTAGAGTTGATTTTAACATCCACAGCGCTTTAATCGCTAGATCTTGTAATCCAACAACTAGTAGCTTCCCAACTAATATCGCTATCCCCTGGCTCAAATGAAGATTATTTGGATCGAAGCTTTCCTCGGAGACTCGTATATCTCGCAAAGTTTCCAGGGACAGCAAAGCGCATTCCGCAACAACGTTAATTCGTGTTTTCCCGTCGGCCTTGACCAACTCATCCGAGCCATCCTTCACATTATCTAGTGGTTGTATCTTTGGATTTGGCGACGTTAACTGTAACGGTGTCTTCGCCCCACCATCATTTCTCCCTCCGTGATTTCCATTTGCTCTAGGCGCCTTGGTAGCTCGAGATGCCGGGACCTTCTTTATATGCTCGGAGAGTAATTTCGACGCGATATTAAACACCTCGGTCGCGAGGACTAGCTTCTCATGCTTCGATAGTAGCGGCGCGTCCGCTTCGCCCGTGGACTGCGTAGGAACGGAAGCTTTTGCGGCAGCCCGTATTTTGACCGTCCTACTGGGTTTGGAGGACGTTGGATTCGCTGTGACTCGTTTCGTGGACTTCGTTTCCTTGGGTTTCGCATCGTTCGTAGCACTTGTAAGCAGCTGGCGCAACGTAGCCACAGTTGTGTTCGAGCATTTCGACGGATGTTGCAGGCCTTGTTTGACCGAGTCAGCCAATGAATCAAGTAATAGCCCCCCCATTCTCTTCCATAGATATCTCAGAATCGAAGAGGTTCGGTATCCTCGATGCGCATCCCTCCGTCATACCGATAGGCGCAAGGATGAAGCTTCGTTGTTGGCCAACAGCAGTTGCCCGGCAACGAGTGATTATGTAATAAACACGTGGTTTGCCAGGTCCTTTTTTTTCTTCTACTCTGAAATGAAGACTCGAGATCAGGACATCAATCGCCAACTACCGTGAATTGCGCGACCACATTTATCTGGAGCAACTGCGAGAATAACATCATGGCTAGTTTATTGTCTAGGAATTGCCCGAGGGCACTCTCCCCACTGAAACAAATCCCAACTCTGTCTCTCTGCTCCACCCGATCCCGATTCCTATCACCCTTGCAATTATGCCAATTTATCTCAACTGGGCGTATGACACCTAAGATTGCAGACGCCTCGATGTGGAACTCGGTAATACCTAAATTCCTACGAGACGGAAGCCGGCAAGAGTCAAAGAACGAGACAGCTTTGGGGATCACGGAACGAAATCCGGCCGTATTCTACATCGTCATGTTCATATTGATTGGATCCCAAGCAATTCATTTGCTCCAACTTCGAACTACCCACGAAAATTTTTTGCGCAGCACGGACTCGAAGATAAGACAGCTGGGCGAGGTCATCGATAGGCTGAACAAGGGCGAGGAGGTAGATGTCAAGAAGGTGCTTGGTACGGGAAATAAAGCATCAGAGGATGAATGGGAAGAAGGTAAATATCATACCAACCTTTTACTGGGCAGTGTAGGAATATACGAGCAATGATGATACTGACGTTTATAATAGTACTACGAGAAATTGAACGAGAAGAGCTAGACTGGAGGGAAAAACTTGGTTCTATACAATCTGGTGGAAATTCCCAGGAATCTGATGCCGCCTCCCCACACAAGCAACCCGCAAAAACACCAGTTGCACAGAAGCGTCCTCCACAATTTTACTAAACATCGTTCTAATCCGCCCTTGACAGTGTTGAAATTCTACCAATCGGGGTTTGAATCGCTATCTTCAACATCTAGAGCCATTCCTAATAGGCAGTTCCTTCAACTCATGGGACAAGCCTAGCCTTCCTCATCGGTTCTAGAACATTGATCCACGTATCCCGAGGGCTCCCGTCCTCCACAAATCCTGTGGACCTTAACTTCTGAGGACCTTAACTTCTGAAGGTCAAGCTGCCGGTTCAAATTCAATTTTGTCAGGCCCCAGTTCTCTGACCCATCCATCGATGGAGAAACAATATTCCACGCCTTTAGATTATACTCTTGTACCATATTCCTATATTCCACTTCATGTGTCTGAATATATCTGTCGGGTCCTGGTGACTCAGTCCAATTTTTCTCGTTATCCACCGGTGGTTTTCCGACGAGACCAAACCATTTGCATAAATCTGGCCACTTCATTTCCCAACTCCACGGCGTTCCGAAGAGGCTACATTAAACCCTTCTCCGTTAATAGAAGGATCTGACTGCAACGATAAATGGATAGAAGCTTTTGCGATCATATCAGCTCCCGCGTCACTCGATAGGGCCTTCCATACTCCGAAGCTACCTGGGAATGGACACTCCGCACCCTGGCCATTGATGAATCCATACAACGATAAAAACATTGCGGTTGGATAAACAACATTGTACGAGTTGATTCGCGGGACAAATCCTAAGACGAGAAACATTTAACCACCTTGCACTGCTTTGAAATGAACAACAGGACCCTAGAGATGGATTGAAAGGATTCGTTCATACCAATAACTTCATCCGGCCTTGTCTCGCACCATTTCCACGGCTTTCCTGCTGAATATTCACTCATCCACTTTGTCCAGATGGGATAGTGAAGCTTATCAACAAATGGCTTGCGCAATGGGGGCAATGTTTCCGAAAGAGGGGCAGTGTGATAAAAAATCATCGGTGAAACAGACGCGATATATAAAGGTGCCGTATTGGAGATGGATGAATTCGAGGTTTGGGGCAAGACTCTCTATCACAGTCACCATTTTTCGAAGCGAGTTGAGGCTTGCCGCAAACGGTTCAACATCATCATCTTTCGAAGGTGGATCCTGTACTACCCGTACAAACAGTGGTGGTTAGCAAATTCATACCATAATTCGGTTAATATATCGACCTTGTTTTGTCCCTTTTAGAAGACTCTCGCATACTAAGGTAGTAAACATGTGTCACGCTGTGGATATCCGAAATATCGCTCTTGAGTTTCTCTCTCAACATCTCCCCTGAGTTATTATGGATATCGAAACCAAATGCAAGCTGGAAAGCTATATCTTTGCTATTTTGCGGCCAATATGAAACCTCCTCTGCACGCATGGGCTTCCTTGTCACTCCTGTGACCCGCGCCTAAGTATTTGATCGCGGATAATCCCGTAGTAGCTGGTTAATGAACGCCCAACCAGATATCCCCGATGCCCCGAGAACTAAGGCATGGCGGTGGTTTGAGGCAGCCATTCTCGAACTTGACTCTGAAGCGACTCTAATGTTTGTAACGGCAGACCACCTGGTACTTTAACGGGGCTATACCTATCCTATTATCCTCGGTATCAATCCACGCCCTTTCGAGCATCATCATCTCAGATACGAGAGTCAGACTTGATCTAATCTAATCAGCCGAGAATACGATATTTTGACACGTGGTCAGGGTCTCGGCTTTACATGGGATAAATGATTAAGCTTGAGATGAGATTAATTGGGCAACAGTACACTGCATTGTGCTCCGTTTGTGGATGTTGAAATCAAAGGCCTCGTCTATACTTCAAATTTATTGTACCTGCTCCCTTTACTGCGAATGAGTCTACTACACGTCATCTTGTCAATTCTGATCTATTTCCAATGTTGATGAACCAGATATCGATGCATATTAACATTTACTCTCCTGGACCCCCAGCATATTGCGCGGTTTAGGATATATGGGACCTTTCCGTGAAGAGAATAGAATCCCAGGAGTGACGTTGATCCGCTTGTCAGGCTCGAATAATGGTGTGCATGCTACATGCCGGCCTCAAGGATCAATTGCATCCAATACGAAAGGGCACTCGAGTCATCAAGTACTGAAAGGCAAGAACCAGCAGCATTTTACGGCGATCAGTCATCATGGCTAAGCAAGTTCGTTTGCATATTTCTAATATGCTAGGGGTTATTACTCGCCATACATATCTTTTGAGGTATTCTTTTATCTAGATACAGCATCCAGAAAATTAATACATTTGGTGACGGAATTGAGTCATACTCTATTACCAGGTCCAGATATTACATTATTTAGATACTATCCTAGCCGTGTATACAAATGGACGACTCTAGCCCCAAGATTTTCACATTAGTGTAAGGCAGACAGGATAGATGGTTGTTATTGTGGTTTTCGGCCGATGGCCTGCCGCATCAAGCATATTGGGGCGGATTGACATACATATCGCAAAAAGGGCCAAGAAGATCTATAGATTTAGTATCAGTATAGGATGGTTAGTAGAGTGCATTTATTGGCTTTAAGTCTGGTTCACTCATATGGTGTTTTCAAGGGCCTAAGTGGTAGGATATAGAACCGGCATCCTTGTAACTGTCCTTTAAACAGCGGGGTACAGGGCAATAGCTGTGTGTTAGAGTAGGCATGGAGAACGTTGGGCTGATCGCTGGAGGCTATGTGCATATAAAATAGAGGATTTCAATGCATCATAGCCGTTATTTAGCCCCTGGAGGTCGTAGCCGCCCATGCAATGTCTAGTTGTGGCTGTGTCGCTTGGATCACTAGATGCGACCACTCAAACCACACCCAATCACTAACCAACTGACTATCCAACGCGCCGTGGCTTAAACATCACCCTGACCTCGAGGCTGAGCTCGATTCATGAGTAGCGAGACAGCTGTGCCATAACTAGACGAGAACCGCCTTGTAGCCTATCTGTGCTTGCTGGAAAATTGACCTAAACCAAGGGCCATATAACTTCGATATCCCCTCCTTGAGAAGATACGATAACTAACACTACCACCTACCTAAAAAATGGCCAAACGTCCAACATTGAGCCAACTACTTGGTGATATTACCCATTTGATTCGACGGAAAACAAAATCTCTTATACATCGACCCCCTCCCGAACACCAAATACACCCAAGGAACATGACGCTACTAGCTAGCATTGAAGATGGCACGTTTCCTTCTCTTAGCGATACCCAAGTTGTCAAGCTCTTTGGCCTCACATTCCGCTGGGAGCTCGACCGACTCAAGCACGCAAAGCCGACGGTAGAGTCCGTGGGCACCCCAGCACAGGGGGCTTTGGGCCATGGTGACCTCAGCCCCTCGCGGCTCTTATTTGGGGAAGACTTTGTCGAAGTCAACCGGACACTTGTTGGAATGCTTGCATTAAAGTGGTTATTGGCAAAGGACTATGATTCATTTACTCGCTATCAGAATCCGATGAGAAGGCTAAGACCGGAATCCTTTGAGAAGCTTCATACCGTTTTAGTTGGTGGTCTCCCGAATGCTGGAGACATATACTCTCTTCTTGTTGCAATCGTGGTGAACGATTTAGGGAAAGATGACAGCCTCGAAACATCGATATCAGAGGCCACGAGCCAGACATACGACAACCATGACGAGGTCCTTTTAGCGGCTGCCAATGCCCATATTATACCATCTATCAACACACTCGAGCCAAATTTGAAGGCAGATCTTATGCTGGGCATTGAAATTGGCTCCAAGCTTAATTTGGCGCAACTGGCTCAAGCTGAGAATGTTCCAGCGAGTCTCCAAAGCATATACACTATGCGTGGCAAGCGCCGTGCCTTTTTCTTGAAATATATGGAGGTTCTCTTGGACGTTGCGGGAGCTGCTGGCCATATAGAATCTCGCTGTGCAGGACAAATGACGGAACCCGTGTTCCGAAGTTATCTCGCAGTATATGATGCCTTAGTCGATACTATTGGAGGCAATCTCCCTTTGCAGCAGGCGTACAACCGTGTTTTATCTTCTAGAGCGAAGATTCTCCAGGATGCCGGGTTTAGAGGGTTATCAATCCGAATACCGACTGAACGTGCTTTGCTACGACTATTGACAATGGGCAGGGTTGCTGATGCACAGTTAGCAGAATGCTTTGCTCAAGCCTTTGGAGAATTACCGGACGGTATGAGGAAAACTTTAGTAGATGGATTGAGCATCGATGGCCTTAGCTCGAAGCCTGCGATCTTGCCTTACTATGCACCAGGACTAATTGCTGAAGGGCTAAGAAATTGTGCTAATGGCTCAGCAAATCCAAATTCAAAGTTGCGTGCTGTTGGATCATTGATGCGATTCCTTGCCCGAGTCTATCAGGAAACAGCACCAGAACTACCTGTTTGTGAGGGCGAGGTAGCTCCAGGCATCATTCAAGTTGACTTGTCCTTTGCGCACGCAGTAGTAGCGAGTGAAGAGTTCAAAGTAGACCCAGATGTATTAGATAAAGTGTCCATCTTTAATCGATCAATATCAGCATAAATGGTTAATATTATTGTTATGATTAATGCCATAGAATATGGGTGTTTCACTTCTATCTGGATCCATCAAATTGTTTGATATCAAGCTCTGCGCAACTCGCCCGAGAATTTACAACCGTGCGCGCGCCACATTCTATCGGCAAATGCATATCCCCTCGCCTTTGTTCAAAGTCTCGGGTAGTGTGGGGGTGGAGGATTTAATGAAAGATTTATAAACCCCAGTGTTATGTATGTGTATGTGTTACTATTTCTTTGATAGGGGACACGTTTGCAAATAACAATTAGCAACAAAACATCAGGCGCCAGAGGAAAAAAGAAAATTCGTTGGAGCCTGATAGTTAACTACTATATGGACAGAAACACGTCCGCTGCGAGAAAAAAAAAAAAAAAAAAACGCCGATATTAAAGCCAAAAAATGTAACTTGATTTCAACCATCAGAACACTTTCGACTTGGGGTCAGCTGAGATCGACGCGCTTCGGCCATCAGTCGATCTTTCTCACCAACGGCGTCCCAGTCTGGATCTGTACGATTTTCGTATGCAAGCTCAAGCCAGTTCTCCCACGCCTGGGTCTGGGGAACCGCGCCGCTAACTATCACCCAGTTGATCTCCTCCGTGGCATGGATAGCATACCATAGCGTCCGTGTGAAGCTTGGCTGAGCGCCATCGCTACCAATCTCGTGAGCAGCCTTGACGTTGCTGGGCGTGACATCCTTCCAATCATATCGTGACATGTCCCATATCCAACGCTTTGGCAGCAATGACGATCCCCAGTACATGGCGTTCAGGAGCATGTAAACTGCAGATACTACAGCCTGCATGGTCCATTCGCAATTGCCGAGTAGCACGACAGAAAACATGATCAGAAACGTCCCAATGCCGACCAGAGCTCTAGACCACTGGTCGTTGAGAGTGTAGTTACATTCCTCTGTACCGGTATAAAGCTCGCGAGCTAGTTCCTCTGTGCATCGCACGACAATAAACGCTCCCTCGCGTGTCCGTATGATAATATCTCCCTTCGGTACCACTGCAGCTGATGGCCGGACAGCGAGATGGGGCTTCCAGTAAAAAGCAATTCCGTTGAGTGTCGACACCATCGACATTGAAAAAATGGCAACAACCGCAGTCCCATCCTTCAAGACTAGAGCCCAGACGAAGGCGCTTACAGTCATCAAGAAAGAAGCAATTGTGATGAGACTGAGAGGTGACCACTTGTTGGGAGTAATTGCGTATTTATTCCCATGTTTATGCGGGGGCGGCACAGATACGGGTCTCTTTGACCGTAGGCCCTCAGGCATTATCAATTTTTCAAGCTTGATGCTCTGTGATTTTTCATATTTGCTTCTTTTTTCCGTCCATGAGATCTCATATACAACAACTTGGTATGGTTTCAAATCCGCGATTGGATGAATTATATTCGGAAAGTAGTTCAATTCGTGGACCAGAGTCCCTGAATGCACTCCGCAAACAACTGCTGGAGGACTTGGTAATCTCACTGGCCGTGTTGCGCGGAGTAGTGCCTGCGGTGCTGGGATTAAACGCGGTAATAGAGATAGCTTAGATGCAGTCAACGGCTGGGCTTGATCGGCCACGGATGATTCTCCGAGGACGGCGAGAAGGCCGACGCCTTCGAGTCGCCATCCTGCGGTATCGAATCGATCCGTTGGAAACCATCCAGACATTCCGCCTCGCATTACTCAGTCGCTCTTCAAAATATTTTCATATGGTATCTGGGCGTCTTTTTTTGTTAGAATTTGAAGATCTCAGATGATAATCCAATATTAATCAATCAATCTAGGTAAAGATGTACCTTCACACTGGGGATAATATGTCTGAATTTCCAAGAGGGGTTTCAAAACGGTTATCCTCAATTAGAGGTTCGTGGCTAGTTAGTGTACTTTTTGTAACTACGCACTGTAGCCGGCGAGCAAAAAAAACCAAATGGGGTTAATGGTAAACGACAACCCACACCAGCCAAAGAATTCAAATCGATATTGATATCGAATAATATATTTGAGGTGTTTCGCACCCAGCGTCAGAAAGAGATTTACGCTAAGCAAATAACTAAATATGGAAGTGGATCTGCAGGCTCGTATTTGCCGCGAGTGACACGAATTCTCAGGGGCTTCATGTTTGATAACCTGACAGAAGGGCGCATGGAGGTACAAACTGAATTCAAGTAGGAGATGTAGAAATACAGAGGCATTTCTAGCCCCCGGTGGGTGAGTAGACGTACGGGGTGATGTCTTGGATTTGTCATATCATACCTCCATATAATTGTCTCTGGTTGCAGGTTAAGCCAATGAAGCTGAATTAGTAAATATACCGGTCATTTGGGGGACCGGCCCTGCAAACAAATCATAGATTGGCCCCTGTTCTAGAAATCACCGATCAGGTGGATGATTAAGTATAACGGCCGCCTTGTTATGAAGACCTAAGCTCCATTTCCTCGGGTGCGATCAACAACTGTCAGCTTGGACGACGTTGCTCCTCGATAACCATAACCTGGTATATGCCTTGCAGTAACATATTTCTTTTCCTCTCATTGTTAAAACCAGCTGAGTTCATCCTATCACAAGGTGCAAGTCCTTCCAGGGTCTACTATCAAACCCCTAAGTACGTATTCAGAGTTATAATCCAGCAGAAGACCACCAGCAGGCGCGAGGTATACCGGCTCTGATATCGGACTTGGTGACAGCCATTTTCTTCCATGCATATGCGCCTTGGAGCCCTATTTTAAGCAATTTTAGCGTATCTTCTCTGATAGTTGGCTTATTTCTCTATATCACAATACCTGGTGAGGGTGTGCCGGTGTCAATATCCTCCTGCCTTTTTAAGAATTTGATCAGGTCACATAGTTATGTTACTCTTCCCTCAGACATGAAAGCAGCTAAGAGTCCTAGGGGCCATTCAAATGTGGATCCTCGACCACCCTCGCCTTATTGGTGAGTTGCGCGGTTAGATTTTTGCAACAATCAGTAGTTAAGCCCGTCCAATGATCATCGCTGGCCCTATTACAAGAGTACACCCTCTTCAACCTCGATCATTTCTGCCTTGCCACTATCAGTATAACAGGCTACCCAGGGATCCGGATCCCTTGAGCTCTAGGCCTGCAGCGGACGCAATTCAAACGTCCGCGACGTGAATATAGCCGATCGCGCATCATGCAACATATTCTTTTTCTTGAGGACCTAATGCAGTTTCCGCAGGCACGGGATACTGTTCGTTCGCTTTCGTATTTCAACGGAAAAGGAGTGGCGTACCTTATAGCTAACTGGATGTGTGGTCTAGAAACTATGCTGGCGAGCGTGGTAGGATTAGGGTCTGCGAATACCTTCATAGTATGAGAGGTCGGCGTGGCCGAAACTGTCTTGAGATGTTGCGCGCTCGGCCATACCATCATTCCGTGGTACACTAAACCATCAAGCGAGTTTAGCGCCTATTTGGTCAATGAGTTCGCGTTTGACATAAAAATGGCATGCTGATTTCAAACCATATTAAATTCCCTGGCCGAGAAAGGGTCACTGCACCCAAGATTTCCTTTATTATCGGACAAACATTAGGGGATACATTCAAATAAACAAATAGATCGATTAAAAATCCGGGAAACTTCAAGCCACCATCTTCATAAATTGATAGCATTAGTTGCATAAAGTAATGACAAAAGGTTCTGTTCCATAGACCGTATATCATGGGGTATTGTTCCCATTGGTGGAGCGCCTGAACCTCCTGCTGCGTATAGATTGAATTGGCCGGGTTGCATGGTACGTGGGACTGCCACATAATACCAGATTGCATTCCGCAGGCGTTCAATGGATTGTGATACCAAGTTGATGAGGAATATGATATTCGGTTCTGCATTTGACAATATGAGGGAGCTGACATTCGGTTCTGCATTTGATAATAAAGGCAATCTTCCAAGGCGAATATTAGGCATCGCAGGGGGAATAAGTGAGGTTTCAGACTGGCTGTTGTGAAGCTGCTGCATTGGAAATGTCGTGTTAATTCGGCTTTGGGCTAGAACGAATAGCTCTGAAATAACAGACTCGTATATTTGAAGCATGTTTGCATAGCAAGAAAGTATGGAAGGTAAGTCCATCGGCCTGGTACTCGATTTGTTATCAGAGGCAAATGTCGAGCCAAGTGGGGGTTGCAGTGGATGTTGCGGCATTGCAAGCTGGGAAAGCTCGCCGGGGAAAGAATCTTCTGAATGTATATCATCAATGAGTCGGACTAGTTCGTCAGCAGCACCGAGAATATCTGCCAGGCTCGGTTCATGGTTGGAAGATGGCGCATTCTCCTGAGGCATGTCTGATTTGACAAAGAAGAACGAGGCTTGATCCTGAATCCTGGCGTGAAGAGAGTAGACCCGATATAATGTGCTATATGAATTTTCTGTAGGGGCCGTATTTGTATGGCTATTTAGTATCGTGGCTGGAAAATCAAAGCCTGTTGGGGATAACGGTCGTATCTTGTTACACTGATCAAGCATATGAATTGAAGCCGAATTCACTGTTGGAGTTCGATGTGCGTACGCTGTATCAACTGGCTGCACGTTCATTGAAGCAAAATCCGCGTTGGACTGCATGTTAAGCGGTGTTTGATCTGAATGAAAGGACAAGGTGTAATCGTTGGAACCATTCTCCGATGAAGGTGGTTCAGACAGTGAGTTATATAACGAGGATGCTGTGAGGAGTCAACACTAAAGCAAGAACATCAGCAAATTTCACTTACCATATGTACACTGAGCCTCATTCCCCCCAGTACTCCAATAGTTATAAGTATTTCCTACTAGATCAGTCAGTAACTTCTAAGTGTTTATAGAAGAAGGGCTCTGGTACCTAGGTTTGGCGTAGGCTCAAAATGGCCTATAAATGGTCCAGCAATCTGAGATAGTATGGTGTTGCTGGAAGAATCGAGCCGCTTCCGTCCTTTCGGTCTGCCTAGAGGCAACGGTGCGCTATATACACAGTCCAGCCCAAGTCGTGCGCATCGTTTGCATCCGGTATCGTTTAACGCCCTCATACACTTGCTCTTCAGGCTATGGCATTTATCACAAGCATTGCGCTTCCTAGTTGTCATAGAAGGTGATTTGGTGTTTACCATGTTGTCCCGTACTGCCAGCAAAGCCTAGGGCTGGCACTCACAAGATAAAAGCCACGCAGCTTGAGCAAAAGCGTATTTGAGGTCAGCAACTTCCGAATATTTCAATGGCGGTGAATATTTTGTCAAGGGTGTGGCCCATATCATAAAGTATTTATGTAAGTGCTTTGGGAACTTGTTATCGGAGCTCAGCCACGAGACAAAGGCAGCCATAGTATATTAAATCGTTCCATATGCAATTCAAGGCGGGTTATACGTAAGCACAAAAAGCTCCCTTCAACATGACTCAGGATCTATCGGTTGAAAATAACCATTTATCCCAGTCGGCTGGCATCGGTGCTCCAACAAAGATTCTAGCCATTAAATGAGAGATGTCGCTGTTGCAAAATACAGCCAGTCACAGGGTGTATAAGTGCCAAGCTAGCATGTCTTAGTCGATGACAAAATGCCCTGCATTGACAATCTTTGCGGTTCGCCATGGCAATTGGGTATTCCAGTATGCGGCACAGTGGCTCTGAAGGGGCTTCTGACTGGCATCACAGACGGGTTTTTGTTTTGTTTTTAGCCGCTAAAGTTGTACGGGCCTTTGCTAGTTGCTACCTTTTTTAGGATAGGTTGTTTAGCCTTGTGCTTAGCAACATATGCACTCTATAGTCTAGTTCTGTCAGGTAAACTACACAATAGGGGGCGGAGCACTTTACTCCCCATAGAGTATAGCTAAGGTACGGAGACCCTTGCCAGAACCCCATAAGTCTCCAGGATATGACTTTTGGTAGGGACTCCTATAACTTGACAGGTTCGGCTTATTCTATGTATGCATCCTTCATCGGCGGCTTTGGGGCCGAATGAATAAAAGAATAAAGCCAAGCAAATTGTTATGAAGCTTTTAGCCTCTGACAATAACGGGCGGTATAGGCAACTCCAAGCTGAAGCTGCAGGCCACACCTGACGAGACCCTGTCATCCAAACGGTTACGGCCGTGAAGAGCCTCGCTGTAGCGGTTGACCGTATCACGATCGAGCGTGGTGCAAATAGCCATACCGGCGCATGGCCCCGTTGGTTTTTCTCATCTCAACGCAAGATCGACGTTGGAACATGCATGAACGCATGAGCTGGCTGCTCTATTACATGCAGTGTTCCCCAACCTCTGCTGAAAGGGTACACGAGTTATATTATCCTCCTCGTGGACGTGAAATGCGACAACGGCGCAGGCCGTGGACTGGTTGCAGGTTGCGCTGACGATCAATTAAGCTTCGCTTATGATTTGACGTTACGGGAACAGCCGCGGGCTGCGAAGCGCGAATCACAGCGCCTATTTCTCATCGCGCGCCTCCACCGAACGTCCGAACCAGCTCAACGGAAAACGAACGCTAAACTCAGCGCACACCCCACATCAGACCAAAGCTGACAGCAGTCCCGACAAAGCGTCACAATACTCCGGGGAGACCGATGCAAATTTATCGCCCGAGGCTCTAGGGGGTCCAAGGGCGCAAAACCGGCGCATCGGACTATCATCATGGCTCAGCCAGGGAATACAGAACAATGGGACACGGCCTCTGCGGGCGGCTCGCCGGTCTCACAGCAGCAGGCCGCTAACATCTATTCACCAGGCAGTGCATCAAACGCTTTCGAGGGGCAGGTCGCAGCGAACGGTTCGCAGCTCCCAAGGAATGAACCGGCTAGTGACTTAGCTGGCCATTCGGCCGTTTCCCAGGCCACAACGTCTACGTCCTTAGGCGCGCCACCCAACCCACGAAGCTGCGTAACCTGTCGCCGTAGAAAGGTCCGCTGCAACAAGAATCACCCTTGCTCTAACTGCGTCAAGGCGAAGATTGAGTGTGTATACCCTAGCCCAGGAAGAGCTCCGAGGAAATCGAAGAAGCCCCGTGATACCGAATTGCTGGCACGTCTCCGGACCTTAGAAAACATCGTAAGGAACCTGGGTGGGCCGGAAGCCATAAGTGGCACTGGGCCAATTCTGTCAAATGAGATCAGCCCTGGCCAGAGTCCAAATAATAAGCAGCAAGAGCGAGAGACAGACGGCTCTGGCGCTGTGCAGCAAAATGCAGCTATCAAGAACGAAGACCCGGGCGTGAGTGAGATTGAGGAGAACATGGGAAAGTTGATGGCCGGAGAAGGAGGTAGTCAATATGTCAGCCATCGATTCTGGACGAGCTTTGGAAAAACTGTAAGAACCACATGTCATTTTCTGCATAATCCCCTCTACCTAAATCGAATCAAATACTGATTTTCATAAAGGTGGACGATTTGAAAAGTATCCTCGACCCTTTGTATTCAGATGAGGATGAAGACGACACTCTCGACGAATCGGTGTTCGATGGGGCATATGGTGTGAATCATGATGGGTTCTTATTTGGCTTTTCGTCACTCGCTCAGAGCCTTCGCGATTTCCACCCACCGCTGGACAAAGTGGACATTCTATGGGAAACTTACTGCCAAAACATTGCGCCGATAGTCCCAATTTTCCACAACCCCAGCTTGAAGCCGATCCTCTACCATGGCGCCAATAATCTTGATTCGTTGGACAAGAACACAGAGGTCATGATGCTAAGTATTTACTACACGTCTATTGCCTCCATGAGTGCTTCGGAATGCCTTTCCCGTCTGGGCGAAACCCGGGATGTTGCACTGGGTCGTTATAGATTCGCGGTAGAGCAGTCTCTGGGCCGGGCTAAGGTTTTACATTCAAGGAACTTTTCCCTTCTCCAGGGCCTAGTTCTATTCCTGATGTGTGTGAGGCAACAAGATGACTCTCGTTATGTGTGGACAATGATATCTATTGCATATCGCATCGCTCAGGCACTGGGTCTTCAACGTGACGGAACCCACTTTAATCTACCGCCGTTCGAAACAGAAATGCGACGCCGCTTGTGGTGGCACATTTGTATCTTGGATATCCGGTCTTCCGAAGATCACGGCTGCGATCCATTCATTCACGAAACTTCATATGATACCCGCTTACCATTGAATATCAACGACGAGGACATAGCCCCGGATTCCAGTGAAGCTCCCGAGGAGAGGGAGGGCTGCGCTGAGACGTCATTCTTTTTGATTCGATGCGAGATTGCTGTTGCTAATAGACGACTCAGTTTTACACCACCAAATGCTTCGTGCAGGATGATGGCTTCTAGCTATTCAATAGCTGATCGTGAAGAGCTCATTAATAAGCTCAGCACGAATCTGGAAACCCGTTTTATTCAACATTGCGATATGACCATCCCCATCCATTGGGTTTGTGCAACAGTTTCCCGCCTGGTAATTGCAAAGTTTTGGCTTATGATTCACCAGCCAATGGTTCAACAGTCTCCAAAAAATGCCATAGCGAGAGAGACCCATGATCGGCTTCTGATGACGTCTGTAGAGATCCTTGAGTTCTCTCGTTTATTGGAAACAAATGTCAACACCACTAAGTGGAGCTGGCTGTTCAAGACACATATGCAGTGGCATGCTGTTGCGTTTCTCCTCTCTGAACTGTGTGTCCGACCACTATGCCCAGGGGTTGATCGTGCGTGGAGAGCAATTAATTCTGTGTATGAGGCCTGGAACATACATTCTGAGAAAAAAAACGACATGCTTTGGCCGGCTATACGCAAGCTGATGGCGCGAGCGGTAAAATTCCGTGAAAAGCAACTTCTTCAACTCTCCATCCAACACGCAAAAGCGAGCATTGATATCCATGCCTCATGCGCAACAACTCCATCAACAGACCCATCGAGCACGTATCTGACCTCCTCCTCCTCACCACCGCAGTATTTGTCCGAGCCAACCAGTTATTCACATTTAAACCCGGACATGCAGATAGATAATGCCCCTCTTACGCAGAACTATAATTTTGGGGCCGGTCCGCAGTTGGGCACCACCCCAACGGGCCAGTGGGCGGATCCCACGGCGATCCCTCTGAGTATATCCCAGCTCGATACTAGTATACTATCATCTGCCTCGCCGTCGTGGTCTGATTGGGACCAATTAGTCCGCGAATTTCAACTGGATGTCGCCCAAAGCCGCCAAGCAAATGCTCCCGTTGTGCCAGGAGGGGTAGTTCTCCCCGATTGGTTTGAATAACTCTATCATCAATCATGGGAGCCGCCCAGGCCTACACGCTGCTTAACGAGTTTCCTGTTCTATTTCGCTTTCTTAGATCCATGTTTTAAAACACTATTCCAAATTTCAGTCAAAAAGCATGCAACATGCTCATGGATTTCTGCTTTCCTAAACCTTATGCGGATGACGGTAGCGAATTGAAGTTTCCCTTTCCGGGTAGGGCAGAATTTATTTTAGCGAGATCCTACCTCAGATACCCTCCCTTTTGGTGCCAATTTAACCATCTGCTTTGACTACACCCTAGTGAGTGAGTTTCTAGCTTCCTACTCCATTATATTCAACCACGGGGGAAATCAGCCTTGATACTTCACGCCAGTTTTTAATTAACCAATCCACGATAAGTTGTATCAGCAATATCAAATTATTGGCTAGCAATTCGTAATTAGTTTCATTTCCATATCAAAAGAAATCACCTCCTCTGCCACAGGTCATTCGCCAGCGCCACCTCTAGATCATATCAAGGGCATCATGAGGTTGTCTCTCATATTCCCAGCCGACAGCAGAGATATCCGATAAGTTTCACCAAGACCTAGGCCTCTCACCGCTTCACTGGAGTCACCTTGACCCACAGAGGCAGTTTGACGTAGGTTTGATAGTTTTCCACATGGTCCCAGTTATCGAATGCACCACCCTCCTTTGGAACAATTTCAAGGTCGAAATGCCAAAGCAATTTGGAGACTATGAGGCGAGCTTCATAATATGCCATCCTATTTGTTTTTGTTAGCCAAGTCACCTCACAGAGCCAACACAGCCAGAGCATCAAAATTAGTTGAATGAAATGGGCAAACAACTCACTTTTTACCAGGGCAATTGTGTGCACCATAGCTGAATGGTTGATACGCAGCCTTATCATCCTTGGCAAACTGTGGATCGAGCCCTTTAACGTCCGCAAGCCATCGCTCTGGAACAAAAGAATCAGGCAGATGGAAGTATTTTGGGGAGCGGAAGAGCGAGAATGCAGCAACAGATACGTTAGTTCCAGCGGGAACCAACTCGTCGCATATCATCGCTCCTCCCTTTTGCACAACACGGGGTAACCCGTTTGTACACGGTGGGTACACTCGTAGAGTCTCCTCCATGCAGGCAGTGAGATATTTCATTCCCAACAAAGCATCGTATGTGATCTCGTTGGAGGCGGAGAACTTAGTACGAATCTCCTTTACCAGCTTCTCCATGCAGCGCGGGTTCTTGAACAAAAGAAATGTCAAACAACGTAACTGTGTAGCCGTCGTCTCGCTACCGCCAAACACGAGGATTGGAGCATTTGAATGAAGCTCGCGCATTGTGATTCCATGCCGGCTCCCTCCATCTAGTAACATCCCGATGATGCCTTTGCTGTTCTTGTCGGCCTCCGTTCGTTTCAGGTATCGTTCCAGCTTCTCTGAAGTATAGGCAAGGAAAGTCCGTCGCAAGTTACTCAGAAGTTTCTGTGGCATAAGATTCCAAACCACGCGGAAAAGCCAGTACTCGTTCAGTACTACTATCATCGCGAATGCTTTCAGAAACTGTGAGACAGACTCTACCCAAGGGATATATTTGGAGTGGGTTAGCAAACCCAGGCATTCGCTGAAGAGGAGTTCGCCAATAACGTCGAATGTCATGAAATTATACCAGTCTGATATATTCAGGGGCTCGCCTTTGGATTCCTCTAGACGCTGCACAAGCAGATCCGTATATTTGACAAAGGTTTCTTCATTTTCTTTCAGTGTCTTTTCGGCAAGGACCTGCGTCATCATTCTTTTCTGTCGTGTATGGTCCTCGCCATTTGATGTCACGACGGATCGGGCGCCACCTTCTTCTTCTACACCGCGTATCGCTCGCGTGCCGCGGGCGTTAGCGCTGGTGCCGTAGATTTCTTTCCAGCCCTGACCGTGAGCAAAGCTAAGCTCGTCAGTTGCAATGCGCACGACATCGCCATACTTTCTATGTAAGTGAAATCGGAACTGTGCACGCCGGCCACGGAGAGTAGCCCACGTCACCGGTATGCGCGTGAGGGCTAAATATTTTGGCCCTGGGAACTTTCGAAGTGGGTGGAAAAAAAGATTGTATACCGCTGTTCCTAGGATATACTACACTTCGTTCCCCACCCCCAAAGAGGGGGAGAGCGGCCTGGGTTAGCCACCAGTATATGCTAGACGTGCTTCAAGGACCTGGATGTGGGGAATATGATGGAGAAATCTGGAGGGAATAATGGGTGAGTTGTTCTGTTGAAAGCACCAACATACCAGTGTAATAAGTGCGCTAGCCGTTGCCACGGCCGTTGAATCGACGATGAAAGCCATCAGGAAACGATTAGCTATCTGCTGGGTCTGAAAATAGTGTTTATCCTGATCCCAGCGCCGGGAGAGGCGTGAAAATTATATATCACTGCCGCGAAGGTGGTCAATTCACTGCAGGGAAAGGCAATCGATGCGATTACTCTCTCTGTCAAGGCACAACCCATGCAGCTGGCCTTCGTCAAAGCTAGAAAGTGAATATGCTTTACAATTTTCCAACGGTATTTACCGTTCATCCATATATCCCCGCATGTGAGGAGCAAACAAGCCACTCCGAGGACACACGTTACATATGGTGCACATACGATGAGATGCGAGAATCAATTAACGTAACAACGCCAGAGCCTGGCCGAAGGCGACATAGTAAGCCCCGCTTGGGCCGACGATGGCCACTACCGTGCAAAATACATTGGTTCGTAGAGGCCTGGGCTGCATAGGTTGAAGTATAAGTACGGAGGAGTTGGGTGGTCGATGAGAATGTTTCTGCAGGTTAGTCGTTTCTGCAGGCAGGCTCCATCTTGAACAACACACGCCTGCGAAGCCACTGATCCAAAGATTTGATGTCCAAACCCCCTCAAAGTATAATGCTACCATGTCTCTGGTTCCCACCCGAAGGTTAGGGAGACTGGCCCCACGGCCGTGGATATTCTACCGTCTTGTCGGGCCCAACTACATCGATACGTTGCTACAGACTGTGTGTGCTGGCGATGTTGGCCCGTCTTCATTTCCCCCTGAATATAAATGTCGGTCAGCTTCTGCAGAAAAAAGGGGTAGCTCCGGGGATGTTTTGCTTTCGGCTAGGGATTATATATATAACCCACTTTCACGCAGAGTACAGACAGGGTGGTCATCCGGTTGCAGAATCGTGCGATCACCGAGTGGAGGTTTCATGTGTCATTATGAAATGGGAGGGGTTAATCGCTTGGAAAAACGAAAAATAAAAATAAAAATACAAAAACAAAACAAAACAGAGAGGACGAGCAAAAGAAAAAATAAAGGTTCGGAAAAGCCGAGATCGCTTTCTGCCTGTCATGTCTCCTTTCCTTAGTTACTGGGTTGTGGAGTGAGATTCATAGTACAGATAGCACAGCTCCTTCATTTTGCCTTCAGGCGATGTTCTTGCTTCCTGCGTTCTGCAAGGATGGCCTATGGCTCCTGGCACGACATCCGGCATGCAGGATCGGCTACCGAAAACCGAGGAAGGTTAGCGTGTAAAGACACGCAGGAGATGCTTCGAAATACGGGGTTACCTATCGGACCATGGGCCAGAGTACTTATCTTGCGAGCGTTATCGCCGGGCATCAAGCGATCTGGTTGGAGCAAGTAAAATATTGCAGCAAGGTTGCTTCCTCTTTCCGGCCCTGGGACAAAACATGGTCTCTGTCCAACCACGACGCTCCCATGCATGAAGGTTTTTATACTTCGCATTTTAAGTCGTTGGAACTTGTCAGAGCGGGATCACCATGTACATATAAATTGGACTGATATCAAACTCTGGAAGGCCAACTTGGCCCACTTTGAATCAACTTCGCTACCACGTTCTCGTAAACTCTGGATAGAGGCCCACAGCCGGCTTCTCAACGTTCCCAGAGTTTGGGCCTGTCAGTGAACGCTCATCCGTCCGAGCGGGATTCCATTCCAGCATCCGCTGACGCGGGTTCGCAACTAGTTTTAGATTCTCACACAATTGCACCACCATGTGAAATACGGCCATCCAGGAATCTTGTCATCGTTAGATTATGTAATAATCCCTGCTTTCGAAGACAAGTTTTTATTGTGGCAAGCTTGTAACCAATGTCGCGAGCGGAAAATGGCCACCGCTTAGCCACTTCATACATGCCTTCTTTTGAAAGAGACGAGGCAATTAACGGCTGCTTTCACGTATATATCTGTTAATACGTATCCCAAACCTTCTGCCATGGCACAGCATGTTGTCGTTCACAAAAACGGAAGGAATCTTCAGTTGCCATGACGCAGCGGAGATCGGATCTCGAGCCTCCCGCGATGGCTTCCCAAATGCCCTGTAGGGGGAGGGATACAGGCTCGCGGGCCTGGTGCCGCCGGCTAATTGAATCCCAAAGTATAAACTTCAGCTGCGGGGCCTCGTAAAGCGGAATAGCTTTGGGATGGTGACTAGGAAGGGATGTGTTGTCGGGATCTTCGCTTTCCTGGGAACGGTGGTAATATTAACGGATCCAAGCCTAGTCCTTTCCTGGAAATTGTAAGGAAGAGAAGGAGCTATTCTCGAAAGTAGAAAATACGGGCGCGAGCGTACATAGACGAGCATATGTATAAACAAGCGCAATAGGTATGGATATTGAAGGTTCAAATGTAAACTTTGGTGTTTGTCAGCTGCGCGGAACGGGGCGGCCACTCTTGTTGACCTGATGGACTCCTGTCGCACGGTTCCATTTCAGTGCAATGGGACGGTGTCGAGCAAACAAACAGTATCATTATTGTGACGAAAGATGCCTTCTCCGGGTCCAAGAGAGCCATGAGCGGTGGGCCACGTAGGCGGATTCACTATTCTAGTGGGTGCTTTGTCTGGGCGTTTTGGCTACCGGCTGGGTGAAGTGAAGGGCACTTTTGGTGATTCCCCCGGGCCTAGTATCCTAAAATACTTTTGGATCATAAAGTTAAAAATTGAATAATAAAAATGAACCAAAGCAATGGTAGGGCGGGGAGGGGGTTCTGTTAGTCCTTCATAAGCTCCACGTCCGACCTTGTAGGAAAAGGGGAGAAAGACATCCATAACAAACCCTCATTTCTCATTACCATAGTAGCTCCATCACAATGTCGTTCCCAGCTATCTTTCGTTGGTTTATATCCACCATAACATCACCACATTCCGAGTTCCCCAGCCTGTTCAGTTGGCTCTCGCCCACTCCTCCCAGTGATCCTAAAGCGATCAGTTATCGCCAACAGCAGGAGAAAATCATAAATCTTCTCAAGGGGGACTCATATACGATTCCCCGCCTTGAGGAATGCCTCAAAGGATGGTATATGGGAGTCAACCCTGCGTACGATAATATAAAAGCCACTGAAGGTGAATTCCTCGAGAAGTAAGTCGTCCTCCGATCTTATGGTGTTATCTGTGTCTAATATTCCATCCTATATGAAGATGGATCAAGAGAGACAACCTGCGAGAGATGGCGATAAAGGTTGACCTGACTTTATGCATTGCTTGCTTCTTCCCTCGGACAACTGAAGAGAAGCTGCAAGTACTGTTTGAGAAGATGGCATGGGTATGATTTGCTTCTCTGGACCCTTTCATATCACAACTTTAGAGAGCGAGGAGCCCATGCTAACCGAGTCTGCTTTCAATAAGTTCTTTGCCTTCGATGACGGTAAGCATGATCATTTAATGAAGTTCATATATGACTCGCCTATGCTAACATGTCCCGGGTACAGACGTGGATAGTTTCCTCACGGCTGAGGAATTCGTGAAACAGGAACCTGCTGCCTTTGTAAAGTATTGGCTTGATCCTAACCGCAGCGGACCAGAGCCGTATGTGCTTCCAAGCTGTATTATCTACCGCACTGTTGGCCCCAAGCTTGCCATGGGCTGGTCGGAAGGTTAGTAAACCGCATGTCTCTGCAGGGGTTGCAAGTATAAAGCTAACCATGACGTGTTACTCAGCATCCAAGGCACAGTTCCAAAAAACTACCATCGAATACATCGACTGCCTAATGGAGGTCAGTAAGCAGCGAGAAACATATCTTCCATCATTGGAGGAATATATTGAAGGGAGAATCATCAACATCGGTGTCTACCCGACACTTGATTTGATCCCGTAAGCCCACCAGTGTACGGTGCCCGTCACGATCGCAGCTAACAGTCCAAATAGGTACGCCGCCGACATCGAGGTTTCTGATGAAGTGTTGAAGCACGAGTCATTACAGACCATTCGGTATCATGTGGTCCGCATTATTTGTTTGTGGGTATAACTTTACTTCCGACGTTAGAATAATGCTGACAGAATATGACTTGAAGGATGAACGACATATTCTCGGTCAAGAAAGAGATTGTAAGTGGCCCCTAGCATCACTTTCCATTTATATATATCCCGAAGAAGGATGAAATCGAGTCACAAACGGTAACTTACCAGAGTTCTTCGGTTATGCGTTTTTAGAAAGACTGCCAATTTGATAATATAATCCCACTCCTCTTGGTCCATAAACGCTTGAGCGTCCAAGCCGCTGTCGACTACACTGTTGGTCTGATAGAAGAATCATATAGGATTGTTAATGAGGCTGGAACCCGTCTTCCGAAGCTTGAGGGTAAAGCGAAGGCAGATCTGGACACCTATATCGAGCAATGCAAAGATCAAGCAGCAGGAAGCATATACTTCCAGTACGTATTAATGCAACTGCAGCCAAATGAACCCCCGAGGATATTCGCTAACTAGATAATCACAATAATAGTCAATATTCACCGAGATATCTCCCTAAATCAGCCTTCCAAGGGGACAAGATCGTTGTTCAGTTATAATCATGAGGAGAGTGGGAAACACATATACTTACTTACCCCTCATCGTTTCATTTGTGCGGGAGTATTTTGCTTTTTCTTTTCCTTTGTCCATTTCATGACAGCGTTGAAGCCAGTACTGCGGTTGGCACTAGCTTTTAGTTTGAATAGGCACACATACATATTCATTACTCCGTCCATTGCATCCGATGACCGGGATTATACATAATTGCATAATTGCCGCCCATTTTTTTTTTTTTCAGTAAACACCCCATGGTACGCAGATATTCGCTGGCAATGTCAAGTATCCGCCGACCGTCATTTGATCGAATATCGTTCGGAGCCATTGCACCTCCGCCATTCGTTGAATATATCAACGTTTGGCATCAACGATCGTCCTTTAGGTTTGGGCCACAGGCTGGTCATAGCATAAGCCAATAACTTACTCGGCTAAGGCTGAGCTTTGTTATAGCGAGCACAAGGCTAACAGATAGATAACAGATCCTGTGAAAGACGTGGCCAAATAAATGATGTTATGTGGTGGTATTCACGGAAGTAGGCGGAGGCAGCAGACTGTCTCTGCTTGACTCTGTTTTGCGGACGGGCAGTATCCATTATATATAGATGCTTGCAGTCGAAATGGCATTCCAGCATCTCATTACCGGCGGAAGCCTTTGGCGATGGGGAGAGACGAGTAATTTCGTATGCTAGTAGATGCAAAACGACAAGCAGAAACCATCCAGCCAACCGCCAGCGTGCGTCGAGGGAAGCAGCCCAGCCATGGATCTATGTATCTCGTGTTTTGCTGCGTTGTTGCGGCGGGGGGTGAAGTTCGCGATGCATGCTTACTTCATCCTACATCCAGTTGAATCACGTGATATGTTGGTTTGCCGGTCGGGCCGAGAGATACGCCGAGAAACCTCACAACGTCCGTATTAGGAATACGAGGACGTCGCAGCATGACTTGAAGAGATTATTTTTACCAACCACCTTCACCATGGCGGCGCGATATCTACCGTCGACAGGGTGGCTGTGTTATGTTCCTCCCGGCTTGCAGACGCCCTTCGGGAGCCTGGGTAGGAGATTCGGTCATCGGGCTAGGGTTGCCCGGGCAAAGGCCGCCCCCAGTTCCCGCGACCTCGCAGCATCATGCGCTCCAGAAAACTTTCTTCGCCAATTTCTGCTCTCCCATTGATCAGATATGTGCATAAGCAACTTGCGAGCGCCGAGCTATTGCCCAATAAGAGCGACCGGGCCAGAGCGTATACATATAGTATGCATGCCTGGCCTAGACAGGCTATCCCATCGCTCATTCAGCTCCTACCTACCGCCAAATCGCCCGAAAGAATCTGGCAGAGGATTGAACAATCTATACAATTCCTACCTTGGTGTGACTCGTTATAGTCACATTTCGTTCAGCTTTATGATGGCGACCGGCTTTACGGCATGATGAGCCACTCCGGATTTAACGGTGGGGGTTGAAAGCCATTCAACGATGGCTTCGTCCTTCGCTGTGGAACCCCCCATGTCGCTAAAGCTGACTCAGGTTATCCCGGTAGCGGAGGGACTCGAGCCGCTTGAAATTTGTTATGGCTTTTAACGTGACTGAGAAGACTTTTATTTTTGTCATGTCTTCACCGTGAAGTGACACAATCGCTCCTTGCATCACTTCATCGAGCAGGCCATTACTAGCTTGTAGCCTCTCAAACTTCTTATATTTCTTTAGATGGGCGGTGGTAATTATTAGAACATTATAATAAACGCCGAGGGCCGCTTAATGAATAGCCGAGATAACTTTCGCTGAATCTGGGCGCGATCCAACTGTCCGTTTACCTCTGATACCGTCGCTATGGCGAAGCCAGCTCCTAAGCTGCCTGTCCAGCAGTTTGTGATATTGGGTAAATACCCATTAGTTATGTGTCTTTTGTGCCGCATTTACGCGTACTCTTGAATGTCGGCTTTGGCTAACCAATATTATCTAGCAATATGTCGATTCGCCGAACCTGGTATACCAAAACCCTCCAAGCTCTACCGTTTCTCGAGTATATCTGTATAAATTGAGCTGATGGTGTATTTCTTTATCATAGTTGTTTTTACATCCGTCTTTCCATATCTAGTATGATACCTCCTTCCTGTCTCAGAGATACTGTTTCCCTCCACGCTTCAATATGTATCCCGATCCCAATTCCATGTGCACAATTATGTATACACCATGGTTTGCACATTAAATGCTTAGAACAATGCTAACCCGATACATAGCCCGAGATGGTCCGGACATTCGGCGTCCTGGAGAAAGATGTTGCTAAATGGGTCGGCGTTCTCTCCGCTATATTCGCCATCTCCCAATGTATCACTGCAGTTCCCTGGGGAAACCTATCTGACAGAATTGGCCGCAAACCCGTAATATTGACATGTCTCAGCATCACCATGTTGTTTACCCTCATGTTTGGGGTTTCTACGTCCTTGCCTATGGCTATATTAGCGCGCGCTTGCCTTGGGTTGGGCAACGGAAACGTGGGAATCATTAGAACAGTTGTGGCAGAACTCGTACCCGAACGCGAACTTCAGCCTCGAGCCTTCAGTTTGATGCCATTGGTATGGACGGTTGGAAGCATTTTCGGGCCTGCATTCGGTGGTGCCCTGGTAAATCCAGTGGAAAAATACCCAGAACTCTTTGGAAACAGCCGCTTCTTCAAGTCATACCCGTTTGCCCTGCCAAATATCCTTTCGGGCATTTTCTTTATTGTTGGAATTGTCACCGGATTCTTATTTTTGAGGGTAAGATTAACGATTTTTCTAGTTTTTAAACAAGTGAAGGTTTAGACATACTTATACTTTGGCTAGGAAACCCTGGAATCCAAAAAGAATAAGCGTGACTCCGGCCTTATTCTCGGCGACATGCTGACGAACATGTGTTGCGGATGCGGGAGAAAACCAATAAAGCATCTTCGACATGACGATGACGAGTCAACTCCTCTCCTTCGTGAAAGCCGAACCCCAGCAGAGTCCACCGATAAGGAACGGAAAAAGTCAAATGTTCCTATTAAGTGGACGGAAGTTTTAACGTTCCAGTCCGTCCTTGTCCTTATGATATATGCATTTTTGGGACTTCACAGCGTTGCTTTCGACTCTGTGCTGCCGGTGTTTTTGAATCATCCTACGCAAAATTTAGAGAATAACCCTGATGTTAACCTCCCCTTCAAGTTTACCTCGGGTTTTGGCATAGGTACGTCAAGATCGCCAATTCTTAATTTTGCCTGATACCACTGCCGCGCTTGGTTGAGTTATAGGGGATTATGTGAAATGACTAAACTTCTATTTGACTGCAGATTCACAAGCAATTGGCATACTCTTTACACTCAATGGTATAGTAGGGATGATTGTTCAATTTTTCATCTTCCCTCCAACCGCCAAACGATTTGGCGTGCTACCATGCTTTAAAGTGGCTGCTTTCATATTTCCCGTTCTATACTTCCTCACGCCATTCCTCGCTCTCTTCCCAACGGATAGGTCTCGCCAGTTCGCCACGATAATCCTAATGGCAGTCAAACTCAGTGCCGTGGTCTTTGCGTTCCCATCCTCAATCATCTTACTTACAAATTCAGCACCAAGTGTACGCGTTCTCGGAACCCTAAACGGGGTCGCAACTAGCGTTTCCGCTATAGGTAGGGCTGTCGGTCCCGCTGCTTTAGGCGGAATTTTCTCCATTGGCGTTAGAGCAGGATATATGATCATACCATGGTGGACACTGGCAGTTATTGCAGTTATTAGTGCTCTCCCTGCCTTCTGGATTGTCGAAACCGATGGTTTCGCTGGCCACGACGAAGACAAAGATAACGAGAGCGCCGGCGGTGTGATGGTTGGTGACGCTGAGCAGGACAGCCCGCCTCTTCTTGAGGTAGGAAATATACGACCAGAGAACACAGCGGCCCCAATTGAAGCCAGCGAATCAAACGGTAAGACTACAAACGATAGGTCCGTGCCTCCAACCGCTTAACTACAGGTCTTTGGACTTACAGCCAGCCCGAAATGATCGTCTGATGCGCAGCCCAACCTTTTCATTTCATACCCGTTCAGAAACTTTATCATGATATGGCGCAAGGTATTAAGGGGAAAATTTAACGAAGCAACGGAATGCCCCAGCCGCTATTTTCTATTTTCTACTTTTTTTTAAACTCTTTCTCACCATAATTTGCTAAAAGTCCGATTTACAGGGCATTTCGGGTTCAATTTCTGGCCATTCAATATAATTTTTTTAAATAGCCATTTATATACTATCTGCATATAGATAGCCGAAATAGAAATAATAGTTTAAAAAAAAGCGCGTCTTGCCATAGCGACTAGTCAAGCCATACTCTGCCCTCAGTTACTTTAAGAAGCTAACATTTTAGTTGGAGTTCATGAAGGAAGATAAAAGCTAGAAATTTGGCGTATATTGCATTTTATTTACTGCCAACCAATGAGGCTAAGTGAAGGAAGGGTTGATGGGTTAAGGAAAGTGGTCCCTTGCGCTCCGATATCGAAGAAAAGAGTTGTCATCGTGCTACCCCAAAAATTCAGTAGCATCGACAACTTTAGACTTGATGATATCTCTCCATTTCTATAAAGAGATTAAGGAAATTATGGTTAGCAATGGATGAGATATAGGGAGGGAGACTCAGAGTCAGCATGGACTAACCTCAGCATTCTCCAAATCATTATCCTCAAAACTTTCAACCAAACCTGGTAAGGCTGCGCCAGCATACCCGTCCCTTCGATCGGGAGCAAACACCACGTGTTTGAACCACCCTCTGTTATCTAACCCTTCGTTATACAAGAACTTCCTTTCGATGTATTTGTATTTCTGGTTGGCGAAGCGGATCTTGAAGTAAAGGATAAGCCTGGTCCACCAATGACCACCTTTATTAAGCTTGGCAGCAAGGGCCTCCGTGTAGGCATCGAACCGAACTGCCCTCTCATGGAATGCCGAGAGAGCATCATCGAGAGGGGAGAAGCTGAATCGGCTTAGGGTTTCGGCAGGAACCTTGTCCTTCACGGAATCAAGATACCCTTTCAATGCGATGGCGTACTCAGTGGCATTCAGAGCAAGGACGGGGGTTTCAGATATATGAGCTGCTGTCAAGGCCCAAACTTTTGCCATGGCGACGTGATACTTCCAGCCAGGGTCACCATATCGGTCCATCCAGTCAAAACTGTCATAATTAGAGTGATATTGGTATACAGCATCGCCCTTTCCACGTGTAAAGCCATAGTCAAGACTTGGTATGCCAGCAAAATCCTGGAAGGCAGTGAAATCACTTCCACTTCCCATGACGCCAATTTTACGATCCCATACGTCAAGAATAGTCTGGCCCTTAACAGTTTGGTTTGGAGAGAGGACCTGTCCGGCAGCTTCATAGATAGCTTTGTTGAGTAAGGGGCTGGCGTGAACTAGGAATTTCTTCCCAGAGACGGCAACATCGACATTGAGATATGCAACGTTAGCCCCCGAGAGCCATTTGAGATTTTCCTCGACCCATTCAGTTGACCCAATCAAACCATACTCTTCACCATCCCAGCTAGCAAAAACAATTGTTCTCTTTGGTTTCCAACCACCCTTAAGGGCCTCGCCAAAACTACGGATGACCTCATTTAACACAGCGGAGCCGCTGTTTGGATCACCTGCGCCTCCAGCAATCCAAGCATCACGGTGATTACCGACAACAACAACCTCGTCAGGAATTGAGCCTTGAATAACCCCGATAACGTTCCAGATAGGAGTTGTCACGTATTCCTGTTCATTGTGGAGATTGATCATAACGTTTTCGGGTGATGGTCCAACGTTGTACTCCACGCCTTTGTGGACAAGGCCACCCTGCCAGTCCTTAGTGAAATCCAAGCCCTTAGGCCCATGTCCATTAAGAGCCTTCAGTAATGGTATGGCATCCCTATACGAGATCGGCAATGAAGGAATCGAAGGAATGTATTCTTTAGGGTCTTGTCTTGGACATCCAGGGTTGGAAGGGTATCCAGGAGTTGTGGGATCGCCAGCTCCGTTGCCTTGACAAAAAATAAATGTGAATGAATAGCCCAAATATTGTGAAGTTAGGTTGCAACCAGGAAGAAGGGCGGGGAACACTTACTTAGGAATTGAACACTGCCTCTCTGCACTGCACTCGGGTTCCTAGCTGGACCATCAGGATATGCTTTATGTCCATTTAACTCTGTCATCTCTCTATCTTCCTGAGGGTCCGTATAGATGATAACGCCAACCATCCCTAGCTCTTGAGCACGCTTCACCTTCAACCCCCGCATGTTTTCGCTATATTTTGCTAGTGCAATTTTGCCTTCCAAGGTGATGTTGGCATTCAGAAGGGCTTCATAATCGTCGTGGGTTCCGGCATTTACATAGACGTATTGGGCAGTGACGTTTCCGCTGGCCGAATAGCCGTGGAAAGTCGGAACTCTATCTTTGAGCCCACTGGTTGCGTCGTTGTCGAGCACATCTTCTTCCAATGAAGCTTCATATGTGACCTTAAAGTCATTGTTCTTCTTGTCCTTCTCTAGCAGTGCCAGTCGATGGCTAACTGGGTAATTCAAATAGACGTCATAGGTTGTAAGCTGGACGTCAGGCACTCCGAATTCTTCCCATTTCACCTTGGTCCAGATAGCCAAGCTCAAGTTCTTGCCAGCAAGATGAGGGCCAGACGTATAGTGCTCGTTCCATTCTCTCGCTTTGGATGCACTCGGGACAGTTTGCAGCAGCTGCTGAAGAGAGGCATAGTCTAGTCCGGTCTGCGATGTCCACGGAAGATTGTCGGCTATAGAACCGTACCCGCGGGGCAGGAAAGCATATGGCAGGAATAGCACAATCACGGACAGGATTAAAATCGTCCCTAGGCATGCCGTACACGTTTTTCGAACGCTCCTATGCGGATAGCGAGGTGGGCGCTGTGCTACTTCGACATACAGCAACGGAGTGGTCTCGTGGCTGTACTGCATCGTGCTCTGTTTTTCCGTGGCCATTGTTTCATCAATACTTAATTGACGAGAACGCCGCTGGAACGAGCAAAAAAGAAGGCTGGGGAGAGGGAAGAAGCTGGGAATCCTGCAACCTGGAGACGCATTTCTATGATTTGTAGTTACCCCGTATTTGATCCGGCTTATCCATGCGTCATCGTCCCACACTACGGCTTACTCAGCACCTTGATCCTTGACAGCTACACGTGACTCGTATAGAAGTGGAAGGAGGCCGAAGGATGAAGTCTTGAAAAGAAGACATCGACTATAGATGGCAGAGAGATAACTGGAGAAGCTTATATTCTTAAGAAAGAGGGTTCGGCCACCTCTTGGATAGTTACAGACAAAGTAAAACAAGGGGAGGGGATTGATGTGCCTCTTTGCTCTTGCATATCTAGCTAGAATCAGAAAAAAGCATTGGATCGTACCTTATTCTTGTTTCTGCATTTGCCTCTTTCCGTCGGTTACCGGTAGCTCTTTTTTGACGACTTATGCTTCGGTTCGGAGGGAAGACGGTCTTGCGTGAGGAAGAGTGATTGGAACTATGGGCTCGGCAGTAGAGAGAGAAGGGGCAAAGAGGCATGCATTGATCAGTGATCCTCTAGAAACGTTCGATGATCCGACTCACCAGTGCGTCGAAGTGTTAAAAGTCCACGAAGTTTGCACATCTCTGATCCTATGGAAGAAATTTGATGATTGGCTGTACCAGTTGTTCGCGCAACCATAATGTCCATTTGTCGAAGGAAAGAAAGCGGAGCAGGAAAATAGGCATGGGTTTCCGCAACCAGGTACGCACCTGAGACAACAGAAGAAGACGAGGTTGCTGATCATCAATTCGGAAGAATCAGGACAGAGTACATTGCTTGGTGAAAAATTTGTGGCACGTTCAAAAGACTTAGCTGCACGTCGTAAATCTCATCGTCCCTCCGACGGTACGGTGCCCAGACTCCTCCAAAATAAAGAAGACATGACGAATTTTTACTTGAGTGGTTAAAGGCTGGCTGGAGGCCCCAGTGAGTTCGAGATGTTGAGATGATGCTTACTCTGGAAGACTGAAGATTCCTATGAACTAGCAACAGGTACCGAAACTGTCTCCTCCAAAACCGCCTCGTCTTTCCTTTCACGGACAAACGCGTACCTAGGCAAACGAGACAATTTCTCCTCCGGGCTGATTTCATTGTCAGAATAAACTAGTCTAGTGGACTTAGCTTTTTCTTTCTTCGTAGATTTACCAGCAGCTCCTTCTTCAGGGGTTCCTGGGGCGGGGCTTGGCTTAGCTGGTAACTCTCTGGCTTGTTTAGCAGCCTCTGATATCAATCTATCGGCGGATGCTGAGACTGACTCCGCATGGGCATCGGTAGAAGGGTAGGCGCGATTACTTTGTGCTTCTGTCGGGATCGCAACGGTCGAAGGAGGGGCCGAAACTTGTCCATGGTGTAATTGTTGCATTTGAAAGGCATTGACTTGTGGCGCACCGAAACTAGGTCTTTGAGGGAGTCCGGGGGCTGGCGGTAGGCTTGGCGTTCGGGCAGGGTAGGAGGGAGGCATGGTTTGAGGTGGGGTATGAGTTCTTAAAGCCTGCTGCTGGTGGTGATATGGCAGCGTAGGGCTGGCTCCAACCGGCGAAACGTTCGATGGGAGTGTAGCCTGCGGATATGCGGACGGTGACATGTTTTGTGGGGAGAATTGCGGCAAAGGATAGCCCTGAGGGCCAGTCGGCGGAACATACGCCCCAGAGCCGGGCTGCTGCGGTGGGAAGGCATTTGGCGGTTGCCCATAGGGAGCCGAATAATGGTACTCCTGGTTGGAACCATTTGTTGGCTGTTGGGCGGCAGGGTACTGAGGCGCGGTGGGTGGCTACATCAACGAACTGATTAGCCTTAATGTTCCATACATTTCGAATTCGAAGCGGGAATGGGGACAAAGTCTTACATATTGGGTTCCGCTTGGTGTCGACTGCGCTTGTCCTGCACCTACAGGAGTAGCATCGCCACTACTTCCACCTGCTGCCTGCTCCGCCAACCGCGCCTTATGCTCTGCAAGCCTCTTCTTCAGCTCAGACGGCGACTCGAATTTCGGCTTCTTCGACTGTCCACTACCTCCCGAGGCGCCTGGCGCAGGATTCCCCGTCGCAGCACGTCGCTCGGCTTCGGCCTGCTGATACTGTTGCAGAACACGCTGGTTATGAGTCTGTAGGACATCATCCGGTACACCTTCCATACCAAAAATTTCTATCTCGAGACTCGATCGATTCGGAAGCGCATTGTCGACCTGGGATAACGACTCCTTATGGACCTGACTCATATGCACCGACAAACCTGCGTAGAATAGAAATGTGAGAAAAAAGAGCGAGGCTATCAGCGGTTTAACGGGAAATAACTCACCTCCAGCTGTGTTTAACCTCCTGCCACATCTCTCACACTTGAAGTGTTTTGCTTTTTGATGAGAGATGAGAATTTTCAGGTCATCGAAATCGCGCTCGCAGTAATAACACCATGGTCTGGCCAGTAATTCCTCGAGATCGGGATGGCCGCGTTTTTTCTTCCCCATTATTATTGATATAATAAACAATAACGCTTCAAATAAAATAAATACAATGCAGGGGCGCAGAGATAAGTAGATTATGCAACTGTCCGAGAATCAATGAACCGTGTTTTGCTTCTTCGGCGTCTTGTCGTCGTGAGATGTCAAAAAGTTGTCGTTTCTCTCGCCTTGACCAAGTTTGAACATATGTTTATCACGTGATCAACTTCCACTCTTGGGCAGATGAAGTGGTGAAGGATGAAAAAAAAAAAACCAGGAATGAGGAGCCCAATTATTTTTCAAAATAAATTCATTTGTCCAAGTATTGTACATGCGCAGCCGAGTAATAGCATCCCATCCAGTGTTACCCTCACGCTGTACCCAACCAAGCAAGTAAGTAACGATTCAAAAGCAGCTGGAGGTATCAACAAGTAAAAAAACATGAACATCAAGAAAACCCCCCTAAGTCCAGTGTATGAGGAAAAAGTACAAACCCGACGGACACCCCACTTAAAGCAAAAAATGAAAGAAAGACAAATATTACAATCGAATCGCCATGCTAAATACCGAATTGACACGAGCAAAAAACACACATCGTGCCCAACTCCACCAAATGTACGCCCGCTGTGTTTGGGCGTCACCCACGATCCGACGCCGCATGCATATGGTAATGGAAAGAACTCCCTTCTCCATGTTCCGAAACAGGCGTAACTGGCTCTGTCTTCCCATTCGCGTCTCGTTTTACTTTCTTAATCGATGGCGGCTGACTATCTGCTCTCTCGCTGGTCATCCGCTTCCTGCCCGTTGATCCGACCGATGGGTCAAGGCTAGCCTCCCGCTCGGCTACCCTGGCAGCCTCGATCTGCGCCTTTGTTCGCTTGGGATTCCTTGTTCGGCCTTCTTGGTTGAATTTGGCCCAGTGTAGAATCATAGCTTCGGTGCGCTTGGGGTGCTTGGAGTTTTTGATCTTGAGCTGATTCTTGGGGTCCTGGAGCGGGTCGGGGTAGAATGGTGTAGACGCCTTGGAGGTCCCTGCTGATGTTGGAGCAGGGGATTTGGGGGATTTGGGGGATTTGACTGGGGTGCTTCGCGGGGCGCCCGTAGATAATGCGTATAGTGCTTGAGCCAAGGGCCGTCCGGATTTTCGTAGTGGAGTAGTGATATTGCTTGACGGGGTGGCATTTCTGGATTGTGGGCGGGAGGGCCCTCCGGGACTGGTGGGCTCCGAGGGAGCCTGCGAGGTATCTCTGGTAGAGGAAGGTTTCGAGCCTCCATACCGTGTAATGCGTTTCGGTGCAAGAAGGCCCTTCGTTTCCGGCTCGGTTTTTACGGCAGTATTGGCGACCTTCTTCTTCGGCTTGATGACGGGCGGCGGACGAAGTTTAGGAACGCATTCTACTCCGTTCTCCTTGACGGAAGCCCAGCGGTTCATCTTCCATGGCTCCGTGCCACTTGCCTTCATCTTTCTCATTTGGTCGGCGGTAGGAATGAAGCCACCCTGAGCGAACGGATCCTGGCATCCGATCTGGCTTACTTTCGGATCATGCTTGTAGCCGTAGAGCATCGCTTCTTTCTTATCTTCGTAAACTTGCGGGTCTTCAAGTTCTCTGGGGTTCGAAGTCTTCTTGAGCGATGAGCGTGTCGCTCGTTTGATTAGCTTTTCAAGAGCCATGTGTTCGTCTTGCCAGATTCTCAGCGCATGAGCGGCATTGACGGTGATCGCATAAAGCTCCTTGGTGGAGAGTGAAGATGGGTCCTTCATGATATCGATGTATATGTTGGGATCCGTTAGAGGTAAAAATTTACCGGTGGCAGTGGAACCCGATTCGTAAGGCTGGGGCCGTTCGAACCCATCAAATGCCCCTTCCCATCGCGACTGGAGCTCATCTCGCCGTCCGTCATAGTCTTCAGTGAAATTTCGTACATCATGCATGGTCCAGTGGCGTTCGATTTTTTCTTCGACATTTGGAGTCCCTTCGCTCTGAGAGGCTGCTGGACGACGGCTCCCTTGGTCGGAGTCCAGAGGTGGAGTAAGAGTCTCTTCGGAAATCAGGTTATTGAACAAGTCTTTGGCGATGTCTGGATGATCTTCTCGCATGTGCTGCTTGAGACTTTCAAGTGGCGGTGCCGATTCTGTGCTCTCGAGAGGGAACTCTTGTCCGCACCACGTACATTTTACAGGGGGCAAGTCATTGGCCGGGGTATTCTGGGAAGAGGCTGATGGAAGGCTGCGTGGTTCAGACAGCCCTCGCTGCAGTCTAGGTATTGGAGAGCCTGGGGTATTTATCTTGGGCAATCCAATATCGATGTCGTCTCTGGGTGCAGAGGTCGACGACATCGTGGCATAAAAGATGTGTAGATGCTCCTCCTATGCATAGAGTTAGTATGGAGCGGTCAAAAGGTGATGGCTATATCAACGACATCACATGCACCCAGAACATGTTGAGAAAAAAAAACATGAAAAAAATGCGATGTGACATGACATCGATGTATGAAAGTACGTATCGAAGCAGCGAGAACAACAAGAAAGGGAAACAGGAGCGAGATCACTGCCTTTTTTATCCCCTACTGTCGTGTCTCGTTTCTTCTTTTTGCTTCCCTTTCATGGCAGTAAGAAAAATAAAATAGACGCGAGCAAGTAAAAACTCTTACCTCAATAAAAGATTAAAGGCGTCTTTATTAATAATAGCATTAGTCGTTGATGCAAGACAGTGACGGAAGTTCTTCTTGGTCCTTTAAAATAAATGTAAAAAAAGAAAGAAGAAAGAAGAAGAAGACCGAAGCTGAAGGCTGAAGGAGCGATATTGAATGTATTTGTAGTCGTGGAAGTAGAATCGGTCAACGACGAGAGAATGGTTACGAAAAGGGAAAAAGAAGAACCCGCCCAGCGGATAAAAGTAAATAGGATGAAGGGGGATAGATCAGAGTCCGATGCTGGAAGGATTAGTACACCAGAGACACCATAATCTATAGAGCAGACAGATGAAAGCTTTGGAACCCAGGTTGTTCAGCCATTAGAGAGGAACGAGGAGGAAAAAGTAAATCTAGTTTGAGGTGGCGAAGCGACGTGGTTGTTGTTGGGTGCTGGTACTCCGTCTATGTCGAAAGGAAAACGGAAGAATGGGCTAAAAACGTGACGGGGGAAACCTGCGGCGACGCCTCTAGATCAGGAGCAGCGACAGACGGCTGGCAGGTGGTCGGGAGGCGAGCGAGGTCAAATGGGCTGGCGGAAGGACAAACGGCCTGCAGGATCGAAGGACACGGCGCCAGGAGAAGACTATGCGTATTGTCGTCTGCGGGCTGGGAGTGTGCATTCACGATCCGATCTAGATGTGGATGGAGAGAATGGGAAACATCAATCGATTTTTTCCCTCTTTTTGCCCTTTGTTTTTTTCAATACGGCCACCGGTTACTAAGCAGGTTTGAGGCCAATCAGGGGTTTGCCTATACATCCACGCGACTACTCCGTATACTCTGTAGAGCTGAGGATAGAGATAGAGATAGAGGAGAGAATAGATAGAGGATACTCCGGAGAGACGATAGAGAGGGCAGGATAGAGAGGGCATTAGAGAAGAGAGAAGAAGAAGAGAAAGAGAGAGAGAGAGAGCCACGTACGATGCTGAACGTACGAGTCTGGCCCCGTACGGAGACATCATACATAGGGGTCACTATTTATACTCCATACATAGTCTCAAAGGCTACTCGACATGTTCACTCTATGTATACGGAGTATATCGCCGCCCCCTTATGCGTAGATCCCTCTTAAGCTCCAATATATCAATTTATCGCTGCCGTATGCCCTCTCCCAGGGTCAGCGCGCTTGTATGTAAAATATCGAAAACCAAGAGGACAAGCAGAAACATAGGATAAGGTTGGCGAATAATATGTCAGATAGCGATTGGCTGCTCGATCCTTGACGCTGCATCATCTTAATATCGACAAAATTCGATGTATATCGGCCTCCTTGTCCCTGTCCTGTCGCAGGGCATTCAATACACACAGCTGACCGCCACCAGATAGTACACGCACACCCGCTCCTACCGCCCCCTATTCATTCATCTCTCCAACGTTCAGCGCGACCAGGAACCGGCTCACGCAGTTATACGCTGCCGTCGTGGCCGTGATCTCTACCACTTCCTTCTCGTCAAAGAGTGACCTGAGCTGATCGAACACTTCCTCAGGAACCTTCACCGTCCTCGTCATGGCGCTCGAATACAGGTACACTGCCATCTGCTCCTGTGTCAGCAACGATGCCAACGCCGTCTCGTCGCACTGGTCCTGTTTGATCAGCTCGAGGGCCTCGTCGGATACGCCTGCAGCCTGCAGTAGAGGGTAGTGTTGTTCCCACTCGAACCAGGCGTGGTTGATGGCGGCAACTCGACAGATCGCCATTTCACGGATATCTGCTGGGATCGAGGTGCGGGTTCTGATGGCGCCGAGGAACGAGTTCCAGCCATCTGCGACGGGGAACGAGTGCAGGAGGGCAAGGTCGAGGGGGAGAAGGCCCTTTTCGCCTCGTCGTGTCTGCACGCGCTGGAGAACGGCGGCTTCCTCGTCGTTGGAGGTAGTTGGCGGGTTGGGAGTATATGGGATACGCATGATCGTCGTCGATATACAAGGTAAGAAGTGAGTAGTAACCGCTGCTGTTGCTATTCCTATATTGTCAACAGTTATAAAGTCATATATAAGCCATGTAGAAGAGAAGTAACTCTCGGCCTGGACCCGTAGACTACGGTCCACGCCTTCCGATCGGTAAACATCCGAATCGGCATCGCGTCTATATTCAATATAGTCATGTCGGATATAGACAGCTTCGGTTATGATAGAACTACCCCATTGTCTCGTTAACTTGTACATAACCTGTACACTTCATCGGTCCGTTTAACAGTTTAACGATGTCTGCCGTTGATGTTTCTCTTCAACGGAATCGGCATCTAGATCATCACGTGATATGGATCACTTCGGCATCATATAGATGGCGTCTGGGATTGATATAATGGCGGCAGCGGTAGTCGCACAGTGGTTTGTATGAAGTAGATCAGATAGTCTACTCTTGTAATCAAACCGTTGCGCCCTGTCAGATCTCCAGGCCGTGTCGTCGTCGTCGTGGCGGTGGTATATCCAATTCTCGAGACCATCTTCTCCCAGAGATGAAGCGTATGCACACGGAGAATAACAGCCAGATAATCATAGGAGTGTAGACCGAGGGGCCATGCAAGATATATAATGGAGGTAATTAGGTCGATGGAGGCACTGAGCACGTCTCGATCTATAATAATCACATAATAGACACAAAAAGTAACTCCAACATCTCTCTTCCCTTGGTGAGGGTCATTTCCATGCCTTTCCTTGCCTTCTTTCCCTTCAGCCACTGTTATTTGTTTCGGATTGGCGCTTACCTTTCCAGTGGAGACTCCCCTCCCTTTGACGCCCTGAATAAATATGAAAAAAAAAAATATCCCAGCTCGAACTGCGTACGCTTCCAACTCACACATTCGCTCGCCTCGATCGCTCGCTCACTGCCTCGCCCGGGGTATGGGCAGATGCCATGTACTCATGTTGTAATTCCGCACCACTTGCCATCGTCTTCTTGACCCCGGTAGGGTTTTTGATAGGGTTAATAAGTCTCTCCACCGGCGCCATTGTGCGCCGTGCCTACCATGGCTGGGTATCCGTATGTCGCGCCATCCTGCTCGTTCGGATCGAGGCTCGCATTTAGAAGGTTGTTGGCAGTCTCTGGGGGTGGTGGGACTGTGAAGCCCGTCGGTGGTTGAGCTGCTGCTGCTCCACCCATGCCGGTGGGAACGGGGGCGGGACCGCCGACTGGGCCACCGGAGCCATATCCGCTGCTGGATGGTCGGTTCTGGTTCTCCCCCCTTGCAGTTTGGGTCTGCAGGAAATCAATTTAAATTGTTCAGGACGGTTTGGGTGGAAGGTGCCTGGATGATAAAGGAAAAAGGGAGAATGGGCTGGGGAACTGTGCATGGGGAAGGATAGCAGAGGAGAGGGAGCTATGAATAAGATCTGCATACAACTGTGTACTTACTTCCCGGTACTTCGTAAGGTAGATTTTCAAGGCTTCGGCGTAGTTCTCGAATCCGAGCGACGTCATCGCGAATAAGATGTCTTCTCCATTGACGGTCTTGCGCTTCTCTCCCTGGCACTTCTCTGAAGCTGTATTCGCCCATCATATATCAGTCTCCCCATATCTAGGCTTATCCCTGTCCATGGTCGTGTGACGTACCTTCGCTGGTGATGAACGATATGAACTCGCTCACGCACTCTTGCATGCATTCTTTGGCTTCCTTTGCGATTTTGGCGTTCTCGGGCAGGGCAGTTTTCATAATTCGGGCAACTGCATAGAAACATAACATATCAGCATCCATATACCGGGTGAGCCATGAGGAACGAGCATGGATGATATTCGGTGATTGGATTGGACCGTGCTGCAGCCAGATTCAAGGTTGCAGCGCATCAATTGAGGCTGATTGACTGTATGCGCATGTAGCTTGTTTGGGAAGTGGGGTCGAGCATGGACGTATAACGGTTTCCTTTGTCGAAGAACTTGAATCGACAGAGAGAGCAAGTATATATCAAGCAGATGTACACAGTCGGTGAGACGCGTGTTTTGCGCACGCCCGTAAGCCGGTCGTCCGTCGTCCGTCGGTCGTCATTTTTTGGGGAGAGGCAGTATCAAAATAAGGAGAAGAAGGTAACAAACCGTTCGCAATTGGAAGCCATCGGTCCTGCTCTTTAACCTCGAATTCGCCCTGGCCCTGCGCTTGCAAATCGTGGTGTTCTCTTTCCATGGGCTCCGCCTCGTCTCCAGACTGAGTAACTGGTTCCACCTCTGGTTCCTTTGGAGGAGAGGCCGAAGACATGGCTTATACGTTCGTTGGTTATGTATGTACGGGCTGGGAAACGGCTTGCGGCAACGGAGCGTATGGACGCCCTCTGCTTGAGTGGACTTGACACGTCACTCCCCTCCGTAAAACCTAAACGCTGTTTAGTCTGACTTGGTCCTGTAGGTCCCAATGTCAATGTCGTGGGCGGGCGCGCTGGTGTCCTGCATGGAAGGGGCCGCATTAGTCTCAGCACCCAATAATCACGGCTCTTGCTTCACGATCGCCTTGGACTTGGGAAGGTTTTGGGGAACAGAGGCAGCTGGGAGGGGTGGATACCTTGCGCCGTTTCCGCGGGCAATGGGAGGTCGTGGAACAAGCAAGGGACGGACGGTGACGAACAGCGAGGGAGCGAGATGGCCGTGCTGGGAGGTTGACAGGCAAGGGCTAATCGCCGAGTCGCAAACGCTAAAAAAGCAAAACGCGCTGGCCGCTGTGACTCGCTGGGGGTCTGGGAGAGGGTGCTACAATGCGACTGGGCTGGGGGAGGTGCTGGGTCGAGTGGTTGGAGCAGGTTGGGCGGAAACGGGGTGACGGTTCGGTTCTTCGAAGGAATGGGGATGGGTGTCGACCTTGCTGGGCCGCGCTAGCCAACTCTCTTTTGGTGCTGACCGCAAGTTGGGTATACGGCGGGAATGTGATAGAGCAATTGCTGCAGATACTGACGTAGGTGGGCGGTGCTCCTCGTGTTCTTGTCGCCGTTCTGGTTGCTTGTTGACTGTTGAGGTGAGGAAGAAGGAGAAGGAGAAGTCGTGATAAGATTAGGTTCCTCGGATCCTTATCGCGCCGTCCCATCTGCCATCTACACTCCCATCTACCACACCATCTACATCTACCATCTACACCATCTACACACCATCTACTACACTACTCTACATTACAATACACTACTCTACACTACTATATACATCCTACATTTTACTACAGTACAAGATGAAAGACGGGCTCCTGGTTGAGCTTCAGAACCAGCCTGACTTAGCGAGAAAAACAGCTGCCGTACTGTACTTATAGCAACTCTATCTCGATATGCACGATGCATGTACGTATCCCGTCTGGCTCGAGCTAGTCGAACAAGGGCGCTGTCGAGGTGGTCACCGATCTACCTGCGTGATAGTTGATAAATGATCTGTCGCCTGCATCCTGTACAAGCGGTCACAGAATCCTATTCTTATTAATCTCGAGCTTGCCGCATTAATATTGTACACTCACGGCCGTCTACTTACGACCTGGCCTGACCAGACTGATACTGGAGATGACGGCCGATTTTCATGCATGCAGGCTTCGATACCCAACAAGACGGCAGCAGAGATAACAATGAAGAGTTAAAGATATCAGCCTCAGACAAGGCTCACAAAGCAACACAACCTCGCCTACTCTTGTTAGCTCCCCCGTGTACTCCGTGACTTCGCCCGGTTAGGTAGATGTGCATTGGCTGGATGTCTCGAACAGCTCGCATCGGGTAACAGTACGCACACTCTATGCGCTGGACAGTGACGATAGCTCGGCGCTGACGGGCTGGATCCCTGCATAGTAAATATCAAGCACTTGCTCTCCCTTACCCCGTGTTCATCTTGTTACTTCTCTGCTGAATGAGTTAGCCTAGAACTCGTCAGTTAGTCACAGGCGCCTCTATTTAAGCTCGCTGGCCTTTGACCTTCCCTTGGCGGGATGGCGATGTAACAGTAGAAGAATAGATGTAGAGACTGTATGAAGGCAGGTAGCAAGTGTTATCTTAAATGACGTCAGTATCTACATATCGCAGTAGAAGCTGTATTTCTTCAAGACTCATGAGCCAATGCAAATGCCTAAAGCCGGGCTATGATATAATGATGCATTCCACGTCTTCTAGCCCAAGCCGCCGAGATACTAGACTTGTCCATACCCCTCAACTGTAGACGCCTCTTGTTACCACGATTCTTCCAACATCCAGTAATAAACGAGTAGGCCCAGATAAGTCAATAGTCCACCGAGAGGTTAAAACAGCCCACGAATATGGAACGGGAGAACCTGCAATATTTTTCAAGAATCAATCCCATTTTAACCCGTAACCCCGTATATTTCTCGCTCATCTTATTAAACCAAGTCCCCCCCTCATGTCCATCGTCAAATCATTGCTGAACAACCTGGATATGGTTTTTCTTCTATAGCACGTAGTTCCGTCAAAAATAGGTCCTGACACACACACACCCCGGATAGAAGTGGTATCTGATAACCCGCAAACATACCTTCCAATTATCCATCTCGTCCTGTTTACTCTTATATTGTTTCATTAACTCGTCGAGAACCTGTTTGAGGCCGTCCGCGTTCGTCTTTAGAGAAGGTATCACGTCCTTAACCGTCCTCTCGACCAAGACACCGTTTATCATGCGGAAACATTTTCGATCCAGCGGTAGGGGTTGTAGTGATTCTATAACGAGCCTGCGGGCGGGGATAAGTCAGTATGCGATGTGCTGGCCAAGGGGTGGAGGGGTCGGTATGGTATGATGTGTTGCGTAGGGTCGACGAGAGCGTGAGCGTAGGTTAAAACTATGGGCTACGCACTTATGTTCTTCTGCTTCTGTTTCTATATCTCCGATCTTCTGTGCTAGTTGTTGAAGGGTATTTTTGAAATTCGAGTATTGCATCTGCAGCTCTATGGGTTCATATTTTGCGTTAGTGTCATGAGGGAGAGCTAGGATGGTGGTATAGGGGACGGTCTGTAGTGTTCAGTTTAGAGGCGCCTTTGACGTACCTTGCTGCCTCTTCGGGTCAACCTGTTGCGACGCCATGGTGTGTGTTTGCGAGTAAGATGGTATGGTTGAAGCAAGCTGTCAGAACAATGTTCAAGTTGTGGGGGAAGCACGTCGAACCTAATTTGGTGCGTCATGGATAAATAATTTTGGCGGAGTTTCTGGATGGCCACAAAGAAAAGGGAAAGGGAAGATATTGTCAGGAAAGCAGCGTTCGGGATATGAATTGCTTTATTTATCTAATCTTATAAGAATCTATGCTAATAATAATATAAAACTAACAGCGCGAAACACAATGGTATATATATACACATTATCAATGAGGAAAAAAAAAAAAAAACTATATACATCCTACGCTTCCATGTTGAGAAAACTACTTTTCCCAACCTCCCTATCCCAGAAACTGCCCTTCCTTTCCCTAAATCGTTAAAGCCAAAGAATAACGCCGGGTCCCTGCGCCGATGTGACTATAAAGTGGAAAATATCATCGGTCATACGGTAACATTGGACGTGACAAATATATGAAAGGTGCCGCCGAGGGCCGGCTCGTGGGGGGTATAGAAGGTATTATTATGTAGCCTTGTTAGTCCATCTGAGGAAGCAGTGGGTATCCAGCTGATCGGCAAGCCAGGGGGGCCTGATATGGTAGATTTTTGCGAGTGATAGATGCATATCGCGACGCCCCTTCCTGCCTAAAAGGATCTTCATCTGACGGCGCGTTTAGTGATGGATGCTGTGTCTCCACCTACTGGCCATAGGGCTGCGGCGGAGGTTAAAGTGTCTGCTAGAAGATCCATCCGACTTCTCGGGCGGGAAGGGATGGACAGGGAACAACAGCACCCTGTGGCCTGCAAGACATGGCATGGCCCGCCCCTAGCTTTGCAACCATGTGCTCTCCTGGAAATAGTCTGTCAACCCCGGATCATGCAAATAAAGCTCGCGCCATTCATCTTCCATATCATTAAGGTTTTCAGGAACAACCGCTCCGCACGGTTCAGACTCCGCAAAAGTAAATAGCTGCTTCCAGTCTGGCCCCCTGCCTGCAAGATGTTCTGACGGTTGTGGTTGAGGTTGCTGCGGTTGCTGCGGTTGGGGACCGCTGACAGGGACCATGGAATCAGGATGAGTGAAGTAATTAAGCCTATCGCCAAATTGAGGTTTAGGCCACCAACCTTGTAGCTGTGATTGTGGCGGCGGCACTTCGACGTTCAAAGCTGGACCCTCGGTAGCTTTGGAGACACTATCGCCTTCCCGAGGCCTGGTGGTGCCGGACTGTTTGGCCTTGACCATCTGCATATCATGCTTTAGGCGTTTGGAGCTTTCGAAAAGCTGCAAGATGCTTTCTGCGTTATGCCAGTAATCTGATAGCGAGCGGAGGGAGACTAGAGTCGAGTCGAAGCGGCGAAGGGCGTTGATTGCTAGCACAGGATTCGAGAAGCGAAGTTCAACTCTAATTTGGATCATGGCTGTGAACAGCGTGTTGACGGATGACGACCAGAGGTACTTGATTCTATCCTTTTCTCGGAGCTCTTCAAATATAGACACGATAACGCCGGCGGCGGCGCTGCAAATCTCTGCATCGTTGTGAGCGTAGGTATCTGCCGAGGCGCGTGGGTGAGGACGATGGAGGAGTATGAGGAAGTTGTTATAGGTTAGATGGAGCAAGGCGGGCCAGGCATCCATGTCTGCGGTGGACATGCGAACGGTATCGGGCAGTTTGATGGACCAGTTCGCGAGAGCCTTGTCGGCTTCGGAGAGGATTACCTTTCGTCGTTCGGGGGCGATGCGTAGGCCAAACCTTTCTCGAACTATAAAGGAGATCATACAGCAGAGTTCGGTGAACTGTATGACATAGTCCTTTTGTATGTTTTTGCCGCACCCTTCAAAGTCGGAGGCGCTCAACGGTTCGACGTCACAGTCGTCCAAGTTTCTGACGCTGTCTGTTAGCTAGAAGAGTTTGGGATGACAAAAGGTGGTGTTGATTGTCTACTGGACTTACATTGCTTGTGGACGACCATACTGCAGGGAAACCATTACGTCGAACTGCACCAAGATCCACCAAGCTCTTCGCCACATTCGTTTATCAGGCGGTACTATCATGCTAGAGCCTGAGTTTCGATGCATTCCTAGTCCGGTAGCTATCCTAGCTGCGACACCCACCCAGTAATGAGCGTTTGCGGCTACATCGTCATCAATTGGATCTGAATACCAGGTTAGCAGAAGAGCCGCCTGGACCATGATGTCTCTATTGCGCTCAACACGTGCTTCGAATAGTATTTTGGCTCGGCGAAAGAATGCGGCCTTTAGAGTGTCTCGCATTGGTCTCGGACGAGAAACATGAGCGCCGGCCAAGAGCACCGCCTGGAGTATGAGCAGAGACGGAGCATCGTTTGGGTCCCGCGCTCTGTACTGAGCCATGAATATATCCTCGGCGAGGATGGGAAACCCGGGATTGACATGCTTGAAGTATGCGTCAACGAGTTCGTCAGCAAGAGCCTGCTCGGGGAGAACGAACGCATCTCTCGGCACCTGTTCAAACCCACACTCTATATATTTCCTGGATATCTCATTCGTCGCGAAGTGGTATACTTCGTCGTCACGATCTACGTGTTGCTGCCGTAGAAGGAAATTTAGGTTTGATACGTCCTGCCCGACATAGATGACTCTCACGCCCTTTTGAATCTTGCGGTGTGTGGACTCCTCGTCTATCAATTTAGCCAATTGCTTGTCCCGCTCCGAGCTATCGTCCTCGTCAGGCGATATATCGGGGTTTGCAGCCTCTGAGTAGTCCATGACCGACGCTGCCGGGCACATCTCCTCCTTCGGCTCGGGTATGTCTAGTATCGACATGGTGGTGTGGTGTGAATCCGACACCGGGTGGGATAGCGATGCCTGTGCATGAGGCTCGTCCGTTTCGGGGAACGGGGCGCATCTAATGGGTACGGGATGGCGCAGGGATCGAGAAGCAGTTCGTTTTTTCTTTTCGTGTATCCGGCAATCGAGTTTCCCCGCCGTCCTACAATTGGAGCACGGGACCCCAACGGTGCGCGCGTCACAGCGGACTTTTCGCTGATGGCAGTGAACACAGGCAGCCGGACCTAGAGCAATGCAGTCAGCAAGTGCGCACAATACACCCACGCATAAGGATAAAGGAGCGGCGAAGGGACGGGCGAGGTGCAGGTTTAAGTCATGTTGGGAGAGAGAAATACGTTTCCGTTTCAGGCCATTCTCGTCGGCCGGAGAGGGCGGCTTGACGTCCATGAATGCGATGGTGCAGGCGGATTGAGGCCGGTCAGGTAATGTCGAACATGCACGCCACGGAGCTAGAGGGACCATCAGCCATCCCACAGCAGGTCGCAAGCTGGTCTGAGGGAAGCAAGCAAAAAAAACTGTCTGCGCAAGCAAGCCTGGGGTGGAGAGAAGTTGCAACGAGCAATCAGCGCCACGTGAGTTCCAGATAAGATTATAGGTATTGGCTGACTAACCAGCTCCGGTTAAGGGCCAAGGGCCAAGCGGGGTCGCTGGGGGGAGGGCGTTAGGCACTCTGGCAGTCTTTGGCAGTTTTTGGCAGTTTTTAGGCGTGGGTTAGGCGTGGGTTAGGGGCGGGCTAGGGGCTGGCTAGAGGCAGATGGCGGCCAAGTTAAGGGTTCGTTAGGGGTGCTGAGGTGCTTAGGCTAGGTGCTTAGGTGCTTACAAGCTAAGGGCTGGCCTAGGCTAGTCAAGGCCCGGCGCCTGTGAGTGGCTGCGAGGGCTGCGAGGGTGCCCGCTAACGGGGTGCCGAGATCTCGCTAGCAGGGGCCGCCCATGCCCTGACGTCCGGGCGAGGCGCCGGGCTCCCCTGGATCCGGGCGAGTCCAGAGCCTGAAGCCCCCGGTTGGTCGACGAGGTACTGCCTGTCCACGATCTCGTTCTCCGCGGCGTCACCATCTATCTCTTACTAGGACGATAGGATAGCATCAGAGCAGGACATCAGAAGAGCAGGATAATAGTGATGGAACGGCCTAAGAGTGTAGTAACGCTGGCTCTCCACTTACCGTATTTAGCCTTCGACCTGCGGCCAACTTGCGGTGGATGCTGGTTATACAGATGCCGTCAAGTGATCAGGTCGTCTCTTTTTCTCTCCTTTTTTATGCAAGCGGACTGCATGTACGAGTACCTCTCTGGAAAACCGCCGGATTATTAATCCCTGCTGGCCAGGGATCCAAAGTGCCGATAATACCGCAGCCAGTCCTTTATACCGGGAGCCATGCTGCCCATGCCATGCCACTCCGCCATCCCATGTCGCCATGCAGATGTAATGCTCCGTCAGTCCTCCGTTACTCCATCGGCAGGGAGGCCTGGCAGGTCCTCAGCGTCCTGTTGCAGATACTATTAAAGTCTTACATCGCTCGTCGGTCGTCGTAGGACGCATCGCCGTGTGCCGGTAGCGTCGGCCCATCTTCGGCTAAACAGCTAGTGCCCAGGTAATGCCGGATCAACCACCGAGACTCAAGGAGACTGTCAACGTCTGCACGGCCAGGATGAGATGGTGAGCTAACAGTAGCCGAACACTGTATCGTCGTGGCCATCGTCGTGGGCCATCGTCGTGCGGACAGGCGTATATCATATCGTCCATGGCCAGCGGCGGAGGAGGAAGAAAAAGCAAAAGCCCTTTTGCCCCACGTTTTGAAGGCGCTAGTGTTCTCCTCCATACATATATAATACTCGGACGTAGCTTTTCCGGCGCGTTCAACCAACAGACACGAAGCCAGTCTGGACTTAGAGCATGTCATAGGGCGGAAGTCTCAAGAGGTATAAATCCTTCCCCAGGCCCGCTAATGGCAGGGTACCTTTCCAGACTACTTACATCTCTACCAGATATATAGATTAAAATATCTAGCTATAAAAACCACTTTACACGTCTCTTCAAACATACGCGAGCATGGCACCCCACGCAGCTGCGAACGATGTGGCCCAGAAGCCGGCCGTTGTTGAGGGGACGTTGACCGTTGCGAATGTTGCCGCCAATCGAACCAGGTTTCCTCTTCCAAAGGGCGTTGCGGCATTCTCCGACAGTAGCATGTTCAAGAGTGCTGTACGAGCTACCCCGCGCATCCTGTTTCATGGATATTGCTGCTAACCATAACCTGTATAGGCATCTGCAGCTAAACCAAAGGCGAAAAGATGGGATCGTGAGTGATAGACAGTCTTAGACTCAAGAGTGTAGCTTGTTATAAGTCTCACTGACCGTTTAGCGTTCGCGTATAGACTATATTAGTGCTGAGAGTAAATTGCGAAAGGTAAGGGGCGCAATATCACTTTATACCAGTTTGCGCATTTTCACTAACCCTTGTCATATAGCCATCTACTTTGAAGCAGATCGCGCAGTACTTGCAGCCAGGTATGTACTTGGCCCGGCCTATCGGTTTAGTTCTGTCAGCGGTGATTAATTGTTGCATACAGGCATGCTCTCTCTAGGAGGCGGCCTTCCATCCCAAGAATACTTCCCATTCCACGAGATCAGCGCCAAAGCACCCAGCCCAAGCCAATTCGCCGACCCTGCCCCCGCAAACCCCGAATGCTCTGTTATCTCTACGAAGCACGATATCATTGACGCCACAAGCGAGTTCGATCTCGAAGTTGCGCTCAATTATGGACAATCAGTCGGATATGCTGCCTTTGTCAGATGGGTGACAGAACATGTCGAGGTATGGCCTCCCACTGAAAGTCATAATTAAGGCGAAGTTGGGACTAAAGAGAAATCTTTCTAGATTGTGCACAACCCTCCCTACGGTGATTGGGATCTTACACTGGCTCCTGGAAGTACTCAAGGATGGGACTTTGTACTCCGCATGCTATGCAAGCCAGGCGATATCGTTCTCACGGAAGAATACACCTTCTGTTCCGCAATGGAAGGCGCTGCTGCTCAAGGAGTGATTCCATTCCCAGTAAAGGTTGACGCCGAGGGCCTACTCGCATCTTCTCTAGATGAGATACTCACCAACTGGGACCCCGCTGCTCATGGCGGGGCACGCAAGCCATTCGTCTTGTATACCGTACCATCAGGCCAGAACCCTACGGGCGCCACACAGAGCGCCGAGCGACGAAAGGAGATCTACAAAGTTGCCCAGAAGCATGATCTTATAATCTGCGAAGATGAGCCGTATTATTTCCTTCAGATGGAGCCGTACAAGGGGCTCGGTACACCCATGACCCCACCACCAGCGTCGACCGATGAGTTCCTGAAGACTTTGGTACCATCTTTCCTCAGCATGGATACCGATGGACGCGTTATAAGACTGGATTCATTCTCAAAGGTCCTCTCGCCTGGCTCCCGTGTCTCGTTCGTCGTTGCTTCTGCCCAGCTCACAGAGCGTATGATCCGACAGGCGGAGACATCCACTCAATCCCCCAGCGGAATGGCACAGATCTTACTTTACAAGCTACTAGACGAGGCATGGGGCCATGAGGGCTATATTAAATGGTTGATCCATATTCGCGTGGAATACACCAAGCGCAGAAACTGTATCATGGATGCATGCGAGGAATTCTTACCAAAGAGCGTAGCCACCTTCAACCCTCCGACGGCAGGCATGTTTGTAAGTTTTTCGCGACTTTCCCTCGTGTTGATCATCAATTACTAACCACAGACCCTTGCAGAACTGGATCCAGATTGACTGGAAGAAACACCCCGCCATCAAGGAAGGAAAAGACCACGACGCAATTGAAGAAATGATCTTCCTCGCAGCCGTTGATGCAGGCGTCCTTGTTTCACGCGGCACCTGGTTCTTGGCAGACCAATCAGCTAAACAAGAGGATATGTTCTTCAGAACGACATTTGCAGCTGCCCCTGCAGACCAGATCAGGGAAGCCATTAAGCGATTTGGCTCGGTCCTCAATGCTCAGTTCAATATCCAATGAGCAACCTTGCCAATGCATTTCCCCCATGTCAACTGCTGATATGACGAACGGTAGGCTCTGTGCATATTTTAGGGTGGCTAGTTTGTCCAGATGTTCAGTGGTTTCTCGAGATGTCCATAGACCGTATATGGTGGTAGGTTTCGGAGAGCAGTTTTGAGGCAGTTATAGCACTTTCTACATGTACATGATTTAGATTAACATAAAGTTATCAATATAAATATATATATTATTCCTATACACCTTCCTGAGACTTTTAATATAACCACCGCGGCGATATCTCGGCGTTGTCCTATGTTTCTCTCTGTTGCTTTTTACAGGGGCAGAAAGTAACCCACGTCTTGGCAAGTGCTTAGTCATCTTAAATAGTTTCTCCGCATTCCGACGTCCGAAACAGGCAGATCCAACATCATCGCAACCCTCCGCCTATCCCATCTTCCTTCCAGCTACTTTCTTATTTATTTTTCTTCACGCCATTGATACATCCAGCATTTTACGGCGTTGCTGGTGTTTTCAGACCGGAGGTTTAATATTCCTTTTTCCATTCCTAACGCTTTTCTTTTCTTTCGTTCCTTTTTGAAAAAAAGTTTAAATCTATTTCTCCTGATACCCTGGTTCTTCAATGTTTTCTTATTAATCAATTTATAGAGGTAAGGGACTTCTATATATCCATCCCATATAGGCAAGGCCACTATCTTTTGCAGTGTTGGAATGAGTGTAGATTTGCTGGTGCTAGATACCCATCTTGCCCCTAGTTGTTGTAGACCGACCTCCTTTTTGACAGTTATGAGAGGCCCCCCAGTTATATTTGGTAACTATTGCAGATTTTGGCAATTATCTGGATAGCATTATAGAGCTTGAGCTGGCTGAAGTTCTTCATCTGAACGTCTTGTTGAATGATCGCTGACGTCGGCGTCTTCACTACAGATATTACTGTCACGCAAACCCATCTGGTGGCAAATCCTAGGATATATATCTTGCTCGACTTTCTTAATCTCCTATCTCTTAGAGTCAAGGACAAACACCAACTGGGACCTTTCACTACTTCTTATCCAAGCAGTGATAGCAGTATCTGGCACACTCCTTCAAACAAGGCAGAGAGGCGTCTGGACTCTGATATCTGATATCTAGGTAGGTCACCTGCTAAAGCCTGGACTGTTCGATGAGGCTTGTCTTTGTTTGTTGTTGTTTACCAGTCGCGACTTTTCACGCTAAGCCAGACGCTAACATGAATCTAGACAGGTACCTGAACTGTCCAAACAACATCTATAAGGCATCCGACATCTCCTGTCGAGAAGCTATTGAAAGGGCACCTTCACGATTGAATATCTGGTCTTGACATATACCGATATATGCTCTGAGATTTTTGTGATGGCCACATATCGCTTCTAGGGCGGGAACTGGAAAATACCCAAACTTCACTCCCCCCGTAAGAGGTTTATATCAGCGGATTTCGAGCTTCATCTTGAAGTGATAACCATAGACACTCGACAGCTGCTGTCGTACTCCACATCCTCAACATTTTTTCATATACATCTGGTGTTTACTTTTAAGTCACGTAGGTTTGCCCCCTTCCTCCAACATGATCTTCTTATCCTCTTCAGCTCCCTCTCTCGCTCCCTTTCCTCTCTTCATCTTTTCTGTCCCGGATTGTATTTTACTTCACGTCAATTTCTTTTCGTGCCCTCACGTTGTGTGTGATGCCTCGATTGATATTATCCGTCTTATCTGTTGTCCTGCGTTAACATGGATCCCCCCTTGGATGAAAATGTCCGCCCTGGCGAGGCTGCCTGGTGGTATTTATTTCTTTAAAAATGACCTTCTAGCAATTGTTGATCTAACATATTATACTACATAGTGATACACCTAGCCCCTTACGCGCTCGTGGGTTCACAGGGAGCAAGGAGGATATCCAAGCTGCTAGCGCATATCTCTTCTGTGACGCCGCAGCAAGACTCCAACAGCAAAACCTCGATCAGATCAACTATCAGGCAGAAACATCAGAGTCAACTCCAAGGAACGCCAATTCTGCACCGTTCAAAGAAGACGATCTCAACGAAGGTAATCCGGAGTTAACGTCGTATCTGCAATCAGAGGACTACCAATCTTTTTCCACCCAAAACCAATCAGGTGATGCGCATTGCATTAGTTCATTCGAAACACATCACTCAAACCAGTCACATTCGACCTTAGCTTCAAGCGAAGAGCTTGACCCGGATCTCCATCCTCCTTCGCCTACTGCAAGGTATATTCCCCGCTATTGTAGCTTCTCGTTATTATTTTTTATTTCAACCTCTCCTAACACGCTATACATATAGATTTTCGAAGAGGGTTTTTGCAAGTGAAGACACACCAAACGCTCGTCAACAATTTAACCCATTACCTAATTCCAAGGCGACTGGGAAGGTCTATGAGGAATTCCCTAAGTTTCAAGAACATCAGCCTTTTTCTTCGATAAACAATTTAGAGCCTCACTTTCGTCATCACCCATTCAGACGTGCCTTCACTACCGAAAACCATTACAATTACGAGGACCATTCCGCCACAGATTCCAAATATAGACAATATCCGCGTCCTAGACGGGTCTACACACGTGGCGAATTTCAAGAGAGGACTAGGGAGCTCCTGAAACACGACACCAAGCCCGGTGGTTTCAACGACTTCGATCCCGATTTCTCGAATCGTACACCCGCAAGAGCGACTGTCCTCAAACAAGCCCGATCATTCCAGGATCCACGATCTCTCACAGTCCCCTTACCGAAGCCGAGGCGTGACTTTGAATCAGCTTCACGCCAGCGTTCTGCGACTGTTCCCAAGAGACCACCACGTCCTCTTCAGAAACGCGAAGTTAAGACTAACCCATTTCCTCAACCACATCACTTTTCAACTCTAAACCCCAAAACTCAATTCAATCCCTTGAACTTTGTCCCTGGTGGAGTCAACTCGTCTGGCCATCTTTATCTGCCAGCCCCAGGACGCCAACCCTGTAACCGACCCGAGCCCGATCAAGGCCCACCCGTTAAAGTCCCATCCGAACCACACGTTTTCCACGGCCAGAGCGACGTTGGTTTTCCTTTAAATACACCAAACAGCGTTGGGCCTTCGCATTCTGATCCGTTTCCAACTCCATCTCAACCTATCTTCCATCTCGAGTTACCTACCACACCTGAAATCAAAAATCGAAAGCGCAAGAAGAGCGGAGCTCGGAGATTTACTTCATCTCTTAAGAGGTTTTTCTTTCGTAAAACTAAATCCGAACCCGAAAATACTGCATCTTCCGTCTCTTTCACTCAGGGTGAGACTAATCCTGCACAAGCTCCGCAGGCCGAGGAGCAGCCAAAGGATCTCAATCCGGCTCCGGCTGCCCGATTTGAAGTGCAATTCAGGGACGCTGATCCTGTCCAAGCCGCACAGTTTGAGGAACAACTTAGAGGCGTTGATTCCGCACAAGCTGCACAGTTCGAGGAAGAATTAAGGAAGCCGTTCATTACTGTAACTGTCGACCCTCCTCCTGAAGACGATATACCTAGCCCACCACAACAAAATACGCCCACCATGTTTTCCGCGGGGCATCTTGATCCGTCATCGGCCATGCTTGCCATCACTAAGCAAAAATCTGAGGCTATGCGTCTTGCTCGAGAGCAAGGCCTTGCTGTCAGAGAAATGTGTCGAAGGGCAAAGTCAGAAATTCCACCATACACATTCGAAGAACTAATTGGAAAAGGTTCATACGGTCGTGTGTACAAAGGGTTTGTACATCTTGTTTATTTATCTACTTATTTTTGGATATTGTTAACACTACTACCAGACACCATCTTCCCACAAAGTCTGTGGTCGCCATCAAAGTTATGGATATTGATAACCTTGATTATGAGACAACGAGAGACTTCAAGGATGAGTCAATCAAGGATTTTATTCACGAGACAAAAGTTATGTCGCAAGTTAAAGATGCTGGTGCAAAGAATATTAATATTTTTATTGAGGCAGTGTCAATACACTCCCAGCTTTGGCTTGTTAGTGAATATTGTCCAGGTGGAAGTATTAAAACTCTAGTAAGTTCTAATTTGTGAAGTAATAGCGAACATGTATAATTTAACGGCATACTTCAAACAGATGCGAGCAACTGGTGATAAACTGGAAGAGAGATTCATAATTCCTATCGCACGCGAGGTGGCTGAGGGCCTGAAGGCAATCCATGATGCTGGGATTATACACAGAGATGTCAAAGGTGATGACACACATACCTATGCTCTTAAATTTGGCTTATAACTAACGTTTCTGGCACACAGCTGGTAATATTTTAATCCACGAAGAGGGCAATATTCAAATTTGCGATTTCGGTGTTGCAGGCGTACTTCAAAGCCAACGCGACAAGCGCTCGACCTGGATTGGTACACCGCATTGGATGCCTCCAGAGCTATTCCCTAACAAGCCTGGCGATGAAGTCCATCCATATGGCAATGAAGTACGTATCACTGACTCTAATTCCATTCTATTAGCCAATTTACTAATTTCTGAGTGTGGTTTTAGATCGATGTTTGGGCATATGGCTGCACACTTTTTGAATGCGCCACCGGTAACCCACCCAACGCAACTCTCAGAGAAAGAATGCAGATCGGGCGTCAACTTAATCGTTTCACTCCAAGACTCGATGGTGAGAATTACTCTGAGGAATTGTGCGCAATTGTTTCCTACGCATTGGATGCAGATCCTAGGACTAGGCCTGCTATGGGCGATATCCTTAACCACCCATACATTGCCGGCTCCGAGCAAACCCATCCAACCGAGGGTTTAAGGGAGCTTGTGAAAATATACTACCAGTGGTCCCAGCGTGGAGGCCAGCGAATATCATTGTTCAACCCTGGCGGTGCTGTGGCTGCAGAAATGCCTGGAGAAAAAGGTCCCGAGGAGGATGAAGCATGGAACTTTAGTACAACCGAAGGGTTCGAAAAGCGGTTTTCCATAATTGATTTAGATCAACTTTCTGCGTCTCTCGCTGCCCTGGAAACCGAGCAAGATCCAGAACCAACCTATAATTTATTCGATCAATTTAACGCGGAGCCCGAAGAAAGAGAACTCACAGAGGAAGAGAAGGTAAACTTTGACGAGAGAGTGAAGCGAGGTGCAGCTGCTATGGAGGGAATATTCGACGAGGCAAAGCCAAACTACAAGTACGAAACAAAAAACGACTTTGTCCCCGTCGAGCAGACACGCAAATTTACGGACCTACCATTAAGGACTGAGACGGATCGATCGTCCGTTGCTTCCACATTTATTGATATTAACCTTGGAGTTTACGACTCATCTCACTATGCATCGGCATCAGGAACGGCCAATCCGCCATTCCAACTTGCTGATGCTGATACTATCCGTGCCCACCGGTCAAGTAGTCGATCATATCGTAACTCCTCCAGTGCGGGCAGCGAATCGCAAGAAGAATTCCCACAAATACGCGGCCCGCGACCCCCAACAATGGACTGGAAATTTCCAACTACTGCCTCAAGCATTGAGGAGAATGATAGTCCAAACCCGGCAGATGACAATATTGCTCCACACGACATTGAGCCCCTCGAACCGCGCGAAGACAAGCGAGATACAAGGGCATGGACATTCCCAGTTATGACGGCAGGGGATGATGGGCCGGGTGATGATGGTCCTGGAGATGAGCCAATTGATGAGACCGTCCACGCCGGGACTCCAAGTGACTGGAGCTCAGATAATGAAAGCACTACTGCTGAGGCTATGTTTCCTCTTCAGCATTCGCCACGCATTCGTAACAGGAGCATCGGCGAACCAGGCCATCGCACTATGGAATCTGAATCACGCCCATCTACGTCAGATTCTATGCAATCTTCTGTCTCCGATGCAGACTATGACCCATTCCGATTAGACAGAGAGTCAACGGTATCCGTGCCTGAAACCCATACCCAGAGGCAACCACTAGCAAAAGCCCCGCCGATAAAAGAGCCTGACTACCCTTATTATCATCGGGATTTTGATTATGGTAACAACCATCCTGGCCCAAACACCTTATCCAACGGCTATGAGGAGAGCCATGTGGGCAGCTTTCCAGAGAGTATAGTCCTCAGGAATGGCCATGTCCCAAGGGCATCTATAGCTCGCTCAGAAAGATCATCGTTATACACTCAAAACGGCACAGAGGCCTTTAGCCCCCCCGCAACAATAGTGAATACCGCCTCGCCTCGTTTTCCAGAGCCTAGACCTCCAAGCATGGAGAGTCTAATGGAAGGTGCCAGTGATGAAGTCGTTACCGCAGAACTGGATCGTTTATTTGGAGAACTAATGCACGGACTAGCAGCAACTGGGGAGGCGATTCAGTCGGTTGACACCGCAAAAGCTGCAGAAAGTGATGTGCAACCGGAGTCACCATGAGAAGGGAGTGCGCAGGCAGAAAAATATCGAGTTATAATGGCAATCGCGGCTTCAATATGGATATTATGTTGTATACTTACGGGTGTGGGGGCTGTCTATCTCTTTTATCCCTTTCTGTTTCTTCTCCTGCCCCTTGACTAGAATGTCGAGTGGATACGCTATCGGCACGCTAATATCTTGTTCTTCCTTTTTAATACCGGGCCGTGGTATCGTGTTGGCGAGTTGCAGTTGGTTCTTGGGATTTAATCAAAAGTGGCCACCTAATGAGTGTAAGCAATAATGTGATGAGTCTACGATTGGACGGCCACAGTTTAATATCAGCCAAAAAAAAAAAAATTACGTTAGCGAAGCTGTGACATGCTATTTATTATATTTGATATTTTAATAGGTTGTTATATCAATCGATAGACGTTGGCAGCGCTGATGTAAGCGGCCTTTGACCTCGCGTTTCAGCCCAACGTCCATCCATCAAGGTCACCGTCATCATCAGTATCATGCCCATGGAGAAGCGTTAGTTGCACTGCAGAGTACAGCTCCTCATGCAAGAGCCGGACAGGTGCAACGTGTTCTCTTCCTGGACATACAACTCCGCGTTTGGGCCGTTTCTTGTCAACTTAATAGTTCGTGCCCTCGTGTGCATAGTTGTGAGAGGACTGTGCAACTCGGGCTGTCGAGGTATGTATATACCAGTCTTTTAAGGCAGCGGAACACTATATGGGGATATAAAGCTACGAAAGTGATCGTCGCTGCCGTTTAATTCTTCGGTCCGTCAGACGCGTCGAATTATGGTTGAAGCTCGTCGACTTCCCACTCGCCGTGAACATTCGTTGAATATCGGACTTGGCTCAGGGCTCAGATATCCAATCGAGACTTCTCGTTTCTCCGCGTCTTCTCTTTCTTTTCTTTTCTTATTAAGTCCGCGTCCGCTGTTTGGTGGGGATATCCGATGCCTCATATTGCCAGACAAGTCTTATTGATGTGTTGTTTATCTTGGTTTGAGGTCAACTACTCGTGCTATGGATGAAGTTATATAGCTTCATTCATGCTCGTTTTCCGTGGATAAAATTTTTGCCTCATAGGGAATCCCCCTTGTGGTATTTTTGGTAGAAAGGGTATGACACCCGCTTGCATTGCTCATAAATAGGGGACGAGATAATAAACGTACGTTTGAGTGAGGAGAACGCATATGAGTTCTACTCTTTGCCTCGGCAGTTGCCGTGCACCGGATTTCATTGTTTGCTATCCGCTTCTGTTGACGGGAAGAAACGCGTTTTGCGACTCTACGACTTACTGACGCGACTTCAACCCTTACTTCACCACCTTCACTCACCACGTTTGGATCCATTCTCCCTTCATATCGAGGGCTATGAATGAAGAAAACCCCTCAGACGAAGTGTTTGGAAGTCCTGTCTGAGACGATATTAATTTATCCATTTTCTCATATCTTTCCCTTCGGTCTGGACAAAAGTGATAAGCATGTCTGTGGGATTCTGGAACCCGCCTTCACCGACAAGAACTCGGAACGCTACGAGGTTACTCTCAAAGCCGAGTGAACAATGGAAGCTTTCCCTTCAGGAGGTCAAGCTACTTCACTTGAGATGCCGATACAAGCAATGCGCCGCTCGTTCTGTGGAAATTTTGAGCAAGTTCAGTGATCAGGTTCGTAGCTCATCATACTGCTCTTCATACAGAAATGCTGATCAAGAACCCAATATAGCTGCATAAAATTCACGAGGCATATTTCCAGTATTATATTGCAGCATCGTATGAAAATCTGGGACGTGCCTCACATAACTTCTCCAGCAACAAGATCCCACTACTGCGCATAGCCATGGACAATTACATCACCTGCAAAACCTCACTTGAGAATGCCTTTACAAAACTTAAGTCAATGGAAGAGATTGAACCATTTCCTGAGTTTCACCCGCATCGACATCCCGCAGATGGACCATATATTGGCAAACGAGAATATCAATTTTACCAGAGCGCACGGGAAAATTCACGCCCACCCGCCCTTTTCCAGGTACGACGCTGTGATGAGCCGGGTTTGAGCAGCAACAGATCCGGTGCGAACAACGGAGGGAATCGATATATGGATCTAAAGGCTGACCTCATTCCTTTACCTCTTCAAATTCGCAAGAATCGCAAGGACAAAATGCCAGAAAACCAACTCTACAAGAATCCACTTCCTCTCCCCGCAAGACCGCTTCCTGAGCCCCCAGTTGTTATTTCCGTGAGCCCAGCATCCGACATCAGAAATGGCACTGTCGACTTTACGCCACCGTCAACGCCTACATATGATGATAAATCAACTAAGAAGGATTCGCTTGAACCAACACCACGAATGATGAGCATTATTGCTTCGCTTTCTGCCCAGATAGATGAAAATATCAGGGAACTGTCGTCGCTCATCAACAAGACGACAGAACTTCAGCGCATTCATAAAGCTAGAAAGATGAATCGCCTAGCTTCTTACTGGAGCTTTACACCCACTTATCCCAACGGCGCCTCTACGGTAAACGGAACTACCGAGACACATGATATATATGGCAATACATATACAAATGGTTTAACTGGTGTGGGCTCGAGTTCGTCAGACGAAGGTAAACAGCAGCGAATCGCGCGTCTGAAGGCTGAAGGGTGGAATACCGTTGGAATCAAGTCTGTCGAGCGTGGATGGAAAGGAACATTACACTATGATAGGGTTTGCAGTGAGGCTCTTTCTGAGCTATACGAGCCCTGAGATAGGAACTGGAGAGAAGGAGTTGCACTCTTATCCTCCGCGCCTCTCCCCTACCACATTTACCTCTTTGCATTTCCGGTTGCGGTTTTCTTTTTTGTACTTGCTGGCTTCCGGATTATTTTAATGGTGGAATTTGCTCCATGGTGAACGGTGGCGTCTGGGAGGCTTTGCTGCTTCTACATCGCATAAGCAAAATTGGCGGGGCGGAATACTTATCATGAGCATACATCTCCCTTTCACTACTCCCACTTTATAATTCTAACAGCCCCAGGCCTTTCCTTAATCAAATTACCCCTTGTTTTATTTTAATAAGTAGTGGAGATGATAATTGAAAACGCAAAGGATTGTTGGCCTCACCTCCCCTGAGGTATAACGATTATATTTTTCCATCGTTAATTTCGAAAAAAAAAAAAAGAACCAAAGCTATATAGTAGTACCAAGAAGCCAGAAATAGGCAAACATACGGGATTATGAACTCCAAATCACACAGCTATTTGAATCCTGAAACATGTTCTCTTGTTGTGTACGAGACAGTGTAATACCTTAGGCATTAGTGTCCCTTCTTCTCAACCTTCTCTAGAACCTCCTTTTCAACTTGATGCTGCTGCTCTTGCTGTTTCATTTCCCGGACTTTGGCCAACACTACCTCTCTGAATATAGCTCCTCGCGCAAGTCTGCTAAGACGGCCCTTGTTAGATGGTGGAGCATCGGATGTAGCAGCTTTGTCATCGGCAGCAGGCTTGTCACTTGCTTCCTTATCATCAAGGCTGTCGGCAGTAGCGCCAGGAATATCATCGCCCTCGTCCTGCATCTTAAGGGCCTCGATGCGGTTTGCAAGCTTGATGATTTCAATTCCACGCTTTAGTCGATTCCGTGTAATATAAGTCTTAAGTTCAGGAAGAATGTTGTGGTCCGTGGCAGTTTCACCCTTGAGCCATCTGTGCTGTAGAGCTTCTTCACTAGTTGCACGGAGGGTTGGGTCTGGCTGAAGGAGGGTGAGGATGAATTCCTTAGCGTCCTTGGAAACATCCTTCCAGTATCGTTCATGGAAGACGATACGGCCAGTTCGGCATTCTTCAATCAGATCATTGAGAGACTCTGATCGGAAAGGGGAGTATCCGCAGAGGAGTGTGTATGTAATGACACCCATAGACCACATGTCGACGGCCTTCCCGTGGCCCTGTTTTAGCATCACTTCCGGAGCGGCGTAGCCAAAGGAGCCAGCCATGGATGTGAGCACCTCGGAGTCGCTGTCCAACATCTTTGCAATTCCAAAATCTGCAAGGACAAGGGGAGAGTCCTGTTCAGTAGTGAGATATAGAAGATTTTCCGGCTTCAAGTCTATGAAGAATGTTAGTTACCGCCATATGAATGGTGATATAGGTGGATATAGGCATGCTCTGTCCAACACGTACCTCGATGAACTACATTACGTTCATGGAGATAGTTCACGGCATCTAGAATTTGTCTAATGGTTTGTGAAGCATCTTTCTCGGTAAATCGCCCGTAATCACAGATTCGATCGAAGAGTTCACCACCGGTGGCCAGCTGGGTTACGATGTAGTATTTATCCTATACCAAGTTAGCATGGATGAACCAACTTCAACGTAAACTGAGTTGTACCTTCGATTCAAACCAGTCATGGAATCTGACGATATTGGGGTGGTGCAGCCTCTGCAACATGTCCAGCTCATCATAAACCATCTGCTCGTTCCCCTTGACATTCTTCTTGAGGATGATCTTTATAGCAACCTTCCCGTTTGGACTATCTGCCTCTCGAACGATTCCATATGTACCAGCTCCGAGTGTCCTTCCGAAGCGATACTGTGATCTAAGATGGGTAAGCGGCGGAAGTTCCATGACCGACAGAAAGACATCTATCCATACTTCTTGTCGTAGCTTTCGGGCTGGCCCTGCAGCTTGTTGAGCATGTTGGCAACTGGAATCGAGAGAAATCAAAACGTCAGCTCTGTCATCTTCAATTGCTACAAGCTGAGCTGCCTCAAGCTCCCTCGCTGCGAGTAAGGAAGCGTGAATTGCTCCATCGACTCTGCAGCTGAAGGTTGGCTTCCAGCAGCACTCAAATACCCCTCATCAAAAACACATGGAAGGCAGGAGATTGCGAGAAGTCGGAGAGAACAATCAGACTTACAACTCATCTTTGCAGACTAGCGAATTCCGCGAGTTATTCTTCTGTAGTTATCGGGCTGTCCTGGGGTGTTATGTGATCGGGGAGAGCGAGGTCGAGATGGTCAGGTCGAAGGAGGGGCGCAGGGAGTAGTTAGAGAGTCAACTAGCGGCCGCAATCAGAAGAAAAGCCCAATCTGAGCTTCAGCCTTGGGCGGCGACAGGGTTGGCGCTGAGGTTTACCTGGAAGTCAGACAGCGCCTCTGTCAGGGCTGAGGATTTAATTCTTCCCTCGCAGCCTCCGTCGTCCAGATCTCGCGGTTCAACACGATAGAACAAGATGGAGGGGAGGAGGCGCCACACCACAGCTCATGCACCAAGCCACAGCACCCATGGAGCAGGATGTTCTCAGCAGAGCCACGAGAGTCGAGATACAAGCAGTTAGGGGACATGGATTATCCCGGGTTCTGTGTCTGATATCGCCTGGTGGTGGTTGTGTCCGTGAGAGGTCGAGAAATACACAGCTACGAGGGAGTTGTAACAACATCATCTGGCTCTTCTCATGCCTCCTCAGTCGGTTGAAAGTACGGAGTATACGGAGTATAACATCTGGATTGTCAGGGCTAATTGATAGTTTCAGTCAGGATGCGGTTTCTTGCTGCGACCAGTCCTGACTCCTGAAAACAGGCCTAAACCTGCTGATATATCGACTTCTCATCGAGTACTCTGTACATACCAGGCCTATCCAGCGATACACCGGGAGTAGATACGCTCAAGCTGCTTGTTATGTCGAATTGAAGCAAATATCAAGATATCATTCACCATCGGCATCGCCTTTAAAGCATCATGTGATCTTCCATGCTTCCAGTATCTTCACTGACTTCGACGTTTGCTGTCAACATATAAAAGGGCAACATCCGTCTCCCAGGACAGCGAGCTTCCCTCTGTGATCAGCATCCTTCACACGCCACAAAGCTTTTCTTCCCCCTGGCTAGTTACCAGAGAAAATCCCCTAGCTAGCTAGTTCTCCTCGGAGTGGGCCGTTGAAGGTTACTCGTTATTGAACCGAACAGAACCGGATTTCCAACCATCTACCTTGGTCCTCCTTCTACTAACTTGCAGGGCAGAAGGACACCGTGAAATGAGATAACTTACATGATAATCTCACCCTTTTTCTCACTGAGATACCGTGCTTCTACAGTCTTGAATTTCTTTTGTTGATTCTACCCCGCAGTCTGGGCGACTTGCACTCTTTGATAACTGGTGATAATGTTTGCAACCAAGAGGTTGAGCAAGGTATTTTCATAGTGATAATGCAATCTTATAGCATGCTTAAGCTAACTTGGCCACTCAGGAGCTCGTCAAGGTATTATCCCCCTCGTTTCCGGACCATCCAGCCTGTCTCGTCTTTGGTATGTCAAGCAAGGGACTTGATATCTAATTCTTTCCCTCTCAGATGCAAACCTCCCTCCCTCCCGGGGTCACAGTCGCAAAGGCCGATAATCTAGAGCAATGGGAAATGGACATTCGTGTCTTAGACTCAAACCCCATCTATGAAAACGAAATATATCGCCTACGATTCACATTTAGCAAAAATTACCCTATAGGTACGAAATGACCGGCATACTGGCATTTTCTTTTAATCACTTGTTGATAATTACCCGATATTATGTTCTCTACAGAAGCTCCAGAAGTTCAGTTCATCTCCCTGCCTCCGACTTCAGAAACACCCCGCCCGATACCTATGCACCCACATATATACAGCAATGGCATCATATGCCTAGATCTGCTCGGTACGGCGGGCTGGTCGCCTATCCAGTCGGTGGAGAGTGTCTGCATGAGCATCCAAAGCATGCTCACCGGAAATACCAGAAACGAACGACCTCCTGGTGATCAGGATTTTGTTACAAGAAACACACGGCGCCCACGAGACATTGGATTTATTTACGACGACCATACGGTTTAAAAAAGATATTATTTGCTTCTGCTTTATGATGAATTGTTCTATTTTACTTTTTTTTTTTTACACTTTTTAGCGTCGCCATTTCCATTAGACGGCGTTTGTTTACTGTTCGGATGGGGATAGGGCATTTCTCCTTGAGGCACGGTGTTTCGGACCTATCCACGATCGTTGTACAGGACATTCCGCACACATCATCTCGCGGAGGTGTTATTATAACTTCTAAAAGGGGCGACGTATATTTATTCCTTGCATAATATTACTTAGTGAAATGCCATCGACATTCTGATAAGAAGATTAGAAGGACAGGGAAACCAACCTACCTTGGCGTATAATATATTCGACGCGCGAGTCATTCTTAGAGACAAATGATAATCAATACTGAATCAGAGCAAGATATTTAATTTTAAAGCCTTACAATGGGTAGATGAGTGTGTTTTTATGGGATAGGATTCGGTTATAGCTAGGATAAACACTAGGAGCGGACAAAAAAAAAGTAAGACCATATTGAGACAGGAATGCATATACAGTAGCAGATAAATAAAATCAGGACTGGGCTCCAGTTTAGATCTATCCATCTTGTGCTGAGAATAAGAAAAACAAGGGACAATCTCACCCATTCTTTTACGTTACACTTGCATCCACTTCTAGGGCAAAATGAAAATCTTACTTCGGAAGAGAGTAAGGAAAGAGGAAGAAGGAGAGGAATGGGGAAAGAAGTATATTATATGCTCATGATACAATGTCACCTATCGACCTCACCGAACACGAGATCCATAGTACCTATTCGCAAAAAGAAGTATACGTTAGTCGCGTTTCATAGTTAAAATATGAGAGGTTTTAGTAGCTGCTTACCAATAATTGCAACAGCATCAGCTAGTAGATGGCCTCGAGAAAGTTGGTCAAAGCACGCGAGATGCGCGAAACCTGGAGCACGGATTTTACATCTGTAGGGTCGTTCGCTACCGTCGCTGACAACGAAAACTGCCATTTCACCCTTTGGAGCCTCGATGGCAGAGTAAGTTTCGCCTGGTGGCACGGTGTAACCCTTGGTGAAGAGCAAGAAATGGTGGATCAAAGCCTCCATGTTCTCCTTCATGGCTATGCGTGGTGGAGGGCTGATCTTGTAATCTTCGACGCGAACTGGTCCGGCAGGCATCTTATTTAGGCACTGGTGGATGATGCGTAGCGATTGGCGGAATTCCTCCATTCGGCAGAGATATCGGTCGTAACAATCTCCATTGACACCAACCGGCACATCGAATTCAACCTGTCCGTAGGCATCGTAAGGTTGAGACTTACGGATGTCCCATGGAACACCGGAGCCGCGCAACATAACACCGGAGAATCCGTAGTTGAGGGCCTCAGCAGCAGTTACGACACCGACACCGACAGTTCTGGCTTTCCAGATTCGGTTGTCCGTGAGAAGTTCTTCGGTCTCGTCGATACGGTCGGCGAATTGGGTAGCCCATTGGTAGATGTCGTCAAGAAGACCAACGGGGATATCCTGGTGGACACCTCCTGGGCGAACATAGGCTGCGTGAAGACGGGCGCCAGATACTCGCTCATAAAATTCCTAGAAAGAGTAGATATCATATTTTAGCATTGATACCTTATCGAGACCCAATGGTTGTGGACATACCATCAATTTCTCTCGCTCCTCGAACCCCCACAAGAATGGAGTCAATGCACCAACATCCATAGCGTGGGAAAGAACAGACATGAGATGGTTGAGGATCCTGGTAATTTCACCAAACAACGTTCTAATCCATTTGGCTCTCTCGGGGATCTCAACGTTCAGCAATTTTTCCACAGCCAACGAAAAGCATTGCTCGTTCGTCATCATAGAGACGTAATCTAATCGATCGAAGTAAGGCAGAGCCTGCATATAGGTTTTGTATTCGATCAACTTCTCAGTGCCTCTGTGCAAAAGACCGACATGGGGATCGGCGCGAACGATCTCCTCTCCATTGAGCTCTAGAATCAATCGAAGCACACCGTGAGCAGCAGGATGCTGTGGGCCAAAGTTGACCGTGTAATGGCGGATCTTTCGACCATAGGTAGTTTCAGACTCGAGGCCAGAGGGAGCTGAATCAGTATGCGAGGTATCCGACTTGAAGGTAGGGTCGGTTGGGATCAGTTTTGTTGCCTGGTAGGCCTCAGCGTAACGACATGGCGCAGAGCCTGATATCGATCGCGCGAAGGTCGTCGTTCTGGATGTTTTGGCGGAAACCGCCCGAGACGAGGGACTCAGACAGAGCCGCTTTGGCACATGGCGTGCGAGAAATGTGATGGAGGAAGCCATGGCCAACCAAAGGGGGCCTGAGTAGCAACCCCAATACGACCTGGACGGATCCTGCAGCGAGCAAAGAAGGTGTTTTGCTTGTCAATTGATCAAGTCCTCCGTTGTCTCGCTCTTTCTGGCCGAAGGGTGAGGATGCGGTTGATGTGTCACGTGATATACATGAAATAGAAATGTGGGGCCTCTGATTGGCTGGGAGCTCTCTACTCACCAAACAGTGCAAAATTTCTTTTTATAGCTTTTTTACAGCTTCAAGAATTCTCAGGTTTTGATAGTGCTTTTATACTAAGCAGTGGCAGACCAAACTCCGCGCAGAAGAACAGTATATACCCTTGGTCTCGTCGAGATGGCGCCTCGAATTGCTCTCCCCGAAGAAATACACCAGCGGAAGGTATGTCCGGGTTATCAGTCCCAAGTCTAGGATGGTGGGCTAATATTTTTCGCAGATAATTGGTATCAACCCGGAGACAGTTGCGAACCCCTCTGCGACAGATTTCCCAAGCCATTGGCCAGGTGAAAACCATGCGTGGTCCATCAGCAAGTTCAGCCAGGTCAGTCGTGCCAAGTTCGGATGCCACGACAATCTACTCAACTATTCGACTTTTAGGATTTAAAAATAGAATTCCACAATAATGAGCCTCTCGAAGCTTCGTTTTCGTTAATAGGGGTAGACGCCTCCATTGCGAACGCTTTTCGCCGTATTCTTCTTGCCGAAATCCCCGCACTCGCTATCGAATACGTTTACATCCAGAATAATACCTCTGTTATACAAGACGAAGTTCTCGCGCATCGCCTGGGATTAATTCCCCTCAAAGGCTCTCTAGAAGGAATAAACTGGCTCCGATGGTTCAAGGTGCCCAAAGAAGGCGACCCAGACAGCGGAAGTGCGCATGAAGATTCAAACACCATCGTTCTACGACTAGTCAAGGAGTGCACGAAAAATCCCAATGCTAGCCCGGGCGAGGAGGACCCAACTGTACTTTATAACAATGCGCATATCTACGCCAAGGACCTTGTCTTCGAGCCCCAGGGTCGACAGGAGAGATACTTCCATGGAGACGGCGCTATTCAGTCATCCAATCCAGATATCTTATTGGCAAAATTAAGGCCCGGCCAAAAGATCGATATCGAAATGCATTGTATCAAGGGGATAGGAGCGGACCACGCAAAATTCTCACCAGTTGCGACAGCGTCATATCGACTTCTACCTGATATTCAAATAGTCCGCCCGATTCTAGGAAATGACGCTCTGAAATTTGCAGGTTGCTTCCCAAGGGGGGTGATCGGAATTGAAAATGTCACTGCAGCAGAAGCCGCCCAGGCTGGTAGTGGCTATGAGGGAAAGGAAGGGGAGAAAAGAGCGGTCGTCGTTGATCCATTCAAAGATACGGTTAGCAGAGAATGTTTGCGGCACGACGAGTTTAAGGGCAAAGTCAAGCTTGGCCGAGTACGAGATCATTTTATCTTTAACATTGAAAGTACCGGACAGTTCAACAGCGACCTTATGTTCCTGGAAAGTATTAAGGTCCTCAAGTTTAAGTGTCAGAGACTGAAGCGGAATGTTGCTAGCTTATCAGAGATGACAGACACGCATGCCTAATTCAGTTACACCCGTGGAACTTCATTCCAATCTATATGCATACTTGCTGGCGTCAAAAATTAGAGGATGGATATCCAGGCGTACCATATCGCTCTGGGGCGTTATTTTTGGGCGGCGTTGTTTTTCTTATGATTATACGATCTAGTTTTCATCATAATCTTGATGTATACTCGGAAAATGGCTATATTTCTAAAAAGAGCATTTCTTCATAGTTCAATCATTCTGATAGTTTCTCGTCATATGAGGGCACACCATATCTATCGAAAAACTAGCTTAAATCGGAAGTCAATGGTGAAGGCGGGATCGCTCACTGCGACCTCCTCGCCGCTCTCAAGTAAATCCTTCAGCTTTCTTTCTAGGTTATGTCTGGTTTGTTCTTCTAATTGTGGCGGGAATCGTTGATAAAGTGTTGTTTGTTCGGTTCTCAAACTTGGAGCTTTCAGTTGTGCCTCTGCCCTCTCTCCAAGTGACTCAATAAACTGTTCCAGCGTCGCTTCCGGGCTCACTTCTATGGTTTTGGCGAGATTCCCGCAAACAGGGCAGTCTTCCTTTTGCTCCACTGCAAAAGTGTATGTGTAAACACCCTCCTCACCCGCATACATCATATAATTTTCCAGGTATGGGTTACAGGATGTCGCTATCTTGAGGGCTTCAGAAGTGCATGCTGCAGAGACAACAGCATTTGTAGATGCTATGGCGGGAATAATGTTTTTCACCACACCCTGGGTCATTGAGAATGTGACCCCTGGGATTGAGAATTGTTTTGCTCGATCGAGGGCGGCTTGATATATCCATGATACATGTTCCATATCATCGCCATCAAACTCTTCGTTCTTTCTCTGCTCACCCCATGCGATTTGATGGGCCCATTCAATGCAGTGTTGGGGTTGTCGAGGGATAGTTGCAATCGTGCATAGTGGTACGGCAGCGCGAGGTGCATGCATATCAAGTTGACATTCAATGCACGATGTTAGCGTAGGCAATATTACCCTAGCCTGTCCTTTGAACCCTACAAAAGAGTTAGCATTAAGCTGGAAGAGTCGCGTAGACGTGGTATATACCCTCTGTGCCGCCATCTATAAGGGGCTTCAAGCTCTCCGGATCCTCCGCATCAACCATCCCCACAACCAGAGAATTGATCCACCGACGAGCTTCAATGCTGTCCAGGCCGCAAACAATGATTTTGAACTGCATGTAGTATTCCTCATCCTTGTCCTGAATTTTGCCGACAAAGGGTGTAATTTTAACTCCCTTTACGCGCTTTTCGACGAATGCAGCGGCGACCTCAGCTTTGGGTTTGCCAACGTCGGCCTGTCGAAACAGGAACTGACGGTTTAGATTCGAGATATCAATTGTATCTGCGACATGTAAGAAAGGTAAACAAAGGGTATCACAAGTAGGGTAAGGTAATCTCACCCATATCTATCACGTGGATATCTTTAAACCCAGACAATGCAAGATTTTTCAAAATCTCACACCCTAGGCCACCAGCACCTCTTAAAGGGGTTAATAAGTAACAGCAAGGAACAGGGCTTTATATTTAATCTTACATTACCCTAGTACCTGTTAATACCCATGTTATCTGGGTGAGATATACATATATCCAGAACTTACAAAATCTTCGATGACTCTAGGCCTGTAACGGTCTCCAGACCAGGAACCCAATCTGGATCGCTGAATGGGCCCGAACGTGTCAAGACCCGATGCAAGTACTTCCTGTTAACATGTCAGTATGTTGCCAACAGGAATATAAATCATATAAGCGCTATAGAACGACAAACCATCGTTCGGGTATTTGCCCAGAATACGTTGGGCCGCTCATTTTTATGATAATTCCCCACGTTGGCAACCAACGGTTCCGTTGTTTACTCTGGAATTCCCCTTGAAAGGTATCAACAGCTCAACTAAGTAATGGTATCTGTTAAATCAAGCTAAACCCGTGATGTAAAGAGTAGGATTCACTCCTTGACCTGCCTCGGGGTCAGCTTAAACTTGACCGAGCAACAGTTTACAGAGCTTGCTGGACGATGTATATTCAGGCTGACGTTCAAAGACCCCACTGGATTCAGATATGTCACGTGACTTTATCGATAAGAAGAGCTGACATAAAAGCTTAAAGCTCCGACTATTTAGCATCCAGCTACTACTACATCAACTTCATCGAACCAGAAATCCAAGTCAGGTAGACAGGACATAGCCATGGAGGAGCTCTTAAAGGTTGTCAAGTCCACGGATAGCGACGAAAATCTATCAACTTCATGTTCTCATCTCCAGGTATCGTCGTCTACTCCGCGGATCTCGATAATTGAAGAGCAGCCACCAGAGGTTAAAATATCATCAGCGGAAGATGTCTTGCAAGTTTTGAAATCCAGAGCGTCTATATCGGCAGTGTCAGAAGCTTTAAGATTTCTTGACCCTGCTAGGTTAAGCGATGGGGAATTTAACATTACTGCTCCAAGCTCCATGGGAGCTCAAATACTCCACGCTTTAATCACGACCACCGTTTGTGATCATTGGGCCAGCCTAGGAATGGAACATAAACCGGAAGCATCATACCAAGTGACTACCAAACACTCTCTACTGGCCATGTTATTAAGATGTTTAAAAAGTGTGTCTGGAATTGGAGCCCTGCTAGCTCATATTCGGAGCCTTCTGCCAACCCATAACTCCCCACTAGGAAGGAATGCTAGTTCTGACAAAGGGCCGCTAATCCATGACAATCTATCCATACTTTCCTGTCTCCTAGCCCCGGATGATTTGCTTTTTCATCTATATATCGATATGAACAAGCTCATTGATAGTGCAGTTCAAAGGCAGCTACTCTGGCAGGAGGTAACGTCTTTTCTTGCGGCTGGCAAAGTTCTGTCTACGGCTGCCGAGGCGTTTGATCATACAGAACTCTCTGCACAGTCTTCTCCAGTAGCATGGATTTCTGATGGAAAACTATATGGATCTTGGCTTGGAAGAAATATAGGCCAAATGGCTTCTCGACTTCCACCTGATGATGATGTGGGGTGGAAATACTTGGCCGCTTTTACTGGTCGGTCGTTGAGTATTGGTCACACAGGTAGTTCACTCCTATTTAAAACCGGCAATACCACGACGCTAATCTTGTCATTCCCCGAAACATAGATCAAGTAGTAGGTGAAACTTTGGACAACCTGCTATTTCGACAGAGTGATGCAGGAACAGAGAATTTCCTCATCCTACTGAATAATTTGCGGCAGCATGACCAGAGGCGGCTTCTGGAGTCTATTATGCGCTGCCTAGAAAGATCTTTCTTGATGGATGCTGGAGGAGAGGGCAATGGTACAGAGTCCGCTATATCCAATGTATCAGCAACGCTGTCCATAATCATGAAAATTACTGTTTTACAAGAGTCTCTGAAGAGCTGGCTCATTTCAGGGATAGGTGGTTGCATAAGCAGTATTCAAATGCGCCGTGCTCTGTTAGCTACTTTCAGTTCCGACGCTGGTAAGCAAGTTATTCTATATTCGTCTCGTTTCCTCTCGCTAATCATATTTAGAATCACTTTCTCAAATATTTACGAAGGCCATGGATCTCTTCGGAGATAAGCTCTCTATTAAGCACTCACCGATACAGGTTCAGGAAGGTAAATTATCTACAGCCCACTTGCGGAGAATTATACTCTAATTTTATTGGGGCACCTAGCAAATGCACAGGTCATTCTACTTACCGCCGGGTATCTGTCCCGGCTCGATGAGGCTGACCTCGTCAGCCTTCTTCAATCGAGTTCTTACCTTTCCGCAATTTCAAATCGCCTAGGAGCCGCATCTCCTCGGTCCCGTTTTCTAGGAATGGTTGTCGGAACTTCACTCTCTAAGTTGACTGACAAACCAGAAAATCATATGAAATTCGATCTTGCAGAAATGGAAAGTGAAGAGGCATTATGGTACCTAAATCTATCAAAGACCCAAGACCGAGTTGGTACGATAGAAGAACTCAAGAAATCCCATACATCACGGTCTATAATTCAGCCTAAAAAGAGCAGCCCGAACACACGAAGGAAGGCAACACAAAAAGGTGACCAGAAGCCTGTCGCCTCCAAAATATCACCCATAGAAGTAGAGTCAGACGAGTCTGAAGAAGATGGCCTTACTCCATATCAAAAACCGGACGCAGATGCGTCCGATTCCGACGAGGATCCGACACTCATTCAGAGATCCAAACCCAATCCGCCTGTGTAAGTTTTCCCTGGGTTGATTTTTTTCCTTCTTCTATGTTCTTTTGGCGTTACTAACGACACCCTCTCTACCAATAGATATATCAGGGATCTTTTGATGTATCTTCGTGACGTTGACAATTATGATCGCTATAGTCTAGGGATCTCAACAGCGCCTAGTCTCATTCGACGGAAGGCTGCTTTTGGCTCGGAGCTAGATGAACACGCCAAAGATCTTGCCCTTACCCTTGTTGGATTGCAAGACAAATATACCACACCGAAATTTCAGGAATACCGGCTGCAAGCTCTGGTCACACTTATAGTCGCACGCCCATCCGCTTTGGGTCCGTGGACTGCTAATGCATTTTTTAATATTGATCTATCCCAGTCCCAGAGGTCTTCATTGCTCGTTGCTCTAGGTCTATGTGCACGAGAGCTTGCAGGATATAGGGATGAAGATAATGAAGCCATGGGGCTTCCGCCAGCTGCTACCGATACATCCTTCCCATCCAAACGACTTCCATCTCGGCTTGAAAGCCAATATGATCCAACCACCAAAATGGATCAAATTGAAGCCATTTCTAAAGGTATTACCCGGAAGTCTCTAGAACCTTTGGCTCTTAACGCAGCAGACAAACTTAGCGGACCCAACGCCCTCAAGGTTAGAACCTTTTCATCAAGGATGGAAGTGGAAAAGAAGAAACATGAACGAGAGCAACTACGAAGGGCTAAATCGATCCCAAAAGATCTTCATAAAACATTATTTGAAGCATTCTTCCGCCCATTAACTGGTGGATTTGGATTAATGCTGTATTCCACGTCGTAAGTATAAATAGTTTTAAAACGCCGACCGTTTTTTGGACATTGAATTATTGAATACTAACCCGATTTCCTAGGTCTTACAACGGAAATAACCCCTTCTTCTCACCACATCTCCTTTCACTATTTATACAAACCATAAATCTTGTCATATCAACTATTGGGCCGAGCTCACCTAACCAATTAACCATAACATTCGATGTTCTTACCCTATTAATGTCCCTGCACAACTCTCCAGTGGCCACAGAACCAACTGTTTTGTCCGCCATCCTCTCACTCTTCCTCGCCATCCTGGATATAAATATTGCATCCGGCAGTACTGGAGAAGAGCGTTTGGTGACTGAATTTGCAGATCAGGTAATGGAGATGCGAGAATGGGTTGGTGGTATATTTGAACGGACGCCAAAGGATGATGACCAGGTTAGGATGCTAGCTGCTGGAATTATGGTGAAACTGGGTGAAGTCATGAATCGGTACCAAGGAAGGTTATTTGGAGTTAATGCTGAGTTTTCGTTTTGAGCTGTAGATTATGAGACGTGAGATGACATGGTCGGCCTCTAAAGCATATATGAGATTAAAACTATGATTTTCTATCTGGTAACCAAATCAACCGTCCTGAAAAGTATGACTAGTAAACTACTTGTGGGTATTTTCATTCGCTGTCTGGGTTCCTATATCCATCACCCTGGAATACAAACTTGGAATCTTTCATTTTGTGTCGGCATATGAGTTGGATACATTTTCTAGATCAAGTATCTAGTTAGTTATAAAACTTCAAACTTAAGTTTAGGATTTGGCATATTCACATACCTTGTTAAACCAGTATATAAGATTTAAAGAAAGTTTTTAAATTCCCGACCACGTGTTATGAATTAGCCCTTGATGCGCTTCTGGCTATATTGTGCTGTGTAATTCAAGAGCCGCCACAGCCTACTTAATACCAGCAAGTTTAGTGTAGGCATAGTAGCAGGGTTCACCGTGTATATACGGTTATAGAATCACAGCCCTCAGCCAACACAGCTTAATAGCCGTGCCTCAAAATTTAGACGGGCCTATTTCCGCATATCGGAGACTCAGTCTCCGACGACCCACAGTGGGTGTCAGATAATTGGGGGCCACTTTAGAACAAAGGCTGTACATCAATGAGACTCAGTCGGCACAGAGGGCTGCTCTCAGACAGCAAGATCTGAGAAGAGAAGCCATTCCACTATATTCTGAAAGCTCCATTCGTGAAGTCAGAAAATGTTGCTGTTTCTCCATCCATAAACCCGTAAAGCAAGTCTTCTGGCCCATACGGATTCATCCCATAGTTTTGATCAAAATTCTCAGGCTGATTTGTCTGTTGTCCTCGGGGCGGTGACTTCGACGGGAACATCCGTAAAATGGCATCTAGGTCCAACGAAGACGGCGAATGAATATCAAGAACGGGTTCTAGCTTGTAGGTCAGTAAAGGGTCACTAGGATTGTAGGTTGTAGGAAGGCGGGGTTATATGTACCAGATACAAGTTTTAAGCCATTGTCAGCCATAATTTTCCGAATGATGCTAGCAGTCTTAGACACACCAGCGTTCGGTAGCGAGAGTTCGTCCAGACTGTGAAGACTTGCGGAGAGTATGGACGAGTTTTCGCCTGGCTGATTACCGTCGGTTGCTGCAGCATTACGGACATGTATAGTACATGCAACATAGACTGCATAACTCAGTAAATAGGCAGCGCCTCGGAGGGTGTACGCTGACTTGTATGCTAAGACTATGCTTGTAATGTTTTTAGCAGCGGAGGTACACCGTTTCCAAGAACTGGCGGGTGCAACAGCAGAGCGGAGATGGCCGTCAGATATAAAGGGTCGATGCAAAAGGATCACTAATGAGTAGTACAAGGCACTAAGGATCATGACATTCGGTGCAGGGCGAGCCTGGGCGATCAATGGGTTGTCCGACCAGGGCTCAAAGTTAAGGTCCGTCGGGAGGTTCTCTTTCCATGAAATCAGAGCATCATCGATAGATTGTAGACTAGCTCTAGCATTGGCTGCGGTGGCTCCTACCACGTAAAATCGATTGATAATTTTGGTCATGATCTTGGACAACAGACATAATTGCTGGAATGTAGTGACGGAATGGATCGGAGTAGGTGTGCCTGGGATGGATGGCAAGGAATCTGAAGGCAGTCTAGGGTCCACGTAAGGTGTCCATAATTCCTTCTCTTCCATGGTATCCATAAAATTGCGAGATACATGTGTATCCCTTATATGAATAGCCATTGGTCGTCCCAAGTACAAACTCTGTAGTTTATCGCAGATAAATGCACCCCAAAACACGCGACGACGTATCTCAATATCCTCGGCGTTGGCGGTCGTAGCCTTGTAGTCAAGATGAAGACCAAGATCATAAACCATACGAAGTGCATATCCAGTATAAAGCCAGCCCTTGGAGGTTTGCCCCAACGCATTATAAGTTGATCCAAGAAGGAGGAGCCCGACTAGCGTTGCAATGCTGGAAGAGTTTAGGAGTGACTGGTCTGCCAGAATCTGGTCACATCGAGCAAAAAACCGCCCACCCGCTGTTTCCGGATCAACCGGGTTATCCCGGACCTCTATCCTCTGTGAGTATTTGCAAGAACATGCGAAAATGGCGTTCATTAGGAATTCTGAACAATAGGGTCCATTTTGTATCAGATCCCTCATAACGGCAGGTCGGTATGTAAGCAAGAAGCTGTGATGCTGTCGACTCCAGTGGAGATCCAAGAGATGAACAGCCAGTTCCACTGGAACGCCATATATTTCCTGCCAGCATCTTATGTCGTGCTCTCGCTGACGTTGAAGTATTGCGTTCGCTATGAGCTGATTTCGAACATGTTCTGTGACTGGCGACTCTTTCGAAATTATGGGCTTTGTTGGCCCTTGTAGTGCAGATGAAGGGCCGAAAGTATCCACCTTGCCGCCCTCGTCGACAGAAAGGAAAGGAAGGACATCAAGGTCCTCATCGGAGGATATCCCATCGTCATCCGAGTGGTGAGATTTCGCTTCCCGGCCAGGCTTCTTCGCGCCCAGTGACGAGGGAGTCAATGGCGGCGGCGTACCACGCTTAAGCTTCACGGACCCATCTTCAATCGGAATGGCATCTAACATGCTATCTCGCTCTTCTGGCGAAGCTTTCTTTAGACGCAATATCACCTCTTCAAATTGCCTCTTTTCATTTTGGAGAGCATTAACAATTGCCGTAGATGGCCTATCCTCAGTTAGTAAGGAATATTATTCATATTTGAGCAACAGAAGCTTGATTGGTGACCCCTGGAAATAGGGTGATAGACTTCGGGGTTTTACCTACCTCCTCTTGGGGACCTCTAGAATATACACGCATTCTCTCTTCTGGTTAATACATGAGCCACAGCTTGGCCGCTGGGTATCACATTTGATCTTCCGGGCCCTGCAAAACTGACACGCTCGGGCCAGGATCTTTGGCGGACCGTGTTCATGAGATTTGGTCATATCTGCAGAGTATAGACGCGGAGTGACGGAGCCTGATAACCCAGCCTCTATCGTCCGTTTAAGAAAGCCAAGTGGGTTGTAACTCGTTGATGCGGCGTACCATTGCAGTTCAAAGCAGGGCTGATATCGCGGAAGTCTGCGTATTCGCTAGCGGGGATAATTCTCTCTAACTAACACAATATCTGGTACTTTATCATGGCTGCAATCGTGTCATTGCTCTGATATAAAGGACCTCCGGTATGAATATATTTTTTTCTTGCTGCTGACAGAACCGAGTTCGCGATTTCAAGATTGGCTACAAAAAAAGGGTTCAGGGCGAGTTAGCACGTGACTTGTTAGCAAAAGGGACTAGCGCGCTGTTTTAGGAACCGAGCAGGGGCAAGGGAAGATATATTGAACAGCTTGCGCCCATCTTGCATATGGCATGCACTTATCGACTGTGCGAGAGATGCTTTCTTCGGGGATTACTATTCACGGTCACTTGACCAGAAGGACACCTTATACATACCCTAATTGGACTCGTGACTATCAGCCATGCCCACGATTTAGAGGGAAGAAAGGCGAGTCCGTCGGATATTGATCTACGCACTACTATGCCTAAGGCCCCACGGGAGCGTTTCAGTGGTTTTCGCGTGGAGTCGTAAAACGGAGGCGAAGTCTCCGTCAACTCTTACCGCGGCGAGGAGGCCGCTTGAGAGACGATATGGCGATTGAGTCATTAAATCCTCAAGCTTGCTACGCTAGACATTGAGACTCACGGTTCCTATTTCTCTCAGTTGGGAAAGGAGTATTGGAATCCCGTGGCCCGTTTATCTGCGGCATCAATGTCGGGCTTGAGTTATAGAAGACAATACCCCATTATAACATGTCAATCCCATTGCAATGCGACGTTCTTGTCGTCGGCAGTGGAAACGCAGGCTTCTCAGCTGCAATTTCAGCTGCTCAGTGCGGTGCCAGGAGTGTGATCCTAGTTGAGAAGGCTTCTGAGGAATGGGCTGGCGGAAACACATATTTCACTGCCGGTGCATTCCGGGCAGTTCATAATGGCCTAGATGACATTCTTCCTATGGTGAACAATGTCGACAGGGAGCAAGCGGATATCATAGATATTGAACCATACACAACCAAGGACTTCGCAGACGACTTGTCGAGAATGACCGATGGACGATCAGATCCAGACCTTTCCAATATTCTTGTTCAAGATTCCAATTCTGCTGTCAAGTGGCTTTCTAGCCTTGGAATTAGATTCCAACTATCATTCAACCGACAATCCTACAAGGTCGATGGGCGCCATAAATTCTGGGGTGGCATTTCTCTGAAGACGGAAGATGGCGGGAGAGGTCTCGTCCAGGATTATCAGGCTGCTGCACGGCGTAACGGCGTCGCCGTGTTCTACTCAACGCCATTAAAGAGGTTGATTTCTGACCCTATGACGGATGAGATTTCCGGAGCAGTCGTTGAACATAACGGAAATGAAGTAATCATGAAAACAAAATCCGTGATACTAGCCGCTGGTGGCTTTGAAGCGAACCCTCATATGCGTACACGGTATTTGGGCCAGGGCTGGGACATGGCTTCAGTCCGCGGCACCCCATACAATGTTGGTGACTGTCTTGAGATAGCGATGCGTGATATATTAGCCAAAAAAATCGGAGACTGGGCTGGATGCCACTCAGTTGCATGGGACGCCAATGCCCCCCGTGCGTCGGGTGACCGCGAAATCTCAAATCAATTTACAAAGTCTGGCTATCCGCTTGGTCTGATGATCAATTCGCAAGGGAAACGGTTTGTAGATGAGGGCATTGATATGAGAAATTTCACATACGCAAAATTCGGCAAAGCTATCCTTGCGCAGCCAGGTCATATTGCCTTTCAAGTTTGGGACCAGCAGACAATTCCATGGTTACGAGAAGAGGAATACCGTTCAGGGATTGTCGAGCACATCACTGCCCCTTCAGTCGCCGAGCTTGCCCACCAGTGTTCCCAGCATGGACTCCAGGATGAAGAGGCGTTTGTGAAAACCATTACTGACTACAACACTGCGGTGTACCAGCACCGCCGGGAATTTCCTGATGCTAAATGGAACCCAGCAATCAAAGATGGCTTATCCACGCAATCTCAAGCTAGCGGGCTATCTCTTCCCAAATCCAACTGGGCTCTTCCTCTCGACCAAGGTCCATATCTTGCAGTGAAGGTTACTTGCGGTATTACGTTTACCTTTGGAGGACTAGCCGTGAACCCGGACACCACGGCTGTTATCTCTTCGGTAGCCAACCAGCAGATCCCTGGCCTCTTCTGCGCAGGTGAAATGCTTGGTGGCCTGTTTTATGGGAATTACCCGGGAGGGAGCGGGCTGACCTCTGGCACTGTCTTCGGGAGGAGAGCTGGATCAGCAGCCGCCACGAGAGCTCTGGCTACAACTTTATCCACCACTTTCACTAGTTCATAGGCGGGCTTCATACGAGGTCGAGGCTTCAGCGCTAGGGGTAGTCATTGCTAGCAACATGGTATTAGGTTGGTGAGAATAGGACTTCTCATAATTGAATCCTTCTCTACGGTTTGCATTCATAGCGTAGCTAATTTCTATGAGGCATTTTAGAAGTTGACATTAATGTACCCATATGTTGCCCCATGCCGCCATACTAAGTTGTCGAACTAGTTTAGCTGCAAGTGATCTCATCTTGCTAAAGGTAGATTGCCATTCTTAACGCAGCAGAATCTCACACGAGCCGTACGTTATGTCAACCTGGTAACCCATAGGCTTCTTTGGATACTACGCAGGTATACCTGAACTAGTTAATCACCTCTCCACCGTCGCCACAAAGCAGTACCATCACTCTGTTATTGTGGTATTTTTTCTTTTTATGTTGGACATCTCAACTCTAAACCGATACAACGGGCGGGCATTATCTTGGATATGTGCTGCCAAAACGTGCTTTCCCCGGTCCTGTGGGGAGGAAAGGGGGTTGGTTGGGTTTTCTAATGTTGCACAGTGACACTCACCCATCGGGCATTGGACATACTACGTTTAAGAGTAGAAATTGTACGAAAATATACTTTGCTTGCTTAGATGGTGTGGCGTCTAACTGAGAGGGATTTGAATCTAAGTGAGGCTGTGGAGGCAACTGCTACGTCCACGCCACCATAGTGGTGATGAAATATAGCCACCAGCAGAAGCATAGTGGTTGTCTGTCAGTATGGAGTGCATTGCATTGCATGCTGTTGTCAAGTGGACGTCCGCGGACATAGATTTCCGGCAAAAGGAAGAAAAGCATAGGAGTCAACGGGCCAATTCCGTCGATAGGTAGTAGACCGGTAGAGCTGCGACTCTGTAGAGCATAATTTCTACCCCAGATACTTGTAAATCGAATTTCTCATAATAGGAAAGAGGTCATTCTTTCAGACCGAGTTTTAATAGACCAATCAATTAAAATAACGCAAATTGTAGCAAACGAGCAAGGGTATAGCCATCTCATCTCTTTCACAATTGGACACGGTAATGTGCATCGGTGTTTTCTTCTTCGAGTTCATTTAATTATCCCAAAAAAAAAAAAAAAAGAAAAGGAAAGAACTCCGTACTTTGACGGTTGATGCTGTTTGGGGGTATTGGGCCATACCAGAGATACCAAGCCTCCGCAACGTATCAGGTGCATGTGCCCAGGTGAGAAAAAGTTGGAAGATGGTACGGAACGTCCATCCAGAGCGCCTCAGATTGATGGACAGGGACTCGGGATGAGGCGTAGCCTTCTCCCATGGTATGCAGTTGTTGCCGCTACACAAAAAAAGCAAACTTCAAGGCCAGAGGAGGTGCATATAAATGCTCCTGGCAAATGGTATGAAGGTGGCCGCTTTGGGTGGCACTGCATATCAACTGCATGATGTGCACCGCGAGTGATGGCCGCAACGGCCATACCGGAATATAGTTAGATGGCCTAGATTTAACAATATTGAGCAGGGACCTCTCTTCCCTAAACTGTAGTGTCACCAACATTGGCCATGGAGGGTAGCTGGAAAAACCGAGTTTCACAAGATGTGACAAGCATCAGACGGGGTGCGTGAAGTATTCACGGAGTAAGAAAGATTACCCCGTCATGAGAAGGAGATATCAAACGCATCCGGATAGTGGATGTATGTATGTGGCGAATACTCTGGAGGATATAGCCAATTCTCAAAACACGAAAAATGATGGCTGAGTACTTCTGTCATGTCTCGCCTCTGTCATTTACTGCACAGCTGGCGTCTGGCTGCTTCGTTCCACAAGAGATATATATATCATACTATTATTGTGATCTTCATGGTGACTGTATGGTTTTCAGGCCCAGGCACCTGGCTGCACATGGTGAAGGAGTCGATCATCAGAGAAGCGCGCCTTATCCAGTAGCGCTCAGCGTGCTCTAGAAGAACCAGATGCAAAAAAAAAAAAAAAAAGAAACGTTTGATAGAAGGAAAGAGGAATGCTTCAGGAACAAGTGTGGTTGATTCGTGACATGATGATCTGTTTTACTGATCATCGATGATCCTCTCCACCAATTCTCGGTCCGGGGCGACAACCTGGTTGATATGGGGTAATTTGGAAGAGCGTACGTACTTTTGTAGCACAGAGAGAAGGAGGGAGGTTGGCTACTGTCGGAAGAAACCACGGAAAGGAGAGTCGGTGAAGCGCGTAGATCCAAGGCCCATATTCTCGCAAGCTGTTCACCGGGAGCACCAGAGGTTCGGTCAACTGTTCACACATGCTCACCCTTCAGTTGGAGGCAAGGCTGGGCTGACATCATAGCCGACAGGGATGCCCGGAGCCAAGCCCCCAGGGGAACAAGGACATGAAAGAGTGGAGGCTGAACAAGGACGGGATGTGGGGGGGCGTCTGGGAGTCCGGCGCGTTTCAGAATTCGCAGGGATATCGGAGCGCAGTGGCGGGAAGGGAGGATGGCAAGCAGGTAGAGACGAGCTTAGCTTATGGGGTTTATACGAATCAGCGCAAGAAAGGAGGCTGCCAAGTCGATGAAACGATGCGCTGCGGATGCTCTCAAGGCCAACAACCGCTGGGGAGCGAGCAAGGCGTACCTCTGTACACGTATACACGTACACGGACCCTTCAATTTTTTATATGGAGGCTCCTACGAACTCCGTATATGGACGTTGAATTCAGGCGGTAGTTTTCCATTTGTCCGGCTCCCGGGTTTTTAGGGTAGCTACTTTGAAGTCGACCTAGTGACGCCTGTGCCGTGTTAGAGCTGCATTAGGAGCGGCGTTCATCCCATGAAATTCAACGCCGTAGTCTGTATTAGGATAAGGAATATGGGAAGGAGTCCCTTGTTCCCGAGAGCGTTGTATATGCAGGTTCATGGTTAAGGAGCAGATGACACTCTCCGGATGAATCCTCTGTTTATGCTGCGAGCAGCCAAGGTTGCCTCACGATGCGCTGTGACATCACGGCTACGATGGTGTCCCATCCACCCTTCACGCTGGCGGCCTTCAATATCGGAGGTAACCTGCTCACAGCGCCCAACATGACTGGACAGGAGCTGTGGGGAGGTTAGCCACATAGAGAAAATGCTTACCGCAAAAACGATCTCCATTCTTTGTCTTTTTTTCGCGTGATGCTATTCGGCCAATAAATTAATATATGGATGGCTGTTTTCTTTTTCTATTTATTAAGGATAGTTGTTTTTCTCGGGTCAGCATTCGGGTCAGCATTCGGGTCCAATGCCCTTCTTCTTCTTCTTCTTCTTCTTCTTCTCTTTTTTTGCAGCGACATCTCCTTTACCTGCGCGTTCTTCCTTCCCCTTATTATGGCGCCTAAGCTTCGTATTCCATTTTGAGGTCCCTTGGTTGTGGATATGTATACGGAGCACCCGAGGTATCATGGGTTTAATTTCCTTTCAATGCTCTTCGTTTTTGCCCTGGCGCGGCTCCCTGTCAACGACAACGATAATCGAGATGCAAAAAAAATAGTTGACCCATGATATCAAAGAAAGGAAAAAAAAAAAAGAAAAGGTGATAAATGAGGCCCAGCAGGAAAACGCCCAGTCGGGATCTATTGACTCTTGGCTCGTCACTATTTGGACATTTAACGAAGCTTAATACTGCAATATATTATGCCCCATGTCTTTGGAAAAGGCGATCCTCCGCGAGAGAAATAAACGTTGGAAGATCACTTCGGGGAGGGCTATTGATTGAATCATCTCTCACACTGACTGCCGGGACTAGGAGTAGTTCGCGAGATGGAAAAGCTCCGCCCACGAAGCTTCTCGTGCTTGGCGGATCCAACTTTACCTCCACTACACAAACCTTAACCCAGATAACCTTCTGGTATGGTAAGTAACGAAAGCGGTATAGTGTATTTCGGTATCGTTGTATTTCTGTATCGTACTAAATACCGTAAGTATGGGCGTAACTTATACCTGCTGGCCCCTTTCTCCCTCTCCCAAGGGACACCGTTCAAGCATTGTGGATGTACTCCGTACGTAAGAAGATCGATTCAGATATAGATCACGGCCTGGGGTTGGAGATGGGCCAAGAATGATTGACAGTCCGTTCCTGAGGGCATCATGCTAGTTAATAACGCTTTTTCTTGTCGCCAAAGCAACCACAACCCAGACGATCGCCACAAGGTTGAATGTGTAGGTTGAGGTGATCTGAGCCCCCCAAAGAGTGATTTGGGGAGTGATAGTCGTCAAAACGTGGGCTATGGAAGGGCGAAGGAAGGCGAAGGGTGTAGTCAAGCCGCCGGAGCTCTGCCAGGGCTCAATGGCGATCTGCCGGCAGTGTGAAGAATCCCTCTGCGTGTTCCTTTTATACATGTATACATTTCTTGTCTGCACATATATGTGAAGATCATAGGTGGATGTATAAAACTCGCTGGATAATGTTGTGTTGGTCGCCTCAGATATTAATACTGTTTGAGGCGAGTTTCATACCTCGGCTCCAGCTGAGAGCAGGGGACGTCTCTACTATTACAACCGTGCTCTCTGCTATAGTTCGATCACCCACGAGGTATATTATCAATCATATCACGCTTAATGGCAAGGCACCTCTGCCGAACATTAATGGTCAGGTTCGGGTACTCGTGAATAGGCTACGAAGCTTGCTTGGTCAATTACTCCGTACATTAACCATCCATCAACTCCATACTCACCAAACAAATGAACCTTGCACTGGAGAGTAGTCGTCATGCCGTATCCTTAGTCTTTGATAATTCGGCATTGAATATCAAGGAAGGAAATGATACGGGGTGTCCTCGACTAACCGTTGTGCCTGCGTTAGTTGGGTCTTCAAAAGGCAAATTCGGAGCCCCAAGTCCCAAAACTCTACGTAGCGTTCGTACTATGGCGCGACTCCATCGATATATCTCACGTTTGAAGGAATGTTTGGGTTGCACCCAGGGTGAGGGTTCACCGGACAAGCTTCGTTCAATAGAGGCATCCAAACGTCATATGGCGCTAAATG